CCTCCTCCTCCTCCTCCTCCTCCTCCTCAGATAGTCGTAAATTACACCGTGGCGAGCAATGTGCTTCTGCTTTTTAACACGGCAGAGCATCATTAGTACTCTTACTCGTATGTACAATCCCTATGTACGCATCACATACCGCACGATTAGGTTCTGCAGTATTTCAGTTTCTAGGTCCGTCGCCATGCATAATCACCCGTAGAGTGAGTGGGTTGCGGAAGTTCCCGCTAAATTACATATCACTCATGGGTGTGCAAGCCTCTTCAGTACATGCGCCTTTCTAGCGGTGAGTACGCGACTGCCATGATCTATGGATCATCTGGTGGAGTGGGCGTGCGACATGGTTCATGTCTTGTGAAGGTCTGGGAAGAGCAGGCTCGATTATTCGGACGCTAAACGCTTGAAGAGAATGGACGATGAGATTTGCTACGTATGGATGAAGATTTCTCAGAACGAAGCGATAAGAAAAAGTAGTTGCTTAGCTCAACACGATGCTATAGCGCTATAATTAAAATGCTTGCTTGCTTGCTTGCTTGCTAAACTACAATAACGTATCGCGAGGGAAGCACGTCGCGACTTGAAAGCGGAAAGTCTTCGAGTGTTCCACGACGGGCGCCGAGGACATACATGTCTTGACCTCCTCTGCGGACTGTCAGACAGCATCTTTGAACCGCTGTGATGAAGGTGACTTGTACTGGACCAGTTCATCATCTCTCGACGTGTGACTGTATGAGCTGTGTATCGAGCGTATAGTGTAGTCTGTGAAGAAGGAAGCTAGCCAGGCTAGCAGGTTGAGAAGTCAACGTGTCAGCTCAGCAGTATGTGCTGCGATGAAGGTCGGGTGGTGCTATGCAAATAGACAATGGTCTAATTGGCGGCTTGGGTGCGACACATTAGCGCGACACGACGATATACCATGTCAGCTGTAGCTCTGAAAGACCTCGCCGGCCTTTCGGCCATTGCTGGAAGCGCAACGAATGATGTCGGAGTATCGAAGGTCGCATCCGTTGATCACGCTGGACATGGGTGGCAAGCTCAATAGAAAAGAGATGTGGCTTGGTGCGTCCTGTGTCCGCAATGGAGAAACGCAGGCGAACTCCGATCCGCAGCCGATAGTGTCATCTTCCGAGGGAGACGTACACCGTTGTACGAGTAGCATACTCGGTTGTCGCGAGTAATCTCGAGTATGCAACCACCCATGCAAGTTTGCTGACACGACATTCAATATGCTTTGAATTCGTCCAAGCTTCTGGGACTCATTGACCCGGCTTCCCTACCGTCTACCAGTACCAGATCATCGTCTTCGTCCATCTCGGGATCTAGAAGTTCATTCTTGAAAGGTCTTCTTGTGGATCGCTGGCTCGATGTTCGTCCTCGACTGATTTTGGTCCACGATCCAGGACTATTAGGAGAGAATACATCCTGGACTTCGCATTGCTGCTTTGAAGGCAGCCCACTGGGATCGTTCCACAGATTCATCTGCTGTAGTTGCTCCTCATATGCTTCTCTAGCACCGATCGTGTATGTGTGTGTAGGCCCAAGCATATGCGCCCGACCGAGGACAACGTCTTTGTACAACCGCAGCGTCTCCACGCTCTGACCCGACTTCTTCTCCAACTTTGTGGCTAATCTGCGCTTAGCCTCGAGCGTATATGGATGGTGCCGACCAACAGATTGACTCGCTTGGTGTATCAGTTCTGTGAAAATGGCTATGCATTCATCAATCCTCTCGTCATTGAACCAGATGCAGCCAGCGATTACAGCAAGACAAGTCACTGATTGCATGTGTATCTTTCCAAGCACGCGACATGAAATCTTGTGGACTTCGCGAGCTTCAGCTTCACTTGCAGCAAATTCGCCTTCGAACTTGAGCATCCATGCGTAATTGTACCGTGCAGCAATAACATATTCGTGATCCGGTGGCAGGTAATCTAGAAACTTGTCGCAAATCGTCTTCATGTATGCGCTTGTTATACCATGTTCCTTCTGCGATATGTTTGCCGAGATCGTCAAATATCGGATTGTCATCCTAATTGCATGATCTTCCGCCAACAATCTCTCACACACCTGCTGAGCGGAGTCCAGGACCTTTTGCGTAATTTCGCCTTGGTTGTGCTGATGCAATACTGTCATGACTAGACCGGCTGCAATCAGAAGTTGTCGGTCTTTCCTGCCCAAAAGTCTCTCAAACTCGTTCGCCGCTTCTCTCAGGCTCTGTTCTGCGGCTGCATGGTCACCCTTGCTCAGACACATGCACGCTAGGAAGCAGCGGGATACCCACAACCACGAGCCCTCGTCCTTCGTCGAGATCGGAAGGTGCAACGTGTGGTCGTCACCATTCAAGATATCTCGCCTTACTGCTTGATGTGGTTCGAAATTATCGAGACTGAAGAAGTGCTGGTCGCTGGGCTGGTTGCACCTAGAGCATACGAAATACGTGCTACTGCTACTCTTCTCACTGCTACTTGGACTGCTGGACAGCATTGCCCATGAGCTGATATCTTCATCTCCGAAGCGAGATAACAAAGGCGCAGGTCGTGTGACTTGTGAGGAAAGCATTTCGAATTCCATTTGTAACTGGGTACAAGATAGAGCAGAAGATGATCCCGATATGTATGCAGAATCTTGTATCTCGATCGGTGGCTGTAGACTGTGATGTATGCGTGAAAACCCGCCAACTAGAGCTTGCTCGTTGGATGACGCGCTCACAGACCTCGACCTGTTGTGGTTGGTTGGTCCGCTGAAATGTGAAAAGTTGCTCGGACCAGACACGTCCTGATGGTAGTTGAGCTGAGCTGCAGTTTGAGGTGGTGATGGTGTGAGATAGTCCGGACTCACATCATCCAATTGTGACTCGTTATAGTGTCGACTGTCTGGAGTCAAAGCCTGTATGTATTCCGGGATTTGTTTGCCGCCCGTTGAGTCTCGTGCCTCATCCAGGAATTGTTCAACAGTCATATTCTGGTTTCGGATAAAGCGTTGGAGATCCTTCACTGTCTTGCGATGACCTCTAACATCGAAGACAGTCGACAGTTTACCTCTCTCCTTGCGGCGCTGATGCAGCAAAGCTAGAAAGTGCCAATCTTCCTTCTTAGCATTTTTCAAATAACCCCATTGCTTTAGACGCGCTTTGATCATTCGATCACTAAATGATACTCAGCCTACAGTACTTTAGTAAAGGAGAAGAAACCAACGTACGTCGCTCGAAAACCATGGCGATCGCGTAGGACGATGCGTACTTCCTTCAGTGGTAGTTTCTGGTTGACATAGTACGCTCTGACCACGTCCTGTATCTGCAGCCAATCTTGTGGCGTCGGCGGGAACGAGTATAGTGAAGTCCGAGACATGGTACCTTTTCAATAGCAATTGAAACTGACTTCCAGGTGGATTTTCACCAGGTCGTGCAAGAAGTAAGGTCAGAAAGACAGCACTTTGGCCAGCTCGTCCATGCTCAAGAGATTGAAGGATATGACGATGAAGCAGTGATTTCGCAAATAGGTCGATCACGCCAGGTTCAAGCCTGTTCTCTTGAAAATGCTTCGGGTTTGTGATTCAGAGTATATTTCGAGTATGCAGTAGGACAATAGTATTGTGAAGACGAAACAGCTTGGATGGAGGTGGGTTAGGCTCCATGTGCGGGATCTTTAGCCTGTGCAGAATGTCCCATGCAGCTGCTAGCGCCAGCCTGACGGCCCAAAGTGAGCAAGGGCGGGGCGTGCTACGGGACTAGGCAAGCTTTTGCTCGAACTTGCTGGCCTGTGATCGTCAGTTTTCTTGCAGAATGAGGCAGCCCAACGGCGCACTGCATTTCGTCTGTACGAGATACATAAAGTAGATCATCTTGCACAATGTGTGTAACCCGGTTGATGGCTGCTGCGCTTCTGTCGTCCTACAATGTGACTTCCAAATGCAAGATCTCTGGAAGCGGTCAGAGAGAGTGGCTGGAAATCTAATTTCACTCGACCGAATAGTAACGACTGATTGCCAATACTAGGAGGATTCAGAACAAAAGGACGCAAGCCTTTGCATAACGAATGTCTGAATATCAGCGAAAGGAGTATTCAACATTATGTCCTTTACGTCCTTATTAGCCTCTTCGCGCACATCCGTCAACATTTGAGAATAACATGCAGTGCCACCCAACAACAACTGAGATTCACACAAAGGGCCTCCAACAGCCCATATGCACCAAAACAAAGATGACCTATAGCCCGCGGCTTCGGCAATGAAAGCGCAATGCGACTCAACCCCCGATCCCAGCATGCTATTGCGTCAACAAGTCCATTGCGCTCGAATGTGCAAGTTAACGACCATGACTTGGGCAAACCAAGCATGACGACTGCAGGATCCTCGTATCGCGCCCGGAAATTGCTTGCTTCCGTAGCGACGTTAGCGTAGGTGGCGTAGGTGGCGTTAGTACTCCATGGAAGCAGTCGTCAGGGGCGTTGTCGACGCCTGCAGCAACGATCCAAGCTCTACCTGCCTTTCTTCAAAACTGCGACTGTATCGAGTACTATATCGACATCTGTCAACCACAGCGGACGTCTACCTTGGTTCGTGACGACGCTGCCCTTGGTTGGGAGCACGAGGTGGTCCTCCAGATGTCGCATACATTGAGCTGAAGCCTTGTGTTCCGGTTGTGCTTGGCTGATTGCCACCTCCTCCTGCTGTCCATTTGGTGTCACTGCTATATGGTGGAGGCGCCATATCATACACGTTATTGTCATAAGAGCTGTACTGGGCTTGAGGCACGTTGGCGGATATGGTGTACTGTGCCGTCGCTTGAATATAGCCAGGATTGGCTTGATATTGTTGGGCATTAGAAGGTCTCCGAGGGTCGACCTGCGCTGGCTGTGCTGATGCGGGACGTGGGCTGGGGGCAGCTCCGGCAGGCGGACGCTGAGCCATGGCAACATTGTCGGCTGAAGCTCTGGTCACAGGATTTGAAGGAGGATATCGTGGCTCTGTTTCAAGGGATGAGCGGCTCCCTTGTCTCACACGTGGATCTTCTGCCTCTCTTGAGGTCTTCATAGGAGCTATTGGCCGTTCTTTCGCAGCCTGAGGACGTCCGACCTGTTTCCTACGTCTCATCGTTGCGGAGTTTACGTAGTATCCTGTTCGTCGAGGTCAGTAGGTATATTGCGAACGCTGTGTCGTGCATACCATCGGCGTTCTCTTTACGCCACAGTCGTGTGTCTTCTATCATCGCTCGTATGTCTTCCTGCCAATTGTAAGCATTTGTCAGAGCTGTGTGCCTGCAGACCACGTACAACTCCGATCGCAACGACAGACTCGACCCAGAAGCCCTTCTGCTCACGTCTCTATTGTTACATGTCAGTACGACCAAGCCATGTCAATCGCCTCATGGGTTCTCCATACCGCAGGATGGCTGCCAATTCTGACTCTTGCTTTATTGTCTAGCAGACCTCTCACATAACCTGCCAATGGTTCGATATCAATTCCTTCTTCTGGGACGAAATACGGCATTCGGCTGGAGTCGGTCTCATCTTCACTAGATTCTGGCGATTCATCGCGCCTCTTCTTTTTTCTTACTTGCTCTCCCCGACGAGACATGACCGTCGCAAGAACGCGCTTTTCTTATGTATTGCAACTTCTGACAGTCAGATGATTCCTCCGACGAAGCTAGGTGAAACGATGTTGAAGAGGAGACAAGAACAGCGTTCAAGAAGTATATCGGTACAAGCTGCGTTGTGATGTTGTTTGAAAGTTGCAAATTGGCATCCTGCAAGTTTTCCACAAACTCAAGACTTCAAACAAAGAGAGCGAGCGAGCGATGAGGTGACAACGGAGCAGTACAACGGCAACGGCAGCCAGCTTGCAGTGTCGCAAGCTAATTCATGTACGAAAGCTGAGCCCCAGGAATTGAATGTAGCGATGTTTCGCAGATGGAAATGCAGTCTCTTCTTCACGGCTGAAGGTATGAGACAGCCGATAGCATCGGCTCACATGCTCTAGACAAGGTGACGAACAGGCTGGATTGGGGTAGGACACAACACTGCTACTAGAGCTGCGTGGGCTGCTACATTGGACCGGGTTGATAACCCCACCAGATCCCAATTCATGCCAGAGTAAACGAATCAGTAGTTGAAGATGTTCGAGCATATGCTGCAAAGCACGGGTAATCTTGTGTGGCTGCAGGAGCAAGTAAAGTCCCTACTGGCTTAACAGCTTCGTACTGTCAGCCAGTAGGTCAGGGTCTTAGGAGCTTCAAAACTCGAATCGTTCTGTTCATTGAAAGTGATGGACAAGGACTTTCGAATCAGTCTGCCATGCTGTCATCGCAGGCGAGCAAGCTTTCTGGGGCTTTTGAAATAACCCCAAAAAGCCCGCCGATCCACAACGTGGCTGCTGCAGCCATTTTGCCGTTGTGTTTAGCTTGTTTAATCTATAGGAGCTGCGTCGGCGATGGGCCAGTCGAGACTACAGTAGATGGCGGCTCGTTTTGGCGCTCTCAACCCCGTGTCTAGACTTGGAATGGAAGACTCACAGGACTGTCAAAAACTTAGCCAGCGGTTCACAAATCATCTCAACTGATCTTCCGTAGCAGATTTGGCTCGTGCAAGCTACGGTTATGGAAAGGAAACGGGCCGAGGCAGGAGCGTTTGCAGATCCACAGCAACTTTCAAAATAAGCATGCACGAGCTTGATAAGCTGTTGAAATTCGGGCCTTCCTCTAGGACGTAGGCACGTATCCTATAGGTTTTGCGCAGCGACTAGAATAAGCAACAACGCTGTGGCTGCCAAGTACAAATTTGTGCCTAGGGCAAATGCGTTGCCAGTGTAGGAAGCCACCTGTCCAAACCTCATGCTACTATCTCCTGTCAATGGGATACTCACATTGACACTAGCAACCTGAGACGTGCTGTTGTACGCGACTGGGAAGTATTGATCGCCAGTGATAGCACCTGAAGGTGCACTTCTTTGTCCCAGGAGAATAATCTGGGAGATATTGACGCCAGTGGAGTAATCATATGTTCCATTCATGGAGAAGTTGCTGCCGTCCCATGAAAAGCTGATGTAGCTTATCGCAGCCTGTTCTAAGGATATACCATCGTCAATATAGAGACTACCACTGGCAGTGCCGTCTGTGCCTGGGGCAATCACGATCTGGAAAGGTTGTTTTCGTAGCTCTGTGGTTGTGTTGGCAGACCGTGCTCGTAATGGTAGTACGGAACCGCCTTTGATGTGAATCGGTATCGTCTGGAAGTCCACGTTGTATAAAGTCACTGTAGTGCCACTTCCTTGTACTGGTGTAAAACCGTTGTTCCAATCATAGAAGATGTCCTGCGGCAGGTAGATATCGACCGAGGTTCCGTTCTCTTCCGTCACTGGACTAATGAGAACGGAGGACCCCCAGAAATACTGTAGGTCAATGCCAAAGGTGTTGCTGTCGTTCGGGTAGACGTAAAACATGGGGTTTAAGCTTGGCGTACCATCGACAGTCTGCTCGTACACCGCAGTGTAGAAGTAATCAAGCATTCTGTAGCGGATGTCAATAGCGCGTCGAGCTGATTCTGCAACCGACTCCCAGCGGTACGCTTCCTGTGAAACGCTGCCAAGCTCATTGTGGTTCCGGTAGAATGGATAGAAAGCTCCAAGCATCATCCATCGAGCACATAGTAGTTCTGTTGTGTTGCCACCAAATCCACATACGTCTGAACCGGTGATAGGGAGGCTGAAAAAAGCCGAAAACGCTAGCATCTGGGCGATTGAGATTCTGTAGTGCGGCCAATCGCTGATATTATCACCTAGCCAGTGTGCGACATATGTCCCAGCACCAAGGAAAGTGCTTCGTGTGATTACTAAAGTCCTCTCTTGTGGTCGCCGGGACAGCATAGCGTTTCTCGAGTGGTTCGACATCATTGTGCCGTATAGATTGTGTGTATCATACTCCACGAGACCATTGTAGTGAACGAGATCTGTATTGATGGTCTTGTTCGAGAGACTACCCGCTGCATTCCGTATCTGGTACGGTGGATTGATTAGGTCACGCCCTGAAAGGCCCATTCTCAAACCAGCGTTATCCTGTCTCTTGACTCTAGCCGAGCTAGAAGGAGGTTGAAAATCGGCTGGGAAACCAGGTAGAGCAATGGGTGACGAGTTCCGAACAGGTGGTGGATCTGGTGGAAAGTTGTTCTCCTCTGCATATCCTTGAGGATCACTGCATGGCTGGACCACAGTTAGTGAAAAGTCATGATAGGGCACGAAGAAATTGACCCTACCCAATTACAGAAGTTGGCCGCCTCATTCATGTCGATCCATAGGTAGTCAATGTCGATGCCTGTTTCAGGACTGAAAAAGGAGTCAAATTGACCGGTCCAGTACGTCTGTGCATTCGGCCTAAGTATATCTAGTCAGAAGACGCGAATGCAAGACTGTACAGATTGACTTACGAGAACCAGTCAGGAAAAACAGTTGACCCAGGCCAGACGACTCCAGTGTAAAGAGAACCATTTAACGTCTTGAGGAAGATATCCTGCTGAATGCCACTATCGAGTGCACCATATCCGGTGTTCGGTTGATATGCGACAGCGGGGTCCACCATCACAGTATATTTTTGCTGGTGAGCATGAAGATAGTTCACCAATTCCCGCACTTTCGCCATGGGAAATCTATCAGGATCGACGGTCATAACGTATCTCCGAAACATGTAATCAATGTCTGTCCACATTGTTTCTAGCGCAATACCAGCCTGACTGTAGTTATACACAACGCCAGCGACTTCGTAGATGTCGCGATACCCATAGCGACATTGATGGAAGCCAAGTCCTCCATATGGAATGTTTGCGGGGAGTCCGACCACTTCGGCGATTTGTTGCGACACTTCAACTGGACTGGGTCCTGCCAAGAAATAGAAATCAAAGACACCTCCTAGAGTGTTGTATTCTAGGTATTGGCCCTGTGTATCGTTGATCTTGACTTCAATACCGTTGGAGTTGACAAAGACAACGCCATGCGTACCGCTCTCGCCTCGATGCTCCACATAGATTGGATGAGCACCGTAGAGATTGGTACCTGCTGGAATGCCGTATGAATCTCTGTTCCAGATCGTTCGTGTATAGTTCGTCGTGTTCAAGCGAAACGGATCTGAATGTTCACCTAGAGGACAAAGTCAGTTCTGGTTGATAAGAAAAACGAGGAACATCTCATACCAAGGCCATATAGATTGGGACTATCCGGCAAAGAAGTTCGTACATTCAGATATTGGTTTTCAAAAACAAGGGGGTTACCAGACGTGTTGAAGAGGGTTTCACCGTCAGATCTTGCCACAGCAAAGCTAAATGGAGATTGAGTGAAGGTGAATCGTAGGTTCGAATTTGAGGCAGACGCACTTGGCAAAGATTCTGGTCCCGGAAAGATATCAGTCGGCACTTGGTAAACACTTTGGTTCTGGTCTTGAATAAGCACATGAAGGCGATTTCCTTGTCACAGTCAGGCAATGTCAACCGCTTTCCTCGAACTATTACCTGATTGATATTCGACAGTAAGAGTGAGGTTTGTTAGATCAAACCCGTACACGTTGCAAGCTTCACCTGCCAAAGTAAGGTCAGCGGTCAGGCCGGTGGCACTTTGCTGGATGTTGCTCGCCGTGTAGCCAGGACAATTCTGCTGTGCAAAGGTGAGAGTTGCTCCCAAGCTGAGTAAGCAGAGACGTTGGAAAAACATCGTGGACTGTGTCATCAAGCTTACTACTGGCGAGAGAGGCACTTTCTCAGCTTATGAAGCTCGAAAACTTCGTGTAAGAAAGTTTGACTTCTGCGATCGACATGGTTCCCCGGATCGTCCCCATAAAAGCACTAACTTTCAAAGGCTTTCCAAGGATTTTCCGGCATTCAAGTCTTCCTGCACGAATCTTAACGCCAATCGGAGTGGGCATGGGGAGTGAAGCTCAAGGCCCGAAAAAGTCCATGTTTACCAACAGGAACGCGTTGATCGAGATCGACCTGGTCTTGCACCTGTTCCTTGTATATTTTCCTGGCACAAGAGGAGGGGTACATGTTGATGCTACCTTGGAGACGACCCGATTTGATACAACAAAGCGAATTGAGGTTAGACGAGCAGCAGTGTAGCGGAAACGTTGATGTCCCATATTTCCTAAGGAGTACACCTCGGCCTGTAAAGCCTTGGCACTCACTCCTTGACTCAGCTTCACTTGCACGCACCGTCCGCCACGAGTGCTGTATTACTAAATATTCTTCTGTTAAGCGCATCTACAAGAGGCTCCGAATTGCTCGAATGTATGTCTGCACGTGCTGCTGAAGCCTTCGCTTGGTTTACAGACTTGAAAGCTGTTTGTATTGGTACCATTCTATCTGCTGCTACTTCACTTTTTGTCCTCTTGATTGCGGTAAGGTAAACCGGACTCTGCTCGCTTTGCTCCGTATATGCCAGCCAGGTCTCCAGATTGTCCCATCTCAGCTTTGACTCCGGCTAGGTACTCATCACCTAGCTCAACGATGCGCATACGAGTGCCGTTGTCGCTTGCAATTTTCTTTGCGTGTCTGGCATCCTTTCTTGCTAGATCGACAGCAAAGAGTGGTTCGTCCCTCTGGTAATAGTCTCCACTCAACATTCTGGTTGAATAGGCTGTGAAGGGTCCGGGAAACATGATTTCAATGAACTTGTGCAGCTGGTCTGTTCCGAGGCCCGACTTTTCTGCAAGTACATGACCTTCGGCCAGGGTTGTCACCATTGACAATATGAACGTGTTGCCTAAAACTTTCAGCGTCGTTGCTTTGCTAGGTGGCTCATCGTTGAAATAGATCACGGCGCGACCCACAACCCCCGTGGTGTATGGCTTGACCTTTTCAATATCAGACGCTTTTCCCGCCAGGACACAAATTAAAGACCCGCTATCTGCCATGGCGGGCGCTCCAAATACTGGCATCGCGACAAATCGACCACCAGCACTTGTGATCTTCTCGTTCTCTTGATCTGTTGTGGAGGGATGAACAGTGCTGCAATCGACAAACAGCTTGTCCCTAACGGAGTTCTGGACCATCTTTTCGACCATCTCCAGCACAGAAGCGTCATCGCCTAGGCAATAGAAGATGATATCGGACTTTGCGATCAGGTCTTCGACAGAGGATGCAACCTTGCTGTTTCCAATCTTCGAGGAGAGATCATCGGCTCGCGACTTGGTTCGATTAAAGAGCAGGAGAGGCTTTGAAAGGTTGCCTTTCTCTACCAGGTTCTTAGACATGCCACGACCGATATTGCCTAAGCCCACGAAACCCAACTGTGGCGCCATCTTGTGATCTTGCTCGTGTTGTATCAATGTGATTGCTGCGTCGAGACCGCCGATATCCTTCCGAATCTACACAAGGTCAGTGGTATCTCGAGCTCAAGTGAAGAATATTAGCAAATCTCAGGCTACACGCGGCAGAAAGTTACATGTTCGCAGTGCAATCACGTCGTGAATGTGCTTTCGTAAACTTCATGATACAGCTCCGATGACAGCCGATGAGGGACAAATAAAACGCTCGGATGAAGCTGCGGAGTAATCGTACATCAATCTTGGAGTAGTGATTGCATGATCGTCTGCTATACAGAAAAGCAGTTTCCATCTCGGTTGGCGGTCGACTGCCTGTAAACAAGAGGGAAGCAATGTCAGTGTGCTTACAGTAAGTTCGGGTGCCTGCCAGCTTAGAACTTCTTGTGCTCCGTATACTCTCGACCAGCCATGGATTTTGAGCCAATCAGAATACGAATGCTGAACAGGCGAAGTGGTTTGACTGAACGGTAGCGGTCCTGACACAACTTTGTGATTTCATCTTGTCAACGAAGGTTTGTATCAATCTTGAGCATGAGATTCCTCTGAGAAAGTTGATGAAAGTTAAGTGCGGCTAATGATGATCGCCTATATGGTATTGCTGCTGCAATATCCGAACAAGCGTACACCATCCAATCTTGCTGAGGAGTGAACTGCCATGTGAAAGCTTTCTACTATTGGTATCGATTTATTCACGAGGTACAGCCCGGCCATCTTCGAGTGAGCTATAGGAAATTGGTGGAGAACCACACAGTCGTGTTGAAGTCTCAAATGCACCATATACAATAACTCATTAGATTCAGGCTACCAACATATTTCAGAACCGTATGGCTATTCTTTCAGCCAGTTGATCTGCCACACTTGTTGAGCGGCAGCTCGAGGATCTGTACTATGTCGGCTCACAGCAACTAACTTTGCTGTGAGCTCTATACCACTCTGGAAGAGAGCATCCGCACGCTCACAATGACTATATGAAGCTGACCTAAATAGCCTTACACTTCGAAGGAGTTATCCAGCGGTATATCGCCGCTGAGCATAACTAATTTCTGCTGCTCCTACTGTAACATCTGGACCATTGATACAGCTAACCATACTTCCAATGACCTCTATCTTTCGTTCGTGGCTGCGGTTTCACCCATGATAGTATATCAAGAATGCCGATTTGACATTGCTCGAGTTGATGAATTGAGGCAAAACGTCTGATGATTCAGAAGACCCACAGAAGCCAAAAAGAGCCATGTCAGCCTGACCCAGAGTTCGGAATGTGCTCTGAGGACCTGCCGAATATCATATAATGAAGGCTATCCGCACCTCATTACTGAGAGATGACGAAACCGACCATTGAGCTACAAACAAAAGAATAGCTGAGAACCAACTATCCGTGCATCAACATGGCAGCCTCTCAGAATGATCTACTAAGACTACCAGCCGAGATTCGTCTCATGATATACGGGAATCTCTGCCCAAGCATAGGAGAAACCAACAACGATACCCTACCACTTTTACAAACATGCAAAGCAACCTACATGGAAGTGTTACCATTGGTATACCAGAAAAAGCTCGTGGTTGTTGACTGCCCAGCCACCAACCCCCTCAAAGAGCTTCGAAAACTCATCTCGGGCAAGAAATTTGGCACCGTCATTTCACAGACATCTGATATCGCTAATACTCCATCTTTCCACTTCTGCCCAGCCACTCGCATCCGTCACCTTGAAATCCGCTTCCCACCAATACTGAAGAGGAAACGAGCGGTCCAAATCAGTAGCGACACCAACGACTACGCAGCTGTAGGTAGCTACCACCATTCTACCATCAACCTGCCAGCCGTAGTCGCGTTATTACGAGATAACTTCCCTCAACTACAAACCCTTGTGATCAGAGCTCACCGGTTCGGCGACCTGATCAACGACGAAACCGGCGTGCCGCACTGGTGGGTCGTCACGCCGCTCTGCTGCCTGAGTCGGCAGAAACGTCTCGCCAATCTTGCTTTTAAGACTACTATTGGGCCCAAGATTGATTTGGACCTTCTCCCACCGGGCAGAGATGCTGCGCTCGTTCCTCTGCAGGAGATCATCCGAGCTCAAGATTTCTACACGCGCACATATGCTGCGTACCTCTGTGCCTTGGGATGGGTTCTTCAGTATAGTCTGATGGAGTTGTCGGGGGAGATTGGCTGGTTGGTAGATGGAGAACCCACCATCATTGGTGTGCCATATGAGCATCAGGAGTGCCCACTGCATGACTCTGGGCCCGAGGATGCCGCGACGATGGTTTTGAAGGGCATGGTCCCTATCTTGCAATGGTTTGGGGTTCTTTGCGAAAGGAGAGCTGTGGAACCGTGGGTTCAGTTCTTATCGCCCGCTCCAAGATATTCTTTGCGGCCTCGGTAGGTGTTGGATATGATAGCAAAGCAATAATGCTGTGTCAGAAGAGCGAATTTGAAGTGATGAAATAGAATGAAGTATAGCTGCAAGGATCTAGTCGGAACCAAGACAGGTATGAAGGCATTTTGAAAGCAGGTTCTAAATTAAAGGTAACGTTACACAATAGTTTCGTATCTAGTCTGAGTTCTATCCAAAGATTCTCCGTCAATCGTCATTGCTGTCATTCATGTGTGACGAGCTAGTGTACATATACCTACTCCTTCGCGATCAGCTTCCTGGTCGTGGCATATTCTGCTGATCGTTGTATTTACCTTGATCAGTTGTCTGCTGGTTGTGGTGCCTTATGACGTTCGTTATGAATGTGTCTTTGATTCACGCCCTGATGAACTTTGATCCGCAACACCAAAATTATGCGTCGCAAGGCGAATGTTTTGGTCTCCTGGCTGGTAGTTCCTCGCTCGATTTATGGAATAGAACCCGACAGGAAAGGCCTTCATGTCTAGTACCACCTCGTTTTGATCAAGTGTCGATAGCCACTATCTGTCGTTCATCAGTCAGCACATCGCTGACGATTCACCGAAGTGGTTGAGAAGTGGGCACTCTCAAACATGAACCAAGTTAGGCTAAATGCGATCGTGAGACCTCTGTTTTGTATTTTATTTCCGGTGCCTTCATGAGAGCATCAATATTTCCAGGTTACAGCCAAGGATCTGTCGATTTGATTTCTATACTAGGACATGTTAATGGTGAGCGCCGGGCATCGGCGATCTTCTTGACAGTGCATGAGAAGCGCCAACCTTGTGATGGTTAGAAGCTCATCCATGCCCACAGCGTCAATCAAGGAGAAAAACGCGAGTGGACCCCTTTCTGGATACGGACACTAAATTAATCGTGCTGATGTTCATCGTTAAAGCCGCTTTTGTTTCAACAGATGTTTTTGTCCACTTGATCACTCCTTACCCCCAGCACTACTCATCAACACGAATGCTAGACCGAGCAGAAGGTACCAGTACTTTTGCAAGAATGTTTTCTCCTGCTGTTCTTCTTGGACAACCTCATTTCCTTGAGCATCCACCTGTGCTGGTTTCCTCGAGTTAAGCTTCGGCGCAGGTCCTTGTCCAGCAATAAGTAGATTTACTTTCACCACGGGACCGACTGTCACTTCGCCCACTACAGCGTCTTTGGCTTTCTTTGATTTTGGTTTCGGTATCGTGCTGGAAACGGCTTTTCCTCGTTTGCGCAGTCTTTCTTCTTTCTGCCTCTGTAGCTCTTCCTCTTTCGATAGTGGAGGTGGTGTGATGGCTCTGATGGAAGCTGAAATGACCTGACCGTTATCTTTCGATATCCATAGGTCGATGTCTTGCGACAGCTTGGGATCGAAAGCACCTAAGCTTGTGACAGTTGCCCCACCTTCGGGAAGTAGTACTCGTATTAGAGGCGTAGATTGTGGTTCTTGTGAGGTTGATTGTAGGGAATCAACAGAAGGGGGCGTCCAAGAGGTGAGCGTGTAATCGAGACTTCTCGGATCATATTCTATTCTCGCTAGAGGACTCCTGGACATGCCAGAGGATGCCAGATCTTCGTAGGACAACAATATCGATTTGGGATACTTCTTGATGGTGCTCTGTGCTGGATCTTGAGCTTGCGCCAAGCTGACCAGAGCAACAAGGCTGGCGCAGAGTTGCCACATGGAACGCATGTTTCGCTTCGTAGGAGAAAAGTTAGTTGTAGTTGACAGCATTTCACTGCTCGAGTTGACGCTGCTCATACCAAGAGGTTGCTAATCGAACCTCGGAGAGGAAAGCACAATGCCGTTGATCACGTCCTAAGTCAGGATAACGGCTGGCCACTATCGTTTTTTGCCTGAAAGTTACTGTTATGCCTCAGGCACGTAGATCATGAACATTGCGGCTGGACATGTGCAGAACAAGTGTTCTTGCCTTCAGCTACCAGTATAGGCTAGATATGAGTTCCTTTCCAATGTCGTGTTGCACCGCAAGACTGCTCTCCATTCATGATGTTATTGATCTGCGGCCATCTTCGCGGATTTTTCTGTACTTTGGGAACCTTGGACCATTTTGCCCCCTGTTGATATCGTCTGCTGATTACTATGTGTGACTATGTGGAGGAAAGGCAATAGACAAAGTCCTACTGATCATGACAATCTGCATGCCGACGCGTCGTCAAGCAACAATAGCACTGGCGCTGTAATCAACCAGAACGATCGGCAGGGTCATCAGCTACCAGGTAGCACTTGCGGTGTGACCAATGTCTCTGGACGTACCAGCGCCATCTTAGGCAACGTGGTACACTATCATAACTATCACGGAGTGGACCCTCCTACCTACTAGGGCTACAGAGTATATACTTGTCGTGCATATCTATCACTATCGCTGACGAAATTAGGACACCGTGATGGCCACCGTATCGACGCAGACAAGCTATCAAACTATGATGCTCGGCGGGAGCATTGGCTTCGCAGCTACCCTCGCCGTACTAATAGTAGGATTAGAGTATTGTGATATCATGGATGTTGTCGAGCAGTTCAAAGGACGAGAAGGAAGTGCTGTACCGTTTGTGACTTTGTTGTTGCATAACCAATTCGTGTTGCACGCAAGCCGCTTGTCGGCAACAGAAACGAGTTGGTTGGATCTGTTATTGCCCAATATTGCAAATAGTCGGGTATATGTTACTTACAACTCGACTGCCGGAAAACAACCACGACGATTGTTGATACGTGTCCTCTTACCAAAGACACAGAATGTCCCTTATGGTCCACGTTTCGAATCAGACGAGAAGGTTACGAATCTTATGATAGATTTGATCCACTACACGATCAGGCAGAGCTTCGCGTTACAGTCAGATGATCTTTTTGTATACCTGATCATAATGAGACGGGTCTCGCCTTGCAGCGAAATCCTGGGGTGACCGACAAGCATATGTAATTCAAGAAGTTCTGAGGACTTGCTGTGAGTCTTGACCTTTGGTATTGTTCCCTCTTGTACAGACTGCCAAGTCTCGAGAGCACGCCTGTGCTCTTCTAATCAGATCGTCTGTATCCCGAGAATTGGCGGGGACTGTCTGACTTTTGTATACATACCTGGGGATGAATGCGGATCAGATCTTCGAGCCGACCAGCAAGGACTTTTGAAACATTGCGGCCATTGTAAGCAGAGACATGGTTATGATCCCGCCGTGTGTAGCTTATAGCACAAAGGATTGAGATATGCTTACGGGATCTTAGACTTTGCTTGAGAGGCTTGGCATAGTATTGTGAGCGGAAGTATATGCTGAAAGCGTGTCATGCTTGACGAAGCACGTGCCGGCCACTCTCATACCGGCATCGAGGTCGATCTAGGCATGCCGCCCGCCTTGCCGATTGACGATTGAGGGGTGCTGTGCCAGTATCTACTAGTATCGTAGAATAAATGCAGCTCCGCAGCCTAGTGACTTGCTCGCTATGATTTGCTACTCTTCACATATTGCCGGAGCTCAATCGCATGTTTACAACCTTTTCGACATGCATGATGCAGTGGTTTTCCATCAGCCAAGCCAACGCCCAGGCTGACTATCAGCAAGCCAGAGCGGTGGCTCGCAAGATTCACCCTCATTCAAGTCGAACCTTCTAATGGAGGCTTCATCAGAACCACGTGCGGTGCTTCTTCCGCTGCTCTTGTGATCTTCCCTTGTGCCATATACCTTGTATACAGCTTCAGTAATTTACAGACATTTGTTTTCGTGTTCTTGTGGCTAACCTCCTTCGCTTGTTGAGTTATTGCAGAGCTTGTCTAACATGTCCTCAGAAGCATAGTGACAAAGAACCATCCAAGGACAGCCCGTCATCGTTCAGTAGGCGCAGCCAAGGTCAACGTGCTTGCTGAAACAAAGACTCGGCTCAACGTGAAAAGCTTGCGTGTTTGACTGGATTTCTGCGAACCTTGACGTACAGTCATATATACCACGTCACACATTATCAGCTCTTCATTGTGCCGACTTGACGAAGCTCTTGGGCAGACCACGAGCGTCCTTTCACGTGCGCCCTAGCTAAGCAAGCGACTCACAAATCTTCCATTGAACATGACCTCGCTGCAGCAGAATAACCCTACGCTAGCCAGTGCAGCCGCAACCATGGATGGGCCGAGAACGAAAGAAGAACAAGAAGAACTCGCTTTCGGCCAAGTCTGGGATGGTGCTGGGAAACCATCGTCGACGACAGGACCAGGGCAGATGGAGCGCCCGTCAATGACTGGACGACGAAAGAGCAGTATACAATTCAATACTGGTGCAGCAGAAGAGACCATTCGACGAGAGTCCACCTGTCCTCCAATACCTCGACCTTCTCTGTCCCAAGCACATCTACATCGGAACTCGAGCCCGCCTCCTGCGCTTCCATATTCACGTGGAGTTGGTTTCGACACGTTTGCCACTCCAGACGCAGCCGCTGAGGCCTTTAGCATACAATACAAGCACAATGACTTCCAGTACACACCCCGCACCAGGACTTTCATCTGCGGCACAGACGCCAAAGACTATAGCGAGTATGCACTCGAGTGGACACTCGACGAGCTAGTCGACGATGGCGATGAGATCGTCTGCCTGCGCGTCGTCAGCGAAGAGTCGAGCGAGAGAAGAGAATACAAGAAGGAGGCGGAACGTCTGCTAGCAAGTGTAATTCAGAAAAACGCGATCGAGCGCAAAGCTATCAGCTTGAAAATGGAACTAGCAGTTGGAAGAGTGACTGAGGTCATACAGTCTATGATTCAACTCTACGAGCCTGTAGCCATTATAGTCGGTACTCGTGGTCGCAACTTGACTGGTATGCAAGGATTGATGGGCGGATCGTCTGTTTCAAAGTACTGTTTGCAACGTTCGCCTGTTCCTACAATCGTCGTTCGTCCGACGCTGAAACGAACCAAGAAGAAGACAAAGCGACAGGCTGAGCAGGGACGTAGTGTCTACACGAATATGCTCACCCTCACCAAGTCTGTAGGCGGGCAACACATCAGTGACCGAAGTTTCGACGCTGCAGACTTCGCTACCAAAGGCACTTCCGAGGAAGCGAATGCTGTCGAAAAGGCCGTGGGTCCCAGGAAAGGCATCCTCAGAAACAAGGGTCGGGTATATGGAGGACCATTGACTCGTGTTACCAGCACGTCTCAGACAGAAGACGATGATATCGAAGACCCACAATCGCGGTTTGCACTACCCATAGGATTTCTAACCACGGAATCGGCACCAAAAGCCGACATTGCAATGAAGAGCCCGATCATTCAGGCATTGGCAGAATGGGACGATAGTCCCAGAAATGGCAGCCGGACCGCTAGTCCTGCGCGTCATGCTAAGCCAGAAAGCGAGGGTGCTCTAACAGACACGGAGGACGAAGGCGAGTTTGGCATGCCGAAGATTGTGGAAGAACGACGGCCGAGTACGCGTTCGCAGAACCCGTGGCTAAATTCGATTCTGAGTCGACCAGAGCCGAGGCGTCGGTCAGTAAGTCGTGAGAGAGGGGCCAGGAGTAGTAGTCGGTAAACAGTGTAGACAAAATTGGATATGGGCTATGATATATGACTTATGAGGGCAAAATAATGATTGAGCCGTATCACATCGTTGGGATGATGTATTGGAAGTCTGTGGATTTAACTTGTCTGTCTCATCTTCACCAATACCTCTCCCTGATTCTTTCCAATATTCTTACCACAATACATAAGGCTTCAACTCCTTCGTCGGCTAATACAAAGCACGCAACTCTGCTCGCTGTCCAAATGGTGTATGATTTATGTTTCGGGGCTTTGCAGGTGCTCAAGCTACGAAGGAATGCCTGCAACGGTGAACGTGAACGAAATTGGCCAGTGAATAAAAATGTAAGTAGCGACGGCATTTTTATTACAGCTAGACGAGTGTGCAGAGTAGGCAGGTTGAGGACCGGATCGCTCATATGGATGGTGAAACATGGTTATCCTGACTCAGAACTAGCAAATTTCGAGCAGCAGTATCGGGAATTGGGATGGTATTACTTCTATGATCGTATATGTTTGAAGACTATCTGCTCGATCTCATCGTGCTTGTGCTCGGAAGTTCATCCGTAACTCCTTAGGTACGCCGTACTACTACTTTGCGCAGTACCGCAGCGCTTAACCGGAAACGTCGATGCGGACTTTCGACAACGGCAAGTGCCAGCACTCAGCCGTTCTTGCTCAACCATCGCGTTTCGCAGCCAAACTCGATATGATCCAGCCACATTGTCGCCGTTGCTGAGGACCTTGCACGTATCGCATCACAAATAGTGATGTTCGAGTCTTCCCCTCGATGCTGGACCGTCCCTATCAACCACGAAAATGCTCCCATCGCAAGAAGACTGCGATGATTGCACACCATCCTACCTACAATCACATGTCTTCGGCACCAAAGCAGCATTCTCGACACTGCCTTTCGTAGCAACATTCGTCCTTGCGACAGTAATCGCATATCGCAAGGTATATCCTCTGCTTCTTGCACAGAGTGACCAGACCTTGGCGAAGGCCACGAATGGCAGGCTACCACAGCCAGCAATTGCTCAAAATGAGCCAGCAACACAAAATCTGGCTCGTCGCATAGCAGCTCTCACTTTCTCCTCTACCATTGCACTATCCACTGTCCTTACGGAACTTCTCCTATGCGAGATATCGAACTCGTTCAATCCGACTGCTCGAAGTGTTGCGCTACAGATCACAGTTGTCAGCCTGCTCTGCCTCCTCGTGATTGCTATACCTCTACTGGGAATTTACAGTGTCGTTGCAAAATCAGGCTACAAGTTTCTCGACTCGCAAAGCAAAGGCCGAAGAAGGCTGGCATGGATTTTCGAGTTTCTTGGATATGCAGCCTTTCTCTTTCTGTTCTGGACAATCGGAGCATGGCTTCCTGAAAGTAAGAGCATACAGGACACACTGCAGAAGAAGCAGAATGTCTTCCAAGCATGTTTGGACAGACTTGGTATTACAGGAGTAGCCCTGATGGCATTACTCTCTGGCTTCGCAAGCATAAGTGCTATCTGGCACAATTTCGGACCCAAACCCAGACTGGTCTCGGAATCAGACATTGCAAGAAAACAGACCGGCCTCGACGCGACCTTAGACATGGCCAGAGAGAAGAAAGCTCGTCTACGAGTGCTGGAGCGTCATATGGCTGATGCTCCAGCCTCAAAAGGTTGGTTTGCAGGCGTGGTCGGCACATTCCGCGGCACACCAGACACTCAAGAAAAGCAAACATTAGAACTCGAAATCAAAGGTCTAGAAACCATGTCCGATTCCCTCGAATCCTCACTCACAGTCCTCAAATCTCGCCGAGCCGAACAACTGAAATCCACCACACCTTTCGGTCGTGCCCTCCTAGCCTTCCAATACACTTTCGCCCTCTACTGCATCTACCGCATCGCAACAACAATCATCAACATCCTGCGCCGCACATTCAGTACCGGCCCAAACACCGACACCGACCCAATAACCTACGCTATCGCCTTCTTCGCCAGACACATCTACCCAAGCCTAGATCAAGCTTCTTGGGCTCAGCAGATCTCCTTCCTCCTCTCCGGCGCAATGCTCCTCGCCTCCTTCAGCGCCGTCACTCAGACGTTCCACCTCTTCTCCCGCTTCATGCCGAGTCTCCTTCACGCCACACGGACCAACTTTGCCTTACTCATCTCACAGATCTCAGGCATGTACGTCATCTCCTCAGCGCTAATGCTACGAGGTATGATGCCAAAGGAAGTCGGCAGCGTGATTAACAGTGCACTTGGGAGTGGTATGTTGGATCCACGATGGGTGCAGAAGTGGTTCGAGGGATTTTTTATTGTCAGTGTAGTTGTTACGGCAGTGGGTGTGTTTATCGGGAGGTCGGTGGGTACTCCTAGCCTTGTAGACGATACGAGTTGGGATGGGGACATGGAGTTGGGGAAACGCTCGTGAGTGTGGACGTACATAGATGATCCATAGACAGAGTGGGCTGGAAGGTGTACAGCGAAATGAAACAAAATTCAGGTCTGATTATTGGTAATGACTACATTGCAATTAATTGGTCACAGTCCATCATCGAGACAGCCTCGTACCGATTGATCTGACTTTTTAAAGGAGATGTCCCGTACCAATGCTTTATCGTCCGTCCTTCCCAGCTCCTCAGCTAGAACTGTAATGCTCTCAACATCGATCTTTCCATAGCCTCAAGATCTGGCCGATGCCTGACACTATATTTTGAGTCAGCCTTTGAATAAGGAATTTCGCAAACTAGACGACTGAGGCATGGTTCATCCGTGTAAAGCCCATTGTCCCTGCTGCAGTAGCCTGAATTCTTTCTCTATTGACCCTACGCTTGACTTGGCCATTGGTATGCTTGTTATGCCTTCTCAAGAATCAACAGATCGAGTCTTAGAGTCTGTGCTTTCTCCCTCCTGGACTTCTCATTTCGCAATGGGCCCGTCTCCTGGCCCAGCAAGCGTGCTCCTCAGATTCGGTTATGAAAATGGTGCTTTCATCACACCGATGTTGAAGCTCGATTACACGCCTAAATCTTGAGGTGGCTCCGTGCACACTCAACTCAGTAGGTAGCCTGTCTGTGTGTTAGATGTTCGATCGAGTCTCAATGCTCGTTGTGACCCGTATCCTTTAATCCCGGGTGTAACAGTGCCTCCATCGCGCTGGCTGTTCTCCTCGTCAGCATTGGTATCATCTCAGGTAACCTCGTAAGTCTGTTGCAGAAATCGTAGGTAAAGGAGTTTGCGGCACAAAAGTCTACGCAGCCTCATGGGCAACAATCTCGTTATGAAACAGCTCACCTGCTGGTATTTCGTTTGGTTGTAAATTACCACCCTTCGTCACATTTTCACGACTTTAGAATTTAGACTGCATTCCCTCGAGAGACAGGAATGCATGGGGGTGCCGAAGCGAAGTCACGGATCTCTTGACTTGTTATCTGACTTCTACGCGTGAGCTGAAAGTTAGCCTGATAATAGTGGCAATCTGTATATACGTAAACGACGAGGTGGAAGAAGACATTCAAGATAACGTTTTCCGCGCGCGTGTGAAGAGGCGTAAAGCTGCAAAGCCGGAATGTTTGCTGTCCGCTGCCCTTGCTACCGCCGTAGGTCTGAGGATTATTTTTCCTTTCACGATTTCGCGGTCCCCAGTATCCAGCTGTACAGCAACATCACTGACAACCCTCCACCTTGATACCTCTCCGTTGTTAACGAGGACAAGCAATCGTCCGTCATAGCTCATCCATTGGCAGATACGAATGACCAACGATAGGCCACGTTGGTCTTCCATTGCACGTGGATCGACCGTTGATCAAAAGACACTGAAAATTCACAACCACAGACCTCTCTGCGAAGATTCCCGTTGGACCAGCCTCTAAGCTGGACAATCAGCTCTTCCAGGCTCAGAAGGTATCTCCCATGCGCGTCAATCTGCCTGACTGCTTCGATGCCGACCGAAGCCGACCAAATAGATCCATTGTTCATGTCCTAGCAATAGAACCGACCCTAAGCATGCCACAAAGATTTGAGCACTGCGCCTAGCCCGAACATCACAGACTCGAAGTAACAGAAGGCATTCAGGTTCACGTCGAGTACAGTGGCTTCCAGCTCATGCTCAGACCGAAACGAGACCTGATCATCATCGATCTCAAGAGCAGTGGTATACTAGGCATCCAAGATCAGTACCCTGAGTGCAGCTCAGCTTTGAGAAACAGATAGCTGTCCCACCACGACCCACACTGCTTTAGGAGCTAGTTGATCTGCGCTAGCCCGACATTATAACCCACAATCAGGCTGGTGAAGACAGTTTCCATCATGCAGAATCAAAAATGACAGCTTGCCATGTCGTTGTGCAGGCCCTTCGATAAGCGGGTGGAGGAGTGACGGATGCAGCTCGTCGAGGTACAACAACGACAATGAGGTCGGCTGGTTCACGAAAGAAACTGCTCTGAACATGGGAGTACGACGAGTGCCAGTGTGCTGAACACTCGACGCCTTTGAGCAGAACATGTTGACCCGTGTTCAGCTTGTGCAGTGTCTTATCAGAACCTGGATCGAGGTTCAAAGTGCCCTGATGGCTGGGGTTACACAAAGTAGCGACCATCGAGGTCAGTAACCTGATACAGCCAGGTTCCGCAACACGACATCTGTTCGCGTATATCATGTCGGCGGTGCTGTCCCTTCTTCAAACAATAGGGCCAAGTTGAAGAGATTTTCAAGAACCACTCACGGGCAACTTGTACTATAGCTGTCTGCGATATTTCTGGTTGAAAAACCATAGTGGTCGATGTATCTGGGAAACATATGCATAGGGCCGTGGTCAACTCACGACACAGCCACCGCAGTCGGAAGTGAGGCCAAGGAATCGAGGGTCGAGCCATGTGGTCACGATCCCGAGAATCGATGCATACTCTTCATACAAGGCTAGCCTCTGTGCCCAATATGGCTGTCACGGAGTAGAAGTGTTCGAAACCCAGTCTAACTGCTCTTACTTCGCTCGATTCCCGAAGCCTTACTCGATGAAGATGTGGTTGTGGCATAGGGCTATCGCCATCATCGTCGTCGTCGTAAAGCTCACAAATGGTGGAGGCCATAGCGAGAACAGCTTGCAGGCAGAATGACTGTCTCGAAGCATGGCATTCACCAATGCAGGCAGAGGGTTGTTGACATCTTGAACGAGCTCCTCGAGCTTGCGAGCTGTTCGATACCTTCGAGCAAGGACCTCCGATCGATAAGAGAGTCGTACCCCGGTACTGTTACTCGTTGTGCAGTGCTAGGTGTCTGATTGAGATGCTTCAAATGCTGCAAAGACAGCTCGTCATCCGCCGATGTTATACGAGTGCTGCCTTTGACATCACTGGTGTCAAAGATCATCTCTTCTGGATCGTCCGAATATATGGCTTGCAGGCCCAAGCAGATTGTTCGTGTTATACCCCGTATCTATAGAAGACGTTGCCATGCTCTTTCGCTCATCGTTTGGCCTATAGGGGTTATCGAGGGTGGGAGATCTTGCGCTGTGCGTATGTCAGCAAATGTCGTCGTGCTCCTCCGCTCATGTTTGACCTATAGGGGTCATCGAAGGTGGAGAAGTTCCACAGACATAAGTCGGTGGTAGTGTTCAAAACGAGGATAATTGCCACTGTCAGTGAGCCGAGAGGTTATGAGCTGCTACTCTCTGTTATGTGTTAGCATTGACTCGTAAATCCGGACGAGTTGCGCAAATGTGTCATAAGTTTGATCCCTCTGGGGAGTGGTTAGTCGCGATTCCTGGCACCACTACACAGCACGCCTGACACAAGGGCCTCCAAGCAGCTTGCCGTGACGTTGAGTGTGACCTTTAACAGGTTGTGATCAGCTTGCGGACGCGGTCTACCATGGAGTTGTAGTAGCAAACTGCCATTTCAGCTGCGTGGCAGCCATGAAAGCAAATTTCTTGGTCTGACTAGGCCAGGACAGTGCTCTAGATAAGTCATCGAGCTCGAGTCATGCACTCTGTATAACTACTGAGAGTACGCGGCGTCTCGGTCGTCCTGCTGAAGCTGGCAGCTGTGTTCAACGTGGTTCCGGAAGGTATATTGCCGCCTTACCTCTTTCAGACAAGTTCGGCGTTCATCCAGACTGGCGCCTGCAACTGCGATAGCAAAGTGGTTGCAATTGCTTGGAGTTGCTGCTATCTGCGTACTTGCACATGAGGATCTACATTGCTATCGCCGTCGACATGTAACAGAAAACTTCCATGGTCGATCAGACTGAAGATGGACGAAAAATTTCGAACTGCGTAGCCCAGCTATGCTTTCCTCCGCACCAGCACCACAATGCTACAACCTAGACGAGCCATTTCCTCTATACTACAATGCTGCGATGGATTGAAACTGACGAGGTCGTATTAAGCTTATGCAGAAGACCAGTTACTAGGTGCAGAATTCGTCCTTTGAACTGTGCCTTCCCCCAGCTCGAGCCAGATTCCTGTGCAACCTTCCGGCCCTACACACTTGCTTTGAAAGCGCTTAGTTCATGATGGAAGAAAGAAGATCTGAGTGCTTCCGTCATATTTTTATACGAGAGGGTTGGAACCCTCTCAAAGCTAAAAGACTATAGACATCGCCCTAGGACTTCCCGAACAAGCCCAGAGCATAGTCTTTTAACCCGCGAGTACAGCAGAACCGATTCGAACGCACCGATAGCTCCTGAACGCTCGCCGATCCATTTCGAGACCTTGTACCACCTGGTACACTCTAGACCTCTCCTAGCTTCACCTCTGCCACCCTGCAAGGGCGACACCAATGATTTCAGATATTTCCAACGTCTTCTCCGCTAGAAGACCGGGTTAAACACACTCTAACGAGTCATCGTAAGCCATTCTATCAGCCTCCGACATAGTGGCTCTCAGGACTGAAATCCTCAGGATGAAACCAATTCTCAACGAACTCTTCTTTTGCTTCGAATCCTAGCCTTCCGTCAACGAGATCAGCTTCCTTAAGACACTGCTGAAGCTCTGCCATTCGTTCTTCGACCAACGGCGTAAGACGCATTCGGTAGCACATGAAGCGAGCAGTGCCTGGAAAGAATTAGTACAAAAATGTCTTAAAACTTAGAACGAAGATAGAGGAAAGGGAAAGGTAAAAACAAGAAGCAGATACGCCGTAAAAGAAGGCCGGAAGGTGCTTACCAGATTTGTTGAATGGACAATCCTTGCAAGAACCTAGCTTAATATAGTCCTTTAGCATTCTCTCGGTATCCTTTTCGAAGTCGCTGGCTGTTCTGTATCGATCTCTCTCGTCGCCTGGTATATAAGTTAGCCATCCGGTCTGTCGTCCAGGGTGTATATCCAAAGAGCTGTATATTCACGTATATACAAGCACAGACAACTTACCATTTGGCAGAATGCCAAATCTCCGCTCCATCCTCTCTTTAATCGACATTCTGTCGTGTGGCACCGGGGGCATCGCCACACACGTCTTCGAAGAAACAATCTTAGAGACGTAAACGCAATAGGTAAGCTCGAGCTTATGTCGTTCACTAGGAGTCATTTTGACATAAATTGGGTCCCCTTTTAGTTTATCCGGATTATCTGCTTCCTCCTCATTGGGATTGTCGTCGTCGTCGTCTTGAATTCCTTCCTGTATAACGAAAGGAGGACTAGCTGAATTTCTCTGTTCGTCTGTACCCTCCGCCGCGTTCTCTTCCTCTTCAGCAGGCTCTTCATTTGCTCCAGTTACGGAATATAGTGCAGTAGTGCCAGGAATTGATCGTAATCGTATGAAAGGACGTTGAGGCTGATTCTTGGGTTTTGGTCGCTGTGCTCGAGCTTGGTTGCGTTTAGCGGTAGAGTTAACCTGTGCTCCAAGGAAGATATCTTGTATAATTGGCGAGACATGGTAGCGTAGAGGAATAGTCACTTCCTCGTAATCGGACGGATGATCGGATCTCTCGGCGCCGGAGCTTGGATTTTCGTCGTTGTCGTCGCCGTCGACACCCTCAACCTCTTCCTCATCATTATTAGCGGTGTTGATGGCGGGGGTATCATATCGACTGGACTCTACTCGGGCATGCTTGTGACGACCTTGATCGATGTCGTTGACAGACAGACTTCTCTTCCTCCTTCGAGCACTTTCTCCCTTTGCAAGAGCTGTCAGCACAGGATATGATTTTGGGTTAAAACCAGGTGGCCAAGATGGAGCCTGCTTTCCAGTTACCCCTTTTCCTTTCGTATGCGAGGATAATGGCATATTGGCTTGCTGCTTCATACTGCCAAAGACTATATCGTATGCTGATTGCCCAGCCTGCTGTGACGATGTCTTTGGTGGTATGTGTAGAGAAGGGTTTAACAGAGTTTGACGCTGGAAAGGAGAGCTTTGAGCGCACAAATTTTGTGGCTTTGCACCAGTACGCTGCTGCTTCGAAGCGCTAGAAGAGAGACTCGAGCCAGGAGTATAGACAGTCTTCACAACAGAATGGTCTTGACGAGGCTCAATAGATGGCACAATCTGCTGTTGCGTTGGTGGTGCTTGGCTTACAGCTGTGGGCTGTGAAGCTGCAGAGGGCATGGTGGATGGTTGTAACGCGTTCTTCTTTGGATTTGAGGCATTGCCTCGACAAGGAGGAGGATTCTATAGTCCTTGGTTAGCATCATCGACCTGAAAGTTGGCTGAATTATTACGCACATTCTTCTGGAGAGCAGACGATCCAAGATTTGCCTGACGCAACGAAATTAGCAGATGTGACACAGTTGATTCAATATTATCGTCTTTGTCGAAAGATGTTCTACTCACCCCAGAGTTTTGATGTGCGTCCGAAGACGTCTGAGTGCCAGAAAACATCGCAGCAGTAATTGGCAACAAAGGCGATGGCTTGCCTTGCGCAGCATACAGAGCAATCTTTGCGTTAACCAAACTGGCTTCAATCCCCACTTTCATCCTCTCGAGCCGCAAGACCTCACGCTCGAGATCCTCAATGGACTTCTGGACTGCTTGTTGACTAGCCATTGTGGGCTGAGACTGGTCGAAAGAGGAAGGTAAGTTGATCTGCTTGTGTTGTAAGTAGAGAGAGCTTTGATAGGTGTCAGAGACATACGGATCAGTGAGTCTAGATCGAAATGGACGAGAAGTAAGAAATGTGGCAAGGAGAAGAACAAGCAATGGCAATTACTTTCACCTTCTTATGTTTTTGTGTTGAACCTGCAGATCCAGTGGAGCCTTGTGCGAGAGGAAGGAGAGAACACAGCGTGAGGGCAATCGTTATTATCCAGTACCCACCTTCAACGTATTGTGATGTCGATCTGAAGTCCAACAACGAACACAAGCACCCAGAAGCCTCAAGCAGTCCAGGATGTCCCAGGAAGTCATCAATACCAGAGATCCATATGCAGGGTTGGGGCTGTCAAGCTGAACAATATCAGATGTGGTCGCTGATAGTCCACGAGCATTTTCTGGTCACGGGGATCGAAATGGTTGACGATGCGAGTCCATTCAACATCACAGGACTTAGCACGACCAAGGCCAATGTTGTCTGACAATCGACCCTGCTTCGTCCAGCGTCATGGTTGCCATAGCGTTTACGTACCCGATCGCATCGCTTACGACGTGGTCTATCACAGTGAAAACCTTCATCGTGTCAAGGGAAGAGAGGTAGAATCGTAGTGATGGACTTTTGTATTTCATGAACATCGTCAGTAGCTGGGATAGTCAGTGTGCTACTCATACTTCAACGTCCAAATGTCTCTCCAGGTCGCAATGTCAAATAAGCACAAGCTTTCCAATCACAACCCTGTCTGTATATGTCTGTGCCCCACCATTTGAAGTTTTTCGCGAGGCCAGGGTATATCACACCAAAAAATATCACAACTAGAGAGAATGCCAGACCGGAGTCAAGAGCAGCTGACAAGGTCATAGTATACTTTCCCCACCAAGCAGATGCTCTTCTTCTGACAATATGATTAAAGCTGAAGCACACAACGGCCCAGATTGAGAAATTGAGACCTGTGGCTGGTGGAATCCAAGACAGGCTTCCGAAGAGAACTGGTAGATTCACCTTACGGAGTATGCTCTTCTTTCTTCGTCTGCTGACCATCCATAACACGACCGGACTCACTGCTCCAATGAGAAACGCCCAAACTAGATGCCTGTAGAGAGCTCCAGGTCCAAAAAATCGCTGAGGTCCAACTACGCCCCAAAGAATACTCCCGTTGAAGTGGACTCGTGCTATTGGACAATTAAAGCCATTGATCGCTTCAGGGGTGCAGATACCAGGAATGTTGACAAACATCCAATTCAACACGACGATTTGCACAACGCTCGACACGAGTGTAGCTGCCATCTGGACCTTGAACAACAACTTTGGAGGTATCTTCATGTAATGACCAAGCTTGAGATCGGATGAGAATTTGACACCTTGAGCCGAGCTGATATAGCAATAGGTGACGAAGACCATGTTAGCGACTGGACGGCCGGGAAACACAACACCACATATCAGTTGACAGATAAGATACAGACTGCTGTGCTGATTTGTGATAGCCATGACGATACTCACAGGAATGAACAGGACAGTGGTTATGCCAAGCGCGAGGAGGAGACCATACCACGGCAGATGTACTGGATAATGCTCAACAACGAAGATGCCTATCGCAAGCATACTTAAGAAAGTGAGCAGATACCACCACATCGGAACATCCTCATAGTGTCGCATAAGACGGCAATGAATATCCTCTCCGCTGTTTTCGTGTGCAGGCAGACTCGTGGACTGTAAGGCATTGTCATTGTGTGGTATAGGCGCATAACCATTCAGATCGCGCTTCTCATCTCTCTCGCGATAAGCTTGTTTTGACTGCTTCCAGATATCGCGACCATGCCAGCATATTGTATGAGTCACCAGTGCAGACAAAGCGGCAAACTGTACGCCGTATGACAAGACATATGTAATCGGCATGTACACCCGAGAATATCTGTCGTAGGCTTCTTTGTCGAAGAGAAAATCCTTGGTGAGAACCTTGCTCACATCGTATTGCTGTCCTGTATTATCGAAGACCATCGAGGACAACATGGGCATATATGCCGAGTACAAAGCATTACTGTAATACAGAATTGGCGCAACAACCCACATGACTAGTGCTAAACCACCGATGACATTCGCAGCAGCCCACCACGGAGTTAGTAGAGGTGAACCAATGTATGCAATCTGAGCCCAGTCGAAGGTGAGTGGGAACATGCCCAGGCCAGATGTCACACCGAAAAGATTGGCCACGACCACGTTCTTGGGAAAGCACCAGGTGATGACGTTGAAATAGCTCAAGGCAGGCATGAGCAAGCCCGGAAGGAAGTACCAGGCAAAGGCAGCAGCCCAAATATAGACGAAGAAGCGGTATCGCGAAATGGTCCAGCCATTTGCAGTTTTATTCTCGTTCGTGTGCATGGTACTAAACATGGCAGTGGACATCAAGGTGCCGGGCCAGATCATTGCAGCAGGTCTGACGAGATACCTTCGAGTCAATCCAGCAAAGGCATAACCCAGAATTTGAGTCGAAATAGTCAGCAAAAGCTGGTAGAGGATGGGGACAGGCTGCTTGTAAAACTTGTGTTGCTCTACAATAACGTCGGTAGCGAAAGCGAAGCCGAAGGAGACGTTGCTGCTAATGTAGACACAAGCGTGTTCCTTTTCGTTCCATGAGCCTTGTGCTAGCCATAATCTGAAATTCTGCAACCATGAGCGTTGCTCGTCCCGTTGCCCTTGACGATCTCCGCAGACGAAAGACACATCGGGATCGTCGTTGTGTTTAAGTATCAGGTCCCAGGCTCTACCAAGAGGATGGACAAGCACGAGTGCAATGACTGGAGTGATGGCGACGCTTGGATATCTCAGCGAGAAGAATAGATTTGTAGCTGAGCCTCCCACGGCAAAGAACATTGACAGAAACCACATTCGCGGAGTGTTTATGGACAGAGTGGTGTTGTCCGTGTTCGGAACCGATGCTCTTACTTCAGCATAAGGGGAGTTATCTGCTTTGAGAGTATCGTCTTCGTCGTCACTGTCTGTATTGAGGGCACTTGAGCTTGACGAATTGTCACGGCGGCCAGTAGTTTCGACGGGCATAGCGAAGGATGCTTTGTTGTCTATGCCCATACCGATTTCTGTACCTTCAGATTTTCGACGTCTGGAGGGTCGCGCATATTCGGAAGAGGTTGTTTCCCGCCTGGCCAGTGTCTCTGCATCAGCATCAAACGTCACATCGTCGTGGGCAGGAACGCTTTTCCTCCTTCTTCGTGTTCTGCGTTCTTGTGCAATCTCGTCGCCGGACGACTCGAACGATTCGCTCTGAATAGGCACAGCACCATAAGAGCCAGTTCCTAGAGCAGGCGAGGAGCGGATCAGGAGAGGGTTTCTAGACATAATGGCTGACCAGATTGTCGACCACAGGCTGGCCGAGGCAGCATCTGAAGAGAAGGCAGTCGAAGAGCTAGGAGGGGTGGTCACCTGCGTCTCAAGGCGGTGCAACTGTCTCGTGTACGTAGAGAAAGTACCATCTGTACTCCGACAAACATCTTGTGAATGTTCTGGGGCTGCGGTGTCGGTATTGATGGACTGCAGTTCAAACGATGGAGGATGCAAGCTCAATCCGGAGGTACAATTAGCTGCCTTTGAACTCTCCATACAAGGTCAAAAATCATGATGCGAACATGGCGACTGTGACTGTCGCGCGATGCCACACCTGCATACCTTGACAGCTTTCCACGCCTGAACTGGACTAAATGAAACCGCAGCTGCACCTTGTGTGGGATATGACGCCTGCAATTGGGCCCAAGCCCGCAATGGGCTGCCTAATGCAAGCAGATCTAAACTTTTTCGACCCGAGCCTCTACGCTCTAGCCAATCGATTGCTGGCAAGCAGCACCCTGATTTCCAAGTTTGGGGTCTCAGCTGATTAGATTGATAAGATAAATCACTCAACCTTCAGTATCCTGGCACGATTACCCCAGAACTGAATGCGAGTAGGCCACGTTCTCATGTACAGAAGGAACGCAGGACGCGACATCGGACTTAGTTGGCTACAAGAATTTGCATAGGTGTCTCTGAACCAGTCCGTTCCTTTATGCAGAACAACTATGCCATCCGAACAGTATTACAAAATATGGAGAACCCGTAGTTGATTACTCAATCTTTTTATTGTATCTCCTTCAAGATTCTCTGCTCGACCCATTTGGCTGACGAGAAGGACGAAGTTGATGTTCGACCATACCGGTCCAGCTAGCGAATGGAGAGCACTTCGATCTTATCCATGTAAACGAGCTATTTCGGTGATCCATCGCTGGTTCAAACATTCCAGATTGAGTGATCACCCTGGTCACCCATTCTGGAACGATGGAACGGTTGACTCTGTACGCGTTGTTACATTGTGAGCTGGTGCTGGTCAACCAGGAGGAAATGTTCTCTTGCCGTTAGGAACGATGGACAAATCATAAGCAGAGTGAGTTGCATGCCGTGGTGAGATTGGTCTGGTCTTTATACATGAATTCCTTTCTTTTTATTCTATTGAACTAACTCGTATGTCGTTCAGCGTGGGAAATAAGCTCGTTCCAGTGGCGTCCGCGCGTACTCCCATGCAAGCCAATCACTCCTCGTTGTAGGCAGTAGTCCCATAGCGTTGACCTTCCATATACCCAAGGCGAGTAGGAGACAGTTCATCAACACATACACAGCTTTCACGCCCAACATCTGACTTCTCGTGTTTTCCCCTTCGAGTCGTGCAAAAGTGGAATTAGTTTGCGCAATTGCCTGTAGAGGACCTTTGAACCTAGTCATTGTCAGCCAATAAGTCTCTGAACTGATCGCAGGTCGACTTACAGCATGAACACCATCATGATGCTGAATATCTGCAAGCTGTTGCCCGACATGTAACCCATGATTGCCTGCATGGGCAACTGTTTGGCTGGTCCTAGTGCAATCTCCCACGACTTCTTGAGCTTTAATGTATCCATCTCTTCTTGTGTAGGCGGCTTGCGTGTCTTCTGTTCAGATTTCTTGGAGACCGCCTTCGAAGATAGGAAGCCAGGAGGGTCCGGTAAGCTGGACGCACTCTTCGAGCGAGATGGAGGCGGACTATTGAGTTCGACCACCCATCGTGGTGGTGGAGGGATCTCTTTCTCGGACATTGTGCGGGCACAGTTTGCGTCCAGATCGATCAGTAGAGAGTCGCGGGTGGCGTGTAGTTAGTAACAACAACAAACTGTGCACTTTCTCAATCCTTGAACGCTGGTACGTGAGAGCGACGACGTAGGCAACTTTGTCGTGTGAAAGTTCCTGCCGCTTATATTCTCACTTTATTTGGTAATCACGGCAACTTGTCTTTCGAGGGCAATCGACCAGCCTCTGGCAATGACTTTCGCAGAAACTCAATTCAGCGACAGCAAGGTTGTTAGCACGAAATATTGTTTGTTCGAAGATGTTTTAGCGTCAAGTCGGCCCTATCAGACTGCCTCTTATCCACGAAAAGGACTTCTTTGGAAGCGTAGGGTTGAGTGAAGCAATATTGCTGGCGCCAACAACAATGTTCTTGGCTGTGAACCCCTAGTTGTCCAACAACTCGAGTCAGCTTCAAGTTGTTAATATGTCGAATACTGGCGATGCCAAATTATTCGCCCGCGGCAAAGTCGCTGAGCTGCGGGCTGAACTACAGAACAATGGCAAGAAGGACAAGAACCACCTGGCCAAGAAGACTGCTCTCAAGAAGATCGTGGCCAACATGACCATGAGTAACAACGACATGGTGGCACTCTTTCCAGATATTATCGGCTGTATGCAAATTCCGTCGCTGGAAATCAAAAAGATGTTTGTGTTGTATCTTGTGTCGGGGAGAAGAATGCTCACACTGCCAGGTGCTTTCTTTACCTTCAGAATTACGCTCGAATCAAGCCAGAGATTGCTCTACAGGCACTACCGGTGCTGCAAGAGGTAGGACACGCGCTGGAACCCACAGAGAAATGCTAATCTCTGCAGGATCTCGACGATTCAAATCCCTTGACCAGAGCTTTGGCACTTCGCACCATATCATATATTCATGTTCGAGAATTCGTTGAGGGCACTGTTGGGCCGCTCAAGCAATTGATGGCTGATAGTGATCCTTACGTGCGAAAAACTGCGGCTATCACCGTGGCAAAGCTCTATGACCATGACAAAAAATTAGTCGAAGGTTCGGACCTGATTGACAGGCTCAATCGCATGCTCAAGGACGAGAATCCTACAGTCGTGGCCACGGCTTTGTCTGCTTTGCAGGATATCTGGGAGCGAAGCGAGAACATCAAGTTGACCATCGATTATTCTAGCGCTTCGAAATCTGTGTCCATATTGTCGGACTGCAACGAGTCAGTAGACTATCTATCTAGAGAATCCTACTAACAATCACAGATGGTCACAAGCGTACATCATGGAAGCGCTTATGTCTTACGTTCCTCAAGCATCCGACGAAGCTGCACTGCTCGCCGATCGAATTACACCCAGATTATCACATTCCAATTCTGCAGTTGTTCTTACTACTGTTCGAGTCATCTTCTACCTCATGAACTACATCTCAGACGCGAAGCAGATCGATTCGTTATGTAAGAAGCTGTCACCACCACTCATCACTCTCCTATCCAAGCCCTCAGAAATACAGTATTTGACGTTACGAAATTGTATCCTTATCCTACAGCAGCGCCCAGAAGTGTTGCAGAACGATATTCGAGTTTTCTTTTGCAAATACAACGATCCAATCTATGTCAAAGTCACTAAGCTCGAACTCATATTCATGCTGGCCACTAAGGACAACATCTCAGTCGTGCTCAATGAGCTGCAAGAGTATGCTACAGAAATCGACGTCCAGTTTGTGCGGAAGGCTGTACGAGCCATCGGAAAGCTTGCCATCAAGATCGAGCCTGCTGCCAGGCAATGTATCGACACTTTATTGAGCTTGGTTAACGCTAAAATCCCGTATATCGTGCAGGAAGCAACAGTGGTCATTAAAAACATCTTCCGCAAATATCCGAATCAATATGAAGCAATCATATCCACGGTCATCCGTCAAATTGATGACCTTGACGAACCAGAAGCGAAGTCAGCCATTATTTGGATCATAGGTCAATATGCAGACCGAATAGAAAATGCTGATTCACTCCTACAAGACTATCTTGCCACGTTTCACGAAGAACCTGTCGAGGTGCAGCTTGCCCTCCTGACAGCGACTGTCAAGTTGTTCATACAACGGCCAACCAAGGGCTCATCTCTTGTGCCGCAGGTTCTGAAGTGGTGTACCGAAGGCGCAGATGATCCAGACCTTCGTGATAGAGGTTTCATGTACTGGCGTCTCTTATCAACAGATCCAGCAACAGCCAAGACGATAGTGATGGGAGAGAAGCCACCAATTACTGCTGAGAACGAGAAACTCGATCCAGCGACGTTAGAAGAGCTATGCCTCAACATTGGTACACTGGCAACTATTTACCTTAAGCCAGTACAGCAAGTCTTCCGCTCAGCCCGACCACGAAAACTAGCGCAATCGCCAGCACTGCAACGACGGAAAGAAGAGTTCGTCTCCGCAGTGAACACGACCGATCTAAGTAGTCCAAGCTTGGCCAATGGGCACACGAACGGGCATCAGGCCGCGATCAATGCCGCCGATGAGTATTTCAAAAACTTGACATTGAGCGATAATTCAGCCGACAACTTTTCGAGTCCGACCACAGGTGGCATGCCAGATACCGGATACGTAGTGAACCAGAACGCTCCAGAGCAGGTATATCGACCTGTGGTCGGTTCAGCAAATGGAGATTTGTTGTTGTGATGCCAAGGAAAAAGTCGCTGGCACGATACAAGTTTGTTCATACACTTCTGTCACTTCCCGCACTCGTACTTCTGATTGCAGCAAACACCGCACATCAATCACTAATAAGTCAGCCCAGCAGCACTTGTCCACCAAATTGATGGCATGGTCTAGTGGTAAGACGTCGCTGTATTGTTCAACAGCAAGGTGGAATCTCATCATATGGGTTGTGATTGCGTTCTTGTGATTCAATACTACGGTTATATGGGCAAACATAATAGCCTGTTCGAGGCTTCAACCTTCACGACAAACGTATCCTTCGCGGATATCAACCTTAATCAAGACGTCTACAATGACGACAAAGGCATCACGCCTCAGCAGCGACGCAATGGCGACGCAGATACCATGGCTTCCACTTGCGAGTGAGAGTCAGGTCTAACAAGGGAGGAAAGGCCCAAAGGTTCAGATGAGCTCAGCATCCGCGTTCTCTTCGCTGATGTACCTTCCGAAAGATATAAGTCCCATGTTGCTCACAAGGATTGCGTCCCTTCTCATGTCTTCAGAAACCGCCGAAGCTCGACTTCACCGCAGGCGGAGGTCCTCGGTTCAAATCCGGGTGCCATCATTCTTTTTTGCTCTCCTCTCCCTCTTTTCTTAAGTGCAGATATCTTCATTTCCTACCACGTGCCGCACTCTACGATACTTCGTAATTCTTCGAGTACGACTTACTATACCATCCGTCGACGAGTTTATTCTTCGATAATTGACCTGAATCCAACACTCTGACTGCTACGAGAAAATTAAAAAGGTTACAGTATAGCTGAAGCTAAGAGCGAGAGCCACTTGAAAGAGACGTAAGAGAGGTAGAATGACTCAAGCGTGAAAAAAGTGAAAAAAGTGAAAAAAGAAAGTAGTGCTCGGACTTGAACCGAGGATCTTCATCTGTTCGACTGACCCCTCCGTACACATAATTCGACGATCTCATCCAGGACTCAACATGGTAAATGGATGATACTAGCCATTTGCGCTCTGGATCGCAGGATGGTAGCTGAACTCATATGAGCTCAAAGGGTCTTCCCTCCCTAATGTGTTCGTTCGTTCATCCAAACTCCTAGAAGCTGGAATCGAAATCGGTAGGTATGGTAGTGAGCATCTAGCCACTTCGTATACCATTCGCGTCGACCACAAGACAGGGATTGTCTCGTGATCTTGGTAAATTCGCTGTGGACAATAGTATTGTCACAACTCAAAGGCAAACACGCTTGCCAGTGAGGTAAGCGGTTGCGAACACGTCTCGGCCGGGCCCACGTAACTCAATCAGATCCTTCCAGACGAACCTGACAGGTATTGAATCGAGAATGAAATAACCAAGTTATGCAGTAAGAAATCATTAGTTGTTGAAATTGTAGACGAACCTTAACCAACTAGGATACACTACCGTAGAAATTTGAGGCAAAAGTCTGAGTGTTCGGGTATTTGTGGTTGCAGTGAAGGTGGGATTCCGCAATGAAGGCAGTCGTTTATTGATGAAAACGATATACGTATGCCTGGCTTGTGGCAGACGAGAGTGCGGTAAGAGAAAATGAGTCTGTTGTATTCAGCCGAGATCGAATCTAAAAGGTCGTTGTGTTCCTCTGAAGAACGTGTGCGATATTGTGATGATGAGGATGATCCTTCATCTGCCTTGAGAATGAAGGCCCGACTTCTTGTTTTGAGACTGCAACGTGGTGAACATTCGTCAACCACCAATATGAGCCCACTGGTCCAAGCTCCATTGGCCCATCTCAGTCCATAGTTGTTTTGACCTTCTCATATTGTCAATACTACTCACTGGAATCACAAGTACCTACGTCGGTTCAAACCCGCTATCTCTCAGTCATTTCTGCATCGCAGACTGTGAGATTCCTTTTCGATGCATCTCTGAATGAGAGGGTTGTAAGACAACCATGTCTTCGGGGCGAATGAGGCGGCCTTGTGATGTCTTGGCCTCGTAGCATCATAGGGGATGACTTCGAGGTCATCATGTACTTGGCCTATGTTCTTGGGTATCAGAAGATAAAGATCCTCACAAGCAGAGCACGAGAATTGTCCATCTTATACCTGTCCTACGTACACCGGCCAGGCTTCGATATTCTGCCAAGTCACAATACTTGATCTGATATGGCTCTTTACGACCCTCATCCAGGGATAGCGTTTCTTGAGTAGCATCGTCAATCAAGCCGAAAGTGCGCTCGCCACCTCCGATTGTCGTAGAAGCACCTTGGTCAATTGAGATACTTGAAATCTACGATGCTTCATCGCTACAAGATTCTGAGATGTTGAGTGGAGAGGACTGGAGTGCTGGAGGAATTTGGCACTGAGATCTGAAAGCCACTAAGCCCAAACTGGTTAGTAAGGGTTGGAAGAATGGCAGCTCAGCCATCGATCACCATCGCTCATTCTAACGTTTTCCTCGTTGCCAAACTCATTCTATGATAATTTACAAGTTCATGTGGATCAACTTAGACGACTAGATCGAGTATAATATGACGACTCTCGTGGAATGCCACAGCTGGACGTGCCCAATCTGGCGCTGCTCTATTCCTCGACAGTGTCTGGGTCACGACGTGTTCAACATGGTTGAGGACCTGAGATGACGAGATTATACGCTCTAGCAGACTTTTCTGCTAGATAGTATGTGTTTTTTGTTGCAATGGCGGGGATTTTTCCCGACTGCAATATGAAAGTGGCTCCCTCGCGACAGGTCCTCAACCATGTTGAATACGTTAGTCGTACCACTTTCTTCGAAGGCTGCTGCCTCTCAGTCTATAAAATACATCTGGTTGCTGCTTGTGTCCTCGAAATGTTTCATGCTTATCCATCTCAGTCCTGCTCGAAAGCTGTGGTGCTGGACGGATACACAATACATCTCTGATAGCCACAGTTCAATACCGAGCAGAGCTTCACTACAACAGACCAACACCAGTGCTGATGTCATGGAGAATTTACCAAAATTTCCTCGAAGATATAGGCAATGCTCGACGCACTTCGATCGGTTACCTGCTGAGATTCTGGAACGGATTGCATGGCACGCCGGATCGCCTGTGTTCAACAAAATCTCATCTACTGTTAGGTCGAAGATGGGACACATGATGGACTATCAATACGATATGCTACTGCTTGCATTCTGCGACTGGGAACGTGCTATTAAGACACAACCCGATGGACGATCGATGATGCTTAATCTGAGTCTACTTCCTCTCCGTACCTGCATCGCGAAGGAACTTGCTACCGGTATGAACGTCAAACACAGAGACACCTTACGGCAACACGTTAGACAAATCGTCGCGACCGAAAGATCGTTACGTGCGGTTGCGAAAGTAGCTGCAAACGATGTGTTACGTCGCTGGATGAACTATTACTTCACCGAGGAGGAGCTGAGTAACCCACACCGTGAAGAATTCTTGCAGCTGCAAACAGGATACTGGGAGTTTAGAAGGAAGCAGACCATGATGTCGACCGATAAAGTGCACACATTGGTTATTGAAAGGCCATATAAAGTTTCTGTACACTGTAACCCGAATGGTCGACTCGATCCCCGATCACATGCTCCTGGCCGATGTGCCAGACTGCATGAGCACAAGCATGGATGGAAAGTATTCACGTTGCCCAGGCCTCTCAAGATCGACCAAGAGAAAATGAAAGCAACAAACGAGCAGCTACGAACACATCTTGTGAAGAGGCGCGCCGAGTCAATAGAGCATATCATGGCGGGTACAAAGAGGAAGAGAATAGATGTTTGAGGCTTGGTTTGATGAGATAGTGGACAAGCCTTCTGAAACTTTGTATCAAAAATATTGGTTACCGTCTTTCTACAATCGACTCAAGGATGGAAAAGCGATACGATAATGTGTCTGGATATGTAGCTCTGCTTTTCAGAACGTCTTTGATCAATACTGCACCCTTCTCAGACTAGGTGTCTGAGGTTCCACGCTTTAGTGTTTTCGGTAGCCATGGCCGTCCGTCCATTACAATTTAACTTTCCGCCAGACCCTGAACCTCTATGAATTTACAGTATTCATCCCTCAACGTGAACAGGAATTCTCATTCTTGACTGTCATCAAGCCTGGTTAATTCCTGCTACCAGTGACGTGCTTCCAACCTCCACATATTTGGTGAGGTGCAACTCAAGAGCACACAATAAGCGATATAGTGAGGGTCATTCACATACTGTGGCACTCCATTCTCTTTTGATCTATTCTTCGTGTCGAATTCTCACTAATCTAAACCATGACATCTATCCATGCTGAATCCGACAAGCTACGTTTCCCGCCACTAATCACTCTCGAAGAGCATTTCTTCTCCGTTGCAGCATCAGAAGCACCATCGGCACAACGGTACAATGAGCAACTTAAGAACATACCAGGCCTTCTTGATAAGCTCAAGGATCTTGGGTCACTCCGTCTCGAGTCGATGAACAAGAATGACATTACGATGCAAATCATCTCCCACGGACCTACACAGCCTATATTATCTCCGTCTGATTGCCGTGCAGCTAATCTACAGCTTCACGAAGCCATATGTACCTCAGCAGAAACACGTGAACGCTTTGCGGGATTTGCAGTCTTACCTATGAACGAACCCGACGAGGCAGCTAAAGAGCTCGCGTATTGTGTGGAAGAGCTCGGATTCGTGGGCGCACTAATTGACAACCACGCTAACGGCACTACCTACGAAGGTCCTTCCTACAGATCATTCTGGTATACAGTGCAATCGCTTGGGGTTCCGATCTATATTCACCCTACATGGTCGACCGAACAGCAGCGAAAGGGCGTGTTTCCCGATCTCAAGCCAGATGGGAACGGCACGAACGGCGGCATCGACGAAGCTACTGTCCTGAGCGGAAGTGCTGTTGAATCTCTCATGGCTAGCTCTTGGGGCTGGCACTCCGATGTAGCGATGCACATTTTCAAGCTTTTCGCGTCTGGCACGTTCGACAAGTTTCCTCGTCTAAAGCTCATCGTTGGACACTTCGGCGAGATGATACCATTTATGCTCGACCGCACAATCCAGCTAAGTCCGAGGTGGAACGATCCGCCCCTACGGCGTAATTTCAAGACTGTCTATGATGAGAATTTGTGGATCACAACTAGTGGTATTTGGAGTCTAGACCCATTACGATGCATCTTAGCGAACACGAAGAAAGACCATATACTTTTCAGCGTTGATTATCCATTTGCGCAGAACGAGTCAGGAAAGAAGTGGATGAATGACCTGCTGAGCAGTGGTCTGTGTGATCAAGAGACGATTGATATGGTTGGTTACAAGAACTCTGAGAAACTGCTAGGTGTCAGGACCAGGAGGCCCGATGAAGAACGAGCGGAAGACGATAAATTGCAGGAGTGACACTTGCATAACAGAGGCCAAATTTCAAGTCCACTTCTTGAATCAGGTTGTTTTCCGTCGACGGACCTCGCCACCACTCGAACAATCTTGATCTGATAATCCTAGGGTGCCCAGGATCGTCTTTCTTCTGTACGTTCCAGCTGAGTCAGTGAATCAAATCAGGTGTTCTCACGCTAGACCTATTTAGGTATATGGGACAAGATCAAGTTCAAGTTGTGCAAGATCGAGCGTCTGGGCATCTTGCGAGACTACCACTTGCTGCCATTCTAAATCAACTCATCTGGCATCCTACATTCACCCCGACTAATGTTTCAGACCTCATCAAAGTATGGCAGCCGATTTCTCTCACCTTCAGGACATCTTCGGCAATGTGCCCATGGTGAAGAGATACACTCTACTTTCACTCTTCTTCACTCTGGACGCCAGCCAAGATATCAGAGAAATTGTTGCAGGCTTGCGAGATGGATTAAATAAATTATCGAATGCAGTTCCCTACCTCAAAGCTCAAGTTGTATATCAAGGTCAAACCAAGACCAATTGGGGCAGGACTAAGATTGTGCCGCTATCAGACAGCGTTCAGCTTGCTACCCGAGATCTTAAAGATGGTGACACCTTTCCCTCAATGGCCGACCTCGCCGAAGGTGGTTACCCCATCAAACACCTTGAACCGAACATCCTTGTGCCAGAGGACGACTTACCTCTCTTCTACACAGCTCCAAGAGCCTATGAAGAGTCGGCCGATCGACCAGCACGTGTCCTCGCCGTGCAAGCTACGTTCGTGAAGGGCGGTCTTATACTGACCTTCGCCTCCAACCACACCACAATGGACATGAATGGTCTCGGACAAACAATATGCTTATTTGCCAAGGCCTGCCGTGATGAAGATTTTTCTGAAAAGGATATTGTAGAAGCCAACCAGTCTCGCCTGCACTCAGTGACCCTGCTCGGTGACGAATACGAGCCTGGGCCAGAAGCACGATATTTCATCTTTCGATCGCGAGATGTGACAGGCGCGGCTCGAGGTCCACAATTCCCACCAGTATGGGCGAACATCACTATTAGTGCTCATGCCTTGAACGACCTGAAAACACAAGCTAGCAAGCAAGACATTGTCCCCTATATCACCACTAACGACGCTGTCAGCTCTTTCTTCTGGCAGCGTGTGACAGCCGCCCGAGCAGCCCGACTAGGCACGAACGTCGAAAGCGAAATCAATCGCCAGCTCAGTGCACGACGACTCTTTGGCCTCAGCGATGGCTACATGGGCCACTTCACAGGGTCGGCACACACGCACGAGGTGGACGTCTACAAACTACCATTGAGCACTGTCGCCGGAAAACTTCGGCAAGCACTGCAAGACACAGATACTCTCAAATTCCATGTACAAGCTATGGCCACAATGCTAGAGCGACCGACCACAGACAAGACCATGATCGGTTATGGTGCCAGCTTGGACGCTGATACAGATCTCATCTTGAGTTCTTATGCCGAGATACAAGTCTGTCAGGTGTCTTTTGGTTCGTTGCTAGGTGTGCCTGACGCAGCAAGGCGGCCGAATGTGAATCCATGGCCGGGCCTGGTGTACTTGATGCCCAAGGACAAGAGCGGCAGTCTAACTGCTACCGTATGCCTGAGGCAGGATGACATGGAACAGATGCGTGAGGATGAGCAGTTCAAGCAGTATGCAACATATGTCGGATGAGTAATATAGAGCGTAGCTAGCAATCCTGACATGGGCCAGCACACAGTGTTAATGTCCGTATCACATGGCCACGATGCGAGTGGAATTACCTTGAGCAACATATTCATGGCTTCTGCCTCTACCATAAGAAGAATCAACGAACTTCTCCATGACCTACCTCTAATGCTTCGGCTGTCGATTGATTGCATCCTCGTAGGTTTCCGTGATGTATCAGTCCAGCGACAGTAAAGCCAATGGTTGAATTTTCTTTTCCAGAAAGCGCCGCTCGTGCAGACAAGGTAAAGAACTCGTTGCTCTCGATTACCGGATAGGTAGTATAGATAAGACACGAGAAGCGGGATGAACGCTGTCAGGAACTTCCGCATGTGTCTTAAGCTGACAACTCACTGTGAGGCTCAGTACATATTCTTTTCGGTGTTCGGAACTAGGTATTTCATCGAGGTCTACATGAGGTAGTAGTAGCTATCTATGCCCAAGTAGTCGTCCGGTAAGTCGCAAAGCAAATCTTCCGTGTTCCTGAAAAAGGCAATCCCCGCCCTGTTGATCTCCCAGAAATTCACGAAGACTAACCAAATGCGCAGTTGGTACGTCAGCCAGTCATGCCACCAATGGGTTGGGCCAGAGGCCGTTCAGCTGCGGAGAGGTGCATGTGCTATTGTTGCTGCTTACTACGACGTTGAACTTGAACGAGGATTCAAATTATTGTAGCATATATTAGAGCCAGTGGAAAGTATAATATTCTCTGACTACCACAGTGTTGCTCTGTAACGCGTGAGCATACGTAGCACGAATCAAACGCGACGAAGCTTTATACTGTAACCATGGCAGATCTCAGGGTCCGTACTACAGCCACGCCTACTGAGGAAGATCTCGAGACCTTCCTCGACCTACTATCGACATCCTATCAGAGTGTCCCACTCACCACGGCCTTCATAACAGAAATCGACGGCGTGACACCGGGCACAGAGTACAGGCAGCTGTCCTCAGATCGTCTGAGGAAGCATTTCAGCCTAGGCTTGCCAGCCGCATTCAAGGCGAATGTCCTGCTCACAACAGTATCCTCGTCTTCCTCTTCCAGACCACTTGCGGCCGTCCTCTTCGAGCCGCCCGATTTTAGCGGTACTCCTCCTGCGCAAGCGCGAAAACAACCAGGACCAATCCTGTCGCAGTATCGAGCGGTCGCAAGAGAGTTGAAGGCCAAGCACATGGCCATACCAGAGAGCGGACCACATCAGTGGGATACTCCAGCTTCACCATCGCAGGCATCATCTGGTCCTTCAATGGATCCGTATCCGACGCAGTTCAACAAGGACGCCAACACAGAGGTTAGGACGTTCTTCCATCTTGCGCTGTTGGTCCTGGATACCAGTGTGCCGAAAGAAGAGGCTGCGCGCGCCGCAAAAGAGGCTGTGGGTGTCTACCTGGACAAAGCGAAGAGCGCTGACGTGCCCATTTTCTTGGAGGCCAGCTCTTTGGAATCTAAGAACGAGTTTCTGAGCTGGGGATTCAAGGCAGTGGAGGAGGTTGCTGTGGGTCAGGATAAGGTCGATAGTAGAGGTTGGCCCACTCAAGGAGGAGAGGGCGTCAAGGTCTGGGGCATGATCTATAATCCGTAAGCTGGAGGGATGTGGTAAGCTCGATGCCAATAAGTCAATTGCAGAACAGAGAGTGCACGTGTATTTCAGAGCAAACGACGATGCAGAAATGCAAGTTACACTTTTGACTCCACTCGGCTATCACTTCCGTTTTCGATACGTAGTGCAGATGAGGACTTCGAGCACCATTGGATACTGTCGACATGAGAACAGTTCTGTACTCTAAATCGATGGTGTGTGGTATGGCTTAATAAGCGCATGAAATCCGTGTTCCTTTATCTGGGAGTACGCCATACCTCTAATCCGCTATAGACTATGTATCGTGTTCGCCACACCATTCCTAAAACGTGCTGTCCTCTACCACTTGTACTGGCTTCTCAGTCAAGCAAACATGTTGGGGCACAAAACCGAAAACAGAATCCTGAGGCTTTGGTGGGCACCACATCGTCCTTGAATTCGACCATACATCGCACTACCTCGTACACATCCGTTTTGAGGAACTGAAGTGCCTCTTCCTGTTCCTGAGGGTTGACCTGAAAGGCCTTTACCATGACCATTCCGTTGCCATCCACTAACGCGTTGTATCTGTCGCCCCCACCTTTGCATCGCGGCATCCGACACTTCTGCAGTTCGATACTTTGGCGGCTCTGGGAGCGCCAGTGGCTCCTGCAGAATTGAAGACTCGGCAAGTCTTCCATATAAGAAGTGCCAGACAGGATACTGATCTTGTTGCGGTAAAGGACTGGACGTGTTCTCTTGTGCTGAGGGACGAAATTGTGGAAGTGTGGTATTGATGCCTAGGAACGGCGCGATAGATGTACAGTCGAGAGACTTCTCCGCCTTGGCTAAACGCGCAATGACTGGCTGATGTAATGGATGATGCTCCGCAAGCCAGTACAGCAAGCGATCTCTGGCTACTGCCGAGATCGATAAAGTGACCGTAAAGCGTAACGGCAGTTCGGTGTACAGACTTAAAGTGCTGTCTTTGAAGAGCGAAGGCATAACTTTCTCGATTGTGGTTTTTCTGTTCCTCGTCTGCTTGAACCAATTCCCAAAGCTCGTCCGAAACTGCGATAGAGTACATAACATTGCCATTCCTGTAAGCTTCTAGCTCATGGCGAGCATGCTCAGCACTGAAGCCAAAAACATGCTGCCATCGCTAGATATCTCGGCACGAAATCTCTTTCTGATCCAGCTCGACTTGATGTGCGATATCCTTAAGTTCTTGCAAAAGATCCATTGCAGGAGTTCAAGTTGCAGATGTCTTCGAGATTGCTGTGATGTCTGCGGACGATGAGTGGTGTGTTTGTTCGGGGGAAAGAGCTAGTTGCACTGCAAGACCATTAGATGGCGCAAACGTTTCGGGCTCTCTCATAAGAAACTCATTAGGTACAAAAAGTACATTCTAGAGAAGAGTGCTCAGCACGCAATGAAAGTCATCTACAATGCTTCCCTGCTGCTTGCGCTCAAAGACACACCTGAGGACCTGCGCAGCTCACGAGCCAATCAAACATTTCGTACGGGCTACACTTCCAGCATTCATCATTTCAGGCATATACTGGGGTGTAATCGGAGAGGCGTGGCCACGGATGCAACGTCGGGCAACCGCTCTAGTTACTGTAAAGTAAGACCCCTGAAGCGGACTCAAGTAGTATGCAACCGTCCTCGAAGTATTGCAGGAAAAGCTGCTGTCAGATTCGATTTAGCGTATGGCCCCGATGCTGATGCTGAATTTACCACAGAAGTGGTCAGCAACATGGTGAAGCCATGGCACACTGTCTGACACAGGAGAAAGTAAGGCAAGTGCTGAAAGTCTTCTAGAGTACTTCAACGCGTTGAACAGCAGACTCTTATAACATGGCCATTGGACCCCCACTTCGTAACGTGTTACTCCTCAATTTTCAATAGTGTGAGAAGCTTAGGTAGACTTGCTGATGCGGATATTGTATTGTCCGTCAACAAGAGGCTGTAAGGTTGTGGTCAATCACGATGATGTATCCAATCATCACGTGACAGCACCCTTTAGCGTGTTTGCCCTGTTGCCTCAGGTATACAGCCTACAACGATCAGTTACAACACTCGGGTAGGTAATCAAAGCTTGTTAGTCTACATTTGAGTATGCTTGTCAAGGTTTCTCTCTGTAACACAAGGTCGGTTCGAGTAGTAACATGACTTTGCCAACGTTATACATAGCAGGCTTGCTACCGACACAAGAGACGAACGTCGACCAATCGACTTAGGAAATAGCAGAAGCTCTTCGATGAATGTAGTGAAGTATCAGATTGACCACTACTGCTAATCAGCCTATTCCGAAGAGGGATGTCCACCGTGGTATGGCACACCAAGCTTGCTCGCACGCTAGTGCAATCGGCACTGTTCAAGGCCAAGAAACGAACAATACTGTGGCAATATAAGCCTCCGGTCCAATCGAGTTTCTCGTCATGTTGTCAACTAGGACGGCAGCAAGAATGTCTCACCACGAATGAATCTGATCGTCGCATGGAAAAACTGTTGAATCGGAACGCGATACGACCTGCAGCTACTTGGCTCTCTGCGACAGGTAGAGATGTCAACATTGACCAAATCTTGCGTCAACTGCCCAGGATCGATGACGATGTTGCTGAAGCCTATCCAGCATTAACGAAGACGCTCACCTCGGCAGTGTTTCTTGTGACGCCCGGTTTAGCTCATCTTTTTGACGGCAACAACGAATTCTTCAAGACTGCCATGAATCAAATCTTCCAGGGTGCAAAAGAACCTTTTCAGAAGCAATTTCGTCGCTACGCATTGGTCGCCATTGTCGATGCTGTGCCAGCGATATCTCTTGAACCTGAGAACGAGAAGTCTCAAATGCACGGCTACGAAGGACTTGGTGTATGCCTCTTACCGACTCCGCGTACCATAGAGCCCAACGGCGAAGCTTCCAGCGATATACCTATCATAAATCTTGTCATGCACATACGCAGGGCGAACGGAAATCCTACTCGAACGTTCACGTACTCAGCACCTGTCGCGAACACTCTCTTTGTCAATGGCCACAAGCATACAATGTCTAGGTCGGATTGGGACAGCTTCGACGGTGCACCTTACCTAATGACCAACCGGCAAAAGCTGACGGAGCTTGATGTTCCACTGTACAGATCAAACATTTCGGGGTTTGTGCAACCCAGGTTCGTTGCCAAACTCGAAGAGTTGACTGAGCCCTGTATCATCGTTTCAAGTATGGGCAATATTGTTCGCCAGCTGCAGACTCAAGCAGGTGAGATCATTTCAGCATCTAGTGAGCTGGAAAAGATCATTCCACCACTGGTGAAGAAGAAGGACGAGGTCAATGCGGGCATGCAGCTAGACATATTTGCCCTCGTCTATCCTCAAAAATCAAGTATTCCAACTAAGAGGTCTAAGAATGCCCCAACAGCACCTGCCGACACGACAAATACCCAAGATGTGCACAAGTTGCTCCTCAACAAGGCGCGTTTCCACAAAGTGACAAGTGGTGGTGGAGGGTGGGGCAAGAAAGCTGGTCTGCTCTCCCTCGAGCCTGGAATCGAGCTTAGACAGAGCTCGCAGCAAGAAGATTCACTTTTCGCAGCGTCGCTCTTTGAGTTGGACGAGGTAGAAATGCCACGCTCGGAGGTCCTGTGTCCTCCTGGTCACATAATCCAGTTCCTAGCGAAATGGACTGATACAAACAATAACATCGAAGACGCTGTCAGAATTGAAAAGTTAACCGCGCCTGTCAAGTGGTCGAACGATGATTATTTTCAACCGTTAGCAGTACAGAAATTCTCCGTGGGTACAGTAAGACTGCCGGAGACAGTCGCACACAGCCATTCCACGACAGCTGGCACCGATCGGCTTGTCTTTTGCCCCAATCAGTTCGGCTTCCTAGCAAGCTCGGGCATGAGCTTCTCGCTTTTCGGTCGCAAGTCTTCTGATACAAAGCCGCTCCAGAGCCAAGCCGAAAAGCTCGGACAAGATGACAAAAACCTTGAGCAATCTCAAGAGGACAGACGTGGCTCTCCTATGCATAGTACTCTTGTTCAAGTGCCAAACAGCTATATTGTCAATGTAGCACGAGCAGGGGGACGATTGCGTATAGAAGATGGTGAGGACGACTTATAGCACATGTTTGAACAAAAATTTTGCTGATGCTGCGGGCAATAGAACATAAGCTTATATCGATTGAGGAGGAGCGAAGAAGCCAAGAGACAGAAACCAAGACGGACACACGAACCACAGAGCAGCCGCTCCTACAGATACAAAGGCTAACGTCGAGACTACTTGGAAAAGTCAACGATCCAACAACGGGGCAGCAGCTTCTCAAAATAGAACGGCTGACATCCGATTTACTTGAAAAAGCTAAGGATCAAACGACAGGGCAGCAGCCCCTACAGATACGGAGGCTAAGATCGGCGTTCCTCAGCAAATACAATAGTCAAGATGCACGCATGTCGTCGCACATCCCCGAACATGTAAAGGAAATCGACGCCGATGGGAAGCTAGATGAGCATCTGCGAAAAAGGCACGAACAGCACATCAAATCTGGAAGGGGCCACGCCTACAAGTCTGTTGTGGGAGGGCCTCGGAAGTACGCGCAAGAGGCTGGGAAGGTAGACGAACTAGTTGGGGGTTTGGGGGAAGACTCTACGCCTCCCAGCTCCTCTGTCGGGCAAGGCGGTCGGTGATACATCTAATTCGGAACAGTACATTATTGTAACTACTACGTGTGTATCATAAAACATTTCAAGAAACTGTAAGAACATTCAAGGAGCACTTTATCACGGAAAGCGCAAACGGTATGTCTGCTTAAACGTACTCTGTACCGCTACTACTCCGAAGCCGAATCCCGATGTGAATCCGTTGTTGGTGGTCGCAGTCTGATTATCACATCATTGTTTCGTGGACGTCTTCTGCAACAACACATCCACAAAGACAGCAACATATCTGAATTGAGCGCAATCTACACCTAGCAACATTGACCTTTTTTGTCGGTGGTTGCTTCTTACCGGACCCACTCCTCCAGACAGCTACGCCACTACATTTCACGCTTCATATTGAAAGAACGGGAAGCATACGTATATTCGTTGAGCAGTCTCCACGACGAGCCAGTTCTTTCAAGGCTTGTCGCTCGTCACACGTATCGTTCACCAGCACTCGCACTCCACGAAAGACACGCACACACCAACAGTATTTCCACCGAAACACCTCCCCAACAACAATGTCCTCCGATGCATCAGACGAAGCCACCATCTCCTACCCTTCCATAGCCATAGTCATAGGCCTAGCATACCTTCTCTACCGCTACTTCACATCCTCATCCTCCAACGGCTCAGACCCGTCCTCCTCACAGTCCCGCAATGGTCTGCGCTTCACCCAGGCGCAAGTCGACCAGGTCGCGAATATGTTTCCGCAGCTGAGTCGGCGGGACATCATGTGGGATTTGCAAAGGAATAGGGGGAGTGTCAATGCTACGGTGGAGAGGGTGTTGGGTGGGAGGAGTCTGGATCCGGTATGTGTGGGCATTTCAGTCTTTGTATGTTAGAGTTGTGAGAGGTGATCATTGACTTTTGTTCGCAGGCACCACCTTCGTTTCAACCTCCCATGCCTGAGACAGCATCGCAGTCAACGTCTACGTCGAGTATATCGTCGTTGTTGTCAGGAAAGCAACAGGTACACCCCGATTTGATAACGAGGTATAAATTGCAAGACAGGATAAATAGCTCTGATAAGGGGAAAGGGGTAGACACAAGTGGAAGTGCGAGTAGTAATTCCTGGGGTGCGACGAAGGATGAAAGACAGAGTGCGCTGAAAAGGAGGAGGGATGAGATGATTCTGGAGGCGAGGAGGAAGATGTTGGAAAGAGACGCAACGAGAGGTGAAAGAACAGCGCAGTAGCGGGCCTGTATCGACATTGAAGATATGCACAGTCATTTTAAGAATTGAAGCCTTCGTTCCAGAGCCGCTTCCATGTTTGCGGCTCTCAGGTCATATCCTCGTCTTCCTCATCATCCTGCCTCATACGGCTGTCCCGTTCTTCCTCGGCAGCTTCTCTTCTGGCTTGTTCGCGACTGCGTCCAATGTTCTTTAGACCGCCCATCACACCCGCGATAAATCCACGGCTCTCGCTGACTTCCATAGCGCCTACTCCGTCCAGTCTGACTCCCTCACTACCATCCGTGATAGCATTGTAGCCTCGTCGCATCTTCGCTTGTCTAACTTCTCGTATATCGCGTAGTAGGTTCGAGATCAAGTCTGCATTTACCAAATCATCTGAGGCCGCATCGAGTAGTAAATGGCTGAACTCATACCAATGGTAAGGCAGACTTGTGGGAGGAGCATCTGCCGTACAGGAGTTTAGGAATGGTTCAGACAAGTAGAACATCTTTCCTTCTGCATCGAACTCTCTATCTGGCTGAATCTGATTCCTGCTCCTGCTTCCGGGTAGTAAGTGTCGTGGAAAAGGTAGTGTATCTCCCTCAAGTGGTGGTAGTGGTGCTGGGGGAGAAAACTCGTCCTGGAAATGCGTTGTTTCCAAGTCCAGGATCTCACGAAGATTCTCGGGGTCCAGCCATGGCGGTGGTATCACATTGATTCTTCTCTGACGTTTGAGGAGGAGGGCAAGCCATAGAGGGAGTGTGGTTCGAGATGGGGGTATTAGTGCGTTGGTTGGACCCTATAGCGGACATCGTGGTTAGCTTCGTTGCCCAGAAAGTCCTCGTTGGAACATGAGTGCTTCGCACCTACTTGGGTATCGCGCATGTGGATGTTAACATACTCCTAGCAGGTCGAGTCTCTCTAGCCGTTGACGAGGAACGATTGTCACAAGCTGCATTTCGCAGAGAAATGCTACTTCAGCTGGCAAGAGACCAGAAGGGTGTGGGAAAGCCATTTGTATCTGAATTGGATTTTGTGTCCGAGCTGTTCAATTGTTACACAAGCCTGAGGTCGCCAGCCATATAGATTAGTAATTCATCTTCTATGTGCAGTTGGTAGAGACAGCGAGGGAGTGCAGGATTGGTTAAAGAGCCGTAGCTATACAATACGAAGCGCAAGATAGCGGCACTTTTCAAGCATGTGTTGCGAGCGCGTTGTTGCACTTTCAATGAAGACGCGTTGTTGCTCCCTCCTTCTCCGATTGGTTGCAGCAATTGTCACATCGCAACTTTCTGGGTCTTCCTCAATCCTCTCAGTCGCACCTTTACATGGTCATGACTGTGCTCGACGTTGGGGCTAGAGAAGGCTTACTTTGGGCCGCATTGCCTCTTGTCCTATGGGCACAATACGTTTGGTTTGAACAGGTTCAACACCAAGTGCCGGAGCCATACCTAGACGAAGTTTTCCACATTCCTCAAGCTAATGCCTACTACAAGGGTAACTGGACTCACTGGGATGACAAAATCACAACGCCTCCGGGGCTCTACCTCTACTCAATAGCTGTCACTCAACCCTTCGTATCGGCTTCTCCTGGTCTACTCTCTGTCACGAGTCTAAGATGGACAAACTTCATCCTCACGTATATGCTTATGCTAGTATGCATGCTCTGGCGTCGTACAGCGCCCGGTATTGTCTCTCTCAAGAAGAAAGCATCACTATACGAGCTCAGCTTCGTTACCTTCCCGTTACTGTTCTTCTTTAGCGCATTATACTACACAGATGTTTTCGCTGCTTTCAGTGTCATGTGTACCTATACTGTCTGGCAGGCGGGAACAAGTAGCACCGGACGTCGACGTATTGTCCTGCAAGTTTTTCACCTAATTTTCGGCACGATATCACTGACGTCTCGCCAAACAAATGTCTTCTGGTCAGCCGTGTTCCTCGGTGGACTCCAGGTTGTGAACACTGTCAAGCAGAGCACGAGGATACATGACCCTCCTATCACAGACACATACTTTGAGGATATACCGATCACAGTCATCTCCTTGACCAGTTCTGCTGTCAGCATGATCCCTCAATTGCTATTCGATCTCTGGCCACAGATTGCTCTTCTTGCTGAGTTCGCAGTCTTTATCTTGTGGAATGGTGGTGTTGTACTTGGTGACAAGTCTAATCACACCGCCGGCATACATGTTGCACAGATGTTGTATTTCTGGCCTTTCCTCGTTTTCTTCTCCTGGCCAGTAATGCTACCACAGCTAGCGCACTTTAATCAATTATTCAAGAGGTCACCTCGATCCTGGCTAGTGGCTGTTGTACTACTTGGCATGCTCACGGTTGTTCACTTCAATACTATCGTTCACCCATTTCTGTTAGCAGATAACCGGCACTATACTTTCTATGTCTTTAAATTGCTAAGATCGAACCCCTGGCTTTGGTACATCATGACACCCATTTATGCTGTTTGCGCTTGGTTATCTATACAAGCATTAGGTGGCAGAATGAGTTATAGTGGTGGACCAGGAGTCAAAGGCAGCAAATCGAGAAGACTTTCCACGTCGTCTGGACCTGGCGATGCTGCAGAACTGGAGGTGCGCGGGACTCGGACAAGTTTCGTGCTTGTCTGGCTCATTAGTACTGCACTCTCTCTTATCACAGCACCGTTAGTCGAACCACGATATTTCCTTGTCCCTTGGTTGATCTGGAGGTTGCACGTGGGAAGTCCGAAAGACATCTTGAACGACACTAACACGTCTGCGCAAAATGCTTCCATACTGAGCACTCGCGTTGATCATTTACTAACATTCATTGCACAGAGAAGTCGGCTGCTCGAGCTGATATGGTACATGGCGATAAATCTAGTAACATGTCGTCTATTTCTTTACAATGGATTTGAATGGCCACAAGAGCCTGGAAATGTGCAAAGGTTCATGTGGTAGACACTGAATCCATAGTTTCGTCCAGTTCCAGAGTCATGACGAGCAGCACAGTATTTGGTCGTGTGGAGACAAGTTGATTGAAACATCTTCTACTGCGCACTCTGCGATTCCGGCCTTCTAGCTAGAACACTTTTGCTTGCCGAGCTGTTACGAGTAACAGTTTCGAATTGACGATCTACCTACTAGCAGCTACCTGTCCTTGATTCAGAACAGGTTCAAGTCGTCGTCGGCATTCACCAATTATAGATACTTCCTGAGATGGCTCCTTGGCGGGTCGAAACTAGGCGTAGAGCGTCTCAGACTTAGCCGAGTCTTCCCTTGCATACTCGACCAGTCCGAGTATTTCCTGGACCGTCGAGACATCTGCAAGAAACTCTCGCAGTTTGCATCCACTTGGTCGTCACATGCGAGCACTGTATCGCAGCCAATCATGAACGCAAATCGACTTGATCAGCCGACTAGGTCATGAACGAGTTCGTGCCTTCCTTGAAATGGTGCCCCACCTGACATCATTATTGGTCAGGACTAAGAACGGCCCCTCATATACCCACACCACCACCTGCCGTCGACGAATGCACTATTGCCATTCCGTTTTGCGCTGCATTTTTCATTGGCAGACGGTACGGGCCATAGCGTATCTCATCCTTATCACATTCCTGCTGAATAGGAATGCGCACACCTTTCCACCCTGCTTTCAAGTGAGGAAGCCTTCAAGCATACGAACCACATGACAGTAACAAGGAACTAGCGATTCACTAATAGGCCTCCCCAACCAATCGGACTCGAAGCGCAATGTGAAGGTGGACATCTTCCCTCAGTCTCACTCATTCTACACCAGAAGACATGTTTGATCGGAAGGGCTGATCGTAATCAGTCCCATCTAAATTCAGGTGCCACACACACTATCGAAAGAAGAGTTTCTGCTCACACCCCGGCCTTCTTCTCGTGAGAATGACCTTGTGAGATGATCTCAGAACGGTTGTCCTGATTGAAACCAAGATTCATGGCTGTGCTCGCCTTACAAAGCCTCCCATTATTACATTACTTCCGTGATGGACCGACAAGTATCGCTCTGTAGCATAGTCTCTTCATTGTCACGCAAATAAGCAAAGCCCCTTGCATATCCCTTTGCCGAAGCCGCGCATTCCATCCAGTTCGTAACGTCAACTAACATAGCCGCTTGAGCTTATGTCGCGCAATGCAGCGGCAACCTGCAGATGCGAAGACAACGCAAACTCAACTCGTTGAGACGGCACTATAATGAGTCGAACCTCAATGGACCTAACAAGGTACATTGGGCTACCACAGATCCTAGGACTGTGTCACCACTGTCTTCCGTCTCACGACGCAAAAGTGTCAGGCATGCTACTACAGGGCAGAGGTCTAGCACCACAGCTCGCACCCCTTCTCCCTCATCGAAAAGCAGCCAGACACGGAAACCATCTTTAGGATTCGACCCTGCACGAGATGCCTCGAAACTGCCATCAGGCCTATGTTCAAAATGCTTCGAAATTGCACTCTGGCATTTCCAAACAGAGAACATCAAGGTTCAACATCATCGCAACTTCGTCGATCTGGTCAAATCGGCCAGAAGCTGTGTTCTGTGTCTCATCTTCGCGAAGCAGGCACCTGTTCCCCCACCAAATGCGAACTTCACTTACGACGGCACCAAGCAGATCGTGCTGTCAGCCACAAATCGAAAGCTGGACCTGGAAGCTGGGATGCCTGGTTTAGCTCTGGAAGATCTTATTGTGCACATTCCGATCACAAGAAAAGACGACCAACGCAATCTGACCTTACCAGTGCAAGCACAACTTGTGGCACCTCACAACAGTCTAGCGGCTAGATCGGGCGACGTAGTCCGCCGCAGGAGTCACGGTGGGACAAATGTCGATTGCGCAGTTGAATGGCTAGCGGAATGTGCTCTGAACCACAAGGAATGTCGTAAGTCTACAGATCTGATCGGCAGCCTGATGTATGCAGTCCCTCCGAGGTTGCTCGACGTTGGCATGGACGACAGTTCCACTGTCAAACTCGTCTCTACCGACCACAGCTTCGTCAGCCCATACGTCGCGTTAACTTACACCCGAGGAGAATCCAAAATTGCTAGTACGAATACTGCAAATTTTGCTCTGCGACAACGGTCCATCGGTCCAGAGAAGTTCAACAAGACCTTCAGGCAGGCCATATCAATCACACGTTCGTTAGGCTTCCGCTATCTCTGGATCGAGGCATACTGCATCCTGATGGACTCGTCAGAGGATCGTACGAAACATGTTCCGAGGATGGGTATCATATTTCATAATGCTGCTTTGACATTGTCCGCATCCGTCTCCGCTTCGGCGGACGAAGGTCTGATACGTTACAAGTCAAAGTCCTTGCCCGAGGTCAAGATACCATATCGCAACAAAGACGGCCTTCCGCTAGGTCATGTCTTCGCCACAACGTACAAGCCAAGAAATTTCCACGGCGATGTGACCAAGGGTGATCTGAACCAGCGTGCATGGTGCCTGCAAGCACGCGCACTTTCGAGAAGAATACTACACTTCGGATGGGACCAGCTGTTTTGGGAGTGCGATGCGGGTGTATGGTGCGAGGAGTCATCACTCATGTCACCCTCGAAGTCGTTGAGAGATCCTCTCGTAGAATGGCGGGCAAGTCTTGTCAAGTACAAACACGGCAGAGAACCGGAGGAAATCAGGCGCATCACGACAGGAAAGACAAGTCGCCCTACCAGTGCCCTTTGTGACGTTCCGAAAATCTACATGCTGTGGTACAGCCTGGTCGCACAGTACACTAGCCGGATCCTGCCACGGGAGAAGGACAAGAGCAGTGGTATTGCAGGTCTAGCATACGTGTTTGCATGTCTAATATCTCAAAGACAGACGCATACTGGTCCAAGCAAGGCCAAGGCAGACACCTACCTTTGCGGTCTGTGGCAGAACGACTTGCCGTTCGGTTTGCTGTGGTCCGCTGGTTCGTTCCACAAGTGGCGCAACAAGTTTGTTAAATATCCTTCATCACCAAGAGCACCAAGCTGGAGCTGGTTCAGCATTGACGGACCTTTGCAGTGGCCAGATGGCGTTGTCTTCAGCAGTGGTTCGTTCACAGGAAGGTCGTTCATGAAACTGCTGCAAGTGGGCACCCACCACGACAAGCGAACCGATCACCAGTTCTCAACATTACGAGTGCGGGGCAAGATAGCCTTGCTGTCGAGATTGTACGGCTTCCGATCCGAGGACTCGGAATGGAAAAGAGCTGCCAGGGAACAAGATCTTGCAAACCATGGCAACAGCCACGAAGACGCTGAAGGTCCCATTGGTCTACCATGCGCCATGTTCGATTCTGCGGAAGTCGCACGAGTATGGACGCTGCTTCACGGATCAAACGGAGATCGTCCCAGTACTGGGTCCTCAAGCGCGGAACACACAACATCGACACGGTCGCAAGGTTTCTTCAGCCGTAGTGGCAGATCAGGCACAACAAGACGTGACTTGACTGCGACGCAACCGAACCTCCTCCACGACCAGCAGAAGGACTTTGTCGCTCTCCTAGTCATACCTGCCGGTTGCTCTCAAGCCGATTGCCAAGATCACAGCTTTGACAGCGCCAGGCTATCTGGCACACTGCCACTTCCAGCAGATACTGCATTCCGGGCAAAGAATAATTGTGGACAGGGACTTGCATATGCTTTGATTTTGTATCCTAGTTCAATGGGTGAAGGCCTATTTCGGCGTGTGGGTATTGCGCAGGTGCGGATTGCTGATTTTGCGACAGTTGAGCGGAGAAGAGACCGGGAAATTGTGATTGTATGATGATAGCATTGCTACCCTAGATAGAGTCTAATATTACTCGTTACTACTCAGAGTTATATGACGACCTATCTGTGAAGTATTGATGAGCCTGCTAGAATCTTTGATGGTCGAGTCAATGTCCTTGTAGTGAGCATGCTACCCAGTGCTCTCCACAGCTGCTCTATAAAGCTGTAAGATCACAACATTGCACAAAAGTGCTCCGCCTAATCTTGTTCCCATCTCTTTTCCGCTTTGCATCGTGGCATGGCAGTGGCTTTCAATTTTGAGGGCGAATGGTAAAGAAATTGGGGTGAATTCGGCCAAATCGTGCAAGATTGTCATCGCTCTACGCATGGATGTGCGTGGTCGCACAGATGCACATTAGCACGTCCTCCTGGCTTGATGCCGTGGGAGGCATTCTCAGGCACAAGCTCCATCAATCGGCAAATAGGTAAGTGGCATTCTTGTTACAGTATTCTGGACAGCAAAACTCGCAGTCAAGAGTGTCAAATCCACTTGATATGCTGTGAAGATCCTGGCACCCTTGATCCATGGTCACTGGATGGTGCAGCAGCCACGATGCAGCTACCACTTGGAAGAAGACGAGGAAGGAGGACTTTTTGTCGTTCAAGGACTAACTAGAGCTGCGATCAAACCTAGTAGAATTTGGCTGCTAGCGGGTCCATCTGTTTCTGTTCTGTAGGCCACTTCTTTCGCGAATACATCTGAGATGTTCCTGCATTGCACTTTCGCTCTTCGTACTCGACCAGCTCTTGGTATCCAGGTAGTATTGGTGAGCCACGAGGCTAAGCCTACAAACATCGCATGCACAGAAGCTGATTGCTACTCTTGGCTGTCTCGCTAAATTTTATTCGCTGCTGTTGGGCCAAGGGTTCATCCGACAATGGCCATAGCCACTTTCAGCCTGACTGCTGTCCAAAAGATGAGAGAGTCTGGTGCAGCGGAAGCACTTTCGAGCCCAGTAGTTGAAGCCCGTTGCTGTCAAACTGCTGGCGAGTTCTCTCCATCGTGTATGAGTCAATATCTACTGGAGAAGCCATCAAAAGGGGTCCTTCTGCTAACAGAGAAGTGACCTATTGTACCACTCCTATCACAGGTCTACTCGCAAGAGAACTATTAAATGTTCCACGACATAGGCCACGATGTGGTTGATCAACACGGGGACCCTCTCACTTGAATACTTTCAAATTTGCCCTGTTGGGCAATACGCTATTCTTTCACACAAGTGGCAGGACGAAGAAGTTACCTTTGCAGAATTTCAACATGACACTAAGGGCGCATCAAGGCGCGGCTTCTGGAAGATTGAGAAGTGTTGCCAACAAGCCCGTGTGCAAGGCTTGAAATATGCTTGGGTCGATACTTGTTGCATTGACAAGAGCAGTAGCGCTGAGCTCTCCGAAGCAATCAACTCCATGTTTCGCTGGTATGCCAACGCGAGTCAGTGCTACGTTTATATGGTCGATGTGATCTCGGAGACAGAGTCGTCAGTGGATGACTTTACGATACAACCATGGGAAGAGTTATTTCCGGTGTTGGGTTATGATACACCAGTCCCAGTGGTTGAAGCCCAACTCTGTCAGAGCGAATGGTTTCGAAGAGGCTGGACTCTGCAAGAACTACTGGCTCCACGAGACCTATTATTCTTCGACCATTACTGGACCTACCTTGGTCGAAAAGCAACACTCACCCGGCTCATACACAAAGCCACAGCCATAGACACCAACGTATTGCTTTATAAATCGAAGCTACTCACATACTCGGTCGCTCAGAGAATGTCTTGGGCTGCAAATCGGACTACAACTAGACCAGAGGATATCGCCTACAGTTTGCTAGGTATATTTGATGTCAATATGCCACTTTTGTATGGTGAAGGTGAAAAAGCGTTCCTCAGATTACAGCACGCCATTCTTGAATCTTCTGACGATGAGTCTCTATTCGCGTGGACAGGCGTGGACGAAGGAGGTAGTGGACTTTTAGCTCTCAGTCCGTCTCAATTCGCTCAGTCAGGCAATGTCCTTTCGAGGCCGTTTCGAGATCCCCATCGACCCGCTTACTCCATGACCAACAAAGGGATCAGCATTCAGCTTGATTTCATGCCATATAACACGTATACCTATCTTGTTCCATTACGGTGTGGAATGATGATATCTTTTGGTAATACTTGGTTGGCTTTGGCCATTGTTTTGTGCAAAACCATGTCTGGAATTCAGTATCGACGTGTGAGTGGAGAAGATGCGGATTTGGTTCTCGTGGAGGGCTACACATATGGGTCCGTCACTGTACCAGTATCAGACCAGCATTGGCAGACAGATACAAGACTGTCATGTGTCTATTGGAATCGATATCATGCTGACCTAAGGTCAATATATGTATCCCAGACGCCACTCCGTCTTCGGTCAGGGTGGGGATCTTGTCGCATTGTTGTCCGCAACTCACTGCTTCATTTCACGGATTTGCTTCCAGTACCAGTAGCGAGGCCGGAACCCTTCGCAGACGGAGTTGTGCTATTGCCATTCTCGCCAGGAGCACGGGTGGCGAAGACGTTAACAGCAACACAATATCAGAATGGCCACCAAATACCACAACTGAGCTATCCGTTTCTGGACTTGGCAATAAAGGGTATCATAGTAGGTTTCGACTTTGACAACCGTCCGATATGTATGGTCTTCTGGGACGAAAGCTCTGCTTGGAGTAGAAAAAGGGCCTGGGAACAGTTGGTTCAGCACGATGTCGAACATGGAGAAAACCGCGGCTGGGAAGACGAACACGCTAACATAAAGCTTTGCAAAGGATGGCGCGAAAGATCTGAGCTAAAGGACGATTTCGTAGCAGATACATGCATGGGCGAAGTCAATGTGACGATTGTCTTCCGTTCATATTCAGAGGATCGGGACGGGCAGCCAACCTGGAGATTTAGTGTGGACATACGGCCCTGCTGGAAGTGGCTGTCGAGCTTCGACGATTCCAGGACGGAACAGCGCTATTCAGGGGCACATTCAACTCTTGTACAAGCATTTAAGACACGACTATCAGAATTGACGGATGGGATGTCGAAACAGCTGAAAATTAATTCTGGCGAAATCACATGTGGTGATGGTCAACGTGCTCGAGTACCACTCTTGGACGGCAAGTACGACGCGTTCGTCAACGAGTATCTAGGTCGTGTAGAATGGACCGCCGGTCCCGGAGCAGGCAGCATACCTCAGCAGGGAGTTGGTGCGTGATTCTGTTTCTCAAGTTAAGACGGTTTACATATCTCTGAAGTACACCATCTCACGATGTCTAGGAACTAGTGATCATGTACACCTGGAGAGTATGCTGCTAAGAATGCAAGACTTGCTTTAGAAGGCATCGGTCATCGTACAGCCTTCTTAACACGAGCAATTCTGGAACGTTGTCCTCATCTCCACGCAACACTCTAGAAGAATTTCCCCTACCGTGTGCAACCTCAATCTGACTCGTGGCCAGCTGCTTCTTTTTCCGCTTTACCCATTAGCGACTTCAGTGTCAAGAGGCAGTTTTGATATTCTTTCACATCATTGTTCCTCTTTGTTAGTGACTGCCTCAGCTTTGTGTCCCTCGTAGAAACTTCTTCCGCCTGCTTCTGAAGTTTTGTGATGCGACTTTCAGCCGTGGTCTTGTCCTTCTGGAGATCCTGAATCTTGACATATTGCTCTTTCAATTCCTGCAAGAGAGTGTCGTACTTTTCGTACAACACACCCAGATCGATGACAAATTCGTCTCTGTCGAACTCGATGCGGTTATTGAAGACCTCTGGGATGGACGGCCGTCGTCCTGATGAAGTGTTGAGCAGGGTCGACGAGTTCCAGAGTATACTGAATAGACCGCTCCATAAGCTAGACGCTGTTGCAGGCTGAGCTGGCGACGCGTCTGGCTCGGCCTTGTTGCTCGGCCGTGCGGTGGGCGATGTCGGAGCAGACCGGGCCTCGTGGGTGTCGGTGTTCTTTCTTTTAGAGTCAGCTGAGTTAGTGCTTGCAGCACTGGAACGATTGTGAGGTCCCATATTTGCTTGGAGATGTTTTAATTGCTTGAAGGTGCTTTTAAGCGGGAACGAGCTGTACTGCTAGAAAAACATCACCAGTCAGCAGATGCGACACGAGTCAGATAGGTCGCCTTCTTGTACATACCTTCAACCTTCACTAAACGCTGTCACGTTGCGAGGCCAGTCAACCCCTCGTAGCGAGAGTTTGAGCTGCTGAGTACGATGTAGCCGAAGAGCCAGAGACATCGACGGCAGGCTGTGTGATACATATGTAGCTCATGCTTCCTGAGACATCTTCTTCTCATCCTTACCCATCTGCTGGCGATCTGTCCCAACAACTTCTTGAATCTGTAGTAACTGTCCAAGCTCTGGAACTGTTGAGACGATGTAAACCTGATCTTCCCTGACACTTGCTTCCTGATCTGTTAAAAAGCAACTTGCTACCCGAAACACAGTCGCGCCACTATTAGCATTCCTTATGGAAAACACGTTTCGTCAAGTCAATCAAAGCAGAACCAGGGAAGAGATCCGGTTTCGATCAGGCATGATGCTGCGTGTTTTTCAGGTGTGAGAATACATGCTTCATCGACAAAGTGCACGTCTAAAAGTATCAGTTTCACTGGCTCGTTCAGACCTGTGGACAGGCGGCCGTTGAGACATGTTCGATGGTACGGCGAATATGTTCTCGACCTAACAGAAAGAGAGAGCAAAGGGAGTCACTTTGTACAAGTTGTGAGATACCATCTGACGCACGTTTGTACGCATTAAGGTGCTGATTTCCAACTTCTGGAGATCGTGCAACGCGTTGACGCGTCATAAACGCGCTGGTGGTGGGTAGTTCCTTCCTCAGGCTGATCAGAAAGATGGTCTGGTGTTATATGCCAGTGCGATCAGTGGTATGGTAAGGGTGCCTGCTCATCTTGAGAGGGGGAATTTTGACTCACATACACCAAGCCGACCTTTCTCAGTACTTGATGAGCGCGCGATGCGACAGGAAAACCTACTCAATGCTTGGCCGGTCTTTCGAGTGCGACTCTTGTGGTCGAGGTTGACGAATGAAGGGAAAAACCGATCTACAAGTCCTTCGAAGATGACAGGACCACTTGAAGCCCCAAGGATGTGTAGCAGCTTGCCATTCGCGTGCTCGTTCCGCGCCCTCTGCTAGGCTGTGCAAGCTGCGTAACTCACGGAGCTCGCCTAATCCCAGGCACCTGTCGAGCCTCATTCACTTCGTTCTCGAATACCGTCTTGTCTATTGAATGGTCCCAAGGGTATACCTCGAATTTGGAATGCGACGCCCAGCATAGCGTGAGCGATGCCTCGAACCATACGTCCATGTGAACCACTATCTCACTGTGAACATCCAGGTGTATGCGAAAAATGGCCATACAGATACAAATGCGCCTACTGCCAGGTAGGCACAAAGCGAGCGATAAACACAGTTCAAGCTCGCAAACTGGCACGCAGAGCGATCGAACGAGGAGAACGAGAACGACTACGAAACATGACACCCGAAGAGCATACCGCCTTTCGTCGGGCTTACGAAAGGCGTATTGAGATCAACAACGACGCTATGCAAAAACGTGGTCTTGCAAACTTACTGACACTCCCTCCTGAGGTACGACAGATGATATACAAATACCTCTTCGACTACAGCGACACAACGGAAATCATAGCTCGCAAATACTTTGTCCGCCCCAACGACGCGAAACTCCATCAGGTCTGCAGGCTCCTAAAGGCCGAAATCGACGAAGATTTCTATACACGACAAACCTTCACCTTCAAAACCATACCGGCGCTGGATCTATGGAGCAAAATCCACCGTGATCGCCTCTCACTCATGCAGCGCATCGAGCTATGTTCCTCCTCGCCCTCAATCATCGTGCCATTCACCGAACAGTGTCCACGATTGAAAATCCTCATAACCGAACGCCATAAAATTGAACATTATGACTTCGAAGCCGATGTGCCTAGACTATACCAGCTGGACTTAGCTACTGACGACACATTCTGGACGCTCGACACTTTACTCATGTGGCGCCAACCAGAAGCGATTCTCGAGGCGATCCCACGATTTCGGCTCGGATGTGTCGAATACTCGCTGCGAAAGAACGACAGAGACCGCTATAGATTGAGGTTCTGCACGGATCGACTTGTTGCCGCTAACACGAAAACGTGCGAGTGGACGCCAATCAATGTTCAGCAGTTGAGCAAGAATATAGACGAGGTGATCAGTCAATTAGAACTTGGTCGTCGCAGAATCTGGGATACCTGTGTCCACAAATTTGTAAAGAACAAATTGGGACGAAGCATGAAATCACCTAGTATTGCGACATTGAAATCGTTGCCGTGACACAGTAATTGAAGTTGTAGGATCATTTGGTCCGCAAAGACTTGTCTATCTAATTGTACATGGTATTGTGCTTGAAGGGAGATTTCTTTTGTACATTGTTGTTGGCAATACCAACATTCCCGAACTTTCGTCCGGGCCTGGTCGTCGACCTCTGCCAGGCACCCTTAATATCACCCCTGTTAAGAATGCTGCCTTTCGCTGGTTGCATCGCACTGTCCGTCTCGTTAGTAGAACTTGTGAATGGTACATCTTCTTGCGCGCGTCGAGTGTCTCCTTTCGTCGTTGAGGTCCGAGACCACGACTGTCGAGACTCATCCTGGTTCTCATCGTCGAGACCAAGCTCATCGCCGATCATTGGCTGCTTTCTACGTTTGGTATTGACTTGATCAACTTGCTTCAGCTCCTCCCGGCGCCTATAACGCTGCTTAGCGCTCATGGAGGCAAGAGCTTCTGGTGTATCCGCTCGATTGCCAAGGACATCAAACGTGGAGGGATTCCTGCGACGATCTTGCATCTCGATGGCTCTTCTAGCATTCTCTCCCATCTCAACCTCAAGGTCTTCGTTGAGCACGCCGTAGTCGTTCTTTGGAAAATGTTGTTCCATTTTTCGGTTAAGTAAAGTGTCACGTTCCGCTTTCTGTATCCTAGAATGAATCTTGAGTGCTGGTTCTCGTGATCTCCGGTCACCAGGAAAGAAATTATTCTTGAAACCTTTCTTTTGCGCCCGATCATCCATGATTTGCTCGTCGACCTCACCTAGAACCATCCTAATTCGACGTTCGATTTCAGGTGAAACCATATCTTCGTCCTTCTCAGCCTCTCCCTTTTCAGGTAGATCATCCACTTCATTGAGTTGAGGCCTCCTATTGTTAATTCCAAGTTTCTTATTAATTCTTGCCATATAAATAGTGTATGTCCGCGCCCATGATTTGTAGTGAGCAACCAGTTGCTCGTCTAGCGGTGCTTTCCCGGGAATGCTCTTGAACCTTTCAGCAACCTCGACGATTTTGTCATAGGCAGATATCATGATACGCATGAGTCCTATCATTTCAGGAAGATCCTCAGCAACCTGCGTCTTAGCTGCAGCAGACGATCTTGGAATTCTGGACTTTCGCTGCACTTGGTTGGACTCAGTCTCCTCGACCTTCAACCTCACCAAATATTTTAATGGATAGTTCAATGGTCCCACTGTTTTGAGTGCGACCATGGTGTGGTTCTTGGTGGGATCTCTTTCAAATTGTGTGCCATCATCTTTACCTCTAACACCTTCGGACCAACCAACAGTGGTGTCCATTGCAAGCTGAACAAAATACTGTAGAGCCTTTGGAGCAACAGGAAGTGACTGCACACCATCCTTTGATCGCTCGAACTCGGCACGCTCTTCGTCGGTCATCTTCTTCATAGCCTGTTTCTGCTCTAGTATATATTCGTGTCGCTCCTCGCCAGTCATATCGTTGAGGGCGTCTTTCTCCTTGTACATTCCAACCTCGTTCTGCTCCAACTTGTCCTGCATTAACTTCAGCAATTTCTGAGCAGTCTTGAACACATTTGGATTGTTCTTGTCTCGTGCACATGTCGAGAGAGCAATAATGAATGGTCCTCGTTGGTAAAGAAGCTTCGCAACATCATCGGGCCAATTCTGAGACAGTACTTTGAACGCCTCGGCACTAGCTCGGTTCACACGAAGGTTTCTGAGGTAGGCAGTGATATTTGCAGCGTCTGGTTTGATTCTGTACTTCTTATCTGGATTGGTCAGTAGGTGCCAATAAGACGGTGCCAGGTGATTCAGAGGTTTGTGAAGGGAACACGCCTCCATCAGTAAAGCAAGTGTCAATCTTCCAGGAACAGCGTAGACGTTTGTGTCGTCGAGAGGCAGTGTTGACGAGTTCGTGAATGGTTCCGTCGACTTTGTCAACCCTGCAGACATCGTGGCTTCAGATGCAGAGTCAGGTTCGATCGAGGATGCATCCATTGAAGATGTCTGATTTTTCCTTTTCTTCCTTTCCGGGATCCATATGTTCATGGTAGATTCGACAAGATCGAAGACCTGCTCCATGTCCTTGCCTACACCACAACCGAGTAACAGACGCCCCATCGCGGACACAAGTTTTTCGTCAATGACTAGATTTGCTCTCCTCCACCTCACAGAGACATCTTCCCATACCTTTCGGCCGTCGGCCACAGCGCGCTCAAACAGCAGCTTCCTCTCGGCTGCAAGAGACACATCGTCTCCTTTAGTCCTGACCCTATCTGCACTTCTTGCAACTTCACGTATAGTGTATTCTCTGATAGCATTTAGGATCAATGTATACGTCAATCGATCAGGGCTACCAGCTCCAGTTTCAGGTAACCGAGCAACAACTGCCCAGAGACTATCCAGATCTCCACCCCTTGCACAAACGTTTATGATAGCGTTCGTGTGTATCGTACTTGCTAGAACAGTACTGTTGGGTGCGAAGATGGAATTGTAGACCTTTAGAGCTTCCTTTACAGCATTTGGATAACGAACATGCTGACTGAAACCCCTTAGCATGATAGTATATGTGTACGCATCCGGCATGTGGCCTCTCTTTTTCAACTCGTTGTAAATTTTTAGAGCTTGCTTGACTTCACCTTGGCCCATGTACCAATCTATGCAATGGTTCCAACTGACGATATTCTTGATCTCGAAGGTTTCACTTGCTCGGACAAGGCGCAAGGCACCCTCAATATCCGGTATTTTCAGTCTTTTCAAGACGCCGTCAGCGAGCTTTAATGGATCCTGGTAGAATTGTTCCACCTCCTTTGAAGCCCTTCTGGCTAGTTTTCGATCTTCCTTTTCCTGTTTGTTCAATAGCTCTTTGCTTCGTGAGCCAGTTCCCTGCTCAGACAATACCAATTCCTTGGTCTCCGAAGGACGAATGGAGTCGTCTTCGTCTTCGTCTTGCTCCTCCTCTTCAGCCCGTTCGCTTCTCAATGCTGCTCTGTTCCTGTCTCTTGCCAGTGCGTCCTGCCTCTCCGATTTGGTAAGTGGCCATGGTTCCTTGCGACGCTTTGCACCAAGTGGTGAGAGCTTTTTCTTCGATCCCGCATTGAGTCTGATCAGGTCGCGACGGTGGTGGCCTCTGTTCAGCGATGCCAAAGTGGCATGATTTCTACGACTGCCAGAAAAGGCTTGGGTGACCTTTCGACGAGTAACCAAATTTGACGATGTCGTTACAGACTTCTGGAAATCAACGAATAACGCAGTAGGAGATGCATCAAAAGCGAGATTTTGCAAAGCCCTTCGCAAGCAGGTATTACAAGTGCGCATCACAAGAAACTCAGCACAAGACAAGGCGCGAAAGGAGCGACGATGTAAAATAGAGTGATACAAATTGAGTGGATGGGATATTCTAGTATCCAAAATGGCAAGAGCAATGGGGTGTGCAGAAAAATTCCGGCAATTTTGTTTCGACCTTCCTGGACATCGCAGGAGCGTGCTTCTTCTTGCACACAAGCAGTCGAGATGTGCAGAAGCCTTCACAAAATTGGTTGAGTACACGTTGTTTGGCGAGACATACATTCCCCTACGTATGATAGTCATAGAGTTGCTCGCCTGGAGTCCTGTGTCGGCGACATTGATCCATGGAGTAGAGATTTTACGATCTATCAGGCCACCCCCATCCAGAAGAAGAGCCGCCGCCACCCGTAGACGTCTTGATGTCTTCACTCGAGCACACAATGCATAGTAGCCTCGCTCTCCGACCTTTATCGTCAAGTACTTCTGAACGCCCAGGCCACTCGTATCCCAAATTGTCTTTTTACTTTCCACCAAGACGCGGGCTCGCTTCTTAACGAGCAGTTTCTCTAGTGCGGCGACCTCTATCCAATCCTCTGCTAGTATGTGTTAGTGATTTTAGCACTCCCGTCGAGCGTTGGTGTCACACCAGGGAGGAACTACTGCTAGCTTAGAGGTCGTCATACAGAAGGATTTCATGGTTTCAAAGCTGTCACATGTTCATCCTCGCAGTTGCGCTACAGTAGTCCCTCTGAGAATCCGAGATCAACGGAGGCTAGTGGAAAGGTCCATACTGAACAATGCTCCTACGTATGCAAGCTTGTATACATACGGCCCAAGTCTGCGGGACCTTCGGCTAGGAGCCCAGCAGGAGTACTCTTCGAGATTCTTTCTTGGTGTTAGTGTAGGTTTAGCTATTGCAAGATCCGGGGTTCTTCACCTCAATGATATGCTCTTAAGCTCATAAACTTTCAACATTTCCGCAAACTCTACGGGAAACAGATCCGAAGTATATGTAGTGGAGCACTATGTAAACATCATCCATTCCTTATCGAGGAGAGATGCCATGCTTCACTACAAGGAATCTTCCTGCATAAAGCTCTACCACGGTATTGTGTAAGAGAGCGAACGGTGTTGTTTCTGCATCCTTGTATAGAATTTTCGGGCCACATTTTGGTATAGAGACCATCCGAATCCAGCAAGCTCAAAAGGTGGTGGTGCCGCTTACCACATGCTCCGTCTTACGTTGCGGATGGCCTCAGTACGCAACGTGGTGTCTTGCGGTTGATTGAGCCACAATGGACTCTGTCGCATCATGTATGACCCTCTTGTTACGGTTGCACAACGTATTCGGTATTACCAACGCAGCTGTGCCCACTGCCATGACACTGGAGAACGGAACACTTGCATGTTGTGCGACATAGCCAAAGTCAATAAAAAGGCAAGGAGCGCCATGTATGCAAGTCGGTCCCGTTCCGGGATGCTTGTCCACGATTTCGTTCTGAGACTCTGCTGGTAGAATGACGGTCGGGCAGTACTAGCAACGCACAGTCAACCTGAGTCGTGAGATTCCAGGATCGTCCGTGATGCTCTGCCTGTTCAGCATTAACAATCCTGCCTGTAATTGGTCTTCTCCTTATGTTCTTGAACTAAAGTCTACAACCATACACCCATATACATATACCCCATTAACGTTCCAAAAAAAGTCTCCATGAAACCATGATCCATGATGCAGCAGTGACCTCTTGACACAAAAAACGTCTTATTCACTAGGTCGACACCATTCCCTTTAGTTTAGTTCCTTCAGGCCGTCTCACAACTCGCGGCTCGATTTCTTGGGGGGAAAGCTGCTAAAAATCTCAGCCAGTGCAAGACTACTTTAGTACGTGCTTTCGTCGAGTTCCATGCCGCTATTTGCTGATCCTTGAAACGCTTCGTCTCAGTGAGTGGTGTAGATCTTTTTGCCGAAACCTGACGTGCTAGTGGTATGTATGGAAGGCGAGATCCTGGTCGTCGCTGTTGGCGCAGCGTGTGTATCCACGTACATTTCTATACCATATTGCTGTGTCCTCCCACATCACGAATTTTGGGATCATTCTACAACACAAACCAAGAAGGCACATTGACAGTAGCTGCAAAGAGGACAATTTACATCATTAATTTTGTGATTTAGTCTTATCATTTACACTGCAATGCTTATCGCCCACTTTGGCGAGGTCTATTTCTCCAACCACAAACGACTGATCAAGGAGCAGTCTTTTCGCCCTAGTCATACAGCTCCGTGGAGTGTATGTGTCGATCATACAATCGTCTTCGTCTGGTCCTGTCAAATATTTTGATGGTCTTTTGTACGAATAAGTGACAAAGAAACGCCGAGCTTTCCCGAAACAAAATAGATGCAGAAACGCAACAGAAAAAGGTGTCGTAAACCCATGCAAGCCGACATTTGGACCCCCCAATGACCGGTAACCAGCCTATCAACACCTTTGGATGCTAATCTTATGTTGACTCTCATGTCTCATTACGTCCTCATTTGTTCGCTTGGGGTATCATAGGAATATGAACATTGATCATGCTGAAACGACGAGCTGCGACCATACTAATCAAGCCACTAGTAATGGCCTGGTTGGGCCTCTGAAAAACGTCAGAAGCATTTTCATTGAGAGGTTCGCTTCACTTACGTTGCTGGTAAACTTGGCCTTGCTGCTGGCCGTATGGTGAATTGGGATATTGGGGATAGTGCATGTTGCCATTCCCCTGAGGTGGATATCCCATTGGCTGGGCGTATTGACCTTGTGGTTGGCCATCTGCGTTTCCATAGCCAATAGGTGGGAGAGAAGGTCGAGCGCCGTTCTGTTGGTATGCTTGACCCTGAGGATGTTCTGCACCTTGTCCTTCGACACTGTGCTGGGCTTGTTGTTGTGCCTGAACGTGAGCCTGACGGGCGCGCTCGTCCTCAGCTTTTCGGGCATTCTCTTCCTCCTTCTTTCGAGCCTTCCACTCTTTCCTGATTTCCTTGAACTCTGTAGTCACATGTTAGTCAGGTTTCACAGCCTAAACTAGCGTGTTCATTGTTCGGCTAGTGCGACTAGCTTGCATCACGGTTCACGTACCTTCAGGTGTCCGCTTTGAGCCGTGAGACTGCATGGTCACGTGTGCATTCAAATGGTTCAGTGTTCCATATGCTTTTTCACAACCATTCCAGCCACACTTGTACATTCTTTCTATTTCTTCGTACCGTCGGCGTGGACGCTTGTGCTGCTGAGCGCCTGGGATAGGGACGAACGAGTAAACCTGCACGACATGTGAGCTACAGTTCAGAGCTGCCTCAAAGGCGCAATTTACCTGGCCAGGTCGCTGAGGACCAGAGGTTGGCGGTGGTTGACCTACTGCACCGGGGTGATGGTATTGACCTGGCATTGGGTGCTGAGGTGGATATCCAGGCCATGGGCCAGGTTGAGGAGCTCGGTCGTAATTGTATGGAGGCGCTTGGTGCTGCGCATATTGTGGCATGCCGTCTTGACCTGGACCAGCGCCGTAGGGAGAGTATGGAGGATAGGTAGGACTAGCCTGAGAAATCGAAGGATCTATTGGTACGTCTGGGTTAGAATTATGATTGGCATGTAGATGGGCTCTTGACGCGCCATCAGGGAGGGACTGTGACGGACTTGGTTGTTGAGCCATAGTTACAATAGGTCCTTGCTGGTGTGGCGAACGTGCGTATTGCGAGTAACGCGCAAGATGATCTTGAGAGTACTTCGAGGCAGCTACCTGGCTGTAGTCTGACAAAGGTGTCCCGTTACTCGATAACGTGGCCGAGCGAGGATCTTGGGTCGAGTATGTTGCAGCAGACGACTGATCTAATTGTTCGAAAGTTGATTTAGTAAACGTCGCGTTGTGAACAAGTAGCGCGTTGTTTGCGATGGGTTGCTAACCTGACTGCGCGTACCCTGCACCTCTGTCCATCAACTTCCTTCACTAAAAACACTGGAGGGAAGCTTCGCAACGTCAACGTGACGCGACAGTGAATGTCCTTCACTCTCAAACAAAAAAGTGTTGACTAGTGAAACTGAGGTCCAGTCAAGCACCAACCAACAATTGCCCGGTAGGTAGGTAGGCAACTAGCTAAGTTCGCGTGAAGAATGACGGCAAAGAATCGTGGCACGGCGATATTTTAGACCAGAGACGGGCGCGGACTGAAGTCAGGAACAAGAGCGAGATTAAGCTCAAAGAGTCGTAGTGGGGGAGCACCAGTCAGGTGAAATCAGCCCCCAGGAGATCAAATTACGGAGTAGCTCGAGCAGAAAGGCCGTTGGTTTCCTTCGTGGCTCGAGATCGACAAGCGGCGTGCTGTGTCGAGAGAGTGGACGAAATGGTAGTTGCTCGAGCCAGGCACCTTCGAGCCGACAATGGCGTGAACGTGCCAAAGTAACCTGAATTGACTCCGTCTAGGCTGATAGTGCAGAAGCCTGACCAAAGAAGAGGATGCGAACTAAGATAGAGCACCAAACAGGAGGGAAAATCAACTCGACCAGATTGGAAGCTTGCTGTAGTGCGAAAAATGGCGCAAGCGATCTAGTGTCTAGCTTGATGACTTGGGATCTTATTTGTACTTGGGTTTTTGTCTGAATAATAATTTCTCCCCGTCCCACACGCCGTTGAGCGGTGGATTCGTGCTTAGATCCAGCACAATCGTGCGCACAATGACCTCACCACGTAATTCCAGCGGCCAGGCGTCGATTGTAAGAGGTCGGGCAGGTCAGGAAGCACGCCGCAACCAGGAGATGCGAAGTGAAAATCTAGGAGGCGCGTGTCGAGCTCGTGACCCTTAGTCGTAGCAGGATGTGCCTATCGAAATGAGAATGGCGAGATCTGGAGACCCAAGGTTACGTCCCAGAAAGCAGCAGGAGTGGATATTGGTTGACCGCTCTCCTGCTTTGCATCGCTATTCCGTCTCCTGCGTCGCTGAGGTCTCTTTTGATGGGGCTGTTAATGCCGAGAGAGATGCGTGGAACAGGCAGAGGAGCGCCACTGTCCGGGACGGTATACGGTGGATGCCAGCGAACTAGTGTGTGATTCGATAGATAGAGTTGAACGCTTCGCTCGAGACGTGCTAGGCGGAGGACACTAGCAGCTTAGCTACCTACGCTAAGGGAAAGGTGGAAGACCACCGAGCGATACCTTTTGGATTTGCAGCTCCTTGATGTGGAGAGCCGTACTGCGTGCCCAACACTTGTAACTCGTGGTTGGTTGTTTCTTTTTGCGATGAAAGCTGATCAAACTCTACTCAGAGCAGGACCAAAGGATGACAGGTCTACCAAAGTTTAGAAGGAGCGATAAATGACAGGAAGAATTTTGAGCAGGCACGGACAACCTGCCTCTTCTAATACGGTGTTCCGCGTGCACGACAAGCACCAATCCAGTCGATTATTCGACTGCTCGTATAGGCTACTGTAGAGTAACAACCATATCTCGAGCGCACTCGACTCGCGGCAGATCAGCTGTGGCTCCAGTCAAACGCTAGAGTATGAAAGGAGCACAATTCAGTTCCATGGCTCTATCAGACACGGCTCCGAGTGGCTACCTTGTTCGCTTTTCTCCTCCACTCAGTCTCATGCCTATCCCTCTCCACCAGTCGGGTTTGTCTCCAAGCTTGAACTGGTGCGGATTATCATGCTACTGTGGTAATCATGAGCTCGTGAGAAGGCAACATCTGGTTAGTGCATGTGCGTGGCTGTCAATCACCACTGGGCAAGGACTGCATAGGAAAATTGTCTACCCAGTATCATGGCTTTAATCGCGGACTTATCTGCCACTTCGTCTTTCCTGGTACTTGCTCATGCATGTGTGGGGCGCGAGGAATGCTCGACCAGGATCGAGAAGCGCCTGGCCGACTCCGATTGTCGTATGTTCGCTATCACACCGAAACTCTACCGAGCTTGAAAGTTGGAAGCAATTTGGAAAATTGGTTCCTAGCAGGGCGAGGAAGTCTTGTTCCTTTTCCCCTGTCAGATCATACGTATAGGTAATACTATATTGTGTTGCGAACATTATCTGAGTAAAATGAAGAAGTGATCCAAATACACCATATGGCATGTGCTCCACTACACAATGCTAGCTGGACAAAGCCCTGCAGTAGATGAACGGGTCGGATCTAGCTTAACAATTGAGGCCAGTGAAAGCATGGCACAGATATGACGACTCGCTTGTTTTAGTTGCATGAGCATGCCTCGAGCCAATACATACCTGCATCGATTGCTTTGATTGCCTCTCGTGTGGTGTGCACACCAATTTTGTTGTACATGTTTTGTATCTGACAATACTTTGCACTGCCTCAGTACTCACCTGCATACACGTAGGATCAATGCAGGGGCTGCAATCACCATAATGGTAAAATGGTTGGGCTAGTTTGGTGATTTGAATTGTGGCTGCTCTTAGTTCGTCCAGAAAAAGAGATGCGCCCTCTTTTTGGGGAAGGTGCTTTGCCCACAGCTGCTCAACACAGTATCGTCCAGATCGATCGGGCTAATCATGGAGCTATCGTAAGCTCTTCCTTAGACAACGTGCGTCAAACATGAAGCATTCAGACTCTATTTCCTCGCGGGCATTTCCGTGCACGAGATGAAGCCTCCAAGCACCACTGCAGAAGAAAGTACACACTGTACTCAAACTTTGATTTTGACCGGACTGTCGGGCAGCGTCGGAAAATCCTCACTTGTGCCCCAGGCTCGAGTTGCGTTTACTACTAAGACCTGTGGATGAAGAGAAGGAAAAAGTGTCACTCTATTGGCCGCATGGCAACTGGGGAGATGCTGCAGCTTGTGAAACAGAGCTGCAGCCGAACTCTACGCGAGCACACGTAGGAGGAGTACGGAGAGCAAGCGAGGACCTGCTTTTTGGTCACGATTTCATGCCGAGATGTCGGTTTCTGTCACGTCAGGCCGCCCAATTGGAAAAGGATAATTTTAATTCTGAACCTCTCTGGATCGCGAAAAGGTTACTCGTATATAAACCTTTGTGTCTGCCTCCTGTTCCCAGTCCCCATCAAGCAGGTGTGTATACGTATTTATTCACGCCGTTCACGTCATATTTCCATACACTCGGCTCCGCAAGTCCGCCGATACCCATGGCAAGATGCTCACCCATCTTGAGAAGCTGCAGCCAATCAGATAGACGTAGCACTTCCACAGGGAGATCCCAGCTCGATCGAGCTGGATGCATCCCTGTCTTCGAGACCTGCGCGTTTAAGATTGCACTGAAGGTTTGTAACATAATAATCACGTTGTTTTCATATCAACTACACACGTGCGACGATGTTTTATCAACGACATCTTGGGAGAAATTCTCTCAATAGGGAAGGAAACGACAGTGGTCACAAGTGTTTGCTGGTGATGCTCGAGCAGAGAGAATGCAATTTCTTTGGTACCAGCGATTTGGCACGGATGTTCTAGCGTTGGTCTTCTGCCCAGAGGACTAATTGATGTGGAGAAGAAACGTGCTTTCAAGGAGTTTCCTTGTCATGTAACCATCCAGTATGCACGTTTTGCAAAAGTGTGATTTTGCTGCCTGGCTCAGTAAATGTAACAGGCCTGGTGGCTACAGAACATTAAATGTTTCTACATAGTGTGGTGAGGACGAAACAATGAATCTTTAATTGGGGAAACGACTGAGGGCAAGTCACTGTACCAAGTCTTCCATTTAAACGGTAAGCAACAACTTCCAACGCCGACCGTACGTCCAGCTCAGACGACTTCGTTCAAAGCATTTCCATATGAAATACCAATGCTCCGATATGATGAGTAGACAAACCCAGTTCTACCTGTTCAACTTGAAGCCATGTATTCTATTGCCTTGAAGCGCCGTCCCATGCAACAATGTTCCCAATTCTATGTGGTATCATATCATAAGAGAAAAGAACCTGCCTCTCATACCGTTCAAATTCTTCACCATCGGTTTCGTCCAAGTGGCGCGTTGTTGCCGCCTGTGTAGCCTCCTCGACCACCGCCTCGATGACCTCCCCGTCCATAGCCACGACCGCCGCCGCCGCCACCACTGTAGCGGCCCATTTCTGCCAGACGAGGATCAATGTTCTGCTTGGCTTCTGTTAGGATAGTGATAAGATCTCGCGCTTGTTTGGCATCTGATTGCGTTAGTACGTCTCGATAGGCAAGGTGGTCAAACTTACTCTCTGTGGTGAACAGTGTGATGGCTGTTCCTTTCCGTCCTGCTCGTCCTGTTCGACCAATTCGGTGAACATAGTCCTCTGAATTGTTAGGGTAATCATAGTTGAAGACATGAGTAATGTCTCGGACATCTTGAGAATGAGTTAGTCATCTCACATTTGAATGCTTACGGAAGGGTGTTGGGTTCTTGGTGCCCAGAGGTCATCATGTGAGTCAGGACACATCACTCTCGTTCTCAGAACATTGTCGTTCGAACATAGTCCGGAATGTCTGTGTCCGTGGATTGGCTGTTGTCTACGGTCCTATCGGGATTTCCTTTGAATTTGCAGCCTCATTCGGTCATTGGTGCCTCAGGTCAACCTTTGCTAAGTAGCACTAAGATTGCGAGAGTGCTGATTGCGAATTCTGACAGTCTGCAAATCACTTCAAGAAAGTTTGATACAGGGACCAGCAACAGCCTGAACACGTTGCGCGTAGAGAAGGGCGCAACAGATTGAGAATGAAGCATCAAATCACACAAGAACGCAACGACTTGGACAGCTGAAAGGAGAAGGGGTGGGAAAACGAAGGGGGTGCAAATGCAAGCATACCAATACCACGGGATGCCACGTCCGTAGCAACCATGATGGGGCTCTTTCCAGCCTTGAATTCGTTCAGGACCCAGTCACGTTCGTTTTGTTGTTTGTCGCCATGAATAGCTGTTGAGTCGTTAGCTGAGTCGGGGTACAGTGCGGGATGTAGAACTTACACAGTGCTGGCCACCCATCTTGTCGTAGGAAACGTGTGATATCGTCAGCTACTCTTTTTGTACCAGTGAAGATCAAGATCTTGTTGTCGCGGTCCTCCATAATCTGTTCTAGGTGCTTTGTCATACGGTCGCGCTTCTCGAAATCGGAAACGACCTCGACGATCTGGGTGATTCGGTGGTTAGCGGAGAGCTCCATAGAGCCAATGTTGACTTGGATATAGTCTTGCAAGAAATCTGATGCAAGTTGTCGAACGTCCTTGGGCCATGTGGCGGACCACATCACGGTTTGTCGATCGGGTCGAATCTGTCCAATAATCTTTCTAATCTGAGGCTCGAAACCCATGTCAAGCATACGATCTGCTTCATCGAGTACAAGGTAAGTAACACGTCGAAGATTAGTTTTGCCAGCCTCAAGCATATCGATCAATCGACCAGGTGTTGCGATACAGACTTCAACGCCCCGTGATAGGTCACGGATTTGCTGACCTTTGGGAACGCCTCCGTAAACGCAGGTATTTCTGATGCGGGAGGATTTGCCAAACTTTGTGATCTCTTGTTGAATTTGAACAGCCAACTCTCGGGTAGGAGCAAGAACAAGAACAATGGGACCATCGCCAGGAGCAAGAAGGGGTTGAGCATTGATATGTACGATTGCAGGGAGACAGTATGTGAGAGTTTTACCAGAACCAGTTTCAGCAATACCAACTACATCACGTCCGGACAAAGCCATAGGCCAGCCCTGCGATTGAATCGCGGTTGGTCGATCAAAACCTTGAGCCTTGACTTCGGACATGACATATGCAGGAAAGCCTGCTTCGTCGAATGTTTCTACTGGTCTTGGTACATGTCTTCCCTGAACCGTCATTTCCTTCTCTTTTCGAAATGCATCAACGTCTCGGGAGGATCGATTGGCGACATCAGGGTGTTCCTTGTAAAAGGACTTCTCGAATTTAGGTAAAGTTGACATATCCCAATGTTGCTCTTTGAGGCCGGATCCTAGTTGTGACATTTTGTCGCCGCCACCGTTGCCGTAACCTCCGCCTGAGGAATAGCCATTGGAGCCGCCGTAGCCGTGAGAAGCACCTCCAGAATAGCCATTGCCGCCACTGTAACCGTTAGAGTGACCATTTGAATAGCCACCGCTGTAGCCATTGCTGTGGCCGCCATCGCGGCCTCCGTATCCACCTCCGTAAGACATTGTCAAAGAATGTAGGTTGCCTGAAGTGAAACAGGAGTGAGTGCAATTCTATACCGCGAAGGATCCTGTAAGTCAACGAAGTGTATCGCTTGCTTTTCGCAAGGGACTTCAGGTGTTTTGGGAGTGTGTAATAGAAGAGTAGACAAAAGACTGAGCGATGAAAGATGTCAAAAGTAAGGATGTAGAAGGGGCGCAGATGAAATTTTTGTGACAAGAAAGACTGCCAGGCAGAACCGTTGGCGCTAGCCAAAAATGGTTAGAGCTTTTACAAATCTTCAACTTGCTGCATCACATCGTCGGTGAGACGAGTAAGAGGCTACTATTCATCGATACGCGGCTCAAAACATTCAACTTTTGCAGGCACGATCTTGTTGTGCAAGTGAGACGTCACTGCACGACTTCGAAACTCTAAGTTGGAAACTGTGAAGTCGTGAATGATTTCGTTAACGGCCATACAACTTCAAGTGTCTGAGAGCCTGTGAGTCAACTGAGAACAAAGGTCACTGAAACCAATTTGCAGTATTAGTTGATGAAGTTGCAGAAGTCGATTGTGTCGTGTCCGCCGATCATGCCTGCACTGCCAATTTTCTTCCACCATCACCACCATGACACGCACCAGAATCGCCTAGCCAACACTCGCATGAGCACCAAAGTCCCAGAAACGTACTTCAAGCTCTGCAGCTCGAATGAAGATAGATATCAGCTCCTCGATTCTCGATGGCGACTGTTTTATCACGCTTCTCTCAATCAGATCTGTGCACGTATTAGTATTGACTGCTTACAAGTCCATGCGACGACATACCTGATCCAACCCTAACCGCTTCCTGGTAGTCGTCGGCCACATAGTTCTCTATCCATTTCCAGTAGCGATTACCGTCGTGCTTGTCGCGATATTCAGTATGCAGACGCTTTGCAGCAATACCATAGCCCAACAGACAAGGAGCCAACGACATCTGGAGTGCCAACCCATCCTGCGATTGACCAATGTCGAGCACATACCGACTATATGCCGTACATGCTAGACTCTCTTTGTGAGCTAAGATGTCTCCTTTGGAAAGACCAAATTCCTTGCAATAATCCAAGTGTAGAGCCATCTCTCGATCAATGTGTAAAACAATTTGAGCTGCGGCTGTAATGGCATCCATCCCTGTGCTCTTGTAGGCTGCCAGCGCATTCGTCCTTGCAAAATGCGTCAAGTATAGGTAGTCCTGTATCAGATACTCTTTAAAGGCGCCAATGGGAAGGCTGCCATCGCCCATCTGAGTCGCAAATGGGTGACATGTATACTTCTGCCACACAGAACGTACATCCTCTCGATCTAACAGATACTCGATAAAACCACCTTCGACAAACGGCAGAATCTGCACATTATGAAAATGGTTGATTGGGCCTGGGCCTTTGCTGAAATCAAGACTTTTCTTGATGCCCATTCCGACATACTGGATCGACCTCCGAACGGCTTTCTTCAGCTCATATCCGAGAGCCAGGTTCGCAGCAACTGCGCTGGCTAGGCTGCAGCCTGTGCCGTGAGTGTTGTGACTCCGTGCATAAGCACTTTCATTCAGCACAAGATCGGTCCCGTCAAAGAGGACGTCGACAACTATCTCTCTCTCCTCTTCATTCCCTGCCTTTACGAGTTTGCCATCTTGTCTCTTGAACGGCACGTGTCCACCCTTCAGTAACACCGCCCGTGGTCCCAGATTCGCATACACATCCTTCGCGAGCTGCTTTAACCCGTCCAAATCTGTAGGACTCCTGATATCTTCCTGATTTCCTTCTTTCAGCATAAGGACTGCCTCTGGTACGTTCGGTGTTACTAGTTCGACATCTTTCACCAAGTGATGCAACAAGCCACGAACAGCATCTCCTGGAAGTAGTTGTGCCCCACTCGTACTTATCATTACAGGGTCGAGCACTATTCTGTCTGCTTTAGCGCCTTTCTCGTTCTTGTTCTTCCACTCTAGCAGTTTGTCGGCCACCACTTCGACTGTAGCTGCTGAGGCAAGCATGCCAATCTTGACGACATCGCAGCCAATATCACTCAAGCACGCATCGATCTGCTTGGCGAGAAAGGACGGGGGAGTGATATGCACATCTGAAACTCCAAGTGTATTCTGTGCGGTCAATGCCGTGATGACCGTCTGAGCGTAGACGCCATGAGCATATAGAGCCTTTTGATCAGCCTCGACTCCGCTATAAAGTGTGATTTACTAGTCAGCGCCATCATGCTTTCGACGTGCAGGGTTAGGTCCGTGATTGCGAGCACGCGGAACATTTCATCAAGGGAGAAGTCTCACTTACGCCCCTCCCGAGCTGTCGGAGCCTGCTATCACCAGAACTCGTGGAATAGTAGTACTCATTGCGTGTCTAGGGCTCGCATTGAGCCTGAGATGAATGGTCTACATTCTGGCCGTAAGTTGGTATAATACGTATGCCAGCAAATACGCGATTGCAGTCGATGGAGACTACGGTTCTCGTAATGGTTGCAAGATTCAATTCCCCACACCGAACGAGGAAACGTCATCACGTATTATGGGAGTGTTGAACTCCTTCTGCTGGGATGGGCAGGTCAGGACAGCGTAGTACATCTACTGAAAATGTCTCAATATCGTCTGGCCAGCAGACTGGATCTATTGACTTGATATTGCTGACTCCATGCTCTCTTGTTGTCTCAGATCCACTTTCCTTCATGTGTCCGAGCACACAAGTGTTGGGGGAAGGTACCATTGAGTTCGGACTTTCCTATAATTTTATTGTCTTTACATCCGCAAGACTGCAACAATCAATCCGCTCAAGCAGATCGAAGTTGTCTCTCCGATACGCACTATGGCCTCCAGGAATTCTGTGTGAGCATTTCTATAAGTCACAGCGCTATATTCTTTCAGTGCTTCACTCCAGACTCGCATCTCGATGTACTTGCTGCCAGATCAGCCCATGTACAGGACGCGACCTGTAAAAGCAACTGCAAAGAAGTAGGCTTGGGACCTTCCAGATGACCTGACATAGAATACGCACTGATCCGGAATGGGTTTCCTAGCCAAATTCATCAGTAAAAGATAGTGAAGCCTGACAGTGGCGGTAATCGTGAGTGCGCCGATATCGTGCCGTGTGAACGTTATGCCTGCAGCTTCATTCGCATAATCTATCATGGACGATCTCGCAGAATTCACTCAGCTCCAAGGACAATCCCTATTAGCAAGCCTGCGTGCCAATTTCTTGAAACAGTGTACGGGCAACACAACAAGTGTGGCGATGTCCATGCATCTGGTAACGCCAGAGTGCAGGTCGGTAACAGCTACGCGTTCAATAGCTTCGGACCACAACTAGATACTGTGCAGAAACTGCTAGATGGTCTAAGCTTTCCCCAAATGAACGACCGCAGAGCTCAAATCTCAGCCTCTTGCCCCGATACCGATCGCTGGATTTTTAGCGAAGCGAAGCGAAGCGCGACGTTACCAAATGGGAGTGCTTCATTAGTTGGCTCTACGTGAAGCAGAGCAACCAAAAAACATATTGGATTTCTGCAAAGCCTGGAAGCGGCAAAAGCACTCTCATAAAGTTTCTGGACACGAGCCTCTTGCATGGGGGTCATTTGACTCGTTGGTTCGAAGGAGGAAACGTTGTCCTGCTGCAGCATTACTTTTGAAGTTCGGGAAACCAGATGCAGAAATCCGCTGAAGGCCTCTTTCGCCATTTGCTCATTCAAGTATTGAAAGGACATCCACGATTACCGAATCATATTGTGACTGGGATACACGGAATGACTGCCGGTGCTCCTATGACATCGTGGGACCATATCTAACCTTGCCGGCATCTTCGAAGACATCTTGGTGGTTCAGCAGCCAGACACGAAGTTCTTTTTGCTTATCGATGGTCTTGATGAATGCGAGGATCACGATGCTCTCGGTGTGGGTTTACTAATGCGCCCAGAGTCCGCCGCAAGACGAGAACTAGGACGAGCGCTGACTCTGTCTTCGACGAGGATGTATAGTGCCCTGATGGTGCTACTCCCTTGACAGCCAAACATCATCAAAGCTTACCATGCCGTCAGTTGATTGAAAGTGATCTTCGATGTCTTTTTTTGCACCAAACGCTCCCAGTTCGAGCTGATGAACTTTGAGCTTTCGTCTCCTTTCCCATCAGCCATGGCTATTGCACGCTGCATTCTTTATCCCAAGCCCATCTCGTTCGTTTGTGGTAATACTTTGGTGGAACCAGTAATCAGACACGGTTGTGGGCAGATTCTGATCGGGTTGAATGTATACAAGCCTGGATATATGCCACCAGGTAACAATTGCTTCAACAAGGCCAAACGCCCCGCGCGATGATATCCTTCCCTCAGAATTTGCTAACGTGCTATGTATTCAATGTCTCTAGTGGTATTGCGAGGTTTAATGCTATCAAATGTCTAGTTCCTATCAATGATTTTCCGGTTCATGACTTGGCCTCCGCCTATCAATGTATGTCTGCCAATTTACTCAACCGTGTGACCTTGCCTTCATCCTTCCGACGACAGGTCCATTCCCGTCACATCAGATAACGGTCCTGCGTCTTCAACGCTCGCTCCATCCACATCCACATATCTCTTCCTCCTGCAACCTCGCCCACCATATTAGGACCAAATGCTGGGTTATCTTTCATAAGTGCCTCTTGCTGCTTCGCAGGCATATCTATGTTCTTCAGACGCATACCCATCGCAAAGCGGTCTGCTATAGTGAGTAGCTCTACGACACCTTCGGTCTGCCACCAAGCTGGATGTGAGTGGTAGAAGACCAGCAGCATCTCTTCCCAGGACCCCTGTGAGGAACACTGTGGAAGGCCGTTCTCTTCCAGATGATCATTTGCTTCCCAGAAATTTCGCCAGAAATGGAAGTTGGCTGTACAAGTGTAGCCTCCGAGCTTTTGACACTGCACAATCAATCGGTTCTCGAGTGCTTCGAGCTCTTGTATTGACAGACCAACCAGCTTTTGAGATAACGGACTGCTGATCGATGATAGTTGAACTTTGTCGATGATCTCATTGGGCCAATTCCTGCCTTCAAGCACCTTTCGGCACAAGCGAAGGCTTCGTACGTCAACCAAAAGCTTGACTTTCAGAAGCAATATGGCAATCGCATGATTCAGGTCAAGGAACCTCTGATCAAAATACGTGACATCTTCATATGCATCGGCATCATGAGTACTCAAGTACGATTCGCCGTCTTCGCGCCAATCCTCTTCCACCTGGGACTCAACCATCCACCACTTCACAAAGTCGTAGCACTCTTGATCACGATCGAGCTGCAACAGTAGACAAGGCAAGATATCCCGAATACCCATGTTGTCGTTTCTGCATAATCGAAGCATATCTCGGTAGTGGTCAACCATTTCAGCGATTGAGTCGAGTGTAGCAGCTTCTCTCAACTGGACAGTCAGAGCGAAACGAGCTCTCATATAGTCTCTCGTGTTCAGAATACCCCAGAAGTGACCAACACTAGTTTCAAAGGCATTGGCTGGGGTCATGAAGTCTGGTGTTGTGTTGCGTACCAGGTTTTCCTCCTTGTTCAGTTTGTTCCGGCTCTTCTTGATTTTGGAACAGATAGCTTTGTGGTCGGCTCGGTGTTGGACCTGATGCTCTTTCGAGCAGTATCGAACTGCTTTGCAGCCTGTGCATACCAGTAGTTGATGTGCAGAAGTCGAGCACGCTGCACATCTATGTATGAGTTGACCTCTCGGTCCCAATTTGTGAAGTCATTCGTTTTCTTGTTCGTCTTCTGATTCCGTGGTTCCAAATCTTGTGGGTGGCATGCAAGACATTCTGTATTGAGTTTTCTGTGCTACGACAATAACGTGATTGGCTTGGCACGACCGTCGATTGGTCTAGAGCGATTCAGCTAGTGGCAGGCTGTGAAGCCTTCACGTTTGTAAGACAACAGATGAGTGTTATTGCACGATTTTTGCAGTAGACGAAACGACGCAGGAAGAACTGCACGCTTTCAACGAACAGAAAGGGCGGTGGCAGTAATTACTATCTGAACTGATTGAGGGCAAGCACGCTAGTACAAAATGGTCAACTGTTTCTGGGGAGGGAGGGATACTTGCAGTTGGAGTGAATGCAGATCGCAAACGTTGGTGCTTTGATATTGTATCATGGACGACGATGACTTGGAGCACATTCGTGGTTTCTAAGTACAAACTTCGCTATGTTACCTCAAAGCATATCCAAATAATGTGTCCATCTCTACCCATTGTCGACCACACTTTCTCAAATAAGCATCAACTACTCCTTTGAAACCCTGAAACCGCTCCATGTTCGTCTCTGCGAGTACAAGCACCCGCTCCTTCTTCTCCTTGTCTTCATCCTCAACCTTAATTTTTCCGTCTTTGAGTCCGTCCTTGACTTTTTGGCAGTCCCACAAACTGGCAAAATATAGCAATTGATTGTAAAGTTGTTTTTCGCTATACTCGTAGCTCATACGTCCACGACATTGTCCGTCGGCTCGACCCATTGGACCCAAACATCTGGTTCCATACACGGACATTTGACGTGTACGTTTGCTGCATGTTTCATCACTACACATCAGCCAACCCTCGTAATATTGGCTTGTTTGTTCCCGGATCTGTGCCTCAAGCTGGCAGATGATTGAGATGTTGCTGAATGGTGTTCTGCAGCCTGCATTGCCACAAATTACACCCGATGGCGTAAGCATTTCTGTACTCTCAACGAGGCCGCCGTAGGTCGATACTTGCTTACATTGACGGCATCGAAGAGTCAAACGAACAGCATCCTTGAACCTGATCTCATCCGGTATCTGAGATTCCAATGGGAAGATTTCTGTGCTTTGCTTCTCACCACCAGAGCTCGCAGAAATAGCGTATTTCCGTGTGTCAAGCCCAAGACAGTCCGCCAGCCGTACACTGTCAGTGCCTGGAATTGGAGCGCACAAGCGCTCGATGGGCGGGAAAATCTGCTTGTAAAGATAGTACTCGATGTCCGGTTGGAGATTGCTGTCGGGTTTAATGACGTCCTGGAATTTGTAGGCACGCTTTGGTGCAGGTTGTCCTTTTGTTTCTTCGGATCCTAGCGTGACGATGTAGCCCATCACGTCGTTGACTCGAACTTGACGTCCTGCTGCAATCTCCCGAAGCGCAACCTGGACTTGCGGCATGCTTTCGGGGTTGGGATAATCTTTTGGATTCTTGCCCAGTTTCTACCAACGAGGTTAGCAATGTAATCGTGGAACTTGTCTGCGACAGTACTTACTGTGAAGATTGTGTATTTTTGAGTAGGAATCTGCATTTCTCTCATCTTCGTCGAGAGGTCTCTCAAGTATTCGTGGATGTTGTTCAGCACAGTTTCCGAGTCATCACCAGACAAAATCTCGTTAAGAAGTTTCTCTGATGCCTCTTTAGATAGTGCACAATATTCTCGCCTCTTCATGTCGAGGCCTTTCACTTCTAGCTTGTCGACATATTGTCCATCGACTTCAGCCATGTTGATAGCAGCGTATTTCTTCTTGGCGTGCAACAGCAGCCTTCGAAAGATATTGTCGATATCGATTTCAAGAAGTTTGTAGCTGTCATTGACTGTACGCTTGAATTCATTGCCAAGTTTCAGGGCATCACGAATGTTGTCAACGCCAGTGTTGATCATGACCGAATCGGTATCACCGTAGATGACCTCCAGTTGCTTCGATTCAGCTAGGTCCTTGGTGCTTCGCAGAATTTCACGACCTTTGTAGGTGGTAAGCATCGCCAGAGGTCGAGCATAGAAACGAGATTGAGTGTAACCAAGGCAGCCGTACATCGAGTTTGCTGTCAGTTTCAAGGCTAACTGCTTCGTGTCCCAGAGTGCAAGATCTTCAGGTGATGCTCTCTTGTCTTTCATGAGACTCTTGACGGCTCGTCTTCGCTTGACTAAGGTTGAAATTAACTTTGGTAGGATGCCAAGCTCAACATCTGATGCAGGTACTTCAGGCACTTTTTCATCTTGGTCGTTCGTAACATCACTGCTGAGAGTTCGATCGACTGTGGTGAAGCATATATTGTACTCCTGGATGATGGATGGATATAGTGAGTTGAAGTCCATGACCAGAATGAACTTATCGTACAGTCCTTCTTGAGGGTCGAAAACTAAGCCACCCTTGTATTTGTCTTTCTTCTTCGAGCCAGTTTCTTGCACTTCATCGTCGTCATCCAACGACTCGACTTTTACGGCTTGACGACCTTTACCATAGATCTTGTCAGGCACAATGTATTTGTTTCGGTGAAATTCGTGCAGCAGGATGTACTCGTTGCGTTCTGCTCTCGTACCACTAAGAGTACGAGCCCAGCTGTTACCAGCAAGCTCAGTCAAAACTTTGGTTAATGGTAGCATCTGTAATCTCAGAGCAAGAGCAGCTATATAGTATGTGTCGGCATGGCAATGAGTGACAAACTTCATGAGTCCTTCTCTTTTCGATGCCCAGGTTGTCAGCGCAGTTGCCGTATCAAACTCACGTCTTTCCTGCTTAGCATTCTTGCTCGACAGGTAGAGTTCACACATCTCGGTGAGAGACCACTGCTGGCACTTTGTCATCAGAGACTTGCCCATATCGTTGGCTAGGTCACACATCAGGCGACCTGTCATGATTTGACGTTCAGAGAAGAAGCCGCTGCCTGTTTTGCCGAACGTCTTGGGCCATTCACCACGTTTCAGTCGACCAATTCGATGCCAACCAGGCGTCCTCTTCTCACGAAGACGAGACAACAAGGTGCTGTAATCGACTTCTTGAAGGTTGTGGCCAAGCAGGACGTCGGGATCCTTACGCTCAAATAGAGCAAGGAACTTGGAAAGCAGGAACTGCTCGCTCTTCTCCAAGAAGAATTTGCTATGAGTTTGTTTCTTTGTGTCACCCTCAAAGCCAATGGGGTATGAAGTACCATTTGGTGGACGCATCACTGTGAAAGTCTCGGAAGGCAGTCGTTCGGGTGGAGTTGTGTCTGTGAGAGAAACATTCTCGTAAACTCGTGCTGAGACCATGACTATCTCTTGCTTGTTCTCCTTGATATTGAGTTGTGTCCGAAAGGCAAGCGACATAAGGGTCAGCTTTGGGACTTCGAGTTGTTCGGTTTCTGGCACAATGCTGATATTGTTTGGTTTCGCAACCGAGCATTCAAGCTTGCACCAGGAGGCGTTGTTGACAGTGGTGAAGTCGGCGTCTCGAATACTCAGCCAACAAGGACCCATGATGTTCTTCCAAAGCACGAATTGCTCAAACAGAGCTGTGTTGGTGCCAAAAACCCGAGAGAAAGAATCACCTTCAGTTTCAATTGGGAGAGCAGGCTTGTCGTATGGATAAAGCAACTTCAGATATTCACTTTCTTTCGGCACGTCTGGAAGCTCAAAGGCGTACTTTCGAGTTGAGGGCTTGACCTTTCGAGTCGTGACCTTCATCCTGGACATCAAGTTGTCAACTTCCTCGTAGACGTCGTTCATGTCGACCTCCTCGGTAGTTTCTCGACCATTCTGGTACTTGTATTTTCGGGGCAAAAAGTACAACTTCCTCAAGATATTGTCAACCTTGACGAAGGCACTCAGATATTGACCCGTCTTTTTATGCTTGACTTTGCCAAATAGGCACAAGCTGCCATTGATATCGGCATAGTCCAACCAGAATATCCGAAGGCTTCCATCTTCCTCAATCGCATCCTGCGGCATCATCTTGGCGAAGGAGTGAGTCTGAGCAGGTGGACTGCTAGCAATAGCGAGCTTGCTGGTGAGGTCGTTCCAAGCATCAGCATCAGCATCTGCCGCGTCTGAAGGTGGTGGTGAAGAGGATAGAGGACTAGGTAGCTGCTTGATCTTTGGGGCAGGCTTGTTGCCTTTGATGTTTATGCTCCTGGATGTTACGTTTGTGCCGGCCACAGCCTCAGCGACATCCATCATGTCTTCGTCCTCTTCTTCTTCCTTGATCTGGAATTTTGCTTTTCGTTCAACGGCTTTGGCAACAGGAGAAGAGGGCAGTGGATCGCTCATTGGCACGTCATCGTCGCCCAGAGTGTTGATATTGTCATCGTCGAAATCTTGTTCAGGAGGTGTATTTTCGGCTACTGGCTCAGGAGCTGCGGCCGTGATGGTTTTGGTCTTGTTCTCCCTCTTTCGCGTAGGAGGAGGTGACAATACACGTACTTTACGACGCGAATCTGACTTGATTGTTTTTCGATTGTAGGATTGTGCTGTTGCAACGTTCGTGTCAATCTCGCCTAGGAGATCGGCCATGAAAGCTTCGTCCTCAGCAGTAGTTAAGACCTGATCTCGTTAGCATGCATTTTTCGCTGGTTTATTTCCTGCTTACCTTTGGTTTAGGAGCCTCAGTTGTTTGGCCGTTGTTGAAGTAAGTCATTATTTTGTGGTTGTTTCGTGACGTCTTTTCCTCGTCATCCTCTCGTTTTCTTTTGGCAGCTTTTCCTCGAAGAGGCTGGTCCTCTTCTTCGGAGCTGTAATACTGTCGCTCGTTCTGCCATTCTTCGCGTCCGTCGTCGGCATAACCTTCACCATTGTCGTCCACAACAAAGTCATCTTGATTGAGTCGAGAACGAACGACTTTCTTGTAACCCTCCTCGTCGACTGTCTCGTATATGCTGCCCTGGTCCTGTACTTGGTAGGAGTCCAGACGAGAGGCTCCTCCAGCTCTTGCAGCTCGGAGAGCAGCTAGTGCTGATCGATGAGACATATTAGGTTATTGTGCAAAATAAATATTGGTCGAACAGGTGTAGTACATGTGCATAGGTACAGAAGACTGAGCGTTCGAAGACACGAAGTGTTAAAGCACAACACGCCAGACGCGTTGAGCGCGACTTCTCGTGTCGCGTGTCTGACCCCACCATAGTAGCGTCACGCACGGGTTGGAGGCTGGTAAAGCCGATAATCACCCTCTGCTTTTTCTACCACTGAGAAGCATCCAAGATGAGTCGACTATTCGAAAATTCAGTCCGAGACATCTTGCAAACTCGTCGTGACCAGCTTCAGAACCAATTTCTACTTCAAATTGAGCTTCCTCATTTGTCTCTGGCTACTTAGTTTGTGCGTTTTTGACCACCCTCTTCTACTGAAGTGCAGAAACGTATGCACAGTACATACTCGACATCGTCCTGGTGGGGACGACAAAAGTGCCACCCAGGAACCGATGGGACTGTCAGTAACAGCTTCGACCCAGGTGTATGTGCTTGAACTCTTACCTACTTCAACGATCTTCGCAAGCTACCTGAAAACCACACGACCACACTCCTCAAGCAGTGCCATGTCGTCCTCGTTGTGCACCAAGATGTCCATCTGCTGTTTCCTCCAGATCATGTCCGACAAATACGAACATGACCGCATACTCACCAAACAAAGAGCCAGGTTGGTGTATTTAATTCAGTCATGAGTCAAGCCAGGCGCCTGTGCTACTGACTCGCTTTAAATAAAGTGAACTGAGACGAGCTGAGATACAATGTCCGAAAGACGGCATGGTTTAAGTCGCTTCTCTAGTGTCCTCGGACCCCGTTCCAAGCAAGAGAATGCAATCCTGAGTCTGAACTCTTGAGATTTCTATCATCCTAGCAGAACTTGACCTAACACTTTGGCACTTCACTGCCTGCCCTCCAGCGTCCAAGTGCCAACGCATTTCAAAAAAGTGCTTACCGGATTATGTGTCGGACAGGATGGCATATCTCTCGCAACTTTTCAGAAAGTGAGTCTCGCCATCACAGTTGAGGAGTCCTAATCTTGACATCGAAGGCTGCCCCGCAAGCTGTCGTCCGTGAAGAAACACGTCGTCTCATCTGCGGAGTTTTGCCCTAAGGTTGATAAGCTGGCGGAGGACGATCCACTGTCGTTGTCTCTGCTGTCCCGTTTGCCATCACGACTTCAGCATCACGTCGTCCCGGATACTTCGGCAATGGCTCACCCTGCCCTCGCTCAAGATCTGGTACGCCAATCGATGATATCTCTCCAGATATGTTCGATCTCGCACCCACCGACAACATGTGACTGCTGTAATTTGCCTCCGGCCTTGGCCATTCCTGTCTGGATACTGTTGGGTTGTTTTTCCTCTGATCGTAATGGTTCCTGTAAACTGGTCCGTTTCTTCTTCTGGCGTGCATCACTATCACGAGGGTGACGAATATGACGAAGAACAGGATGGGTACAACATATATCAGTGACTCCATCTTTTTTGGGTGATCGTCTTGATATGAAAGAACGTTGAGATCAGTAGAGCGATGTTCGGTAGTGCATCAACTACGATCTTTGGAATGGTACTACCATTGTACATTTGAATAAACCTGCCAATGGCACGAGTCCACGACTGTGACGCACAAACGAGTTTCCGTCTACCAAGCTTTCCGAAGCTTGTGCTGGAGAACGGTTGTGGCGAACGCGGATTGTCTTCCCAGTAAGGCAGGATTTCTAGAAAATGCCAAGCGTCCTGCGCCTTGTTCCTACAACGCCAAGTAACTGGTAGATGCCGGCTATCCCGTCTTTCATGGTTACAGTCTGCTTCCACAAACCTAAATACTACAACGAGAAACTACTGTGTTGATATGCTGTCGCTGCCTTTGCGGAAGAGCATCTACAGCAATGATGGTAGATGAATTGATTGACACTCCTGTTCGAACATAGTACAGCAGGATTTTTAGGTTGTGGAGCCGGCTGTTCCTGCACAGTGTATCGTCTTTCTCTTTCCAGGCTGTTTTTTTTAGGCCGCCTCGATGCAAGCAAGGCAGGCACAGCCCAGCGTACTGGTTCTAGTCACGTTGGTTAGAATGGACACGTCTTCGACCGCAAATTCGTCATAAAGTCATGCGCCTACCTGTATACTCGATATCCTCTTAGGATCTATCTGCGACAGCGGTGTAATTATCGTTCAGTTCCCTGCACGTTTGGTGGTGGGCTAGTTGATGTGGCTCGACGTCCACTCCACCACAAATTATTGTTGTGCCTCAGCACAGCATGTACTTGCGACACAAGCGCGTCAACCATATCGTAGTCAGATTGCAACACTGCCGCAGAGACAGCATTCCTCGTACTCTTTGTTATTGTCTAGATCTCACAGCCAATGTTATCTCCTCCAGCTTTTACGAAGCATGACATCAACTCATCCACAAAGTTGGCATTTTCTGGCATCTGCGAAGCGGCCAGAAGTAGGAGTCGATAAGAATTCGAGTGATGTTCTTGTCCTGTCTCGTTTCCTTGCGAAGGCTACAAGCAGTGCTCGAGAAGACCGAGCATAGGCATCAGGAGCATCCAGTGCTGTTGAGCGAACCAGTACATTAAGAAGATACAACCAGATGCAGTGACAAGCTCAGGCTTGTATGCCAAGAGACCTTCAAGCCTCTAGGTACGATCACAGGCACAGGCACAGGCGAGACATAAGAGGTCGATGATGCAGATTCGCAAAAGAGCTGGATCAAAACGTGAGGACAGTGGAAAACGTGGAAAGCTTCAAGGTCGAGAACGAGGTCCAGCAGCTGCCAAGACTTCCAGCAGGGCAGGAACGAACTGACAATCATCAGTGTTTCCACAATATTTTCAAGGATGGATCTACGAACGACGAATTTATTGAACACCATCTACTCGTCGGTAGCAAGCATTGATGCACGAGGACCTCGAAACACGTTTTAGAGAAAATCTGTTATTTCATGCGGCCTCACGAATTGTTGAGTCGTGGATAAACTCCGTTGAAACATGGCTTGAGTAGCCTTCATCGTCATACGGGCATATAATTGTGGTATCGTACTCGTCTGGCACAAATATCTAAAACGACCCTGTGCAGACTCGTAACATCTTCTTAGCCTGAAACTTAGACTAAGGCGATACAGCTTTTTCACCAACCAGCGATATACAGAATCTAATTCATCTGCTTGATGAGAGCGTTGATGTTTTCCTCTCGGTTACCAAGATCACCACCCTCGACATAATGTCTGAACTTTCTTGTTCGGAAACCACCGTTGGGGTTGCTGAGCTTGAATGGCCAAAGGAAGTTGGAAGCCTGCTTGAAGTTTGGTCCGACGGTGTAGATCTCGTGGATTAAGTCTTCCATGCAGACAATTCCGAACTTGCCCAAGTTGTCTTCGATCAGCTGGTTGTCTGTCAAGGCAATACGCTGCTTGTCGATCTTTCCATATCCTCTCTTGTAGATCAACTCTCGGACGCTCTTCAGGTTGGGGTAACCATAGGCAATGTATGGATTGATGACAGTAAGCATCTCTTGTGTAGCCTTGGTGAGGCGGATGAAGACACCGTTGTTGATCTGGAGAAGTCGGAGGAGCTGGAGGATCTTTCGTGGCTTAGGGGCGATCTTGTTGATACCCTTGATTCGGACAACGAAGACGAGTTTGGGCTGTTCATCGACGTAGAAGTTGCCTGATTGTCGGGCTACTCGGGCGAGTCTGATCTTTTCTCGCTCGGCATCGCGATATTCTTTGACATAGGTCTCGGCTCGCTTGAAGATGACGCCTCGCTTCTCCTTGTTGGCCTAACACAATGTTAGTGATGTTTCGAAAATGAAGACTGGATAGTTGTGGCAAGGTGCATTCGCTCAGCCCCGAAAGATGGTTAACAAAGCGACAACATCGACCGAAGTCTAGTCGCGTGGTTGGTTGTGGTATCATCACCGAAAGTGCGAAGGATACGGAATCGTCTCTCACTAACCTTCTTTCTCTTCTCAATGTCAGAGTTTCGTTGCTCTCGAGCCTTCTCTTGAGCCTTTCTCTTCTTCAACAAAGTCTCAGGGACAAGGACCTGATCCTTAGTCGGTGCAGTTCTGTTTTGAAACGCATCAGTATGGTCCATGTGACAAGTAAAATCGCCGAGTCGGAACTGCAGCTATGGTGCGGCATTCTCGATCTGGTCTTTGGCAAACTCGACGAAATGACTTTAATCAGTGAGAAGAGCTTAAAGGCAGAAGTTTTACGTTCCGGTTCTTGTGCTCGTATCATCTCATCTGACAACAGCCTGCCAATTGCAGGAGTAACGTTCGCAGCTGACTCGGCGGAGAGTGCTTGCGCAAACTCTTTCGCGTGTCCAGACTGCAATCAATTTCAAGGCAGAAAGATTTCTCGATCTTGCCTCAACGTCCCAGCGTCGCATCTTCAGGGTTAAGCTCTCCATAATTATATGATTGCTCTTGTACCTCGTTTCTGCTAGCTTCGTGGGAGGATCGTGAGCTGGCGCAATTGGTGCGAACCAGCGATAAAATGGACCATACCTACGACCACGACATCAGCTGGATAAAATTAGTACTTACGACTTGACTGATTGAGCAACCATCTTGGCGGTATTGACGTGGCAGTGCGAGATACAAAGCAGTGAAGTGAAGGCAAGACACAGTCGGCGACATTGAAAAGTTTCGAGATCGTTTGTGCGGAGGTCGCGCCAAAATCGTGAGGAGACAGGTTTGCCGAAGTTGCCAAGCGCAATTTTTGAGCTAGCATGTAATCCGTTAGCGTAGTATGGCTGTTTGCCTGGAGTTCGTGGCCATCAGCCATGATGACTGTCTCATGCTGAATGGTCGCGCGGTATATCAGCCGAAGACATATCATCGTTCAAGGAATGTCCAGTCGACGTGGTGTCGGACTCGGCGCCTTCACAGATCGCACCTCTACTGCTTCAGCATACCAAACGCGTGGTAGTGAACTAAAGCAATCGCGCGCCGCCTCGCTCCTAGCACAACGTGAGGTTATCCAAAGTCTTCTTCACAACTTTGCGGTCCAACATGTCGATACCATCAAAGCCAATCCTCAGTTCCGAGCAGAGTTTGCCCGGATGTGTCATGCCGTTGGCGTCGATCCATTAGCTGGGAGCAATGCCCGTGGTAAGAAGAGCGAAGGCGGACTACGAGCCAAGGTTTTCGGTGCAGATCTCAAAGACTTCTACTGCTCCGTAGCTGTGCGGGTAGTAGAGCTGTGTCAGAGAACAGTTGCCGAGAATGGTGGTCTGATAGGAGTGAAGGAGTGTTGCGAGGCTGTGACGAGAGGACGAGCAGGACTGATAGGTGGTGGTCTACAGGTAAGCGAAGACGACATCAAAGCAGCTGTCAAAAGCCTGGAACCTCTCCACTCAGGGTTCAAAATCATTATCATTGCGGGTAAAGAGTTTGTCAGGTCTATTCCTAAGGAATTGAATACGGATCAGAGTACAGTACTGGAAATCCTGCAGCTGCTGGGTAACATTACCATTAGCCTACTTGTGCTGAACTTGAGTTGGCCTAAAGCTAGGGCTCAGACTGTGATCGATGACTTGCAAGCCGATTCACTAGTGTGGGTGGACAAGCAGTGCCCAGAATGGGAGTACTGGTCACCTCATGGACTACTAGACGAAGATTGATCATCGGAGCTATTCTAGATGACTACAACCGTTCGATGATGACTGAGCCCAAGGAGTTGCTGATCGTATTCGCAGAAGCTACGACATGTTCACTTCTTGTATTGATCCTTCAACACCCACCTGCCGCGACCTCTTCCGCCCTTGTCCAGGGTTGCAATCACCTTCAAGGTCTCTTTAAAGTCAGCGGTTGCCTGAGCAGTCGTGCAATACCGATTAAAGTGGTCGATCAGCATTTGCGTATACACACTACCACCATGAGCGGAAAGATAGTCGCGAATCAGCTTGGCAAAGTCCTTGCCACGAGGTGCGGTCGGCGTACCAGCTCGAGAGGCGGTCGACGCGGCTGAAGGTGCGGGACTCGCCATCCGAGGACTGCTGCCGGCTATACCGTCTGCAGCTGGTCGTTGTATACCTGCCAGCAGACTACTGGAGCTGATCCCACCACGATTCCTGTTGGAGCCGAAGGCTTGTCTTGCAGTCGTCTCCTGCGGTCGGCCCGAGACACCGAACTGGCCCGTCCAGGTTGGTATACCTGGTTGTACTGTCCGAGCAACCTCACCGGCCTTCTCAAGCTCTCTTGCAGCCTCCGCAGCTACACGTTTCGCTTCGGCCTCCACTAATGTGGGATCAGCCCCAGTCTTCTTGTTGTTGCCACCAATGATTGTGTCATGCTCCATTGCTGAATGTATACCCGATCTTGAGAAGATGCCCTCCATCATACGAGCTTCGGAGTTATTGGCACCTTCATGATTAGCCTGTTTCTCTTCCTCAATCTCACCAGCATATTGCTCCAACGTGGAGACGCCTGGAAGTGCTTGAATACTGGTATCACCATTCTGCTGTGTCTTTACTTCAGGTGTACCATTGTCTTGCTGTTCAGATTGCTCAGATTTTTTCATCTTCACTGCTGCGTCTTTGAATAATGTACTGGTCTCTGTGGGAGCGTCCTCTTTCGCAAGGCTAAAAAGGTCATGCAGATCACTCAGGTGGAAAGTCTGACGCTGCTTAGGGTCTTTCAGAATCTTGTTAGTAAGAAATTGTTTGAAGATTTGTCTGTGGTAGATTTTCTCCTCAATTGTTCCGGCAGTCATGAGCCGATAAATTGCAACCTCTCGCTTTTGACCAAGTCTCCAAGCACGTTCGCAAGCTTGCAGGTCCGTGGACGGATTCCAGTCTGGGTCGTAGATCAGTACTCTGTCTGCACCTGTCAAGTTGACGCCCAGACCTCCGACTTTGGTGGTAAGTAGGAACACGTGAAGGTCTGGTTTGTTGTTAAATTCGTCGACCATACTCTGACGGTGCTGAATAGGTGTCGTGCCATCCATGCGTCGGTATCGAACGCCAGGAATGGACCTGACGAACTTTTCCAGAACATCAAGCATGATTCGATGCTGAGCGAACAGGAGTGTTTTATGTCCTGTATTCTTCCACAGCTCGAGCAAAGATCCGACCACTTTCATCTTTCCTGACTTTTCAGGGTCACCGTAGTTGTATCCAGGCTTGATTGACAATTGTCTATGAGCTGTCAGATCAGGATGGTTGCAGATCTTGCGAAGGAAGTCCACCCCGTACAAGACCTGACGTTTGCCTGCCATAATTGCGTCAAGATCACCAGAGTTCAAGAAGTCTTGATACAACTTTCTCTGAAGTTTTGTCAACTTGCAGAAAAGGACTTGTTCACTCTTTTTAGGCAGATCAGCCGCCACATCTATTTTGAAGCGTTGCAACAAGTAAGGACTGATAGCATCCTTTAGTGTCTCTGCACATTTGAATGCGGTCTGTACTTGTAAGTTCGAAGCATTTGCGTAACCTCCTTGCCGAATTGGGATATCGAATTGATTTCGAAAGCTAACTAATGTGCCCAGTCGCATAGGAAAAACAAAATCGAATAGTGACCAGAGTTCGACTAGATTGTTTTGCATGGGTGTGCCAGACAGGATGATTCTGTTAGGTGTTCGAAGCTCCTTTGCGTATATAGTGATAGCAGTGTTTGGGTTGCGAATCTTGTGGCCTTCGTCAAGAACAGCATATGACCAGTCGACGGGTATCAGTAGCGGAGCATAAGACTGTAGCCCGGAGTATGTTGTGACCAAGACACCGCCCCTTTCGAGTACTGGCTGAATAATCTTCCTAGCATTCTTCTGTGCAGCAGTCAACGGTTGCTTTCGCGTATTCGGGTCCCAAACCTCATCCAGCATCTGGTCTTCGCGAGACGCCTCATGCTGCACGTTGAGCATGCCACTGCCAGAAGAATGCAGGATGATGACTCGAAGAGCTGGCCACCAGGTATGGAACTCGTTGACCCATTGCTTCATTACTGTTGCCGGGCATACCACAATGACTGGCTTATCGAGCTTGCCACTGTAGTGCAAACCAGCAAGAAAAGCAATCATCTGGATGGTCTTGCCCAGACCCATTTCGTCTCCAATAATACCACCGACCTGTTGCAAATAGAGCTCGTGCAGCCACTGGACACCTGTTTTCTGGTAATCGAACAGTGACGGGTAAATGTCTCCAGGGACCTTGTAGCCACTCTCGAATACCGTGTCTGGAATCTTTGGGTGTGGCATATATGCTTCATTGACGTCAAGCTCATACGTATTTCCTTCTTCGAAATCTTGATCCTCGTCTGCATCCTTGAAGTCGTTATGTTTAGGAGCCGCACGTTCCCGGGCATGCCGTCGTCTTCGTGCCCAACGCTGAAGACGAGTTCGATAAACACTGGGACTACCATCGTCTACTCCACGGAAATCCTCGACTTCGTCGTCTTGCAAAATCGCCTTCTTTGGTTTGCGTCTCTTCTTCCCTTCAGTCATAGGCATGTCGTCGCTGTCATCAATGAACGCCTCAGAATCTTCTATCACGTCACCATCCAGTGTTTCGCCCTCATCGTATTCGGATCCTGAACGCTCTCTCTTGACAGGCTGCGGACGTGCTTTGTTGAGCTTGCGCCGTTTTCTCGGTGTATCAGAATCGAGTTCGTCAGCAGTACTTGCATCGGTATAGTCATCTTGAAAACCTGGCCGCCTAAGGTTACGATGAGACATAGCGACCTCTCGAGATTCTGGCGCAGCGGTCAAAGCTTCTGTCTCCTCCTCGGCATCGAAGAGAGCGCCAGTAAGAGTCTCTGAGGACTCGCCATGGCCCGAGAGACCAAATCTGGAGAAGGGAGTGATTTTGCCCGTCCTGATCAGAAAATCTCTTTGACTCTCATTTGGTAGCTTTCCAGATGCTACCTGCTGTCCTGTCGTAGTGTCAGCTTCATTTCGCCTCTGATTCATACGAGCAGCGATTTCCGTAAGATCGTTCTCCAGATCCTGGATTTGAGCACTAATACGTTCATTCTCTGCTTTGAGCTTTGCTCTTTTCGTTGTTCCTATTGGTTGGGATATCTGTTCATCATTGCGACGGATGGTAGACAGCAATTTGTTCTTCTGATCTTGTACCCGGTCCAGTCTCTGTTGCTCACGTGAATTTGCCTGCTCGAGTAGTAGACGATCAGCCTCGCGACCAATGTTGCGTTCCAGATCATCCTGATTCTGGACTTGAGCATTTAGACTTTCAAGAACAGCACTTTCATCGCGGTTCAGATTAGGAACAACTGCCTTCGTCCCTTCACTGCTCTCACTGTTCTCTGTTGCTTGAATAGAAGAGTTACCTGTCGCGTCATTGGAGTCGTCATCGGTCATTTTGCTATCTTAGGTTCTATCGTTGACTCGCTCTATCGCTCGAGATGATGCAGCACAAAGAATCTAGGTCAGAGGTCGCCGTCGATATGTTCTGGCTCAAGGACAATAATGACGCAAGGCTGAAGGCAACTCTGATGCCTTAGGCAGTCCGTGCAGGGTCTGAGCAATTCTACAAGGTGGATCACTTTCAACCAATGGCAACGCGAGAATAGTGTGTTGATTTCGAAGGAGGAAGGCACCAAGATACAACAATGCTTTAATAGGCTGCATATCTATTCTTTCGTGATACATGGCAATCTAGAATTGAACCGGTATGATACGTGTGGTAATGACTCGAGCTTGTATATCACTTTGGTCTCAAATGCAGGAGAATGCTAGGGATGATGGCTAAATGAGAAGGGCTTGGCACCTAGATCGCGGGCTTGAGACAAACGGCGGCTTGAGGTTCGCCATGCTCGCTGATTGTGTCTGTCAGTGCGGGTGTAGCTGTTGTTCTTTGTTAGTTCAACCACCACTTTTCCGGTTGAACTTGAAGTGGTGTATCGCGCGCCATTGATCGGCACCTCTGGACGTAGGACTGCCACGTGCGATTACGGCAGCATAGCAGCAGCTGAATGTGCCTGTGATCTGACAAGCGCTCGCGGCCTAACCTTCGACTGGCTACACTGCACCCTGTAACTTTCGATTCCTACCGCCGAACCTTTTGTCTGGCCGGCAGACACCAGTTCTCACAGCGATTACCACCGTTGTCAAGATGCAACAGTAAAGGCATCTCGAATTATGGAAGATGCATATTTCGTTTCATCCCGCCGCACAGTCCACCTTTGACTGTCAGCTTGCGCAACTCGCTACTACCTCGATTCCATTCCTACCCCTTGTGCCCTGGCGATCACAAGCCTGGGTCGTCGAACTAGAAGGGACGGATCCTGCTGAAAGTATAATCACAAGCGAACGAAGGCCTTTACGACTATGAACGTGAACATGAACAATCTTCACCTTACCGAGAATCAAGCACAATTCAGGCAGGCTAGCAACCTCGAGGCTGCCAGCAACAACCTTCCCTACCAAGCCTCGAGCTTGCAGGAAGGCTTCTCATACGAGCCTTACCAGCGAGCTGCCCAGACCACGAATCTAGCAGCCATGAACTCGAACGCCGGAATCCCACCGCAGGAATATGCGAGAAATGGAGAGACGGATGTGCAGATGGAGGACGCAGACCCTTATAACCGTTCCAAGTACCCCTCTCGACCTTCACACCACAATAGGCTGTCGCAGCAGTTCATGCAAGAGAGTTCTGCAGCCCAAAGGTATTCTCCTATGAACATCTCCACCTCTTCCGCTTCTCATATATCTAGCCCCAAGTCGCAACAAACAAGCTCCTTCACTTACAGCATTCAATCCCCCTCGTCGCGACAATCGCCTACTCGAGCATACAGCGGCGACCGCTTCGCTGAACCTCCCACCCCGACTCGCTTCAATTCTCAATTCCTGCCCTCTCTACAGCGATCCGATGTGAGCCCAGACTCTTATTTCCAGCCTCCGTCCACAAGCCAGACAATGTCACCTGCTACTGGTGTACGCACCCCAGGCTCGATTCAGTCTTCCCAACCACGTCTGGGCCCTGTTCCACGGTTCAGAAAAGTACAAAGTATGGGCGAGATCACTCACAGCATCAACCAGCAGCCACTGTATCGACGAGCTGATCCAGAAGGTGGATTTCTGAGCCCACTCGAAGCGCTGACCACGCAGCTACCTGCGACCTATCGCATATGTAACCCTAATTTCAAATACGAATCATCACGAAACCCCCGACGAGTGTTGACTAAACCAAGTAAGGGTGTCAAGAACGATGGCTATGACAATGAAGATAGTGACTACATTCTCTACGTCAATGATATCCTTGGAAGCGAAGACGCTGGTCATAAAAACCGATACCTGATCCTGGATGTGCTTGGTCAAGGTACCTTTGGTCAGGTCGTCAAATGCCAGAATCTGAGAACTCAAGAGGTGGTGGCGGTGAAGGTAATCAAGAACAAGACAGCCTACTTCAACCAAAGTATGATGGAAGTATCAGTGCTGGATCTGCTGAATCAAAAATTGGACAAAAACGATGACCACCATCTGCTTCGGCTCAAGGACACATTCATCCACAAGCAACATCTATGCTTGGTCTTTGAACTCCTCAGCGTTAACCTTTACGAGCTCATCAAACAAAACCAGTTCCGTGGGTTAAGTACAACTCTGGTCAGAGTGTTTGCACAGCAGTTACTCAATGGCTTGACTCTGCTCAATAAAGCCCGCCTGATACACTGCGACCTGAAACCAGAAAACATTCTGCTGAAAAATCTCGAAAGTCCGATCATAAAGATTATCGATTTCGGTTCTGCCTGCGATGAAAGGCAAACAGTGTATACATACATACAGTCTCGGTTTTACCGATCGCCCGAAGTCCTCTTAGGTCTGCCGTACTCATCAGCCATCGATATGTGGTCACTGGGATGCATTGTGGTCGAACTGTTCCTAGGTCTGCCTTTGTTCCCTGGCTCGTCAGAATACAACCAGGTGTCGCGCATTACCGAGATGCTTGGCCTACCCCCTACCTGGATGCTGGAGATGGGCAAGCAATCTGGCGAATTCTTCGAGAAAACTACTGATGAGTTCGGAAGAAGAGGATATCGGCTGAAGAGTATGGAGCAGTACTCGAGGGAACATAACGTAAAGGAACAGCCGAGCAAGAAGTATTTTCAGGCCACGACTTTGCCTGACATAATCAGGAGTTACTCCATGCCGCGCAAGAATATGAAACAGGCGGAAGTCGAAAGAGGTAAGTCTGTCAGTCCTGCTTACAAGAAAAGTGCTGACATTTCCAGAAATGAACAATCGCGTAGCCTTTATCGACTTCGTACGAGGACTCCTAACCACTAATCCTCTCGAAAGATGGACTCCACAACAAGCAAAATTACATCCCTTTATCACCCAGCAAAAGTTTACCCAACCATTCGTACCACCAATGAACTTGAAGAATGCATCTGGTAAACCCCCAGCTCCTGGGGTACAGCAACAACAGCAAGCTGAAGCTCTGAGCAAACAAAGGGCTGCTCAGGCCGCACAAGCTGCGCAGGCACAAGCGGCTGCCGCCGCCGCCGCGACTCAATCTGCTTATGCCATGCAGATGAATCAATATTCACAGAATGCCTACCCACCACAACCGCCAGCTTATGGCAATATGCATGGTGGCACTCCCCAGGGCGCACCACCACCCTATCCGACATCGAACTATCCACCATACCCCCAAGGCCAGATACCTGGCAACCAGTATGGTGTCCAGCAAAGCCTGTACCAGCAGGCCACGCAAAGAGCTGGTAGGCAGAGAGCTGCCACTATGGATCAAGGGCAGGGTGGAATTCCACCTGCTATACAAAGAGTTGCGAGTCATCTTGATCCTACTCAGCCCATCCGCCTGCAGCCTAGTCCAGCGTATTATCCTCCACCTGCTGATGTGTATATGGACTCACCCTCCTCGAATCGTCGAAGAAACAGCAGAAACCAACGTAACAGAGATTTCATTCGCACCTTGGAAGACGGTGCAATGCAGCAATGGCAATGATTTCGAACAAGCACTATGTTTTTGTCATACCACCTTGTGCACTTATTTTGTCAGGTTAGACTGTGTCCTGAGGCCGAAGTTGTATCCTTGTGTACACATGTCAATATCGAAATTTGGTGTGTACAATGTCGCAGTCACGAGCGAGGCAGTCCGGAAGTGTCCGGCAAAAATGCGAGATTTTCACGACAATTTGGACTGGCTTACGTGCCGGCAACAGCAGAGAACACGATAGACCAGCTGACAGTCTCGACAGCTTTGAGCCCGTTAACGCAGCATATCGGCTTGTGCATTCACCACCAGCACAAGGGTGGGTCGTCACTGACTCCTAGGAATTGAAGGTACAGAGATAGGCATACGAAGGGAAGCCGCTTGCGTTCAGCTGCCTGGGCTGGAACAAATGTGTCGCAAGAGGCGCGAATGAGGAGTATGAAGGACCACTATTGAATTTGTAGATATTCTGTTCAAGCATCATGACCTAGTCCACCGCCTCACGAGATGCGACGAACTATGGAATACCTTGATCCCAACAGATCAACAGAGCTGCCCAGTGGTGCTCTCGTTGTCTGCTATGCTGCCTCTAAACAAACGATCCCAAACCCCAGGCCAATCAATTTTAGCTGATAGTGTTTCAACGAACTGGTCGGCAGTTGCAACCGCAGCGTCACAGGCAAAAGCATGTATCGAACCTACCTATATTTCGTTGAGGCGTCTCTTCGTGTTCCTGCAGTGTCACTACTGTTATGCTCAAACGACACTCTGCGTATAAATTTGTATGACATTGCTCAGAGGCAGGCGCGATCACTGAGCTCTCGAGGCGGTTGATAGCATGTACAACTGGTACAAGGGTAGTAAAGTCTACTACGCCCACCTGTCGGATGTCGAAAGTCGCGAACCAGCAGGCGCTGCTCAAAGTCTCTGCTTTACACGAGGATAGACATTGCAAGAACTGCTTGCTTCAGAGGAAGTGCGCTTCTACGACAAGAACTGGACGTATATAGCCTTAAAAGGCGACAAAGAGATGCGTGAGCAGATCTCGCAATGTGCAGGAATTCCATCGAGGGCTCTAACCAACTTCAATCCTGATGAATGGAGCATAGCACAGAAAATGTCTTGGGCGTCGATGTGACAGACTACCCGTATAGAGGATCAGGCTTATTGTTTGCTGGGTCTGTTCGAAGTCCTCATGCCTATGCTATACGGCGAAGGACAGAGAGTTTTTGTACGATTTCAGGAGGAATTGGTGAAGATGTCCGAAGATCGCAGCATCTTCGCCTGGTCCAGAGAACTCGCGCGCAATTCAGCCATGTTCGCCGCCTCTCCCAAAGCATTCTCGACTTGGAGTGAAATCAAACATTTCTGGAAAGGGCTCGCGTCTAGAACTGTTTATGAGAACCATAGACGCGTATAACGAGCCTGAGCACATGAACGATGACGTGGAATAATGAAGGAATGATTGATCTTCGTTTCTAACCACTTTGACCTGCCGAGCTTGCACAGGTCGAAATGAGAATTAGGTGAAACACATAGAAGGTAGATCCTCCAGCAAGATAATGCCGCCCTATTCACGTTTACCTGTAACTACGGGGTCAGGGCAATATTCGTCAGCGCATTATTTGCTCCTCCTTTACTTTTATCCCTGACCTGATCAATCGAGTCCACTCCCATAAAAAGCAGTGAGCAAAGCAATACCACAGGCAAGACCTGTCCAAAACCCCAGCCTGATTCACCTTCGGCATCGACGAACAATGGCTCGTTTTTGCTTTTCATGTCGACAATACTGAAGATACTCCAAGTGAAGAGGCCAAGGGTGACGAGGGCTTCGAAGATTGGATGACTTACACCTAACCCGCAAAGCGAGAACAAGAGTCTGAGGACGACGCTCACGAGGATTATAACCACGCATGAGACGGTCAAGATGAAAGAGCCAACAAGCTTGGGCAAGGATTGAATGTCGGCCTTCGTGACAAGCGCATTTGCCTCCTGACGCATACGGCTGAGGCAATCGTGCAAGGCCTTTATAACAACTTTCTCCTTTTCATCATACCACGAAACAGCCACATCTAGCGCATCGCTTGATCGTGGATAGACTAGTTGTGCAAACAACAGAAAAATGTACAGAGCCAGCGTGACTAACACGAATATGTCAAGGTCGAGTCCAGATGTACACCGATAGCGTCGACCACTTTCAAGCCAGTCCCATTCGTGGTGATCCCTGTAATAGACCAGAAAGGCTAGTGGCCAGAATAGAGCGACAGTGAGCAGAGTCGCCCATCGTCGCAACAGTTGTCTTCGCTCACTGATTTTCGATCCTGGTGGCGAAGCGGACATTTGGGTTCGTGGCTAATAACGAGGCGTGTGTGAGGAACCAATATTGGTAAGCTAACCTCTGGTGGTAGAAGGTGATAGTCGCTTGCTGAGATAGTGCTGCTATCGTGATTCCGATGCCAGTCAGGATCTGTAGATCACACAGCGAATCGAGTATCCCTTGTACAGAGTCGTGAATACGTGATGGCGGCGTGACTCTGCCACGAAGCGGTTTGATGTCTTCACCTTGGATCCAGATGAGAAACGTTCTGTCAATGCTTTCTGGTAAAGTCAAAAACTTCACAATTGCTAAGAGTAGGGTGATGACGGCAAAAGCGATATAAGATCCGAAAATCTATCTAGCATTAGTATATTGGGCTGTGCCCCCTGAGTCGGTTTACACATACGCCAGGACCCCCAATATCGGAATCACTGTCGAAGGAAGCGTTACATGCTTCGTCGAGAAGCCAGCAATACCAATCGCCTGGGGTGTCATTACTATCGTTTAGGGTCGGAGCGAACGAAAAGGCTGTTGGGTCCGGAGAACAATACTTCGACATGCTTGCGTACAGGTGTTGGTTCGTCCACAATAATGCTTCAAACAACGCTATCAGCTGTATCGACCTTGAAGTTTGTTGCTGAAGGTGTGTTGCGAAAAAGCTGAGGCTGATCCATCACATGAGATACATTGGAGGCTTTTGGTGCCTAGCTGTCGTAGCGATGACTGCGTCTAATCCTTTTCCGAGAGACCAAGAAGTCGGCTGCGTAAAGACGACACCAGTACCTGTCGTCAATGTGGCGTAGTCAGTGGTGGCCTACCAAAAGCCCGTGATAGGGTGTCTGTGCATGATTGGCGCGCCTAGCGACAACACTGAAATTTGGAGTCCGGCCACCGAATCACAACTCAACATTAGCGAGGCAAGCACAGTAGTGTGCATCACTTCGACTTTCTGGATCCGAAAGGTTGAGAACTCGTTGCGCAGCCCGTCAGCCTGATTGAAAGTGCTCAATGCTGCCTGCATATACTGCCAGCCATGATATCAGTAGTGTCTCTCTCTCTCTTTCTCGGTCGGCTCAATGCGGGCTCGCAAATGCTCAGCCATGCTTGTGTTTATTGGTGATATATGCTGCTCTTGCTCACTCCGCCTCATAAGCCCTTCTTACTCTTCCTCGAATTGGAAATCTCTCGTTCAATACATCTTCCTCTTCAATCGTAGGTGTGGCAATCGGCGTTCTGTCATCCATCTTGTCAACAGCATCATGTAGCTGCCTACTCACCTCATCGGGTGTATCAGCAAGCTCAATCGGATCACCTGGTGATGCCCCAAGCACGTTCAGACTGAGGGTTAAGTCCGCTCTTTCGCCTCTATGCATACTATTCATATCTGTTTTCTTTCGCATTGGGCTTGATGCAACTTTGCCAACCCAGCCGGCGATAGCAGCGGGCATGGTCGAGCTGTTTGAGCGTGTGCTCCGAATACTGTCTATACTTGCGCGTGGTGTTCCGCGAATCGAATTGCTTGGTCGTCTCGAGTGTGGCAATTTGAGACTCAGATTCGATACTGGCGGCTGATAATCTGGGTGGTCTGGTGGAAGAAGGTCGGGTGCATATTGTGCGAATTTCTTGTTCAAAGGATCATCTGCGGGTCCCGGTTTCGCTCTTTCAGCGCGATTACCTCGGAGAGTACCAACACCACCTGGACCTTGTAAAGCAGATAGAAACGTGTTCTGACCGGATGCCGTTCCATTTGAGGTTGAGACTGTACTCGAGGATCGTGTACGCGAAGAAGTAGTCAGATAATGTGGGACCGAAGGGTGTCGGACTGGACTGCTCTTTAGGCTTAAGCTTTGTAACTGCTGGTTAAGTTGTGCTTGTTGTGCCGCATGTGTAGGAGGATGTCTCAACATGTCGAACGACGATTTCGGTGTTGATACGGAGGAGCCTGCTGGTGTTGAATACGACTGCGACTTCCTGCGGAGCAGTGGAAAGTAGCCCAATGCACGTTTCGATATGCGTAGGACTTCGATCGGTTGAGGATCGGAGGGCAATACTACCCAAGAGTCGTGTTTGAATTCTGAGTCTGAATCTGAATTCGAATTCAATGGTATTGTCGTGGTCAAAGGGAACGGCTCCGTGGCACCTGCGGCACTGCTAGATGTAATAGGAGGGGTAGTAACGGAACCATCAATCGTGCTGAATGGTGACTTGATGTTTTTGTTACCCTCTTGAAGCAAATCTGCCACGTATGGACTTTCCGTCTTTCTACCTCTTATCGAACATGCGTCAAGGGGTAACATCACATACTCCTTGCGCTGAATGTTATCGTTAGGCCAGAACCTGTTCACTTTCCTGAACGCCTCGGGCTGGCAACTATATTTGATCACAACTCCAGCCATAGTATCCTGTGGCCGCACCTTGTGTCTGTACACTAGCACATAGCCATCATTCTGGTTGTCGATTGGCGACCGATTGATGCTCGCGTCCGAGTCTTTCCGCTTGTATCTGCCAAGTGAATCTTTTCCAACACTTGCCTCATTGCTCTGCAACAGTACTGTTTCTCGTCGCTTTGCTTGTAGCAACGCCTGACGTTGTTCAATGAATGTAGGTTTCGCTGTAGTATCGACGTCCGGTCCCCACTTGGCTTGTGCTTGCTTTAATCCGTAATTCTTGTCCTGTACCATACGCCCGACCCTTTGCTTGTCCACACCACTTCCTCTACGCGCAGGTTGGGCAGCACCAGCACTTCCCAACAGTCCTGACGCGAGGCCTTGAATCGAGGACCAAGACTCCCAGATGCCATTAGGAGCACGTCGATCCCTATTCTCTGAAGTGTTACGGCTGTGGCTCGTCGCATATGACTGAAGGTTTTGAGGTTTCGTCTTATCGCATACTTGCGTCGAGGTGGAGGGAGATGTACTCCGTGAGTCAAAACGAAGGGGTGTACTTGAGGTCGACGTGGTTGTTCCTATGGCATCGTGTTGCGATGAACCATCCTCGTAAGAAATCAGCCTGTTCAGCGTGTTCCGAGGTCGCAGAGTCGAAGTACTGCTGTTCGCGTTTGAATAGAATGACGAGTTGCCATTACCATTGCTGGTCATGTCGGTCCAGCGCGCCTGCACCTACGACTACGCCGCGACATTGGGGTTTTCACTAGAAGTCTTGTACGGCTGTGGACGAAGAAGTGACAGTACGAGGTTTCTGGATCATGGAATAGAAGTGCAGGTCGTTCATACTCGAAAGGTAGTGTGTCGGAGCGTGCAGTCGTGCCTTCCTCCAAATGCTGAGCGCGGAGCACTCAAGCCACTGGCGTGTTTGAGCTGGAGTCCTCCCCAGAATGCGATGACGTAGGACTCCCTGTTCAACTTTCCACACCTTCACAGCGTGACCTTTCTTTGTCTATAGCATTGTGGCCATGAGAAACGGCACTCGCAGCACGCAGATACATTTGAAATAGAACAATGTCGCTAACTCATAGTATTGAATCACAAGATACGCCGGACTTTTAGCTTTTTCCAAGTGTGGACGTATGCCACTTCTGACGCATGCTTTTTATCTACCATACCTCAGCCAACCACTCCAATGGCCTCTTCCATGGTCTCGAGAAAGACTGGCTTTTCGCAAAGCTCTTGCCTTGAGCTCTTCCCTGCCAGGTCCTGCGCCGCTTGCACCACGCTTTCGAGGTTCAGAGATGTTTCCTCGAGCTTTCGCTGTTGTGGAAGGTCCTTGGCTAACTTCGATGCTTTAGGCTCGTTCATTGACATGGTCAACCCGGCCCAGATACTGGTACTATCATCTGACTCGTTCAGGCTGTCTGTAAATAGATGGTCGACTCCGCCAGATCCTCCTTCTAGGTTGATTAGCTGATCAAAATCGTTTTCCATTCTAACTTCGTCGATAACGTGTTGAAAAGAGTTTTCTAATTCCTCCAGCTTGTCCGCCTCGATGTAGCCGCCATTTGAGATTCCCATGTGTTCGTCGTGGACACTGTTAGGTGGACTGTGATGCATATGATTAAAGTCTAGCAGGCTTACCGCCGCACCTCCAGTTGTTGCCGACTCATTCATGTGCACCATCTTATCCGAGCTGGGTGGTGTCAACGCTGTGAAATCAGTCCCTGGAGATCTAGACAGCGACATGGCTTGCGGGTTAATACCAAACATGCCTGACGACCTTGACGGTGAGGTTGAAGCTCTCGCTCTGATTTGCTGCATCGTCGGTAGTTCAGGTGGAGGTGTCAAAGTCGCAGTGAACGACCGTCCTGGCTTCGTACAACTGCTCATCGACATGCTGCGGAGCTGCTGGTTGTCTCTGAAGTTCTGCTTCGACTCCTGCGCTGGCCCAACAGGGACATCTGCATTGCGTACAGCTGCATCAAGAAAGGAGAAGGCGAAATCAGCAGAGGCATACATTTCCCGTAATTTCTGGAGCGCCTGCATGCAGAACTGAAAGCGTCGAACGCTGAGTTGACGAGTTGCAGAATCCGGCGACTTGATGTCGAGTAAGTGTACAATGATCGCCGGTAGCAGGATTGTCACGCCGGTATTTGGTAGATAGCGGATCAGGTCTCGAGAATACAAATCCTGGAAAACATCTGTGATGGCACATGCTGCTTCACGGACACGCCGCTGCGAAAGCTCTTTCAGCTCAGGTTCGATTACTAGGTTCGGCATAGCTGGCATCATTTGCGGTCGATGAAGTGCGCTAGTTGTTGTCAGGTAGACGCCAGTCAGAAGTGCTCTGTGCAAATTTATGACTTCGCCGTCGTTGCGAACGTTTTGTTCTCGAGGAAGTGTACTCTTGAAGTACCGCAATTCTATCGGTAGACTCTCGTACCATTCCTCGATATCGCGATCACATTCAAAGACTTCTAAAGGATTTGCTGCCGACTTCTTAGGCACAAGGCGCATAGTGGTCTCTTGGGTCGCTCCTAATCGATGACCGAGCATCGAGTATTGCACAGAGAGGACTTTTGTAATACATTGGCAGCATTTGACCATGGCAATGCACATCTGGGCCAGCATTTCGCGCTTGGCGGCGTCCCTCATCACAGAGCAACCACCAATCATACGATTCAGCTCAGGTGGTAGGGTATTTGTCTCGAAGTCTGAAATCTCGAGCATAGGCACATTGGCCTCGTCATCTTTGATGCGGATTGGGCGACGCATGCCGATCGCGACCAAACGATCTCGCATATAGCAAGACCACCAAATCCTTTTCCACAATTTCTGTTTCTCTAGAGACAAAGGCGTACTCGAAGTATCGCAGTTGATGCCAATCGTTCGAGCGAGAGAGATCGCCACGCCCAACCAATGCCAGACGTCCTTCGGGTCATCTGGGCTTTCATACCAATATGTCATGAGCAATACAGACTGCACGACCGTCACTCGGTCAATCTCGTAGTCGAAATCGTATAACAGCTTGACTCGCTGGAAAAAGGCCTTGCGGGCTGCCTTCCTGCTGTCGTATCCTTGCGCTGTCAGATATCGTAAATCAATATATGCCGTAGCAGCAAACATAACGGCCTGAAACAGCAACAGGCTGATCGTAGCTGAACAATCATCTTGGTCCACCGTGGTCAGAAATTCGCTCAGGTCCAGCACAGGAAGATATGGATGTACATATTGCACATAGCAGCGCAGGAGTTCATTCCTGAGACCTGTCTCTGGAATCAAAAAGGCTCCCTTCTTTCTCAGGTAATCAATGTCTTCTGACAGAATGCGAGGAGGAATTGCTGGAATATATTTTGGAAAGTGGACTCCGTCTTGGAGCTTGAAGGAAGGGAAGAAGGGTGAGGTAAGCATGGCTGGTTGCTGCATCGGGATGCCTCTAGTACTAAGGATTGAGAGCCGACGGGTGCGTTCTTCGGGCGTCAGACGATGTGCCTGCTGTTGATCTTGTTGCAAAGTCAGCATCCGCACGAACCCCATTCGAATCAACTTACATAGCATATGTGGTTTGTGTTGACTAAGCTCCTGCTCGAGAGGATTGATGTCTCGTGTACTAGAGCTCGAGGTGTTGAGAGGCATAGACAGTTCTTGCAAGCCATCAATATCGTCGAATATAGGAAATTGAGGAAGGTCTTCTCGGTCCTCGATGGACTCAGCTGGAGAATGCTGTAAGATATCTGTTTCTAAGCACGACTTCTTCCTACGTTTTCCTTCTGTAACGCAGCACTCGACTTCGTCCAATCTGCAATTGGTACATGGTATACCACTTTCAACGACATCGCATCGGACTTTTCTTGAGCGACAGCACTGGCAGGCTTTCGAAGCTCGCCTCTTCACTGGGCGCGTACTTATGGAAGGCAATCCTGCTGTGGCCGACTTCCTCTTGGTCGCTCCTGTTTGTACAGACTGCGCCATATTAGCAGTAGTTATGCTTAGCAGTATTGCCTGTAACGTTGGAGTATTGCCAGGCCTCTAGATAAGTGTGAGACCCCGTCGAAGTGTGGGAAGAGTATAGTACATGGATTAGGAACTTCTAGCACTGACGTCGAGAACGGAAGACAGTGAGGACAAAGCTATAATGAAGAACCTATTCATTCTGTGTTCACCAATCCAAGAGAAGGCGTCTCGAGTTGAACAGAGATGGCTTCGAGTTTATCGGCCTACATCGGAGTGGACACCACGAAGAGTTACCAATCCCAAACCTGGTGGAGATGTCAGTAACTCCCGACCACAAGGTGCTGGGATATGCAGCAAGCAAATCGTGGTCGACGAGTCGCTCTAGTGGGGTTTGGACTCTGATCTCGAAGTGCTGCATGAGCCACTAAGGAAGACGAGTTCCAGACAAGAAAGGAAAAGCACGACGGCGGCTCACACAAGATGGAGAAGGATCGAATGTTGCTTGCACACGAGTACAGTTTCAAACGAAGAATTAGGTATGGAGAAATCTCCACTCCAAGCTCAGCTGTGGGGTTGAAAGCACAGGCGAGGAATGACTAGTCACTGAAACTAATGCTATACAGGAATAGTGTTTTTGTCTCGAACTCGAAAGAAGATGGAGATGCTGCAGCCAGACTTTGACGTGCAGCTGATGATTGTGCCTGTCGTCCTCTCGAAGATGCTGGCTGGTTGTGCACCCCCTCCCCGGGCAATCGGGGCCTGACGACATCAAAGTGTTATTTAAAAACTTTGAATGTCACCTACACTTGAGGTAGAGAGTGCTAGCAACCACGTAACCGTATAGTTCAGGCGAAGGTCTTATATAAGAGTATTTCGCACACCACGAGCAAGCTGCTTGGTACTGTGGTACATATATCCATAGAACAAATTCCGCACACATAGCTTGCCCAGCATCGGGCTTCTCGCCAGCTTGCTAGTCATATTTGGCGGGGTACGAACAATTAGTATCTTGAAAAAAGCTTCTGTCAGCCGCGGGAGGTGCTACATAAAATTGGTCCGCTGACTCGATTCAATCCTGTCTTGACTCGTCCTCGATGACTCGAGCCTCTTGCTAGTTCGTCCCACGAAACTGGGGTATGGGGTCAAAGGTGTTTGGTTTCGCCTCTTTTCAAGAAGCTCAGTTTAGTCCAGGAAGTCAATGTGATCCTATCGGCTTACACGGCAAACAGCTTGGTAGATGTCTGTCTATACTTAATGGCCAAGTTTAACCACTGAAGTACAATCGGGTTATGTGAATCTGAAGTCCTGCCACCGACAAATCCAACGAAGAATAAGGTACTCAGGTACTGTCCTGTAAAGATTGGACCGAAACTCCGCTTTAGTGCCACTATCTGCAAGTCGAAAACGAAGTGATCCTTCGTGCTTCATGGCCAGACGATACCAAGACCTTGCCGAGTACGCCTGATGTTCTGCGGCACATATACCGTTGGCAAAACGCTCCATCATAACACGCGTCAGCTACTTTCAGCGAGCTAAAGAGCGTCCGCTGATTCATAATTGCACAAGAAGTTCGAGAACGTGGCAAGCGGATCGTGTCTGGTTAGTGCTACTTTTGACAGATTGTGCGCAATACTGTAGAACGTGGAATTTATGCTTTGCATAATATTTCAGCTAACAAGCAGTTACAGTCGCTGCCATCGAACCAGCTTTCATTCTCCACCTCGGTCCACTACCGGGGCTGGATTTTGACTGCACAACGACATATAATTCAGAGAACAACGTGCTTCATAACAAAGCTGAAGCCGCTTTTCCGAGAATAAAACAGGGGTGATTCATGCTACAGTAGACGCGCATGCAGATCCTGCTTATGTCCGAATCGCACCACCAAGCACACCTCCAGTAAAGCCTCCGCCACGGCGACCTTGTCCAGTCCTCGCCAGACCCTGCAGATTGCCGCGTGCACCCCCTCGCCCACCTCGTCCACCGCGTTGACCCTGATCTCGCTGGAATGCATTGCTTGTACCTGCTGTTCGTGTCTCCAGCACTTTCTCATTCGATTCCAGTATGCCCATAGCCTTCTCTGACAAGGACAAGATCTGGCTCTGTAACCGTGAGAGCTCAACGCCTTTACGGAAAACAATTGCGTCGTTCACTTGGTCAAGAGCTGCAGCCAGCTCCTCGTGCGAGATCATCTTCGACACGATCGCAGCAATCTTCTTGTCATCAAGCTCGAACATACCACTCACCGTGCTTATTGACAATGTATCGTAGTAGGGAGCATAAGTGAACAAGTACGTCCGAAGACCTTCCTCCTGTACCTGCTCCGAAAGCATGCTCTTAATCTTATCTTTGTCGTTACCAAGCAGATCCCAGATTTGGATCTTGTTGATCAGCTCCTGACATTTCTTCCATTCACCTTGTGCAAGTGCCTTGGCAGCCTGCATTACATGGTCTCGCGTATTCTCAGGTGGACCTTGGAAGACCTGTCGCTCGGCGTATTCGAGCATTCGTCTGAAAGTTTTCGAGATGATACGCTTCCGCACGTCAGGTGAGGATCCAGTCTGAGCGAGTAGAGGAATTTCGAGAAGCATGCTGCACGTCAGATATATGCACTCCAGAAGTTCCAGGTTGATGTGCATATGGAATGGTAGCTGTCGTTGCCGCTCCAATCGTTCCTGTTCAGGTGTAACTGTTGAGTATCTCTGCATCATCACTCCCTGAGCAAGTAATTCCTTCTGACGACCAGAACCGCAAATTTCTTGGAGTACTCCTTGAGCCTCATAGCAGAGACCCGCTCTGAAGGCGCAAAGGCCGATCTGAACAAGTGTGCGATTGAAGAGGATCTGAGTGCTAACATCGAAACTAGCGATATTCTCGGTCAAGTGACTCATGAGCATGAGATCTCGAGCTCTGTAGTAGCTGTCTTGTAGAGCTAGGAAATATATCTGACAGAGCATAGCTCGTGCACGAATAATGCCTTCACTGTTTTCGAAAAGGTGATTGCATAATGCTTGTACAAGTTCGTCCACTTCAGTATACTTGCCTCTGGGTGTAAGATCTGAGTTGAGTCTAGAAGGTAAAGCAGCCCACAGCTTCTCTTCGAGTATTTTGACGACAGCTAATGGCTTGAAGTAGATGTGTTCAATCCGGCGGATAACGATTCTGTTGATGTTATCTGTTTGTTTGCCCACCTCTGGATTCTTGCCGATCGTCTCGTAGTATATCGAGGCTCGAACGATATTGTCATACAGAGGTTGCTCGTCGCTCAATCTCTCAATGTACTCGGCTGTGTGTGGGTCGGTCTGTTGTAATGATCGAGTCAATTCATCGTCCAATCTCTCCAGCAGAGACACCACGCTGCCAGGCACTTTCAACAGATTATCAGTAGGCGGCTGTTTCTCATCGTCTTCCCACTCTTCCGCGCCTTCAACCACTACCAATGACGGGTTCTTGTCAAGTTCTTCTAAGAGGAGGGTGAACTCTCTCTGTGCGGATTTCCATTGTTCTTGTGACATGTAATTTTGTACTGATGATGCTGTGACATCGAATCTTGTGGAGACAATCGTCAACAATACTCGAACTCTCTGGTAAGGTGTGTTTGCCACTTCGAGCAGCTTTTCCATGATCCGTATCTGTTCTTGTCGGTCGGTGTTCTTTCGGCCACGAGATTCGACGATGGTTCGAAGATGCTTCAGAATACTTTCGGGGGTGTAGACAAGAGCCCTACCGCCTCGTCCGACTGAGGCCCATCCTTCGTCGTCCAGCTGCTCGTCAATCTCAGTACCCAGTGCTCGCTCACGTCGAGCCGGCTTGGCTTTTGGCAGCTCTTCCTCGTCCTCAGACTCCATGAAGGCATCTTTGTCTTTGCGATAGTTGTCGACCTCTGTGATGAATTCTTTGTTATTCTTCTTGATCTTCTGCTTCATAGCATTGAAACCACGGGCTGTGTTTGCATTCATCTTCTTGCCGCTGGCCTTCTGCTTCTCGTTGGTCTCGTTCACCAAATCTTCGAGGTCGGCGATGATCTTGATATAGATTTTAGGTGTGCCACCACTCTGAATGACCTTCTGTACTTGACGGTTAAGGTTGTCGAATTCTGGTATTGTCAGTGACAGGATTTTATTTTCTCTTCTTTAAGGCACATACCTGCACTGATCAAGGACCAATCCTGGTTCTTCTGAGCATTCTCGATCTTGCTGATGGTCTGTTGAACTTCGTCCAATCGCTTGTCTTTAGCAGATCTGACCTTCCGTTCTCCTTCGTCTTCGTCACTCTCATCCGAGTCATCGTCAGCACCAGCTCTCAAGAATCGGCTCGCGCCGGTGCCTTTGACACTTTCGTCGGAAGAATCATCTTCGTCCTCGTCCTCCTCTTCTTCCTCCTCAGACTCCTCGGAATCGGACTCTTCCTCTTCTTTCTCGTAGAGCTCCTCCTCGTCAGAAGAGCTAGAGTCACTGTCGCTATCACCTCCATGGAAGAATCGTGACATTGTGGTGATTTAGGTGATTGTCTATGCAGAAAGGTAAAGCGCGAAAAACTGTACATTTCAACAAGGCAAAGTCGTGACTCTTCGCAGATACGCCAAGACTAATTAAGTGCCGTCTTGCGCACAGAATTTTGTTTGCCGGTTCTGGGAAATGATACGTATCTATAGACGGCTATTTTCCACGGGAAGTACGGTGAAATATTGACTGCCAAACGTGCTTTTCTTGAAGTTATCTGCTCACTGTACAGGAAACAAGACACTACTTACCAGTGAACTATATGCAAAATGTTCTACAGGGTGTGGTTAACCTGTAAGACGTTATACCTGGGTTCGTTAGCCTGGAGAGTTGATGTCGAAAGATCTACTTCTGCCTATTATTTGTTGGTCAAAAACGATTCGTCCTTGAAGAGGCTATACTGCAAAGGAGACATTCAGGTCATGGACTCGCTTAGCAGCTCTCTCGCCTCCTGGGTTGTCCTTTACTTAGAGAACGAGCTCTTATCCTGAGCTGCAAATCTGGCGTCATCTGAGAGAATTCAACCTGAAGAGTCGGGTTCGCTGAGAGCCGTGAGGCCTAACGCACTTCTAATCCTACCAAATCAGCTTCTCTGCTGGAGGACATCGAGCTCAGCATCTTGCGCTGTCCACTTCCCTTACACAACGTGAGCTCTGCGCTGTTGTAAGTCGGCTGGTCAAAGCCGACCGAAAATTAGATGAACTGGCCAAAATGCGGATCGTATAGTGTAGCACTGCACACCTTCCCTGAACATCATGAAAGAGATTTTAGTTGACATTTTGACCAGCGTAGTTCACTATATGTCTTGTCCAGTTGTTGTTCACCGCTAACCATGAAATTCTAGCAGTAAGCAGTACCTTGTTAGCTCAAGCGAACATCAACCCTTATGCGTCACACCGGGTCTGAATCTGCCAGATCTAACTGTTTTCCAGATTGAGCATGAGCTCTTGATCTAGAAGCAGAAGCGCAGGTGTCCGAAGAAGGTCTCGACGATTGAGGAAGCTTGTCGTTGAGGTCAGGGCTTCCTCTTCTACGCGAGTACCCGATACCTGCATGACCTAAAACTTTCAGATATGGGCATTTGATCCCGTTTCCGCCTCTGAGGGCCTCGCAAACTCCCGTGCAAACATTGCAGCTTGAGTTACGATCGTGTAGTGAGCACTACCCTTATGTAGAGCATTTTTATCGTGTTCACGAATGATCACGACGCATCCGTATTGAAAACAACCGAGAAGCATGGTAAAGCGAAGGGTTCCAGCGGCTACATTTTTGACTTTACCCAGGTTCCGCTCCGCGGCTTCAAGCAGTATTCGCGTCGACAATACAACGCGTGGAAGCACTCCAGATGGCTCAAGACCAAAGAACACATAATCTTTGACGAGTAGGATAGCCGGAGCCGTTCTCGGCGAGAACCTGTGACTGACAGACGTTGCAACTGCCCAAATGGCAACTATTTTACCCGAGGAAATACTCAGCATCATTTGTCAAGAGTTAGGCCGCGAACGCGATTTCAATACACTCTTCAATTGCGCACTTAGCGCAAGGACACTGGCAGATCCTGCTTTACGGACAATATACCAATACCATGAGCTTTCGCCAGCTTTCAATTTTACAGAGGATGATATTAGGTCAAGGGATGGAACAGGGGAGGACAGTCAGCACTACTTTCTAAGATGGACGTCTCTGTGGCGGTCTCTTATTGCCTCAAGCCTAGAGCCATCGACCACCTACAAACCCTACTGTCGTTACTCACGAATACTGGACTTTAGGAACTTAACAGATATGTTGGAAAGTCCGCGCTTCCGATCCGCAAAGAGGCAGTTCTATGCTCGGCCCCTTACGAAGCTCGCTCATACCAAGAAAGAAGGCAAGTATGAGACTGTGGATGTGGTCGCGACGATCAACGACATAGGCGAAACTGTCATACCGAAGGCGACTCTGCTAGAAGAGATGTCCGGCCATCTTAGACCTGGATTTCTGACGAGATGGATATCCCAAACACCACGACTGAAGAGAATGGTGTTGTGGAGGGGAGACGCGCTCAATAACGATGCTGGCAAGGCTGTGGCTGACCACTGCGAACACTTCAATGATCTGAGAGTGTATGAGTTTCTGGACCCAGATGCCGACGAAGTGGTGGCTAAATTTCTTGATCAACTCAACGCGGACACAATCTTGTACCTGCGAGTCATCAGTCACAACAACCTTGGACGACTGTCTTTCGAAGCACTTGATAGACACACCACTTTGAAGGAGCTGATGTTGAATAACCTCAGTAGAGAAGCTATGGAGAACCTGAATGGCCTGAAAGGATGTACAAATCTTGAGGTGCTATCGCTGGAAGATGGCAGAGGCACAGTCAGACTCGAAGAACTTCATAACGATGTCTTCCTGGAAGTAATTAGCTGGCTCAGTTCATGCATTAAGCTTAAGGATATAACCCTCAAAAGGTTCTTTGATGGTCCAGCTATATTAGCAGCGGTTGCTGTTGCGCCAGAAGTGAGATGGTCCAAATTGTGCCTCGAGGGTTACACTGTCAGAAATGCTAGTTCTGCCTCCTTCCATACAGCCTTAGCTGACCAGAAACACTTGGAAGAGCTATATCTGAGTGGGAATGGAGAAGACACGCACTCTCACGATCTTGAAATCATGGTTTCCTCGATCTGCCAGCTGGGCAACCTCAGAGAGCTCAACCTCCGCCAAGTGTCGGATGAATTCGACATGACACACATCTCCAACTTGGTATTGAATCTGCCCTTGCTTGAAGAATTTTGGACAAGTGGACAAGAGCTCTCGTCTGACATATTACCCCTGCTTGCTAACCTCCGAAGTCTCAAAAATCTTACACTCTTTGCTCTTACACAATTCGATACAGATTCGATACTTGACTTCATCTCTCGTCTTGACAAGGACAAACAGCAGGGGTTTCAGTTGTCGTTGATGGCAGTCGATCAAGACTTTGCGCTGAGTGAAGAGGAGCAGAGACTGATTGTCGAAGCGATGAAGGTCCAGGTCGATGGTCGATTTGGTATGTTTTGCCTATACCGCTTCCTCAGAGCCCCTAGCACCTGAATAACACTGGCCGCAGCTGCTCAATTTGGTGTCAAGATGACTAACGAACATTGTGATAGATTTCGTCCTTTGGAGGGAGCTGGAGTCGGAGGACAGTGAAGACGATTGACTTGATGTTGTTTTCCTGCTGCGTAGCGACTCGTGTGATTGTTGGTTGCGATTTGGGATTCTCTGGTGGATTTACTGGGAATCTCAGAGCTGGACAGGCAAGTCGTTCAAGCTGCAACACCTGGACAATCTGGCATACAACCTGTCGGCTTCGTAGGATCGTAATAGTCTTCTTGGTCAGTTATGTCGCTATCCTCATCTTCTTCCGTCTTCGAATCCTTGTCTTTTCTGTCCAAAGAAATCTTATCCTCTTCCATATCCTCCTTCTTTACCTCGTCAGTACTTTCTGCGGGAGCAAACGCATTCTTGAAACCACCTTTTTTGAAGCCACCTGCGCCTCCAGTCTTAGTGCTAGCACCACCTAGTTTGATGCTCATCAATGGGCCTTTCTCCTCCTTCCGGCCTGCGTTCTGCACAGTCCGCTGCATATCCTTCATGTCTTTCAATCGCTTCTTGTGCTGGTGATCGTAGGATGATTCATGTGCATCGAATTCGTTCATGCGACTATAGCCTTTTTGACATAGCTCACAGAAGAAGGCGCTGCGAGCAGCTTTCGCACTATCAGTCTTTGCCGAAGGTAGGGTGAAGCCTCGCTGCACAATTTAGTAGCTACATTCGTGATATGATGGATCGGAATAGCGCATGACATATCACGTTGGCACGACTTACCGGAGCCATAATGAATGGCTAGACACTCTTTCTTAAGTTGGACGACTTGAAGACTTCCTTAGTAATTCTCGAAGTTGTTCGGGATAAGGATTGCTTGTGAGTTGAGGCTACTGTACTAGCAAGAGGGAGACACCCTCAACCCAATCGGACAACAGCAGCTGGGAATTGGTAAGCATCTGACGACGATGGTAGCAAATAGCCGCTTTGACGGGTCTTCAGGTGCTTGAGAACGGTCAGGCGCAACATCCGTATTGTCCACCACCAGCTCTGCCAAACATCTTTTGATCGCTAGCTTGACGATGTTGTATATGCTTTGACGACAGCATGTTGGAATAAAAGAGGTAGCCAACAGCCCGGATCTTATAACACCTCGCAGCTGCAATGCCCAAGCTCGAACATGTACCATCCGTGTCCTCACGGCCAATGGAACAGCTTGACCCATCTCCTGTAGATGAAGAGGCACCCATACTCGATGATTCCGATTTAAAAGCTGAACATGTAGTCAACCCAGAAGACCTATCAGAAAAGCAGCATCCGACGTACTTCCCTCCATCAGGCGGCACTACCAACAATGTAGGCGTTCAATACTCTCGGGTTCCAACCATCCTCCTCGCTCTGCAGAAATATAGCACGATCGCTCCTACACTCTATCTGATAGGACATTACGCAAACACTGCAGCCATACCCTTGTTCACTCTGTCTACACAGAAAGCCGAGAACTCGCTTCTACTCACACGCCCATACTACCAGTCCTTTCCACTAGAACCTCTACTCATCTTTGCGCCAATCGTCACACACGTCCTCTCCGGGCTATCATTAAGAATATACAGGCGGTTTCAAGCTGCCAAGAGATATGGTGCAGAGACACACGCCGAGCGTGCCAAAATCACAAAAGCGCTCTGGCCCAAGTTGAGCTTGACAAGTGCTCTGGGTTATGCGCTTTACCCAATGATGGCTGCGCATATAATAGTTAACAGAATCACACCGCTAAAGGTGCACGGCGATTCGAGTTCTGTTGGTCTACGATTCTTTTCGCATGGAGTGAAGAGACACCCCTGGCTCGCGAGCTTGGGATACACGGCGATGGTCAGTGTAGCAAGCTGGCACTTTGTTGGTGGCGCGGCGAAATACCTGCGCTTGACGAGGGAGTACGTGACAGAAGGTGGAGATTATGGTGTACGGCAGCGTAGGGTTAGGACGAGGATGCTGAATATCGTCAGTGGCCTTGTTGCCGCAGTCTGGGCTCTGGGAGGTATAGGTGTCATCGGCAGAGGCATTGGCACCCCGGAAGCAAGTGCATGGGAGATCAAGCAATGGGACGAGGTCTATAGGGCTGTTCCCGTGGTGGGTGGAATGATGTAAAGTGATCACCATACTCGAAACAATTATATTAATCACGTGGGCTTACGCACATGTCCTGATGCTACTGTGGCAGAAGGGTACATCTACAACTCCCTCTGCCTTCCGAAAGAGTCTGTTCCAAATTCATGAAAGCCTTCACCACACGTAATTACGTGTAGCGTGCGTACGGACACGTGACCTCGTACTTTCTTTCGCGTCAGACTTCACAATCTTCGCCCGTCGATATCTTCAACACGACTGTCTAAACCTATCAAGAACATGTCACAAATCCCAATCCATCCTTCCACAACTCGCCCTCGATGCTTTCCCAACAGACCATGGCCGAACCCGCGCCAAAACGTCGCAAAACAACTCTCCACGCTCTAGGCTCCAACGGCAACTACCAACTCGGTTTCTCCCATACACAAGACACCTCTACACCCACTAAATGCGTTTTCCACGATAAAAACATAACACTCAACCATGTTCCACTAGCTGAGCATGAGGAGGTCAAGAAGATAGTCACGGGAGGTAATCACACGCTTCTACTGACTAATCTGGGACGGGTGTGGAGTGCTGGGCTGAATGATACTGGGCAGAGGGGTTTGGTGGCGCCGGAAGAGTTAGGAATTCAAAATGGATTGAGTGCTGGGGAGAGGTCGGATACTGCTTTCTCCAGTGGTGATGTGGGATTCGGCGGATGGAGATTATTATCCTGGACTGGGGCGCAACATCTCCAGCGAGATACTGGTCGTGATCACACGGCCTATGTAACGGACCTGGCTGCCACGTGGACAGCGTCATATTTGGTGCTTGACAATACGAGTGTTTACAGCTGTGGCAGTGGGCAGAAGGGCGAACTCGGCTTAGGAAAAGATGTGGTAGCTTCGACTACACCGAAGAGGTGCTTCGACCTGCAAGACGTCGAACCTGGGGAGTCGACTACGGTCAAGCAGATTGCAGGTTGCATGAGCCATGCCGTTGTTCTAAGCACGAGCGGGAAGCTATATGGTTGGGGCGCGAGTAGAAAAGGACAACTTGGCCAGGTCATGAGGGAGACAAAAGTAAGCTGGACACCGAGGAGGGTAGATCTGGGCTTGACGGATGGTGAGGAATGGCCAGTGGATCAGGTCTGCGCAGGTCGAGACTTTACATTCGTGGTCGGACGTCGTAGTCAAGAGCAATATTTCCTAGGAGATGCAAGTAAGCTTGGCATTGAGCTGCCATTACCTCTGACAGAATCGACTGAGAAGCGTGAGCATGGCGTAAATATTCATGCAGGCTGGACATCCATCACGGTCTTGTCTTCGAACGGCACTGCTCAAGCTTTTGGGAAGTCTCCTCAAGGTTTCGTCAAGAACCTTGTTCGAGCACGTACACTTCACAACATAGCTTCCATGGCTGTAGGGAGTGAGCATTGTCTGGCGATTTCGGATGATGGAGATGTGCTAGCATCAGGCTGGAATGAGCACGGAAATTGTGGTGATGAGAATGACCTTGATGCTGTGGACAATGCGCAGCAAGCGAACACGATTTGGCACAATAAGGCGAACCACAGAACTATTGGTGTTGCTGCTGGATGTGCTACCAGTTTCATTTTGACGGAGTCGATTGCAGTTGACGAAACAGAGAACGGCTGAAAAGTGGTCGTCTGGTGAGGCAGATGCGCAGGTAGCATTGAGTTCGTTCTCACCGAGATTGCAAAGGACCAGTAAATTCTCGCAGTGCTGATCAGATTCGATCAGTATGAAAATCCCTCAAAACGTGGACATCGGTGGAGGGAAGATTAGCATATGCCGATAACACCCTTGATGCCATTTCGGTTGCCGATGATAATGTCCGACATGTGCAATGGCTGAAATGTTCCAGCATGTGCAAATCTCATCAGTAGTAGTGCGCGAGGCTAGTGGTTGACCATCGCTTGTTCCGGGATTGACATGCACGTTGTTGTGTTAATCAGGAGACGCTGCCTATGTCCCCGTAATTCAGACACGGACTATGCCGTAGTTGCATTGCAGAGAACCTTCTTCCCAACAAGAAAACTTCCACCGCCACAAGGGCCAAAGGAAGTGTTGGGTTCGTAAAACTTGGTACCGGCTTCCCTCCACCGGATCTCTCCTTGGATTCATTGGATGTAAATATCAGGTGGAGATCGATCGTCATTACATCCGGGCTCCGTTTCACCTGAAAAAAACTCTTACATGCATTTCATTTTTCTTCGAGTTATTGGCTGCCTATGCATGCACATAGTGTTTGACGTAAGGATATTGGAAAGAAACATCTGAACATTGATGCGGTTGTTTGCAACGGTTGGCTTAATGGGTAGGAATGATCGTGGATCGGTGGTCAGTCCGCGAATTTGTCAGCCCTAAGAGAAGAACAATAAACGTGTAAGGCACATGGAGACACATTGAGACTGAGCATGTCGAGAATGCGGCAGACACGTGCAGCACTGCTGGATGGCACCAACATCCGTACACGAATGAGACCGCTGCAGCTGTCAAAGTTTATTGGCTAGAAGTGCTTGCATTTCATACCGGAGCCGTTGTTCGTATCGCGCTGGCTTTGGGCAGAAATTCGTTGAGAGATATTTCGTGTGTTTTGAGGGATTGATGCTGAGGCGTTGCACATTTGACCTATAGAACGTTGTTATACTGATCCTCTCTCAGCGAAGTCCACCAGGGTCGACGAGGGTCGCTCAACGCGAACACGGCAGATCTGGCCTGTACTGTGGTAGCTGCAACGAAGCATCCAGCGTACATCACAATCCTGATCGGACAAAGGAATTGATGGAAGGATTGGACCGTCTCACTATGATGGCTTCTTGTGGTTGAGGCAGACGAAACAATTCAGGATACGCATAACAGCTGAAGTTGGTCAAGTAGTCCGTTATCTCAACGTCAGCAATTGTCTGCCACTCGCTAGACAAACCTTTTAAGCAGGCGCTCGTCAGCGTGATGGCAGTTGTCCAGAACCTCTGATTGTGCTCCGGTCATCCTTGCGTAAAGCATTTAGGTCGCGGCTTGTCGCAATACGATCAAAGCTGTGTAGTGCTCGTTGTGAACACGCAAACCTTGTAGCTGATTGCAGATAATCGTGTATTGCGTAAACGTGCCTCTTTTTTCTTGTGGAGGGTTGACGAGCCAGTGACGATCAGATCATACTTCAAGGTGGTTCGTGTGTAGTCATACAGATGACTATGCTGAGGTACGTGAACACTTCCTGTGGTATGCGAGGTTCACGAGGGAAGGAGCTCACAGCTCATCGAAACACTCCAAGCTATGCCACCGGAACCCCCACAACTTCCCCTCAATCATCCCCGGAAAGTCTAAATGAGACATTGACTTTGAGGCTCATCAGCCATTCTGGATTCGAGCGCATAACTTTGCGCCACCGACGCACAAGAGGAAGTGTACAACCTAGAATTCCAACCTTCAGAGCATCAAGAGGAAAGGCCTTCTCATTGGGTTCCAAATTGTTGAGAACTCAATACGTATTTTGTAGCAGTACCGGCGCAATCTCGAACGAAGAAATTCCGAAGCAACTGTTCACGACAAAACTTGGTCAGCACGATTCAATACTGTGTAAGAAACCTTGAACATCGGTCTGGATCGAAGGACTCATCAAGTCATGAGCAGGTAAACTCTTCTTTTTCTAGCCCTCAACAAATCCTCTAAGCGTACTGTAATCGTTAGATCAAATTCTTCAGGACAGACTAAGGTTTTCCGCTGATGAGTTCGGCTCCTCCGAGCCTTCGGGTATCAAAGCTCTAATTTTGTCGCTCGGAACCACGGAGACCACATTTGTTACCCGAGTACTCGGAGTCATGATGTTCGTTGCCACGGGAGAGGCAATGTCTGTCAAGCACATCACAAGAACAGAGGGTAACGGATTGAAGCTGCCGGGAATCATGCAGACACCGGTTCGTGCCGGCTTCTTTCCCTGTTATCTGCGCGTACTGTCATCGTAATTAAGTTCTTGGTCCTCAAATTCGAAACACTGCTCATTCAGCTTTGTCCTTGCTCGCCGCGTCGGCACATGCGACGATGTTTTGGCTCAAACTCAGGCTGGCCGGGCAAAAGGTACGAGAAATACTGTAAGTTTGTTATGGATCCCGGTCCTGCACCATCAGTTTCAACATTCATTTCGTGAGTGCTATGTACCGTAAAGGAGGCATCCATCGCTGCGTCAGACTTTTTGGACGAAAATTGGCATGTGCCAAATCGTGCAGAGATTGCACATGTCAGCTGGTGCATCTCGAGCTGAACACTGCCATTACGAGTCCTTATCGAGCCTCACAGGAGGTCGCGATCCCAAAATTGTAGATTGCCATGCAGGACGCTGCAGCTCTTATCCCTGGACATGTACCACAAAGCTTGAGTGGTGTTCGTGTGTCGCTGGAAGAACAAGCCGACGTAGATTTCTCGGAGTTGGATATTGTCTGGGAAAGGATCTTCGCTGCGTGTGAGTATCGCTCTCCGAGAACAAACACAAAACTTTTCAGAGTGTAGACATTGGGCATTCTGACAAGTAGTGAAATCGCATGACGCTGGTTGACACTCTACGCACCTGACCACTACAAGTACATCCGCATCTCGAAACAATAGATGAATGAAGATCCTCAAAAAAATCTCGTAAAATTGTAAAATTTCAGCCAACCCCAGATCCTACCACATAAAACTTTGCGGAGCAACCTGGGGTAATCCCCCCGTTTGAACAGGATTAGGTTTACTGCAAATAGCATGTTTCGCTGTTCGCACACGGATTGCAGAAAGTGTCGAGCAAGTCGCGGTCTTATCTTTGGTTAATAGAACACGATAACGTACTGATGAGTGACAGTGTTGACGTCGATATAATTTGCTCAATCCAATCCCCAATCGGTCGAGACTCGGAAGTCAATCGAAACAGACATGCAGTAATGCATGGCTATTCACTAGTCGAGATGATGCCATTCCAATCAATGGCTAACGTGCTGGTCTATTCAAGGACACACGGCAAAGAGTTGTCTCAATACTCTATTGGACGCAACATGTCATGTAGGAGAAAGGCAGTATTGCTTAAGAGTTACACCTGATTTTTCACAATCGTTTTGGTAATTGATAGCATACGAGTAGGGTCAGTCTGTGCCAAGGAAAGGCAGACTGTCGGACTAGTGTGGGGGCAAGCATATATCTCGCCTTGCGTTGATACCTTGCAAATTCGTGTAGCCACAGGCAGGAGCGAAGGACGTTCTTTCAATAGAGAATAGTAATGTCTTTTGCTAAAACTCTCCTCTTATTCGTGGCATCAATGCTAGGCAGACGTGCACCTTACAATGATAGAATTCCTAATCGTAATTTCACTTCCCACTTCTTCGTCGGCCATGTTCCACTTCCCAACCATGCCATGCCTCTCTGCTCCTAAGCAGAACTCTTGCGAGGAACACCTCGTGTCTATAGTAAATTATGAATAACAAGAAACTCTCTATAACGACTTCGCGTAGTTGCGTGCGGTCATGACTCCCTCTGTCTTGTGCACCAATCCTTCATAGGTAATTGCCCAGCAATACGCCGCGTCCAAGTAGAATGAATATAGCGTACAACAATCCCACAATAAAGGTGATGATAGGAAATGTAAGAATAAGCGCGTCGACGTTTGCAAGCTTTATCTCAAAGTATCGCCATTAATCGAGGCAACTGTACTTGAATCACCAGAGCTGAGACCACTCGGAGGATTCAACAATTCTGATAGACTGATTTTTGGTAGCTGAGGTACCGGAAGTTTCCGCTGTGTGCCACCTACAATATCAGATATCGATGGCCCAGTATGATGAGGCGCTGGAGGGTGAGCGTAAGAACCATCGGCGTGTGGCTCCATAGGCGCAAGGAGTGGAGTGTGACCTAGAGATAGATGGCGTAGTCCAGGTAACTGCACATCACTGCCATGTACAGGGCGTAGTCGTGGCGAATGACCAGGGGTCGCCAGTGGCGTGTGATCTGGTGTCGGCGAAATAGACTCGTGCGAAAAAGTGGGCGATGACGGGGCGGTAGAATGTGGTGAGTTTGGCCTTGATCTTTTGACCCTGTGTTCGTCGTCGTGATTCTCCTGCGAATGAGATCGAGACATGCTGTGGGAAATGGCATAGGCGCCCAGAGAGGGTAGACGGCCAGTGCTGGGACCGTTGCGGTGGCTGAAGAGATGATGCTGATACTGATATGGTATTCTTGTGCCTACATCGTGTTCGGTCCGCTCGATCTGGGAAGCAGCTGTGGCCAACATATTGATATCCATGATTTTGGTTCGATCCTCGTGTCGTGCGTAAGGGGACAAGGTTGAGGGTATCGACATGGCATGCTGCGCAAAGGAGTGTGGTGGGCTGACATTCGGCGAACCGATCGCAGATGTAGGTGCAGACCGAGCGCCTCCCTGAGCTGGGGGCGGCATAACCAGTTGCGCCTGTGATGAATACTGATTAGGACCATCTTGGAGTCCAGCCATTGCAGCAGCGGCAGCCACCTGCTGAGCCTTGTTGCTCCGTCTTGAATTTGGGTTGTTGTGTATTCTGGAATGTCTAGTCAATTCGTCTGAGCGACTGAAGCGTTTACTACAGCCAGGAAACTGGCAAGCATGAGGCTTCTCGCCAGTGTGCGTGCGTATGTGTCTCGTTTGATGTTCGAGGCGGTGGAACGCTCGGTCGCACAGGGGACATTTGTAGGGTCGAGGTAGGTCTTGTCGTGTCTCCTCGGTCGCAGTTTGTTGAGTTGACGGCGGAGCACTTACTGCGGCGGCCATCGCAGAGGGCTGTGACGCTTGATCGGTGGTCTCTACCGTCGATGTTGAATGGCTTTCTTTGAAGGGAGAGGAGTCCGGGGTAGAAGCGGGATTGAGAAGGGAGGTAAAGTCGACAGCTGACGAAGAGCGTTGCATGAGTCAGGAGGCGGGTGGTGACTGAAATGCAATAGTGTGTCGCTTATCGTGGGGGATGAGACCAGTCACTGGTGCCAGATGCAAGTTGTAGACGGACTGGGTGACCAGGGATACCACCTGGGGTAGCGCAGTGTGACTGAAGTTGGGAAGAAGAGTGCAAGTTCGCTTGGTTATTGGCGACTGTCACGATGTATGGACGCAATCGGAATCAATTGGAGGCTCGGTGCCCAAGTGGTGCAGCGTTCTGGCGATCCGGAGAAAGAGTTTGGGAAAGTCTGAGTGTGGGAATAATTTCTGTCAGGTGCTAGCGCAATCCTTATCGCACCCACGTTTCCAGATGGAAGGATATGAGAGCTGACCGAGCTGCACAAGGATGCGGACGGCCGACGCGCCAAACGGGAAGTACCAAGTATTGGATGAGGTCAGGGCAAACTCAGGAGAGCACCCCAAAAAAGCAAGAACACAGCCGGGCGGTCGGGGGTCCCAGTCGAATTTGGCTCAAGTCACCGTAACGGTGCACAGGCTGATGACAAGGGAGAAATCTGGGGCGAGCCAAGACAATGGTCCTGGACTTCGGTATTCGGTATTCGTTCGTCCCGCCTGATCATGAAAATAGCTTGCTTGTCCTTGGACGCGCGGGCCTGCAATATCCGTAGACAAACAAAAGCACTGGTCAATACGTGGTCTGTCCTCTGACAGTCAGATTCGAATCTGCTGGAAGAGAGGCTCAGACGGGGAACATGAAGGGATGTATCTTTGCTCCAACATTTGCTCCAGATGTGACATCGGGTGGGCGAGGATTTTCCGGAATCAAAAGAATGATTGCCCGTCATTTCAATGTTTTGTTCACGAGTTCCATCTATACACATATATTGGCCATGACGATCTAATCTTGGAATTCTAACCAGAGCATGTGCGGTGGCACTGTCTCGGTGACTACTATGACCGAGAATGCAAATACACGCATTGTGAAGACCTCAACCACGAACCAACAATCATGTTTATTGCTGAAAACCCTTCGGAATGGCGACAAAATCAGTTCAGGAGTTTTCTCGGACGACATCCGTTCAATAAATCTCCAAACCTTTCATGACGGAGGCAAATAAATACTCGTATTGTAAATCTAAATGCCCAAGCTGGAAGTTTCCACCAAAAGACTGACACTCGGCCATAACTTGAATTTTGAACGATAAAGTTCATCTGGGGAAAGCCACAGGCTCGAAGGGAATTAGGCGGAGCCGACAGTGCAGAGGACATGATGTTCAGGCACAACGCATATTCCGAAAGTGTCTCTCCACATTATCTGCGCAGATCTGACGCTTGGACACAACTCTCGTTCTGTGGACGATTCGTTGACTCAAAGGGCTACTGTTTGGCAGGGAAAGAAAATACTTGATATTCGCGTACACTCGAGGTTTCAGACTTCACTCTAAATGTCGCATTCGTGGATGAGGTGTAACCCAATTTTTTTTCCAGCAACACGATTCCTTTCAAAGTCTATCCGTGCTGACATGTGCGGAACTGCATGATGACTACATCTCCACAATCTGTTTCTCAATGGTCAAATCGTCAATAGCCGTGCCTTGCTGCTGGCGTCAGCCACGCCGACTCAGCCTGTCGCTTATCCACCTGACTTGTGGTTGACGAAGTCGACAATTGCTGAAAGTCTAGACTTATGTTATGGTCTTGTCGTTTCCATTGTTCCTCTTGACCGCTGATAATTCAAGAAATGTGTCTGAAGAAGATGCCATAAGGTACAGCAATTGATTTATTCAAAATCCAACCAAGCCACAAAGAGATTGACTGCACAGGAGGAGTAAGCAACCCACGTATCAAGATATGGCAGCTATCCAGGAGATCGTCTGTTGCCACGTCTCCCATCCGCAATGATCATGCATTTAGAGCCTGTTAGATAAGGTAGCAGGTGGCCTTTCAGATCAAAGTGTATTACAGTGAGGCACGAATCTCCTCAGTGGATAGTTGGCCTACCACAGTACACACTCGACTCGCTTTTGACACGGCAAAAGCTCCATGGAACTGCAAGAACCCATTCTATGTTAGGCCCACTGATAACGTCGCGGTCTCTTTCAATTTTGGTCCATCAACCACAGTAGGCGCACGCCCTTGGGGAGTGGCAGCTTTTAAACCAGAATGTTGTCTTGAGCTCGGTTCGTCTGCCAGTCTTTTGCGTATTGACCTGAATTCAGCGGACAGCGAAGTGCTGAACGTCGAGCACTGCTGCCAGAAAGAATGGTCTAGGATGCCGAAGAACGTCTACCTCAGAGAGGAAATGATCTGCTCGACCTCCTCCCTGAATCAGCTTGTGCAGTATATTGACAACGTTGGCGATTGCTGCGCCTTGCTCTCTGCTCCTGGTAGGATACTGTGGGCTCCACCTCGCTACTTCGCGTGCGCAGGACGTGATCGCCTGTGAGGCGCATCTTGCTAACTCCTCACTCAATGTCCCCTCCACATACTTGGCTATCGCTATATACGTGCACCCCCAGAAGTATCTATGTCAAAATTGGCGTGATCGTAACGTGGACACAGTAAAGCCTGCTTCTCTGAGTGGCGGCTAGGTCCAGGTCTGTTGAGTTAAGGAGGTTGAGGAACGATTGGGCAGATTTCGCGACAATTTCATGGATCGTAGCTGGTCAAGGAAATGAAGATCATAGATAAGTTTGTCCTGCGTGTCTCTATTTGCGGGTCCAGAGTCCGATCCATTCAGCAGACTGGGTCGATTACAGCTGAACCTCTCATACTGTAAGTGCATCTCCGAGCGCTTCTCTGCTGGTATATCTTGCATGAGTTGTCATCACCTAATTTTACTCGGACCGCTAGTGGTAGATGTCGAAGAGAGGAGAATAGCTTTCACATGCCCAGAAACCTTCAACAAAGTCGCTAATCGAGTGATTGATTGTCGCACGTGGGTGTTTTTACCTGCTAAGCAAGTGGAGCCACTCTCGATATCGCGTTTGATCGTTCCTGGGCAGTACAATACGACAGGGCATCTAATTTCCTGGGTCTAGAACATCCAGCTGTCTGGTGCTCGGACAAACACAAAAGAACCAGAACAATTGGTTCCGTGATGTCTCGCACACTTGCCAATTCATAAACACTAAGGACGAATGGATGTATCAAGTACGCTTACAACTGCACCAAAGTGGCATTAGTTTCTCACTCAAGTTGGAAGCATGAAAATCATACCACTCTCCGCAGTGTGATAGAAGCCTGGAGATTGTCGTGCGAGACGTCGAATTTCTGGGGATGTTGCTTGTCAATCTTCTGGTCTATGTTCGACAGAGCGCTGCCGCCTGTGATACCTTGGACTGTAGAAGATCGCAGTCGCAGCATGCATATGTTGTGCAGGGAGATCAAGGAATCAACGTTAGATGCTTGGGCTTTGAGAGATTATGAGCATTAATGGCTCGAACCAGTATCTCAGGTATCACAGTGTAGCTATTGACTCGTGCTCGATTCCCAACAACGTGCCTGCTGCTCATACAACCAGAATATAGCCTTGTCTCTGAAGTTCATCACCACCTATCAGGTCGTTCACGCCATGGCCAGAGATCTGGTTCTTGATGTATACTGCCTCGTGCCTGCCTTCACGTCCATCGACCAGAGGCAGCCATTAAAGTAATAACAGAAACATTGAGCCATATCTGACATAGCACATTCGCGAACAGCTCAGGCTTGATATATGTATCGTTGTCGAGATGTTCTCTCGCCCGGCTCGACAAACTCTGCCCCACTCAATGGACTGAAGGTCAGCTACATATTGGACAGACATGGTGTAGATGGATTCAGCAGTTCATTTTGGAGGGTCAGAGCTCAGAGGAGGTTGCTGCGGGTCAATGCCCGAACCTCCAGAAACCTTGCTCTACCCTACATAGATCTATTCGACATACACGATCTCACGATTCTAAGATCTTTGAAACTCCCCTCACTGAACCTCTCTCTACGTTCATTTGCTTCCATGCTAGGCTTGACGCTACAGGTTCAGCGTGTCACTGTCATTCGGAGCAGAAATTGTTGTGATTAAATGTCGACCAGATCAACAGGATTGCGACAGTCGTGGGATTTGTTCGGGGTATTCATCTGACAGAGACAGTTGTACATCACACTCAATCCAGACCAGCGCACTCTCGCGATCAATTGTACAGCACCTGTCTGGGACCAACAGTCATAAAAAGCACGTATACATTGTGCCAGACGGAAATTCATGTAGTGTATTCTAAAACAAGTTGCTTCTAGTTCTTCAGATCCAATTTGTCCGGAGAATACCTAGACTGAGATGCTGCAGAAGGCCTTTTACTGAGGATAACGAGAATGATATAACGCGTTCTGCAAAACCATAGTACGTAGTGAAGTAGTAGTTTGCTCTCAGGGTGCTTTTTCACAAGACAGCCTTGCCCGAAGTGGATCCAGGCTGTATCACCTTCACATTTCGAGCTGCGTCTACAATCTTTATCTATAGCTTGACAGGTCTCTCTTACCATCACCACGACGATCGGTCCTGCAGAGATGAGCGCGCGCTTATCTCCTGCAGCCAGCCTTCTTCGCAACTCGAAGTTGTTTGCATTGCCTCCTACAATAGCACTACCACCTAAATCTCCAACATCCGACCAGATCTCCAGCTCTGATACGGCAACAACCAAATACCCCCAACATGCTGCCATCAACACGACGGTAGTTTCACACAACTATGGAGATTGGGGATTCAAGAGACCCTTACCTGCAAAGTCGACCAGGTCTACAAACAACCCAGTGGTCCGCTTGGTCCAGGGCATCGACACGCCCGAGCAGATTGCTGACTTCGAATCGGCAGCCGATCATGTACTTACTCTACGCAAATTTCAAGAGCTGAATATTGGCATCCAGCATATGCCGGTGCAACTAGATAACAAATCGTTCCTTACCGATCCATACGCCAAAAGAATGCACAATGGTGTCTTCCGATCTTCTCATGACAATACAACCAACTTAGTCTCATCAGCGCACACTCGTGCAAGCGCTTCTAGTGTGTGGCCTAATGTAAAGCCCGAGGAAATATTTGATGCGCTCCCCGAGAAGATCAAGCGGAAACAGATAGAAATAGAACAGGCGACGGAACCCGTTAAGCAAGAGGAAGGCGAAGCACAACTTCTCGCAGCCACCAAAAAGCAATCGCGACCCATAAAACCACTAAGATGGCGTTACGCTGGACCCTCGCTCGTAAAAATATCTGGCCAAGAGTTTGACGAATATCTAAGGAGGATAAGTGATAAAGAAAGAGAACTCCTTGACAAGCGCATCAGACAGGATCTTGTTGAGGAGAAGACAAGACTCGCACGGGAGAGTGGCCAGAGAGATAAGACTTTTACCCAGACTGATATTACAGAAGGGGAAGTAAAGGAACAGATGCGCTACCTACGAAATGAGCCTAGGAAGTTCGGACCTATTATTGCAGAAATACTTGACCTTCCTGAGGTAGAATCAGAAATACCAGGGAGAACAAAGGATCTTGCCGATCTGTGGGAATATGGAAGGAGCACTTTGGCAGCAGGAGAGTGGTCTTCTAGAGGACCTCCAAGAACACATCCATCTGCTGGCTTATCGTATATCCATACCAACAACCACGTTAACAACGATCCAAAGTACGGTCCACAGAGCTCCAGAAACGTCACGGTTGCTCGAGTCGTAAAAGCCCGGGCCAAGGGCAGTGCCTCGCGTGTCCATGTTGGTTTGGCGGGATTTATTGTACCACCGATGGAGGCGAGACACGACAGCAAGTTGGAATATATGCCTAAGCCCGGTGGAAACAAGGTGGCATTGAGGCCGACTGTCGCTTATGTCCATTCCAGTGGCGCTGTCAGGCTACACGCAGAACACACAGACTGGACTGTCGATGAGAACGACAGAGCCGTCTCAAGCGCTGAAAGGGCGGAGAGGAGCCAAGGCCGAGATCTGCAACAGCCACGAGGCGTTGCACCTGCACCTCGAATGAGCAGCACGCCAATGCTGCGTCTGAGCCAGCTCAACAGTTCAAGAAGGGCAGATCTGAGTCCAGATGTCGACGACTTTTGGGCGAGCAGCTAGTCATATAGTGGCTCTCCCCATGTAAACGCAATAGGTACTGTGTAGATATATCTTCTTGCATGTATGTCTAAACTCAAGACTGAATTCATCAATACCCCGGTCGACATTCATGCCTGAATGCCTGGTTTTGGTAAGGTAGCATCACGTGAACCAAATATCTTGGCAATAACTCCTACCGCACTTCGTGATTTTTGATCTGGTACCAACTGCGCTTTGCACACCTTCCACAACCCATCCAGCCTCACCACACGTCGACAAAATGGGTCGCGTACGAACAAAGACCGTCAAGAAGTCCGCCAAGGTCATTATCGAGCGATATTATCCTAAGCTCACCCTCGATTTCGAGACGAACAAGAGAATATGCGACGAAATTGCGATTATCGCTTCTAAGCGATTGAGGAACAAGGTATGCATCTTACCTTATGCAACGTCGCAAACGCTTGCAAGCATGCAAGACCAATACTGACTCGATTTCAAATAGATTGCTGGTTACACTACACACTTGATGAAGCGTATCCAACGAGGCCCAGTCCGAGGCATTTCCTTCAAGTTGCAAGAAGAGGAGAGAGAACGAAAGGATCAATACGTGCCTGAAGTCTCTGCTCTAGACTTCACACAAAACAGCGAGTCTGGCCAGCTCGACGTCGACCAAGATACTAAAGATCTACTCAAGAGCATGGGCTTCGACGGCATTCCAGTCAACGTTGTTCCAGTCGCTCAGCAGGCACAGCAGACCGAGAGGGGCCGACGGGTGTTTGGTACTGAGGCTCGAGGTCGTGCTTGAGCGAGTTGAGGTGTTGACAAGTCGAGAACGGTATTGCAGAGAACAGGAACGTGCGGTCACGCTATGTGCCACAATTGGACGATCTCCACTGGTGGTTGAAGTACAGGCGCAGACATGGTGACAAGGAGGAGCACGAAAGAGTGTATGGAGCAAACCTAAATTGCGTCTGTTCCTGAGCAGAAAGCCTCAAGCCACGATCTGAGCATAGCTCGAAAGTAGGCCACGAGTTCGCTCGAATGCCATACAAGGTGTCGCTTAGTCTAGTCAAACAGACGAAGCTTGATTGCCATACAGTTTCCTGTTCCCGTAATGTGTTCGATTGGTCGCGGCTTGTGTAATTATCACAATGTCTCTGCTGTGCACTCTATTTGTAGAGATACTAATACATGGTTTTCGTGGACGTTGCTGAAATCAACTTGCCTACAAGTCTTGTTTGTCCGTGATAAATATACACTTGACCGCTGTGGTTGCGACTCAATGCGTGCATGAATGTGTCATTGTCCGTTCATCTATTCATCCACCAACTTGCCAGCGCTCATACGCTACCACACAATACCACTCTCAACGCCATCGACCTAACACAAATCCTCAGTGCTGGGCCTGGCCTGACGGAGAAACATTCGACGCAGCTCTTCTATCTGCCCAATAACTTGGTCAGACCGACTGTCACTGTCTGTTATCTGCCGTATCAGTGTACCGGCTAATCTGTGGATTCCTATTGTCCTTAGAAACAATGTGTTCCAATCACAAGAAGCGAAACTCGGCTGAACTCGACCTGTTCTACCGATGTTTTGGAGGACTCCATGCTTGTCCATGCTCGAGTACCAATTAGCACTCCTCGGCAATCCCAATTCGGAGATGTATGCGCTGTGTCTGGGGCAGAAAACGTATGAACTCTCGGCTGTCGACGACGAAGATGGGTAGAAGTGAGCATATGAGCCGATGTTCTGCCAGACTGCTCACAAGAGGTAAATTGCATAAAGGCCAAGCTGTGCCATGATGAAGATGATGTCCCACGAATATCTCTCGTTCTTGGAGTCCTTCAGTTTACGACATAGTTATAACCAACACCAGTCCCTGATCAATGGTGCTAAGAAGACATCAAATCTCAACTATGGGCAATCCGGAACAGCTCGCCCACAAGGACTTCGACGTGGAAGATGTCCTAGAACAGCTCAATATTGACGAGAAGATCTCGCTATTATCGGGTACAGATTTCTGGCATACAGCTTCCGTACCACGCCTAGGGATACCAGCAATTCGCGTTAGCGATGGACCAAATGGTGTCAGGGGGACTAAGTTCTTCTGTAGTGTCCCAGCAGCGTGTTTGCCGTGTGGTAAGTTGTTCCATAAGTATGATTTCCAATCTGATGGGAACAGGAACGAGCTTGGCTGCCACTTGGAATACGGAGCTGATTAACAAGGCGGCGCAACTTCAAGGTAAGGAGGCTATTGCTAAAGGTGCCTCGGTGATATTAGGCCCGACCACGAACATGCAAAGATCACCGTTGGGGGGTAGAGGCTTCGAGTCTTTCAGTGAAGATCCAGTTCTAGCCGGTCAGATGACGGCTGCCACTATCAACGGAATTCAGTCGACCGGTGTAGGAGCTACTCCCAAACATTTCGTTGCCAACGACCAGGAGGACCAACGAATGGCAGTGGACAGCATAATCACTGAGCGAGCACTGAGAGAGATCTATTTGATGCCATTTCAGATAGCCATGAAACATTCCAGTCCATGGTGTTTTATGACAGCTTATAACAGGGTCAATGGTCCACATGTCAGTGAGGACTCTAAGCTCATACGAGATGTGCTCCGTCAGGAATGGGGCTTCGATGGAATGATTATGTCCGACTGGTTTGGGACATACTCGACAACTGAGTCAATCAAAGCTGGCTTGGATCTGGAAATGCCTGGCCCATCAACTACCCGAGGCCATCTAGTGGGTCCAGCTCTTGGGTGTGGAAAATTGAGGGTATTCGATATCGACAATTGTGTACGACAAGTGCTTAAGTTGGTGAGAAAGGTATTACCATTAGGCATACCAGAACATGCTCCGGAGGGTACCATCGACTCCAAGGAGACCGCAGCTTTACTCCGGCATGTATCGTCAGACGGCCTGGTTCTCTTGAAGAACGATAACAGTGTGCTCCCCTTCAAGAAGGACAAGTCAATAGCTGTGATTGGTCCAAATGCAGATTTTGCTGCCTACTCTGGAGGCGGCTCTGCGTCTCTCTTGCCATACTATGCCATCACGCCTCTTCAAGGAGTAAGAAACCAGAACAAAGATGCCCAATATGCTCTTGGCGCTCCTGGCTGGAAGAAGCTGCCTCTAATCACGAGAAAGTTAAAGACAGCAGACGGTAGACAGGGTCTGATCATGAAGGTGTATTTGGATCCTCCCAGTACCAAAGGCCGTGAAAGCATAGATGAGGTATATGTGAATGACTCGAATATGTTTCTTGCCGACTACAAGCATCCGAAGATCACGAGTTCCTTGTTCTATGCGACCTTTGAAGGCGACTTCACACCTACGCAAACTTCGGAATACGAGTTCAGTGTCTCCGTGGCAGGAACTGCCAAACTCTACGTAGATGGCCAACTAGTTGTCGACAATGAAACTAAACAACTGCCTGGTGACAGTTTCTTTGGTACAGGCACGCAAGAGGAAATTGGCAGCATTAAGTTGGAGAAAGGTAAAACGTACAAGGTTCATGTTGATTTTGCGACTTTGCCGACTATGACCTTCAAAGTGCCAGGCGCCACAGCTTTCGGAGCAGGAGGCATCAGAATAGGCTGCGAGCGCAGAATAGACAGAAAGACCGAGCTTGAGCAAGCTGTGGCACTGGCCAAAACAGTCGAACAAGTTGTCTTGAGTGTTGGCCTCAATGCAGAGTGGGAATCGGAGGGTTATGATCGAACAACTATGGACTTACCTCCTGGAAGCGACGAGCTCATCGAAGCAGTTATAGCAGCCAATCCCAATACAGTTATTGTTGTACAGTCAGGTACGCCAGTGACGATGCCCTGGCTTAAAACAGCTCCTGCAATTGTGCAAGCATGGTATGGCGGTAACGAAACTGGCAACGCCATTGCAGATATCGTCTTCGGTAACGTCAATCCTTCAGGCAAGTTGCCATTGTCCTTTCCTATACGAAACGAGGACAACCCAGCCTTTTTGAACTACAAGTCTGAACGGAATCGAGTACTCTACGGTGAAGACATATACATTGGTTACAGGTTTTACGAAAAGACGAAGAAGGAGGTCGCATTTCCTTTTGGGCATGGATTGAGCTATACGACCTTCGAAATGTCTAACCTGAAACTTGCTATCGACGACAATACAGACGAAATTATAGTGGTCATTAATGTCAAGAATACCGGCAGCTATGATGGAGCACAGATAGTCCAAGTATACGTCTCACAAGAATCGCCATCTCTAAATCGACCATCGAAGGAACTCAAGGGGTTCACAAAAGTCTCTGTGAAGAAGGGTGAAGTTGTCAAGGCGAAAGTGAGCTTCTCCAAGAAATATGCCACCAGCTTCTGGGACGAAGCGAGAGATTCATGGATCAGTGAGAAAGGCAGATATTTTGTGCTCGTCGGAGATTCAAGCGCAAAAGTACCATTCAAGGACGAGTTCGAAGTCGAGAGGACGACTTGGTGGAAAGGACTATAGCTTAGGTAGTGGTACAAAAAAATGTGCTAGCTCTGTATTGTTTGAATGATTTAGGTCATCTCTTGCTCGAGGAACAGTATTTGTCGAACGAGATACCAAAACAACGCACAGAGAGCACTCGGGAACAACCACACCCAGATCTCAAGAGTCTCGAATGGCGGACATCGTGGAAGACCTGCTCCGACCTCGCCACTACGTCATCTCTCGGCCTAGCTAGCCTGAACGAGTTAGTCTTCTCGACCCCAGCCAGGCAAGCTATCGCAAGCTTTCTGTCGTCCTGCATAAGCTCAATCAAGCTTGAACGGGCGTGGTAGCTTGCACTTGAGTTATTGGTCAACTTTCTGTTTATCTTGCAGCTGAATGCTTACCGAAATGTCATTCGTTCATGCTAAAAACGTGCCCTGAAGGAGCTGAGGATGAAGCTCGACAAGTTTGCGGAATGCTGTGAGCAGCTGAGAAGCAACATTATAAGACTTTTCATGCCTGGTCAGTCGCCGCTTACATCCAAACGCGATCAAGTAGTCGGCAGGCAAAGCTGCAGGACTGTTCCCTAGGGCTCGAAAAGTGGCAAGATCGCAAGCAGAGAGCCATAGTGGTTGTCGCTGAAGCGTGTTTCCGAGCACACTAAGATGCATATCAGACTTTGCATTGTTGCGACAGCTGTGTTTTCGAGCTTTGCAGCTGGCTGTGAGGACCATGACTGGACCTCACCCATGCTTGGTGGCTATGTCAACCATGATCTGATGGCGAGACATGACCTCGACAAGCGCATCCAACCTGGTGCTCTCCCAACACTACCACAGCAGATCAAAGACATTCATTGGGGTCAGCTTAACATTCTGTCAACCACAGACACTCATGGTTGGGTACGTACTCAAGATAGCTTGCACAAGTTATGTAGCATTCAATCCTTCGTCGGCGTACTGGTGTGAAACCAATACTAACATCATCCTAGCTAGCAGGTCACTTGCTCGACGAGAATTACAGTGCTGACTATGGCGACTTTGCAGACTTTGTCAGAAAGATGAAGGCTAAGGCAGATGCACTCGGTGTTGACTTGCTGCTGGTTGATTCTGGCGACCTCCACGACGGAACAGGCTTCGGAGATGCAACCACACCGAATGGCAGGTTGACATTGCCAATTTTCAAACAGCTGCCTTACGATCTTTTGTCGATTGGAAACCACGAGCTTTACACTACTGAAATCGCCAACGACACCTACCGAAACTTTGCACAGAACTGGAGCGGACGCTACGTTACCAGTAACGTTGACTTCTACGACAATGGTGTGAGGAAGCCATTCTCCCAACGCTATGCGTACTGGCAGACAAAATTCGGCCTCAGAATAATGTCATTCTCTTTTCTGTATAATTTCACTGGCAACAGCAACGCATCAGTGGTCACACCTGTCGGGACAGCAGTTCAGCAATCGTGGTTCACACAGCAAGCCAGCAGAAAAGATATAGACTATTTCATCATCACAGGCCACGTCACTCTGCGAGGCTCAACTGAATGGAACCTGGTCTACAGTGCCATCCGCCAGTACCACCCAACAACTCCAATTCTGATATTTGGTGGTCACCGACACGTTCGAGACGCGGTAGCATGGGATGCCTCCGCAATCGGTACGGCAGCTGGCCGCTACTGCGAAACAGTCGGCTGGACCACCGTGGACGGCCTTTCTCCAAATGTGACACGAGCCAGATCTCCAATGGGCAGCGGCACAATCAGAAATCCACGGCCATCTTCTATCCCTGGTATCAACTTTACTCAAGTAACCTCATCGAACCTGTCTTACTCCCGTCAATACCTAGACTTTAACCGACCAACCTTTGAGAAGCACACCTCTTCCCTCAGCCAAGCACTCAACACCTCCTACGGCACAGGCATCACCAATCAAATCACCAGAAACTTCTCCAGCCTCCCACAACTCACAAGCCTGCTCGGTTGCTCTCCAGCCTCCTACTACCAGAACAACTACCCACTCACATCGCCACACAACCTGTTCAATTTCTTGACCACCACCGTCTTCCCAGCCGTCGTCTACGCTCCAGGCAGAAATACCTCACAATATCCCCGAATCATCCTGACGAACACAGGTGGTTTCCGCTACGATGTCCTGAAAGGCCGCTTCACGCTCGACAATGCCTACCAAGCGAACCCCTACACCAACCTGTGGCAGTACATGAGCACACCATGGGGCGTGGCGAAGAATCTTCTGGCAAACATGCAGACTGATCGCGTCTACAAGCGCCAATCCTCGAACAGTACAGTCTACAACAGCACGACAGGACTATATACCACGCCAGGCTACCTGACAAAAGACGATTTCGGCAATGACGGCGATAATACGATCCACTTCGATCAGGGATACTTTGACAGCGGACACTATGTCCAGGCGAACGTGAGCGTGGCCAACATCTCCGACAGCACATTGGTTGACGTTTATGGGACGAGTTTCTTCACAGCGGCAGCGGCGAAGTACTTGCAGGGCAACACGACTGGTTGGATTAATGTGACGAATAGCACGGGTGGCGGATTCACCAGCTTCGATACGTTGCCGATGTATGCGCGTCTGTTCTGGGACAAGAATTGCTAAGTATGCTATAATGGCTCACGTGAATAGGGAAATGGTTGATAGCACGAATTTGATGTGTTTGACAGTGTAGATATTCTGCGGCATGAGACAGATAAAGGCATGTCGTCTCTTACTCTTGATTCATCTTCATAAACCAACCGAGAAATGTCGATAGCAATGAGTTGTACCGACTTCGGAACTAATGTTCTGCTCAGCTCGCACTGCTTTGTGCTTCAAGATCATGCGGCCAATTGCCCTCAGTGAATGTCGCGTTCGTGGCTGCTCACTCGCTGAAGCAATGCCGTCTGCCAAGTACATGGCTTCTCACTTTGTGTTGTAAAATCCACTGTTCGTATAAACGTTGTTGTGCCGAGCTCTTTTTGTTTGCCATGTTACTACATCTTCACCCGTTCATTCTAGCAACAATTTGCAATGTAGGTTCAGAGATCATTCATCTACTGGTGCTGCATTGAGCTCGTTACGGCGTGATTCCTAAGTATAAGTGAGTCTCAAATTCGTCTGAACACGAATCTTCACTAACCTCTGCCAGAAATTCGCGAAAGCATCGAACGGCCTCGCTCGCTGGTGTTTTATTGGTTATACCCATCTCTTCGAAGCGACCCGTGAGGAGCGAAGCGTAACCAGTGCCAGGAATATTGGTCTTAGCTGCAATATCGGGTGGTACCTCAATAGTCCTTCGCGCATGTTTGCCGGCATTGCGCGCCATATAGCCGTTCTCATCTTCAGTCATGTTTGCGGGCTTAAAGACTAGGGTAGACATGTAGTAGTGTACAACGCCCGGCTCTTGGTCGTCCTCGTCTCGAACCCAGCGTCTATTCACCCATGTTGACGAGCCAGTCCATCTTGTTGCAGTTGGTGCTGCGGTGGAGACAAGGTGGACGTCGTCGTCGCGTGTGAAGTACCATTCCTGCTGGGCACGAGCAACAACATAATCGATCTGTGGTTGACGTCTTTGTAAAGACTCGAGCTGGATGCGTAGAGTGGTCACACTGGTTGGAAACCGCACAGTATTGATCCATGGAGTTCTGATGTAAATTGGTCGGTCGGTCTCCCAAAACCAAATATCGGTGTGCCGGATGGTAATTGTAACCGTTCTGGGCATGAAATAAGGGATCTGCAGGACGTTGTTAAGGCTGTTGCCAGGCTCGAGTACGTACAGCTGGGCGAAGACCTGAACATTATGGACCTCCTTCCGTCGACTTAGGACGTCTGGATGAAGTCTTTCAATGAGCTTCGAAACTCGCTCCATCTGGTGGGGTTCAGTATTGTTTTTCGGCTTGCGATCAGGCGCAGTAAGGAAGAAGGTATGCTGTGCTAATGTCCAAGGGAGATACCAGGCGTCGTTGTAGACAGCTTGACATGTCCGCAAGAGAGCTGTATCAGTCTTACGTGGTGCCATATATTCAGGTCTTCGATAGCATGTATCCAGCTCGTAAGCATTGGCAAGGTCTTCGTAGTCAGCCAGGGCATATTCGTAGATCAGGTCCCGGACCTCTCCAGGGAGGTCACTGAAGAGAGGTGATGAGAACTGTTCGTCAATAGGCAATGCAAACGACTCGATGCGATGGATTTTGTCGTATGGGTCTGGTCGTCGACCTTGTCTGGTATGTCTTCTTTGTCCTCGCCGTCCTACCACTGTTTCGAAGAAAGGCCTACGATCAGACATCTGGGGCCAATGGTTTCGATGATACTGAAAGAGAAGCCTGCAGCATTTAGTGAGACCACCAAAATAGATTCTTGTAGAAAGTCGTACTCTACGAGTCCAAGCAGAATACAAACCACGAAGGTGAACAGAACAGGAGTGAAGTGCTCGAGGAATTTATCAAGTGAAAGCATGAGAAGTGGAGGTGGGGTGTCAAGTTACACGCAATCAAGTAACAGGAGTTGGGAAGAGCGAACATTCACTCTCACTGCGTGGCGCACAACATTGTTGATTGTGGTGTTACAAGCATGAACAATGAGCCAGATCTGAGGAGTCTGGATTACAGCCTAGAAAGAGGCACCCGCAGAGTTGGCATTAGCAGCAGAACAGGCGTGAGCTTAACCTATTCTGGTTGGTCTGGTTGTTAGTCTACTAAACTTGAAGTCTAGAGTCAGTCCAGTGGGACACTTTCATTCCTCTCGCTATGCCCCAACAACCGATGTGTTGCGACTGATATACGCATCACACCGCTATGTCAGGAGATCATGGGCATCGCTCGACTGACTCAAGATTTACACCCATATCTCGAAAGCGCGGTCTTGCCACAACGATTGGAAAATGGCTCCGCCATCGAGTTTCACAAGTTGGTCATTGATGGTCCGTCAATGGTGTACCATGTCCACAACAAGGTAGCTGCGTACAAATTCTCTACTTTACCATCAGCCGGCTTGTTGAATCTGCCAACGTATACCCAACTCAGTGATGCGGTCAAGCGCTTCCTGCACGACCTCGAGGACCATGGTGCTATAATGTGAGCCTGTTGTATACCAATGTAAGAATACCAGCTGAGAACACGTAGAAGTCACATCTTCTTCGACGGAAAACTGCCAGTACACAAACGACCTGTTCGAATCGACCGGCTGGAAAAGTCAAGAATAGCGCTTGAGGTTCAGAAGCTCACAGACTTCGACCTATCACGCAATGACCACGTACAGCTTGGCCAGCAACAACTGTCAGAAGCGATATGGCACGAAAGGACCAATCGACAGGTGGCGAATGTGACCCTTCCCTTCATCATACCTGCTGTTATTGAGCAGCTCAAAAGCTCAAGATGGGCAGGTGTTGTTACTATCGTTCCTGGTGAAGCCGAGGTTTATTGTGCACCGGCTGCTAAGCAAGAGAATGCTTGTGTTCTCACGAATGATTCGGACCTTGCTCTTTTCGAGGATTTGCAAGAGGAAGGCGTCATCGTCTTACTGAACAGTCTGGCAAAGAAAGTAGAAAGGGTGTATCCAGAAAAGTCCAAAATCGAAGCTCGTTGTTGGCGGCCCGGGCAGATTTCGCAACAGCTTGGTGCTAAGAGTCTGGTCAGATTCGGTTTTGAGCGCGGGGAGGATGCTTCGGCAAATTTTTCCACGATAGCAGAACGAGCAAGATCAGCTGCGAACGACAATGACAAAGCTTTCGAAATATTTGCGAAACAATTCAGAACTCATTGCACAGTAAAAGACTCATCTATACCAGCCTCAAGGCTCAGATCTCTTGATCCTCGTCTAGCAGAAGTTGCTAGCCAATTTCGCGACATCTACTACAATGACCTCGAATCTGAGCAGCATAATTCCACTGGCATAGAAATTCATTCAACCTTACCAATTCTCCTCGAAGATGTCAGTCGTGATTCTTCATGGAGATATGGGCAAGACTTCCGCCGTCTAGCCTACTCTCTTGTTGCTAACCATTTTCTGAAAGATGCCATGTCTAGCTCTCAATGTGAAATCCATCGAAGAAGTCGACCTCCAATCGTCGAACTCCTCAGGAAGGGTCAGAAGATCGCACTCGACACTGTGCAAACAGGTGCCTCCCTAGACGAGCAGATTCAGTCGTTGCAGACCTACTGGGATATCTTAGCTCGATATCACAGCCACGATCAACAACACTTCGAAAGCCACAGGACAACCGAAGCTTTTCTTCGCATCAATTTCTTGCTATTTGGACTACATGCAGTGCTGCTCCAAAGATCCGAGAATCAGAAGCGAGCCTTCTCCACGCGAATTATAATGCAGTACGTTGGCATGGCTGTTACAGCTACCTCGAAGCCCCGCAGGAACGCGAGAGACGACGAAAACAGTAACTGGAATCTCATGCACCTCAACGCGAATGTGCAATCTGTCCTATACTCGCTACGCATGGTGAAGCAAGCTGCTGATTTTGTCGACAACGATACGAACATGCAGAAGAAAAAGAACGAAGCCCTGCTGCAGACTACACATCTGTCACCACAAAATAACCAAACATTCAGGGCGCTGCTTGCTTGGCTCTCCAAGATGCCTGCAATCCAGGATCTCTTTCTCGACCCTGTTCAGACAGCCGAGTTATTCTCCAAAGTGCCTGGTGAACAACTTAAAGTTATGCTGCGCCCACTGGCAGAGCAGTTCGACCTCCTTAAAGCTCTTGATATAGAGGTTGTTGAAGACGGAGCGAAGACAGATCGGGATGTCGATGTGGCGGATGTATCGAGGAACGCAGCTGGCGACACAAATTCAGACTCTGGAGATCCGTGGGTTGCAGGAAGAAGCAGGAAGCGGAAGAAAGGGCCACCAGAAAATAAGAGTGTTGACAGCAAGAAGGCCATCCCGAGCACCCTGAGTAATGGAGCCAACATGTTCGAGTTGCTTAAACAGCATGACTGAAGTCACTCGTGTTCGAGCCGTATACTCGTAGTATCGTACCAGCCCTTAGAAATGATATGTGGTGGGTGGCTCTTTCGTCTAGATTCCTCGAGTCCCAAAGAGTGTTAACGTAAAAAAGAAATTTCGATTAATGCGATATGTATTGGGAAAATTTAGAAGGACATGGATTTATATTGTCGTACTCGTACGACACAAGCAAAACACAAAAAAGGATCGACCATCTTATACCAGGCTCGCTTACTAAGGCTCGGTGGCCCTTACGACAACCTAGTGAGGCTGATCCTTTGAGGTTCGGCTCTTTGAGTCTACGTCCTCCCCCAGAACCCAATTGTCGTGTTTTCCGTTTTTGTGACCTGTACCTCCTCCCCTACGCGCCAGGTGTCGTATACCTGACCCGGTGTCGTCTCTGTTTATTGTGGCGGCGAATGGTTGTTACGGCGACGAGAAATGGCGAGGCAAACGGTGGGGCGCGCGGTTTTGTGTCGATTTTGAGAGAAAACTGTGATTATCAATATTGCATCCCTTTGAACGTCACAAAAATTGTGTGTGTCCCGCAGATAGTCCAGGCCAACATACGGACGTCAGGCTCCACACAGGCAGTTATCATAATCTTTTGTGCTGGGGTTCGAGTCGTGTCATTACGAGTTGTGCTCGTGACTAACTGATGTGTGCAACTCCGTCCTCCTTGCGTCCTGCTCGAGGGAGAAGACGATTGGGTCAATAGCCCATCGACATTCTTTGGCAGACTTGCGATCGAAATTTGTTGCTTCGGTTCTCACGATATCATGCTGCTCACCAGCAATCGTAACAGCCTCGCCCGACATAGCGCCATAAGGCATCGAAGTCATCGAAGAGCTTGTCATATGGCCTAGTGGGTATATCACTGCCTTTACGATCATCCTGGTCTCCACCACCCATTCTTGTCAAAAGTAATGGTGTTCATGTTCCTTTCCACAATTTGTATCCTGCTTCCTGAGATATACCGTCAAAGCCAAGACTATGTTCTTGAGCTGCGACGGAAATCGTTCGTCCTTTGAAGATGAATTTCAAGCACAAGAGGCGCTTGAAATTCATCTTCGCTATATGTAGGGTATCTTCGGACCTGTGTGCCCTGGAAGTGGTTGTACTCTAGCTAGTATGGAGATATGCGCCCACTTAACTTTAAGTTCAGTCGTCGGATTCAAAAGTAAGGATACTGGAGAAAGGATCTGAGATTGGTTAAGAAGGGTATTGCCGAATGATGTTCACCACAGTGCATACAGTCTGTCTCGTAGAGGCAACTCAGCTTCGATAAGCCTAGTTGTATATGTTCCTCAGCGAAGTACGGTCCGTCCAATGACAGCTTCTCGATCTCTTCTTCGCTCGGTGTATTGACACATGTCCGCATCTATAGACCTACTAGTTGCTTAGAAAGGCATACCACCACGGCTCGTTCTGATGCAAAGGGCAAGGCGGGCTTCTTTCTCTACCCTTCGAAGGAGGCATAGCACACAACTGACTGCTGCATTCTTGGAAGTGCTATTCCATCTGCACGAAGCTAATTTTCCCTGGCAATAGCATTCTGTGCGCATACAACGTCGTTGGTCGCAAATTGATCGATGCACACAACATTCTCGAGGGAATGCCTGTACGTGACTGTTTAGTGTGAGGGTGGTTTTGGATCAGAGTCAGCGTCAAGGACGGCCATATGTCTTCGAAGTTGAACGACGACACAGCCTCGCCACTGGTCTGCTCCTTTGCTATCAGTTCAACAGGATCAAACCCCTTTTCCCTACAATAATCAGCTCATCGGGACAACCGCTGACACTTATGCCACTCCAACATTTCCTGGTTCGCTCTCTGCGGCAACAGGATGTCTTTGCCGTGAAAGACACGATGTCGGTTTGAGCAAAAAAAAAACTCAATCGAAAGGTCTGAGGAAAACCCACCTAGGGAAACCAGGTAGTTTTATTCGAGTCGGCGCATTAGAGGTGTGCCGCACCTATGTTTGTTGTTGACGCATTTAGGGGTATGTCGTACCCGGCAATCAACACTAAGGAGTTTTTCCACAGACGTCTTACCCATTGACCCACTAGGTCACTAGAATCGCTGCAGGCTGCCTTTTGTGTTGATTGTTGACAATAATGCTGGAGACCTAAACTAAACACCTTTACGCGAGTGTTTGTAAAGTGATAGTAGTAAACGCGTGACACTTATCAGTCCTGCTGCACTCGAGGAGACACGCGAATTCGTCCGCCCAGGACAGCTTGTGTTGCTAAGCGAGCAGTATTCTCATTCAACGTGCACTGAACGTGTTTAGGCTCAGAGGACGAGCGAGCGTGACTTTCACCCATAAAGGAGGTGCCTCCTGCTCAACCGACGCGTCTGCACAACGCGTTCGGAAAGGGTGTCGCCATCTGAGGTACCTCGCGCAACGTGACCTTGCTCAGAAAGCGATTGCTTGGTCTTGTCTCGATCAAAATGAGGTAGAAGACGGCTGCAGTTGCAGGCTTCTCGGATAAATTGAGTGCCAAGTGTGCAAAGATTGATAAGTTTCGAAAATGAGTTAGAGTGAAGGTCTACGGTTGTGTAGGAGCGAGCTCGCACACCTGCACATTCACTCCTCCCTGACAAACGTAGTTACTATAATTATACACTACGTATTTGTGGATAAAAGGTACGTGCTTTGTGCTACTCCACTACTTCTCTATAGTTACCTGACTTGAAATTCGATACAAAAGGCTGAGCCTACGTAAGCCATGCAATGAGAGAGCACGATTAGAGCGATGCGTCATAAGGATCATCCAGGAGTATAGAGTGCCTCATGGCACATGCCTTTTCGGATTTTACATCCGGACACGGAAGCTGCGATACACAAAAGTGAGAGCAGCTGATTCGCGATGAGGATGATGTGGGTCAGTCGCTATCAGAGGAGGATGACGACCACAATGCAGACAACTTGAAATGAAGATCCGACGGACTATCTTTGCGGTTGCATACTTAAGGCGTCGTCCAAAGAATACTTTCCAGCTCAAAACTAAGTCGACACGATATCAAAGTCAACCAACCTTTTTACCTGCAAAACACACTCAAGAACATTCGGAACGTAACAACTCTGCACAATGTCTGGTCTCGTCAACAAAGCCAAGGGGATGGTCGGAAGTCAATCTGCAAAGCACGACACTCAGCACGGCTCAACCAACGCTGGGCCACACAACTCCAACATCGCGAATAAATTAGATCCACGCGTTGATAGCGACTTCGACCACAGAGAGAATCCGGGCAGTATCGTAGGTGGCTATGGCAAAGGACAAGCCCAAGGCCCCTTCGAGACGACCAATCAGCCATACGACACCCACTATCAGGGAACTGCTGGCAGTGGTAACGCTCCGAGCACTGCAGGCCCACACAATAAGGATATGTTGAACAAGGCCGATCCAAGAGTAAGGAAGACCCTTTGCTATTCGTGGCATTGCACATGCTGACATACATATAGGTTGACTCTGACCGAGACCACAGCACAACTCTTGGCGGAAACAAGACACATACCTGAGATTAGTGAATGCTGAATCCAACACTCGATGTATGTGATCAGTAGAACAGCGATATGAGTAGTCAGCTAAGGCATGTAATGAAGGCATATATATAATATGATATGATACCAGCCTATGTCAAACTGCTAGTTCTTGTATATTGTGATATCCTCCACAACTCTGCTCAGAGAACATACCAGCTGCTCCTGCTCAAACCCCACAATGTACCTGTTCACTTTTTGCAAATTGTGACACCTATACCATGCTCTTCTCGCTCTTGCCCTTGACAAACTTGCTGAGATCACCCACTGGCAACGTGAGAGGAAAGTCGACACTCTCCAATATCATGCTGAACCACAAGTACCACGCAACAATGCTAGCAACAAAAGCAAACGCAGCACCTGCAACTCTGGTCGAGACAGCCAAGGCCATGTGTCCATCAGCGGCCGCGAAGTAGCTAGCAGTCAAGCAAGGGAATGTGATGGTGAAGCAGAGGAGGATGGCGACCAGGCAGATGTTCGTGCGTAGAGCAGCAATTGCGTAGAGGAGGCAGAGAACACCCATCCAAAGGAGGAACCAAGCAAAGGAGTTGTAGAAGCCAGCAGCATTTTGATAGGCCGCGACCGCGTTGTAGAATGGAGTCACTGTTGCTCCAAACGCACCCCAATATCCTCCAAATGTAAAGAAGACGACTGATGAGAAAGTGTTGCCGAGAATCCACTCTCCAATGCCACCTGCATACAGTAGGATTGCAGCCATGTAGTAGTACGTACCAACACCTGCGGTGGCATCGCCTGCACCACCACCAGCTCCTCTCCAGCCCATAAGCATGATGGTTGCTGGTGTGTTTGCAAGCAGGAAGCCACCAAGGGCAACTGGTGTTGGATTTCCAAATTTGAGTCGGAGATCACCTGCTACTGCTTTTTCTGGAGCAAGGTAAAGCTTCTCGAACTGAGATGGGGTTGGAACAAGGATGTTTTCATTCTCGGTGACTGATTCCTTGCGACCGTTCGATATACTGACGCGTTGAGCCATCTTGTGAGGGATCGTTCTGTGAAGTGGTAATGCTTTGTGCAGGAATAGGCTGGACCACTATTGGACTATGTTGTAGACTACGCTGCGAGCTGTTGTGAGTTGGTGCTGAATAGGAGGAAGAGTAGGTGCTGGGCAGCGTACTATATAACCTCCTGAAGAGCAGTCCTTGGAAAGAAGCTCTCGAATGTCAGCCCGCTCTCGACAATTCTAGCTCTCCGTGCTTTGCGGAGACTGTCCATCGAAATCTGGAGCTCGGAAAGTCTGGACAATTTGACATAACGACACAGAAGCGACATCAGTGCCATCCACGTCGTTCAAGCCAGGCTAGAGCCAGGAATAATGCAACCTAAAGACTAATTGGCATGGCAGAAAGACGCACAGTGGCGTCTGTCAATTGCCCTGATCCCTGCTCGATCTAAAGCCTGCTAACAACAAAGCTGGGGAAATTGCGGGGTTCACACGTGCAGGAAGCGATGACAGAAACCAATGCAGCAACCTTGACTCTGCATATATGGTAGTGCGATGTGTATTGTGTTCAAATAGAGAAGTATTCTCACTTCCCTTTGCCCTTAAGAAGGGAGACATCAGCAATACTTTCGTTGGATATAACCAGCTGGGGTGCAGTAAGGTAGTCGTCGCTCATGCTCGCGAATAATGACCATTATTGCTATGCAGTGCAAGGTTTGCAACTCACTGTGATGGAGTATACCACGTAATGACTGAGGAGGTGATTTAAGCTTGGGTCTCGAACCAGCTAGCTCCGTAACCAGAAGCTTGTGCTTTTCGTCGAAACTCGAGACGCTAAATGTTCCGAGAGAGCGTCAACCAATAACGATTGACGTCGATGAACGAGTTCGAGCGATGTCGGCACAGTTCACGATATCTCGGCTTCACCAAGCCGGGACAGGCTTGGTCTTCGTGTCTCGGAAAGTCGACCACCTGGCGACCTCCACCGGGTAGAGTTTGGGGCTGGAAAGGTTGGATTGCCCATGAAGCATTCCTGGAATGCAACCTTCCACTGAAAGAGTCTAACTTCAACCATAAAACGACAGGAGACAGGAACAGTCGATATAAATATCCATTGTGCTCACCAGTCGATCCTCGTACATTGATCGAGCCTAATGCAGGCTTAATTTGTGTTATCGAACGCGTTGAGCCTCGCGTCGGCTCTCGGAGAGGCTCAATTTGTTGGATACACAAGTGATCGTGTTTCATTGACTGGGCATATGAATAGGCCTGACTGGTCCTTTCTCTGGTTGATTACTCCCTCAACTAGTATGGTGTGGTTCTGAATATGATCCACACCAGCCGAACACATTTTATATACAGGTCTGAAGTCTCGACTCCTGAATAATACCAGATCGTGCCACATCACAAGAAGTCCTCTGTCATCATGTTGTTCAAGCCATTTCCTACAGCACTAGCAAACTTCCTGCCGTCCTTAGGATCGTTAAGCTGGTGGAAGAATTTGTCTCGGGCCGCAATGACCTTCGGGTCTTTTGAGTAGAGTCGTTGCATATTGTCTTGAGACAACTTGTTGGTCACTCCACACCATGCGTTGCGACGTGCCAAAGCACATGTAGTAAGCAGAATATCGTGCTCGCCGTCCTTAATAACTCGTCTGAGGGCATTGCCATAGCAGAAGGCGTCCAGAATCCCGCCTGTCAGGCCCAAACCACCAATAGGGTTATTGCTGTGCAAAGAATCACCAAGAAGCAGAATACGCTGCTTACGAGCTTGAGTAGCAACGCGTTGTTGCATGAGATATGGCTCTGCCCTGATTATCTTGAAGTTGGCGTCTCCCTTAGTGGTATACTTCCTGATCTGATCTTCAGCTCGTTTCAAGTAGTCTTCCTTCGAGCTAGGCAAGTCAGGATCTTCAACATAAGCGACTCGCCACTGCGGCTTCCCGGAACCACACGGAAGACCGCCTTCGTCCTGGCCAGTATAAGCGATGACTGCCCAGTCGTCTTCATGCACAACAAAGTTGAGTGGGCTCAAAGCTTCTTGACCCATGAAGTCGTAGATGACATCTGTACCTATCATCTTGAATTCTTGGTAGGTGAAACCCTCGAATGGCAAACAGGCCATGCGTCGAATAGCACTGTTGGCACCATCTGCTGCCACAACATAGCGGGCCTCTATGAAAGTGTCGTTGTCGAGTAACGATCCTGTATGAGTCATGATTTGAACTCGTTCGGATTTGGGGTTGTCGTCTAGGCCGACACATCGTATACCAAATTGCACTTCAACTGACGGAAACTTTTCTAACTCCTTCAGGATGAGTTCATTCATCTTCCATTGTCCTATGAGAAGCACGCCACCAAACTCCTTAGTGTCATCTCCTCCTAATGGCAAGTGAGCCAGCACCTTACCATGGATATCCCGCCATTTGACACCTTCCTTGTTGAGGTAAGCATGTTGAAGGATAGTGTCCAGAATGCCGAGCTTTCGTAGCACAGGTAATACGACGGGCATATATACCATTGCTCTTGTAGTGGGCAACAGCTCATGGTGCGCCTCTATCACGAGGGTGTCGATGCCAGCTCTTCCGAGGCCAAGAGCTGTAAGAAGTCCAACGGGACCAGCCCCAACGATGATGACATCGGCTTTCGTCTTGGGAGGTTCTGCTGTCTTCCTGAGGTCTTCAACCATAATTGTGCGGACCTTGACTCTGCTGGCAATTTATCCTTGACGTTACTTGTGCAGGAGGCAAGCCATGAACACAGGAACATCAAACTCATACCACGTAGAATGAAATGAGAAGACTTATTGTACCCTATTCCTGTCATGTTGTTTGTCGGCAGGTGTGTTTCTCCACAAAGGTATTGGAGCTGCGCTCATCCGAGAGGTCGGCAGAACAATTCGGGCTCCCTTCTGGTTGTACATGATTTACATGTACATCCATAATGAACGGCAAGCTGTGGTGAGTGAAGCAAGATGTTTTCAACAGCACTCGGTTGTGACGTTTGACTTCGTCGACTTCCCGTCACGGAGTGGTATTGGGTACAGCAGGATGGGTACGTTCCTCATGCTGCCATTGCCTTGGAGCCTTCTTTCCTGATGCCAGGAGCGGCGCAGGACCAGCTGTATGTTCTCAGCTGCAGTGCACAAAGACAAAGACCACAATCTGCATGTACTGCATCGACGACTTCAACAATAGGGATGTATCGAGGCCAATCATACAGCATGGCGGCTGAGTTACCACTACGGCTACTCACGGTGCAAAACAGGCTTGGCAGGCTTATCTATAGGTGCGTTATGCCTATCGATACCCTTCGCGGCAGGAAACCCGACAGGTGCGTTCCGGACTTTTGAGCACTTCGAATATTGATGCCGTTACACATTAGATCAGTGGCAACAATGCCAAACGACAGTGCCCAAGCTTAGGACTCCTTCGAGGTTTTTGCTCTACGAACATCTGTTGACGCATATGAACACAGTCAAAAATTCCCAATATATTTTAGTTTTCGATCGCAAGTTGCAAGAAAGACCCGTTCAAATTGGTCCTTCGAGTACTCTTCATTTGTTGGGTGAACGGTTAATGCAGTTTGACGTCCGACCTGTCGAAGATTGAGCTGACCTGAACCCGAACTCTGGAGGATTTGTTACCCTGAGACTGAGAGCCACAGAACAAGCAGGCAGTAAGAGTATGAGTGTGTGATATTTAGTGGCACAAGCGTTGAGCGCAGCTGGTAGGAGCAATGGCAGCGAGGATCAGCACATGGCGGTGCGTCAGTCTGCCACTACGACAACTACGCCTGCGCACTCATGTTTCAGTGTCTCTTGTCGTACCTCCGAGCAGATACCTATCGTCTACAAGCAATAGGAAATACAAGAATGCACTTCCGCAAAATATACAAGAGCATGCTTCGTCCCTCAAAGTACCCGCAACAGAGAAGTTCGTTGAAAGACACGTAGGCTCATCACCCACAGATGCAGAAAAAATGCTAAAAGCGCTGGACCCTCCAGCTAGCGACATCGACGAATTCATACAGCAATCACTCCCTGCCAGTATTCGAGCCAAGAATGAATTACGTTTTCGCACGCAGGAAGGCGATCCAGCTGATCCTCACTGGGGCTATCAGGAAACAACTGCCTCTGCCAAAATACAAGAGTGGGGACAGAAGAACACTGTTACAACTTCACTGATCGGTTGTGGCTACTATGGCACTATAACACCTCCAGTAATACAAAGGAATGTGTTAGAGAACCCAGCATGGTATACCAGCTACACTCCCTATCAAGCTGAAATCAGCCAAGGCCGTTTAGAGTCGCTCCTGAACTTCCAGACACTGGTCACCGACCTGACCGGCTTGACTATTGCCAATGCCTCTCTGCTTGACGAGGCTACAGCTGCAGCTGAAGCGATGACGATGAGTATGAATACTCTCTCCATGTCTAGGCAGAAGAAGAAAGACAAGACTTTTGTAGTTTCCGAAACGTGCCATCCACAGACAATTGCAGTATTAGAGTCGAGGGCAAACGGTTTCGGTATAAATATAGTGGTCGGTGATGTCTTGGCTGATGATTGCAAGCTCGTCAAAGAACAGGGCGACAATCTGATGGGTGTACTGGCACAGTATCCAGACACGTATGGCGGTGTGCACGATTACCAGAAGCTGGCCGACGTTGTCCATGACTCCAAAGCTACTTTCTCAGTCGCGACAGATCTGCTTGCTTTGACTCACCTAAAGCCTCCAGGTGAGTTTGGAGCTGACATTGCCTTTGGCAGTGCTCAGAGATTCGGTGTACCGCTTGGTTTTGGCGGCCCACATGCAGCCTTCTTCGCATGCAGCGATCAGCACAAACGAAAGATTCCTGGTCGGCTGGTTGGCGTGTCCAAAGATCGACTTGGGAACCAATCTATGAGATTAGCCTTGCAAACTCGAGAACAACACATTCGACGTGACAAGGCAACCTCCAATATCTGCACTGCTCAAGCTCTTCTGGCAAACATGGCATCTCTATATGCTGTTTACCACGGTCCCAAAGGTCTACAAGCAATTGCGAACCGAGTTTGGACTATGACCAGTCTAGCTCAAAAACTTCTCACCAACAAAAGCTTCAATGTTGTGACTAGAGGCCCTGGTAGCTCTGGTGCTGTACTTTTCGACACAATTGTCGTTGAGGCAGACCCAAGTCAAGTCAAAGAAGTACTTCGAAATGCTGCCGCCTCCAGTATCTCATTACGAGAAATCGCAGACGACAAAATTGGAATGTCCTTCGGAGAGGACGTCTCGACAACCGCTTTCAAGAAACTCATGAAGTGTTTCGGTATCTCACAGCAAGAGATTGACTCTTGTGAGCAAAGCTCTACGTATGCTGACAGCATACCAGAGAATTTACGGAGAACCTCATCTTTCCTCACACACTCTGTGTTTAATTCTCACCACTCCGAAACGGAATTGCTGCGATACATCTACCATCTGGCATCGAAAGATCTCTCCTTGGTTCATTCAATGATTCCGCTAGGATCGTGCACCATGAAATTGAATGCCACCACAGAAATGCTCCCAATCACAGATCCGAGGTGGGCTCATATACATCCTTTCGCTCCAGCTGAGCATACAGCTGGCTACAAAGCCCTCATCGACTCGTTATCTGACATGCTGGTCCAGATTACAGGCATGGATGATGTGAGCTTGCAACCTAATTCCGGTGCACAAGGTGAATTCGCTGGTTTGAGAGTAATCAAGAAATATCAAGAGAATCGGGCAGATGGGAAGCAGAGAGACATCTGCCTGATACCCGTCTCGGCGCATGGCACCAACCCAGCTAGTGCAGCGATGGCTGGTATGAAGGTAGTCACGCTCAAGTGTGACACTAAAACAGGTAACCTGGATCTGAAGGATCTGGAAGAGAAATGTGAAAAATACAAGGATAACCTGGCAGCCATCATGGTCACCTACCCCAGCACGTTTGGTGTGTTCGAGCCGGAAATCAAGCGTGTCTGCGATTTGGTGCACGAGCACGGAGGCCAAGTCTATATGGATGGTGCAAACTTGAATGCACAAATTGGATTGTGTAGCCCAGGCGAGATTGGCGCCGATGTCTGCCATCTGAATCTGCACAAAACATTCTGCATACCGCATGGTGGTGGTGGCCCTGGTGTCGGACCAATCGCAGTAAAGCAGCACCTGGCTCAACATCTTCCTGACCACCCTCATATCGACCCTCACCCCAAATCTGGTTCGGATCGTTCATCGACCGCTATCAGTCCTATCAGTGCTGCGCCCTGGGGTAGCTCTCTGATACTTCCAATTAGCTGGATCTATATTGCTTTGATGGGCAGTGCTGGTCTAACGTATCAAACCAAGATTGCGCTCCTCAACGCGAACTATATTATGTCGCGTCTGAAGGAGCATTACCCAATTGTGTACACAAATGAGAACGGCAGGTGTGCGCATGAGTTTATCCTAGACTGTCGTGCTTTCAAGGAGTCTTGTGGCATTGAGGCGATCGATATTGCTAAACGTCTGCAAGACTACGGCTTTCATGCACCTACCATGTCGTGGCCTGTTGCCAACACACTCATGATCGAGCCTACTGAGTCTGAAAGCAAGAAAGAGTTAGATCGCTTCTGCGATGCCTTCATTTCGATCCGTAAGGAGATCCAAGCCATCGAGGACGGGAAGGTACCCAAGGAGAACAACTTGCTTAAAAATGCACCGCATCCTCAACAAGATCTCCTGCAAGATGAATGGGATCGACCATACACAAGAGCACAAGCGGCATATCCTTTGTCGTGGCTTAGAGAGAAGAAGTTTTGGCCTAGTGTCGCACGAGTTGACGATGCTTTTGGTGACACGAATCTTTTCTGTACTTGTACACCTGTGGAAGGATACGAAGAGGAAGGGTTCACTGGTCATCAGGCGCCTATGCCAACATAGGTTGCTACCATATGAGGCGTGTTACGAAATCCATTCACGGTGGAATGACAGATATGATAATTCAACATTTGGCGCACCAGGTTGAGGAATCTGAGCGTGCATGACTCAACGTTTTGTATATAAGGATGAAGCAGTTCTCTGTACTTGAAACACGATCTTTGTCAGAGCATGTTTGAAAATTGGGTGGAGTAGATGGAAACGAGGTTGAATCTGACCACACGTCGAGGTTCTATTGGAGCCTAGCTGCTTCGAGCACAAAGTCGGTGACATTGATCACGCGAACACCATCACAGTGCAAAGCTATCTTCGAGCTCATGCGTTTACGTGACCATTTGGTGAACATAATTACTCGCCGTAGTATTTGTATTCTGGCCATGGGTAGGAACGAATCGAAGTCGTGAATAGTCACAAGACGCTTTGAGCAGGCCATGCTTCCTTCTGTTACGAGAACCAGTCGACTGTTCGCCTTCACGCTGGTAAAGTCAAGATATAACATGCGCACAGACACGTTCGCTCAGAAGGTAGTGTGTGCGATCGAACCACAGAGTGAAGGAGTCAGACGACTCCTCAAACCGATTGTCATGTGCTCCACGGACTCGAGTATGCACAGAGCTCGGTAGTAGGGATGTTCGGTACCCGGCTATGCCTAAATTGTGCAACATATGCGGGCTCCGGAGCTTAAACCTTCGTAGTGATAGACAAACCTATGCCTGGACCACTGGACATGTTGGGCTGTCCTTACCCGTCAGCGTCATCGGCCGGACCGAAACGTGCTGGTTATTTCAGGCAAGAGCACTGGGAGTCACGAATACAGTACAAACCACTGCAATGTCACAGTCGATACGATTGACTAATCCGCATCAATGTCGGACCATTAAATGACCCGAGACGCGCAATAGGAAACGCGACAAAGCACTCACAGTCAAGATTTGGCCGGCTCCGCGGACTCATGACTGGGCGACATGCTTCTCCTCCACCAGGTTGGCAGTGTCAACGTGGGCCAGATCGCAAGATACACTGTCACCTATACACCGAATCTTGATCGGATCCTGCCTCCGCCGACACAACTCTATGTGAAAATCAAGAACACATCAGCAATTCCATTACGAGCCGCATATCTACACGGCCCATACACTCTCTATGTGGCATGCTACCCTTCTACCTTCGATCCTTACAAGAAGCATGTCACCGCAAAGGAGGAGGGTGAGCCGGACTACGAGCCTCAGCTCAAGGCTGGTGGAAGCTGGTCATCCAAGCTGAGTGTTCCTGAGTCAGCCAGACACGATGCGAGCACCACTGGTCACAAGACCGACGAACCAAGAAAGAGCTTTACCTGGATCATTGAAATTGCCTCTCAAGTCTTGTTCTCCACCACTGCTACTGTACACTACGAGCTGTTGGTAGGACGAGATGAGAAGTCTGTCTCTCTGGGCTTTACTGGAGCCATGACCAATTCAGGCGCACCTGGTCGTTTAGAGGACCACCAGCAGAGCAGGGCAAAAGGTCACTCACAGAACAAGGGCGTCTTCACCAAAGCCATCAAGCTGAAAGTCGACGATACTGCGTCTTTGTGGAGCAGTCCTGCCTTTCCTTCTCACAGCGATACCAACAAAAATCCTACCGAGCTGCCTAGGATTGAGCATGACGACAACCAGGAAGGGAAGGAGAGGCCGAGGAAGAGGAGAAAGAAGATACACCTGGTCGTCCTTACGCACGGTCTACACAGCAACCTTGGTGCTGATATGCTATTCATGAAGGAATGCATCGATGCGACCGCTAGGCAAGCAAAGGAAGACAGAAAGAATGCCAGAAGAATAGCCAAGGAGACAAAAGCGAAGGAACAGTACGACTTTGGTAGAACAGCCCTCGATCAGCGCACGAAATCCGTTCCTGACCTCGTAATAGCTCCGACTGACACAGCGGAAGAAAGTGGCAGCAATCATCCTGAAAAAGAGAGCGACCACGACGATGACGATGATGATGACGAAGAGGTTGTCGTAAAGGGCTTTAACGGCAACGCTATCAAGACTGAACGTGGTATACAGTTCCTCGGTAAGCGGATGGCCAAATATGTCTTATCAATCACATACCCGGATCAGCCGTATCTACCTGTAAAGAGTACCATTACACAATCAATAGCTAGAACCTTTACTGGTGCTGCGAAGCCTACTCAGACTGACGGAAAGCATCCCAGTCACAAGAACAGCTCGATCGCTAAGGACGATAGCAGTTCCGAATATGACCTGCCATACAAAATCACCAGTATCAGCTTCGTCGGCCATTCACTGGGCGGTCTCATTCAGACTTACGCCGTTGCCTACATCCAGAAACACTCGCCAGAATTTTTTGACAAGATCAAGCCTATCAATTTCGTCGCTCTAGCCTCACCTTTTCTTGGTCTGAGTAACGAAAATCCCATTTACGTCAAGTTTGCCCTGGATTTTGGGCTGGTCGGCAGGACTGGACAGGACCTCGGCCTCACATGGCGAGCTCCTACCATCGCTCGTAACGGATGGGGCGCTATGATAGGTGGGTTCAATGGTGGTGATACCAAAGACAAGGACAAAGATCCGGCTGCGAAACCTCTTCTTCGGATACTGCCGACAGGTCCGGCACATGTAGCTCTGAAGCGCTTCAGGAACCGGTCGGTTTATGCAAACGTTGTGAACGATGGAATCGTGCCATTGCGAACATCGTGTCTGCTCTTTCTTGACTGGCGAGGCCTAGGAAGAGTGGAGAAAGCACGAAGGGAAAATGGCATTGTAGGAACGATGGTGAATTGGGGTCTATCAGAGCTGACTGGCCAGAATGCAAGCACTCCACGCCGTGGTTTCTTTGATGAATTGTTCTCTGATAGTGGGGACGATACTGGCCGACCTCCTAAACCCTCGCAGGATCCAGGCTTAAATGTACCACATGCTGAAATCAGCTCAGGTCTGGATAACGACCTCTCTTACGGAAGCGACGAAGACAGTATCACCAGACAGAAGCGAAGGCTTAGTAACACTCAAAGCTCTAATCAGAACGTGGGTCCGAACATCTGGTCTGCCCTTACCAGTTTCTTCCGGCCACATGCTGGCAGTCAGAACAAAATAGCACCCAAACAACGAAGAATATTTGAGCGTGGTCAAACTATGGGTGGTGAACTGGCAAGTAACGAGTCTCAACCAGGCTCCGAAGACTCTGGAAGTCAGGACGGCCATTCTTCTGCTCCGGGCGACCATCGGAAATTGTTGGTTCGAGGCTCATCGCTGTATACAAATGGATCTGATAACGACAACCTCGATGCTCCGCCCCGGACGACTGTGTTTGAATCAGCTGGCGACTTACTAAACCCGCCACTACCTCCTAAGGAGTATCTACTGAACCCTGAAGCACGACCGAGAACCATCTTCCACGATCGTGTCTATCATCCTGACGATATTCCACCCCCTCCTACGAAGCGACAGAGAACCTCTATGCGTAGCAGACCAAGCTCGGGTGACATCAATGCAGTTCCCAACCAGGCTCCGGATGATCTTGAGAAGATTTCGACCGGCAAGAATGTGGACCAAGCTGGCATGCGAATTGAAGAGAAGATAGCTCGTGAATACCACAAAGGCATGGCTTGGCGCAAAGTACTGGTTCGTCTTGAGCCTGATGCGCACAACAATATAATAGTGCGCAGAATGTTCGCCAATGCCTACGGCTGGCCAGTAGTCAAACATATGTGCGATACTCACTTCGGCTACACCGCGGCTGCCACAACTCGCGACGAGGATGAAGCCCCTATCGAACGTGCCCAACCCAAAGATATTCCTGTTGGCGAGAGTGGGGAAGAGGTTCGCGATCAAACCCAGAAACCCGTGCAAAAGGATGATAATCACGACGAGAGACCTCGACGGGCCACAACAGCCGAGTCTCCGCCAACGAAAGAGGACCATGAGATTGACACGTTACATATGAGGCAAAAGCATATACGGGCCCGACAAGCCGTAAATCCTCAACCACGTACTGCTTCAGAACGTGGCGAATCGAGGGATCAAGTGAGCGACATTGTCTCCGAAGTGTCTGCTCAGGGTGTGCCGGTTCAAGGTCATAACTCTATGCATTCTGGCACAGCAGCGTTGAATCGTCTCATGCGACAAGATAGTGCAAGGTGGAGTGATAGGTTCTTCGATAGTGAGCCAGAAGATGAGAACGAGGATGATGAAGCAGAACTCAACAGTGAGCTGCAGCAGGCATACGATCGTGGACAAAGACGTCCTCTAACTGTCAGTCCTGCAAGTACAAGAAGCAGTAAGAAAGGACAACATACGCACTCCAGCTTGGGCAAAGAAGCAAGTTTGCTCGACGATGATGCTTCGGCAGGACTGGTTACCGAACCTGAGGAGATTGATATGAGCAAGATGTCAATGCAAGATCGTCTCTGTGCCATCGACACACAGTCTTCGCCAGATTCCCGAGTGCTTAGTCCGACTGGTCTTGGATTGGGTAGGAACCAACAAACCATCGCCGAGGACATGCATGAAAGACCCATGTCGCCAAGTGGAGGCATTACTGAGCAGGTCAGTAGGGCACGCACGCAGAGTGGCGGCCAGGCACAGAGTGTGCGGCCTGGACTTGGCGAGTCTAAGCAGACATTGGATTGAGTTTATGACTATCGGTTGGTATTGTAAGTAGTTGTTTTCCACTGTCCTGGATACCTCTTTCTTTTACCGGTTCGACATTGAATGTGTTTACGACGCGATGAGGTCGGCGTCTCTGTCCCATATCAACCACTCTCTGTCTTATTCTGATCAGTCTCTATCTGATATCAACCAGTCTCTTTCGTCTTGTATTAACTCGACTCTGTCCCATATTCACCAGTTTATCTTACCTCGTCCACCACGTCACATCTCATTGTTGTGAACCTTCATTTGGACTATTTAGGATTGAAGGTGTTTAGACAACCTGAAACATTCCCAACCCCTGGAAATCAGTACCACCTCCACGGTCCATCGCCTTCTATTTTAATTCCGTCTTTCCCACGTCGAAAGCCTCTCTCCTGACACCCACGTGTCGCTGTGCCTCGAGAGGAGCCACCTTCCTCAAGGTTCTCGAAACAAAACTCGAGTCACGTAATGGTATCATTTCCTCTTGGCAAATCAACTCAACAGCTGGATAGACATCTAATAGGCTACCCAAAAATTAGCAGAAAAGGTTAGGTATGTAATACAAACGGGGCATTGACCGCAGCGAACACTACGAACGAGCTCGGAAAGAGGTATATAAAGGGGCCGTTTCCACGTCCAGAGTTGTTCTGGGATTGGTTTTATCATAGCTACCTGGCTCAGGATGATTCACTAAGTCTTTGAGCTTTAGCTTTCAGCGCTACAGCATCAGATGAGCTACTTCAATACTCCAGCAATTTACCTTCGACAATCTACTTCAAGAGCTCTCTCTATCTATACTGGGAAGAATATCATATCTCGTTGGTCAACATCGTCAAGCATACTTGATCCCCAATCACCTCCTCAATTCGTCAAGTCTCCACCAGTACAGCGGATATCTCGCACATTCTGTTACAAGTACGTCCTCCCATGGCGTCCTAGACCCTATCATACTGGACATAGCAACAAGCACAGCGTCAGGACATGGTTAGAAGCTCAAGACTTGGCTGTTAGTGACATGACTATACAGCTCGAAGACTTTGCCGATCAGACAAAGTGGCGACACCTGACACTGGAGCGAAGAAAGGCGCTTGGATATCTGCTGTTGACGATGATCCAACTCAATACTCTGACTGGACGAGCTCTATCCGCGACCTGATACATCGCTCTTTGAACAACAATACGACAGAATGAAATCTTCTGCACGCTAGCTCTCAATACACAACAAGAACAACAATATCAACAACGAGCTCTTATATATACATACATATACTATATTCCGGCCTGAGGGAAGGATTGACAATCGCCCTACACAGTCTACCACTCAGCCATGGCCGGTCGATGATGGCTTGTAAGGATGGATATCTAGACCTGGCCGAGGCAGAGTTGCGCCCTAGGGGTTGTCTTCTCCCCCCAGCCGTCATCTATGCGGTTGGGGAGGTTGTCTGGTTGTCGTTTCTTTGCCAGCGTCCCTTTGGCCAATAGAGGAGATTTCTAACCATGGGATGGCACTGGAAGACAATGGGATATGACAAGCACTTCCCTATAACAATATTACAGACCGTGTCGTTGACTATATCGGCAGTATTGGCGACGGTATGGTTCTGCTGTCGACGCTGAAACCATTTCCGATAGTGTGCATGGGGAAGTGCTTGTCGTTCCTATGGACGCCACGATACTCTTATATATATAGGTCAAGAAAGAGCAAGAATGGTGTCCTTGCGAAGACAAAAAGGACTGCAGCCAATGCGCTGCAGATCCGATATATGCGGCGGTATATATATGCAGTCTAACTTATTGTCTGTCCCTGTTTGGCCGGATGTCAAAAGCATTGGATAGTCCCAGACGCCAGAGGAACCAAAATTGAATATTGGATATAAACAGGCGGCAAATCAAGAAACCTTTACTTCTTACCTTTGTATTTTCCTTTGTCAGGATTGCGAGTTGCCTGTATGTAAGACACCGACAACCTGTGATAAAATTGAAGTACAGATTCCACTCACTGTCTTGTGATGTACTGTTATACTGACACCGAGCTGAACAGTGGTGTTGCAGGAATTGTGGTACTGAGGTAGGTTTCGGTGCAGTAGCTCTCCAGCTCATCTGACCTGAAAGTGATACAAAAGAACCAAGCTCCTTCGCCAAGAACACTAACGTCTCGCGTGTTGAGTGCAAAGGCGACTTCGATCGGCTGTCTGTAACAACTTGAGTAAATCAGACGCGTCCGTTCCTCACGACCTGGACAGCAATATCGCGTCGCAGGTCGCCTCTAGTCCCGCCGCTCCGAAACTTGCTTCCATCAAGGGCGCTACTCGTGTTAGCCGTCAATCATTCTGGGGATTCATCTCAAAGACCAAACGGTCTGTACTGGAGAAAACTTGAACTGAGCACTGCAGCGTCCCATGCTGAAAAGCTCAATTTTCTTGTCCCATGCGCGCCGATTCCTAGTTTGCAATTCTATGCCGCGAAGTCAGCGCACGTCGTTGATTTGGTCCGACTTCGTCCGAATAGCTTATGGCAGAGGAGACAGTAGAAAGTGAGTTGCAATCTTGCTGCCTGCCTAGGGCGTCCTACTCGGGGTCTATTGCATCCTTTGTTGTCTGTAAAAGGTAGATGATGCGACAGGACACACGTTTTAACCCAAGTAAGCACTATGTTTTGCAGCATGAGTTCGGTCGAGGCATACTAAATCTGCTTGTCGAAAAGGTGAAGGCTCGGAAGGTTAACTCCGCCGTGCTTGATCACCTTCAAGCTTTGGATTTACTCAGTAAGAGGCTGGAATGACCCGCATGACCAGAAGCACCGTCGTTCACATACCCCACCAGGACGTAGGAGGATACCACGCTAGCAACACGAGATGCACTGCCAGTGTAGCAACGAAGGGAAGCGTGCCGCCAGACGAGCAGCTCGATTACGCCCGGAGATATCGTATGAGCGAGCAAGAGTTGCACCTACCAAAACATATCTCGGCTTGCCATGCCTTGAACACGCCGCTTGTTGATCTGGATTACAAATGGGCAGGCACGCTGTACTGACGTACCACCTCAGAAATGAAACTCTATGCCGCGGTAGAAGTACAGCACTCTACCAGCCCTTACTGCCCTCCTTGATCTACAAATGCTTGTCGATTAGATTGTCGTTTTTTCGCGATAACTACAAATTCCATTGTCACATTCTGTAGACAACCAAGAGCTATTCCGCGTCCTCAATTTCACTCTACTCAATTTGCACGTCATCCACCAAAAGAAATGGCAGCTCAAAGCAACCGCCTCATCTTCGGCGCAGCACAGTTCGGCAGCGCCGATCGACCAGACGAGGTATGTCAGAACGTCTTGGATGTCCTCAAGTCAAATGGCGTGTCTCAAATCGACACAGCGCAACTGTATGGCATGGGCGAATCCGAAGCCGCCATTGGTCGGATCAAAGCACTCGAACAAGGCTTTACAGTCGACACGAAGTGGATCGGCGGTTTTACAGGAAAGAACTGGGCAACCTACGACAACATCGTCAAGACTGCCAAGGAAAGTCTGCAGAAGCTAGGTGTGGACAAGGCAAAGGGCCTTGAGGTCGATATCTTCTACATGCACAGTCCTGACACGAGTGTCCAGTTTGAGGAAACGTTGAGGGGTATTGATGAGGCGTACCGAGCAGGTGGGTTTAAGAGGTTCGGATTGAGCAACTATTCAGTCAGTCATGTCAAGGAGGTACTTGAGATTTGCAAACAAAAGGGCTACGTGCTACCAAGTGTGTATCAGGGCAATTACTCAGCCATTGCACGGAAGGCGGAAGATGAGCTATTTCCGCTTCTGCGACAACACAAGATATCATTCTATGCATACAGCCCTATTGGAGGTGGCTTCTTGGTGAGTAACGATTCCAGAACTTTGCACGCTTGACCTCCGTTGGCTGACTAGTCGCTCCCCAGGTCAAGACCAGAAAATTCATTGAAGACCGACAGGGACGCTTCAGTCCCGACGCCATCGGAGGCCTCTACGCAAAGATGTACAATCAGCCAACATTCCTGACCCTGCTCGATGAATGGGGTAACGTCGCATCGGAAGAGGGTGTATCCAAGGCCGAACTTGCCTTTCGATGGGTCAATTACCACGGTGCTTTGAAGCCGGATATGGGAGATGGTGTTATTTTTGGTGCTTCCAAAAACGAGCAAATTGAGCAGACTGTTAGTTATCTGAGGAAAGGACCACTCAGTCAATCTGCGGCGAAGAAGATCGACGAGCTTTGGGACGGTGTCAAAAACGATGCTTTCATGGATAACTTTGAGGCTGCCTTCAGTAGTGCTTAGAAAGAGGCACAATAGTAGAAATATAATTGCTTCGTGCTGTTTTCAAAAACATTGTGTAATAACTATATTGCACGACCATGTAGAGCCTAGCATGAAACGCCGAGTGATTCAGGACTCCTCGAATGTGCTTCCTCACAGAAGACAAGGCAAATCGCTTGATCTGCTTGATATTTGTCCCAAGAAGCCAAAAGGTACTTGCCTTGCCTTGACAGGCAACTAGCTTGTGGTTTGTTGCTGCAAAGCCAACGAGCAAGAATTAATGGTTCTGTTCCTCCTGCCTTCGTGTGTTGACGATTTTGTTTTCTCTCTGGTTCAAGCCATCAAAACCATCCCAACTTCACTGGTCAGTGTCCATGGTGCATGCCGACGTACGGCAGTAAAGTGTTCCACATGATTTCGATGAATGAGCATCGGACAGGATGAGACAGGCAGCCTTCTTATCGAAACACTTCAGAGCATCAGCACTTTGTTGTGAATCACAAGTTGCATTTTCGTCGATCTGATCGAGCAACTTGCAGTTCACCAAATGAAGACGATGCATGGAGATCTGAGGCTGAGGCGACTCAGGCTGCTCTAGCGATGAGTAGCACTCATCTGCCACGGATCGACAATTCTCCCCTGCTTCCAACTCCTCTACATGCTCTGAAAAAGGGTGGTACTTCCTGAACCTGGACTGAATTGCGCAAATTCGAAAACAAGCACTTAACCTATTGGATGAACAGAAAGCGCCGTCATGACAGTGCGCAATAGACCTGTGTGTTTGCACGACTGCGAAACATAAGTCGACGTTTTAATCGATCAAGCCCGTCGGTTCGAGGCCTCCGCTATCAGAAAGGCAGAGCAAGCCGCCCAGCAAAGCAGCGAAGTTGCTCAAAGTTTGGCAACCACATCACGTGGCTGTGGTCGTGGTCAAGATCGGAGTCGAGGACGGGGCGCGCTTGCTTTCAGGACTCGGGACTAGTGCCGGAGGCGATAGTGTATATCTTTCCAGATATGACAGTGTTTTGAGCGTGTGGGCTTAGCGACGTCAGGTCTTGCAAGGCGGACGTTGGAAACATGCGAGTGCACGGATCATGAGGAGTAGTGTCAGACGTGTATAGCTGGCCTTGGGTTGAGATTGAAGCCCGAATTGAGCAGAAATCGAGACTTTCACACAACTATCTCGAAACACGTCGGAACGTCGCCCTACAAGCATAGAGCTGTCAGTCAGGTAATAATCGAATGAATATTGGTATATGTGGTAAATGGCACTCTCCTTATGGCTGGCAGTTGCAACTGCTTTGTGGCCTCCTGGAAGCCTTAGAAGTAGTGGTTGCGACCATGAACGCGTCGTGTAGAATCGACTTGACTGAGCCAAAATACGGTACGTGTAGCATGCTGCAGCTGCACAACTCTTAAAGTCCTAGCTGGTGCTTCGAAGGCGAGTACTTATTTGCCGAATCGTGCGTATACCTTCTATATTGCTAGCGTTCAGTCGTGACGGAGAACAATACAGCCACGCTACAGCTACAGCAGCGCTAGCAATTGACACATCAGATTCTGTCTCACCACATAAACACGTTGATCTCACATGCTCTACGTCTTGCCTGCTTCCGTGGATTTAAGTGTATGCAATTAGCGGAGAAGCACAGGAACTACACGATGTTCTGACGACCTGCCAATAAGAGGAACGGACAATCAAGAGAGTCAAAAGTCAAGCTCTTGGATAAAAACCCCCAACAACCATGCGCATCATCTCCCAGAGACTTGAGGCCTTCAGAATGCATTGAGGTATGCGTGGGTGGTTTCTCCGTGACAGTGACTTGACAATTTGCTTTCTTTCCGATCTTGTTCTGATGAGCAGCTCCTAGTAAAGAGTGTAGCAGAGCTGACCTGTTCACAGGGTGAACCTTTCAGGGGACCGAAGCCCAACACGAACCCTGACTATTTATTGATGTCTTAATAAGTCGAGTCCTCAGACGATCATGCTGCGCACTCCTTCCTTCTGATTTCCCAGACCTTCAATGCCTCCTCCGCAGCCTTCACACCACTCAGACACATTGCACCGAAGGTTGGACCCATTCTATTCGCTCCATCCAGCTCGCTGAGCTCCATACCGCCCATGATTAGGCCAGGAACGACTTCACGAGTGTTCTTGACGATTGCGTCCTCGGCACTGTTCATGTCAAGTCCTCGCATACCGCCGAGACCATTGGGAAGAGCTTTCATGGACTCGAGGCGTTTGGCAGAAAAGGCACCGAAAGGACCATCGTGGCCAGTGGTGCTAATGATAAGAGGTGCGTTGATAGTATCTAATGTTCTGTCAGTCCGCAAGATACCAAACATACGAACAACATCGATGCCAGACGGTGTATTGAAGGAGCCAGGAGGAGGGACCGGATTGACTTACTGGGGTCCATGCACGAATGATCATCGTGATGAATAGTCACAAGGGTCCAGTTGGTCACCACACCGCAGATTCTGACCCCACTAGGCAGTTCAGGAGCTGACCTAGTGATCAAATCCTCAACGCAGGTAGCATTGAAGAGCTTGACGTTAGGCATGGCCAGGACCTTGCTCATCAAAGTCGACATGAATAGTGCAGCATGCTTCACGACGACATAGTCGCCCTCGTCTTCGTATGCGATTCCAACGTCCTCAAGGAATTTCTGAGCAGGCTTTCGCAGCACCATGGCCGAGAAAAGCTGACCACCTAGCCAGCATCCACCACCAGGTGAGACAGACGCCTCGATAATGGCAATCTTCAGATCAGGACGAGCATTAGCAAGCGTGTACGCAGCTGAGAGACCACAGGAGCCTGCACCGACAATGACCACATCCGACTCAGCATAGGTGTCCAAGTCGTTGAAGTAACGTCGAGTCATGGCTCGGGACACCGTAGACTCTCGGATGGGTGCAAAGCGAAAGCTGTCCCATTTGTCGGCAAACTCTGCGAGGAGCTTCGTCTGACTTGCAGCATTGCCATCAGTGACAGCTCCGGAGGTAACGGCAGGCTTGCCATTTATGCTAATGCTCTTGGTTGGCACAGGAGACAGTCTCTCCGCATCATCGTAGATGGCAATTGGTGGAGTCATGTTGACCTGTTGAATTGTTGGGAAGAAATCTGTTCATGGTTAGGAGACGCGAACATGGGGCAGGGAGAAGCAGAAGCATGATCCTTTCGCAGGTATTATCCTGATCAAGTTGGAGCCGTATAATCTCAGACCATGCTTGGACATATGCTGCTGACCACCATTACTGATAGCAGTAGCATACGCCCAAGACACGGACACCGGCTCATGCTTTTTACCAGTTTTATTGCATACTGTTTGTGCATCTTGATCACGGTGGCTGTAAGAAGCCGAAGCGAGAGGATTGTAGCTTCTCCATCTGGAGAGCTTACAAAGTTTGTACCTGACACATATTAGTAAGTGTTGTAGAGGTCGAGAGGGAGGAAGAGTACTGCTTGTGGATACGTTCCGGTTTGACTACTCAACAAAGATCTGAGTAATTGAGAGAAACTTGAAGACAGAATAGAATGTACGAAAGACGATCTACTATATAGCTGTCAAACACGAACTCTTATTGATCCCTTGACGCCAAGCAGAGTCACTGCAGACTTCAGATTGAGGGGAAAGAGACCAGGATGAGTATCCACAAGAGGGAACAATCAGCCTGGACATGAGGGGCTTTGATGAGAAATCCACACATTCACGAAAAGCGTAGACAGTTGAGCAGGAATTTTGTTGTTATCGTGAAGAAGTGGACGCTCACTCGGGACGATATGAGTGGTCTTTAGCCAGTAAGCAGTCGACGAAGCATAAGAATTGATCCTACGCGTGGCAGGTCACACGGTTGGGGTTCAACCAGGGTCTCCTGAACTTGGGACTGGATCTCGAAGCATCAGCAAAAACCAGCAAGCAATGACCGACCAGCAACCGCAAGGATAACATGAAGCATCCGCATGTCAAAAGCTCGCTCGTGTGCCTGAGCTGCTTCGCATAAGCATTCACAATTATGTCTTACCAGCTGTATAATGTCCTATGAACGCTTTTTGAGAACACCAACCTCTAGATGAGAACATCGACTGCAAATTGGAAGAACGCCAATAACTCACTGCTACATATGGATCGAACTGGAATGAATATCTGCTGGTGGCTAGGCCTTCGCAACCATTCCAGCCACGATACAGAACATTTTGAATCCCTATCGATATATTGTCGAAAATTTGTTGTAGTTGATGAAAGTCATGAAATCTAGCTGGTTGCTCTTTTCGTGGCTCGTGTTCATTTGGCCGCTTCGTATATTTTGGAATTGCTGTTTGAGGTCAGTGCTTGTAAGTGAATTGAGCTGGAATGTACTCACAATTCACCGAATCTATCGCGTCCGGCTGCATCCTTCTTCACCCATATCGACACTGACTTGCCTGGACAGGGAAAGACGCCTTGTCCATTCTCGTCGATCTTAACCTCGTCCTTCCGCCATTTGAGGACGTCGGTCCAGATCTCACCTGTGTGCTCTGTACCTACAGTCATCTTGATCTCACTATCGTCCGCGATGCTCATTACACAAGCCAGTCCAGCGGGATGGTTTTTGGTGCCACGTCGAACGAAACCAATACACTCGGGTTTGTCAAAGTAGTCTTCCTGGTCGCCATATGCATACAGCTTGCGAGCTAGGACAAAGTCACCTAATTGACCGCCGCAAGCAGGTGACTCAGCCTGTTCGCCCTTCGTTCCGTAGAAGTCGCCATAGAACACGCATGGATAGCCTTCCTTGCGCAATAAGATCAAGGAGTATGCCAGTGGTTTAAAAAAGTCTTCCATCTTTGTCTCGATCGTCTGCCCTGGTTGAGTGTCGTGGTTCGTAACAACGGTGACGGCATCGGCGGGACGTTCCTGAGCGAGTGATCCATCAAAGACTTTGCGCAAATCCTTGTCTTCACCAGTTGACAGCCGAGAGAAATTGTACACTAAAGGTGAGTCGTATAGAGCAAATTTGTGCTTCATCCTGTCCAGATACTCGATCATTGGTTCCACTTTCGGACTCCAGAATTCACCAACCAAGAAGATCTTGTCTTTTCCAAACTCCTTTTCTAGTGCTGTTGCCCATTCGTTCATGAATCGGGCTGAATAATGCTGGCAAGCGTCCAGACGGAACCCTTTCAGGTTCAGCTCCTTTACGACCCAGATGCCCCAATTCACAGTGTCTTCTATGACTTCAGGATGAGAGTAGTCTATATCAGCGAACATGAGAAAATCGGCGTTACCCCAATTGCTTCCAACTGACTGACTCCAATACTTGTTTTCTCCCAGGATACGAAAGATACCATGCTTATCGTTACCAGCGTCATAGTCAGTGCCAGAGAAGTGCTCCCAATTCCAAGTCATTTTGCTGTATTTTCCGTTGCGGCCAGGAAAGTTGAACTTGAGCCAGGCGTCGATCTCGCGGGGTTCACCGATATCTTTGTTTCGGTCATCTTCGTCGACTTCCTGAATTCTGCATTTCTCCTTCTCGTCGGCACCTGCTTTGTGGTTGAGCACTGCGTCGAAGTAGAGGCCGACACCCAACTCTTCAGCCTTCTTACTGAGCGCGACAAGTTCTTCCTTCGAGCCCCATTTAGTTGGCTTGCCACCTTTCTGGTCAAATTCGCCTAGATCGTATAAGTCATAGATATCAAAACCATTAGCCTTTGGTCCTTCGGCGCCTTTACATGCTGGTGGCAGCCAAAGGTTGTCTATGCCAATATCCTTCAGATCCTGCAGAGCATTCGTCAGACGAGTATAGTGTTTCTGGTCAGCAGGGACATTCCACTCATAGCCTTGAAGAAGGCAGAAGTTCTCTTCAGACATGGTGAATCCTATCGTGAACAAGAGGCTACAACAAGGTTTTGCGATCAAGACAAGAAGTCAATCCTCCTGAAGATCGTCCAGCACTTGGGCAATGTGCCGAGAAGCATTTTGTAAACCCAAGCGGATCCCAACATGGCGTCAGAGCAATGCTGCGGAAATATCTTGGTGTCATCCATGTTTACAAAAAAGTGAATCTTAGTTTTTTTTTAAAAATTCGGAAGTGAAATCCTGGCGACTTGTGCCGAAGCTAGCCTTTCCAGGATCGATCGAAGCTCGCTTCACAAACGTGACTATTGGAGTCATACATTGCTGCTTGCTTCCTGAGACGGCATCATGTTTCACGTCCGGAAGCATAGATATGTATACGCAGGAGTGGTGTTTTAGCAAAACTGTTATCGAACACAAAGAACCTAATTGCCTTACAACTAGAGCACCATTTCTTCCGTTGAAGGTACTGCCTTCATGTGAAAAGCTCACGAGTGGACGATGTCGACCAGGAGGCCAGGAACGATAACTGTTCGCGCTGCAACGCGTGACGTCACGCGGTTGATGTGCGAATCATAGAAAGAGCTTGCGCGGTATCTTCTCGTGCTGCGCTAATCATCGAGAGCTGTAGTGTTCGAGAAGTCGTTATTAAAGCTGAGGACAGTAGGCTCCCACACAACACATGTTTCTCATTAAGCAATGATGAAATCTCCTTCCTACAATGATGATCGGAAACATGACAAATTGACAGATATGATACTAGGCCGAGTGGAATTCATTTTCCACCGGGATCGAGTGGTCCAAACAGATATATCTATGGAACACGTACTTGAGTGCGCTTGAGTAAGCACAGAGACGATCAGGTATCCATCATGCGTTAGGAGATATTGAAGACATAACACTCATGACAAAAAGTTTTTGATTGAGAACTCAAGCAATCTTACAGGCAATCGAGCGAAACATGCCGATCAAGTCTCATGCAGTCCTGGAGAAAAAAATCGTTGAAAGCGATATTTATCTTTAGGTTCCTCCGACTGCTGGTGCGAGTCCTCAATCATCACCAAAGGATATCGTAGGTATGGCAGCAATTCGAGAAACAAAGACGTGGCTGCTAATCCTGTACTTACAAAACACGATGTTGACCAAACAAAGGTAATATTCGCATTTTCTTTTGGCGCATATTCGTCCACGTACCTTGTGTCTTTCTTTTAGCGCGCAGTCTTCGTTTGTCATATCTGTACGGACCTCCTGGTCGGCTGCGAAACTGGAAAATTGACGCAACGAAACAATGGTCACCACACTCCTGGTTCGAACACAGACCAACAGGAAGCAACACTCCCAACAGGAAACTCTCGCTAACCCACTTGAACGAATCCACAAGCGAACCTCGTCTAGACCACGAACCAGGGACGCCCGAGCCAGAAATGCTAGTACTGGCAGTGGCGGCAGCACAGATCCAAGCTCTTCTGCTCTCAGTGGAAGCAATAAACATACAAGCACAGAGGCAAGCGATATATCACCAGGCTTAGACATCCATGGTGATCTGAATGATGGTAACAAAGTATGCACCAGACATGCGCTGCAGGCCTCGAATGTGCCGTCGGACTCAGCAAACACCACAGCCATCAGGAGTTTTGATATGGCAGGAAAGGTAGGCACTCAACGGCCGGGGGGCCGCCGCTTACGAAGAAGACACAAGAACCTCAGTATTGAGGTTGTACCAGGTCGAATCACTGACAAGTTCGCGATCCGTGGAAGTCTCTGCGTCTCGCCGAGAGCGACTATGCAAAGTCCACAAGCAGGCGTGACATCCCCTACGCAAAACAGTTCAGGACGTCAACATCGCATGCAACCACCGTTGCGACCAAGTCCTCGAAGCTTAAGAGAAGCACGCCTCAAGAAGTTGTTGAAGAGTATGGCTGAGTCAGAACTTGGTTCTGACACGAACGTCCTGCGAGATCACCACTGCATGCCACTTCTCAGAGGTCATTACGAGGGTGGTTCTCGTGGTGCAGCAGAGCGTCCTCGGCCCGTTGGACACGGGGCACCAAGCGGAGATAGCGACCCGAACAGTCCTGCGCAACAACTGAATCATCCCGACCAGGAACCACGGGCCACGGAGCCCAATGTGCATTTTCGACTTGCGAATCTAGGAGCGGAACGGATAGCAGACTTCGCTCACCAGGGCTATGTCGTGGATATCGTGCCACCGGTTGCTGTTCAGAACCTGCCACTGACGCCGTCTACACGTCAGGTCGTCGACACTTTTCTATGCCATGGCCGCAACGGCACCATAGCAGGATACGGTCCTTATCGACGATCCTGTGCCCCTCCCACCGCAAATACTTGGGGTCAATGGGCATATGTCAGTCGTCTTGCAATTTCTGATATTGGACGGGATGGTCGTAGGAGAACACTGGCCCATACTACAGATGAAATCCATGCAAAGGAGAACGAAAAGTGGCATGTTGCTCTTGTGCCACTCAACAGCAGACAAGCTATACAACTGAGGGGCCTGCTAGAGAATAAGATATAACAAAAAGCAATAGGTATCCAATCAGCCTGAAGAGCCAAACCACCTTCCGAAAGACAATGTACAAAACAGCAAAGCATATGTCTGTATAAATATATACCAGAATCAAAACTTCATCTCGCTGTCCACAATCCATCAATGACAAGAACACTGATCACCCCACAAGCAACAAATTATCCCATCTCCAACAAGCAGCTAATTCTGTGGTCACTTCTGGCCGCGAACCACTATACTTCGCAAAACTGACAACAATTGAAACGGTTCATAGAGGCCGGTAATAGGCACTTCTTTCTAGGGACGCGGACATTCTTTGTCGTCGGATCCTCGCAGGGAGGCAAGTCCTTGTCCGCGATACCGACGCACACCGGGTTTTCGTTGATCTTAAGAGGGTGGGCGAGGGCGCTGGTTGCGATCGCGATGATCGTGAGGAAGGCGGTGATCTGCATGGTGTGTGGGAGGAAGGATGACAGTGGTCTAGTTTGAGTATATGCGGGTGGCTCTATGTTCTGGTCAATGAGGCTAGATCCTGCGACTGAGAGTTGAGGGGCAAACCTAGTCTCGAATTTGAGCCTAGAGAAATACTGAGGGTGTGAGTTCAGAGGATGAATATGAATTTGGGTAACTGGTAAATCTATTGAAAGTTAACGTTCTAATTTCTACATGATCAGACTCGCTTTTATAGCTGTAAGCGACCTCCCTTTGACCTGCGCCACAGTCCATTGACGTGTCGCCTTCTGAATCACCCATGGCATGACACACTGTCACCACCATTTGTACTCGAAGTTCTTGACGCTTCGAACGTGCTCCCTGGGCAAACTAGGCTGCTGGTCAGACATAAGACGCGGATCCCAGTCACCGTCAGCAATGACTCGCTGACCAACGAAGCGGCGACATTGAGGTGGTAGCCGGAGAGTAATCTTGTCGTCGTGAAGGTGAGACGCCATCATCCATGTCTTGAGATTTGCCATATCTACCTCTTCCGTATATGGCAGGAAAGGAAGTTTGGGTGTGCTATCTTGTGCGAGCTGGTCCATCTGTTCCGCTGTTGGTATTGGTGTGTCAGCCAGATGCCATTTTAATGCCTCGTAGACGGATGACATATTTTCTTCCAGGTCTTCGTTCTTGGTTTCATAGATCCCGTTCCTCAACCTCTGCACGATTGAATCCATTTGCGGACTGGCGTCGCAGAGATGCAGCATAGTTCCTGCTTCACACAGGACCTGCTTGAAATCTCCCCGTACTGTATCGGTCCAGGTTCCATCTTCGTGCCCACCACTTCGAGGGAATTCAAAGGGTACATCCTCTTCGTCCTGGAGATAGCTAGTGCCAAAATCTCCCAGAACGACCACAGGGTGTCTACCAGGACCTGGCCGATGCAGGAACCAATTCTGATCCTTGGCATCGCCATGAGCAAGCCCTGCTTTATGTATGTCAATGATTGCACTCATCATGGAAATTAGCCAGAGACATACCCATCTTTCCGGGACGAAGATTCTGTGTTGGACCGCCGTTTCGTAAAGACCTGCCAATGTGCCAGCGTTGTAGTATTGCCAGTAGCTAACCACAAAAACCGGTCCCTTCGTGTACTTCTCGTAGTTGGCCCAGCCAACGACTCTGGCAACGCCAGGATGGTGTTGAGCGAGCATTGCATGTGCAACCTCTCTGTTGCGCCCCGTGCTTTTGTTGTGTTCGTGTGTCGTCAACTCCTCTTTGCGGACGTAGAGTTTGTTGTCTTTGACAGATCGAACGACCGACGTCTTACCATATGAGCCTTGTCCTAGAGATGAGACTAATACGAAGCCAGCTCCTTCATCGAAATAAATTCCTTGCATTGTTGCGGTTGGCAAGTGTTGATGGATAAGGTCTGAGCGTTCAACGGTTTCTCGGTTTCTTGGTAAATTTAGCAAGTCTATATTTACCTGCCATGTTAAAGTAATTATATATAATCATGTCATTCGGAACACCGAGCTTGGTTAACAAGCTCGTTTGCGAAAACAAAGATGTGAGATATTGTGTAGGCACTATATGGACGTAAAGTGTTTTGTTCGCCATTGTGATAACGTTGTTCTTGAGACTGTGCTACAAACCATGAGTGAAACAACGAGTTTTCAGTCGGTAGAGAGTAAGAAGTGCCATCTAGTAGTGTTTGTCCAACACAAACTCAGTCAGTATGCGCCGTAGTGCACGTCCAGCCTGCGATGAGACTGATGTTGTGCTGCACACTGGCTACTGTTCATTCGTGCGAACATGCTGCATCTCTGTCTTCTTAATTAAATCAGGACAACCGAGCCTTTGCCATGGGGTTCAAGGTTTTGAACAGAAGCTTTCGAGGATCGAAACACGAAGATATTGCAGTCGAGCATGAAATTTTTCACCAGTGTTTCTTGCCCAAAAGTCGTAAGGTGCGTAGAGATAAAGAGGACAGGGAGTAGATGAACGTGAAAAGACAACCATTCCGATCTCATATTTCTACTCAATTGTCAGACTGTCAAGCTCCTCGAGAGAAATGTATTCACCAGTTGAGCTTTGTCAACATCGTTCACGGGTAAATGCAGGGCTTTCGTCTGCCAACACAGCATATTGTCTGCGTAAATTCGTAAGAGCATTACAGTTTGCTTTCCAGGTTCTGCATTTCGCTGCATCTTTCTGTTAACTAAGAAACGAGCTTCCAAGTGTTCGTCATCAATTGTCGATGAACAAAGAACCTGCATTATAGTCTCATGGTAGTTTGCCATGAAAGTTTGCGGTCATCACTGACCTGTCAGAAAGTGCATAAAATTCTTACACTTGTTACATGGCAAGTGCCAGTGGTTGGCGTGAGCATCTCTCAGTGGACGATTGGTGAACGTGCTCAACAGTAAATATCGAAAATATATTGATGAGATTTGAGCCAATATGTGCTTTGGCCGCAATCTCTGCGGTAACTAACTAACTGACGGGGCAAGTATGGTAGGTGTCTAGTTCTCTTAGATACAATCGGTCGCTAGATTTGCCACTTGTAGCCTGACACACCAGCAGTCTATGCGTGAAGTGCGTATATAGGAAAAAAGCAGCATGTCCATCTGGTTTTCATACTGTAAGGCGCCGATTCCAAAATTCCCGGAGGAGTTGTGGGGAGACAGGCTTGCACGAGCAACTGCTCACATGTGATTGGCAAGCACACATAACCAATTGCAGTGGGTCACCACGTCAGGGGCACCCCTTTGGCGAAGGCTCAAGCGAGCTGAGACGCAGGGGGTGCAGATAGCATTCCACGAGGTTCCGTGCAAAGAATGGCTGGTCGCGGCCGATTACCTGGCCGGACAAGCAGCCAAAACCAGTGTTGATCACAAGCCTGACCGCCATGCTATTCCGGGCTCCACGGCTGAAGCAGGGGCCAATTCTGATTATGATGGAAATGACAATCTGTCCTTAATAACCGTCGTGCCTGCCCAGCGAACGAGTTCACCACAACCATACACTTGCAAATGCTGCGAGCCAATTTCATTTCACTCTCTTGTTACGACTCGAGTTCTTGAGACTGTGTCTGCCTATTTGTACCCCACCTGGAGTGATGTGGTTAAGATAAACGCAACGTGGTCTTTCGGCCTTTACAAAACCACGAGTCACTCTTTGTGATCTGGCATTTCTTGCCAGAAAACCACATCTTTTATGACCAAGATGGATTCATATGTCGACGCCGCCTTTCTGAGACAGGACTCTCCCTTCGAGGAGTATCCAACGCCTGCTGCTTCTTCTGATGCAGAGACGACAGTCGATTCTGACCTCAAGCCTGAGCCACAAAAGAAAAAACGCAAGGCTTGGGGTCAACCAGTCCCGGAGATAGTTCCTATTCTCCCTCCACGAAAGAGAGCCAAGACTGCCGAAGAGAAGGAACAGCGGAAGAACGAAAGAATTCTCCGAAACAGAAGGGCAGCCGACAAGTCCAGACAACGACAGAAAGCTGCTCAGGCGGGTCTCGAACAACAGAATATTGACCTGTTGGCCGAGAACGCTCAGCTGAAACAGCTTCTACAAGCACATGGTCTCTTAGACACGTTTCATTTTACAGCACCATCTCCTTCAGTCGATTTGTCAGTCAAACTAGAACCTGAAGTTCCAAACACACCAGTTTTATCACAACCTACACCTTCATCAATATCAGAACAGGACACTCCATATCTTGCCCCTCAACTTGATATGGGCCAGGTGACCTTATCGTCCGCTACTCTTCCTGAATCCGGTATGACACAATATCCTGCCGTGGTGTTGTGTGACCTGCAGTGTCAGCCGGTTTTGGAGAAGAAGCTTCGATTATTGGAACCGAGTTCTTTGGTGAATACACTTTTGACCCTAATTCACTACCTAATAGTTGCGATGACATCCTCAACTCACTCAACTTCAACGCTCTTGTCGATCCACCGTCTCTTCCAGACTTTGGAGCAGGCATTGGCAACGACTACCTCACAGCTGGAACAGATTGTCCTGAACAACTTTCAGCTGCTACATATTTTGATTTCGGTGCCTTCGACGCCGACACAACCAGCGATTTTCCGAATCAGACTTCTCAGTCGACTTCTGGCTTGCAATCCCAGTTTAGCGCCTCTCTTGACGATGGCCGCAGACAAGGCTTTGCAGCAGAGATTGACTGAAGAAAACTGGACAGCTAACGCTGATTCTCGGTGGGCGGTGGCAAGTCTAATGACTATCAAGTGGTCTATACAGTGGTTGAACAATGAGCATCTCAATATTAGGATGCAATTAAGGACGAATGGCAAGGTTGATCAGGTTTCTCTGTCAGAGACGGGAAAGGTTGGCGTTGATGTTGGCGCAGTCAAGAGGCATATCAGTTTGTACGATGAGGTAGACCCGAGTCCTCGGATTCACATTATAGATGGTAGTGACCACGTCTCATCCTCGATGCCCTCCATAGTCGAGGCTCATTAGGCGATGAATGAACGAAGCAATGTTTTTCTATACAAGCCTCAGCACTCTTGATTTGTTAGCTTCTTTCCCTCATGCAGGATTTGGGTTTTGATTCGTAGCAACCTTGACATATGAATGAAAGGAGAGGTTCGCAGATCTCAATCCTGGCCTAACTCTACTCAGTCCTGGACATGATGATTTTGAAGAGCGAAGGTTGTAGCTTTAGGAATGTCCATGGCCGTTACCCATATCGCGTCGATCTGTCACACGATACCGGCAACTATTCGACGCGACCGCTTTTCCTTTCCGCATTTACCAAATTCAGGCGCGTTGCTCACTCGCGCTTCTTTTGCGACGCGGGCATGTGATTGTCGCAACAATTCAAAGGTCGTGATTGCTGGTTCTCTAACACTGAAACCACAAGGACGGTACGTCCGCTTCGCCGGCAATGCCGCCTTTCAAAGATGAGCACGTATTAGTAAGTGCGCCTTCACTTCCTCGTGACCTGCACTGAGGCCTATTTCGACTGTACTCGCCTGTCAATAATGCTCGTATTGGCCATACCACGTGCATTCAAGTCTAACAATTATAAAGATAATAGCGCCTGGCTCGGCCATTACCCAGACACAACTTGGCCTACCAGAAACATTTACACCTCCACGATGGCGCTTTCCAACACGAATGTTTCCGGGCCTCAAAGATGGGGAGTGGGAACCTGTATTCGTACGCGAGAAGGTCAAAGTGAAAGAGCAGATCAATGGCCATGTGAATGGCACAACAGCAGAGCCAAAGGATGTAGAAATGATAGACGGAGCACAACCGCGGCCAGAGACCAACGGCCAGACAACCAGCGATCATGAGACCAAGATGGAGAACCTCCCTTCAGACTCGACAGGTGCGGTCCAACCCGCCGAGCCACAACCTGACACTACGATGGCAGAAGATGAAGAGACAGAATACTACGATGATCCATACACGTCAGCGAATGCAGTATACCCTCTTCAGTCTGGACGTATTGAGAACTGGCCTTGCTTCTTCGCCCTGTTGTCGCATATATACCAAATGATATCTCCCCCCTTCCACATGCCAGTATTAGTGGTTTCACAGCCTTGCTGGACAGCAAGAGATAAGGAAACCATAACTCAGTACTTCTTCGAGAGCTGGAAAATACCAGCACTATGTATCATGGACAGCGCTTTGGCCGCCGCCTGGGGGTTTGGTGTGCAGAGTGCTTGTGTGATAGATGTCGGACAGGACAAGTGTGATGTTACGGCAATAACGGATTATGTTGTCAACGAAATCGGCAGGGGTGTAGCCATCGAGGGCTGTGGTGGAAGCGCCCTTACAGCAAGATTAAGAGAAGAGTTTGAGAAGCAGAGGGAGAGATACGAAGGTATCGAGGATCTAAATGAGCTGGCTGAGCAGGTCAAGCGCAATGCAATATGCGAGATCCTGCCAGCTGGAGTACCATTACCAGGACAGGCGCCTGAAGTCGTTCAACAACCAGCCCCGAATCCTCTCGCCGCAGCGAGCACCGGCTCTGAAGCTCCACCGAATCCTTCTGAGGTTGTCCCAAAGGCAGCACAAAACGGGGAAGCTAGTAAGGTGGGCACTACTGAAGAGGAAGAAAACGAGGGTGTGCTCGACGTGGCGTCTATTGTGGCCAGAAGTGATGCCGCAGAGCTATTGGCCAAGCGAGAGCGGGAAAAGGCGGAAAGAGAAGCAAAGAAAAAAGGAGGCGCTGTCGAGGCACCCAAGCAAAACAGGCTACGAAATTCCGACAAGCACACTGCTAGCTTCACTTTCGAGGACTATCCTGCTCCGACGTTGGATCACTCAGATACTTCGACGAGGAGCCGGAAGCGAAAGCGAGAGGTCGAGGTTGGACCAGAAAGATTCCTGCTAGCCACATCATCCGCGGAGTCGTCAGACAATGTATTGGAAAGGATAGCTAGTGCAGTGCATGGAACTATCATGGCTGTTCCCGATATATCTGCTCGGTCGGCGCTGTGGGACAACCTGATAGTAGTGGGCAATGGCAGTAAAGTTAGGGGCTTCACAAACGCCTTGGTGGAAACACTATCAGCACGATATACACTTTCGCCATCCAACACCACAATATTCACATCCGAAATACCTTCAACCTTCTCCACGCCAGTACCGACCGGCGGCACGAACACACCAATCCCGGGTCAGGCGAGCAGTGCACAACATCACACTGGCTCAGGTGTCAATCCACTTCTTGTTGCGGCAACTAAGAATATGATGCAGCCTGGTCAGCATCTGCAGGTGCCTGGTCAACTGCAACAGCAGCATCTACATGGTGGCTATACGCCTCTAGGAGCCATGGATCAAATGCAGCATCAGAGCTATAGAGGCATGTCACAATCACCTACCAGTATGAAAACTGTAAAAGCACCCGAGTACTTTCCTGAGTGGAAGGATCCATCGGTGGCTGGAATGGAAGAGGCAAACTTTCTTGGAGCCCAGGTCGCAGCCAAGGTTGTGTTCATTGTTGACCAGGGCATCAGCAAAGGCTTCTTGACCAGAAGTGAATACAATGAACTTGGGCCTGAAGGAATACATAGCTGTGCGATGTGATTGAATAGAATTCAGGTAGAATTGATGGATATTGAGGAAGGGTGGCCGAACAGCGAGTCGACTTAACCTTAGAGTGCGACAATTGTCCCTGTGGTTCTTTGGACTGTCCCTCTTCAATAAGTCAGCTTGTATGTCTTGCTGCCTCTATTTACTTACTGTTTGTTCTACCGTGAAATGGAGTGACGGGTAGACCATGAATGTGAAGAACGGCAGGTCGGCCGATAGACACTGCCCTTCGTCATAGGCGCTTCTCATCTCATCGTTGGTCTCGTAATAACTTGAAGTGACCGAAATCAGCCGATATCTACATAGTACAGGCTCTTTTACCTCGATCTGATACACTTTGAGCGAAGATTCCTCTGCCACTGGCAGCGTGACCTCTCTTTTTCACCCTACGCATCCATCTCAGCCGTCACAAGTCCTGCAGTCGCTTAATTCAGCAGCCGGGACCTGGAGATCACGAGTGCTTCGACCACACATTTCAAATCGTCGCTATAAGGACGATAGCTATACATCTGTACGATCTACGGCTTGGGCTAGAAATCCACAGCAATCATGTCGGGCCTCGAGAAGGCCCTATTTAACCTCAAGGTATTTCACGTTTCTGGGTACCAGGCAGCACTAATACTGATCAATTTGCCAACAGTTTACCTCCAAACAACTCAATAGACAGGCCGCAAAAGCCGACAAAGATGCCCGAACCGAACAAGCGAAAATCAAGAAAGCTCTGACACAAACACCTCCTCAACCACAAATCGCGAAGCTATATGCCACGAATAGCGTCCGCAACCAACAACAGCGCATTCAACTCCTTACACTGGCGGCCCGTATCGACGCCGTTGCTGCACGCGTTCAGACGGCGATCACTATGCGTACCGTGACTGGGTCGATGGCGCAAACTGTACGAGGCATGGACATTGCATTAAAGAGCATGGACCTCGAGAAGATAGGTGCGGTTATGGAGAAGTTCGAATCTCAATTTGAAGATCTGGATGTGGTGAGTGGCTATTACGAGAATGTCGCAGGTGGTGTGGAGAGCCAGCAGGTTGGTGTGGAGGGACACGGTGAGGTAGACGCGTTGATGGCAAGAGTAGCGGACGAAGCTGGTGTGGAGCTGAATCAAGAATTACAGAGTGGGAAGTTACCAGAGCCAGAGGTACCGACAGAGCAAGAAAGGGAAGCTGGTCTCGGAGACCGTCTGAGGGCTTTGAGGGCTTCTTAGCATCGAGGTAGAAAGAGAGTTGGATGGTGAGAACTGCAGATCATGCTATGAATACTTTGATGACACAATGAGCTGGAGTTGGCGGCGTTTTTGACCAGGTATGTGTTTTACTGAATGAGAGAAATGAGTAGGAATATTTCCTGTCGGTAACCTTGTGCGGCACTACGACTAATACTGCGTTCTTGAGTGACTCTGTCTCTCGTCTTTGCAATGATAGTCAAAACTTCGGGGACTCGCAGCATCTGTCCACCTGCCCCCAGAGATGTCCCAGTACATCGAACCATGTCTTCCGCCAGACTTCTGACAGCTTATATACCATCTTGAGAAGTCTGGAGGACGAAGGTGTGGCTACTATTACCCAGACATTGCGCAAATACCCGCCCCGATGCTTCTCGCTGATTAGACGAAGCAGAAAGTCAGGGTAGACAGTAACTAGTGGTGTTGCCAGTACCTACCATACTGTGTCTGTTCATGAAATGTCGTTTTTATTGACTCACAGTCTATCGTTGGACGGCCCGAACTAAATCGATAAGGTAGGGATTCGATCACTCAGAAGCACGGGAACCAAGACAAAGAATGAGCTTAGGGGCTTAAAATCTTGCAGAAGGATGTCCTTCCAACAAGTCGGCAAGAGCTGGGAATGGGCAGGTGCCTACGACTTGTGCCGATAAAAAGAAATTTTCGCTGATTATTACACAATCTTTCACTCAAGGCTCATTGCGGTCATTCTCAACCACGCAATTGTTTGCGATATCGAGTTCATTGCTGCTACACATACCAACGTAAGTGCCTGCTGTCATCGTTCTCCGCGTTGCTGATCATCTAAAGCTGTCTATCAAAGCACCTAAGAGTCTACTGCAGTAACGTAATTACACAAGCCAGAAATATCACCACGCAAACGATTAGCTTCGCCTACGATATTTGCCTCAAAACGATCGTCCAAGAAGATCGAAGGCAATGCCAGGCTGTACTTGCTCAGATTTCCATCGTGCGCAATCACTGATGAGTTCAACAGATATAGACAATCCAGAACAATTACGGTAGTCGTGGGGACCGATTGGCGAGGTTTCAGCATACACGAAGACCTACTACGAGCAGAGAGCAATGTTTTCGAGTACTTGTATAAGAAAATGACATACGGCTGGAATCCCAATTATGACTTCGACGGCATCTATCTGCGACTTCAAGATTTCGACGCTGACGGCTCCGGCATCATATTTGATTACTTCTACACCACGGACTTTGCAACGACGGTCCCAGCCAACGAACCCAAGGACCTCAACGACTACATTTATGCATGTATGTATGCTGACAAACTGAAGATGTATGAGTGCAAGAATTCTATCATGGACCTAATTCAGCTAATAGTCCGTGGTCCAAACGAGACATCTTTGAAAATGGGGGAGTCATGATAACGGACATCATGACAAGATACTTCGTTGTGAAGAACATGCTTAGAAACCCAACCGATCCTGCTGGTTCAAATGATTGCAAGTATCATGAACACAAAAACCACGCAGCAGCGCAGGCGTGTCCACTTGCATCGAAAGTCGCTGCTCCAGTCGCCGTCGTAAAGTTCCCGCCTGATCACAATCAGTCAGCCATTCTGGACTTCAGCTCTGGCTCAATCGGAGCACTATCTGACAGAAAGACCTCGAACCCGTCCTCCACCTTTGGCAACGCACAGAGCACCTTCACCAGAGTTTCCTCCCACTGGTAATTGTATGCACACCTCTCCCACCGGTAATGGCTTCTGCAACTCTAGCACGTTTCCCCGTCTGATAATGTACGAGCATTCAGGCTCGGACTACAAATTTCTCTTTCATTACCTGGTCTGAATCGAGACACAAACAATGCAATCGCAAAATATCAATCTTTCCGTGCCAGGCCTGGCTGCAAGTTATATGCTTTCGAGGAGCTACACGTATCGAACTACACAGCGTATAGACGTTATGGCACAACCAGGTTTCAAGAGAACACATTCAAGCAGCTCACTTAGGGTGCTTGTGTTAGCTTAACAATTTCCCTCGAGACAACCCTCGCTGACAAATCACCGAAGGGTCAAGAAGCCAACATGCAGTGCTAGCTTCAGCTCAGAGGTGCAAAGCTTACACAGGGAATCTCTGGTGTCCGAGGAAGCAAGAAGAAAGAATGTACGAACATAACCTAATACAATAGGCGTGAGAGGCCTTTATCCGAGGGGAGCCTATGAGCCTTCAGGCCTGTAGATAGTGACGGCACAGTGCAGGCCACATCCTAGAGTGGCACTCTACGCACCATGACAACCAATGTGCGTCAGGTTGGAAGATTGAAAGAGTTTTCCAGATTATACTAGTTCTTGATCTCAATACCATTCCGACGTCTCGTATTCCGTCCCGCCTCCATGTAAGCTGTTTATTTATGTGCTGTTGATTGACGTTCAACTTATTGAAAAAGATTCAGCCTCAGTCAGCTCCTGATCTCTAAGCTGTCCACTGCATGTCGGTACATGTTGCCTTAACTTTAGCGAGAGGAGCTCACGCTCAATTCTCGCAGTGCACTGAATCAGTAGAACAGACTAGCGCAACTTTGAAGAGCACGATTTAGTCACATGCCTCCACACCTTGCCTTACAGATCAGCATTTTTCACAGCAACGTCGACCTCAAATATCGTTAAGTTTGTCGGCCATTACGCACGATGGAGGAGTTCACATGCATGCAAGCTGCTGCCTTGTCAATCCATTATGGACCCATATCCAGTATCTCTTCAATAACAACCATGCCTGAAGCCTTACTCGATCAGGTCGTCTCGAGTCCATCACTGCCCTTCTACCAATCATCAGGTAACAATGCAGCTTGGAATACCCTGTCGCGCTTGCCTGGTTAGATGCACTTCTTCGCGCATCGCACTGCAATGCACCTCAATTGGCCCCATTCCATTCTTGGCTGCCTGTTTACTAACAAGAGCTATACTCTCTGAGCTCAACTTCGGTGCTCATGCCTCCTCATCAGAGTCCTGCTCCTCGCTTATATAGCTTGCTTTGTCTACATTGTCGATTCTACTGAGTATCGCTGTACATTCGGTCTGCAAGATGGACTCACCGTCATCACCGTTAGCCTGGTCTGACTTCTGGGTGGCCGGCTTCGAAAACTCAGCCGGTCATAGTGACCAAGATTCTGAGCTCTTACTGAATGAGGACGATTTTGAGCATGTGGGTAGTCCAAGCAGTGTACAGAGCCTCGATAGTCTCTCGTCGTTTCTAGCAAACCGAGTTGAGAAGGACGGCGGAGCAGGCACTGACTCAGCAGATACTAAAGATGCACCTGAGTCATGTCACTCGCCTCGGCCTCTAGACATTAAGTGTTGCAATCCATCAGGGCCCCAGAATCATGTATGGCTCGAGCCTTATCGATGTTCTGAACACAAGGACAAGGCTCGACAGAAGGTCGAGATACCTATACGTGTGAAGCCACGTGAGAGCAACGTACATACTACCAAAGAGATTCCTCGGTCTGCCCAACCCATATACTCGTCGTACGACTATCAAATTCAACCTGAGAATGCCCCACCAAACTCAGTCGTCCCGGCTCCTTGTACCAACAAGGTATCAGGTGAAGAGGAAGCTCGTCAACCCGTGTCTCAACCGCTACATCATGGCAATACCTTCGAACCTCGTCCTCGTTATAGTTTTAGCCACCATCACGATCTTGACACTTCAATTATAGAGCATCTTGTTGAACACGCATTGCAGACTCGTCTCAAGGCAGAGGTGGGAAACAAGACTGAAAGCGATGAATGGTTGAAGAGCCGGATGCTCATACGGCTCATGCATCTTCCGCCTGATCATCCCTTCTTCATAAGCATCCGCAATAACATATGCTCCAGCAGTGACCAGTCTTATCTACAGCGATACTGCGAAATCTGGATAGGTGGATCCATCTATCGTGACGTTTTCACTGATGTCGAAAGAGCTGCGTTATGGTCTCTGCTAGAGTTTCACGAAAGAGTGTTCAACGCGCCTTGCTTGTTTGCTGGGCTTCCTTCAGGCCAGGAATCTCAGCACTTTGGAATTGTTGGTGGGGCAGTGCACTACACCGGGCGTCAACTCGCCATGCATGTTCAGACCTGCTGCTTGGAGAATTGCAGTCGAAGAGACAAGGCCTCATTTGTTTGATGCTAGACTATCAGCGAATCTGCTCGGAGAATGAATCATCGATCACACTGGAAATGCTACGATTTATACCTTGAGGAACGATTTCGAACGCATGTTGTGCAGCACACCTGAAAGCTCTCGAACGATTGAAGAACATACAATCACTGGTGGCGCGATTGAACCTTGTCGTGGTTCAAGAATCAGCTCGGGCATCCACTGAAGCACAGGCAAAGCTAGGCAAGAAGTATTATCATTCTTCAAGCCTTGCAGGAGTACGCAAAGCTTACAAAATTGATGCATCAACAGGCGAGAAGAGTTTCCCTGAGTGGCCGTATCATGAACTTTAGCTCTTGGTCAAGAAATTCCTGCTACTCAACAGATGCAGCTGCTCGATGATGCTGTCCTCGTGTGTCGAAGTTTGTTACATAATTGCAGTCCACTCCTTAAGCTCGATGAGCAGTGCGACAGCCTCAACGCTATGACATTCATCTCCTCGGTGGTCGGATGGGATACCTCCAGCGCCGAAGCACATCCTCTCATCAGTCAAGGCATTGTTCTTTCATCCATACTACTGACTGGTTCCAGTGGACCAGTGACATCCTTCGACCTCCTCGTCATACAGACAAACATTGCCATCATCCTGAACAAGAATGTAGGGCTTGACAGCATCGTAGTTGCTTCCACTAGCCCACAATGCCTGGCCATCCGCGTTATATAATACAAAATTGCCGTCTAGCTGAACCAGGACTGAGTGGTTGGTCGAGCCTTCGTCAGAGTATGTGTTCGAAGCCCAGATGGCTTCAGACCCATCGTCGTTGCGTTTGTAGAGGACTAGGTTGGAGTCCTCTTGAAAGATGAGTTGATACTCGCCAGAAGCACTGACGAATTCTTGGCCCGGATAGATAGGGGTGTCTCCCTCAACACGGTCACCCATGATGGCTATTTCTTCGAAACTTCGAGTACAGGACGAAGAGAAGATAGAGTCTAGGGACTGAGATTGAGAGCGTGTCTGTCTGCAATGAGAAGTTCAACCAGATCTCATGGACTGAGAACGATATTTATGCCCTGGTTTGCAACGACCATGACGACGTGGCTCGGTGTGATTGGATTCAGGGTACACTCCCACGTTCTACAATTTGTTCTCGGTTATTGGAAGACAGCTCACAGCTCAGCCGAATATTCTGTCAACATGCAAATTAAGGTCTAGGCCTGCAGTATAGCGTGCGATGCTTTCTCGGGGTCTTCATATTCGGCGGGTCTTGGCTCGCATGAGCTTACGTAGACCCTGAGCAGGAGCTGCAGCCGGCCATCACATCGCAGCAGATTGAGTCTTTCGTCTGAGCGTTCATAGGCACGGCACGAGCCCAGTCGTGCCTGCTTAGCACTTATGATGGAGCCATATGAGATGTGCGAACAACACCGAGAGCATAGGCAATGCACCATGGGTGCATCCGTTCTGACAGAACATCACGCCATTGGATGTTACCATAGTAGATGTGCAACAATGCTGAGTTCCCATGACTCTGAGGTTCGACGGTATTACTTTGTAGCCAGACAGGCGCGAGGCTAGAAACCTCCGATCGGTTGTTCCTGCTTCTTCCAGATTTGCACGTCAGAACTCTAGGTTCGGATGGAGCACTCCATCCGTGTCCTGGAAAAGCGTACCTTTGAAGAGACTCGCTACGCGACAAGCCGGGCAGATCTAGAGAAGGGACCGTAGCAATTTAGTATGTGACAAGGTTTACATCGTCCAGGACGATTTTGGTCCTGGAGTCCAGATTGCGTGAATGTGGACGGTGTTGCTACATACACCACCTGTTTGACCACGTTCAGACTGCTAGACAAGTTTGTCATCCGTCTTGACTTCGATATATTTGAATAATGATTCAGCGAAAGTTCCGTGGTGGTCGTGCAGTGCAAGAAAGACGGAGTTGTGGAGGAAGGAACCGTGGAGTATCCACACTAGCAGTGGATACGATTCGTGACGCGTCATACCGCTTCACATGAGTCGCGTTCTACTGAGCTTCTGGATTGAAAGTAGAATGATGTTCAAGTGCTTCATCCATGGTCCGAGCTCTACGAGCCTGGTATGCATTTCTCCACAGCAACAGAATATGGAATTCGTCTGCTCATCAAGTTCGCTGGACAGTACGATCGACCATGGGATGAGTGTGTGGTGAGCAGCTCGTCGTTTTCGTTAACGTCTAGAGAAAAGCTATGTGCTCATCATTTGCTGAGGAAATCTACGTTGTTGTCGTAGGTCGTCGACGATAATGTGTGACAGTTCTCGAGACTATGACAGGGAAACACGAAAGACTCATCTCAAGTCCGCTGTTTCGCTTGATCTCCTACAAACACTCAGGAGCAGCCAATGTTGTTTTGAACCATGACTGTGTTGTTGTCCGAAAAGAGGCAAGATGCTCGAGCTCTGCGGAATGTGAACCGTCCTTAGTTGTGTTTCCACACATTGTCGTGCGTTCATGTCACTCATGATTGTTTTCTTCACAATACCGATACCACAGGAAACATGCCACGATTAACAGTATTAACTTTAGCCAGTGGCATTTTGACTATAGCAGCTGCACAGTCGTCCACCACCAGCGGTGTAACATCGTTCTTCTTTCCTCTGGCAGACCAGCAACCACTGGTAGCATCAGTCGTTGCAGCAGTAAGTGTGCTTTCGCGGGCACCCCGTTCCCATTCAGCCTGGCGGCGCATTCATATGTACATACTGACTCTGGTAGGATTCTACTGCCAACACGCTCGTCGTGCAATGCGTGTCTGACCTCGGCGACCTCGAATGTGGCTTCCCTGCACCTATCACCATTACCGCAGGCCCCAGCACTCTCCATGTGAACCCAACAGGCATATACCAAGCTCTCGGTGAGCTAGACTGCCAGCTCACAGGGACTCCGGACGCAGTTTGCGCTATAACTGCGCCAATTTACGATCCCGAATATTTGGCGATGGTGGCGGATGAGGATTTTCCGACTGAGCCTGCGACTAGCAGCTCAACCACGACGGTGTCTGGGCTTGAACTTCAAATCACCGATTACTATGTTACTGTCACCATCACGGCTGGGGAGTTGGGCCTGCTTGACACGTCGACCAGTCCAACTGCAACGGGAAGTACGAACGGAACTGAAAGCACATCAGGAACTGCGAGCAGAACTAGCAGAAGCATCACTACCGGAAGTGCAACAGGCTCCTCGTCTGCAGGACCGGCTTCTGCAACTGGTAATATTGCTGCTAGGTTGTCTGGAGTTATGTTTTCAGGTGTCGCGGCGGGTATGATGGTGGTGCCTCTGTTTCTGTTATAGCTTCTCTATCACATTAATCACTCACGTGGTTTTGGTTCCATTGTAGTTCAGGGCAAAGGCCCAATATCTGGACATCTTGTGGCGGTCGAGGCAACGAGCCATAGGTAACATGGCGTAAAAAAGTAATACGGGCTCATGAAGCCAATAAAGTCTCCCTTCTGCCTTCCTTCCTAGAACACACTAACGCGTGGCACGGCTAGCTGACTCGTTTTCGCTCGACTAGACGGAGTCACACGAATATGCACAGTCTCTTGCTCTTGGATCCCGTTGAGATCAGGAGGATGAGTTTGAAAGGAGAAAAGGGTTATCAGCACGTGACTGGTCTTATCCAACCCCACACGAACTTTCGAAACTCCTGAACAGACAAATGGGCATGAGACCACGTATTGTAAGCCGTTGTATAGGCCACGCTGCTATCTTTTGTGTTGTCTAGATTTCGAAACAGTAGCAAAGATGGCAACATCGCTGCTGTCAAGTTTAAAGCTGCTGGTTTTCTGCCTGCTTCCACTACTTTCATTCGCATTGAAGTTCGAGTTGGCCGCCGAGGCCAGACCACAAGAGCGATGTATACGGAACTTTGTGAACAGGGACACTCTTGTGGTTGTTACTGCGACCATTAGTGGACAGAAAGGAGATGGGCAGAAAGTTGACATGCATGTAGGTTCAGTGGAAGGCGCTGCGACCAGCTTTTCGAGAGCCACTTTGCGCAATCTAAAGCGCACTCCCATGGACGGGACAACGCTGACGTGGTAATCTAGATCAAAGACGCAGTAGGTAACGAGTACGGTCGACCTAAGGACGTGGTAGGAGAGAAGAGAATGGCCTTTACCAGTTTGGCAGACACAGCATTCGACGTCTGCTTCACCAATACACTTGGCTCAAGAGGTAAGCAGGACAAGACGCGTTAACGACTCGCTATGGACTAAACTGTTCCCAGCCTCTTTCACGACACATCGATCCATCGAACTCGACATTGATATAGGAGCCGATGCTCGAGATTGGTCCGCCGTGCAGGCTGCGGAGAAACTACGACCCGTCGACACAGAATTGCGGAGGATTGAGGAGAACATTCACGAAGTTGTACAAGAAATGGAATATCTAAGAATGAGAGAGCAAAAGTTACGAGACACGAATGAGAGCACGAACGAAAGAGTGAAGTGGTTCGCTTTTGGAACGATGGGCATGCTCGTTGGGTTGGGCGCGTGGCAGGTCGTTTATTTGAGGGCTTACTTTAGGTCGAAGCATTTGATCTAGAACAACGTCTACCTCACAATCAAAGACCGTCAATCTGAATCATGGTCCCTTGAACACATCCGAGAACAACGCGAGACCGTCTATGGAACCTTGCAGCAGTCGTTAAGTGAAGGACTGCGAGTTTGAATTGACGGCGAAAGAGATTCTTCTGCTTATCGTTCCCACGAGAAATTGTACATATACCCTCAGACCACGATCACTTTGACGCTATCTCAGGTTTAGGTCTTTTTAGCACAATCTGAGAGAACGACCACCGCGTTTCTCGGACTTGCAATCAACTAATTGTTTTTGACCGCCCCATACTCTAGGTGAACCAGGCTTGCTGAGCGATCGAAGAGGCAGTTTACCTGTGCGAGCAAGTGATTGAATCTGGATATACTTGATCCTAATTAACTGGCCACTCACCGACAGCACGTAGCTGCCTATCAAGACGACAATGTCGAGCCTAGGCCGAGCGCTCGTGGGAGGTAGCAACAACAATACATCTACCAAGCAGGCAACCTTGCCAGGGAGCGTGCTCTCCCCCTCCCAGTAAGTTGAAAGCTTTCTAATTTATGGCTGTGCAGCTATTGACACATCTAGGTATGTGCAAAGTGGCATCGTCAATGTCTTTGTGGGCAGGAAGCGCAAAGAGTTCGCAATCTATAGAGATCTTCTCAGCGTCAAATCACCTTTTTTCGCTGCAAAACTCAAGAAAGATTGGAACAACGATAAGAACGAGATTTACCTCGAAAATGAGGATCCAGATGCATTTAGTGCATTGGTCGATTGGATGTTCAGCGGCAAACTACCTGACTTCTACAGCGAGCGGACGACTACGAGTATAGCATCAGTGACAGCTTTCTACAAGCTAGCCGACTTCCTACTGATGCCAACAGCCAAGAACGACCTCATTGACCATGTGGTCAACCACCACAGGGCTATGAACAGGCATTACACTTTCCACCATCTGTCGTATGTTTGGGGTGTACATGCCGTTGATAAGCCTTTCTTGAAGATGGTGCTGCATTCAATCATCAAGAATCTTGTGGTGAGGACGGACGACGTGTACCAGCTGGAATATTTGCGAGAATATCCAGATCTGATGCTTCTAGTCATTAGGTATCACATCGGGTACAACAAACGACCATGGGCCAGGATCTGGGAAAACCCTCGTTGCGACTATCACGACCATTCTGATGGGAGCAAGTGCGTTCCAAAGTTGTAAACCTGTAGAGAATCTACGGAGAACATCACGAGGTGTCAATGTGCGGCGGTACCTGGCGGAGAGTCCTGGTGTTACACGAAGACCAAACTGCTTTTCGAATGACTGAAGAGGTTATCGTTTCTCATGTTCAGAGCAAGTGAGCATGAGCGTTGGCTGAGTTTATGAAGGAACACAAAGAAAGCTCCTGGCTTCAGTTTGATATTTGAACAGATACTGTTCAGCCAGATACACGATTGATTGCTTCTTGGCTATCTTAATACAGCCTCGTTGCTTGCCGTCGATCTACGTGAGATGCAACTTCGAGCTCCACGGCGTGCATAATTAATTATCTCTGCAATTCCCCCCCTTCTTCCTCTGCTTCATTGCAATTGACCCCTATCTCAACGATACTGGCATGATTGTCGAAACGATACCGTGGCAGATGTGCGTTTGCTGGGTTGTATGGCTGTTAGTGTTGCAATGCCAAACTGCAAACAGAACCACAAGTTGACATGGTGTCACTCGTCTGCGCTGTCTACTTCAACACGCCATCAGTCAAGTGCTAGTCCGTGCTGAGTCTCCCGGAGCCATGGGTACGATGAAGATTCTGCGATACTCGAGTATGTTCATACCTAAGTAGTATTGAGTGGTGGAGTTGTGCGGAATTCCAGGAGGAAAGTTTGAGGATGATGCCTGAGCGAGATCGTGCCTGGAAGCCTGAGTACGCTAGAACGAGGATCTACGTCATATCAGGACATCAAATAATGTTTCGCGTTCCATCTCCTGGCTTTGCTTCTGGTCCAGACGAATGGACTAGATCAGCCGACGACGAGGTATTGGCAGTGCTCGGCCAACAACGATACAGCTTTTTCGTGAATTTGAATTCAGTTCTCGGTTTAGAATGCTTTAAACCTGCTGTATATAGTCCATCTGCTCTCTTTCACACAACATGGCACCAGCACGACCTCGAGTCGTGGATGATGCGCGATCAGAGACATCGCTCAACACAACGAGAGATCGAGCTACCACAGGCGTACCAACCTCAAAATCGAAAAAGAACAACGCAAATCAATCTTCTGTAGCCAATAGCTCTTCAAAGACACTAGCCACACCCAGCAATACTGCCACAACTGGCTTAAAGGCCAATGGCGCAGTCGAGCCTCAGCAAGAACAACCTCATGTGAGTAAATTTCAATTACATATCTAGGATGCATGCCTATCGAGGCATTGTTTGACAAGCCGTCCGAGGCTGATATCACGTTTCAGGTTGACTGGCCCTCATTTCCAGCATATGCTCTGCACGCCTATCGATCGGCTTACAGACTACAAATACCTGCTTCCTACACGCATAAGCACGCGGAACTTCTCTATCAAACCTGCGATCTAGCCCTACGGGCACCATCCCAAGTACTTGCAAAAAAGAAGGCACATGATCTGAAGGTATACAAAAGAAGACAGGCACAACAAGCCACTCAGACTCGAGCACATGCGAATGGTGTTTCCAAAATCTCCAAGTCCTCACGTTCCAAAGATAAACGCAGTACTACCAAGAACAAAGAAGCGATAGACACAACAACACAGCTATCGATAGAAGAGCCACCCTCACCAAATTCAAACTCACATCCCTCCCATAGCAATGTAGACTCGGCCTCAAACCCTCCCGATACTGCCTCGAGAAAATCCCCTACAATCGCATCGGAACAGCAGCAGCAAGAAGAGCAAGAGGAGGACAACAGCATACCTACCTCCCTGAACCAAACAAATCCCGAGTCAACCGTCCTCGGTCATTCCCAAGCCACTGCTCTTCAAACCTCGATACGGAAACACTTCAACGCTCAACATCTGAACGAAGCAGAGACCATAGCACGATTTACGTACGTCGTCCGTCAGCAGGGCAGCAGCACCACATCACGCATCGCACCTCTCGCACAAAGGCTAGGCGTGCTGCCTCTACCCAACACGATAGCAGAGAATATCGCAGCTGTAGCAAAGGCAGCAGATGCGAATCCAGTTGCTGCCGCTGCAATCACCGCTGCCACTAACGCTGCAGGCGCGACTACGGCTGCGAATACTGTTGGCAACGCAGGAGGAGCTACTGCGGAAAAGGGCAAGGGCAATGCACATACAGCACACAGCCTATCTGGGCCAAGGACCCTTGGTGGTCAGCATGTGCAAGTAGAAGGTGGATATGGAGATGGCAAAGGCCACATGATGGGCACTACCAGTTGCGGAAGACAGGTAAGAGTATTGGATGGTGGTGGTACAGGCACTTTTAGATTGAGGTTCAGACCTTAGTTTCTGCTTTTCTATTGAAGGACTATCACGTATGTTCACGCTGGGATTTTGTATGAGTACTGGCCAAAACACGGATTTAGGTTTGGGTTGTGGATGCATCGCGTACGCGAGCGACTTAGGTTAAGGCAGGTACAGGTGAAGGAGTAGGAAGTGAAGGTTTGAATTGCATATATTAGAAACATATTCAGCATCTGTGGTTGCACAATTCGATGGTGTTTCAACTTTCCATGACAACCCCTCCTCAGGTCAATTCATCGCATTGTTTAATCACTGGCCTAAGTACCTCAAGAGTTCACCACTTGAACCATCACCACTTGAAAGTCAAACTCGCCAATCACGTCAAGCAATCTTACTCGATTGCGATGTCCCGGCCTGCAAAAGTGTCGGGTTATCACACCAAATTCGTGAGCGTGCCCCCGACACTTTTGCTGGCCGGGACGTGACTGCGTTTACCGATTTCCTCCCCTTCAGCGCTCGTCAAACAGCTCCCAGTAACTTCCAGTCGTAGACGTTCTATTCTCGACAGCCACTGATACGCCGTCCTCAACCCTTAACGCCATAAGTATTGATTTGGTAAGTGCTTGAAGCACAAAGCCGTACTTGATGGTGATCTGCGCCACTTCGTCCGTACCCTCTCTCGTGTTCTGCCTTCTGTCCCTAGCTATATCTTCGATGATCTGACTCCCAACCCAGACCCCCATCAAGTCGAACGCTGGATACCTCTCGACGAGACCAAGCATTAAGCCAGTCTCGACGAATCTTGCAAATGCATAGAGCTTTCTAAGGTTCGGGAACATTGAAAGACTGCAAGTCTGGAACTGAACACCGTGCCTGACAGTGTGGTCTCTCAGGAGATAGGTGACACGGTTGAGTAGCCAGCTGATCTCAAATGAGTCCTGAACAGACTCGAACGAGGTCGATGCATCTCTAGCGAGCTCAAGCCTGCCAGTGAATGTTTCAACGAGCGCCGCTTCAATTCCTCGAGAAAAAGGTTTGAACATCGCGAACAGATTCTCCATCTCACGGATCGGGAAGCCGTGAGCTTGAGGTAAGTACCTCTTCGAGTCACCTGTGCCACAAGCTTTAGTGTGATTGGTGAATCTGACATCGTACGGATCAATATATGCTTTTACGATCATTTCAATGATCCCGGTAGGAAAGTTCGTGTGAATGTCTTGAACCAATTTCGTCGGTTCGACAGTGGCGACGAATTGTTGAGTGTCTGTTACGACGCGAATGAACTCTGATGGTTTCGATGAGTTCGCCATGGTGTGCTCCTGGTAGATGAATAAAGGATCGCAAGGGAATGCAGCACGACGTAAGTAAATCGCTGAACTGGTGACTCTTCAAAACTTCCCTGCAAACGAGTAAAATGAGCACCATGTGAGTCGGGCTAAGATGGCATGTCACTTGTGTGTTCGTTGTCAATTGGTGAAAATGCACAAGAAGTCTTCGTTCTTTGCAACAGCGTAGGGTAGACAACTCGGCCAGTACGAAACACAACGAGAGCACACTTGGTAGCTTCCACATTGACCATACCCCCTGGACGTCTTCGAAAGACCACGATCCATATGCATGTTGAGCATTCATCGAACGCAATAGCCGCCCATGAAGTCCTGAGCACGCCAATTTTCTAGGTGTCGTTCCCTTGAGCAAACATATCATGCTCTGTTGGCTCGATCTGCCATCCTGCTCCCTCGCCACAATCCCTCAGATACTGTCCTGTGTCAGAAGCTTGTATTGTCATCTTCTTCGAGATCAGTCTAGGAGGCGAGGATAGCACATCAACAGAGGCTGCTAGGATGGCATCCGGGTAGATCGATCGGAGGGTGATCTTCAACTGCAACCCCAAGGCCTGCATCTGCTTTACGTGCGTTGTTGAGAGATTTCGTCGGATCCATAGTGTACCATATCGCTTTGCCGTACTTTCAGCTGACTTGAGCTCATACAATATGTTGTACCATTCCCGCAGCAGTGCCCCAGGATATTCGTCTATTCGGACACATTCGACGATCCTGGCGCGACACAAGATGCTGTAGTCGATAGAAGGAGGCCACATAAGTTTCGACAATTCGATCCTTAGATGTGTTGTCCTCTCCACAATCCAAGTGAAATCTCTGCTTTTAATTGACTCATCCCATAGCGCAACTACACCATCATCGATGCATAGCTTGCCAGTATACCTATCCTTCAGAGCTGTCCCAATGCCTTCCCTGAAACTTGGCGTCAGACTGGCAAGCAAGTGTGTTCTCTTCGCTAAGGGGTGGTTTTCAACAAGTATTCGTGATGGTCTGGCGGAATCGTGGCTGACAGCGAAGTCTAGATCGTAAGCGTCTATGCATAGCTCTCCGATTCTCATGGAGAGTTCATTGGGGAGAGCTTGGACTGCAGCGATCCAGTCTAATTGCTTCCGCAGGTTCGCAGCCTTTGCCGTATTTGAGAAATACACTGGACGGAGTGAAATCGAGTGTGGATGTCATCGTATAGATGTAGTGAGGAAGGACCGACCACAAACATTTAGTAGTAGCTAGCGGGATTAGAGCAGATGTCCGCCGAAAAGAATTAGACCAGCTAGAAAAATGATGAGGTCTGGTTGTAAGTGACATGCAGTTCAAAGACGACGAAGGTGATACGAATGGAGCATCGAAAAGATCAGGAACAGTGACTCCTCGTCACAGTGTTTGCACAGCAACAACAGTATGAGGAGTACTCAGCTGAATTGGCCTTGGTGCAATCGAAAGAGCAGCGTTGGAGGCATGAGTGTTCGGTACCGAAGTTGTTGACTGCCCTCCCTGAACAGAAGCAGAGAGCATAGTATCATCACTGTTATTGTAGTCACGTCAAAAAGATAGCTCGACCCAGAGCATGGTGTCCTGGCATTCAGGGTTGTCGTGCTGTGGGACAAAACTGTTCATGTTGCTTGCAGCCATTGTGTTTCTGTGAACGAGCCAAGACGATCTTAGTTATACAAAACAAGATCGCATGGCCTCTGTCACCAAGAACGTACCAACAAAGCAATGGACGCCGGTCGGTATCACCTATGCTAATCGAGTATTGAAGGAAGGAATGAGGGACGCGACACGCGACACGCGATACACGACTTGCAAGTCGTCTTACCTTCCTTCCTAACTTGACCACAGGCAGTTCCCGGAACTCAGGAAAGATCTGCCCACTAGCTCTGCTCAACCATTGACTAACATCAGTCATTCGCACGAGTGCGGCGCGACCACTACGTCGGCCAGAAAATATGCAGAATAATAAAGTACCTAAAATTCGGATTCCTTTCTGGCAATTCCACTACTTCGATTGCAACGCCCAAGGAAGTGGCTCAGACAAGGATGCGAGTGCAGCGCGCGCACCATTTTACTGGATATCATCGCCAACCGTAAGTGCTATCTTGCCAATTGACGTTCCAGCTTCGAGCTTTTCGTGTGCGGCTATCAGACTCTTTACGCTCAAAGTGTGCTGTTCTACCACCAGTGTCGTCAACAACCCATCATCGTACGCTTTCGCCACGCGTTTTAGTATGTCGCCTTGACTCTCCAAGTCGTAATTGTACACGCCTTTACTCAACATAACTTCCCAATGGAAGCTCAAGGCCTTCATGAAAGCGTCGATCTTGTGAAGGCCAGGCAAAGGCTCGGAAACCTCAACAATGCTACCAATCTTGCCAGTTGGGGCAGCAATATCGACCGCGACATCCATATAAGAAATTGTGGAATGGCAGATCATGATATACTCCACTGCCTGCAAGCCGAGCTTCTCGAGTTGTGGTTTCAGCTCTTCCCGATGGGAGATGACATCTGTTGCACCCATTTTCTTGGCGTGCTCTATTGTCTCTGGTCGTGAAGCTGTAACAACGACTCGTTCAAGCTTGAAGACCTTTCGAGCCAGCTGAGTTGCTATTGAGCCAACGCCTCCTGCGCCGTTGATAATCAATATTGATTTCTTTGCTTGCTTTCCTTGAGGATCTCCCTCGATGAGATTGAAATGCTCTTCAAACAGTTCCCAAGCGGTCAAACTCACAAGTGGAACAGCTGCAGCATCGACGAAATCAAGGGACTTTGGCTTCAAAGCAGCCAGCTTGGAATTGACCAGACTGTAAGTTGCTGTGGTGCCTGGCTGACCCAGCTGACCAGAATAGTACACCTCATCACCAGGTTTGAAGGCTGTCACATTGCTGCCGACTTTCTCGACTATGCCAGCAGCGTCGTAGCCTGTAATATCAGCCGCCGGGAAAGCACCTTGTCGAATCTTGGTGTCAACTGGGTTGACAGCGCATGCTTTTATGTTTACCAGAAGATCGTCTGCCTTTGGATCAGGCTTTGGTCGGGTGGTCAGCTCGAGGCATCTTGCGGCTTTGCCGCCACCTTCTTTGAAACAAATGGCTTTTATTTGAGACATCGGGCAAGAGATTGGCGGAAGGGTGTGAAAGTCTTAAGCTGAAAACAACATGGGAGAATTGAGTATTGGCCGAGCAGATATATGCATTTTGCTATTACTGTGGAACCCGTCTCTTTGACGTCACATATGGAAGTTATATCTACGTGCATAATTATTAATTATCTCCTTCACTCCTGAGAGTACTGTCCAACGCCATACATAACATCCTCAAAAAGAGAAGCACACAATATGGAAGTAGCAAGCTCCACAACCTGTTAGCAAGATGAAGGGCAGTTACAGTTCGAAATTCTCTAACATATCTCTAACCCACATCATGCGAGATTCGTATATCAGGGAAGTGATATAAGTGATGCTTAAAATTGCTGCGGAAATGATATTGTGGTTCTCTTTTCTCGGCGCCATGTCCAGATTGCCAAGCTTGAAGCTTTCGCAACTAACATGTACGCCGAACAAAATGCAATGCTCGCCGAGCCGCCTGGTATACAGTGACCATCGCTTTAGAGGCTATACTCTGCAAAGGTACCATCTCTAGCATAGGACCCAGCACCATTGTGAGCTTTGTGGGCCACATAGATGATTTATAGTATGACTTGGCCGTTTATACTTCGTAGGGTCGCCGTCCCTATATCATGTCTTCAAAGACAGTATCGAAGGGACCCCAAAGCAGGAAAGAGCCGGTTGATTGGTTACCATCGTGCATTCTTCAGTTGCCTGGAGCAGTCCCTGAATTGTTTCGTCGTTTCTCCTCACCCGGCGTAGTCTTCTTCCCACTGTCTCTGGGGTCGCGGTATTCGTTCTCGGTACCATGCTCGTTTCGTTTGTCTCTGATAGTCGCCTGTCCTGCACCAGGTGACTTGTTTCCCGTGCCTACAGTAGCTTGTGTGAAATAGTAGAGTGGTAGCAGACTGGCAAGCATGACGGCAAAGATTCTGCATAGAACATGATCAGTATGGGCAACATAGGACTGTTAGTTAAACGAACAGTGGCACTCTGCTTGTTGTCCCTTGTGGCTCTCCACCCGGACCGCGTTTGATATTCTCCTTGTTGTCTGTCGCATATTTTCTTTGAGCTTGGAGAGCTTGAGGATGTAATATTTGGCGGGAAAAGCGAGCTGGTGAGGTACTCAGGCCGGCCACGGATCGTCGACCAAGTATCGACTGCATGTTGTATGGTGTGTGGTTTTGGTAGTGAAGAAATCTGTGAGGGAGGCGTTCGAGGTTATTTGCGTGTAAGAGCAATCTGCAGGAGTACGCAGAGAGTATTTTGAAGCTTTGGCTTCAGGTACCGGGGCCGATCACCTACAACGTCATCATTACACGATTAGTATGGCGCTTACCAAAGTCGAAACCTCACGCCGTCCAGCGGAAGATTGTTGCGATGCATGTTACGCTTCGCTAACACACGAGTAAATTGCATCGAAAAGCTCTTCTCCTTTGGCCGTGCTTGTTTACTACACGTTGCCTGGCGCCTTCACACTCTTTATCTCTAGCAAGGAACATGGGTCTAATTTTCGGCAGCACGACTTTGCACGTTCTAGCGCGTTTCTAGCGTGTCTTCATCAAAGCTCGTAGGAGACAGTGAGCTTACGACCAGTAGGGTGCCAGTGGTTCAAAACCAGGTAATTTCAAGGATCAAATTGGCAAGTCCTCACGGACGTTCTCGCGTAGTCATGGCCGACTTGGTCCTCTGTCATACACCAGTACCGACGAAAGCGTCGCCTTTCTTGCTCAGAACCACCATGCCATGATCCCTGGCAATATAGCCCTTCATATATCCCTTGTATATCATGTTCGCAAGAAAGCATTCGACCTCATCTCGTTCGATCACGACTGGTTCAACAGAATTCCTGTAAGCAGCACGTACTGCTACTTCAAATTCACTGATTTTCAACCTCGTTCTCCGCGTTCTGGCGGTAACTTCTCCTGTGCTGGGATCTTTAGTTTCTTCATATCCAGAATTCATGAAGACCTTCCGGCAGAGGTTACGCATGCACATATCCCTAGACCGCTCGAGCGTCAGATATATTCTCTTGTTCACAAGATCCGCCTCAGCATCAGAGAGTGCTGCATCAAAAGCCGATAGATTGCCGGCCTTGATGGCTGTGCAGAGTGGTAGGAATAGCTCTCTCAGAGCTGGAAGTCGTTCGAGCGTTGCACGGCTTGGAAGCTGTTGACTCGTAAGCATGTGAGCTGGGATTAAGTAGGTAAGTATTTGCTCCTGGTTCTTTGTGGCATTTCGATGGCATATAGTCAAGGCTTCGGAAAGGTGTGCTTCGGCACCGACGTAGTTCTCTTTCAGAAATTCTAGGACACCACGATAGTACGAGTAAGTACAGTGTTGGGATCTTGGAAAGGCAGATAGAGGTGGTAGATTGACACCAGGTGACTCCAGCATCAAGATGACGTGTTTGGTGAGACTGATGTTGTTCAACTTGAAGTACGTTTTGAAGAGGTGGTTTGCGACGCTGATTATGCCCCATTTTCGTGACTCGGCGAGATCAGAGTCATCGTTTCTGCAAGTTGAGATCATCTGTGATAGGGTACGTGCAGCCTCCATAAGCTTTTCGTTCTTCTCACTGTTTTCGGCGACATCGTCCGAGAGACCGTTCACGAAGCCACTGCCGCTTTCGACAGCGTTGGTGGATTCGGAGTCTGCTTTGCTCGCCAATACTCGTAGATATTTACCGGCGACATCCATACAATGGACTGTCCAAGCTTGAAAGCCACAATGTGAGTAGCCTCGACAGAGAGCTACGCAAAGCTCTTTGTATGCTTGGAAAGCGACGTTCCACCGGCCGCCTTGCCCTGTCTCGATATTTGCTAGCTCTCTGATGCACTTCCAAAGGCAGATGAACACTTGAACCCATTGATTAGCTTCTGCTTTTTCCCGACGGACAGCATTTTGGTCCTGGATTATATGCCATCTTATGTCAGCTTCGACTGCCTGATAGTTTGTAAGCTGGGAGAATGACCATAATCGTTTGGGATCAGACGTGGTGTTCACGGGGGCCAAGCAAGAGGCTAGTAGATGACCATCACCTATTCGTTGAGCCTTTTGGAAATCGCTAAACAGTATAGACATGGTTCTTTCCCATTTTGTGTCAGGGCAAACTCACAGCACCGTCTCTCGTGACGATGTAAGCGTCGCCCTTGGATCGCGAAGAGCGAAGAGAGCCTGGTAGTAGTTGGCAGGAAGGACGAGGATTGACCAAGTTGCCGTGGAGGGTGGGGCTGAGTGGGTCATCAGGCGGTTGAAAAGCCCGTATCTCCGAAGTGGTTAAGCGCCAAGACCGTGCTTGCCTTGGAACATCGGATGAGTTGCCTTCAGAAGAAGAAGTGACTGCCGCACATTGCTACTCTTGGCGCAGTCAAGTCTTCAGGATTGAAACGACAACAACTTTTTGCCTGTTATTCCTGTCAGCTTCACGAGGTCCACAACTACATTTAAGGTGAGTTTACTTGGTATACCGATGCTGCGACCGTGCTAATACCTCTTAGATGGGTAAGTCACACTACATCGATTCGTCTGAACTGCTGTGCGAAATCGACCTTCGATGGGATACCTGAGAACGAATAACATGGATATTGGGCATCTGGGTTCGACTTTGCAAGTGCTTCGATGGCGAAAAGGACGGAACAGAGGGCAGGAGCAAGAGCGAAGTGCTGAGCAACGTTGAATTCCATACCAGACCACGGACGACTTTTGCGATCCTACACATATGCAATCGAGAAACAACACTTTACTGACGAGAACCTCTAGGTCGCCTCCAAGAATACCAGGTCATTGGTCGACATCTGCCGACCGAGACGAACCCAACTCCCAAACTCTACCGAATGAGAATCTTCGCGCCAAACACCGTTGTCGCAAAGTCCCGCTTCTGGTATTTCTTGATGAAGCTCCGGAAGGTCAAGAAGTCAACTGGCGAGATTGTTGCATTGAACGTAATCAACGAGAAGCGACCGCTCAAGGTCAAGAACTTCGGTATCTGGATTCGATATGATTCAAGATCTGGCACACACAACATGTACAAGGAATACCGGGAGATGTCAAGAACCGAGGCTGTTGAGGCTCTCTATCAGGATATGGCCGCTCAGCACCGAGCTCGATTTAGGTCCATTCACGTATGTGCCGGGAGAATCCGAAGGGAAAGGACAGGCTAACATAGAATACAGATCTTGAAGGTTGTCGAGATTGAGAATGTCAACCAAGTCAGACGACCATATATTAAGCAGCTCATTACAAAAGGCCTCAGCTTCCCTCTACCTCATCGTGTCGCTACTTCCAACAAGAAGAAGCTCTACTCAGCTGTTCGACCATCAACTTTTGCTTAAAGTATCGGGTTGCGAGTGTTAGAAAAGAGCCAAGTATGTCTTTCAGTTGTTCTGGTCCAGCCAATCGCTAGGATCATGGACTGGGGTCTCTACGTGTTACATGAAGAAGATGACAACGAGACTGGAAAGGTCATTTGAGGTGACCGCGGTATGGGAGCGAGCATTGACTGCTTTGGTACAGCCAACGGGAGACGATATTCTGCATATGTTCGTATCAGACCGTACCTTTGATATGCCGAACATTCACTGAGACTCCTCACTCATTCGGTGACGACCATTTCTACCACATGCCTCCTACCACGAATGTCCTCAGCAAAACAGCCCGGTGCGTGTCTTTCATGAACAAGAGTCAAGGAAGTAGCTCAGCCTCATATCCCGGCCCAGACTGCATGGGTTTTGTTGGCAGGAAGTTCTCAATGGATTGTTCATTTACCGTTGCTCCGCACGATTGTCCGCTTCCCCAATCACGTCATTTCTTGTCCTTTGCAAAAGTTGTTGACTGAACAGCAGGCAGGAACTTAAATCTTCTTTCGAAGTACTAATCATATAGTTTTATGTTCGCATCGATCTTCACTTGCATTCGTGAGCACTTGAATACAACATGTCTTCCTCTAGCTCTCCCAAAACACTCATCCTTATAGGCTTATATCCCGATGCACAACTCCCACCACAGGTGGCCGCGGCCTTCGCCAAAGCAGGTGTGACTAATCTCGCTCTGATAGGCCCTTCCCAATCCTACCTGGAAGAGGTCAAGAACAGACTGCTAGAACAACAGTCAGGTGCCAGTGTGGTGCTGCAGGAAGTCGACATTACCTCTCCGGAGAGTGTCGGAATTGCCTCTCACAACATTCGAGCAGAATTAGGTGCGTGGGACATCTTGGTCAACTTCTTGTCGCCACCAGCAGTCCAGAGAACAAGCATCCGCGGAGCTGACGAAGATGAATGGTGGAATGTATTTGAGCGCAACGTCAAAAGTTTGCATCATATTGGGCGACACTTCTTCTCGAAGATGAGAAACGGCGCGGTATTGATCAACGTGTTGTCTAGCAATATTGGTGGTGGTCAAACGGGCAAGAACTCGAGTGAAAGTGCTAGTCAGCTTGCAGCTGTAAGGGTCGTCGAGTATCTTGGCAAGGAGAATGAGAGCACAGGCTTGCGAGTCGTCAACGTCCGTGCAGCAACGAGCGAACAGGCGTCATCAAATCTTGGGTCATTCTCGAACGGTACGATAGCTCCGGAAGACTTCTTGGTCTGGTGCGCGTCGGATGAAGCAGCTTTTCTCGGAGGAAAGACTGTGTCAGCCGGTGCTGGTATTGGGAGGCTGTTAGAGGTCAAGGACCAGATCCGAAGCCAGTCGAATGCCCTGACTGCTGGCTTGCAAGGCTTCACGACCTACCAAACCCATATAGAAGGTTCAATGACTTTCATTTCTTAGGACTTTCGGAGGTAATCACCGCCTTTGATGCATGACAGAACACCATAGATTCCGGCAAATGGCCAGATTGACCATACGCCCGTCAGACCCTTACCACGATTTTTGCTCGAGTCTCCTACCTTGTCATAGACATCTGGCAAACTGGTCGCATTGTACTTGGATCGCAGTTCGTTGTGGGTCTTTCTGTCATAGATGTCCCAAAACTCTTGCTCGGTATAGAACGTCTGTGCGTACAACCACTTCATGCCCTTGAGTTCTGTAAGTTTAGCTTCGATAATTCTGTTGGTTGCAACAGGTTCTCCTGGTGAGGGCCCCCAAACACCGATATTGAGCATCATCCCCGAGTCATCGTTGAGGTCGTTATCTAGACTGTGATGAGGGTTTAGTCCACCTCCTGCTCCATCGGCTACCAGCGGACATAGCCATTGAGGATAGATCTTGAACTTCTCATCGATCCAATTGTAGAACTCTTCTATCTTCAACCATGGCAGCGCCATGTCTTGGATAATGAATTGTTCCATCATACCACTACGATGGAGAGCATGATACATTGTTCTCGTATGTAGGAAGTGATCAAGACCATACCTTGTGATGCGGTTGAAGGGTGTTAGGAAGTACTTGTATGCATATCTGCCTGTCCAAAAAGCTCCTCTGTCGTATCGGAAGAGGTATGATATTAAAGGCACCAACTCCCGATGGAGGGCGGAAGGCTTCTCTGCGGTAGACCCTATGCTTTTCAGATCTGCATTCATGATCTGTTCAGCATGCAGGTAGTGCCAGTCGTCCCAAGCTCCGTGGAACATGGCAACAGATAGACCTTCTTCGTTGCTTTCGATGAACTTTCCAGTGATGATCACACCATGCGGCTTACTGAACATAATGCCGTCCACAAAATCGATTTCACCTGGTGGCTTCTGGCAAGCACCTCGAATAAGCTCTTTCGCTTCCTGGATACCTTGAGAAACAGTATGATAGCTCAGTTCAACATACTCGCTTGCTTGAATAAGCCTCACCTCAAACAGCACACCTACCCCTAACGTTCCGAACGTACCCTTCATACCCTCGAAAAGATCTGCATTTTCCGTCTTTGAGGCCTTGACAACTTTCCCATCGGCTAGAATCACCTCGCACCAATTGATAGTAGCATCAAAGAAGCCATGTCTGAAGCTTGAGCTTTCCCCGGCTGTACCGGCAAACGCACCACCGACAGTAATACCTGGAAACTCGGGGACAACTGGCGGCACTAGATTATGCTTCAGCGCAGCATCAACAAGAGCGTCCATAGAAACATTCGGCTCTACAAGACACGTGAGGCTTTCTCCATCAACTGAAATGACATGCGTCATGTGCGATACATCAAGTGAGGTGGCCTGTGTTCTGACTGAAGGTCTTGTTGAATTAGTGTTGCCATGGTATAACCGGAATGGCACTTTCTTCTCGTAGAACTCCTGGACTTTGAGAGACAGTGCTTCGACCCTTGCATTGTGATCGTCCATGGTCGAATGCGCGAAGGTTGTTCAATAGGAGAGAAAGTCAGTGGAAGCATTCGTTGAGCCATCGGCAATGCCAAGCCTCTGACTTTGAAACACGCGTCTCCGAGTTGAAGTTCATGGCGAACGCGGAAGATCACTGATTGGTGGGAACGCGCTTGCTATACGAACTTTCCTCGATTTACCGTCCGTTGGGTAGAGCTTCACTTCAGGCACTTTATAAATATTGCTACTTAATTGCCCCAAGGCTTATGAGAATCTTTGATTGTGACCTCCGTTTGTAGTAAACCAGGCGCAAATGGCTGCATTAAAATTTGTCAGGTCAGTATGTAATTTTGTGCAGAACTGCTTATCGTATTGAGCTCAGCGATACAGGTCTGGGCGTCCTTCCGGGCAGAGTCAGGCTTAGAGCCGAGGTGAGATATCACCAGAACAGGGTTGACATCAGCTTTTCCGCTGACACAGAAGCAGACTGGTCGAAAGTGTAAGTTCAATGCCGTGGTACACATCATACACGATGACAAGCTCGCTTCTCAGCAGCGGCTGTCCGGACTGAAGCATTAACGTTGTTTATGATAGCTTCGAGTCACTGCAGCGACTCCCGGAAAGGTCGAGTTCGAGCTACCCATTGAAAAGCACCACACCAATCGTCTTAATATTTTACATGGCGGAACGATAGCTTCTATGGTAGATATTGGGGGCTCCTTAGTTCTAGCGTCGCGAGGACTGTACTCGACTGGCGTCTCAACAGACCTCAACGTTACTTACCTCAGTTCTGGTGGTAAGGTTGGGGATCTAATTCGAGCGGAGGCAAGATGCGACAAATGTACGTCCTCCGTCGAGCGTGGAAATAGCTCTGTTCTAATCGTGGATAGTTGGGAAAACGCTTGCTTTTACCACAGTGAAGTTCATCAACCAGAAGAATGAGATAGTTGCAAGAGGAAGCCATACTAAGTTTGTGGCACTGGCACAAAAGGACGAGAGAAACATAGTAGATCAGCTGCAGCCGGAAGAAGACGAGTCGAAGATCGGAAACTCTGCTGGAACTGCTTAGTTTAGGTGATTCTGTGGTTTGAGGTTAGGAAGAACAGCGCGATGGGGTCTATAGTTCATCGCTGCCGTTCTGACAGACTGCAGAATCCAGGTTTAGCTGGTTTGCAGCTAACGAGGTGAGTGACATTCTGCCAGATAGTTTTGATCGACCACACAAAAATGAGATGGGGTATATTGGTACAACATTCCAGTAATCTGCTCGCGGTAGTGATGGAAAGTGTTCGCGTTTGAACGTCAAACCTGAAACGCGACGGGGCGGAATAAAAATCTTCCCCACGCGTGTTTCCTATCGAGTCACAAATCACAGCGTCCACAAGTACCTGTACAATAAAAATTGGAATGTCCACAGCCTTATAGACATCGCACTTGCGCATACCTCGAAATCAAATTCCAGCGCGATCATATCAGGAATCGCATGGTACTTGAAGTTCTTCAGTATGCCTCCAAAGCAGACCAAGGTTGCTGGCCGCACGAAAGAAGACACCAAGGAAGACCCTTTGCAAGCAGTTGTGGTCGCAGATACCTTTGAGTCAAAATTTGCGCCCTTCTCTACCGAAAGACCTAGGTGTTTGATACCACTGGCAAATGCGCCACTGATCGAATACACCCTGGAGTACCTCGCGAGTGCGGGTGTCCAAGATGTCTTCTTTTACGCGGGAGCTCATATTGAACAGGTCGAGACGTATCTCAATGCCTCCAGATGGATGTCGAAGTCTTCTCCTTTGAAAATCATCTTGTTGAGGTGTATGGCTACTTCCGTCGGTGACATTATGCGAGATATAGATCAGAAGCGACTTATCCAAGGAGACTTCATCTGTGTTAGCGGCGATATTATCTCGGATTTCCCAATCAGCAAAGCACTTAGAGTACACAAGCAACGTCGTGAGAAGGACAAGGATGCTATTATGACAATTCTCGTACGGGAAAGAAACCAGAGCGACCATCGACATAAAGACCAGATTGTGCCTACATTCGTCATCGACCCTACCAAAGATCGAATCCTTCACTACGAAGAAAGCTTCGCTGGCACAGCATTTGGCACGCATGTCGACCCAGAGATACTCAAAACTCCGGAACTGGATGTACGGCAGGATTTGGTCGACTGTCGCATCGATATTGGCACACCGGACATGCTAAGCTTATGGTCCGACAATTTCGACAACCAGCATCCTCGTAAAGACTTCTTGTATGGAGTGCTGAAGGATTACGAGCTAAATGGCAAGACGATACACACATATGTTGTTGATGAACACTATGCACATAGGGTCGATAGTCCTGCTGCGTATGCTGCTATCACGTACGACCTGCAGCATGGCATTGCAAGTTCACTAGCGTTATCCAACAATATCGCCGGCACTAGATTCCAACGATCACGAAAGAACATCCTGAAAGAGGATGACGTTATCATTCAGAGACCCACACGACTGGACCACGGCACGATCGTTGGTTCGGGTACTAGCATAGGAGCCAGTACCAGTATACGGAAAACAATCGTAGGTAGACGTTGTCAGATCGGCAAGAGAGCGAATATTGACTCAGCTTTCATTTGGGACGATGTTACTATCGGAAGCGACGTGAAAATTAGCCGCGCCATCGTTGGTAGCGAAACGTTCATTGGCGACAAATGTGTGATCGAGGATGGTGCCTTGATCTCTTTCGGTTCCAGAATACCCGCAGGCAGTCATATTCCGCCAGGCGAACGAGTCACATCCACGTCAAGCTTCAATAAGGACGGAACGCTAGCAAAAGATCCAGCAGCGGATGCCTTTGAAAGTGATGAGGACGAGCCTACATATGAAAGTCAATGGGCGAGACCTTTCTACGGACAACAAGAATTCGCAGAATCCACCTTTTCGCTTGATTCGGATGCTTCAGAGCCCTCCGATGAGATATCCAAGGATGGCTCGAGAAGCGCAAGTTTTGTGACGCATGGATCAGAAGAAGACACAAGTGAACGGTTCGTCCACGATACAGCTGCTATATTGGTGCAACGAATGCAGGAAGACAGAAACTCGGACGATATGCAGAGCGAGTTGATGGGATTGAGATTCAGTGGCGGAGCAGATGGGGGTCAGGTGCAGAAAGCGGTAGCCATCGCTCTGTCCAGGCACATACATAGTGAGGTCGACAATGGAGCGAGCGCGGATAAGGCGACAAGAAAAACCCTAGAGCAATATCGAAACCTGGTCAGAAGACCAAACGCAGAACAGACAATCGAAGAGCAAGTAGTCTTTTTGCTTGAGGCTCAGCTGGACCTGTCGAGGAGGACGGATGGTGCTAGGATTATGCCGTTCTTCGTGAAAGACTTATACGACCTCGAAGTGTTTGAGGAAGAGGCATTCACCAAATGGTTCGATGATGAGCGATCAAAAGAGGACAATGTCGCTGCGACACGAGATGCTGCTGAGCCGTTCATTGACTGGCTGGCAGCCACGGATGAGGAAGAGAGTGAAGAGGAGGAAGAGGATGACGATGGCGAGGAGGATTGAGGCATGCTGTTGGTTGGGTACAAAGAAGCAAAGGGAGGAAGGACTATTTGCTTATACCAGTGTGCTTTCTGAGCACAACCTGGAGTGAATGTTGTGCTCGAGTCAATTCACTTCGGAGCACTGTATGTGTTTACCGTCAGTCACAACCATCGAGTATTGCCCAATTGATAAATCGCAAGTAACCGGTTTCTAAGGCGCTACCCCACGATTGACCAGCATTCTTCATCAATGCTGCTCTAGGACAAATCCAGTTAGCACTACTACTAGTAGTCGTGCTTAGGTAACTTTAGGCTGCAAGAGGAGCGGCGTGACTTCAATAGGTCAGTGGCGCGTGCCCGTTCGTGGTCATGGCTGCCAGTTTGTCCTGGTAAACGCTCACTCTTAAACAGCGCTGAGTGACTTCGGATTCGCTCCTGCAGTGCAGACTGTTTGTGTCAATAACGTTCGTTCGTTCGATGAGGCATCTATACCTCGATGATCTGCAATTCTTTGCTTTCGTTCTTTGCCAGAAGAGTTACTGTCTATTTAGACTCATCGGCTTAGACTCGGCCCTTATGACATAGCCAGTATCCCGGGCTCTCGACGACCCTCTTTTAGCGTGTCTCGGTGTTGGTCATCACATCACCTATCAGCTCACGGCGTTGGCCCGAAACGCAAGACTCAAGTCGAGCCTTTCTGCATCCGCTCGCCTCAACACTCAATCCACTGCCTGTGCTCCTTTCAAGGGAGCGCAGGCCTCCAGTATTCACCACGCCACCAATCACGAGAAAGAGGAAGGCTGCCAGTAACACCAACATCAACGAAACAACGAGCTATACGAATAAGAGAGCTAAGCAGGAATCGAATACCAGTAACACACAAGAGATTGCTCGAACACCTATTTCAGAGCCAGACACATTGTCTCTTCCAGACATGGACTCGGACGACGACATGATGTCCGCAGCCAGCGGGGACGAGATGGACTTCGACGATGGTACTCAAGCCAGCGACCTAGGAAGTGGTAAGATCTATAATTGCAATGCGTTATGACTGAGCTAATCAGATCCGCAGACTTTGGCGAGCAAGATGCTGGCTTTGGCTACGAGAAAGAAATCTTGACTAATCCTCAGAAACCCTATGAAGTCGAATTCAAGACCCTCACTCCAGAAGACATCAACTCACAGCAAAACGAACAATTCCAAGAAGTATCCAACATCGTCGAGCTGCCCCCAGAACAGACTGCTATTCTTCTCCGATTCATGCGGTGGAATCAAGAGAAGCTGATTGAATCATACATGGACAACCAGAAGAAGGTGCTTGAAGAAGCCGGTTTAGGTCCAACCTTTTCCGAATCTCCCAAAACAGTGGCCGTACCCGGTTTCGTGTGTGATATATGTTTCGAAGACGAGCCTGGTTTGCAGACATATGCACTCAAATGCGGCCACCGCTTTTGTGCTGGATGTTACACAAGCTACTTGACTGGGAAAGTCAAAGAAGAGGGTGAAGCAGCACGTATACAGTGCCCACAGGACGGGTGCCATCGAATAGTTGACGCAAAGACTCTGAGGATGCTATGCGATGACGAGGTGCAGGCTCGATATAACGTCCTTTTGACACGAACCTATGTCGACGACAAGGACAATCTCAAGTGGTGTCCTGGTGCCGATTGTGAATATGCCATCGAGTGCGCCGTCAAGAAGCGAGACCTTATGAGAGTCGTCCCGACAGTCAGGTGTCGCAACGACCATGCATTCTGCTTCGGCTGCACATTGAGTGATCACCAGCCCGCACCCTGCTCGCTTGTCAAGAAATGGCTCAAAAAGTGTGAAGATGACTCAGAAACCTCGAATTGGATCTCGGCCAACACCAAAGAGTGCCCAAAATGTAACTCAACAATAGAAAAAAATGGTGGCTGCAACCATATGACTTGCCGAAAATGCAAGCACGAGTTTTGCTGGATGTGCATGGGCCCTTGGTCAGAGCATGGGACTAGTTGGTACAATTGCAACCGATTCGAGGAGAAATCTGGGTCAGAAGCTCGTGATGCTCAGGCCAAATCCAGACACTCATTGGAAAGATATCTGCACTACTACAATCGCTATGCCAACCATGAACAATCGGCCAAGTTGGATAAGGACCTCTACTTGAAGACCGAGAAGAAGATGCAGAGTTTGCAAACACAATCTAACATGTCGTGGATCGAAGTCCAGTTTCTCGATTCAGCCTCTAAAGCTCTCCAGGCATGTCGCCAAACTCTCAAATGGACATATGCTTTTGCTTTTTATCTGGAACGCAACAACATGACGGTAATCTTCGAGGAGAACCAGAAAGATCTTGAGATGGCTGTGGAAGCATTGAGTGGCATGTTCGAAAAACCAGTCGCGGAACTTGCAGGCTTGAAGGTGGATATTCTAGACAAGACAACATACTGCTTGCGAAGACGTGAAATCCTGCTGATTGACACGGCAGAGAATCTCAAGAAAGGTACGGGTTGTGATGTTCCTGGCATCGATTCACACTAACACGTGATTAGAGAATTGGGTTTTCAGTGCGGAATTGTGAGGAGCAGCTCGTAAAGCTGAGCTCGAAGTTCCAAACCAAGCAGTTGTCAAGCAAGTAGCTCAAGCAGGGTCGCAACACAGACACCGTACTCCTCGGAGATGGTATGTACGAGCAAGACGGAACTAGACAGGACTGCACAGATCACGATCATTTATGCCCTCGAGGGTCTGGCGCACGGCGGATCAACCTACAGCTTCAGCAGTTCTGTAGGGTGGACTGGGGTAAGATCGTATGCATGATATTGGGGGCAGGTATTATGAAAGGGACTATTTTCAACCATGGCATTGCTACGTTCTTGATGTGCATTAGCCTGGTGCAACGGAAACGATGGTAGGATGACAGTGTTTGAGTATGCCTACGAATAATGCTTTGCAGCATATCGTCAATTAGAATACCTAAACATCTTTGAGATTGTTACTTCTGTTAGTGGCTACCAGTGGTTCTTGAATACTTCGTTTTAGAACTAATCATGCACATCGCAAGAGAACAAGTACTCATGCTATTATGTACACGGTTTACAGAAACCTTTGGTATAGCGGAGTCTTTTGTAGTCTGGCCCAAGGAGATCTCACGGACAAATGAGGTCGACCAAGTGGGAAAGATATAAGCATCAGATTAAACACAAATTGAGTCAGAGCGGAAGCTGACTGGCAAGGAAAAGAGGTGAGTGGAGGCAGGGAATCGCAATGAATACGTAAAGCTGCTTGAGTAGATCAGCGTCCGAAGTGCGCTCACGCAGCACGATACAGTAGTGTCGCTGCCAAATCGTCATGGAGCTAAACTTTTCTTACTGAAGCTCGGTTGTGCCAAAAAACATTTTGAACGGTTCTGGTCTGGTGGCTATTTAGCTCTTGCAATTGTTTGTCGCGTCAATCAGTCTGGTCGTTGTCATTCCCTGTACAATAGTCTACCATCACCTTCCCAGATCCATCTGGACCCATCAAAACCTTGAGTCAAAAAACTGTATTCTTTGTGGTCGGACTCGACGAGATAGGCCATTGTACATCATCCAGGTATCGAGTGAGACTGAGCTGTCTGTATCACCGAAGCAGCAGGCCTGAGTCCAGCACAATTCACCTGCGACTCTAAACTTTCCTCACCGAACGTTGCTCTATACAGCGCGAGATCACCACTACAACAGCAAAAGTGGCGGCGCCAGCATCTCTTCCTGCGGCGCTCTCGCAGCCCGCGGAAAAGATGTCTCTACAGACACACAACAGTCCTGATGCTGTGCCTGGAGAAGAATTTGAGTGAGTATAGCAGTGATGAGCGCACGGGGTTAAAGAGCTCGGAGCTGATGGGATTATAGTTATGAAGCTCTACCTGAAGGATATGGACTTTCTCACAACATGATGGCTGGCGCGTTTGCCGGTATTGCTGTAAGCAATGTCAGGTAGCATGCGTTGCATAGTGGCTAATATGGCCTCAGGAACACACGGTCATGTATCCAGTTGATCTCATGAAGGTAAGTTCCAGCCGACTATGGAACGAGTGCAGCACTAACTTTCTCACGTATAGACACGAATGCAGGTCATAAATCCTTCGAGCGGGACCATCTACACAGGCATATCAAACGCCCTATCCACAATCTCAAGGTTAGAAGGCATAAGAACACTATGGCGTGGAATGTCTAGTGTGGTTGTTGGAGCCGGTACGACCTCACAGTCTGGCTATACGAGTGCAAGAATTGACTTTCTATATCAGGTCCGGCACATGCAGTCTACTTTGGCACCTATGAGGTGGTCAAGGATCTCGCAGGCGGCAACGCGCAAGATGGAAAGCATCATCCTCTGGCAGCGGCATCTTCAGGAGCGTGTGCGACAATAGCCAGTGACGCTCTGATGAATCCCTTCGACGGTAAGCACTCAGCTGCATCTTCAGAGCTGAGAGGACAGGAACTAACAGAGATCAGTGATCAAGCAGCGGATGCAAGTCCACGGGTCGACATACCCAACCATATGGAATTGTGCACGCACAATTTTCCGCACAGAAGGCTTGTCCGCCTTCTACGTCTCCTATCCCACAACCCTCACCATGACCGTCCCCTTCACCGCCTTCCAATTCATGGCCTACGAATCCTTTTCGAAAGTAATGAACCCCTCTAAAGCCTACGATCCCATGACGCACTGTGTAGCTGGTGGGCTAGCGGGTGCGTTCGCAGCGGGATTCACAACGCCGTTAGATGTGATCAAGACACTTTTGCAGACGAGAGGGTTGAGTCAGGATAAAGAGATTCGAGGTGTGAGTGGGTTGATGGGCGCAGCCAGGATAATAAAAAGGGAGTACGGCTGGAGTGGCTTCTTTCGAGGGTGGAGGCCGAGAATCATCACGACTATGCCGAGTACCGCGATTTGCTGGAGTTCGTACGAGATGGCTAAGGCCTACTTTAGGAGGACGTTACGTGAAGGTGAGGCTGCCAGAGCATTGTGAAGAGTTGGGATTTGTTCTACTACCAATGAAAAAGAAGGGGGAAACTCGCGACTTTACAAGCAGTTAAGTGAAGTCGATTAGAACACAATTCTCAATGGCTACTGCCCATACGGACGACCCTCGCTCTGTCGAAGAAGAGGCGGATATGAGGTGAAAAAGAACGGATAGAAGGCGTTCACTGAACGGCACAAACACTACTAGGCGGAGCGTTTGCAACATAGAGGTCCTACGACGAGGCGGTCACTTTCACAGATTTTACATTCTGATGCTCGCGATGGTTGCTAGAAGGACGTCAATATGGTGAATGACGAGTGTAAAGTCCAGCTGGTGCATGTGCATTATTCACCTACAGTGTCTGTATATATTGGGGGGGCAAGAGGCCTTGATTACCTTTACTACCAGACCAGCTAGCTCGTTTCTGATATCTGTCCAGCAATATGGATGGAGACATGTGAGTCAAGCGGTTACACGCAAAAATCAAAGGATATCCTGTGCTCCGGGAGTGCTCTTCGTTCAGATGTTGTTGCTCAGCATAAAAGCGTACCATGCATGCCTGAGGCATATACCATCACGCTAACTGTCCGACTTGGAAACTGCTCTGGTCGCGATTTCTATCTCTGGCACAATTGCAAACATTCATCAGCCATTGCCATACGCCAACGAAGGTTGCTTGTCCTCGATCGTGCCATCAGCTCCGGAGCTTGCTGATTCGCCATAGACACGCTCTTTTGAGCATGCTGCTGGCATGCGAGCACGGTTGCACTTTTTGAGTCTCCCTTAATAAGCATGATCCACTTGCTAAGATAACCGTCCTGCTATGTTGATCTGCCCAAGATCAGCGAGGGTCTACCTCCTTGGTCCTTCAATGGCTGATCTGCCTCGTCCACTGTCATTTCGAGCGCTGCTTGACCTGACGTACCGCGGTCCTTCTAGTGGCATGAGGTGCTCGAGAGCAGCGGCACTGGAGCGAGAACTGCAATAACAGACAGACAAGAAAATGACAGCTAAGTATTACATGAGATACTAACGTTCTTACAGTAGCACATGCGTTCGTATACCAGTGGAAATCGACTCGGAACTTCATTCCCCGCATCTTTCGATATTGGAGCACTACACCTTCGGTTTGATTATGTGATTACAAGGTACTATCAAATCTAATCAATTCACTTGGTTATCGTGAGATGGAAGATAGTGAATTCGAGGAAGTGGCTATAGATTCTTTGTCCGTCACTTGATATTACGAAGAATCAATCGTTACGGACATCAACATGAAGACAGACGTGTACGAATTGCCGAGGACGTCCTTGGAAGAGCTGGTCTTGCCTCTGCAGCAGGCTTTCGAATCGAACTACTCAGTCGCAAGAGTGGAAGTCACGACATGCCCAGACTTGCGAGGCGCGCCTTTTAATCTCGCAGGGCAGGGATTAGGAGGCCGTCCCATCGTTGCGGATATAGGTGGTCAACCCAATCTGTTTCCTCGACCAGTTCTCGATAAGCGATATTCGATGCTTGATATTGCTCGACATTGCATGGGTATGGCTCCCGATCAGGGTATGCTAATCGGCGCAGGTGCAGGTCCTTTCCACATTCTTGGACAAAACTCGGAACTGGCTCCGAATCTTGCTTGGAAAGACAATTTCGAAGATATCACAAACTTGACTCACTATGCGAAAGTCGACACCTCGACGTCTGATAGTATCCAAGTTGTCTGCGAGAGGTGTCAGTCGACAGATTGTGCATTGATGATGAATCTGTTTGGCTCTTCAGGCTTGCCAGGGCCAGTCCTCAAGATTACTGCCAAGAAGCGGCATGGGGCGACCAAGTCGTTCACAGACGTGATACGTTTTGCACTGCACGAGCATTTTGGTGATGCCCATCCAATATCTTTAGGTGGTGTTTTCGTCTTCAAAGGTAAAGCGAATTTCCACGTTATGCCTGGTTTCCCACCCGAAGATCAACTACCCTTCAAGGATCGCCATCAACTCAACGACTGGCTGACCTATCACAACTTCTCTGTCAAGGGCGACGGTGATCAGATTGTCTGCCTTAGCGTGCTTCATTCTGCGGATCCAGACAAGAAGATGGGTTTGCGTATGGAACATACTCATTGTTTCAGCATGGATGGTAGAGGTGGACATTACCATTACGATCTTGGAAATGAGGAGATTGAGTACGAGGGATACTTCAATGTCGCTGAGGCCATCTACAGAGTGGACAGACCTGAAGTGACGCTCAAGCAAGATCTTCATGAATGAACAGGCTCTGTAAAGCACACCTAATTCAACGGCAGCGAATGTCTAAGGCAGTTGAATTTTCGACACCGGGGAATGTGGCAGCCTCGTGATCAGCTTGTGTCGTATGGCAAATGGTCGACCTCGGGCAAATTGTGCAAAAGTCGCTCAAACGTTTCGTGCTTTGCCCCTTTCTTTTGTTTCGACGTACGATGTGATACTAACAATTTCGACTTCAGGCCGAAAGAGATGCGCGGCACCCCGGTCAAGTCCTTGAGGACGCTGCATAGGAGACAACACATCTGGAGGTCGAGCAGGCAATCTTTGGCTCTGGCCCATCAAATGGAATTTAGTGGTTCCCTCCTGATCGTTCACGCCTACCAGTACTTGAGTATAGGAGCAAGCCTAGAATTGTAGCCCCGCACCTTGTTGTCAATTTCACGAATTGGGGGTACCCCAACAATGACGCAGGACGAACATATTCGCGTTGAGCAGTAGATAGACCAGCAGCATTCAGATAATCTTCAGTTCACAACAAGCACACACTCATAGAAACGTTAATGTCCAGAATGGCTTCTTGTATATTCTGCAAAATCATCAAGGGTACCACGATCTCGTCTACCAACTTCGAGAAGGCCTACGACTAACCTCAATCACGCAGGTGAAATCCCATCCTTCAAGCTCCACGACTCTCCCAAAGTCTTTGCTTTCCTGGACATCAACCCATTAGCCAAAGGTCATGCTGTACGAAACACGTCTCCCTGTTCACCCTGCGACGAAAGTCGACGCTCAAATGTAGCCGAACAGACTATACTGACCACGATTTCATCCAGCTAATCATACCTAAAACCCACGGCATGAAACTGACCGAGATCCCCGACGACGAACTCGCCGAGGCGATGCCAGTCGCGAAGAAGATCGCAAGTGCTCTGGGAGCGCAAGACTACAATATCCTGCAGAATAATGGTCGGATAGCGCATCAGGTGGTTGATCATGTATGTGTCTGTCCCGGACCCTCCAGGTGTTCTGCGTCTCGACCATCAGGGAAGAGACGGTATTTTTTGTTACGAAATAGCGAGTGTTTCGGAGGGGTTACAGCTGACACGAAGGTTCACACAGGTTCATTTCCACGTAATACCAAAGCCGGACGAACAGCAAGGGCTCGGGATCAGTTGGCCGCAGCAAAAGGTGGAGATGGACGAGTTGAAACAGTTGCATGAGCAGTTGAAGAGTAAGATGTAGGCTGTCCGAGGAATTGTTGTAGATTTACGAGGGGGGTTTCCAACAGATGCGGCGCAAAATCCGCGAGCTACAGCTCTGTGGACAAAGGTCAATACGACGAGGTACGTATAGCAAGCATGTCGAACAGGTCGGAAGAAGTTTATGTACACGCCGAAAGGCTGCAACAATCTAGATACTTCCTCCCAAACAGTTTTAGGTGAATCGGCGGTCAAAATCAAATACGAAGAGGTCACATTGGTCAAGCAGCGTCATCTTATTGTCTAACCACTAACCAGCAGCGTAAATCTCTGCAAGGTCGACCTCCTGTGAGACCTGCGCTCACAGCCCCCTCGAAAACGAGGCATATTTGCTCTTCTCCCTGAACCACCACCCATACTTGATTAATATCCAAGGCAACGGCATCAGCCCCAGCGTAATGAAGCCTAGCAACGAAGTCGCCCATCCAACACCCAAAGTCAAATACATCTGCCTAGCAAACAGCGGGAACACCGCCCCAGCCAAATATCGTAGAATACCATTCGCCGCCATTGCGCTCGCTCCCATCATTGGTCCGTAGCTATCTAATGTGTACATGACCGCTGTGAAGAAGACGAGCATATTGCCGGCTCCGAAGAAGACTGTCGCCAGGACGGGGACAATCCAATGAACATTGGCTTTCGCAGTCCAGGCGAACCAGAAGAGGCTGATTGGCAGAAGGAAACTTCCGATCGCTGCGCTAATTACCCTCTTCTCTGGAGCAAGGAGCAGACTTCTAGGGTCTTTGCCGTTCACCTCGATTTCTTTGCGTGCTCGAGGTTGATAGTATAGTCTGTCAGTGAGGATGAAAATCACTGTTGCAATGGCGCAACCGATTCCTATTGCGAGGAAGACGAGGCCTGCTTCACCTATGGTGAAGTGGTATATCTGGATCTGAGGAAAGAGACTCTGAAATACGAGTGGGAAGGCTGCGAAGAAGCAGAATAGCACACCGAAGTTGAAGGCGGTGTAAATAGCTAAAAAGGCGACAATGGGTTCTGTGAATAGCATAAGTATAGGTCGTGAGAGTGTCAGTGTAACGACGAAGTAGAGCTTCTGGAAGGGTTTCATGCTAGCCATTGGGTTCGGAGGTGGTGGGAGGTTGAGTCGCTTTGCTCGTTGAGCTAGGATGATCTTCTTGTATGTTTCCTTCTGGAAGAAGCCCATTACGACCGCTAACAGCCCAACCATGAGTATGACATATTGAGTCCATCGCCAGTTTCTGAATTCTGTTAGGAAGCCTCCTGCCGGTGGACCTAATGTTTGTTAGTGTGCAATCTGGCGATGTATGTGCCTTCGCTTACCAAGTGCAGGACCTGCAAAAGGTGCAAGTAGAAACACAGACGCGATAGTAGCTCTGGTCAGGGGTGGATAGAGATCACTGTTCGTGCCGGCTCCTATAGCAAGTGCTCCAGATCCAAGCGTTCCGGCAAAGAGACGGCATACCATAAGCGTGGCATAGTTTCGCGCGAGTCCAGCGCCCAAAGTGAAGAGGAGAGCAACCGGGAATAGAGTCAGGTAGACTATCCTTCGGCCGTATGTTTCACTGATGGGAGCACTGATGGCTGGACCGGCAGCCAGGCCTATTAAATACAAAGTGAGTGGTAGCGTAGCAGCGATTATGCTAATATTGAAACGTTGAGCAACTTGAGGAATGGCAGGCGTATAGACTGAAGATCCGAAGGTGCTACACAAGGTCAGCTCCTGTAATTTCTCCTGAAGCATAAACTTACACAACAAAGCATTGAAGTCCGACATATGCTATATGGAATGCTTTCTTGCCAGTGGACCAGTTCTCTGGATTTTCTGGGTCTTCAGCACCAGTCCAATCAAGTGCTGTAGTGACTCTTTCGGGCTTGTGATTCCCAGGGCAAGCCTGTTCTGTCGCTGTCCTTTCAATATCATGCTCGGTTTTGTCGCTGGTATCATGTGTTGTCATTGGCAGCGTGGATGAACTGCCTGACTTCGAGCAGTTTTCCGCGGTTATCTCGAGCTTCTCGGACAGATGCGTGGATAGAATGACCATTCTACCACTTATGTATGAATGTTCAGATACGTCTGCAAGATCTTGCAGAATGGTAATGTTCGATTCTCATTAGTTCCTGGTCAGCGAAGCCATGTTGGCGAGCGCCATGGTTTTGTACATTCTCAACCATCAAGAGACTAGTAGCAGGACTAAAGCAGCGACTAACAAGGTCAGCCCGAGGCAACAAGAGGCATACGGGAAGACTTCATTCAGTACTGCTATGGTGAGCTGCTGCTAACGTACGTATCTATTGCCGCTTCGTCCAAAGAAGCCTTAGCGAAAGCTTCGAGGTCTATCCACTCACCTCAACGAATGACTAGTTCAGGAAATTAGCAGTCGCTGCTTCAACAGCTTCTTCGGCAATTTCTTGCAGACTCTTCGTGATTGGCTTCTCCGTATAGGTCTTCTTCGTAGTGCGAACCTGAGTTGTCAGCGACGGAAGCATTGTCCTTGACCCATATACATGTTAGCAGATGCAAACCGCGGCAGACTTGAGTAACGGCGCGTCAGATTCGACAATGATACTACATCGTGGCACTCATCATGGTGAAAGAAGATTTGCACACGACTATGTAACAAGGCGCGATGAATGTTGAGGTCGATTGACAGCTGGGTTGACCCTCCGTGGACACGGTCAGTCGAATGGGAAGGTTCGGCGGAACGAGTCATTTGGTTCCAGTGAAACCGCTGTTTTCGAACTCCGCCATGTGCACTAGAACTTTGTAAAGGTCAGCATACTTCATCGTCGATGATAGCGACTACAATATGTGAGGACCACATATAGTGTCATGAGTTGCTAGAAGCACAAATGCTTTCTGCAACATGCTCTGGCGACCAGCTCCGTGTCTCAAGTTTCGCTATGTAACATACCTGAACCAAAGCTTCATCCGTCATATGTCCGCAACCAGGAACAAGGTCGCAGTGCTGTACCAAGCAATCGAACCACCAATCGTTAACGGTGTACGAAAGCCGAAGAAGCCAGGAGGTAGGTAACCATCATGCTTCGCATTATGGTCTGCATTGATAAACGCTAGGATACCAGGATTCAGGAGCAGATATTGCATACGTCCTCCAGCAAGCTGGGATAGACACCGCCACTCCTGCTTTCGACCCGGACCCGCAAAGGGATACGGACTGGTGCTTCGCAGACACCGAAGAAGGTATAATAGATGCAGTGAATCGAGGTACAACGCATTTGTGGGCAAATACCATCCTCTTCTCATCGCATCCATTACAAGTTTCATCGAAGCTCTCCGAGCACGCATCGCACATCCGAGTTGTTGGCCAACCACCTCGACTTGTCGATCAGTACGATGACAAGAATTTTGTGAACGAGCTCTTGCGTAGAGACGGCTCTTTCTATTTACCCAAATCCTGGCTTGTACGCTCGATAGACGATCTGGATGCTCAAGACTTGCCTTTCCAAATCGTGGCGAAACCAATTCGTGGCAGGGGTAGTCATGGCGTCAAGCTTTGTCGGAACAGCGACAGTCTCAGGGTGCACCTTGAAGGGCTGCTCAAGGAGTCGAGCCCAGCGATGCTCGAGCAGTATCTATCAGGGCAAGAAGGTACCGTCACGGTCATGCCACCATCAGGGGAGCATCCAGACTATACCGCTTTACCAATTGTTATTAGATTTAACCATGACGAAGGCATTGCACCATACAACGGCACCGTCGCAGTTACCACAAACTCGCGCGGTCTGACCACTGAAGAGCGCGGCGCATCGCCTGCCTATGAAGCGGTCGAAAAAGCCTGTGAGCGTGTTGCGGCCAAGTTGAAGGTGACTGCTCCTATCCGGATCGACGTACGACAGCCTGATGAGGACAAGGCAGCAGATTTCGCGATATTTGATGTGAATATGAAACCTAATATGACCGGTCCTGGTCGGCCTGGTAGGGAGGATCAAGCAAGTCTGACTGCGTTGGCAGCGAAGGAGCTAGGCTGGGACTATTCCAAGCTGTTGCAAGAAATTCTGAAAAGTGCCCAAACCCTGAAGCAATTACGGCAGCAGAATATTCAGTAGATGTCAGGGCATTGTATGGTTGCGAGTCTTCGTGGGAGCCAGTGAATCTGCAGTATGATCATCTCTGACTGTATATGAATTTGTGCTCCGTATAAGCCAGTAGAGAATGCTTGTCTTTTAGATGGTCTACCACCGGCGGCAATCGGCGCCTTCATGGAACAAAATGACCAAGTACACATATCTTGATATAGTCCAGCAAAGCTGGCATGACTTGAAATCACATTGAACGTCTTCCATTTAACAAACCGATCGCCAAAAAGGTAGCTAAGTAGGCATTCCGAGAAGATTATCTGTACATGCGAAGTGGTGGCTACTGCTGCTGCTGCTGCTACAACACATACCAAGCAAAATATAATCCACCAGCTCAACAACACGCAACACGTACACAACATCACGTCACAATCTATCACACATAGCCCAAGCACACAAAACCATGGCAGCACCCGACCAACAACAACAATCCACCCTCACCCCAAGATCCTACACCTACTACCACGCCGGCCCCCTCTTCTCCCTCTCCGACCTGCACACAAACTCCCTCCTCGCCAACAAAATCCACACCCTCTCCAACCACAAATTCATCCCAATAGTGCCCCAGGACCTCGAACAGCGCGACACCTCCCCCCACAGCATCCGCGACCAAGATATCCGCAGTCTTCTGGGGTGTGATCTCGCGCTCTTCACCTATGACGGCGCGGAACTCGATTCAGGTACCGTGGTGGAATACATGCTCGCCAAATTCGCTGACATCCCGACTGTGGTTTTGCGGACAGATTTTCGAAAGGCGGGAGATCAGGGGGTTGGAGATGCAGGGACTGGTACTAGTAGTAATGGTAGTAGTGCGGGCGATCCGTGGAACCTAATGAGTAGTTTTTGGCCACGGACGAGACGGGTGGTGGTCGATGCCATGCTGGGCTATAAGACTGGCTTGGCCAAGGCTTTGGAGCAGAGGAACATGGCTGAGGGGCAGCTTGAAAATGTGACGAGTCTCGATGTTGGTGGTGGGCAGGCGGCTTTGCTGGCTGGGCAGATGTTGCTGGAGGAGACTGCTAGGCGGATAGTGGAGGCATTGGAAGAGGTGCTTGCTATGCCTGCTACGATGCCAGAGGAATTGAGGCCTCATGTGTATGAATGGATTGGCTTGATGCCAGGTTTTAAGAGCGGTTCGATAGAAGCCGATCTACATTCTATGTCACAATTGTTGAGGAAAAAGGAAGAAAAGGGGTTGTTATGAATGAAAGGCACCAGGAGTGATTGCAGAAACGTAGAACGGCACGCTTCAGAGAGGTCTTGCTGAACCAAACGAACACTCTAGCCCAACCAAGCCCACCTTGACCATAATATACATGCTGCAGCACAGGTATGCGCGCTGTCCCTCAAAATGTACAACACAAAAGTGTAAGCCTAGCTAAACACATGTCAGACTGGATGTTCAAGACACCATCAACCAGTCCAACCAAGTGCAAGCAGCTCTTTTCTGACTCCGTCCTCTGTGCCAATCTTTTTGACCTGAGTGTCTTCTAGTTTCTCGCCACCAGCGTGCCTCATCTTCAGATCGTCAATGGCTCTCATCTTCTTTAGCAGACCTCTAATCTTCTTCTCCTTCGAGTCACCACCCGCACCGGGTGTTGTTGGACTTGTGACGTCGATGGCAGGTGCATCAGCAGGTGCTGCAGGAGGAGATGGTGTGGTATCAACAGGAGCTGGGGCAGTAACTTGCTTGGGTTTCTGATTATGGTTGACAGGTCGGTGCGTGAGTCCATTAGGCTGCGATTGAGTATTGCGTCGGCTTGAGCTGCGGCTGCGACCATTACGTGGGCCAGTAGGTATGTCCTCGCCTAAGGAGGGCACATTTTGCTGAGCACCTTTGCTTCGACTGCGTTGGTGCTGCTGGTTCGGGTTTCTGGCTTGACCATTGGCAACCTCAGGAGTCAGGGTCCCCGAGCCTGGCTGATTTGTGCCATCGCCAGCGGCTTTTTTGGCTTCTCTCTTTTTCGCATTCTTCTTTGCAGACTTGGATAGCGTCTGTCCATCAGTCGCCTCAGTTGCGCTGGGTTGGCTGGTACCTGCTGAGGCAGCACCTGGAGGAAGTTTTTCGGTAGGCTCAGCACCAGGCACGACTCTGGATCTTGGCTTGCCGAAACCATTGACATTACTCGAGAAAGCGGAGGTGCCGTCTCGAACATAGGCAGCGCCACCTTCGTCCTCGCGCTTAAAGGCAAGAGGCGTTATCTGTCCTCGTGCGCCTGGTGGTCGATATGCACCAACAGGTTTGCTTGGTGTCTTCTTTGTTGCAAGGTAGTCGGTGGCGCTAGAATGAGGTGCTGGAACCTGTGAAAAGGGATTCTCGGGTAATGGGTGTGCTGAGCTGGGCTGTGGTCGCCAGCAGACGTGGTACAATTCATTTATATCTTCATTGTACATTAGTGGACCAGAAGCATGCCAGATACGTACACCGTTGTCCACTCGCAGACGTGGTGAGGTGGTGGCTGTAAGGATATGTCTGCCATCAGGCGACCATTCGCAGACGCTGGCGTTGCTGGCTTCGATAGTGCAAACCTTGGTGTAGTCCTTTTCGAGGTCGTAGATGTCCATCTGACCTGCTAGATTGCCGAAGCCAGCCAACAACATGAAACGACCGTGTGGTGAGAATAGTACAGTGTTTCGTGGACCAAGCGGAAAGGCGTGGACTTCTTTGGCTCTGGCATTGAAGATCACAGTCTTTGCTGGCATGTATCCGTAGACAACAGCGAAGCTATTGGACTTAGGAGACCAGGTTACATCGTGGATAGGTCCTTCTTTGTCAAGATCAATCCTCGAATCGAAGCCGCCATTAGCGCTTAGCAGATACATAGTGGTCTCTCCGTAGTAGCTCTTGCCGGTCTTATCGACCTCAGTCTGTGCCAAAACAATCAGGGAGGTGCCTGCATCGTTCCATTTGAGCTGCACCTTGTCTCCCTTGAAGAAATTCTTCTGCGATATAGGTGTGGTAAAGTTCGGGACGTTAAATACTCGGATAGCAGCAGGCTGACCCTACACAAAGTTAGCATATGCTGCTGAGCATCCACTTAATCGAAATACCTTTCTTTCCGGCACAAAGACGGCAATGCTATGATTCTCACCCGGAGACACAGCAAAGTCGGCCACACCCTCGACTCGCAGTTTGTTCCAGACTTTGGTCAGGTCATGGCTCTCATAGAATTGTACCTCGTTGGTTACGACTCGTGCGCAGAACCGTTCATCGTAGGTGTACTGCAGATTCCAGCCAGTCTGACTCTTCTGAACAAACCGACCAACGGTCTCCTTCTCAGAATCGGTCGTGTCTTCTTCTACTCTCCAGACTTTCAAGTTCTTAACAGCATCTCCTGCTTCATCCTTGGAAGATCTCTGCCAGGTGATGATATATGTTCCCTTCGGAGAAAAGCCAAGCTCGAAAACATTGTCAGTTGGAAGGGTTGTCACAACATGAGCGGTATCGGCATTGATCACATATACTCTACAAATGTGTAAGCTTTTCTAAATATTCGGAGGGCTAGCACTTACTTCTGAGTATCAGCCCAAGCAAGATATCGGCCGCAAGGAGAGTAGACACAGCACCTGATGTTTCCTTCAGGTCTAGGTTGCGTTAGCAATCCTCACAGTCGCAGAGATAGTAGCTACTCACCCTGTGAAACCTGGCAGTGGCTGGTATTCAGGAGCAGCATTCAAAACGCCAACACCTTTGGCTGTTCGATCTGTTTTATGTTAGACTTTCCCTTTACTTCCTGCGACGAAATATTTGGACCTACAGGTGATTTGCGTGGTAGCCATTTTGAACACTTGTGATGACCACTACCTCAGCTTTCAAGAATCGTGTTCTTTGACTGAAATCGTATGGATTGGCTGTCCTTGATGCTTCTGATCACAATGGCTGGAGTGCTTGAAGAAAGTCGGTTCAGAGAAACAGTTCGACAGGGCTTGTCACAATTGTAGACTCGCCGTACTTGACAAGTGAATGTCAGCTCTTGCGGGTGGCAGGACTAGAATCGTATGGCGACCTGGTTAAGGAGGGAAGAGGTGGAAGAGGGTAAAGAATAGCAGAACAAGAGCCTCAAGAAGTTTACGTTTCCGAACAACGACTCTGACTGACCGTGACGCTCGCCGCAGTCGCGCTAAGAAAAGTGGAAGCCTGAGAGCCTGGCGTGAAGAAGTATAACACTCAGGTGCTACGGCCAGGGGAGTTCTCTGTGTTTGGTGGTATAGGAAGAATCTATCACCTCAATATATCCACCTTGTTATGAGGTGATCAACTGTGATTGAGCTGAGGATGTGTCGCGTCATATGTTTCATTGTCCTTGACACGATCGCGCAAGATAGGTGTTCGCCTTCTTCAGTACAAAGATGGAGATATTGTAAGATCCTCCAGCAGAGAGTCGTAGATGCCAACAAACTCCCTAAACCTCGGTGCTAAATCTCGAGCTCTTCTCCATTAAATGTCCCACATAGTAGGATGAAAATACAAAGCATTCGAAATGTGTTCCTAGCTTTTAACGAGCTTTCCAGTAACTGAGCCACGGGCGTGTATGTGATACATCGCCAGACACTCCAAAACACCATGCTAATCACTTTCCCAACACTATCTACCACATCACTCCTTCTCAAAGGTGAATCTCCCAAGCGATTGATTGTCCGGAGGCGTAGCCATACCTCTTGGATCTCTGTCGTCTAGCCTGTCCCGCATCACGGTCTCTGCCACCTCGGTTCCCATACCACTAAACCGACTACCTGGATATGGTCGTTCGATAAAGGAAGGCGCGGAATCAGTGGTGTCGACAATACCTTGGTCGTAGCTCATGCCGTCCATCATCCTTGGGTCAGGGCCACCTCCCACTGTGCTGCTAACTGTTCGTTCAACACCACTCATAGGCGTGCTACCTCCTGAAGCAGATTGGCCTTGCATGCTCTGCGTCCTTGGCAAGACAGAACTGTTAATTCCATGCCGTGCCGCCATTGCTCGAGCATGCGCTGTGTTGACTGGCCCAGAGACTGTACTTCCTGCACCCTCTCCGAAACCAACCAGGCTTGCTTTGTCCTCATCGCTGAAGCCGCCTACACTCGAAACTCCATCATCCGGTTCCTGATCTTCGCTCATCTTGTCTGCATCGTCGTAATCCATGCTTTGACTCGCCCAAGTCGTCTTGCCTCCTACACTACCGGTAGCGCTCGCACTGCCAACCGTGGAGATTTCCTTCATATATTGTTGTTGCGCAGGCCCTGCTCCAGGAATCAGATGCCCGGATGGAGTAGACCGTACAGTAGCTACTCTTTCCAAGCCAGCCAGTCTAGATATTCGATCGGCGCGTTCTGCCTCGAGGGTGTTTGCTGATTGCGTTGTGCCTCGACCGCCATGACCATGACCCATGGCACCATCTTTGATTGCGACGACTGAAAGCGCCGACAAGGAAGTAGTAGTAGAATTTGGAGTGCCTGGACCTTGCTCGTTGGGAGTGGTAGGATCTGAGGGAGGTGGGGGAACTGATGGTTTTGTCAGTACGGACAGTAGGACTAAAGTGAGTTTAGCTCACGGTTAATAAGCATGTTCGGCCGGTTGCTCATTGTTGAGTCTGGCTATATCGCTACCAGCGACAGTGGCTTCGTGGTGTAATATTGGGATTGGATCGAGCTAGACTTCAAGAGTTTTCTGCAATCAATGCGAAGGTCGACGGGGCTGCGCGGTGGTGGTCGGGAATGGCAATATGGTGTGCCGTAAGGGTGTGAATCGGATTGACACAGTCTGATCAATCACAATAGTATGCGCAATATGCGAAGCGACGAAGATGTTATGGGTTAGAGGAGTGGAAGTGAATTCTACGTGAACGCGCAACAACAATAGAGACTGTCAAACTTATATCGCCTTATACCACCAAGATTCTTGTGTTACAGCGAGCTTGATAAGATCCAATAGAGAGCCTGCAAACGCGCTGCGTCTTCTCAAAAACATTCTATCCTCCTGCCTATCTTGCGAGGATAGCTCCCTGCTCGCATGGATTAAGCTTTCCTCCTGATTGGCTGCACTGTCAGCCTCAAAATGCGGGAAGGTGGAACATAAGAGACTCCAATGACGTGCATCCGTGTTTCATATACGACGATCAGCCAGGATTGCAGCAATCTTTGGAAAGCTCGACCGCAGGCATTCTTGTGTTTGGTGATTGCCTCGCGGTCATGCTCGGGATCAAGCATAGAAGCCTCAACGACAACGAAAGAGAGGGAATGCACACTTAGGTCAAACGAATACTCTAGCACTATGATCTATCTGCCACTGCCACGACGAGCTGCATCGACTTCCTTCTGTAAATTGGCGAGTTCGGACAGAATGCTAGAAGCATTTAACGATGTCAAATTGCTCCGATCCTTAACATTAGGCTGCGTCGTGCCAGTTCTCGATAGGCTGTTCTCTACATCAGCATCTTTACTCATAACATCGGACGGAGACGGTCTGAAGCTGTCCATACTAGTCCTGCTCGAGCCTCGACCTCTACGTGGTGGAGGTATAGGAGGAGTATTGGTCAATCCTAGACTTTGTCGCTTCGTAGAAATGGAAGAATTGCGGGATACAGGAGGTAGTGGGCTATCGTAAGAAGACCTCCGACTGCTCAAGGATGCGGCTGTCTCTACTTCGTTTCCGTATGTAGGTGTCGTATCGTCTGATGGCGTCCTCTGTATGGATGATTGCTGCCGTCTCCCAGGAGGAAGTGGAGGAGGAGGAGCTCTCTGGTTAACGCCTTGATGCTCGGTATGTCTATCAAGGTTCGTAGGAATATCTATTGCTTCGCTGGTATGGAAGGCTGATACCTGCTGGCTGTGATGGCGCGACAGGGGAGGAGTCGGAGGTCTCTTGAAAGCTGCTTCTTGTGTGTCTATTACTTCTGACGGCTCCGAGGACGTAGCAGGACTATTCATGACAACCCCGGGTTTCGATTTGACGGACTTCGCTCGACGAGGGGCAGGAGCGGGAGGAGGTACTCTCTGGGCCGAAGTGGAGGTGCCGATCTCGTTCCGTGGGACGTGAGAGCTGCTGCGATCGTGGCCTGGAGACAACGTTGGTGTTCCATCAGTGTCACGGCTAGAAGATTCTGCTGTCGATGATTGTGATATAGAAATTGTATCTGTACTTGAGCTGTTATCATTTAGAACATAAGTGCTTTGTGTCGCAGTAGAGTCAGTCACTGTTCCACGTTCGCCCGTTAAGAGAAGCCTCTTGAAAGCATCGACATCGAGTGACTGTCGACCAGCTAGGCCTGGCTGCGTGTGTGCTGCAATGCTGGATTGAGGATGAAGATGCGGAGGAGCTGCCGCAAACCGACTAAGAGTATCTCTCACGGGATCTTGATAGGCTATCGTGCTCCCCCTGGTGTTGCCTTGCGCGTTGCTCCTGGCCTCTTCAATGGTTCGATCCTCTATCGCACGGCCCAGATCTTCGAACGGGTCATGTTGAAAGGCCGCGCGATAGTTGGGAGTAGCAGGCTGAGAGCTCTGCCACGGAGGTGAGCGCGTCGACTCAGGAGACGAGGGATAGGAAGCTGCCGGTATTGTTGAATCGACAGGTGGTGAAGCGAAGCTCACATGACGGTCAAGAGAACTTGGCGGGACTGAGATCACAACATTAGTACGAGTCGATGCGCGAGCACTATGAAGTGTGTGTGCCTACTCTTTGTATCGAGAGACAGTTCTGAGGCAGTGTTCAATAGTCTGCCGCCATCTAACACAACTCGTCGTGATTTTCCGGACCTTGTAAGCTGATCTTTCAGCGGGTTAGTCTGGCGGAAAGGATTCGTGGACATCAGTTTTTGTTAGCCATGTAATGAGCATGAGCAGACGACAGTATGCTGAGGGAGAGTGACCAAAAGGAAGAGCTATAGCGAGGCAACTGCGATGATGGGTCCAATGGTTGAGCAGAGCAGCACGACATCGTATCAGCTGGTCAGGCCGAGCATGCGAGATTCAGATACAGTGGCTGCTTAATAACCTGCAACGAAGCCTTCCATTTTAGCTTTACCTCCGAGTTCAGCAATTGCTTCGAAGAATACTCATACAGTAAGCAGCATCACAACAGTTCTGACGTTTGCGTGGTTGAGACAAGGCAATCTTCCTTCTCTGTAAACGCTTTGAGACTGTAACCTGTTTGTGTTGATAGTGAAGCTGCCGTCAGCCGAGTGCTAGGGTATACGCTCCACTAAAACGCCTAAATTTGTATTTTTGAGCGGTACTTGACTATCGCTGCAACAGCAACGAGGTTGGGCAGCCGGAGCAGCCTGAATAGTAACTCTAACCTGATTGCCACCTCTTTGTTTACGAATGCACCATGCGCAGCACATGATATCGCCAGGCATAAACGTTTCTACCTGTATGCGAAAATGAATCATCTGAAAACGATTGTGCCTTATTGTGCTTGTTGTCTATCATGCCCAAATGAATACTCCTATTGTTGAGGCACAGTCTCTCTCTAACCTCACCAACCTCTTTGCAAATCCACCGCAGTACCCTCGAAACCCAACCCATCAAGTACACGAGCCTTTGGTCTTGTATATCGTGAGAGTCCCAGGAAGTAGAGGTCCGCGACGTCTTGAAGAATTGGTGGTTTCCCTGCTAATTACCGCAGATGTCTTCCTATCACCCATTAAGCCTCCCACAAAGGTGTCGGTCAGTCTTGATGCTATCCAGTCAAGTCTTTACTATTTCCACGTGAACACGGAGCAAGATGAGGAAATTAGAAGGTCAATTGACCAGCAAGGTATATTGGAAGAACCCATACGACGTTCTGCCCCGATTGTGAGGAAGCCAGTGCCGTCGTCTCCTCTAGCGAACGATACCCTACCCTCAATACCTCTGCGAGAAGGCCAGTATACAGCCTACAACCCGAGATTACAGGCAAGCAACGCACCCCAGGGCTATAGCGATGAGTACAGGACGAGTCTTCGGGTAGACACAAACACCAATCAAAACAAGCCAATTTCCTTCACTACCTCTGTTCACGGCAACAAATCAGTCGGTGATTATGCTTTGTCGCCTACGACACCCGGTTCGAAGACCGAATGGCCTCCTTGCGGCATCGAATCAGGCGACATTCCAGAAAGCGCTTACGTTAATTCGTCTGCGTATGAGTATGATCAGTTCACCAATGGCCAACAGCCTCCGCTACCACCTCGGCCCTTACCACATCCTCTTTGTAGCATGGATGCTGCTCGTGAGATGATGCCAGCCTTTTGCCCTGTGACTATGATTCGACGAGATCCTGCTTCGGGCAGTCAATGGAATATTGGTACTATCATCTTGTCACAATCAACCTTCTCTGGTTCTAACGTACGTCCCGTCCACGTTGAGCTCACAACTCCGGGCTATGGCCGATTTGCTAAAGGTCATGGTTTTGAGACACCAAGACCAGGTTCAGCCGGCTCGGATGCAGCATCCATCAAACGAGCTATAGAGTCAGCCACCATTTCTTCCACCTCAGCCGCAAGTCCAAAAATTCCTGGCACCACTTTCAACCGCCTCGTAGATTTCAGGAAAATACCTCTATCCGACCTGAAACGAACGGTCTATATGCGAACGAATTCGTCTGAGTCAGTGAGCAGGATAGAGCCAACCAAGCCGAGTATTGACAAGAATGTGCTTGCCTTCGACTCACCATGGCAGGGGATGTGTACGTTCGTCAATGCAATCGATGGCAAATCACTTAAAATCAAACATACCATTAGCAGCAATTCCTCTACAGGAGAGGGTGCCACAGTAAACATTGCAGAGCTCAGGTTCAACTTGGGCTGGTCCATGTTGAGTAATGTTAAAGACGCTCGTATGAGGAGAAAAGAGGCAGAACCTGATAAACTCCCTATACCCAAGTTGATCGATTCGAGGAAGGAAAACCTGCGCAAAAACCTTCAGCACTTCAAGCATAAAAGTAGGGAGAGCTTTCAGCGGATGAGGTCATCGGACAGTAGAGATGATGAGATGCTGAAAGACATTTCGAACATCAATACACCTACCACCAACAATCTCAATTACCACCCCAGCTCACTTTCAGCTGATATGAACGCTGATCACTCAGGGGCACACTCATCTGATCAGCGCAGATTCAGCAAGATTAACGACGACGATGAAAACCGTATCTCATTAAAGCTTGGTCGAGAACGAGCTGGAGGTGGATTCCGAGGTCACAGCGCCAAGCTCGGCAAGCTAATAATCGAGGACGAGGGATTGAAGATGTGTGACCTCGTTGTCGGTGCTGCAATGGGTATTTGGTGGCAACATTACGACGGCTGAGCCGGTGTCTATCGTTATTCTAAACTGTCTGTCTTCGACTCATGGTCACGAATCTTCAATCTTCGTGTCCTTCACCCCATTTCTCTCATTCCAGTCCTTGTCGATAACATACAGCATCCGTTGTGCAGTAGGCACAATGTCAAGTGCCTTTACAGCAACTCTCTCCTTCCGCTTGCCCTGCGCAAGGATCCACACAATCTGTTCAGCTACGTCCTCCGCGACCAATGGTTCGAATCCCTGCATAAAGGTGTCGTACTCGTCTTTTCGAAAGCCGATACGCTGCTTGTGGAACGTTGTATCCGCCACGACGTCAGGTCTTACCGCCAGGACACGGATGTTTGTTCCTTGCAACTCGGTTCGTAGGGAGTTGGTGAAGCCTTCCTGACTTGCTTTAGTGGTGTGGTAGATGGCCTCGCCTGGAAAAGGTGGCACCTCGAGCGCAGTAGTGCTTGTGATGTTTATGATTGCACCCGCCTTGCGTTGCATCATAGACTGTCCGCCAGAATTGGAACTGTTCAGCACAGCATGTGTTACATACAGCATACCTTTCAGGTTGGTGTCGACCATTGTATCGATATCCTCCAACTTCAATTCCGGGAAACTTGCTGGTGCACCAACCGCGAGACCAGCATTGTTAATTAGCACATCAATTTGCGGTATTTTCGGGTCGTCCAAAGATTTTTCGACAGCTGCGTAGACAGCGGGTGCGTCGCGAATATCGCACGGTATGGCCAGAATATAGGATTTGCTGTTGGATTTGGAAATATGCTCTGCGACCTCTTTGAGCTTGTCAGTCGAGCGCGCGAAGAGGATCACACTATGTGCTCCAGCCTGTGCGCATGCTATAGCTGTAGCACGACCGATGCCGCTGCTCGCACCAGTGATCAGAATGGTCATACCCGACAGAGTATCAGGCTGTAGAAGAGTGTACATCTTGCATAGACTGCGTGCTACGCTCTTGTCTCAGCGTAAAAGCTGTATCGGATCGCGTTGATTGGTAGCGTATATTGCTATTGATTCTCTCGATGTGCTGCCTTGAACTGTGGGCTGAATCGCACCGGATGTTTTATGTTCTTGCTCGTGAAAATATACCTTCACATTATGAGGTCATCACGCCATTCCTCCAACTCACTCTTGCCATCATTTCCTTCATAACTAGAGGTCATCCTCTTGGATACACAACTCGTTTGGTTTGTCTTTCAAACTATCCATACGAATAATGCAGTGATTGCTCGGACTTTTGTCTTCACCGCGACTCGAACCTCACTAACAGTTCCACATCCACACCATACTGGTCGAGCTCGACCCATTTCCCCAGCAATCCACCATCTATTCCGTTCTGACTCCTCAACTCCACCTTTTTACCAACCCCTTTTCACCGAATGCAGTTATGTTTCCACACCGCTGCTTCCACTTCACACAATCTTTTTTAAGCATTCAAGGTCTAGCTTCCATACCGCCAATGAAACAGGGCCATATGTATCAATCTCAGTGTTATGGCTCCAATTTCACACACAAATGAATTGCTTGTGAGTAACCTTAGTCCTCCTTCGAAGGCTCAACAAGCTAACATCATAATCCTAGCCTTGGCTTAGTGGTAAAGCGCATCACTAGTACTATTAGCGATGATGAGATCGCTGGTTCGATTCCAGCAGGGTGAGTAAAGCTCTTCCACGTACTCTGCAGCATGTGTTGACAGATATTTAGAAGCAGATCTCAACCACGAGTTTTCCCTTTCAACTTTTTTTTACCGTTCTTGTTTTTCTTTTCTAGGTTTTCCCCTCTTCTGCGACCTAACCTCGAGACAGTAAAGACCTTCTTCTATCCTGGCTGAGACACAAAAGTAATCGGGCTCGTGGGAAGAATATTTGATATGGTCTACGAAAGGAGGTTAAAAACTCGTGCAGCAGCGAATGTGCAAGCACGTCGAAGTAGGTTCAAACTCACGGCAGTACGCTTCGATGGGATGAAATCGTGTTGCAGCTGGTCCCTTGTACCTGGAAATAAAGCTATGGTTGCAATGAAGAACTGAGTGAAGATAACCGCGCGTCACTAGAAGTGAAGACATGCTCCCCACAACCCAGTGGTGGTCATCGACCACCCATTGAAAATATCTGTTCACAACGCAGTTGCATATCTCCTCGATGCCACCAGATCACAACTTTTCTCCTCGTCCATGCCCGGACCTCTATCTCTTGATCTTCCAGTACCTGCTTGTCATAGTGTTTTGACAGAAGAGTTCGGCTGACCACAGACGCGCAAATCCAGGATGTATCAATCAAACGTGAATGAGATCTACAGGCAGTCCAGTGGCTCTCTCCGCGATTGGTTGGACGTGGACAGGATGCTCGAACCATTGTTCGTGGCTGCGGGTGATGTTGTCTACCTTCCTAAGGACGAACGAGCCTACGAGGGTGCGAACAGAAAACCATTGCCGAAAGCGATGGGCCGTCCGGTCCTTGGAATCGAGACATTTGTCGACGATTGTCAGCCGCACCGAGCTTGGGTGGTCTTGGTACGTTCTAAATGCAACATTGTATCGCCATTTCAGAGCTGACAGGATCAGACCACTAGCCGAATATACCAACCTAAGAAACGTCCTTACGTCGAAGTCCGCAACGTGTCTCATCCCTCGCAATTGGTTCCTGAAGCAGCAGAGCATATTCTATTGCATCGCAAAAACTACTATAGATGGCCGATCAGCTAGTGTACTTGCAACTTTTCTCATTCATTGCCTATTGCTGTTGAGTTGATCATGAAGGCGAACTTGCTATGGAATCTGCAATCCTGAACTGGTTAGTGTTCTTCGTTAAGAGGCAAGTACCATTCGTACTTCTTGGGATAACTGCAATCAATTTGGTAAGATCGTTCTTATTAATCTAAAATTCTTTATTCATGATCTAGTGATGATACATTCTTTTCTGTACCATTGTACTGCTCCTGCCTCTTTATGCACTTGAGTAAACACAAGCTAATTTACGCTATACAAACGTTTAGCGATGTCCTTGACCACATCTAATCAGACTCACTGCCAGATTCTGTGGTTGACTTGACCGCCTGTTCTCCTAGTGCCTTCTCTTGTGCTGCAGGACCCAAGCCCGAGACACCGTTAGACCCTTGCCGCTGGAAGACCGGACCAGGATGTGCGACTATCAAACAGCAAGCCGCGACCACAACCATCACGCTCTCGAGTGCGATGAACAGCGGCTCGTCTCGGAGTGCCTCGCTCTCCTGGCTATAGCCTTCACTCAGCTCATAGACTCTGTAGCAGCATCGCACCCAGATCAGCAGGGTAGCGAGACCGAGGAAGCTGCAGAAGACCTTGAAGCGTATTGTCAGGTTGTGGCTCATCCAGACACTTCGGCTGCGATATGCGTAGTCGGCGACGACGGCCACGAAGAGTGCAAGCGTTGCGACTTGGAAGGCCAGACCGGCGAGGGCAATGTTGACGCCAGCTGAGGACTCGCCGTTGGACATGCTTGACATGGCACCACCGACTGCTTGTAGGATGAGAGAGATCACATCGACATTGATGAAGAACCAGTAGAACCATTTTGGATTGACGCGGGAGTGTTCAGGGGATATGTAAGTGATACTGCAGGATCTTGATTAGCTCGGGAGAAACAGCACAGCGAGAGATCGAACTCACATTTTGGAGATCATGACATAGATCGCTGCGCAGAAGAAGACAGGTCCCATGGTGATGAGGACGATCTGCATAATGAAACCGGTCTCGCCCCATGGGTTCTGCCATAGTAGGATACGGCCCACGTAGCCGAGTATCTCGTCGACGCAACCAAGGAGCATGGCAGCCATGAAGCCCCATGTCTTGTAACGAATACCGAGGGCGATCTGGACGATGGCGCAGATACTGTAGAGGGCGATAAGGGCTATCGATGCTGCGAGCTCGGGTCTGTAGCCATAGACACTGAGTACCACAGGGCATACCGAGAGTGTGCAGTTGCCTTCTTCTCCGAAAGGACTGTACAATCGACCATCTGGATAAGCGACATACAGATCACCGTTGATATTTGTTATGCTGTAGCCCTCAGACATTGTGGTGTGGTATGGAGTCTCCTTTCGATTAAATCAGATATGAGCTGTAGGGATGTGCTGGAGTATCAAATATGTCGCTTTGTTTTTGTTCTTTTGCAAGTGATAGAAGTTTCGTATCTGTGTTGCTGTGCCTGATAGAGACTGCTGCTGTACTGCCAATTCTGACAGATGGTATGTGGCGAGCTCATGGTTATATGTATACTCTGCGGCGCAGAGCATCTGGTTACGTCCATACCTCGCAGAATATAGAAATCTCGGGCAGTGCAATCGAAAGCAGTGTTTTTCGCGACAGTGACGGCACGACTCACTTTCGCTATACTGGTCCATTGCGAAACAAAGCTCAGGTTGTGCCGTGCATGGTCAATCTCAACATCACCCCACCAGCCAGCATATTGAAGCTCGATTCTCGCACGTACAACATCCTCGTCCAATCAGCGAACAAGGACATGGCTCTTGCCTATTCCATTCCTCCACTGTAAAAGTAGGCAGGCTGCTGAAATCGTGAAATGATCCGTGTTGGGCAGAAAAGAGCGTGACTTTACTTGAGTGGACAAGGATCGCCAATGCTGGAGCACGATGAGTGGATTCAAAGAGTCGCAGGAAGAGCCCGTTTTAGGACAAGTGTATTTAGGGCGGTTGAGCTTTCGGCCGCAATCACTGCACGATGGCTTCGAGTAGGACTCGTAGTGCGTTGCAGAAGAGGGAGCGAATATATTACACCATTCTTGGTATTGCGCTTTGAGGCTCCAGCGATACGAGTACGATCACTGGCATATTCATGCAAAACCCTCCAAGTCAGTGTTGAGTCCTCGACGCGCCTGCTTCTTTCGACAACAGGTAACAGTCACCTCTGTTCGAAACACTACTAGGCTCTGGTAAGTATAGGGTACGATGACGTCTATGGTCGTATCAAGAAGGTGTGGCGAAATCCTTCCTCTTGCGAACACCATCCTTGCACGCTTGGGCGATCGTGTGTTTGCACTATCGTTTACATACACAGTGCTGCCTCTGTTACCGACTGTGTGACCAGCACGAACTTACATCAACTGTACTTCTTCTGCGTCGCTAATGCCAAATAGCTTGAAGTCTATAACCTAATGAAGTGAAAGATAGAATGCAGGGTCTGAGCGTCTTCAGTACTGATTGAGAGTGTTCGACCAGCTGGGCATTCAATGTTAGTATGGGAAGAGTGTGATGCAGAAACACCAGCATGCTAGATACAGAGCCTTCTAGCTACTGGGCCAATGGGTTGGACCACCATACGAAAATACGCAGTGAGGAGCTTTCAATATCTTCGTGACTATTCGATTCGACAAACCAGCTAATCTCTTTTCACTCCGACCTTGCCAATGTTACGAAGTCCTAAAATGGTGACGCAAATGCAACTCATGGTTGCTGCGAACGTGAACCACCAAGCAGCGCGATATCCTTCGAGCAATTGATCGTCGTGTGAGGATCCTGGTACACTTACCTTTATGGTGGTGCTACTCGCATTTATAGCTGCCAGCGCAAGGCCGATACTCTTGCCGATCTGAGCGACGGTATTGAAGACGCCTCCAGCAAGAGCTTGGGTATTTTCCTCGAACTCTGCAGTGATCACGAGCTGAGATATCGTCCACAGTACATCGGAGCTGATAGGCACAAGCGCCACGGCAGGGAAGACATATTCCCAGTATGACGAGCCCTGCTTCATAACAGCCAGCAATAATGGTGATAATGCTGAGAGCATAAAACTGGTCATCAACGCCCAATCCGCCCTTAGGCGGTGCACGTACAGCCCAATTAAGATGTTCGTCACAGCCCCTGCCACCGGTTCTGGCAGGAAACGTATAGACGCTGCCGTGGCGCTTAACCCTTGCACATCTTGGAAGAAGAAAGTGAGAAATACTTCTGTCGCATTGAATGCGCCCCAGGTCAAGAACACATTTACACAAATGCTGGTAAAAGCCTTATTGCGCCAAATTGAATTGCGGATGAGAACCGCCTTACCTAGCTTTTCTTGCCGATGTATCCAGGTAGCAAAGGCAGGCAGAAGCGCTGCACCAAGCGCCAAGCAGGATATGCTTTCTGGAGAACTGATGTTCGCAATGTCAGCTGTCCAGGTAGCGAAGACATACAGCAACAATGCCAAAGACGTGCTCAAGACAAAGGCACCGATCCAGTCGATATCGGTCTTAAGCCGTTGCAAAGTAAGTGACTGCTGGCGCTTGATTTGTGGCAGGCTGAAAAGTGCAAGCAGAAACAAAACTGTGTTGATTCCAGCACCCAAGTAGAACCCTACCTGCCATCCGAGGGAGTCGGTCAAGCCACCACCCATCACTAAACCCAGCGTGAAGCCTATCGGCTGACCTCCGCCCATGACAGCGAAAGCTAAATTCCTTCTTCTTCCCGAAGAAAAGTAATGCATGATCAGACTAACAGCTGACGGCAAGCAAAACGATATTGCAACACCAGCAAATCCACGAAAGATGATGAGCTGGAGACTCGTACGGGACAGACCACAAGCCATCGTGAAGATACTCTGAAGGAAAGTGCCCAGTAAGTACATTACGCGAGAGCCAACCACATCCGCCACTGCTCCTGCTAGAATGAGTGTGCAGCCACACGTAAGAGAGTAGATGGAAACAGGCCAGATCAGAAGTGTATCGGAAATTTTCAGGTCTCTTGCTATAACAGGTAGACCTATAGTAACCAGACCAGCGAGCATAGAACTGATCAGTGTTACTCCACCGATGGCTGAGATGATGACTGCTGTCGTGCCTTTTGTCTCGACCCTCGACTCCATGGATGTGAGCTCTGCTCGATGCTCATGTTGCGAATTCCTGCCATGTTGACTTGGCGTAGCCTGTAAACTCGTGGCTTCGAGCTCTGTCGTAGTGGTTGCCGACATGCCGTTCTGCTTCGCTGAATGCTTATTGAGGACTTCAAAAGACAGTGCATATGACAGAGGTCCTTGACTCTACTACTGCTGCTTTGTTACAAGTATGATTCGTGTTGTATATGTTTGTTGATAGCTTGTCCTCGGTGTATCACTGGGCACCTCATAATATCGTCACGACCAAATCCTGCCAAGCTCGATGATTACTAATGTCACAGCCGTATAGTAGCACTCAGTACCCTACAATCATCACATCGGCCGATACTAGGATATTGGTCTTTGACTGCGAAATCGTTGCCTGATGGACGAAACGGGTCTCAGGGTAGACGCCTATGCTTTGCTCAATTCACTCGCTTCCTTAAGAATTTACCCTGGCAAAGAACGCCACGCAACTTTGTAGGGTGGATTCTAAAATTCTTGCAGAACCCCGTCACACGCCTTCTTCCCGTATACCGACCATCGGTACGAAAGTCTGCATCGTCGAGTAATAGTCACAGCGTGTGTATTCCACCGAAACTCAGCCATCTCGTCAGTGTTAGCCGCAAGGGCAACCTGTGGCTTCTTGGAACATGCTAATCGTGGATTCCTCAACCAGGCCAGCGTCCGGTTTCAGCATATCAAGACGTTCCACGAACAAGATCAAAATCCTACCACTACCGTGTTCGATAAGGAACCCCTATCCATCGCTTGACATAGGCGAGAGCCTTCTTGTGGGAAAGCATTTGCCTGCACGTACTGATGGCCAAAAGGTCGAAAGGAGAACGCCGACTGCTGAATTGTCCTCGAAAGCATTGGGGGTTTGGGGTAAGAACCTAATAAGCAGCTTACGTTTTTAGTGCCTTCAGTCACTTGATTTCTTTCGTAGACTGCCGCTGCTTCGACACCCTGATGTGTACCCTCAATTATTTCCTAAGACCGAGATGCAAGACTCTATAATTACTGGTGGAAGGTAGTATGAGCAGAACGCAGATCTTACCTGTTCAGGGCTGGGTGCTCTTCATACTCTGTTTGCCAGAAGGTAGAAGCGAACATAACGGTAACGGTGTCCAAGCAAGCCAGGTCGATTCCTAGGGACAGTCAAAATAGTTCCGGGTTTGTTAGCACATCTTCGAAAAAGTCCCTCAACGGCTAGTCCAACCTAGCTTCGGCGGAACTCGATCCAGGTTCCGGCCTATGAGCACAACTCGACTCTGCTCCTCGCCAACACTAGGCTCGGACCGAGCATCTGTGATATCGAATATTTCACGAACACCCTGAAGCATCTTGCACGACCCATCTTTCAATCGTAAAAGACCTTTGGTCCTGTGTACCTCGTACGGTTTCTCGCTGCCAGACGGCCAGAGTAGATTCTCGAGGCAGCGCTCAAGCTCCTGGAACCCTTCCATATCGAACACAGGAAAACTGATCTCGATTGTGGATAGAGTAGGGTCAAGATGTGAGTGACCCTTGTTCGCAAAGGCTGGTCCATGGTTGCTGGGATCAAATGAAGTGTATGCGAACAAGTCCAAGACTGTACCTGACAGATCACTAACTTGCGAATGATTGGTGACGATGATTCTGGCTATGCTATTGATTGATGATATCCTTGCTCTTACAGTTTTCAGTTCATTAGAGGTAACAAGATCGGTCTTGTTCAGAATAATCACATCAGCATGTGAGATTTGAAGGTGAGCTGTTGACATAAGGGGTGACGACGGGTCATGTGAATGTTGTTCACTCTCGCCCTCAGGTACTTCTTCCTTGGTAGGATCGTCGAGACTTCTCAGGATGTTCTTGGCGTCAACCACGGTTACGATGCCGTCGAGATAAATACTGCTGTTCAGACCTTCATCCATCCAGAACATAGGTGCAATATTGCCAGGATCTGCCACACCAGTAGTTTCGAGCAAGATATAGTCAAAATTCTTTTGTCGTTCGACCAGAGATTCCAACGCTGCAACACCAGAATCTTTGACACTGCAACATATGCACCCATTCTGTAGTGGGATCCATTCTTCGGCCTGTTGACCTTCTTGTGACACGGTCAAGCTCTTTTCGATATCAGCAGTCTTGCCAAATTCTACGTCGGTGTTAGTAGCGTGGCAACGTATGTAGCATAGGAGATTAACTAGCCGTTCAATATCACAGCGATCTTCTTGCCATGCTCTGCCGTGAGAATGTGATTGAGTAAAGTTGTCTTTCCGGCGCCAAGATATCCTGCAATATTGTCAGGATGGTGTAAAAATAGGTAGCTGCCTGGTGTGGTCCAGATTGTGCTGGGATAAGTAATATCTCTTCACCTCTCTTCGAAAGTCAACTGATTTCGAATCATTTGCAGATCTTGTTCAGATGAGGGAGTAGGTCGCAAAGCTTGAGTGAACATGCACGAGATTTACGAGCTGGACAACCTTGAACCTTACCTGTAATGATGGTTATAGGTACTTTCTTGACAGACGGAGTTGTATCGATGGACACGTCTGCCAATACATCGACTAGATCTGGCGGTGACTCTTCATCGCTGTCGACCATGATTAGAAATGGACGGCTGGTTTTACAGTGCTCGAATCTGCAATCTTAAGAGACGGGTAGAAGACGATGATGATCCAGCATGGTTTCCCTTCTCAAAAATCGAATAGTAAGATCTCGATCGTTGAACTTCCAAGCAAAGTATTTTTGACGGCTGTGAACGAGGCTCTCGTGCCATGATCGGCCACATTCGAGTAAGGAATACGAATTTAGCAGGCGTGGCCGACGCGTGCCAGCACCCTTCCCAAAGTGCCTGAGGCAGCCAATATTAACGCGCTCAAAATGGGACCTGTGCGCAGATAGCCTACTAGTCGTTCACACAGGCTCAGCAACAACATTGTTTGGAATATCAGAGCTGATTACTCTGTATGGAGGTGCCACAGAATGGCGGGCAAGTCTCCAGCACGTTCTGCGCTCAGAGAAGGAGGACCGCCTAGCTCACCACGACTACCTTCACCTCCACCATTACCCGAGCTGCAACTAGGTCCCAGGAGTCCTTCGATCAATGCTCCCGGAAATGAGCTCAGCCTCGATGATTTGGCGACACCTGATGAGGGTGCTGCTAGGAGAGTGCGACCGGGTACAAACGCTTTAGATATGGCAAGGGGCCCACCTTTCGTTCCTCTACACCAGCTAGAGTCGCCTTTCCAATTGCAGGAATACCTCAAATCCTCCTATGCGAGCAAGACTCTGAACGAATCCTCTCATACGCTCGTACCTATCACGAAAGAGACAGCCATGGAGCTTGCCACTCCTCCAATACAGCAGGACACAGGAGAACCTGTCGATCGTAACTTGTGGTTATATGAGTTGTGTCGATTTCTAGTTCAGCGCACCAACAGGCTTATTGTGTCGTTCTTTGCGGATAGTCCTCCATGCTCGAGTCAGACATGTCCTGAGATGCGCGCCTCGGAATGGCAATATCTATGTGCTGTTCACGAACCACCCAAGTCATGCTGCGCTATCGACTACTGTTGTCATACGCTTGATTGGGCCGCCAATGTGCTGACAAGCACCAAGCACTTTCCATCACGACTGTCTTTAGGAGGCGAGGGCGTGAGCGCGTCCCAAAGCATGCGACAACTTACCAATATCTTTCGAAGGGTGTACCGAATATATGCACATGCCTGGTTTCAACACAGAGAGGCATTCTGGATGTTGGAGCAAGAGGAGGGACTATACAAGTTTTTCAGAACAGTCTGTGATGCCTACAGTCTCATACCCGAGGACAACTATACAATACCACCAGATGCAGAAGGTGAGAAGGAAGATATGCTCGAGACGCCTGTAAGCGATAAAGGTGTGGGAATACACATCCTGAGAAATGATACACCAATCAGCCAGCAGCAAATGTCACAACCGAACGAGTCAGAACCAGTCCAGGTTCCTACCACAGCACCCACACAGAGGAGGCACAGGCATACTCCAAGCACTGGCACACAAGTGAACTCGATAGCAGAAGGAGCGGAAGAAGAGGAAGAGGCTGGTAATGCAACCCAACTATCGCAGACAGTAGTGTCAGAGCCAACCGCAACATCGACGAGACAAATGACTGCCTCGCCACCAAAAGTAGCACGTTCACCTAGGCCTGAAGGACTATCAATGCCAACAAGTGACCCTCAGCTGGAAGATCTTCGCGCACCGGAAGACCCAACACCCACACCCGAAAGACGTGTCTCAGACCCGTTCTCAGAAACAGGAGTGTCAGCGTCAGCAGCAGATTCAGCCGTGACGACAGAAGAGCTTGAAGCACCCCCAACAGTAACGGCCATCAAGCCGCCTCCATCCACGCTGACTGAGCCTGTGAATATTCAGCACCCTCATGCAAGCAAAACACCAATCCCGTCATTGCAGATGGAACCGCAGGCACAAACACCACCCCGAGTGCACGACGAGAACGAAGAAGTCCGTTCACCTAGTGGTGGAAGCATCAGGACGGTCGGAGACGATATTCTCAGTGGTGTGCTTGCTCATATGGACGAAGACCACGATACCACAGCAGGAGCACTACCCTCCTCTTCTGCATCAGCACCTGACCCAACCGATTCCACATCCTCAGGAGAAATCTCGAGCGTCAATGCAAATGAAACCTCTGGTGAGAAGCAGGTTGTCTCTACTCCATCTACCCACGAGCTGACCACAGCAGTACATCAAGCAGAAAAGAGCCGTGAGGTAGATGCAGACGAGGAAATGGAGGAGATCAAGCTTGACAGAATAATGACTGCTGTGAAGGACAACGAGGAGGTAAATAAGCAGAGCCCTACAGAAGCGAAAGAAGACGTCAAGGACGACGGGACGACTAAGGAGGAGACTGCTGCGGGTGTGGTTTGATGATAGGACCTTACTTCATGTGGAGCTGGCGTAATGTATGGCTGTTCAAAGGAGCTGTGGGGTGGAATAAGCGAGGCGTCAAGGACATATCGAGGTTTTTGTTGGTATAGAATAAGACGGTGAAGTCTGTTAGCTTGCACACACATCTGCGCGCTATTTTTCTAATCCGTTCGTGTGTAGTGTTCCTCGACACCTCGTAGCCAGATGCTGGGTTTGTGACTCTCGTTCGGACGCAATTTTATTCATGAGCTTTACACATTTTCTCGTCCTTCTCAAAAATCAGCCAGTTCCGCCTCCCTCCCAGTTGAGAATATCCCCAAGCCTGCGAAGTCAAGCCTCATTGGCATTAGTGAACCTGATTCCAAACTTTGGCTGCGCTCGACAAGACAAATTTTACAGAATTTTTGTAGAAAAGATCACGGAATGAAGGGCACAGTAAGCGAGGGGCTCCTTGGATAGGAATTGTGAGATGGAGAATTGTCTTTAGTTCTTGACATGAGGCTTCATTGCCTCAGCTGCAGTGTCTCGCTTTATCGTTATTGCTGCCCTGCTTGAACGCCCAAACATGTTCATATCGAGTTGATGGAAAACCGCGGTGCCCGAAACATGGAATCTAACTGCCACCTGCATAACCAGGTCTCAACTTCGAATGCTTCGGCTCGATAAGAGGATGCCATTGTGCCATGAATGTAATCGCTGTCGTGCTTGTCAGTCTTCCTGTCCACAACAAATCTGGAAATGTGACTGACCCCACATGATGTAGCAGCTGGCAAATGTGAGGATGAGTGTGCTACGCCATATCCTATCAAGACAATGTGTCAGCTTTGCTTCCTCTTTCATGTAATTGTCAAGTGCAGTGTTCGTGGTAGTGTAGAGGATAAACTGAGGAGGCATCGAACGTACGTTTGGTTCTCGCCTTTCGGACTGAAGAAGTATGCTGCGAAGCTCAAGGCAACGATTATGACCAGGCCGACCAGTATAGACCACCTATGAAGAAAAAGTTAGCTATACCGCTTGGATAGATTGCCATCGTTGTGCAGCGCAGGGTAAGGTATAAATGAGACAAGCCGCGGCGCCGAACGTTCAAGCCTGTGTATTCAAGATGGACAACAGAAGGTGCTCTGAAGATATGGTCGTGCTCCGCAAGGCACCACTTCTCAGCATTGCAGACTTGCTGCTCTGATCGTTTAGGAATGCGAAGGCAGACTTGCTCGTGCATCACATTCGTGAGAAGGTCGACTAGGCACTGAAACGCCAGCACAGATGCTACGACGCGTCCGAGGGGCTTCAGGGTAGGGGTTGAAACGTTCTTGAATAGAAGCAGGACTGTGCTTACCCATTTGCCATGTTATGGTATCGATCGAATGGATGGTGGTTTGCGAAGTTCTCCAAGCTTCAGTACGTCGGATCGTGGTCGTGGTTACTTCTCATTCAATCAAGCTGTATGTATCGGGTCGTGGGTGAGTTCGGGCTGGGTTACTTTGTGAGTGCCTGTGGTTGCTGCTGGGCTTCGTGTTGTCTTGTGCTCAGGGAGGAAGTTGCGCCTCGATGATCGCATCGCCGTAAGATCTTGCCGCTGCTGGCCAAGGCCGCTAGGCATTAACGCGGGAATGAAGTTGAACGTCAACACGGCCTTCCGATAACGAAAATTAGCTGCTCAGTTAGAGTGGCAGCAATGCGATAAAGTGCATGAGTGTGTATATGGGCTTGTAAGGTCATGCACGGATGTATTGTCTATATGAAGTCAAGAACGATATTCCCAAGCAGCTGAGTACCCCGGACATTAATAAGAGAGAGCTGAGAGCAGGATATCGAGTGTTCATGATGGTGGAACACTCGATGAGGTACATCACTACCCGATTTAAGCTCTAGATCGACGCCATTCCAGCCCAGTCATTTTATCATCAGACTCTACGAGATGCAAGGGTGTCACTTTCGGGGATCTAGAAATCAGGTCAAGCACCTTCACGACTCTGCCGGTATTGAGCCTCCTGGTCGACCTGCAACTGATCAATGTATGGGGCAAGCTCCGATAGGATCTCGTAGGACTTCTTGTGATATTCGAGTTGGGCAGCGATTAAGTCAGCCAAGTTGCGTAGGGGTTCAGGAGTATCCAGGACCTGAATTCAATTAGCACATCCCACGTACTTGGACCAAACTACTCACATTTTTCATGACGCCTTGTGCTTCTTCAACTTGTGAAACGAATTCATCCTCCTTAGCCTCAATCTCTGCACGTGCTTCTTCGCTTAAGGCACTCTCGTCATCAGGGTTGAGTCCTTTAGCCTGAAGCTGACTCCTCTTCGTAGCTTTGGTAGCGTCCAGAGTGAGACGGCTGTTCTCAACAGAGCGACGTGCCTTTGTAGCAAAATCAATGTTTGTGTTCATTGTGGTCTTCCATCCTGTCAAGAAGCGTGACTGAATCTGGTGGTCTTGCGCTAGCCTGGCTTCTCCAACTTTCTCTTCTGCTAGAGCATATTTCTCTAATGCACTTGCAAGAGGATCCTCTGGCGACTGACCAACAGGTGAGGAGTGTTGAAGAAGTTGCGAGCTCGCTAGTGAAGCTCTAGCAATAGCATGGTTGAATGTCTTGGGTTGTGGTTTGGCCGAAGGAGGCGCTGTGAATGCTGCTTGAGCTTCTGCTGGACTTGATGCTTTCGATAGTAGTGATACTTTGTCGGTAATACTTCTTCCTAGATCGGTGAAGGACTCTCGAATATTGGGCGGGTAGTCGTAGGCCTCATTTGAGTATTGACTCCTGGACTGCTGTCAGCACCTGTTTCGATAGTTGGAACAGCGTCTTTACGTGACAGCCAATAGCTTCTGATGTACTTCTTTCAGTGCGTCCACCCTCTTTTCCAATTCGACATACTCCGGAGGAAGTTGTGTCTAAACAACAATTAGAGTGCATCTTCGTCATGTGCTTCCAGGTCTTGCCTTTTCTCCAGTCTGTCCAAGTTGTTCCTTAACGGAGTGAATCGATCGTTGCGCAAATGGTGTGACCGTCGAATTCCAGGCGGAACTGGGTGCATAGTCAGATTCAGGCAGAGCCAAAGTCGATATGCTAAGAGTACCTCACGTTCTTACCGAGCGCAGCGAATTTGTCCATACTCAAATGCTGTGAGAAGATTGTGTATAGTCGTTACTGAGTGCAACAAAATAGGACTGCTCTCTGCCTCCGCCGCTGGTAATTGCGGAAAGCACCTTGCTTGAGTGCTGAATACGTGTCAATGGCCGTTCGGTAGACTTACCATTCTCCTCGCGTGGTCGATGGGCCAGCAACAGGGATTATCGGCATGAGTTCAGGGAGCAACCACGTGTTGACGGTGCGCAAGAAGATACGAGCTGAATGGTCACGTGCTTCTGTAAACATCTTCATAATTTTCATCATCGAAAGTTTGCTCCAACAGTTGATAAAATGATCACACATTCATCTACTCTTCTCCGTGGCGCAATTGGTTAGCGCGTTCGACTGTTATCTGGCCAATTGGTCCGTGGTCGATCGAGAGGTTCCTGGTTCAAGCCCAGGCGGGGAAGTATTATTTTTGTTTTTGCAATTATTTTGCAATACGTCAATGTTCTATGACATCTTGCTCTCGGTGGTCGCCGTGGTGATCCTCCATCGACTACTCTTAGCATAACTAAGCATATGTATACTATGTGACGTACCTCGTTACATAGTCAGTAGATTCTCCTTATAACAACATCTCCTTATCTGCTCAATACAGTATACAGGTATTCCTGCCAGGTTTGCATCTTCTACTAGTGATAAGTGTTGATACTTGCTTACTTTTTTCCGGACTAATTAGAGAACACTTATCAAATATTAGGCCTTGCCGTTTAAGCATGTCAAGAATGTACTCGTAATAGTATAGCTAATAATTTCTTCGTGTTTTTCTTTTCTCTCTCTTACAAAACGGCCATCTAGGACAAGCAACAAAAGGTGTTTGTTGAGCTTCTAGCTTTGGTTCACACGAGTTCAAATGCCTGCACATCTCGGCTAAGCTTTCCGATTCGTACTGGTAGGACCACATCGAGGTTGCTCACGACATACAGTTGCACCTTCGTGTCCATGAACTCATCTACTTAGATGTATGGCTGACAATTTAGGCCTACTGCACCAGTCCATGTCTCCTACGTATATACCTCGTTTAGACATCCTTAACTTCTGGATCCCTCAGAGTTCCACATTTTGACTTCCAAAAGCTAAATTGGTATCATGATACATGGTACTTGCATGGTACTTCATTCACCTTCCCTCGCCCCTCGCAAAAGGAACCTCCGATTTGCACTCGTATATCCATGCAAGCAGGCGGCGGCCGTTCTGCGGAGGGGCGAGCTTGCTATCCTTATGCCAGTGGCCGGCGTTTTCTCAAACTGATATGCGTCCTTCCGAGCTCATCGATGGGAACTTCTCGGGATCGGTGTCGAGCAACGTGGCTGATGTCTCCAAGGATATCGATTCGGGGCAACAGGGATTGCACCCATGCCGCACTGAGCCGCTCGATAAAAACTCAGCAGGCTCTTTCAAGCAGTTCTGATCACTTATGGCCCAGGCGGGTTGACGTTGCTGGGCGGAGCCTGAGATCCACAACAACTACCTGCTGTGGTAGCAGAATTGCCTCTGTGGACACGTTTCACCTGCTGTACACTTCAATAGATACACAAGATTGTGCATCGATTTTGAGCACACATGCAGGTCATACGAGTACGAAGCATATCGAATCCAGCTTTAGATCAATCTTAGCATTGAGATTGTAATACGATTAGGAAAAAATCAATTCGGCACACGGCGAACAGCATATATAAATTACTGGGCAGACTCTGATATTGTCCTAGGTCTCTAGCAATACGGTTACGTGAGTCACTAAGTACACCACAACCGATATAGATGCCAACATTTCAGGACTGGACGACGACACTGATTTCACACGGCATTACTGCTCTGTCCACACATCGCGGCAAGAGCCGCAGATACTGACGCCTTCGTCACAGTTTGCCGGAGTAAGGACTGGCCTTCTAAACTATCGCGAAACGTCGAGACGGGCACAGGCGTGGTCGAATTCCAAGCCTGGCACAGCCAGATAAGCCGAGACTGGCGATCGGCACGAACCTGTCGAGGCTGGAGGACGCCTTGCTTAACACTTTGATTTCACTATCTTCACAGTGTCTTCACTTGGTTATTTCTCTAACAGCTTCTTTTTTGTGCTTATGCTTCTACCCGATAGTGACCATGACAACCTTGAAGTCCACTCTGCCGATCACAATCCATGCTGTGGCAATTGTTCACCATCATAAGAAATATCTCTGCAACCATGTATTCCTGGCACGAATCACAAAATGATATGCATTGCCATTTAAAATCAACGGCCGAACTGAATCAAGTCTGTAGTCGAGATTGCTCGCTCCGTCAATACTAACACGACTATGTACGTCTTAGGTTCTTACCTGGCAGGACGCCTGTGAGAAAGAAAGCACCACAGAGAGAAGCACAACACATCCCAAGAACCAGAAGTAAAAGAGGAGAAATCCAACGCATTGTCTGTTCGAAACATTAAAGATCATGTTGCTTTGCGGCAGCGTTTGAAGTATCGACAGAACGCGATCTGTCCGATGCTGTACGAGCAGATGATCCTGAGGTTGGGAGACTTCCTCACCGGAGATATTGACTCGGCGCAGCTCGTCGCGGTCAAACCGTTCTCTACACTCCCTACTGGTGATCTATTCCTGCGTCACATAAACAACAAGCCAAACTCGGGTCTCGCGTTAACAAAGAAAGCTGCGAATGGACTTGCTAAGGACGAGCAACTCTTCTTCACATATCAAACGATAGCTTTTATCAACAGCTCACCCCTTGTCGCCGATTGTCGGTGAGCAGATGCAGCATCGTCAAGGCAGACATCGATAAAAACACTACCAGTTCAATAAACTAATGGATAAGATGCTGCAATCACCTCTTTCGTTTGATCCGTGTCAAGGGGGACCGGGCGTATGATGAAGACCATAGTAGGCATTTGGCTGGAATGTCCGATTGTCCTGTTAAGCAGAAGACTCTTGCGATAGGACATCGAATGCTGGAGGTCGCAGGCTGCGATGGGTATCAGTGTGCCATTACTGATCCAAGTACCGCTCAGTTCCCGATTCTTCGTGATTGTCTCAGCTCCTATCAGGCTGGCGATACTATGGACAAAGGGGAGATGAAAGAATCCCGCGCAGCCGGCACGTAAAGCGCTCTATGACCAGATTGACCAGGGTGTCGCCGTTATCGTTACAACTCCCGCAGGTGCACGTTCGTGGTACGTGCGAGACCTCATCAAAGACGAGATCAGATTGTTGATCCTCGATGAAATTGGCAACTTCAAAGACGATCAACTCATGCCATTCTTCGCTGAGCATTTCACTTAGTGTGCAGGTTCAGTCAGTTTTCGCGACCAGAAGCAACCTGGGCCTTTGATCCTCTCGAGACGCAAGCAGAATCTATATGGTCCAGCACTCAAGATGTCTCTCAATGTCAGACTCATTGCACCAGGCTTTCCGTACATCAAATACCAGTATCTGCACCTTACCTTGATCTCTAAGATCTCGCACCTTCAGCCCACTTCAATCTCTAAAGCGTAAGCTCGCTGTTTACCATGCATGATATTTTCTACCACCCCTGCCTCCTGCGCCGCCCGAGCCCGCCGTTGCCTTCAAGGGTCTCTAGATCTCGTCAGCTTGCCACTCACTACGTATGGCATCGCTCTCGCCACGAAACGCATCGTTTCCTTTCAAGTTCCGGAAGGTCATACACAAATCTCGAAGCCATCTTATTCAAGTTCTGATTCAAGTTCTGGCAGTCATGTAACCTCGCAACGCCAAACACTATGCTTCACTGTACAAGCATAACCTGACCGTATAAACTTGCGCAGTTATGATTGGCAGGCATTTCGCAAGGTAGGATTCTAAGTTCTGCTCAGAATGTACGAGTAGGCACTTGTTACCAGACGAAGACCATCCTCTTTGATGTAGACATGGTCTGGAAGGATGGTCTTTGTTGTCAGTATATCCATGGGTGTCTAGCAGAAGGTACAGGCTAGAAGGGAAAAGTGTTTTAATGGCCCATCATTATTCTGTCGCAATCAGACGAGCACCTAGCATCAAGTAGGCCCCTTCCCCTTCAACTTCATGCTCCGCAGTATAAGTTGAAAACGCTGAACACGACCCAAGAAGCTACACTTATTAGCCGCAGTGCCTCTTCCGAGCTCAAATCCCGAAGCGACCTCGATGTCCTAGCTTCCTCTTCTTCCCAGTCTTGAGCCATTCTTCGAAGATTCCTCTATATCTGAGCCGGCAGTCTTCGCCAAGAGTGTTGTCAGCTAGAGAGCCAGCATCGCTCCTCCGTGCAACGAGGATACGTGTGGTTGGGCTCGGTGGTGCCGATGCAGAGCAATCTGATGAGACAACATCTTCACCATAGCATAGCAGCATACCTAATCTCCTGCTAACCGGCCATTGTGTGTGATCCGGTGGACTCGAAGGGACATGGTTCAGAGATCTTTTACGAGCTTCGGCTGGTGTGGAAGGGGTAGAAATGTGTATATTTAGTGGACCTTCAGGTGGAGACGTAGATGGTCGTTGTATATGCTGCGGAGGCATCTCGATAGACTCTGCTCGTCGAAATGGTGTTTCGGCGTACATGGGCCTTCTGCCAGTCGAGAACTGCGGACTGAGACGCTCTGCTGAAATACAAGCAGGACTTCTTCGGCGGATAATGCGTGACTTGTCGATTGCCAACAGTCCTAGGGTTTGGCTCTCTGTCCGCCGCGGTTCACAGCCTGTAGCAGTCTCCCCGGCTTTCAATATTTGTAGGCGCGTGGAAGCTGGCGATAGGACTGGAGCCTCACCCTCTTCTGACGTGAGTGACAAAAGAAGTACGCCGTCTCGCGTGTTTCGCAGAGACCACTCGCTGGTGTTTAGCCACTCTGTCAGGAAGTCCTTCTCTTTCTTTCGCGAAAGACCGTTGACAAAACGTCTCACGCAGATCCTCTCTACTTCATCTCCTTCAGGTGGCATCAGAATGACCTTGGCAAAATCGTTGTAATATCGAACTAGATCCTGCTCGTTTTTCTGTCTGAGCTTGAGAAGCTGATATAAGGCGTGGCGGTCAGACGCCATGTCTCTTGGAGTATGTGACGTGTTTGCTAGAAAGGTACATGGATTGCTTGCTTCTTGTAGAAGGACATCGGATCCAGTGGAGATAGGTGAGGCTAATGCTTGTGGCTCTCGGAGTGCTTCTTGCACATCTTCTTGGTGAGCACGATGATGCACGGTGCTCTTGTCAAGTGAATGTGTTATGTTACTGATGGCACCATACTGCTGCACGGCCTTGACATTTTCACCCAATCCAGATTTGGCCGTAGACAGATGTTGAGATTCGAGGCTCGTCAGTTCAGGCTCAGGCTCAAGCTCATTAATTTCAGGTAATTCTTCGTAGGTATCGAGCTGTGTTACTTCGTTCGGCTGAATGACAGGCTGCAACATAGGACTAATGAAGCTGTCAGAGATGGCAGAGCTCAAGCCTGCTCGTTGTTAGTCGTATGTCAAGGGAGAGAAAATATTACCTACCCAAAGTCGGACGAACAGAACGTGGAAAGCTGTCGGTAACCCTGCTGATACTCTCCTGCCCTTCAGCGTTTGCTCTAGCAGCACTTACTAGCTCGTCGACCCTTGCTCTCAGCTCGTGCAACATCTTTTGATCAGCTGTAGCAGCTTTTGTGCTCTGAAGTAGTCGGTCCAACTCACTGAGCCGATGCTCGAAAATGTCAAGCCTTGCGACAAGGTCAGCCCCATCGTTGCTGAGCTTCTCAGTGAGAGCGCTCCGCTCCTGAAATTCAAGTTGTTGAGCCACAAGCTTTCTTGTGACTTCATCTTTCATTGTCTTTTGGTTGGTGCTGATGTCCTCAGTCGTGGTACCAATCCCGTCCCAGCCAGTAATAATGGGTTCTAGCCTGACATCGTGTATAGCGAACTCGGACTCGATGTTGCCCACTCGCGTCCAAAGGACAAAAACCTCCTCTCGCAGATTGTCTATATCTTCCTTTCTGGTGGTGATGTCCTCACGTAACGATCTAACCTCACCCGAAATCGCGACGTTTTCCTTACGTGATTTCTGAATTCTTAAAATCTCGATAGCTTGCGCGGCTACTAGACGATTTGCAGTATGATGCATCGTGAGGCTTCATAGCTATTATTGAGGGAGTCATGATGTTGACACAATATATTTGTCAGAGCAGGTTAGGGCCTCAAAATGTTTTGAGGAAGTCACGCTTCAGTATGTAAGGAAGGAGCAACCAAGATGACAGCTTCGAGGCTAGCAGCGTGCTACTTGTTTCAACAAGTTGGAGTCCCACTTCTAGTCGCCTAACACGAAACTTCATCCAGAGAAGACACCGGGAGTTTCATACTTTCTTTACTAGTTAGATACATAAAAGTCTATATTGATTGGCCATTTATTGTCTCGTAACTCGTGGCACATAGGGATGTTTGAACATATCTTCCGTGCAGGAGGTAAAGAAGACAACAGCATACTGCACGATGATCGTTACTAAACTCCGACCACTTCAGTTCTCACAACGATGCTTCGTGTTGTGACTACTCAAACTGCTGATTCCATTACAAGCAGCAGTTCCGCGAAAATGAATTAACAAGTGCAACTTTTCATTGAACCAATACTCGAGTCAAGCGGTCGGAAATCATGTTTCGGCTTCATCCCGCTTTTCCCAAAGTACGTTCTCTCCTCCATATCTGTGAAGACAAACGCCGTCTAAATGCTCAATATCTGAAAGACAAGCGTAGTGGTATGTTCACGACCTTGCTTAGATAAGGTCAGCGACGTTCATTGGCATCTCCTCGATCTGAGTGCTGTAGAACTGCTCGATTTCTCGCATCATCCGAACGTCATCAGCAGTGACGAAGTTGATGGCAACACCCTTACGACCGAATCGACCACCACGACCGATTCTGTGAATGTAGTTCTCTCGGTTGGCTGGAAGATCATAGTTGATGACCAACGAGACTTGCTGCACATCGATACCACGAGCCAACAAATCAGTGGCAATTAGGACACGGGACGAGCCTGATCGGAACTCCTTCATGATGACATCTCGCTGAGCTTGTTCCATGTCACCGTGCATAGCGGAGACGGTGAAGTCACGGGCTGTGAGCTTGTCGGTGAGCCAATCGACCTTCCTTCGAGTGTTGCAGAAGATAACGGCCTGTGTGATTGTGACGGTCTCGTAGAGATCCGAGAGAGTATCTAGCTTCCACTCCTCCTTCTCGACTGCAATGTAGAATTGCTTGATACCTTCGAGGGTAAGCTCAGCCTTCTTGACCAAGATTCGGACAGGATCTCGCATGAACTTAGTGGTAACTTCGAGAACATCCTGTGGCATAGTGGCGGACAGAAGGACGACTTGAGTAGACTGAGGTAGCAGCTGGAAGATGTCGTAGATCTGCTCGGTGAAACCACGAGACAACATCTCATCAGCCTCGTCAAGAATGAACATCTTCATGTTATCAGTCTTGAGGACTCGTCGCTGAATCATGTCTTGAACTCGTCCTGGAGTACCGACAACGACTTGTGGACCATCTTGCAAAGCCTTCATATCGTCCCGCACATTAGTGCCACCAATGCAAGCATGGCACTCAACGTTCATGAAGTCGCCGATAGCGACGACAACTTTCTGGATTTGCTGGGCGAGTTCTCGGGTTGGTGCAAGAATCAGAGCCTGGCAGGCTTTCAGGTTCGTATCGATCTTTTGAAGGGCGGAGATAGAGAATGTTGCAGTCTTGCCAGTACCTGACTGTGCTTGTGCAATGACATCAGATCCTACAGATCGTTAGTTTTTGCCTCTTTAGTAATCGGCAGATTTAGTCTCACCCTTGATGACTGGCATGATAGCCCGCTGCTGGATGGCAGATGGTCGTTCGAAACCATATGCGTAGACACCTGGACATGATCAGAAACCGGTTGTTGCAAATCCGTATCTCTCGCGAACTTACCTCTCAGCAACTCAGCCTTGAGGTTCATATTGTCGAACGAGTCAGTTACCTCATCGTAATTAGACTCGATCTGCCCTATAAAAAAGTGTCAGCCTGCGCGATAATGTGCGGCTTGCACGTTGCTCCGAAATCATCTTTCTTCACTGCAAGAAATGTCCTGGAAATACAACTTACCCTCAGGGATCTCCTCCAATCCTTTGTCAGCCATGATTGCGAAAACTACTTCGAAGGATCACTGGCAACCAGCCGGTGATCTGTGATTTGCGGTGGGGTGGCGCTCAAATACGTCGCTGTCTCTCGCAGCAACGGTGTTTGCTTGAGTTCGTGAAAAAAAAGTCTCAGAGTCAAAGATTCCTCTATGGGTAGAGAAATCAGGTTCTGAGAAGATTTGATTGTGATATGTGTTCGTGATGGAATGTAATGGCGAAAGAAAAGTTCTTGTGAAGCGCAATTTCAATTTCGCAAAAATTATCGAACAGTTTGACTGCAGTCACGTGGGAAACGCACTAGTCATGACCTTCTACCAAAATCTTCCACAATCGAAAAGTTACAATCTGCTCTAGCATGTGGCAACGATAGGCAAGGCGGCAAGTTTACAGCGGCAGACTATGACACCCATGACCTGATTGGCCTGGGGTGTATGCGAGGCGAACGTGGTGACTCACAGCAAGACAGGCAGAGAACCAAAGATCTTTGAGAACGAATGGCTTCAGTGATTGGGATACACACTGTGAAAGAACTGGACGACATCAGTGTCGATACTGGTAGCGATTTCTTATCGAATGGACACACTCCTTACTATGACGTGAAGGAAGACTCATTGAGGCGCCATCCACTCGGTGTAAAGCCTAGTGGCAATGCCTTGACAGCAGACCAGGATTTGTCTCTATCCATGGGAATTCTTGGACGTATACCGGATTCACTTCTGCTGCTACTGCTCGAGTTCCTCGATCAAGATGCGTTGTTGGCCCTGAGTCACACCTGCAAAGGACTGTTCGCATTTGCAACTCACGACCAAGTATGGAGGGAACTTGTATTGAGAGATTGTGGAGAAGGATTTTCCTGGCGAGGAAACTGGAGGTCGTCCATGCTGAAGCGCTCGTTACTCCCAAAAATAGATTGTCGCCATCTCTATTCCGATGCTCTATACCGTCCTTTTCACTGTACGCATGTGTCCCTAGCACCCTTTTTCAACAATATTCCGAAGGGCAACCACATAGCTCGCCTGCTAGATCTCACTGTTGATGAATTCGGCGCCAGCTGGTCTGGTAGGCCATTTATCCTCACAGAGCCAGTGAAGAAATGGCGGGTCTTTCCCGAATGGGACAGGCAGAACTTGTTGGATAGATATGGCGATGTCAAATTTCGAGCCGAAGCGGTTGACTGGACGCTGCATGATTATGTGAATTACATGGACAACAACCAGGATGAAAGCCCTCTATACCTTTTCGACCGTGCTTTCGCTGAGAAGATGAAGCTTCAGATTGGTGACGACGGTGCTTATCGACCTCCTGCTTGCTTTGCTGAGGACCTCTTCACGCTACTTGGAGAACATCGTCCGGATCATAGATGGTTGATTATAGGTCCTGAACGTTCTGGAAGTACTTTCCACAAAGATCCAAATGCTACCAGTGCCTGGAATGCTGTCATCCGAGGATCGAAATACTGGATCATGTTTCCAAACTCGTTAACTCCACCTGGTGTGTATGTCTCAGATGACCAGAGTGAAGTCACCAGTCCGCTTTCTATCGCTGAATGGTTAATAACATTCCATGCCGAGGCTCGCAAAATACCAGGTTGCATTGAAGGCATCTGCGGACCTGGTGAAGTGCTACATGTACCATCTGGCTGGTGGCATCTAGTGGTCAATCTCGAGCCAGCTATTGCTATCACTCAGAACTTCGTCCCCAGGTCGCACCTCTCTTCAGCGATCAATTTCTTGAAGAACAAACCAAACCAGGTGTCTGGCTTTCGCGAGACTGTGACAGATCCTTACGCACTCTTTATGGGAAGGTTGAAAGATGCACACCCTGATCTGTACGAAGATGCACAGAACAAAGGCAGTAGTAAGAGGAAATGGGGAGACGTCGTAGTGGTCGAGGACAACGACGGAGCTGATCGAGCTGGTTTTAGCTTCGGCTTTGCAGCTGATTCTGAAGAAGAGGATTGATTAGTGGCATGCCACGCTCTTGGTGGAAGGCATGTCTGAGCTGAAGCCAATGTAGCCAACAAATGCACCCACTGCTACCGCGATCATGACCCATCCATTGTAGGTCATGAATAGGAGCCTGCAACCATTAGTACCATCTTTCCAAATACTGCTGCTGCTGTTCTTACATGATGAAAAAGCTGTAGAAGACTTGCAAAGCATAAAGTATGCCTTTGATGATCTTGCCCCGTCTCTCGGCGTCCTTCCTTGAATCTCGTCCTACAATCAACCATGAGCCCGCTGCAGCTTCTCGATTTGCCTCGCCTTCACAATCTCAGTGATGGGTGAGCTGGCCAGATTCGAGTACTTACTGGTTCCAGAGCTGCTGAAAGCAGACATACGAGCATCATACGATTGTTCATATCTCCTGCTAGCTGATCTCAAGCATTCGTAACCGGCAGTTAGGACCACAATCGCAAGGAGGGACATGAGCAGGGACATAGTGCTGGTGATGCGCCACTGTTTGAAGATGATACACAGGTTGTTGGAATCCCACGTAAATATCATCTAACAATGTCAGCGCTGCTCCAGTATCTGACTGTATATCGGAAGCCTACATTCATGGAGCACTGGCCGCCCATATCCATGTCACCGTGACCCATACCACCATGGTCCATACCACCATGATCCATGTGGCTGTGGTCCATCTTGGCTAGACTCGAGACAAACAGTGGAAGTATATCGACAGTCGAGAACGACCTCCCTACGAAGACAGAGCTGGCACAGATCTCGTGGACGAACAAGGACCAGGTTGCACTGGTAGTACAGTAGGAACAGTGTCGCTCGTGACTTTCCTTCACATGCGCTCGCATCGTCGAACGTGCCGAAGTTCCTCCGTGTCGCCTGTACCGTTTCAACCAAGACATGCACAATTACTGTTCCAGTCTCTTTTCCAATTTGTTGCTCTGCTGCACTCCTGCGTAATTCTATGTCGTACTCTGCGTGTCCGTTGCGCAGCCACCAAGATAGGTTCGTTCAGGTATAGCCTGCACTGACATGGCTGAAAATGTAGCCCCAGGAAGTGCTGGCAAGGTAGCTAATGCATCAGATCGAGGGATCCCATACTATGAGAAGCTGCGACGTGATCTTCGTGACACGATCAATAAGAAGCGCATCCTTGATCGAAACATGGCCGCGATCGAAGCTGAGATTTACCGACAGGAGACAGCATACCTTGAAGACACTTCAGCCGCTGGTAATATTGTGAAGGGATTTGACAACTATATCAAAGCAGCCACAAATACTGCTGCGTCGGGCACAATATCAGGCTCGCAGTTAGGTGGTACCCGTGGTCGCAAGGGCGCAGTGACAGATGCAGATAGAGTGTTCAGCAAGAGCAGCGTAAGTTACAATCGAGACACGGATAGTCCTGGGGTTGGAAGCGCTGTGAGTACGCCTGGTGGTGGTGGGACGCCTACTGCTAGTCTTGCTGGCGATGCACGCGCAGATAAGAAAAAGAAGAAGGCACCTGTGAACAACGACGACGACGATGCAAGGAGTACGAAGAGACAGCAGGTTAGCTTTGGTAGCAGGAAACGTCACGACGACTGAGTGAATAAGGATATGTCCTTCGGTTGTTCCGTGATGCTACGCCGACTGGTTTCCCAGCATATGGAATGCATCAAGCTCATTTTCCAAGGAAAGCACACCAGGCCAGCGAATACAAGAGTCTGGACATATTATGGCACAACGAAGCAGAAAGGAAAATCGAAGAACCAAAAACTTATAAGACCATGTGCGTTTGCTCTATGTCAAAAGAGCTCGCAATTGTCATGCATTATTGCACTTGCCTCATGCAAGAACAAACCACAGCAATTATAGAGCAGGCCTGTGCCGTTTGTTTGCTTCGGAATTGCGTATTCAGACTTGAAGTGTTCACACATAAGAACAAGCTATCTTCGACCTTGAGAGGATGTGCAGGTTGCATTTGCCTGCCGAACTTCCACCACCACCAACTGCAGACAGAACAGGCGCTCATCGTGGCAGAGTTTCCACCAACGTTGTGCGGCGGCTCGGAAGGAACTGATCAACCTGAGTACAATCCGTGTGTGGCTTGAGAGGTGGCGAAGGTGGTTCTATTGTCTGGTCTACAGTAGAAATATCCAGAGAGTTCACAGAAAGGGCAAGGCGATCATGATGCCAGATAGAAGGTGTGCTGGCAATGGTGTGAAGTTTTACTCAAATAGGTGCTAGTACTTCGTATATTCGTGGTACGATGAAACACAGCACGCAACCCACAGAGCCTGGGGCATGGTTCCAACCTGGTATTTTTAACATAGTATCTCTTGATGTTCAGCGAATTATCAAGAGGCTCGGATCTAATGGAGAGGCGTTCGGATTGACCACGCTCTAGCAATGCTACAAGTGGTAATCGTAGCGATGCTGCCGTAAACTTCGACTTGCAGCAATTGAGGTAGTTCACTGATCAGCCGCAATTCTGAAACTCTCCTGGAGGATTTATCATGCGGCTGCACAAATTTCATGCACAGCCCTCTCTTATGTCAAATGTCCCAGTCCGAAACGGTTTTTCGCCGTACTCTGCAGGTTACTTCTCGTACTGCTGTTCACGCAACACAGTAGGTTGGCTGTTTCCTAGCGAACTCGTTCGAGGCTGGATCGTCCATGAACCAAGAGCTTCGAAGCTCGAGCTCGAGCTGTCACTCTGCAAACAGGCTTTGCAAACCTGGTTCGTCCAAACTTTCTTCACAAACGTAAAACGAGAAAACTTCCGCTTCCTTCCTGCTTATCCAGCATATTCCATGCACGAGCGTTCAAGGCATGCAAAGAAGAGGAACCCGCAAGCATCCTTCGCCTGCTCAAAACAACCCCGCCGCTCCGAAGTTAATTTCCACTGATCGCCCAACGAGTTCGTCGTCATCCACACAAGAGCTTTCGGGGTTGTTCTTTCCTGTCAAACAGCCAAAGGAGAAGCTTTCGTTAAGCTTGCACGCTATTTGAACGCTTATGCAAACCATAAGCAGAGTTTGGAGAGTGAGAAGGGCCAAGAAACGTGCAAAACATGCTTGTTAGCGCAACTACCTTGCGTAATTATTCCGGTAGAAAGACGTTGAGACCAGGGATTTTCCCGGCTGGGGTTGTTTTTGTTTTTCGTTTGTGCGAATCCGCTGTAGATCAGGAAATTAGCCAAGCGAGTTTGCTCAGGGAACAGCTTGCGAAAGAGACTCGATTATCGTCATCTGAAGGTGCTGCTTAGGCGAGCAACAAGTGACGCATGGAAATTAGCCATTCAGCTTGGGTGGTCTTTTTAATGTCAAGTACTGATAGCCTGCAATGTGTTCCCTGCTCGAACACAAAATCCTGAGGGGCAGAGGCCGTTGCCGTGACGGAAATTTTCCCCTTAGTGAAGAACGCCGGTCAAACAACTGCTCCTTTGGCACAGCTATGCTGACGAAATGGCTTTGCATAACGTTCATGGCTAGTTCGCAATGCTGCATATGGTAAGTGTTCGCTTGCGTCTGTTGTCTTTAGCTTCGCCCGAGTACCAAGCCAGCCAGGGCGCGTGATTGTCTGCAGGCAAGAAGTCTTTCAAGACCGTGTCGGAGAATACTTCCTATAAAGTTCGGCGTTGAGAGCGATCCTGAGCCATGGTGAGAGACAGGTCCGACCAAGTGCCAGAAGTACGCTCGGATTATGAAACGGTGCTGCACGGTGAGCTAGTGAGAGAAGGACGACAATCACATGTACTGTGGTTTTGGAAGCAATTCAATTAGGATCAAATTCAATGCTTTGAGTGGCGTGGCAGCTATGGAAGTATCTCCTTGAGACAGTCGTTGCAGTGACTCCAAGGCCTCGCAAAAGACTGCCTCTTCATTTCAAAGTTAACTCCATGACTGTGTGCCTCAAGCATTAATGCATCTCGATCTTACCCGCTTCATTTCCTTCACTGCATGCTATCGTCCCAAAACACATGGCTTTCAATAGCCTAACCTGAAAATTGAAGAATCATATCAGCCGAGGTATCCAAAATCTCATACGCCAATTGCTGTTCAGTCTAGCTGAATTCCTCCTTTTGGATTTCGTGGGGTATCATGTTGAGCTAGAAGAGAAGAAAAACACAAATCGTTAACCCATCCCAAGCCTGGGAAGACTGAGATGTCGTTACGTGACTGACAAAAGAAAGTGCCTCAAGGTGTAGGGCTTCCGAATCTTCAAATGAAGTTGCTCGCTGGACTAGCGTTGGTCGCTAAACGCCTATATTCTGGCGAATCTGGGACGGAACGTACTCGTAGTGTGTCCCCTCGTGGCGGTGTATTGTATATATGTGCGTCGCTCAACCCCCTTTCGCCAGTAGCAAGACTTGCATGCATTGGATATGTCTTTGAATCAGGCAAGGAAGGAACTGGACGGGCGGACGTCCATAGCTCATCTGAAAAAATTGCATCCAATCCCGATGGACGTTCCTCCAAGTCGACCTGTCGCGAAGTATTGAAATCAACTTCGAAGTGTAAGTGGTTGTTGGAGGTAGCGGATAGTGGTAGTAGGCGTCGTTCCGTCGATGAGCATTCATACGTCCAGCTATCTTTACTTTCTTGTACCTGATTCTGAGGTGTTGTAGGGCGCGAATCGTGGCGGTTGCTCGTGCTTCTGGTACCTCTGCGTGATGCGATTTTGTCTCTGGCTAAGTCCGATAGTAGTCCTCCTAGCGTCGATGAGTCTGCTCTTTTGAGACCTGTGTCAACCTTGTCGTCTCTGGAGGGAGATGCTTGAATCGGCGACAGTCTACCAGTTCTGTTCACGGGGTGCGAATTGACTCGTCTTTTGTAAGTCGCATCCTGTTGCACACTCAACGAATGCCACGTTTGATGTCCACCGAAAGTTGCGGGTGGAGATTGATATTGTTCTTTGTGGTCAACCATTGGCGCTGGCAACAGCTTCGTCTTACGGACCTTCTTTCGTGGCTTTGATTTCGTGACCGGCTTCAGTGCTGACTTTGTATGGCTATCAATGGCGGTGAGATAGCTTGATCTCATCTGTTCGACCATGTTACGGATGTCTTCTCTTGTAGCCATGGGCTCATCTTCGAGACTCGTCTGGGTTGTCCCTGTGGATGATTCGCCACATGACGAAACGAAGGAGGCACGGTGTGGTGAAGATGCGTCAGACCATTCGTCATAGCTGCAATCGGCTGATGAGTGGCTTATCCTTTTGGAATCATCCTCGGTTCCTTCAATTGGTGGTAAAGGTAACGGCTCCAGAACCACTGGTGAGTATATTCGTGGCGCCAAACCTGTTGGGCTCGAGGCGCCCCTCAGCCGGGCGCTGTCTATTTGAGCAATGTTTCGAGCAGCGGCAGCATCTGAGCCATAGAGCTCTACGAGTTTGCTAAATTCAGCTTTCCGCAACGCTTTCAAAGTAGCATTTGTTTCTTGCAGGGTCCTATGAGTCGACCTCAGACTGTCATGGGACCTCGCACTGTAGGTTGATCGGGCGCGATAGTCTGAGGATGAGTCTTGTCTTACTTCGGTAGCATAGATAGGTGGGAATAACCCTAATCCGTTGGTTGTGTTTGCTGAATCTAGAGAAGTTTTCATATCCTGGTCAGGAGATAAAGCAGGTGTGCTTGGCCACGTTTGTGAGGTGGTTGAACCAGGCAAAGTCGATGGGCTGGTGGGTGGGCTATGATCGTCTAGTACAGAGATCGAACCACATGAAGTTTGGTTTGTTGCCGAACCTTTCTTCTGATGATTAGAAAGCTTCGGCGTTTTCTTACCAACGACATAGTGACCACCTAGTAGGTCCTGCATCGTCTTCTGCGAATCGTGCGCGGTTGCAATGAGGTCACCTGAGCTCATCCTACGGCTGGCTTGTAGCTTCACAGGTCCATTGCCCCTCTGAGGAGTGGTGCCGAAAGTTGGTGCTTTGCCAGCTGGGCAGTCCTCGTATGAATAAGATTGTAGAGCCACAACATCGATGCGGCTCTGCTTGTGAGGGCTGAATCCGTTTTTACCCAACACCGGGTACAGAAAGGTTGGTGGTCGTCGCGACGGCGAAACAGCTTGGTGAGATACATTTGAATAGTCCAATTCAGATCCGATATCTCTTGACCGCGCTCGACGATTGCTGATGTAGTTCTTCAATCGAGAGTCCATAGCCGTGATATGATCGTCCGAAAGTGGTGTGAGATGATTGCATTTCTCGACCTGGACGCGAAGATGTGAAGTTGGACCAGAGCTAACGGCGTTCACCTCTCTATAGACACGCGCAGGCTGTGTAACGGTTTGTACTTGCGAAAGGGAAGGACGGGGATCACGAAGTAGTGTTTATGCATGGTCTCAAACACAATTCATACCATCATCATCACGTCCGCACAAAGCTCAGTTTAGGTTGAATCAATATTGGGCTACCCTGGTCAGAGAAAGTAAAGGTTCAAGGTCAGCAAGGTGGACCTCTCGCTTTGCTTTACCCTGCTCACCTGCGCGTCAAAACTTTGTGGCTGAGGCTTCTGCAGAATAACAACACTAAGAGGAAGGTTGTACCAGGCTAATCCCTACCCAATCTTGAACGAGCTTTTAGGCCGGTCATCTCTCACGACAGCAAGCCACGATGGGACAATGGAAAAGGATGTACTAGCTCGAAAGAAAATGTGTTTTCAATGCGTCCACCACGGATACCTGCATCTATTATTTGACAGGTTTTGTGTCTTGTCCGTACACCGTCGTGAGGTAGAGCCTGTTGTCGTGGAAAGCAGTTGATCTTATCGTGAGGGATACTACAAACAATTTGTACCATCCAACACATCGTAGAGATGACCTCGCTACAATGGTAGACCATTGGTCGTTCTCTCCAGTTTGTCAAATTGGAAAGTTGTGAGTTACCCATGCGGTATCGAGACACGGAAGCAGCATCCGCGACTGCTAAGCTTCGCCGTAAGCGAGCTTTGCACCTGTCAATTTCTGGTACGAACGCAGTGTTGACTCGAAAGTCAAGCAAATCGTCTTGAACTCGACCACTTGTGAAGCACAACGATGATGAGACAAAAATGGTGACTACCATAAGCTGACACAGTGCAATCCAACTGAATGTCAAGTGAGCTGGTGGTGACCAGACAGAGTCATAGGCTGAGGAGTTAAATTTGCCTAGGCTTTCCTCGTGGTCCGGAAAGTCTGTTCTCGGAATCGAAATGTGGCTGCCTCTCAGCCACCTGAAAGGGTTCACCCAGAACCAGATGGTCAAGAAGCATGGCGATGACGCTGGAACCTGCACGAGAAGGCAAAGCTCTAAGCCTTACTAGAAGCTGCAACCCTTCGACGAGGATGTAGCTGAGCATGCAATTAAGTGTAGCGATTCCTCTTTGCTTCAGATAGGACCTGTATTCTTCGTGACGGGGGCCAAATGCGAAACAATCATGAAACGATCCAAACATGCAGGATATGTGAACTTGCAAACGCAGGAGAATAGAGTGATATCGAGTCAAATTTCGTAGCCTACGTTCAGGGGTAAGTCATGACAGACAAGTCGGAGCTGTGCAAGTTCGATCCTGATAAACATCGAAAAGCGAGGCGTTTATGGGTGGGAAGATGCCGTTGTACCGTTTGTCTTCTAGAAATTCTCTGGAAGGAAATCCCGGAATTTTGCGACCTGAAGCAACGTCGCGTCGTTGTAGGATCCTGCTGGGCTTGCACCTCATTACGGTCATTAAGTCGGAAGAATACAAAGTGAATTACAGAAGTACCTCTAGTATTGTGTTGGCAACCGCCGATCTCGGCTAATTCCTGGGGGAAACTGGCCATCCACTAGTGCATAATCGATCTTCGCCGGGCACGACAATGTAACGTCTGCTCGCAACACTTCGCCATACAACTGCGACGGTGGATGGGCAGGCCAGAGTGACATTCTGGCAATGTTCTGTTCAACTCTTCGTTGTAGCCAAGTTTGCCGCTCACCTTTCTGATTCCGCTCCAGTCTTGTTTGTTACATGACAGTAGGCAACATCGAGCGTGTGCATGACCGATATGTTTTGATACTTGTCCCTCGTCTCATTGTGACATTCCCTTCGCATATCTCAGCGCCTCCAAGATTGACATCTAGTTCACAGCTACTTTTCACTCGTTATGCATATGCAAGTCTTTGATTGTCGCAGGGTGCAGAACATTCACAACCATTGATACAGCTTGTGGCCGGAAGGAAGCTTCGCCGCACGCTGTGACCTCTATTCGTTAGCGAGACGATGCCTTTGGAACTTCTTCAGACCATCCTTCGTCAACTCGATCGCCTGCTGTCTTTCTTTGGGCTTCATTCCGTCGAGATCTTCAGGTGGAGGCTGGGAAGAAATGGTCTGCCTAGAAACGAGCACAATGTTCTCCATACTCCTTCGAATATGCGACCTCTCCTCGACCTTCAGAAAGAGGTGATCAGCCTCTTCTTGGAGCCATGCGATATTCACCAGATGCGATATATGTCATTGTGTTTGAAGGAGGAATATCAAAAGAAGCTGAAAAGTAGCACAGCATGTATGCTGCCCTCCTTTTGTCACACCCTACCTACAGGCCAGGAAAGAGGCACTTTCATTGCACTCGACCTGGGCGGTTCTACCCTCAGAGTTGCTGTTATTGAATTGTGTACAAGGGCGGACCCCAACGGCGGACTAAGCATTCGACACATGACTGTGCACAAGATTAACGAGCATATCCGGCAGCTATTTGCCAAAGACTTCTTCGATTGGATGGCAGCAAAGGTCATCGATACCCTTCGTCAATGTGAACATACACAGTCACTTCTACATGAAACGGTTCACGTAGGACTGGCTTGGAGCTTTCCTATTGAGCAGACAAGCCATCGTGGCGGTACCATTCAACCAATGGGTAAAGGATTCAAAGCACATGAAGGCATAATTGGTCAGGATCTGGGTAATTTGATAGAGCTTGCCTGCCGAAAACGTGGTCTTGAGGTACGCGTCAGCGCGATTGTGAACGATTCGTCTGCAACTCTCTTGTCCCAAGCGTATAAGGATCCTGCTACCACGGTGGGCCTTATCTTGGGTACAGGCACCAACGCTGCCATTTATTTACCTGTCAATTTGCTTGGCGCCGATAAGTTCGGGAAACGTGATGCTGAATGGTTCACGCAAGCTGAGAAGGTCATCATCAATACAGAATTGTCCATGTTCGGAAAGGGTATCCTGCCCGTTACGAGGTGGGACGAGAACCTCAACCGCAACCATATCTGCCCTGATTTCCAGCCTTTGGAATACATGACTACTGGTCGGTATCTCAGCGAGATCTTTCGGTTGGTGATTGCTGAAGCAGTTGATACCTGTCATTTGTTTGATGGTGTCTTGCCTCAACCACTTCAAGGCAGATATACCTTGGACACAGCTCTGCTAGCGGCCATCGAAGAGGATACGACCAAAGGTTGCATCAGCTCGGCTGAGAGGATACAGAAAGAGTTCAAACTACTTTGTGTGCCCACACCTGCTGAGATGCGCTTCTTGAGACTTCTGACAGAGAGCATTTCTCATCGCGCAGCTGCTTACATTGCCACGACAATACACGCTCTATGGATGCTTGAGCACGATCCTATGCTCGAGATGACCTCCAAAACCATCGTCGCGGCCAATGGTAGTGTGATTTCTATGTATCCCGGCTTCAGAGATCGATGTCAACAGTACGCTAACGAGCTTGTCGCTGCCAGTCAGTCGTCTGCATCTTCTAGGTCCCGACACGAGATCACAATACGACCGACAGAGGAGGCAACGTTGTTTGGTGTAGCGGTCGCAGTCGCTGTTTCTGGTGCTACATGAAAGAAGAGCTGTCCACCACAATTGGCCAGGTAGCTGTCTCTCTTGTAATAACAAGTTAACATCGTCGAGAGGCTACAGACAATTCTGGAACAAGCGATGTTATGATATACTTTGGAATCATATGGCAATTAAATACTGGCGTGTGGTTTGACCATATACTTCTTGCACATATATTGGTTCAGGGAGGACCAAGTCTGACTGCAGACATGGAATCAGCCAGCATCATGGCAGAACGTCCTAGAAAAGAGACAAGCCAGGAAACCTTCGTTTGCTAGGCTTAAAATATCTCATTTGGATAGAAGCGAGCCACTGCTCCCAATGTGAACGAATCACCTCATTCTAATTACCTCCAACGCCGGATCAAACTCTGAGAATTCCCAATGTCCGTCATAGCTCGTCGAGTTTGTGTTTCCTGGCTAAATTCAATTTGAGCCTGCCCTCTTCCACGATACACATTCCCAGCATGCACAACGGCATTGCCGTCGATGACCAGATTGCTGTACGAGTTGCCCTTTACTTTCACTCCGTACGCGACGTCGTTCCCGAGGAACACTTTGGATTGACCAGATAGTTTGATGCCGCTGAATTGCTGTCCGTCCTGGACAAGAATGGCCTGCTCGACAGCTCGTTGAAGAACAACATCTGTCTCCTCAGCAGCACTCTTCAGCAGCAGTCTGTCTTGCGCATCTTCGGTAACCTCCTTCACCTCCTCGATAGCAAGCCGGTCTTGTACCAGTATGGTCTTGGGAAAGTTCTCAATCAGAGCGTCTGCGAGGTCCTTGACGTCTCTTACAAGATCGTCGAAGCGTTTCTTCTCGTACAATGCCCATTTCGCCTTGCGGAGTGTACCCATGTTCTTCTGCCTGCTCTGTATTCTTGCTTTCATTTTCAGATGCATACTCTTCCACCTCGTATTGGCGCTACTGACATCCTCATCACTCTCTATGACCGCCAGACCAGCCTCCTCCTCACTTGCCGCGGGGTTTATCAGTTTCTGCCTCTGCTCGTAGCCTTTGCTCAGGGTCTCGGCATTTTCGAACGCTTCTGCAATGCTTCCCAGCAATGTCCTCGCTATGTCTTTCTCGTGTTTGCTAAGTCGGGCCTCGACCAATACTTGCTGCTTAGGGTCATTACTGAGCAGTTCGAGGGATTCAGCCCATCGTTGGAGGCGAAGACGTGAAACATCGAGTTTGAGGACTGATTGCTCGTAGTCTTTGCCGAAACGTCGTCCGTATTGAATGTATTCGAAGCATTGCATGCATGTTGTGAATAGGCCGAATAGGCCGGCGATGCCCATTCCCAGGCTTGCGGGGTCCATGGCGGAGCCGTGCACACACCCGGAACTTATCCCGAATCACAATTTTTGGAATCGACCTCGTTCTTTCTCAGTTCCTTTTATCTGTCAGACAGTCTACAGGTCTTGAACTGGGGAGTTGGAAGAAAGACGCGGAAACTTGAGTTTTTCAAGTACATGGTATATCGAGGTTACAAAGCACATCTGTACCACAAGCACATGTCGCGAAACGCAAAAGGTCGCTGTTCTGCCTTGTGCACGAGCACCCAATCATGTTGAGCACTGCCCTTACCGATGTCTGCCCAAACCCTCTGTCCCAGTCCCGATAAACACCAAAGACTGGTATGGTGTCGGCCAATAGTGTTGTGAAGCTGTATGGTATGCATGCAAGAACCCTCTTCGCGAGTACGTTGTATAAGAGCATATGAGATCTTTTCCGACTTTTTGTCACGTCAGTCCACATCCTGGTCATTAGAAAAGCGACTGCTCTGGAGGCGCCTGTCTACTAGTATATCTGGACCTTTCTCGATTATCGTCGCGTACCAAGCCTGGGACTTTGAGTCGAGCCAATCTCCATTCCCCTTATTCCAGACGAAACTCAAACACGATCCGGCACAACGAAGGCAAGGTTGATATTTGCCCTGTGCCTAGAACAGTCCCCAACTAGGCCATTCTCCCAATCCAGACTAATCCAATTGATTCAACTCAGTTGCCAGCACGTGTTGTCCTGGGTTGCCAAAGAATACTTCTGCACCCATTGTGGGCAAATCACACTGCAATTCCGTAGTGCCAGATATCCCCTGGCTCGTAGACTTCGTAGACACAGGCGCTGAAATGCTGCGGTTGTGAATGCCTGTCCCAATCTTCGCCATGTCATTATCTTTGTCCGCCACGTCCTGCTCTGCCCGTGCCAAAGCGCCTCGGATAAATGACACGATTTGTGGTGGTGTCAAAGCACTCTTCAATTGTCCAGAAGCTGCTTCGCAGGCTTCCCACGCCTCGAGCACAAACTTGCTGAACATACGATAGACGGGACTATCGAAATCGCCATCGGCAGAGAACCACCCTTCATAATTTGCGCTTATGGCTTCCCAAGCCTGACAAGCCGTTTCGTCGATCGGCCGTCTTGCTAGTCCTTGGAGTAGTTGAATATAGGCTGGGAAGGGAAAATGAAACATGTTCAACCAGCGAAGTCCTCTGGTAGGAGGCGAGGTCATAATCTTCGTGTCACATTCGAGGACTTTCAGGGCATAAGAGGTGGCAATCTCTCGCTGTGCATCTGTTCGATGCGCGGGTAAGTCGGACTGCCTAGCATGGTGTTCTAGGAGACGATATTTGGCAAGATATGCTCGCATCGTCCAAATTGTTGTGAAGTGGAGCGGGTTCTCTAGATCACAGAACTGGAAATATTTTTCTTCAAGCATCTCTTCTAGCTTGTTGAGGTCATGGTTTGGGGCAATGACTTCGCGCTGTGTATGCTTGGATATCAGCTTCAAGGCAGGATTAGTGTAGTCAAGATGGAAGTCACTATGGCGAATGAAGTCAGCAACCTCGCTACGCACGGCAATGAACAGTGCTTCAGACGATCCGCCTCGCATGGAAAGAGGCGTCTTCATCTCAGCTCGTAGCTCAGAATTGTTGACGTTGAGTGGACGACGACAATCCCATGTGGGATCCAATGTGACGATGTTTGAGCTAGCGAGCTCGGAAATTCGAGTGTCGAACAGCACGATTGCCCACCAAAGTCTTCGACGCATTTCTGCCTCAAGAATGGTATGTTTGGCTAGCATTGTCTCGCTATGCATGCCCATACGTTGTGCGGTGCGAACTGCAACTCCAAGCATGGAGTGCAACGATGGAGGAGTTGTGCTCCTTCCTAGGGAGAGCTGGAATAACTCAATACAGGACAGGGGAAACAGTACCAGGAACTCACCAGATAGAGGAACAATGCGGTCAGGCAGTCGCGGTTGTCAGACTGCAGGAATTTACTTGCCCATAGCGCTTGTCGGCAGCCAAATTGGTACTCAATTAAGAGCTGGTCTTTCGAGGATCCGAACACAGATCTGCACTCCTCCGCAGTGATACTACGAATACCTATACAGTAGATGCTAAACATCAGTGCCTGCATGGTACGCGGAGTGTTCGCGACATTACTAGCAGCTTCAATTATACGCGGCTGCAAACTGTGAGTATGTGTAACCTTGAGCAATGGATCGACATTGTCCAGGTAAATTTGCCAGAGCCTGAAGATCTGGACAGGGTCAGGATGTAGAGCGGACGCATCAACCATTGGCCTGGATAAGCCGAACAGTAAGTTGTCGTCGTTGTTGGGATGTGAGTCCCACGCCCTCGTGATGACAGTCTCGCGTACATCGTCACCAGATGAATTGCTGTCGTGGTCAGAACCGCGGAACTGCTGACATTATTAGCAGAGTAGCATAACCATATTCCAGACTTCGCGACCACTTCCTGCGATGCACGGATACGCACTTCTTGGCTCATAGCATGCCAGACGTTCCTGCGAACGTCAGTCGTTTCCTTGCTCTGATGACCACTCACTTGACTTTGTAAGTAGCAGTAAACCCTTCAGCGGCAGTCGTAGTCGCACTATTGCGTTCAGTCCTTGCAAGGCCTGCACTTTGTATTTGACCACAGCGTGGAGCATACCTAGCTTCCCTGCCTTTACTAGAATACTTGTTTAGTGGCTGAAATACGACATTGTTCTGTTGCAGCAGTTCTTCGTATCTGCGGAGACGTTCTAATAGAGCTCGCTCCGAGAACCTGCGTCTTCTTGGGGCCAATGTTGCTTGTACGCATCGGACCTGAGACCTGGTGCAGTTACCACAAGGAAATGTGCGGTCGCATTTCACCTTACGTTGTTGGCAAAGCACGCAAGCAAGAATTCGTTGTGGTTTTAGATCTTGGGAAGAAGGCGAGAGGATCTCTGGCGAGAAGCCAGTAGCAGGCGTGGGTGGAACAGTCGCCATACTCGTAGATGTGATATCCGCAAACAGTGTCGTAGGTCGTGGTATCACAACATGACTTCTTCAATAATCCTCAGAGTCAGTCACAAAAACAAAAACAAAAAAGAACCAGACACTATTGGATCCTCTGCAAAAACGGCGAAAGACAATCACCACTCAACGAAAGTATAGTAGCTTATTGCTTTTGACCATATGATTTTGCAGCTCAGAAGTATGGCCACCAAATCACATCTCGCTAGATGGCAGAGACCTTCATGAGCATTAAAGATTGTCATTCGGTGGTTTGAACCACGAAACTGGGCGTGGCTTCCGAGAAAAGTGGTGGCCGCTGCGCACAACTTTATGAGCCACCTTTACCGGCTACGTCCCCGCCTGAACAGCCTCGCGCTTTCGTCGTGTCGAATTGATAATAGCTCTCCGGGATTTGAAGTCGTCCCAATTCCAACCTTCGAATAGAGAGCTACTTGCCACAGCTTCTCGAACGTATGCTGGACCTCTCTTCTAAGCATGTGTTAGAATACGGGATGTATAAGCCGTATACAAGGTCTTCTTGACCGAACGAACGTCGGCTTCTTCCATTGCGGTCTATGAACTTGAACCTGCACTCTGTGGCACCAATATTGCCCCGAATGGCTTCACTTTTGGCTGTGCCATGGTGGACTTAGGATCAGTCCTTCTTCCAAAAATCGGTAGCCTTGTCCCATCCATGTCTTTCTAAGCTTGTCTTACCTTTGTCTCAATGTATGGTATGTTAAAGGTTGCATTGTCAGTATAGGGCTCAATGGTCCCGTGGCACCTTCGCAGGTCATGCCTAGCCTAAACGAATACTTGCTCGATATCTTCTGCTAATTCTGGTAGATCTCAGTCTTGGTGGCATTACAGCAACCTGCTGCCAGGAAGCTGCTCATTGCTATTTCGGCTGACACCAGAGTCGTGACAAGCCCCACTGTTGCCTTCTACACAAAATCCACCCAAAACATTTCTATCTGCTGACCTTCACTCGCGCTTATTCCTGTGGCCCCCGCGATATTAGTGAGCTAGATACTCGACGTATTCGATTATCATGTAAGGCGAGCACACAAACCAGAGGTTCAGTGAAGACTATCCCCAGGCAGAATGCCAAGAGGAATGGTGAAATTGACAGCGAAGCTGGGACCATGGTGCACGACAAGCACTATTGCAAAATTCTGGTGCCCCAACACAACGACAATCTTTAGATCGGGCCTATCGTGCATCAGGTTGCACTACATATTCGTCGTGGTGCTTTCCTACGCTACAGTCATGTGAAGCCAGTTCTCAACAACCTACCAGATCATGCAATAGACAGTCATACAACCAAAGCTAGTTGAAGGAAACGTGGTCGCTTTATCTTCGTGGCGATTTTGAGCCGTGGAGTCCACGAAGCTGTCCGCGTCACTACAGGTACTCTATTCTCGAGCCTGCCGCAGATATATTCTTCAAGGAGGCAAGGGGAGATGCCAGCGACGAGTGAACTAACACATCTGGAGGTACTGTCGATGATCTGGAAATATGGAAACGTGGAAGGTCTAGTGGTTCACGCAGTTGTGATCCTTCAGAACGAGTCAAAACGAGTGCGCGAGCATAGTACGTTGTGACCTACATGACCAGTATTGAATCAATGAAACGAAACGTTGCCCTATCCTGAACTTCGTGGCTGCTTCTTCGCTATTGCCCGTCGCAAATGAAGGTCGCTTATAGCCGATCCGATCCGGTCCGATGTCCACAGTATTTGCCTGCCCACTTTTGAGCTCAATGAACTGGAGCCACACTTCGTTACCACTGAACATCTGCTAGACATGTGCAGAGAGCTCGAAATGTACCTTGCAGCTCGGAAGCCGTTGACAACGAGCAATACCCCACTCGAAAGAACTGTGGAAGGCTATTGCGAGTGCGATGCTCTTGACTCTTCGGTATTCGTAAACGACTACCAACTCTTCACATCCCAGTTGCCTTCATCCTTCATGGTTCCCGCACACTGACTCGTCGACCAAATTGGATACTTAACCTATACATTATTCTAACATAGATCACTGACCATAGGAGCACTGGTACAGCATAGCGATACATCTCAGAGCTATATTCAAATCCGGCCGCGTCCCACTGACAGACTCATCCTCGAGAGAGCTCGAAGCTTCTTTGACTACAGATTATAGCAAGAGACCTTTGGCCGCAGTGTAGGGTTGAGAAGAAGTCCTCGATCAAAATGGCGTCTATCAAAGCCAACGCACGCAAGGTGGTATGCATTGGTCGTAATTACGCGTGAGAACTTGCCTTGTACTCACATCTGCTGCGTACACTAATACTCTCCAGTGATCACATCAAAGAGCTCAACAACACTCGCCCCAAGAACCCGTTCTTCTTTCTCAAGCCGACCTCATCCATACTCCCACCTCCGCATAGCAACACACCAATCCTGCTACCTAGAAACGTCAACGTACACTACGAAGTTGAGCTTGGTATAGTGATAGGCAAGCCTGCGCACAACCTTCATATTCCGAGCAGTCTACCTGATGAGGACGCAATGGCAAAAGCACTGCCTTATATCAAGAGCTATTTTATCGGCATAGACCTTACAGGACGGAACCTTCAAGAGGCAGCGAAGAAGAGTGGTCTACCATGGACCACAGCAAAAGGATTTGATACCTTCCTACCCATATCGAACGAGATCCCTAGGGACAGAATCCCTGACCCGCACAATGCACGGATTTGGCTCAGTGTCAACGGGGAGAAGAAGCAAGATGATAACACGAATCTGATGTTGTTCAGGATACCACGGATATTGAGCGAGATCAGCAGAGTCATGACACTCGAGGAAGGAGATCTTGTCATAACGGGTACCCCGAAAGGCGTTGGATCGATTGTGGCTGGTGATCGCGTGGAATGCGGGATTGAGGTTCAGGGGAGCAAAGTAGAGGAGGGCAGTATTGAAATCGGAGTTGAAGATGCGGCAGGACCAGAAGATGGCGGTTACGATTTTGCACGGCTGTGAAATGCTGCATGATCCCTTACATTCTATCCCCAATTTGAGCTGACATTGTTCGTTTCACCTGATATTCAAGGCTATTCGCTATCATTTCTTCTGCTTACAGGGTATTTACCATGATATGGGAGGTTATGTCAGGCTAGCTGCAAGATTACTCAACTCGGGCCTGTCTGCTCGTTGAGCCTGTCGCTCGCTTCGATTCGGAAATTACTCTCTTTGCTACCCCAGGTAACTTCAGTCCGATGATGTCTTGGCGCAACGACAATTGCTGCAGCTTACTCACCTCATATTGGCTCTCATGGCTAATACAGTGTTACAGAAATTCGTGCTTGTCTAACCTCCTTTTCACCAGGAACACGACTAAAGATGAGTGCGAGGATGAAACAATGAAAAGACACAAGCGATATTGTCGTCGCTCCAACGCTTGTCTGTGGCTTGATACGAATGAAGCGCTGTCGCGCCATGCTGCTTGGAATGCAAAGTAGCGTCACGTTTGCTCAGCAACGGGGCTATGGATGATAAGTTCAGTGTACAAGTTAGGACCGTCAAGGTACACCGTCGACCTGAACCATATCTCGTCGAATTAATTACTTCTCGCCCAGACAGTGTATCGATCTTTAAGTTGCATCACCTCCGACTTCTTCATAGTCCGCAATAAATGTCTATCGAACAGCATGTCTGCCATCAAGTCGATCCTCGCCTCCTTCTGCTTGGCGTACTGCTCCTTGGTAGCAGCAAGCCCCAGACCCGCGAAGAACCCGGGCTGCGGTGACTTGAATATCGTCTTCACGTAAGTCCGACTCAAATTGCTGCAACACTGACAGTCTAACACATGCATCCCTGCGGACTACCATCCTACCACCCACTCGTGGAAGCTCAGGGCTTCAATGGCAGCGCTGTCGACCAAGCCCTCCGACACGATGCAGCTGAGGTCACCAAGGCCGGGTACAATCTCAAAGGCACGTTGGGCGTCCGAGTAATTGACCTCAATGGCTGATCTTTGAGTTAGTGGTTCTCATGGGTCATGAACGGGACATCAGTGTGGCGAGCCAACAGCTGAGCGGTATCAAATGGGACGGAACAGGCGTGGGCTATAGCGTACGTGGGTCGACCCTAAAAGACATAACTATTCGCTTCAAGGGTAGGTCAACAAAGCCTCTCGAAGTGAGGGCACTGATCTGGCGTAACAGATACTGTTCAGTTGTACCGCAACAAAGCACCAAGGTCGCCGATCCTGTTCAATTACTCTCCTGCGAGCGCTCTTTGGGCTATCCAAGAACAGTTTCCGCTCCCGGAAAACTGTACGAATGAGCCTGGAAAAGACTTGGTAGGTTTTCATATTTCCCGAGTCTGTGTGAAAAGGCTGACATGTCTCGCAAAGGGTTTGAGGTTGTCTGTGACATCTGCAGCCAGTGAGCTGTCGTCGTCATGCAGCTGAAAACTCGACCTGGGCGGAGCACAACTCTGACTCAAAGACCTTCTCGGCGCTCCTCACTGCCTACTTTCTGATGCTGCATCTTGGTATCCAGTATTCCACAGCTCTGCGTCAGCTCAAGTTTAGCAGATCTCAGGTTGGCAGCAGCTTGCCAGAAACGTCCCGATCGTCCTCTCTTCCGCGTCGATTTCTGCAGCGGTCCAAAACATCACCTATGTGGAACGTGGATGCCAGTTATCACTGCTTCGATGGTCGACAATCTTCCGAGGACTGATCAAGGCCTACGCCGATACGATATCTTTGGTCATACGTCTTTTCCCATATTCGTGCAACACTTCACAGCCCCGAAGCATCTCACTGAACGTCACACATCTGCAACAGTGAACCACGTCCTCGAGGAATGTTTAATAGTGTCGTTAGGCTGATGGGTTGGTTAGCTGTAACGCAATATGACAGAAGATCCAGATAGCTGATGCCTGACGTGCCTGGGCTTGACGAAGCGATTCCGAGCACACTTACCGCATTACTAGGCTATGCCAGCACGGAAGTACAGCAAGTAGCACGCTGTAGGATAAAGAGATTCGCGTCGCGTCGTAACTCGTGGTAACTCGTGTCAAACTGCTGTAACTTTGTAGACATGTAGACCTTCTATATAGTGATCAATTCTTCCATCGTCTCTACAAGTGTTCTTAATTGAGCAATCCCGGAAACACCGCCTATGCGCCACCATGAACGCCTTGCCAATGCCCTAAACTCCCAGCCTTTTCTTGCATTACCTCACGCTCTCGACGTTGGTACGACAGTACACGCACCTCAAGCCTCCATCTGGTGTCGAGTCTTCCCAGCCCTGGAAACATTGGTCATGACAACGGTTTAGGCACTCCTCACACTGCCAATAGGCCTCACCCGCCTCCCCCTCATACGGCATCAGACAAATGCCGCACTCTTGATGGCTATGTCGCAGTGGCGAGGGAGAACGACTTCTTGACCGAGAAACTGTCGTGTCTGAAGCAGAAGAAGAAGGTGATGGGCTTGATTCTGGTGTCGAGATCGTGGAAGATGCCGCAACACTCGGAGCAGGAGTAAGGGCAGCAATTCGGCTGCGCCTTATGGAGTCCAAAGACGGCCTTTCTTGCGGTACAGTGGACGATCCTGTTTCTGACACCAACCCATTCAGAGTCTGCCCAGGCGATCGTCCTGCCCCACTGGAAGATGGTTGCTGAGATTCATGTTGGGAAGTCCCGGTCCCGGAATTTTCTGAAGAGTGAGAAGTGTTCCAGCGTTCAGCATTATCTTGGGTGCTTGTGGAGCTTGGCGCGTGCTGTGAACCTGGCGGTGTCTGTTGAATTCTTCTTCCCCGGACCACTTCATCGCTGATGTGGTTATACTCTGAAGCCACTGCCTCTATGTGACCTACAGCAGTTCTTGAGTTGTTATTCGGACGTGCTCCCAGACCCTGATTCGAGCCAATTCTCGATTGTCCATCGTTGGCCAGCGGCACAACAGTAGCAACAATTGTAGTTCCAATGCTGTGACGTGGTACTCTGCCTAGTTCCCGCTCAAGATCTTCGAAGAGCACCATGCTGCTATGGTTCTCTAGGCCATACCTACAGTCCTGGTACAGCGGTAGGGGATAATCATATGGTTGCGGAATCCCCCGAGAGGTAGGTATGCTCGATGATGTTCCCCAACCGTTGAGCTGGTATTCCCAAATACTAACTTTGTCTGCAGCTTGGTACTGATGCCATCTCTTACACAGTAGCAGTCTCGCTACGTAGTCAAGATCAGCAGTTCTGACATTCTCGCCTCTGTTTAATGTATACACGATGTCGTTCAGAATGTCGACAGCAGTTTGTCGAGAGAAATGTGCTGCAAGAAGTCCACAAGTAGGTTTCTTGAGTCCATAACCAATACAGGTCGGTTGATCAAAAGGATGTCTGATACCAAGCTGCCTACAAAGTTGGTCGATGGATGCCATACCGTTCAAGGCGTGCTTGTGAGCTCGACAATGGATGGGAGCACTGGTATCAGATCTATGCTTTGATCACTTGAACTGACTATTGGTCATACAACCGAGAGCTTAAGCATGGCTCTTTATCTCAAAAGGCGGCGCTTGATATTGAGCAAGCTTGCAAGCTTGACACATGAACGGATTTCCCTCTCCATACTCGCAGCCTGTCCAGAGACGGTCTGCTGCCACTCCTGATACGCCTTGGGCTTCACCGAAGCTCAGCTGTACATGTGAGGCCAAGCGTGCACGGCTCAAGCAAGGCGTAGACGGTCGACCTTATCCGGTATAGATCGGTTAGCTCTTCCGGGCACGATACGGGAGATCTACACCACCACTGCTCATTGTTGGGCAGGGGGCGAAGCAACAAAAGTTCCACCTCTTAGAGCATGGCACGTTGAGCTGGACGTGGTCCGGCTTCATCACTGCACGGACTTGCTATCGATGCCGCAAAGTCTGCCTCGTCCAGCCCTTTGCGCGTGGAAGCGGCCCGTGGCTGAGCAGATCATGCAACGATGGACTGACTATACGGCTTTGAGCAGCACCTAAAATTGGCGCTCAAGCGCTTGCCATTGACGACAAGTGTGCTGCTGAGCCAATGACGAGCCACAACTTGCTTCGAGGCCGTTTCGTGGCCGCTTTGCGGAGCTGGTCGTGACATAGGTTCCTGGTGGTACTTTGGTACATGAACTGTATCGGGGGCTGCTACTCCGTGACTTGACTCGTTTGAGCCTCAGAAGCATGTATCTATCTATGCCTGTCCACGTGGAGAGAGAGAGGATAAATGCAGGTCTGATGTAACAAGGCTTGGACCACGTAATCGATCAGACCGGCACGGCTCGCTAATCAGGTTAACTTCTTTGCACCGAATACGTTTTCGAGACTTTACTATCGTGGTCCCGGAGTGGCACGTCAGTTCTGTGGCAACAGAGATCGAAAGATGGTCAGGTAAGCCGACATCTTAGCTTTGTATAGGCATTCCGAACCAAAATGGTCGCCTCATGACCTCCTTTGCAAATTCGGTGCTAGCTGTCCGACTATCTTAGATAAAAATGATTTGATAGTCGTCGTCCACTAGACTAACCAAGTCCATACCACCCACTTGGTCTTGATTTCGTCCCCGTCTTCTTGTTAACTATCCATGCCAGCACCATTGCCATGGTCTGATCTCTCGCCACCGTCGCTTCAGTCTTTTCGCGAGCATCAAATTGTGGTGGAGCTGGTGTCTGACTGCTGGCTGTGAAGGTGAACGTCAGGCTCGACGACTGGTCAGCATCCGACTCAGGTACTTTTGTGTTGAGGTCGCTATCAGGTATTCTCTCGCCATTCAAGAACACCTCAACTACCACTTCTGTTTTGTCTCCACTACTAGGAGAAATGACTTTAATCGATCCGCCAAGATTTACTGTGACTTGCTCCTGACCATCCACTGTCGACTTTTCAGCTGCCTTCACCGCAAAATTGGTAATTGACAACTCTGGAGAACGTTCGTTGTTGCTCTTGAGCTTGCTCAACTTACTCAGCCTTGGTAGTGATGGCGTCAAGTGAGGTCTTTGTCTTCGATTTCTAATGCTCTCGAATGCCTTGGCCCAACTCAACAACTTTTCGTCCGAATATGCCGGGCCACAGAAAGTCAGACCCATAGGTACGTTCTTCTCTTCCAACAAGCCCATATTCACAGTAACGCTGGGCACACCCATGTGACGGAAAGATCGATTGCAATTGCTGTACTTTACACCGTTCGTCCACGCGTGTTTAGCAGATTCATGAGAGATATCTGCGTCGGCTTTCCCAACATCACCGGCAGCAGGAAATACAACCACATCGTACCTATTGCAAGTCATCCAGTCCTCGAGGAAGTGTTTGCGCATTGACTCGAGAGTTCGACAGGCGTCCTTCAGACCAGGATAGTTGAGCAACGATTGCCACGCGGTCTCTGAATTGACATCTCGGTCGAGGTGAGACGTCAATTTAGTCCAATGTATAGCATTTGTGGGCTCCGCGTAAGCGATCTGCGGATGATCTGGTGGCACTGCTGGAAATAGTTTAGTAGCGTCGACGGCATGAAGGCTTGGATATTTCGGATCTGCGTTTCCACGTAGGAAGGCATCCCATGCCAGAGCTATTAGTGGGCCGCGCTCGACACTGTTCCAGTCTTTAGGTAATCTGGGAAAGTCGGAGTATCCAAGGGCGGATAAAGAGTCTGGAGCGTCGTAGCCTTGGACTAAAGGAAACTCATTCACGACAATTACCTCCGCTCCTTGTGCTTCGAGATCGGCTCGTGCCTGCTCCCATAGCGAGACGACTGCAGGTGAAGTAAAGACTGGTTGGACATGAGCAAGTTGTGGGCCGGCAATATAGCAGGAGGGAACTGCTACTCGCAAGCCTGCCAAAGAAGTGTCTTTTGCAAGCGACTTGAACGGTTGAGGACGACTCGACCACGAGGTCGGGACATCGACGAAGTTTTGTGAACGCCAAAAGTCACCCTGGATTGTGAAATCTTCTGCAGTGATAACATCAAGCAACTCAAACAGATCGTCCATGGTGCGAGTATGAGTGCAGACGTCATCCGCCGTTGGGTACAGTGGCCAGATTCCACGCACAGAAATCAGGCCGCGAGAAGGGGTATATGCAATAAGACCATTGTTCGAAGCTGGCGAGCGTCCTGACGACACAGTCTCTGAACCTAAACCAAAGGCCACCATAGAAGAAGTCGTTGATACTGCACTACCATGTGAAGAACCAGATGCGAAAGCGCCAGACAACCAATCCTTGTTGTAGGGGTTCTCTGATCGTCCATGAACACCTCTTTGTAAACCTCCGTACATCATTGGACAAGTGACGGTTTTCCCAAGTATGACAGATCCTGCTTCTCGAAGTCTTTGTACAACGAAAGAGTCTTCGTTTGCAATCAAGTCTTGCAGAGCTGGAGAACCACTAGCGACACTCATGCCACGTATCTTGTAGCTATCCTTGACTGTGCATGGAATGCCATCGAGTGGACTCGCAGGCTCGCCTCGTGCGCGTCTTTCATCTGACGCCGCTGCTTCGTTGAAGACGGAGGGGTTGAGCACGGGAGTCGAATTTAAGGAAGGACCTCGACAGTCGAAGTGGCTGATTCGATTGAGACTCTCGGCTGCCAGTTCGACGGCAGTAATGAGACCATCTTTAAGAGCTTGGGACAGAACAGATATAGGTGCCTCCGCAATATCGAACGTGTCCATGTTTAGCGGGTGCCGAGACATCGTGGGTGGATTTGTTGTCAGAAAGTGCAGAGAATGATCAATATACGTACGCGAATCTGTCGAACGAACACGAGATATCAAGCAGAAGCACCTACCTTAGATTCACGATCGGGCAAAAACATAGTGATTAATTGGCTTGTGGGACAGCGAACCTTGTATTCCGAGCTGTTTGCCGACAGGACGCCATGGAGCTGGTCCGAGCTATGTGACTTTATCAAATAGTAGGTAGTGAAATATAGGAAGAAGGTGCGTGGTCGCTGCCGTGGTGAAGTCTGACTCGAGCCTGAGAGTCAATATTTAGAACATATGCCGGAGATGGCACTTTAAAAGCACGTAGAATCGGCAGCATTGACAATTCGACCTAATACGGAGTACAGCGTGCACCACTGATCCACAATTCGGGTAAGTGATTGAACACATCACGAACCAGCGGACACCATAAGGTGAACTCTCACATGCAAATGTTCTCGTAGTGTTACAACGTCCACCCTCATACAGAGATGATCTGCTTATCTATGTCAAATGCTTCGCGGAGCCATTCAGCGACTATGTCCGTCTTCCAGCGTCGTGCAAAACATGATAACGATAGATGAAGGTGTTTTATCTCGGCGCATGGCGCACCCACTGTATGACATGCCAGCCCAAGCTTTTGTTTTATATATACTGGTGGTACATAGTATCTATCTGTGTCGATTCTCCTTCCACGTATTTCTGCTCTAGCAAAGTCACAAAGGTGGATCACATACAATGGCCACCACTAATAGCACACCAATGTCTTCTGAGAAGGATGGCATTACACGAGCTGGCTCTGTGCACTCAGCTACTCGGCCCGGCAGCATCATCAATACTGTGAAAGATATCGGTCCAGATCCCAAGGGAGACATAGCTACTGGCCTCTATCGAGAAATTGATAATTTTACTCCAGAAGAACTCGAAACAGAGCAACTCAAAGTACGACGCTTGGTGGATTGGAGAATTATGCCCATCATCTGCATGACCTATATGATTCAATTTCTCGACAAGCTGTCCCTCAATTATGCATCTGCCTACACCCTCATTCCGGACCTTGGCCTTGAGGGCGAGAGATACTCGTGGGTTGCAGCCATCTTCAACTTTGGTTACCTCTTTTGGGCAATTCCCGCCAACCTCCTCGTCCAACGATTACCTGTTGCAAAATATACTGGTACCATGATTTTTGTCTGGGCTATTCTGCTTGTATGTCATGTGGCTGCGAAGAACTATGCTGGTATGCTTGCGTTGGTAAGTAGCATAGAATGGCCGCTGTAAAACAGAGCGATATATGTGTAGCGGCCAGTTTTTGGGCCAGAAAACGCACTAACGACTGCAGCGCTTCCTCCTCGGAATGTTCGAAGCGAGCATCTCACCAGCGATCATGAGTATCTGTTCAATGTGGTAAGTCACCGCATGTCAAAAGTCGATGTTTCTCTTCATCCAGCACTACCGATGCCTGTCCTATGTGCATGACGGTGCTCGTCTCCTCCGGCGTGTCTGAACGAGCTCATGGATCTAATATGCCACCTAGGTATACCCGCTCAGAGCAGCCCTTACGAATGTGTATATTCCTTGCCTTCAATGGTATGGCAACGATGATCGGAGCCTTGCTGGGCTTTGGACTCGGCCATTCCACCAGCACGTCGTTGAAGTCTTGGCAACTCATCTTCCTGACTATCGGACTTATCAATTTTGTCTGGAGTATCATTTTTCTTTGGATCATGCCGGACTCGCCAGCAAATGCAAAGTTTCTGACTCACAGGCAACGCGTAGTTGCTGTTTATCGAGTTTCCAATAACATGATCGGGGTGAAGACGAAACAGTACAAGTTGCCCCAGGTTACCGAAGCTTTTACCGATGTCAAGGTGCTTCTCATTGCGCTCATCGGTGTAGCTACTGGCGTGATTAATGGAGGAATTGCAAACTTCGCGTCAGCACTGATCCGAGGGTATGTGTCGCTGAGTGAAGTTTTTTCTTTGTGGGTGGAAAAAAGACCTACACTAACAGATCTTCCCCAGATATGGATTCAGCGGCATTAGTGCCACACTATTACAGCTTCCAACAGGAGCCTTCGAATTCGTTCTCGTGCCAGTCTGTGGCCTCATCGCTGCATATTGTGCCAATACACGATGCATTGTTCTTGGCGTGATCTGTCTGGTACCCTTTGGAGGCCTCCTCGGTATCAGATTCACAGACCTGGAGCATCGATGGACGCTGGTAGGATGCACATGGCTTCAATACATCGTCGGGGCGCCAGTCATTCTCAGTTGGAATCTGCTCACCACCAACGTCGCTGGACATACCAAACGATCCTTCTCTAATGGCCTCTGGTTCACCCTCTACGCAGCTGGTAACATCGCTGGAGCCAATATATTCTTTGCGAGGGAACGACCAAGATACTTCTCTGCGCTCACTGGACTGTGCATTTGTTATGGTGGCATAATTGTGATAGCAGCACTTTTGTGGATACTAATGAAAAGGGAGAACCTCCGGAGAGATGCCGAACAAGAGAGAAGAGGCAGCGCAGCCGTTGTGTATGCTCACTCTAAGGAAGGCGTGCAAACTGATCAGAGGGCGATAGACGATGGCTTCAACGACTTGACTGATAAACAAGGTCGATACTTTCGATATGCTCTATAGAGCAGCTCACTATGCAAGGACTACATGTCCACGTGCGTTCCCTCCATGTCTCATTCGGACTCGACCGACCAATCCTCGAGTAGTGCCACCAGTCTTTTCCCAAGCCATAAGACGTCTGTCAAGTTAGTGGTCCATACTATTACCAGCTACGTTTCGAAGTCCAGGCGCGCGAGCCACGACGCGTACAACTTCAACGGTATCACTGGTTGTGGGGTCCTATCAAATTCGCAACGAAAATCGTTGATGAAGCCACGGCCCTGAAGGTCGCACTGTTGTTGGTATATCGTATTTCCGCTGGACAAGCAGTCGAGAACAGGTCGAGTATAGCCAAAGTCTCGCACTCCACCTCGACATCGAAGTGCGTGCATCTTCTTCAGGATCACCCCCACACCCTCGAACCTCTATCGACGTTCAGAGAGCGTTTGGTATTGGCGAGATTAGCATTTCTTCATCGCGAGTGGAGCATAATGGAATTCTTCATAATTGTTACATCTCATTGTCGAACCACTCACGTCGGTCGTCGCATATGATCGTCCTGTTCGTCCTGATTGCACAGCAATAAATCGATCGGTATTCTCTCGGATCCCTGAGCATAATTCGTGGATGTCGGCAAGCATGAGCGTGCTGATGGACCACTCTCATATCTAGGGTTGGAAGTGGTCGAATCTAATGAACTTGCATCGGACACTGACCTCGCTAGCAATTGCAGAGGATCATCGACCTTGGTTGCAACTTGGTCGAGGATTTCCAGCTTCTGTGTGTCTGACAGATTGTCATTCAAGACTGTGTTCATGGTTTGAGTAATCCTAAGTTGGTCGCCAGAGCGCCATGCCAACGAGATATGGCTGAGCAGAGCTTCATGGATGACGGCTTTGCCCATAATGAGCTCTTTGTACTTGTTCGTCCGTTTGTCGTGTCCTTCAAACTTGCAATTCAGTCCATCTTTGCGGCACTGGTCGCAATTACGGTCGTCATGTCCTCCAGTACACTGACAGTCACGTATGTTAGTAAAACCAAAATAGAACGTCCGTTACTGAGACCGGGAGCGCGTACCCTTCTCCTTTTGTGCTTGCATATCGTGCACGCTGCTGCTGCCTTTTTTCGAGGACGTTCAGATTTTGGCAGCAGCACTTCCACAAGTTCGGGCAATGTGTTGACTGGAACTGCTGTGGAGGACAAAGACATAGTAGCAGCACTCGTCGGGCCTACTTTCTGCTTTATGGTGTTGTGAAGGGTTGCTGAATGCGACGACATATACTGTCGTAGAAAACTGCAAGGCACCTACTGGCCTTCACTCAATCCCATGTTGGAACATCAGATACGTAGCTAGCTGGATGTGGCCTTGACTATCTATAGAAGAGCCCATTGTGTACGGAACAACAATTCCAGAGCCTACACTCACGCAAATTCTTCAGCTGCTGAGATCTTCCTCAGCCTCCTTGGCGATCTAGAAAGGTCGCAAGTTCGTGCATGTGAGCGACTGAATGTGGTAGTCTACTCTACAGTAGTAGGCTGGCGAAATTGCACAGTATTTGCCTCAAAGCTGCAGGGTACGATGTGGTCAATAGACGAATATCACACAGGCATACTCTACTCTAGCGCTTGTGATGAGTTGTAAAGCCGCGTTCCGTACTCAAGTGCTGGAACTCCATGGCGGAAGTAGTTCCCGGACATCTCTAGCGAGTGGATCTAGAAATAACCCTCGAGTCCGCAATGACGTGGGCTCAACAAGTTGAGCACAGGGTAGCATTCCTTGCGTACCTGACCTGAACATGGTCTCCACGAGCACAAACGGGGCAGGAAGTGAAGGTAAACCAATGTCTCTATAACTTATATTTTCAATATCTAGGCCTTTCTTGCTCTGGAGCGTGCAATCCGCTTGGTCGTTTGTGTTTGTAGCACTCTTAATTAGCGGCAGGAGTACGCGATTGAATCGGCGATCGTATTCAGGCCCAGACAGAGCATTCTTCGTGGCTTGCTCCCCCGGAATACCCTGCAGCGACGCTCGTTGACTGTCTGGCATCGCTTGGGATATGCTGCAGTTCCGTTGAGCATGTCACCCTGCTTCGGAGAATTACGTGATCTCACTGGAAATACTGAAAGCGATACGGGAGCATCGCATCACTAAGGTACTACCACGACGTATTGGAAAGACAATTGTGGCAGTTGTATTCTTGTTCGAGAGCAGGGACCAACGTCTCGGCGCTCTAAAGGTCGAGCACGAAAGATCATCTGGACATAATTTAGTTACTGTTCTCAATAACGTAAACGCATACCTTGGACAAATCTCGGCACTAGCATTGTCCAGTTTGTGAGGGTTCGAATAGCTGAAGGGCGCTTGTGTTTTGGCGGCAGAGTGCTCCATCGTACAGGGCCCCCTTCGTGACCTGGCCGAATGCCTCTCACTTTACGAATATCTATCAATCTGCAATCAAAAGTTCATTGCTATACTATTTCACATATGATCTTTGATTGGTAAAACCTGAGGAGTTGAAGCCAAACACCGAACTCACAGATACGAGGTCGCTAAATATACCTGAAATGTGCTCTTAGATCCAGATGGTCCAAGTACATCGCAACATTATCCCGCAAAGGATGTTAAAGTCTAGCCAGAGCACCAGGATCTGATCACCAGGCATCTCGCGTGGATCTCGAGAAAGCCTTTTTTTTTCCACATGGCCAATCGAGCAGAGGCGATCCTTTCACTTGAAACTCAAACTTCGCTATCATAACCAATGACTTGACCTCACCTCGACAGTAGCATTTTTTACAACGTACATAGCATCAACTCCTATTGCCTAGCAGTAAGACCGGACTTGCAAATTTTTAGAGTCGCGGAGATATACTAATACTGCTGGATGTTGAGGCTCACGTCGCCAAGAACCCTGTTAGCTCGAGCTACTCGAGTACGGTAACCAGCCGCGCAATCGATCCTACTGACTCGATTGAGACACAACGGAAATGTCGACGCCGTGAGCCAGTGCCGATCCTGCAGCTGGTTGGATTGCGAAGAACGAACATTGTTGCCAAACTTGGCACCGATTCTAGAGCTCGCCAACCATGCAGCAATAGTAAGTACGGATATGCATGGAGTGCCGTCGCACGCGTCTTTATCACTATCACTCGATGTTGTTTGATAGAGTAAACGCCAAATGTATCATGTATCGACACAGCGTGCAAGTACAGTATGCACTTTTGCATCACGTTCATCCATGGTTCTCGTCAGCTTACACGTGGAAAGAGCAAAGCAAACCCCTAGCGAAACGAGATCTTGCTGAATGAGAGTAACTCGTTTGCAGATGAGGTTCTTAAGACTAGGCACAAAACGCCACAATCGGGCTATGTGGCCCGTCTCCTCGTGCATGGTCTTGCTTCGTCGTAGCTGCACACTCATACATTGGCAGCTGTTCGAATTATTCTCGAGTCATCAAAAGAAATGCGCTCGGCTCTGAGTATTGCCAGAGTTTGGAATATGCTTGGTTTGCGTATTGTGTTTAGAGAAACCGCTCCTGCAAGAGCTAAACTTTATTCTTTGTCTTCAGCAGGATAAATTGAGCGCAACGTGATACAGTCAACTTCTTCGTCTTATTCAACGTTGACCATAATGTTGTCCATCCCCTTGAAGCCCGCACAATTGGGCATGACGTGAACTCGTCATCTTGTTACACTTTCCCGTATCGGGCTTTCCCCAATCGAGAGAAATTAGCTATAAGCGGACTAGGAAGGTGTAACGAGACCTCCCTTCGATCGAACACCGCGTCCAGTTTACAAAGCAGTTGCAACGGGCTCTTCAATCGAAGCCCAGCAGTGGTCAAACAGCCCTTTAGTGATAATCACATGGTCAATGTGCACACAGTTCCTTGCCAACATCCTGGTCATGGACGTCGCAATGTCTCTAGCTCGCTTGCCGACGGTTGATAGAGGCAGTTGTGACCAGATCCACACAAACTTCCCAGTCAGAGAAAGACTGCTATGTACTTCTCTACAATCAGCTTGAAGTGCATGAGGTTACGCTTGTCTGCTACCGTTAATGTTGCTGGGAAGCAAGGCGACTCTACAGTAAGGTCTAAGGAACAAGAAAGGCTTCAAAGTTCTTGTTCTAGTGAAGCTCTTGCCTGCGTCGGAATTGCACACTGTTCGCTGGTCAAGATCCAGAATATTTGCCGGTTCTCTGGTGTGGCAGGACGATATAGCCGGTCACAGAACCTCAATTCGAATCATCGGAGGCGATCTCCTCGTTTTGGAGAAAGCGGGCGGTTCTCGTTGACAATACCAAGTAGCAACCCAATATCCCGCAGAGTTTTAAGTTCTTATGATGCTTCTCGATACTCACAGGCCAGTGCTTTCCGATCATCTGCGGCAACAGTTACAAAGCCGTTCGCTGAACACGTGCAGAAACCTGGCAGAACCGATCTGGAGCATGACACGGGTGACAACGGTTCGATACTCTGATTCGCTCGCCTGCTCGTTGAAATGAATCCCCTCGAGGCTGCCGAAAGCGTGGCAGAACAGTTTGAAGTCTCAGATTCTAACATTCAGAATTGCGTCAACCAGTTCATAACGGAGCTCAATGATGGCTTATCGGAATGGCGACCGACAATGTGCCAGATACCAACATATATCACTCGCGTCGCTAATGGGACGGAGAGAGGATTTACACTCGCTGTCGATCTGGGCGGAACTAACCTGAAGATCTGCTCTGTCGATCTGCACGGAAATTCGACATATACGACCAAACAATCTGAATGCCTGATACCGAAGAATCTGACGGTCGCCTCAAAAGCAAATGACCTCTTCGCGTTCATTGCTGCCGAGATAAAGGCGTTTCTCGAGGATCATCATGTTAACCGACTGCACTCTAACCAAAAGCTCAGTTTGGGCTTCTGTTTCGCTTTTCCTCTCAGGCAGACCTCTGTAAACTCCGGAGTCCTCCTGCACTGGGTCAAAGGTTTCGATGTACCTGATGCTGTCAACCAAGACGTCTGCCAGCTATTGCAAAACGAGCTCGACAACCAAAAGGTTCCGGTGAAGATCAGTGCGATTGTCAACGACACACTGGGCACATTGATGACGCGTGCCTACACATTGCCTGTAAACAAGACACGTACCTCAGTCGGTGCGATCTTCAGCACAGGGACCAACGGTGCGTACCTGGAACAACTCCACAAAATCAAAAAGGACATCGGCAAACATGACAGCAGTACTGGAGAGATGTTCCTCAGCACAGAGTGGGGTTCTTTCGACCAAGTACTATCCGTACTAAGCAACACCCAATACGACCAACACATCGCCCAATACGGTGTAGACCGCAACATGCAAATGTTCGAGAAGCGAATGAGCGGACCATTCCTCGGCGAACTCCTCCGAATAGCCATCGAAAGAATGTACGATGATCCCCGTCTCGGCCTCTTCCCAAATTACAAACGTGGCGACAAGAAACTCAATCTACGAACCCCATGGTCCGTGGAGCCAAGCATGCTCAGCATCGCCGAAGGCAGCGACACCAAAGCCCTAACCAAGAAGATCGAAGAGGTCTTCGGCTTTCCCAGCTGGGCGATCACACTCCAAGACTCCCGCGCTGTCCAAATGGTCAGTCGTGCGATCGGACGACGCGCCGCACGGCTCGCAGGCATGGCCGTCGGTGCCGTCATCATACAAAGCGGTAAACTTCAACATCACGATCCCCTCGTCCAACCAGCGAGAGAATCCATCGAGGGTCGCCGCATGTCTGAAATCAACGCCGAAGCGAGAATGGTTGACGTGGCTGTGGACGGCAACGTCTTCGAGATGTTTCCTAGGTTCGAGGTTCACATGCGAGATGCGCTGAGGGCGATCGATGGTATTGGACCGGAAGGCGAGAGGAGAATACGTATTGGACTTGCGAAGGATGGCTCGAGTGTTGGAACGGCTATTATTGCGTTGCTTGCGGCGCAGCAGGAGGACGTACGGGATGGTTTGAGCAAGTAAGTGATTGGGGATTTGAGTTATGAGACATGTATCAAAAAAGGCACGGGTGGATCTGGATATTAGTTCTTGACCATGTACCTAAAGCAAATGAGATTCGAGTTTCTGCAAACGCAGAATGTCAATATTATGCCACTTTCTAAGGAGGTCTGTCCAGATGTGCCATGTGCATGAATGAATATTCCGTATATTCTCTCTATACCTTCATTCGGGTCAGGTATGAATCGCTATCTGATTCTATTATCTCCAAAACACTATTAACTTCAGCCTCAAAATGGGCAGGTATAGTATGGTAACGTATTAGATCTACCTTGATCACCTTCTTCATCTCAGTCTTAAATACGTTACAAACGCATGAAGGCAACGTAGGTGCCCGATCCAAACTGGTATCTCCTTTCCTTTCCAACATACACATCCAAAGGTTTCTGCTTTACCCCAAATCCATGTACCTCACTATGTCCAGCTCACAAGATGGCAGATTGCCCGTAATTTCGTCACTTCTTACCCTTTACACTAAAGAACTTTTTAAATCCACCTCCCTCCTTATTGTTCGCTAGCTGACTTCCATTAGGCCGACCATTAATTATAAAAGGCTGCACCTCCTGCTGCGTTGCTGGAGGTGGAGCAGTGCTCAGTAGAAAATTAGCGAGGTCGCCTGTATCGAAGGCGGTCGAGCCATCCCTTCGTCCAGCCGTGCTCGAGGTGGTATCTTGAGAGCCACGCTCTCTGTGACTCATAGAATTTGAGGCACGTATTTGTTTGCTGCTCGCACGGTTGCGATCAACGTGTGAAGCGTGTGTTGCTTGAGTTGGACGATAGACGTCTAACTTGGAGCCTGTCTGCGTGAGGTGTGGAGAGTCTGCTCGGGCTCGAGATTGTGCAGATACAGTTTGGGCGTAAGTGCGTGGTTTTGGTGTATCTTGAGTGGCAGACGCCGCCGAGCGGTTGTTACGGACAAGGCCTCTTAATTTGTCCATGCTGTGAGTGTGATTCAGTGTCGGTTTCGATTCACTAAAATGGTCTCTGGGCATGGCTGGCAAGGCAGTCATGGTGGGTGGTGGAGCCGTATTGCGAAGAAAGTCCATCAAAGACTCCTCTTGAGTCTGTTTTGATGGTGGTACGACGTTGAGGAGATCGTCGTCATCGCTTTCTCCAAGGTCGTAGGGATCCTTTACACGCCTCCGAGTTCTTCTCGGCATGCCATCGTCGCTGCTTGGCTGTCGATTAGCACGAGGTTGTGCCGACATATTGATTTGGTCCTCGTTCCTAACTAGTGGTGTATTCGAGTTGTTTCTTGTAGCCGTTGAGGCAGCTTCCGGTCCTTCACTGGAGGATTTGGGCATTGAAGAGACCAGCCCATTCAGGTCATCAGAGTCCATTGTTGTCCTGAAAGGTGCAATATGTCGGTTGATTCGATGTTCACCCGGTGCTCGAGGTGGACCTTCTCGAATGAAATCTATTAGTGCCGACGATTCCGCATGCCGAGACGGCCTTGGATCTCGCGCTTGCAACCTGTTGGACACTTTGCGAGCCGCCTTAGGAGATGATGGACCAGTACCAACCGTCGCATTTGGCGGCACCTCGCCCTGGGCAGACGTGACATTTACGTTACCAAACGTTTTCGGTAACTGGTCGTCGTTGCTTGGTCCAGTAGAACGTGCGTAATCTGCCAAATCTCTGATACTGTTTGTGCGATCAAATTTGGCATCTCTAGGTTCACCAATGAGGTTTTTGTGTTTCGAGGCTGGTCTTGGTGGGGTTTGAATGGCTATATCTTTGGATGAAGGCACGGTCTTATGCTCTCCCTGACCCATACCAACCTGCGGCGCTTGACCCGCATCCATGCTAACGTTTCGCGATCGTGTTGTAGGGTGAGATGGGGGTTTCTCTTGCCCTGGTGGGGCAGTGTTCCTGATGAAGTCTGCAAGATCCTGTGTTTGAGATCGTCTTGGAGTATGGTTGATCTAAAGACCGTTAGTAGGTTGATACACGAGACTACTATAGCACTTACGTCTCTGTTGAAAGCGGCGACAGGTGGGGTCAGTGAAACCAGAAGGGTTTCGTCGCTTTTAATGAGCATTTCAAGACTTCGTTTATGGGTCTCATCTTCAGGGCTGCCTCTGATAATATTGTTATCTGAATCTGCACGAAGTCGCAGATGTCCTCGCTTCTCAGACGAGCCTGATTGGGCAGTTTCAGGTCGAGCTTTGTTCATGCTAGTAGGCGTCGAAGAGTGAGCCCGTCGAACATCGTCTGTCATGTCACCAGCTGCCATCTGCTGGTGAATTGTTTGTGGTCGGCCATTAGCATCTCTAGTGAACCCGAGTAATCGACTACTGCTGGAGGAAGATTTGGAATGACCACGTGCTCGTCCTGCATTGCCTTCGTCCATTGAGACTTGGCGCTTGTATAGAATTTGAGGTAGGCCTGGGGCTGGCTCACTGCTGACCATGTTCTCTGTATTGGAATATTTGCTGCTCGAAAGCGAGGTTGGCGAACCAGGAGCGATGCTGCTTGTGGGTGGTTCTCTTGGTACAAACGGGTAGTCCGGTTGTTGATCGAAACTCTGGTTCTCGTTTGGTGTTGGTACGTATAGAGGTTCTGGATGGTCTCGCCTGTCCTCCTCTGATGCGTATTCCTCAATAGGCGAATCAGATCCGTTTACTGGTGCTGAAACACGTCGCATATCATGCGGAAACCTTGGCGAATGATCTCGATGCGAATATATGGAAGGTGTATTCATCTCGTGTGACTGCTGAGAATAACGCTTGTGCTCTTCCAACTGTCGTGCTTTGATCTGCTCGTAAGGATCTTTCGACCTACGCCGTCCAGGCACTGTTGTTTCAAGATCGGATTTAGGTCGCTCGCGTCGACCACCAGGAGCGTATACCATGTCGGAGTCCTGCGCTGCTTTGATTGATGCGCTTGCAAGAGGTTGTCTTGTTGTTCGAGACGGGTCGATCTCCGCTTGCTGATGAACTCGACCGACATGGTGGACACCGACTGCACTCAGAGCACCTGCCAGGACACCCACTGTTGCATCTAGTTCTTCTGATGAGGGTGTAGCTTTTGGTCGCACTGGCTTTTCGTCTTTGGCCGTTTCGATAGTCAAATCTCGCTGTCTTGCTTGTGGCGACTCCAGGTCGGCAGTACCGTTCGAGAAGGTATAACCCGCATTCGATAAGTACAGTTGAGGTTCACGACGCTCATCGTGAACCTCGATCGGCGGAACGATATTCTCTCGTCTAGGCGAATCTGGTGTGGCTGTAAAAGGTATTTTCATGGCGGGGACAGAATTAGATCTAGTGCGATCGAAGGTCGGCCTCAAGGGGCTTCGTTCTTGGAAGTAAGGCGTATCCTCGTCATTTAGGTTGTACATCGTATCCTCGTCTTCTAAGTATTTGCCCGGCAGCGTTGGCATACTCATAGGCCTGCCACCACTGACCTCCATGTCATCCTCTTGCTGGTGCATAACATTTTCAAGGTTGCCATCTGCTTCAAGGAGGGGGACGTCCGAAGGATTAGCAGCACCAAGCATTGCCGCTGTAGATTGTCTCTTCTCTTCCAATATAGGGTGAATCAATGGACGGGCATTACTGCTTGTGGTTTGGCTATAGTATGAACCTTGACCTGGCGATTGTGTTACCTCTGGCGACAGGGAGCGTGGACCAAGGGCAGGAGCTCGAGTATTTCGCCGCCACGAACGCCATAGACGCGAGAGAGGACTGTCCCTGCCAACATGATTCATGTCTTTCCCATCTAGCAGGATATCAGCATCCCTGGCGGCGAGTTGCATCTGTGGCGTTTGTGCAATGTTGTCGTGGCCGCGAGCATTGTCGTGACGTTTCTGTGCATACTGCGCAGCATAGTGTAAAGCTTGTTCTCCAAGGTATTCAATGATTGAGGTCAAAAAGATAGCAGCACCAGGTGTAACAGCCATTGACTGACGTGCTTCGGCAGGCGAAGCTGCAGCCCGATCGAGCAACTGCTCCTTCTCAAGCCATTCCTCCTCATCTTCTTCCTCGAAGTCACCCAGTCGAGCATATACCATGCATCTCAACCGTGCCAGCTTCCAGACCAGATCCGGATCAAAATGGCTTCCGGATTGGACAGAGTTCTGGTTGGAGTATAGTTCCTCAGCTTCCTCGTCTTCAATATAGTCCTTTAACTCTTCCTCAGCATAGCGTAACGCCGACTTGCCTAGCCTTGGTTTTAGCACAGCGGGGACTGCAGCCTTCAATTGTCCTAAAGCGACCGAGTGTGAAGTAGAGATGATACAGTATAACACATGGTCAGAGAATTCGTTTAGTAGGGTGAGGGCCGACTGCGAGATGTCGACCTTCCTATCGTACTCGGTAGAGATCAGGTCGGAGGATTCGCCGCGAGCGAAATAAGCGGGTGGTGGGTTCACGAATGGTACCAGATGGCTAGTAACGTTCGACTTGGCTGAGCTGGACATCATGTCACTCGAAAGACTAGGTGATCGCACCGTTTGGATGTGTGGTGTGTCGAAGCCATCCAGACGGCCATACTTCATCGCCATTGTTGAGAGGTCTCATCGATCACTGATGGAAACTATAGGCAAGCGAGTCAATCTGAGCGCAAGTAGTTCGATTCGGGCATGTGTCGCAGAAGTCACCAGTCAACTATCATCCTCGACTATGTCGTGTCACACATCCGGTCGATGTCAACAAAGTGGCAGATTAGGTGGGACCGGTGTACGACGAGGGACAGATTAGTTGTGTTGTGTGTCGCAAAGTTGAGTTCGTCTAGATATTCCGCAGCGCAGGCAAGGATCGACAGTGAACGTTTATCTCAAGCTTTGGGCGGGATGGTGATCCAATTGCGCACAGATGATCAACTAGTACCCATTTATTGATTTGATGCCAGAGATCCAACCAAGTAATCAGTATTCAAATGCTGTGTAGCCTGCGAAGGTCGCATATACGCTGGCAGATTGCACGACCGTTGAAGGACGAGGATAGAGAGATGCAGTATCCTTGAGGAATATGCAATGGCCAGGATGAGGGTTGTGGCCCTCAACCAACTCTCATTTGCAGCTTGCTTTCCACCTTCGAAAAGTCCACTGAAGAAACTTTCCGAGATGGTTGCAAAACTGCTAGTGGCATCGGTGATAACGTCAAGTACACCAAGAGAAGCCTAGCTCAGCTACTTCAAGCCAGCGGGGGGAAATGCACAAGGCGATGGCTGGCATTTTGGCTTCCAATCAGCTCGTAGAACAGGTTTCACGTACACACGTTGTATCTTTTGCTCAGGCGGAGCTGAAGTTCATGAGTCGCACACACAGGAGCGCAGGAAGTTGCTCGGTAAACAGTGCTGCTCCAGACTCCATGCATGTTGAGATTGAGATCGTCTTTCACATCGCAGGAGCTGAAAGATTCATTTACAACTGCGGCCGAAATCGACATGTTTCGGGCAGGCAGGACTGGAGAAATTACAGACGAGGCTAGCGCCTCCCCTGGGCTTCAAGTTTGCGGATCATTTCTGGCGTCCTTCCAGATGCAGATGCAATATCTCGATAGTGGCGGATGAACCCAGATGGAGAGAGCAATCATGAAGGGACAGGCTGTCACTCTTATTACGCCCACTTTCGCCTTGTTGCATGTTGAAGGTCGTCAAAGCCTGCTACAACGCCTACGGCTGCCAAATGCGACGCATGTCAACAATAGCTGACAGTGCTATACAATTTGGAGTATTGCATTTGTCGCTTGTTCACCTTCTTCCTGGAGACATCACTTGTGCGACCGCCAGCCTGGAAGCAACTCAACAACATACCCAACGTAGAGTTTCGTCGACGTGATTCTGCCTGCTCTACGTGCTGTATCAGAGATAGCCACCAGCCACCAAATGAGCCTACCAGAATATTTACTGACATCTTATGCTACTGTATGCCCTCAGCCCTTAGCTAGTAAGAAACACGAGCACTTGACGCTTCACCCACAGGTCAGGAAGATGTGTCAATACGCTCTATCTAGTGACTGTCAAGCTCGCAAACCACCCAAATCTCTTTCCATTTCAGCAATTCTTGTTTCAAGCTCTTTCTTCCTAGCTTCGAGATCCTTGATAGCTTCTTCTTCAGCTTTTAGATGGGCTTCCGCAACGACCTCGGGCATTTTTGCATCATTCATTATCGAGCTTGCATTGGATTGGGTCAGAGAAGACTGTTGGCGCACAATCTTGTCCTCGTAACGCTTGATGGAGGAGGACAGTTTCTCGTTCTTGGAACGCAGAGCTGCAATTCTGTCCGTTGCGCCTGGCAAGCTGTGAGCAGAACACAACCTCTCGACGCCATGAAGCAACACTTCGACGTCAACACCACGCGCTCGGCCATTGAAGCGATTGGAAGACTGAATCTTCTTCACCAAATCGTTGCCTAACACTCTGGCCACTGCCGATGAGTGCGTCTGGCTGCCACTAGCTACAGTTTTGCGTCTTCCTGCAGTGTCGTGACCATAGTCTCTACCACTTTTGATGTTTGGATCCGTGGAGAATAGACCCTTCTCATGAGGTTCCGTATCACGTATTAAGAGAGTGATCTCCTGACTGTAGACTAGAGCGTTCGTAAAGGGCCGTGAGGGAGGAAATCTGCAAGCTTTAGTACGTCGGTATTGCACGCTCACGATCTCTGATTTGCGCACTGTATTTCATCTATCGATTTAGCAGAGAGATTGATATGGTCAAGGTGGTTTTGCAAACGCGGCATTGTTCGAGACGTAAGTACTCATCGCACAGATGCTTGAGACAAAATTCAGTGTACCAACTCCTCAGCTTTGGTTCAGTGGTGTCCCCAGCAGAAGAGTGCGGTGATCGCTTGGGAATTAACCCGTTTCAGCGCAGACACGGCAGGAACGAAGTGCACGGTGACGCGATGCAGCAGTCGCCTTGGGCCCACTTTCCATTAATCAACACCAAAGCCTCAAGTGGTATGCTCTCATGCTTCACGTCTTACAGATATTACCATCTCGGCACTCAAACAGCCTCTGGTTGCATGTTGGATCAAGCGAGCGATCTCTAACACTTGACGCTGCAGTCGACGTACTTGTTGCTTAACAACGAAACCACTACCACACGCATCATACTTTCGCCCTGGTCCAGCATATCCGGAGAAGCAGTATTATATCTTATCCACCTGTCCTGAGCACATTTGCTGTTCTCTCCACGATTGTTAGAGTCTTGGTCGCAAAGAACACAGTCTTGCAATCGGTTTCTATCCTCACAGTCTTTGTCGCAATTGAACGCCACACTCTTAGTCAACTTGTGGGAGCAGGATGAGTGGAGACAAAGGCAAACGCAACAGCGTGAGCAGACCGAACGACCACAAGAGGAAGGACAGCAAGTCCAAGTCGCAGAAAGATACACAAAAACCCAAGGACAAGGTTGGTGACGAGGAAATGACTGTGGTAGTTCCACCTTCGAAAGGTGATGCAGGAAAGAATGAGGATGTCGCAATGAATGGCACTGACGAGGCAAAACTAAAAGACCCGCCAGTCGATCCAAAGGCCAAAGCCATTGCAGGTATGATGACTCGTTTCTTCAGCACAGTCGATATCTAATTGTGACACAGACATCAAAGCCAATCTCACGTTACTCGAAAAAGCAGTCAGCCTCTTCGACCCTCGTTTTACTCTGCGAGTATTGCGGAATATTCCTTCTGTGCGGAAACAGCTCTCGGCCGACCTGTTAGCACGTGTCATTATCGAAACCTACACAACTCCTACTCCTACCTCGTTCGCGTTGCTGAAAGCATTGGGTGATGAGGAGGGATTTCCAAGAGCTGATGCTGATGCGTGGGTCAAGAAGAAGGATTCGGCACAGTCCGCCTCTAAGAAGAGCGACACTACGCCCAAGGAGATCCTTGCAGAGGTCGATGTCTATTTTTCCATTCTCATCCAGGTCTACTTCTACGACACAAAGAATATCGAGTCAGGAGCTGAATTCTCCGAAGGACTTATCGGTTACTTAAAGCCCCTGAACAAGCGCACCTTGGATTCGCTGGCCGCACGAGCATACTTCTACTATTCTCTCTTCCTTGAGGAGACTGATCCCAAGCCACCAAGCCCGAACGCTGCGGTTGTGTCCATCAGAAAGACCTTGCTCGACGCTCTCCGAACTGCCACTCTCCGAAAAGACCAAGATACTCAAGCTGCGGTCATCACCTTACTTCTGCGAAACTATCTCTCTACCTCCCGTATCACACAAGCTGACCTTCTCATCTCGCACACTCAGTTTCCAGATTCCGCAGCCAACAACCAGGTCGCCAGATACCTGTATTATCTTGGCCGAATCAGGGCGATTCAACTGAATTACTCCGAAGCACACGACCATCTGATAGGTGCCACTCGGAAGGCGCCCACATCCTACAAGGCCAGTGGTTTCTACCAAGCATCGACAAAACTACTCATCGTGGTCGAACTGTTGATGGGAGATATTCCCGATCGGGCCATTTTCCGACAGCCCAGCCTAGAGAAAATCTTGTCCCCTTACCTACAGTTGGTGCAAGCTGTCTCTTCAGGCGACGTGAATGCTTTCCAGAACCTCACTCAGAAATACAGCTCCGTCTTTCGAGCCGACAGCACGTATACCCTCATCCTTCGACTACGACAAAACGTCATCAAGACTGGTATACGCATGATGTCCCTATCCTATGCACGCATCTCTCTCCGAGACATGTGTTTACGTCTTGGTCTGGAAAGCGAAGAGTCTGCAGAATACATTGTCGCTAAGGCGATCAGAGATGGTGTCATCGAAGCCACTCTGGATCATGAACATGGCTATATGAGGAGCAAGGATGTGGGTGATGTATACAGCAGCAACGAGCCGTTTGACGCATACTCATCAAGAATAAGAGCTTGTCTGGCTCTACACGATGAGAGTGTCAAGGTAAGCTTTTCCATAACCACGAGATCATTGACCATCACGAAGCTAACTCTTGTCTTCTAGGCTATGCGCTTCCCAATGAACCAACACAGACTCGAATTGAAGAAAGCCCAGGAAGCACGTGAGCGAGAGCGAGAGCTTGCAAAAGAGATTGTGGATGGAGAGATAGATGAGGAAGATGGTCCAGGTGGTGATTTTGAGGGCATATAAAATTGTCCTTGCTGAGCGTGCAGTACTGATGTGTATCCCAAAAGGGTGATGCTTTGTAGTCCAATAGTGAGGACAACTGAGCTCGCCACTACCTCAGTGTTTAGTCACGAAGTAACATCTGTTGCAAGGTAATCTCGATGCAACGAGGGCCTGCCTGTAACCCATGTTTATGTGTCTGTGTTGTCGTGTTCAAGAATGATGAACAATCGGTAGGGCTTCGACCAAAACCTCGTGATCTTCGAGAGTCTGGTCAAACTGCCTCGCTTCCTCCTTGTGCATGATTCTTTGACACAGTATATTTCGCTCAGAGAGAGAGCCTGCACTGATGTAAAGTTATTTACTGCTGCTCGTGCGAACACTGCAACCCTAACGCTGCCTGGGGAAAATGATTCCTGGAGAGTGGTCCAAGACCTAAAACGACGATCTCAGGCATCACTTTCCAGCTTTGAACAGTGTATCAACCAACAACCGTCAAGTTTGAGTGCCAGCTTGCATTCGAATACCAAAAATCTGGCTTCCAGCTATGTTGCATCCCTTTGAGATACTCATGCCATGCGCCGCCACTGTAGTACTCGATTGAACGCCTGACAGGAACCTCATAGTTGACCCCTGCTACCACGATACTTTGTCTCAGCACAACTTGCCACCAATATGGCCGAGTCAGTATCTGGGCGAAGCTTAAGCATTTCAGCAGAGCACGAGCCATTGCTGGACGATCTCGATAGCGAAGACCTTGCCGTGGATCAAAGAACTGCCACTGTCCACAACAGCGCGACTGCCAAGACGAAGAGAGAGTTGGTGCTGTTGCAATGGCGGCACTTCGAGAGCAAGATCAAGGTTGCTGCTGTGATGTTTTGCTTCTTTGTAACGGGCATGCATGTCACATCAATAGGAGTATGTATCACTAGCTATAAGGATCGCCCGACTGATTGCTAATAGTATCTCCAAGGTTCTACTTCCCGTGGTAAGCCATGTCACTATAACACTAGCTCAAACCATTGATTCGCTAACTACTCCCTACAGGTCGAATCGTATTACAGCCTCAGCGATACCCAAGCTGCCTTTATCTTTCCTCTTGGAGTCATTGGCTATGTCTGCGGCACCATTTCACTCACTAACACTCTCTCCCGTTATGGTTGGCGAGGAATGGCATCTGCAGCACCTTTTCTTCACGTGGTTGCGATGTCGACACTATCTACTGGTCCACCATTCTTCGTTGTGCTATTTGCACATCTCGCTGCAGGTCTAGGAACTGGCCATTCAGACGCTGGCGTATGTGCCTGGGCTAGCCGACTGCCCTACGCCAACGTCGTGCAGGGCTTGATCCATGGGTCTTTCGCGCTCGGATGCATAACAGGTCCAGTCCTCTGCGTCGCTGTACTTCAGGTAAATCTTCAATGGTATGTCTTTTACCGGATCATGATCGTGTTCACCATCCTTGAGTTCATTGTCCTTGCTGCAGCTTTTCGACACGAGGACCTGAAAAGGTATTCGGCAGCACATGATCCCCAGCCTGAGGAGATGGAAACCGGGAGCTCTCCCCGAACGAAACTCGTCTGGCTGTGTGGACTCTTTTACTTTGTCTATCTGGGTGCTGAATCATCTTTCACAAACTGGACGCCGACTTACATGCAGCGCATCCGCCATGCCGATTCTACGACAGCTTCTCTGTCCTCGTCAATCTTTTGGCTCGGTATGGCTCTTGGGAGATTCTTTCTCGGACCTGTGACAGAATACTTCGGCCTCCCTGTCTCGGTTTCTGCCTACATCGTCCTGGGAACACTTTCGGAGCTTATCTTCAAATTGACATCGAGCATCAAAGTCGCTCTGTTCGCGCTTAGTGGCTGCGGCTTCTTTCTCGGTCCCATGTTCCCATCTGGCGTGCTGCTACTGTCTCAGAAATTGAACAAGCAGCAGTATGTCGGTGGTGTGGCACTCGCTGCAGCCTTTGGGCAAATTGGCGGTGCTGGAGCGCCTTTGATAATCGGTTTCATGGCTGATAGACTTGGTCTACAACACCTGACGAATGTTGTGTTAGTTTTGTTTATATTGCTGCTGATGACGTGGATGTTGTTTTGCAGGTTCAGTTGACCTCTTTGTGCTGGGGTCTTGGTTGCGCTTGCGCATGATTCGCATGCGACGCGACCCGACGCGATCTGGGCGATGAAGTTGGATAAAATTGCCCGAACGGGTAGGTGACCTTCCCAGGCAGGCTATCTTGAGGTCGACTCGCTTCGCATCTGTATGCGGCCCGAAGCGAACAATCTGATCAATGTTGCTAAAGCTCGACAGCTTCCAAAGTTTTCCCTGTTTAGCACTATCGACGAACCTAGCAGGATTGAACTTCGTACTTGGACGTTCAGTCAAGCCCTCTCAATCAACAAACTTCTCGAAATACATCCTCTCGAATCCGTCCTCTACTTTTCTGTCTGTCTCCTTAAATCCCAGCTTTTCATACAGCTTCACATTCTCCCACATCTTTACATTCGTGTACAGTTGCAGCCTTCTCAATCCACGTTCCCGAGCTAGCTGCTCTGCGAAGTCCATGAGTAGTCGTCCATATCCGCGACCTTGAGCATCTGGATGAACGACTAGGTTGTTGATGTGTAGGGATGTATCCTGTGCCTTGACGATGATTGAGCCGAGAACGTTATGATCGATATTAGGATCGGGAGACATATTGTGACCAGCTAGTGTGGTATGAGACCTGCATGCTAATGATGTCGATGCGACCCGCAATACATATATCTCGTGACTTTGCAGCAGCTGATCATAGTCTGCAGTCATAGGCGCTGGTTCACGACCTACACGCTCGATGTATTTGGTGTATGCGGCTTTGACTAAGAAGACGATAGTTGGAATGTCGATTGCCTCAGCTCGTACAATGGTTGGAATCGTGGATTGTTGTGTTTCGGGAGTGGTTCTCATGCTGACCACAAGGTTTGTCGAGGGTAGTCGTGCGGAGCCAAGAGCTACAGTAGATTGTCTAGAATGAGAAAGCACGCTTTGCTTGTGAAGGCGCTAAGAGATACGTAGTAGAGCTCATCAAGAGTTCGGCGATGAGTCATCCGTTGGTATTCGATCAGCTGCCGCAGTTGTTACCTTTCACATAAAGGAACATTTCTTGCCAGATATGGAGAGACTCTTCTCTTCGTGTGCAACTTCTCCGTGGTACGTCGTCGCAGCCCGCTGCTTTTAAGGTCGGTAACCACTTCGAGGCTAGCTGCACGTTCACTGAGTCATGTGTCAGAGCCTGTTCAGTTAAGACAACGAGTTCTTAGATTGCCTCTATGCCGGTTGTGCACCGATGGTGATTTCTCCATGCAGAGTTAGCCATACTAGTAGTGGATTTCGTCTTCTACACCTCGGTAGTGTTGCAAAGGCACGGCGACCTTGTGCAGGCGTGAATTTGCGGGCTGAAAGTTGCCCGAGCTCTAGTTTGCTTTATGGAGAGCTGTGTGAAATATCATCTATACGTGTATACATCGCGCGTGCAGTATCGACTGTCGAAATCTCTTCTTCACGAAGGACAGAACATGAACAAGCTCATGGTATTTGATCAACACTGCTCACATCCGTATACTCTGCAGCATTTATGTGTCCCCTAAATCCAGCGCTTCTCTGATACAACTCCTTACGCAATCGATTGACACTTCCCAACGGCCTCATCTCCTCAAGCCCATACCACACATTCAATTTCATGTGATCATCCCAAAACGTCCTCCTATCAGACGAAAACACATCCTGCCCAGCAGGCAGCACAAATTTCCCCACAGTCCGGTAAGGAAAAGCAGTCTCATCCCACGCAAGACTCGCGTCCTCAACTGATTGTGCCCTCAAATTCTGACACAGCTGAACTCTCAAGTCATACGTCGCATCCTGAGTGCCTCTAAACCACTCCCTTAACCACTTCGAATGCTGCTCCGGTGACGAAGAATCAGTAATCTTATGCGACTTCTCGAGTGCAGCCTGATACTCCCCAGTCGGAAACAGCGCATACTTCACCACATACGGACCCCACCGATACGCCGACTGCGAGTACATCGTATAACTCAGAAAATGCTGATTGGGAAGCTGCATCGGCGCCTTCTGCAACGACCTATCACTCCGCTTATCCAACTCCAGCCCAATCTTCTCTGGTTCGCGAAAATGCCGCTCTCGAATCGTAAAGATCTCAACGGTAGTCTTTACATCTCGTAGCTCAAGGAGTGGCGCATTGTTGAAAGTGAGATCTTGAGTCTTTGTTTTCGAACCATGGGAATCCATAAAGTTACCCGATACATCGAAGACCTTCATACCGCAGCCTCGCGGTCCTGGCGCGCGATCATCCTGTAAGAAAGATGGCTCGTTTGCAAAGCGGATGGCTACTGAATGTGCTCGTTTCGCGTTCTCTGGAGACGCGATCGCCTGAGCAAGCTCTGTTGGCAAATCAGGTAAAATCGTCAGCTGCCCTTTCACAATCGCTTGGGTCTTGACGTGTGTAGCTCGCATTGCGTGCCTGTGCATGCTAAAGTTATGCTCCTGTGTGCGGCGGATGATATCGAAGAGCTGATTCTGAAGTTCTGATTCGTTTTCGATCTTGGGTTCGACGCCTTCGTCATCGAATTTGACGTAGGGCTCGGAGGACATGTTTGCTATGCCTGCTGCTGCGAGTGATTGGACTTTTTGCGCCATTGCTTTATGAGGTTGATCTTTGCTAAGTATGGAACTGTCAATGCCTTTTGTATTAGTTGTCTTAAGTAAACTTTACAAGACAGGTTGTAACTACAGCAGTACCTCCCACGTTCTTGATCTTCAGTCACATGTATGCTGAACGAGAGGTACTAGTACTTCCTTCATTTGCCAAACATTCTACACCACCAAACAATCAATTTGATATCATTGTATAATGCAGGCTAGCTCGGGTGGGGCTACCGTGACCTGTGAAACAAGTCTGATTCGTAATTGAGCAATACAACGCTTGTAATGTTGATATTGTAAGGACGTGACAGTATCTGGTTCGGGTAGATGGGGAACTCCTCAGAAATGTGACGTCCGAAAGTTTGAGTATATGCTGAAAAGGCCAATAAATTTGTGTAAAGACTAGTGCAAGGCGGTTATGTAGCGGATACGCCGTATACGTTGATCAAAGTACCCTTGTAGATGAACTCCGCAAACGCTCTACCCCGGAATCTGCATCGAGGCGTGCGAGGCTTATTGTACTACAGAGAGACAGGCGAATCAAGAACCAAGTATCACTACAGATGTCTGCGCTCAGGAGCAGCAACATGATAACCGACAAATAGTAATTGGAGCAAGGCTATGATGAATTGTATGGTATAGTATAGTATAGTATAGTATATACAGAGATGCTTTTGCATGACCTTGACAGCCAACAGACCTAGAAAAGAATTTTTGAAAGATTGTTTATAGGCTTGATGCAATTGTCAGACATCCTGCAAAGTCCATCGACCACAACCACATGATATAGACAACCCTTCCTTACCCTGGTAGAACCCTACCCCTTCTGCGTGCTCGCCTCGTTTGAAAATGCATAACATATAGGGGTATCATAGCCTGGATGCCTATCCATAAGATCCAGCTCAAAAACACAAACGCCTTAGACACATGGAAGCGGGCCCAATCACTGCCGCTTGTTTTTTCCGTCGAGCCCGTGCTCGGAGTGGTATCGCTTGCTGAATCGCTTTCGAAGAGGATGAAATCTATAATGAAACGTCGAAAATGTGGTGAGAATAGAATCATGGCCGTGACCAGCAAAGCCAACACACCGCTGGCCGCGAGTCATAACACTATACATGAAGACTGTTGCCTACATTTAGTTCTCATCGTTAGCTTCTGTTTCTGTTTCTGATTGCGATTGTGCTTCACTCGAAGGAAGCGCAGGATGTTCGTCTGCTCCAGGTGGAGAATCATGGACCGCGAGTGGCTGCGTGGGTTCTGTTTCTGGTTCTGTGGTCTGAGATGCGCGCTGAGTCATCTCCGAATGTTCTTCAGGCTGTGCTACCTCGCTTGCTTCCAATTCTGGTCCTAGTAGCCTAGCTAAGCGCAAAAACCGTAACCTTGCACTTGAAAACACCAGTCAGGCCCCGTGACCTCAAAAAGAATAAAAGACTGTGCGATTTGGGATGATCCGTGAAAGAGATGTGACTTACCGAGAAGCTTCTTCTAGAAGACGAATCCACCTTGCCGTTATCTTCAAGCGTTCCCGAACACTGGTTACTGGAAGTAGAGCGTACTTCTGGTCATCTGTTACTGGCAAGATGCTCGCAATCCAGAAAGGGAAAACAGCTGGGTCCTGTGGAGGAGGTCCGAACACTGCCAGCATACGTTCATGTAGCCAATCTGCAGATCGGGCGCGTGCTTGCTCGACAAAGTCGACACAATACTGATACAATGCTTGTGTTGACATGTGACGGAGCTGACCCTCGAAATCGCCTTCTGTAGGTTCTTCACCGCGCATATCGAAAGCTTCAGCTGCTTCTTCTTCGGCCAGAGGTATGTCGTCAATGCGTTGTATCCGACCAATATAATATCCGTCCAGTATTCCTGCTTCCAAAACCCGAAATCTGTGTAGGCCTTGAGTTTCGAGTAAGCTCCGGCCATCAGGAAAAATCTCGACTCGAGATACGTAGAGGACAGTACCATATTGTGAGAATTGAGTGCGCCCAAGAGAACCCTGTATAGATCCTTGTGAGTTGTACATTACCATACCGAATTTTCGTGAGCCATTCTCGATACACCTCCTAACCATTAACCGGTACCTTGGCTCAAATATATGAAGAAAGGCCGGCATGTCTGGGAATGCTAAGGTGCAAGGAAATAGAGGCATCCAGTCTTCGGGATTCAACTCCTCCTCCTGCTGAAGGCTAGTGATACGAGCTGCCAGTTCTTCGGGGAGTAGACCATTAATAAGCTGTGATAGGGGTTTGTTTATAGGTTCGTTCGACACACCAGGACGCATAAGCATAGGACGCCGACAGCTCGGGCATAAAGTAGTATGATCCAAGACTCTTGCAATACATTTCCGACAGAAGGTATGGCCACATGTGCTTGTGACGGGATCGACGAACAAGCCGTAACACACGTGGCATTCTAGTTCCGCCAGGCAAATATCGCGCAACCTGCCAACTACGTCATCGTCAAGTGCTCGTGCGTTCTGAACACTGTCGACGGTCAAAGCAGTGAACGAAAGCTTCGAACGACGGTCTAGCTCGCCAGCGTTGGCCATAGCGAAAGTCGCAGAGATCCTTCCGCTGTTGAATACACGTGACCGCGGCATGACATCAATATTGCTCCTCCTCAGGCTATGCCAATCAAGCCTTTCGTCAAGCTGGAGATGTGCCTGAAGGGTGTTCGGAGTATTGATCAGAACCTGCCTAGCCAACTCAATGAGTTTGTTGAAAGTGATGTCCAGGCTGCAGTCTGCCATAGAGTGCTCTGCAGCGCAATCCTCAATAGGACACAGAAATCCCTCTGCCCGGCCAACATTTTGGGGATAAGTGATATTTGCACGAACGTATGAAGATGGCATGCAGCGTCTGCATATCGAATTGCCACATGGTAATATCATAGGTTCGTGGATTGGGTATGAACACTGAGCGCATTGGAATAACCAGACAACGGCTCTAGCGTCTTCATGAGGTCTCAAGCCGCGATGGCTGGCGTCCACCATCTCTTCAGGTTCATCGTTGCTCATATAGACGGCCACACCACCTCAAATAGTAGTGAATGTATTCAATTTTCCGCCTCTTTTCTGGGATGTCTCAATATCCGCTGAGTAAAGACTGATCTCTGCGTGACATGTATTCAACAGCTGATAATGTTGTCTGAAATCCTGCCAGAGGATTGAGTGGCGAGGCTCAGGATGTTCGTAATCGTCGTACTCGTGTGGCTAACTGACGCTGTTGGAGAGCGCTTCGCAACCCACGAGATATTTGGCACTAGTTAGTAATAAAAGAGTGCCATCGCCTCTGCGGATCAAGGTTCTGGTTATAGTAGGCTTCCAGGTCGAATTGACGGCGGCGAACTTGGTGGTTAGTCAGAAACTGCCGAAATACCAGACTATTGAAATCAGAGCACAGGTAGTCGGAAGGTGTTCTCTATGGTAGCGAAGAAGCATATGGTGACATTCGAGATTCGGAGAATGGAAGATCAACGACCTCAAGACTTAGGCTAAGGCCGACGAATGCAGTCTCGAAAAGGCAAACAACAAGAAGCACGAATGAAGATTTTAGATCCATGAAGGCGAGGACGAATCATACGGCTGCTGGCGTAGTCGAATAGGGCTTCGGCCTGTATTTTGCACAAGTAAATCAACGTTAGGACGTGCATGGAGTAGTGCTTGAGAGAAGGGTATGGCATCATTGGCCGAGAAGGGACAGACAAGAGAGGTGAGTGCCGATGCTCGTGAGACTTCGAGGATTTGAAGATCTAGATTGGAAGGTGTGATCGAACCTGATTTACAGGCGAACATCCGAATGCGTTTTTAGGTGTGCCAGGGATGGTCAAGCCTATCTCTGGCTGGTGGAAAACGACAACGACTCGCCCACGAGCCAATCGCCATACCGTGGCATCCGAGAATCTTCTCGTCATAGATTGTGGCGGGGGTTCAGGTTCGGAGTTTTACCGGTCTTCACACGAAAATATAGCAGATCCTACAGCAATTTGCCGTCGCGATATCTCAAGTGAAAAATCATGATGACCTTATGGAAAAAGGTTCCAGGTCACGTTCCTGCACAATTTTAAGCACCTCTGTGGCTGGTAAAGTGCCACCACAATGGCGGAAAGCGCAAAGGTGAATCTGCGGTCCTGCTATCTGCGGTACTGTACGCAGCCGGGTCGACCAGTTTCAGTACATCCAGCCGTTGGTCTCGGATGGTTTCAGCAGGAATAGATGAGGGACACTAATGGTGTGCGTATCCAATTGCAGCATCTGCTCTGGTACTGCTCTTTTCGCCTGCAACCGATCGAGATTCACTGCAAGCACACAGGAAGAGATCCGCAGTGTATCAATTCACTCCTCGGTGGTGTATGTTGCTGCTACTGTAAAGCCCGTGCGGAGACATATCAGGATCGACAATACTCGACTAGGACTCGTATGTGCTGTACCGGTAAAACCGGTCCCAAGCACGGATTCTGCAGGATAAAAAATTTCTCTGGTTCAATCGAGAATCAAAGCAATGCACGCTTCATACGGGTGTAAGCATTTGGAAAGTTCTAGATCTGACTTGAATCGTGATTCTTCGCAGCACTGCGTTCTATAAATTTTCGAACTAGAACTGAATTGGGTAATGGTTCGAAATTGGTGGGCAGCATCAGCTTCGCGCGCCCGGATCGTGCTATCCGAGACCCACATATGGACCTGGACCAGGCCCAGTCCTTCAACCGTGGATTCTAAATGTCAGTGCTAATGCATTTCCGTCGTATCGTAGACAAGCAGCAACTTGTGCAACATCTTGGCTCGAGCGCATTAGTCGCCGTCCATCGGTGCACGTCTCGCCAGAGTATGGTACTTGGGACTGTCAATTCTTTCTATGCCCAGCACGCCCTTCACCCAGTATCTGATTCACTTTCGGCGCTGTCTTCATCGAGCACGATTTGCCTCAACACATCTCTGTCAAAGAGATCTAGGATGAACTGCCGTGCCTGCAGCCGATAGTGGTGTGATTGTAATATGAAAAGAGTTTTTCGAAACAGCTTTGCACTAGCAAACTTGTGAGCGTGTTTAGTTTTCAGCTGTTGCAAATCAGCTGCAACTCTCTTGTACATCACAGAGTTGCCCATGTCAACAATTAGACTCAGCACTCTTGCGAACACAGAATCTGGGTCTGAAGTGGCTGCTCGATATCTTTCCATGTCTGGCTTCTGTGCTCGCCGGTCTTCATAAGTGGCAGCTCGTTCCGACTTCAGGCACAACTTTCCCGGGTCACGTGGCACGCATACCCCCATGGAGCTGCCGTTAGAGCTTGTTGTGATGACCCAGTTGCACTCGGTAAGCATTGCAAATCCGTGCGTTGTTCGGGAGATCAACCCAAGTGCAAAGCAAGCAGTACCTCTCACGGACATGACTGCAGCTCCCTCAGCCACCCTCACGATCGAATGAACAATGTCGCTTTCCTCGAGGAAAGGGGCACCCATCTCCATAGATCCTATGTTCCCAATAGCCCACAAACAGCTCTTGACTTTGACCAATGCCTCAACCTCCTCTTCATCCAGGCGATAATCTCGAATTGTAGAAGCAAACTCGTAAAAGTGGCCGGATTGCAGCAGCAGTTTACAGCCCTCTTCGGTTCTTGCCAGCTCTCTGTAAAAATGGGGGGGCAGTAAACCACTATCGTTGTACTCGTCAGGGTCATCGACATAGGTGTTTTTACGGGAAACGCCAGGATCCATATATGCTCTCGCCAACGACGCCTCAACTTGAGCAACGTAGGAATCATTTCTGCCCAGAAACCAATCGTCCATCTCTTGGTGTATGTAATCTAGCCCACTGAGGTACTGGTATCCAGTCGAGATCGAGAGAAACCTCAACAAAAGTGGTGCACCTATCTCGCCAAGGTGATCTAGTGCGGGTCGGCATTTCACGACGAACTCGAGGTGACTAGGCTGTTCGCATGCCTCTTCTAGTATCTTGACAGCAACTTCACACACCTCAACATCGGGGTCGTAAAGCTGAGTCAGCACAAGCTTGATTGCCCACTGCGAGCCGTCTGCATCCTGGAGACCTGCTGAGTACCTCATTCGACCGACTGCGTATTTCCGTAGTAGTTTAGTGGCGAATAGCCTAACATCCTTGGGCACTGCTGTCAGCGCTTGAGAAAGCATGACCCGCAGATGAGAATCTAAAGAGTAATCCATGTTGCCAAGCAGTGCTCGGAGTAAGTCGTCCCGTTTCGGAAGCTGTACAATGTGGTAGAACATATTCATCATACGCCAGCGCTCCATAATCTGTATGCCTTCCAGTGACTCACTCAGTGCTCCGAGCATGGTAAAATAACCTCCTGTGAGGTAGTCAATCATGTTGTGCTTGTCAAATAATGGTGCTGACGATGTCAGACCACTAAACTTGTCGAGTTGAGCTAAACATTCGGCGATTTGCCTCATTAGCTTGTTTTCTGTCAGAAACTGAATGCCAATCTGAGTCTGGCATAATGCACGCATAAGTGCACATCCTGTGCGTACATATCGTTGATTTGGCCTCGTATTCCTGATGACGGAGAATCTCCACTTGAAGGGTCGGTAGAAGCCGATCAACCTCTTCACGAATTTTGTTGTTTTCAAGGCCTCTTCTAAAAGCCTCGCATTTGTCAATGGGCCTTCGATCAGGTTGTTGATGAGGTTCCAATTCCATTTGGTATAATTGGTGTGGTTGGGGACGCCTGTGTCAAGCACTGCCTGCATAAACAGTTTCGAGTCCATTGTTGCGGTAAATTTGGCACGTTCCAGTGCCTGTGGACCTACAGCCATCTCATCGCCATCGAGTGTCCTTTGTGCTGAGTTAGTTCCCGTACGATTAGCAGTTCGGTTGATACTCTCAATTTGGTAGACCATGCTCGTATTTGAAGATATGTAGGTGATGCCTGGCGCATCGAACGGCGAAAGGAGATCACCTAAGACTTGTATCCCAGCGCTCATACTGCGTGGTAGGGAATGGTACGCAAGCTTCAGAACTTCTGTAACAAGCAGTGTGCATTTTCTTTTCATGGCTGAATCCTCTTCAAACTTGATCAGATCCATGAGCGCAGGCACCAGACCGGCTTGGAGTAACGTTGCAAGAACAATCGCTGTGAAATGGACAGTCAAGTCGAACCTGCTGCCCGAAACTTGGTACACTGTTCTTTTCATGTCGGGGTCTGCTTGGTAAACCCGTCCATATGTGGTGAGCCGCCTTCCTGCTAGGAACGATGGCGACCACGATGGTGGTTTGATGCGCAGAATATCAAACAATAGCTCAAGGATTAGATCGCGTGCAAAGGCATCAGGATATACCAGGGACTCGATCAGGGACTTCAGGGGCACAGCTCCGTCTCTTGCTAGCGTCAGATAGCCAGGCCAGGTCTTCAACATGGCTGATATACCCTTTGCACATGTTTTGAGCTTCTCCTCATTACCATTAACAAGCAGTGGGTCCGTAAAGGCAGCGAACATTGCCTCGAATTCGCGGCCAGATCCTAGATACTGTCGCTGCCGAGGATGATCTAGAAGATAGATGAAGCTTGCCACAAGTCCTTCGGGTGCAGGGAATGACCCTTCCGCAAGGGCATCGGTCAAAGTGGTCAAGCCGTTGGCGGCCACAAGAAGATCAGGCTTCTTGGCTAAGAGCTCTGCTAGAGTTAACAAGCACATGCTCCTCAAGCGATCGTCGTGATGTTCTGCAATCGCCACAAGGCTTCTTACCACTGCAATAGAAACCTCATGAACCCCATCTTTGACGTCCAGGAAAGCTCGCACAAATTTTACAGCTTGTTCTCTTTCTAGAACTGCTTTCCCCTTCTTAACCAGCGAGAGGGTCACCAGTTCATCGGTTCGTAATAACTTGATTGTCTTGAGGGAGGATCGATCGGCGATAGCGTGTCGAGTTAGTCGATAACCAGCAGCCACAACATCTGAGCTCTCACTAAGCAGCATAAGTTGGACCCGACCGCTAAAGACACTCCACGCTATGTCGTATTTCAAAGTTGTGTTGCGCTTGAACAGATCGACAAGTCTGTTGGCACGTTCAATATAATAGTCTGGCTGTAGTCCTTCGGCTTCGAGTTGCTGTAGAATCTCCGTAAATGCGACCGTTGGAGAGGTGTCCTCAACGTCTTCTGTTTCAGCTTCCTCTTCTTCCTCTTGTACTTCTTCGTCGCGGAGAGCATCTGGGGGACTCTTTCTAGGACTCACGCGGAAATAGCTGGACATACGTTTATTCGGTGGGGTGACAGGAGTTGTCGCTCGCTGTATCTCCTCGTCTAATTGCTGTTGCAGCTCTGCTAGCTTGCGATTCGCGGTACCCAATTCTTGCTCAACCCTCAGCCGTTGATCACGGCTCTGCTTTGCATTTTTGGCCATCAGTGCCTCTAACATGTTTTCAGTGCCCGTCTTGATCTTCATCTCTTTCGCAATTTTGTCCCGAACAACGGCTTGCCTCTCTTCTGTCGTTCCTTGCCTTTCATCATCCGTCGAGTAACGAGCCGTCAAGGCGGCACGATATGGAGCGCTTGAGGACATCTCATTCTGTGGTGTGTGGCTGCGACTTGGGACGATCGATCGCATGTCCGGAGCGAAGCTACCAGGTATGCTAGCTGGGACCGGACTTGGTCGCAGTCCAAGATTGGTTTCATTTGCGCTGCCACTGGACAGGGACCTGTTATCCCTGGTGTTTGACCTTGCAAACGCATTCTTCAGGTCGTCACTCTTTCGGTACGTATGCTTGAAGCCGACTCGTTGCGTAGGCGTGCCTGCATGAGCCTGCTCCGATGATGCCATCTAGCCATGGAGACCACAACAGCAGAGAGATCGTATTATCTTCTATTTTGTGTCGTCTGTGTCGAGTCTCGTCTCAGTCCGTGGGCTTTGGCGCGCATTATTGGTACCTCCTGTCGCGCTCGACTTTTCATTCCAAGAGCTTGTATAGACGATCCAGAAGACTAGTGATCAAAGCAGAGTTGTGAGCCTCATACAGTTGTCAGATTGTCGTGGTACACGTAATCGTGATCTGACACCTCGAGCACGAACGGCTCATTGGTGGGAGAAAGTCAAGGGACGCTGCATGAAAGAGCGATCCACCCGAGGTTGACACGTTTAATTAGGGAAGCTTAATAAGTCGTGCCTGCCCGCCTAACTCAGCGACAATAGAGGCGTTCACTACTCGTGCATCGCAGCACGCTCATCGAACGACCTCGAACTTATACCATACAGGGTTTCGAAGAACATCATTAACGTCGTGGTATGAACTCCAGCTCGTCGACTACAAGAAACATAAGGATGTAAGATGCAGTGCCTTGCCGACTCGACTTGTGACCGACCGTCCAACGCCGGCAAGTTTATTCTTGGGTTCGTGTCCATTGACTAAATTTCCATTCTAATTTCATCGATATCCTTGCAATGCTTCGAGTTGTGCGAGGGACTTCCTTCTAGATCAAAGCAAAGAGAAGTCTTCGCTGCGTTCACTGATACCATACAGCTAGCCAAGATGGAGTCTTCGCATCTTGCATATAATTTAACCACTGAGTGAGAAAGACCAGAAAGAAGCATGCAACCGGCATGCTTGACAGGAGCTGTATCTCACCAAAATCAGACGATGTGCTCTGGACCCATTTCATACTGCGTGATCGGCGACCTCCGCCAGAAATCGTACGCCTATGAGGACATTCAAAGCAGAACCCTGAGGACCCAATAATACGTGTCGAGCAATATCTGACAACTCAAAATTCACATACTGCTATCTGATCTACTACCGGCTCGCTGCAAGCCGCTCGATTGGAATTGCCCGTTGAGACCAGAATCAGATCGTATTGCGTAGCACTGATAAGCATCACGCAACACATCCCAGGGCATATATCTGTAGCTCCCTCCATCCAAATGTCTCTCAGCGAGTTCCCCCTAATTGTATACCACTCGGAGCAGTAGCGACGTGACCGTTAACTTCGTACAGCTAACTTGATCTTTACGAGTCTGATCGACCTTATCACCGAGACTGGGAAACTATTTCCGGACTCCTCAAGCAATATCCCGGCCAGGATAAGGACGACGGACGTTCCAGCCTCAAAGTACTTCGTTGTAATAGAGCTAGGAAACTTCAAGACACGACCTTTTGACACTATGCCTAAAGTCTCCGCAGCACGTTATGGCAAGGACAATATTCGTGTGTACAAAGTACACCGAGATGAGTCTACTAATCCACCAACCCATACTGTCTACGAGATGACGGTTTGTGTCCTCCTGGAGGGCGAGATCGAGACCAGCTATACCGAAGCTGACAACAGCAATGTCGTAGCCACTGACACAATGAAGCAAACCACTTACATCACGGCTAAGCAAAATCCAGTCAATCCACCTGAGCTTTTTGGGGCTATACTCAGCCAGCACTTCATCGATACATACAAGCACATCAGCGTCGCTCATGTGAACATCATCCAGCATCGATGGACCAGAATGGATGTCGACGGCCAGCCGCACCCCCATAGCTTCTACCGTGACGGTGCCGAGAAACGACTCGTTCAAGCTGATGCTACCCGAGGAACAGGAATCAGCATCCGCTCTGGCATAAGCGATCTGCTTGTTCTGAAGTCAACTGGCAGCATGTTCCACTCTTTCTACCGTAATGAATATACTGCACTGCCAGAAACATGGGATCGTATCCTTAGCACATCCGTGGATGCAGGTTGGAAGTGGTCAACGTTCTCCGGTCTAGAAGCTGTGCAAAAGGAGGTTACACAATTCAATGAGACCCATATCAAGGCTCGAGAGATCACTTTCAGACTTTTCGCTGTTGAGGAGTCGCCATCTGTGCAGAATACAATGTACAAGATGTGCGAGGAGATTTTGGCAGCCCAGAGTATGGTAACAGACGTCGATTACTCACTGCCGAACAAGCACTACTTTGAAATCGACTTGAGCTGGCACAAGGGATTGAAGAATACTGGCAAGGATGCAGAGGTTTATGCTCCACAGAGCGATCCGAATGGATTGATCAAGGTCACCGTCAGCCGATAGATGCAACTACCAAGTGCTGGGATTGTGCATTGACGTTGCATGTTAGTTTAGGGAAATCACCAAACCGTAGTTGTGTCTGAGATTTGAGTCATGTCAATCAAGCAAACCTTGTTTACATACAATATGGGTATAATCAATGTCCTCGACACAGTGTCCGCCGGCAAACTTTCACCCTCAGCCATTATGCAAACGCCACTGTTTCCATAGGCTCGAGACTCTTTACAGCTCAAGTAAGCTCCTGTAATGCATCGCGTCTGTAGTGAACCGTTGGGCTTTCCAAAAGTAGCAACACTCTTACGCAAGCTTCGTAACTTGGGATTGCAGTTCGAGAGTCTGGGCAACACCAACTAGCTGGAGAACTTGACTGGCCTCGTGTTGAGAATCGAACCGTGTTCTCTACCAACATCGGATGGGTTGCGCAAGCGCGAAGCAAGCTAGATATCAAAATGTCCTCACGGAGCGCGAATATTTCCCTTCCTTGCTGGAACCACTTGTAGTATAGCTCTGTTTTTTGTGGATATCGTTTCGCTGCCATATTCAACTACGCCGGCTGTTTCTCTGGTGGCTCTTCTATCTTCACCTTGGCCATCGCTTCCACAATTTGACCCTCGGCAATACCCGAGTCTGGCCTCAATTTCCTCCCAGCAAACTTCACCAGATTTTTTCCATATGGATTTTGTTCTCCCTCGTATACCTTTAGCCGTGCTAACCTCTTATCTCGTAACCTGTTCTTGGGCAACATGCCTCTTACCGCCTTCTTCAACACCTCACCACCACCCCACTTGCTCATCATTGCGTCCATACTCATCGACTTGAGACTTCCGGGCTTTGTGTTGTGTGTATAGTATAGTTTTTGCTGTCGTTTTTTGCCGGTAGTTTGTATATGTGCACAGTTCAGAGCCACGACGTAGTCACCACAATCGGTTGCTGGATCGTATATCGGTTTGTTCTTGCCCATCAAAACCTGGGCTATCGAGGTCGCTACACGACCGAGCGGTCGAGGATCTGTGGAGAGGTTGAGGGTGTGCCATGTGCGGGAGTAGGCTAGGCGAGTGCGACCTAGAGATTGCGACATTTTGTCGGTCGAAGGAAAGTGCTCGTTGAAGGAGGTCGCAGTGCTGCTGCTGCGTATGACGAGGCTCCTTAGCTTTTCGTGATCGTGTAAATGAGATTGCGTCGTGTAAAGAGTGTCAGGGTGTCATCCGAACCAGCTTTCGAGTTGTGCTCTTTGCCTGTATCTGGTGGTCAAATCTTGCGATACCACAGGGTCAGGGTTCCTCCGGGCTCCGTTTACTGATGACCACCAGTTAGTTACTGTCTTCAAATGCTCATTGGGGTGACCTCGAATCAAGTGTAGAGTCAGCCTTGCAAGGCTTACGGCAGATCTTCGGTGCATCATTCTCTTGGCGAGAGAGATGCGGCTCCCGCACGAACTTTCTAAGCATTGAAGAGAACATCGTCGTCGCGAAAGCCACGTTTCTACGACATCTTGACACAACTGCTCTAACAGACAGCGATCGCCCAGTATGTCTGCCCCTCAGAGCGTTCAATGCTTCGGCAAGAAGAAGACTGCCACTGCTGTGGCCCATTGCAAGAAAGGACGAGGTTTGATTAAGGTCAACGGCCAGCCTCTGTCGCTCGTTCAGCCCGAGATCCTACGATTCAAGGTACGCAAATTCGACAACCTCTATGTAGAATGTTTCAGAATGCGCTCAGGACTGGAATATGGATCATGAAATATCGCAGGAATGCTCAACTAACAAAATATTTCCAGGTTTACGAACCACTTCTCGTCCTTGGTCCTGAAAAATTCAGCGGTGTCGATATTAGAGTCCGAGTTACTGGTGGTGGTCACACTTCCCAGATCTATGCCATTCGACAAGCCATCGCCAAGTCTATCGTAGCATACTACCAGAAATACGTCGACGAGTACAGCAAGAACCAGTTGAAGAGCGCACTGGTGCAATACGACCGAACCCTACTAGTCGCAGACAGCAGACAGTGTGAGCCAAAGAAATTCGGTGGTCCAGGTGCCCGAGCCAGATACCAGAAATCCTACAGATAAAGGATGTCACAAAACCTTGTGGGAGGAGAATGCTCGTGGTTGTGGTTACCTGTTGCAGTCAGAAAGCTCAGTATGGACGTTTGCGGTCGGATATGTGTCGGCAGGAGAGTTTATCTGAAAGCATGAGGGTAATCTGGGCCAAAAGAGCGAGTTCGCATGCTGTGGTTCACAGGGACTGAACGTCGTGTGCATGCGATTGTGATAGGAACAGGATCATCTACCTGCAAATGTGGCTTGTGGTGTTGCCAGCGGACAAGTCTTGACAAATCAAGCTGAAAGGCGTTGCCAGCAGAAATCACAAAATGATATAACCTTTCACATGCCACAGATCACATTCGAGGTCAGCAGGCATGAGAGCTTTGCTGAACATAATACTCAAGATCCAGGCGGAAAGACGTGCTCATCTACTGACTCGGCGATTCTTGCATTTACTTCAGTCGAGGGATCCTGAGTAGGCCAATCCTGTCTCCACAACTACAGGTGCATATTCACCAGTCTCCTCGTCCTCATCTAGATCATCAGCCTGCAGCTCAACCATTTCCCCATCCTCAAGCTGCACCATGCCACGTCTGAGCGTATTCTTCTCATCCTCCCAACCATACTTCTCTCCTAACCACTTCTCAAGTTCATCAAGCACCTTTCTAACGTTCTTGCCCTCTTCTTTGCTTCCTCCGCTATCTGCAGCATCAGCGTAGACTTCTTCCACAGTTGCCCTGAAGGTTTTGAGCAGCTTCCTTAACCAAGCACTGCTGCTCTCGTCCGACAGTTCGAACAAGCCACCTTCGACATCGTCAACTCGACCGAGCTGTTGTCTTAGCACCTTGAGTACCTCGACAAAGAAACCTTCAACCTCAGTCAATGCACTTCGGCACGTGAATAACACTGTAAGAAGTCGCTTCCACTGCTCCAAGCAGCTATAGTTGGCCAAACACAGGACCATGAGAAAGCAAAATTGTAGTTCGCCCAATAATTCACTAGCGGCCTTGGACTGAGAGACTTCGCCCTCGCCCCCTTCATGTGCCACGTCTGGCATCGTAAGATGGGAGATCAGATGCTTGAGATACCACGATCGGTCCCTCGCCATTTCTGTTCTTGAACGGCCGACGGCGTCCTCTGGCCATGTTTGCTTCAAATCCATGGGCATGAGGTTGAGGGTCCGTAGTGGCTCAAGTGCTAGACGTGATTCCATGGATGTCAGACCAGGGATGTGTTCTGTATCTGATGGTGCGGCAGAGACCGAAGTCAATGCCCATTTCGTTGATGGCTTATCTCGATCCTTGGACGAGAAAACCCTCGTCAATAGACGAGATGTTACGTGACTAGTTAACGCTGGCCATGTGTTTCCACTGTTCTGCCCATCACTGTTAGATTGATGGTCTGACTGCTCATTCTGTAGATTTGCACTCGCATCTCTCAAAGCAGCAAAGTCTACCAGACCTTTCTTCTGCAGTTCTGGCAACCGTCGCGTAATCTCTTGTGACTGTGTACTGCCGGCGTCGACCTGCTCGAGATGTTCTAGATCATTGTTCCATGTCAGAGTAATTATTTCTGTATTTGTGCTCGTTGGCCGGATGTTCAGCCACAACCCATGACGAATGGAAAGGAAAGCGTCTGTTCCTGTGTACAAGAACAGAAGGCCTTTAGGTAGATTTGTGATACCTAAGAAGTTCGGTGACGAATTGAAGGACGCTAGATTGATGCCGACGAAGGTCTTTGGTGGTAGACCTAGGAAGAGAATGGTAGGCGACATGGCCATATTGGCAGATCAGGTAAATTTATTGAGCCACGAGCAATTTCAGTCAAGAGCAGAAATTTTGAAATTCGAGTATGGTCATCATTTTCACAATAACGAAACACCTATACTTTTTACAAAAGTCTCAATCTACCATGTGACCTCCAAGAATCAAGGCATCGACAATGCATTCTGTCATGAACATCTTCTCATTGTGAATGTAAATTGTCTACCTCGAATATGACCGTTCGGAACTGCTATCTTTTCGGAATCAGTCATCCACAGAGATGGCGCTGAATGCCTAGCAGCGACCCCATCATTGTCTTGAGCATTTCAACAAAAGTGTTGTGAGGACCAGGCGTGAATACCGCATGCCGTTCCTCGCGTGATCTTGGTAAAATAAACCCTCCGCACAGACAAGCACGCAGTCGCGATCGCAGCAACGCACATGCTCACAGACGACGACCACGACGACCACCCTTTCTTCGTGTAGAATCAGATGGTGTTGGTGTGACGTCCTCAATTCTGCCAATCTTCATTCCTGATCGAGCTAGAGCTCGGAGAGCAGACTGAGCACCTGGACCCGGGGTCTTTGTGCCGTTGCCTGTGCGCTTGTCAGATACAGCTGGTGCTAATTGTATGTCGCAACTTACCACCAGTAGCTCGGATCTTGATGTGCAAAGCAGTAATGCCTAGCTCCTTGCATCGAGCAGCGACATCCTGAGCAGCCAACATGGCAGCGTATGGAGAAGACTCGTCGCGATCGGCCTTGACTTTCATGCCACCAGTAACTCGGCAAATGGTTTCGCGGCCACTACATGGAATCACCCACATTAGCCCATGAACCTTCACCGATGTTTCTTTTTGTTCCATTTCTCTTGCACCTCTTCTCAATAAGACTTACGAAAGATCGGTAACATGTACGAAGGTATCGTTGAAGGATGCGAAGATTCGTGCGACGCCGAAGACAAGTTCACCCTCTCGGACTTGAGGACCCAAGGAGACGTTCTCCTGTGCTGGTCGGGCTGCACCTTTCTTTGGAGGCATATTGAGATTTCGAGTTGTATTATGTCCTTTGTGTAGAGGATTGCGGTATAGAGATCTCGAAATCTGTAAATTCGTCGAACTTTCGATTCAAGCGCAGTGTGGGAGTGGTCTAGTCCGGAAGTGGGATAGCTCGCCAAGATTTCACCTTAGCGTGTTTTGACCTTCAACCTGGGATTTTCTTTCGCTATCTTTTGTCTTCATTCGACAACTCTACTCGTCACAAACGTACGTTGTCTTGATGTTTCAAATTTGAGGGAGTTCGTTCCATATCAAAACCTTGTCGCAATGCACAAACGGCACAAGTCCCAAATTCTAGCTGTCGTAAACGAATTCGACGAGAGGTGATCTGGACGTGGCTGACAATCTTTCTATCCGTCCCATCGTTATGGCTAATCCAAGCATTGGGATCATCGGCATGGGCCTGATGGGCCGCATGTATGCAAAAAGGTTCAGCGAAGCTGGCTACAGGTAAGGCGTGTACAAGCACTCCTGGCTTTTCTCTATCTGCTTAGGTATGTATTCATCTCTTTCTTCCCTCTTGTTCAAGGATGACTTGAGCGCATTTGGCTCGAGCATTGTCTGTGTTGGTACGCACTGCATCATTTTGATGTGGTACTATATCGACTAGACAGTCACTGATGTAAATATCTCGCTACCTTAAATTTTCTTGTCTGATGAACACATTCCCACCTTGATGTTAGCACTCTCAGTCACATACATTTGCTAACACATACGCGCAGTTCCAATATTTATACCATTTCCTCCCTACAGCACTGATTCGTGTTCGCTTTCAGTGTCAATGTTTGCGATCGGCCCGACAGGTATGAAGAACTGAGAGCGGAATATGCTGACAAGGTTAGTTCTTCGCATCTCGTGGAGGACAGAATTGACATCCTCAGCAAAACGTGAATGTCTTGTTCAACGGCCATTTCGTTTCGAGAATTAGTGATTGGATCGTGTACTCGGTTGAGGCAGAAGCTATAGACAAAATTGTCGCGGAATATGGTCCGTCAACTAAGGTAGGCGCCATCGTAGGCGGCCAGACTTCCTGCAAGGCCCCGGAACTTGCTGCCTTTGAGAGACACTTGCCAGGAGATGTCGAGATAGTGAGTTGCCATTCCTTACATGGTCCTGGTGTCGATCCAAAGGGACAACCTTTGGTCATAATACAACATCGAGCCTCGCACACAAGTGTCAATACTGTCAAAGAGATCTTGTCTTGCCTGCAGTCAAAGATTATCTTTCTTACTGGGGAAGAGCATGATCGTATCACTGCCGATACACAAGCTGTTACACATGTTGCATTTCTTAGCATGGGTACTGCCTGGGCTGCAAACAATCAGTTTCCGTGGGAGATTGATCGATATGTGGGTGGAATTGAGAACGCAAAAATCAACATCATGATGCGAATCTATTCCAACAAGTGGCATGTATACGCTGGGCTTGCCATATTGAATCCAGCTGCTCAGAGACAGATCAGGCAGTATGCTCAATCGGTTACCGACCTCTACAAGCTCATGCTGGAGGGTCGTCGGACCGAATTCGAAACCCGGATCCGCAGTGCTGGTGCAGCAGTCTTCTCAAGCGATGCCAGGGGAGACCTGCTCCTGGACGATGCCCTGCTGGACAAGTTTTCGCTATCTCAGGATCCCAAGCAACGCAAACCCAACAACCATTTGAGCTTGCTGGCTATCGTAGATTGCTGGTGGAAACTTGGCATTGTTCCGTACAACCATATGATTTGTTCGACACCTGTAAGTGTATGCCCAATAGCTTGGCATCATCGTTGACGCGTCCTAGTTGTTCCGTATTTGGTTAGGTGTTACTGAATACCTCTACCGAAACGAGCTTCTGTTATCGGAGGCTATCAATACCGCTATCGTCGATACGTCTTTTCGATCAGACGACCTAGAATTCACATTTGCCGCAAGGGTAAGTCTTCGTCAGCCATGCTTATCGATTCGTACTCACACAATGAAGGCATGGTCGGAATGCGTGTCCTTTGGTTCTTTCGATGCATATCGTGATCGTTTCGAAAACATCCAGCGCTACTTCGCACCACGTTTTGAAGACGCAGTACGAATGGGCAACGAGATGATTAAGACTATTGCCCAGAACACCAAATCCTCTACCCGCAATGGCTTGTAGGGAATACGACTATAGGGAGATTAGCTAATCTACAAAGCCAGAGAACGGTGGTATTTTCAGCTATAAATGCTGCTGCCACCAAACTGATACACGAACGCAGAATGCGACCACTTTGCAACAGGGTTGTAAAATTCAATGTGCTCGCAATCGCATTTAAGCGTAACTCTTTCTCAACATAAACTCTCCTTCTTTGTGCTGAAGCTCATCGAGACGGCACATGCACGTCAACAAGGGAACGTGCCGACATCTAAGCCTCAACATGCTGTTGTCTTCAGGCGTCCGCCCTATAGCTGAGGCAAGTGCCTAGATGTTTCATCCTCAATCCTCTTGCTTGGCACGCTTTATCTGTGGTGACGTGGACATATGTATACCCATAATGTAGAAAGGACGTGCAGCGGAATGTGCCCTATTACAGGGTCTAAAGCAGTGCAATGGATTGCTAAGCCACTATAAATGATGATCAACCCAATCTTTGGGTTTTCTGATTGGTCAAGAAATATGTCGGTAAGTGTTGAAAGAGTTTGATTCTTCCACTGAGATGATTGACCTTGGCAGCCAAGCTATGTCGGAGGCTATGAGCCCGATCGAGTCTCCCAAAAGGAGAAGTTCGTGGTACAGTGCCTGGCACGAGTTCAAGGTGCACAAAGCCAGGAACTTGCGCGCCTTGTTCTGTGTAATAAGCAATGCTGCCCTATGAATATCTGCCCCTACACTATGCCACGAAGCAACCTGCACATTGACAACCGGGATCTATTTATGATTCAAACGTCTACGCCACGATGATTTTCTTCAAGCCAGGTTCGGAGTTCGACTAACCTATTTTGCTCAGATCTACTCCTTTATATGCACACAGCGGCTCCGTAGTCAGGAACATCAGAATTCTTACTGGCTCCATTCTTTACATTTTGTGGCCCCAGTGACGGACTATCTAACATAGCTGCACTTTATTTTCCCCGCGAAACTGAATGGGCATATCTCAAGCCATTCTGCACCCCTAACTCAGAGTCAAATGCTCATCATTTCCATCTCATCCCCTTCCCGCGGGACTGTGTAGTGAATCGCCATGGGAATGAAGACAGTGGTAGGGAGCTTTGCTCTGTTTGGTTCGTGCTCGATGAGTAGACATTATTGTATACATTGTTAACATTTTCAATAGCAGCAGCAGCATCAGCACAATCACCCTCCGTCGCCACATACTCCAACGAGGGTCATAGCATAGCCGTCAATGTTCCATCGGATACAGCTTCTTCAGGCTCGGGGCCAATCTTCTTTCAAATTTCTGCTCCAAGTGGCACAGCATGGACAGCCTTCGGTCAGGGAAGTCGTATGGCTGGTTCCAACATGTTCGTGATCTATTCTGCTGGTAATGGCAACGTGACATTATCACCTCGACTCGGTACAGGTCACAATATGCCGCAACATGACTCCAGCACTATGGTCACACTTTTGGAGGGCTCAGGTGTGGCAAGTGATGGCTCGTTGATTGCCAACGTTCGATGCGACAACTGCAACAGTTGGTCCGGTGGATCCATGTCTTATACGAGCTCCAGCAGCAGTTGGATATACGCATCCAGGTCCGGCAGCGCTCTTGACTCCACTGACGTGTCAGAGAGCATCGCCATGCACAATTCGGACACGTCGTTCTCGCTGGACCTGACCGAAGGAACTGGTGGAAGCTCCCCAAATCCTTTCGTTGCTGCATCCGAAGCTCCAGCTGAATCAACGTCTAGCAGCGCTGGTACATCAGCAACAGCCAGCAACAGCGCCTCGGCAACAAGTAGTAACAGAGCCTCAGCAACAGCCAGCAGTAGTGCCTCAGCGACGAGCAGCAATGGTGTTTCAGCTCCTGTGGTTAGCTCAGGAAGTGACGGGTCGGGAAGCAGCAGCTCAGGCTCTTCTTCAGGGGCTCAACGGCCTACAAACAACTCCGCGACCCTACGCAGTGCGCACGGCATCATCATGTCCGTTCTCTTCCTGGGCCTATTTCCTTTCGTGTCCCTCACTTTGTACCTACCGACAGCCATCAAAGTGCGATATATCCATGCACCTCTTCAAATACTCAACTTAGTCTTACTCATTGCTGGCATGGCATTAGGCATTGTTCTTGGTCAGCGATTCGATGCATTGGACGGATATCATATGATCATCGGCTATATCGTTGTCATCTGCCTCATCTTGTTCCAGCCAGCAATGGGTCTTTATCAGCATCTTTACTACCACAGAACCGGCGGGAGCTCGTTCTTTGGAGTGGCACACAGGTGGTTTGGTCGAACTATGATTTTGCTAGGAATTGTGAACGGTGGTCTAGGCTGGTATATCGCTGGCAATACTTCAGCGTATGTGCCATACGCAATCGTCGCGGCCATTGTTGTCTTGATCTATATCTCTGTGCTGCTCTTTGCGTGGTACAAGAGCGGTAAGAAGCAGGATCCTCTGAACGAAAAGGCTGGATCAGACCGATCGTACGAGATGCAAAGATCTCGAGAGTCGAGACATCAACGACTGTCGTCCAACGAGTATCCTCAAAATGGTACTCAGTCAACGTACCATCAGCAGCAAAGGCAAAACACAAGATATACTATCGGCTCTCGTTAAGGAAACGGTTTAATGATTACGCTTGATGACCTTGAGATGTGGATAGGCGTTTATAGAATGTTCCATTGCGCATGGAAGCAGCATATCTGTGACACTAGATAAGTTCTTGTACCCAATTTATTCGACGTTTTGGACACGACTTTCCGGTTCGTTGTTTTCTGTACATTAACTTAGAACAATGACGATAGTCGCTTTTGTGCTAGAAAGTCTCTCCGAAGGATTTTATCCTGCTCACCTATTGATCGTTCGAAGGGGTCACTCCGGATATGTGCAAATCAGACTAAAACGAGCGCCTGCTTTTCCCTACCGCCAGGTGCCACCTTCAGAAGGCTTGGCGAGAGCTCTAATCAGTGTACTGACATGCAAACCTATTCGAGAATTATCTAGAGAACGACGACTTGTCTGTTCAGCTTTCCCGGAACAACATCGAGGCATATTCGATGGGACCAGCCAGTGCGAGAAAATGTTACTGCAGAAGGACTGCCACGTATAGTCTGCATCAAAATGGTCTCCAGGATATTGTCAGTGGAGGCATCGTTCGAACCCGATAATCTCTAGACTCCTTCCCGCTGGCGACGCGTGGATGGTGGTCAACTCTCAGGGCTTTCTCCTCACATGCAGAACGTGGCCGCGAAAGGAAAAATCAGACGAACCACAGAAAGGGTTGTCAAGACCTAGACAAGCAAGGAGATCCAATTCGCGACGACACTGCGAATTCAGCATGAGGTCATTGGCGCCTTTTGAAGCAAATTAGCGAACAGGCTTGCCGTGCTTGCATGCGGGGTGCATAATCGTTGTCGTCGTTTGCCAGTCTCAAAAATTGACGTGAAGTCTCAACCGCGTCTTTTGCGCGGTAGAACGCAACAATATCGATGTCGTTGAGTTCTTTCGGGTTGACTTTCAATCGCGCTTGATATCACTTAAGGTATTGGCTGCAAGCACACAAATGACCCTTGCTTGGTCAAGAATTGTAGACCACCCGCTGAGCTTTCGCGATACTGCCTAACCACGCGATCATTAACCTTAACCTGCAAGCTTTCGTGTCCGTGAGATCTGCCCGATCAATGCACGCTTCAAGCCAGTCAAGGCAACAAGCAGGCCCTTCCCTACACGAAATGACGTCGCGTGCCGCTGTTGCACTCATGCCACAAGGAAGCTCTCCTGCTGCAGCACAGCGTATGGCTCGCAAGACAAGCAGGCGTAATCCGGGAGATATCCAAGGGATTGTGCTTCTTGTGTGCTCTCAACTCCTCGAATTCGATTGAAATACTGTACCGATTTTCTCTCACAAGGTCAAAAAGATGAGGTTTCCTAGCGGCCTTGGGTCACAACAGCCATATTTTGGGTTGAAAGGAGGGTGGCTCACGTTCTGGATCACTGTCGCCTGCGCTACCGACATGACGCTTTTTGGCTACGACCAGGGCGTCTTTTCTGGAATCATCGTTACTCAGGACTTCCTTGACGTTCACAATCTTGGTGGACCAAGCAAGACCTCACTACTAGGTTTGTACATTCAAGTTGAAAGAAGGATCGTGAGTGACGTTAGCCAGGTACCGTAACGGCTATATACGATATAGGTTGCTTCTTTGGTGCTTTGTCAGCATGCTACTTCGGGGAGAAGTATGGCCGCAAGAAGGTAAGGTTCAATCGTTCGTGTGTCTCAAATATCGGCTCACGAGGAAGACTGTGCTCATGGGAACCACCATTATGACCATCGGAGCCATCTTGCAAATCTCGTCTTATAGCGTGCCACAAATGATTGTGGGTCGTGTTGTTGGCGGTATTGGGAATGGTCTCAACACAGGTTCGTACTTGCCGTTCTAGACGTCTCTTGCTCATATTCTTGTTTCAGCAACGGCTCCAGTATGGCAGACGGAAACGTCACAAGTCAAGTGGCGGGGCAAGCTTGTTATAATCGAGCTCATCACAAATATTGCTGGGTTCTCCTTATCGAATTGGATCAATTATGGCTTCTCGTATGCTGGTGGAGCAATAGCGTGGAGGTTCCCACTAGCTTTCCAGCTCGTCTTTATCATGATCCTCTTCGCGACTGTGCCGTGGCTTCCGGAGTCCCCCAGATGGCTGATTGCCCATGAATACGAAGATGAGGCATTCAGTATTCTTGCAGATCTGGAAAGTAAGGACTCGAACGATCCATACGTTCTGCAACAACACAAGGAGATCGTGTTCACCGTCCAATATGAGAGGGAAAATGCGCCTAGGTGGCTCGATCTGCTCAGGGGCAAGACTGGGGACAAAGGGGGCACATGTACAATCCGTCGACTCGTTCTCGGGGCGGGAACCCAGTTCATGCAACAATTTTCTGGGATAAACGTAACTTGTAAATTGGTTTCCTGGTATGTGATGACCTGGAACATCTGCTAACAGCTTGTCAGCATATTACCTACCAACAGTACTCATCAGTAGTGTCGGCCTGTCAGAACGGTTAGCTCGACTTCTCACAGCCTGCAATTCAATCAGCTACCTCCTCTTTTCTCTAATCGGTATACCTTATGTCGAGTCTGGTGGTCGTCGGAAGCTGCTAATGTTTGCCGCAACTGGCCAAGCTTTCTCTTACCTCATGATCACCATCCTAATCGGGCTGAATGAGCGGCCTGATTTCGCAGCTAAGAGGCAAGTCGCTGAGGCTTCTATCTTCTTTTTCATGTTGTATTATATTTTCTTCGGAATAGGCTTCCAGGGCGTCCCATGGCTATATCCGACCGAGATCAATTCACTCGCCATGCGGACCAAAGGCGCAGCGATAGGAACAGCTACCAATTGGATGTAAGTGTATCGACGACCTACCAAGATGTTATCATGTTGACCTTTTTTCAGGTGCAACTTCATAGTCGTTGAGATCACGCCAATAGGTATACAATCGCTGGGTTGGCAATTCTATATCATTTGGGTAGTGTTCAATGCGGCCTTTGTCCCCACGGTTTACCTCTTCTATCCGGAGACCGCAGATCGTACTCTTGAGGACCTTGACGCATATTATCGAGAGAGCCCGCCTTTGCTCGTCTTTCGTGACAAGGACGTCACTAGCTCGAAGAGACCTGCGAAATATGTTGAGGCTGAGCAGGAGGAGATTCGAAGAGCTAGTGGTGTTGATCCATCGTCTTTCAGACGGCAAAGCAGGATCTCGTCGCAAGACGGAGAGTACGGCAATAGGAGAATGAGCCACGCAAGCACTCTGGCTGGCAGCTCTGGTTGTAATGGTGGTACGGCAGAGAAGAACTGTGGTGATGGAACTGATAAGGTCTGAGGAAATGGAAGAGCATGAGGGCATTTTTTAAGCGCACTAGATCTTAGTGACAAACAAAGCATCGATCCACCATATCAGCACTTCGGGCACTCTCAGCTCACACAATGGCTGGGAGGTGTGTCTCATCGACGACGCAGAAGTCCTCGCCGAAGCGCATCCCATCAGACACATGAGAAACGTTTTCAGAAGAGCAGAAACCACTGCGGCTCACCAGTCTGCATGCACTTGACACGCCATAGAGGACCGGGTGAATTTTGTGGTAAATCTGACTGTGTTGTAAGACACAAAGATATCTGAAGACCCGCAAAGACTCACCATTACAGGCCCAGGATCACAAATTAGCCGCATTCTCGTTAAGAGGGACTTGGCACCGGACCTTGGCAAGTAAACCCAGCACGTGGTGGTCAAAAAAGCGCCCGCTCACCTTGGTGTGGTTTGCATGTGTCCCAACAGTTGCTCCAATGAAATGCACTTCAATAACTGCAGCAGAAATTGACCACACTCGTTGTTTCAGATGTGGATTTAGATGAGGCTAATTTTGTGACCACAAGGCTGTGGCTTTCCTTAGACACTTCGTACAGGCACTAATGCTGGTTGTCAGTCGGCTAGTGGGCGGATTTTGCCAGAACTAATCGAAATGATCACTTGGCAGATGCAGGTGAAATGGCCTTGAAACACGCTTGCTGTGATGAAGCTCTCTCTCTTGGGTCTCAACAAATGCAAGGTGCCTTGATTCAACCTCGGCCGAGACCGCATCATGCAGCGGGTCCCCGATAGCTGAAGTCGGTCGTCGCCATGGCTTCGAATAAAGTCCGGCTCGCAGTGAAAGGTGTGTGACCCTTCTGTCTGATTTTGAGTGTTTGGTATTGGAACTATTGTCCTTAGTCGAATCAACACGTCCTCCTGTTGCTGGTTCTCGAATTTCACATCAATTTCAGCATGTCGAGCATACGGTTCTATTCCGACTCATCATGTACGAATGTGACCACAGAAACCACAGGACCTCCAGACGGGCAATGCACTCTGTTCGGCACCTACGAGTTCGGCAGCTTCAGACTCATCAGTTTGCAGCAAACTTGCGCTGTGACCATTTACGACAGTGATATCCCCTTCTGTTCGTCGACGACGCTTTCCACGGCTAGACTTGGAATCTGCTATTCCAATGCAACTGTCAATCAGTTCTCCGTAGACTGTCAGGATGTGTCCTACGCGTCGACCGCTATTCCCACACTATGGACAGCATCGAGTAGCACAACTACAGCATCGTCGTTAAGCACAAGCCAAAATGCTGCCACAAGCTCGGGCGCTGGCTCAGGTGCCACTGTGACTATCTACTCAACTATACTTGCTGAAGCCAGCGCGGCGGCCACCTCCAACACAAGTGCAGTATCATCGAGTCTATCAACTGGCGCACAAGCCGGAATCGGTGTTGGCGTAGCGTTGATTTGCATTTTCCTAGGTCTTGCAGTTGCCTTCTTGCTCGTTCGCAGAAAGAGACGACAACGAGCTGTCATAGCTAGCGAGAAAGACGTTTCACTCACGCACACTTCCGACAGTAAGGCGTCTGGACTAGTAACTACAACTGAGTTATCATCGGATGCGAAGCGACCTGCCGAGCTACCGCTTCAAAAGAGTGCTGATTTGGTGGAGGCGCCAGAAGACCGGCGTACCACGCAGCGGTGCGAGTTGGATGGTAACACTTCTGCACGGCCTGCGTGAACTGCAGATCTACAGCGAACTTGCGTGGATCCGCGCTCTGCTTTGAACAGCATATACAGGCCGAGCTGAGCATGATATTAACGAAATGCTCACCACAAACAGAACCAAACAATCGGGAGGCCACAGCTTATAGAGGTGATTGGTAAATAACAGATAGTTCGACTATGACTTGCGAGTTATCTCTGGCAGAGGAAATGAACTTGGGTTCCCATGATACCATCAGCAAGGTGGTCGAGGCATAAATGTGAGCCTCCTCGTACCTTCCTAGCTCGTCGATAGGCATTATATTGCAAAGTTAGCCAGCACAGATAAGCTTATCACTAGCATGAGACCACCTAGAATTGAATCAGGAAGGTACGACGACACATGTATATACGCCCCAACCGCCCCAACCGCCCCTAATCAAGCTTGGTGAACGTGGGGAGTGCGGAGAGCTGACACATCTGAAGTGCTCCAAATGCCAGGTTGAACCATCCACTGGCGATGGGAGAGATGCCGAGGACTGTCGTTGAGCGAGAGGAAACTGATATCAAACCAACCATGTTTTTCTCTGCCAGACCACACTGTGCTCAGTAAATTTCACCACATGTGTCCAGGATTAAGTACCCCATCCATAACGTCCTAGCCATACCCGTCTCCAAGTCCATAACATCTCTCAGTCTCATACCAATTCAGCTTCCTTAATTGACCACCAACCACAAGCACACAATGGCTCTAGGATCTCAACCTCCTGAACCAGAATGGATGGCCCTCCCTTCCGGCTCCTGTTGTCTCAAGGGCCACATCCACTCCGGTAAACCCCGAGGCTCCTTCGACTGGGTCGCCGACATCGAGACCTACGTATCACGACCGTCGCCTGAGAAAGCAAACGGACACATCATACTCTACTTCCCGGACGTTTTTGGCTTCTTTACGAATGGATTGTTGATCATGGATGAGATGGCGGATGCTGGGTATACGGTTATTGGAGTAGATTATTTCAAGGGGGTAAGTTGAGTCAATTTGACACGTTGTGCTTGTCAACGAGGGAGAGATGGATGCTAGGTAATTGAAATGTAGAGGAGAGCGGAAGCTGACTGAAGTTTTGTGCAGGAACCGGTATGGCTAGAGTACCTGGGGTATAAGAAGCCAAAGCCAGAACTCAGCCTTGAGGCATGGTTACCTAAGCACGTAAAGTTTGCGAACGAGAATGTCCCTGGCTGGGTCGACGCTGTCAAGCAAAAGTACGGCAAGGCTGGTACGAAGTATGCTTGTGTTGGGTATGTTCAGACCACTTTCCTTCCCACCCATCATCGTCCTACCAATCTTGAAGTTTACTAACACATCCCACCCCAGCTACTGCTTCGGCGCCCCCTACGTAGCCAACTGCCTCGCCCCAACTCCCTCAGGCGCAAATCCACCATGCGATGTCGGCGCCTTCGCACACCCAGCATTCCTCAAAGAACACCACTTCACCAACCTCCAACGACCCTTGTTTCTCTCATGTGCCGAGACAGATTTCACTTTCAGCACGGACGCACGCAACAAAGCCATCGATATACTAAGAGAAGCTAAGAAGCCGTATCATCTACAGCTCTTCTCGGGTGTCGAGCACGGGTTTGCCCTGAGGTGTAATCTGGACGTGCCGTACGAGAGGTGGTGTAAGGAGCAGAGTCTGAAGGGGATAGTTGACTATTTCGATGTGAACTTGGGTGTCACCGATGAGAAAGTGAAGAAGGCCCAGATATGAGGACGGGTAGGACGGTGGCTAATTGAGACGTGCATTGTGGGATCGGGCGGGCGCGTTCTGCTTCCGAGAGCAGTTGCAATTTGAGTTAAATCCTATTCTTCTTGGTTGTCAAGGACTAGCCCTACTCAAGGTGAGAAGTGTCTGGTGGGTCAGTATTATGAGTTCCTGCTACTTGTTTTCTTAGCCAGGTCGTAGTTGTAGCCGGACATGTTCTTGATCAGGGGGCTGTGAGTCAGGTCTCCCGACCTTGATGACTGACCTCGACGTGATCGGAACTTTTTTTTGCACAGGTTGTCCTGCCTCAAACCGTGAGAGGTAACTGGCTCGGGTCAGACGTACAGTGGTGTGTATAAAATAAGTTCGATAAAGGATATGATGACTATTCATTCAGAATCTGTTATTGTTGATGACTGCTGAGATGCGACGTGAGGCTCGTAAACATCCGAGTCATTTTATGCGATGTGAACAATGGAATGGGTGCTCGGTCGCTTCACGTACAAGGAAGCACATATTAGCGCTTTAAACATGCTTCTCATTGGGAATCTATTTGGCAAAAGCCAATTTACACCGAAAACATAACTGTAACTACACACTTGAGACTCTGTACCATATCAAACAGGATATCAGACGCCGTACCCCTTTGACCTATACATTACATACACAAATGCCGCTCAGTGCAAACCATAGACTCGAGCTTAGAACGCAGCAACAGCAACAGCAATAGCTTGGCTATCACTATGACTGATGCTGACATTGACACTCTTCAAGCCAGCCTCCTTGGCAGCTCTTAAGGCTTCACCATGAAGCTCAACCTTGGGTGCACCATTGGTGTCGGACAAGATCTCAATATCTGAGAGAGGTGCACCTGCACCCTTGCTGCTGACGCCCAGAGACTTGAAAACTGCCTCCTTAGCTGACCATCTACCAGCGAAGGATGATACTGGAGATGGTGCTTTCTTGCAGTAGGCTTGCTCCTGTGCAGTGAAGTTTCGTTCGACAAATGTTTCGTTATCAATATTGATTGCTGATATATCCTCAACGTCAACACCAACCTTTGAGCCCGGAGCTGCAGAGGCAGTGGTCAGGCTCTCGAGCATCTCTCGAGTCTGCTTGGCATTCGGTGACTCGGTCTTTTGCCATTTGCTTGGAAACTGGTATTCACCAGTCTTCTTGTCAGCAACCGCTCTTTGGTCGGGGTTGAGGAAGACAGATTCCATTGCTGCTTCCGCATATGGTGGTGCACTCTTGGCTTGGAACAAAGTATTGTTGGCCATACCTTCATGGAAGAAGCGGTATGCCTTCTTTTGTCGCGCCTGGACCTTCATCTTATATGCAGCATACTCATGAGCTTCCAAGGTGGCGAAGAGATATTTGGGATGGATTCCAATCGCTTGAGCACCTTTTTGACCGAAACCGAACGAGGTAACGGAGAATGCTTTGATACCATCAGTCTGAATCGACTTGTTGGGATACACGATGTAGTCGAACTTCTCCATGATCGGATCAACATTGTCTGCGTTCCTGTTACCTGGCACGAGACCTGAGTTTAGTACTTGCAAACAACCGTTGAACATCCATGCACCAGCGGCACCTTTTGGATGGCCGGTGAGATATTTCTGGAATATACCCAAAAGTGCGTTGCCCTTCTTTCGCCCAAGATGCTCCATCTGCTGACAGATAACAGATGACTCGTTCTTGTCGTTGGCGACAGTAGATGTGCCGTGGAACGATGCGACATCGAGATCATCGATGGTAAGACCCCATGTTGCCAGAGCACCACGGAGCGGAGCAATACGTGGATCTTGTCGCCAGAAGAAATTGCCCAAACTGCTTTGTGACTCTCGTTCTTGTCGTCTCGCTTCGCGATCAATGTGTGCAGCTCTCTCCTCCATGTAGGTCTTGTCATCAAAGCCAAATCCAGACTGGTCTTTCATGGCAGCGACTTCTTCGTGCAGGTACAAGTATTCAGACTCATGCCATTGCTTGATCTGCTTTCTTCGTAGATCAAGCTGTCTCTTTCGATACTTGATGTCGAGAAGTGGCGATGGAAACTTGCCGGGGTTCTCCCGAGCAGTAGTCAAGACTCCCTTACCAGGAGCTGGTACTGATCGACCGATCTTGTCAGTTGCGGTGGTAGTGAGAGCGAGGATACCGTAGATAGGTGTACCCATCTCGAGGGCAAGTTTAGCTGTCATGATGATCTGCATACCACAACCTTGCGACTCCATGAAACCATTTCGGGTGGTGGTTGTAGGTCGGGACATCTCCCTTGGTGTTCGACCATGCGCAAATTCGTCCTCGGCATTGCTGGTAGCCTTCATGTTGGCAAACTCGTAAGAACCTTCTTCTTGGAAATCATCGAAACCGCCGACCAAGCAGACCTTTGCTTTGCCTTCCAGGATAGTCTCATAACCAATGTCCACAGATTCAACAGCAGTGGCACAAGCTCCGACCGGAGTCTTGATTGGACCAGTACCGGAGAGCAGCAACATGTTAACCCAGGCGGGCATGGTATTGATGAAAGACTCTTGGAGAATGTCCTTTTGAACCGGTTTATCCATGAACCGATCCTTGTACATTCCTCGTAAGGCGGTAGTACCACCAATACCGGAACCAACGCAATTACCGAGTTCAGTCAAGTGAATGTATTTGTAGAACTCATATGGATCGGTGATACCGGAGGTGAGGAGAGCCTCAACTGTGCAAACCAAGACGAACAAGGTAACCTGATCGACTTGAGAGATGATATCGTCTGGCACACCGTAGGTCTTCGCATTCCAGCCAGTAGGTATTTGACCAGCAACGAGACGATCGAATCGGAGTGCTTTTGGTATCAGAAGTGTTGCACCCTTCTTCAGACGCACAGAAAATTCTCCAGACTCCAGGGCGAAGATTTCCACCTTGTCACCGTGCTCGCGTTTGAATTCAGAAGCAGTTTCAGCCGAGGCCTCAAATGGATCGAGGTCTTCCTCAATCTGAATTTCTTGAAGAAGTTGCTTCTTCTTCGGGTCATATCCATTGAACAGCTCGGGCTCAATGAGACGAATACCAGAATGCTCAAGGATTTGCTTTTCGTATCTGGCTTTGACGTCCTTGTCATCGACAGGGTCGCTGGTCTTGGCATCAACCCAGCCAGAATAGGACTTGCCCTTGAGAGGGCCATTGTGGTTCTTGATGAGGCCCATCAACCAAGCTATCTCGATGCAGCCCTCAAGAGAAAATTGACCATACGACTCCATTTCCCATCGAGTTCGGGAGTTGCCCCAAGGACCGACCTCGGAGAAACCAGTGACAACGACGACCTTCTCGAGATCTACCATGCCCTTCAGGTTATCGTTGAGAGGAGCAACTTCTGTCTTCCAATCTGGCAGTAGAGGGAAGTCAAATTTGAGGTTAGCACGAGGTTCGACGTTGACCTTTTTGTAAAGGGCTTCACTGTCCTCGCCGTTGACAATCTTGTTCTCGATGGCACTCTCCTTTGTGACTGCCTGTCGGATGGCACTTGTTTCCATGATGTCAGACCGCAGCTTGGTCATCATTTCCTTCAGATTTGGCAGGAATTGAAGACCACCGTTGAGATCAGCCCAGACGGGCTCTGTCTGACAGAGGTCAACAATAGCTGGCGACATGAGGCCTAACAAGTTGAAAGCCATTTCTTGCTGGGAGAAGGTTCGTACGCCGAACTTTTCGACACCTTCAGCAACAATGTTGTTGCCACTCATCAGTCCAGTGCCCCGAGTCCAGCCAATGACAGCACCGCAGATAGTGAGGTAATCGCCCCAGCTCTCAGAATACCACCTATTGAACAATGTCTCAAGACCAAGTTTAGACTCGGAGTAGAGACCGTCGTTACCAAATGTACCATGGTTCGGAGAAAGAGGAATGATGACTTGAGCTGGTCGTGTATTGAAGCCATGCTCGACTTTGTGAGCCTTAACAGCTCCCAACATACGAATGACGTTGGTCAACATGATTCTGTGAGCAAGTTCGGACTTTGAGTCAATGCTGTCAATCTCACGACCGTTCTCCGGGATTGCTGCGAAAGGAACGATAAAGTCAAGATCCCAGCCAAGACCCTTCTTGGTGTCGTAAATATAATCAACTAGAGCTTCGACATCCTGCTTGCTGCCTTGATTGAATGGCACGACAACTAATTGAGAGCCACGAGCGCCATATCGTGCGTACATGGACTGGTAGTATTGAGTAACCTCGACGGAATATCTGGATGTGGTGACGACCACTTTGGCACCACCACTGATCAGGCCCTGAAGGACCTCAGCGCCAATCGAGCCGGCACCTGCACCAGTCATAAGGACCATCTTACCCTGGAAGGTCAGACCATCCCTGGCAGCAGTCTCGAGGCCTTGAATGTAGACATTGGTGAGCTTCTTGCTATATTCCCAACCATTCTCGTCCTTCTGTTTAAGGTGCAGGAAAGGAACCGTCTCGGTCTTGCCCTTCTTGACTGTACCATTGACAACGGCTCGGGTCAGAGCACCGTTCGCAGTTGGTTTCTTCAGGTCGCCGTTCTCCTGTGGCATAATCTGTCGTTCGTTCATGCCCATAGCTCGGACAATATCCTTGTAAAGAGTGTGCACCTGAAGTTGTGTCTCCTTGTTCATCTTGTTCTGTTTGCGGATCATGCGGTAGACTTGGCGCAGATCGTTTTGGATTTTGGTACGATTGCTGTATTCCGAAATCTTACCACCTCCAGCCATTTCTTGGACATACAGCTCAAGCTTACGACCACTCTGTCGAGGGGTCTCTGCATATGAGATGTTGCCTCGGGCATCGACAGTTGTCTGGGGACCTGTAGGGACGGAAACATCCTTGTATACTGGTGCTTCGTTCAGCACATCTTTACAGTTCTCAATGAGCTGTACTCCAAGCTCTTTTGCAAGCTGATAGGTCTCGCCTCGGTCGGTAGGACAGTGGTCGATGTGATGCTGCATGTACTCGATGAGAGTAGGGTTCGAGCGGTTCATGATTCGAATGCATTGGGCCACGATTTCACGATCGACGGTTTGTAGGCGACCAAAGATAATATCATAGTACATGGTAAGAGCGTCTTGCCGAGCCCAGTTCCATGCAGAATCGTAGATACGGGCTTTGAGAGGGTTGAAGGACGGCTCAATGCCCTGAGCATAGAACTCGCCATGCTCGACGTTCCACAAATCAAGCTGTGATTGGAGAGCTTTGTTGGCTTCCTGAGAACCGACAAATGCTTTGTCGCCAGCTCGAAGGTCCATTTTGAGGTACCGTGCAAGTAATTCAAGTTGCTGTTTGAAGAGCGCCCGTTGATCTTTGGTAAGGGCGTCGAGAGCAGCTGGGTCCATCATCATGCCACCAGCGCCAGCACCAGCATCGCCGGCAGCACCTGCAGAACCCAAGGCGATACCAGCTGTAGCAGCATATTTCTGAGCAACATCGTCGAGGAAAGCCTTTGCATCGTTTTCCGAACCTAGTCGAGCGGGTGGTTCCATGGTAAGAGCGAGCAGGAGAACACCATCTTGTCTGCCAGCACCAAGACCGAATTTGGTCTCCAAGTGCTTTCGTACAGCTGTAATATTGAAGCCACCAGGCATTTTAGAAGAAACCAAGCGTGCGACGAGTGATTGAGACTGTTTTCCGAGTTGGCCGTTGAAGGTAGCTTGCATAGATGCGCCTAACTCATCTAGAGGAGTGTCTTCTGGCTTCTCTGGCGTTGAGCCGAATTCCTTGCCCAGGTCACCAAGGATCTCGTTCTGCAGGGTCGACTTGCCTCCGACCAGATCTTTTATGGCTTTGCTCAACGGAATATCGTTCAGTGGTTTCTTCAGTTTTTGAGCAATCAATGCTCTTACTATGTCGACCGCAGAGACTGGAGCATCTGATACTGCCGCAGCAGGACCAGAGCTAGCAGCAGGTGCCGCTACTGCTGGGGAAGGTGTAGAGGTTGTAGGAGCGGCTGGAGATGAAGATGAAGCGTCTGCAGCCGGAGCAGCAGCCTCTTCTTCTACAGGATCAACATCGTAGTAAATCTCTTTCTGGTCTTTGTTGTATGCGAGGACTTGTCTCTGTACAGACTGAGCTGCATCGTAAGCTTCGTATTTGGATGCCAGTGTTCTTTTGGCCATTCCACCCAGAGTGTCTGCGGGACCTATTTCTACTATTCTTTCTGTTCTGTTCGCCTCGAGGATGACATCTTGAGTTTCGATCCATCTCACTGGGGAAGCAAATTGATATGCCAGAAGCTCGACGAGGAGCGTATGGGCGAGCTCTTGCTCGATTTCTGGCCGCATTGTGGCAGGATGCAGCTGTGAAGGAGGGTCTCGATGTGAGTCGAGGTATGAGGTATAGATTTGAGTGAAATCGTAGTAACTGTCAAGATCTAAGTGCTACTTGAACCTAATCAGAGCACGTTTGTCGTCGACAGTGATGTGATATAGAGAGAGTGCGGTTTTGAGGTCGTCGAGGTGTGGTGACGAGGATCGGCCAAAATTTTGGAGATAGTAACGAGGAAACGGGAGGTACGACCGAGATGTACACGCTTAACTAAAAATTAGTGGTTGTTCAAGTGAAGGGGAAATCAAATGAACAGAGCCGGTTGTCGAGTGTCGAGGAAAGCACGCTGGTCCAAAGTATTTGCACTTGAAAGCACGCTGGACAATGACTACGAGCAGCAAGTGTGTAGATTGGTTGAGGAAGAACTCTACGTTGGATATGCACCACGAGAAGATCCTGGCCACAGTTTCAGCAATTGGGAATGAGGTGTGAGGAGATATGGGGATCTAACACGAGAGCTTCGGGACACATCCGCCCAAAAACTTCGTTGAGCTTCATCGTCAACGCTTGCACTGGGTGACTTCAGTCTGGGATGGGGGTTTGTTGAAGATGCGGAGCACTTTAGCGCGTCGCAGGCCTTGCTAAAAGTCGGCCCAAAGAATTTTGAAGCCGCGTATCTGAACCAGTCGTTGCCTCAATGAATCAAGCTCGGCAAGCCAAGTGCTTGGATCGAATCCGAAATGGCTGGCCGGAACAAAGTATTTGTGCGCCATTAGATATAGTGTCATGATAGCTGCCCGTTTGAGCTGTAGCTTCATCAGGCAACGATTGTCAGTGGTTGATCGGCTTTCTAACCACAAACTAGCACCAGTATTATCTATCTCTTGTGTGCTATTGCTCCGTACAACTTCAAGTTGCAGCTGCTGAGTACTGAGTACATCGGCGAACATCCGTAACGGACAGCCAAAGCTGCTTCAGTATTTATTGAGTGCTTTGTCGAGAACGCCTGTATTGTTTATGAGATGTCGCATAATGGATTTTCCCGGATGTTTGAAACACGTATTCAACTGGTTCGGTGAATTCAGTGCTCGACCCGAGCTTCCGTTCAGGATCCAGTCTACCCCAATTTCAGGCGATGCTCATAGATTACTACGAGAAACGGTATACGATTGCAAGTGTCCCTGCTTGGATTGTTGCAGCTTCGATTCTTGGAAACACATATACCACATGTCCTCACTGACCTTGACAACGTACTCGCTTGCAATCACAGTTGCCTCGGTCGCGTCACAAAAAGGTTCAACGGTTTCGGGACGTGGATTCGTGCATTGCTGCAGGAAAAAATAGTGGAGCGGTTGCCTCTCGAGCTGCAGGTGAAGCTAGTAGCAACTGGATTAGACTGAGCCCCAGCAGTTTTTGAGTTGTGTGTGATTGGCCATGACGATTAGGGACCATGAGGGTCAACTTTTTGCGAGGTCAACCTTTTGACTGCTGAATGTAGAAGGAGCTTCTGCAGTCTTTAGACAGGAACAGACCCGATAGTATGAATTTCTTGTAATCGTAACTTCTTGTGTTGATAGACCCTCTTGACTGCACCTGCTTCAGCACTTCACTATCATTGTCTAATTCTTTTCACCTTCACAACCACTATACAAGACTTCTGCTGCTTGTGGTGTACCTCGCTCCGCACACTGTGCCGTTCCATCACCCAATTCTATAGCGCGATACCCGAGTACCCGTCGCCGTCAATCGTTAAGTGGCATTAGCTTGCTCACGGACACGATCATATCACCACACAATTACACAACCCTCTCTTTTTGCAACCACTTACACTTTTCTGACGGTCTGCACATCTCGCCAGCATGTATTCAGGCGGTGCTACCGGCACTCATACTCCACGATCGTCTCAGAACCTGCGTCCTCTCATCCTCACACACGGCAGCCTCGAATATGCTTTCCTCATTCCAACTGGTCTACACTACCAAGCTACACAACTGAAAGATGCATTCAAAACGTCTCTGCCAGAACCAACGGATGAGCTAGCACAAGATGACGAGCCATCATCAGCTGCAGAATTGGTGGCTAGATATATCGGTTTCATAGCACAAGAGGTGGAAGATGACGAAGAGAGCGGCTCCTTCGTTGAGGTCCTCAAGGTCGTACTTAACGAGTTCGAGCGGTCTTTCATGCACGCCAACGATGTGCATGCTCTGGCTGCAACCCTACCAGGAATCACTGCAAAGAAGCTGCTAGTAGTTCAATGCTACTACAACGGTCGAGCTGCTGCCTCGCGCCCAATCAAGCCACATGATTCGGCCTTGCTGCGAGCAGCCGACGATGAAGATGCTAGCATATACACTGTCTTTGGTGGACAGGGCAACATTGAAGAATATTTCGACGAGCTGAGAGAAGTCTACACCACATACCAGTCTTTCGTCCATGACTTGGTCACATCCTCGGCCGAGCTCTTGCAGTCTCTTGCAAGGAGCCCAGACGCCGATAAGTTCTACAGCAAAGGCATTGATATTATGAACTGGCTTGAGAATAAGGACAGCCAACCTGACACCGACTATCTGGTATCTGCACCCGTCTCTTTCCCGCTCATAGGCCTTGTTCAGCTTGCTCACTTCCAAGTAACCTGCAAAGCTCTCGGCAAAACTCCTGGAGACCTCAATGAGCGCTTCAGCGGCACGACTGGTCATTCCCAAGGAGTTATCACTGCAACTGCGATTGCTACAGCCACTTCTTGGGAGAGCTTCGCCAGAGCTGCCAACGATGCTATTACCTTGTTGTTCTGGATCGGTATGCGCAGCCAGCAGGCTTACCCACGTACCAGCTTAGCTCCTTCTATCCTTCAAGATGCGACCGAAGCTGGCGAAGGCACTCCCACCCCCATGTTGTCCATTCGTGATCTTTCTAGAAAGCAAGTTCAGGAACACATTGACGCTACTAACCAGCACCTGCCTGCTGATCGACATGTTGCTATCTCTCTGGTCAACAGTGCTCGAAACTTCGTTGTCACCGGTCCTCCAATCTCTCTCCACGGACTCAACCTGCGTCTGCGAAAGGTCAAAGCCCCTACCGGCTTGGACCAGACTCGAATTCCTCACACCGAACGAAAAGTTCGATTTGTCCACCGTTTCCTACCTATCACTGCTCCTTTTCACAGTCATCTCCTCGTTGACGCCTACGACAGGATCATGCAAGATGTGAAGGACATTAAGATCGCAGCTCAAAGTCTGTCCATACCTGTCTATGACACAAATACTGGTGAAGACCTGAGACAATCTGACAATGACAATGTCGTGAGTGATCTTGTCCGTATGATCACCCGGGATCCTGTCAACTGGGAAGTCGCTACTGTCTTTCCTGGTGCAACACACATTCTGGACTTTGGTCCAGGTGGCATCTCTGGTCTTGGTGTGTTGACCAAGCGCAACAAGGACGGCACCGGTGTCCATGTCATCCTTGCTGGTACAATGGATGGCACGAACAACGAGGTCGGCTACAAGCCAGAGATTTTTGACCGAGATGAGGAGCATGCTGTCAAATATGCTGTCAACTGGGTCAAGGAGCATGGTCCGAAACTCATCAAAACCTCGGCTGGTCAGACTTTTGTCGACACAAAGATGTCTCGTCTGCTCGGTGTTCCTCCTCTCATGGTTGCCGGTATGACTCCCTGCACAGTACCATGGGACTTTGTAGCGGCAACCATGAACGCTGGTTATCAAATCGAACTTGCTGGTGGTGGCTACTACAACCCGAAGACAATGACTGCTGCGCTGAACAAGATTGAGAAGGCCATACCACCGGGTCGAGGTATCACTGTTAACTTGATCTATGTCAACCCGCGTGCAATGGCCTGGCAAATTCCTCTCCTGGCTCAACTTCGAGCAGATGGTGTACCAATTGAAGGCTTGACCATTGGAGCAGGTGTACCTTCTATCGAAGTCGCGCAGGAGTACATCGACACGCTTGGCATCAAGCATATCCAGTTCAAGCCGGGTTCCATGGAGGCTATTCAGGCCGTCATCAACATTGCCAAGGCAAATCCGACTTTCCCTGTTGTTCTACAGTGGACCGGTGGTCGTGGTGGTGGCCACCACTCTTTCGAAGATTTCCATCAGCCAATGCTCTCTATGTATGGTCGCATCCGAAAGCAGAACAACATCATCCTCGTCGCTGGCTCCGGTTTCGGAGGCTCTGATGATACCTACCCCTACCTCACTGGACAATGGGCTCGCAAGTTTGGCTACCCGCCAATGCCGTTCGACGGCTGTCTCTTTGGCAGCAGAGTCATGACTGCCAAGGAAGCTCATACATCAATGAATGCAAAGAAGGCGATTGCTGAGGCTGAAGGCGTTGACGACTCGGAGTGGGAGAAGTCCTACAAAGGTCCTGTTGGTGGTGTCATGACCGTTCGATCCGAGATGGGTGAGCCTATTCACAAACTCGCAACTCGTGGTGTCAAGTTTTGGGCCGAGATGGACAGCACAATTTTCAGCCTGGACAAGAAGAAGCGAGTAGCTGAGCTCAAGAAGAGGCGGGAGTATATCATCAAGAAACTCAACGACGATTTCCAGAAAGTTTGGTTTGGCCGCAACTCCAGAGGCGAGTCCGTTGACCTTGAAGACATGACATATGCAGAGGTCGTTCGAAGAATGGTCGACCTCATGTATGTCAAGCACCAATCCAGATGGATCGAAACATCCCTACGAAACTTGACTGTTGACTTCATGCGTCGTGTTGAAGAACGTTTTACCACTGGGGCTGGCAAGCCTTCTTTGGTGCAAAGCTATGCGGAGCTTGACACTCCCTACCCAACTATCGACAAGTTCTTGGACGCATATCCTGAAGCCAAAAACCAGCTCATCAATGCTCAAGATGTACAGCACTTCCTGCTTTTGTGCCAAAGACGTGGACAGAAGCCAGTACCTTTCGTTCCGTCGCTAGATGACAACTTCGAGTTCTGGTTCAAGAAGGACTCCTTGTGGCAATCAGAGGATCTCGATGCTGTCGTTGATCAGGATGTTGGTCGAACCTGTATCCTGCAGGGCCCCATGGCTGTCAAATATTCCACGAAGATAGATGAGCCCATCAAGGACATTCTTGATGGTATTCACAATGATCACATCAAGATGTTGACAGCTGATCTGTATGGCGGCAAAGACTCAAACATTCCATCCGTCGAATACTTCGGTGGCCGTCTCATCACTCCTGCTGAAAGTGTCGAAGAGCTTGATTCTGTCTCTGTCAACCATGACGGATCACGGTCCACATACAAACTCCAAGGCACCACTTTACCGGATGCCGATGCTTGGCTACAGTTGCTTGCTGGCAGAAATTACTCTTGGAGACATGCCATGTTCACCACTGATATCTATGTACAAGGTGCTCGATATATGAACAATCCTCTCCGACGCATCCTTGCTCCGGTTCGAGGCATGTGTGTTGAGATAGCTCACCCCAAAACCCCAGCTAAGACTGCTATTACTGTCAGAGAACTCAGTCAATCAGGCAAGCTCTACAAGTCTCTCGATATCGGCATTAATGGACCGGAAATTACCATGAACATGTGGGAGGAGAGGAGCGCTGAAGGTGGTGCTGTACCACTCGTGTTCAGGTTCATCTACCAACCTGAGACTGGTTATGCTCCAATTCATGAAGTGATGGACGGTCGAAATGATCGTATCAAGGAGTTCTATTACAGAATCTGGTTTGGTAGCAAGGACGTGCCATTCGACACTCCCTTGACCGACAACTTCGATGGTGGCAAGGCTACAGTCACGAGTAAAGATATCGCCGACTTCGTTCATGCTGTTGGAAACACTGGCGAGGCATTTGTCGAGCGAGCTGGACGTGAACAGTACGCACCGATGGATTTTGCTATTGTCCTTGGCTGGAAAGCGATCACTAAGCCTATCTTTCCTCGTCCCATCGATGGTGATCTACTAAAGCTAGTGCATCTTTCCAATGGATTCCGTATGCTACCTGGTGCTGCACCACTTAAAGTTGGTGACGAGGTACACACCACTGCTCGCATCAATGCTATCATCAACCAAGACTCGGGCAAGATGGTCGAGGTATGCGGCACTATTACCAAGCAGGGCCAGCCCATCATGGAGGTTACAAGTCAATTCTTGTACCGAGGTAACTATACTGACTACGAGAACACCTTCCAAAGAAAAGAGGAAACACCGATGCAGGTCACTCTTGCTACCTCGAAGGACGTTGCTGTTCTCAAGAGCAAGGAGTGGTTCCACACCGAAGAACCCGACGTCGACCTTCTGGGACAGACCTTGACATTCCGATTGTCAAGTCTGATTCGTTTCAAGAACAAGACAGTCTACAGCAATGTTCAGACTCGAGGTGAAGTCCTACTCGAACTTCCTTCCAAGGAGGTCATAGAGGTAGCTGCTGTAGAGTACGATGCTGGTGAGTCACACGGCAACCCAGTCATCGACTATCTGCAGCGACACGGGTCATCCATCGAGCAACCTGTCAACTTTGAGCATGCTATTCCACTTAGTGGAAAGACACCACTGACCTTGAGAGCACCTGCATCCAACGAGACATATGGTCGTGTTTCAGGTGATTACAACCCAATTCATGTATCTCGTATTTTTGCACAATATGCCAATCTCCCAGGCACCATCACACACGGCATGTACACTAGTGCCGCAGTCCGAAGTCTGGTAGAAACCTGGGCGGCTGAGAACAACATCGGACGTGTTCGAAGCTACCACGTCAACCTTGTCGGCATGGTTCTACCGAACGACGATCTTGAAGTCAAACTTGAGCATACGGGTATGGTAGGCGGTCGAAAAACCATGAAGATCGAGACGACTAACAAAGAGACGGGTGACAAGGTTCTCGTCGCGGATGCTGAGGTTGAGCAGCCAGTGTCATCCTATGTCTTCACAGGCCAGGGTTCTCAAGAACAAGGCATGGGTATGGACCTGTACAAGAGCAGTGCTGTGGCCAAGGAAGTGTGGGATCGAGCTGATCGACACTTCTTGGACAACTATGGCCTCTCAATCATCGAGATAGTCCGCAATAACCCCAAGGAGCTCACAATTCACTTCGGTGGCCCTCGAGGCAAGGCTATTCGACAAAATTACATGGCCATGACTTTCGAGACGGTGAACGCGGACGGCAGCATCAAATCGGAGAAGATCTTCAAGGAGATTACTGAAGCCACAACATCGTACACATACCGCTCTCCAACAGGTCTGCTGTCTGCTACTCAATTTACTCAGCCAGCTCTGACACTCATGGAGAAAGCCGCATTTGAGGACATGCGAGCCAAGGGACTTGTTCAACGAGACAGTAGCTTTGCAGGTCACTCTCTAGGCGAATACTCTGCCCTGGCATCCATTGCCGAGGTAATGCCAATTGAGTCACTGGTGTCGGTTGTCTTCTATCGAGGTCTTACTATGCAGGTCGCAGTCGAGCGTGACGAACAAGGACGATCAAACTATTCCATGTGTGCTGTCAACCCCAGCAGAATATCAAAGACGTTCAACGAACAGGCTCTGCAATATGTGGTCGAGAACATTCAAGAGTCTACCGGCTGGCTTGTGGAAATTGTCAACTACAACGTCGCCAACATGCAGTACGTATGTGCAGGTGATCTTCGAGCACTGGATACCATGACCAATGTTCTCAACGTCCTTAAGATGCAGAAGATCGACATACAAGCTTTGATGCAGACCATGTCCCTCGAAGATGTAAAGGAGCACTTGACGGAGATCATCACCGAGTGCAAGAAGAAGACAGAAGCCAAGCCTCAGCCTATTGAGCTTGAGCGAGGATTTGCAGTCATTCCTCTCAAAGGGATTGACGTGCCATTCCATTCGACCTTCTTGCGGTCTGGTGTCAAGCCATTCCGATCGTTCTTGCTCAAGAAGATCAACAAGACGTCGATTGATCCTGCTAAGCTGGTTGGTAAATACATTCCTAACGTTACTGCTAAACCATTTGAAATTTCCAAGGAGTATTTTGAGGAGGTTTACAAGCTTACCAATTCGCCAAGATTGGCCAAGGTGTTGGAGGATTGGGACAAATATGAGAGTGCAGCAGATCCGAGCACAAGACGGCTGTCTACAATCGCATAGGTGGATGTAATATGAAGTGCAGGGCAAGAAGCATGGTATAAAATTGGCGTTTTGTTTCCAAGGCGGTGATCAGCGATACGTATTTCTATAGATTGCATACAGTACTCATGGTACCTTCATTGTAGTTTGACGTTGTTCTGCATCTGGCTAGTCTGTAGAACAGGAACACATCAAGAATTGTCCAGTGATTTGCTTGTAGCTGCTTGGCAAGGCAGATCGGGAGGCGTAGCCCAAACGCGCCCAAGAATGCCTCAGCTTCGGTGAAGTCTTCCGAAGAACTTGAAGCAGGTGAACACGAACGAAGGTCAAGCTTGAACTCGGGGTGGAGACACTTGCGACTCTCGTTCTGGTCGCGCCTTCCACCTTGTTATCAGCTGAAATCGACCAGTCACTCGTTGGTCTTTCCGCACTCACGAACGGGCGATTGTTGCCTGCAAGCTCGCCCAAGCCTGGGCCATGGAGACTTGCCTTGTTTACAATGACCGGGCGAACACTCGTTGCAGAGATGCACTCAAGTGTTGCAAGCCTGAACAGCTTGTACTTACGTGACTTTCACTTACATGAATCTATATACCATTTGATGCTCAACTAATACCACACTCACCCATTCCTGCCTCCTCGGTTTTGTGCTGCGCTTCATACTGATGTACAGCACGTTATTTATGCTACCCAAATGACAGGCTGACACAACGAACATGGCAGCACGCATTGGTGAAGTAGCTGGCTACGTCCACGAAGGTATAACGAGCACCCAGCCTGATTGACAAGCACGCTAATTAGGTCACAGTGGTACGAGCATTCGACAAAGCTGGCGACCTTGTGCGACGAATTGGAGACAGAAGAGGCGGCCAAGATGACTCGGAAGTTGTACAAGACCTCTACAAATCACTAGCTCTGGGATCTACGATTGTTCAAGGTTATTTTGATGCAGATTCCAGGCGGCTGGGAGCCGCGTACACGGCTGGCGATCTCGAGGCACAAATTCAGTTAAGAGATGTGCTGTTAGGCCTGAAAACACTGATGAACGATCTTTCTGATGTCCTGCTCGACGACAAAGAGATCGACTTTAGGCAAATGCAAGACGCTTCCGACGATTGTCGAGTCAACGCAGGTGTGTGTCTAGGACAACTATCGCAGAGATTGGCGGCTCCAACGCAGAGCCACCTCCAGCAATCCCCTCGCTTTCTCAGCAGTACGACCTCTACGGGTAGCCCGAGCCTGCAATATTCGAGCAGCCAAAGTAGACACTCTTCCACAGTAGGTGCGATACCGAGAACACCAGATCCCTACCACCAGCAAAGGACACCAGCTGCACAATTGTACTTGAAGAGACCTGATTCACAGGATAACTACTACATACAACATCACAGGCAACGAAGCAGCAGAGGTAGCAGTAGTCAGCATGGCTCCTACAGTGACTGGTCCAGTGAAAGCCAACTTGCAATTGAAAGGGATGTTGACAAATTGAGCCTCAGAAGACCATCTTCTCATACACTCGCTCCGGAAGATGGAGCCTTACTTTCATCCACTCTGTCTGTCTGTGATCAGCCTGGCCAGCAAGATCTTACCAGAGACTCGTACACGCCGTTCGGCGCTCAGAGCTCTGCTAGGCAGACTGAGAACAATTTACGGCATGGAAGGGCAAGATACGATCCAGACGACTATTCACCACAACCTATCGACCAGCATGATCCATTCTACATGAGCCGAGAGTCCATTACCTCGTTCGCAAATCGAGCCTACGATGTGAGCGGTAGTACTTACGAGCAAAGGAACGCCGACTTCGATCGATCTGCGCAGCCGGAGCCGCTCCGTCTGCCTGATCGACCAGCAAGGCAGTTCAGTAATGGGCCTCAAAGTCCACCTCCTCGAAGACCGATTCCTTCTGTTCCTCAGGGTCAATCCAGTGGCTACGCGACGCTTAAACAACCATCCGAGACACCTGTGGGACAACCGCCTCGCGCTGGTGGCCAGGAAGTACCAATCCCACCACGTAGCGACCCGAGACCTAGTCCTTCTGCAGCTGTGCTGCAACAACGTCCTGAAACCCTCCCACGACCAGCACCGCCATTTCAGCCGTCGCATACTATTCAAAGAGCTATGGAGCGGAACGCACGGAGACAGCATGCCATTGATCAATCTCCATCACAAGATTCACAAACATCATCCAGATACCAAAATTCACGATCGCCGTCCTATAGCAGGCCAACGACAGACACAAACTCTAATGCCTCGCAGTCACTTTCACACATTGCAGCCCACCGTCAACCCTCTATCCAACAGATTACTACACCACCTCAAGTTGAATTATCATCACAATTCTTGTCCCAAATATCACGCACCTACCAACAGACAAGTAGCAAGTTGCCATCGGTATCGAGCGTGCCCATTCCTCAGCATCTGCCTTTGACACTACCTGACGAAAAGAACACATCACCTTATTGCAAAGGAGCCTTCCGCCTCTTTTTAGGCCTTTCCAAGAAGACATTCATTCAAGCACAGCGACCAGTCGGCATGGCTTCCTTTGCTCCTTACTGGCGATGCGAGAAGTGCCTCTTCGAGGGTCCGATGGCCACAGCAACTGGTGCACCGGACAAGAAAGGACGACCAGGCAAGCCAGAAAAAGTTTTCGACCCTACAATCCGTGAATGTGGCCCAATCAGCACAGCTGTTGTGGGTCCTGATGGTCAAGGTGAAGGTGCAAGTGGGATCAGATTCAAATGGGCATTTCTGGCCAAGTGCCACGTCCCGCAGAAATCATCACCAGATAATATGGGTAGGCCTGATGGGTCATTCGGCAGTTATGGTTGTTTGTTTTGTACTGCGGAAGGCACAGCTCGTGGATGGAATCCCGGGATGGGTATGAATGATGCGGCAAGTACACTCTCTGGAAAGTCGGCGCGTAGTGCAAGTATGAGCAATGTCGGAAGCACACCTGTTTTTGGCAATCTGCAGCTATTGATGGACCACCTACAGATGCATAGGAGAAAGGAGAATTGGCCATGTCCAGAGATGAGAGGACGCATGAAGTGCGTTGTTGGCAGGGTCGCCGATAGGGGTGAGGACTGGGAGGTCAATTTCTTGCCGTTGTAGGAAGACGAGCTAGTAACTGTACCCAGACTCATACTGAATGAAGCCCTGGCAACCTTCAAAATACCAGAGTCCGTTGTCGCTAAGAGCCAGAAAACATCGTCGAACGGCAAGGTGGACAATAGCAAGGCTCGTGAATGGAACCACGGACAGATTGGCCTTTCGAGTGCCATGCGCTGGTTACGAAGGGGAGGTCAGTCTTTCACGATAAAGGAAGAAGGACTGCCAGGATAGAGGACATATCTAACAATACTCTCGAACCACATACGATATCTCCAGACTACGGTCTCATACGATAAGTGGTGGCCAAGACCTAGATATCGAGGTTGTATCCTCGGTGGCTTGACGAGGCGAACCATATCTATTCCGTAACTGAGCCCCTGTGACTGAACCACCGTAACTTTCTCAATTGCAAAAAGCTGGTCGAGCTGCAACTCTGAGGGCTAGTGTAGCAGTATCTTGCTTGTAAGTTAATGTTTAGCCGGGTTGAGGTAGGAAGCGTGCCTTTGCTCGGTTAGAGCGCATTCAATTCGAGGAGGCCGGTTCATACAGTCTCCTACAATTGATCTGAAGCTGTGCATGGTGCTGAATCGAAGATCTCGTTCGCAGTGATGTACTGGTTGATAGTGCCTGCTCTTTGTCGTTAGGCAATATACTCATTGTGGATAGTCGCGTTTCATAGGCACCAGGACCACTTCGATGAGAGGCAGCGATGGATCCCAGCTGGTTGTTGAATCGGTCTGCAGATCGAGTCGTTGCTAGGTAAGCCGCCTTGAAATTGGCTTATATGGTTCTTAGTGTTCATACTCAATCGTCGCTTTCAGAAGACCTCCTCGATCTTGTAATCATCATCCTCTTTGGCCTTGATACTATTATGCTTCTGTTCTTCCTCTCCTCCCTCGTCTCTCATCAACACGTTAACTAGCCTCACACAACCTTCCTGGATTCCCTCGGCTTCTCTCTTTAGGTGCAATTCTCGAACGATCGGATACACCTTGACCTTCCGCATCACATCCCGGCCATTTTTCTCTGTGCCTAACAGCAGTAGCGTTTCCAAGTGTGTTGCGACAATCTCATCGTCACCTTCACGTTCCTTATCCGGCGGCAGAAGCTGCAACTCGACCAACATCCCGTCACTGTCTTCTGCATCGAACTCTTCATTCCCAGCCAGGGGCAGCAAAAGGTACGGAAGCAATCCCACCCCACCTTCACTCTCATTACCAAGCAAGTAATCGTGCTTCGACACCTCAAACGCACAATTCTTGATCGTACTCGCAATTCCCTTCCTTCTAATTAAACTCCCATGCTCCGTAAACACAACCAATTTCGTAATCGGCACAACACCATCGTACTCCTGCCTCTCGAGCAAATACCTCCTTCCGTCCTCAAATTTACTCAAGTCCGCAAACACGTACGCCAAATAGTCGTAGTTCGCATTTGGATTCAGACTATTATTTGCCCCCTTGACAAAGACATCCATCAACTGGTCCAAAACACGCTTGCTCGTACTTATCTGCACGCTGACCGGCTCATCCGTCTTCGTCGCCTCAACTTCACCCCTCTCATTCGTCTTTAACTTCACCCGCACCTTCGTCCGCGGCGGCACCCCCCTCTCAGCCTTCAACAACCTCCTCGCCAACTCATCGTCCTTCACTAAATTCGCCAGTAACGCACAGCACAGATCCGCATTTGCACTCCCATCCCCCTGCCCTTTCTCCGCCGGTGCTCCAACATCATCAACAATCTTCCTCACCACCTCCCCCACAAACCCCTCATCCCGACTAAGACACTCCAGCACTTCCGCGTCTCCACACCCCGTCAGATTTATCATGATGGTCAGTGCATCCTGGGAGATTTGTGCGTAGTCCCTGATCAAGAGTTTGAGGTCGCGGAGGGGTTCTAGGTCGTTGTGTTTGAAGAGTGTGATTTGAGAGGGGGAGGAGGAGTAGGTGACGAGGTGGTTGGTTGCGACTTGGCGGATTTGGGTGTTGCCGTGGTGGAGGAAGGAGATTAGATCTTCGAGGTCGGTGGGCATGGTTATTGTTGGGGGGTGGTCAAAGACTGGTCTCGTGGATATCGACCGGTTGGCTGACTGGCTGGCTGACTCAGTCAACGGGAAGAAATTATCGAAAAGGCTGTGAACTAAATGCCTGACTCAAACTTGTCCAGACTAGTCGTAGATTCGCGACACTACTAGAAGATTATTGTTCAGGTAATCCTTTGGACGAATCGTGTATTCGATCTCCGATACGCCGCTCTTGTATCAATTTTACAAATTTTGTGGAATAGATTTTCGATAGACTCAATGTTGTCTGGAGTTCACTTGGAGCCTACTGGAGTCTGCTGGAGGTTAAAACGGGGTTCCTCAGAACCCTTCAAAAACACAACTGGATACGTCATTTTTCTGGAAGCAAGAACTTCAGGCTGTAAGGCGTTCACGCACATTTTCGACCTCAAATGGTGTCAGATAGATGCATATATCGACTTTTACTCCTATATACAAGATATAAACAGTACTGTGGTCTATCTGACTTACGCTCTTGAAGCCTCATCTACCGCTTTTGCGAGAACATCCCTTGTTGTATTTACGATGACCTCGAAAGCTCTAGTTACTGCCTCCTGACTTGCGTTTGCATTCCCACACACCACACGAATGAAAGTCTTATCATGCGTTGAGGAAGACGTAAGGAAGAGCTGTCCTTGGTCGTTGATGACTTCTACAACTTGTTTCGAGAAAGCGTTTGCAAGGTCTTCGATTGACTGAGTGGGTTGGGCCTGTTTCTTCTTCTTCTTCGATTCCAAGTCCTCTGAATCATCCTGCTGCTCAATCGTGCCGAATGGTGTGCCATTGATTGTTTTCTTCGTCTCGACACTCTCTTCTTCATCTTGTACTTGTGCTGGAGATAACTCTTTTGGAATTGCTCCTGGCCTAATGCGGAAGCAGGTCAATCCAAAAGCAGGCTCGACCACGAGCTCAAACAATTGCTTGCCATCAGCAGAGTCGGTAACAAGCTTCTCGAAATGCTGGCCTACTCTCACGGTTCGTCGAATGTGAGCTCGCAGACCCTCGATGCCATAAGTTCGGACGACGAACCAGATCTTCAAAGCTCGGAATCTTCTACCTAGAGGGATTTGCCAATCTCTGTAGTCGGTGACCAGACCTGAATCGGTATGTTTGTTTTGCAGATAAGCCGGTGTTATGCTCAATGCACTTGTGAGATCTTTTCGATTACGGATGAAGAGGAGTGAGGCATCAAATGCAGTGAGAAGCCACTTGTGCATGTTGGTGTTCCAGGAGTCAACGTGCTTCAGCACGTCTGAGGCAGCAGGTAATAACCCATTAGGTGATTCCAGTGGAGGTTCGGCGGTATCGATCTTTTGAGACAAGTCGTGGTCATTCATTGGGAGTCCTTCCGGTTTTCTTATGTTTCCATTCGTCGCCGGAGCTGAGGTGTTGGCGTATTCAGGACAGACTAAAGCTGTGCCGGCGTATGCTGCGTCTATATGAATCCAAATATCAGGATATTTTTGCAGAATGGGGGCGAGAAGATGTACTGGATCTTGAGCACATGTCGATGTTGTACCATACGACAATGTAATGTAGTATGGCTCAAGTCCGTCCTCGAGGCACTTCTTTATGGTAGCTTCGAGGGCACCCGGTTGTACTGCAAGATCCTCCCCCCACTTGGTCCCGACAGTCTTGTGGAAGGTCCCTGCTATTATTGCACCCTTTGCAGTTGATGAATGTGCTTGATCCGAACTCAATGCAACAAGCTTCGGCCTCGTGTTCGCGATCCATTTCTCGCGTTCAGGGCTTGGGTCCTTCAAATCTTTTGCATCAGCTCTTCGGTTCAGGTATCTTTCGCGAGCAGCGACCATAACAGTCACGATTGCTTCCGAAGCTGAACCCTGAATGACACCTCCACCTCCACCAGGACTGTCACTTCTGAAATCTTTTGGAAGGTGCAATGCGTCCGCTAACCAGTCTAGCACGATTGTTTCAAGCTCGGTACAGGCTGGGCTACACAACCAGTTGAAAGCTGGAGCAGTGAAAGCACTGCTATACATCTCTCCGAGTATGCTAGGGTAAGTAGCACATGCTGGAAAGAAGGCCATGAAGTTTGGCGATTGCCAATGTGTCAGTCCGGGTATTATGGATTTGGCGATATCTGGCTGTATCTGATCCCATGTTTGAGGGTGTTGAGGGGCAGTGGAAGGCAGTTGTGGTCGAAGATAGCCTGGTTTGATTGACGGCAGAACTGAAAGGTTACCTGAAGCGACATTCTGATTGTAGCTGATGATTTCCTCAACCACGGCATGAGCAGCTTTTCGAAACTCGTCCGCATTCATGCCGCCAAGCTGGGACATTGTCTTAGCGGATGATAGACTACTTGTGGCCTTGCTCCGAATGGTCGTCTTGCCTGCAAAGGTGCTGAGATGGATGAGACAAGGCTGTGGCCTGAAAGTATGCCGCATCAATCTCATTCAATGTAAACACTGTATCTGACCAGATTCGCCTCCAGCATTGTCGAGCACAAGGTGAGGATGCTACCAAGCTGCAAGAAAATACTACAAGAAATGAGACATCTGGAGATGCAAGACCATTGGGTGGAACGGACATTTTCCGCTTGAATGACACGCGCCCTACGCACGTCCATGTAGGCAGGTCGAGCGAGGACAGCACGTCTTTGCTGACAAACGTTGCATGCTGCGAATACATTATGGCATATGACAGCGTGGAGACGCCATCAAGATATGATCAGTCAGTAGCGGCATCTCTTTGAGAGGTCTGCTGCATTGGCTGCCATGGCTGCCATGGCTTCCATACGGTTCGAAGCAATACTTAGGGAAAGGACGATGGATGTACCAAGTGTGGTAACTGGACGAACGCGACTTCCGCTCCGACTAATCACAAGTGTGTCGCTCTCGCGGCCGTCTACGAGCAAGCTGAAACTAATGGGTAGTCGAGCTCTCCCTTGTGCCCACCTGGAATCTTCATTCCATGTCAACTATCCGGCTTTATGGAATTTCCAGATGCATATCGATTAATCGCCTCTTTGATCTGTAACACTCGTCGTGCGAGTAATGGAAAACTATTGATGGAAGGGCGCCCAGCCGCTGGAGTCAACACAAGTGTAGATGGCTGGAGAAGGTCACCGCCTTGTTGTTTACTGTCGCTGTCACTTACCCCCTCACACACACACACAGACTCGAAAACATCATATCACAAATCGTCGAGAGAGTGGCCCAAATTCGGGAAGTTCCCACGCTCGGGTTAACCAGAGATGGCTCAACGGTTTTGGTTGTCCCCTCCCCCTTGACTAAAAACTTTGCAAACATCTTCTTGGTCGCCGAGCGTGTGGTTGAAAAGTTAGTCGACGAAACGGTAGGCTCCTTCGCATCGACGTTCGCGCCTGTACGCAGGCCGGTATACCGGGACCTCTTTCTGGGCAAGAAGTACGCACAATGAATAACGTGTCATGGAAAATTGTCGCCAGGAGGGCAGAAGGCTAAGACTGTGGTGAGAGAATCCTGTAAACGTGCCCGTCGACTCGACTACCTTTTTTTGTTTTGTTTTTGGGGGGTTTCCCGCTCGGTAGAGAATGATTTCTACAGTCGAGCAGACGCTTTGGTTTGTTGATTTACATATCATTCGTCTTGACACACTGGTGATGATGGATGGTAAGTGAGTACCTTAAGGCTTGGTACTGATTGTCCTACCTATTGCTACGCTTGCACGTCACGTTGAAATCCGTCTCAATGAAGCAGCTTCGGCGTCGAGAGCTGGGCTGATACTGCTTGCTTCTTAACAGTGTGTTCGTAGGTAAGTGACAGGACCAATTTGGTTCACTTTCACCAATGTCAGAGGTAGTGGCTGGGAGGATACAAAACAACTTGCAAGTGTTGATAGTTCGAATTCAAAACCTCACCGTTTAGTGGTATGGCTCGACGCATCGACTTGGCCAGGAGCAAGACGAGGTAGATCAAGCATCGGTATCGCGTACAAGGATCCCAATGACGCAGGAAGCTGGATCAAGATAGCGTACAGATTACCTCATGTCAAAACTAGTCACGAAGCAGAGTTTCTAGCTTTCAGAACCGCCCTTGATCATATCATCTCGCGATATGCATTATTAAATAAAACCTCAGAAGCGAATCATGCCATCACGATCGATCATCTAACGATCTACACGGGCTGCAGAGACACACTCGATCTGATGCAAGACTTTCACAGACAGACAACATCGAAACAGTTCAACTTCGGTCCGCGAATCGAACTCGCAAACCTTAAAGCACTCGTCGAGAGATTGGTCGGTAATCAAGTCAGTTTTGGAGGCCTGCTGGGCACCAAGAGGTGAAGTTGAAGGCAACAAGATATCAGATGGGCCTGCAAACACGGCTTGGCAATCTGGTTCGAACGCCGAGACACCTGCACTTTGATCCCATCGGACCTTTCGGCAAGGATAGAGTTGCACTTGATGCGAACGCTAAAGACGAGTGTGTGAAACGCGAAAAATCTTTGGCAGCAGAAGCACAACTGCGGCCGCTGGTTGGCGCCGCAGGTCAGTCAGACAAGCTCAAGCACAAGACAACGGAGGTAGGCGACAAAGAATCTATCGCAAAGCCATCAAGCGAGAATACCCACATCGAAACGAACATCAACTCTGGTTCTTGCAATACACGGCCTGATGATCGAAGATCCGACAACCCTGACATCAACAACTCGGCTCCGAACAATCTAGGCTCTGACAGACCAGACCACAAAGAATCAGATTCCGAAAGTGAGCCAAATGTCGCTGGAGGTGGCTCTTCTACAGCACAGAAGACACCACGTAAGACCACAACCCGAGGAACAGGAGGTAGAGGCGGCAGGGGAGGTCGAGGTGGTGGAGGTAGTGGACGTGGTGAAGGAGGAGGAGGACCTGGTGGTGGTGACGGTGCCCAACATCGTCGAGCAAGTTCAAACAAAGGTCCGTGGAAAGCGCAAGCGACAGACATCTGAGCAAAAACTCAACGAAAATGGCACAATCCTCACCACCACCACGCCAGAACGTTCAAGGAAAAAGACGAGACACTCTAGCGCACAGAGACAGCAACCTGTCATCCTACACAATATTCACTTGAGAAGATCCTGTTTCCGAACCGGGAGTACCCAGGATCGGTAATGGACACCTTAGCGATTGTACGATCGCATCCATTTCCAAATCCGCCCATACGTTACCTTCCAGAGCCTAAAATCGAGCCTCAGCCAAAACAACCATCGTGGAAACTGTGCCTTTTCAGCTCGTGGGTTTTATTCGGGAGACTGAGTGAAGTCTCGGGGTGGAGTGAACGCCAAATGGGCCTGTGAGGGCATGAGGCCTGTTTTATTTTGGTGAGTACGTAGTCAGGTATACGTATTGAATGCAATTGGTTACGGAAGCGGCAGATGCTCAGTCGTGTAGGGATGTGGGCAGATAATTGTCTGTAAGGACAGAAGTCAAGAGCGACGACCACCGACTGGCAATAGCACTGGGAATAAGGCAATGGAGCTGGACCTACGACTACAAAGACTGTAATCGTTGACTTCGGCCCAGAAGCGACCAAAGGCACCCACCAGCCTGCAGAAAAGGGAACGATAGTGGCTCACCGTTCGATGGTCGGCAGCACAGACAGTGCCGTCGATCTTACTATCGTTCAGCAGCGTTATCGGTGGCTCAGGGACAGATAGACTGTTTTGTGCAACCGCGTTCAATTCCTGTTGGCTACAAGATGAGATGTCATGGCTTGAGGGACCCGGGCTAGAAATTCGTTTTATGGACCTGCAAGCTTTGAACCTCCATTATTCAGCCTACAATGCTGATATCTGGTCATCAAACCTTACAAGAAGACCAAATCTTTGGAATTAAGCTATTTCGTAAAGCATCAAGTATCCAAATCATCGACAATCACCTTGAACTCGGCAAGCGTCGCACCCTCCCCACTCATATTCTGAGCTGTGTAACTACTATTGTACAGACTTCCCCACATCTGCAACGTAATGTACCTGCTCGTCCATAATTCACCACTGAACAACAAGTCTCCAGTAGTGAATATTTGCGTGCCGTTGAGCCAAAGCTCACTGGTGTTCTGTCCAATTGGAGCGATGACAGCGACATTCTGAGGCTCAAATGGCTCGGATATTTGTACAGTGGCTCCTTGGACGATGTTTTGTGCGGTCGCAATGCCAAAATCTGAGCTCATTGAGGAATCGTTATGGAACCACAACGTGTAGTTGTATGCAGGGGCGTCACCCCATTCGAAGCCGAAGCCGAGCACGCGGTGACCTGTCTCGAGTTCGATCGTCAATTGTGCCGTCTCATTTGCGTGGGCTGGTTGCCATTTTGTCGAGGATGCACCATCAACTGCACTAATGTTAAGTTGTCCTGGGATAGTGGGATCAACTGAGAATACGGGTTGACATTGTAGAATGTTGTTGGCAACAGATCTTACATTACCAATCTGACGGTTTGGCACGGTGATTGTGCCGTTTGGAGAGAGACTATACATACTCTGCTCGCCGTTGACAGGACCGAGGGCGACCGGGATCGGCGCGGACTCAAAGGTCGAGTTTGGCACAGCACCCGACGCAAGTGGTCCTGAAAAAGTGCGCGATAGTGTTGTATGAGTCTGGTTAGAATATGCTGATATTGGCCATCCTTGCCAGTAAAAGGTGCGATATGTGATCTGGGGTATTTGGGGAGGAAGGTTTGGATCAATGTGAAGTACCCAATCCGGCACGAAACGGAAACCAAGATAACCAAAGAGGACAACCTGATCGGCGCCACCGTGGCCCGTGAGGAATGGATATGCTGGATGGAAGTTACCGTTTTCCTCATAGTTGTCGATGAGCTGCTCACTGAACTGGAACCATGGAGCACGGACATAGGGGAAAGTAGAATACTGCTGATAGGTATAAGCTGAGCATCCAGATGGAGATGCTTCATTGGCCACAATCGCAAACACTGAGTATGTCATAGCAGGTCCATCTTGGGATTGCTTATTGGCATACCAGTTCAGGTCGTCCAGAGAGTCTTCTGTATCGTAGTCCTGACCGTCATAGCTAAGCGGGTATGTGACAAGCACTACGTCCGCTTGCTTGACATTTATACTGGCATTCATACCAGTGAACTCAAGGATGATGTTCGCATTTGGGTTCTTCGAAATAATTACGTTTTCTGCTTGATCATACCAAGTGGTGTTCACGGTCTGATTGAAGTACTCCCGGAAGGCATTGACGTTGTCTAGCGTGTCGCCGATCAGCGGCATTGTGAAACCTCCATTGTCGATATGGTTGGCAAACTCATCAGGATCGGTCATGTTTCTCAGCATCCATTGAGTTCCATTTCGTTCGAGAAGCTCTGATAATGTGATAGCGATAGAGTCGTAGACAGGTAACAACTCAGTCTCGAAGAACTCCGTGTCTCCTGATGCGAGCCAATAATTGATGAAGCTAAGACCAATATCACCGTTTAGGTGATACTCGTAGTCCCAACATGGACCTGTGGCCGTGCAATTGCCTGTTCTACCTGATGTCCAAGGAAAGATCGCGCCTTCTGGTGAGAAAGACGTGTTATTCTTTGAGGATTGATAGTTCGTCTGAAGGTTTTCCTGTGCCTGTGGATATCGCTCCACTCGATAGTTCAGTATACCTCGAGCTGCGTATGGGAATGTCGCTGCGAGACCGGGTTGCATCCACACTTCAGCATCCCAAAAGATTTGCCCTGCATAGGAATCCGAGCCCATCCCTCCAACAGATATACTGTGACTATTGATTGTGGCGTTTCCGACGCGGTCTTGCGCACTCTCAGAGATAGTCTGCTGAAGAAGTTGGAAGGGATTGACCACAGCCATAATTTGAGCTTCGACAACGAAAGCGTCTTCAGGCAAAGATCCGTTCTCGGGAAAAGCAAAGTTGTCCACAGACGTAGAAGGAAACAAGGTTTCCCATTCCGACATATGTGATTCCAAGGCAGCACTGTACCCTATGTCAACAGCGGCTCGTGCTGCATCCTGAGCTGTTCGGCGCGGATTTGCAAAGGCGTCAGTGGATGCAATTCCAACGTATTTGGTTGCTGTAATCGTTTCTCCTGCTCGAATGTGAACTTCTTGGGCAGCGGCGATCGAAGATATATTTCTGCCGATATATGATGCATTGTATCCTGCGTCTGACGCACTGACAAGCGCGACAGGTGTGCCCCCTTGTACCGCCATATTCGTGAAAACGTAAGCAGTAACATCGGGAACACCATAAGGAGACACGGCGGAAAACAGAAAATCACCATCGTGTCCTTTCTCAACAGGGTTTGTTCGCAGAGCGCAGTCGCCGTCCAGTACATTCACAAGATTGATGGTGGAATCTGAGCGCGCAGTAACGTTCATGGTAACATACGCTTGATTTACGTCGACCTTGTGCAGGAACATTTGATACGACACATGGAAAGCATTGCCAGGAGATGGCGACCATGTATACGCCCAGTTCATGACACTGTGCTTCATGTCAATGTAAGAAGAGAAGTTACTTATCTGACCAGCATTCGTGCTTGCGTGCAGTACAGCGTCGCCAGCCTCGACAACGATACCTGCCCAATGTGGTAAGCCACTGATAGCAGTGTCCCATCCATATTGATAAAGCCAAGGAAAATTCGAACCATTCGTGGTAGGCTGACTATCCCAAAACCCTCCCACCGTAGCGAATGTCTGCCGCCGGTCGAAGAGTGGCCAGCCATTAAGCACGTCTCCATTGACAGGCTGATCGTATTCAAAGAATGGGCCAAGCGCCGCAAGATTTATCCCTATGTAGCCATTGCCGAGCGATATACGCGACTGGTAGTGACCTTGGTCTAACGTGGTTGTTGTTAAAGTCCATGCGTCGTTGTTCCAAGTGACATTAGGGAACCGCGTCTCATAAATCGAAGCGGATTGCGGACTGTTTTGGCGACTTGCGATCGGCGAAGCTGTTGTGATATTGGCCAGTAGTGCGGGTAATGCCAGAAAGGCGCCAGTTAGAGTTGAGCTGTGCATAGTACCTGCAGCATTGCTTATCCAAGTATAACAACTGGAGGCAGCTTGATAGACATGCAAGAATGTTGCTGCTGTTGAGTTGAGGTTGATTAGAGCAGCTGTGTCTGCTGACATAGAGACCGAAGCTTTTGTGGCTGATCAAACGCAGCTTCTACCAAGGTACAGCTCTAGGAAATTGCAAGGGCAGCCAGCCTACTCGCCCGGATAGCTTCGCTTGACTATGGGAGGTGGAGCCTCGAAACGTGGACAAACACATTCCCGCAAAGCAAGCGCACGTCCCCATGGAAAGAGCCTTGGCGTTGTACTTTCTGGCATTGTGAGTTGCTGCAACAAATGTGCGAATACGGGGTGAGGTTGCAGCAGCAAGGAAGCTGCGGCACGATGCAACTGTTCATCGAGCTTCTATGGGAAAGATTCGCGTCATTGGCCGACAGTGATGTCATTCGGCTGATTGCCCCAGTTTCGACATATAGATGCCTGGCAGCCTCTTATCCTGGTGTTGTACTTCACTTTACTCGTTTTTCTGCTTGTGACGAGTGATCCTGGAATCATGACAACAAATCACTCTTCAGTATCTTCGTCTGCCTGAATGTCGTCCGATGCTGGTCTTACACCGCTTCGTCTCTTACCTCTCAAATAGCTTTCGGACGTTGTGATAGCTTTCTCACCTACATAGTGCTGGCCGTCCCATGGCAACTGACAGTGTGGACAAACCCGAGCACCTCTTTGAGTTCGAAAGAAGGCTTGGGTACAGATGTTATGTAGCCGAGCTGGACAATCCTGCTTTGCGCAACGTTGACCCTGCAAGAGTGAGCTGCTGTTCGCTCCAGAACACCTATGCATCAAACTTACCACCGTGATAACTTCTTTGCAAGCTTCGCAGGTCTTGATTTTCTTGTACTCGTTCTCTTCATCGTTGTAGGTCTCCTCTAGCCATATCTTCAGCTCCATCAGTCCTCGAGGGCTGAGGCTATAGAAACCCTTTTGACTCTTATTCAGCCATCCTTCGGCGACGAGTTTTGCAAGCAGTACCTCCGCCTCATGGGCTGTCAAGTTAAACTTGGTAGCCTGATTTTCGCCGTTTTGGGTTTGAGTCTCTCGCCGCCCAGCTCTTGTCAAGTTCAGCGCATCCTTGCCAGCAATACACATAGCCTCTCGTCGCTCAGTATTGTTAGCATCGAAAATCTCATCGAGGAGTCGTTTCACGTAGCCGATTTCGTCGCTGCTGTGTATCGTCGCTATCTGCGTTAGTTGATCGCTGGTCGTGTTGACAAGAGCATAATATCTTTCGTTGTCCTCTTGACCACGAGTGCTACGTATCACGTAGTCGAGAGGAGACAACGCATCGTTCGCAGCTGCAATCATAGAGTTGAAGTCCTCTACTGTGATATCTGCAATGGAGATTTCCCGCTTCTCATGCACGCTGAAGATGTGAGCAAGAAGAGGTCTTGCTTCCTCAAATGTCAGGACATTCCTTGCGAAGAAAGCCTGTATAAAGGCTCTATTAGTATCTTCGTATTCCATGTCAAATGCGACATCGCGAAAGGTCATGGAGGAATATTGGGAATTAAATGCACCACTACTGAAAACGCGAACACGCGACTGCCAAATTACGCGACTTTTCGCGACATATCAATCGAGGCTGTTGCTCAGCCTGCTTCCACACGTGGAGGTGTTCTATTTTTAGAACGCTGTGGCCTAGCAGAGCATGAGAGATATCAACGCACGCAACAGCAACAGCATCTAATCGGGATTGTATGAGGGCCTAGTCTCTGTGGCTCATGCGGCCTTAATCTACTCGCACGATTATCGTGATGTAGACTGTCCCTGCAGCAATTTAAAGAAGGTCTCGAGGCTCAAAAATCATCGCTTGCCCCTGTTGACTATACATTAGATGTACTGGTGTTAGCGAATGGCGGTGATCACAACCATGCTGATCCATGCCAGAATGATCACATTCGAACAGCGACATCTATATCGGGACTACTGGCAGCGCCGAATGATGAAGCATTAGTGCTAGTCTTTTCTATATTCGTGAGTGCTAGCTTCTGTCGCTAATGCTGGCTCGTAGACATTCAGGCTATCGTCACAGCATGTAGCCTTAAATATGGACAAACCCCATACGAAAGCAATGAGGCTACAGACTTTGTATTTGTCACTGAATCAACCGTCCACTACGACACAAAATTCTCCATCCCCATCCTCTGTTCGCTCATCTATTGAGAGACCATGGCTGCCGACAGACCTTGGGGGATTCTGTCGTTGATGATCGCTGGACTCATTGTAGTCAATGCAATTTCAGCGACATTTCTTGCACTGCGACTATCCGGCTGGACAAGTTCAACGATAACTCCCAGCTGGCTTGTCGACCATCGTTCGACTATATCAATAGCTGTGCAGGTGGTAGCTCAGATACTCGGCATGATTGTGATATCAGTCTTGTGTATGTACCACTACCAAAGTACCAAACCTCAAATCTAAACGCAGCAGGCACAATAATCAATCTTAGCACAAGAGCAAAGCTTACTCGAGGAAGCTTTTCCCTGGAGAGTCTCAATCTACTCAATGCCCTTTGTGCTTTACGTGCAGATTGGACATTGAGTCCTCCGAAACAAGTCGTGCTATTATTGTTCATTGCTGCGAGTTTTGCTCCCGCCGCCATATGGGCGGGTGCCATTACCCCATTGATCACAAGCATCGAAACTCAGAAGCACATAGCAGTACCCCAGTATACCAATCCAACGTATGGAATCGTATCTCCCAGTGGTCTGGCTAATGAGTCGCTTGTGAAAATCACCACCCAAGGAACTTTCACTTACCGTCCAGAACTGACCTTGCAGGGTATCATACTCGATAACATGCGCCAGGCCTCGAGTGCCAACGAACAGCCGATCATTCAATCCAAAATGGATAACGTTAATTACAGATACAGAGGTCGAAGTTATGGTGTGGGATCTTCTGTCGGCCTCAAAACATCGTTCGGGAGCCCTGCCCTGCAGACGTATCAATACGTCGAGCCTGGCCTGCTTGCTACATCCAACTGCATCTACAACGAGAGCTCAGCCTGTTTCTTTGAGGACTTGACCCCAGAAGGCTTCACCCTGCAAGTCTACAACGCCGTTTTCCAACAGCCTAACGCCAACGAATCGTACTACATTGCATCAGCCGGACAACGCGATTACCAGGTCTTGACTGTCAGCGCCGCCTCTGGCAAAGGAATCATCTCAGACGACTGGACCTACTATACCACAATGATATCACCAGCCGGACGAAAAGGACACCAATACGGCATGCTACACAAAGTCCAGTGTGAAATCAAATACGCACCCACCAACTTTGATGTCTTCGTCAACGCAACCAACGGTACCATAGTCGTCACGCCAACAGGTCCCGCAGACCAAGCGCTCTTCCCAAACTACACCGACCTGACCAGAGCAGTCACACACCGAATCTACAACATAGGACAATTATTCAGCTCGACACAATGGGGCTCACCCATGGGCGATGCTCTTCTCAACAACGCCCACAACGTAGCCCTTGCACATAACGAAAGCACGCTTCGAAACGAAACAGTCCTGGAAGCAGTATCTGCATCGATGGATTCAATGCTCGATTCTATGCTCGGCGCGTTATCTGGAGCACAACTAATGGTTCTCAACGCCAGCTCGAACGAAGACGTCAAAGTCACATCGCAGGCTGTCATGGTAGGCGAGAATATCTGGATATACATCACTTCAGTCATCAATGCCCTTCTCACAATCGTCTTTCTCATCGAGGTGTTCAGGACCAGAACATGGGAATACAGACCAGACTTTGACTACATGAACGTGCAGGATCTGGTCATAGCTACTTCGGCGGGTGGTACAGCCGTTGCAGCATCTGTGAATAAGCTGTCCTCGTTAGGGTCTCCCAGCAGCGTACGTATCAGGCTTGTAGAAGATAAGACTGGCAGGGACATGCTAGTGCTGGCTGAAGACATGGCCGATGCTGAGCACAGTAACATTGGTGGTCAGCCTAGACGTGGGCAAACTTTCCAGCTTACTACGACGAGAAGTGGAGGATATGAGCAGCTATGATGACGGAGGCACCAGAAGAAGACCAGTTTTAATGATCAGTTGATTCAAATAAAAAAACAAGCGTTCAAAATTTCTGGTCATTTTTATTTGTCGTGCTTGATTAGAGAGTAAAACAGGCACCAGTGATGCGCCCTATTCTCGGTATGCGAGCGCCCATGAGAAGTTCTAAGGAAGCAGCGTGATTAGATCAGCAGGTGTTAATGGTAGAGGCTGAGGAGGCTTCGCAGCCGTCGGATTCTCGATCGATTCAGGGCACGCGAGCATTCATTGCAAGCACAACGCATGGCCACTATTTCTTGTTTCAAAATTTTGCTCATTTTTTTCCGGGGTATTAGCTTATGAATTTATAGAACAACGCATGTAGACAATCAAAATTACTATTTCCTGAATATGTCCATCGAAGCTGTCATGCTATCCATCTCCGACGATCCAGATGCAGACTAACGAACTGAAGTGTTGTAGTTTAGAAATTGTCCACTTCACTCTTCTATCACCTCGACCAGCATCAACATGAACCGTGAGTCATGCTCCGACTCAAGTCTATTCGTCTTCGGGTACTGTGACCATAGGACGCGCCGAGGGCAGAAGCTGAGCATAGTCATGCTGATGGCAGGAGTATTGACGATCGAAAGTGATAGAAGGTGAAGTTCGGCCGTTGCTGCATGCTCATGACTTCATGTATTGTAAATGTACTGCAGACGTTTACAACATGAAGGCAATGGCAGCAAGACCGGCAGCACCGAAACCGGCAGCGTTGGCAGCAGCACCACCAGTGTAGGTCTTCACTGGAGAGCTGGTTGTGGCAGCAGCTGGAGTGGAAGAGACCTTAGAGGCACTGACGGAGCTAGAGGCGCTGGAAGCGCTGGAAGCGCTGGATGAAGATGAGCTCCATGCAGCCCAGGTTGAAGAGCTGGCAGCAGGAGTGGTGCTGGTCAGAGCAGCTGGGGTTGTGCTGCTTGACCATGCACCCCAGCCGGAAGATGAGGCGGATGAGCTAGCCTTGGAAGTGGTGCTGGCGCTTGATGAGGTCCATGCACCCCAGGTTCCAGATGTGCTGGATGATACCTTGGAGGTAGTGGTGGACTTGGCTGGGGTAGTTGTGGTAGATGCGGAGGAAGTCCACTGTTTATTCGTTAGACTCAAAAGATCAAGTTCTTGGTTATCGAGTACTTACTGTGCCCCAGGTAGTGGCGCTTGATGCTGGAGTAGTGGTGGTGGTAGTCTTTGTGGTGGTTGTAGTAGTAGTGGTCTTGGTAGTGGTGCTGGTGGAGAGAGTTGAGCTGGAAGTGGTCCAGGCCTAAGATAGTCAGTATGTCGACCTGATTTTCCCTTTGAGCCAAACTTACGGTCCATGAACCATCAGCAGGGAGAGCGGAGGTAGCTGGGACAGCAACGGCAACGCCGGCAAGAGCAGCGACAGCGACGAAGGACTTCATTTTGATTGTGATGTGTTGGTTCTGTTGAACGAAAGACTAGGGTCAGAGAGCTGATAAGCTGTAAAGAGCGACTGTGAGTGTGATTAGATTACTGGGAGGAAGGAAGTCAGAAGATCAAGGGCATATGCTGGAATTGATATATACACAGCAACCCTGCACGCTGGTGCTGATCAGGCACAACATGGCTCTCAGTGGATCACAATGTGATAAGCTCAAAAGCCAAATGCTTTTCCTCCTCGCGAGTACCACTTAGTGAACGCCAGATGCCCACACCTTTGGCTTGAGGGAAATTAGAGCGAGATTATTGGTGTTGGGAGAACCTTGCTGGCTGCCAGACGACATGCGCAAAGATTGTTGACAGCGCTCCTTGCGAGATTAGGTGGAAACCACATTGGGCTCTTGTCGATAGCTTCAGGAGGCGCTATGATTGGCTCACTAGTAGACCTTGTTTACTGACGTTGGGATGTCGAGGCGTCGATGTGATCAGCAGCCACGAGGCGAAGGCTTTTCAAATTGACCAGAAAGAGAGGCAACGAAGGATCCAGCCGGAGTATTGTGAGTTGGATGGGGATTGGATGGGAGTTGGCGCTCGACGAGAGCTCCGTTCAGGAAATTGGCGCTAAGCTTATTCCGAACGATTCTCCTGAGCAACAGTGACCCAGAGCCGCAAACCGGCCCTCCATCGTCAATCTCGAACTGAGACCTGCCACCACGTCGCTCTTACGGTGATTTTTTGTCACCGTACTTTGCGAAACAATCGCAACTTCCGCATCGAGACGCTTGAGCCAGTAGTCATCAGTTGAACTTGAATCTGGCTCAGCTCGCGCCTTCTGCGATGGTAGAGTGCAAGTAGATTGCTGACCCACCTGCACAATTACCATAGCACTATGCTACAATGTGCACCAGTTTCAATGAGCAACAAAATTCAACATGTTGTTTGTAGCAATAACGGTTTGCGTGAAACCAGCGACAACAAGCATCATTTTTCCGGCTCATGTTGTAGTAGACCTTGTTAGAGTTCAGCCTCTCAATATGTCTCTTCTGATACAAGCTAAAGTCTTCTCATGAAAACACTTGCTTTGAGATTTACGACGCAGATCCATCGTCGATCTTCTCGAACGCTCTGAACTCTTCGTCTTCGCTCAAAACACTCGTGACGTTTCGAATATGGGCACTGATCTCCCCGGGACCAGCGCCGAAATTGTGTTCTCGCTGGCTGAAGAGCGGCTCAAAAAATGGAACTACTTCAGCCCAGAAGAGCCAAGTCATGGCACGTGTCTCTCCTGTCTTACCCAGTCCTAGTGTGATCAAATACGAGATATCGATTTCACTCAGCTCAGTCCCTCCTTAGACACCAGACGTGTGGATGCTTCTAGATTGTATGTCAACTAAGAAGCCCGCTCTGCCGTCGCTACATTCGACTATGGGGCGTTGTGATCTAGGTGAAATAATCGAGGCATGTACCTTCATTCGGACTCCTATATGTCAGCGTCAGTAAAGACGCTGCGCCGAATGGCTGGGCCCAGATAAAGTATGTCTTACCAGGAGTTGACCAAGCAACAGGAGAATAATAAACCTGGCGACGACAACCTAAGGTCAACACAACAGACTCCCTAGGCCGCAAAATAACCTGTGGCAGCTTCGTGACCTCGACGAACGTTGTTGGAGTAGGGCCAAAAGCAACAACGCCGATAGAATTCCACACGAACGTAACGGGCCAGATATAACCTTACATACACAAACCTGCGGCACACGACAAAGACCAGCAATTATCTCCGTGCAATAAGGTCAAGACACAATATGAATCACGATCAATCCTCGAGTTCCCAGCCCGAAAGCGATTTTGACAAAACGAACGAGTCTCTACATGGCCCTTTGCTAGTTACTTCGAGACCGGTATAACGTGAGGAGCCATGAACACTATACGTTTTGAAGAGCCAACCGGTCATGCAGTCCACGAAGCTACCTCATTGTGTCTCCCATGCTCGACGCAAGGCTTGAAACGTTATCCAGGCCTTCGACATTATTGTCTTGCAGCACCCCCGTTATTGACTAACTATCATAGCTATATTTCTCATCAGAAAGCTCAAATCGATAATTGAAAACCCTGCTCACACGAAGACTACTCAAAATCCTATTAGGCCACACATTAGCCACGAAGAACTCAACCAAATCTGCTCAAGAAATGATTCAGAAATGACTCAACAACGATCACATCGCTACGTGGTATATTGCTACTCGAAGGACTACTACTCAGACTTTCTTTTGTCGCACCTGCTTCTCTCCCAGCAGAATCTCCTCCGCCCTTGCCGTCTTCCATTGTAATCCAAACTCGAAAGGGTTCTCCATCATCTCCAGATGTGAAAGCTCGCGTCGTGACCTGCTCTTCTGGTAGGAATAGTTATGCAGTCGTGTCATAGATGAATCAAACGACCGCAGGCTTCTGACTCTCTTCAATGTTATCCATCCATTACTCGTGTTTGCTGTTGTATTTGGTCCAGTGCCTGCTCATTGGCGTTAAATCTGCAGGCGTACTCTCCTCTTCTTTGACGTGGCCACAACATAGCTCCTTTATCTGAACCTCGCACTGCATCTTCCCATGACTTCTCCCTGGCACACCAACTCAGCATTGAATTCCGAGCCGTCCAAGGTAAGATAAATATCGAAGTACACTCTGTAGAAGGTGCCTTGTGGTGTGTCCATTCTCTCGAAATCCTTCTCCAAGTTCTTTCTTGACAAATCCGAGGTTAGCGTGACTACCTCCTTGATCCTAGGATCTTTGGTATATTCAGGGCTGCGAATGAAGTTAGCGACTACTCCCAGGAAATAGCATACAGAAAACGACCTACCAAACATCCTCATCACAAGCATAAAGAATGTCCTCGTACATCAAGGTTGCACCAGGCGCGACCTGTCTGAAGAAGCTCACCTTCACAGGCTCACCAATTTTGACTCGTTCACCTTTTTGCACGAAGATTTGTCGTGTGTATTTGCATCGATCTTTACCATCCAAGCTTGGCACTCTGTAGGCCTCTGGGTGATATCCTTCCTTAAAAGGTTGCAGGGTAGCCATCAGGTAATGCCGTCTGGCAACACGAGACGTAACGACTCTCTCAGTGATACCTGCAGTGACTGCACCTTTGACAATGGCAGCGACTGAGTCCATAGGTCGGACGACCTTTGATTGAAATTGTGGTGGCACATGTAGCTTAATTTGCTGGAAGAGATATTCTGATGCACCAAAGCCACCAACCACAAGCACATTTTGCAACGATCTGTTTTGGGCCTGAATAGCAATGATTTGGTTTCTAACCAATTCCAAAATTCTGTTGACGACTGGCTCGAAACACTGTAGGATCTCTTCGTTTGTGAAAGTCATATAACCTTCTTCGATACCAGCCTCTGGGAATTCAGCCTCGATACCGACATCGACAGCCCATTTCTGTCCATTGTTTCTAAAATCGGCTTTTATTCTGTTCTCGAAATCCATGATGCATTTGGCGTATACCCGACCAGCTGTCTTTGAGCCATCAGGAAGTTTCATCTTTCGAATTTTGGCTCGAAGGATATTGCTGAAGTTTCTGTTCAGAGCTGTAGAACCGCAAGAGTCACCAGAGCCGGCTGTACATTCAGCAACAGAGAAGGGGGTCTCTTCTTCGACTTCGTAGGCAATCAAATCGACAGTTCCGCCGCCACAATCGACAATCAAGACTGCATCGTGAATCTTCAGGTTGAGGAGACCTGTCTTGGAGCAGAACATGGCTGCCGCTTCTGGCTCGGTGATTAAAGTAAGACGGTTGTCATTGTCATCGCGTATAAAGCCAGCTTGGATTGCAGCAGCTCGTGTTGCAGCTTTACCCGCATCGTTCCAAATAGCAGGCACAGTCAAGAAGTAGCGGATGTTTCGTTCTTCACGGTTAAAGACCTCACCAAGAGTTTTTTGCAATTGCAGGCGCATTGCCTGTCTGAGCTTGAATAAATAATCTGCTGCAACGTCGATTTCAGATTTGCCAGGTGGTAGAGGTGGAAGGTTGATCGGGTCTATGTATGTGTTGCCGGACATCATGAGCTGCAGCTTGAACCATTCCACCTTTTGAACACCAGGCTTCGGGTAGCCTGTTGGAGCCAGGGCATCTGCGATATCTGGGCCCCATCCGACGACTTTCTGATACTGATCGTAGTAAAGGACTGTTGGAATCTGCACGAGTCAGTCTAGTTCAACCTGCTCCTGCCCATAGTCATACCTTTTGCTTCGTTTGGTTGCCTGCACCAGGCCATTCCGTTATTATGTCTTCCTTTGCTTCGGTGTTTGTCGCGAAGGCGAATGCCACGCCGGAAAAGGTGGTCCCCTTTGCTTGTTAGCATGCAGTCAGACTGGTCAGGTTTGTAGCATGTACTCACGAAGTCAATGCCCACAATCAACTGCGCCTTGCTTCGGTTACCTCCTTCTACCTCAGCCGGACGCATATGCAGTCCATACTGACCCATCTGTTGAGGATGTGGCTGCATAGCCTGCCCATATCCAGCACCGCCATAGCCAGGAGGTTGTTGAGCCATTTGAGGGTTTGCGCCGACGAAACCTCGACTTGTGTCAATAGGTGGTGGGTGATGAGACGCGACCTGTTGTCCACTAGGAGGGGGCATGGGCGATTGTGGGCGACCAGCAACGTTGGAATACTGGTAGCTTGGAGGACGACCCAGACCTGGCTGGTTCATAGGAGTCAGGCTGGTCTGCGAGGAGTTGGCAGGAGGAGGGGTATTGGCGACGGAAGTGGAGCCGTTGGGCGATTGGGAGGGAAGAGCGACTGAGGTGCCAGAGCCAGACGAGGTAGGAAGATTGACGTTACTCTTGCGCTTGGAACCAAAGCCGAAACTCTTCAATCGAGAGCTCATAGCATCGACAGTTCAGAAAGGAAGAGGAGTTGAGGTTCACAAGAGGAGGTAAGGTAAGCTGACTAGTCCTAAAAGTAGCAGGAAGGCATGTGGAAAGAGAAGCGCGGGTTCAGTGCGCTCACTGCACAGCAGGTACTGGTCAGGCTGAAACAACTCGTGTGCAATGAGACGCAAAAACGAGCGACGAGCCACGAGCGATCTTAGGTTTCGGAGAGTAGTAAGCACAAGCACAGATCACTACGCGAGAACAATGGCTGAAGAGGCTTAGAGCGACCTGTTTTCGCAAAGTGCACCAAATGTGAGAGACACAAAAAATGCTGGCGTTAGGCCTTCTGCTTCAAGTCTATCACGGTTAGTCCAGGACTAACATGGATCCCTGGCCCCAGGATTTGTCTTAGTTGCTGAATCTAGCTTTCTAGGATAGTTCAGGCCAGGCACCTCTAAAGTGTATAGGTCAACCGATGGTTAAAGTGCGATCATGACAGTATATTCGTGTTGCGAAGAGCTGAAACCTTGCAGTGCTCGGCTTCGTCGTAGCCAGGAAAGGTCAGTAATATCGGGATAGACTTCCTCGAAGCTTAGTTCAATCCGTGATAGGGTGCTCTACCGCTGCGAGAGGCTGAGCGACGGCCTACTGGTCTCTCAATAAAAACACAAGTTCTGCTAAACACGTTCAGCTAACATTTTCAGAACGTATCACAGAATCACAGACGACAGCTTTTCTGTACCACATTTGCAGTCTCTATGATCGCAGCGCAGAATCTGTGCTACCTCGATTCGTATCCTGCCCTTGCTCACTCCCTACAGCCAGAACATCGGACTTGTTGTCCTGAACCTGCCTTGTTTCTCTGAAAGATCGACCAGAGGGCTAACCGGCAATCCAAAACAATCATCCCGGCAGGAGGAGCCACTATCTTGCGTCAATGATGCCTGAACTGCGCCGCCTTGAGCAAGTGCATCCTCCACGCACATTTGTTTAATCGTCCTTGTCTGTTGTCCAGCAAATTGCGTACCATCCTAACAGGGCATTCTTTTCAAATGTTGCTGAAGACAGCACGTCCTGGCTCACGTTTTTCGTGCTTTGCTTGCGTACTCGTAGCAGGCTGAACATTACGCGTTTATGGCAGGAGTGAGATAGTAGTGAGATGAGAATGTCTAATCTTAGTAGCACGATCCACCGCACACCGGTTTCACGGTGGAGGTCGGGCACTGGTCTCGATTGTGGTCATTGTACAAGTATCACTGACAGGCTCGTTGAGGGAAGATGCACAGTATGCTTTCAGACAACAGATCCGAGACAGTGAGATGTATTGTTTTTGTCTATACCTATGCTCATGCTAGTGTCCTGTCTCAAAAAGGAGTGATATACATGCTTGCTACAATGCGAGTGAGAATGATTGACGCCATCTCGGACGGAAACCCGGCTGGTTAGCGAGGACAACTCCTAGACTGCTACACGTTTCTTACGACATCGTCAACTGCCTTGGCAAAGTACTGAACATTGCCAGTGTTGAGACCTGCCATAGAGATTCGACCATTCTTGGTCATATATACATGGTGTTTCTCTTGCATGGCCTTGACCTGTGGTTCGGTGAGGCCAGTAAAGCTGGAGAAAAGTTAGCACAAAGCCATACATTCGAGGACCTCAACAAACATACCTGAACATGCCAATCTGCGATGTGATGTGGTCCCAGTTGCCAGGAGTATCTAGCTTTTCCAACTCGGCCTTGACAGCTTTTCGCATCTCGATAATTCTGCCAGACATGGTTCGCAGATCCTCCTCCCATTCAGCGAAGAGCTTAGGATCGTTGAGAACCTTGCTTGCAATTCTCGCACCGTAAGCCGGAGGGTTTGAGATCTCGGAACGTTGCAGAATAGCTAGTTGTGACGCAAGTCGCTTGACAGCATCCTGAGCACCAGGAGCGGGGGCCACTACCCAGTGGAAGACACCAGCTCTTTCACCATAGAGACCGAAGTTCTTTGCGAAAGATTGGGATGTGCAAAGCTCGAAGCCTTGCTCGACGAAATATCTGATTGCAAAGTTGTCCTGGGACAAAGAACCGGTGGCGAAACCCTGGTAGGCGCAATCTAGGAATGGGAAGAGGTCTCGCTCCTTCATCAATGCTGCGATCTGCTTCCATTGGTCTTCGGTAGGGTCGACACCAGTTGGATTGTGTGCGCATGGGTGCAGGACAATGACTGAGTTTGATGGTGCTTCTTTGATAGCTGCCATCATGCCGTTAAAGTCCAAACCCTTCGTCTTTTTGTCAAAGTATGGGTATGTCTTGATCTGCAGGCCAACATTACTGAAGATCTGGTGGTGGTTTGCCCATGTTGGGTTGGAGAGGTATACGGTAGGCTTCTGCTTGCTGAATTTGGATAGAAAGAGTGCACCAAGGTGGACTGCACCAGTGCCGGAGATAGTTTGGAAGGATGTGGCTCGACCATCCTTGATCGCCGGGCTTTCTGGTCCTAGAATGAGCTTTTGGGCAGCGTTCGTGAAGTCGACCAAGCCGGCAATAGGTAGATATTCATGGTTGAGATTGGGATCTTCTCTGAGTAGGTCATCGGCCTAGGGATGATCAGTTTCATGCTACTTGTGCAGTGCCCGCCTGTGGACTGACCTTTTTGACGACCGGCAGCACCCATGGTTTAGCATTGTTGTCTCTGTATGCTCCAATACCCAAGTCGACCTTCTTATCGAATGAGTCTCTCTTATATGCAGCCATGAGACCGAAGAGGGGGTCTTCAGCCGCTTGTGGGCAGACATTCTCATCGAACCGCGTTGGTGCGGCTGTTGCACCTATCGAACCCATTGCCGTTTGATCTCTAAGCTGTGACAGCCTCTCTTTTGCGCTTGAAGTGCTATATTCGAGTGGCGATTAGTCCTGTTATGATGTGTTCTGAAAGTGCAGGTCGTAGTGGGGTATACGAAGATACAACAACTCGAAGCCTTGAAATTGCTGGAAGGGACACACGTGATATCTTCTTGGTTAACCTACTTTTGAGACGGCGGTGAGGACATTCTGAGCCCTTCAAAAAATAAAGCTCAACCTTTGAATATGCACGGGCGTACGCCAGTCTACGCGTCTATGCTGCAGGCGGCGCGCTTCCCCGAATTGCGGAGGAATTGGCGATAAGGATAACCAATGTTGGCAAGCTAGAATCTGGGGCAGCGGATGCTTATTATATCCCCTCAAGCACATTGGTCCAGATCATGTGTTGCACCATTTGACCTTTTGACCGAGGCATGGCAACAAAGCCTCGTGCCTTTCCGCCTATCGAACATGGCTCAATGCTATCATCACTGCACAAGGACAAATCAGACATCGTCTATGCCAGCATCAGAGGCGCACAGCGTGTGAAATGCAATATGATGCGAGCGATAGTTGACAGGGGGACGATCGGTGGCTCTGATGTCTTATTTTTATTTCAGAATATCAGATCCCACACAACCAGTCCTGCACACAGATATAGCGTTACATGGTACATATATCTGGGCCATCGCGTCCGCTCTGTTGCCCTCTTCAACTCTTTATTGCCCCTCTGAACGTTCTCGTCCGTCCGATCAGCGTCGATGACCAGGTTGCTGATCAGTTCTCCTTGCTCCGACAACTGGCTGACCAGTGTTTGCTGCAGTGAGCTAATTTCAAGTAAACTCTTCTCTGCCTGCGTTACCTGCGTCAGCGTCTCGTTGTAGTGATTCATAAGGCTGGAGTTCTCCTGTTCGAACAACTGCAGCTGCTCCTTCGTCAGTTCTTGTCCACCTGAATCACCATCCGGGCTGAGAGCTGGGTTGTATGTATCCCTGCCTCTCGTATCAATGGTGGTATTTGCCAGATCGTCGTCGAAATCAAAGGCCAACTGGAGCTTGACGTTACGATTGCGCACATCTGACAGAGTACTTTCCGCCTTCTCCCGTTCTCTTTCCAGCCTCTTGTCTACCATATCCTGCCGTGCATTCACGGCAGCACGCAGGCTTACGGCTTTGAGGTAGTATAGCACGCCCAAACGGTGTTGGTATATATCACGTTCCTCAACTTCTTCTGCTTTCTGTCTTTCCGGCTTGCCTGCATCTCCTGCGATTTCTTCGTCACCACCAGCAGCCCACCGCAAAAGAAAATTGGTCGATTTACCGTACTTGCGTTCTAGACGTCGTTGCGTATTCTCGTGTCGAAGATTATTTGCTTGTTCGAGGTTTTGGTAGGTAGAGTTTAGCCTGATGAGTAGTGCTGCTGTTTGCGAATCAATGTCCTCGCGCTGCTTATCTGTCAAGTAAGCTGGTATATCGTCATGTGTCTTTGAGTTGACTCGGGCATGTTTCTGGTTCCTCCTAGGTGGAGGTGCAGTTGAAAGATATGGTACACGGATGGCTCGTAGATAGCTTATAAGTTCTCTCAGAGATCTGTTCTACATTCAGGTCAGACCTCAGTAGAGCAGATCTGGCTCAAATTTCATACAATTTGTCGCGCTTCGATGAGGAAGGAATCGAGCATCCGAGGGGAGATAGGCTTTCTAACAGGGTCACAGTTGTGCTTTTCTTTAAGCAGGGAAGAGACTGTGAAAGTCAGGTCAGTCATGGCTGCACTTCGTAGAATTGTAAAGGGCAGATCCGGAGGAATAATATGTTACGAGTACAAGCATGCTAAAAAGAACACTATGCCTCAGCGCTGGATGTGCGTCATTGGACTGTTCAACTAAAAGTTATACGGCAGCCGAGAAATGCCACTTTAGGCGTATGCTGCACCCACTATGTAGAATGCTAATCGTATAGATGTCGAGGCCACGCGGTCGCGTCCACTTGGACTGATATCACCCATCGGTTTTTCTACTTCACGTCCTCGCACACGAGATGCAAGTTCGCTCTCTCATTTTAGTAGGAGGATGGTCATCCCGTATGGGCATAGCGAAGCATACTTTGCCGATGCCAACTAGCCGCGCTGGTCGATCTGGGGTACATCCGCTACTGCTTCATCTAATATGGATTCATCATCAGCTACAGATGCAAAGCTTGGGAGAAACGATCTCACGTGTTACCATCTCTGTACGCTCCGCGCAACAGTCGCGTGAAATAGAGGAACTGATAGCGTGCCAAATCCCTGATAATGTTTCTTTGAACATCATTGTGGACGCTGCCACGAACTCGGGCCCGGCGACAGGTCTGCTTGCAGCCTTGACCTACGACGACTCTTGCGAATGGCTTGTGACAGGCTGTGACTATCCACTGTTGAGACTCTCCGCGCTGCAACAACTCTACGAGTCGTACATCCTCCTACCCGCAGCAGTAACCTGCTTTTCTAACAAGGATAACTTCCCTGAGCCATTGCTTGCCATCTGGACTCCGGCAGCATTGAAATTACTGCGGGATCTAGCCTCAGAAGCCAGGAGGGACGATCGCAAGATCGGTCCCATGCAGGCCATCCGACGGCTACAGAGACAAGACGAACAAGATCACTTGAACCTTCTAACCCCTGCAGATCCAACCTGGTTGACCAATGTGAATACAGTAGACGATTGGACTAGCATACAAGACCAACTGCAGCCTGCTTGACCAAAGCCATAATCCTCATAACGGGCAGCAGGCTAACATGTCGCCACGAAAGATTTCCGTGTGCGTCGCAGGCACCAGCACCCAGCTATCGGCTTCTAGCAATCCACTCAATTTGTATGAGGCTTGATCCTCGGTGATCTCAACAGTTTCAGGATCACTTGCAGATCTTCTCGATAGCCAGAACACCGTCGTGTTCTTGGGTTTCCGCCTTAGAGCCTCTTTCATGGTCATGTTATTTGCGGCACGGGGTGGCCCGTTGATGACCCGACGCAGCTGGTAGCAAGCGTTGGTAGTTTGAGCGATAGTAGATAGTCTTGCTTCGAGGTATGGAACCACAAAGAATTGCAACGCAGCAGCAGCAGCAACTGGGTTGCCAGGTACTCCGAAGAAAGCTACTCGGCGTCCAGTCAAGTCGATCCCCTTTTTCGAATCGTCGTCAAAGGTTGCAAATAGCAGTGGCGCACCGGGCCTGATTTTTACACCATGGAATATGACTTTGCCACCCATTAAGGTTTCCACGACATATCTTATCAGGTCGTAACGGCCTCGCGAGACACCTCCTGATGTAATTACAGTCTCACATCCACTCCTGAGTACATCGGTCAAAGTGTTCAACAATACCTCTTCCTTGTCAACGGCAACGCCGACATATCGAACAGCTAAATTTGGATATTTCTGCCTTAGGGTCGATACCAAGTATGGTCCATTTGAATCCGGAATGATATGTTTGTCTGGATCCATTGCACATGGCTGTCTCATTGGTGGTGAATGTGACAGCACTTCAGAGCCTGTCGAGAGCACGGCGACGTCGAGCTTTCCTTCTGTATTGAGCAAGTTCAGATGCCGCAGCTTGTGACTTCCATATACACACAATTCGTGCAGACCTAGACTGGCCAGTGCTGCGATGTGACAGGGTTGAACCTGATCACCTTGCTGTATCAAAAGATCTCCTTTTCGAAAGTCACTACCAGCAGGTCTCCTGTGCTGCCGAGCTTTCACTGGTTGGCTAACACGTATGCATCTTGAGACAACTTGGCCACCATCGAAGTAGTCTTCGGTCATCACGACATCTTCGATCTTGACCACACCATCTAATTGAGGGAGTCTGTTCTCGGGAAAGACCGCACCTGTCATGATCTCGACGCAGACCCTTTCGGCTTCATGACATTCAGTGTTTGACGACAGTCTGCATTTAAAGCTGTCTCCAGCAGCGATCGAATCAACTACACGAAAGGTTAAAGGGTGCTCTTCAGTCGCATGTATAGTACTCGCAGAACACACTGCAAACCCGTCCATTGCTGAGGTGTCGTACTCAGGCGTTGCATGTGGCGCCACGAGAGTCTGAGCAGATATCAGGCCAACAGCCTGGAGGAGCGGCGAAGTGAATGTTTCACTCTCATTCCATGTCTTCCAGCTACTGTCGTTTTTTGTGGACTCTGCCAGTGAGCTCTGATTGACCATCGTTGCATTACGAACATGATTCAGAGCGGCGACTCTCCGAATTCGAGACAATGCTTCTTCGTAAGTCACGAGATTGTCGTCTTTGTTATTCGAACACGTGGCACCGTCGAAAGCCGAAGCCATCGCGAGATAGGTTGCAGTTCAACGACCTGCTGTAGGCTTCAGGTGGACACCCTTTATTGTGCACATTGAGTTGCACGAAAGGTCATCTGTCGCACGTCAAGTCACATACAATCTTGTGTGATGTACTACAACCTCTGTTGTGGTCAAAACACGATGCGGTCATGCTTGTACGGTACAGTGATAGTGGGACAAAGTCAACAAGCTTCGAGCAGCACGCCTTTCGAAGCTTGGCGTTTCGACGCGATGGTACAATCGACAAATGCATGTTTGCGAACGACACAATAGCGGTATCAACGACATATCCTTCCGTGCTCTCTAGCGCAGCTATTCGAGAAGTGGTTGTGCACGGGCAAGGAAATGCCCCGCGATTTGATTGGTTGTGCTGAGTCGTCAAACGGCAAAATGCGGAAATATCAAGACGTCACGCTTACCACGACGGGAGAAAGCCAAATTCATTGGAGTAGACACTGCCGGTCCACAAGTAACGTGTTCTTTGAGCAAGCTCTTCGGCTTCAGCTCTCCGGTATACCTAGAGGTGTCTTCAAAGGTTAGCGCAGTATATCTTGTGGTTCTTGCTTACAAGAACTTTGGAGCTCAGACAAACCCGTTAAGTCAGGATGGAGCTTTCAGGTGAGAAGCACGACGATGTCTATTCGACGCGTGATGCAGTCGAGGATATCTGGGGACCTCGTACTGGCTATAAGCCTGGCGAGAAATGGCCTACTCGTGTCGATGAGCACTGCATAGAGAAGCCGGAAAAATGGATTCAGAGTGCATGTGTGATGTGCAGCAACGGTTGCGGAATGGATATCGCGGTCAGCAATTCCAAGATCGTCGGCGTTCGTGGTAGGGAGGTCGACAGAATCAATCACGGGAGACTGGGTCCTAAAGGTCTGTATGCGTGGAAATCGTTACAATCCAAGGATCGTTTACAGTATCCCATGATCCGTCGAAATGGAAAATTAGAGCGTGCTACCTGGGACGAAGCTATGAACCTAATCGTGGAAAAGAGCAAGGAGATCCGCGAACGACTAACTGCTCATGCTATTGGCTTCTACACAAGTGGCCAACTCTTTCTTGAGGAGTATTACGCTTTGGCTATGGTGTGTAAGGCTGGCCTTAACACGCTACACGAGGACGGAAATACACGGCTTTGGTATGCACACAATCTTCGCTCCCACTTATCCCACATCGACTGACATACTTTGTAGCACGGCCACAGCAGCAGCATCAATGAGGGAGAACTTTGGCTCGGACGGCCAGCCTGGAAGCTACACAGACATTGACCATACAGCCTGCATCATGCTTGTTGGCCACAATATGGCTGCGACGCAGACCGTTCTCTGGTCTCGAATTTTAGACCGCCTTGCCGGGCCTGATCCTCCTCAGCTTATTGTCATTGATCCACGCAAGTCAAATTCCGCAAAGAAGGCTACTCTACATCTTGCGCCTAAAATAGGTACCAACTGTGCACTTTTGAATGGCATTGAATATCTTATCTTCAAGAAAGGCTATGTCAACGAACCCTTCGTTAGCAAGAGTGTCTGCAACTTGGACAAGCTCTGGGACACTGTTCAGGAGTACCCCCCTGATGTCGTTTCCAAGATTACAGGTGTCTCGGAAGCTGACATCGAAAAAGCTGCCGATATTCTTGGCAGATCGTCTTCGCTGCTTTCGACAGCTTTGCAGGGTGTCTATCAGTCCAACCAAGCTACTGCTTCTGCCTGCCAGATCAATAACATCAACCTGTTGTTGGGACAGATAGGCAAACCTGGTTCTGGTATCTACCAGATGAATGGGCAACCGACCGCGCAAAATAACCGTGAAGCTGGATGCAATGGGGAGTACCCCGGCTTCCGAAACCACCAAAATCCCAGGCACATGCAAGAACTTGCTGATCTATGGAACATTGACATGGCTAGAGTCCCTCACTGGGCAGAACCGACACACATCGAGAATATGCTCACTTTTATCGACGGAGGTTCGATGGAAATGTTCTGGATCTCTGGTACGAATCCTCTAGTCTCCCTACCAAATCTGGCCAAGGCACGGAGTACACTGACAGACCCGAATCTCTTCGTGGTCGTTCAAGACATCTTTCCTACCGAAACCACGGCTATCGCGGATGTGGTACTGCCGGCGGCCGCCTGGGGTGAGAAGACAGGCTGCTTTACGAACGTTGATCGTACCGTGCACATATCACACAAGGCGGTCGAGCCACCAGGCGAGGCGAAGGCGGATATCGAGATATTCATCGACTATGCTAAGCGCATGGGATTCAAAGATAAAGATGGTAAGCCACTGCTCAAGTACAGCAATTCCAACGAAGCATTTGAGGGCTGGAAAGCACTTTCCAAAGGCAGACCTTGTGATTATTCTGGTCTGTCTTACGAAAAACTATCAGAAGGCTCCGGCTTACAGTGGCCTTGTAACAAAGAACATCCCAATGGCTGCGAAAGATTGTTCTCGAATGGTGTATTCTATACAGACATTGAGTACTGCGAAAGCTATGGTCATGACTTGGAGACCGGAGCCCCATTGTCGAGATCAGAATATGAATCGCTCAATCCTGCTGGAAGAGCAATTCTCAAGCCTTGTCACTATTTGGCCGAGCTGGAGGCTGTCGACGATGAATACCCATTCCACATCTCCACGGGCAGAAGGGCACGTCACTTCCACACCAGGACGAAGACTGGCAGGACCAAAGAGCTTCAACAAAGAGATCCCGAGCCTTACATTCAGATCAACGAACGTGATGCAGAAAAGCTGGGCATTAAAGAAGGCGACATGGTCCTGGCGGAAAGTCGAAGAGGTAAAATTGAAGCCGTAGCAAGAGTCGGGGACATATCAGAAGGACAGACATTCATACCATTCCACTACGGCTACTTTGACAACCATTCAGGTCGAGCAACGGCAGCAAACGAGATTACCCAAGAGCAGTGGGATCCCGTTTCCAAACAGCCCATGTTCAAATCTGGAGCCGTCAAGCTCAAGAAAGTGTCGCAGGACAAAAACACAAACGGTGAGGTCAAGGTACACGCCCGAGAGCCACAAAGCGATATCGTCAAGAAGGTCGAAACAGAGAAGAAGACGCAGGGTGACAATACGAAAGTGGAAAGAATGCTGGAATACTGGTTGGGTGCCACATATGGCGCTTTAGTCACAGCAATCGATATCTGCGACCACGTCATTCCACGAATCGAGGGAGCAGACTTTGAGATTGGAACGGGCATGAGGATCATGCAGCGTATTGCTACCAGCTGTACCGAACGCTTAGACCCTATCCTGGAAAGGTACGAGACCGAGAAGACATTAGGCCAAGAAATGGCTAAAATGTTGCAACATCGGTTGTTTCCCGAGGATCTTGTCACTGCAGTCGAAGCTCCGGCCTATGAGATCTTGCTCACTATACAATCTTTCTTTGTCTACTTGAGCCACATTGAGAGTCGTCTGCACGCACTTCGGCCGACGGCAGGAGCGGCTTGGGATCAGGAGTTTGTCGAGACAGTGGACTTTGTGACGGAGCAAGTCAATAGGATGCAGGCTTGGGCGAAGCAGCAGTTGGGTTCGAGAAGCACACAGGTGCTGTTGGTGCCGAATAAGCATGCTGTAGGGTTGAAGGAGCGTGTAGAAAGTCGTGCAAAGCTGGGTATGAGAGATTCGTCACATCCAGATCATTGAGAGTATGGGAGGCAGGTAGATATCCACGAACAAAGTGCATACTATGAAACAGCAAGAAAGCAAAGCTGGATTGCAAAAAGAGTAAGTGCATGGACGACCTTCTCGAACTGTTATTATTGAGATATAGTATATTTATCTTTCATCCATCATTCAGGTCCAGCAGCCTGTAGACGTCCATCGTGGTCGTAGCGGTTGATAGCCAGACTGCTATTTAGTTGCTAATCTGCACAAGCATATTAGTCGCAGTGCAGAGTAGAATATGGCGCAATATCATACCTTATCGCTGACCTTGCTACCAGTCTGCTTCTCATAGAGACCACGTCCAGCATCAGTGATCTTCTCATTAGTCTCCTTGGACTGCGAGTAGCCCATCTTCTGCTCAGCAGCAGCAAGACCCTTGTCAACGTAGTCCTCCTTCTGAGCATTGGGGCCTGCGGGCTCGCCGCTCGATGTTGTCGAGACGGTGCTGCTGGCGGATGGATTCAACGCATCCTTGGCCTTGTTGATGAGTGAAGACATGGTGATTTTGTGGGATATATTAGTGGAATTTGGTAGATACCGCTTTCTTGAGGTGGCTGTTTCTTCTAGCAAAGTAAGTATTGAAATCAACGACGGAAAGAGTACATCATAGGTAATTCAGACCCAGGAACGTAACCACGACTTTACTCCAAGTTCAGTCTGTCCTACGTCAACGAAGATGAGGCAAGCATGACGCAGGCTTGTGGTGGATGATGTGCATGTGCAACATCGCGCCCGAACGGCAATCGAGCTGGGAAACCATGAGGTGAGACTTGACTTTGTTTGCGAGCATTTCTCAGTACAGTAGCTGTTTGATTCTGTTTGAGAGGTCTGTACGTGCAAATTGTGATCGAAGCTCAGATGGTACTGAGCGTGACTTTAGAAGCCCCTACTGAGCAAGAGGCACCTTGAGCCGTTGGAGAATACGTAGGAATCGTTGCCGCCCTTGGTGGAAGACATCATGTTCAGCAGGCAATTTGTCTCTTCACATGGGAAAGATGGAACATTGCTCCGGACGGGGAACCCGACCTCGTGTAAACATTAAATCTTGTCTCTTCCAAAACTCGAATCAGTTGATACAGAATGGAAAGAATATAGTTAGATACAGACCACGACATCGCAAAGAGTACTTCACGCTTGAAGTCCAGCGAAGACCACAGCACAATACCTTTACTGTGGTCAGCTATATACAGGCTGATCATGAATTCAAGAAAGCTACTATGAGCATACACATCGGGAATAGGAGTTTCCCATTATTGTGTTTCGCTATATATCTGTTGAAAAGCATGACACCTAATTACCAGGAAGTATTGCAACCGCCACAAGGGAGACACTAAGTTTGACCCAGCTCGAAAAATCGTTTCTGTTCTGCCGAAGCAACGAAAGCTGGCCTTATGCATACGACGCAATCATTCCTGCTACTATGATCTGCTGATTGTGTCGATATTGACCAAGAGCAGCGCATTCTCCAGGCCAGGAGGCTTCTCGATACATCGTAGTACGGCTCTTCCTCTGGAGCTATACCTAACGGACAGACGGTCAATACTGGCCTCGTCCGAGACATGGCTGCTTTTGCAGAGATGCGCTGAAGCCACAGGCCTTCTTGCTCAGCCCACCACCAGAATGGCTCGGATATTGATCAGCTAACGAGACAGTGTCAGCATCCTGCATTCTGGATCTACCTTGAAGCTGTAGCTACGACAGCTATACCAATGCTTGCAGCTCTACTACATCTTTCGTCTCCTGCTTACGTGATACGCGTCATCGTTCCTGGTACTCATCTCATTTACTAAGATGAAGGTTGAACCCTTACTTACTGCCACCCACGGAGTGACAAAGTCCAATATAGCAGCCAAAACTCCGCTACCCACATCAGCACCGTCGAAAGGCGCATTCAACCGTCGACAGACCGAGTTTAAAGGTCCAGATACTTGTGGGTACTGGAGAGGTGACCCAGGTATACTATCCCTTGTGTCTTGTGTCAAGACGAAAGACTGAGCTAACAATTATCCAGAATCCCCAGCAGTTTGCCCAAACTCCTGGCCATGCTCTTCCACATACCTCGAAGAACGGAATCTCGGTGTCTTTCAATGCTGCGACTTCAAAAAATACAAATGCAGCTGGCACATCCGCTGCATGCTAATCGAGCAAGCTGTTGTCCATTATGGATCATCGTATCTCGATAAGATCAGCAATGAGATATTGCTATGGTAAGCTTGTCTACAAGTTCTGGTTCTTAGTACTAATCAGGATATAGTGAGTCAGCGTGTAACTTCCAAACAATTGAACCAGGAACTTCGTATTTCCAAGTCCCTTATTGCGGGAACGTTGAGCCTGGCTATCAGACGATATACGCTGAACCTATCTTCTCCATGCTGTGTACTCCCACAGATGTTACGACTACGACTACCGCAACGCACAGGCAAATCGCTGACCCGCAGAAACAACATACCTCCACGAGCTCCGTAGATACAACAGAGTCCAGGAGCCTGAATACCGGTGCAATCGTAGGCGGCGTGATCGGAGGCCTAGCACTCCTCGCAGCACTATCCGCCTTCCTCGTCTGGTCACGATATCGAAGATACCACGGTTCCAAACGAGCATTCTTCATTGTGCAGAAAGGTCCAGGTCTGGGCCCAGGTACAAGTCGTCCGAACACCGAAAACCCAGCTAGTTCTACGAGCAGGTCGACGGTGGCTCAAAGGACCGGTTACCAGCCTATCTCGACGATACACCTTAGCAGCAGTACCGAACAAGATCCGGCTGTTCCCCAGTCACGACCACTACAACAGAATGAACGAGCCTCATCATTCGAGTCACCCATCCAACATCCCTCGGCCGCTTCGTTCACAAACGCACAGATTGAATTGGTAAATCGTCCTTCGACGGAGATTGATAGTCGACCTTGTATGCCTACGCTTCCTCCGCCGAGAAGTGCGGGTAGGTCGAAGTCGGAATTGGAGGATGTGTCTGTGAGGGAGGTGTCTGGACGTGAAGGAAAATAGAAACGGGGGCTGGAGTTGGAGTCATTGCATCTATGTTAGGAGTGGGTAGATAAAAATTGTTTGATATTGATATGTTGCAGGGTATAAATGGAGGTCGTGGTTTTAGAATGCTAGGAACGCTAGAAAGAGAGCTTTCAAGGATACGTCAACACTGGCACTTGACGCGTTGTGAACCTGAATCTCCATCTGTATCGTTGGCTGTTATGCTTAGCAGCGGCAAATTCACTTGTATCAACGATGCATCTGTACAGGGACGTGCTGCCTCATCGCCTGCGTCAAATGATGTCCCATTCGTACATCATCATCCTCAGCATCGTCCCCATCGTCTTCGTCGCTCGGTATCGACTCCGTCCCACTAAACACATCATCCATCTCCTGATCACTATCTATCTCAATAACTTCAGCATATCCACGCCCAGCACTCGATCCACTCTGAGCAGCAGCAGTACTACTACCCTCTGCCTCCCCAGCACCCCCAGCCCTAGCAGCCCTCTCAGCCTCCAATCTATCCTTCTCAACCTTCTCCTTCCACAATCTCTTCCCTCTAGCTCTCGCCTCCTCAACCTTGGCTTGACTCATCGGTGGCCTCAAGTATAAATTATGTTTATTCAATTTCGCCTTGATCGCATCGTCTGTGAACTTCTTATACTGCGGTAAAGGCTCTCCATTCTCATCTTGAAAAATCGCCTCTCGGATAGCCTTGTATGTCAATGGTGGGATCTTCTTCTTGCCAGTCTTTGGATCGACGCCTGCTGCTCTTTCTTTCGCGAGATATCGTTCCACGAATGGGATTAATTTGTCTGTCAATTCTTGAGGCCATTTGTACCGCCTGCCTGCGTTTGCGTGCTTCACATCCGGTGTGTTTTGTCGCACAGTGTAGCTGACGGCGCTGAGTGTGGTTCCGAGGAAGAGGGCGATTTGTTCGAACGTGTATTCGAGCCTGCGCATGAGGAGGATGTCACGTCGTTCGTCGCGGGTGAGACGTCTCTTGTAGGGTCTGATTGGTGCTCGTCGTTTGCGGACGCGTAGGGTGCCGTCGGGACATTTTACGAGGTATTCTTCCGGATGTTCGAGGTTGTGTAGATCTCTTTGCAAGGCTAGATCGTTCGTTGGTGGAGGAGTTACATTGTGTGGTTGGGTTGAGGTGCGTGCCTGCGCTTCTCGATATTCTGCTATTTTCTGGGCAGCGTAATGTGTTGGTAAGCGACGCGGGTATAGGTCCGGGTTCTGGGGGCCCGGGGTAGGAGCTGTTGGGTTTTTTGAAACAGGGTTTTGAGGCGTTGGAGTTGGATGTATTGGTCTTTGAGGCATAGTGGGTTGCGTTGGTGGCATAGGAGCTGTTAGTGCAGGAGGAGGAACAGGGTGTGCGTTCTCGAACGGTCGACGGTTATGAGCATCAACATACATGTGAGCATTAGGGTGGTTCGGGTCACCTGGAGCCCAGTTGTGATGTCTGGTATCTTGAGGTCTTTGAGAAGATGTCGGAGTGGATGGACCAGGAGGCGGATTGGTCGAGGGTCGGTATAGTGGTTGCGGGTGTGGTCGGAGCTGAGCTGGCTGTGGTGGAGGCTGCTTGGGAAGTATTGGTACTGGTTGCTGCTTGGCTGGCGTGGAGTTTGCAGTGCCAGGTACCTGATGCGGTGGTTCCGACCATCGGTTCTGCTGAACAGGCGGCGCGTAAGGTGCGGGTGGTGCGTACGGCGCATATGGTGGATGAGACTCGAATGGCTGTCCAGCTACCAGATGGCACCTGGGACATTGTCGCATCAATAGAGGCTGCCCCGGTGTGAAGTAGACTTGTGGTCCGCCTGTATATTGAGGTGCGTTCGGGCTGGGATGCTGCTGCGGTGAGTTTGCGTGGTAAGTCAGCTGGCTCTGCGGAGGAGGTGCTGGCACTATGGGACGACCATAGCGAGCGGCTGTCGATAGCTGTTCCTCCCGTGGTTGTGTGGGAGGCTCGTTCCTTTCCCGCTCCTCTCCTGGCTGTATCCCGAGACTGCTTGGTGCACCTGCAGGAGCACTTCCTGCATTATTTAAAGTATCAGATCGTGTCTCTTGCGGTGTCGAGGGGACAGCAGAAGCTGACTGCTCACGAGAAGCGTGACTGACAGCATCATCAGTCGTTGAACCTTGCACTGTTCGTCCTGGTAATAGGGTCGATGGATCCGCATTTGGTGCTGACATCGTGACTCTCTTGGGGTCAACCCCGTGTATGATTGCAAGCTGGTCAACGAGACGGAGTGCAACAAGCAACGTTCTCATTCGTCGGTGAGACAGAATCCGTCCGTGGAGCACACTACTCAATCTGCTCTGTTAGCCCTCGATCATATAGAGCGTTGCCGCTACAGACATCAAATACTCGGCTACACACAGCAACTTCCCTTGCCCACACACTAATCTACGTCCTTTAATCGAATACTGAGTTCACTGATTAAATTTGTTGATTTACAGTTAACAAAGTGTCTTTTCGTTAGATGACTCGGCACGTTCAGCCAGGTCAACGAGGAGTACGAAATTCATGCCGTTGTATTGATGCATGGTCCTGGTGCTGCGTAGAATACGAACCACGAAGAGAGCTCTATGTTTAGTCATTTCTGTCACACTCGCCACGAAGGTTCAACATTATAACCTCCTTCAGCAGCTATCCAACATGTCTGACAGTGCTGTCTTCTCGGCAGACGTGATGGTAAGGTTGTAGTTATCCTTCACCGCAACCCAGGACGATGCATATTCACAGTAGAAGCTGCTCAGAGGTGGTTTCCATTCGTCAGGACTTGAATCACTTTTATCGTTATTGACCGTGCCTGTTACAGCCCAGAGCTGCGGACGGACGAGGTCGTTCGCGAATGCTTCTCGCTCATCAATTGTCCATTCCGACGCTCCGGATCTAGACATGGTAAGGAATTGCCGAGAAAGAGAATCTACCCGTACTCACCTCCATGCATTGGCCAGCGGTACCATATGATCGATCTGAATATCATCTGCGTCATTCCAAGTTTTGCCGTCGTAAGGGCTGTTTAAAATCAGCATCTCGATGTGGAGAGGATAGATGAAGCTCACCTCTTCCAATGGCCAGAAACGGCTTGACATTCTGCATTTTGTGTGACATTTGTCCCGTCACGCTTAGGTACGACTTCTCTGGTGTTGCAGTCGCCCGACTGTGTAATCCAATGTGGGAAGAGGTCTCTATCGTAGCCACCACCCGGCCCAAGGGGCGCGACCGTTAGGCTCTGAAGCATAGTCTGAGCACTGGAAGCACTTGGTATACCGGGCTTGAATACGTGTCAGCATTGCCTCACTTTTGTACTTCGGACTGTACCGGAACTGGAATTGGTGCTCTGGGAAAGAAGCCGTTTGGTGCTGGTGCTGCATCGCAGAGAGTCCCTAGAACTGTTACAGCCACAAGGATAGTTTTTGACAACATCTTGTTTGACAGATTTGTGAAGGTCGTTAGCTTCCAAGCAAGGTCATTGACAAGGACGAACACTTTTGCAAATAAAATCGAATGTTGACGAGTTGATGTGTCGAGCTGATAGCAAAGCATTCACAACAGAAGCACGTTCGGCATACGATGTCTTGGGTCTCATCTAACACGTCGGCAAGCACGCTTCGGTGATGCCGGAGATACCTGCTCACCCAAAATCTGAACATTCGTCGATCGTTTCACGAAAAACATGAGAATAGAAGTTTGAAGGAGAAACAAGAGAGAGGCAGAATGTTGTTGATCAGGTCGCAAAGCTCATTGGTGAGGCTACAGCCCCAAGAAATTGGTTAAGGAGCACCTAGAACCCCACTGTAATCCATCAGAGCCAACCGAGCTGGCACGATTTGCAGTCTCCCCATCTCGAAGCAGAACCGAATGTGCACACTCTCTGTTACGTGTAGATCTCCAGCAAAAACAACATCCTCGTTATCCTATCGTGCCTTTGCTCAAACGGTCTACACAGCATGCGAATCATCGCCTCGTTGTACGTGCCACTCAGTAGTCTTCGTGATAATTGGGGCCATCGACTCCAATGAGCTATGTTCACCATGCAAACGTTTATCATCGGAGCTATGTCTCGAATATCCAAACAGACGTGAGCAGTAGCTCAATCCTGGCGAAGTGCTCCTCGGTTCGATAATAGTTACTGGTCTCAGGTAGATTGGCTCCGTAGCTTCCGCACCGTCGTTCCCAATTTGTACCTCAGGTCTTCCCGCAGTCCTTGAAATAGAAAGAGGCCGTGGCTTCTTCCGCAGAACTTTGCCATCGTGTTCTGCACTACCGCTGTGTTGGAGATATCCTGTCGAAACCACAGTGTCAACCTTGACAGTAGCCCCAAGGTTCGAGTCGAATGCTCTGAGAAACGGTTTAACATATGCAAAGGACGAGGCGATCGTTGTGTAATGAAGAACAGCTTGTGCAGCGATGTATGCGTCAGCCAAGGCAAATAGAGCATCGTTGTCTGCATGGAGGCCTCGATTGATGTACCACAGCCGAAATACTGCTGGTATAATGACAGTCAGTCGAATTGAAAAAGCAAGCAAGACATTGATTTTTGCCATCAGGCGCATCTTGAGGATTGAAATTATGCCGGCGAACAAGGCAAAGATGCACACCTCGATAAATAGGCCAATCGTTTCGACTGCTACCCATCTCTCAAACATCGAGGGACACGTCGCGGACGAGGTATCATTCCAGGGCGACTTGATCCGACATCGTGCTTCAACGACGAGTACACTGGCAAAGCCCCAGCATCCAGTAAACAAGGCTAGCATATAGCACGCCACCACAATTTTTCGGATCGGTGTCAATTGGATGAGAAGAGGCAACGCAGCCCCTTTTGCAATAGCTAGCGCGATCACGTAGAAGAGGTCTGTAGCCCATAGCGCCTGTCGTGGTGTCAGTCTCTTTTCCCTAGTCTTCTGCCACCTGTTTCTCTCGACTTTACCTTCAAAGCGACCATGTTGTCATCAACAGACACCTCCTTCGTCCTCTGGCCAAAGCCATGTTTCACGGCAACCAGGAGGCAGGACGACGAGCAGAAAGCAGAGAACTGGTAAGCGTGTCAGCCGTTGTATTTCAAACTGCATCAACATCTTACTGATGCGACAACCACTAGAAGCTCTTCAAGGCCTATTGTCCGTTTGACGTGGAGCTTACTGACAATTCTGATTACCAGGGTGAGTGCCGTCCAGGAGATGCCCACTGCTGTCACAATGACAACGAGCGCTGCTTTGTTGTTCGAGTTGATGATCAGACGAGGCCCGTCCCATGCTTCGGACATTTGGCAGGTTTTCTGTTACCTAATGTTGCCCTCCACTGGCATTTCTATATGCATTGACCAGCAGGGAAATACTTCCTGAATCCACGGGCGAGGGGCAAGTGTTGCTTTGAACAAGAGGTGACGTTCACACCAAACGGGGTACAAGCTAGACAGGCATCCAGGTATAGGAAGTCCGGCGATGGCTCTTCCGAGAGAACCAGAGTTCAGGAGATTGAAGAAGACTTTGACAATATGGGTTGTGTGATGCAGTAGACTTCGAAAGATGTGATTGAAGAGATTTGCTGCAGTCAACAATTCAATTTCAAATGGCACACAGCAAGCACTTGTTTTCCGAATAAGCTCGCAAGCAAGGGCAATAGCAGACTCCGTGCCATGCGCTAGAACCCACCTATTAAAACAACTTTGTGCCACAGAGACATAGCTTCGAGAACACTCACGATCACCAGATGTTTCGCAAAGGTCGGTGGTACCTTCTCAAGTCTCTGACCACGCAAGGACGGGACGTAAGGGTGAACCTACCGAAGTTCCGCCAACCGAAAGTGGTCGTGATTCGGACAGTCACCTTGCCGACTTATCGAGAGCAGGCTGGTTGAAATCGTGATAGACGCTGTCCAGGGCAGGCAGATAGCCGGATTGAGTTGATGTTCGTCTGTGCAGCAGGTTGTGACTTTGGGAGTGACCTGCAGGGCTGTCCGTGTCGATCTCGATTGACTCCACTCGCCGTTGATCGCCTATCGGCTGTGTTCTTCAGCATGCAAGGGTGTACTTGCACCTGACTTTTTGCGAGCTTTGACGGCTGTCAAAGGCATTTGAAAACAGTACATGTGGTGCTGTCAATCATGCCCAAAACGCCACATTGAGCAACGAGCACACACCACTGCACTTCAATAGGAGGACGCCTCGACTCAATCAAGCCATGGCCTTATCCAGCGATGCACTTTTCGAGTATCGTTTCCGCTGTCGTTCTACGTTTCCAATTATTGACAGCGACGACTTAGAGCTGTCACCCAAGGTTGGCACTTGTCATATATGCTTTCCTTGCGAGTCGCCGTCTTTCACTTCCAACGAGGACATCTCTCAGCTTTGTTGTAACATAGCATTTGAGAGTACGCAGCAGGTTATACTCTTCTGCGCACAGCAGGGCTGAGACAAATACCCCAGTACTGTACACAGAACCGCGAACTCACTCGTCGATATCCTTGCCAGTCGTAAAGGTGGTGAACGTAGACAACGGTCATACACAAAGAAGCCATGTCTTCCAAGCCTTATGTCATGAGCCAATACAAGCCAGAAGATGCAGCCACAGAATGGACTGAGCTGGACGAGGTTACCAAAGAGGGATTTACCACCAACGACCAGCTGGATATGCAACGCATGGGTAAGAAGCAGGAGTTTAGGAGAAATTTTAGGTAAGATAATGACTGCTACCCTGCTACCCACTGTATCTGCTGGGTATTAGCAAGCAAGTTTGAGCTGTACTTATCATGTGGATTGTAGATTCCTGACCACTGTTGGCTTTACATGCTGTGTGATGGGAACATGGGAAATTCTTCTCACTTCGAATACACCAGCACTCCTTGCTGGAGGCTCGGCAGGATTGTTCTGGAGCGTTTGTTGGGCCTATTGTGGTCAATTTTTCGTGGTACTCTCACTGGCAGAGATGAGCTCTATGGCGCCGACAGCAGGCGCACAGTACCACTGGATTTCGTTGCTTGCCCCTGCTGAATACCAAAGGCTCTTGAGCTATCTCTCAGGCTGGCTGTCCACGATCTCCTGGCAATCAATTGTCGCTTTGGATTGCTACCTCGTTGGGACTATCATCCAAGGACTCATCACTGTCAACGACGAAACATATGTGGCGGCTAAATGGCAAGCTACGTTGCTCATCATCACGGTGGCGATCTTCATAACCCCGTTCAATATCTTCGCGGCAAAACACTTGCCCCTGGCTGAAGGAATTTTTGTGACGGGGCACTTCTTTGCATTCTTTCCAGTCGTTATCATTCTCCTGGTCCTGGCACCTAAAAGGTCGACAAAAGACGTCTTCCTTACTTTCTCGGACAATGGTGCTGGATGGCCAAACGTTGGATTGAGTACACTTGTCGGACAAGTCAGTGCGATTTTCTCTGTGCTCGGTTCTGACTCGGTGGCCCACATGGCAGAAGAGGTGCAGGATTCTTCCATCGTCGTACCTCGAGCCATGACGTGGAGTTTCATTGTCAATATTCCCTCGACGATCGGCTTGTTACTCACCTACCTGTACTGCATGCCGAGTGTGTCGGATGCTGTCTCGCATTCTTCTGGCTATCCTTTCCTCTATGTCTTCCAGGAAGCAACTGGTTCGGCTAGCGGTGCCACAGGATTGGCCATTGTAATTCTCTTACTCCTGGCTATGATCACTATCAGCGCCGCTGCAAGCACATCTCGTCAAACCTTTGCCTTTGCTCGAGATCATGGTCTGCCATTCTCAACCTGGCTGAGCACAGTAAGTCGGACATCGACGCTCGAAGCTCGTCAGCTGACATGTTCAGGTACACCCGAGATGGCATGTTCCTGCAAATGCGATTGTCTTCACCTGTATTTTCACTATTGTTTTGAGCTTGATCAATATCGGCAGCACAGCTGCTTTCAACGCGATGTTGTCGCTGAGCGCCACAGCTCTCATGACAACATATGTGTAAGTTCTGCACATCCTGAACTCTTGTTCTCCACTAATGCCTTTAGAATCTCGATCGGTTGTGTGATAGACACCAGACGAAGACGGACGGAGATGCTTCCCCACGCAAGATGGAGCTTGGGTCGTTATGGCATGCCTATAAACATTATCTCCCTGGTATATTCCTGCTGGAGTTTCTTCTGTGAGACTTCTACTCTTTCAACTCGTTCTCTTCTGACGTTTTTCCAGGGAGTTTCTGGCCGAATGCTTACCAACCAACAGCTCAGAACATGAACTGGGCTTGTGTCTTGTTCGTTGGTCTCATGGGACTTTCTGGCGTGCTTTATTTGACTCATGCAAAGAAATACGATGGACCTGTATCTCGTGCACAGAGATACCTGTAAATGACTGGAGTAACACAATGAAATGTTGATAGCAGCACATCCCCGAACGGTCCGCCTTCATGCACAATAAAACGATTGCGTTGCGAAGCAGAGTTTCTATGAGCTGGGTTCACCCGTCGTTGCATAATAGACTTCAGTCGCACCTTCTCTTGTGAATGTGCTGTGTAACTGACAGAAACTGAGAGTGCAGGGTGTGGCCCTTCCCGTAGCCTCGATAATTGTAGAGACTGCCTGCTTTACGGAGAGGTAGTGGTTCCAAAGCGGCAAAGAAGTTCTACAAGCAGCCAATCACGCCTTTTCTAAAAGCTCAAGACGCGTCTGGACGCGTACCGTAACAGATTCCTCTTTCCTTCAAACCTTCCGGTTCCTGTCTTGACTACCTCTACCATCAAGTACTGCGAACCTATGGACGGATTGGGAGTTTGCTTTGACCACCAGCCAGTGTTTCTCCGCATATCAATAATGCGGAGCAGCGAGCTGCATCTCGACATGCTGGTTTGCTCGACCCCAACACACGGGGCGTACCTACCGAACATATAACTAATAAGATTTGCAAAGTGGCTTGCTCGTGAGTAGTAGGACCTGACTCGTGATCGACCACGGCATGTATTCCTGCTGAAGGGTTCGTTCGTTATGGACATAATACTGAGCTGCTCGGTCCGAGGTCATAAAACAGCTTCGACTTCCCAACTACTAGTCTGTTGTTTCAAAGCATCACATCGATACACCACAATCATTGAGCTATAGCGTTCACTAGCAGGTCGTTCAAAATGGGATCGTATGCACCAACTGTCAGCGACGACGCTCTGAGGCTCAAAATGCCTGAGGCAAGAGAATTCCTTGGTGGTGACCTCCTTGCACAGTCCATAGCAGCTCTGGGCTGTGACGTGGCTTTCGGCCTGCATGGAGGACATCTTGATGCTTTCCTGACCGGCTGTTCTGATGCCAACATTAGATTGATCGACACTCGCCATGAAACCGTGGCAGTTCAGGCTGCGGAAGGTTACGCCAAAATCTCAGGCAAGGTCGGCGTGTGCTTTGTGACCGCCAATAGTGGGTAAGTGGTGAAGACAATGGTATATTCACGATTGACGGTCGTTATCTAGCTTTTCAAACGGCCTACCGGGCTTAGCTACTGCTTTTGCAGATAGATCACCCATCTTCTGTATCACGTCGAGCCCACCACTGCGGGATGCCGAAACGAACTGTTTGCAGGGCTTTCACGATCAAGTTGTTTTGGCGAAGCCCATCACAAAATTCGCCCACAGAGTGACAAACGTCGAGGAGATCCCTCGTATAGTTTCGTACGCGTGGAGGACGGCTGTTGCAGGGGCCCCGGGTCCTGTTCTGATTGACTTCCCTATAGACATTTTGTTCTCACCTCCACGACTTGAGAGCATTGCGTGGGGAGCGATCAATCGTCCTCTACCCTATGCTCCTGCACCTGCACCTGAGGCTGTGGATGAAGCACTTCAACTTTGGACACAAGCGAAACGGCCAGTTCTTCTCACTGGAACAGGTGCTCGCGGGAAGGACTTTGCGAACCAGTTCCTAAAGCTGGCTGAAATGACCAATACACCAGTATTTTACAGCTCGAAATATGGTAGTGTAATACCATATGGCCACAAGTTACGTGGTGGACCTGCTAGTCGACTAGCTCTACTACCAATGATCAAAGAACAGTCCCCAGACCTGATGATTTTGCTGGGTGCAAGAACCGGCTTCTTGCTCGGTGGCCGAAGTGGTGCGATCCTGCCAAATTCAGGCTGCAAGTTCATTCAGGTTGATACCGATGGTGGCGAAATCGGCAAGAGTCATGCGATCGATTGCGGCATTGTGTCTAGTTCGCAGCAATTTGTGCATGCCATGCTTTCTGCAATCTCGCGTACTAACAACTTCGCAAGTTCTGAGGGATGGATCCAGACTGCATCCTCTCTAAAAGACATTCCAGGCGCGGCTGACAACGAACCTGAAGAACTGAATTCAGGCCGACTACATCCTGTTCATGCATACAGAGAGCTGTTCAAGTCATTACCTGCGGGCGCTATAGTGTGCATTGACGGTGGCGAAGTCGGTCAATGGTCGCTCGAGTTACTTGAACATTCTCGTGCTAGCTTGGCCATGGTTGCGACGGGTTACTTAGGGTTCTTAGGTAATGGCTGGGGATACGCTCTAGGCGCTGCTGTTGCAGAGCCTTCCAAACTGGTCTTGAACCTGCATGGAGACGGATCAGCCGGATTCCATCTGCAAGAGCTGGACACCTATGCTCGATTCAGTCTGAACATCCTCACAGTCATAGGGAACAACTACGCCTGGGGCATGTCACAAGCAGGGCAGGATCTTTTGTATGGAGAGACTGTTTCAGCTCGACAAGCCTCCAAGCTCAGTCCACATGCCGAGTACGAGACTGTTGCAGCCGGTTTGCAATGTGCTTCAGCTCGAGTTGACAAGATTGCTGACATTCGAGGTGCCGTTGACAATCTGCTCAAGGCTGGCAAGCCAGGCTTATTGAATCTCATCGTCTCGGATAAACCGATACATGCAGTGACCAAGTCAATGCTGAACGTGGACGTTGGCAAGAACTGGATCGTGGTGCCATATTACGATAATATCCCGCGACCACATTACGAAATTTGAGTTCATCTCTTTCCTTGGGAATTGCTTCTAGTGAAGTGGACACTTCAAGCGACGTTACAGGTCGTCTACGGAGAACAAAACGTAAACACTTCCCTGCCACTTTTATATGACGTCGTTTACAGCATCAGCGTCGCTGTTCGCAGTCTCATAGCCACGAGTATGAGTTCTTGAGGCTCTGGTCTGAAATGGGCTGATAACGTTGGCAATTTGATGGGCGCCTAACGGCGACGCATCCTTGTCCTTTCGCACGATGTGCTGGCGAGCTTGTTTCTTGTTCTCACACTAAATGCACAGCGGCTTCTTAGCTGACCGAGCGAGCACCACGGTTCGCACAGCAGGTACGTACCGATGCCGCTGTACAGTGGTGGTGTTATGGATACATGCAATGTAGACTTTGAGCTCCGTTCGCCGCGCGGCATCGGCATCTGGGCATGCATATGTCATTAGCGGACGACCATGCCTTAAATCCTGGTCGCGGCAGTGGTTGTCAGGGTATGCATACTTGTCGGGCACTTTACCCGTGATGGCTGCACCTGTGCTGTGCCTTCGAGTTACAGGCACCTTGCTGGCACAAGCGGCTTATAACATGACCCTGGATGTGCACGAAATGCCTTCTCTATCACTCCTTTGTCAACCTCATCACCTGCCCTTTTTGTGCATACACAGACCATTAGGCCACATACTATTGTGGTTTGATGTAGGAATCGATGTCAACAAACCTTGCGATAACAGAGTTCAGAAACTATAAACAGTCTCTCGGTACAAGGTCCGAAAATGGCGGCCGTGGGAAATGCCCGGGTGGACACCATTGAAGCCGACCATATTGAGGATCATGACTCTACTCTAGGTGAGGACGAGTCTACGTATACTCAATCCTTGAGGTCAAGTCTGCTCACAAGCGTTTCTAAGAATGGTAGAGGTTATCATAAATACAAGGATGGGCAGTATATGTTGCCTGAGGATGAAAAGGAACAAGAGAGACTCGACATGCAACACACCATGCTACTAAAGCTGTTTGGCGGGAAACTCATCCTTGCGCCTGTGAAGGACGAAGAACTACTGCATGCCCTGGACCTGGGCACAGGGACGGGAATATGGGCTATCGATTTTGCTGATGTGCATCCGAATTGTCAGGTCCTTGGCATCGACTTGAGTCCGACCCAACCTTCATTCGTCCCACCAAACTGCAAGTTCGAGGTCGATGATTACGAGTCAGAGTGGACTTTCAAGCAGAGATTCAACCTCGTACATGGTCGGATGATGCTGACATCGATCGAAAGACCAGAAGAGCTGTTCAAGAACACGTATGACAGCCTTGTCCCAGGTGGTTGGTTCGAGCTCCAAGATCTGTACATGCCAATACCTTCAGATGATGGCACCACAGAAGGCACTACATGGGACGATTGGAACAATGGCCTTGAATTGGCCATCCAGAGAATTGGCCGTGACACCCGCTTACCCGCACGGTATGAAGGGTTGATGACCCAGACCGGCTTCATCAATGTAGAAAAGCGCATTTACAAACTGCCGTCAATTCCTGGCCAAAAGACAAATACCTGAAGGAGTTGGGAACATGGAATCTCATCAACATGGTCGACGGGCTAGAAGGGTATACCGTTCGTTTGTTTACCAAGGTCCTGGGTATGAGTATCGAGGAAGTCGAAGTACTGACGATGAAATTAAGAAAAGACTGTTACAACAAGAAGATTCATGCATACTGGCCGATGTGAGTTACGAACAAGCAGTTCTACCGGGAATTATCGACGCTAACAAATCTCAGCTACGTTGTCTATGGTCAGAAACCTTTCTGATTGACTCGATCGTGTTGGGAGGTCAAGGACAACCACTGCCCTTTTTCTTTCGAAAGCGAAGTGCTCGATTGAGACTTTGCGAGATTTTGTGATGGTGATTGGTTCGACAAGATGCCGCCGTGATCGTGGCGGCTATCGTTGCATTAGTCGCAGGTCTTGCCTGCATCCGTGCCGCCTTTAGCGTGTGCGTATCCATTTTCTTGCAATCTTCAGAGCAAGCGACATCAATCATGAACTGTACAGAATGCTTCGATTGCATAAATCACGATGGAAGCTTAGACCATGCCTGCATACCGCGGTAGCATCTCGACGCTTACTTCCTTGCTTGTTTATCAAGGTTTCATTATTGGAGGGGCACGATGTGCTCAGAAACGGCACATATAACTTTTGATCTAACCAATTCTCTGGTCACTCACACACAACAGACAAAATGCTTCAGCTACCTAGTCTGAGTGGGTCGACTTTTATCGACACTTGCTTGCTGCTGCTTGCTGGCTGGACAGTCTGGACGATTCAAGCATATCGTCGACTCAGCCATATCCCCGGCCCAAGGACGTGGGGCTTATCGGTATGGCCACTCCTTGACATGCATCGCCGAGGTTCGATATATCACGGATTCGGATAACTCTCTGAGAAATATGGTCGACTTGTCAGAATCGCTCCAAACACAGTGCTCACATCTGACACGGATGTCGTACGTCGAATGAATGCACCCCGATCACCATATACGCGTGCCGAGTGGTATGTCTCAATGCGCATGGTGCAGGACGAGGACAACTTGATCACCCTCACGAATGAGAAGGAGCACGACGAACGTCGAAAGAAGATGGCTGCCGGTTACTCGGGTAAGGACAACCTGACGCTTGAGCGAGACCTGGACGACTGTATTCTTGACCTCTGCAACCTGATCGAGAGCCGTTATGCCGTTGATGCGGCAGCAGAATCTAGCCAGCTCAAACCGATGGACCTTGCTCGAAAGATACAATACTTCACCGTCGATGTCATGTCAAAGGTCTCTCTTGGGCTCAACTTCCACGATCTCAGAGACGACAACGACAATTTCGAGTATATCAATGAGATCGAGACTATGTTCCCAAAGATCTTCTCCACATGCTGCACTCCTCGCGTCCTTATGTTTTTGACTGATATTAGATTCCTCAAACTGTTTGCACCACAGGCCACTGCGAAGTTGGGTATGGGCAAGGTTCTGGCAATTACTCGTAAGTACTTGCATCAACACGTACTGGTTGCTACCCTTTGACGTGTTCACCTAAACAGCTTCATAAGCTAACAGTTGGCAGAGAAGTTGGTAGCTGAGCACTTCGATGCGGAGAAGAATGTGGTCGTGCACAAGCCTGATATGCTGGACTCGTTCATGAAGCATGGCTTGACACAGGAACAAGCTGAGCAAGAGAGTGTGTTGCAACTGTAAGTACTGACTGTGTCATGAGGACATTGTATATGGGCTAACGGATCGAACCAGGCTTGCAGGTTCTGATACCTCAGCAACAGGAATGCGAAGCACGATGTTCAATTTGATCAGCAGCCCAAGAGCTTACAACAAGCTCATGACAGAAGTCGACGCTGCTATAGCAGTAGGTAAAATACCTCGTGATCTGAACCAGGTAATTTCAGATTCTGCGGCTCGAGAGCTACCCTATCTTCAAGCTTGTATAAAGGAAGGTCTGCGATGGCTCCCACCAATCGTTGGAATGCTGGCAAAAGAGACACCTCCGCAAGGAGATACCATAGATGGCTATTTCGTGCCAGGAGGTGTCTCTGTTGCCTGGAGTGCGAAAGCCATATATCAAAATACCGCACTTTTCGGTCCTGATCCCAAGGCTTTCCGACCAGATCGGTGGATTCATACCTCAGAAGGTGGCGACGAGCCATCCCGAGACAAGATAGCTGCTATGGAGAAGAACAATGATCTGATTTTCGGCAACGGGAAGTACACGTGCCTTGGTAAGCCCGTCGCAATGCTAGAGCTGAACAAGCTCTATGTCGAGCTTTTGCGCAGGTTTGAGTTTGGCCTCATGAACCCTTAGAATGGCTGGCTGAACCCTAATGGGTGCTTCGGGATCTGGTTTCAAAAGGACCTGTGGGTCACAGTGAGAAGACGAAACGTGTCAGTTTAAATACTGGAAAGATCAGTAAGCAAGTTGATATTGACATGGTTAACCTTGAACCTAGTATTTCGCATGTCGCCGTTGCTTGTCTTTTTCAATGATTTGCATTCTATATCTGCTAGTCGTTCCAGTAAGCCGCTGCCCGTCATGACCTCAGTCTAAAATAGACGATACTCTCAAACGGAAATAGCAACGTGAGTACGGACGCCATCGTTACAAGAGATGTAGTCATACGATCTGTGATATATAGATACGCGCACTGCTCTTTGTGGATCATGTGGGAACTGCATTGATTAGCTACGATAATAGTAGCAGGGGTGATAGTAGCAGGAGGGTCTCCGGAGAGAGATGCACAATTTCTAGAAGGTTTTCGATTTGACGTCACTCAGCCGCACGTGTGGACGCGTTGAGGCGTGATTTTGCACGTAACTGTTCATCTTGTGCTTGTTTCAAAATCTATCATGACTGCATGATACCACAAAGATGCTGTGTTTGCATCATGCAGACCTTCAATTTCACAGTACATACGACGGGGATTGTGCAGATTCACGATGCTCTTTCTTGCCTAGCAAGATTCGACGAGAACATCGTCCTCGAGGCGAATGCTAACGAGGTAGGTTTCACTCTCGAGTCTAATCCATTTAGCTCACTGGTTCTTAGCTTCGGATTTCAGGCCTGAACTCTTCTAAAACTGCATACGCGTCTTTCTTGTTTGATTCGGCCACTTTCTTTGAGAAGTACCACTTTTCTGCATCTGCTGGCCGACCATCAGTCAGAGAAGCACCAAGAACATGGACTTGTAGACTTCAGAACAGGGTACTCGCTCTCTACACTGCTCTATGTCTTATCTGACCAGTACAGGCTTTGCTGTCAGTCTTCCGACGACGACAAACTAATAACAAGGAGAATGAGAACAATATCGAAAAGTGCGAATTTGAACTTCAATCTCATCCCGAAAATAGACTCGTTGTCAAGCTATTTTGCCGTCCCAGTATCATCAAGACGTTCAGGCTGACCTTTGAAACGGCAGACATTCTTCACGCTACCTTTGACAAACAAGCCTCCCAAAACACATGGACACTATCGGCAAGGACACTACGAGATGTGGTTAACTACTTTGGTCCTAAAACCGAACACGTCGATTGGTCGCTGCATGAGCACAACATCACCTTTACAAGTTACACCGAGAAGGTCCAAGTCGGTAAAGAAATCATTCGACAGCCAGCACACACGTCAGTTGGCCTCAGCAAACAAGATTTTGATCAATGCAACATCGAGCCAGGTGTTCACGTCAGCATTCCTGTCAAGGACTTTCGATTCATCGTGGCACATGCAGATACGATGAAATCAGCCGTAAGAGTAGCTTATTCGCAAGGACAAAGACCAGCGCAGTTTACGTATGGTTCAGGTGGACTAGCAGCACAGTTTACGTTAATGACCAAAGGCACAAGTACCGCGGTGTCTAATGCTTCAAGAGCGGCAACTCCAGCACGAGGACTCTCCGTCAGGCCTGTCTCTCAGCCGCCCACTAGTGTGAGAGCTCAATCCGGAACCAGGACAACGCAAAATGACACATCACCCACGCGACCAGAGCGCAATGGTGTATTAGCAACAAGACAGCCACCAGCCGCAATTAGTGGCGAAGGCCATGCACGAGAGCCGGTCGCACACAACCGAGTGGGAAGAGATGCCCAAGCTCAGGCTAGATCAAGAATCTCGACTTCAGGGTTCATCGAAACGCCAGCACCGTCAGCAAGTAACAACCCCGACAGCATGTTCTTCCCAGCCGCTGAAGATGAGGACGCCTCTTGGGATCCAGTAGATTATGCTGATGAGCCAGACATGGTCAAATGGGATGATGGCAGTTTCCACAATCCTTCAGCGATATCTTCTCGGAGGCTGAGAGACACCCAGAGCTTCGACACTTCGTTCAGGAACGAGCGTGAGCCACTCGGCTCTGATCTTGGACTGGTGCCTACACAAAGGTTGAGCCAAATCCAGGGTTTGTTCGATTAGCTCGCAAGCCTACAAACCTCGGCCAGAACCTTGAGTTCGATGGCTGCTTGAACGCAAGAACGTCGCCATGGGAAACACGCTTTGCAACATATCTCAGTGTGCCTAATACCAGATGACGCCGAGAATAGCAAAAACTTTTTAAGGCGAGCTATATCAGCAGGCCATTTGCTACTCGCCGCCTTCGATACGCAGTCCAGACATTTGCCTCGATTATGCTCCAGTGCTCCTTCGCTGTTCCCTCTCGACCAACAAGGAGACGCTCACATGATCGAGCCTGACTAGAGCTGCAAGCAGCGATCTGGACATCTTCACGACTGACTTTCCATGTGATCCACTACTAACAGCAGACAAAGCGATTGTCGGCAATACGCAAGTCACGCAAGAAAGGGAATGCATGGTAGAGTTCGCTTTGCCATGCCACGAAGGTGCTGCACAAGTTGGTACATACCTTTCAAAGTCAAGGGGAAGTACCACTCTCTAGCCCTCTTGGTGTGGCAAACGGCTCACTACCTGCCCCAAACCCGCCTGAGCAAGTCAGTAATGCTTTTTCTTCCTGTGAGCACGCCAATTGCTCCGATCCCTGGTGCCAACAGCGCGGCGGGCCACGAATGTTTTCTACACACTCCTCGAGCAGGATACAGGATTTGTGCTGATGTTCGTTCCCAGGTAAAAGTCCTAAACGTTTGATCGACCATCGATTGCCGCCATGTCCAAGCACGTCAACATCGATCTCTCCTGTCAGATTGTCCTTGATATGCAGACACTGGACTTACACAAGCATGTACTAGAGACTGCATCGTTGTTATCCACGGTATCAGCCTTCTCCGGACGGGTTGAAAGTGTTAGAACTTTCAACCAAATTTGTCCAGTCTGCCATCAAGAGCAGTCTGCATATGCTAGAGACCGCTGAGTGAACGCTATCCAGTAGATATGTTCTCTTCACAAATGGCGTCACCGCAAAGCTCAGCTGAGAAGACTCGATCCCTGACACAGCTACAATGATAAGATATTCTGCGAGCCCGGTCGAGTGCCCGATTCTTAAAGCCCCATGCCAACGAATCCGAAGTGCAACGGTACAGACTGTTTTCTCTTCGTCGACTCATAGCCAGCATCACGGAAGTCTGACTCGATGATCTTGTGTCTGGCTGTTACCGAGTCATTTATGAGCCTGTCATGTATAAGAGTTCCGCTGCTGCATTCCCACCGCCACAGCTTGGGAGACGTGGTATAGTGGCTTGTGGTGTGTTGGGACTCAATTCATGCAGGTTGGGGCAGATGGTTCACGTAGCTATCGACTCGTTTTGTCGCGCGAACGAAACAGCTGATGAGTCGATTCAAACGAAATGGAGGAGAGATGATATAAGTAGACGAGGAAGACCCGTCGTAAGTCGCCTCTCTACTTCATTGAACCATACAACCAGTCTACTGGAATCCTAAACGAAAGCGCTCCTAGCACTACAGACGCCTCATTCTTTCAGCCATGTCTTCACGAAACATGAAAGCAATTCCCGAACCCAACTCCTTGCATACACCTGGAAACAACCCCTACTTTGTATGGCGGTGGTGCATTGGTTGTAACATGTACACGTCCATGCCGAGATGATCCGATGTGTGCGACGTGCATCGAAAATGTGCATACACGTCTCCTGAAGGCAAGAACCTGTGTCAGGAGAAGGTCCTCCCAGGATCTCGTTCGTGCGACGAACATTTGTGCAAACGGAAAGACGGATGGTGCCGTCGCTATCCAAAGCAATGGATACAAGGACTTCGCGTTCCATATGTTTGTATGGGTTGCATATGTCGAGGATGCAAATTGACGACACACGACGACATTTACTACGAAAACAAGTTAATATGCTTCGCCTGTCACGCCGCGGCTATTCTACCTAATCGTCGAAAGCGTTGAGTGCCATAAATCACCAGCATCAGCTCTCGATCACAAACAGTACAGGGCTTGCAATCCAAAGCGATGACACCACCTCATCGTGCAACTCTCTCTTAACAAGAAGCCACCGAGGTACCAGCATAAACACAGATGGGGAAGTATCGAAGTACTGTTGAGCTTGAGCTGGTTGAGGTGCTTGCGAGATGGGTGCCATGTACAGGGACGGTGCAGCAGCAGTATTCGGAGAGCTGGAGCTGCAATTCAGATGATGTTCGGTTTCACTAAGTCAGTGCACATTGTACGACATGATTGTTAGCTAGCTTGAAGACAGCAACAATCATTAGTGCTTGAATATACCTCTAACGCCCATTCTAGCCGTAGCCTTCTATACTAGTCGTAGACTCAACAGCTCCTCCGAGTCAACGTACTTCACAATCGTGTTCATCTTGATGAGGTAGGGAAGTGAACTTGCACAGAGTCAGCTTAGTTGACGAACACACTTCGTCGTCCCACTAATACACTGCACTAAAACCGGCAATAGTGAAGAACCGAAAACTGTACCATCCCGGGGTCACTGCACCCTGGTTAACGAGATTCCCTTTATGGCGGTCGATTATTCGTGGCTTCAATTAGTTCACAGCACTGCTCGTTGACCACTTCAACCAAGGTAACTATCTAGACCCTGACTGAATACATTGGGCTAGCTCCTGCTAAGCATATGTGCGTCCTATCGTACCGCGGAATGAAGTAAGGGAAAGCATTGTTGAAAGCTCAATAAATAATTGTCATTGATGAATGTAAATAAACAGATCATACGCCTTAGCTCTAGCTGTTGTTGGGAAAACAGCGAGCGCCCTGAAAACCAGCCCAAGTCTCTGCACTTATTCATAGCCAAAAGACCAGCTCGAACATCCCAGCTTATGATGTCGTGTTGTTTTGTATTCAGTAAGTGCAGCTGTAGCCATCCAATATCGACCTGCTTCCACCTAAAAGCAATGCAAAATCACATCCGTCGGAAAGTAGGACTGCGAGTCTGTTGACCATAAAGATGTCTGATATTTCAGAGACACTAATGTCCAATCCTATCGTTGAAGTATATCACGAAGGCTAATGTGAGCTCGCTTTTCCGTGGACGGGTCTTCTGCAGGCTTAGTTGCAGGAGGATCACGATCTTTGGGGTCCCTCTTTTTTTTGTCCGAGGTTCTCTTCCGGTAACGGCGCTGTGTTGCCAAACACTTCTCACACATTTTAAAAGCACCCAAGCCAGCTTTGACACGGCTAAAGCATTTGACGCAAACGTGAGCTATACATGCCTCGGCGAACCCGCCACGAGGTTTTTCGTACCTATGACGTTGGCAGAGAGGACACTTGCAGCCTGCGGGGAGTGTAACGTTTCCACTGGCACGAGCCGCGTCGCAAGCTGGGCATCCGTCTAGGAAATCTGGGGCGTTTTGAGGCGCCGACATTGCGCTATCCACAAATTCCTCTAATTGGTGCTTGGCGTAACGGACTAGTAGTTTGAATGTAAGTACTTTCTTGTAATACTTGTGCAAGACAGATTTGTACTGTATGAACTCTTCATATTGACAGATCGCAGGACAGGGAATAGGCAGGATATTCTTATATGCCTTGATGAGCCTTCGTTTGGCTTGCTCGTCGACTCAGACTGAGCCATGACAGAGTATTTCCGTTCGTCTCATGGGACACAACTTAAGAGTCGAGGCTGCGGCTTGAAACGTTGAACAGGGAGAGGACGTTGCGTAGGCTGCTGCGCAGGATGGACTAAGACGCTGTCAGAAGAGCATACGTGTGCGAAGTTGTTCATTGTATTGAGTCAGCATGAATCTCTTCAAGCTAAGGTTCTACTCCGTCTCGTCGGCGATAAAGAAGAGGTATAATGAGATGATACAACGAGCTAGAACGAATGGAAAAGCGGAAGTACAATTAAAGCTCAATAGAGATTTTCATTGATGAATATAAACGTTGACTTGCGCAACAGTGACTGTTGGTATGCCACAAGCAAGTCCTTAGAATATAGCCCAAGTCTCACCTGAACATAGCCAAGTCATGCTGGTCCAACCCTCGACACCTCCAAAAGTTTCCAAGCTACTGAAGCTCGTAGTATCATGTGCTCGGTAGATCATAATGTAACAGGACAGTAGCTCCGTAAAATGATGCGTTCAAGGTTTGCTGTTATAGTTGGTTTTGATCGCCTACAGCCAGCAATCTCGAGACTCATGCGATGTTGTCGTTAAGCGAAGGCTTGACCTTTATACTATGGTAAATCGTGCGTTCGGCGCGTTGAACGCTTGAGGGCACCGGGAACCATGGGTGAAATTCATCTGGCGTGCTTCATTGAGACTCTGCAGTCCTCACAGAATGCATATTGCGCAACGTCTGAGGTCATCTCGGGGAGATTTGGACAGTTCCGGGTTCTGCACTGATGATCAAAACAAGCGGCGGCTGGTGTTCCACCTGGTTGGACCTGCGAGTGGTTGTCGCAGCCCTGGCTACCGCCGCGTTCACATTGGCACATCCCATGTCCCACCTTTGGAGGGCGCTGGTGATTTGTCTTAGTAGCCAGCTGATAGCAGTATTTACACTGTAGGTTAGAGCCATTCTGGGCGTCTGGTTGTGACATAATTGCGATGCCCACAAAGTGCGTCCGTCAAAGGTGCTTGGTCGGTAGTATGGTAGTGTAATCTGAATTGAGTTCTTAGTTAGTTCGAGGTAGGCTTTGAATATCTGAATTTATGGTATTGGTAGACCACAGGAAGAAGGGTGGAAAGAAAGCTCTTATATCCATCCGCAAATCCCCGTTGTCTTCTCTGCAGACTCATGCTTACTCCGTCCGCGTCGGTAATGCAAGACATGGGTACGAGTCGAGTTTGCAAGCTGAAACGTCGACGTAGAGAAGCACATTGCGTGATGGGCCAACAGAGCAGCGAGATGTTGTCAGAAGAGATGATTTGATGGGAGTCGACAGACGGTATAGGTCAGTCGGGGAATCGTTTGTCATTGCTCGTGTGGTAAAGAGGTTCAGATACATGCAAAGAGTGACTGGGGGCAGGAGTATGACTAACACCAGTGAACTCGAACATGAGTATGGGGCTGAAAAGGTGTTGCAGAGTAATGGCGTGCAAAAGCTTGCCGTCTCGTGGAGTCGACAAAGTCTTCTTGCAAACAGTTTTGTCTTCTCATCATTGATTTGCTGCTGTGAGGATCCTGAGCGTCTCGTTATGGTAGCTGACTCTTTCCCTTCCTTTCAACTTGTTCGCTATTGCGTGGACGGGACACCACTTCACACAATAGTTTCTGCTTTGGACAATCAGGCTGATATCTATCAGACAAATTAAGACGAGGATTCCTGCAGCCCATCATTATTTTGCGCAAAACTTGCACGTTACTGTTCCTTGTTAGCTAAAGCCCCTGTTCCAAATCCTATTCTATCACCACGTGCGGTCATTTCCTCACGTCAAACTCCCTCTTCTGCAGCGCGACTTCACAAGCTCGTCTGAACACTCTGCAAAATTGGTAGACATCGTGAAAAGTGTTGTAGAGTGGGGTGGGAGCAACACGAATGACATCTGGCTTCCTTTCGTCGACCACGACGCCGTCTTCTTCAAGACATTCGAGGACAGTATCAAGCATGCCTGGCTCTAGACGGATGCTAAGTTGTGCTCCGCGTGCAGATTGATCTCGAGGTGTAATGATGGAGTAGGGTGGCGATGCACTAACAAGCTCTTCTGCAGTCAAAAGCTGTTCAAGGTAGGCAGTCAATGTTAATGACTTCATTCGTAGGGCTTCCATTCCTGTTTCCTTGAATATGGACAGTGAGGCGACAACAGGTGAGAGATCAAGGGCGCTGGGGTTGGAAAGTTGAAAACCTGCTGCTCCAGGTCGAGGGACAAAGTCTAGATGTAATTAGTATAAGCCTTGCCTGATTGGAACCTTCTTACTGTTAGTCATTTGAAAGCGACTAGTTTTATCATCTCCCCACCATCCTGTATGCAATCAGTTGTTGTAGCTTGAGCCAGATATGTTATCGTTCCATACCTGTTAGCCTCGGTCGATATTTCGCAGTCGAGGTAGACTTATCGACTGCACCGTGTCGTTCATGCACAAATATAGCAGCCATTGCTCCTGGTCCGCAGTTGAGATACTTGTAGCTGCACCAAACCGCAAAATCGACGTCCCATGCATGTAACTTCAAGTCGACATTTCCAGCGGCGTGGGCACAATCCCACCCAATGAGGATATCACAGGATCTAGCGTGAGCAGTGATGCGTTGAATATCAAAGTATTGGCCAGTATAAAATTGTACACCAGGCAAGAGAATGAGTGCCAGTTCATGGGCATGATCATCGATTGTTTTCAAGATTCGCTCGGTTGTCAGTATTGGTGTATGTGGGTCTTCCGGTTCCAGCAATACCATTGCATCTTTGGGATCGAGACCGTGGAATTTGATTTGTGACTCGACAGCGAAATGGTCACTGGGGAATGCCTTGCCTTCGAGCAGGATCTTGTATCGACCTTCTCCTTTCTTGGTAGGTCTGTAGAAACTACACATAAGTAGATGGAGGTTAGCAGTCAATGTATTCATAACAGCAATCTCACTCGGCTCAGCACCAACTACTGGTGCCATTAGCTTGGCAGCCTCATCGTCGATGTGTAGAAACGGAACTAGAGGAGAATCTGTATGATCTGTAAAGTGGCCAGTCACAGCTTTAGTCTTCCATTGTGTGAGAAAGACATTGATGTAGTCTGCGACAGCTTTTGGCTGCAAGCCGAGAGAATTGCCGCAAAGATATGTACACTCCTCCGAAGGTGGTTCTGAATCATGCTTGGCTATAGTAGGACGTTTCAGATCAGCTTTGGTTGGAATGAGATATCTTGATCTGAAATGTGATAAAGGATCGATTGCGTCTAAGTGAAGAGCGTAGCTAACGTCGAGTAGGCCACCGCTCTTCGCAACCTCACTATCACTCATGTTAGCAATATGGTGGCGATCAAAAGTCAAGGAAACAAATGCACGACAGCAACGGTCGTGATTGCCGTTAATGGACGAGGAAGTGATGGGCTGTGGAATATACTGCCGATGTTAATCGCTGAAAACCACTAACGGCAGCAACTTTCCACCGATTACGGCTATACTTGAAGGCGCAACTGCGGTGGCTTACAAACTATCTACTAGGTAGGTTGTATGCATCACCAAGTGAAGCATCGTTGAAGTGCAGGACATTACCACCGTCCGCTAAGAATTCGCACTAATTATAAAATGGATGCAAGGCTCGTCACTCGAGCCTTCAAGCTCGCCAAACCAGTGCGAAGCCATGAACCAGCAGCATTCTTGCAAGCATGTCGTGGTCGATCTCTCTCACATCCAGTGCCACAGACAAAATCAGTCCGTCAGCCTCAAAGAGTAGCACACCACAGGACCTTCTCAACCTCGAGGCCAGTCCTTGCGACCGTCGTGAAACACAACCCTCGACTCGACGACGACGGTAACGAGATGCAAATCACAATCTCAGATCGTGCAGCCAAACGCCTCAAGCAGATAGTCACGGCACCACCAAAGAAGAACACCCTCGCGGCCTCTTCGCAGACAGGCCCCGACTCCCACCTACGCGTGACAGTGACATCGGGCGGCTGCCACGGCTTTCAGTACTTGATGTCTCTCGAGCCAGCGGACAAGGTCGATCCAGAAGAAGATACGATATTCGAGTTTGAAGATGATGGGCAAGGCAAGAAGGCGGAAGTGGTTATGGATCAACCGAGTCTGGAATTACTGAAGGGAAGTACGGTGGATTTTACCACTGAGTTGATAGGGAGTCAGTTCAAGATCGTGGGGAATCCGAGGGCTACGAGCAGTTGTGGGTGTGGAACGAGTTTTGATATTGAGTAGATGGGTGCAAAGCTTTCTCTATGCACCTTGAAACTTTGGACACTTTAATGTATACATTCCGTGTACCCTGCTGAGCTGGCCCTCTCTTGCTGATTGTCAGAGACATCTTGGTTGTTGATATACGGCACGACTAGCACACATGAGGACAGGTTCGCAATTTCCACTGATCAGCGCTGTTTCGCGTGCCACAAATACCCTAAGACTTCGCATGTGGTCAATCAATGCAGAGCTGCTTTGAAGTTCGAGTTTGTAAGTGCAATCATCGGCCAACAGACTGGATTATGGCTGAATTGAACCAGCGGCCACCCTTGCCACGAGAAGGGTGACTAGATCGACATAACAGGACTGATCAAATATATTGCAACGGCTTTTTGACTTCAACAACCACTATTGGTACAACCTTGATAGCTTTGAGCTTTCCATCGCCCATCCTCCATCTGCATCCTTACAGGCTCCATTCCTCATATGCCCAATGGGTTTTGAGCATCTTGCTTTTTGCCCGTCGCACTGGTCACATAACCACTTGCAGTATTGCCAACCGCGGAAGTGGTGTCACCGACGCCTTTTGTTACACCGGTCACTGTGTCTCCTACACCTTTGCCTAGCGTACTGGCGCCCTTACCAACGCCTAATTCAGGTCAGCTTTGGTTTGAAGATGGATCAATGGACATATACCTTCACCTAGACCACTGACTGTGCCTCCTACTGTGTTGGTCACACCTGAAAGAGCGCCGCCGACTGTGTTGCCAGCACTGCTAAGAATGCCTTCGGAGGTCAGCCTCAGGTGATGTTGGTGTATTCGATGATCACATACCTGGCTTCTGTTGTTGTTGCTGTTGCTCCGACATGACGACTGGAAAATGCGATCTTGTTCTTGACTAAAGGGATCTTAATGTGATGAGAATAGCTAGATTTGTTGATCAAGCCTGGCACGACATCACAGCGAACAGGTCAAGTTATGTACCTACTTATAGTCACATCGATCAAGGTAGAGATGTGGCTTGACGTCAGTTAGCACCTCATTCTTCAGTTCTGATTCACATCTTGAGAGGGCAGGTAAGACCCATGTTTTCGTTCATGGGTGTCCTGACAAGTGAAGGCAAGCGCAGAGCAGGGTGCATGCTTCACCACACGGCTGGTTGCCTTTCCCCTGTCCAAACTGGAAACACCACCGCACACCTGGCCACTAACACGACTACGGGACATCGCAAGTTTGTCTTGGTAGTGGTTGCGAAGGTACAGATCCTGGTGAGCATAGCACAGGATTCGTGTTCGGACTTGGATCAAGCAAGTAGTTGAGCGAGATGAAATCATCAGCCACACGAATGTCCGTGTGCTCATGAACAACAAGCTGGCGCAGTAAAGACATCGCATATGACTACACGGCAACCTCTTGCGCTCGTACTGAATATCGTTCTTTTCCGGTCATTGTGGCGGGGCATGACATCATATTCGTTCGACCTTTGTCCTCCCGAGGCAGGCGCAAGCTCAACCCCACCTTCCGACATGCTAGGCGTGTACCGTGCATTGTTAATTGGCTGTTGCGTCCAGCAAGGTGGTTCGAGATTATTCTCGCAGCCGATCCATTCATCGTGATATACACAATACGACTTCAACATTCAGGAGATCAGTTGACTAACTAATTGTCTCTCACGAAATTCACGAAACCACACCCAATACCACCATTCCTCACGTCTAAACACCACACCGAAAGACACACACATACCGAAATGTCCAACAATCAACAATCTCAATCCTACACCTCCTACTCCACAACTTCGTACACAACCTCCAGCTCCTCCAATGGCGCACAACCACACACACAATCCTATAGCGAAAGCGCAAACTACAACTCCCGCGACGGTGGCTCTCTCGTCCGTGAATCCAGAGAGACAGGACAACCGACGCAAAGGGAAGAGACGCAGATACCTGTGCAGGGTCGGTTAGGCAGTGGTGGTGCGGGAGCAGCAGATGAAAGTAGGAAGATTGAAGATGTGACGGATGCTGATAGGGAGTATTTGGAGAGGATGGAGGATGAGTATGCGAAGAGGGAAGGAGGAGCATGAGTTTTGCATAGGGAAGAGGGACACTGTCTTTATGGGACGATGAAAGACAGCCCAGGACGTCAATCGAGCTGTATTGAAAGTTGTTATAGCTGCATACTCGGGCTGGGATCAGTTTGCAACAAGGAAGATTTGTATAACAGCCAGAAATAGGCGAAACAATGTAACAAGACCTCATGTGTAGAACAGCTGAGAGCAGTATTTTGTGCGGAGCACATAACTGATATTGACTCCTAATGTAAATGCAAAAACAACCGCTGAACGCTAATAAATCCAACTCCTTCCCCAACCTGACTTCATAGCTCACTAGCGTGGTCGCCGGCTTCATCTTGCCTGCTACCGTCGTCCGTCTCATAAGTAGCACTGCTACTGTCCAAGCAAATTAATCCGAAAAGGGCAGGGTGCTTGCACTTTCGCCCTTTCGGTATTCTCGTGCTCGTTGTGCTCGGGATGATTGTGTGCGTTCTCGTAGCAGTCGCTGTGGTTGCAGGCGGCGGCGTTATCGTCCGAAATTTGCTCGAATGACTTGAGAATGATGAGGCAGAAGGCTTGTGCTCGTCCGGATCGTCCCAGCAGCCGAAGAACAAGCCGGGTGTCTTGCAGGTTTCAGTATCTGAGCTTGTCTGGGTAGGCGTCGAACGTGGGGTGCGTGTGATCGTGGTAGACTCACAATGACCGCCAAACCAGCCAGGTTTGCATGTCGTTGTTGGCAAGATGGATCCAGTCGTTGACGATGTGGTTGTAGGAGCAGCAGTAGTCGTGGTCACTGTCAGATTCGCCGACTCGTTACATCCAAACCAACCGGGAGTGAGGCAGGTTGTGGTTGTATAGGTTGTCGTTACGACTGGATGGCTGGAGGTTGTACTTCCGTCCAAGCAACCCCACCATCCAGGCGTCTTGCAAGTCGATGTTCTTGTGTAGGTGGCTTTCGTAGTCGTGGCTGTCTTTGTTGTGGTGGTGCCTTCAGTGCCATTACTTTCGTAGTACTTCCAGTTGAAGCAGTCTCTGCACTCGTTATCGGCCTCACATCTCGGCAGCTCTTTGTATTTCTTGATTACTGAATCGATCACATTATGAATCTTGTGGTAACCAATACCAGCTCGCCAACCATAGTCATTGACAGTATCGTACACACATTGGAGCCCTGTGTGACATTGAGACTCCATTGCATATCCGCCCAAAGTGCAAGTCGCGGTGGCACCATTGCATGTGCCCATGAAAACAGGGTCAGCAGTATGGCCGAAATGACGAGCGCCAGTGTATTTGCCTCGATTTGGTGGATCAGGACCTTGAAGACCTCGTGGTGGGACTGGCAGGCCGAGCCTTTTTGCTGCAAGGTCATCACCTGGTGCCTCGAAAGTGACCACTGGGAGGCCAAACGTCAGGCCTAACAAGCTAGAGACGGCTCCGCCCAACGAATGGCCCACGATCCACACGTTTGAGTCAGGGTACAACTCTGTTACGTTATTGTACAGGTCAATCGAAGCCTGATAGTATCTGGTCTTGCTCTTGAGTGCTTTAACCAGGCATGTCGAGTTGCAGGAGTATGTACCCGTTTGGCAGTCACATACCTGCCTCCAGAAGTATTGGCCGCCTTGAGCACAACAGCAACTGAAGAAGAGGTTGTCATTAAGCTTGTCTCTTGTCGTAGTACCGTCCCCGTCAAAGACTGCAGGGGATGTTCCCTTGAGGCCTACGATAATGGTTTTGTTATTCTCGTCTGCAAAGATGTGTCCTCGAAGTCCGTCTCCTTCCCAGCCGAAAGGTGTCGAGTGGTTGTAGCCCATGCTTACGTTACTCCACTCCCCATCATTGACATCTGGTACGTATGAGTTCGCGGCCATGTAAGCCAGATTGATTACTGTTTCCTTGTCGGTCGTGTCTGGACCAGGAACGTCGTCCATGGTCCAATATGATGTGTCCAGAGGAGCCGGCACCCCCGTAATGCCCGCATAGTCTAGATGCTTTTCCACCGATGCCCAGTCTCTGTCAACTAATCTTTCAATCTGGTAGTGATCGGACTGGACCTGTAGTCGGGGTGGAGGCGTGGTATAGTCGGACACATCGTCGCTATAGGCAAATGCAAGCTGATCTGTAGGAGGGATGTCGAGTCTCTTGTGCAAGTCTGGATGCTGATAGGTTCCTCGATGGAAAATGTGTCTAAGAGTGAATGAATGAGAGCCTGTCGGCACAGGATTACTAGAGGGCAGTTGAGGTAACTGGATAGCATCTGTGGCGGAAAACAGTAGGAAAACAGACAGGAGCGATCGTGCTGTGACGCGCTTGCTCGACGAGCATTGCAGCCTCCCGTCTCGATCTGGCATCGTATATTGCAGTTTCAATTATTTGGTGATCAGCTCATCTTACAAGCAGTAGAGAGTGAATGTATACTGTGCCACTCAAACACGTAGACACTGATATGCATCACTGAGACGAATCATGTGGACGTCGATGGTTGCCCTCTTGCTTATGACTTCATGCTGCCTTGTCATTGGCTATCGCGCCCACTTCCCGCGGCTACAGGCACGCTTGTGGAGGTCTCTTCAGGCTTCCGCTTTATTGCTAACCCACCTGTTTTAGCTAAGCCACTGGCCACGCGAGGGTCGCAGCACGCGCTGAGGACGACAGCAAGTTAGGAAGATCATGCTTTCACGCTGTCTTTCTTGAGAGCAGCAGTATTCCAAGACGCTTCATAGGCACACTGGTTTAGGCTATACTGCTGACTTGGAGAATGCTTGTCACTTCGCTGACGTCGTTGTGCCGCAAGATTATTCACTAGACTATCAACCTGGAAAGCGGGCAGTGAGTGTAAGTATCAATCTTTGAGGTAAGCATCTTCTCAAACGTAAGCATCGAAGACTTCCTGAGACACTCACAAACGCCGTCTAATACATGCGTACTTTTGTCACAGGCATCTGCATCGACTGAAAGTTTCTTCTTCGTCCACTATCACTGTGCCCACTGCCAATACGCGTATCTGTACCATTAACTTACCTATCTCGTAACTCCACCCACTTACCAGCGGTTCCATGCGAACACAAGCTGGCCGTGCGACTTCGTGAAGACCAGCGAGGTATTTAAAGAGAGGAGGCTATGGGAGCGGAAGTATAGGTAATTCCATCCTCTATCTTTCACAATGTCGGAGAAACAGCAACACTCGACTCAGGATCCTCCGCCTGCTATACAAGCCCAGCAAGAACATGCCTTGGGTGCCGCTGCAGCCGCTGTTCAAGATGACCCCTACGATCCTATACAGCACCACCACCATCGGCATAGACCTCTTCAGGATACCCAGCCTGTCGAGGACATTCCACCCCCACCATACGACGCTGACAGCTACGGCCACATCGACATCAATCAGAATGGACTCGATACTGGCGCAAGAGTGGCCGACGATGGCAGAGTCAATATCAAGATCAACGAAAAGGGCCGCAGAGTGCGAGACATTCTCGCGCCCATGCTGGCTCGGCAGATGACAGTGCCCTCAAAAGACGAAGCCGAGCCAGATGTACCTGAAGGTCTAGGAGATATCGATGGCCTGCCTCCTCCTACTATGAACATCGTTATACAGATTGTTGGTAGTAGAGGAGATGTCCAGCCGTTCATCGCTCTAGGTCAGGTGTTGAAGAAAAAATACAACCATCGAGTCAGGATAGCAACGCATCCAACCTTCAGACAATTCGTCACCGACAACGATCTCGAATTCTTCAGTATAGGAGGTGACCCTGCAGAGTTAATGGCCTTCATGGTAAAGAATCCTGGCCTCATGCCAGGAATGGAATCTGTAAGAGCTGGGGATATTGGTAGGCGGCGAAAGACAATCTATGAGATGATCAACGGTTGCTGGAGATCGTGTATCGAAGCTGGTGATGGTACTGGCGTTTCTGCCTCCGACGAACTGCTCGAAAGCCGCAGTATCGATAGTGGTGTATCATTCGGCGACGATTTGAACAAGCCATTCGTCGCTGATGCCGTTATTGCTAACCCTGTATCCTTTGCTCACATTCATGTGGCAGAAAAGCTAGGAATACCACTACATCTCATGTTCACCATGCCATGGTCGCCGACCCAAGCCTTCCCACATCCACTAGCGAATATATTGTCGTCTAATACAGATCAAAGTCTAGCCAACTACATATCTTACGTTCTGGTTGACATGCTCACGTGGCAAGGCTTGGGCGACCTGATCAACAAGTTCCGAGAACGAGTACTGCATCTGGAGCCTGTGAGCATCATCTGGGCCCCTGGTATGCTCGCGCGTATGCATATACCGTGGACATACTGTTGGTCACCTGCATTGATCCCGAAGCCGAAAGATTGGAACAACAAGATTGATATCTCGGGCTTTTTCTTTCTAAATCTGGCCACAAACTACACGCCCGCCCCAGACCTGGCGGCTTTTCTCGAAGCTGGTCCGCCACCAGTCTACATTGGCTTCGGCTCCATCGTGGTCGACGATCCAAATGCTATGACCAAGATGATCTTCGAAGCCGTAAAGAAGACGGGTCGGAGAGCTCTAGTTTCAAAAGGGTGGGGAGGCCTCGGAGCCGATCAATTAGGCATTCCTGAAGGTGTCTTCATGCTTGGCAATGTTCCACATGACTGGCTCTTCAAGAAAGTGGCCTGTGTCGTCCATCATGGAGGAGCCGGTACAACAGCAGCTGGCATCGCGGCTGGCAGACCGACAGTCGTGGTGCCCTTCTTCGGCGATCAGCCATTCTGGGGCGCCATGACCGCCAAAGCAGGAGCAGGCCCAATGCCCATTGCCTACAAAGAGTTGACGTCAGACAAGCTAGCAGATGCCATCAAAGAGGCGCTCAAACCTGCATCCCTTGAACGTGCAGCAGAACTCAGCGCCAAGATTAAGGAAGAGACAGGTGCTGTTACTGGTGCAGAGTCTTTTCACAAACAGTTAGGACCACATAAACTGCGTTGTTCTTTATGCCCTGACAGGATAGCGGTCTGGAGAGTACGGAGAACTGACATCCGTCTATCTGCCCTGGCAGCGACAGTGCTCGGCAACGCTGGACTCCTAAACTTCGAAGACCTCAAGCTATACAGACCCTGCGAATACCATGTTGATCAAGGACCACCCGAGCCCATTATTGGTGGCGCTGCAGCTCTGATTGGAACACTCTCTGAGATGGGTGCAGGTGTAGCTGATATGCCTGTGGAGATCTTGAAAGCCATGAAATTTGGGGAGTACAAGAAGAAAGATATGGGCAATCCTCCGGACACCAATACACCTTCTGAGTCATTAGCACCTCCTCCACAATCGGCGAGACATTCTCGATCTCCTTCCATTTCCGATAGTAAACGTGAACAGCTGGACAACGTGAGCGAAACAGAGGACCCGACTGATTCTGGGTATACGTCGCCATCCGTTCAGTCACCTGTGCCACAAATAGTACAGCCACAATCGATGTCGGCAGTCTTTAGCCCCGACGGTACTCCAAAGCGTCGATGGTCACTATCAAGGAGTCCATCCCGAAGCCGGTCAGAATCACGCGACGATAGGAAGGACACCATACGAGACTGTTCGCCAAGCAAGAGTGAGATGAAACAGATGGGCCTTGAATCGATTCTTGGAGCAACAAAGGCTGGTGGACACATCGTCAAGGCTGGTCTGAAATCTCCCATGGACTTCACCATGTCTCTGGCTCAAGGATTTCACAACGCGCCGAAGTTGTATGGTGATAAAACAGTAAGAAAACCGGCCAGGGTTACAGATTTTCAATCTGGTCTTAGAGCCGCAGGCAAGGAGTTTGGCTACGGTTTTTATGATGGCATTACAGGCTTAGTCACTCAGCCGATCAAGGGCGCAAGAGAAGAGGGCTTTGCGGGTCTTGCCAAAGGTGCTGTTCGAGGCGCTTTCGGCCTTGTCCTTAAGCCAGGTGCTGCTATCTGGGGCCTGCCAGGCTATTCATTCAAGGGTATCTACATGGAGCTAACAAAGCATTTCGGTAGCTCTACACAAAATTACATCATCGCGGCTCGTACAGCACAGGGCTATGATGAATGGAAAGTTAGCAGCGCTGGGGATAGGGAAAGAATCATCGCGGCCTGGAAAGGCTCGAAATTGAAGACAAAGCGAGGTAAACAAAAATATGGCCAGGAGCGCATGAATGAGATAGAATCTCACATACTCGAGCCCACACCAAGTCACGAACACAAACAACTCGTAAGTGGCTTCAAGCATACAAAGAATCTCAGTTTCGACGAGCGCAAGGAACTCGACAAGCGCCGACAGAAACTCAAGAAAGCAGAGAAGGACAAGACGACCCCACAAAAACGAGGCTCGCTTTTGGGATACCGACATGTCCCAGGCGACCCACGTGATGCCGGACCACCAGTGCATAGGTCCTCAGCGGACCTGTTAAGCGCGCAGGAGGCGGACTTTGAGGAGGCAATTGCGAGGTCAGTATCGCAAACGAGCCGGGGGAATCCTCAAGAAGATGCCGTGATTGAACGTGCACTACGTGCCAGTGTCAAAGCTCTCCAGAATAATCCTGAACCTGTGACTGACGACAATGAGGAAGAAATATTCCAACGAGCCGTGCAGGCCAGCGTCGAAGAGGCTGAAAGAGCACGACGAGAATTGACTTCGCAAGTCACTGGCAGCACACAGTCACCATTTGACGAGCACGAAGATCGAGCCATTCTTGAGAGAGCGCTATCGCAAAGTCTTGAGGACCATCATGGTGGTGGTCGACGAATCGGAATGGTAGACAATGACTTGGATACAGACGAAGATGAGGAATACAGGTTGGCACTCGAGGCGAGTCGACAAGAGGCAGATCATGCTGGAAGTAAGCAGCGTCCTGTGCCACCTATCCTGGCCGATAGCGTTAAGACTACAAGTACGAAGTATGACGATAACGATGAGAACGACGAAGAGCTACTGAAAGCAATGACCTTGTCGGAGCAGGAGGGTAAAGAGCGTGAAGCTGCACTTGCGAAGCAACGCACGGAAGAGGACATTGTCATGGAGTATATTAAGAAGCAGAGTCTGCTGGAAGAGGAGCATCGGCAGAAGATGCAACGACAGTGATTCATGTTCATAGTATAGATACCCTGCTGTTGGTTCAGTATAGTATAGAAAGTTGTTCGTCTGCCAGTATCTATTTGAGTCTTTCTGCTTGGATGTGTTGGAAGACAGGTCAGCAGTGTTTTTATCACGTCCTACTTATTCTTCACTCGGTTGTTGCATTTACTTGAAGCCTCAGGCATGAAAACCAGCTGTGGAGAAAGCTCACTCGTGCCGAAATCAAATCGTGCTAGTCCCTCCGGCCGCCAAGCATCGCACTTGGATTTCAGTCAGCGCGAAAAGTTCACGAAGCGTATCCCACAACCGCAACCACAACTCAATACCGCAAACATGTCTGATTCTGGAGAGGTCGAGATTGAGTCGCCCCAGGGCACCGGTGTACTTCCCAAGGATGTTGCAGCTGAAGTCGGTTCGGTCAAGCTGTTCAATAAATGGAGTTACGAGGATGTCGAGATCAGAGACATCTCTTTGACGTACGCGAGCCTATAAGGACAGATTTGATGCAGCATAGATACTGATTGTTTCACAGCGATTACATTCAGATCAGACAACCAGTCTATATTTCACACAGTGCTGGTCGATATGCCTCGAAGCGATTCCGAAAGGCGCAATGCCCAATCATTGAGCGATTGACCAACTCCCTCATGATGAATGGTCGAAACAACGGCAAGAAGCTCATGGCTATCAGAATTGTCGCACACGCTTTCGAGATCGTAAGCACAGTCGATCCCAGCTGTAAAGAACCAAATTAATGATATTCGTCCTAGATCCACATCCTCACAGACCAGAACCCTCTCCAAATTGCCGTCGACGCCATCGTCAACTGCGGTCCCCGAGAAGATAGCACCCGAATCGGTAGCGCAGGTACCGTCCGACGACAAGCCGTCGATGTTTCACCTCTGCGACGAGTCAACCAGGCTATTGCCCTGATCACAATCGGTGCACGAGAAGCTGCTTTCCGAAACGTCAAGTCCATTGCCGAGTGCTTAGCTGAAGAGCTGATCAACGCTGCTAAGGGTTCGTCCAACTCTTATGCTATCAAGAAGAAGGACGAGTTGGAGCGTGTCGCCAAGTCCAACAGATAGAGCAGAAAAGGTGTGGGAGTGGTGGTTTGTTACTGCTGCTTGCATTGTGCGGTCGTGGTGTTAGAGGACACTGCATGGCCATGTATATTGTCTGCTGTTGTTGGAGGACTGGCACGGCACGGCATATGATACCAGACAAGAAGGCTGCACTATGGCAAGAAACGAGACGATGAACGTCGCGAAGTCATTGATAGCATGCCACGAAAATATCATACCTTGAGAAAAAGGGCACAAGGATATTCCTGACCACTCAAGAAAATGCTAACCATCATCAAATATGCGCCGTGATTATGTCTCCTTTCTTGCTAACGATGGCAGGACGTCCTTACTACACTTGTTCACCAACGCCTTACTTCGAAGCAGTACCCTCCTGTCTCCCACTTCCACTCTTGATTCTTGACCACACGCAATCAATTCTCGACATTTCAATATGGTCCCTGACCCGTTGCCACGACCTTTCCAGTCCACCGCACTGGCATACCGTTCGTGTAATGCTTCAAGTCCTCATGTACCTCAGGTATACCGAGGGCGAAGCATTTCTCGAAATCCTCCATACTGGTCCAGAGCATGATGCATTGCACGTTTTGGCCTGGAGATTGGACATATGTGTCAGCGTTTCTGTATACGTCTCCATAAGTTTCGAGATGCGGTCCACGCAAGACAGAGAACGCATGGAACTGTCGTGATATGTCTCTTCTGTGATAAACTTACCTGACGGGTCATCCTTATCAAACTGCACAATCGTCCAGCTCTTCATGCCATGTGGACCCCAGTGCTTCTCGACCAACTTCATGTGAGTGTTGATGTAGTAGTCTAGATCGAAGTTGATACCTTCTTGGCGAGGGTAAGAGACGTAGATTGCTGTCGACATCTTTCTGGTACAGTTGATGTTTGTGATTGCGACTATATAGTTGTGGTCTTACTTTCACAGAGGGCAAGTGGTGCTACTGTACTCTTTCAACGGGATTTTTATTCAAAGAGCTCGACTAAGGTTCTCTACTGTTGTCTTTGGTGCTTGAGATATAATATCACACCGAGCTCTTCTCTATCATAGTTCGACCTGCTTCAGTCTCTTCTCCTCACTGTCCAGGGGTATTGACTGATATTACTTACTCCAAGCCGGGAACCAGCCGAGGTCGAGGAACCATCTCGATGTCCTTGGTGAAGACATCTTCGTCTGTAGGTGATCAGAAGCTGTATATACGACAATGTTTACGGGTTACGTGTCTCGTATTACAGCACTGTGCGGCAGTTTTTTCAGGTTTGTTGTAAGGGTCCGCTGCGTGATTGGGTTTTCATGGGCTTCTAAAACCCCATAGAAATACCTTGCGCTTTTTTTCCTTTTCCTTCTAACCCTTAGCAAGAAAATATCCGGCTGAACCCACGCGATGTGACTTAGTGACTGGATGTGACATATAAGTTGGATACCACGACTAATGTTGAGATCACGAAGACGACGGCGGTGCTTGAGAAGCCTTATGACTTTGCGATCAGGACTTCATTACTTCTATTTGATAAGATAAATGGAACACGAAGGCAAGATGGGGAAGAATTGAGAAGGATTGAGCGTCTCACAGCGAGGATTGCTCGCTCAACTCTGTAGTGTTTAATAATTAATTTGATCGTCAGAAGTGTTGCGAAGCAATCGCAGCATTCGTATTCGAACGTTTGCCAACTGACCACACCCAAGACTTAGGGGCTATATCTATGTGTAGAGGCTGCATTGACGGTGCACCTTGAGCTCTGTCCAGGACATGAAACTGCTCGCGTTTCTATGAGTTTTGCGGCTTGAGAGGCAGGAAACACGCAGGTCACGCCAGTGGCATTTATTTGTACTGAGATGTCAAACACAACAGCCAGGAAGATCGCCCTCTTCTTATCTGTATAGTGCCTATAGCTTTTCTTTGCACACATGTTGTGAAGAATTACTGGCACACGACCAGGAATGCAACTGAAGAACGTCGTAAAGAAACATTACAGATGACAACAGCGGTCGAAGAAGAATTGTAGAGGAGTTGCCTGACCACGGCGATGTGTTTAACAAAGTCCCAGGTCAACACGAGGGACAGTTCGAGCCGGATGCTCCTTTTCCTTCCAGTGCTGATGGTTCTTACCTAACGGCAACATCTTCACATGCATGTTCCTCGCACCAGGAAAGACCTCCGTCACACGGGCTGAGACTCGAGAACAAGGAAGATGAGGATGTTTTGGATGCTGAATGGGTAAATCTGATTAACGAAAAGGGTCTCAATGACTTGGCAATGGAGATGTTGGATGAGACTGGAAGAACGGGTGGTCAGATTTCGAGGAGAGATGCTGGCTATACCTTATGTTCCTTAGGATTAGCACATTCGGATTGTCAATCGGTTAGGTTTATAATGACATGGAAATATAGTTGTAATGCTTAGGACGCAAAACAGAGTGTTGTCCACAACCGATCAATCCTACCGTTTGTTGTGTGCAGGTATAGATAAAACCTTGTAGCAAAAATTGCCAACCGACAGTCTTCTCCAGCAGAGTTTAGGAAAAGGCTTCATAGTTGCTTTGAGCGCTGACAGTCGATATTAGGAATGAGCAGGGTTATTGCGACCTGCCAATTCTCTTTTGAATTTTTAAACAGCAGTTGAGCTTTCTGAGAAGTTGTCCTTGTAGCTCAACAAACATCCAATAGTTTCCCGATGAACACTGCTCGGACAGTTTCATTTTGCACAGTAGTGAATCGTTCCGTGGCAGCCTATGAGAAGCTTAAATCCATATCGGCAAGGCGCAGGGATTGTTCGAAGCCGTACATTCCATTAAAGTATTGATGATATATCGCTCGCAAAAGCTTGCATTGGGTGCGCTTGTGTCAATGAATGCTTCGAGTTGATCGAACGAGCGATTCAGATTGTCACTTAAATTTTGTGAAATAATTCGTGAAGACATTGCAGCAGTGCTTGCCTTCAGCTTTTTTCTGGTACAATTCCGGCATGCACGTGTTCGACAGGAAGGCGTGACGTTGTGAAAAGGATGAGGTTTTCGAACGTAGGTGGACGTACAAGGTATTCTTTTCAGCCCACGACAGGTGGATGCTCTACCGAAATGGCCTCTCGAGCACCAGCGGTATTGCGTCCTGCTCTAGCATATGCATCATGACCTCTACCTTCTGTCCGTCTTCATTCCTGCATGTCCGACAGGAACTTGTGTGCAATAATCATGGTCGTGTAAGCGGGAGGATTTCTATTGAAAATCATCAATATCCACGGATAAGTGTCGGTGTGAGCTGCGTTGGGATTCAGCATATCGTCCTTGAAATCAGCGATCAACAAAGGTTCGAGTTTCAAATTGAGCACTTCGCTGGAGACTCTTCTGGCGGAACGGTCTATTGTAAATACAATTTTCCTCAATCTGGAAAGTGAGTTCGAGGCAAGCTGTGGCGACATCATGCCAAGCATTTGGGCTGGAGTCGCAATCTCAATTAGCCAGGAGAGAGGCAACACTAAATGGGTCTAAAGGCTCCTCCGCTCACATGGTTGCTCGAGCTTAACTCCTTACCAGCTCGGAGAACTGGATGAGCTTAAACGGTCGTGTAATTTTCGATGATGTGCGTCGTGCTGTCATGAGCAGCTCATTTTACTGACGCCTCTATAGCCACTGGTGTCAGCGCAAAGCTGATTCCGCTTACCTAGCCAGATTAACAGCAAGATCGTCGATCAGTGAATGCTCTGGACAACAAAGAGCATGTCTTCCGTTTCGATTACTGATTCGATCTCCTCGAGATCTTAGGCCTGAGAGGGTCCGAGTTACAAGCATTGGCATATTAGCCTAGGACGAAGACCACTCAATGGATACACACAGCTATTCTAGTATCGCCAGACCCCTGTGTCCTTGTTCCAAAGGCAAGACCGTTGTCAATTATATTACCTAATTCACAATGGCACGTGAAAATATGTGTTTTGTGTCAGAGCCCAGTCAATGACGGATCCGGGGTATCAGCCACCTCGAGCAAGACTGAGGTTACTTCGTGCTTTGGCAAGATTGCGATGGTGAGGCTCCAGAAGATTGTCCAGGTTTGAGTGGACAAGGGCTCAATACAAAATTAAGCATCACTCAGCTACCAAGCTTGGCGCTGCATGGTCGCCTTCGTATCGGTGAATAATTGCAGAGGGCCCGGCGCCAACAGTAAATTGCTGTTTTCGTTCTGCGCCAACGTCTGCCTTATTCTGATCCTTCTGGCACAAAAGCTTGATGGTTCAACGGCACGTTAGCCTTCGCTCAAAGTCTAACCAGGCGAATTTGTTCGAGGTCAGGATGGTATTCGCCCTAGCACAGCCACTAATTTCTACTGCTCATTAAGTTCATCCAGGCCAGAGCCTTGGCACTGATGGGCCCAGCATCAGGAGAATGGCCTGCACGTTCTATAAGTATTCTATCTGTTTGACCACAGCTCTTCCTGTGCTTTTCTTCCTCCAGTAGTAACAACTAACTCAGTCACTCTTTTCGGTACAGTAATACCTGACCATAGTCACTCTTTCGAGATCCCAACCACAAATCAAAAATGAAGTCCTTCATCGCTGCTGCCGCCCTAGCTGGCGCTGTCTCCGCTGCCACCCAAGTCACCACAAGCTCTGCTGACGGCTCATGGGAAGGGTAATTGCTATCAAGCTCGCTTACGAATCTCAACTAACAGATATCAGATGGACATCCTCAAGCACTATCTCCACCACTACCACCACCACCACGACCAAGTCATCTGACCCATCCACCACTTGGGCCCCGTGGACATCATCGAGCTCGTCCAGCACGACTTCGTCTTCCACCAAGTCAACTACCACCTCCAAGTCCGCCTCCGGAAGCAGCTCTGCTTCCTCCACTTGGGGACCATGGTCAACAACAAGCTCTACCAGCTCAGTCTCCACCACCTCTTCCAAGCCTGTTGACCCAAGCAGCTGGGCTGTCTGGTCTACCTCGACTACCTCGAGCAAGAAGGCCGATCCTTCGACCACCTCGAGCAAGAAGAGCGACCCTGCAACTACATCTGCTGCTTCCTCTTCATGGGGTAACTGGGACCCCAACAACGGTTGCGCTCCAACTGTTACCAGCACCCAGGTCTGTGTCGTTTCCACCCCAGCAGTGAAGACCTCCACCACTAGCTCGGCCAGCAAGTCCTCCCCCACTACCAGCTCAGCCAGCAAGTCGTCAACCACCAGCTCTTCCGCCAAGGTGTCAAGCTCGACCTCGAGCGCTGCTGACAGCACCTGGTCCGTCTGGCCAGGTACCAGCAGCACCACCTCCAGCAAGACGACAACCACCACCACCACCTCCTCCGCCTATGTTGACCCAACATGGTCCAACTACAAGCGAGCTGTTTCCACCTCAGCTGCTGCTGATGGTGCCTGGGACCCATGGAGCAGCACCAGCTCAAGCTCCACCACCACCACCACCACCAAGACCCCAAGTGGTTCAAGCTCCACCACCTGGGCTGACTGGACCTCCAGCTCAACCACCTCATCTTCCAGCAAGAGCACCACCAGCTCCAAGTCCAACTCTGTCAGCACTACCACCAGCAAGCCCAACACTGCTACCAGCTCGTCCAGCGCTGACTACGACTGGAACAACTGGGCCACCTCCACCCCAGCTGCTGTCACCTCATGCTACTACAGCACCTACACCATCTACCCAAGCACATGCCAGGCCACCGGTGCCCCAGCTGCACCAAGCTCCGTTGCCGCCGCCGTCGGTACCGGTTCCCCAGCTGCCAGCTCCGTCAAGGTTCCAGATGCTTCCTCCACTGGCCCAGCTGTTGCCAAGTACACCGGCGCTGCCTCCAAGGAGGTCGCTGGCATGGGTGCTCTCGCCCTCGCTGGTATTGCCATGCTTCTGTAAATTCTTTTCTTGACCTGAAGTCATTCGGAGGTAATGAGAGGTGGATGAGAGGAGGTTTTTGACAAGAAGCTGATGATCGGGCTTGCATTTTTTTGCTTTTGTGTTATGGGATTCATGTATATAGATGTTTTGCTTTGAATAGTACAATGCCTAACTACATAGCCTTTCTGACTTTCTTTCCTTCGTGGCATTTTGTTCAATGTCAATTATCCCTTTTTTACGATCACACAAATTGATGCGATGAGCATGAAAATAATGATTGTTTTGTCTTGTTCTACTATCTAGGAAACTTGAACTGTTATGAGAAGCGATCTGAAATCAAAATACGATTCGAACAATGTTGATTGTCTTGCAGCCTGCCCATTAGATACCAGCATGCTCTGTTGCTTCTTGTACAGATGAGGAGACGTGCCCCGGACACTTTGTTATTTGCTTGAATTTCGGCGCTCATGATAGGCCCAACAGGAGTGGTGGCTACGCACGCCTCATCTGGGCTTTAAGATTGCCATTTTCATTGCGTACGTCAATAACTTCGGAAAGGCGGCAGGAAGACAGGTATAATCTGATCACCAGGTATTTCAATAAAACGGGACACATCAGAAACCATTGGCCGCGCAAGCACGGCTTTCTGAGTACATGGTATTTGTTACATATTCTATCTGGTCATGCTAATCTCATGAATGTCCCCGGACAAACTTCTTCGTGAGGATCATAACTCGTCCTTGACACTCGTTGTTGCGCTTGCAGTCGAAGTAGTACCCGGCTCGTTGGCTACAGTTTCCGACGTTGTACCTGTTGAGCTGGCTTTGCTCTTCTTAGACTTCTTCGTAGTCTTGCTTTTCTTCGGCTTTAGTGCTTGCTGCACCTTTATTTGCTTCATGATGACGTCTGATACTGCTGCTCCAACTTGTTTGGCTTTCGCCTCGACCTCTGCCACCAGGACAGCCGGGTCTTCATAAGGTGATAGCTTCTCCTGAGCAGCTAACTTTTGCTCAAGCCACGACGATGCGGTGTCGTAGACCTTCTCGATACTACTTAAATCTTCCTGAGTATATTCGTAGGGCTTTGGCGTTGCATAGTCAGACTCTGAGGTTGCACCTTGGCTCGTGCTCGAGTATGGCTCGTCTTCGAGATCATCTGCGCCTGCGGAGGGTGCCACTATCGAGGAAGCACTTTCGGAGACTGCAGTAGCGACCGAGCTGACACTCGAGACAGCGTCCTCAGCTGCCTTCTGCATACTGCTTTTGATCATATCAAGTATTCCTGAAGCATTATTAAGGCTATTCCTAAGCGTCTCGATGGCCTGTTCTCGCGTGCTGCCTTCTTCTCTGCGCTTGAGCACGGGGTCGACCAAGCTCTTAAGTTCCTTCAATTTGTCCTTGAAGTCCTGTAACTTGGCATCAGACCCTTCGCCATAGAGCCAGTCAGAGACTTTGGACAGCTGTTCCGCTAAAGTCTTACGCGAGGTTTCAGTCGAAAATTTAGCGAAAGAATCGTCCTCAAGATAGTCACGTGCTCGGTATGTGAATGCTTCAAGTACATTGAGAGCTTCGGACCTCAGTGCGGCATTGCGGTCAGAATTGTCGAATGCGACCAATCGCTGCTTGATAACAGGTAGAGCTTTGCGAGGAGGGGCCCCAGCTCCTAATATGGCAGGTTTGAGAGCGAGCGGTATGGTGATTGTAGATGGTGTCGGTGCCGTTTTGGCACTCCTAGTCTGGCTTTCAGACGCTTTAGCAGTTGCTTCTGACACAAGTGTACCTGAACTTGTAGGGTCGTCGACCGGCAGTGGTGTTTCGCTGGTTGAATCTTCAAGTGTCTCCTGATCGTTTTTCAATGGTTCCTGGCCTTCCTTCTTCGAGCCGAAACCAAACATGCCCTTAACATTGTCCATAACTGTACCTTCCTTGAGTTTTTGTGCTTCGCAGCTGACGCTTCCAGACACAATCTCGGGAAGTCCGTCGAAAGGACTAAGCCGAATAGTGAAGGTTGTGGTAATATTTTGATTAGCACACCCATAGGCGCTCTTCAGCTCGTTCGCTGATTTTGTCATGTTAGTAGTCTCGACATTCAAAATTGCCCGTGTTGCGTCTTGATATGGCGACGTCTGCGAAAACTCAATGACCAAATCATCCGTGCTCTTGACTGTGACCGACTTCTCAGGCCCGACTTGCGAAGTTTCTAGGAACAACTTCTGTTGACGATCTTTGCCGTCTGCTTTCCATTTCATAGTATAGGAAGAACCAGATATATCGGTCGTTCGAATGTCCTTTACGCGGAAGCTGGCGCTCAGACTTGCTGCTTTGAATGCTGCACCAAATGCGGCTGCCTCGTCTGCATTGATGTTCGTCTTGACCTTGCTGGCTGAAGTTGCAGCCTTCTCTACTTCAGCTTGAACAAAAGGAGTTCTTGTCAGACCACCATGGAGGATGATAGATTCAACGTTTGCCAAAGTAATATCTGCCATTTGAAGAGCAGAAGATAGTGGTGCAGCAATGCGCAAGATGAAAGACTCAGCCAATCGTTCGAAGTTAGCACGTGTCAATGTGTACTTGAAGTTCACATCTTCATGATATAGGCCTTCGAAGCTGGCAGAAGCCTGCTGATTGGCACTGAGCACTTGTCGAACTTTTTCTGCATCCCTTCGAAGTCTCGCTAATGTCTTGCCGTCCTTTTCAAGTTGCGAGGCACTAATGCTCAGTGCTTTGGCTTTACTGGTCTCAACAAATTTCCCGATCATATCCTGCACAATCAGATCATTGAGCGCTTCACCACCGAGTTGACGATCGTAACCAACGCCCAAGACTTGAACCTCCGGCACAGTCTGGTTCTTCCGACCTGGGCCTTTGACTGTCTTTCCGTACAGCTTGAACACAGTTGCAGTAGTAGAACCAGCTCCCATGTCATAGACAACATGATACTCCGGCTCGATATCCTTCTTCTTGCTGTCCAACGTACGCGTTGTGGCATAGTTCAAGCCTACGGCTTGGCCATCACTAATTAGACCTAGCAAACGTAGACCAGCTAGATCTGCTGCAAGTTCTAGAGCCTTCTTCTCTTCAGCCGTGTAAAAAGCAGGATATGTGATGACTGCATCGGCCACAAAATTGCTTTTACCTACTGCTGCTTCGGCATTGGCCTTGATATTCTGTAGTTGCATTGCTACCAGCTCTTCTACCATGAGTGGTTCCGATCTGCGCAAGTTCGAGCTTATGAAACCAAATGTGCTTCTTCCATCTTCTCTGGAAATAGGTTGAGTCTGCAAACTCGGGTACCGACTACTAAATCCTGCCACGGACTCATCCTCAACCGCTAGTCCCAGTAGAGTCTTGAGGTTGGGGTAGGTGTCTGCAGGATATCGAGCTGCCACAGCCAGCGCGTCTCCTCCATACAATCGTTCTGGGTAGGCATCCTTGTCGTTCGCTTGGGCTCTCGAAGGCTTGAAGCCCAGTACAGCCGCCTCTTTTCTTTTCGAGTCTTTCGTAAGGACTATTTCGATTGGGCTCCCTGGTTTAGCGATTGCGGCTTTTATGTATTCAGTACCAAAGTCAATGCCCAAAGCTGCGGCAGCTGCATTTGCGCCAACAGACAGTATAAAAATAACAAGTAAAGGTAGCAGCGGAAGGAAGGAACCTTTCCTTCTTCCTGGAACAGGCATTTTGTGTATGAAAGTATCAAATTCGACGGTACTCGACCGCAGTCCACTCAGACATGAGCAGGATGTGGCAATCAGTCTGATGGTATATTACTTATGAAGGACTAATGCCGACGAGGTCCAGTGCCGCTTGTCACTATCTAGGTGAATCTTCAGCCATGGTATGAGTTTCAGTCAAAGGCCACCTGTCCCTGCACGTCGACAAATTGCACTTTTAGACGTCTTCGATCACCGTGGGGCTTGTCTTGGCAAAGCTCCGACGTCTGTCTGGTCAATGCGTGCCTCAGATTAAAACATATCACAACGTCGTAAGATCTTGTGAGCTTTTACTCGTCTGATTACAGTAGACCTGGGCTATAGCGCTGAATTCAACTTCTCGTCATATGGCTTTCCCATGTAAATCTAGCGACATTGGCTACTGCATGATAGCAAGTCTGACAGCCGGAAGCCCTCCCTTTTATGTTGTAGCGTCCGGAGAACTTTTCCAGCTTTGACCTTTTGGCAGCTGTTCTGCTAAAGTGCTTCTGGATAATCGATCGCACTACTCAAGTACGACTTTATATAGGTTTATTTTCGCATGGTTTCGATATCTATTTGATCCCGAGAACTCCGGACTCACCAGTTTCTAAATCCTACATAGCACAATGATTTTGAGACTTGTAGATTTCGCTGAGTGCATATTGCATCATCAGATCTAGCGTTATGATGTAGGTCTGGCAGGTACGATCTTCCGGCATTTTTATATCGACAATCGTCATATCAACACTACCACGTTATCATAGTATCCTCTAATCTAGAATTTGAAAACAATTTATTGTACCTCTTTCAATGCAAATAAGTAGATACTGCTCCTGACTTTTTCAAAACACCTTTGCCTAATCATCATGACTGAGTCTGTGATACAGCTAAGATGCGATTGCAACCAATACCCATGGGGAAGGGTCGGCAAGCACTCCCTGGCAGCCCGTCTAGCAGCCAACATACCAGGTGGTGGCTTCAAACTGGATGAAGACACAAATTACGCTGAGATGTGGATGGGTACATACCCAGAACTTCCATCATATGTGTTGAAGACTGGCGAGAATCTACAAGATGTATTGAATGCTAACAAGGAAAAGCTGATTGGCAAGAAAGTACTAGACAAGTTCGGCAGCGACTTGCCATTCTTGCCTAAGATTCTCTCCATTCAGAAAGCACTACCACTTCAAATTCATCCTAACAAGGAGTTGTCGGAGAAGCTGCATAAAGAGGACCCAGAAAAGTATAGCGATCCAAATCACAAGCCAGAAATTGCGGTCGCCCTGTCAGACTTCGAGGCATTTTGTGGATTCAAGCCAAAGACAGACATTCAGGGACTACTTGAACTTGAGCCACTTCAGCAGTTTAACCCAGACAAAAGCAGGTGGTCCGACAACACTTTGCGGGAAGTGTGCCGATCTATGCTTACAGCTTCTGAGGATACGGTTGCTTCCACATTAAAAAAGCTCGGAGACACATCGCGTGGAACGCTGGGTGAACAGGCATATATCCTGGATCTTATCCCTCGACTCATCAACCAGTACGGTGCTTCTGATAACGGTAACCTAGTTGCCCTAATCCTGATGAACTTCCTCACCTTCAAGCCTGGTGAGTCGATTTGGATTCCAGCAGATGGTATTCATGCTTATCTGAGTGGCGACATCGTGGAATGTATGGCTAGATCCAACAACGTTATCAATACGGGCTTCTGCCCAGCGGCTGACCGGGATAATGTGGATATGTTCTGCGGCGCCCTTACCTTTCAGCAGCATGACGCCAAAAAGCCCTTGCTGCCCAGAGTAGAGTCGGAAAAGAGCAGCTCTGGCAAGACCCAGGCACTCAAGCCTCCGATGAGTGAGTTCAATATGCTTGTCACAGAACTCAAGACTGGAGAAAGCGATCAGATCAAAGCAGTCGAAGGGCCAAGTGTGGCATTCATGACTAGTGGAAAGGGTAAAATGAAGGCTGAGGGCAAGGAACATGATATCAGCGCTGGATACATCTACTATATTGGTTGTGGTGTGGAGGTTTCGTACGAGTCGTCGTCAGACGATTTTGCTTTGTATCGAGCTTATGCGGAATAGAGCTTGGATCTGCGTCGCGCTGGCGATATTCTTTCCATCAGTTCATGTGCGACATGCCGGCATGAGAGTCCCTCTATAGAGGTGCACGGCATTCAACAAATAGTACAGATGCCTTTCACAAGGTTCCGGTTGCAGTGACTTTCATTGGCTCTGACATGTCTTGGACCTCAACATCAGCATGGTTGATATCCGCATGTGTAGCATGATCAGTATCATGCCATGTGCAAGAACCATAATACATGTGACAGCGGAAACAGGTTGCGTACTCTCTCGACTCAAGGCACCAGTGTGGCTGTCGTGCACGAGAACGTGGTTCGAGTCGAAGACGTGTCCTGGTCTCGGAATTGGCCATTGTCAGATGTTCGTTGATGGAATGGGCGGAAGTGTTTTCTATGGAATCAGAACATGGCTGATGGTGAAGGCGGAGGAGCGCAACTTTCTAGAAACCTGGTAGAAACTTTCCCGGTATTTGTCCTGCGCCCGTTCCATCTTCGTGTACAAGTACGCCATCGGCAATTTTCCAACACGACATACGATAGACGACACAATCGCGTGAGAAGTGGAGATAAACTGAGCAGTGACGAAGCTTGGACCTGCAGATCTTTGGTCGAGACAGCCCCAGATTTTACCAAAGCTTTTTGAGTACACCGCTTGTCGCCTGCTCGGGAATGTCGCTGTTGCAGAGATACCTGGGAACAGCTGGAAATGTTCAGCTTGCGGCACCACTACGATATCTAGACTATAGATCGGTTACAAAGAATAGTAAACAATGATTTACATCATGTTGCGTGTTTAGCTGTGCGTTTGCTGATGGAGACATCAAACCTCATTTCGGCCAATCAGAATCCTAGCGCGGGTTGGGGCTCTCAACATTTTCAGACCCTTCACTCGTCTTTGCAACGAATTTGCTGCGGCGATTTCAGAATAGACTTTGCGCGCTTGATGTGTTCGGGTGTGCTCCTGGCGTCAACCGTTCAGTTCTCTCCTTGGCCAGAAGTGCCTGTGGTTCTGCTGAAGTTCAATTCTATTCGTTGTGAGGCTCCCTAACGCCTGTTTCACATCACTCGAGGCCAGGCTAAGGTGACCTTCTAGCTCATCTTACGACGTACGGCAGGCGCGATCATTCCATACTATTCGGCTTGATACGCACCTTCCCCACAATAATAAACTGTTGATATTGCCTTTCTTTCATATATCACTCTTTCGCAGCTCTCTCTCCAGCGTCTTGTTCTCCCTCCAGACATCCAAGCATTGACATATCCAATACATCTTTGTGATCTTGATTTGATTGTACAAAGATGCCATCCTCACAGCCTGTTGCAGGGCATCTGGCTGTCAAGCCTGAATTTGTATCACAACCATCTCCAATGGCCAAGTCTTCAGAACCAAACAGAAACCCCAAGTACGATCCTAAGAAGGTGCACATTACTGAAACACCAATCACCAAGTCGAACTGGTACAAGCATGTCAACTGGCTCAACGTCACCCTCATTGTTGGCATCCCACTCTACGGCTGCATTCAAGCCATCTGGACTCCTCTGTATTTGAAGACCGCTCTCTGGGCCGTTGCCTACTACTTTGCAACCGGTCTTGGTATCACAGCTGGCTACCATCGATTGTGGGCTCATACTTCCTATTCGGCCACTCTCCCACTCCGAGCATTCCTGGCTTTTGTTGGTGGTGGTGCAGTTGAAGGGTCAATTCGATGGTGGGCAAGAGATCACAGAGCACATCACAGATATACCGACACAGAGAAGGATCCTTACTCTGTTCGAAAAGGCCTCCTCTACTCCCACTTCGGCTGGATGTTGATGAAGCAGAACCCAAAGAGAATTGGACGAACCGATATTTCCGACCTCAACGAAGATCCGGTTGTTGTTTGGCAACACAAGCACTACCTCAAGGTCGTCATCTTTGCTGGTCTGATTTTCCCAACATTGGTTGCAGGTCTTGGCTGGGGTGACTACATGGGTGGCTTCATCTATGCCGGTATCCTCAGGATTTTCTTCGTCCAGCAGGCTACCTTCTGCGTCAATTCTCTAGCTCATTGGCTCGGTGACCAGCCATTCGACGACCGAAACTCTCCACGTGATCACGTCATTACTGCTCTCATTACTCTTGGTGAGGGTTACCATAACTTCCACCACGAATTCCCTTCAGACTACCGCAACGCTATCGAGTGGTGGCAATATGACCCAACCAAATGGAGCATCTGGGTATGCAAGAAGCTTGGTCTTGCTTATGACCTAAAGCAATTCCGATCCAACGAGATCGAGAAGGGTCGTGTACAGCAGCTCCAGAAGAAGCTCGACCAGAAGCGAGCTGTCCTTGACTGGGGTGTTCCTCTTGACCAGCTCCCAGTCATGGAGTGGGACGAGTACGTTGAACAAGCCAAGAACGGTCGAGGTCTCATCGCTGTTGCGGGTGTTGTCCACGATGTTTCAGATTTCATCAAGGACCACCCAGGTGGCAAGGCCATGATCAGCTCTGGCATTGGCAAGGATGCCACTGCCATGTTCAATGGTGGCGTCTATCTACACTCCAACGCTGCACACAACCTGCTCTCCACCATGAGAGTTGGTGTGATTCGAGGTGGTTGCGAGGTTGAGATCTGGAAGCGAGCACAACAAGAATCCAAGGGTGATGTGCACACTGACTCATCAGGTCAGCGTGTTGTTCGGGCTGGTCTGCAACCCACCAAGGTCTTGCAGAACATTAGCAGTGCTGGTGCTGCTTGATTGAATTCAATGTTATAGTTCTTCAGCGACGATTACGGATCTAGAATAGATATGATACCAAAGCACCAAGAGATGCAAGGCGTTACGGCAAGGTCTGGACGGTATAAGTTCGATGGAAGAGCTTACAGAGGTTAGCGATTACTTTTCTTATCCAGTAGCACAGCCTAATTAGAGCTGTATGCTTGCTACATCATATGTGTCTCAAAAGCACGTCAATCGAATCCTTTTGATATCTTTACCATGCCGCTCTTTTCATTCGTTCAAAACTTATTTCTTCGAAAATTTCGCATTTCCCGTTCGTTGTGCCGGTCCTTTTCGACGTGCCCACAAATCAATGTTTGGATGTTACAGTAGTTCCAGATGCCTTATCTGTTCTACCGCTTGAAATAGAACATAGCGACTATCCGCACCTTCAACGACCGCCCGCCGTAAAAGATATGCCGACGAAGCGAAGCACCGTTACACTTTCACCCTCACTCCTCGCGCAATCGATGTTCCGCCGCTCCTTGGCACCACTCTCATAGGTCAAAAATGACCTGCCTCTTGCAGCATAATGGTGAGCGGAGTCTACCTCGGGACTACAGTATCACGCAAGTTACAGTACTTACGAAACACCCTGCATCGGTGCTTTGCGTATGTCGCCGTTGACCTGTGAGATTGCACGAGAGAATTCGTGCTGAATGCTGTTCGGTTGGTGTCGATCCTGCGGAGAAGGGCCTGGTTTGGAGAAAAGGTAAGTGAGGTGCTACGATGGCGAAAAACCTTGGCTTTGGGCAGGACAGGGTAGGGCAGGGGACAGTACGGATATGAACGATGGTGATGGAGATGAGAGTGAGGAAGTGGAGGAGGCACGAAAGATATATAAGAAGTAGGTTAATGGTGTATTTGTGTTAATTTGTATACATTGAGACTTTCACCCAGATTCGGCACTAGATCTTGGAATTTACTAGACTAATATGTCTACCGCAACTCTTAACAGTCAACCACAGAGAACAGTAGGAGGTGGCGTGGGTGGCTACAAGGACATATCAGTCCAGGGCATCAACCACAAGAATGAGCTAGAAGGCACAGACAAATATGGACCAGCTAGTTATCCAGAATACCTACCAGTCTGGGACAATGAGAAAGGCGAGAAGTCTGTCTCCCTATCAAGCCTTCCACAGGTGACCATCCGAAAGTGCTAACACATAATTAGATATCCCGCCCTAACCCACTTCGAACACTACGAGCACGGCAAAGACGCAGATCCAACTTTCCCTAACCTGCTAAAAGAAGGCTCAGTTCTCGAAAACATCACCAGCTCCATCGGCGCCGAAGTCACTGGCATCCAGCTATCCCAGCTCAACGACGCCGGCAAGGACGAACTAGCACTGCTCGTTGCGCAGAAAAAAGTCGTCGCCTTCCGGAACCAGGATTTCGCCAACCTACCGATTCAGAAAGCGCTGGATTTTGCAGCATATTTCGGTCGGTTGCATGTCCACCCTGCTTCGGGAGCGCCAAAGGACTTCCCAGAAGTGCATTTGGTCCATCGTGGTGCTGAGGATACGTCGTTTGCCAGCTTCTTGCAGGAGCGGACGAATTCGATTGCGTGGCATTCGGATGTGACTTATGAGCTGCAGCCGCCTGGGACGACCTTTCTTTATGCTCTTGATGTGCCGACCTCGGGGGGTGATACGTTGTTCGCGAACCAGGCCAAGGCTTATGAGAGACTTTCTCCTGCTTTCCAAGAACGATTGGCGGGATTGAAGGCTGTGCACTCTGGGTTCGAACAGGCTCAGAGCTCGTATGCGAGAGGAGGAGTGTACCGTCGTGATCCTGTGCAGAGTATTCACCCACTTGGTAAGTTGGACCAGCCTATATTGTTCATGCCAAATTATTGACCTTTCCGTAGTGCGAACACATCCTGCCACTGGCGAAAAGGCATTATTCGTCAACCCACAATTTACTAGGTACATTATTGGGTTCAAGAAGGAGGAAAGTGATTACCTGCTCAAGTTCCTTTATGACCACATCGCCTTGAGCCAGGATATTCAGGCCCGTGTCAGATGGGCACCAGGGACAGTGGTGGTTTGGGACAATCGTGTGACGGCACACAGTGCGCTTATTGACTGGGAGACTGGTGCTCGGCGACACATTGCTCGCATTACGCCTCAAGCAGAACAGCCATATGAGACTTGAGCGAGGGATTTGAGAGCAGTGTCGTTTCGACTGTCATTGTTAGCAAGATAAAATGCATAACCTTTCACTTTCGAAGGACTCTAAAATTAGATAGCAACAGAACAAGGTAGTGAAACTTTAGTACAGTAATCTCTGGACCATTGAATTCTTGTCTCCTGTTCGCCCGTCCATTACGCCTTGCGCCATGCGATGCAATAACAATCATCAGATTCTATTCACCTTCTAGTCTTGCCACCACAGTGTTCATCTCTTCGTCATTGTATATGCGGAAACCTTTGTCTTTTGTGACACTGGCTAACTGCACATTCTTTGCATCCAGCTTCTCTTCCATGACTTGTTTTAGTGTCTTGAGTACTAACGTTTCAGCTTCTTCGAGGGTCAACGATCGATGGTATTCGGACTGTAGCTCGGCCTGTGCTCCTTCGCTGCCGGAGCCAATCGCTTTCGCATCGTATCTGTAGAACGTGCCAGATGGTTCGGCATGATATCTAATCTATTAGAAATGCTAAAGGTATGCGAGAGACACTCAGCTTACAGTTGAGGACCCTCATCGTCGTCCCATCCTGCTACCAGCAGGGCAACACCGAAGGGTCTTGACATGACGGACTCTTCACCTTGAGCACCTTCACCAAACCGCAGAGCCAGATCGCATATCGATTGTGTACAGCTTTCGACACTTAGTTTCTCATTGTAGTTGAAGGCGGAGTTCTGTGTTTCGACTCTGGCGTGCTCAATCATGCTTCGAGCGTCTGCCTGCAGACCGGACATTGCGCAACCGATATGTCTGTCGATTTCGACAATCTTCTCTATACTAGACGATACGAGCAAGGAAGATGTGACTCTCTTCTCGACACCCAGAAGGACGCCATGTGAAGTCGCTACGCCGATTGCTGTGGAACCCAGCTTGATTGCTTCGAGGGAGTATTCGACCTGGAAAAGACGACCTTCGGGCGAAAAGGTACTGCTATAGTCAGTATCTGTTGTTGCTATTACTGCTGCTGACTTCTCGGCTTACTTGATACCTCGATCTATACTTTTGTCAGTGCTCGATTCGTCAAAGGTGTACTACTATTCATACCATATTCGGATCTCGCAATAAACATTTTGCTGCAGTTTTGATATACAGACGAACAGGGAAGTTTGGAAAGAGTTCCGTAGCAGTAGCTAGGTAAGAATCCTAGGCGTTCGGTGTATACTTTGGTGATTTGTGAAAGTTACGAATAGGCAAGCTGGCTGTACGCAACTTCCAGTTCAGCCTTCTCCAATCCCGCCAAGGCTCTGAGTCGCGACGCGTGCTTGCGGAGAATGCCAGGTTCGTGTCTTGCGGCTTGCGGGCAGAGACCACCCACCATGTACGTGCCAGTTGAATGGACGATGCGACTACCTAATACTGACTCTATACGCGCAAAAGGACTGTGTCATGCTAATGGAGTAACATGAGTACTCTACACTATCGCAGTGCTTCTGCCACCGAACGTCGCGCATCTCATACCAATGGACTTCCCCCACGCTCCAATACTACACGCCAAAGAGAGTACGAACGTCCCTCTGTACTGGAAAATGGGTCTCCTGTGATGGAAGACGGCTTCGAGGAAGATGTGTCTCGCTCAACGAACTATGCGACCACCGAGAGGCGTAAAGCACGCTATACAGTAAACACCACAGAAACATATAGGTCTCGCAGGAGTCCAGTAAAAGATACCTTTGATGGGGGAGGTAAACAGCCAAGGAAGATTGTCCTGCAGAGCCCGCCTACCCGAAGGAAATCTCGACAAGACTCACAGCCAGAAGTCAAGCAATGGGCTCCTGAAGCAAGCCTGATCCCACATTCCTCTGCTCCTCTGGCTGTTCGTGTCACAGTCCCGGCCCTTCGTCGTGATGCGCCCGATCTACTCGATGGACCTCAACTCGATAGCTTGTCGATGGTGGAGCAAGAGAAGGCTCTGCTCGATGACTTACTATACGTCTTCATGGGCTTTGAGGGCCAGTATGTTGGCTTTGCTGACAATTATGACCCTAGTGAAGAGAAAGATCGATTGATAGGCCCCACATATCGCATACTGCCAGGTCTCGACCCAAGCCTCAAAGACCTGATTGAATCTATGTTGCGCATGGCCAGTCAATACTCTGCGTTGGAAGCATTCATCGAAGTGCAGAGCAGGGGAGAGTACGGCTCTGTGAATCATGCCCTGTGTGCAGCTATACGGAGACTACTCAAGGACTACCTCATCCTAGTCGCGCAACTCGAAAGTAAAGTCACTGGTGATCCTTCCTTTACCATACACCAAATGCATCTTTCACTCATTCCTACTGCACAAAGCCTGATCCAGCTATACGCTGTGGCACAGGAATTGCTGAAGAAAAACGCTCTGCTTGAGGAGGATGCAGACGAGTCTATCAACGATTTTGACGCAGACAACATCATCGAGCGTCTGAAAGAAGGGGGCGATCTCCTACCTGGTAGCATGCTAAAGAAACGTTGTATTGGCGGGAACGTGCTTGCTCTGCTGACACAACGACTAGCCACCTACTCAGGAGACCCTGCAGCAAGGTCTATCCTCGAGATGTTGCTCAGAGAGGCTAGCAAGCCATACATGACTATGCTTAATGAGTGGCTACATCATGGTGGCATCAAAGATCCTCACGACGAGTTCCTGGTCGGTGAAAAGAAGAGCATAAGAAGGGAGAAACTTGACGAGGACTATACAGACGAGTACTGGGAAAAGAGATACTTTGTACGAGAGAAGGAAGTTCCTCCCCAACTGCAGGCTGTCAAAGACAAAGTACTGCTTGCTGGCAAGTATCTCAACGTTGTCCGAGAATGTGGCGGGGTCAACATCAGCAGCAAGATGGAACACACTCCCGTATCATTCGATGATCCTCGTTTTCTTGACAACGTCAATCATGCTTACTCCTTTGCAAACCAAGAACTCCTGAGCTTGATGCTCTCAGCACATTCTCTCCGAGGAAGATTAAGGTCTATCAAGCATTACTTCTTCCTCGATAGAGCCGAGTTCTTCCTTCACTTTCTCGAGCTCTCCGCCTCCGAACTGCGTAAGTCACAGAAAAGTGTCAACACTGGCAAGCTTCAATCACTCCTCGATCTAGTCCTCTATCAGCCAGGCAGTATAGCAGCAGGCGATCCTTACAAGGAAGATGTCAGGATCAGGATGAATGAGCTCGGTCTCGTTCCATGGCTCATGAAGGTGGTCAACGTCCAAGGTCTCGAAGCCGACAACCCGGACTCTTTGGCAGAACAGTATAGAATGCAAGTCTCTGTTCCGGGTAGTAAAGACGATGACAAGGACATCTCTGGTCACGAAGCCCTCGAGCTCGATTATTCCGTACCCTTTCCACTATCACTAATCATCAGTCGCAAGACTATAATTCGGTATCAGCTCATCCTGAGATACACCCTCTCGTTGCGTCACCTGGAGACTACGCTCATCGAGTCCTGGTCGGAACACAACAAAGCCGTCTCTTGGACTCACAAGTCTAGCAATCGTCGCATCGAAGTCTGGAAACGTCGAGCCTGGAATCTACGTGCTCGCATGCTTGTCTTCGTTCAACAAATGCTTTTTTATGCGACCGCAGAAGTTCTTGAGCCTCAATGGCAAAAGCTTATGACTAAAGTGGATGCACTTGAATCTGACTTCTCCAGCACACCTACGAACGATGTCATTCCGCCGTCTTCGAGTCAAGGCCAAAAACCTCAACTCGGCTCCAGCCAAGATCGCAGATCAGCACAAACTGTTGATTCCCTTATGCAAGAACATGTCGACATGCTCGACTCTTGTATGAAAGATCTTGGCCTCACTCAATCGAAACTCCTCCGAATTCACGCAAAAATGGTAGCAGGTTGCACCATGTTTGCCTCATACACATCGAATTTGACACGAAACCTGTACTCTGCTGATGCTGATTTCTCATTCCTACACAACGAGACCTATGATCGAACAATGGCCGCACAAAAAGAGAAGGTGATTTCAAACTATAGACAATTTGCAAGTGGCAGAAAAGAAGAGAAGCCGCCTGAGGTTGACGAGAGCAGAATAAGCAGAATCGAAGAGACTCTGGTCAGGCATGAGGAGTATTTTAATCGTCACCTAAGGGTGTTGATTGACACTCTGAACTACTATGCTGCGACAGAGACAGTAACGTTGCTAGGGCTTTGTGCACGATTGATGGATGCAGAAGTACAGAAACGTGATCCTCTAGATGCTGCCTTTGCTTGAGCGCATTGCGACTAGCAAGAAGAGTTAGCAAAGTAGTGATTGGATGTGCTGAAAATGCTTCTAATCAACGAATTTCGTGATCGTAGCACAGTGCAATCTCAATCATCTGGTAAAGATCGGAGCCCTCTCAATCAATGATACCAGTACTAGTGTCTCGTACTTCACTATGTACCATAATTCATCTCACGAGTAACTCAAGCCGACCACTTTTATCCATCGAGTCGTCAAGACCGACTCGACCGCTTCATGTCGTGCTAACCCAATACATGCAGAACCCAACGCAGAAATGGAACCATACAGCGACAAGAAAGCTTACTTTGCACCAGTCCTGCACGAACTGTCACCACCACTTGCCTATAGTGGTCATACTAGATGTCACGCCAGGGAAGTTCCGTTATGACTACAGGACGATCTTCTTGGAGTGCATGCATACCTACCACGCAGTTTGCTACTCGTAGGGCATGGCGCTGCGGTAGGAAGTGAGCTTGACACATATCATCTTATAGCATGGCTTACGACGAAGAAATTGGGCTGAAAAGAACGCATACATACGTACGCAGTCGAGATACGGTTCATGGACAAGAGACGAGCAACGACATCTGATCGATTCATCGACTAATACTGGTACGATAACGTGGGAGGTGCTGATGGCTCCTCCACCAATCCCAGTCACAGGTGAGTAAGCCTCTTCAGCCAAGCGGGGATGGGGCGGAGGTCCAGACTCTTCGTCGGAAAGGCGGGACAGGAGAATGGCTTGCCAAGCAAATACACATCGATGATGGAACCTGTTGTGATTGTTCGAGGGCTCGGCTGGAATTGCGTTTCTCAAAGACCGCATGGAAAGTGGTGGGGAACACCAGTAGTACAGTATTTGGGTTCCAAGCTGGAGGGAAGAAGGAAAAGACAAGCCGCCTATTCCTTACTGAGTAGGCAGTTGGTATGGAACACGAGAAATACGTCTTGGCAGGAGGCCATGAATTATGTAGACGCTGGTAAGGTTTTAGAGTTTGTGGATGATCATATCCGGAGTCTGAGGTATGCACAAAATTGGACGAGCGATATATGGTGGCCAGGTCTGTGGAGCTGGAGGTGAACCACGGCTCCAAAGTTGTAGACTGATGAAACGGTCGCCGCGAAGAAGGTATGATCAACACAGACACTAGACTTACCTTGACCTAGAGACACATATTCTGTGTTTGTAGAGGCAAGGCATCATGCTGATCACTTCTGTTTCTAGCAGCAGAGCGTGACAGCTAGCTGAATCTTGGGGATGGTCACAGACCTACCTCAACTTGTAGACGCACGGCTTGAGTATTTTGCCCTCCTCCTTGTCGTCAATCTCATCCTCGGTGACGGCTGGACGCTGCCCTGTGAACTTTCGATATTGCCCACCGGCCCTCTGTTCTATTTGCTGATATTCCTTGCCGTTCCATTTCATGCCTTTCCATTTGCCGGCTCGAGGGTTGCCCGTTTTAGTGAAGATCATAGTAACAAACATCTTGTTGGTCTTGTCTACTGAATTTGGCTTAAGCATAAAGCCTCGCCGCTGGAAGCTGTCAATGAAAGGCTGTAGATCAGTATCGTCGTCGGCTCCTCGCCCTCTGGTCTCTGCTTCGTCTTCAGCAAAAGCAGGGGTTTCATCCACACCATTGTCTTCGGCATGGTCTTTGGTGCCAGATTGGACTTTCCTGCGTTTACCAACACTGTTCTCCACAACACGGCCTGGACCTTTTCTTGCAGAAGCTCGACCAAATCGCGATTTGACTTCGGCGACCCATACCTCTCCCTTTCCATCTCCTCGCAGGACGCGCCAAGCTTCTTCGACGAAAGCAAGCCAGTTGGTGCCCATTAGAGAGAGGCAGAAGATAGCCATGTCGACTTGACCATGGTGGAGCGGTAGAGCTGAGATGTCGGCCACAGTGACGTGCGGATTAGCTGCATGAAGGTCAAAGCTGTGCAGTTTCAAATTAAGCTTTTCGGTAACTGCGTCCAATCCACGAGCAAGAGGGGCATCACCACAACCAAGGTCGGCAATAGTGCATGTCCCAGGCCTGCGCCGTGGCAGTGGTAGGACGTCGCCGACCGGTGAAGCCAAGTTGGCACGATATTTGATAGCTTTGACATAAACGTCAACGGGATTTTGAGGCCATGAGTCTTTGACTTGCTGGGAAAAGCCCGCATGGTATTCGTTGAACAGATCAGGTGAATTGGCAAAAAGACTGAGTGCATCATTTGAGGTGGAGGTGTAGAGGGTCTCATTGAGATGGCGAAAGCGTGCAGCGGTTAGCTTTGAACGCATCTTCGCCTGGAGGGGTGTGAGGTTCGTAGGAGCCGGCGGGATTGGTGGCAATGAAGTCGATACCGGTTTGGGGCCATTGCTAGCATGATCGTTTTCATCGGAGGCAACGTTTGTAGGTCTTTCCTCATTGGTAACATCATTCCCATTGCCTGTACTTCTCTGTCGATGCTTTGAGGAGGGAAGATGTGATTGCTGGGTTCTATCTCCAGCAGCCACACGGCCTACTGGCTCAGCATTAGCTCCTGTGATCTTGCCAGTTTTGCGTGAATCCTTTCGAGATCGACGTTTGCTACTGCGATCGGGATTGCTTGTTTCAGGCTTCGGGCTGGGGCCATGAGTGCTGTTATCAGATTTGGCACCTCGTCTCGCCGAGTCCTGATCCCGTTTGCGTTTCTTCGAGTTTGTAGATTGACCAGAGACTGCCAAGCTGGTGGCAGCTGAAGATGAATTGTTCTTGGATTTGTCCTTCACCGGTTTGGCACGGTCCTCTACCAGGGTTTTGGCAGCGATGTTCCACCCTGGGACAGCAAACATGGTGGCTCAAAAAAGATACGAATGAAGGACAGTGCGACCAATACTCGGCGCGACTAGCTTTTGACAGTCCGGAAGTTCCCACTGGGCTCTCTAGGCTCTTGCTCCGTGTAGCACTATCTCGACCACCAAGTGACGTAACGCGTGTTTTGCGGCTGAAATGGAGAATCTCTTTCGGTCGTACTTGCTTCGTCCCGGGTCTTGGATGTAATCAAAAAATGCTGCAATTTGTGGTGGGTTGAACGTGTAGCACAACACACTTTCAGCTCGTTCTGCAATGCTCTGTGTGAAATTTTCGGGATCGAGGTTCTGCCCAGGCATGGAGAGCTTTGAACAAGCTTCCCAACTTTTCTGGAGACTCTGACTGCTCCACTACACGCGTAACGCGATTGGTGCTTGACCCTGGCTCAGGTGATACCTGCTGCACATCTGAACGGTCTTCTCTTTTCCTGGCTTTGCAAGCTTTGCTCGAGCGCCCCTTTTGAACCACTTCACTACCCACGGCTCCATGCAGAGCAACCTGTCCACCAGCCTCTACGGTTTCCCTATCCAGCCTGCAAAACTTCCGAAACCAGGCAACGCTCGTCGTCGTGGGCCACTTTTCACGTAACGGCCATGGTTTTGCCTTTCGACCATCGACCTCTGCTCTGCTGTCTGCTGAAACTTTGATTCCTTCGACATCCCAGAATTGTTCTGACAATCTCCATGCAAGGATTTCGTCGTCATGATAAACTTTGCCATTTCTCGGTACCACATCGTACCGCTCTCTACAAACGAATCATCTTGTATACCCCTCAGCCGCAACCATGTGGCAGATCGTCCATCATGATATGCCTGCTAGCTGAACCCGACTATCTGGTTAGTATGCGTGCTGCATTGACCGTGACAGGTACAAGAACAGATCCGTCCTACCTTGCTTGTCCTCCACCCACCAAGTCGCCAATATAAGCACATGCTCTCCCGTGCCTGTGATCACTGAACCCTGCATTTCGTCCAATAGCTAGATTTCGTCCCTGCGTGTAGTAGAGCAACGTCTGTTGTTTCTCGTTTCTCAACGATTTCCACACGGTCCGAGATCGACGATCTTGGCTAGGCGGTTGTAAACCTGTTCGAGCCTCCCAATCAACATTGCATCTGGTTCTCATTCGCTGAAGATCTGGCACTCATCGGCTTAGGAAATACTGTCAAAGACACGTGGTCTACGGCTCGTCAGCTAGCAACGCTACACGCAAAAGTACAGGTCCCAGCAATTTGGCTGCGAAGAATCGAGTACGAGGCTTGTATCATCCAGACACCAGCTATATCATTTGGGGCTTATGGACTAGTGGCCTTTCTCACGATCGACTGTGCATGAAAGCCGACACATGCTGACTGCCAAAGTCTTGTGCTTTGTCCTTCTAGCCTATTTCGGCTGGCACACCTGAAGTTCCCAATCCAAACCTCTACTAGTGTCCCACCTCATTCCAATTTTGGTCCGTCAAGGTCCCGGCCTCTGACTGATCGATGAACCAGGCTAGTAACATTGCAACATCTAAGTAGACAACAGATCAGCTTCGGTCCCATCGGATTTCTGTTCCTACCACAATATCTTCAGCAAGGCTACAATCGTGTCTACCAACATTGTTCTGCTGAAGTCTTTGCTGAGGCCAACCAGCACGACTTTGTTAACAGCACGCTCGAGTTGATCAGCAACCTAGGCAATTTGACGTGGGGCCGGTAGTCATTATTGACGGTTGCACGCCAACAGTAGCAACCATGTCATCCGATCCCAAGCTGGAACTCGAACCCAAGGAAGAGCAAAGCAGTCCAGATAGCTCGAAGCCTCAATCTAAGAAGAAGAGAGGACCACCTACAGCGAATCGACGCCGCACAAAGACCGGCTGTCTAAGTAAGTACACTCCCACTCCTGTGCGGCTTGTGTAGTGCGTGTTGCTCCTAAAAACTCACGTGGACTTCTCTTGCTGTTTGAGACTTCCGTGAGCTGACCAAACCTAGCATGTCGTCAGCGACGTGTGAAATGTGATGAGACAAAGCCGGTATGTCACAACTTATTGCATTGAGCCACTCTGATCATGTACAGACGTGCCGTAACTGCGAAAAGAGTCGCCGGCTTTGTGCAGGTTATCAAGCGGCGGCGACCCGCTCACCAGCACATCTGGAGCAATTCCCGCCACCATCGAACTACTTTACTCCGCTACATCAGCAACATATGGCAGCATTGCAGCAGATACCTCGCCGTGGTAGCTTAACACCTGGCTCGACACTAGGATCTGAACACCCTACATATTTTACTTATGACGCCGCTACCATCAATCGCAGCCACGGAGAACCAGTTTACGAAGTAGCATTCGGAACTGATCAACAACAGCTAACACCTGCACATGAACTAGGTACTCCTCTGATTGGACCCTACCCCGATCAATGGTATAGCTGTTATGCAGTTGGTTCGGAGATGCATACGACTACATACTCTCCATACCCTGAACCCGGTAGGCAGCCCCAAATGCCTCCAAGCATAGATGCTCCTGGTTCGCAGGATCACATCGTGTCTCAATTGCCGAGCTCGCTTTCATTCGGAGGAAACAATTCTGCTACCAATACTGACTCACAGAAGTCTTCTTCTAGGGAAGGCCAAGCGCAAAAGGCTACTGCTATATTGCCACAACCCTCGTTAGCCACAAATTCAGAGCCTGGACCGTCTCATCGACCCAACTTCATACCTACAGCACGTCACTTTCAGCATGCTTTTGATGCATACGAAGACCCAGATGATCCCTGGGACGTAGAGGATGATGACTACGACAACCACGATGCCCTCATTGCTTCCACAACCTGTCAGAACCTCATCTTGGATGAGAGAATGGCCTACTTACTCAAACACTTTGTGACAATATTGAGGCCTTGCATGTCAGTTCATGAAAAATCTGTGACATTCGATGGCTCTTCAACTTTTGCCGAAATCCTTCCGACGCGAGCCCTGTCTTCCAGAGGCCTTTTGCATGGGATCCTGGCAACCAGTGCCCTTCACCTAGCAGTACTGCACAGAACCAGCGACGTCGTTCCATTGAAACATTTCGTTATTGCGTCAAGGAAAATGGCTCAGCTCATATCTAATCCTTCTAGCCGACATCAACTCGAGACACTTGGCTTATGTCTGCTTCTTGCATTCTATGAAGTGCTCCTGGGAGACCATGCCCGATGGGTTTTGCATCTTCGTGGCGCTGCAGCATTGATGATGGAGCACGACTTTGCCGGATTCATAAGGGCCACTCGCGAAAGACGAGCCCAAGCAAGAGCACTTTCGGCTCAACCACAATCCAATCGCCAAGGTATATTGTTAGAGGACTGGTTTCGAATGTCTGACCTACCGTCCGCACTAGCATCGGACGAAGAATGGGACGTGGATGATGCATTGATCCGCAAGTTGACAGGGTTGGAAATAGATTATTCATGTCAGCTTCAAAACCAGGCAAAGACAGTAGCCACGACTGAGCATTTGACGCAGCAGGAGGCCTTGGACTGGCGTACTAAGATCGACCTCTTCTGGTGGTATGCCAAAATGGACATCTTCCAGAGCATTCTGAGTGGCGACCGATTGCTACTTCCATATGAAAATTGGCGATATGTGCCACCGAGGGGTCAACTGGGGTCTGTAGAGCAGCTTCATGCTACAATGGACCATCTATGGCTCGTACTTGGCAGGATTGCTGACTTCGCGGCCAAGGATCGGGCTCGAAAGCTACGTAAGATTGCGGCTAACGGCGGCATTTGGAAGCCAGAACCTGGGTTCCTTGCCGGACAGAAAATGCCCCCTAAATCTCGAAGCGAAAGTCAGAGCTCAGGGTCGACAACGATGGATTCGAAAAACACAAAGCCGCCTGGAGCAAACGAAGGAAGAGCGCGTATGCCGAAAAACACTGGTGACGCCGCAGCATCAAAGAGAGGACCGCCGTTGTTCTTCGGTATGATGCCTCCTCCCAAGATTCCCCCTTCGATGTTATCTTCTTTCCACATCGCTGATGCAGCACTGTGCGGTGCTGCGGATCGATCTCCACCAGTGTCAAGTACTATGCAGGACGCTGATCTCGACCTCGAATCAACCACAAAAGCGGCCATAGCGGAACACAATGCTATATCAGAGGCGCTTGAGGTTTGGCGAACTGCTTTAGGTGAACCATTTCAAGGACGCGACGTTCAGACCAAGATTACAAGAGCTCCTTTCCTTACTGTCAAACAATATAGCGACTTCAGAATCGCACACATCTGGTCGTTCTACTACCTTGGCAGGATCCTGCTACGGAGATGTCATCCATACTCACCTCCAGCAATGATGGTCTCAGCTGGTGTGAATGCGGCCTTCACTGCTGCTGATGCAAATGCTATCGGCCAGATTAACGCCGGAGTTCTAGAGTCTCAAGCGGAATACGCGCGAATAGGATCCATCAACCCTACCTTGGTTGCGGTAGTGCAGGAGCTGACCTTCCCCATCATGTTTGCTGGTGTGCAGTATCGTGAGCCAGCACTGCGATCATGGACTATAGAGAGTCTGCTTGACGTAGCTAAACACAGTGGATGGCGAAGCTCTCATTCCGTGGCGTTTGCTCTTGAAACAGCATGGGCGAATCAAGGAGAATACACACGGACATTGGCTCGGCGGGATGCCCATGAACCCTCTAATGCAAATCTTGCTTCTAACGATTTGGGTGCAACCCCAGAAGCATTGCATGAGAGCCGCTTTGTCAAGCATGATCGCCGACTGATCGATCGCTTTTCCGACACACGAGCTTACTGGGCGATGGGCCTGCTCTCATCACAAGATGACCTGCAGAAGATAATGGGTCATCTGGAAATAAGTCGTGACTGAAAACCCAGGTCGCTCCTGCATCTTGGGATGCGTACAAGGTAGTGCAGCTCGAACACCGACTGCGACTTCCAGCGACCACGGTTCTAAGCTTTTTGTCAATCAACAACGAGTCAAGAAGCATCTGCTCTTATCTTCCTACTTGCTTACACAGCCCCTTTTAGCTACCAAAGTCAATAAGTTACTCGAGCATGCCTCATGCCTCTTTTCATTGGTTCTTCAAGTGTATTGATTCGTGTTCTTGCTTTACCGATAACCACGACCCTGACGAGTATCGCTACGATGTTAGCCGGTCCCCCAGAAAGTCTGTGGTCCTACGAATTCTCCAAAAGCGACAAAATCAAGAGACGCCTAGCAGCATCCTCCTCGGACGACAGCAATCGGAGTCCAGGAAGCAGCATCAAGCCGAGTAGACCCTCTTTGCTTCCCAGCCGTCCCGCGTTTCCTACAAGGTCAACGCATGAGCAGATGAGTAGGAACAAGATCAGAGTGCAGGCTATTGAAGCACGTAGTGATAAGCAGTCTCTACTGACAAAAGTGGCTACTCCCAGCATCCCGTGCAAGATTAGGTCAACTGAAGATCTGCACCGCCCACGAACAACCGATACGCAAGTTGCTACTCGTACGCCGGATACTTCAGCAAGCGAGGTTCCTCCTAGTGGCCGTCCCACACCACCGCCCTCAGACAGTTCACGCGGTGCTTGCAGTACTCCGAACAGGAGTCGTACACCACGACCAGGTTGGACACGAACCAGATCAGGTGGAGTGTGGTATCAAGCACAAAAGCCTATAGTGCAGGATGACGATTCCGGCGTGTTTGGAAAATCCAGACTATCGAGGCACAGCGAGCCAGCGATTCTTAACATTGTCCCATTACCACCACCGACTAGACCAGAGAAACCGGAAACGACATCAATCCACGATATCGTCGTTGAGACACCGTTCGGTGTTCGAAAGGAGCCACAGACCACTCCTGAGCAAGATTCGACGAATGCACCTACCTCGAGACGAGGCTCTTCCATTGATGTCAAGCGTCTCTTCTCTGCTCCCTTCGCGGCATTTCGTAAACGCGAGAAGAAGCAGAAACAGGAACCAAGCACAGTTTCTTCTACTCCGTCCGCCACGTCATGGAGCCCGCAAGGTCCAACTGAAGCTCAAGGACATAGATCTCTACTCAAACGACAGCAGACTGCAACCACGCTTGCTAAAGCCTCTGCAGTGCTTGCTATCAGCAAGTCTCTTCCGAAGAGCAAGCTAAAGACAAGGAGGCGAAAGTCACCTGCAAATTCAAGTCCACCTGACCAGGATGAATTGTTGCACGCAGGTGACAGGTCGATTGCAGCCACCTTCTATACTCATCAGAAGAGGTACTCTGTAGGGGACCACCTTGGCTCCCTTGCATCCAGCTTGAACACCGCACAGATAGATGAAACACCACAGAACAGTCCAGCAGAGGCGGCGACTTACAGGATCAAACGTAGTCCCAGTGCGGAAACTGAGGAATTTTTCAAGATTGACATCAGCATCCGCGGTGGGACAAGCTATCTCCCAAGCGAAGCACGCCGCATTTATACTCCTCCACTACCAGGCGAAGGCACGACAGGCCACAGCAGCCGGGGTTTCTTCTTCAATTATGAGGCTCCTGACTATGATTGTTCTGTCATACCTGGCAGCAGTCATCACCACTCACAATCAGCCTCACAAAAAGACCGTACATCGGTCATACACGCCTCTCTTCGGCTGCCCTCAGAAGATCAATTTCTCCACCACGTCAAGGCAAAGCTCAGCCACTCGAGCGGCACACCTCCTGACCCTCACCCTCACCCCCCTTCAAGCACGAGGGTGGCATTGAAGGCTCCCAAACAAAAGACGTCACCCAGAAAGACAGGTGAATGGTACGACTCGCGTCTTGCAGATGTGGACACCACTCCGTCTCTGCTCGATGTCACTACGCCCCACAATTGGGAAGCAGCAGAACAGAAAGTGACCAAGAAACGAGACTGCCAACGGAACATTGCTGAAATCAGAAAACAAGAATATGAAGCCCAGCTCGACTTTAACATTCCAGAGCACCTGCCGACGAGCCCGTTATGTCCCAGAAACCCGAAGTACTGGCGGGTCGTCAAGTGTACAGGCAGTCAGTTTCGTGGCTGTTGGATGCATGGGTTTGGAGAGTACGAGGCTGGAAAGATACCAGGGTTATTCAAAGGAGGTGCTGTGAGAGGATTCTAAACTGCTCACGAGGAAGTCGGTCTGATATTCTTAATACCGAAGGAGAAAGGCTCAGGCGAATTCGATATCGTTGGTGCATGTATCACCAGAGCTTCAAGTATTGTTAGTTTTTGCTGTAATAGTCTGCAATTGCTCGGGTTCAAATTCCAGCAGTTTTGGATCCGAGAGAGTATAAGCGTCGATAGAAAGTTCAACCTCAAATACCAGTCAAGTCCTACGACAAAATGAAGTCTAGTTCACAAACGAACTGAAAGATCAAGTGTGACGTCTTCGTTGCAGGGTGTCAGGATTGCTAGGCATGGAAGACAAAAATGGAAGATGAAAGACAATCTCATCATGCTGTATGTACTGGCTCGAAGTATCACCAATGCCGTAACACGAGACAGCCCGCCTATATACACTCCTGGCTAAGATATGCTGTACCCAAAAAAGCCGTATGAACTCCTTTGAGGGACAACCTCGAACGCCTTATCTCATGATGCATCACCATAGCAAAGTTATAAATTCGGCCTTACATACTCAATCGATCCAGACTTCTTACTCTTTTACCGTCCTTGCCAGCGACCATGCCAAGCTGGTAGAAACGCTCTTCTCCAGTAGCTGTTCTGCCACCGATATACCATTTCTCCGGACCTGCTGTGTCCATAAACCCGCTGCTGGTGTTTGAGGATCCACTGTCTCTCCGCTGTCTGCCTCTTGTCATGTGTGTGGGTGTTATGTGGCCGGTCGGCGATTTAGCAAGATTGTGCGAAGGGCTCGGGGATGGTGGACGTCTGTAGAAGGTGGTTCCTGGTGAGCCTGATACCATTGTTGTTGTGCCGAAGGGTGAAGTGCCAGTGGCTTTTATTGGTTGTGAATGTGTGGCTTGAGGTTGTTGTGTGGTTCCATCTGTGGTGGTTTTGGATGAGATATTCCGGGTCGTTGAGGAGGCTGCTGCTGTGCTTGTGCTTGTGGAGAATTGAGCGGACGCTGTGAGGGAGGAGGGGGACAGAGCACCAGTGGTCGTGCTTGACTTGGCTTGGAATGGCCCAGGTGTACTTCGCGCTCTGAAGGCGGAGAAGAAGTTTGCGAAGAAGGGTCTCTGCGTGGACATGGTTCAGGTTCAGTGCGCAGTTGTAGACAGAGAAACGTCTGCAATGCTTTTGGTTGCACTCTGCTTGTATTGACCTCGCCGAATAGTGGAAGAGGTCTTCAAATTACCCGGCTTTTGTAACTGCGGATTTAAACCCCCCTGTCCCGTTTCGCTCCGTCTCGACTGTGCAAGCAGTATACTAAGCCCCGTAGTTTCTTTACGTGGTCGTGTCCGCCATTTCCCGTGTCGGTGGTTTTCCTGCAGGATTTCTCTGGGTTCGGTTCCTGGCAAAGTCGGGGTACGCTATCTCGTAGTACCAGCCTAGTGGACGCGACTGGGGTTTTCTGAAACGTGATACTGGTCTCTTCACTGCGTTTCAGTCGAGTCGGCTTAATGAATTCAGCAATGTTGACACGATAGTATTGGTAATATGTACAATTCGAAAGAAAGTCAAGAGGGGGAGCCAAGCGAGGTCAGTAACCTTGGATAGCAGATTGCAAGCGGTATATGTAATGTAGTCTTCACGTGGAAATGCGGGCAGCGACGCTTCAAAGCCAAGGTGAACGAGATGCCAATGCTCTTCGTCTCCTCCACGAACAATGGAAGGAACCGGGCTCTCCAAGAAGGCACAACCGGCGACTTCTCATTGGTAGAGACAAAGCCTTTCGTCATGCGTCAAGCACAGTGCAAGCCCCAATGCATCCGCTTAATGAGTCTGAGTCGTGACTTCCACCCAATCAATGTTGTGATTATTTACGGCCGTCAATGCCACTTCCCCGTCACTCAAAGTGTCCCCAGATGTATGCATATCACACCACTGCAAGTTGAGCGGCCGCTTCTGCTTACTACTGTAGCAAATGTTCACAGATTTTTATGTCTTACAGAAGTACAACTTTCCACTGCCTAAGGTTCAAGTCTAAGATTCCGTGAGTTCTTTTCCCGTTGCAGCAGGACTTCCCTGCCTTGACTGGTTTGGTTCATATCCGTCTTTTGTGTTTGGTGAGTCAAAGTTATACCTCATGAACGATAACATCTCGTCCATACCCCTTCTTGCTTCTGCCTTTTCAAACTCGGACCTCGACGTCGTGAGTACCTCAACGATCTCACTCCACTTCTCCAGCATGTCCATCTTCTTGTCCGTTGCTCCTGTATCGAAACGCCTCTTAAGATTGAACTGCAGGTTCACTTTGTCTTGGTCGAGGATCCTTCCACTCCACAAGAAAGCGATGTATGCAATGACAGCACCCGATACACAAACGTAGAAGATGAAATTGTTCCGAAAATTCACGGTGGGCTCCTCGACCGCCCATATCCATGCGTACAGAAGGTAGAGACCGAAGCCGAGGAAGTACATCGCCACTGATAGATTCAGTAGCAGCTGTGGTGCCTCCATCAGTTTCACTGTGCTCGCAGAACTCTCCAAGAGCAAACCTTTGTATGGCTCAGGATATTCATAATAGTCTTTGGATAGACCTTTGCTCAACCACAGTCGAATGTCCTTATGGTTACTCAGACCCGTAACACTGTTCTGTAGACTCACTGCTGCACAAACGGCTAGAATCCCAAGCGCCATGCTTGCTGTCAACAACGCACTAGCAGACCAGTGAGTTTCTCTCATGCCGTCCAGACCTAACGCCGATTGTCCTATACTGGCAAAGATAGCTGCTGCCACACATATCGCCGAACACCTTGATACGTACGCGTCTTTCCAGGCACAGACTTCTTCTTTCGACCATAGGTTGATGTTGAAGTGCACACGCTGGACCTCTTCCGTATTCAAAAGCCCCAGCCAATACCAGATCTCCCCACGTATACTCCCAAACCGTATCCTTCGATACTCACGCCCTTCAGTAAATTTGCGGCCTAATGCATCGGCGAAGTCGATGATCTTTGCAATGATTGTGATAAGAGTCGCGAAACTCAGGCCGATGGACGGTTTACGCATGCTGATCAGACCAGCTTAAGTACCTGTCTATCTCATATTCAACGTAGTGTCTGCGATTTAGTGCAATAGATACCATCAGAGAGAAGAGGCTCAGCTTCACCTCTAACGTCGCGTAAAGTAAAACTTACGTGAAATGATAGGTTAGCTTTCTGCACAGCATCGATCCGACGCGTGTCGCCGACCATGCACGATTGTGTGGTCAAATTAGACGGCATCGTTCGTGCTAATTACTAGCTACCTCATACTGGCTTGTCGCGTAATTAGGTGATTGTATCGTTTTTTGACTGCTTCAGGCTTCATCGCCTGTCCAAGTCGAGGAGGACACCAGAGATTCAGAGGCCTGTAGCAAAACGAACTAGAGAGAGGAAAACTAGGAACAACTTCTACACGAAATATAGTGGTTATTTGTTGCTGCTTCACCCACGACTGGACAGCCGCAGCTCCGGCAGCTATTTTGCTATAATCTTCACATGTGCCGACCACAATCAAATTTATTCACCTTCATCTATACCTTTTCTTCTTCCTACGACGTTTTGGCATTTCGACTTGTCGTGATTTTCCTTGGAAGCTCTTCTCACGATCGCTGCTACTGTACAACACGTACTTGGAACGTGCATAGTTCGGCATAACCAGCTGGCTGGTGAACGATGCACTATTGTTTGCCCAGCTGCGCAAAATCACCCCGAAATCACAATGTTGGAGTGGTAAATGAACGTGGACGGTCTTATGCGTTGATGGCACACCTTTATTAGCAATACTAATGCTAGAAAAGATTCACAGTACATATAGGATATCTTGTGGCTAATAAAACGTCAAATCTTCACTTCGTAGCAACACATGTCTGTTCTCATGACACTGGTGCCATATTTAGATTCCAATCACATCTTCATTGCTGATCATCCAGAACTCATGTACGGTCTCGGGATCTCAGCGCTCACCACTCTAGAATCGATCATGTCCTACAAAACCAATATTAGTATTCACTCACACATCCACAAATCACCCCCTTCGCGATCAAAACTTACTTCCCAGAGGCTTCGCCCGCCTATTCAAATCCCTCGCCTGCGCCGACTTCATCTTCGCCGCCTTCGCCTCCGCCTCCGCTTCCAGCTCCAACCTCCTCACATGCTCCCTCGCATCCCGCACACTATTCCTCGCCTGCTGCAGCGCGAAATCCGCATCTCGCTCGGCCCGTTCAGCGGCTTGGACACGTTCTCGTGCGGCCATGATGCTGGGGTCTTCGTGAGCTGTACTGCCGCGGGAAAAGAGGCCTCCCATACCACCGCCGGATTTGGAGAGGCGGGAGGAACGGCGGCCGGCTGGGTTGTGTTCAAGGTCGGAGGAGCTGAGGGAGGAGGAGGAGCGGCGACGGTGGAAGAGGCCGCCGCCTGTGCGAGGGGATGAGGTTTGTGTTGTTTGGCGATGGTGAGAGGTGGTGGTTACAGGAGCTGGTTGTGTTGGAGTTGCTTCGTGTTTGCGTCCGAAGAGAGGCATGTTTGCGGCTTGGAGTTTGTGTCCTTAGTTTGAGTTCTGTCGTGGGTTTGAGCGGAATGTTGTGCTTGAAGACGCTGTTCTGACTGATAGTCCTTGCACTTCCTGTCCACAATATGCATACCACTGGTGAGCAAAGCACTTCATATATGCTCGTTCTATCTCGCTCCAGAAATCATGTCTCGGAGAAAACATGACGTAGTGATCGACGTTATAGTGGTTACAGGCGCCACGGAAGCCAAAGACACAAGATGTCATCGACCACGAGTTCCTGCTTTTACATGTTGCACAGACCAATAGTGCTGGTGGCAGGAGATGGCCATAGTGCTTGTGACCGTGTAAGAGCTAGAAGCAAGCTGCATTCGTATAGTAAAGAGGTTGCAAGACACGAAAAGGAGAGAATGAGAAAGTAGAATTGGTGTGGCTGTTCCTCCTTCTTGTGGCGTGTGGAGGCCGGGAGCAAGCATCGGCTTCAACGGTCGATGGAGCATGACTGTATGGAGAGATCGAAACTAGTAGAGACAGGTAGCGGGCGAAAGAAGAATGATAAAACTCACAATTTAATTGAAGCGACCTGCTTCTGCAGCGCAATAGCAATCGATAAACCAGCGAAATGAACACGTTGAATGAACATCCCTGATACCGACCAGTGGCTGCCACTCCTCTCCTATGGTCGCTCTGTTTTCTTATCCAAAATCCAGGACACCAAAAGCATCGCACTTCCCAACAATATCCTCCTTTGTTTCAGTTTCCCCACGTCCCTGTCCGCTATTGCCTCCCTGTGTTCATTGTGGACGGGAAGCTCTGTTTCTTGTCTTTTTTTGCTTGTCGGTATCGCCCTTCACAGGTATAGGAGCAGTACTCGTCACCCGGGACGTTTGTCTTGGTAATCCTAGTAACAGCATCATACCGCGGTTCCCTTGTATGAGCAATCGACTCGACGGTCGTCTTCCTCGTACGAACCGTACTTGGTGTTACATGTCGGGTTCTTGCACAGCAAGATCTTGATGAATATTTGACACATCTTCGTGATAGTGGTTGGTTATTGGTGGTTCTGGTGTACAGTATAGTGAGTCGTGGCCTCGAATCTGCTTGTGCTCCGCTTTGAATTTGTGGTGTTTAGGTTCGACTCTTCGTCAATCGTCTTTGTATATATCTATAGGACATGCGGGACAGCAATCACGTATATGTACTTTGTGTTTGTCACTATGCTAGAATACGTGTGGCCTTTCAGTGTGAAGTAAGTGTAGCTCGTGAAATGATCGTTTGTAGTCATACAGCTGATTGCCTGGTCGTTGAGACACGGTGTTGATCGACGAAAAGCTTACTCGAGTAGCGAGGCCTGCCATAGTGTCCATGAGCACAAGCCTCGTCAAGAAGAAAGCGCATCCGCATGGTAGACATAATGGCAAGGACGTTCCTCGGATGCCCTAACGAACGTTGGCAGGTTACACTTTCTGTCTGCCGCCAGTCCCTGCCCTTAGTTATTGTTGCCAGTAAATGCTACCATTTTGGGGAATGTATATCCTCGTATTGCGCAGGAGCTTTCGGCCAGCCCCTGAATGTTCAACAAACGAGGCGATTCTCTCGCGTGTGGTTCAGCATTCTTTCGTTCGTGTCGTAGCGTGTTAAAGTAAAAAATATTCTGTTCATGTTTAGTATGTACCTGCTGGCAGTTGTATGGACGACACGTTTGCATTCTCGGGCAGGCGAATATGCCATTATCGTTCGGAGGGCGTTTTGAGTCAAGTGTTGCTTCTGAGCTTGCTTCGGTTTGCAAAAGATGCACCTAGAATGACAATAAGTGTAGGCGACTGGCCTGATAAAAGCACATCACATCTTCATTTTTGATATGTACTGCTCTTACTTGTGCAGGAAATAATCGTCACGTAAATCGCCGTCCTGAATGCTATGCTATGCTATGCTGAAAGCTTTTCTCGTTGAAGTTGGTATTATTGATTCAGCTCTTTCCTAGTACCCTACACCAACCAAATAATCGGCGAGCTTCTCGACTGTGTTCGCTGCTGAGCCAGGCTGTACGTGTTCCGGGTAGTGACCGATAAGGATTGCTTGTTTCGTCTTCACAATGACCACACCTTCCTTGCCCTGGAAGCACTGTCAGCAAACCGTGGTTGTTCCATCGAGAAGTCAGCTGGAGGTGTAGGTCAAGACTCCAGAGTTGCCCGCTTTCTCTAGGATCTCTTGGTAGGGCCTCAACAGTGGTTGACGTACCTTCTTTCCGTATATACTCCGATCGTCAGCCTTTATTGTAATGAATTTGTCGCCTGCGATGTAGAACCCAGTGCCCTGAATGTCTTTTACGTCTTTTGTGTCCTTGTATGCTGCAACAATCTTTTGTACTTCTTGTGGTGTGACTTTGTAACCGGAGGAGACAGCCCATACACTGTTGCCTTCGGAGTTGAAAATGGCTCCCTTATCTACAGTGCCCGTACCAACGAGGCTATAGAATTGTTAATGTTCTAGTATCCGGCATGGGCTGCGTTGAGAAACAAGATTCGGAAATGCGAGAGGATCATACCTGCTGTCAACGTACGCTGTACTTTCGTCAGCGTAGATCAACTCAAATGGCAGCTCAACATACCTTGCCACGACATGCTGGCTGGCTGAGATGTATAATGGGTGAAGAGAGAAGTGCGCTACAGGATGCGCCTGGATTCGATGGCCTCGTATCGTCTGGCCGTCAGTAACAAGTTTAGATGCGAAAGACTAGAGACAGTGTGTAGTGTGCTTCTTTTGAGGCCAAAGCTGATAAATTGTGTAGGTTTGGTCAATACAAAGCAATCGACTAGACAATTGTTACTTTTCAAGTGTAGTGGTGGGGGTGCACTTTTTGGCATCCCCAACCCACCAATACCTCAAGCCCTTCGGAACGGGGCCGCCTGTCCGATAGTGCATGGCGATCGTAGTAGCCGCACAAAATCAGTGGAGTCAATTTCTCAGGGGCAATACTCTACAGTCATTTTCGCACCGAACCAATGAGCCTACAATGCGTATGAAGTTGTGGAGTGAAGGATATATATTTGCATTGAAGATGTACATGACAATAACCTAATCATGGTTTCCCGAAGTACCTCGATGCCGATAAGCCGCTCACAGTCTTGATGACGACGGCGACGGGGGTAGTGGCAGTAGAACGTCCAACTTATCGAGCTCGTCCTCGTCATACACAGCTTTTCTGGTACCTTTTATCTTTATTTCTGAAGGTGTGATCTTTGTTCCTTTCCTCTTTGGCTGGAGGTTTGCAAAAGCGGGATGCTCCGCGAGAGGGACAAACAGGGGACTGTCTTTGGGTAATGGCTTACGCTTTGTGCTTGGGTTTTGATTGCTGGATTCCGTTGCCCGTAACAAAGGGGTCGAAATTGAGCGAGGCAGACTCCTCCGTGTTCCTGCTCGGGTTGCAGGCACGGGCTCCTTGGTCTCTACCACGCGATGGGATTGTGAATTATCAACTGCTGCGAGGTCGGACTTAGGAAGTGCAACCGCTGTTCGTGATCGTATCAGCTTTGAGTAATTCTGTCTCAATGGCTTGACACCACGTGTCGTTCTCAAAGGTTCGACCGCTGCCTGCGTTACAGTTTCGGCCTTCTTCGAGTGTTCTGGTAGCACGGAAACACTGGGTGACTGAGGGTATGCAAAGTCTCGGGTCACTGGTGGTGGTGGTGGCGGCGTCTTCGCGACCCTGCTCAAGAAGGATTGAAAGGAAGGTTTATTTGAAAGTGTGAATGGATCCTTCGGTGTCTCAGGGGTGCTAGATTGTGCTCGAGTGTGCACGTTTCCGCGCTTTGTTCTTTTTTCGCTTGTGGCAGGAGTCTTGAACACTGAAGCCATGTTAGGTACTGTAACAGGAGTTTGCAACAACGAAATAGGAGAGCTAACCATATGGCCATCGTGGAATAGTGCTTCGCCTGATTGTCCACTGGTCGACATACTAGTGCTAGGGCTGGCTTTCAGTTCTTCCAGCGGATCGTAATCCAAGTTAAGACTCCAGGACCAATTGTCGATCTCTTCGGTTGTCTGTCGTTTGAGGTCTTCGATAATCTCGCTGACTCGTTCGGCAGCTGTCAGCTGGGAGGAAATTGCAAGCTCGTATGCTGATGGCTCGCGAAGGAAGTCGTCAACGCTGCTCCTTGACGCATTATCGATGATTAGCCCGGAGCGCTTCGCTGCGATCTTATCAGCAGCATCCAGCTTTTTCATTGTCTTGGTTTTTGAGCGAGATAGATGAGTCTTGTAGGAATGGTCGATGGTCGAAGAGGATTGAAATGAGATGATGGAAAGCGCACGTTCAAGGTATGGGTTCATCTGTCGCGTTGAGCTGGCCACCAGCATTTTGTGTCGCGGTCGGCATTGAGGCAGGACACATGGAATCTAAGAATAATCTGCGAGGTAATGAACAATTGGCTTGAAGGTATTTCGGGTGGAAGGGAACAAAGACGGCCATGATGGCGTAGGTCAAGAATTAGAAGTCGTTGTTGATTGTGAACAGACAATGCGCTGCCTGCGAACAGATACCGAGAAGGTGCTTATACCGACCGCCGCGACCGAGTGAAACTATCATCCAGGGCGCGCACGAGCATATAGAATGTCCTCAGAATGGGCACGTTGACATTCTTTTGCTGAGCAAGTCTGACCACGTTGCCGACAATGGCATCGACTTCCATATTGCGGTGGGCTAACGCATCTGCCATCATTGAAGGTTGAACACCTGGTGGAGCTCGGTTGCTCATGCGGTACATGACATTGTCCATGCGCTGCTGATTCAGCTGGGTATAGCCATAAGCATGAGCGACTGATAGGACCTCGGCTATGGTGTCTCTTATGAAATCAGAGGTGCCATCTCCAGAATTCAGGAATTGGGTATCTCTTGATCTTGTCAGAGCACATAGAGGATTGATTGGAGCGTTCAGCATAAGCTTGGCCCACCGCTCACTCTGAACATCGTCGTGGAGTTTGATGGTGGCACCACAGTCTGTCACGAGCTGAACCCAAGATTCCGCAGCTCTTTTATGGGGAGCAGGGGCATTTGCAGGATATGTGCCGACGTGCATGAGCTCGATCTCGGAGTGAGAGAGTACAGCTGGACTGGTCTGGGTGACAGCGAAATAGACAACGGCTGAGAGCAAGGGATTGTCAGGATAGAGACTCGTGTATTCATCTTCGATGCCAATTCCGTTCTGTAGCAGGACAATGGTAGTATCTCTCGAAATGGCTGACTTGATGAGTTCTGGATTTGAAAGACCTGCCCTTAACACTTTGGAGGTGACGACAACATAGTCGAAAGGCACGGAGTTATCCAGTGTCACAGCGTCGTTGACAGTGCGTACGACTGTAGGTTTGAAGGAGAGATTATTGCCCCATATAGTTGAATCCATCGTGAAGCCATTCTGACTGGCAGCATCGTAGTTGGACCTACATACTGTCACAACATTTTGTGAGGGCAAGTTTCGTAGCAGGACGTATGCATAGCCAGCTCCTACTCCACCTGTGCCAAAGATCAAGATTTTGGGCGGCATTGTTGAGATTGAAGGTACATCGACATGTTGGTAAGAACGCAAAGAGACTTGGGTTGTTGGGGAGGGACAATCGAAGACCCATTTTGGAGTCTCGTGGATGAAGCAGCATGAGGACCGAGCATCAGGGTCCAAGAATGCATCCTAGACACAATTACTGGAAAATTTCGAACTTACAGAAATCTTTTGATAGAAAACAGTTTAGTATCGACACAGTAAAGCGAAGCAACTCAGCTCTCGCTTCAAACTGACGCATGGAAAGCGTGAAGCTCCAGGTCGAGCCCGGAAGCTCAAAAGAAAAGCGCTAAGAACCGAATCTCAGTGCTAATTTCAAGTGGCTGCAGGTGCTCGACGCGTCCAAGTTTTAATGACGTGTGGTGAAGCGTGTGTTGTTGTCTCTACCAAGTTGTATTGTATTCTCCTTCACCACGCGACAATAAAGCTAATGACCTTTGAGAGTGCCTCCGACAAGATGGACCACGATCCAGACATAGCGCTCCCGTCTGTTGAGACAAGGGAGCAAACAGGTACCAGTCTGTCCGGTGCCAGTACAATCACATCTCGAAGTGAAAGGTTCCGAGAGGTGAGCAGGAGTGAAAGCCTTCCGCCCAGAGCAGTCGACACGTCGCCCTTACGCACACAGTTCAGAACCCCACGCACCACAAAATCCTCTCCTGCCCGTTCGCCTGTCTCTCGTTCATCCTCCGTCGCGTCTATACGGCATGATCGATCTTCTACTCCCAAACTGGATAAGAAACGATCCGTCCCGAACCTGCCTACACGAAGTTTAACTCCAGCCCACCAACCACAGTTCCGAAGAGCCTCGTCCAATCTCAATCCTGCCACAACTCTACGCCCTAAGGCCATGGAGAAGCCTCCGATGACCCCAGCGTCTGTCGCAAAAGAATACTTTGAAAGAGAACTACAATCACATTCCAGGACAACCTCAGAAGTAGTCGTCTTCACCCACGATGCCTGCTATGGACACCGCTTCTCACGACCCCGCGCCACCAAGAGTATGCTAGGCTCAATCGTCGAACGTCCTGAACGTATTCGAGCCACATTACTTGGAGCCAGTACAGCATACGTCCGACTCGGCGCAAGGCACAAGGACGGAACGAATGTGCCTCACCCCGATCGAGAGCCCGTTGCGCCTCCTTTCACTCTATTCAGAACGCATCGTTCAATTCCACTGAATCACCCTGCCGTGACAGCCGTACATGGTAATAAGTGGATGGAATCCCTTCAACTCATGTGCGACACCGCAGAGGCTAAGCTGGCTATGGGTCAGAAAGAGCTAGCCAGACCAATTGGACACACCAAGGACTCGAAAGGAAACACTTTGCCTCCTCTCCATTCTGGTGATCTGTATCTCGCATCTGAGTCTCTGGCTGCTCTTCAGGGCTGTCTAGGTGGCGTTTGCGATGCAGTCGATACAGTGTTCCAGGAAGATATCCTCGCCAGGAGAGCCTTCGTATGTATACGGCCTCCTGGTCATCACTGCTCAGCTGAAATGCCCTCTGGCTTCTGTTGGTTGAACAATGTCCATGTTGGTGTTGCTTATGCTGCCATGAACCACGGCTTAACTCATGCTGCCATCATCGATTTCGACCTGCATCATGGTGATGGCTCACAAACCATCGCTTGGGACCATAATCGGGACGCTCAAAACATGCTACATCCGAAAAATGCACCCGTTCACAAGAAGACACCTATAGGCTACTATAGTCTACACGACATCAACTCTTATCCTTGCGAGTATGGCGATGAGGACAAGATTCGTAACGCCAGTATATGTCTCCACACCGCTCATGGACAATCTATCTGGAACGTTCACCTGGAGCCTTGGTCGACATTAACCGACTTCTGGTCACTATATGAGTCGAAATACAAAATCCTTCTCGACAAAGCCTCCTCCTTTCTCGAGTATCACTCAAATGTACTCCGTCAAACTGGCGTTGAACCGAAAGCCGCCATCTTCCTTTCTGCCGGCTTCGACGCATCGCAGTGGGAAGGCGAGGGCATGCAGCGCCATGCAGTCAACGTGCCGACTGACTTCTATGCCAAGATTACTGCAGATGTGGTAGAGTTGTCCCAGCGGCCAGATCTGGGTGTTGATGGTCGTGTCATAAGCGTCTTGGAGGGTGGATACAGCGATCGCGCACTGACAAGTGGTGTGTTGAGCCACTTATGCGGCTTGACATCCAAATCCAACCTCAATGTGAGCGTGGTTCGTCACGAGACAAACGAGCTCGAAGCCTTCGCTCATGATCCAGCTTGGTGGCATCCCGACCAGCTCGAAGCGTTAGAGGCCATGGTTGCCGGCAATCTCCCACAACCAACGCAGAAGTCCAAGGATATATCGCCGAGCTCCTATCTATCGCCGACACATGCTTCGACCGCGAGAATGGCAGATACTGCGAAAGAGCGAAGGTCGCTTTCTGCTCAGCTCGAAGCACGACTGGCTTTCGAGAACGCTCCACCAGAACCAGTACCCGAGGTGGACTGGGTGACTGCCGCTTATGAATTGTCACGCTTACTTATTCCTGAAGACCGGCAAACCATGAGTTGCACTCACGATGAGCTTAATGCAGAGAACAGTCGGGCCAGACGAGATAGGCAATCTCTGGCAGGCATTCCGAAAAGTGATCCAGTAGAAGAATACAAGAGGATGCAACTCCGTGATCGAAAACCGAAGCAGGCAATTGATGCTGTACAACCCAGGGCGGCTTCAAGAAGCGCAAGTCGGCGAACCACGATAGCAGGTGCAAATGAGCTTCCGGAACCTTTGCCGCGCGAGCCCCCTAGAACTCGACGCCGTTCAAGTGCGGCCTCGAGTGTTTTGTCTGGTTTCAACCACCTCAAAATTGACGCTAACGTAGAATTCTCAAACGGACAGATACCACCGAAGGCTGGCTCAGCTGCGCCACAACATCCCGGCGCCTCCCTGCCAACAAAACGAACACGAGCTCCAGCTAGGACGTCCAAGCCAGTATCGGCGGCAAATAGTCCTCGAAAACCCAGGGTAGATGTTCCTCCTTCATCCTATGCACGCACTCAAAGCCGTACCATGAACGAATTTCCACCGCCAGCAACGCTGACATCTAGTAACGCTACTTCTGGACAGGATAGCAATATGGACGATTTGACCAATGGCATGAAGAAGATTAGTATCAAGCTCAAAATGCCAACTAAAGAGCAACACGATGCCAATGCGAAATTGTTGGAAGTTTCAGGAGGTACCAGAGGTGCAACGACACGAAAGCCACCTGTGCCTAAAACGTCGCGGGCCACAGTCGCACCTGTTACTTATCCGGGCGCAATGCAGCACAATAATCCTTCTACTCCAGCTGCTTTTGCTGCTACAAATGCTAACGCATACGCCGGTCACGCTTCTCATCCAGCGCCATCCGTTTCCGCCGGCTATATATCAGCACTCCCTGCCACAATGGCTCCTCAATCACTGCAATATGCAAGTCCGCAGTCTGCCAGGACTATGACAACATTAGACTTCTTGACTTCGAATGATTTTCAACCTGGGAGATCTTTTCACCAGGTCAGCGCCGTTCCTGATATGCAGAACGGTCCAAGAGACGGGAGACCATTGCAAGATGCACCAGAAGCCATCTCCTATCCGTCTATTCATATGCAAAGAGCATCGACGTCGCCTCATGGGAGCGACGTAGTGACAGGATCACAGCACGAATCTCACAACAAAACTTTGAACAACTATTATACAGGCCATTGAACACGTGGTACGACACTTGACATTTTGATATTGCTACGAGCTGGTCTGAGTTTGCAAAACTCAGTCATTCATGGGAAGGTGTTGTTTGCTGATTACATTCGGAGCCACAGTCAAAGTGATTTCAGACTTGGTTGAACCTTTTTCGAGATACCCGTTTGCGAGCGTTTTTGATAGTGTGGTGCTTAGGTTATCAGTGCGTACTCCTAATAGGAACTAGAACAGACTGCACATCTCATAATGAAGCATCCACAAAGCATGTGATCCTGTGGTTTGTGACCAACGTGCCCGCCCTCCTCTTGATCTTGCACTCAGGCGAATCAAGTCGAGCATCAACATTCTCACAAAGCAGAATCTAGCTTGACGCTTCTAGCCGAACCCTGGCGGCACCTTGTAACCACGTACGGGCCCGAGCAAGCTCATATGTCCTCCGAGCCGGATCTGGCCATACGCGTGCTTGGAGCCTGATCTTCGAGTACTGAGCTTGTCATAGGACACCTCTTCGTCGCGTTGGTTACTGTGCTGTGTAGGTCGGACTCGGACATGGAGAGATCTTATTCCCGAGTTTGCTGACATGAATTTAGGTTTGAATGTCCCCGCCTCTCCTCCATCACGCGCGACCGGCAGGTAGGATGTGGGAAGTTTAGGTTGCACTTGCTGTATGTGGTGGACGTCTGGGCGGCCTTACCTGGGAGTCTTGCTCAGTGTATAAAGTAAATGGAATACTTGAGCTGATGCTCCTAACCTTGGAGACATAAAGACAGACCTCCAATATATCACGACCAGAAAGCATGACTACAAAATACGACAACGTGATTGTCTTTGGTCCAACCGGCGCAGTAGGCAGCGATGTCGCGCTCGAAGCTAGCAAGCGCGGAGCAAAAGTATGGCTCGCAATGAGGGATCCCAGCAAATCCATCTCAACTATCACTCAAGAACAAGAGTCAAATGGTTCCTTTGAACGCATTAAAGCAGATCTATCTGACCCGGAATCTGTCAAACAAGCAGTCCAAAAGTCTGGAGCTAAAGCCGCGTTCTTCTACATGGTGCATGGCCTGCCTGACATGAAGCCCAGCATTCAAGCCATCAACGACGGAGGCGCAGAATACGTCGTGTTTTTGTCTTCGTACACCATCCATCCAGATTTGAAACCTCGTGAAGTCAAACCAGACCAGGTCATTGCTCATTTCCATGCCAAGGTCGAGATCGCGGTGGAAGAAGTCGGTGTTGCGAGTACGATGTTACGACCTGGTTTCTTCTCCACGAACGTGCTGGACCAGAACTTGGATCGATCGAAAGAGCCGTGGCGGGCAACTATTTCTGAATCAGATGCGAAGTGGGATTGTATATGTCAAGTGGACATTGGTCGTGTCGGCGGTGCTGTGCTCGTTGATCGGCCATCAAACGACCACAAAGAAATCGTCTATCTGACGGGACCTCAGCACCTATCACGAGCAGAAATGCTCGCTATAGTCGAAGCTAAATCAGGCCACAAGATCGATATCAATCGTCTTGCTGGGGTAGAGTACAGGGACTATCTGGTCTCAGTCGGCCTGCCAAAGTTCCTTGCGGATTTCTTTGTGAAGGACGAAGCTTCCTATGCTGTTACGAGTTACTCGCAGGCACATATCAAACAGGCTACGGACAATATCAAGAAGTATTCTGGCTACGAGCCTACTACCTTTGAGGAATTTGTTGCCAAGAAGTTTTCCTGAACAGCTAAATAGATATAGTTGTATCGAGGAAGGGTGCGGTGAAGGACATTTTTCTCCTGAAGTGAAGTTCCTGCAGCGTGAAAAATACTTCTTTAGAACGGAATGCAGTAATTCAATCGAAGAAAGACCACAAGAAGACTGTCGGTCGTCGGCGTGCATACCTCTCGAGATGACATCCAAGCTCTATTCTGGGAGTTGGTGAAATCATGATTTACTGCGGCATAGTCCTCGAACAGCTGCGCCAATATCACCTGATCTGTTAGAGTCAACGATGTGAATTCGTGCAGTACCTTCCTAGGACTGTCCGAACATGCGATATGGTCACCTGGAAGAGACAGAAACTGTATACTACAGTAACTGCAAGTCAGGAAACGGGACAGGCACATCGCCAAAACGTTCATCAAACGCGAAAGTATATGATTGTCATTTCAACAACAAGGTTGCACTGACGTGTGTGTAGTGCTTCGTAAATATTGTTACATGAAGTGCCTAAGTGGCAGGATCTTAATAAAGACCAAGGTATTCTATGGAACATAACTCCAAAATCGTTTGTAGTACAACGTCAAAGAAGTCAAAAGATCACGAAAGTACGCCGAATTGAAATGACGATCACTCCGTCGTAGAGGCGAACCGCACATGTTTCTTACCCGCCTTACGCACAGGCCGTTGGTAGCTATTGTTGCGCGACGAGGCTCTTCTTGGTAGACCTGGACGTCCTGCTTTGGCAGGTGCTTGACGGGGCGGCTGAACAGCTTGTGAAGGTGGTGGATGAGTATATGTTACGAGAGCTCCGTATGATGGTTGATCCATCATGGCTGTGCCTGAATCTCTGCGTTCGCGTGGAGCGTCATCGGTCTCCTTGTGACGTCTGTGTTCAGCCTTGCGCTTATCTGAGTCTTTGGGTGCAGGCAGTGACTGTGGTTGGTATTGGTCGTGTGCAGCGAGCCTTTGCGGTGGATTGGTTGTATTTGCAGTCGAAGTTGGCTGCTTCTCTGGTCGAGTCCTTTGGTAAGACTGTGCTCTGCTACTGGCCGGTCTTCTCGGCTTCTGCGCCGAGTAGGCAGCCTGATTTGCAGGCGAGGTTGAGGAGGCGTCAGCCTTCCTGCTTTTTTGCCTATACTCGGCACCGTTCACAATGAGGTCGTCACAATGAAACCATTGATTACCAACGCGAAGAGTGTAAGGGCCGTTATTGCGAGCCCACACCTGCACTCGAGGAAGATAGGGTGCCTGGCGGATTTTCTCTTCCCGATGACGTTCTGACTCTGAATCGGAAACCGTATCGTAAGCCTTGTCGTCGAAATAGTCGTTCCTATCGTGTGATGGCATACTAGCGACGGCTTGATGATGGCTTGTGACTTGTTCGGGTTGTTGAGCAGCGTGGTTCTGGCAAAAGGTACAGTCGCAGTTGCTGGAATGAGATAAAGGCTGGGTGGAAACAGATGTTGAGGTCGACATTTTGTCGACCGTTGTTTCAGCCGGAATTATGAATTAGGTTCGCGTTCTGGAGGTACCGAGAAAGGCTAACCGCTTGCTGACCACGAAACAGTGGAGGTCAGAGAAAGTTTGTGGTCGTAATTCATCTTGGTCGAAGGGAAAAACGGTTCTTGGGGGGCTCGACAGTTTGAGCTAATGACGTAGGGACTCGTGGAAATGGTGGGAAGCACATTTCAATTGGTAGGAGCCCACGCCTAGCTGCACGGATGTTCTGCAGGAGGGTTCGCTGGTCGCAGCTGCAAAACTCTCCCGGAACGCAAGAATGTCTGGGCGCCGTCGCATTCTGTCGAACGTGGACCACAAGAACAACGTCACTCGCAATCTCGAGGGTAGCGAACCTGGCTCTGCGCAATCATGTCAGCCAACAACACTTCGGAAATGCGTGTTAACCCTGTGAGGTTGACCATGGGTCGTATCGGTAGACGAGTGCCAATGACATCAAAGTGTGGCAGATCCCGTTCAAAATATGGTCATAAGATACCGATCGTCAGCGCAAGATAAGTGGGTGTTCACGCTGAGAACTTCTGACCGGAGACCGGCTCTTCACGTGGCCATCCTCGGCATGGCGGAATTTTCTTCCGCTGCTGTATATCAATTAAACACCCTCCTATAATGTAACGGCCCTTATGAAAAGGTTATCGTGAATCTGGACGCTGAACTTCTGACTTCGACACATTCGTGAGCCTGGTAAGCCAACTAGCGGATACGACAGAGTGCTGCAAGGCGTAGCTGATTCGGCTAGCAGTGAAAGGCTGAGAAACCTGTTTGTGTCCTTCGCTTATCCGAGTCTGCAAAGATCATGATACAACGTACACGGTATGTCAGCCTGTAACGTAAATATGAAGTCATTCAAGCCATCGTTTCTAGCAGATAGGTCGTATACCACCACTTGGCACGTGGTCGAGATCGTGCCTATCCAGACACCTCACCTCGCAATGAATCCTGCAACCACACCGGACAACGAGTAAGATCTGCTTACTGCACCGCGAATCCCGTAAGTAGAAGATCCATCGCGAAAGGCAGGAAGATATGTGTGTTGTTGATTCGCGCTCATCCTAATGCTGGTATAAGCTACATCAGTAAACCAGGAGAACCAGTTTCGTCGGATGTAGTCTCCAGGCGTTTCTTCGAGGTTATGAAAGCCAATCACCCTATTATGTTGAACTTGTACACGACGTTAAGCGAGATCTTCGCCATTTTGGTATTATCGTTTTACTGGAATCTTAATATGTTCTTGAAAAGTCCATGTGTATATTGGGCAGCAACATGCCACTCATGAGCTTTGCTGCCCGATTCACGGTTCAGTACTGCCACCGATCGGCAAGTATTTACGTTCGGTCCATACATCGCCAGTTTCATTCCTTTCGTTCTGTGCAAAGAACTGCCTGTCCATCAAATCGTGACAATTGATATGATCGACTTATCAATCTAACACACTGTCAATTGATCAAGCAAGAGATGGAACCGCTCTAGTTCAATCTCCATTGTTTCTAGAATGGGCTATTCTACCTCTATATACATCCCTAGGCCCTGCTTCACATCAGGAGCAGGTATGTGTCTATAACCTCAACAAGGCAACCAAGCATACATGCAGATTGTACTATACACACATTTTGTACAAGGTGATACCAATGTCGCTTTTTTCCAGTAATAGCAGAGGACGTGCGCGTGCTCGAGCCATCGCGAGGATTTTGCGATTCGCTCTGTAAAGAGAGTGCTGTGCGAGCAGGTCGGGCAGGATTTCGGAATGTCATTCGAGAGTAACAGAGCCCTCCCTCTTCGGAAAGCTCAATCAGTCGTACGAATCTCGTGGTCAAGATTACAACTTTCCCTGTATCCCCGACAACCACTTTTCACGTTCTGATCCTTCTATCGCACTAGCATGCATTTTCTGCCTGCGCTGCTCAGCTCGTATCCTACGGTTCTGTGAGTCAAGAGCAAGGATCTCGATGACACTGTCTACAACGGCCTCTCTCAATGGATGGTCGGCCTCCTTGAAGAAAACATTGAAGTCATCGTTCTTGAGGTTTCCGTCTATCACAGCTTGCAGTTCCCGAGGCCTGAGAGCCACGTTTGACATAGCATATGCAATGAAGCGGTCCAAAGCCTTGCGGTACTCAAGAATTATCTTGGCTGCACGAACGTTATTGTTGGCATCGTTGTTCCCGTCCGAAATGATCTCGTACCGTATCCAATCGTTGATGACAAGGATATTACCGTTCTCAAGACGAAGAGATTCTGCAAAAAGCATCCCTAACAATGACGAGACCACAGATGTTTCACATGCCCAAGGGTACTTATCACCTGGGACTATTCGTAGGTATGTGTAAGATAGAATGTCTCCTTGCTCTTGTCGCAAGCGATGCAGAAGTCTGTCCATCCTCAGGCTACCATGATTGACACTGCGTGGGGTAGCCATGGTTTTTTGTCCTTGCGACGAGAGCCAAAATTTACGATCCCAGGCAACAAGGCGAGAACCAGACGAACCGAGTAGCAAGGCCTTGACGAGATCGTCGTTGGTGCTGTTGGTGTCGAGAGCTGGTGGTGGCTGAACATGAAGGAGATTCGACTCCTTGTTCCGCAGCACACCTTGGTTGTTGTTTTCAACGTTCAGGAGAGGGAGCAATGTTTCGTAAACTTGGGTACTGATACGTGCCATTTCGTGGTAGGTATCTCGTCTTATGTACTGAGAGTTACACAGTCTGTCCACCTCAACCGCGTCGTGTTCTCGTAAAGCGTCATTAAGAGCGGAAAAGGCTTTCGCGTCAGCCAGACGATCATCACATGAAGATCCAGCAAAAGCCTTGCGCGCCCTGCCAGAAGCCGAAGAGGCATCAGGATTATGAATGAGCGGCCAGTCCTCCCGCACGGAGCCAACAAGTAACAAAGGGCTTAAGCAGCGGAAGATAATTCCCAATAAAACAGATTTAGCTGCGAACGGACGTATTGGCAAGTGACTAAGTATTGACCCCATCGCCGTCAGATATCCGTCGTCGTTGAGGGCTCGAAGGCTGGTCAATTGCTGGACTGCTGCACTCACGTTCAGGGCGCTAGGTGGCGAAGGTGCTGATTCTAGGATACTACCAGGCTTTGCTCTGTCATTCTTGTTACAGTTCGTCTTCGTGTCGAAAACCCTGCCTGCTTCAACTCGTAAGACTACCGAATCTAGAGATGCCCTAAGCATTTCGGGCGAAGGCTCAGCTGGCATGGCATCGTATTGTGCCTGGGAGAACATTGCGATATATTCACCGGACTGGGTGCGCCCAGCTCGTCCCTTCCTTTGAGCAACCTCCGCTTTGCTAATCCACCGAGTCCCAAAGTTGCCTGCTTGAGCCGATTGGTCAAAGTGATTTTGACGCGAATAACCAGTATCGACAACGTACTTGACGTTGGGCAACGTGATTGACGTCTCTGCGATGTTTGTTGCCAACACGATTCGGCGACAGTTCTCAGGCACTGGCTTCCAAACCTCGTAGTTGGAGCCGTAGAGTGCAGAATGAAGTTTGAAGAGCCTGTTCCTGGCCGTATCGCTAAAGTCGATATTTGGGGTACCACCTTTCAAAAGCTTCTCGAGCGCCTCAATCTCAGCCAGGCCGGGCAGGAAGACAAGGATATCGCCCTCCTGGCTGTTTTTAAGTAACGAATCTATCGTCAGTACAAGCAAAGGTAGAGGAACATACATTGTCCCGAGACTGTCCCGCACGGGATCCATAAGATGGTCATCAAGTGCCTCTACCTCTTCGTCCAAGCTCTCCCCGTCGTTGGTGCTTTCCGACTTCCGAGCATCTGCGACAGCTGGGACTTTTGTGTTGATGTGGTTCTGCGCCTCTATATATGCTAGCACTTTGTCATCGAACAAGTCAACCGAGGGATACTTTCGCCTAAGATTAGGGAGCCACTGATCGAGAAGTGTCGTCGTTATTGAGAAGCTTCTTCCTGGTATATCGATGCACGCCATAGAAGGTGGCACTTGTTCGTCTCGAGCGAAGAACGACTTAAAGAAGGCTGGGTCGATGGTAGCACTCATCAGAATGATCTTTGGAAGCCTGGACACTCCTGGCGGTGGATTCCTTCTTAGGTTCTTCAATGCAGTGAGAAGCAAGTCAGTATCAATGTCTCTTTCATGAACTTCGTCAAGAACGATGTGTGAAAAGCGCAGACATATTGTCCGAGGTTGCTGCTCGAATAAACGAAGCAGGTAGCCACTAGTCATGTAAGTGATACCATGACGCACGACTGGCGACTGGTCATCCCAGCGAACCTGATAGCCCACTTCATACCCCAGTCTCTGACGCCTTTCCTCCGCAACACGGCGGGCTACAGAGACTGTAGAGACTCTTCGAGGTTGCGTAACGACAACGTTGCGCCCCTGTCTCTTACCCTTTTCGTTGAGCTCATCAAGGATAAACTGGGGGACCTGTGTCGTCTTACCAGAGCCAGTAGCGGCTCTGATAACAATCAAACCATGGTCCCGGGTTGCATCGATAATGATCTTGTGATGTTGTGCTTCTGCAATTGGGAGCGTAACCTTGACAGGAATGTTATGGCGTCCTTCCTTCCTGCGGACGTCATCACGCACGGATCGACCATACTTACCTTGACGTCGTATCGACTTGGCCGGCTTTGGGAGTTCTGGCCCATCATAAGCTGGAAGCCACTGGTTTGGTGCTTCAAAATTCAGTCTTCTGAGGTCTCTCAACAGCTCAACCATCCTTGATAGAGTTTGGTCATCGATAGTGACCGTGTGGACACTTAATGCTTCTGCGTGAGGTTGCTCTCCATCTGTCAACGTGTCTGACGAGGCTGTGGCTGAGTGACCTGGTACATCCTCGTCCCAGAAGCGAGCAAGGGGCCCATATTCCGCGGCGGTAATCGCGTGTTTTGCGTATGCAGTTTGAAGGCGTGATTTGAGATTGACGGAAAGATGCGTCAAGGTCAAGATCCTTGCGTGCTTCTGGCGCAACCAGGTCACTTTGGGTCCAATCTGATGACAGTCCTCAAAAATAACAGCAGTCTGCCATAGATCATTGCTATGCCTGGGAGTTTCCGTAGTAATGCCATAAAGAATGTTCTCTTTGAAATCGAGTCTTCCAAAGCCGAGCGCACGTGCGGCTCTGCTGCAGAATTCTGCCGGATGCCACATACGACCAGCAAAACTCAGATATCCTTTCTGCAGTTGTCGTATCTTAGGATGAACAGCTCTGCAGAAGGCCAGGAAAGAGTCAAGCACGACAGTCTGCACCAGTCCCCTAGACGCAATATTATTCGTTATTGAAACTTCAAAATGATCATTAACCAGGGTGACTTCTCGTGGATATGCACCTGGATCCAGGCTGTCAACTGCTGTGAAAGGCGAACCGTCTCCTTTGAGCAGATCAAGTAGTGGCATCGCTTCGGCATTCTCACCACACGCAATAGACAAGAACCGTAGATTGTGCGGCCAAAACAGGTCGGGGTATCTATGAGCTTGGGCCGCAAACTCATCAAAATACTCGAGAAAATGTTCCGACGACATCGCGTCATTCATGATCTTGTTCACAAAGGTCAGGTCGAGCTCTTGATAATTCAAGTCAGGCCGTTCTTTTGTCAAAAGAGTGTTGTAGCCATGACTGCGATATCCTGGCTCAGATTCCTGGAGGGACAGGATCTTCAGGTTTAGATCTGCCGCCAATTTTGGCAATAGTATATCGCTCATGTATCCATTGCTAAAGCGAGCTGTTTGAGCGTCTGAGCGCAGGAAACGCTGGAGTCTCGCAACGTATAATCTTGGGTTTAATGCCTCGAAAACTGGAAAGACGAAAACAGGATTGCCCCCTGTAGATTCTGCTAGGTCATCCTGCCCACTGGTGTTGACCTGCTCTGGAGTGTCCGTGCTATTGCCTTGTCGCACTTCTTCAGAAGCGATCCACGGCTTGTTTGATGAGCCAGGATGAGTTTTTTCAGCCTCGCCAAGCTCTTCAGCAGCAACAGCCGTACTACTGCATCTAACCTGGAGTTCCTGAGACAACGGTCTCTCGTTCAAGTGGAGGAAGAACGGTTCGAGGATGAGCGAGGCATCTCGGCCAGCTGGCAACCTCACATAGGACCTGCGTGTGACGTCGAGGCCTCCTGTCCTATACCTTTGAACACTTTGGAAACGATCAGAAACGCTACCTGATATTCGACGCAACTGAACAGCGATGAGATGTGAAACGTGACCGAAATGTGAATTGCTGGAACTTACCCTGAGCTGCACTGCCCTCATAGTGCTGCGAAGAACAGAATATCGTGTCTTCCATCATGAAGACATCTATGGTTCGACGGATTGATACTTTCAACACTGCTAACAAGATCAGATGGTCGGTAATGGACTTTCTGTTGCTTGACAATGGGCAATGGTAAATTTGGAGACGACAAGGAAGTCGCGACGCACTCGTGAGCGAATGCCTCAGGCAGAACACATGCATATTGCATGCAGGTTCTACGGAACTACAAGATACAGCTTCTTCAATCCATCCCGAGCGCCATGCGAATAACCAAAACCCGTAGTTTACCTTGACAAGCCATAATACTTTAACAAACCCCATGCTTCGATGCTCGTTACCATCGTGTACTTCTTGTGAAGTCACCTGCAGAGCTCTCCTAGAATCTAGCTGGTGCACTAGCCTGGCTGAGATTAGAAATATCTCTTCCCATTGCTTCTCGGCTCAGCATCACGCCTCTTCTGGCTACACTTTTAGGGGTCTTGACCGGAACACTTTCTTCATCGACCTGCTTGCGCATGGCAACGCTTCGTGCTCGATCTCTCCTTGCTCTGATTTGCGCTAGAGCTGCTTCGCGAGATATCGGAGTACCAGGCAGCATAATGGATTGCGAATGAGTGTTCGGATCACTCTCATGTAGGGGTTGGCGTCCTCGTGGATTGGTCTCAATATACAGTGATTGAGTGTGTGCATGGTTCGAGATTGTCTTTGCCGTCCTGGACCTATCCTCCTCGGTATCACGTAGAGGCACCCTCGTCGTAGTGGTTTCCGATTGGGACTGCACGTGCAATGCTTGTAGCTGAGGATTCAAGTCGATCTGAGAGTGTGTACGATGCTGCCGATCCGACTTCTGCTTGGGAGTGACTGGCCAGGTGTTCGTCGCTGGGGAGTTTGGTTCGTTAGTGATCGGTCCAGGTGTTGGCGAGCGAGGTCTTGATTGCTCACGTGGACGAGACCGTGATCTGCGTTGAGTAATGGTGTTTCTCAACGGTGAGTCCTTCAGCGGAATTTGCATTGTTCGAGATCGTGGAGGCGAAGAAGCTGGGGTCAATGATTGATGATGATTGGGGGAAGGAGGTACCATCCGTATCGGAGACGCGATTGTTCGAACGCCTATAACGGTCGATGGTCGTGGTGGAAGGTATCTTGGAGGTCGGATGTCGAATAGATCGTCATTGGTATCGACCGAAACGGCGCTGTGGGACTGTCGCAGGACTGGCGTTTCTGGCTCGGCTGGTCGTCTGCTCGAGGTTGATGTCGAAAAGGCAAAGTGATTTGATGTAGCTGATCCTTCTGGCTCAACCATGACTTGAGTCATATCCTCGAGTGAGACCGTTGGCTCCAAATCGTCACTGCGTGGGGATGGTAATAGTATCGCAGCTGCTTCCCCTAAAGATACACCCTCGCTCTGCTGCTCAGGAGATGGCAAAGGCATAGCTCGAAGTGTAAGCTCTTCCACTTCTGGCTCTTCCAGGAATTCTCCATTCACCTCGTCATCCAGATCGGTCTCTTGCTCGGCGGTGTTCTCGGCCACTGTCGGACAATCCTGGTTCTGCGTAATTTCTGGGACCTGGGTCTCGATAGGCACTTCAGATGTAGGGATCTCCCTTTGCCGATTTTTCTGTTCCAGGCTTTCTCTAAAAGTGATGTATCGTGGCAGCGGAAGCTCATCCTCAGCCTTTCTCTTCACCCCTTTCAACAACGCGAGCTGCTGCTGTCTCTGGTCATAGACATAGTCGTGCACAAATCTCGTACCAGCTGTTTCAGCCATACGGCAAGGACAGGACTTGAACTGACATTGCATATTCATGAAATGTACAAGATCTTGTTCTCGTTCGAGCTGACTTCTGACCCATCCAAGCTCATCTTTCAGCTCTTCAATCACCTCGTTGTGGAGTGCGGACTCCAAATTCGCCAGTCCTGTGCACCTTGAACAGCTGGGCTCTGGTTGTACTTGCTCACTTGTAGGAGTTTCTTGAAGCTCTACCTGCACACCCACTTCTCTGACCTCGGGTCTAATCTCTTTCTGTGCTTCAAGATCTTCCATCATTGTCTGTATGACCTTTAGACTTTGGGTTTCACTAAGCAAAAGGTCTCGCTCTCGCTTCACAACTTCCAACTCTTCGAGATTGCTTGCGAGAGTCCTTGCTCGTTCGAACGCTTCTTGTCTCGACTTGTCTTTTGCCTGTCTCTCATGCTCGGCTCGAACCTTGAAAGCCTCCTGCTCATTACGCGCTTCGTGCAGCTCTTGCTGGCACTTGATAAGTGCTAGCTCAGCTTTGTGGACTTGCTTTTTCATGGCCTTGACCTCTTTCTCGCTTTCCTTGTGTTCGTGCCTCGTCCTAGAATGCGCATTCTGTAGCTGTTCCATTAGCGATTCCACTCTTTCTGCTACTAAACGTTCTCGGTTACGTGATTGCTCGAGTTGTGCCTGTAATGCATGGACCATTTCCATGAGGTCTGAGGGATCACTCGGGGCTGAGAAGGTGCTGTTGGCCCTGCTGTGAGCTTTTATTGGAGAATTGAAGGCTGATCGAATCGGACTTCGTGTTGGCGAGGCGGCAATCGCGAAGCTATTCGTATTGATACTGCCATGTTGGTTGTTTGAGAAAAAAGCAATTTTTGACCTAATATCTGTCACAACACCAAGTTCGGATTCATGGCGAGATGGTGACTCGGGTTTTTCGTCCTGGTGAGCTGGCATAGACGGCGATTGCCATGGCCGTAATTGATTGAAGCGATCCTGTGAGATTTGTTGTAGAGGGGCCCCGGGCACTGCTTGTGCTCCAGATGTACCTTCTTGTTCCATCACTATCCCTACAACTCCGATTAAGGTGTATATTGTTGCATGTAGACCAGCGCACTATGGTTGTGGTTGCAACCTGGAAATCCAGGAAATGATCGCAAGCATTCATTAGCATTATTTACATTTGGCCTGGAAGGGGAAATATGATTGGACTCCACCCAATCTGGTGGGCAACCAACCGAAAAAGCTCGGCTAACAAGTGCTAGCTCAAAGACTCGGTAATGGCTGGACTCATCCAACAACGACAGTTCAACGACGGCAAGTCCCAGTATCTAATCGCTTCCAAGCTGTCCTAGTACTCATAAGAGGCAGAATACAAGTTGTATTGACTGCTGACAAAATACATATTGCAAGACTTTCAATGTCCTTCTCATTTGGACATCTTTCACGTTCATTAACTGTTTTGCTCTAGCTCGTCTCGACTGAAGACTCTGAACTGATAATTCTATTACAACCTGGAACAACAACTAGCATTCTCGTCTGTTCAGCTGTGCCACCGTAGTAGCACTTCCTAGAATTACCGCATTGCTAAATATGTCGAAAAGCAATTACATTCATTGAAGACCTCCAGCCTTCCAATGTCATTCAAAACATAAGAGGTGCATATCAGTTCGTTCTTCCACTTCCAGCAACTCCTGTCATGTGCAGCGCATCACGACATACATCCTCGACTATTTTCAACGCCCAGAGAAACCCCTAAATAAAGACTTTGTTGCTATCATGAGCAGTCCATATCGACATCTTGTCTTGGTTGTAGGAATGAAGCCTCCCCAAAATCCATTGCCTCCATGCCACAGCTCCGTATCCTTTGGTGACCCAAGCCCGACCTGGGTGGAGCGATCTGTGCAAATGGGTTGATAACAGGCACAGGTTGCTGTGGTACAGCCCTTAGTCTCGACTTCGGCTGTGCCAACCTGCGATTATGATTGACAACCTGTGGCGCTGGAGATTGAGTGGAACGAGCAATGTTGCTCATATTGTCTGGAAGTATATTGAAGTAGTCCTGGGGAATAGATGGCCCCATTTCACCATCGGCATATTCCAACTGCGGCGTCCTCGGCATAAAGTCCTGGCTGTCGTCACTATCCGGGTCATCTTCGAATTGCTGACGTCTTTTCGATGCCGTGCTGTAGGACCAAAGCTTCTGCTCTTGTATAGCGGGCGCTGAGCTGACGTGAGCCATCATGGCTAGGTTAATTCCACAGAATGTTGCGGTGCTCAAGTTTTGTGGTCCTGCGGAAGAGGCATCAGCATCCGTTCCGCCCGACAAAGCAGATCTCGTCTGAGGTGAGAGTCGGTTGAAGTTCGCGAAAGGTCGAGGAGTGAAGGCGCGTCTACCTGGAGTGTTCTGATAGCCATCCGCAACTGATTTGCGTACTCGCATGCCGACTTGCAAGAGTTGTGCTTCTATCTCTTGTTGTGAAGGAGATCGGTCATCTGCCTCGAGCAGTAAAGGTGTAGTTGCTCCATCTTCCGATGATACAATAAATGGTAGTGTGTCGGGAGCAAAGCGCCGTCGTTTGTTCAACGAGACTTCACTATGCTGCATGGTTCCCTGCTGGAACAGAGCGACGTTGCCGAACATTTTGAAGAATAGCTGAAAAGTTGGCTGGTACAATTGAAGACTCGATTGTTGAGCGAAAGATGAAGGCTCAAGCAAACGTCAAGAGTCTGAAGGAGCCACGATACGAGAGCCGTTAAAGTGTTTGAAAAGTGACGGATAGTCAAGTTGAGATTCAGCAAAAGGAAGTAAACGAGTGTACTCTACGAGGTGCAAGAACGGAGGTCCGAGATAGATCAGGGTTACAATCGTTTGGGACGGGAATATGAGAAACTCTTATCCCAACCCACCATGCAGCTCCTGGGCGAAAGAGCTCAAAAAGGACGAGGCGCAGGTGAGTGAGATGAAGGTGGAAACCAGAGCGCTTTGCTTCCGACCACGCTCAGCAGGAGTTCGGGTCTCTGTCTAGCTATAGGAGCAGACTCGGCCAGGGGACAAGTTTGGTGCTTTCTCGTCATTCAGGCGCACAAGCTTGACCATTTTGGTTGCGTCCACTATCCTTAGGGGGCTTAGTAAAATCAGCCTGGCTTGTTTTCCTCATCTCCTCACGAGCACGATGACGGGAAAAAGTGGTTAGCGTAGAGGTCTCGACCTCTCAGATTGCTTGACGGACGAGGTTCCTGGAATCAGGATAACAACCTCCGTGAGCTAACAATAGTGGCGGACGCACCAATACCCCAGTTTCACAGAAGGCTGGGCCATTGCTAATTTCAGCTGCATCAGATTCGGTTTCGACCAGTGATGAGATTTACGCGCATTCAGTGCTGATATATTTTTCGCGTTATTTTCGTGTCAATTGCCACAGTACCGTGTTCGCGTGCCTGCAAGAAGAAACGAAAAGATTGACGGGCAACGGCATCCTCATCAAGGATCATCGTACGATCAAGCCGGCAGCCCTCCGACGACTGCATATTGGGCTCGCAATGTTCACTCAGTGCTGGACCATTGCTTAATAGCTTGGGTAGAGATTACGTTTTGGGATCTTAGGAGCTGGTATTGATTATCGAGACACGCATGCACAACACTACCCAACCTGTTGAAAGAGACCATGTCGTCAATGTATCGTTTAGGTCTGACGTTACTGAGAGTATTTCTAGCTCAAGACCAGTATGATGATGACTCTGAAGAAGCCTGTAGCAAAGTCTGCAAGGTTCGGGGACACATAAACTGCCGGTCCCTGGCAGTGCCGGCAATGTGTAGTAAAGGTCAGAGCCGCTTGCTGATTCACTTGACCATGATAGCTGATGTTTCACGTGTCCGAGTCGGTGTTAGAGACGCTCAAGACCTCCTGTAGTCAGATCTAGGTTGGCTGCAACAGAAGCTGTCGATCTTCTCGGTTGTCCAAATAATTGCCTGGAAGATCCTGCACAACCAACTAACGACTTTTTCAATCCAGCTCCAATACTCTGACTTCGCGCCTTCTTTCAACTGACCAGGAGCAGCTCATACTTCCCACGATTCAATAAGAAGTGACATGTCTGTAAAAGGTTTACCCACTCCAAGACCATTTGCTAGAGGATCCCAATCATCACACTCGACACTTTCGTGTTCGCGATTTTATTCAGCTATATCCCGAACCTTGCTAGCAATTCAATGACTCGCTTAAGTTCGAAATCGTGCATCTTACATGTATAGCTTTCTGAATGAAGGCGGGCTGGATGGACGTCGCTTAGGAGGCACAACAATACTACTCTGTCTGGATTCATGGCAACGGACGAAGCCCCCCAGAGGCCTGCTTACCAGCAGAAGAAAAGAGAATCCACCTGTATGGGAACACCGTCGACTAATCGAGTCTGTGTGGAACACTTGCTACATCACCGTGTTATAACAACCTTCTGAGGGGCAATTCCTCTATGCGTCAACTAAAAGAGTAGGATGTTGAATGGTTTCAGAACAACCAAGTCGTTGCCTGCCGCGCAGCTGTTTGCGACCACTTTCTTCACGTTGAGTCTTCACTACAAGCTCTACCAGCATTATAGGTATAGTTTTACACTTACGTTCGTGCCGGTGCAAATGCTATTTTTCATAGCTAGTCGGGCAGTTTGACCCTGGAGCGGCACGTGTATTCAAATGCAGAACCTTTCTTCGGGCATGCATGGCAGATCGTGTCACAGAGAGACTCGAGGAAGATCGAGGTTCAGCAGTGCCCCTGTCGTCCAGCATTTTGTGTAAGCTCGTGGAAGAGGTTGAAGTCACAACGTCGTTTTCATTTTCCAATTTCTGGTGCTTGCCCGAAAGCTGATATCACGGAGGGATGTCGATGCCTATTTGCACTTGTACTCTGAGCACACCCGATGATCCATTCTGGCGAAAAGGTATGCAGATTTAAAAGCAAGCGGCATGACTCGTTGTGTACCGAGGCAAGCTAATTTGATGTTCAGTGCAATGTTATCTCGAGAACGTTACATTTCTATGCAGTGAGATCGACAAGCTCCTGACTACTGCTTCTTACTCTCCCCATCCAGCAAATCGTATTCGCTCAATGCAAGCAGAAGCGTCATCAAGCTTCGTACCCCAAAGTCTTGTTTTCCAGAAGAGGCAGGTAGCAAAATAGTTTATCTTGTGCTGCAGTATGATGGCGATGTTTAAACAAGCATAACCATCACTGTTCGAAGTTGTTCTGAGAGTCAAAAAGTACATCTACCCTCGAACTACAGTCGCTCTCAGCATTTTAGCAAGACTTCGAGTATACACAGCGTGGAAAATTCTTAAAGATAACCATCACATTAGGATTTGAGGACGCAGCATCATGCGCGTCTCATCAGTGTTTGCAGTACTTGAAGCTGCTTCGGCAGTAGTAGCAGGTCCGGTAGCTCGGTCGACATATTCAATCAAAGGTTCACATCCCGCTCCAAGAGGATGGCGCCAGCTGGACCGAGCTCCAGCTGATCACACATTAGAGTTACGCCTGGGTCTAACTCAAGGAGACTTTGCTGGCCTTGAAAAGCACCTCTTCGAAGCTAGCGATCCGCAACACCGCAAGTATGGTCAGCACCTTTCAGCAGAGGCTGTCCACGACTTCGTCAGGCCTGCAAAAGAAGCATCAGATGCGGTTCATGAGTGGCTCTTTGCAAATGGTATCCTACCGAAGGATATTGCGTACACTCCTGCAAAGGACTGGCTCAAGGTTATACTCCCGGTTGGAAAAGTGGAAGAGTTGCTTGACACCACCTACCACGTTTACGTCAGTGACGACGGACGAAGTGCGGTCAGGACTCCAGAGTGGTCACTACCTCTTCACCTCCACCATTATGTGTCCACAATCCAGCCCACCAACTCATTCTTCGGCCCACGTGCACAAGCGAGAATGGACAAGCGAAAGGCCGAAGCTCTGATGGACACGAAGAACATCGCTGAATACATTCCACCTCGACCAAACGCAACCACTATCGACGCTGTGTGCAATACCACATGGGTGACCCCTCTCTGTCTGCGTACCCTGTATGGGGTAGCTGACTACACGCCTCAGTCAACCGACAAGAATACAGTCGCAATGAACAACTTTCTGGGTGAGGTTAGCATACGATCAGATACTGCGCTCTACCTTCAGAACTTTCGACCTGAGGCTCTGGGTGCCGAGAACGAGTATCCAGTCATCTCAATTAATGGTGGAACAACCAATACCGTGCTCAACCAGACAGAGCTAAAAGCACTCACTGGGATTGAGGGAAATCTGGACGACCAGACGCTGATTGGTGTTGCATGGCCGACACCGTTAGAGATATACTCAACAGGCGGAGAGCCTCCCTTCACTCCTGATATGACCACCCCAAAGAACACAAATGAACCATACCTTGTCTGGCTGGACTATCTACTCTCATTACCGGATCCCTTACCTTCTGTCATCTCCACCTCTTACGACGATGATGAGCAAACCGTACCTAAAGACTACGCTGTTCAGGTCTGCAATGCTTTGGCACAACTTGGAGCTCGAGGCGTGAGCGTGCTCTTCGCATCAGGCGATGCTGGAGTTGGTGGTGCTGGCGAGTGCTACACGAACGATGGTCGCAACGCAAGCACTTTCCTCCCGAATTTCCCGTCGTCCTGTCCCTACGTCACCTCTGTTGGTGGAACATACAAGTTCAATCCCGAAGTTCCTGTCTTCCGCAATCGCTCGACTGGCCTCTACACCGCTGGTGGCGGCGTCAGTTATTACTTCTCAACTCCCGCCTATCAAGTTGAAAGTCTCATGACCTATTTCGAGAAAACTGGCGTGGTTGAGAAATATGCTGGTCTTTTCGATCCCAACGGGCGTGCCTATCCTGATCTTTCAGGCCAATCGCTAAACTTCACAATCTTCTATAATGGAACACTGCGACCTGTCAGTGGTACAAGTGCCTCGACGCCAGCTGTGTCTGGTATTCTTGCTCTTGTCAACGACGCTTTGATTGCTGCTGGTAAGCCTACTCTTGGCTTCCTGAATCCGTGGCTGTATAGTGGTGGATACAAGGCTTTCAATGATGTTACTACCGGGTCAAACTATGGTTGTAATACAGAAGGCTTCCCTGCGGTTGAAGGATATGATATTGCGACCGGCTGGGGAACACCAAATTTCAAGCAGATTCTCGCACTGCGTGGTGTCGAAGTTGATGGGGTGAATGAAGTCTGGGAACATTGGGAGTGAGCACGAACGGCGGCGGTAAAGGCGACACGATCGCATAATTTGGACACAAAAATTTCATAGTGCTGGTTCTTTGTGACTTACAGTGGCACAGGTGTCAAAAGGCACAGCGATGCTTAGATGTGGAAAGCGAGCCTCTGAAACTGCCTGCGACAAGCCGATGACCAAGAGTGACTGCGTTTATTGAGTGAGGAATGCGACTTCGACACGAGAGATGGAATTATGTCTCGCTGATTCATGTGCCATGATAGCGTATGCACGTTCACCAGTCGCTAGGTTTTGCGATCTTGAAGACGTGCGATGACAGAAACATGTAAGAGCGCCATAACCGGATTACTAGGACGGTTGAGGAGATGAGTTCGAAGCAGGGGAGGCTGACCAATTTATTTGGACAAGCGCCATAAACAAGCCAGGAATTTAGCTTGCTGCAAAACAGTGGTGGGGATTGTCCAACAACGAACCACCTCCCTCGAACAGTGTCCTCGCTCGACCCACTATGAATAGCCTTTTAAGAATTGCCTACTCAAAACCAGGAAGTGCTGAAAGGCGCTTTTGCTGCATCGGATAGCTTTCGGTACTAGATACTGAGACCACTTGCGAAAGTTAAGAAAGAAGAGCTGCAATGCGCTAGACCTTGATCTTCGAAACCATCCCTACTCGTGGCCAGCCATTGAAACTATGAAAGGCAACCATGCGAAATCGTACCCCGCTCCAATTGACGATCCTTACTATCGTAATGCAGCAGAATGTTCAGCACCACATATTGATAGCACACAATTCACATGTTCTGTTTTCATTCTCTGATAAAGCCCGAAATTGAATCTACATTACGCAGAGGTCTCGAGGCACCGAATATGGCTGTATCAACGCCAGTCAAATTGCCTGATAGCAATCGACGACCACTACTACTGTAGGACTACCTGTGCAGACACAAAGCCGCAGTTGCCGCAAACACACTGGGTTAGCGCGTCGTATTCGTCCAATAATATGGTTATCATACTCCACAAGTGGGTGCGGTAGAGGTTGAGGCAAGTCTGTTCCAAAATACTTGCCGCCTGGACTGGGGCTCGTCGAGCACAGAGTGTGGCAAGTCTTTCTGAAAATCGAAAGTGACTGCACTGATGCTGGCTGCTGGCTGCTCCTGCCACTCTTTCTCTCGACTTCGCAATTCCTCATCCTCCCACTGCCCATACTTTGCACGCCGACCATACCCAGACGATTACAGATTGTCGTTTCGCATGATAGTTGCAGAAGTCTTTGTTCCATTGCTGATTGCTTCTGACCTGCCTACCCTCGACCTCAATTCCGTCCTTGCGAGCCACAAATCCTCAATCTAGCGACAACGATAGCCACTTTTTACCACCAAATTCACTTCTCTCGTGTTAAAACTTGAGGTTCTGCAACTCACACTGCTTAGCCGGAGTTTTGTATCAAAATTAATAACTTGCGACAAGTATATACTGGTGCACCTCTCCTGCCAAATCGAGCCAATGTCAGAAAACGATCGCCAGTGAGGGCCTAATACTTAGTTCGAGCAGGAATTGTCATTGAACCTCATCTCCCTCAGCTGCGAAAACGTTTCTGTCGAAAAACTGTGTCAAACTCCCAGCGTTGGAGACGACGCAGGACAGATCAAGCCGATGACAACTTTACAGGATTAGCGACAAGACATACTCGCATGAGGAGGCTTCTGTCTGATTATGACAGAAACCTCCTCTCTTCTAAAGACGTATTCCATACCTAGTTCATACTCGGTCACCGCCATCCCTGCCTCGGTCTCTCCTATACCAAATGGCCAGCTCTCTCCTCCTATCATCCCTGACGAAGAGGAGTACACTATAAAATGTATCTGTGGCTACAATGATGACGATGGGAATACTGTCTTCTGCGAAAAATGTGATACGTGGCAGCACATCGTGTGTTACTATCGCGACAAGAAGGTGCCCGAAGTCCATCTCTGTACCGATTGTGCGCCAAAGGATACATTCCCTGACATCAGTGTTGAGAGAGCAAGAGAGAAGCAAAGGCGAGCCAGGGAGGTACTTGAAGGTGGTGGTGACCGAAGAGCAAAGAGGCCGGCTTCGAAGAGTCAAAAGAAGAAACATCGAGATACACTTACAGGCCAGGACTTACCAAATGGTTGGCTAAACTATGAACGTCAAGATTCTTCAGTGAACGGAAAAGATCACCCGCCGCCACCGAAGAAACCAAAGACATCGCACCGAGCCACCGGTTCTGTTGCTTCGATCAACGGTGAGACCAGGAAACGAGCATACTCGAATGTAATATCATATCCTAGTCCGTCCAGGTCTCCTCAAGAATTGTACAGATCGCCTTCCATACCACAGTACACACCGGAGTTCTTGGATCTCTATACTCATGATGAAGGCGATATTTCTGCTGAGGGCAACGAATTGACCATTCAGGGCGTTGCCGCCATAACGGCATGGAAGAAGGAACCCTCTTTGGTAGCAAATTCTTCCGAAAATGCGCAGAATGATAAGATCTTGTTTGCAAGGGCTGAAGGTGATTGGCACGTCGACCAGTGGCCTTCTGTGTCCGTTGAAACGATTCAGGGAAAAGATGAAGTCGACACAAAGACTCCAATATGGAAACTGATCCGCCTGCAATCTGATGTGCGCAAGGGAACAATTATAGGCGAAATTTGTGGTCAGGTCGGCACGCTCGAGGAATACTGCCAGCAACTCAACGGTCCCAACCGCTGGAAGGAGCTATCTCACCCTGACCCCTTCGTGTTCTTCCACCCTCACAGGGACGTCTATATTGACAGCAGACGATCTGGCACCACCTTCCGCTATATTCGCCGATCATGCGATCCCAATGTCACTATGCGCTCCTACATAACGGCTGATGGCGAGGTGCATCATTGCTTTGTTGCCAAGGATGATCTTCCAGCTGGCACAGAGCTCACAGCGAGTTGGTATTTGAACCCACAATTGTTTGTCAACGATGCCTCTCGTGATGACAAAGAACAACTTTTCCAAGAACGCTGTGACTATATTAGTCGGGTCCTGGCAAATTTTGGCGACTGTCATTGTGGCTTGTCTCGATGTCGACTAGATGGCTTTGACCGAAGAATTGTCCCGAAGTTGTTGGAGCCGCCTAAAACAACAGTTGTTCGCAAAAGAAAACTGAAAACTAAGCATACTGTCTCACCCACAAGTAACGGACAGCCGACTACAAGTAGAGCTGGTAGTGAGACTATAAGAGCGCCGGAAGAGGACGATGATCACAGGTCATCTTCAGGTTCCTCAGGCAATGGCATTCGCAGTCGAGATCTCACCCCCCAAGGAGGTGCCTTGCTTGACGAACCTCCTGTGCTTGGAGCTGGCTTGACCCAAAGGGAGATACGGAAAATACAAGCATTAGAGAAAGCCCAGAAAGAGCAATCACAGAAAAGCGAGAAGAAAACAAAGAAGCGTCCTAGCGGGCCCCTCAACATGCACACACCCAACTCTGCATCTAGGTCCAATATGGATCTCAAAAGATACTCTGGATCACCTCCGCCGTCCCATGTACTCAATAACAGCAGCAGATCGACACCTGTCAAGCAACTCTCAAAACCAGTGCGGCCTGTTTATGTATCTACCGCTGTCCAGACCGACCCTGAACCATGTGATCCCGACATGCCACAGTTGAAGAGGAGGAAGTTTTGCACTCCCACCCAGAAACTGCTCAAAAAGCTTCTGCAGCATCGAACACAGCATCACGCAGCACAAGTTCCTGTTCGTCAGGATGTGAGTGAGGTGGAGCAGTCTCCCGATATCGAGATGAAAGACGCTACCACTAGTGTCTCGCCGTCGCCTACTGCAACAAAATCGGCTCCTACCTCGCCACTGCTCGAGTCGGGAAGAGCCCTTCCAGTACCATTACCGTCACAAGCGGCGCATACTCACAAGGTACATACAGTTTTCAAGCCTCCTGCTCCACGATTGAACTTGTCGACCCTGCCTCCGGTCCCTACCTTTCCGAGCACCTCGACTAGTGCATTAAGTGTCGCGACACCATCTCCATCGTTAGCGCAGTCGCCAAACTCATTAGGCCTTAACTCATCGAACTTTTTCGCAGGCAATCTTGTCAACCCTAGTCCAGCTAAGAAGAAACTAAGCCTTAGTGACTACAAGAGTAGGAAAAAAGAGTCGGCCACACCTGTCCCTGAGAAGTCAACGCAATCGTTGCATGCTTCTTCGGACAGTCAGAATGAGGCCGAGATAGACATGGAGAGATCGGCAGAGTCGTCGGATGTAGTTGCTGCAGCTATAGCGCCTGAGAATGAACAAGCTGTTGAGGACATCCCAATGACGGATGCTGACTCGGTTGCGAAAAGGGACATCAATCAGGACGAAAAGCAACGGTCGTTATCGAGTGGCGTGCAGAACATACTATCTTCGCTACAAGAGATGCAGAAAAGGCAGAGTTTATAAAGAGTGTGCTATACTATTCAAGCGGGCGTTCCTTGTTGTTCCTTGGCGATTAAATAGAGATACTTCCTTTCGCAAGGGTTGGACATGATGTTTACGACAGATGAAATGATTTGATCACATCGGCTGGATAGGAACGTGGTGAGAAAACGCGCAAGATTAGTCTTTGTTTTTGGTAGCGTTTCATTTCTTTGATTTGTCTAATATAAAATGTGCTCGTGGAAGAGCTTTGGGAGAGGGCTGAGGCAGGTGTCAGACCTGGTGATATCAGTATTTAGCAATGGCAACAGCTTGCCGTGTGATTGTGTTTTGCTATAATGTTGACTATCGTGTAGTACCTATTGTAGCAGCCATAGGTGGTAATTCGCTGCTAAGCAGCAATAGGTTCCTTTCACCTGATCACGCAATCTGTATCGTGGGAAGTCGTGACTGCCTTGATTTATGATGCTACCAACATGACTCTCATTTCGAAATGGATTCGAACAATTTACACTGTTTCCTGTACTCCGTAAGCCCAGGTGATGGGGCTAGAAGAACTCGAAACACTGTGTTCGACAAAAGAACATTTTCATTGCGCGTAAATAGCCGTGGCAGTACCCTGTCTGGCTATTTTTCTTCGTTCTTCTGCGAGCAATCAAAGCACTACAGTAGGTCCGTCCTCATTGTGGCTTGCTTAACCATTCGATCAAACTCATCGCGAACGAGATGGTTGTTAATCATTTCATCTATGACTTCGAGCACCACAAGCAAGTGCGACCAGCCTTCTGACTTCATGGCTATGTGGCCTTTCATCTGAAGCGATGTTCCTTCTTCCAAGCACGCCATCAAGTACGCATCGTCGGATCGACCTATGGGACGTTTTCGAGGTAGAGGTGTGCTCGATCATCCGCTATGACAAATGCACCTATTGCACAACACCGAGCACCAAGCACAAGCTTATCCTTCAGCTTCCGTGGTGAATTGCAGATATAACGTTCACACCTCCCTGGCCATGCAGAAGCTAATTCAATGGTAGCAGAGCACACCGAAGCATATATCTGCTACTTGGGAGTGGGCTTTGACTTTACTTGTGAACAGCTGAAGATGTCGTCTACACCACAACCTTCACGGGCTCAAATACGTCGTCCTTCGTTCTTGTCAAGTGTCGCGAACGTGATCTCAGATACGTTTTCGTATTCGCAAATCCAGGGTTCGCCTCTGAGCTCTTGCCCATCTAGCCTCCTCAGCAATATTGACCCAGAGCTGGACACGCGCGTATTGTCACGGGAAGTATCTCCTGCAAGAAAGCTCGTGTCGCAACGCACGACAGAACGAAAGTCGTGAATATGGCAACGCACACCGTGCAGAACCTCAAAGAGAGCAAGGACAGATATGCATCGACATTCATATCCGGTTCCCTCGCTCTGCCACCAGCGAAGGAGTATCTCGTCCTAACCTGTATGGACGCTCGTATTGATCCAGCTGCTGCCTTTGGGATCGACCTCGGCGACGCTCATGTCATCCGTAATGCTGGTGCGCTTGCTCAAGATGCTTTGCGCAGTATCGTCATTTCTCAGCAGTTGCTCGGCACTCAAGAGATCCTTCTCATTAAGCATACTGGATGTGGAATGTTGATATTTCAGGACGAAGATGCGTGTGGCGTTGTTAAGCAGAATCTAGGGTAAGTGTGGCTAGGTGGGAAGTGAATTCGATACTGACGCGTCTCCCAGGGATGAGGCTCATCAAGAGCTAAGAACACGAAACATTCAGTTCGGGCCTTTCCCAAACCTGGAGAAGGCAGTTGAGGATGATGTTGCGCTTTTGAAGAATAGCAAGCTTGTTTCTGATAGCATTGCGATTAGTGGGTGGGTTTATGAGGTTGAGACTGGAAGGGTGAAGCAGATCGTTTAGTTCATAGGTCTTTCTCAAGTTGGCTTAGACGTCGACAGCCGACGTTCAAAGATCCAGCTGGCTCGAGGTCATAAGTAGTCATGTAGCAAGATAGGGTTAATGTATTAAGGAAGCAATTTATCTCAATCTTTGGTGCTATCGAGGCTCGATTCAGACTTGTGGTCATCTAGTAACCGTTTCGAGCAGCAATTCACATACAAGATCGGTTCATTTTCCGCAGGCCTAATGTGGCGAAAAAATCACCAAAAAATCATGCACAAGTTCACGTCCGTCCAAAATCGAGAAAATGACATTGAGCAGCTTAAGAAGAAAGAAGAGCAAAAAGAAAATGGTCACTACGAGGGTCGAACTCGCGACCTTGGCGTTATTAGCACCACGCTCTAACCAACTGAGCTAAGCGACCAGTTCGATCTGAAATTGATTCGAGCTGATTTGTTGGTCAAAAGATTTTTCATTACGTACATGAAGCGGCGTTCAAGATGGAAGTACGGTACGGAAAGGTTCCGATGATCACACGTCCCAGTTGAACATCGATCAGGTTTGGCGTGCGCCAATACAGTGGTGGGAGAGTACGCTCGCAAAAGATTCTGCGTCCACTCGAGAACGTGTATGCCTTTTACCGTCGCCTCAGAAGATTATATCCTCAAAAGCTCGAGAAGCACATTGTAATACGATCTTTAGATGAACTGGAATATCTTACGACCTAGCTGCATAGTGAGGATCACAGCATGTCCTTTGGCCCCTAACAGCCACGTCTATTGTTGTCTATCGAATCGTACAAGTCACGGCATCTCACCTGTTCCATCACCACTGTCCTGCCCAGCACCTCTCATCTCCTCGAATTCTTTTTGCCTCTGCATTTCCCACCTCAGCCACTCTGCCTCCTCCCTCATCTGCTCTTCGGTCCTATTCACTCTTTTCGCATCCGCGTCAGGACCACCCTGGATTTCTCTCTCGCCACCCTCCTCCTTCATCCTTCGCTGTCTCTGCAAAGCCTGATACTCCTCCCACACTTTTCCCAAATTCCCCTGCTGCCCATCCATCCACTCATACACTTCGTCGCCATTAGCTACATCCCCATCTCGCCGTGGTATAATATGCACATGTACATGATTCACGCTCTGGCCCGCTGCGGCGCCATCTTGAACAGCGACGTTTAGCGCATCGGCCTTGAATACCCGCTCGAGCATTTCCGAGACGCGCTTGACCGTCAGGAAGAGATCGGTAGTTTCTGCATCGCTGAGTTGACTTAGTCTTGGAACACGACGGACAGGGCAGACAAGACTGTGGCCAGGAAGCAGAGGGCGGAGATTGACCAGAGCATAACTCAGGGAATTTGCCGATACGTAGAAAGCTTGAGAAGTCGTGACTGGGAAAGGTCCGAAGGTGAGATTTGGAGGAAGCTTTAGTGGCGGAAGTCGCATATCTGGGGTATCTGAGGATGAAGATCGGCTTATCTGCTTAGAGGACTCGCTCTGACCCTCTAGCTTGGTCGTGGTCATAGCAACATTGGGAGTTCGATGCAACGAGTTCTGATATTATGATTTTGTTGGCGTGTCGATGAATTGCTGTCTTTTGCAGATCGCGAACTTTGCACGATGGGAAGGAGAGCTCTTTTCGAGACCTACTTATTGCTTCGAAGCTACCGAGTGCTTCCTAAAGAATTGAACCTATGAGCATCGCTCCTTTGCCGAACGAAGATGACTTGTACACATATTCCTACAATCAATGCTCCGTGGGTTTGTGTTGGTCGTATGCGGCAGTGATCGAATGAGGCTCAACGGCATGTCGCTGTGAATAACAAGTCCTCGGGCATGATAAACCTTCGGATGACGTGTGAAGTGACTACCAAAATGAAATATAGACTACACAATCACCACCGTGCTCGAAATGTATTTCTTGAATGCGCATTGGTGTCGTTATCCATGCAGAGAGCTTTTTGCTATTTGGCATTTTTACACAATTTCTCAGCTGTAAGCGATCGTTTTGTGCGAAGGTATTCACCAATCAACATCCAGGTGCCTGCGAATTGAGAACACAACATGACTGAAAATGGCGAGGTGCAACAGATAGCCCTCTCGGCAGACATGACATCTTCCAGGAGTGGCACATTTTACTTTGCATTCGGCTCGAACTTGTCACCCACGCAAATGTCCTTACGTCTGACAAGTGGCACGCGATCAAGCAAGCCCGTTGCAATAGCACGATTGGATGGATATGTATGGATAATATGCTCGCGAGGCTACGCGAACGTTGTGGCACTGCCTGCTTCAAATCAAGCAAAATACGAGAATACAGTATGGGGCGTCGTGTACAATCTGTCGGCTGAGGATGAGGCACGATTGGACGTGTATGAAGGCCACGATAATATCCGAAATCCACAGCCTCAGATCAATCCAGAGCCTTCAAAACAGCAGGAGGTACCTTACCTGCAGGGTGACTGGGATTACAACAAACACTACCTACCTGTAACGGTCACAAAGTGGCTGCACAGTCCGAAGGAGTATGGCATTGAGGTTCAGAATTGGTTGGATGACCATACTCAGCCTGTATCGGTTCGTGCTCTAGTATATGTCGACGAAATAAGGACTCAGCCCGGTAAGGTCAATCAGGAGTACATTGGCAGAATGAACCGTGCGATCAGAGAAAGTGTTCAGCTTGGCATACCTCAATCCTGGATTGATGCGGTTATGCGAAACTATATTCCAGCTGGTATTGAAGTCGACCATGATGGCTATGTAGGTACTGAAAAGGGTTATGTAGAGGCGGAGGCAACTGAGACTGCATCCGATCTGAAGGAGAGAGTGCTTCGGGAGATGCAACAGAAGCAATCCCATGGAACTTCGCAATGAGTCATCATTATGAAAACTGTCCCGCGATGTGTTGCGATTGCGGTTGTTATGCTAATTCGCCTGATAGGATACCATGGTGAGCGTTGACCTCGATGTCTGAAAGAGTCTCTTGGGATCAGGCGCTACATTCCTTGGATCTCGAAGCCTGAGGTCAGGTTTGAATAGAACAGCAGTATGTACCCTATTGCTGCCTCTATCGGGTTTTACGACACGTCAGGTGTGATGTGCGATGATGTTGACGACGCCGGATAGGGAGTGTTTGGTCGTTTGTAGAGTAGAGCAACAGACAGATTCAAGCTTTGCGAACTAATTGTTCTGGACTAGCCTCGACACGTGACACTGCGATGTATCACTTTTTCCTCACCAGTCTCCAGAACTTCAAGGTCAGTTCCCCAAGGCTGTTCTGCTGTTTGAATCACATTGTCGACGCGCAAGAAGATTGAGCCCTTTTGACTGCGCGAAACACAATGCCATCCACGCATAAGAAAGACAAGCCATGGGACACCGACGACATCGACAAGTGGAAGGTGAGAAAGTGCAGTTATGGTGAAGAAACATAATACTGACCATTTCTAGATCGACGATTTTAATGCCGAAGACAACAAAGGTGGTACATTTGCTGAAGAGTCTTCTTTTGCCTGCCTTTTCCCAAAATATCGAGAGGTCTATCTGAAGCAAGCATGGCCGCTGATTACGAAAGCACTAGAGAAGCGCGGAATAGCATGCACTCTTGACCTGGTCGAGGGTCGCATGGAAGTGAAGACGACGCGCAAAACATTCGACCCTTCATCTATCCTCGACGCTCGCGATCTGATCAAGCTGTTGAGTCGAAGTGTGCCGGCGCCACAGGCTATAAAAATACTGGACGATGGCGTGGCATGCGATGTGATCAAAATTCGTGGTTTGGTCAGGAACAAGGAGAAGTTCGTGAAGAGACGTCAAAGAATTTTGGGTCCTAATGGTAGCACTCTCAAAGCGCTCGAATTATTGACTGAGACATATATACTGGTACAAGGTAATACTGTCTCGGCTATGGGTCCATTCAAGGGTCTAAAGGAAGTTCGTCGCGTTGTCGAGGACTGCATGAACAATGTTCATCCTATTTATCACGTCAAGGAGTTAATGATCAAGCGCGAGTTAGCGAAAGATCCAAACCTCAAGAACGAGAACTGGTCCCGATTTCTGCCAAACTTCAAGAGAAGGACGCTCAACAAGAGGCGCATACCATTCAAAGTCACAGATAAGACCAAGAGAGTGTACACTCCATTTCCACCACCTCAAGAAAAGAGTAAAGTCGATCTGCAAATTGAAAGCGGCGAATACTTTCTGGCCAAGCAGGCTAAAGAACGAGTGCACAAAGCAGAAAAGCTCGAGAAACAGAAAGTGAGGAAAGACGAGCGTGATAAGGAGCGAGCTGCAGCATTTGTGCCACCTAATGAAGATGCAGACGAGCCGAAACGAAAAAAGAAGAGGCAGCATGAAGACGGGGATGAGAAGGTCCGCAAGATGGTTAAGGTAGAGCAGTGAGGGGTTGCTGACCATCGATGGTCCTTCATGGCCATCTGTAACTGGCACGACTCAAAGAGTATCCCACGTTGCTACGAGCAGTGGCTGCCTTGAGTTCACTTTGACCTGGGTTTGGCTGGCGTTGAGAGATTTGTGGCCCTTTTGTAAAACATGTGGCTGCCGTGTACAGTCGTGGCACGTACTGAACGACGACAACTTGTGGTGTCGCCTGTACTTTCTTGAATCGAGATCTTGGTCTCCAAGGACAGGTCCCAACAAACACAACACTTCTGAATATGCCAGCTGATACCGCTCTCACTCCGTCTACCGTACGCCATACATACCGTGTGACCGTGTACCCAACAACACGACGAACACTAGTCCAGGAGGTCAATTTCAATGTGGATTGATTTGAAAGTTCTCGGTACGTAGAAGGGGTTGCATGCGTTAGCGCCGCGCTTGGACAGGCAATCTAAGCACATCATCGCGTAATGCAGATGCAAATACAGGACCTTGAGATTTCTCTGACGACGACCACACCGAAATTTGCCTTGGGGGACCATCACGGCAAGTCTCATCATACAGTTGGTACGGGTACTGGCGTGCACTTCAATCACTAGCCTCATGCATCTGAGACAGAAAGCCTACGAAGGCTAAACATCGGCATTCTATAACCTCGTATCTTGAATATCATGCTGCTATTGGTGGGAGTGCGGGCTTATGCGTCTTATTCTCTATGCGCAATATCCATAATACGGCCGGCTGCAACATTGGTGGATTGCGAAGGTCAACGTGTAGCACATCAATCTAGACCACATCCTCGTGACCGGTGGATCGGCCGGAAAAACTTATGTCCGTGGCTTAAGCACATGAATGCCGCACGATGAGGCAGATACAACAACTTCGCAGGCTATAAAGATATTTCTCAAGTCAAGCACTTGGCAGAAAGTTTCAGCGAGGCTCCAATTCGAAGCATGTGCGAAGGGCGCTAATTGCTTCTCGAGTCTTACTGCACTCGGTATAGCTTTGATTCGAGCTCAATGCTCATTGCTCGGCAAGCTTGATCCTGCACTGTATCTCCATTCCCTGTGCAACGTCGAGGGAGTCTTGTCCCACTCGGTGGTATCGGCATTCGAAAGCACTTGCTTCAATAGCTTGTCACTCAACACGGGAGAAGTTTATATGGAGACACCCTTCCGTACCAATCGCAAGGTCGCCTGCAATACGCCTCTATGAAACCGATCGATTGCCGCTACTTCGGTCGCCCTCGCAAATTGCCCTTTGCAATGTAGTGTCAGTGAAGTTAATGTCACCGAGCGACCTCCTAGCAGGTTAAGAGCGTGGTTAAGCGAGTACAAGTGCTTAGATTCTTTTCGAGGAGAGCGCTTCCAGTGGCTGGGAACAGCCAGTGAGGAGCTCTCCTCCTAGCTCAAATCTCGCTGTCCCGACTTCCTGTCCGAGCGAGCACATCGAGTATAGTGGACATATTCAGCCTGGCGAAACGCCAGTCTTGAGGTCGAAAGATCAGTCGTGGAACAGTAACACCACACAAGAATTGGCTAGAGCGTGTTTGTAGCCATGCAGGACAGCCGTCATCGAGGACGAGGTGCACTGCATGAGTGAACGAATAGCACATGCAGCTCCAATCAAAAGCCGCCGCTTCAAGTTGAACACCGTGTACCCGTCTAGCCCAAACGAACGGCACCGGATTCGAGGTCATTCACCATCATGCCCTCTGCGAATCGCAAAAATTCTATTACGGCTTTTGGCCAATCCTATGTAAGCCTTCCTCGCTTTGACTTGGCCGGGGTGTGGAGTTTACCCCGTCTAGGCTCTTCGCTCAAACTCTATTGAGGAATTCCCCAAGCAGTACAAGCAGTGCGGCTGCACGATGAACTTTCAAGACGCCGATGCACCTTGAGCTCCACGATATGCCTGCTCGACAGCTCCGCAGGTCAACTCTTGGCTGGGGATCTATGAGCTACCAAATATTCCTGGTAAAGTTTGACGAGGAAACAGCTCATCACTCCAGAAATATATAACATGACCATGTTGTCACACGATCTATGAAGTCCTTCCATCAACATCAGGCAACGATCGCCACTCACTATCTCCCCCGATCCAGGTGATCATTCACAGCTTGTACAACTTTAAAGAGCAGACTTCTTCCTCCTCAAATACATTTCTGCAACAGTTCTCAGCAAACACTACATCACCACAAAGATGGCTGAACCAACCTACGATGATGTCCTCACACAGCGACAGCCATCCGTTGCTGAAGTCAGAGGCACCAAAGGTCGTGCGACTGTGGTCAACAAAGGTCTGACTGGTGCGTCAGCCTTGACAGTACGACAGTCGATCTTTCCTGTTGCTCTCGTCACTGTCCTCTTCTTCTTGTGGGGTTTCGCCTACGGCCTCCTCGATGTCTTGAACTCCAAATTCCAGACCGCCCTCAACATCACTGCTGCCAAAGCTGGTGGTCTACAAGGCGCATACTTCGGCGCATACTTCATCGGTCCTCTCACATACTCCGGTTGGTTCGTACGACGCTTCGGCTACCGATGGACATTCATCTTGGGTCTTCTCATCTACGCTGTCGGCGCTTTGATGTTCTGGCCCTCAGCTGTCTACGAGTCGTTCGGTGGCTTCTGCGGTTCCCTCTTCATTGTCGGCAGTGGTCTCTCCACTCTCGAGACTTCCGCCAACCCATTCATCGCCACATGCGGACCACCAAGACTGTCCGAGTTCCGTCTTGAGCTTTCACAGTCTTTCCAAGCTGTTGGCTCCGTCATTGCTCCTCTCTTGGCCTCCCGAGTCTTCTTCAAGGAGACCAACTTGAACGACTTGAGCCACGTGCAATGGACCTACGTCGGTATCGCTGCTTTTGTCACTGCCTTGGCAGTCGTTTTCTTCTTCTCACCAATTCCAGAAGTCACTGATGCTGATATGGCTCTTCAAGCTGAGCAGTGTGCTGACCTTACTGGTTTCGTGGAGAAGCCTCTCAGCAAGCAGTACAAGCTGTTCTTTGGTGTCGCTGCACAATTCTGCTACGTCGGTGCGCAAGTCGGTGTTGCTTCTCAGTTCATCAACTACTCAATCGAGACAGCCAACCTCTCACACGCCGTCGCCTCCGATCGATATGCCATTGGACAGGCTCTCTTCGCCATTGGTCGATTCGCAGCTGCTGGGTTGTTCATGTTTGTCAAGCCACGATACGTTCTTATGGCTTTTATGACTGGTATCATGATCTTCCAGGGAGCAGCGATGGGTGTTTGGGGTGAGGGCGGCTTTGCAATGCTCGCAATTGTCCTCTTCTTCGAATCTTGCATCTTCCCAACCATCTTCACTCTCTCCATTCGAGGTCTTGGACGACACACCAAGCGAGGTTCATCATGGATCGTTGCCTCTGTCTGTGGTGGTGCTCTCTTCCCATCTTTGACCGGTCTGCTTGCCGACAAACGCGACTACCACATTGCTATGGCTGTACCTCTAGTCGGTTTCTTCGTCTCTTTCTGCTTCCCAATCTACCTCAACACCATCTGCGCCAAGGAACTTGATGGTTTCCGTGACACCAAGATTGGCTACAAGGATGAGCGAAGAGGCACCATCATCGGCGATGCTGATGATGAGGAGACAATGGAGGCTGTTAAGCGCAACAGTGTCTCATATCACTCTGAGAAGGTGTAAATGTGAAGTTGAGGATGTATTTCATGCGATCGGAAGTTTATGCAATTAGATAGATTATGATATCCAGAATGACATGATTTAATGCAACTACATTATTATTTTTCAACATGTCGATTATTCTCTTGAACAGGTTACTTGCTTTCAAACATACATGTTACTGCTTTGCATGTCTTTCTCTATACCATACATATCGATCTTTTGTTTTTGTGAACGTCCAGCCATGACAGATCCAGCATGACTAGATGAGACGCGGTCGCGAAGTTTCACCTTATGGATTGCCAAGCAGATCTCCGTGTTTACTTGACCTAGCGTATGCGAAACGAGCTGAGAGGGGTAGACTGGTGTGGCAAGACGATGAGCATCCCCGGATCGACGATGACTAGACTACTGTACCCCAGAAGAGATGCGAACTGGTTATTGATTAATTGCGAGGGAGGAATAGATAGCCGGTCGCCAAGGACAATGACGTGTGGGCAAGACAGCAGCAGATGAGCAGCGGCGGGAGTGTCCGCATCTGCCTTAGGCATATGTGTCGCGAAAGCTTCCTCAATCATTTCCTGCATAGTGGAATTTCGTCTGCAACCACGTGCCAAGACTTGAATTATCGGAAGGTTCGAAGAATCGCAAGCGCGTCAGTACCACGACAGTCCATATTCGTCAGTCGAACAATCCTACGACAATTCGTCTCCTTTCAAGGCCACGACTCACTAATCTGGCACAAGCCCTGTCGCTTACAATGTCGTATCAGAACGGCAATCGGCCGCCAATCGACGACGACGATGTTGAGGAAGAGGCTCTTGTCGCAGACTATCAGGAGCAGGTAAATTACGAAGACGAGAATTACGACGGAGATGGAAGAGGAGAAACGATAGGTGGACCAGCTGATCTCAAAGCACAACTTGAACAAGCAGCTGCCCCTCTGGAATATGCCGCTTCGCTTGAGGTCAAATTTCAGAGTTACGACAGTTATTGCAGTCTCTTCCACTACATACTGAACTCAGATGGACCGGTGGATATAGAACAGCCATCCTACTACTGGGCCTGGGACGTGATCGACGAGTTCATCTACCAATTCGAATCCTTCTGCAGATACAGGAATAGAGTCGCAAGGACTGCACCGAATGAAGAGGAGGCACAAGTTCTGAGAGAAAATCCGCAGACATGGGGCTGCTATTCTGTCCTGAACGTCCTATACTCTCTCATTCAGAGATCACAAATCAACGAGCAACTGGCTGCCCAGAAGCGAGGCGATGACCAAAACGCAGTGGCAGGAGAGTACGGCTCAAGACCACTTTACAAGATGCTTGGCTATTTCTCCATTATTGGCCTGCTCAGAGTTCACTGCCTGCTGGGCGACTTCAGTCTGGCACTGAAGACACTGGACGATATTGAGATGAACAAGAAAGCCATGTTCGCCCGCGTCATGGCCGCACACCTCAACACATACTACTATGTTGGATTTTCCTACATGATGCTTCGACGATACGCCGATGCTGTTCGCATGTTCTCTCACATCCTCATATACGTCTCCAGGACGAAGAACTTCCAGAAGGGCAACACTCAATTTGATGCCATCGCGAAGAAGACCGAGCAGATGTACGCTTTAATCGCTATCTGCAATTCCTTCGCTCCAACTCGACTTGACGACACGATCCACACTGCGCTACGAGAGAAGTATGGTGAGAAATTGTCCCGCATGCAAAGAGGTGGTCCAGATGCACTACCAATCTACAAAGAACTCTTCCAGTCTGCCTGCCCCAAGTTCATCTCGCCCGTACCACCAGATTTCGACAACCCGAGCTTGAACATCGACCCAGTCGAGCATCATACTGAGATTTTCATGGACGAAGTCAAGACCACTTTGTTCAACCCTACCGTCAAGTCCTATCTGAAGCTATACTCAACCATGGACCTTAGCAAACTGGCTGGCTTCCTCGAAGTCGAGCCAGAAAAGTTACGATCCTGGCTGCTAGTAAATAAGCAGCGATCTCGACAGATTCGATGGACAGATGGCGGTCTTTTGGAAGGCGAGGTATTCAGCAATACCGATGGTCTCGACTATGCTATCGAAGGAGATTTGATTCATATTAGCGAGGCTAAGCAGGGACGAAGATTAGTTGACTGGTACTTGAGAAATTTGGCACGAGCATATTAGAGCAATGACTCGCTTGCCTCATCCTCACAGGAATACGCGTTTGGCAAGGTATTTTGTTCGGCTCAAGAAAACGCAAAAGATGTCCGGCGACCTGGAAATCTGGTGGTTTGAAACGCTGGGTTTAGGAGCAAATTGAGCCTGGAGCGCAAACATGGACTTTGTCTATGAAGAGTAGAGCTGCTGTCAAGGGGAGATCATACTGAAGGAGCATACCGAAAAGGCCAGTTCACTGGGCAGGGGGATTTGCATGATAAATGAGATATGATGGTGCAATATTTCGTCACAATGGGCACTCTGTTCGTGGTCTCACTTCAGCTCGGTAGGAACGGAAACACATGACAAAAGTTATGAGCTCGAATATCGAGCCAATTCATACCAGACCGAAGTCCAGGCCATAGCCGGTTCAAGAAACAACCACCTCCGCTTTTCTGTTCTCTTGCAATGCGTTTTCGCACAAGGACTGCCAGTTTACACTTCGAGAGCGTCTTCAGAATGCTAACAAACATATAGACAACGCTTTCATTAGCAGTACAGTCCTTCCCAGCTCGCTGATAACTCTCCACAGCCCATGAACTCAAACTTAGATATCTACCAAGACTCTCAACACAGCACGATACGATAGACAAAGACCTCTTTGGCTCCGTTCTCTTTCCTCTTCTTTTCTCTGTGCTTGTAGAATCCTAATCGTCGTCAAGGCAGAGGGTGTACGGCAATTTCACAATAATCTCTGTATCATTTCCTGAAGTCCATGATATGTGAGGTGAATTCGAGATGCTGAACTTGGTCTAGGTTGCTGGTGTGGCTCTAATGGTTGTGACCACTAGTGATATGATATCAGATCTCGTGAATGCCCAGGGAGAGCTGCTCACAGCCGAAATGGAGGTTACATTTGAAGACTCTGGCAGGGTTGAGTCGAGTCTTCTTGATAGCGGTGAAAATTGACTGTTATGGGAACATTCAAGTGTCGAAACATGACCACAGATGATGAGAGGGATGAGAATCATGGCAGATGAAATCAATTGTGAAAATGTACGCAAACATGGATCTATTTAGGTCGATACATCATCTTGCGTGTTGTCTCGTCTTTTGCTCTTCACTAATTGAATCTGTGTAAAGAGGGGGGTCTCGTGATATGAACAAACTCGTCCTTAGAATTGCGTCGAACCTTGTTGCGACGAGGATGAGTTCGTCACTAATGCATCCACGGCAGCATCTTGTTCTGTGTCAGAGTCCCCTGCCTCCATGAATGCTGCTTCACACTCTTTGAAAAACCTCATACCCTTGCAGTGTTCATCGATCGAAAAGTTCGCCCCGCATGTTCCATCTGGCGTCAATGGAAAGAGCAGAGGCGGAAGGTCAAGAGGTAGAGCTTCGGGGACAGACAGTTTCCAAACTTTGCGAACAAAACGATCGAAATATGATAGTTGTTGCCCTCGGGATCTTTGAATGGGATCTGATCTCATTTCTCCACGCAACGAAGCAAGAAAGTCGATGATAAGACGGCGCACCAGCTCGTAGTTGTCAGGATCAATCAGGTCGTAGCCAGCGTCCAGGAGGAGCTGAAATTTGGTCTCATCAAAGGGCCAGAGTATGTCGTGCCAGTTGAGAAAGTGCCAATTGAGAGCTGGGTCCAGGCGAAGAGATCGATCGAAGATTGCGTGCATGGCTGTGCCACCAGAATAGGCATGCGCTGTGACTAGAAATCCAAGATCTTGTAAGAGACTCAAGTGGCGTTTCTTAATCTCATAGGTCTGTATTGTCTCTAAGCGGAATTGAAAGGAAGGCGGATCCGACCGATCTTGTCCAGAATACAAGATCCAGGCAAACAGCAGATTCGTATCTGCGTAGTCGTACCACAGACAACGTTCGATTGTTTCCAAAGCGGTGCTAGGACAAGTCTCTCGAATTTTGTTGATGAACTTGGGCTCACGACAATCAATCATGAAGTAGAGCACTACATGGTGAGCTCGCAAACGCTGGCCTTCCAAGAACAAGTCGAAGTAGTGTTCACGATCCACTTCATGCCACCGATAAAGGGCAAATTGTAGAAGCCATTCAACAACGGCGTAGTGTAAGGCAAATCTAGATTTCGTCAAGCCGTACTCGACAATTTGCTTCGCACCGTGAGTCATCAGGACGCGTAGAAGTCGAGCATCGTTCCCTATATCGGCAGGCACATCAAACATTGATAATTCTGTACAGCATATGTCACAAAGAGATTCATGTAGCTTTACACTCGGTAAGCTGAGAACGTTCCATGTTGCCAAGTCTGCTGTAATAGACTGACAATCATCGAAAAGATCATGTATATCCTTTAGAAACGAACGAAATCTACGTTTCCAGTGCATCTCCAGAGATTTGCGTCTGAAATGGGTTTCAATAAATGCTGCGGTCATATCACGCCAGTCGCGCAGCTTGTGCGTGATGATCTGTTCCTCAAACATTTTCACCGCCATGATATTGAGTTGAAGCTTTATATCCCCCGTTTGGACCATCATGAGCCTCAGTGAAGTTGGTGTCAAAGAGAGCAGCTGGGCGTTGATGGTCACTTGCTTCGAAGATAAGATTCTTGACTGCGTCAGGTAAGTGAACAAGGTCTTGTGCACAAGCCGCACGCTACAAGATCGTCCGCATTGACCAGGAAACCCTCCACGGACAGGGTCGTACGCATCTCCAGCGGCATGCACAAGGCATCGCAAGGGGCTGTGGGTGAATTCTAGAAGTCCTCCGAAGAGACGATACATCCGTGCAATGAAACGCTTCGTGTCAAAAGAATCGTCGCAATTGAAATGTTCATCAAGATCTTCTGTAATCATACACCAATAGACAAAGAAAGACTCTATTTTCACCGAGCCGTGTATGATGAGTAGCTGCGCGGCAATAGCTGCATGGAGCTTCTGTTTCTCGTCCAGGCGCTCGAATATGCGCTGATACACGTCTTCTAGCTGCGTTGGAACAGCATCAAGGACAGTCGCCAGCTCTGACGTGGTCGCACCCTCGATACATTGTTCGACTAATAGATCAGCCGCAAATCTCGCCCACAGCACAATGCCATTTGCAGCTTGTTCTATGCTGCGCCACAAAGGCCGTAATGTCGATATCTCCTCTTTGCTCAACACCAAAACACTTGCTGACTGAATGCATGCTTGTATGGTAGCAGAGTTGTGGTCCTGCACCTTTAATCCTGGATAAGACGAGAGTACTCGTGAAATCATATTCTCGGGTCGACTTGCCAAGCACAGCTTGATTCCAGTACAAGCTTGTACTCCGAGAAGGGTGTCCATCAAAGCTTTAGCTCTTCCGGTGTATTCATCAAGGCCGTCAACAAATGCACAAACGCTCAAATCGAGCATTTTCAAACTGTCGCAGATTGTCGTCCTCAAAGTCGATTCTTGGTGTACTCATTCTCCTTCAAGGGCATGGTTGTGCTGGTGACGGATAAAGGCGTCAATTTCAGAGCATTGATCGACGAGTTGAAAGAGTAGCGTCCTCAACAGGCCAAGTGAAGAATTGGCTGTACTGTTCCCAGAACGAAAGTCGAAGTAAAAATCGAGTACGAGCCACTTCTTTGTAGTGTTCATCTCAAGAAGACGCAATGTCTCGCTTGAGGACGCTAAGAACTTGGTCAATGTAGATTTTCCAGAACCGGGTTTGCCACTAATCCAGAAGAGCGTTTGCTCGCTCCTTAACCAGCAACCAAACTCCGTAGCCCAGATCCAGTCCATGGGTGCTGTAGTCTTAGATTCAAGATTCGCTCGGCGCTGGTTCATGTTTTCGTAGTAGAGGATTTTACGAAGATCTAGACGTTGCGTCAGTCGAATTCCGTACTGTAGTGGGACAACTGACCTTGCTGCTGAACATCGTTAGCATGGAGGTTGACCTGGACATCGTCGCCGAGGTGAATCGGAGCGGACCCCGTGAAAGACAGATCGCCAAATGTATGACCTGATCTTGCGAGGTGCATCGATGCATCATTACGTGATTCTCTCTGAGCAGTAAGATCTTGATAGTTGGATTCGCTCGGTGGCTGCAAGAAAGCAGACGAGGTTGATGAAATCGCTCCAGTCGTTCGGCTTTGATCGGTGCTTACAAATGCATCAGAGTATCTTCTCTTGGACATGATTGTGCCCGATGATGAATGAACTGGTATTCGGATCTGTTCAGCGGGAAAGCCTCACGAAATATGTCGCAAGTACGAATTACGACCTGAGCCACGATTAATGTGTTTAGTAGCAGTAAAGGTGACAAGTCGTTGATAGCAAGAAGTGAAGTCGAGGAATTCAGTGTCAATGAGGCTGACAATCTCACAACAAGTGCCGGTAGGCTAACACACGGGCAAGCCTGACCAGGATCAGGATCGAGACGGGCAATCATTGTTCCGGGGGCCGATTTGCCCACGAAGCAGGTGCAGGAGTAGCAAGCCGTATCGACTAAATAATGCCCACAGAGCAAGAGCCAGCCACGAGAACAACACACTTGCAAGTAGTGTCGAGAAGTCAGACTCTTGAAGATGGCGCGTAAATCACGTCCACGTTACTGGACCGGCAGTTCTTGTCACGTTTCAAGGCTCATCATCACCATCTAGCCTGGCGTCCTCCATCCGCACATCCTCACCTCTTCCGGCCGCAGTATCTTCTGCCTGTCTCTCTGTAGCAGCTTCGACCACAGCATCAACGTTTGGGGCCAACGAATTCTCATCGAGATTTTCATTGGTAGCGACGTCTGGTGGTTGTTCCTCCTTTTCTCTCCGAGCTGCAGCCTCAATCTCAGCATAAGTGGACGCAAAGGCAGGATCAAAGTCCTCTCTGTCCGAAGCTCTATATTCGAGTTCAATGTTGCTTAATTCTCGAGGAGCGATCATGACTTGATCTGGTAGATCTTGCACCATGGAGGATTTGAGGCTCGAGCCGAGATTGGCACGGTCTCCCATGAGCTTGTTGACTTGGCCGATAGGGTAATAATGGGCCCGGGATTTGTTTGAGCTTTTAGGAAGAGTGACGACTACCTGGCGAGTGTGTCTCCCAGGATCGTTGTCTTTGGAGAGTGCATTGCTGTAAAAGCGAGCGAGGTCGAAAGGTATCTTGAGTCTGTCATCATCTCTTTCATCTGGTTCTGCCACTCTAGCCATGTGACCTTCATAATCATGCTCGGGATGCCTTTGATTCATGATTGTACGTATTAGAGGGGTAGCTGCTTGATCCCTAGGCAGGAGCAACGACCATGCAGCAGGTGGATTTCCGGGGTTATCAAAGTTCTTGGGATCCTGATCATAAGCTTTCTTTTGCTCTTCCCAGACTTTCATGCTCTCAGGGTGTTCAGTGGCCATCAGAAAGGCGGCATCGATACGATTATCGCGGTGATGACCTCTGATTGCGGGTAGCGGCGGTTTGTCGAAACGTAGAAGATTCCAGGAAGATCTGATAGCAGTGTTGGCATCAAAGTCGGGGAGTAAGGGGTAAAATCCGACTGGTTTTAAAGATTTGTTAGTTGGGTGAACAGGGTTCGCCCAAGCATTACGTTCAGCCTGTGAGACCGGGTAAGAGGTTGAATCTTGTTGTTTCGAGTGTGGGTATGCTAGATCGAAGGCTTTCTGGATATTCCTCTTTACATTCTCTTTATCGTTTCTTGGTAAGACTTGCTGCTTCGGTCGGGCATCCTTCCGTGCTCGTGATTGAACCATGCGCGAAGGATCGTTGGCAACAGCAGCGGTGGCAGTCAAGTATTGTGTTTTGCGCAGGAAGTTTGTGCCGGAAACAGGACCACCAGCCTTTAACTGTTCTGGGCCGAGCATCAGCAGCTCATCGTCCGGATGCAGTATTGGCGGAACTTCTGGAGCCATGATTGAGGACTCGTCTCCTTCAAAGTAGCCATACATGCCGATCACATCTATAGGCATGCCTCCCTCTGCATCGGCTTCAATATTTGGTTCTTCTCGTTTGGCTATGCTCGCAGCGAAGCCCGGGTCGAGATATTGTTGTAGGCCGCCAGTGTCGATCTCGAGCAGCTTCGGTGGCATAGGCGGTGGTGGTAGGTCATTCCGATATCTGATGCTGATGACCAGGTCTTGCTTGTACGACTCCTTGGAAGCCATATTTGCAGCGGGTTCACACCTTCAGGTCTAATCTTCGTGTCTAGTGAAACTACGCGTGCGCATAGAGAGTGACCATAGGCGACTGAACAGGACAAGGCGATCGAGTACGAAGCGCATCAAGACTTGGTTGTTTCGCGGAACAGAAGGGTACTGCTGCTCACTCGTGAACTTTTGGAGACGCGTTCTTTCCATCTGTGGAGATAGGTGGAGCCAGGTCGAGTGAAGTGCCTCATCATTCAGGTGGCAGTTGCGATCCATCTGCTCCTTCCCATCTCACTTCACCTTCAACATTGACTTGACGCTCTACTGCTTCCTCAAGTCTCTAGCATATCCCATTAGCAACAGTCATGGGCTGGTTCTGGGCAGAAGGTCCGGCTAAACCATCATCGACTCCTCTCGTGGCGCCTCACCCCATACCTCAGTCCGGCGCAACCCCTCCTCCAGAATGTCCTATGCACAAACCAAATCAGCCATCGCCTCTCAGACAGCGCATAGAGGCTAACAAGAAATCTTCGACACCACCCTTACCATCTTCCGCAGCGTCGTCCTGCCCCGTCAAATCGCCATCTCAGGCGGCGAGGTATCCTACATCACCAGATGTGCCGATAGATTCTCCACAGAAAGCGCCCTCATCATGGTCAGCCACATTGAACCCACTCAACTATATGCCTACGTTTAAGAATGAACGTTCTAGTGACTCGCCTCAAAGCGTTAACCTACCACTCGAGAGGGAACTTTCAACCATTCCCAGAGGAGATTCCGACTCGAATTGGGAATATCCTTCGCCACAGCAGATGTACAATGCTATGTTGAGAAAAGGTCACACTGACACCCCAGCTGAAGATGTCGAGTCAATGGTGGCTGTGCACAACTTCCTAAACGAGGGTGCTTGGAACGAGATTGTCGAGTGGGAGAACATCTTTGCAAAAGGTCTTGGTCAAGGTTGGGAGAAGTGCAAGCGTGGAGAACAGGGTCTGGCCATGGAGCGAGCGAGACGAGAATATCTAAGAGAACTACAAGCTGAAAGAAGACGTGCTGCTGGACTACCAGAAGACAAGTCCTTGGATACAGAACAACCAAGACTGTTACGATTTCAAGGTCGACCTCAAGAACCCACTCCAAAAGCCAGGATATTACAACAACTGGCCAAAACTTTCCCCAATCGATTCGGGCAGGAGCCTCCTTTCGACAGACACGATTGGTACGTTGCGCGAAAGCAAGCAGATGGCTCGATCAAGGAAGTTCGCTATGTGATCGATTACTATGGTGGTGGCCTTCAGGCTACTGGCGAGCCTGTCTTTTACCTCGATATCCGTCCTGCGCTGGACACACCTACTGCGGCTGCTGAGAGGGTGATTCGATGGGGTTCAGATGTATGGTATACTGCCACAGGTTCAGGTATTCGCGAGCAGATCAAACAACAAGAAGCTCAAGCCAAAGCAAAGGCATAGTCGAACGGAGGACCGTAGCTGCTATCAGCACTTTTGCTTTCCTGGAACCACATCCCTATGGTCCGCATGCATCAAGCAGAACCTCTGTTCTGTTTACGTTGCAACGACTACCATGAGCGTTATCCGTATGCCGGCGCATGTTTGTGAACATTCTGTCAATATCGATGTTGGGCTGTGATGATTGTCATGTTAATGTTGACGTTGACGTTGACGTTGTATAGATACTCTCCTCTACTTTTAGTGATACATAGCAAGCGTCAATTTGTTGAGTATATGTAATGCTTTCTCTTCAGGAATGACAATTCTACGTCTTTCAACTTACTTGCACCTGTAATCGATGTATCGCCGACCCCTGGCCATCTATACACGCAGCTGAAATAAAAGGGTAGTAATGTCTAAGAGAAAAAGTGTAGAAAATGCTAGCATCGAATTCCAGCTTCGTTCACAGCATTCAATTTCTCGCTACAATTGCTAGTAGCTCTCTCGCTGAACCCGAACTCACGCTATGCTATGCTATGCTATGCTATTCTTGTATGCACAACCAAGTGTCAGTTCCATTTCCAATTCCCAATGCAAACGCTCGCAGAACACAATGTACCCAAAACAAAAGATAGTTCGTCACTCATAATCCCGTCAATGCTCCAACATAAACCTCTTCTTCTCGGGACTTCCATCCCTATTCCTAGCTTTACTAGGACTCTGCTGGTAATCTATCTGTCCCTGACCTTGACCCTGCCAACCAAGTTGCTGCGGCGTCTGATACGGCAGACCTGGCGTCATGGGGAACTGACCCATACCGTGTTGACCAGGAGGAGGCATGCCACCGTATTGTCCCGATGCAGCTCTGTAGGCCTCGTGTAGGTGTTGTTCTTGGGAGCGTCGATAGAGTGAGAATGTCGCGTTGTTGATGAGGAGTGCCAGTCCGACGATGACGACGGTGAAGACCATGGTCTTTAAGCTGATGGGCTCGACAAAGCTGTTGAAGATCTCGGCGAAAGTGTGGGCGCTTAGTCTCGCTCTTCTGACTGCGTTTGCGTCCCTGTTCATACACAGTTCCCAGTTGGAGCATGGCCCTTCGAGAGCTGGTAGTCGGTTTGCGGCGTTGCATCTGTTATCGATGTAGTGTCTGTGACAAGCTGTGATTTCCGCCAGCATCTCTTGATATGCGTCGTCGCCGGCCTTATCGACATCGGCGCGAATAGTGGCGTAGAAGGAATAGAACATGAAGAGCACGCCGCCGAAGATGACGGCGTTGAAGAAGACTTGGAGGTATTTGGCTATTATGCTAGGAGCATCGGGGTAGGTGTGAATAAAGGTAAAAAGGCTGGTCATTAGGCCGACTTCTTGTGGAGGAAGGGGCGGTAAGTCTTTCTTCTGCTTTTTTCTTGAGGTTGTCTTTTTGACGGGAGTCTGCTCGTCGTCTTCTTCGTCGGTGCTCTCTTCGGATTCTTTCCTTGCCAGGGCGAGTTGTTTCTCGAATGTTTGTGCTTGACGGCGACGTTTGTGGACTCGCTTCTCGATTGCGTGGCTGAATGGTTTCTTAATCTCGCCCTTGCCCGAGCTAGGAGGAGCCCATTTCCCGAAGAAGTTGGCAAGGGAGTTGCGCTTCTGTTTCGGTTCGAGTTTGATGGGGATAGGTGGCAGTGCTTTGCCGTCTGGGGTATCTTCCTGCTCCATCTGCAGTCGAGGCGATGATTCAGGGCCCGAAGAGAAGTCTATGTCGAAATCTTTTCTGGGCGTGGTAAAGGATGGGTTTCGGTAAGGAGAGGGAGGAGGAACAGGGTTGACTTTGCCGTTGAACAGGTATGCTTGGCCATTCGGCTGACCAAACTTCGGATAGTTGTTCTTGCCAGGAGAATTGAACGCAGCAAAGGGCCCTTGCTCGGATGTTAGAGATGGGTTTGAGAAGATGGACTTCGGATCAGTCTTACGTTTCTTGTCGTTGGCCATGGCAAACCTGGTGAAGGGAGAATTTGGGTCAATTGGACCTTGGCTGTTTTGAAACTCAAAGTCCATAGGAACTTCGTTGCCGCGAAAAGCCATGATGTGTAGTCTAGAGTTCAATATTCTTGGTGGTGAATGTACACGATGTTGCAGAACCTTGACATGCGCACATAAACAAATCTTTGCGGGCCTAGCAACACGCCCGAGCTAAAGAAACGCGTGAAACTTCTCCGCACTACAATCACGCGTCAATTCCTTTGACTGGATCACTTGCAGGCACAAATTTATTCCTTCACATTCTGTGCTTGACCGATGATGCCACAAACAGATGAAGCCGGGGAATGGTTCTCTGCCGTATACGAAGCAGTGCAGCAAATTCCGTACGGCAAGTGTACGAGCTATGGTCACATCGCTGCCCTTCTAGGCTTCCCAAAACGAGCCAGGCAGGTGGGCGTTTGTCTCAAGCACTTACCTGAGTACGATACAAGTGACCCGGAAAAGTACCAATATCACAGTCAAAATGTACCGTGGCAAAGAGTGGTCAACTCAAAGGGAGGTATTAGCCCACGAGGCGACGGTGGGCTAGGAGCAGGCAGACAAGCAGAGAGGCTCAGATCTGAGGGAGTCGAGGTTCAACAAGGTCGAGGTGCTGAAGAAGCAACGGTCGACTTTACGTCCTGTGGCTGGTTTCCTGACGAGCTGCCTGATGAGCCTGGTGACGAGTCATAGCAGGCGACATTCAGCAGGACTATTCTGCACGATTGTATCACTATCAGAGTGCTGAAAGGTTCTGGACGATAAACATGCACTGCTCTTAGACTTGATCTGCGTAAATACCAAGATCTCGTTGTTGAGCTGTCCCGAAGCGATAACTATTGCCGTGTTCATCTGGGGACCACGATCAGGTACGCCGGTACTGTACTACGTCATCAGTGCCTCCAAAGACCTGTCACATGTCTGCGCCGTTCGTTCATTCTCTCGACTCGCCATCACAAGGGCAACCACACCAGGCTCTTCTTCAAGCGAATGGTCCTGTCATCCATCAACAAATGGTCTCATCTTTCGAGGGCCTCCCACCACACTGCACACTGACTCAGTTCCAGAACAGACAGGCTGGTGAGGATGAGGAGTGCTCGGACCTCAAGTCCCGATTGGCTGATAAGAGCCCATGCTTGCCGCATTCGTTCTTCTATTGGCGTTTTCGTTGTTGCCAAACAAAGCAACGCTCGTGGTGCCTGCAGCCAGTGGAGCTCATCTCCACATCTGCTCAACTTCATAGCTTCCAGCTTCGGGCCTTCACCTCAATCTCATGCCTCGGGAAGCTTATGACGAATTCAGAGTCATCAACCCATCCTGCGCCGCCTTCACCCGCCTGATACTAGTAGCTACCAGCAAGCGCCGATGATAACGATCTCACCTGGAACTGCACTGACCCTCGACGCGTGACTCCTCATCCTGTTTTGGTCATAAGCTGCCTTGATTGACTCAACCATTCATCCTGCTTGGTCGTGATAAGTACTACCATTGTTCTACTGCCGTCTTTGTCCTGCCCACTCCTTTCCTTCTTACCATTGCTTATCTGGTCGTGCCTGCTTTCGTTGTGGCACGACATCACACAAGCAGTGTCTAGTGACTTCTACCAACTCACAACCTTGTCACGCCTTATATTACCTCAACCTATACCCTGCATATCTAACATTGACGTTTGCTCTATCAACCCCTATGATGAAGCCAGTTATGCCTGCTCTTCCAGCCTCCGACCTTCGCAGCGAGGCCAAGGCCTACAGACGTGATAAGACTCATACCACTAAGTGGGCTCGAGGTGGTCGAAACGCACCGGGCAGAACCTGCACCCACAGTGCCTCTTTCCCTGGATCCAATTGCACCGAATGCACTATTACACGACCTCTTCCTCGAGACGGGGGCCGCAACAACAGCAGCCACTTCTGGCATCGAGCTGAGCGAGCAAACGCACACGCCAATGGCCACCGCCAGGGCAGCATTGCTCGGAAAGTCCTTGACTACGATGTCACCGAAGCTACATTGAGCTCAGACACCGATAGAAGTGACGAGGATGTACCTGCCACCTCCGAGGCACCCATTCCAGCAAGCGAAGTCATGTACAGCTACGACGCCCCCAGTGGTCCTACTGCTGGTACCGATGTCCTCAGCAACGCCGTTATGCAGGCTGTCAAGAGATACGAGAACAAACAGACGGAGCAGCTGGTGAAGAATGAATACAACCTGGTCGATGGCAAGGAAGCTGAAGATGCTGATGACGAAGATGAGTTTGAAATTATTGGTCATGAAGAGTACCTCAACTAGGCGTATTCATCCTTTATCACGACACCTCGGTACAACCCCATGAATTTGTCTGCTGCTTTAGGTGTATAGGGAGTGGAGAATACTTGATTACTATATGATACCCCAGGATGTTCATTAGGGAAGGCAGAGTCTTGCTTCGGACAATCGGCAATGGACTATGGCGTCTTCTCAAGGATATGATTCGTGGACTGGGTCACGTTGCTTCTCTTGGTAACATTGGAGTCGAGCTTGCTTTGTGGTGCTAGCAACTGCTTCGTTCCTAGCTAATGTCCTGCGTAAGGAACTATTGAATACAAACAGTATCAAGTTCCTGTTTTCAACCATGCTCCTTTCTATTGGTCCTCTACTCGTGCCTGTAACATTGATACCTTGCTTCTCTTCTACGGTAGCTGCATCAGTGTGGAGTGTTGACTTTCATGTTGACACGCGTTGGAAGATCAAAGCTTGGCGAACCTTCGCGTGATTGCTCCTTCTTGGGCAGTTTTATCAATCAAATTGTCACATTGTGTAGTTCAATTGCAAATGCTTCAGTTGGACAAACCAACAAGCTTCGTGCGCGTCAATTTCTTCGACTGCACTCAAGGAAACATTTTGTGCAATTCAAGTCCACAGGAAGTGATATCCTTCACCACAGGAACTGGAAACAGCTCAACGCTTCTTCAGCAATGTCCTGGAGGCTTGCACATGAGTCCAAGCATATAACGGCTTCATGAGACCAAAGCAGACGTCGACAATGAGGTCGAACGTGTTGCTGCTGCGATGTTTAGGTGGTAAGAATGATGGAGGGATAATCATTGCCTAGGTATCGCGTACAAACAAGCCCTAAAGCCAGTGTTTCAATGCTAGAGATCCCGTACACATCAGGTGATCCCGGACGATAATTACAGGAGACACGAATATGTCGAGGGCAAGGTGAGAGGTTGTGTTTTTGACATCTGTTGACAGATCTATCAATACATACCAGCGCACTGATTCTGCTTACCTCTTTATTTGTGGCCTCACTGATACTGCTGACTAGATTCGACGTGAAACTGAAAGCCAATCGAAGTGATGTTGACGATTCTGCTTTCCACAGGATGCTTGCTATGCGAGAATTCTTCCTGCATCTTCGCTCTCATTTCAACTTGTTTTAGCAGAACCGACTACCACGTACTTGTTAGATTCCTTCCGGTCACAGCACTACCTTTCTCTACGTTTTGCTCGTTCGCCACCCTATGCTGCTTGCATGCAGCTAGCGATTTCTAGAATTCCGACTCCGACCTGGCATAAGACTAACGATGTCGAGGCGATGCTTGAACGTCGAGCTCTGGAGTCAGTGCTGCTTCTCCCTGCAGATGAGCAAATGCTGTACCAAACGTTATACGGTCCAAATGTAACAGGCGACCTTGGAAGAGCCTATCACGGTTTTTGTCGTGTCAATAGAATCATGGATGATGAAATCTTGAACGGCTATAAATGGCGTTTGCTTTCGTCGGCAGAATCCATCGTTCAGCTCTTGGAAGAAAAGTCCGCTCAAAGTCTTCGGAGCTCAGTAAAAGACCTCGGTAGGACTGAACCCATCAGTGCCGAAGTGGCTGAAGACACGACTCTCAAGAAGATTCTCGAGAATGACATGTAATTGGCTGAAACGACTTTCTTGCAGGTGTTCTGGACACATTTCGTTCGACTGGTTCGAGATATCACATTCAGTGACGAGACGAAGGATAGCATCGAAGACATGATACTTCCAGCTTCCATTGAAAGCATGTTCGATGAGCTCAATATCAATTAAGTAGGAGGACCCCCTGAATCATCTTGTAGGGTGAAAACAAGGGTAGTCCAGCTCTGACCTTTGACGACACTTGGTGGGTAGTAGCTGAATCAACGGTTCTCGATCCTTGAAGCATTTACAGTGCGATAAGATCCCCAACGAGGTCAAGATACATATCCTCGTCAGCCCGATCGCGAATGACATTTGACTGACCAGATTTTGGCGACAAAGCCTCGGTTTAGGGTACAACATTGTGATGCTCATGTCTTTAGTCTTGTGCTGAACAATCTGCCGCCAGTCCTGGTACAGATGCACAATGGCTCGACTTGTGCGACCTAAGGTCAAAGTAGAGAGACTAATGGCTCTAAGTGTTGAACAACGATGCAAACATGCAAATATTAAGTGCCAAAGATTGGAATAGGGAAAAAGAGGAAAGTAAAAAGAAGGATGAGGTTGTCTTTGACAAGCGAGCTTCCACATCATGAGGCACGCAGAGCTTGCTGACATGGATTGATCAGTACAAATGCTTGCGAGAGTGACTAATCGATACGTCAAACATTGCTATAATTACTGGCATTGAACGGAAGGTCTTGACAACAGACAGAGCGCTAGTGCGTAAATTTGTTATAGCTTAGGATAATGCAGGCGAACGTAAAGAGATTATCTCCAGATTTAGTATGGCTCAATAAAAATACCATATGCGCCGTGGATCGGTCGCACTGCCTTCATCAAGTGCTGTATTGCTTTCAGCAATACAAATCTACCGACTTGGTCATGTTACAGAGGTGCAGATGCCCTCCGTGGAGAAATTCCGCCTTCTGTAGAAGAGGCCTGTAGTCATGGATGCAGTGCATGCCAAGCTGAAACCGTTTGTATCAGATTGAGACACGTGAGTAGGACTACTAGCGAAGCCGTACTACTAATAGCTGTCTTATCTCTTGTCCAGCAGTCCTGGACGTTTTGTTTAATCTCGTGTAAGATACAATATACATTGGCACGACATGGTTTTCAGCCACCACAAAGTTCTTCCGAGCTGGACTGTCCCCCTTTCTATATCATCAACCACGGTCAAACCGAGTCAAGCTGTCTTTCTGCTTCGTCATGCACAGGCGTACTCGTACCAAACATGAAAACTTCGGCGGTGGCTACTGCGACTGACAGGTGTAATACTGGGAGTTTGATTCCTGATACCGAGCCTGCTATCTACCCTCACTCGACAGGACCACAAGACGCAGTCCCAGAGGATGATTGCTCAAGATTGCGGTTTACTGGCTGGCGCCGAGGATCTCTACTCACCGCGTTCGTCGTCCTCGCGTCACTCATCCTAAACATCTGCGTGGCAGTCTGGATTCACAATTCTGCAGAATTCTTGTCTGGCGTAGGCATACTCTTTCGGGGCGAATGCGACAAGGTCAGTCAATACAACATGTGGGCCCATATAGGCATCAACGCCATCAGCACCTTACTGCTGAGTGCCAGCAACTATGCCATGCAGTGTTTCGCAGCACCTACTCGTGCCGACATCGACCGAGCGCACCAGGTGGGCAAGTGGCTCGATATCGGTGTTCCGAGTCTGCGTAACCTTAGGCATATTCCGAGACGGAAAACGCTCCTGTGGTGGATGCTGGCCTTGTCTTCGTTACCTATCTATCTGCTGTAAGTCAAACTATCGCCTGAAAGTTCTCAATCCAGTCCCTAGGCTAAGAGTGATGAATACACGTCCGCAGTTACAATTCTGTCTTCTATATGTCACTCTCGAGCAACGATTATAATGTCTACTTTGCGGCAGAGCAGTTCATACAGGACGCGGGCAGTATACCGCCAGCTGAAATAGTCGTCGAAGCGGGTCAGTTTAGGATGGGCAAATTTGATTTTCTATTCTCCTCTGGTGGAGAGGCTATGACAGCACATATCCGAGAGCTCAAAAACGATCTCGCATCGTTCGAAAAGTTGGACAACGCACAATGTATGAGAGCGTACACGAAGGAGTATCTGGACGACCGTCGAACCTTGATATTGGTATCTAATGCATTGGAAACCAACGCTACTACCGTCCACGGCTTTCAATATTTCACGCATGAGGCAGTTGATGCTAGTATGAATGTTTACCTTCCATACGACTGGTAAGTAGTTGCCGCCTTGCATCTTTCTGGCTATCGACTGACGAGAACGAGGATCTGTGAAGGGCCAGACGTTCAGCATGGCATACCTTGTTGGGAATATATCGATGAATTTATCGCCTCGACCGCTGATCGATGGACGGTCTACGGGTACCCCGTTCAATACTGTCTCAGTGAGACCACGCAACCAGCTTGTAGCCTCAACGCTAGCTTGTCGATCGTTGCCGTCGTCGCTATTTGCAATACTATCAAGCTCCTTATCATGGTCTGGTTAGCCTTTGGTATGCGACATGCGCCCATTATGACTGTTGGAGACGCTATCACCTCATTTTCGCGAAAGCCTGATGAAACCACTGACGGCATAGGTCTGTTGTCATATGCAGATGTCACTGGTATTGTGAGACTTTGGCCACGCCATGCAGTGCAGCCAGACAAAGCCACAGACTTCCAAACCTCGACCACGAATCATGAGAAACAGTCGTGGCTCAGCGCGGCGAGTGGTGCTCGAGTAACCTGGACAGTACTATGCGTCGCCCTATCAGCCGTTGTCGCTGGTTCATTCTTGGGACTCGCTATCGATGCTATCCAAATGGCATCAGAAAGGTCACCTTTTTCTTTTGGCTTCGGGAAGGTTAATGGCATTGCCTTAGCGTCTGGAGTCTCCAACCACATTGGTGGAGGTACAGAAGCTGCAGGCACGATAACGAGTCTACTGAACATCAACGATCCGAAGACTCGCGTCCTAGGCACTGTGGTTCTGGCGAATCTGCCACAACTCATCTTCTCACTCAATTACTTCCTCATGAACGCTCTGGTCACCATCGTCTACCTTGCCAAAGAGTGGAACAGCTATTCGGTTCGCCGCAAACCATTGCGAGTATCATCACCTCAGGGTGTCCAAAGGAGCACATATTTTCTGTCACTCCCATATCGCGTCGCCGTCCCACTCATGATCATCTCAGGAGTAATGCATTGGCTGATCTCGCAAAGTGTCTTCCTTGCGGTTGTCGCACGTTACGATCCTTACGGCAATTTGGGCGATCCAGCGCAAGTGTCCACGCTCGGCTTCTCTCCTTTACCAATGGTGATAACCCTTGGTACCGGCATCCTGCTCCTGCTCAGTATTCTGACTCTCGGTCTTTGGAGGTTTAAAAGTGTAATGCCTGTAGCGAGCAGCTGTAGCGCGGCTATTGCTGCTGCATGTCATGGACCCACGGGGGAGACGGGTGCCTTTTTGAAGCCTGTGGTCTGGGGCCCTTTGCCGTCTTCTAACAGCGATTCGATGGCCGGTAACCATTATGGTTTCACTAGTGGAGCAATGAAAAGCTTACAAGGAGAAGGAAGACACAAAAAGTAGTCGTTATCATCGCACACGAGCGCAACACTTGCTCTGCCACACTAACATAGCTAGTTTTTCGACCATAAACCATTGCATGCACCAGAGATCGCAATTCGAACAAGGCCGTTGAGGCCTCTTTAAGCTCGGCCTCTACCTGGCTAACAAAAGTGCGCTGCTATCATCAGACGGTCAGAACGTTATTTCAGACTAGCCATTTTACCACCGGCGAGTCAATGCAACACATCTCCTCGAGCGCACGAAACGCGACGTGGTCAAGGTGTGTCGTAGGGAAAATTTTCGTAAGTGAAGCAATTCGGAGATGCTGTACTTCCTCGACATCCGTCGATAACTGGAACTGAAGGCCAATTCTCGCCCCAGAATCATTGTGTAGGCGCACCTTGAGTAGCAGTTGACAGGTCGTCTCTCACGTTCAAAGCAGCAGCCTGCAACGGTGTGTTGACGAATATCCTCACGGGAATGTGAAAGGCAGAATAGAGGCGATATTGTGTTGGGAGAAGAGGTCTATATGACTCAGATCTCAAATCGGCGGGACATTGTACACAGCAGATGCTCCCACGCTGAAGCCTTCATTAAGCATATCCATACCACCCATCCCTTGCCCATACCGATTACCCCTCATATATTCATTCATCCTGGCCACTCTTTGGGGCAATTCAGAATGAGGGACGAGACTCTGCTCAGATAACTCAATTTGGCCACCAACAGACTCGTCATAAACAACGTCCTTGCTCTTGCTTGCTTCCACAACATAGTCGATCCTACGCTGCAGAAGGGTTTCGAACCAGGTGGCAAGCTCAGCTGACGCACGCAGTATATCGCCAAGTACGATATGAGCATATTGCGACATCTTGCCCAGGTATGCTTGCTTTGTCAATGGATGAAGCAGAACAACTCCTTGAATATCGTCTGTGCTCCGAAGAGCAGGAGGTAGTCGTGCTAGAATAGATCGTGTCCAGTCAAGATGGTATTGATGATGCAGCGAAATTGCTTGTTGGAGAGCATCGAGCCACTGCAATAATTCGCATAGAGGTCGGCGGGGAGGGTGTTGTCGGACTAGATCAGGAAACCATCGATCTGGTAGAATGACTCGAAAGATAATCTGTATGGTCACAAAGTAAGCTAGCACAACTTGGCTTATAGCACTATTTTGTCGTGTGAGTGCCCTCAAATGTCGGCTAGCAAAGTGGTGCCAGAGACCATATAGATCTATGCCTGCCAGGACACCAGTACAAGCGCCTTCGTGAAAGGTATCCAGAATCATCCGGACAGAGGAAAACAAGGCGTACTCCGCAGGATCAACAACGCTGGTTTCTAGGATGTCAAATGTATCGGTAGCTTCGTCAATGAGATCTTGGTAGATGACTTCGCGCAAGATAGGCGCGGTGGCAGTTTCCAGCTTTGCTTGTGTTCGGCGTAGTGAGATATCGAAAGTCGTAGGCAGATTGTGTTGCCTGACATGATCCGTTAGTAACGCGCAGCCTCCCACCATGACAAGGTAGTCGTCCATGCCATCGAGCATATAGCTAGCCTGAAAAGCAAGGGCGTAGCAAGTCGACAAAGCTGCATCTGTATCGTGGATTGACCATGAATCAGACCGAGCAAGAAGTTCTTCTAGCCCACGAAGAGCCGGACCTCGAAGAGAAACAGCCTGGTTGTGTGAACTTTGACAGCTCGTCAGGCACGACAAATGAGAAGCACCAAGCGACAGGATAGCACTCATGAGAAATGGGTGCTGCTGTGCCCGTTGCGGAATCGTCCTTGTCCAGACATCATGGTTGCCAATAGGTAGTGGTGGAGGACAAAACACCAAGAAGTGGTGCAGAGCTTGCATATCCTGCCATGAGAATTGATACGCTTGTGGATCAGCCAGCTTGATGGTGCTGGACAGTGATACGTTCACAGTCTTCTTTTTCACAGGCATGAACCTCTCAGGAAACTCGCACGATAAACGCTTGTTGTAGCAGTTGCTACAGCAAGGTCGATGCTCGTCGCATCGTAGTCTTCGCGCTTTGCAAGAATAGCAACCGTTTCGCGACTTGCGGTGAACGCGACGTGTCAAGTTAGGTGGTAGTGTCCTGTTCTTGACTGTGCCGCTTACTCTCTGCTGACCATCTTGAGCTTGACTTTTGTACTGATCTAGACGTTGCGTATCGACGCTCATGCTAGTCACAGTCACGAGCAACAACAATGTTGAACGTTTCGTTTACCGCGATTCATTTGAATATCGCAAGTCAGAGGTTGCGGTTAGAGGTTTACGAATGCAGTAAAGATTAGCTAGGCAACCCATAGAGCCGAGGCGCGGTGTGCTCGAGTATTGTCTTGGCTCGAGCAAGGATTGTTGTCGCTCACTGTTCAGGAAGCGACGAGGAAACTAGCTGCAACTCTTGATACTGCAGTCCCAGAGCATGATCAGCTTAAGTATTCGTCTTCAAAGAATCCCTCATCCGTGTCGTTATCATCAACAATCTCAATCTTCGAACCAAGAGCTTCCTGGCCTTCCCGGATCATATCCTGAAGTTGTGAATTCAGACGTCTGATACTCTCATCTTGCCTCTTGACTTCACGTCTCTTCTTTCGTTGATAATGTTCGATTTCTGGGGAAGCAGGAGACTGCTGATCAAACGTAGATACCTGTCTCAAGGTAGGTGAGACAAGCGCAGCGCTGGAACGCTTCTGTCCGTTATGAGGTCTGACGTTGGCAGAAGCGCTTGTTCTAGATCTTGATGGTGCGTAAGATGCAGTGGGACTCCTGACTGGTTGCACAGGCTGGAAAGAATCGTATCGACTTGAACCAGCTACAGAGGCTTTCGACCTCTTTCTCGCTGGGCTAAGATCCTCTTGTGAAGTATTGTGTTCCAAGAAGACCCAGTCGTCCTTGACAACTGAGTCGGTTGATCCATACTCAACAAATTTTGTCGGCGTCGTTATCGATGTTTTAACCTGTATTGGTAAAGCCTCATGCTGTTCAAGGGATTTCCTATTTCGAGGGACCGTTCCAGGAAGATTTTTGATTCGCCTCTTCGACAGATAGTCATCCTTCTCTTCTTCAGGACTATGCCTCGTAATGACCTCAGCATAGTTGGTGTAAGCCTCTCCACCTCCTGCTTGAAAACCTGAAAAGGTAGTGTTCCAACAAAAATTGAATATTGTCCCCAATACACCTCCAGTCAAAGCCCAGGCAGTACCTCGTAAATTCCAGCTCTTTTTCTTCGGCGGAGGCTCCACAGACTTTTTTTCCTCATTCAAGATCTCGTCTGATGTCCTCCACGAAAGTCTCGGTGACCATGGCTTCGCGAACCTCGACTGCCTATAATCGCGCTCTGCATCTGCTTCCCGCATGCGTTCCAGCCTCTGCTCACGCAAAGCCCCAGGCGTGTCCATGCCTCCCCACAGTCGATATTCTGAATTTGCCAATGGTGAAGGTGAAAGAGCATTCAAGCTTGTAACCGAAGCATTGAAATCGTACACACCCGACGCACGTGGTGTTCTGTTGTCGGCGAAGTGGTGTGAAGCCACTCTCGGCCGCTTCCTGCTGACCATGGTCGGATTGGGACCTGAATAGATCATGTTGTCGATCTCGGATCTGGTGACTTGGCTGTGGACATTAAAACATGAAATGGTTGAGTTATGCGCAGCTGGGCAGAACATGGCTGCCGTGGTTTGGTGGAGAAGCAGGGCAGATGTGCCGTTATTGAGCATGCTGCGGGGCCAAAACAATGGATGTTTATGTGATAACAATTACGAATGCTTTCAACAATATCACTGATATTACACAGTATCAAGGATGAGAACTACGTGTATCTCGCTGTCGGCATTCTGCCTACAGTTGTTCGACCTATTTGAGCAACGGCTATTTGCTTGAGCCATGCCCCCTGCGTACGAGGGAAATCGTGACGATTGGTAGGGGTTGGCCCACCAACCTGTAACGCTCCCTGCATTCTGCGTGAAGGCCTGCGTGATTACTCTTCGTTTCATGCTCAATCTGCTGGCTACCAAATGTTGGTCTATGACATGTTTACAATTGGACTGACGGCGAAGCATTATTGAAGGCCAGTAGAATTGTTGTGATTTGCCTATGTTTGATCAGTCTGTCTTAACGACGCGAGGCGTTCACACTCTCTAATCTTTCTTTTCCACTCCTCCTTGGCTCTTCTATCCCATTCCTCCTGGGCTGCTCTTGCCGCAGCATTCGCAGCACAGGCAGGATCTTCTGGTTCGAATCTTTTGACAGCATTGGAAAGTTCCATACTGCCCAGTCGCTGATCCTTCTAGAATCTGCCGCCTAAAGCAGCCATTCTCTCGAGTCCAGGCACAGCGTTGAAAGGGCCAGTACCACTCCCGCCGTTCATGACTCCCACAGGACCGAACCCGCCTTGAAAGAGACCAGGCATAGCTAAACTACGACCTCCGCTCAGGTGATCATCAAGATCCTCGTATCGCAGGATGTACATCTTCCTGATTCGTTTCCAATTTCGATAGTCCCACCAGATGTAGTAGCCCTGCTCACACACGTCCTTCTCCAGTATTTGAGGATTCTGTGTCGTGTCATCTCTGGTCAACCACATCTTTTCCTTCATGTGAAAGCGCCATTTCCGAGACATCAGCTCAGTCGCCACTTCCTCCTGGATGATGTCCTTGGGACTCGTGTAGAAAATGTAGAACAACGTGTCTTCAGTAAAACCACTTATCCTCTGCTGGATCGGAGCTACATTCTGCACGATGTAGCAATCGGGTATCGTGTAATCGGTATCTAGTGGTCGAGGTGGGAAGGCGTTGGGTGGTGCAAAAGGTCCTGTATACGTCCGCAGTAACGGTTGACCCGATGCTGAGTAGTGCTCGAATGCAGCCTGGTCTTGTTGCCGCGTCAATGCTTTGAACTCAGCTCCTGGCCCTTCGTGAAGTGCTTGCCAGCCTGCCATGCCCCATTTATCCTTTTCTGACAACCCACTGAGCAGTGACTCCATCGTCTGGTCCTGTTGTGTTATTGGGGACATTGGTTCGGGGCCAGCGAACATATCTTTCGGTCTACCTTGTCCCTGTATCGCTGATGTGGGTGATTGACTCTTTTGGTCACCGTTCGTACGCTCTTGTCCTATGCTTCCGTTCACCATTTGGGATGTTGGAGTCTTTCTGGATTGTATGGTGCTGTCAGGAGACATGCCATCTATAGGTGCTAACCCTGGCGGTGCCCCTCTCGGTAGCTGAAACCTCGATGATGGTTGATCTATTGGGGAGGAGAACTCGCTGCCATAATTCTGGTCACGTTGGGAGGATATCGGTGGTTGTCTTTGCTGGATGTTTCGAGAACTCTGTGGCTGCGATGGTTCGCGTGCCGCTGGAGGTCCTGAATGCCATTGACTAGATGGAGCTCCTGGGGCTTGTGCTTGCACACTACCACCAGCTAGACTTGGAAAGGAGGAAGAGGAAAGGTCGAGAGGTTGGTTATTCGAGCGAGGATTCATGGCTTGAGCCCAGCTACTGGCAGCATCATTCGGCTGTGGTAATGGTTGAGAGGTATTTGAGCCCCAAGCTCCGGATTTGCTTGTTATCAGCCTGCTACCGGGAGTGGTGTTGCGAGGTTGAGTAGTGTTTGTCAGGTTCCGTAAGGGTTGACCTGGTCCTGCGCACGACAACGTGTCAGCATCAACGTGAAACAATCCAACAATAAGCAATATGACCAGTAAGACTGAATGAGTGGAATGATGTGTGAGGTCCAAATGGCTGATATTTGCAACATTCCTGCTTGAAGAACACGTCTAGCGTAAAAGCGTTACCAACGACCTGGCCGAGCTTGCACCAGAGCCGGTATTGGTCTGGCAATTGCGATCCAGGACGTGGGTTCAGGACAGCTTCTGTTGGACTGGTAGTATGTCTGAATTGCGCTTGCCCGTTGCGCTTCCAAAATCTTTAACGTGCTGAGACAATCCCATATTGCGCTGCAGTTCCATGCCAGAGCTTGTGCAGTCAACCATTCCAGGTTGTTATCAAAATCAAGACCCGATAGAATGTCCTTGATCGCTTTTCCTCAATCTTTTCCCATGGTTCCTGATTTCTTGTCCAAGCATGCTAGCGATCCACTGATTTGGTGGGTTGATCCGTGTTTGTTTCCGCGCATTGAACCAGATGTGTTCTCAAGATATTCGAGAGGAGCGTAGACGAAGCAGGATCGAATTAACGAGGCTTACCTTGTTGACGATTCATGGTGTGAGAAAGAGTACTACAGCGCGGAAGAGCGAGTAGTTCAGCTCAGCATCAGTGTATCTAGCGACGACTTTGTGGAAATGGTGGTTCTGTGGATCAAGGTCTGTGATCTGTACCAAAGTTGGACTTCTGTTGCTGCAACTGCACAGCCGCTGCGGCACAGGGCCTTCGGCCAAGAATAATCCGGCGCCGGCAAGCTATCAATAACTTGAACCTTGTTAAACGCGTAGCACATCTCAAATCCTTCCTATCTCTTACATTGTTGAAGCTGCTCTCTGTATATGCGGACGTCGTTTGTCAATCGCGCGTTCTCATTGTTCAAGAGTGGGCGCTGCCAGAATTCCATACAAGAGTTCGACTCAATCAGTCGAGAAACAACATGTATTGCTTGCTCACGCGACACTATAACATGGCAGAATCCTATCTTGAGCTATCTTTCAACAAGATATTGCTGCTCGCATTGGCCTACCTGTAATACCGAACCATATTGGGAGCACACCAATCTACGATCTGCTCAAAAAAGTTGTCGCTTCTGGATGTCTGCTCACTCTTTTGATCACCTCACCTTGACTCCTACATAAACTCAACACACCCTCAAACCTTCCCACTCTCCGCCAACTTGCCCAAAGCCTGCCCCGTCACCCTCATTCCCTCCCACTCCTCCCTCGTCGACACAGCACCAATAACCTCACTCTCATAAAAGTCAATACTCGGCTTATTCCACTTCAACACACTCCATTCCAACCGTCCATAATCATTCGCAACACACTCCCTCGCCAACGCTTGCAACAGCGCCTTCCCAAACCCTTTCTTCCGATACTGCGGTCTCACAAACAGATCCTCGAGGAAAATCCCCGGCTTAGCCAGCCAAGTCGAGTAGTTGTTGAAGAAGAGCGCCATCCCAGCTACTGCCTCTTTCCCACCCTGTGACGCGTCATCACCATTATTGTTACTGCTGTCACCCGTCCTCGGCACGATAAGCAACGTCTTCGCAGCCCCAGGCTTATTCCGCACTTTCTCGGCCGACGACGTCGGAAACGAAAGCGTATTGAATAGTTTTTCCTCCGTGGCCAGGACTTCGTGAAGTGCTCGTTCGTACGACGCGAGTTCCTGGATCATTCGTAGAATTTCCGGGATGTCTTGTTCCGTTGCGTAGCGGATTGTGTAATTTGGTGTGGTTACTTCTGCCATGCTGTATTTATTTTTCGTCCGGAAGTGTTTCGGAGTTGAAGGTGTCAAATATGCCAAGTTTTTCAATTCGACGACGAAGCGGCAAGGATGAGAATGAGCTAGATTTGAGCAAAGTGATCGATTTACTAAGACGCGGATGGTGGCAACGTATCTATGCTAGCAGAGTAGACCGATCCAAATGTTGTCAAAGGACAGCCCTGTCTCAACTGTGGACGTATAGGCAAGATAAAGCGGGCTTAGTAACATACAGGAAACGCTCTGCGAAAAAAGTTAGTTTTTGTCGAAAGGCGTGAAATCCGCTCCTCCGCTGTTTATTACTTCCTTCAATGCTTAACCCTCAGTGCATAGTAAAGACTTGAGGGACGCGCATTACGTGCAGTCATCCGAAGCATGCATTCCCAATCCGATAAACATAACTTCTGAACTTCGAGACAGTTTACTACTCATGTCCAGGAGCATAACTATGATCGCCCGCTTGCTTGTGTGAACATTGACGAAAACAGAAGGATAGCCTCATATCCTACGCCTAGGTCCTGTTGGCTCGAAAAAGTGTGCGACGGTGGGCCATTTCTTCTCGAGTCCACGCTTTCCTTGACCTTCACTTCCGACGACATCACCGCCATAAGTAAAGTATCCTTGCAACTCGCTCTGTGCCCCATTACTGCCCTTGGTAATATCACCAGCGTTGCCAAAGACCCAAATGGTCTGCTGACCCATTATAACGTGCTGCAAGATGTGACAGTGCATCGACCAGACACCAACATTGGCCTTGGTGATTCTGACACGCCACGCCCGCCAACCATTGACTGAATACGGCCTACCACCTGGTGCAGGTGCAGGAAGGATGGTGGTATCCCGTAGTGTACCCTTCCACCCAGATTCTGCGAGCTTGACATTGTTTGCGTCAGGGTCATAGGTACCTGGACCAGACCCGATGTCGAAGTATGGCCCTCCATGTGCATGCAGGGGATGGATACCATACTTGCCCGTATCAGATGCTTCGTTCTGCCACACAATTTCCAGCACTTCTCCAATTCGCGCCGGCCAAGCCTGCAGTACTGGATCAATTCCACCGTTGGCCATTGCACGCTCATAGTCTGGTGCTCCAGCTTGGCCGTGCCTGTAAATGTCGATAAGGTACGGTGTAGGGTAGCTTGGTCCAGATGGCTGAGCATCAAACCATGAATATCCTTCCCCAGCAGCTGGATCTTGTCCAGGCAATGAGCCAAGATAGACTGTCCGACCTGATTGTTTCTTGCTAGCCAGCTGAGTCCAGCCCACGACGATGCGGCGCGTGACCTCAGACGAATCGATAGGCTCCAAATAACATGGTAGCTGTAGGTTCACCAAAGCATATTCAAGCCAGTCTGGTGAGTAGGGAACTTCGAGTGGAGGATTGATGGGGATGTAGGCAATGTCGTCATATTTCAGTGTCGCATTGGACGGTGTTTGCTGGTCGACATCGATCTGCGTCGGTACCGGTACAGGACTAACAGAGCTTGGAGCCTGCACAGGCGCCCAGGTATATGTTGCTTGGTCACGTCGGGCTTTTGGTGGTCCTCTGGCGGTAGTGGTCTGGTAGTTAAGGATAGCATAGGCTCTTTGAACACTGCCTGCTTCGCGCGTCTCGAACTGAACCCAAAACTGGTTGTTGCCCATCTTATCGAGTTCAGCCTGTGATTTTGTCGTCAAAAGCGCATCGAATCGTTGACCAGTCTGAACTTGAATGTGGTCGGTCGTGTATTTTTGAGTGTAGTAGCTATCAGCTGCGATGATGTCCAGCGACGTATGATGGTCGATGGCAAAGGTAACCATTGAGATGGCTGTGGCACCAATCACCCTCAGACGGTAAGTGGTGCCAGGTTGTACGTTGATAATGTGTGGTTGGCACGACTTGTCCGGCGTCATGTTCTCGACTGTCGGGGCTATACCACTCTGGCCGTTGATTAGAAGGGCGGCCGGGTCACCAGTCCATCGATGCGGCGAAGACGTAAGCATAGTCTCCAGCTCGTGGTCATCCTTAGGGTAGAAGTCGCCGATATGAAGGATGATCTCGTCGTCGTATTGGTATGGAGGTGCAACAGGGTCTTTGACGATGAGGACACCGTTAGCTGTGATGGCTTGGAAACCAACATGGGTATGGTAGAAGTATGTGCCAGCTTCCGAGTTATCAGGGTGAAGCTCGTAGTCGAAAAAGTGTCCAGGAGGTATCGGCCATTGCGAGGCTAGTGGTGTTCCGTCGGCAAATGGAGAGGTCGATTGGGTTAAGCCATGCCAGTGCTGTACGTTGTTAATCATGTTCCTATGGAAAGCATCAAGTTCTTTCTTACCATGGTAGTATTGACGTCCGCGTCATTGTAGACTCTGACCCACGTTGTCACATCAGTTTCCAGATAGATGGGCGGTCCAGGATACGTGCCATTTACAACAACACTTAGACGAGGTTCGCAACTTTGTAGAATGGTGGTCAACCCCACACGGAGGACTATGTCTGGAATAAAACTCTCGTCATGCTTGATCAGCCTGGTCGCACTGGTCGAGGCTATTAAATAGTAGAGTATTGATAATTGAAAGAATAGCATGCTGTAGTAGCTGTTTGACTAACAATATTAAGGCTAGTCTTGATGAGTGAGGGAATGGACGTGTATTGATAGACGATCGATGGGATGTGAGAAAAAGAGTGTGTATGTGTGAGGTGGTGTAGCGATATATGCCGTGACTAGTCGCAACTTCCCAGAGATAGATTCGCAAAACTGTGCTTTGCCATTTTAGGTGCTCCCGCGGGCTTGCATGCGTGCCATATTGTCTTGAAGCTCGGAAGTTTTATTGCAGAAGATATTGAGATTAGCACAGCCCTTTTCGCTGACTCGCACGTTGTACCAATAGCCGTTGGTCTTTCATGGCGAAAGCTTCCGATACAATACTGCTGTCATGTAGTCAAAGAAAGCTGGCTCGAGCAACAACAGACTGATTCGTATGGTCTAAGCTCGGGTGTAAGCAGAGGCAAGCTTGAGCAAAATTTCGTCAAGGAAGCTACCCTACTGGCGAGGCTGCAGAGACTGGAGCCAGTGAAAGATGTGTCTACGCGAGTGAGCAGCGTACATTCGATGCGGTGAGTCCACATTATACTGATCTGATGATGTACTGGTGCTATTCTTGGTGACACGAGACATCGTCTCCATACTCGCTGGATACGTAGGAAGGAATGATGCAGAGCTCCGATGCTCCAACGGTGTGACACAGAGCGTCACGGGTCAAGACCAGACGAACTAGCACCTCCAAGGAATGCGAGTTCATTCAAAGTAGGAGGCAATGCTTTTCGAGTCGCGTCCTTGATGAGTGATTGGAATACGCTGATTCCAACTTCGACAGAACGGGAGAAGTGCTGACTGCAGTGGGGTTCAGATCTGCTGGCTCCTCGATTCCGATGATGGTTCCACTTACGGAGGTTCCCTCCGTGGCTGTACTATAAGTAGTCACGGTACGAGTACTGTAGTGATGCAAATGAACCAGTTTGACCTGCTCTGCGGTAACGCGGAACAATACATGACCTACGATGTAAGGACTTGGTTGCGCGTGTAGGTATACGCTTAACACAACGTCCAAGATCAGATACCTACATAGTCCCCCACTTGTATATTGTCTTCTCGCTATGGGGATTCCACTCGGCAATATGTACTCTAAAATGTCCAAGCTTCAAGCCTGAAGCTTAGCTTATTGCCAACCTTGTTCAGTGATGTACAAGATTTGTCTGTCTTGTTGTAGCAGGATCCAGGCTCCTCAAGGTATATTCAAGCACATCAACACGACGATGGACACATTTGGGACTTTTGAAGACAACGCTACAAGGTCTCGTACGATGCTCTACAAGCGCGCACTCTATTGTTCTCGCGCTGGCGTGATGGGTTTTCAGCTCTGTATCCTTTTTACATATCGTAAGCACTAACCTACACGAGTCTTACCATCGCTTTTGCGAGTGACACGTTTTGACGATCATGTGGACTGAAAATCGCGTCTCCGGATTTCACACTTTCGGTACTGCAGTGGCCAGTCTGCCTTGCAGAGCATTATGGAGGGAACACGGATACTATTGTGCTGCTCCAAGCACGCAGCCTTTCGACGTGATGGACTTTGTGCACGTCGCTAGACACCTGGGGTCGAAAAGCGGATGGTATTGATAGAGAGCCTCAAGATCGTCTCCGGAGCCTACCAGTGGTTTCGGAAACAGCAATCGGCGCCCAAAGTCAGGGCACATCGGAGGAGATAGATAGGGAACAAAACAATACGACTCATTGGAATTGCGAGAAAGGTTCATGAGTATAGTTCACAGATCTGCGTATCAATTGTTTCGTGTTGTTCGTGGTTACGTAGTGTCGCAGATGCGACAGCCAGTCCTAGTCTCGACAACGACGTTAGACAACAAGCAGAACGACAGCAATACCTTGCAGCCTCTGTACAACACCGATGCCGCTTCATCCTTGGACAGTCCGCGAAGACTGCTATCACGCCCGAAGCAGTGCGAGATGCTTCCGCTTGAAGCGGAGCGATAGCCGTCATTCTCATGCTTTGTGGAGAGGACTAATATTCCACGACTTGTTGACATGCCGAGTGGGTTGCTGACGTGCGTCACAACGCATGTCTCAGCTTAAGTCGCATTGATCTGTGGCCACGGTCAAGTGGTCTTTCACGGCAGGTTCTGTTTTCACAGATTTTGCTGTACAACTAGTCGTCTTGCAGGTCGGAAAACTCGAGAATCTACGAAAGTGTTAGCCAGGAGCTCAGAAATGCATCGGATAGTGCTATTCGTGGAAACATGCAGGCACAATGCAGAGAAGTTGGATGCAAGGTGGTGTAGGAATGGAGCGCAGAAACTGCGACCACACTCTGTGTCGTGATCCGCGCACACGAGACTGTAGACATAAGGTTAACTTACCATGTTGTTCCAGTTTGCAGCTCCAAAGGTACACTGACTTGGCCCCATATCATCGAAACCGAATCTGCCATAGAACTTCTTCATCTCGTCATGCGCGAGAAGGGCCAGTCGATCGGCGATCTTTGCATCCTTGATGCGTTGAATATAGGAGCGTAACAAAACGCTGCCGATGCCCATAGATTGATACTCCGAACGCACCGCAAGAGAATGTATACAAATAGTAGCACCATTCTCCTGATGACCAAGTGGTTCTTTGTTACCGGACGTAGACAAGGTCCTCTTGTCTGTCTTCCAGTCTTTGGGATAGTCCATAGATGCATCAGTAACAGATGGTGCTTGAGTTCTGGTCGCAACAATGATGGCGATCAATTTCCGTTTTTCATCGGAACCTTCTTCCATCTCGGCCTTTGTGGGTTGAGTAAAGATACCAAGGGACAGCTCAGGACAACGCGACAACCTGTATTCAAACTAGACCACCATCAGTACACTGAATTTTCTTCGCTCTTCAACATTACCTTTTCTCTGCTTGCCCTTTCTTGCTCCGGGAAAGCATCATGTTCAACTTCAACACATTCGTCCACGTTCGCAATTGTCAAGACTTGGTTTTCTGGATGAAGCTTGTCGTATTTGTGCGACGAGCCACGTCTCCGTTGACCTAAACGACCAGCGAGCATACCGAAAATCGGGTGATGCGCCATTCCTTGCTCATCGTCGTCACTATCGTCCTCAACGTCTCTAAGATCGTTATCAAAACGGGTCAATTGCAGGTCGTCCTTGTTTGCGTTTGCCTTGTTGTCCGTGTTTGCTGCAGTCTCGGCGTCCTCGTGACTAACAGTTTCAAATTCGTCTTCTGCCTGCTGTCTTGAATCCGTGTTGTCATCGGCTTTATTCTCCGCGGAGCTCATGACGCTCGGTGCCAATAGCTCGTCTGCAATACAGACGCGTTGACTTGTTGAGCGAACGTGCCTGGTAGCAAATATAAATTGTGATTGTTCCTAAAGTTTTGGGGTTCAGGCAACTTTGGCAAGAACGAGTCGTGCGACAGTGCCAAAAAGCGTCCGCCTTTCTTTGCTCGGAACAAGATCTCCACAGATCTTGCCGGCCAATCGAATGGTGGTCTTTCTTCGGGCGCCTCAATACGAATTGCCACTTGTGCCGGTGCAGTATCGAGAGTACTTTTCATGCAAACCGTTCCTCTCCGAATCCACGATAACAGATAAGCTACTCAGGTACTATTGCCCGAGATTCACGTTCTCCGGATCGGTCTCAAATAACTAAATTTCAAGCAGTTCTAGTCTGGCTAAATATATGTACTTCCACTCAGACAATCTATTCGTATCACTTCTCATCTGTGTTTGCCAGCTGGTTAGACTCTGCTCAAGATGCAGAGGTTGCAGCCATGGACTTTCGAAGACGGAATTGAGTGTAAGGCTCACAGGCAACTCTGCCTTAGCGCGAGATTGCTCTCAGGCGCGTCATCATGGCCGGTTGGTGACTTCGCGTTTTGAGAAAGTGCAAGTGCCACAAGCATTTATTCACCACGCTTGCTAAGTAAGCATCTTGTAGTCGACCTTCTGTAGACTTTGAAGGCTTTCCGCAACCGTCTACGACCTGTGCCCTGACCGTTTCTCGGTTCTGCCTCATCTACCATCCTTGTATTACCTGATCGTTGAGACAGCGGATATCGATTGAGGTTCGTTTTAGGAGGAACAGAACGCAATCAGCCAATATGCGCATTTCGGTGTCCGTAGCACAGTCAGATGTGCAGATCTCACAGGATTTCATCACCCTCGAAGTCATTGAAGACATGTCCTTAGACACTGTGAAGGGGTTCATCGAAGACGAAATTAGAATACCACCGCAGGCCCAACACTTCATTCACAATGGGCAACCAGTCTTGAACACATCACAGGCGCTTACTGCCATAGGCATAACTGAAGGAGATGTGCTGAGCCTTATCATCAGAACGGTAGCTCCACAGCCGCAAGACAGATCACAGAACAACCAACGCGCAGGAGGACAACGACGGCCAGCGCAAGCAAACGCAATGCCTGACTCAGAAACCCTGAGATTACAAATACTGAACGATCAAGGACTATTAGCACAGGTACGAGAAAGAGATTCCGAGTTGGCAAGCGCCGTGAACGATTCAGGTCGATTCAGAGAAGTCTTTCAACGACGGCAGGAGGCGCAAGCAGATCAGCAAAGAGACAAGGAGGAAATGATGGCTTTGTTGGATGCAGACCCCTTCAATGCAGATGCCCAAACGAAGATCGAGGAGATCATCCGGCAAGAAAGAGTGATGGAGAACATGAGAAAAGCCCTTGAAGAAAACCCAGAGTCTTTTGGCAGAGTTGTGATGCTCTACATCGACGTCACTGTCAACAACACTCCCATTAAGGCTTTTGTCGATTCAGGAGCTCAGACCACAATCATGAGTCCTGAAGCTGCAGAAAAGTGTGGCATTATGAGACTGATAGATCGAAGATATGGTGGTATTGCTAGGGGCGTCGGAACTGCAAAGATTCTGGGCCGAGTTCATTCAGCTGATATCCAAATTGGTCAATACAACCTGGCCAGTAGTTTTACCGTGATGGAAGGCAAAGGAGTGGATCTACTGTTAGGCCTAGATATGCTCAAACGACATCAGATGCTCATCGACCTCAAGGACAATGTTTTGCGAATACAGAGCGATGCCATTCCTTTCTTGTCCGAGAACGAAACACCGAAAGGATTGGACGAAGCAATGGACGAAGAACCCACAGTCAAGGGCCCGGGCAATACCGAAATTGGAGCAAAGACTGGCACAGTCAAGCCTGCGGGTGAGTCTTCCTCTGCTCCGGCAGCTCAGTCGTCTGCGTCAGGTCCCTCAGGAATCAGGATACATCCTCAAGGGTCAGCAGGAAACGTCTTCAGCAATCCTCAACGGCCACAGTCACAGCCTCGCGCACAACCACAAACACAAACACAACAAGCTATACGCCCTAATACCAATGCCCTTCCAGCAGGCGTGACGGAACAGTCAGTAGCACAGATCACAGATCTTGGGTTTCCAAGGCAGGAGGCTGTGATGGCTTTGCAGCAGGCTGGTGGCAATGTTGAGCTGGCGATTAGCTTACTCCTCTAGCCGAGCAGGTCGTTCGTACGTTCATGATTGCGGCAAGGGTAAATCAAAGCAGGACAGTCCCTATGAGAACGGCTGAAGATGGAAGGAGTTTTGAAGGCAATGAAGCAACGCAGCAATATTCGCAGAACACGTTCATAGCGAGCATGGGGTGGTTACTGCATACCACACAATGGTACGCTGGCAGTTCCATCACATTGTATTTTATTACCCTACTTTTCGGGCTGAGAAAATAGAAATCTCATGTGTAGTCACTCTCAACAAGGCTCGAGTGGAATGTGTCTCATACAGTATTGACCTTTGTAGCTGAGAGCCAATGGCCGGATTGCTCCAAGTTCTTGGTAGACTTTCGCAGGGGTTTGAGTAACCCTAACTCTAGCGTTAACTGCGGCTGCACCACGGGCTAGCAAAAAAAGGCCCGGTATACTGTACTTATGCTCATATCATATTTCCTCAACCACACATAAACATTTCTAGAACACCATGCCCGCCTCGGCAGCCTATCTCACCAAATACCTCACCGCGTCAAGTACCAAGTCCTCACCAAATGTCGACTTCGAAGACTCTTTTCGACCCAAGAAACGGCGCAAGAAAGACAAACACCATGCCACCAGCACCACAGAACCAAGCACACTACTCATCGCAGACGACGACGCCGACCTCCTACTCTCGAACCAGAAATCTTGCGCACAAGATGACGACGATGACGGACCAACCATGTTCGACAACGGTGTGAGAAGCGCAGAGTTCAGAAAAAAGAAAAGCAGTGCATGGAAGACAGTGCAGGACCGAGACGTCGATGTACCGCTCGAAAGCGCAGATGCCGAAGCAGACAGGATCCTCGCTGTCGCTGTACAAGAAAGCGATTCGCGACGTATAGCAGAACAGGACGATGAAGCACCCGCAGTGGTAGAGAATGCCACGATTTCACCAGATTCTACAACGACAACAACCTCAGGCCCAAAAATGTCGTCAGGCGCCAAAGCCGGACTACAAACCGCAGCAGATACAGCCGTCATTCTCGCAGCCGAACAAGCTCGTGAAGCGGACGAAGCACGCGCTCTCAAGAAGCAAAAGAAAAGGGCCGGCAACCAGAAAGATGGGCAGAGCGAGCAACCAGCAGCAGCACTGGCACCAGAAGACGAAACAATCTACAGAGACGCAACCGGTCGCCGCATCGACATCTCCCTCGCCAGACAGCAAGCTCGCGCCGCAGAAGTTGCGAAACTGCAAGCTGAGAAGAAAGAGCGTGAGGCAGCCATGGGAGATGTCCAATTACGGCAGCGCGAGCAGGCGAAGCAGGATCTTGATGAGGCGAAGTTCTTGACGTTGGGACGAAGCGCGGATGATGAGGAGTTGAATGAGCGGCAGAAGGAGGAGGTAAGGTGGGATGATCCTATGGCGCAGTATATTGCGGAACGGAAGGCAGAGAAGGATGCGGAGGAGGAGGCGAGGAATCCGAGGGCTAAAAGGAGGGGGAGGGGAGATTTGGAGGGAATGGAAGTGGTGAAGGTGAGGAAGAGAGAGTATCAGGGTCCTGCGCCGCCGAATAGGTATGGAATTAAGCCGGGATGGAGGTGGGATGGAGTGGATAGGGGGTGTGGCTTTGAGAAGGAGTGGTTTCAGGCCAGGGGGAAGAAGACCAGGAATGAGAATTTGGAGTATCAATGGGCTATGGATGAGTGAGGATATTGTATCTGCTGCTCGGAAGCACTTACGATACTCGCTCTTCGACCAGAAATACAGCTATTCACAGTCCATGATCGCCACAATCATGCTGCTTCTTCCGATTCGAACACTTTGCAGATGCGGACTGCTCTCAGTCCAGGACACCACCAATCCTTTGCTCGCCTACTATGTACTTGGAATCAACCTCAACCACGCACAAACAATCTCTCTGCAAGCCAAGGCATCCTCCAGACTATCATGTCCAGCCACTCTGCCATTGTCCAGCTTCGAGTTCTGCACCGTAATTCCACATCGTCGCAAGCACACATCCTTTAAGCTTCTCTTCAACTTCTGATCCCGAACGTCTTGACACCAATTCTCGAGCACATGCGTGTCGATGATCTTGTCAGCTGGATGTAGCATTCGTAGTGAGATTAGGTCGCCATTGCCGCCGTGCACGATGATGATAGTGTTCGCATTGACGTATCGGAAGACTAGTTCGCGAGCAGCGTCGACACCACAGATGACATCTCGGTTCTCTTTGGCTATGCGCATCATGGCGAAAGTGACACCACTGTACTTAGTGTTGTAGTGTAGCATTTCGACGTCTGGAGCTACCAGTTTGTCGATGAGGGTTTGGCCAGTGAAGAAGTCGATGAGGGAGACGCGAATGAGGACGTTGTCAACACTTGTCCCGTTCTTTGGTGTGCCCATCTCGCAGTCTAGCGCTACTGCGATACGAATGTCCTTTCCACTGAGAAATGGGCTGGGCGACGGTGAGTTGTGACTGTATACGTTGGTATATCGTCCACGACCACGTCTGGCTCCTCGATGACCATCCTGATTCTGAATTCTGTTTGGAACGTGAGCAGGTATCTGTAGTGCAGGTATAGTTTCGGGTGAGGGGGTTTTGTGAAACTGCCATTGTGCTCGAGCCTCGTCTAGGTCGCAGGCTTCGTGAGTTAGGTTTGACATGCATCCTTTCGTGTACATGTGGCCATTACAGCATTGATAGGTGCTCTTCCAGAGCAGCCCATCATGGTACACGCACAAGTGCTTCTGCTTGCTAGCATTACTGAGAGACGTTAGCCTGTACAGCATGAATCAGTTACCATGTGTTTCACCGAACTGGTTGCGTGATCTCAACCTCATATTCATCAATCTCCTCCCCTGCTTGATCTTCCTCAAAGCTCATAAGATCTCCCTGTGCATATCTGCTGTATTGCAAGGGTGGAAAATACTTCTTGAGTCGTTGACCACAGTTCTTGCATCTCATCTTCCTCCATGTTTCGCTTTCCGTCAAAGGTTCAAACACATATCCTTCCTTCGCTAACACTTTTGGTGTTGTAGTCAAGAGATGCAATTTCGCAACTTCCGTACTCGACTCAGCTACAGATGACCATTGGATAAGCGGTTTAGGCTGAGCCATGTCGTTTATTCGAAAACGGATTTGGACGCATCCAGGATGTGCTTGATCGATTGGTTGGCAAAGGTAGAAATGTTACACAAACTGCAGGGACAATAGCCAAAATGAAGGTGGCTGGCTGAGACACTAGCTATGAGCTGCGCCTTCCATCTGTAGTTTAGGAATGAAGGTTTAGTGAAGAAAGTGACAACTTGCTGAGCGCAGGTGGTGCGGTGGACAATGTATGCACGTTCCCGAGCAAACAATACTGAATTTTGTTCTGAAGAACGAGCATTTTGCTACACTTCTTGAATCCTTGAATCGTGCTCCGGCAAGAAGGTACTGCATGCTTGCGATCAAACAAATTCTAGTTCCTGATGGACCTCCTCATGACCACCGCCAGGTTATTTTGTCCTCATTCCACCTCTTGTGAATCGTCGTCCGGATGATTTGTCGATGTACAGCCGCTGTCAACTCTGCCTTGTCAACGTTTCTGTTGGAACGCCTTCGATGCTATCTACCATGGTGACAAGGTGATGCGGGTTTTGCCTCTATTCATTGCCGTCGGTCGCTGATTCCTCCCACGCGATGCGATCTTGATTGTTTCTTTGCGCGGCGGCTGTATCTGCGTGGCTGGTATTTACACGCCTTATCACAGTCTAATATAAGCGGGCACACTGACTTGATCCGACACTACTTGCTGCGTAATGCTCAACAGCCTCATGTAATCAGACGTGCTTTGTTCGACTCTTTGACCTGTTATAGCTTGTGGTTTTACTCGGATCGTGTTCACACTGGCAATTCTGCATTTCGCCTTCCACCACCTAGCTTATTCAGAGCAATCTGTATGTATGGTCCAACAACAGGTATGTTGCCTGCGAAGGATCCAATAGTAGCGAAGAAATCACCGAAAAGGACAAAAATTCCGTAGAGCTCGACCAGGAATCCAGTAAGTGGCCAGCGGAGGAAGATGAGGAGTATACCAGCAGTGAAAGCAGCCGTCCCTTTAACCTTCTCTCTTCTTGCAAAGAACACAAACGTCTTCTGCAGGCCGATTATTAAGGTGAGACCGATAACGAAGAGGATCTGGAGAAGTTAGTGGTAGGGAGATGCAACCAGTGGCTGTTTCATACATTGCCCATAGCCAGAAGAGAACGGTCGAAGAACATCAGCACCCCCAACGTAAGGAAGAGGCCGCCTCCTGCGCAGAAGGCGACACCGACTTCTATTGCCCGTCAGCATGTCAGCGACTGATTGACTGGATATTGCGCACTTTGCATGTCAGAAAGCCACATGTTGTCGTGGTATTTGTAAGGGAATGGGAACTCCGATTGTGAACTGTGAGACGAAGAGCTGTCACAACCGTCAGGACAGCATCAGCATCTACATCGATCAATCCGTCGTGATAAGGACAACCTGTTCTAACACAATAGATGGACTTGGTTCCTAAGAGAGGCTCCGCATCCACTACAAAATCGGACATGCAGCCAAGTACGCTAAAACGCGTGTTTGCAAATCCGGGGCCACTGCTGTAACCACATTTATCTCTTCGTGTAGCAATGGTTACTGAGTTCTTCATCGCCAACATCGTCGTAGCACAGTGATCTATCAGCATATGAGATAACGCCCTCGAGAACCGCAGCGAGACGCTATTTCTGGATCTTCCCTGCTGATGGTCGTTGTCGGCTCACTTGCGTCCAACGACTTTATCCTTGGAAATTGACCTCTGCACAAGCCTATCTTAAGACGATCGAGGAAATTCAACTATGTGCATCCCCACGTGTACTAAGCACCGCACAAGCCAGCAAATCCAACTCCAAAGCTTAGATCAGTCCCTCAACGTAAGCCTTCAAATCTCTGCCCTGCTGCACAAATGCACTCTGCAACGCGCCCGCAATCGGCAACACCACAGTATCATTAGGCCTGTAGTAAGTCTCCCAGCTAATCATCCTCACGTTTCCTCCACCTAGTTCCTGCAAGCTCGTCGGATGTTCAGCCTGAACCGCAACACCGCTTTCCCATGCAACGATCGAGTAGCCATCATCATGGTTCCAGTCCTTCCACTTCGCCGGTTGCTTGTGTGGTGCTGGCGGATCAAGCAAAGTAATTACCTCGATGCTCAACGTGTCAACGCCTGGTACCAGGCCCTGAGTAGTGAAGACCATGTCCAAGCCGAGATACACATCTGCTGGAGTCTGCACAGCTGCCGGTAGCTGAACTTCGGTGACGAAGGTGTTCCAGACGTGATATTGGCGAAAATCGAGGAGGGCGTTGTAGATGAGAGAGCTTGGCGCATGAATGATCTCTTCTGTACAAACGCTGAAGGAAGCATTCTCCAAGCCATATTTGGGTGTTGGCAGAAGACCATCTGCACAACGAACGCTTTTGATCGCTTCAGATACATCATGGCGGAGTGACTCAGGAGCAGGAAGCGAAGAGGTATATGGTAAGCTGATGGTTAGAAGAGCAAATGCCAAAGTAAGCATCGTAAGTCAACTTCTTCGCACGATCAATGAGTATAGCACAACGTCGACGTATTTGAGCTCCGGTAACGAGTATAGCTTCAGGGACTCGATGACTGGTATTCATACTTCTAGTCTGGTTGGAGCTGACAGACAGTCATTCTTATATCGTTGAAAGCCTTCCTCACCGCACAGCTGAGAGTAGCTACCCAGGCATGGCGCTCATGGTTGTAGCTGAACTTTGCTGCGCAGCGAAGGACCTGCATGACCTGATTGTCAAGTAAGACTACACCAAGTCCATGTTCGGACAAGTTTTGCTCAGCTGCACGAGTATACCTCGCTTGAACCACAAGTCCAGGCTTTACCATTGCTTGGCAAGCGATATCAGGGGAAAATTTGCCGATTGGTCGGTGTTCGACTCAACGGTTCAAAGTACAGACTAGGTATGCCTAGAAACGGCCATAGGCTAGCATGTTAGGCTATTTTCAGCAAGCTCAAGCTCGGAAACGAAAGCTAACGAGGCGGCCACTTGCTTTCGAATCACTCACAGTCTCGTGTATCAACTTGTTCTCGTTATACTGTCTATCACACCATACAACATTTTTGTGAACAGGCACCGCGTGACTATATATTGCCACATCGTTGCAAATAGCAAGCACGTCCGATACCTGTTCGAACAAATCCTTCTGCATGGTTGCCGTGATCATTTCGATTCAACTTGTTGACTATATTTCCACAGCCGATCCTTATTCAGAATGTGCTGCAATGCGCCAGCTTTTCCTGAAGTTCGAATCAAGTGTGATACTCGAGCGCAACGTGCATGCCATCGCTAGGCTGGAATAGTGTCTTCAGGAGGCTCGCTGGGTCGAAAACCCTGTCGCAGACCACTATGGTCTATGCTCTGATACACTACAGGCTCCATTCTTCATAGACAAATGACAAAATACGTCGTCAGCTCAATACTGCCCGCACAGTGTTGCTTTTCACTGGTGTTACATTGCTTTTGATTGGACGGATGTCCAGATCCTGGAATTCCAGTGAGCCTTCCAAAGTTCTTTGACGTTCAGCTTACTGAACGAGCTTTGTAGTTGTTGATAATCCGACAATACAAGACCTGAATTTAGAGCACATTTTCAGCTCGCAGCTCCTCCGTTTTTGTCTCTATTCAGAAGACTTTCCAGTGGGTGTAGGAGGACGACCAAAGAAAGTACTCCTCTGCTTATAATTTGAGTAGGCACTCCTACGAGCAGATACCCCGGTTGCAGCACCAGAGTAACCATGCTCTCGTTCCACGTATGAATTGGCCAAAATGTTGCCCACGAAGACGCGAGAATCGTCATCGACGATTGTACTGTCGTACTGGTTGCCTCGTCGAGCAGGTGGACTCGGTGTGTGCCTTTCTTGCGTGGGAACGAAACGAACGTCATAGTAGGGCCAAGAGTTGTCGCTAGAGCCATAGAATGAGTTGAGTGGCCAATTTCCTAGCGGGGACGACAGTCGTTCGAAGAAATCTTGTTCAATTGTGTCGTCCATCTCTTCGAGCTGCGGTGAACTCTTCTCCACGTCTAGGCTATTCTTCGTGCTATGGATCTCTGTGGCATCTTCGGTGATGTCAGGCTTAGGAGTGAGCAATGTTCCGCTATCCCGACATGCCAATTCTGTCCCCCTTCCTGTGGCCCGGGACGAACCATAACGAGTAGGCTGTGACTGGTCGACACTATTCCGGAGGAGAAACGTCCCAAGTCTCGTTTGGGTGTCGAATAGCTTTCCTCGTGGTTGTGTGTTTGGCAGACGGCGAAACAACCATCGCAAAAGTATCGTAAAACTGTCCTTCAGAACCTGATCCTGTCCCTCCTGGCTGCAGGCTTTACAACTCATGACATGCTCGGCGTAGGTGGATTTCGCTGACACTGTTGCTAGGGTATCCTCGATTCCAACCTCGTAATCTGCTTGGTCACTCTGTATGTCAGCTATCAACTTGGCTTCATCAGTCGCAAGCATTAGCTCCTTATATTTAGCACGGATCACAGGACATGCGTCATAGCCAGATTGGGCGACGATGAGTCCAAAGATCTGTGCCGCTTCCCAGTGCAAGCCATATTTGATCAGGCGTTCGAGGTGAGTCGCGATATCTCTGTAAATCGCGACGAAGGGCGTCATAGATAGATCGCCATGTCTGAATCTAAGCTCGGCAGAATGTGCCTTGAAGATAGGGTAATGTTAGCTGAATCCCAATATTTAGCTTTCTTAACGAACCTCTATAGGCGATATTGGCTGATGAGACGATGCAGCAACCTCCTCCCTATATCGGCTGAGATCTATTCCATAATCCACATCAATCAACCTACGAAACAAAGCAATGCGATCTAGTGTCTGCGAGGAGAGCTCGTAGATCAAAAGGCTGAATGCTTGCTGTTCTTCAAGCTGAAAGTGAATGTCTTTTTCATTCATTTCAGAGATCAATTCTTGGAGTCGGTCGTTCAATCTGTGCTCCAGCAAGAAACCCGCCACTTCTGCGAAGACCGGAAAGTGGTGTACATGGTGCCATAGAACTGTACGTGCCAGGTGAAGAGCCTCGTCTTCAACTCCTAGTCTTGCAAGAAGTATAAAGTCTTCGAGCTCGGCTTGAACATCCTCCTCCAGGTCAAGGTCCATCTCGAACCCAAATTGTTCTTCAATGGTCGCGTCGCCGCTCATGACGTCTTCGTGCAGTCGCCTCTGCGTTGGACAGTTGTTGTTCGAACGCTACTCAAGTCGATGATTTCTACCGAGTGGTAATATGTAGGTCTTCATTCGCAAAGCATCATGACAAATAGACAGATCGAGGATATTCTTGCCTTTTGGGATGGCTTTTAGGTAACGCTATCCGTGGTTTCTTTGAGGTCAGTCCAGAGATACAGTAAGGCTGACAGTAGGCAGCCGATACAAGGTGGGGTGATCGCTGTGAAGTCGTCTGACCAATTGAAAACACTGCTCCAACGACTTGTCGGCTATTGATTCCACATGAAATGCAAAACCACTCGAGCCTTCCTGATATATGTCTTGAGCTCAGTCCTTATGCCTAGGTCTGAAACTCCAGTTCGAGACAGACGCCCAGGGTTGGGAAGATACAGACGCGAGTATCGACATTTGAACGATGGGGGTCCTCCACCACGCGCAGCGCGTCGCCTAGATCGAACAAGCCTCATATCAGACATAGCGACGGCGTCTTTTGGTAAGGCTCGAGTGAGCTGCTGGACCAGTGCCAGGGATAGGATATGGGGTACGCATTACCAACGGCACGCAGTGATCATGCGCTTCAGGATGCAAGCCATAAGTCCCGATGATTGCCAGCTTAGCGATTTCGAACTCAAACTCAGCTTCTCTGCACAGCTTGAGAATTCAGAAAATGATACTTCCGACATCGCTGCGCAAGAATCCATGTCCGACCTGCAACTCAATGCCCAGCCTGAGGTGTATCTTGTCGAGCTACCTGCTCCTTCATGTGTTCCGACTGGATCAGAACTCGAATTCTGGAAGTTCAGGAGCGATTCAGCCGCAGACGAGCAAACCGGTCACCTGTGTGCTGCTAGATGGATATGGGAGACATATGCCGAGCAGCGGAGACTGGAAGGCAGACTCATGCACGGCGGGGTCGCGCTGCATCATCCTGGACGGCCTTTCTCAATGACGTGTCAAGTCAAAGGAAAAGCAACAAAACCAGGAGGGATCCGCCTTAAATTCAGCAATAAGCACCATAGCCCAAGGGTATGGCAGGTTGTGCCCGAAATCTGTGAGGATGACCTCCGACGCCATATTGATGCTCTCGAAGCTGAGATGATCAGGCTGAACACAACCGGCGTACTCCGTAAGTAATCGTCTCCCCAAACATCCAGATGTGTCATCATTGACTTGGTGCTAGAACCGATGCTGCCCCAATTTGCCCAAGATAGGGTGCGCGGCGTGGGTCACAGGTTTGCTCCGACACAGATGGCTGGCGCAGCGAACGCCCATTTCGGTGACAACATATTTTTTCGATAGTGGCGTCGCATCAACTTCATCACGAGCTGGTCCTGTTCTGGGGGTAAACACTGATCAGCAGTCGATGAATTAGCTGTACGTATGTCTGATGGTCGCGTAGTCAAATAGTTGAACAGAGTCCGAAGGTGAAGATGTGCACGGGTCTCCCCAAGAACTCTGAGGCTTCACAAGGGGCATGACGCGTTCAAGAATGGTTGAAAGCTAATTTTACACAGGTGACACCAACTTTACACTTGGTACCTGGTGGAGCTACTGTAGGTACTGTAACCCTATTCTTCTATACCTCACTTCTCTTCATCGGGAAACCATTTCGTGAGATCAAGAGCTCCTTTCGGTACCACGATCGCAAAGCCATTCGGAGCACCCCAAATTTACGCCATCACATCAGGAGCCTCCTTGATCATCCTCGCATTTGCCGCACTCATTACTTGTCGGTCACGAGCATCCACAGAGAACTCTACCATGCCAATAAACAACTCCCTGGTCAGATCGATCATAGGAGGATACTCCGCAAGGGGGACTGGTGATTCTTTTCACGTCTTCCAGGTTTGGTCCTGTTCCGCAGTTCATCTGAAAGCCGTGTTGACTGCAAAGTTACCATTGGGTCCAGGTGTAAGGTAGAATGTCACGCCTTCGCCTCTCAGGGTTATTAGCTTGTTTAGCTATTCTGGAGAAAGTATACGTACTCGTCAGCTTGTTGATGCATCTTCTCTTCGTAGTAGTCCTTTAGTGTTACCAAGCTCCTGCTCGCTGGCTTGAGTAAGTTGATCCAAGAAGTCATCTTCGGAATTGAAAGATGATCGTGCGTTGTTACACTGGTCCGACCAACGCTGTCGACGAAGGTATGTGTGCAAGTGCCGACAACGTTTCATGAAGATATTGCTCAGAGGTCAGTAGTCGAAATACAATCAGCCCATGACAATGGCAAGCAAGATTGTTCCAGCAATCAATCCCGTTGGTGATCAATGCAGCTTTCCGCCACAGACCAAATGTCAACCTGGCCAAGTTCCTACCACAGCAACCTATTCTTCGGGCTGATTTAGCGCGTTCACGACTCTGCGATTACGCAACAAAGGCATTGGAAGGTATTGATGATACATGATGCTGCTTTTCCAGGTGACTGACGGCAGTATGACCACTAGCATCAGGGGCCAGAATATGTCCTGACTTGAAGCGACCTTTGGACTATAAGCTGGAGATGGATGTACTCGGTAGATGTCTATTGCTGATTTCCGAAGCTTGGCCGCGGGCAAGGAAGATACAGGGAACAACCAGCTTCACCTGGAGATAAAAGCTCGAAGAACACTTGACCCAATTCCGCTAGCGTGCCAGGCATTCATGCAATGGAACGTGGTCGATGGGCCGTCAGCTAGACAAGTTGAGGCTGTAGTGCAATGATAACGATCTTTTGCGTATCGTTTGACGACAGGAAGCTGGCCGACAAACCCAAAATCCGAACTCGAGACGTAGCGATTCTGTTCAGCTGCTGCGATGCTCAAGTGGCTTGCTTCAAGACAGCCACCAAGGACATCAAGGTCCGACCTCGGTACAATCATACTAGACAATGGACGATCAAAGATCGTGTTCAACAGACACCTGATCAATGGCTCTCAGAAAGGTCAAGAGATCGAGTCTTATGCACCTACCAGGCGATTTCTCGTATTCATTAGCGTTCCGCCCGGACCGTCACCTCCCACACCTCCAAACTTTCCGAACAGCAGTCTTTCCCCGCCATTTCACATTCACCTCGAAGAAGATGAGACCTTCCACGTTCTCAAGGGAACCGCGAGATTCCTGTTGCTTGATCAGAGGCTTCAGAAGTCCTCCAGTATTGACAGAACAGAGAGTAATGATGAAAACGGCGTGACCACCAAATTAGTCTCTCCAGGATGCACTATAACCATTCCCCGAGGCCAAATTCACACTTTCAGGAACGCGTCGACTACGGATCGGCTCGAGATAGAATTTGGCTTCGACACACCAATAAAATCACCTTTCTCCAAGCCGCCAAAACCGAATTCCAGTGACGCCGCACTAGAATTGAACACGAAGATGCACGCCTTCTTCCTTCACACACCACTCTATCGCTCCGATTGTGTCAAACACAACGTGCCAAAATCGTCGTTACAGGTATTGCTCTTCAATCACTATGCAGATATGGCTTTGGTGCCGACCTGGCTGTTGTCCTGGCATGCTCGTTACCCTTTTCTTCGTGTTGTGATCGAGCGCGTCGTTGCGCCGATGATTGGACGATCCATGAATATCGTTGGTGGTGTTGTGTTAGGGAAGTGGGTTCTGGGATTGAAGGAGAGGTATGAGGAGTATATCACTGAGGTGCCGTTGGATCAAGTAGTCGACAAGGTGGAGAGGGAAGGACATGGAATGGATGGAAGGATCGCCGGCCTTGAGGCAGACATCACGAGCCTTAGAAAGAGACAGGATAGAGCAGGATGATATGAGCTGTGGTCGGCGCTTCTTGCCCTTCTGTGTCACTTGGTCAGTGCTTTGTCAGGGATGGTTGTTGGTTGCCTGATTGGTCTTTGTGGCGTCATTCGGTTACACAAAACATTTCGTATAGTCCAGTTTGGTAGATTCTATAGACGAAAAGAGAAACGAAGGCAACTCACGAAGAATGAGTAGACGGTTGAAGACGTACGGATGCCTGGGACGAAAGTTATACATTCATGTGAACCTGCTATCAACGCTTTTCGCCGAAGTCGCTAACTAGCTAACCAAGAAAACCTCAAGCCTATCTTTGGCGCGAAAAAAATTCTCGCTCCTCAATGCTGTAGTCATACTGCCCTTCAGGAACTGGGGCAATACCTTCAGTTTGTGTTACTCTCTACGCAACTCTCTTCAATTATACTCTCAACAATTTGGCAGCGTGATTGACGATGGTATCGACCTGCGGGAAACTCAATTCCTCCAACTTCTGAGCATAAGGTGTCGGCACTTCAGCACCAGTGACTCTGACTGGAGGAGCATCCAGGTAATCAAAGGCATATTCGCAAGTAAGAGCGATAATCTCTGACCCAACACCAAATGCTGGGAAATCGGAGCTGACGCACATCATTCTCCTGGTCTTCTTGACTGACTTGACAATAGCCTCTACGTCGAGAGGCTTGACGGATCGAAGATTGATAACTTCGGCATCTACGCCGTATTTTGACTTCAATTCTTCAGCGGCTGTTAGGGACAAGCCGACATTGCGGGAGAGGGTGACAATCGTAAGGTCTTTTCCTGGCCGTTCAATCTTGGCTTTGCCGAATGGAATGACGAAGTCGTTCTTCAGGGCGGCGTCGGACATGGGGAAGGTTTGGCCATAGAGTAACCTGAGAATCGTTAGTACGGCGCATCTCGTCTTTTGAGTAATACTTACTCATTCTCTAGAACCACGACAGGATTTGGATCTCTGATGGCAGCCTTCAAAAGACCTTTCGCATCTTCTGCGCTCCAAGGTGCGACAACTTTTAGACCTGGGATGCTGCCGTACCACGCGGAATAATCTTGAGAATGCTGAGCAGCGACACCAGCAGCGAAACCGTTGGGACCGCGGAAGACGATCGGGCAGGGTTGGATACCACCGGACATGTAGTGTGTCTTTGCGGCAGAGTTGATGATCTGATCAATGGCCTGCATGGCGAAGTTGAAAGTCATGAACCTGATTTCAGGTTAGTACTCTGCGTAGATTCGTCTTAGGTATTCGTACTCGCAAACAGGATGTAAGCCAGCCAAAGCAGCACCAACGGCCAGACCGCAGAAACCGGACTCGGTGATAGGAGTATCAATGACTCTCTTCTCGCCAAACTTATCGAGCAGGCCTTTTGTGACCTTGTATGCGCCTGATATAATTAGTTCCTTCCACTCTTCCATTTGCAGGCCTGTTCATACCATTGTATTGAGCAACTTCCTCACCCAGAAGAAAGCATTTGGGATCACTCTCCAGCTCTTCTGCCAAAGCCTCGTTCAGAGCATCTCTGACAGTGTATGTGTTTCCTGCATCAGCATATCCTCGTATCGACGTGAAAGCAGGGGCCGGTATTCTCTGGACTGGTGCTCGATATGCGACAGGTCTCTGCGACAATAGTCTCGTTGCTGGTCTGAGTATTCTTGAAGCAGACATGTTGACAGGAGATGGCTATATTCGATTGGGACTTTCTTTTCGACAAGGGGTCACAAGCACAAACTACTTGCGAAGGAGGGGAATGATATCGGCAATGGCAGCGGCTGTGGTTGCCTCAGTCCCAGTAGAAAGAAAGGAATGGCAAGAACAACGACAAGTTCTAATGTCCTACAGCTTTGCGAGATTCAGTTGAGCATTGGGATCGCGGAATGGGGTACTTTCCATAGCTCGATAATTCATCCCGTTGAGCTTGTCCTATTGGCTACACGCTTCCGCTCAGTTTCCATTTTTGAAAAGGAAGCTGCGGTCGCCGAAGTTTCCTTGCCAGGATCACGCGTCGCTGCCACGTGAGCTGTTCTCAGTGCAATACAGACGTCGGAATAGACACGGGTCTACCTGTCTGAGGACTGCAGTATTTGATCGTGAGGAGGTGATGCTGCTGGACAGCACAAGTGGGAGGTCTATCAAGTCATCATGAATACAATCATGCGCAATGTGGCTAGCATAGTCACCATCTGGATCGCGACTTCCCAGGCAATTCAGCCAGGCGCTGCACCTGCCCAGTCTGAACCACTACGAGAGCTAGACTTTGGGGATATAAACTTCCTACACACAACAGACACACACGGATGGCATGCAGGACACATACTGGAATCTTCATACAGTGCAGACTGGGGTGATTACATTTCCTTCTCACGGCACTTACGGAATAAGCTGGAAGCTGAGGGGAGAGACCTTTTAGTAATTGACACTGGTGACAGAATAGAGGGCAACGGTCTCTACGATGCTTCTGTTCCCAGGGGTAAATACACCTTTGATATTTTCAGCCAACAGCATATAGACATTCTTTGCACTGGCAACCATGAGCTATACAAGAATTCCTCAGCTGAAGATGACTACCTCAAGCTTGTTCCTACCTATAAGAACAACTATCTCGCTTCAAATCTGCAGATCATTGATCCAGTAACGGGTGTCCTATCTTATGCGGCTCGAACTCATCGCAAATTCACTACCAAGAAACAGGGTCTGCGCATTATGGCTATGGGCTTTATTTTTGACTTCACCCGGAACGACAAAAACACTATTGTGATTCCAGTAGGAGTGGCAGTCAAGCAACCCTGGTTCCAGGAAGCCATTCGCGACAGAGACGTCGACCTCTTCGTAATCATTGGGCACGTTGGTCTACGCGCGCCAGAATTTGAGCTCATTCATCGCGAAATTCGTTCCGTCAACGCAGACATCCCAATTCAGTTCTTCGGTGGTCACTTTCACACTCGAGACTACCGCGTGTTTGACGCAAAGTCTCACGCTCTAGCATCAGGCCGATTTATGGAGACCATTGGCTTTCAATCGCTCACCTTCAGCAACACTTCCAATACAATTGCCAGCAATGTGACCTTCTCCCGCCGCTACATCGATAACAACCTGTACAGCCTCCATCACCATAGTGACACCAACCAATCCACTTTCTCAACTCCCTCTGGTCTCCGCACATCCGCCATGATCACTCACGCCCGCTCTATCTTGCATCTCGACCAGACTTTTGGCTGTGCACCACAAAACTACTGGATGTCCCGTACCCCTTATCCTCACCCCGAGTCGATCTTCTCCCTGATAGTAGACAATATCTTTCCAACAATCCTTAATCCAACTCGTCAAACCAAAAGTCGACTACTGCTCACAAATACCGGCGCAATCAGATTCGACATTTTCAAGGGTCGATTCACGCGTGACAGCACATACATTGTCAGTCCATTTACCAGTAACTTTTCCTATCTTCCGGATGTCCCATACAAACTTGCCAGTAAACTGCTTCCGATCCTAAATGGCGAAGGGCGACAGACTCTGAGATCTCTCAATATCCCTGATTTGACAATCGCAGCACTACACGAAGACGCCAACCTCGACCTTACCGCCCTTCCACCACCCGAACAGCGCGCCCGCAACCACGAGAAACAACACCTATACATTTCCGGTCCTTACATGCACAAACACAAGCACTTGATTTCCGAACATCGCCTCCAGTCACGAGACCACCAACAAACTCACGAACAGCAACAACACGACCTCAAAGCTCAAGATTCACAGCACCGAATCCTCCCTGAAACGGCAGCAGCAGCAGCAGCAAAATCCAAACCCCAAACTCTCACCCCAGGTTACACAACCCTCGACGATCTAGGCAGAAACGGCGACGATACAATCCACTCACCGATCCAGTTCTACGACGTGCCGAATTGTGTGCAGGCTCTTTTTGTGGGTGACAACAACAACACCCCTAATAGCAAGACCTTGGACAATGAAGAGAGTACTGGGGCGGTTGTTGATGTGGTGTTTAATCACTTCCTCATGCCGTATATTCTGCAGATTTTGAATTTATTGCCCCAGGATAATGATGGGAGCAATGGAGAGACGGAGGGAAGATTGAGATGGAGTGTAGATGATGTGAGTAATTATGTTCCTGGTGAGACGTTCACGAGTCTGCTTGCGAAGTGGGTGAGTGAAAACTGGGGGAAGTATTGTGATTCATCGGAATTGCAAGAGCAAGAACGCGATCAGGTGGAGATGCATTTCGAGCTGTGAATGCCGACCTTGATTGCTACCTAGCTGCTTGTCTGATATCTATCAAGCAATCTATACCAATTGTTGATATATGTACCACAACGAAGAAGGATGCGAGTCACTACTCGATTACATCGAGGACATATCAAGCGCCTTATCATTCTCGACACAATGTTGACGTGTTAGGGTCGACTCCATGTCAACTGCCTCATGAAGACCTATCCTGCTCACACCTTACCATATTCAAACTCCTTCTCGAAATGAGGTGTACTCAGTGGACTCTTCTCAAACCTCTGCTTGAGCAGTCCAAGAAATGTCTGACCCAGTCGGTTGTCTTTGTCGATCTTGAGCGTAGCACGTTTCAGCTTGTCGTTAGGGCTAGTGTTGTCCTCCGACACATCAAGTGACCGGCAGTCTGGACCGTGTTCTCTTTCTTTGCCCTTCGTTTCGGATGCTACGCTAATCTCACTGCTGTCGCCTCCACGACTTCGATCATGAGTCGGACTTCTTAGATTGTTGATGGACATTCTGCTCATGACTCTTCGGAACCTTGTGCCGACTGTGCTCCGAGGGTTACGTGCACCGAGAGCGTTACCATCCTCTTGTAGGGACCCGCTGACAGGAGTGTTGTAAGGTACTTTGGACACAGGTCTGGGCGTTCCTGCAAAGGTAGAGTTTTCAGCGTTGGTAGGGACTATAGGTTCTGCTTGGAAGTGATTGATGTTCAGGTTACTTGACGAGCCAGCCGCAGTATCGACCTCTGAGATCCTGCTTAGTTCTGGCAAGGCAGTCAGACCGCGCCGTCCTGGATGTTGACCATGGTCGAGTTGTTGTCTGAGATGTGCTTGCTGGAGCCATTTCTTCTTGAGGTTAAGGGGTGCTTCATGAGCACTAAGATCGAGTATCGACATGTGTACTCCTAAGCGAACTCCACGCTTCGAGAAGGTCCTTTTGACTCTAGACATGTGTCCGGTATCGCTGTCCTCATCCTTTGCTTCGGTGGCTGAAGGTGGAAGGACATCTGGGATTGGAGGAACATCGACGCCAGTTGCTTCGGAAAGTTCTCTATGGTGTTCTCCTGCTTTTGAGGGTGTTCTGTCAAGGTCAGGTCGCTTGAGAGGGCTACTGATCGTGTTCGTAAGGTTGTGTAGGTCGAGAATAGCGTCTCGATTATGAGCAAGGACTGACTCGAGAATGACTCGATCTTCATGCATGGTATGAGGATTTGATTCAGCTAATCTGTCAGATCTATCCATGTAAGCAATGCACTGTATGAACCACGACACTTACTTATGTGTTCCATAGTCCTTGCCATGCCACAGTACAGTTCTCATCACTACAAGTGTACCTTTCAGTGCTTCGAGATGTTTGAGCAGTCTTGTAACTCGACCTTTCTTGAAGAACCACGACACAGCTGACACGTTAGAACCTGCCATGAGACCTGCACAGCACTCCGAAATCTCTTCGAAGATGCAAGTCAATTCATTGGTGATCTCCTTGAGGTCCTCGTTGAATGCTGCTGTGTATTGTGTCGGATCAACGTTGATTGCATCATTGAGATGCCAGAGGGTGGTTGACAACCGTGCAAGCTCGTCCGCGATGGTTGAGATTTCGCCTGCTGTTGTTTCGTGGTGGCAAGTCTCCTGCAGGGCATACAACTCACTCGATAACGATGCTGCCTGCCCAGCTAGTCGCACTGTGTCGTTAGTCTGAGCCATGTCAGGTTGTGAGGCGACGAATAGAACCAGAAGACTGGAACTCGTGGTATCTAGGCAGGTTTGAGAGTTGCAGGTTGCCTGCATCGTACCTACCTCAATACTCTGATATACTAATTTCACGAATTGTGCCTGCCCTTACTGGTGAAAACACGTATCGTCGACAGAATACACAACATGATATCTTCCACGGCTGTCCAGATCAACTTCACTTCTTCCATACTCGGTTCACCACATTCGAGGCTTGATGCGCGTTCACAGTCAACACATAATCACGAAAACCATTCTCTCTCACCACACCCTCGGCACTGAAAGCCAAAGTTTTGGTGTTCCGAATGGCTTAGATCAATCGTGATATTCTTATGACAATACCGGCAGCACCTCCATCCTCTAATGCAAGTGTTGGCTCTATTAAATGCCCTCTTAATTTCGGCTAGTTGTTCCCAGGCATTGTCGCCATCCTTCAGAGCAACGTCAAGCTGTTGCTGGATGCCGGCATTGTCCTTTCGTTCGCGCTCCTAGTCACGATAGACCTTAGATACCTTCTTCTGAGCAGCATCAACCTTCTGTCTGAGCTTTTGGCATTCTTGCTTCTGCGCGTCCAGCTCGACCTTTGCAGCTTGGGCGGCACCTCTGAGCATATCTACCGTGTCGCGGGCTTTGTCTGCGGATAACTCAGTAGCCTTGCGAAGATCGTCGTGGGCTTGCAACAATTCGTCGTTTCTTTGCAGGCGCTTCTCGAGCTGTGTGGCTCTCTGGCTTTGTGTCTTGCGAGCGTCCTGTTCGCTTTCAACTCTCTTCTCAAGATAGGAGATCCTCTCCGCTTGAGTCTTCTGAGCATCTTCAGCTCTTTGAAGTGCGTCAACCTGGGCCAAATACTTGTCCTCACTATCCTTCTGAGCAGTCTCTGAAGCTTTGAGGTCGACCTTGAGGTCATACACCGCATTCTTGAGGTTATCTGCTTCTTCTGTCGCAATCTCGACCCCTTTCTCATACTTGGTTTTGAGATCTTCCAGCTGTTGCTGTAGCAAGATGGCTTTTCGTTGATGAGCCGAATCGTTGATGCCACTCAGTTGGGATTTGAGCAATTGGACGTTGCCACTTTCGGCCTTGGGTGACAGAGGCATGGTCTTGGCAGGGAGTGATGATTGTGTCTTCAATGCTTCCAACTCTTTCTTGATGATCTTCTTCTCTTCGAGATGGTGCTTGATTTCGTCACGGGCGAGCTCGTAGTCCTTTTCAAGATCCCCGATCTTGACTTTGGCTTGCTTCAATTCACCTTCCTTCTCTTCACGAGTGGCACTGGCTTTGCTTGCTCCAAATTCATACTTCTGCTTGTCGTGCCGCAAAACGATCTGCTGTGAAATGGTGGCTCTCTGCACCTTGTTCTCCTTCTCGAGCTCAGTGACGTAGGCTTTAGCCGTGTCCAATTCCTTCTTCAGCTCGGCGTTGATTGCACGACCATTTTCGACGACAGTTTTCAGTTTCATGTTTTCTTCCTCGATAGCTCCTTTGGCGATTTTCAGCTTCGTACATTCTCTTCGGCTCTCCTCGAGGACCTCTCTAAACTTTTCGTCGTTTGCCAAGCTAGACTTGGTGATCTCTGTCGCTTGGTCAGGGCGCTGATCAGTAGGTATATTGACATCTTTGACTACTCTGGGAGCAGGCTGGATAGCTTCGGTCGCGTGTGAAAGTGGTGTGATACCTTCATGTGAAGACCTCGACTCGGAGATAGCCATGTCAAGGAGGCTGACCTCGAGGACTGGTTTGGGTGCATCCAGCGACTTATCAGCTGCAAGGATGTTGGCCAAGACGGGGAGCTTCTGCACGATGGCATCGTACCTGCGGGAAACCAATAGTATCTCTTGTCGAAGTTGGTCGGAAGGGGTCATGACCTGCGAAATGTTCTCAACCATCGCAGATAGTGTTTCTGGGAGATCACCTCCAGCAAGGATAGACTCGTATAACTTCATGAAATTTCGGCGTGCTGCTCTTCGCATCTCTGAATAGAAAGGTTTCTCTGCTGCCTGGTAAAGACCAAGATGAGTACGACAAATTTTGACACAATCTAAGACTAGGTTAGGCCACGGCATAGATATGGCAGAAACAACTCACTCTGTGGTGTGTATTTATTGTAGTCGTCGTACTGGGCCTGGACATAACAACCAGGCTTTCTTTCAATGCTATCAGCCATAGCGCCTAGACCTTTGTCAAGTAGTCCCGGCTTCTCGACCACGAAGCTTTGAGACTCGTCGCCAATCTGTGTAAAGTCAGCTAGTGTAGATGAAAAGGTATAGTCCTCGCATACTTTGACATGTGCCTCAAGGTCTGGACAGGCTCGAATGTACAGACTCTTGTCGATCGCTCGCTCGGATTTCTGGCCTTTCAGTGTAATTTTGACGGCTTGCTCGAATCCGAATTGCTTCATTGCGGCATTTGACGCAGTGGTAATGGTCGCTCCGGTTTCAGCATCCTTTTTGTGGCTCGCTGACAGTTCTTGTGAGTTTGTGACTTTTGCAGGAACAGCCTGCAGTGAGAATGGGTTGAGTGATACAGAATGTGCTCCCACCTTGGTAGCAGAATTTGGCGTAGCACTGATTCTCGTAGCCATCGGCTCTCTGGGAGCAATGATAGGTACTGAAGCAGGTGGGGAGGTTGCCTGCATGGAAGCATATTTCGATGCCCACATGTTGCAAAAGGTATGGAAGGAACAATCACAGGACGAATCAGAATGGGGATCAAAAGAGCAGTGAAGATTTTGTTGTGGGCGGAATTGTACTGTCTTATCGCGATAGGAAGGTGCTGACCACGTGGTTCGATCCGCGAAAGCAGGAGCGTCCATATTTTCAGGCTGAGGACACGCGTAACGCGTGTAGGACTGCTGAGTGGGTGAAGCGAGTCTGCTCAAATCAGTATTGTGCTCCGTGCACTAAAGACCAATGCTGTAAAGATGAGGTCGGCTCAATGTCCACAGTCATGGGTCACGGTGATGTACGTGCTGGCGCTGTCAAGGCCTGCTAATCGGTCAGTGTAGAGGGTGCACGGCTCTGAACATGCAACGGTACGACGGACCTATCCTGATGAATGGGTTGTTTGTGAGAGTTCGAGCAGATTGTGATCGCAAGACCTTGGTCAGTACTTTGAACGGACTAAGTGTATCGGAGCCAAATATAGTGATCGACGACAAGCCCAGATGAGGTGGATGTCCTCTGATACTGAACTGACCTCAGTTGGCTTTGACCACTGCTTTCACATGCAGGGTGCTGACTGCTGATCACAAGTTCACTCATCCTTGCAACCAAGCCCAAGACCTGCTCCCTTCTCAATCACGACTATCCCACTGCGAGGAGTTTGACCGACCGCTACTCTCATCTGGAGATATGGTCCGTTGCCTAGGCCTAGCCTACTGCTGCGACTGTTCAGCCATCAATCAGAAGATCTTCCAGTATCTGCAACATTCTCTTCTGCAGCTCCCTCAATTCACCTTTGTCCAACTTGCCCACCGTCGAACCACTTCCATCCTTGCCCCCGTCCAGCAATATCAGATCATGTTTGATTGCGAAAAAGGGCACGCCCAGCTTTTTCAATTGCCTATCAAAATCCTGCGTCATTTGCGTCAATGATTGATACACCTTCTTGTCAAAAGTCTCAAGCTCGTTTTTGTCGGCAGCTTCATCAACTTTGGCCACTGGTCCTGCTAGACCACCAAGCTCCTTCAGGATATCAGTGACAATTGCCTGGTTGCCAGCCCGGCCAGCGTGTCTGGTGACTATTTCTTGTCGTTGACGCCACCATTGTTCTTCATGTTTGTGCTGTTCGTTGACGAGATGCTTGATGCGAGATGATGCCTGCTCGTCTGCAGCAATGTACTTCGTCACGTGCTTGACTGCCGCTGGCCATGTTGTGATGGACGAGGCATCAGGTGTTGCAGGATTGGTGGGTGTGACAGATCTCGACAGATCGGTGTCCTGTCTGGGCGGCTGAAGCTTTTGCTGTCGCGATCGTGGATCTGGTGTATTTGAAGGTGTGGTTGTCGACAAAGGTTGGATGCTGTGATTGTTGACGCTACCATGAGGGAGTCCACCCAAACCAGGGATGTCTATGGTTGGAAGCCTGCTGACGCCTGCATTGTGTGCAACTGCAGCGCTCTGTGCCTGACTTTGACTCTGTTCGCCATGAGTTGAATGAGCTGTCTGTCCTTGCAGGCTTGCTAGTAGACGTTGCAAGTCTGGGTTACGAAAATTCATGTTGGGTCCAGTCTCCATTGTCTATAGGGCGTGGATCTGTGTTTGTGCATCGCTTGGAAGGTGGGAACCTTCGAATATCCTAGTGGCAAACACAGAAAGGAGTTCTGAGCATAGAGACGAACAACAAGGACATGAATGGGAGGCAATCTGTCAGAGGAAGGAGCGCCGGAGAAAATAGGTGTCTCACGTGATCGACGCGCTTGCCCTCAGCTGTGATATGGTGACAAAGCAGGAGGATAATAGACATGAGACCAGTCGGTCGGCCTGATCACGATGGTTCCATGCGCTATGTTCGTTGCTTGGACAGTCATTGGAAAATCACAGTCACACGAAGAGAGACGGGTTCCATTGTCAAGCTCGTGCAGGTGTCATACTTCGTACATTCGTTCGCTGGTTAGATTGACCAATCTACGACGACACAATTTTAGCAGCTGAAGTTGTATTGTTACTGAAAGCTCCCTACTCTCGCACACCCTTGTACTCTGCAAGTACGCTTGGAGGAGCGACATCGGTGATGGTCTCATCAGAGAATTTGAGATCCTCTTCTATGGAGACCGTGTCCTTTACATAGTACAGGACGACAGGTGCAGCAATGATCAGAGAGCCAGCAAGCATGCCCCAATTGATAGCGAACTGCGTCATGAATGGGACGGCACGAGCATCAATGTTGGCAGAGATTGCACCACCAGCAGATTGAATACCCTTGTAAAAGCCAGCAAAGTTGGCGAGTTTTCGGCCGTTGTTGGTCAGCGAGCCCATGAGCCTATAGATGTCAGCGACGTCTGGAATGCAGGATCTGAGAGAACTTACCAGTAGGCAGTGACCTGCCAAGCAGCGTCGTAGAAGCCATAGAACATATACATGACCACAGGGCCCGCATAGGCAGAGTCAGTGAAGTCCACCCCAACATGGTTCTCGTTGAGTAGAGTACTCTCGCGGGTGTAAATTTCTTGGAAGGCATAGCCACCACCCCAAGTCGCCATGGTAAGGACAAGAAGACCAGCAAGAGCGTATCTGGCACGAATGGTCCTGCGGGTCGAGCCAAAGTCGAGTAGGAAGCCGACAACAAATGCTCCAACGATTTGCATTGACCAATACAGCACGTTGTTGAGGCACCTGGTTCGCAGATTGAAATACGGGAGATTGACGCCTTGGAAGTGATAGGCTAGGGAACAAATTAGACAAACATTCGCATTTCCATCATACATCAGGACAACATACCATAGAACCAATTTGAAGCTAGAAAGAGAGGGAACAGACCAATGATGTAGTAGTCTGTCTTCAAGGTCTCGAGGAGTCCAAGAATCTCGGACTTCCATGATGGATTCTTCATGAGAATGATGGCAGAACCATCGTCACGTCGGACATATTTGGGGTCGCAGAGGAAGAGGGCAAGCACAAAGCCTGCAGCCATCAAGATCATGAAAGCGATATAGGTGCCGTCAGCGACAGCTCCAGCTTCGCGATGCAGATTCTGGCCCAGAGGTATAAGTGCGCCTATAACACCACCCAAGTTGAAGATAGCCCAGAACTTGGAGATATATCGACCCTTCTCTTTCTCGGTTGGATAAGACATCATGATCGCACCTTGGGCTGTCCACAGCATACCTGCGCAGAGACCAAGCAGAGCACCTGCGAAGATTAGGAAGCCTGCATTCTGGTTGTGGTTGTAGGACAGGAGGGAAGCGACATAGAGGAAGTAGCCAAAGCCACCGATGCCGAGAGTCATCTTGAGGCCGAGTCTGTTCGCAATGGAACCGCAAAAGAAACCGACGCCAGCGAACATGGCATAAAGGGCAGTATTGGCATTGTTGACATCGTGAGCACTAACCTGGCCGCCGGCGCCCATACCGTTGATGGCATTGAACATGCCGGGACATAGGAAGCAGACGAATGCCACGAAGATGATCTGAAATTGTGGTGACGCATATGCGGGTATGGCAATAGGACCGAGTTTGAATGTCCTGTGCATCCATGGCTTGCCCTGCTTCTCAACGCTGGTATAGTCGAGCGTCGTTGGACTGGCACCACGAGTCGTCTCGGATATCTGTTTCTCTTCCATTTTGATAGTGGTGATGTACCGGTACTGTATTGGGGATGAAGGAAGGTATAAGTCTCTGTCCGATCTGTCAATACCAATTTCTCGGAGGAATTGAGATTGTGAAGGCTGTGAAACAGAAGGTAACACAACAAGGGAAGATGGGAGCTATTTCTGTCTTCACACGACCACAGTCAGAGCCGATAGCGAACAGAGATAACCAGGTATCAAGTCACATCGAACGCACACGACAGTGACATGAAGAAGGCCAGCCTCCCTCGCGCTGTTTGGAGTTGCTATCATCGCTATCGTAGGGAATGTACTATCCGGGATTCTATTTTGAAGCCTGCAGCAAGCACAACACGAAGTCACCAGGGTCAAGATCAACGAAACTGCAGCTTCCGGGCGTGTCGTGATAGGCTCCAGACCCTCTAGCTCGGCGCCTTATCAGCACTAATGGCTACTCGGGGGCAAGTCTCGTGGTCTTGCGACGTATCACAAACCAGTGGCCTCCAGCGAAAAGAGCGGGGGCGGAGCTTATCCGTAGCCCTAGGCTGGATGGAGATGGTCGTGATTGAGATTGAACAAGAGTCGTGCCTTCCCTATCAACGTTACATCTGGTCGGTGATACCGTAGCATTCATCCTCAACTTGCCCTGCTTCCGTACCATCCATCTGGCTGTTTGTCATCCCCTCTCAAGCAGTTTGTCACATAACCACACTTACCAGTAATGCCCGAATTATCAGGTATCACATTGAAAGAACATCGGCACAGGCTTGCAATGTCAGTCAATGCATCAGTCATCAAGCGAGAGTTGAGTAACATGTGCATGTGCCATTGGCCATTAATTCGTCGACGCAACCCTTCATCTTCGTCATGCTGTGTTGTTATCATTGCCAACTGCTGACCCTCTATCATGTTTGTCTCTTCATTCTTCGTAGTCACCTACGCTGAATCCACGTCCTTGCCCTACTTTGCTAGCGAGAGCCGTGCATCGACTACGAAATGGCTCCCAGATTGACCAAGTTCACCAATGGCCTGCTGCTGCAAGACGATCACCTGATTGCTGGAGATCTCTGGATATCCTCCGACTCAGGCAAGATCATTTCCCCACAATCCGCCTTCTATGGCTCAGGGAGCACGCCCGATCTGGTTCTGGATCTGAAGGGCAAGATCGTCTCACCAGGCTTTATTGAGGCTCAGCTGAATGGATACAGCGGTCTTGACTTTGCCAAACAAGATCCCAACTTCGAGCAGAGGTTCCGAGCTGTTCGGGAAGGACTCATAAAGGCTGGCGTCACCTCCTTTACACCAACCATGACCTCCTCCTTGCCGGAAGTCTATCACACTAATCTACCATATCTTGGTCGAACACAAGCAAGAACAGCTTCTGAGGGCACTGAATGTTTAGGTGCACACGTGGAGGGTCCTTTCCTGAATCCCGAAAGGAATGGTATTCATACCAAGGAGGTATTACAGAAGGCCAAGGTCTGGGACGATATTGAGACATGCTATGGTGCAGATAATTTGAAGTATATTCGCTGCATTACCGCTGCACCGGAGCTGGGAAATATGGTGGACCTCATTCCGGAATTTGTGGCTAGAGATATCATCTACTCGACGGGACATTCAGATGCAACCTTTGAACAAGCACAAGATGCAGCAAGAGCCGGCGCAACCATGGTCACGCACATGTTCAATGCTATGCGACCATTTGGCCACCGCGATCCTGGCATCTTTGGTCTGCTCGGCCAACAACCGTCACGACCTACAACTCCAACTCAATCACCCCAGCAATCATCACCCACGACATCACCAACAATGAGATCCGCATCTAATAAACCACCTGTAACACCGCCACAACAGTTCTCTTTACCCCGACGTGCCTTATCAAACAGTTCTACCCGAACACCCACACCTAGAAGCTCAATAGACTCTACACGTCGGCGTTCTTCACCACGATCCTCCCTGTCAATCAGCACATCCATCACCTCTGTCCCTGATGCGACGCCAGAACCACCCTTCTTCGGCCTTATCAGCGATGGCATTCACCTTTCTCCTCCAACCCTCAAGATCGCTTATTCTGCGCATCCTACAGGCACCATCCTCATCACCGATGCCATGCCTCTTACAGGCCTACCTGATGGTGTTTATCCATGGACTAATGGCGAGAACATCATTAAGCACGGGTCGCGCCTAACACTTGAGAGGAATGGTCGTATTGCCGGATCTGCTGCGAGTTTACTTGAATGTGTTAACAACTTCATCGAGTGGACAGGCTGTGGTGTGGCTGAAGGTTTACGCGCGGTCACCCAGACACCAGCACGAATGCTGAGGGAAGAGGGAAAGGGGCGACTGGCTGTAGGTTGCGATGCCGATCTTTGCGTTCTGGAGCTGGACGAGGATGGAAAGTTAGTGTTGAGACAGGTGTGGAAGTTCGGCGAGTGTGTTCACGCTACTTGACGAATGCATCCAGAAGATGTCGGTGATGTTATGAGCTTTGCTTGGCATCCCCCATTGCGCGTTTCAATAATGGATGATTCACGCTTTCACGGCAATAGAATTTCTGTTGTGGTTTGCTCACGCCTAGACCATAACTATAGCTGTGGTAGTCATAATATTGCCATTTGCTTTCAAAATCTAGAATAGTTTCATAGACTCTAATGTACCACTATTTTCATGATCTATCTATCCACGACCTTAGCAGTGAATACTTTTGCTCACAACGCCTTGTCCGGGCATGACGAAGTTCTTCTCATGATCATGTCATCGAGATGAAAACACAATACGACTCTCAAATCTTCTATATAGAGGATGCGGCTGTAAGTGCTTGCAGAATCTTCCTCAGCAAGCCGATCATACGAAAAAACTAACACCATAAGCCAGGCAATCTCCCAACACGCAACACAAACAACGCCTAGTGACCTCCGTCAACCTATCATCAGTAACACCAATTGCAGTCCATCAACCGCATATCCACCCAGCAGTCGTATGACCTAGTTAGACACACTGGCATCACTCCCCACCTCAGCGCGTCCCTCACTCACCACCCTCTTAATATTCGTCTGCATATCCATACTCTGCGCCTCTTCAAAGTCCTCCCTAGGAACAGACCACCACTCCGGCGCATCGCCAATAGTCGCCCCCGTCAATCCAGCATCCCTCAAACGGCCCTTAGGTCTCATTCCTGCCTCGACTTGGCGCTGGTAACTCACATTACGGAGGCGGTAGTGTTCTGCCGGCGTGAGCCAGAGGTAGACCTCGATAACGATGGCATGGATGAGTGTTGCCAGCCAGGCGGCCATGATGAACAGGTGGCGGAGCAGGGCGGCTGAGTTCTCCGGGCCTTCGCCAATGGTGCTGACGCTGACGAATGTGCCGGTGTTGGTGGCGGGGTTGATGGTGATTTCTGGATTGGGGACGCCGGTGGTGAGGTCGAGGGGGTTGAGGCAGGATGGGTATAGCATCGCTGTTGGATTGCCTTCGTCGGGAACGCCGTAATGGGCGTACATGTAGACTATGGGTGTGTTAGTTCGGCTGGATCGGTGCAAGGCACATCTCCGGCGGAAAGATACTTACAAACTTCGGAACATCTGATGCTGATATGATATACGTAACCATACTTGACGACCACATACTGGCCAGCCATCATTATCAGTCTGAGGGTGATGATTGCTGCAGCCCAGGTCCAGACTCTTAACATCCAAGCTCTGTGTTGGTCGATTTGTAGTCTCTTGATGTTGACATACGCCAGTACGACGCCTATAGTAATCATAGTACCAAGGAGGCCAACCCAGACCTGCATGTCTGGAGAGCCACCAAGGGAGTGGTCTGCAATCATGAAGGCACCTGCGTTGGCGATAAGGAGAAGGAGTATCGTGGCGTACCCGTTGATACGGTGGAACAGGACTGCTTTGTGTCGGATGACGGGTATAAATTGCAGACAGGCAAGGAACCCACCGGGGAGAATTCCTGCAAGATGGAGAAGGATACCGATCTTGTGACGGCCAGCTCGGTAGTAGTAGAATTCCCCTGGAATCGCTTCCTGGTCCAAGTCAGTACACGCACCAACAGGAAAGCTAACAGTAAAGAGTATGTCTTCTTGCAACGAGTAGAGACATGATGCTGCCGTTATGGTGCTGACACCAGATGGGAGAGTGCTTACAGCAGAGAAAGTGGCCCAGTTGAGGTACATCATTCGACTGAGCACAAAGCCCATCAATCCTCCCACACCGATAAGGAACAATGGAAAGTTGTAGCCCTTGCGAAATCCAACGGGGTTGTAGATCTTTCTGAAACTGGTAACAAACACCTGTCCAGCCCGAGAATTTGGGTTGTGTACGTCCCACTTTGATCGAGGATTAGGATATGCAGTCATGTTTGCAGCTTGATGAACGTAATCTCTGAACAGAGGCTGGTGAAACGGAAGGAAAGGGGCGTATCAATGTGGGAAAGACAGAGAATTTGGCGGACATCTCATCGACGATTTTGAAGCATACTCACCTTATATATCAAGCGAGACGAGTCCCAGTATTCTTGTTTCTCTTTCCTCACCAACGGCCCTTGAGGCATGTGGACCCACAGGGCGATGACTTGCTATCCATAGCATTGCGCCGTACATGGACAACCTTCGATGCACATCGTGCTAGCTCATAAAAAGGCTGTACAGCCCTCAATCCAAGTCGACTCCGCCCTGCTGGCTCTTTGCGAAAACGCTTCGTACATTTCATCCGAGCTAAAATGCTTATGGAGAAGAGTAAGATTAGTAGGATATCCACGTACTGGACGACAGATAGCTCAAGCTGGCTTGGCGGCAAGAGGCAGTAGCGCGTCTCTCTGCCACATGCAGTAATGCTTGACATTTTATGCATCAAATTGGAGGCTGTGAGTTAGTCACCAAAGTACGACTTACCAAGCTGCAGTTCTTATTGTCTCGTCAGCATGAGGCTTGAGGGACTGAGCTTGGTCGTGATGTCAAGTGGTCCGGCTCACAAATGGCATGAACTGGCGCAACATTACCCCGAAGCGGTAAGTACGTCTTGGCGGACCCTCATCCGCTGACAACAACTAATCAGAGCACGGCGGAGAATGCACCTGCTGCAGAGCATGAAGCGACTCTCCATGGTGAAGAGAAACAGAGGAGGCAGTTGAGGCGGTCCTGATGACCCACTAAATGATATGAATAGTACATCACTATTCTGCAACATTCAGACACCGGCCTCCAACTGCCGTATGCTCGAATGGCGACGACACTGACTGATTCTTGGGACCTTGCTATCTAGAGATCACAAACGACCAGGTTCAGCTGTTTGGTAGTCTATGAATCCCAGGACGTTGGCATAGGTGGGCGGTGTGATTGCTTGAGACCTACGACGCTGGCAAAAGGTGCAAGACCATCTCGATGCTTGACAACTTCGGCGCAATCGCGCAAGGTCCCCAGGCTTCTCGTTGGCTGCAATGAAACGTGTAGTCCGTAAAGTTGAGCCCGCTAGCTGTATGAACCAGCATGTTCAGGTGTGAACTGTGCTGCAACGACGCATCTCGTTTTCGCAAACAAGAGAGCAGCACCATGCTGGATATATGTAAACTGTAATGGCCAACAGCTGGGCACCTTGACCGACTTCGTGTCGCACCTAAGATCCACACAAGCAACCTCTGATCTAGCGCTGCTGGAAGGAAACACATCTCGACCTGTTTAGCGGCAGTTTGACACCGTTGATAGACCAAAGACGGACCGTGTTTACTACCCTTGTGGCTCCCTTTAAGTGGGACGAGGTGGTCAGACCTGTTGCTCAATGGTCAGGCAGATAAAGGAGGAAGATTTCGGTCTCTTCTCATATCCATTTGGTTTTATATGCAGTTGGTCCACTAAGTTGCGATGAGTTGCAAGCATCGTCTGATTGGGTGAACTTCGCAGGACAGCGTTCGAGCTAACCCCTGCATAGGCTTGCTTACTCTTTTCTGAGTCTACTCGTTCACCCCAACTCGCATTCGCATGAGGATCCGTGTAGTACCGCTTCGGGACTGTTGAAGCCATCGAAAGCTGTCATCGTGGCTGCAGAGATTGGGTCTGCCAAGTGCATGTACTCTATAACGATCTGGTATTAGCCCGTAACAAGCTGACTGGAGACCGGGTCTTGGATTGTCGCTGTGACTGTCGCGATACTTGTATGGCAGACTCTTTCGAATATGAGAAGGTATTTCTTACCACTAGATTGAGCAATCTGGTTGGTCGAGGGGGTGGCCATCATCCTTGTGAAGAACAGCTCGGCTTACTCACAATCGAGACTATTATCACTCCTCTTACCACCAGTCATGCTGTCTCCGCAGCGAAGAGACAGGAACACGACGTAAGAGCCTGCATGTCACAGCGTTGATCAAGTGTCAACGGTGTGGTCTCCGAACAGTAAAGCCATTGAGACGAATTTCACCATCACAATACGGGTGTACATCCACTTCGAGTAATTTTCAGCAGACGGCAGACGATAAATCGTTGACGTCCACCGAGTACTTCCCAATTGATTGAGTAGCATTCGCAGAATTTCCTTGATTGCCATGACGGGGACTTGTGAATTGGCTGTTTCGTCTGCGTGAACCTGTGCAAGTTGTGACATGACTGCGCTTATGACTGCTTCTACAAGAAAGCCAAACAGATGTTACTAGCTCTGGTCCAGGCGGAGTCCTCGAGGCCATCTGCGTCCGGCGTGGTGAGACGCTCTGTCGCTGATCGGATCTCGATTATCATAGGTATGAGAGGCTGATTCATGGTTTCATGGATCTAGAAAAGCTGCTTTCGCCCCTGCTTAATCACTTGTTGAATATTCACCACTATCGTTTACGCTCCTGCTCACCATGAATTTTCCAATATGTCAAACGAAGGACGAGGAAAGCTATTCCCGAGATGCGTTGCTTGTCCCCTAACCACTAGCTCGTGGATGATCTTCACCAATCGCAAAACATCTGCCATTCTCCAGCACAAATCTAGAACTGCTCGACGATCATGTAAAATTATGCCGTAGACTAAGCCTTTACACCCTAGTCCAGCGATCGTTATGATCATCGATCGACGCCAATATAAAATCTCTCTTTGAACTGACCGTTTATGCATTATATGCGATTTCCCGCTAAGGAAAGTCGTTGATCAGTTCATTGGCAACGTCGTTGTGCTGCCATTCTGAATCTTCGTTGTGGGAAGACAAAACCATTTTGACTACCCGCACACCCTGCTCACTTTCCATCACGTTGCAGTATTCGCGGTAGAAGATACGCCATACCCGCAAATACCCCTGTATTGCGCTTCTCCAGCAAGAGTCTTCTTGCCTGACTTCGGACTTGAGAACCGTGTCTCGTTAATAGAAGTTTGACGTGCACTGACGTACTACCACAAACATCACCCACAATGTCACGCCAAAAATTGTCGGACATCCTCCCCACTCTCGCCTTTGGCACCGCAACATTCAACCAGCAATTCAATGCAGACCCCTACGCCTTGAGACCCAATGACATAGTAGCGAAAGCATTGGAGTCTGGTATCCGCGCCTTTGACACCAGTCCATACTATGGTCCTGCAGAAACAATCCTCGGCAACGCATTACACAGTCCACTGATCCGCTCATCACCTACTCTGCGTTATCTGAGGCGAAGCGACTACTTCATCTTGACAAAATGCGGACGAATCCGAGGTGATGAGTTCGACTACAGCGACAGCTGGGTCCGCTTCAGTGTGAAACGAAGTTGTCGACGGTTAAGGACAACTTATCTGGATGTTGTCTACCTACATGATATCGAGTTTGTCTCGCCTCAACAAGTCGTCAGCGCGATACGCACACTTCGAGCGCTGAGGGATCAAGGCCTGATAAGGTATGTGGGTATTTGTGGCTACCCAGTGCACGTTCTTGCTGAGTCTGCCGAGATGATACTACGAGAGACGGGTGAGCCTGTGGACATCGTGCAGACTTATGCCCACTACAGCGTGCAGAACCAGAAGGCGCTGGGTGTGTTGCGGAGAGTGATCGATGCAGGAGTTGATGTTGTCACGAATTCGAGTCCACTGGGAATGGGACTGTGTAGAAGTGCGGGCGTGCCACTAGGAGAGACCGATGGCGCGTGGCATCCAGCTCCGGATGCATTGAAAAGTAAATGCAAAGAGGCCGCGGATTGGATCGAGGAGGAACACAAAGAGAAGCTGGAAGACATTGCATTGAGATGGGCTATGGAGAGTTGGTTGACGAATGGTGCAGAAGCAGGAACAAGGGGGCCTAGCCCAGAAGAAGCAACGGCTGTGCTCGAGCAACGCGCCAAGGCAGCGGATGAAGGCGGTCGAGATGTGGTCAGTACACATGGTGAACAGGCGCCACAACGACAACGAGTAGGCATGTTCGTGATGGGAGTCAGCAAAGTCAGCGAGCTGGAACACACCATGGCAATTCACAGATCCATCATAACTGCGCAGGACAAACCACAAGACTCCAGAAGAGAGCATATCGAGCAAGTAACCAGGCATATACGCGAACACATTCTAGGTCCCAAGTGGACAGATTTTTCGTGGGACTCCCCGGACCCAGGCTTCACCAACACGCGGAAGACATTTGGAGTATCAGAGCTTGAACAGGCCGAAGAAGACGCTGACGCTGAGATTGCAGCAGCCAAGAATGATATGATGGGTGTGCGGCAAGACCCGTCGTCACGTTCGGGATCTGATATCGAGCCAGGAACGATAGTGGTTACGGAGGAAGATCTGGTGTGTCCTGTTACAGGGATGAAGGGGAAGATGCCGTCTGGTCACAGTGCGAAATCGAGCAGTATCGAAGTCAAAGAGTTGTCATAATACTTATAGCTATCGATTTAACTAACACCCACAATGAGTTGTGTAGTATTGATCACATCACTGATCTGTATACATTTGAACACTTTTGGCGACGTCGAGCTTGCTTCTTCTTCTCCTCTCTTTCAGAAAGATTGCACGAGAGAACCCTTTTGTATCTCTTGAATTTGCCCATTTGCTGTATTAGGGAACAGTCGTCCTCACTTATCCTTACAGTCCACCGCATCGACCTCTTCATCCTTGAGTTTCCATCTGGACAAAGCCGCTGCTGCCTCGATGCTTGACATCCTGATGATGGCAGTCCAGCCTAGCCATCAAGAACAATCGCGAAAACAATGACGTTGTCCAGGTATCGAAGAGCTTTCAGATCATGACAATGACACACAACAGCTCTTGTATAGCAACAATGCCTCGAAGAACAACCAGCTTGTTTCGACAAAGCCATGTTTTCATGCCTCAAAGCACCATTCTTTCCCAGTTGTCCCGTTAGAAAAGAGTCAGCAAGTCTCCAGGTCTCTTCGAAGGTACCATTCATAACCACAGAACGAAGCTGCTTTAGAACCAAGCCAAACATCAACAGAACCAAAGTCTCCAATCAAAAAACCAACAAAGGTAAGCAGCATCACACCCTCAAACAACATGGGTGTTCGTCGTGATATGAATGCCAAGGGCCGAGAAGTTATCGATACCATCAAACCATTCTTCAAGCCAGTCGCACAGAGAGTGATAAACAAAACTCAAAGAGCCCCTAGGACTCGCAAAGCTGACAGATACAGACCCAGAGATAGAGACAGCGATGATGACACCATCACCACACATAGACGGCAGGGCCGTTGCGAAGAACATTCCCGCTCACGATGGCATCTCTCAACATACACCAAACGACACATTGAACGGGAGTACATCGACGACAGACTCCCCAAGTTCGGCGCTTACTCGAAGCACGAACCCCTAAAAATCCTGCCGCATTGGTTTGAGACCCTGGAACTGGCTCGCAAGTTGTTGAAGATTGGCATTGCCTTGGGCAAGCAGTCGTATCCACACCAGTTCAAGAATCATGGTAGGTTGCCCCTGCGACTTGATGGGCCGTATTATGAGTTTCCTCTTTTGGCGCATGGAAAGTTTTTTGAAGGATATGAACAAATAAAGCCAGGAAAATTGAGGATTGTCTTTACGGGGGACGGAGAATTGGCGAACGTGGTCTGCCATGATGACACGGTAGAACATGGGTTCCGGTTGATAAAATGAATTAAACATAAAAACATATAAACTGTCCTGGGTGACAATTTCTTTTAAGGGTTGTGGCAGAGTGCTGTTTTTCTCTATCGTGATTTTGACTTATGGTCAAATTTGAATCTTATTGGAAGACTTGTGGTCGTGCAAGCATTGTCTGGTATCGTGGCCGTGCTGATCATTGAACAGACCTAATCCTGTAGGATGAGCAACAAGTTCATGGCCCACGAGTTTGAAATGGCCAAATAGATGAACGATTCCTGGCTGAAGCAGGTGCCGCCCAGTTTGAATCGTGTTATGGTGATTGTCGACCTTTTGTGGCGCTGAGCTCTATTGTTGCGGTTGGTTTTGGTTGTCAAGTTACGTGAATAAGGAAGGACTTTCCTAGTTGGACCGACTATTCGAGATGGCTTGTCTCAAATCGAGTAAGGCATGAATGCACGATGATTGCCTTGCTGCTCATCGTATGCCTCATAGACGCTCGCATTGTTCCCCGATAGGCTCGCGAAGAACCGGACAAGTTGACACTGGAAAGATGGTGAAAGCTTTGGGAGTACCTATATGGGCATGGTCAGCAGTCAAGTCCAGCCCCACTCAGATCATCGAGGATGCCCGCAACTCTGAATGCGATGTGGACGTCGCAAAGTGGCTCATGCTGTCCACGAGATCGTCCGTGAAAAGAAGTGAACTCAATCCTGATACCACTCACTTTGGGTTTTGGCCTCGATTCCTCGGTTTTGGATGGAAACAGATATTGACACAGACTGTACTCAAGTAATCTGCGTGAGTAGAGTACGTATCGATCGCCACCTAGTTTGTACAAAGGCAATACCTTGCCTGCATATCAACTCTTCATACATTCTTCAGTCCTGCGTATCCTGTGCAGCGTGCTAAACTACCTCTTTGCTTGGCAAATCTTGGGCGTAGCCTTCCTGTTTCTCTTTGTCCACTGAAATGTATGCTTTATTTTCAGGGCATGCACACTTGCTCACGCGTACGTTGTGGAGAGCTCGTGTGATAATTGACATCGCTTTTCCATCAAGCTCAACTGCTTTCCGAGCGCGTCTTGCTTAGTCACTGAAAGTCGTTATCTGCGAGGCGTCTTACAACCAAGTCTTCGCGATCAAACCATTCTGACTGGACCGCCGGTTTCTTTGTAAGGATAAGCCACTGGATCACCCTTCCTCAGCCAGATCTTTGTCCTCTTCTTTGAATTCACGTTCTCGACAAACACCTCTCTCGCGTAGTCGGCCTTCCATTTCCTGATGAAGCGTGGCTCCCACAGCTCACTTGCAATGCCTAAATCTTTACAACATCGGACCATAGCATTGGATTTACATCCTTCGGACGCGGTAGGAATTCCTTCTTTAGAAAAGTAGTCTTGCTCGCCACGGGCTATCGAGACGAGGCTGAGCGTGTTAGTAAGATTGTACAGGTATTCTAGGGAGAACGATAGCTTACCGGCCATATACAACCAGTGCGTACTCTCTCGTGACAGCCTTGTCTGTAACAATAGTCTCTCCACGTGGTGCGAGACCCCATGCGCCAGGTCCAAACGCCCGGTTTAGTACTCGTCTATACTGGATTTCAGGCATGAAGATGATTCCATCTGGTTTGATCTCAACAACTTCGGGGTCGAGGGGTGCAAGTAGGATGTCGGCTGCTTCTTTAGGAAATGCTTCTGAGGACAAGCCATGGAAGGATTTGGACCAGTCTACTCGGCTAGGATCGGTTTCATTGAGGGTAAGGTTCGAAGAAGGAGGCGAAGACAGGGATGACTCAGTGCCATTTGCTGAGGCCGTTGAGCTGACTCTGGATGGTGATGGAGTGGGCGAAACAGTTTCTGCAGCCAAGTATGAGGTTGGACTGTAGAACCTAAGACGTTGCCGCTGTACGACACCTCTACACTGTGATGAAATAGGACGTTGACATAACCTTAATACGCTGAGAGCGAACTTCGATGACTGCGGCATGGTTGTTGAATAGTCTACTGAAGAGGAAAGTTGCTATACAGTATTCAACCACTAAACACGTCCGACGCGTTGAGGCGGCTACATGAGTGGCAACGCCAAAACACTTGATGTTTCAGGCACCAACCATGCCCCGACAGCCTGAAGCAGTGCCTGTGGCAATGAGTCTATACAAGTTACCACCAGAGTAGTACTCGCACATCTTTTCAATTACAGTGTCTGTTGAGATGGCCATGTTCAAGCATCCTTGCTTCCTGTTCGCTGCTCATTGCCATGTCGTTTCCAGCATTCACGGAAAGCTTCCATCTGGTCAAACTTAGCTACAAATCGGAAATCGTTGGGGAACGAAAAGAATGCTCGCCTCTTTCTTGCATACTCGCCAATCCTTGTGATCGTAGTAACAGTCATTCATTTTCAACTGCTCGTCTAGAAATCCTTCAGCATCTTATCGAGCTTTGGTCGCGACTTCTCTCACCTCGACAGCCCGTGCTGAAGATTCTTTTGTCCCTGTAGCACAACATTAGCACTTACCAGTTTGATTCAGCGTGAAGAGCCATACCAGTCATCAAATTCTTCTTCTTCTGGTTCTTGTTGAGCGACATGTTTCTTCTCGTCGGCCATATCTGCCTTTAGTAGTCTTTTTTGAAGGTAGAAGAGAGGTGGAAAAGACAGGAAGGTGTAGAAGTGTATAGCTTCGAGGTCGGCTGTAACTTTCTCTAACAGTGGCAACACTTTCACTACACCACCACAAAATTCAGATTAGTCATGTCTACTCGACGCTTGAATATACTTGTCTACTCCGGTGCGATACAATCTCACGAGTCATGGTGGAAGAACGAGAATCTAATTTTGGCTTCAGGCAATGGCACCACTATCGAATCAGTTCGACACTGTCTCTACACCTTGCGAAGACTTCTCTCGCCAAATTATGCTGTCATCCCTGTCACTGGTGATATGCTCCTGAAAGAACCATGGCAATCCTCTTGTGCAGCACTGGTCTTTCCTGGTGGTGCTGATCAGGGCTATTGCAGGACCTTGAATGGTGCTGGAAATCGTCGCATACGGCAGTATGTTGAGCAGGGTGGCAGGTATGTCGGTTTTTGTGCCGGCGGTTACTACGGTACCGGCCGCGTCGAGTTTGAAGTTGGTAACAAGTTGCTGGAAGTGGTAGGCGATCGGGAATTGGCTTTCTATCCGGGCACCTGTCGAGGTTGCGCCTTTCGAGGCTTCATCTATCACTCTGAGAAGGGAGCTAGAGCAGCCGAGCTTTCCATCAACAGATCGGCATTTACTTCTGGATCCATACCGAATGTCCTCAAATCTTACTACAATGGAGGTGGTGTCTTTGTCGATGCACCCAAATTCGCAGACCAGGGCGTGGAGGTACTGGCGGACTACAATGACAAGCTGGACGTAGACGCTGGGGTCGGAAGAGCTGCTATAGTGTATTGCAAAGTCGGACAGGGAGCTGCACTGTTGACAGGCCCACATCCAGAGTTCGTCTATGGTTTCCATAAAGCGATCGACGACTGGTCACTGACAAAGTCCAGGTTCGCGAGCCAGAATCTCAGAAAGCCTGACGAGGATGTCCCAAACTTCAAGAACGTTGTTGATGAGCTTGCGAAAGACGAGAAACACCGGATGGACTTCCTGAAGGCCTGTCTGTTCAAGCTTGGCTTGACAGTGTCTGATGAGCAAAATGTACCTTCCCTCTCTCATATTCATCTTTCCGCATCGACTTCCACAAGTGCTGGTCAGGTTCTACAGAGCCTGAGCGAGCTAATAGTGAAAGAAGAACATATAGGTGATGTGATCAAGGATGAGAATGACGTGTTCCACATAGCTGAGGCAGGCCTGAACACGCATGGCTTGAAGGAGGCACTTCTCAGCAATGCGCAACCCTCCGTTCCTGTTAAGGAAGCACAAGCTGATCAGACTTCTGGCAGTTCAATCCCGTCTCAAAACTCTGAAGATACCACACAGGACCAGATCCTCGACTACAATTCAATACCGAAAACTCTTATCTTCCACTCCTCCACTTATCCTTCAGCGAAAGAAACACCTTATTTCAACCACAACGCGTTTTACTCCAACCTCCAGCATTATGTCTCGGAGCAAAAGCTTGAAAACCCAACTTTCGCACGGCACTTGCTGTATGGCGAAGTTGTAACCTCTACAAATACCATTCTCGAAAAGAATACCCGCATCCTCCGTCGTCTGCCTCATGGCACTACATTCACAGCAACGACTCAAGTCGCAGGTCGTGGTCGCGGCTCAAATGTGTGGGTCTCGCCAGCAGGTAGTCTCATGTTTAGTGTTGTCATACGCCACCCGGCGTCAAGCCTGGGTAGCGCACCGGTTGTCTTCATCCAGTATCTTGTGGCCATGGCAATTGTGCAAGGCATAAAATCTTACGACCGCAAAACCTATGCCAAACTTCCAGTGAAACTCAAGTGGCCCAACGACATCTATGCGCTCGACCCAACGAAAGCGCGCACTCCTGGCCTCAGTGAAAGTGAGAAATACACCAAGATTGGCGGTATTCTAGTTAATGCACACTACAACAATAAGGAGTACATCGCTGTCTGTGGTGCAGGCATTAATGTCAGCAACACAGCTCCCACCACATCCCTCAATGACCTTATTTCACTCCTACCTGGTTCTAGTTCTCCACCACCTTTCCAACTCGAACGTCTGCTCGCTTCAATCTTGACCTCGTTCGAATCACTCTACACCATTTTCTTACAGACCGGGTTTGATGAGACTATGGAGCAGCTCTACTACCGCGACTGGCTACACATGGATCAGATCGTGACCGTAGAGAGTGAAGGCGGAGTCAAGGCACGAATTAAGGGTATCACGAGGGATTATGGACTATTAATTGCCGAGGAGCTGGAAGATGTCCATGGAGATTGGAGGCCGACTGGGCGGCGAATGACACTGATGAGCGATAGTAACAGCTTTGATTTCTTCAGGGGACTGGTGAAGAGGAAGGTGTAGGCTTATGAACCAGGTTAGCCGAAAAAGAAAAAAATGTTCAATTGATCTTGTGCTGTTGCATGCTGTGCTGTGAGGTCAGACGAAAATGTTCTAAACAACCTGCGATTAATCAAGGTCAACATCAAGATCAACTACGACCTCAAGATCACAGCATACAGCCATGTCCTCACTGATACCTGTTTGCCAGGCTTCTAAGCCTTCGCAGGGCATGACTCAACTTTTTCCAGCTCACCAGTCAACATGCAATCCACTCCTTAACCCATCCCGCCAGTTCGGTACCCCAGTCTCCACCGCGGTCACAACTTGCCTATTCCGATACACCTCGCCAACATTCTTGGCACTAACTCGAAAGTCTATATTGGCGTTGCCTGTCTGCTGCAGATTGAGCACAAAAAGAAAGGTCCTCAATGTCGATAGCGATTGATTATTGGGTATCATGGGTGGATTGGATTGATCTGAGCTGCAAAAGGTCCTCGAGGGAAAGGCATAAGTGTCGCGATGTTTTACGCTGTAGATGTCGCTTTTGCTTGGTTGGTTGTTCGGTCGTTCGTTCACATACACTCGCGAGAAGTAGTGGAGTATAGTAGGATACGTATACTATCCTATACTGTGCTATACTATACCATACCATACCATACCACAACCACAACCACAACCACACTATACAACATACTACAACACTTCAATTCACACCATACCAACCCAATCATAGGTAGTTCTACTACTACCACTACAAAAACAAACCTAACCACAAAGCTTCTTCCTCTCTTCAACCAACAACACAAGTAAGTACCCTACATCACACCATATCCAAACCTCATTCAAAACTAACCAACAACCATTCCCAACCATAAAACTGATACAAACCCCTTTTCAGTCCATCCTCACAATGCCATTCACACACATCAACCGCCGCCCCACTCCCCACCCCCACGCCCGCATCCCAACTGAGCCTCGAGCCTTCCACCGCTCAGCTCAAAGAGCCACTCTCCTCTCTCGGCGGCAGAAGAAGCGATTGAGGGATATCGCAAGGGAAGGATTGGCGGTGCTGAAGGCAAAGGCACGGAAGGCACGGGAGGAGGACTTGAAGGTGTGCTGGGCGTTTTTGAAGGAGGTTGACAAGTATGTTCCGCGTGTCGGGTGTGGTGGGTATGGTGGTGAGGCCGGGGAGAGGAGAAAGGAGGAAGTGAAGGGGTATATGAGCTGGGAGGAGTTCAAGGAGGAGGAGGAGAAGAAGAACTATGAGGCGGATTGTGAGGATAATGGGGTTAGGCAGTCGGAGAAGGATGAGATGGAAGTGAGTGAGGGAGGAGGAGGAGGAGGAGGAGGATGAAGTCGAAGTAAAGATTAAGCAAGAAGAGAGTGAGAAAGAGGTAGTGGTTCATCCTAGCATCGAGAGGGACGAAGAGGAAGAAGATCCTGACATTAAACACTGGGTTGCACGAGTGGGATTCGCCACGACATATGAGGAGGTGGTGAGGACGCTATGGAGTCGCGGGAATCGTTAGAAAGTAGGCACGATTGAGATGTCCATGGCAAGCGTTTTGGTTAACTGTTGGGTTGGAGTGATAGGTGGTTGTCGAATGCAACCATGATAAAAGTAACCTGAGAACAAAGACTAGTAGTTCCAGTATCTTTCACATTCTGTTCTTTTTTCCTGCCATTGAATGATATCTCACCATCCTAGCAGGCTTACCAGATCGCCGATAGGTCCGCCATCATCTCTTCTCAATCCAACCGCACCCAACAACCAACCTTCTACCAGCCACCGACTTAGCATTCCGGCCATCGCTAAGCCGGTGGCGATGATATATCCGCAGTCAAGCAGAATCAATAAAGCCTCGATATTGTTCACTAGAACAACCCAGCTGATATATGATGCAGCACGAGAAGCGAATGGTCCATCTTTCTCTGCTGAAGAAGACGAGGATGTGGGCCATATGACGAGGAGGATAGGGAAGAGCTTGGTACAGCTGGAGACTAGGAGTGCCGTCGAGATAGCGCTGGGAGTGGCGTGGCGGACGGCAGGTGTGAGACTTTGGAATTCACTGCTGTCTTGAGGATGTGGTAATGCTTGCGTTGGATGTGCACTGGAAGTGGAAGCAGGTGAGATTAGTTCGGAGGACGTATGCCGTGAGTGAGCTCTTAAATCCCTAACATTACTCGTTTCTTTTGCGGATAGCCTACCCGTGTGCCTGTCTTCCATACTCTTTTTTCGCAGGATGTAGTGCGCTAGGAGTCGAATCGTGAAGTGCTGTGCCAGGGTCGCGACAACGTTGAGTGTGAGGAAGAACAAATACTGTCCCACAATAGGCCAGGATGTCAGTACTGTGCTCGCGGCTTGTGATGTCTCCTTCGTGTTCGAAGCGTCATTGCCTTTCTCAATCCGTGCCCAGGTGATGTAGACATCGAACAGGACTAGGAGGATGCCAAGGCGAAGGATTGACGGGTCGAGTTTGTCGGTAATTGAGCTGGACTTGGTGGGCGAGGAGGTGGAAGAATTCAGACGATTGAAGAGGAGATGACGGTAGACCTGTGGGATAAGATGTGTTAGATACTATCTCGTGAGTATCACTTTGCACACATATTGAAGGGATCATAGTCGGGTGTTTTAGATTCGTGGATCTGGTAGCCCAGAATCATCGGTGCGGTTGATCCCGATGGTTCAGGAAGAGTTGGGAAGGTCGTATTCCCATCTTGACAGGCCGAGGACTGCTTCGAGCGAGAAACCAGTAGGAAGACTCTCACATCCACGAACCAGCTTCCATCAACACCACTTCCGCAATGCTTTCCAACCAATTCCCGCTATCAACACAATTCCGTCCATCGGACGTGCAAGCACTGACTTACCTGAGGCTTAATCAATACCAAATCAATGAATAGCACCACATAATCATGCTCAACATATTTGTCCGCAAAGCGCTTACAGTTCGGACACTGGGTAAGTCGAACACCCTTGCCGAGCGTTCTGTCGTCTGCTTTGCTGTAGGTCGTGTATAGGTTCGGTAAAGGGTAAGAGCAGTTGATACAGATATAAGACATTCTAGATTGATGGACTCATGAAGACAAGCTTCCTCCAAGGAGTCAATGAGCTGTGATAGGGGCGGTGATGTGCGCGAAGTTGATTCAGGGCCGGTGGCTCATGGCGCGAAAGTCATCGACCTAGCATGTCTGGAAACCTTGGTGCGCCTTAGTATGTAAGACCGAGTGACGGAGTTTTAGTGCATTCACGCGCGCGACAAGGAGACGCTGGTGAGATGCATCGATAAACTCAAGAACAACGATTCTTCTATGGATCTACATGTGTTGACTTGGGAGTTCTGAGCAAGCAAAAGATTCATGACTGAAGAAGTAGCCGCCGCAATAATTTGTCCCCCACAGAATGGTCATCTTGAACACTCAATAGGCGAACGAGCGCTGGAGGATTGACGCCTAAGGATACCTTGAACTTGGTAAGTGGCCGCTAGATCATTGAACAACATCTTCATTTGGTTTCCACAATCCCACTACCTGTGTACAGACAACAACAAACAGCTGCCCATCTGAAACACAAATAGATCAAATACGTAATGAATATAACTTCAATCGGTTCCTAAACCTCGATGCCATTGTTCTATATACCCTCGCGGTCCAACTTCAGCCAAGGGACACATAATTAATGAACTCCTTGTAAACATGCCTCAAAATAACACAGTATTCACCACATGCTGGATCTGCTATCTGGTCTCCCTCCTCAGGATTTCCTTTTCCATCCCCCATTTTCTCTATTTTGTTCTGCTGTCAATGCATGCCTATGTAGAGTCTCGTGTTCTCCAACATGTCTGCAACCAATGTAGTTTCAAGTCGAGCTGTTGTCCTTGAAAAGGTAAACGCCAGAAATCCTCGATAAATGTTAATTTCCCCTGGATCCTACACATCGTCATTATCATTTCATCTTCAACCATAGAAAATCATATCTTCGTCAATTCATGCATATCAGGTTCATCGTAGCCATTTTCGTGGTTCTTGAGTATCGGAATTGTGGGCATATTTTTGTATTCTTCGTAAACGTGGTGGTCATGAGGCGAGGGCTCTACCAGTACCTTTGGGCCACTTGGTTCGGAATCGGATCCTCGTATGTATGCAGTGGTGCCGGAGAAATTTGTCTCCCCGACACTGACATCGCAAGCGTATATTGTATCATTACTACTGCGTTCTGACTGAATCGGACCAGCAGACGCAGGTCGTTCCGGCAGATCCAGTGTACTCGTTCGAGGACTGATTTCGGGAGAACCTCTCAACGTATCTGTCGATAGTCGTACTTTACTCGTTTTAGGTGTTAGATCATCTGCTGACCTTGACCTTTGCCATTTTGGCAAGCGAAATGGGCTGGGTGTTTGGGGTGCTTGGGTTGGCACGATCCTCGTCGTTTCCAAGCCGCTATCAGTCGTACCAGGGAGAATCAAATTCTTCGGGTTAGTCTGGTAAGAACGTTGATCTTTGACATCGGAGATATCGTCTCGACCTTGTGAGAACCCACGAAGCGCGGCGCTAGAATACACCAGATCATCGTCATCATGATAACCAAGCTCAAAATCAGTTGAATCCTCTCCCTGGCTCTTGTATGCCCTGTCTTTCGCAAGGGCTCGGCCTCGTATATTCTCGAACATTGAATCTGTGCTCTGAATGTCATATTGTGATGATTGTGGGTATGTAAAGGTCCAGTCATCCTTAGAACTCTGTGGTGAATACAATAACTCTTGCTCATGCTTGAACCTCTCGAGGTCATCACGTTCAACAGCAGCACCAGGATCGATGTACTGTTTGGGCTCCAGTCGTGAGAGGCTGTGTGGCCGAGGAGAAAGCCCAACTGGGTGGACAATATCGCTGTTTGGTTCAGTGAGTGCTGGAAATAGCTTGACAAGCTCGGTTGCTGATAATCGATCTCGTGGCGCATTCGATAAACAGATTCGCACAATTTCTCTGAACCAGTCTGGCACTTCGGCCGGAAAATCATCCGTCGTCAAAGGAGGGTCATGCCGTTCGGGCTCATCATCGTCCATGGCCAGGGCCCATAAGGTCATCCCGAGCTGGTACAAATCCGACTTTTCACCGATATACATCGAAATTCGCTGATTGCTCGCAATCTTCTGTGCAATCTCTGGTGGTTCCCAACCAACAGGACAACCTCGTCTGTTAATGTCGATGATCTTGGCGTGGTTTTGTTCATCCACGACAACGTTCGATAAAGTGAAATCTCCTTGCACGTACCCTTCCTGGTGAATATCTCTAAGCCCGGTAACAGCTTGGCGAGCCCAGAGCTCTCGATGTTCCCACGGAATTCGGCCTTTATGGTCGTACAGCAAGTCAACAATTGCACCTCGCTCCGCGAATCCTATCAACAGCCCTTTGACTACCTGCCTTGTATCATCCAGAATGATCGCTTCCAGCTTGATGACATGTTCCGAGTCTCGTAGAGAATGTAGAGCATTGATCTCATATAGGAATTCGTCGACGGTGTCCGGACTAGGAATCTCTTTTTTTATATAGGCCCTGCCTTCATGCCATACTCGGTAAACAAAACCTGACAGATGAGCATCAAAGGCAATCTCACTTTCACACAGCTGCATTGGCCTAGCAGATGGATTTGGATCATCAAGGACATGACGCACCATCGATCGTTGAGGATACGAAATGATCTCATTGACGTCCTCCGTCACATGAACATGCAACCTACCTTCACTTGTTTCCAACTTGAGGTTAGTCACTGTTTCGTAGAATTGAATTTCTGGCAATGACTCGTGGATTGCCTCGTAAATGGCCAAACTCTTGTCCCTCTGAAACTGCAATTCCTTCAAATCAATTTCGAGGGATCCTATCTCAGCGCGACGATAATCACAGGAAACTGTCACTCGACGCCATTTCGTTGGCGTTTCGGCATATGTCACGAAGAACTTTTCTCGATCGGATTTATCTCGGAAATGCATAGACAAATTCAATATCCATTTCGTGTCAAGTTCACGTTGTAGCTGAGCTCGGTGACTGTCGTCCCAACAATAAGAAGATGCCCTCGATAATGGCCGCGACGGACGTTCCTCGTATTCAAAGACACTGTCTTCACGTAGAGGAGGGGTCGGAGGAGCTAGCTCTACGGGCAGTGCAGGAGCATTAATTGTCAGCAGCGGCGTTTCGACAGTAGAAGAGACAGCTGGGGCTGATGCACGGAAAGTGAAGCTTGGTGGTGGTGATGATCTGGCACGCGGCCTTTGCATATCACATGTCGATGTATGTCGTGAGGCCGAGACAGCACGACGTTCCTGCGATACTGGGTCGACGGGAAATAGTCGTTCACGTCGCTCTGAATTCTGCCTTTTAAAGGTCGTCTGTCTCGGCAAGCTGGTAATAGGTCTCTCTTTGTCCTTTGGTTGCGTCGAGTGATTCCACTGGCCTTGTAGAGACACCGGCGGCCAGGGCGATGTGTCATCAATGCTATTACTGACACTCTCTGGACTTTGACAACGTGATTCGTCTTTCACAAAGATGGAGTGACCGAGAAGTTTCTGCATCCACATCGGTTTGAAAAGAGAATGGCGTGACTGAGAGTGATCGGACAGTATCGTGCCGGTGGGGGATGTATGCCTATTTCCCAGATGCATCCTGACCAGGCCGGCGAACGATCATCATCTGTCGGACAAAGTACGAGGTGCAACAGAAGCACAAGCGAGACACTGTAGTACTTGCATCTGAGGTGATACAGGAATAGTTGACAGGTCCTGCAACTCGAAAGTATGGATTAACGGCAGTGCAGTGCTGGGAGCTTTGCTTGCACAAAGAACTGGTTTGATCGAGACCAGATGTTGTACTACCACGTTTTCAATGAGATGCTTTTGTGACCCAAGGAAGCGCTTTGATGAACGTGTCCACTCTGTCTATGCTGAATGAAAATGCCTCGATTAAAACCCACTCCACTTATATTTTCGTGTCTGCAGCTCGAAAGGAAGAACGAAGTCAGTAAAGGTCTGAGCACAGTGGCGCAAAATGCGACTTCGGTTGGTGTGAGGAAGGATGGACTGAGCGTGGTTGCCAATTCGGCGAATTGTCAGTCGAGCACTGACTGATGAGGGAGCTAAGCCTGTTTCAAGTTCTTGGAGACTTTATTGGCCAAAGCTCTGGCGTCATTCGGGGGGCAGGTACTAAAATTCCTTCTCTGAGTGCTTCGCAGCGCTGGCAAGTCTTTTCCTGGACGGCGCCGCAGCTGATATTGATATCCCGAGTAATTCGTCTGTGCGTTCAGATGTTGACTTCACCGCTTCATCTCGAGGTCGACGATGCTTCCGAAACAAGTTAAACTTCTTGCCTGGCGTATCACGCGGATATGAGGGCGAAATGGAATGGTCGGGGAACTGGGCTTGGGCACTATTTACTTGCAGTGACTACGAGCCTTAGCACGATGCATTCTGCAGGAGCAATGGAGAGGAGAAACAGTAGAGGTTTCTCGCCTGGTCTACAGACGAACAACTGTCAAGCCACTCATGCCACGATGCTATCGGCCGTCGTAAAGAAGCTACAGTATAGTCTAGCTCGCCAGCACGTCTGTCAGCAGTTCACAAAATGGGATGTTGAGCCAAGTCAGTAATCAGTCTCTCCGCATATTCGTACGCTTCGAGACCTCCTTCCGTCGCACAAACGTATGCGAGCTTTGTATACACTTCCAGCAAGTCCCTCATGGCATTGGTCGCAAGCAAGCTATTTCAGATTAGGCTTATTCCCAACGTTCGTCAGGCTGTTCTAAATTGCATGTATTTCCAGCTGCGACACCACGCGCAGAGAATCTATGCTGCCACGATTATGCTGCCTGACGCTGCACCAGTAATGCCGGAAATTGCGGAGGCTGTGACCAGTCACAATCTACTTTCCGGGACTGGCGACAGTTCATTCGTCGATAATTTGGTACGACTTGAACCGTTTCTTCTCTCTAGCCATCTTCATTTTCTAGCGTTGACACACCGCGCATCCGTGCATATACTACTGCAGCATCCGCAATGAAACAATTCGAGGTCGCCTGACTTTGGAGACCTTACCTAGGCGCTCATGCAGCCGTCCAGTGTCAGATGTCCGTGCTGGATGTTATTGGTAGCATTGCAGTTGGGCAGCGATCACAGCTATGTTGTCCTCGTCGTCATTTTGCAGCTTATGAGTACATTAAACTTCAGGTAATCGCTCATCCCTATACCGAACGCAAGACTACAGCAGCGTGGCTGTAGGCTATAATCTACGAGGTGATGCCGCAGTAAGTGGTAAGAAAAAGGTAATCTTTTCCACGCCTCATTGTGTCCTGAGAATAATAGCGATGATAACAGCTATGTTGTCGCAGAAGCTCGTATAGCAAATCGCGTTCTGTTGAGCAGCGAGCTGTCTTTCGGTCGACGCTTCGAGGCAGGAAATGTATGGACTGTAAGCATGCGACTACTCAACTCGGGCAAAGAAGTCGGCGGCGACTTTGGCCTTGTTGTAGATGCTCAGAGCAAAGTCTCCACCCGCAGCGAGGCAAAAATCGTGAGGCACGATGTCCGTCGTACATACAATGCCTCAATACAAGACTAGTCTATCACGTTGCAATAGACATCATCTGACTGTAACCCAATACCTCAGTCCTTGAGCAACATTTCTTCCTCCTCGTCGTTGTCGTCCAACACTGTTGAATTCAGATCCCCCGACAACTTCCTTGTCACTGGCGGTGAACTCGAAACTGGCTCACCTTGGGTCAGTTGAGATGATGGTAGGAACCCACCAAGATTGGCTGGTGGGGCTGAAGTTTGAGCCCGGTCGCTCTTTGATCTATCTTCCATCGATACCTCATCTTCATCTTCACTATCAGCAACCTCGTCAATTGTCCGTTTTAAGGGGCGGTTTGTTAGTGCTAAATTCTCCCTAGAGGAGGACACGTCTGCCGTGTCCTCGGGCATCCGTAGGCCCTGATCCACTGGCTCTCCAGCATCCTGTAACTCGAGATTGCCAACAGCTTCCTCTTGGTCTTGCTGAGAGGTGGATGAAGACCTGGGCGCAACATCCTTGACTTGTATGGTGGTTGGAGGCTCATCTACTGCTTGTAGGCGACTCTGCCAGTGGTTAGCCTCGATGTATTATGACATGAACTCGATCAACATACCTTTGATATGACGAATCGGACACCTGTAGTGACTACCTCCTTACCTGCTATTCTCTCCACCTCGGCGACTCGAAGTGGCCATTGTCGACGCTTTCTCTGTTTCTTCGCTTCTTCGTGGCTCAAATTCGACCAATCGATGGTCGGCCAGAAGTCCCGGTATATCGCAATTCTTGTGCTAACATTTTCACTCCAATGCTGTGTACTAAGAGCCGACCTCAAAATGGCGTCCTTAGTTCCGTTTTGTCGACTGGCACTGGCTTTGTTGAGGACAACGACAGCTATATTTCGAGAAGCTGCTAGACGTGCTAGGCCTGCGGAGATGGAGTTCAGCATGGCTGCGCGACGTCCGGCAATTGACTTGGCGATGATCTCATCTCGAGATAGAGTGCTACCGTTTGCCGCAGACGATGAGGCAAGCTTGTCGTTTTGTGGGAGACCAGTCAATACAATGCTGGAGAAGTCATCAACGACCAGTAGACTGGTAGTTACGGACGGGAAATCCTGTGATGGATGAAGCACCCTGCCAAGCAGATGTGAGAGGCTGGAAATACAGGCGTATTCGAACTTGGGTTGAAGAGATGCAGCTTCGCCTGCAGTCACTTGGTTCAATAGGACAGCTCGATCTTCACCTGCATCGGAGCACGACAGTAGATGATTGAGACGAGACAGAGGCACTTTCGCAGCAGTGTCGATCCATGTCACGCCTCCGTCCTTTACTAAGACGTTTGCGACGAGTTGAAGTGCAAATTGTGTTTTACCACTGCCGGGTGGTCCGTAGACTTCGGTCAATGTGCCCTTTGGTATCCCTCCATATTCAGCAAATCCATGACCAAAAGCGCCGAGGGTGTTGTCCAGGGCTCGAAGATGTGTTGATATCGGCTTGTGCTTTTCGATAGTGTCAAGCAGATCCTGTGCGCCACTCAACGTTGGTAATCGATGTGTGGATGGCGATGGTTGAGAGAAGTTGTGGTAATCCTCAGAAGCAAGGCCGTCCATCCTCATCCTCATCCTCGAGCAAAAGTGCGAAAGTGACAAACTTCATAGATCGACTATTGTGCTTGCGACGCGTCATGTTGATCACGAGCGGTGGACCACTTCATCACAATATAAGTTGTCTGTGACAATCGACTGTGTTCATCTGTGTCAGGAGCTGTAGCTCGTCTGCTTGTGCAAGCGTTGTCTTGAGAAACCTTGTAACATGCGATTCACCGGCGATCGAGAGCACCGAAATCAAGCAGGCACGCCGCAGATGGAGGCGTGGAAGAATGCTCACATCGTGCTGGATCGCGTAATGCCGGTTTTGAGACTGACAAACATGGTTACGCCGGCATTTTTCATTCTTCTACGCCAGAAGCCATGCTACGACGCGCTGCGTTTTCTGCATTCTGTCCTGTTTATTCAACCAGTGTGCCGCTTGTGTTCTCACGATCTGAGCATTAATGAGGAGCTAAGGTCAGTGTAGCTGTCGCCGACATTCATGTCCCATTTGTACCAGTAAGCCAACCTGTTGCGAATTTTATCATGATGCATCCGCAAAGACGCCACGAAGACGGCTGAGCAGAGGTGCACCCACAGCCGGCATACTCATAGTTTCTATTCTGTTTGTCCTACTGTTCGTCTCGAAGAGCTTTCATGCATATTCAGAACCAACCGAAGCGTCGTCGTACTGGGAAAATTGTGCATCCTATATGTAGGCAAAGATTGTTCTACGATTGACTTTGGACAGCAGCTAGTCAACGTTGGTTGGGACACTCTGAGACATTGTCGAGTCAAGCTAGCAAAGCACAACTATCATTCTGATGTGCTTCTGCAGCCCAAGTGATACCCAGAGTACCTCCATTGGCCTGAAGCTTGCCCCAGTATAGGGACCAGTAGGCAGAATCACGACGGAAGATTCTGTGAACGTTATCGAAGACCAACAACCATTCATACGTAGAATGATGATGGATGTGGCTGCCAGATGTGAGAGGGCGAGTTCAGAAGACCTATTCTCGAAGCGAGCCACGACGATCGCTAATCTCGTCCACCACTGCGCTGCCGTCTGCTTCACGCGGTTGCAGATCTCCTGGAACTGATCGAGATGCAACCGACAAGGCTGTTTGCCAACCCAGGTCCTGCGAGCTCTGATGCAATTCTGCATGTGGAATGAAAGTAGGGTTCGACTCAGGAATGCGCACCTATGCTCGACTTTGGAAAAGAAATGTTAATAGCACATAGTTGCCGGCTCAACAAGCTCATTCACAAACTGCTGCGGCAGCTGATCTGAGCCATGACACGTCTCCGCCTCAAGATATCTGATGCTCATCTAACCCAGAAGGAGATTCATCGGCCGCCGCATGCATGTGTGGCGTCAAGATAGAAGACTCTGGCCAACCATCGTTCTGCACACAAGCATTATCACGTTTGAACGCGACTTTTCATTCGTTGGTCAACACTCTCTTATCTCGAAACTCATCCTGCTCTATCGTGTCCACGCGACCAGATCGAGGTCCCAGGTCTTCAATCCTCAACCCGCCTAAGCTGTAGGCCCTCTCCGCGATCCATGTGTCTGTAGTACTTCAAGCAGCTTGCTGTAATTGGGGTTTGCCGTGGCTCTTCATTCGGCTGGAAGCCGCCGATCCAAAAGATTGATTCGCTGGACAAAGTTGTCGGAACGAGTCATTGCCATTTCGGAGGCTTCGCTATCAGTTCAGATGGATTAGAGATGCAAATTCTAGCGACGATACGAGTAGGCTCAGATAGATCGTGATATATCTGTGATCTCACCGTGCTTCGTTCACGGAACTTCTTCAACAACAGGCCACGCTTCTACAGTATAAGAACGCTACCTGCGGCTCACCTTGTTTAAATCGTTAACGTGCTTCAGCAGTGCCTATAGTTAACGAAACCTGTCCTTGACTTTGGTTTCTCCTGAACGACAGCAATCGAAAATTATGGGTGGTGACCAGTATGTTGCCCCAGACCGTATTGGTCCCAGTATGGAACCTCCTCAGCGTCCGTTCATGGACAGGTTGAAGGAGAAGCCAGGAAGGATTGTCAAAAACCTGACGACAAAGGAAGGTCTTATCGGCGACTACGACTATGGCTTCCTATTCAGACCCAACCTGCCTTTTATGAAGAAATCTCGCAAAGCCGCACCATTCTTCGCACTCAACGAAAAGATGCCGCTACTTCTAGGAATGCTACTCGGTTTTCAACACGCCTTGGCTATGTTGGCTGGTGTCATTACTCCTCCAATCATCCTTTCGGGCACTGGCGGTGCGAACCTTACAGGACAGTCCGCTTACTTGGTCTCGACATCATTGATTGTGTGCGGCATTCTTTCTTCCATCCAGATCACGCGCTTCCATATCTACAAGTCTAGATACTACATCGGCACTGGTCTAATCTCGGTGGTGGGAACGTCGTTTGCAACCATTCCTGTCGCTCAGGGAGGATTGGCACAGATGTATGCCAATGGATTTTGCCCGCTGGATGCTGCTGGCAATAAGCTGCCTTGTCCACGAGGTTACGGTGCTATCCTTGGAACAGGCGCGCTCTGTGCATTACTCGAAATCGGTCTCTCATTCGCTCCGGCCAAAGTCCTCAGGAAATTCTTTCCACCCTTAGTCACCGGTCCCACCGTCATGCTCATCGGTGTTCACCTCATCGAGACAGGTTTCTTGAACTGGGCAGGTGGTAGCGGCGCTTGCTCGAGTAGGCCAACCACAGGAATGTTTCAACTTTGTCCAAACAATAATGCACCAATGGCAGCACCGTGGGGCAGCGCACAATTCGTTGGGCTTGGCTTTCTGGTCTTCATAACTATCATTATCACCGAAAGGTTTGGAGCTCCGATCATGAAGTCTTGCGCTGTCGTTGTCGGTCTATTCGTTGGATGCGTTGTTGCTGCAGCTTGTGGTTACTTCTCTGATGCCGGGATCAAAACTGCACCGGCTGCGTCGTTCATCTGGGTTCATACATTCCCACTCACAGTTTACGCGCCAATGATTCTCCCTTTCATGGCGGTGTATCTGGTCCTGATGATGGAGGCTATTGGTGATATCACCGCTACCTGTGATGTATCGAGGCTGGAGGTCGAGGGCAAGCTCTTCGACTCTCGAATTCAGGGTGGTGTACTTGCCGACGGTTTTAACGGCATGTTGGCCTGTCTTGCCACAATTACACCGATGTCGACCTTTGCGCAGAACAATGGTGTCATTGCCTTGACCAGGTGCGCCAACCGCAAGGCTGGCTACTTCTGCTGCTTCTTCTTGATCATCTCTGGCGTATTTGCCAAATTTGCGGCAGCTCTAGTCGCTATTCCAGGTCCAGTGCTCGGTGGCATGACAACTTTCCTGTTCAGCGCCGTTGCTGTGTCTGGTATCCGTATCATCTCGACTGTACCATTCACTCGACGCAATCGATTCATTCTGACAGCTTCTCTAGCTCTCGGTTACGGTGCAACCTTGGTCCCTTCATGGTTTCACTACGTTTTCACCTATGAAGGCGACAACAGAGGCTTGTTGGGTCTGATGCAAGCCATTGAGCTTGTGTGCGAGTCTGGCTTCGCTGTCACAGCGTTCGTCTCACTCCTCCTCAACCTTGCCTTGCCAGAGGAGGTCGATGATGAGGTAGTGGATATCACTGCTGATAACACGGATGCTCTGAAGGATGAGCAGGAATGGGAGCAAATCAGACGCCCATCACAAATGAGAAAGTCGGCGGGAAGCTCTAGTTTGGATGGCAAGGATATCACCGAGGCGAAAGTGTAGATAGTTAGATTGGGATGTGCTGATATATCAGCCTTGGCACAGTGGAAAGTCTAAGCCTCAACGGAAATACAATGATTCATCTATCTATATCAGAATATCCTTATGGTGGTGACGGGATTTGTTGGTCATTCCTGGTAATCATCCGGCTTCTTATTCCTTGACGTGATTCACAGAGTACCGCATGATGTATTCTTGCACTGGCAGTGTTTTGAAAGCAAAAGCCATCATCTCATATAGAGAATTCAGATCAAGCCAAGCGTGACCCCCACACTCAGGTCACATGATGTCCGCGCCAGGCACGATTCCGGGCATTCGGACTGTCTCTTGGACACCGGGACAAGCCGCCGATCGTTCCCTTGCATGCCCTGGAGGCTACTTCTACTCGTGCATTTGAGCCTAATACGCCCCGGAATCCACGCCAGCTTCGAGCTGATCCATCGATGATCAACTGACTCGATGCTAGCACTCGAGTGGTAGCTTTCTTCTTGCGAACCTCAAAGGATCGTGCTTTCTTGTCTTGTACTGATCATCTCTCGCATATGTAACTTGCTCATCCTCGTTCTGTCGCAGTCCGACGTCAACAGGCCCTCACACCCATTCATATAGAATGCATCTTCTGCCTCGGCCTCTCCAGCTGCCTGTCCCTTCCCCTCAACATTCTTTACTGATTCCTGCCAACGTACTGGAGACAATGCTTGATTGACCGTTTGACTGCGACCTCTTGTGAGATATTCCAAGACTCGAATTTGAAAAGTGAATGCAACAGACCAAGACTTTTGTCACCTAGTCGGCCGTCTTGACCTCTCACGAAAGCTCTAGCCTGGGAAGGTCACACCCGAGACTGCAAGAGCTGGAAAACTACCCGAAAAGCACAAATACCCGGCTGGAGGAACGACTTGCTCAGGAAGTGGGTAGAAAAGCTACAGAAACTTTACTGGTGCACTGTATTGTGGACCTACAAGTGCATGACCGCTATTGGATGTGGTCATGGTCTTTGGCTGGTGCTTTGGCGGCAGTAACATGGAAGAGCCACAGTCAGAGTACGATGAGCTTCCATACGGCCTAAAATGGCGGATGCACTTTGGAAAGCTGGAGCAAGATCCACATACGGGCAACGACATTATGCGACTGAGCAACAATAGACTAGTGCAGACACATTGCGAAAGTACAGAATACCAGGCTCTCAGGCTCGTGGACAAACACACCTCTATACCGGCATATCGAGTCATCGCAGTCTACAACAGACCCGAAGGAAAAGTGGTGGAATATGAGGGAATACCTGGCACTTCTCTGGACACATGTTGGAAAGATCTATCTATAGACAAGAAGCGGCGCATTATTTCAGATCTAGGACGCTTTACTGACCAGCTCAGAAAGATTACAGCCCCGAAACACTTTGTCATAGGAGATTCGACCATGGGCGCTGCCAGAGACACCCGCTTCGGCCCAGGCATGGTCGGTCCATTCTACACCCTGGACGCCTTCCATGACTTCCTTCGCCGCGGCCACAGGCCCCAAGAATTTCGCGGTGACTACGTCGAAAAAGTTCACGAACATCGACCCAAATCCGACAAACCCTACGAGCTCAAATTTTCACATGCAAACCTCAGTCCACGCAACATCCTTATCGACGATTCAGGCCGGGTATGCGCCTTGATAGGATGGGAGTCTGCTGGCTGGTATCCAGAATACTGGGAATACGTTCAGATGTGTCAGAACATCGACCCCAACAGCTTGGCTTCAGAAGAGTGGCTGAGCATGATGAAAGGAGTCATGACCAAGTATGATGAAGAACTCGAATGCGATCGTGCTTTGCGCACACGTTTCAGATCAGAAGACTATGCCAGGCCAAGAAGTGTCCGACCAATGAGTCCCAGTCCGAGCGTCCTTGCCGATGAACAACGGGAAACCGACGATAAGAACACGGAGAACACAAGTGGTTGAGTTTCACAGTTGCTCAATCTTTCGAGTCTCATGGAATAAGCGAATGACGCATTCGAGTCACGATAGAACACCCACCTGAAAAGAACAGCACCCTGCCGGCACGAAACAAGGCCGAAACTTGCGCCAAGATACTCCGCCGTCCTCGCACAGCGCATAGTCAGGAGCCCCCACGACGGGTGCCAAGAGGAATCTGCTGAAGATCAACGATAACGGAATGCTTGGCACAATTGATCTTCACAGACTACGACTTAGCGGTCGATCATTATACAGTTCGACCTATTTCGAGATTCGTGGTGAGGCATTCGATGACCTGCAAAACCCCAGCTGCATGTCTTCTCAACCTGTTAAATGGCAGATTGCCTGAGAGCAAATCGCCGCAACGTCCTGATCAAGCATCTAGCGACACTGTCGATACGCTGAAGGGATTTCAACGAACATGCGATGAAGCTTGTTGTTGTCTTGACCCATTTCTGCAATACGTACACTTTCTCCGTTTTCAATTCTTGCATAGCGCTGGCGTTCAAGGACTTTGGAAACCATTTTGTATCTTTGCCAACCGTGTTGGAGCAAACACGATACCAACGTTGTCCGAAACATGTAACAATTCGTGCAAATGCGTAACATCTCGCGTCGAGGGGAGAGATGGCGGGCTTAATTGACAGGCAAGTCTCAATTTCATACAAGCATTATAGAACTTCAAGAACTACCTACTTGTCTGATGAGATCCAAAGCAGATATTGACTGCTCATTTAACCAGTTATTATGCATGCTGAGACCCCTCTTCATGCTAATCCTCATAACTCACGATGCGTCTGAATAGACACCAACTCAGTTTGGAAGATTGTGCTAATTAGGACATCCTGAAGCTACGGTGAACCGGCAAGGCATACACGGAAGCTTGGTGCATACCAGAGTAGACAACTACGGAGCACCGTAGGAGTCACATCTTTCACATAGCACTTTCCTTACAAACACAAGATGATTGTCTCAATATATCTGCGACTTCAAGGAGATTATGCTCTTACTCCTATATCTTCCTCTTTCGCTGTCTCTACGAAGTTGGACTAATGGACTCAGTGATCTGACGGCCGGAAGCAGTGCGAAGAGCTTCTCGAGATATTCAGCCGTTGCAATCGCTCCAACGAAACCGTGCCCTAGATGTTACATGTTTAGTCTACTGTTATGCACTCAATCATCCATCCCCTTACAGTGTTGAGCTAGCCTATGAAAGTTTATAGTGCAACATTGTGACCACTACCATGGTTGGTACATCTGCTAGAATCGCGGTCTTTCTTGCCTTTACTCGATCAATGACCAGCCCGACACTCCGACCACCAGTCGAATTCTTACATAGGCACTTATAGAGGCGAGGCGCATGGCTCTCTAGTCATTCTGTAGAATCAGAGCTGCGAGCCGTATTTCACAGTATGGGAGATAAGTGACTCTTGAGACCGAGGCATGATGAATTGGGAAAATGATTACACTTTCGCTTGTGGAAGGACGTAAGCGAGACTACTCCAGGCGAGGTCATGCAGGATTCCACTGATTACTCCACCTTCGCTTTCCTCTACAGAATTTCCTCTTCATTCCAAAGACTATCAGTGACTTTGAGTCAGGATAGCCTTCTTCGATGCCACAGCAGCTTTTCTAATAGTGCCTGGCGTCTTTATGCTGGCAAGCCACATCCGTGGTTTCGGTCAAATTACTGCTCCAAGTCCCAACTCGGAGCCTAGACTCTCCCATTTCCTTGGTTCCCCGTCGAAGTGCCTGTCTGTTGACTTCGTGTTCGGCAGCTGAAGTACGTGTGAGAAGATGACTGGGCCAAAGCACTGCTGTAGCATGACTAGAACTTTTAGCATACGACTTCATCGAAGAGTGAGTCGTCTTCTTCGACACTGTATGGTAACGAGTGCATCATACTCAACCAGTAGCCAAAATGAACAATTTATCGACCCTGGCTGAAACAATTAGTTCCTCTGTAGCATCTATAACCGCATTCCTGGACCAGGAGCATGGCAGCTCTGGCTCAAACTCGACGCCTCATCAAAGGGTTGGGCCCACCGATATAGCTACACATGCGCCAGATGCTATCAAGAAAGCGAGAAGAGCATTGCTCGAAGCCGCCGTGGCCATACAATACCTAGTAATGGCTCCGACAGAGTACCATCAACAGATGTCAATTCAGGCATGCGGCCCACCTTTATGAGAGGGACTCTTTGCTAAAGTACCGACAGAATCAGCACATCGCGTGTGCTCGCTGGTTGTGCCATTTCAACATACCGTCGCTCATACCTGATGATGGTGGCATTGGCTACCGTGATATCGCTGAAAAGGCCCACGTACCTGAGTATCAGTTGCGTAAAGTCTGCCGCATGGCAATGACGAGTGGCCTGTTTCGAGAGCTCGATAATCACACTCTTGAGCATACAGCCATTTCCAAGGATCTTCGTCAAGGGTCGCCGTTCCTGCACGCGATGACTTTCCTGACAGAGACAGCTTCGATTACTGCCAACAAGATGGTCGATATGACCAAGCAGTACGGTTCGTCCTCCGCCCAGAATCACACGGCCTTCAATATCGCTTTCGATACTGACCTACCTTTCTATGCTTACTCCAGTAAAGACCCAAAACTCAGTACTCAGCTGGCAGGTTCGATGAAGTTCTTCGGGGTTGGTGGAGAACTCCATCTCAAGCATCTTGTCAATGGCTATGATTGGGAGAGCTTGGGTGATGCAAAAGTCGTCGATGTGAGTTTCCAATGTTACATCTGCGTATGCGGCAATATTGACTGCAACTTCAGGTCGGTGGTTCACAAGGTCATGCCAGCATCGCCTTGGCATCCACGTTTCCAAACCTATCCTTCATTGTTCAAGACCTACCAGAAGTCATTGATCGAGCCAAGAAATCCCGAACGACGAGCCCACCGGACCCAGCCGTTGCTTCCCGTGTCTCATTCGAAGTGCACAACTTCTTTCAACCACAACCACCATCGTCTCATAGCGCAGATGTCTTCCTTGCACGGCTTGTCCTCAATAACTGGCATGACAATGAAGCTGCGTCCATTCTATGCAACCTCGTGTCGGTCATGAAACCTAGTGCTAGAATCGTAATCATGTCTGCAGTGCTTCCAGATCCAGGCGCAGTAAACCTGCGCGAGGAAGCAATCGAGAGGACTAGGGATATGTTCATGATGCAAGCCATGAACGGAACAGAGCGAGGACTTTTGGAGTGGAAGGATCTTTTCAAGCAAACAGATCAGAGGCTAATCCTGAAGAGGATGACAAAACCTGAGGGAAGCAATTTGAGCGTGCTTGAGGTTGTCCTGGGGGAGGAGACCTGACATGTCAAAGTCAGGGCGTCGAATGCCGTTCTAGGCTTCAGCTTGAAACATGAAGCACTCAGACCCTACAATCTCCCGATATTCGAGCTCCCATTTCGCTCAAGCAATTCGGTATAGAGTTGCTGATGGAAAATGAGTTCCGGATATGTCATGTTAGCAAGTGCTTGTGCACCGATCCGCAAGTTATGCCTTCACAGTCTCGAAGCTCTGCTGGGTAAGCTATCCAGGCCACGTAAAGCGTATTTTGCCTCGAGCATGGACTCTAGTAACGACTCCCTCATCTGATGTAGTCAATCATATTTTGTAGTCACACCCAGCTTGTTCCCCGGCTTGTCGGCGATTTGTCTCGACATCTACGTCTCACGACTGATGAATACACGTTTACGAGAGGAAATATCGATGACGTTTTCACACCCCGACCCCGGAGGGGAAATAGTGCTAATGAATACTGGCCCTTATTCCGCCAGGAGAAGCGATCAGTACCGGCAGAAATTAGTCAATATTCTCACACTTTGGCGAAGTATCATTTTCTGTGAAAGGAAGAACTCTGACAGCATTGTGAATACTGTTGCGAGAACAGGAGGAGAAGGTAGCAAGATCTTGGCAATCAGCGTTTGGAGTTTTAGTAGATGCTGTTTCGATTGAGCAGCACAATCACTATTCCTGTTTTCACGAAACATCAAGTACTTGGAGCATCTCGGCATTCAGCCAGCATACGATCTATCCAAAGACGAGCAATCACACATCCAATCCAGAAAGCTAGATTTCAGCACACAATGTCTTCAAAGCCGTCATTCACTAATGAATATGCCCTCGGTGAAGCTACGCGCCCACACGATAAGCCTCGTGTCCTTGTCACAGGCGGTTCAGGCAAGCTCGGCCGTGCAACCGTAGCGCACCTCTCAGAGACCTACGAGGTCATCTCTGTGGATACTCGTCGCCCACCAGGTATTAGTGAGGATGGCAAGTCCGGTCTCGGTGGTGCATATCGACTCGTCGAGATCGATCTCGAGGATATGGGAGCTGTTCTAGAGGCCTTCCACAGCTGTGACATGGGTTACAGAGGCTTGGATGCGGTCGTGCATCTTGCTGCGATCCCGAGTCCAGGGCAGACAAACTCAAGTCGACAGTTTCGAGTCAACACTATGAGCACGTATAATGTGCTTGAGGCGTGTCGAAAGCTAGGGATCAAGAACATCGTGCTGGCGAGCAGTGAGACGTTGATTGGAATTCCGTATGATCCGCACATGCCGGATTATCTGCCGATTGATGAGAGTATTCCAAGACATCCTGAAAGTGCGTATAGTTTGAGCAAATTGGTGGGTGAAGTGGTTGCAGAAGAGTACTGTAGATGGGATCCGAGTACGAAGATTGTGAGCTTGAGATTCAGTAACGTTATGCTGCCGGCTGAGTATGGTAACTTCGAGAGCTGGCAGGATGATCCTAAGGCGAGATATTGGAATTGCTGGGGCTATATTGGTAAGTCGTGTATCATATACTCGATTCCTCGGATGCTGACTTGTTGACAGATGCGCGTGATGGCGCTCAATCAGTTGGGTTGGCTTTGAAAAAGGACTATACTGGCCATCATCAGTATCTCATAGCTGCTGCTGACACGTGTATGCGCACTTCGAACGACGAGCTCGTCAAGCAATGCTTTCCAGGTGTGAAGTATACTGCGACGAAGGGACAAAACGACACGTTGCTGTCCATTGACAAGGCGCGTAAAGAGCTTGGTTTCGACCCCAAGCATACCTGGCAGCAAGAAGCGAAGAAGCTGGGGGTGTGATTCGTGGAATTATGTACTTACCCCCATTGCATCATGGACAACGAAAAGAAACCACACATTTGCCCTTGTCATAAACGATGCAACTCGAGGATTGTACACACTGAAGATAGATAACTGTTCGTAGCTGACTCTATACGACCTGCGCGAGAGTTTAGTCTCATGCTTAGTCAACGTCTTACATAAAAGTGGCAAGAAGGGACACTATCTCCTTGTCACTTTGACTCTCAAATCTCCACTTGCCACCATAACAGCACTCCCTGGCAACGTATCTCTCAACCCGGGAAATTTCGTGGTGTTTTTTCCTTTCTCGTCCACATATCCCAGTACCTCGAAGTTGAAAGTCAACAACATGATAGCTACACTTCCGAGAATTTCTTGCTTGGCAAAAACCCGACCTGGACAGATGGTCTTACCACCTCCAAACGGAAAGTACATGCCGGCGTAGGGAGAGGTGCTGAATACTGGCTTTTCGGACGAAGGTGACGTGGTAAGAAAGCGGTAAGCATAGAATTCGTCTGGTGGTGGTTGAGAGGGGCTTTGCCAGGTCTCAGGGTTGGTGTGACTGGGCCAGCTAGGTACCATAATCATTGAGCCAGCCTTGAGAAAGAGAGAGCGAGGTGAGTATTTCTCTATCTCTTGTTTCGAGTCAGCTGCAGACGAGTGGCTGAGAGGAAGGGTCATGTCACGTTCGACTTTGCGACTGACTAGAGTATCCACGTAGATGCGAAGGACTTCATGAAGAGTGCTGAGAAGGATAGGCTGGTTGGTAAGGATAGGGATATTGAGGCTGCCGTCTGCGTTCTGCGATTGGCGTACCTCGGACATAATGTGCTCGTACAAGGTGAGCTCGTCTTTCGCTTTCTTTTCTGGACGCATTGAATCAAGAATATGCATGAGCATCCAACCGGCTGCTGGGATGGCGTTGCTGCTGATGCCAAATAGCATGCCGAGATCCAAAGCAGCTCGTGCACGAACAGGTAGATTTTTCTTGCGATAAAAGATTTGGCGGGCACGGTTGATACGCGATCCATAGAGTGGTTCCCATGCTTGAGCCTCCGGATCAACGACTTCCTTGTTAATACTAGCGACTGCTTCGTGCCATCCCACAAGAGCCTCTACAGACCTGTTCCTGTTGGCGACTTGCTTCGAGACCATAAAATTGGGCAAGCCGAAGAACAAGCTCATCATATCCTGATCAAACTGAAAGAACAGTTCTTCCAGATTGGGAATGACCTCCAGAATCTTTTGACCCATGAGAGCCTTAGTCGATGCCTGGAACATGACAGCTCGCAGCCACTGAAACAAATTGACCTCGTTGCAGCCTTCCTGAAACATAGCAGAGACCTGCTGGCTGAGAGAGTCTATAAACTCTGCAGTCATCTCATTGACACGATCTGTCTTGAGCAGATACTCAACATTCGTCTTATCCTGCTCGACGTGAGCAGGGACCTCGCCAGGTTGCGGAAGAGTATGATGCTCGTAGACCATTTCCGACTCAGCTCTTGTAAGACCCAGCCCATTAGAGGTGACCTGTACATTGAGTTCATCTCTTCCCAGCTTCCTGTCCTTCAATATATACTCAACTGCTGGCGCATTGAATATGACAGCTGTCTGATTCCCACCCAATGTCATGCGAAACGTGCCTGCAGATCTGGGGTACCAGGAAAAGACCTCTGTCCAGAATTTATGCGGTTTCGTGGAGAGAAAGGAGAGAGCGTTTCCAACCCATGGTATAGCAATGGGAAGGTGAGGTGGGCGCAACTTGTTGCCATCGGTGGCATTCGTGAAGTGGGAAGAATCGCCGTGGAAACGGACGGTAGTGTAGATGTAGGTACCTGCGAAAAGTGAGAGTATTGCCAGGAGGCCTAGGAACAGCACATTCACTACCACAAAAGTGGTTGAAGAGTCAGGCAAAGCAGTCATTTCTTCGACAGAGGAGAAAAGAAAACCAAGAAGAAGAGAAGGAGGCAAACAGAAGCTCGCAGCACAGTTGACGAGCTCGCTTCACAAGTCTTCCCTGACTATATACTAGTAATTTCCTGATCTATTAGTTCGGCCACGGGTCGTTACAGATCACAACTACCTGGGGTCGAGCATGGGCAACTTGGTTGGAAGGCAGGCTTCGTGCAGGCTTGTCAATCCAGACTGGGGGCCTAATGTTTTATAATGTCTTGTTGTGAAGAATCATCCTTGCCAAAATCGCGGCTTCGCAGGCCAACTGGCGCTGGCTTGGCGCCAAGAGATAACGACAAGGTCAGTACCATTGACCAGAATGAGCGACTGAACGAGTGATCGTCAGCACCACCCCTCTTGGCTTGCCCGACATGCGAGACAGTGAGGCTTAACGCTGAGGTATGGCAACCACAATACAAAGGATTTTTGGGATTTGTTTCTGCTCTTTAACGACCAGGCGTCATTGGCGATGACTGCTGGCGTTCTTGTTTAATCTGTCAGAACTCAACTATACACGACGTCTAAGTATCGGACTATTCTTAGCTGACAAGTACGACGATACGGTACCAAAGAGGAAAACCGTCAACAAATGACTAGTTACTGATTCGTGGTCATGCGCCTACAAAAAACTTCGCTGACTCAACACCGATTCCTTCCATAAAGCGGACACTTACTTGCTATCGCGAGTCCAGTAGTCGGCAATATACCCATCCATCATCTCCGTGTACTCAGACCCTGCTCCAGCCCAGCCTTTGATACCACCTTTCAAAATCACGCTCCTGATTCCATTGACCTTGTTATCCTCAAGCAGATCTCTGAACCAATTCGCTGCCCTTGTACCACGTCCTTGTGAGGAACCACAATACCAGATCACTAACGGAATCTTTGCGCCTTGACATATATTCAGCACGGTTGGAAGGCTGGAAAAGAGACTTTGCGCCGGAAGGTTAAGCGAGCCACGTACTGAACCTCCTTCGTGGTCGTTGCGGCGTAGGTCAACGACGAGGTAGTCGACGCCAGGCTTCTTTCCATTGTGCATGAGAGCGAGGAGGTCTTCAGCGTTTATTGAGTCTGGTGGGCTAGGACGTGGTTGAGGATAGGCCTCGTGCCATTCCGGTTTTGAGGCTGAGCTCATTTGATATTGCGATGTTGTGTTCGTTGTGTGAATTCAAGATGGTCAAGGTGAGTAGGCAACACACGGGGTATACGTGCTGATCAACGATTTAGGTTGGGATATCACCGCTGAGCTGGGAGCGACTTTAGACTTCATCTCGCCTTCTCCGAGAAAGTCTTGGCTTTGTCATGCCTCCAACGTGATTGGCTGTTCGTGTTTTCTCAGGGTTAGGAAAGCTTCCTCAGTGATGGCGAGCCAGCCAGCAACGAGCACTATATTGTGCTTCGAGCGATATATTAAGCCCTTCTGTTCGTCCCTATCCTCCGTGTCACTCATACGCAACACGAATATTCGTCCTAGATCCAGGCACAGTATCTTAGCTTTCATTTCAACCTGGATTCAATGTCTAACAACTCGAGTATGGACTACAAGCAGCATGTAATCACAGCTCCAGGAGGCCCGATCTATCATGATCTGGAGAAACACGATATTGGAGAGTCCAAGAGCAACGCGAAGCAATCAGTATATCGTGGCCTTGGTTGGCTTGACAGATTACTGGTTCTCTGGATTCTGCTGGCTATCATAATCGGCATTCTTCTAGGAAATTTCGTCGACGAAATCGGACCAGCTCTGCAGAGGGGCAAATTTGTGAATGTCTCCATTCCTATTGGTAAGTCGTGACTTATGCCCTGAGCAGTCGCAAATTCAACTACTGACTTGCGCAGCTGTGGGTCTCCTTGTCATGATGTATCCCATCTTGTGCAAGGTGAAATACGAAACCCTACACTTAGCCTTTCAACATAGAGAAATATGGATCCAGCTTGGTTTCAGCGTATTTATGAATTGGGTCGTCGCTCCGCTCTTGATGGTAAGTTTAACACAAGCCTGGGTCGATGGACAGAGACTAATTGATTACGCAGCTCGGTCTGGCATGGGCTTTCCTGCCAGATAAACAAGGGTTGCGCAACGGCCTGATTTTCGTCGGTTTGGCTCGCTGCATTGCGATGGTCTTGATATGGACGGGCCTTGCTGGCGGCGATGAACAATACTGCGCCATTCTAGTGGCTGTCAACTCAATCCTGCAGATGGTTCTGTACGCTCCGCTGGCAATCCTGTACGTCAACGTCATCAGCAGAGGCGGAGCCACACCAGTCTCGTACACGACAGTAGCTACGAGCGTAGGTGTCTTTCTCGGCATCCCTCTCGGCGTAGCAATCTTGACGAGATTCGTCCTCCGTGCAATCAATGCCAGATGGTACGAAGAGACGTTCCTCAAGTGGCTGGCTCCATGGTCGCTAATTGGACTTCTTTACACTATACTTGTTCTGTTTGCATCTCAAGGTCGTCAAGTCGTTCACCAGATTGTATCGGTTGTTCGAGTTGGTGCACCACTTCTCGTTTACTTCGCCATCATTTTCTTCTTCACGTTGCTGGTGACGAAGAGGCTCGGGTTTGGGTACAAGCTTTCGGCCACACAAAGCTTCACTGCTGCAAGCAACAACTTTGAGCTTGCCATCGCGGTAGCAGTGGCAACTTTTGGCGCAAACAGCGACGAGGCATTAGCGACAACTGTTGGCCCGTTGATTGAAGTTCCCGTTCTAGTTGCGTTAGTGTACCTAGTAAAGTGGCTAGCACCCAGGTGGGGATGGAAGGACTAAACAGGATAGATAGAAGAATAGAGTACATGCGATTCGAGCTGTTTCGCTAGTGCCTAAGTTTCACTCATGATCTCTAGCAGGCGCACGTTGTCAATGTTGCATGACCTCGTCGATGTGCAACCAAGCTCGACCCGCAACTCGTCGTTCTCGTTGTAGGATCGTAGGCCGGACAATATCTCTGCAGCTTTTTCGCAAGACATAGAGACTGTATGGTCTATCCCGCGATTGACAGAGGAAGTTTGTACGCCAGGAACAGACGCAGAGTTATCTTGGATGGTCGTGGTCTGGTCGGAAGTGTCTGTCTCGGACTGCTTCGCGCAATGAGACGCAACTTCGCCACAGTAGTATGGACTAGGCATTCGTCCATTGATTTCAGATCCAACCTGACGATCTGAGCCACATATGGTTACCTGCGGTGTTTTTGATATAGGATATACACGTGCAAGAATTTCGATATCTTGAAAATGATCCGGCGATTTTGACTCCCAGGTCGTGGTCGGAACCGTTGCAGAAGATTTGTGATTTACAACGACACGTTGGCGCCTTCTTTGAATCAACGTAGCAATAGACTCATCACTAAATCCCAGTTCCTCTTTGAGGTAGTCACGGAGAATAGTGTTTTCGTTTACTACGACTCGGGCAGCATTTTGTACCTCACGCGTAGCTTCGATTCGTGCCTGCTGACATTGGCGAACTCTCTCCTCTAGTTCCTGAACACGTTCTTGACGTCTACGCCGAAAATTTCTCTGATTCAATCGATTTCGTTCTGTTTGCTCGTGTATCTTATCGCCACTCTTCTTGGCAGTGAGAGTATCTTGACCAGCAGTCATCGATGTAATAGGTGACAAACTGAGTTGACACATAACTCAAAACGAGGTGTATTATATGAGGACAGCCAAGGAAAAAGTGCATGATGTGTCTCTACAGAGGACTGCAATGGAAGATGTCTACCACTCTATGCCTTCCTGTACATCGTCTTCGCTAGGTTGCCAAGCTCCGGTTGTGCAGATATGCAGGCAATAAGCACGAATCATGTGATCTGATGTAGTTCCTAGCGGGAAGGTGCAGAGCTCCCCACTTGCGCCTGCCGCAGCTATTGCTTATGTGACGCAAATGTTGGCAGACAAGGTTTTTGCATGATCACAGGACAGCTGCTTGTGATAGTCTGTTGTTAGAAGACCTCAACAATTGCACGGTAATCGTTGAAATTCCGCATTCCAGTCTATCAGAACAGGATCACGCCTGTTTTATTGTACCTGGTACTTCCACGTTCACTCCGAAGCGCCACGTCAATCAGCAAACCACAAAGATGCCTGCACAAGATTGTACGCATACACTGACCACATCCTGCCTATAACTAACTCGAGGCATAGACAATCCTTTCGCGAAACGCGAGCAGTTCGGAAGAACGAATCTCATCGTCTATAAGGTCTTGACCATCGTCAGTTGGCTGTTCGTTGTGATTACTGGAGCTTACTACACCTTCAACAAGCCTCACGAGCATCGCCATCACCACATCAACCACACGATTTGGGGTCAGAACGATCATCGACGTACTTCCTTCAGTCTCAACTCAGTGGTAATCAGCATCTACTGGGTTGTGACTCTCGTCCTACAAGCTCACTATGTTCGATATCTTTGGGATGCCGACGAGAGTTACAAAACCAGTGCCGCCAATGTCGGCAGCCACTTCATCCTCGTAAGTAGCAGGAAAAGGTCAATCTGAAAAGAGGCGCTGACAAGCCTATAGCACAATACGCTGACCTTTGGCTTCATTATGCTCTGGGTCCGCGGCCACTTCTGGCTAGGTGAGATTCTGCTCGCTATCAACCTCTTCAACCTCGTTCTCCTCTACTTCAGGCATTCGTCCTACCCACGATTGATCCATATTCCTATCGTCTCGGCTCCGCTTGCTTGGACATACGTGGCTATGCTATGGGATGGCGCAGCCGCAGTCAATGCGCACAACCTGCCGGCCCGAGTCGCAGGCAATATTATTATTTGGGGTCTCCTAGCGATTGGTGGCTTCTATCTGCTCGTTTTCAAGGATTACAGCATGGGCTTTGAACTTGCTATCCTTTCTCTCGGTAAGTCCGCTGAACGCCGTGTACGGGCGCTTGCTAATTCATTGTAGCCATTGCTCTGGGACAACTCGGTACCAAAGCTCTTGCCATTCAATGGGTCTTCGCATTTGTCATCATGGGCCTGCTGTTGATCGGATCGGTTGTAATTGCTGTGCCAAGTGTGATCGGACAGAGGAAAGAGGATTTGCCACAAGTTGTCGACGAGGATCGCGAAAGAGCTCCTCTGCTGGATGACCACTAAACACACTCGTCAGGCACTTACTTTGCTGCCAAATGCTCGGTTGGAGCAAGGACCACCACTCCTCGGGATGTGTCACGGTTGATGATAACAGATCAAAAGCGTCCGCCGAAGTCCTTGCGTTCTCTTTTCGGACTGGCGTTCTAGGTTCACATGTATCACAGTACATTGTGCGTGTAATAGCATCTGCACTGATTTCGAAGCAATTCATCTTCGGTCACTGAGTGGTTCTCTCTCAAAGTCATGGAAATCGTGTGTTTCAGCAATGCGACGATTCTCAAGAATGGGCTACTGTCGTTTGATATCAAGCACCAGAGCATCATATGTTTATCGTTGCTACTTATTTGTTGACAGCATTCAGCTCTGGCTGTAGTTTGCACAAGAGAATGGACGCCTGTTGAGTGCTTATCATTCTTTCTCTTAGCCGTCAAGCACTATAGCTAATCTCGCATGCACAACCTCAGGCACAGGTTGCGAAATCCGGTACGCCATCTGCGAGAGACACACCGCTACCGGTTGTCTCTTCGATTCCAGCTAATATTCATGCTGACCATGTTAGATTCCCAGGTTCTTTCCATCTCGGGACGTCCCATGATACTATGGAGAATCGCGTGTCTCGACTATTCAGTGCATGGAGCTGCTGGACACTAACATTTCCTGCTCTATCTATATATGTTCAGCATCCCACCTGTTCCTGGCCTTGTAGATACGATGCGACTGCAGATACGCTGGACATCAGTCGCAAAAGTGTCGGCTCATGCTGGCCAGGACACGGCTGTGTATGTCAGCAGCCAGAACTAAGGTACTTTCATACTTGAATTCCAACACGTCAGCAGCATGTACTGCCGATACACGGTGCAACTTGAAGGGGCATTATAAGTTGTAAGAGCAGATCTTTAAGGTAAGGTCTTACTCCCACTCGACGTCTTGAGGCTCATATTCAACGTCCAATAAGTGCTGAGCTACCGGAGATCTATCCGGGCCATGATGTTGATCACCTTGAGAGTTGATAGCAGAGGTGGCGGTTGATCCTTAGCACCTAGCACTGTAGCAGTACAAATTATTACCACCAGACGAAAAGTGCATCCATTGAAAATAGCTAGCTAACTGGCAAGCATGCAGAAACCTGAGTTGTATTGCATGGTTTTTCTGGGTTAGCTAAAAGCCCTCGACTGCTGTGAGATTCTTGGTTTCTCAAAATACCACAAACACAAAGGGTCGTCCTAAATACTCACACGTGCAGCTTTGAACATGGTATTCCTTTCGCGGAATTCTCGAAGTAGTAGAGACATGTCGTTCGATGTTCTGTATGCTGTAAGTTTGTGTTGAACTTGTTAAAGAAGGAGCGAGGTCAAACCTCAACAGCGTCACTTGCCGACCGCATTTTGTCCTCACGAGGTAGCCACGCAACATCAGACATTCTCTCACTTCCCAACGAAGTTCTCGATCAGATGGAGCTTGAGGTTCTCGTCGGTCATCATACCTGTCTACCGTACGAGGAATGTAGGATCGATTTTAGTCTCCGTGGCGTATGCTTCGATCTGCAGACGTTGCACAGACGTATGTTGTACCAGAAAATTCGCTGGACCCTTCTCACTATACCCAGGCAATGGACACCTCACCTACAGATATCTGATCTCCATAATGCGCGGTCCTGGTATTCGAAGCTGATCGACCCAATGACCACCGTGTGTACTGGTCGCTGCTTCACAGATATCATCGCGTTGATGTGGTGCCAATTGTTCGATATTATGTCCCTCTGTCCTGGCAGGCGATGAAGCCGATCTGGAGAGTGAGCGTGTCAGATTCTGGCTTAGACTGTTCGAATGGCATGACCCTTTCTGAGACTGATTTGGTGAGAGTGAAGAATGTCTTGAACTGCTGGCAAGTTCAGAAGCAGTCTGTCCAGAGTCTCGAGTTGACGACAATGAGTCCTGCAGGCTACGTTGGCGTGCTCGTGGTCTATGGAGCTCTCGCAAAGTGCAAAACCGCGGGTCTTGGTAAGCATCGCTTCTTTTACGTTGGCACGGAGCAGTTACGGGTAGTGAGCAAGAGCGTGTGCTCACCTTGGTGCGATTTGTCTAGGGTCCAGAGGTACACCATTGGAAGCCGCCAGCTGGTAGGATACATATACAAAAATTGCTAGTCTCTCCGGTTCACGAGTTTCAAACTGTCTCGAACACTCTTATTGGACTACTTGCAAGGCCGAAATTTAGATACTGAGAAGACGCCCATTCGTCTCCTGCATACGGGTACTTTGTGACTCGTCAAGCATCACGATTGCGAGACGAATTCTTTGGTAGCATTATCGTCTGCCTGATGCTCACCGCCACGTATTGTACTAACCATGGCCGGTTGTTAGCACTCTCTTTGTCTGCATTGCGTCGGGAGACTGCATGAAGTTGCATGTCGCAATTCTCTTGCCACGCCAGCGAAGTCCGAGGTAGCAAGCAAATCAGCCAAGCAGACACATTAAGCAAGTAGACTCATACATGGAGTTCAATATCCTTTCCTTTGAACTTTCTCCAAGTCATCTAGTAGACAGCTGCCCAAACTCATGTCTACCACATCCAACTCGAACAAACCAGCCCTGAAGACGTTGGACGAGTACTACGACTTCGCCATGAATGATTCTGCAAAGACGTGAGTCCCAACCACTAACTACTAATGTCGATATTGTGACTGACATACCCTTCTAGACGCAAAGGTCTTCTTTTCAAGCTCCCACATGGAACTCCAATGGGAGATCTTATATTCATCATCCACAGACGGACCTGAGACGAAGCCAAGGCGTGGGAGAAAGACAAGACCGCACCCTTAAAGCTTGAAGATTTGTCTAGCGACGCCAGGCTGATCATGAAGACTTTTCATGGTCCTGATGGCTGTATGGCTTCAGAAAGTGGCATTGCTCTGTCGGAAGCAGAACGTGGATGAGCGAATCAAGGAGATGCCCAAGGCGCAGATGAGTATCTTCATCAAGGCGGAGGGAAAGATGTATGCTATACCAAGAGTCGTGATGAACATGGTTGGGATGTGAGCTTGGGAACTAGATGATGGTCGAGGCAGAAGGTCGTGATCTTCGGTGAGCGTTGAATATCTGTGTGTCGCATTGAGGAAATCTTCGGCGCTGTAGAGGAACCGTGGTGACCGGTCACAGTCGTCCTCAACCTACCTTGTCACGTCCAGGTCGGCAGCGATGTCGGGGGCACCCCTGTAATCATGATGAAATATTCCGACACTTTTGCTGACCGAGACGTGCCTGTACATGAATTGTCTCGGCGCACTGACAATGAATGTCTTTGCGTCCAAGGATAGCAGGCTTTTTTTGTGCCGCCTTAGCGGATACACGCGTGCGTAAGCCTCAGAAACACACTTCGCGACTTGGGACTCTGGAAAGATGGTCCACTTCGCATTTTCTGTTCATCAGCATTCTACGTCATGTCAACACGAGTAAAAGTAAAACTCAAATCAGCAGATCCTGCTCGAAAGCCCGTCGTAGACCGAATCATTCTCATCTGGACACCACCACAATCAATCTGGTCCAGCAGGATACAGGTACGATGTATGGAAAGCGCGATGCGTAACACGGACAAGGCGCAGAAACTCGTGGCTGACGTCGACTACACGTACAAAGAGCGTGTGAAAACTTTCCGTTCATCTGCAGCTGCGCAGGATGCGGATGTTCTGAGAGAGTTCCGTAGCAGACAGCAAGAACTGTTTAAGACGTTTCGTGCGAGGTGTAGAGAGCAGCTGGCTGAGGATCCGGATTGGAAGAAATGGAACGAGCTTGTGCTGAGGGAGGTACGGATGCGAGCTAGACAGATGGCTCGGATGGAATTGGAGCTTGTAATTGATTGATCAATTGATTGAGTGAGTTGTGTGGTGGTTATCGTATGTGCATTTCTTGCTGCATTCGTTTGTAGGTGTTTCAATGTACATGCTGTCATACATCATCTTTCTGTCACCTTTCAACAAAAGCTGTCTGGAAGGCCTATGGACATTAATTTATACAGGAGCCACTCATCGCTCTAGAGAGGCCGCGAATTTCGTAGACGCAGAGACGATGACGACCCCTCACTGGAAGAATCGGACTCTTTGAGAACAAGGAGAGGTAGACATGAGATAGACGCTGGATGACATTTCCGCTGTCGCTTGGCTAACGCGTCTTAAGCTAGTGGCTAGGCTGGCTATACTAGCGCGACAGTCTCGTATCTTGGATCGCTGAACGTCAGAGAAAGTCGGTAGCGTACAAGACTTAATCAACAGCTTGACATTGGGACACCTCTGATTCAGGTTACTACGACGGCTTCATTTCCATTTGCCTCTCTGTACTGATTATGAGTCAGGAAAAGGAGGACGTCTGAAGTGGCTGCCTGATGTATCTCGAATTTCAGTGATGATTCATTACAGCTCATTATGTACTGCTGCTATAGCCCCTCATGCCGTCATGAACTAGTTTGGGAACAACTTTGTATCGCCCAAATCCTTCATGGCAGCAGCAAGTAGCTCATCCGTGTAGTCAGGATTGTTGTTGCGCGACCACGGAATAACACCACTGTTCTCTCGAAGCTCCTTGTCGAGGTGGTACAGCCCGTGACCGACCTGTTTGGAAATCCTGACGCATTGTTGCAGCAGATCTCCAAGGTCCTTGACATGTTTTGTTTCCTTCTTTAGGAATCGGGTTTCGAGGACGTCCTCAAGAGCATAATCCTCCTTAGAGTCTGCCATCTTGCAAAGACGTAGGAGATCTTCCAACAGCGCCTTCTCGTGATCTAGTGCTTCCTTTACTGGTCTGACTGGATCAACTGGATTGTCTGGGAATTCGGTGTTTGGCGCAGGAATGTCACTAGGGTTGGATCGACCTCCTCGCTGGATGAGGTAGCTCTCGAGCCACATGCCGTCGGCAAAGCATTCAGCAGCCGCACGCTTGAACAGCCTGGAAAACGATTAGGCTCTGAGTAGTCTGATTTGTTCATGTATACTCACTGAGCGAAGCCATGGAGGCCGACATTAGCACGACCACAATCCGCTCCCATCTTTCGGTAGAAGAACCAGGTCTTCCACTCGAGTGCGATATGTCCTCTGATCGACTATTCTGGGTTAGTTCTTGATGTTTGAAAGGATTTCACGTTTCACCTCATGAAGGTCATTGTCGGTGAAGGTACTTGTCTTCACATAGTCGTCGATATTGGCCTCAGTGTGCTCCCTAAGCGCCTGCTGTACCTGTTGGGTGTCTTTTCCTGATTGTTGGTCACCTGATGACATTTTTGCTGAGATGCTTGGATCGAGCTGAAGTTAGCAGGAGTTGTGCCGTGACGGGAGGCCAACAACGTTTATATACATCTAGGTACTTCTGTGCATTGTCGTGGTCATGAATTTGCTGCAAACGTCACTACATATGCGTCGACATGGAGCAAAGCCGTAAACTTGAATGTAGGACTTCGGACCACCCTGCTTTGGTTGTGTGGCTTGCACGTTGGGCCCTGACGGGTGTACAGCTTTCGATGCATCGAGGTATTGCCAAGCGTGAAATCTGGGGTAGTGGGGCCAGAAAGCTGATTGGCGGAAAGTCGGACATTGCATCCGATCCCTTCACGACAAAGTGAAATGTTGTCATGACAGGGTGAACGTGCTGTTTGTGAGCTCTCTGCCTCGACGATGCAGGTTCAACGGATAGATACCTGCAGGTACCTGAGCTCGATTCTTTCTCAGGTACATCCGCTGCGAATATGTGGCGCAGTTCAGTACAATCCAGACTGGGCCTGAAGCATCAGCCAAGCTGTACACCCCTCCCTGTGACCACGGTGAACGTCAGTCATGCTTGCTCACGCTCATAACAGGATTTGTTGTCGTTGGTGACTTCGTATTGTTTGGTGTACTGGTGATGTCACTGAGCCCTGCATAAGTCCTTTGACTGTCCAGACCTTTCTCGTTGTAACCCGCTCATGTACGTAGTCGATACTAGTGCAGTCGAGGCTTCATCGCTTTCAAGCTTCTGCGTCGTGAGAGATGGGCTCAATAGTATACAGTGACGAAGGAGTTGATCATCGAACTGTAGAACAATTGTCACCGAGGCTCGCCTGAACGCTGAATGTAATGATTAGTGCACCAGCAGAGTCGTTGATAGCTCCGTTGGGCACACGATCCTGTGAAGTTTGAGGTTCAGGCCTCCCATAGTAATCTGGACAAAATCACAGTAAGCAAAGCGATATGAGTCAGCGCCGGTTAATCAGTGAACTCGCTATCTGCGAATTTATCAGTGGGAGTTGACAGTCTCTTTACCGTGGAGAGTGTGCCTATAACATCTGGCAGCATTTATAGTATAGAAACCAGTTGTCTCTTGTCAATGGTCGACCACATCACAACGCGTAAATGGTCGAAGATTGTCAAAGTACTTTCGATGCGTTTCTTGTGGGGCGACCAGCTTCGGTGACTATCAGGGCAACCTACCGGTCTTGTCACATCACATCTGTCAATATCCCAGTGGAAAAACTTTTCCTCTGACCGTTGTCTAGTTCCGGACAGTAGAAGCAGAGCAAGCAGCAGAACTACGGTTTCTCGATCTCCGTAGAACTCTTGCCCGTGAAGAAGACTCCCCAATGTGAAGTCTAGTAATGATTGCGGTGGAAACGTGGCGGAGAGCTAAGCTTTTGTGGAAAGTGCAGAGCTGAAGATTCAGCACCGGGCAGGTTTCCCTCAAGTGGCCGGGTATTGTACTGTTCGTGTACACCTAATTACTACACTTGTTGGAGCCGGACAGCGGCAACTTGATACCTATGTACAGACAAATGAGTTTGTACAGGACTGTAGTACGGAGTTGAACAAATTCGACTTGCGTCTCCGGTTGCCCAACCTGAGCTGGGAGGTGGAAGGGTTATATATTGGGATACATCGGGCCAATTCGAGATTCCCGAGCATCTCGCAGCTTGTTGAATATAGGGATTGTGTTATCCTGAACAGGAACTGTTCTCCTCATAAACTCTGAATCCCGCGACCAAGCCTATCGTCGAAACGACCCGGGAAACTCGAAGCCAGTATCTCTTACACAAGTACCAGCAACGTCACTGAACACCTTGAAAACATGACGGTCTACGAAGTCTCGGACGCCTCCGAGTTCAAATACGACAACCTCGTCGTCGACCTCAACACCTTGGTTTTCATCCTGTTCTACGACTCAAACGGGGTCAGCAGTCAAGCAATCTTACAGTGGGTCGAAAATCTATCCAATTCCATGGATTGCGCCTCGGTACGATTCCATAAAAACGACGTTGTCGAGAGTGATGAACTTGCGGAGGAGTATCATATCAAGCATTTCCCAACATGCTTGTTCTTGAAGGGCGGGCAGGTAGTGGACAAGCTCCAGACGCCGAGGGACGAGGAAGTGGTAAAAGAGGCGGTTATGAAGAATCAGGCATAAGAGTGGGTGCGGTGTGACAATTAGAGAACGTGGATGATAAGGTCAACCGAAAAATTGTCAAACACGATGCAGAAACACTGTAACACATCTTGAACCAGACAGGACGATACGGGGACGAGAATTTGTGCCGTATGCATGACAGACGAGCGGACAAACATCCGAGCCTCGTACTCTATACAACTCCCGATGCTGCCGGCGTCCACCTCATCTCGTCGCGCCGGTCATCACTGACACGTGCGTATTCCAAGATAAGCCGATACACATAGACAAGCATATCCTCCTTGCGCAATACCGTATCCGCCCATTTCTGTCCTTCAGACGCAATCTCCTTCGCCACATCATCATGAGCGACAAGATATTCCAGGATAGCCCAGAGGTCGACAAAGGTATTGTCCATGGGGACGAAATGCCGCCATGGTACCAATCTGTCATCGTGCCACTCCTTGTAAATCGTTGCTTTGATGGGCAAGCTATTACTTCTCAAAAAGGCGAGAAAGCGGCCAGAGAAGGAGTTCCCGTCAATGTCGGGCAGGTATTTGGCTTTGAACATGCGGTAAAATGGCATTTCGACTCCTCTGCGGTACCATGCGCCAGTATAGCTGCAGGCGTAGTCGCGGGTGGCAGGAAAGCAGACGAGCCAAGTAAAAGCTGCATTGGATATGCTCCGCAGCCAATCTGGCAGAAGCCCTAAAGCAGATGATTGTAAAGGGTAGAGACTTTGATTTGGCAGTGGAAAGTTGCCTGGAAGGTTGTGTCTACCCCTTGGAGTCTTTTCCACGGCTTCTCTAGAGTCTGTTGCGTCGTGGCCGTTCTGGCTCGCCTCGATCGCCATCTGCACTTGCGTGCCATTCAGCATCGACAGCAACCTATGTCGTTGAAATCGTGTCCAGTTGTTGGCAGTATTGTGGCCTCCGGAAGCACTGCCTCTCCAGAGGACTTCGTCCCGCTTCTGCTCCCACGAGATGCGTCGTGTGGTTGAAAAGCGCTTGTCATCATTCCAGTAAACAGCACTGGGAAGAAGGATATCATTGTTTACTGCCAATTTTGATCCGCTGAAGATTGGTAGTACTTCGGTACTGATCGCTTGCGAAATCGGCTGAACAAACGTTCCATGCAGATTGCGCAGGTCTGCGTGAGTGCAAGGATCTGTTGCAACAGTCCAGTTGGAAACAAAGCCCCTGTAAGATGAGTCAGGCCAGCTTGTTGGAAATTGGGGTGGTGTTGACAAGTCTATGTCTTGGGCCAGGGATCTGCCAGACGTGCTTGGGTGACAACCTGTTTGTGCTTTGGGCCAGAAGGGGCCTTCGGCAAGCCAAGGATGGTTCGTGGACGTTACCTTGTCATCGCTCAGATTGCCAAAAGTGCGTACCCGTGGGGTTTCGAAGGGCGTATTTGATCTGTTTCTTTGACCGAGGAGTGCGTCCACGTGTTCCCAAGAAAGTAAGACTCGTGGTTCGTCCATTTCGTTAACCGGGATGTCGACATCTGGAAGATGTTTTTCAATGACTTTTAGCAAGTCAAAATAGGCGTTCACAAAAGGCCACTTTTTTGACGGCCTTGCCACCTGGCCATTCCTTATTCTCAACGTGTTCGGCAATGTGGCAGCGGCATGTCTAATGTCCACTGCCTTCAGTCCCCAGAACGGTTCAATGTCTCGATATATCTGGTCAAAGAATTCCTCAATGAGTAGACAATCTCTTTTCAGGGCAAATTCTGCCCAGTCATCAAAGTGTGGCGGCGGACGACGGCCTCTTCTCTCGTAGTATCTCGAGGCAGCCACGGAAACATCGTGTGACTGCTTTTTTAAAAGTGTTGCGAGTGTCGTTTTGGAAGTGGTAATGAGATTATCAATTGGGTGAGTAGCGTCTTTCGTGACGTGGTCGGCAGGGAAGATATCTTTAGGTGATCTCAAAGTCGAGAGGGGTTCAGGGTTGAAGAAGCTAATATATCTACTTAAAAATCTGCACAGTAACAAGACTCCTTCAGGACGTGGTATGGGGGAAGTACGTGTGACTCGATCCGACAGAAGGATTTCTCAGCCATCCAGAAACCATCCCAGCAAGCTACAGTGAAGTTTGTCCCAAAACCTCTGACTTCAAGGACCATAGTCGGGGATGGCTCCTTGCGCCGAGGCACAATCAAACAAGTCGGACGAGACATGGTCTGTGCTTGCTGAGTGGCTAAGGCCTAACCAAGGACAAAGGACTGGGAGGGTGCTGAGAAAAGAGGGTAGGGCTGTATATTGGACGATGGAGGAGCGTAAGACAAGATGTGACGGCAGCCTGATACCTGTAGATTATGTACTGTCTGAAGTCTTCGATTCGGATGCGTGAGAATCGAAGGTAACGTGACTGAGACGCGCTTGCACTGATCTGACCCGACAGGCATGCCCACAGCATGATAATGTGGCGCTTGTGTCCCCGAGACGGTGCGATACGGCCCATCATGAGCATCTTGTAGTAAGGGGCAATAGCATGACCGAGTGGTCCAGCCTGACAACCTCTCACTCATCACTGCACAGAGAGTGAAGGTGAGTTTATCAACAATATTGGTAGCACGGTAACCTACTGTACAGGAAGATGAACCGGCATTGGAGTGGTGCGGATATCGCCGAAGCGATAGAGCTGACATATGCATCCACTGACACCGACGGGTCAATTCCACCTGCGTCTGCGAATCAGAGGTAAAGTGACGAGCTCCAACAAGCAGAACTAAAAAAGGTTACCTAGCTGATTCTTGTTGCAGTCGAACGTCTTTACCATCACATCACGAGTCCCAACCACTCCTGAATCAGGGTGACATCAAAGATGCAGCACCGCAGAGGCGCCAGACTTCGAACCCTACACATCGAACAAGGCTGGCAGTTGCCATTGACAATTCTCTACGAATACTGGGTCTGCAGATAATCCCTTGGGCGCTCCAAAGTTTCCTTCATGCAAGCCAGCGAGAGCCCAGACGCGTGGCTATTGTTGCTGGTCGTCCAGCCGTCGTGCTCGCTTCTTTGCTGCATGTTGTGCCTATGGGAGCATGCGTGGTGCTCATTGCGTTGACAAGGAACGAGTACTACATTAGTGGAGAATTGGCTGGTGTTGTTGGTCAAGATGCTCTAAAATTTCTAGGACTGCAGCTTGCTGCTAAGCTGCATGAAATTACCATGGTCGCCTCGTTGGCTGAGATGATTGTCTCGAGCATCCGCCGCGAGATACACGCAGGAAGATCCATTCCGTTTGCCGCACTTGCCGCTGGCCTGCAGTTCAACAGCATTTCATACCTTTGGTCCAGAGATTTTATGGCTATTTGTCTCAACGGCTTTACCCAGAATTGGCGGGCTCTACCAATCGCCGTACTGATCATTATGTGTTCGGTGCTTGGCGTCATCGTGGCAGCTGCCAGTGCCACGGCCATGCAACCAGTTCTCAGTTACTGGCCTGCGGGAGGAACCGATGTCTGGTTGAATGGAAGTATTGAGTCTCTGTATCCTACCACTGTGGATGCTTCGCATGTGGCCGCACCAGAATGTTTGGTTGCAGGACGAAATCCTCTGTGCCCTTCGGGTGGATGGGAGACCTTGGGCACAAACATGTTGTCTTTTTCCCCCGACTTCAAGCCAGTCCTGATAATTTGGGCATAAGATACCCTGACACATTGCAGGTAGCCGCTCGTAGCGCTACATTACAAGTTCATCTCGATGTTAGACAGCCAGCTTTTGATCAGTACACCTACAACTATACTGTCTCCACTGCTCAGCATGCTGTCATGGCCGAAGCTTTGGCTCAGAATAGTAGGCTTTGGGATCTTGCCGCTCGAAACTCTACCTTACGTGGAGAGACCAGGTTCCACTATCGTCAAGGAGCTAAATACTCCATGTCCTCAAAAAATGCCCTGGTACATGTTCGCTGCTATGAAAATGGCGTTTCGCCGAATGGCCGCGTTTCCATTCCACTCTTCCCTGACTTTAGCAATAAAACTTATGCGCCTATAAGCATTGTCGAGGAGATGTGGGCTGAATGGATTCAGAGAAATGCTGATATCGGAATCGCGAATCTTTTGTGGGTCGACCTTCCGAGGACTGAGGCACGACGAACCTCCCTTGGTGCTATCGTGATTGTGCCACGTGCAGCTCCGGATGATGGCTCCCAACTCTGGGGATGTTCAATTGACGCTCGTTGGGCTGATACGAACATCACCTCCACTGATATCCGTCGCCTGACACAAGGTGAGCCGCGGTCTTTCCACATCAATGGCACCCCTCTCTCTAGCTGGTTGTGGCACGACTATTATCCTCGAATAACCATTCGTTCGACTTATGCTAGATACCTTGACCCGTACCTGCCCGACAATACCACCACGGTCTTTCGGCGACTTTGTACGATGGCAGGTCTGTCTAATTCATACTTGCAACCTCTCATGGACCCCACGCCAGCGCTAGAAGCAATTCTCAATCTGTTGGTCGTCAACGGGCTCGTGAGGCTAGTACCTACAGTCACTGTACAGGGCACCATTGCTAACTGGAACCTTGGGCATGGACCATGGTGGAGAGAGTTCATGCCTGCCACACATCGAAGCTTGGGATGGGGTGGAAATGCATACAATATCACACAAGAACAAGTTCAACAGCTGTTCCGAACACAAATGACAGTCACCGCAAAAGGCTATGCGTACGCGTGGGACGGAAGCGCGGTGGACGCATCCATGGCCATTCTTGCCATATACGTCACTATCACTCTCCTCCACGTATGCTTGAGCATAAGTGTAGGTATCACCTCGAGCAGCTGGGACAGCCCCTGCGAATTGATTGCCCTTGCTGCCAATTCTGTTCCACCGCATGGTACGCTACAGAATACGGGTGCCGGTATATCCAGAATGTCTACACTCGAACACAACGTACGCATTGAAGCTAAAGGATCCGTACTTCAGCTTTCATTCAGCCCTGATGCCATTGCAAGCGATCGCAGAGTCGAGGCAAATACTTTGTACGGATAAAGAAGATTGTGTGGATATATGCATAGATTCGTCGCAACGACGATGCTGTTGTAGACCCCTTACATAACAAGAGTATTTTAATACTGTGCAGTGTAGACAATTTACTTTGCGGCTAAGTCTGTTAGAAGGGGTCCTGGGCGACGATGATTATCAAGACAGTAGTATGTGTTTCGTATTCTCAGGTAGAAATCCCAATCATTTAAATGCCTGAGGCAACAAAACTAGCTCGTCGAAAAATCTCCAGCTAATTTCTGGACATCCTGTATTGGGGCCGACTGGTTTGTTATGAGGTTGAGGACGACTGGAAAGCAAAATCCAACGTGGTCATCATTCCAGCATCCCAGGAAGCGTTGCACTCCTTGAGAAGAGCGTCATTAGCAGAACCTCATGTGTCTCCCTTGGGATATTTGCTGCGGCTACACGACCTGGCCAATATATCGTTCGGAGTGAAGTCTGGTCTTCGCGCGGATTACAGGTCTACGGGTTGCGGCTATCGACACTTCAAGACCTCCGCCCCGTCTCTCATGGAAGCATTGCTCAAATTGGGTGCCTATTTCTCCAAACCATGTTCGTATTACACGAACATCAGCGGACAACATTCACAGGTAGACATTCCTACAGGATTCAGGAAGAACCACCAGGATCCTACATATTGAAACAGCCGCTTGACAGTAAGCGATGAGCGACGTTACAGCGCCCAAGTACAAGCCCAAGCGGTATCATCAACGTTCTACTTGGGCTTGCGATGAATGTAAGCTACGGAAGAAGAAATGCGACGGCAATGGCACGAGCCAATGTTCGAAGTGCAAACTGTATGGCAAGACGTGTACATATGAGTCGAAGACGCGCCCCTCGCAGCCTCCAACGCAAAGAATACGAGACCTTGAAGAGAGCGTTCGCTCGGTCAGAGAGCTTCTCTGTCGAGTCAGACCAAGTCTTGACAGTGTCCACGTTGCTGATGTTGATCATCTACTCGATCAAATTCGACCTGCGACAAACGTGCCGGCGAATCAGCCCACGTCTCATGCGAAATCCACGTCAGTACCGAACCAGCACCATATACCGCTGGCCTCTGTGTCGTCGAATATCGACAATGGTAGTCCCCTCCGTAGCATGCTAGTCGGACGCGGTCGACTTCTCCAAGCTGGATCGAAGCCACATTTTCACGGGCCATACTCGGGGGTTTCGTTCATCTGCTCAGTGCTGGAGTTCTTTCAGGATACAGATGCCGAAGCTATACACCCATACTCTATGGAGCTGTATAATCGTTCTGACATTGACCTGAATCGGGAGTTCTCTGAATCCGAACAGGAAGCTCGGCTGCCACCAAAGAGTGACGCAGCTGCTCTTTTCGAGATTGCACTAGCACAAAACCACCCATTCTTGCAATTTCTCGATGCTCCCACAATCTGGCAGGTGCTGGAAATTAAGTACAGCAATTCAGAAATATCAGCTTCCGCCAATATACAGGCGTTGGTGCATGCTGTTCTTGCATTGGGAATCTTATCAGACGCACGTGGCCATGCTAATGCTGGATGTGGCAGAATGGTATCGCAGGCGACCAAGCACTTTCTCAGCGCTCGCTCGTTGTTTCATTCGGCTCCTGACGATATGATTCGGTTGCAAACCTGCCTTTGCATAGTTGTGTATCTGGTTTGGACATCTCGACTTTCAGAGGCATATACTTTCGTAGCTGTTGCATCCACTTCAGCCATCAAACAAGGCTTGCATGTCACGGCTGAAGTTATAACCACATCTAGCAAGAGTGTGAAGTCGACTCAAAAACAACTTCTCACGACACTAATAAACATTGATCTTTACGTAAGCACAGTCATGGGTCTCCCGCCATTGATTAACATCGATACCGCTGGTACCGCGCTTGCAGGCGAGAGGGAACTAAATCAGAGACACCATGTTACTCAGACATTCTTCGGCGAAAAGATTGGAAGACAAAACCTGCATTCAGAACCAACTGATCTACCCTCGAGATGCTGCCAGATCGTCTCGCTGACAGCGTCTGTGCTCTGGGGTCTAAATGCTTCTTCGCTTGATCAGGTCGGAGCAGCGGTTACCACGGCTGCTGTTGACGCATCCATATTACGCCAAGCAGAGCGAGACATGGGTTTGTGGACAAGCAGCGTCGGCATCGCACTCTCACCTTCTGCGCAGGACGAAGATACTGCGTCTGCCAAAGTTCTTGTTGCTCGCCGTCATCTTGAGATATTATACTGCTGGTCTCAACTTCTGACCTACTGTCCATTCCTACACTATCTACGCCCTCTAGCTAGGGGTCAACAACTTCCAGAGACTCTTTCGCGTCCAGCTCTAACATGTCTGAAGATTGCGGTAAACACAATCACACGATGTGACAGCCTGGTGCAATCCGTTTGGCAGTCAGACGTCTATGTACATATGCTGCACCCCAGCAACTGGACTTTCATCTACACAGTATTCCTGGCTGTCGTCGTCTTGATATTCCTTATCTCGCTTCACGCAGGCACAAGCAAGCCAAGCGAGGCATGGCGGAAAGCTCAGACAGGTATTAGAATCCTCATGGCCATGCGCTGCGACGAAGGTGGTGCTACGCCGTGTTTAGCTATTATACAAGAACTAGTGCGTCAACTCAATTATACGGTTGACTTTGACTTCGAAGAGATGGAAAGGACTACTAGAAGGGTTTGTCAGCGACATCTTCCTGAAACAAATGTGGCTACCGTACCAGAGACCACACCTGGTAGGACCGCTGCAGACATCAACGAGGTCATCATGCAAGACAACACGTCAGACTTTACGGACGCGCAGTCAAAGACCGATTCCCTACCGGCTACCTACACAGTCGACGAACTCCTTGCAAGGGCAAGAGCAATGCCAATGCCTACTGGTAGTGACGCTGGTTAAGAGAACGTCCTGAAGAATATCTTGGACACGTTTCGGGTAATGCTAAGTGGATCTGGTGGTCTCGGACAGTCCTCTATGTAACTGCAACAGGCAATCATGCGGGCCTTGTCCCTCAAATGGAATGGTAAAGGAAAGCGATATACCCACATTCATAAGTCCTCCGTTTCGAAAATCCAGACACGAAGCTGGGTCAGAATGCCAGAATTGTATTTCAAGAAACAGAAATTACATTTCACCAAAATCCAAACTAATGTCCCATCACGACTATCTCTTTAACAGACCCACCTCACTGCGTGTGAGCCAACTTCAATTTCGGCAACCTCTTACTGATGTCTCTATCCTCTCGTGGTCGGCTCTCAACATCGTTCATGGAGAACTTATCACTCGGTAAAAGAATCGCACGATCAAGTCGCACCGGCAGGCCACGATGTCTCCCACGAATCATCATAGCACATATGACCAGTTTGCTGAACGTGTTGAATTTGCCAGAGAAGCTGGTCGTGACACTTGGATGACCGAGCGACAGACCTACGTTACCATATGCAGAAGCGACCTCGAAGAAGACCGGAAAAACTTGAAAGGCCGGATCGTTCGTGTCCATGATCTTGTCGGCTTCGGAACAGCAGATGCAGAAACAGCCTAGAAAGATATACCACAGATCGAAGCTGAGCTGATTGCGTACATGAGCTTTCAGGTAGGACTTGCTGTCGTTGGCCTTGGAGGGGTCCTCTTCGTCTGACTGGAAAATACCGAGACTGGTTTCTTCGTAGGTGTTTGAGGAGCGCACGCTGAGTGCGATGGGGAAGATCGAGACGTACATCATGACCAGCAGGCTGAACTGAACGCCCGGATTGACGTTGGCTAGATTGTAGGTCAAGGTGCCGGTGTGTCGGCTACTGGCTGCTTGAAAGATCGAGGATATGAATCGAGGCGCCAATGGTACAGCCGTCACTTCGGGATTGTCGAGATCCAGGCATATGATCAAGATCACGTCAACAATATTCAGTGCTATCAGGATACCTGCCAGAATCCATGTCTGTCGGGCTGGGAACAGCAGGGTATAGCAGCGTCGTGGATGCTCAAGCAAGAAGTGGAGTGGTTCCTGCATCTTGTGATTTCTTGGCAGGATCTTCGAAAACGTCCAGATGAGGATACGAAGGCCGACTGGGTAGAAGGTGTGACCAGCATAGGCCAGAATTGTCATCACCAGAATCGGAAAGACGGCATCGCGGAACGAAATCATGCTGTCTGGAGTCAGAGTGAAGCCCAGGTTGTTAGCCATTGTTCCTGCCGAATAGATAGCCCACCAGGTGCTGTTCAGGCCACAGTCCGCAAGGTACTGCCTGTACTTAGGCTCAGGTGTGAGGTGGATCCATGGTATCAAGCAGATGGCGCCGATAAAATGCAGCCCGAAGACATAGCCAAGGACAAACTTCAGCAATAGCTTGAGGGATCGGTATTCAATACCGCCCAAAAGGTCTTGATCCTCTGTTGTCAGGTTGCTGAAATTGGAATTTCGACCGATGATCGCGTTTGCCGATAGCTTGAGTCTTTCCGCGCGACTTTGTCTTCGATTGGTTTCTCGAGCCCTGCTCCGTGAACGTGAAGACTCTGAGGTCGAAGTCCTTCTCAACGGCACGCCGTTGTGTCTCTGTCCTGGAACATCACCCGCACCTAATTCGAAGAGATTGCTGACCACGCGATGCAAAGACTTTGGATCTGGCGGACCATTGGAGAGACTTCCAAGACGTTTTCGAAATCGCACGGAGCCATCTACCCCTTCACTTGAGCGTGACCTCATAAGGTCGAGCTTGCGGTCCTCGTGGAAAGTTATGGCCCTACCTCGTTTTTCGTCCCAGGGTGCTAGATCTTCGTCCAATGACTGGACACGTTGAGGCGGAAAGGTAGGGTCGGGGTCATTGTCTGCGCCTGGTGCAAACGTGACATGGGTGGGTGATACAGGTGCATGACTTCTTCCTTCAGGAGTATGAGAGCGCGTTTTGCGGATGTCCTCGGTTGCTGCTAATGCTAAAGCACGAGTAATGAGGGACTCTGGGTACTGCTGGGTAGACGCGTCGGCGTTGACCTTCTCGGGTGCAGCAAGGTTGACGGACGACGATCTTTGCTTGTCCACAACGCGTTCACCCTCCGCCCAACTTCGCGAGCGTTGAGGTGGGAAAATGAGTTCGTCTTTTGTCACAGCGTCGTCCGAAATTCCGTTACCGATCGGCACAGTACTTGCGCGATGTTTTTGGCTCTTCTCAAGTTTTACGCCAAGATATCGTCGGAACCAGATCAAACGAATTATGACGATGAAGATACTCACCACTTGCATGTTGCCCAGGAATGGAATGAAGTAGATGGTAAGCTGTTGGTAGAGGCGAAGATCATTGACATCGACTGGGTTGAGACCTGATTCGGTACTGCCGCTGACGCCGAAGAAGTAGGCATCAGTGCTGGAGATATTGCCATTGGGATAGAGTATGATCAATACCAGTATACCAACTGCGATGATGTACAGATCTGTACATAGTCAGTGACTCGTCCCATGCCTGGCATTCTACCGAGCCTTGTGTCTTTGAGAAGCGGTCTTCGACATACAGTGCAATGTAATGAATGTAAGCTTAGGTTTCCACATGTTTATCTCTTTGTCCCGCCTTGACTTGGCCAAGATAGTTTCCGTGGCGCCCTAGTAGAAGACAAGTAGCATTATGTTCTGATAATAACCCTACTTGTTCGAAATGATGTTGAGGATCGCATCGTATGAAGAACGACAACAAGCTCGCCGCATTCGCTTGTCGTCTCTTGCACGTGGAAGAACGAGAGTCGCAGAGACAAGCTTCATCATTCTTGGCCAACACATGTTGTTCATACATGATTGGTTTTTCATTCCTATTGGGGTCGGCCAAGACGAGATAGCGGAAGATCTCCAGGCGCAGCAGGATTGGCGATTATTTTCGGTTTAGTCCTTCTGGTCAAGCATGAGGAAAGGATTGAGTCTCGGCTATAGGGCGAGCATGGACAGCCATGCGAGTTGAGTATCTTTAAGCGAATGAATCGAACGCGATTCCGCAGGAGAGATGCGTGGGCCGCTCAATTGGTCGAAATGAGCTGTACATTTCGACCTCAGGCCCGCGACGAGTACGACATCACCGTTGTCGCGCCATCAGACCTTGAGGGATTTTGCACAGGCATCAACACTCTGATGAAACATTCATATTCGAGTAGAATTTCGCAAATGTTTGGTGATTTCTGCAAAGTAGAATTACCAAGTATCCGGACCACCGAAGCTTTTGACACTTTGTATTTAACCCCTACCACTAGCGCAATGTATGCTCACAAGCGACTTCCCACAAATGCGTCGAGAGAAAGCGTAGGCGTGACTTCCACCATATATGCAGCGCATGGATCTTGTCGTTAGGACGTGATGCTCCCGCCGCCAGGATCGAAGATGCAGACGCTAGTGGCTGCAATCATCAACTAGCCTAGCTCTTTCACAGATGTGTGAGGACGACGATGCGACCGGACTCAAGCGTCATGTCTTTACCACCCAGCTCAAGAATCGAAACCCTGCGGATCGCCGCATCGAAATGCGATAGACGCAGAGTCGATCCACAAAAACGGTTTCCTGGCAGCGCGGATGAATGAGGATGCAAGAGATGTGGTATAGTTGGCTATCAATATTACTGTCACAATGTCGAGACGGGTAGTGCCTGAGCTAGAGCACGATGAGAATGAGTCTTGTGTCACAGCATGGTGGAACAGCGACTCAAGGCTGAGGTTGACCTCAAGAACGAAGATGGAATTGTTGCAAAACAGGCTACTGATACGAGTGATGAGAGTTGAAGGTGAGCATATACATATGCCGCAGCCAGAAAGGGTTTGAGGAATCAGAAACTTTGTCGAGTCACTTACATTAACAACCTCGAATACCGAGAACAGCACACGTTAAACGAGTTGGGCACTGATATATGGTGCTTCGTCTCCAGTGTAGATGCACCCGAAATGGAAAAGCGGAGGCATGTTCGAAAGCTGTCATTGAAGAAGTCGCGCAGGACAAGGTGGACATGTTGGACAGACAGTTACGTTGGACTGAAGGTGACGAGAAGAAGCCACATCAGATTGAGGTTGGAAGTGTGTCTACACATCAAACAGAGCAGATGATCGATAATCATGAACTCAATAAGGCTGGTGCATTATCTTCCACATTGATAACCGCCAATGATGTCGTCGGCAAACTCATCGCCGTCTATATATAGGGCCACATGGATCGGCAGGAGTCATCACCTCTACCACTTGACATCATTTTCTCCCCATCAGTCCTCCAGTAGATTTGTGCAGTACGCAGTGCCCAAGTTCTGTTCACCTCCAGGATCTTCTTGTGCCTCTGTGCAAAGTTTAGTCGTGGAGTTTGCTCATCCACTGTCTTAGGGAGCGAGTCCACACAAGCAGTCTCGCCCTATAAATTGAGTAACGGGTGTCTTACTGTATGTCGCAACGTAACTGACTCGCGCTCAGCTTACATGAACGCCAGTAGCCGGTTCAGCTTCTCCACTCAGTCGAGTAGGTACGGCACCATTCTCTCCAGGTGGCACGTGGCCGGCCTGTACAGACTCACTAACAGATTCCCAATCGAGCAGAGGGATATCGACGGACTCCCCTAGTAGCTTCCAGCAGATATCGTCATAACGTTCGTAGCCAACAAGATTGGTACAGTAGAGCTTGTGTGCGTACTCTATATTCCACACATCGAGGTAAAGGAGTCTCGTGGTGTTTGGGTCATAGCCTTTCGAACGTAGCGCCTGAGCGTAGCGAGCGCTTTCAAAGAGTATGACAACTCGAGGTCTTTTCTGGCACAACTCGCACGTCTCTCCTTGTCCGCATTGATGATACTGATGGTGATCGCTTCGGATCTTGCTGCAGACTGACAACTAATCAGCCTGTGTGGTTGCAGGACCGAATTTCTCATAACTGTTGGTGTTCGTGCTCCACTTCATGGCCGCAACTCCATGAACCGTCTCAATTGACAGACCGTAATGCTCGTAGGTACTTGTGAAGTGCTGTTTCTGGAACCCCACCAATCCTTGCCACGTGCAGAGATCCGTCAGGATTGCTGGAAAGCCACTGAACTCCATTATTGTCTTCAAGCGCTTGGCACCATTGGGCAGTATCTTGAAGGCGCCAAACTCGACCGTTACATGAATATCGGACTGAGCGCGAGTGTTGATCTCCGGGTCCCGTGTGGTCGCCCGAGACAGTGACTTGTTACCCGATTTCTGGCTAGAAATTTTGGTGTAATCTGTGGCCGCCGTCGATTGTGTACGAGACATTGATGCTCGGTATGTATGAGCTCTTTGTCGTTGGCGTTGAGCTGGAGTGTCCCGCGCGTAGTAGTGAACGGCGGTGCTATGTCGGTTTTCCTTGCTGTCTGGATCGTTGTATTCAACTGGACGTGGAGTGAGTGTTGAGCGCACAAGACTTGGATTCTTCGTGAACGACATGATCAGTTGTTCGGCAGTCGGAATCTCGTTTCGATATGCTTATGAGAAACGGAAAGGAGTTATAGATAGAAACTCAAGTAGAAAGATGTTCGTGAAACGTGCGAGCGGCTATTTGCGAAAGTGCTGCATGCATATCAAACAAGTTGTGTGACTGTAAATAGTTGTTGGTGATACCATTCACTCAGCCTCGAGTTTCGCCTCTGCCACACTGATCCTCTTAGTAGTGACTCCCGAGCCTATGTTCCGTGCAACACGACTCTGTATCTCTCTGTGTGTTACAAGTGATATATCATGGTTATTGGTGTGTGGGCAGAAGGACAATGGTGGCCAGAGAGGTTCACCACGCCTGGTTTAACAACAATCGTTGCCAATGCTTGAAAAATGATGGAAGCTAGTTCTCGGTGGATAGCTCGACCTTTGTTATCAGGTGCGCTTGCGACGATGCTGTATTTCAAGAATTGGCAGGTGCCAACCATTCCGGAGTAGGCGCCAAGTCTATGGACCCCGCTCTGGCGAATGCAGCTGCTTGGATGCTCGCAGTCTACCTCGAGTGTACCAAATTGCTGACGATGCTGGTAGACAAATGAGTTGATAGAGCTCGTACACACCACGTCAGTGTATCCTGCTCCAGTGCTACAGCTTTGCTGTTCCGTCACTTTCGCGTCATGAGCTAGCACATATGCTACCAAATGCGATCCTCGTGAGAGTGAGCGAGTTGTACTAACGACCACACAATAGTCAGTCTTGCAGTGTCCATAGTCGTTTACCTGGTCGTTCACTGGAATTTCCAGCTGGCACAAGCTATTTTGCGTACGAGCAACGTGATCTTTATCGGTATTGTTCAGGAATCACCTAGCTTTTCTTTGAAAGGAAAGAGTCCAAATCGTGCCGAGGAGTGCTGCTCGGCATCAGGAAGCAAAAACCCTGACTATATGTGATGCTTGAAAATCATACCTAGAACAGAAAGGCAGAGAAACATCGCTGTTGACTTTGATTGTGGTATTCCGTCTTTGTCCATCCTCAATTTAACGGTCATAGACGTGTCGTGGCTTATTGAACCCTGCCGTATCCCAATCCCCTCCACACCAGTCCCCAACATCTAACAAAGCAACCTGATAGCACCAAAGCTCGCCCATCACTTCTCATAGTGTCACTGGCGCATTTGTGCAGACGCAAGGTCGTGTTCGCTATGCATACTGGACATCTACATGGTCTGTACGATCAGACTGTAGATATCAATCTCGCAAAGAGATGCTCGATGAGGCGGCCATAGTGTGCTGAGAACCTGGGAGTGTGTTCGGAACAATGAATGATAGAGACGCTAACGCATTCCATGGAACTATAGTTCTATGCCGTTTGTTGTGATGTGAGAATCAGAAGATGTCCATTTCGTAACGACCGTCTAATCTCTAGTGAGAGTTTCGTGAGTCCACCTCATGTAGCGTGTGACCTGTTTGTAGTATGCTGGCAGATGGTTGACAAGGACGAGACAGGCAGCTTTTCTAGATCGCGAACTTGATCAAATTGGAAGACACGCTATACTTCGGCGGACCCAAGCTTCCGCACGTGGTTGTTCCAGATTTGCGATTTTGTCAATGTGTTGTCGAAAAGAACACGACCATATCGCTGTCGTGCTCCGACTCTGAAAATTACATTAGCGGAGAAGACAATGCAGGTCTCTGCACCAGCATCGATAGCGCGATGTGATGGATCTTGTGATCGCAAAAGAGAAGGTCAAGTGGTGGTTTCTGCTCCCAAGGATCGGTGTGGACTTCAAACGTTCGGCGACCGCTTGATGGAAGAGTTCTGAATCAACTCATGCACGAAACGAGTTTAGCGCCGAATTGTGATCAGGACATCGATATCTCTGGCTATTCCTGTGCTCTCTGAACAATGTTGATGCCTGTCAGCAACTGTTTGAAAGCGATTCAGCACGATATATTGGTGTATTAATGCCTGCAAATCCTCTAGGAGAAGCAATAAATACCACGAGAATGATAACAGAGGCGCTCGATTACATTGCGAACATCAAAAGTTCACATCATCAACGGGAAAGTGATGACATTCTACGCTTCGCCTGTGGAATCTGACGTCTCCCACGGATAGACAGCATACCTCGGACGTGTTCGACGAGACCAGAGGTCATCGCTCAGATCGAGATATATCACATTTGCAGTTGGCGCGAGCTCTGCTGTGCTACGACTAGGTTCAATGTATCAGCGATGTTTATCAAAGCACTCGCAGCGGCTGCACGCTTTCCTCCAATGCCGTACCAGGACCGTGATGGTGAAGCTCACAAGGATCGTGCTGATGATTATCGAAAGGTGCAGCATGATCCTACTGCGAAAGAAAAATACTTGTCTCACTTCTGGTATCTCGACAACAATACCCACGACATTGTAAATGCAGCTGTGCAAATCCATATAGGTGTGCTTGTTCCCCGCGACGGCTTTGTGACATCCTCCCCAGTCGCCAAGGCCATAGAACAGATGCCCGACGTAATCCAGCTACCGATACTGGCTGCAATCATGGTAACCAATGAGACTAACATGTACACTTTCGAAAGGTCGATCTTGCTATTCTGTGCCAGCTGACCTACGAGGCAGCTATAGTAAGCCTCAGTGAAGCCTGCACTCCCAGCCATAACAGCGAGAGATACAATTGCAGAGATCCTGAACCAGCTCAAACCTAGTAGAGCTGAGCCGACAAGTGGAGAACAAGAGCCAGAATTTGCTGAGTTCAAGGTCCCGCAAGGTCGATGTGCTGTCTTGTTTTTGGTATCGGTTTGTCTGGTCTTCTCCATCAACTTCATGCTGTAAATTTTTCAGATCTTGCTCATTATCGTCGTCTGACTAGTCCGATCCTGCGGCCTTTGCTAACGGCACCGACTCAGACGTCAATGTGGTTGGTTGACGCAAGAACTTCTTCGCAGACCAGGGCATACACGAGAAGTGTCTTCTTGCTCTGTCGAAAGACCTTTGCCTTCTGTCGTCGGTCTTTGTCTCAGGAGAGTCATTTGCCTAGAAGGACGGTACAGGATCTAGGCAATACTGATTGAATCACATGCTCAAGTATGGTGTACTGCCTCTGAACAGCCCGAAGGAATAATAGATGCTGACACAACAGGATTTTGGTCAACTAGCGGACTTGTAAAGTGTTTGGTATACCCTCCTGAGGTAGGAGATCATTGATGGTAGCAGATTGTAGTATGTCGACATCTAAATCTTTGCCGTGAAAGCAAGTGTGTTCTCATCAATAGATCTGACTGTATAGAATCACATTGAAATAAGTACAACTACTTCAGCTCGCAAATGAGATTAGAATAGTCTTTATTATTGGTAAAAGAGATAGAGATAGTATTAGCGACACACCAAGTAAGTAAGTACTTTAACCGGTATGAAAAAAAAGGTAAGAAAAACTTATAAAACCTGCCTTCCTCGTCGTACAACCCCATTTCCACCCTCCTTAGCCAACCCTCTCCACGGACCTGCTCCTCTACACACCCAAACCCCGGCCGTAACCTGCATGAACGAAAATGCATGAACAGGGTCCTGCACCCACTCTTGAAGTGAACCCAATGGGCGGCACTTGTCGGGTCTGGAACTAGCATCAGAGCAAATGCGTGCGTCAGAGTAACTTCAGCGGGTTTCGAACTTGCAAGTATACCTCCAACATGGGAGGAACCCGTCATTGACAGGTGTTACGGATGAGAAGTACTGCGAGTCGCAATTGATGTGGAGAAAAGTCACACTTGGTACGCTATCCAGGCAGCTCAGACTCTTTCGTCTGACGGTAATACCGCTCGTGACTTTTTGGCGGAAAATTGGGAATTATCGTATTTGGGTATTATTGTGGGATTGTCCCTTGCGGCCCGAACGGCGGAGTTCGGGTCGTAGTGATATTGTTGGATGTGAGTGAAGGTGGTAGAGTCTTGTAGAAACAGGCAGTGACAGCTGACGAGTGGTGGAAGGAGAGCGGCCATTCTGAATGATTGAGGTTTGCCGTCGAAAGTGATGTTAGTATGTTAATTATCGGCTAATTGAAGGATATGCTCAACTTGGAAAGAGCTGTGCTTGTCAATTGCTGTTCATAAAGTCCTGTTCATAAGAGGTCTCGAATACGCTAATAGAAGATGTACACTCGTGGACTGAAAGGTCGGACTGCAAAACGAGTTGGAATTCATCAAGGTCAATGACACAGCTGAAGATGTGAATGGAGCACGGTAAAAAAAATTCCGCCTTGTCCTTCTCATAAACCTGCATTGTTCTCATACTCAGCCCTCTGGCACAAAGGAGTCGACCCAAGTTGCAGTCACTTTCAAGCACTCTGCTTTTCTACTGGACAGCCGGATATTGGCAAACCATGATCTTATGCCCGTCCTTCGGAGATTGAGTCGTTAAATCCGCGAGCAATGCTGAACAGGTGGTTAGAGCCTAGCGGAGATATGGTAGTCTCGACGCCGACTTGGCATGCGATCGATACGCAAGTACGCTGTGCTCTGGTCGATCGTGATGGAGTCAAGTTTTCTGAACCTGTAGATCTATCTCACATCATCAACACTCCTCCACAAACCGAAATGATGTGTTGGAAGGTTATAGTCCCGGCTTGCTGGTTGTGAACAGCAGGAATGGGGTAGAAAATCGTTGTGGCACTGCTCCAACTGGTCGGAATTTGCAGGTTGGGTGTGTGCAGATGTAGTATTTCTAGCAAGACTGGGTAGAAACGGTATCATGTAATCAGGCCTGACCGATCTTAAGCATACTTGTCATGCTTCCCTTTTGCTCGAACATCGAGAACCGCTTCTTGGTATGTTCCGTCTCTTCTAGCTCGCTTCAGCCTCTTCGCTTCCTCGTCATTGAGCTTTCGACCTGCATCACTCTCAAGCTGTTGTCTGCTGATCTTCTCTTTCGATCGGGCGACTTCTTTTGCCTCAGCAGTTTGAGGCTTAAACTTTGACTGCATTCGTAGGTTGAGATGGGTGTCTTCGGAAAAGCGTTCGCCATCTCCACGCAGGGCGATGGAGACCTTTTTCTGAGCCTTGTCCATGTCCTTCATGGTGCCACATGTAGTTGTGTCTTCAGTCACTGCGCAGAGGTATTTGATGTCTTCCGGCTTTGGTTTCTCCTTCGTAGCAGCGGTTCGTAGTTGATAACAGGTCTTACCCATCTCGTCTGTGATCGTCTCAATCGCGAAACTCTCTTCCAGCCCTCGAGCTTCCCTCTTCGCACCTAAGATGCCATATTGATCGCAACTCAAATATCCACCATGACTCGCTCTGAAGGTGATTTCGTTCGATCCCATGCCAGCCACTCGTGCAGCAACCCAGACCTGCTGTACATTGTGTGGCTCCGCAGTTTTGGGATCATTCTCTACCATGTTCTCTAGCTGACTGGCATAGACGTTCCCATTCAGGTCCGAAGCCAGGCACGTCGGCGGTTTCGTTGGGAGGACTATGACTGTTGGACCTGTTAGCTCCGAAACATCAGCTGGTGAAGTCCAGCTATCATGCTCTTGCGACTCGGCCACAGAAGATTCATCTTCATTGGTGACCGTCAACGAGCTCTCATGATGCTTGCGCTTCTTGATTTTCTTGTCGCCCTTGAAGCTCAGAGGCTTGACCATAATTGAAAACGTCTTACAGGATAGGAATTTGTGGGTAAGAGCTAACGATGATGCAAGCGTCGGGCAGTCTAAACTTGCACGTGTCACAGCGCGTTGTGAGAGCCGAAAGCTTTTTCTGAAGTGCAAGGTCTATTTCCGGCGGCCAAGAATTCAGGCGTCTGCTTACAAATGAGCGACGTTTCGAGTATAGGATATGTCCCAAAAGTCCATTGCTGCCTGCCTTTACGGTATCTCGGTGATGGACAGTGTAAACCTGGGTAACCTCAATCATCTTCACAACTATTAGGAAGTAAGCATGTGGTCTTCAGATAAGCTGCATTGCCTAGACTGCAATGGACCTGGCCCGCACTGGCCATGGGCACGGATTACCATAAGTCCGGGTCTGCAAATTCCATAGATTTCAGCCAACAGCAGCCAAAACAGCCCATAATCTCAAAAGCCCCTTTCTGCGGCAGGGGCACGTGTTTTCCTTGCGTCTTCCTCATCCGTCCTCTTCGTCCGTCACTCGTCCGTCGAAGTTCACTTTGAAATGACCTATCATTATTGATAGCGAGTGCCATGACACGTGCATGGACTTTACGCGAACCCAAGCGCGGTATGGTGTTCTGGACACGTTTCTGCAGAAGTTACTGATTCTTATCCCTGCCGTTTCCAGCTTACTGACTTAGTCAGGAAGCGGACCAACGTCAAATGCTCACTCGGACTAACACCGCGTTTCGTGTCCGATCCTGGGAGTCGTCGATCATAAGGCAATCTCAGTCTTATCTCCTGACCATTCACAGAGCACTGAGTACCCGCGGGCGTCAAGACTTGCAAGCATTTGGACCGGAACAAAGCTTGGCGTCCGGTTAGGAGTCACAATCTACTTCTCATGCTTGCCGAATGCAATCCTCTCGTCACGACCTTTCCTCGTCCGTGGTATGTCCATGCCAGGAGCTATCCACCTTTCACCTTTATCAGCTTGTGTCTGACGGACGAAAGTTCTTCACCATAACGTGAAGATGGATCTTACAGTACTTCTAGGGACATGCTGGTGGATCTTGGTGGATCCCTTCGATACGTCGTTACGATTCCCCGTCGGCCTGATGAGTTGTCAAGTATATACAATGTGCGAGTAGCAGACTCACACTGAGGTTGTCAATCTCTTCTGTCAACTTCTCCGCCATCAGTCTGCTGAGTCGAATTCAGATCGTGGCTACTATCACTCTCATATTCCAACATGGCTGCCCTAAGACATACAGAAGCAGACACCAAGTCGTTGGCTCCATCTGTTTCCGACTCTGACCTCTCCAAGCCAACACCACTCCCTCAAACACCAGCAGAACCTTCTACAGAGAAAGCCTTGGACAAAGAGGCAGACTACAGTTATGGTGGGATCGAAGCACAAGAGCTCGACCGAGAGCTCTCACGAATCGAGACCTCCGACTTCCCTAGAGCGTTTCCTCTTGCTATGATCACCGTCGCGCTGATGTCCTCCATCTTCCTATGTGCTTTGGACATGACCATCGTCGCAACAGCAATTCCAAGAATTACTGATCAATTCCGTTCTCTCGACCAAGTCGGCTGGTACGGCTCTGCATTCTTCCTGACTCTGGGAGCATTTCAATCAACGTGGGGAAAGGCCTACAAGTACTTCCCACTGAAGCTGTCCTTCCTGATCTCCATCTTCATCTTCGAGATCGGCTCCTTGATCTGTGCAGTTGCCAACAACTCTACTACTCTGATTGTCGGTCGAGCAATTGCAGGTGCTGGCGGTGCCGGTATCGCATCAGGGGCGTACACCATCATCGCCTTTAGTGTTCCTCCAGCAAGACGACCCGCCTTCACCGGCCTAATGGGAGCAGTTTTTGGTCTCGCAAGTGTCATTGGCCCTCTCCTGGGTGGTGTCTTCACCGACAACGTCTCCTGGCGCTGGTGCTTCTACATCAACCTCCCTATCGGTGGCGTCGCAGCAGCCTTTATCGTTGTCTTCTTCAAGACTCCGAAAGCTGCCCGTCCAGTCTCTGCTCCTCTTAAAGAGAAACTCCTCCAACTCGATCTTCCTGGCTCATTCGTCCTCATGGCCAGCATGGTTTGCCTCTTCTTGGCTCTACAACAAGGCGGTACAACCCATCCCTGGTCTTCTGGCACTGTCATCGCCGAACTCGTCATGTTCGGTGTTCTTCTCGTCGGCTTCATTGTCATTGAGGTCTTCTCTCGCGAACGTGCCCTGCTCCAAGGCCGTCTGCTAGGCGACCGCACTATTGGCGCAATGTGCGCGTTCATCTTCTTCGTTGCTGGCTCCTTCTTCGTCCTCCTATATTATCTCCCTGTATACTTCCAAGCAACGCGAAACGACTCCGCACAAGACAGTGGAATCAAGAACCTCCCTCTTGTGCTCGGTGCCTCCCTCTTCACAATGACATCAGGAATTCTCATTACTGTTACGGGTCACTATGTTCCCATCGCACTGGTCGGCTCCATCATCTCCGCCATTGCGTGCGGCCTGCTCTACACCCTCGAAATTAACGCCTCAACAGGCGAATGGCTTGGCTACCAAGCCATGTCCGGCATCGGTCTCGGTCTCGTCTTCCAGATCCCTGTAATCGTCGCACAGTCCGTCGTCAAGCCACACGATATCTCTTCCGTAACAGCAATGATTCTGTTCTTCCAGACTGTCGGAGGCGCCATCTGGATCTCGGCTGCCCAAGCTGGCTGGGCTAACCGCATGCTCGACCAAATTGCCGCGCGATTACCTGATGTAAATTCTGGCCTTGTCATTGCGACAGGTGCGACGGAGCTGAGACATGTCTTTACAGCTGAGCAATTACCAGAAATACTCAACGCGTATATGGAAGGTTTGAGAATACCGTTTGCCATTGCTATTGCCTGTGCGTGTGTCACAGTAGTGCTCAGTGTCGCGCCAAGATGGGAGAAGATCAAGGTCGACATGACTGCTGGTGCAGCCTAAATGACGAGTTCGAAAGAAAGTTTGGTTTTTGCGAAGGATGTGTTATTACGCGTACAATCTTAATTTACGAGCTACGATGAGTGGTATGGGATGGAGTACACAATTCCATTCGTGATGACAGTTGCGATTCTGCATGAGCTTTCACCTGATGTCAAGCGAGCACTGAGTTGGTACTGTTACCAACTGACTGACTGCGTGATATGTTCATCCATGTTTGGGCGCACAAGACGAAACGACATAGGACGAAGAAAGACAAAGACCAATAGACTAGATTTAAGAATGTTTCACATATCTATGTAGCATCACAGACAGATGAAAATGTTCAGCTCCTTCCCTCTGTTCTGATTCTTCCTCTTCACTCACTCTCTGCATATGCGCAACTCTCCGTTCTACCTGCAACATGACAATCGACCCCAACCCCGCAGCATCACCTGGACCGGTTTCCGGCAAATGCCCTCAGTCAGTAGCTGCTCGAGAAAAAAGGCGACCATTCCCTTCCCCTCAGGCGTGCTCATGACTACCTTTTCGGGCACCCTGCGTACGAGTACCTGACCACTAGCAAATGACGATAACAACCCCATCAGATCGTCACCTCAGTCCTCCCACCCACGACCTGCCTTTTTGGTTCCCTTGATCAGCACATTAACCTTGAAGTACAAGTACAGTGTGTCGATGAGGAATACAGGTAAGGCACCCAGCCTAGAAAGCCAAACTCGAACTCAAAGGCAATTATCGAAGAAGCTACCCTGGCGGTTTGGCATATGACGTCTCTAGGCTTGTGGGTTTATCGTGAAAAGCGAAAACGAGCTTCTTGAAACCTGGAGTCGATATTTGAGGTGTTGTATTGTTGGAGGTTATCAATGTAATGACTTGAATCTATGAGTCGTGATTGCGATCCTTCTGAATGGTTGAAATGTGGAGAATCTTTTGGCCAGGTTGCATAGATGCCAGTTTCGTCCGACGTAGGACTTTCTGGATGCTTTGGTGCCTTTACCATCAATGGATTCGAATATAATCATGTTATGTGTCCCACCCCCTCGATATTGTCGGCGAGTCAATCAATTAGGATAGCTGGCTTGGCCGGTATGCTGCGGAAAGACTGCGTGTGGAACTTGTCAAACTGAGTGGCGCTGATAGGCGACTTTGCATTCGACTTGCTCATGATGGCACGTTCTCTAGCTCCTGACCCGAACAATCCTTGGCTTATAGGTGAAAGCTTGACCGATCACTTAATGGACCTGGACTGCCATAACATCGTTTTGAAGCCGTCTCTTCATGGCATCGAATCCCTTGACGTGACTGGTGGTCTTTTGCTCAGCCGCAGTACCATCTTGTCCCTTCCCTCTTCCTCTTTCTCCTTCTCCTTTTCCTCTCTCTTTTCGTCCTCTGTTCCTTCTCTCTTTCCTGTCAATCGCCAAATCTTGTCCATTAATTGTGGTATCCTGAAGGGTTTAGTAATGATATCGTCCACACCAGCCTCTCTCTGCTCATTACTCTGCTCACTCCTTACATTCGCGCTAATACTGATTATAGGGAGTCGATCATGCTCGTATGGTCGACGTGAAGGTCGCTGAATAATGCCTTTATTTTCCAGGTCGCGAATCGCGCGAGTACAGGCGAGGCCACCCATAACTGGCATCTCGATGTCCATGAGAATGACATCGATGGTAGTACCATGGCGTGACAAGGTTGGCGTGAGAGTCAAGGTAGATGAATCAGAAGATACATATTCAGGATGCCAAAGGTCTGTAGTTTTGAGGAACTCGAGAGCTTCGAGCCCATGGCCAGCGACAGCAATATGGCATCCAAGGCGTTTGAGTTGGGTGCTGAGGACCTTTTGATTGACCATATTGTCCTCCACTATCAGGACAGTGGGCTGCCATGGTTGAGTCGTGATAGATGGTGGAAGACTGGGTGTAATGTTTGGGGGAGGAGTTGGGCTGGGGCGACGAGAGTGGTTAATTCGTCGCGGCTTATCCAGGACGATGTTACTAGCTACATCCATGGCCCCAGCAATGGACGGCGTTCGATGAGGATGCAATGAGGTGCGGCCCATTGGCGATGATCCTGATAACGTCAAACCGTCACGACCAGGCTCTGGATCAATCGTCTTCCTTGCCTGTATATAGAATGCGAATATAGAGCCTTTGTCTTTCTCAGATGCAACGCCTATCTCCCCACCTTGTAGCTCTGCTAACTGTCGCGTGATAAAGAGTCCTAGACCTGATCCTCCATACTGGACATGTGTCTTGGGACTAGCCTGGGAAAAGCGGTGGAACATCTTCTGCAGTTCTGCCTCGGTAAGTCCCCTGCCTGTATCCTGCAACGAAAATTGAAGATAGACGACTTGGCCTGTGCCCCATTCTGGTTCGGCGAGGAGTCCGTCCGGTACTGGTCGTGATGGTGGCGCGTATTTAATCCTCCCATCTGCACCCGAAGTTGGCTGTTCCAAGGAGGCGCACATTGTGAGAACCACTTCGCGTATATCCTCCGTGCGTGTGAACTTGATGGCGTTTGACATAAGGTTGATCAAAATCTGTTTGATACGGGAAGGGTCGAACATCAACCACTTGATGTTGAACATGTCGAGGCTCTTATCGACGTTTGTTGACAACCGTACGTCAGCGTTTTGAGCATCCATCTCAAACATTTTGACGACCTCGTGCATGACTTGAGAAGGTTCAGTGGCCACAGGCGTGATCGACACCAGATTCGAATCTAGCTTGGACAATGTAAGAACATCATCGATAATGCACTTTTGGTGGGCGCAGCAAGAAACAATGGTTTGCAGGCCATCAATGGCAAGATCGACTTCCTCGATAAGACGCGTCTGCGTGACCAGCTGTGGTATGAAAATGTCATCAGGAGCTGTGACAGATTTGATGAGTAAACTTAATTCACTGACTGCTCCCAACGCCGAATCTGCGCATTGTACCATGGCGCTCAGAGGATTTCTCATCTCGTGCGATGTCATATCGATAAAATTCTCCTGCTGTCGTTTAGCCTCTATAGCATCATTCAGTCGTGTCCTTTGCAGAGTTTCTGCATATTTGAATTCGGAAATGTCGGTCAGTGTGCCCGTGCATCCCTGCACTGTGCCTTCGTTGGTGAACTCTGCAAAAATGCTTGCCAACACCCAAGCCTGCGCACGCTTACCATCCGAAGCGTACCAGGCTTTATTAACCCGCAATTCTGCAGTATTGACCTCACGGTTATTGATGGATTCGTCGACTATTGAGGATAGTTTGACCTTATCTTCTTCACAGAATCCCTCAGCTACATCAATAGCTTCGAATGGTCTATTCGAAGTTGCTGTGACCTCGAACCAACGATCGTTACAATAAGTCATGTTTTTGTTCGCGTCGAGATTGAAGACGACAACCGGCGCGACGGCAGCAAACTTGACGAATCTCTCCTCGAAAGTTCGTGCTCGTTCGAGGGCCTCGGCTCTAGAATTCGCTATGTTCTCGTTGTACTTCTGGTTGTTAATATCAGTGGTGCATCCAGTAATGCTTTTAATATTGCCTTTTTCATCGTAGAGTGGTATGCATGCTGCCTGGACCCATTGTCCTCCCAATGCCTGTGCCAATGGAGTATTCTGCTGTTTCCACCGCATCTCAAATGTGATAGGTTTTCCTTTGGCGAGTTGCATCCAGGCGCTTGTGACTATTTCAATATCATCGGAATGACAGAGGTCGAGAAAGCGCATTTTCGTATGTCCTTCGGGATCAAAAGGATGACCACTCAGAGAGTACCAGGATTTATTGGCGTAAATTAAGGTTCCGTCGAGGTCGTACTCGAAAAAACCGACATCCAGCATATCGACCGAGCGATGAAGCCCTTCGAGAGCGGTAGGGGCACTGCCCAAGCTTACTAGCCCGCTCGGCAACGCAACCGTAAGGCCGGCAGTGATAGTTTGTCGAGTAGCGGCAGAATCGCTATTTGAAGTACGAAGCGGTGGTTTGTCGCCCTCTGAATGGGTTGCGGCAAGAGCGTTATCCTTTCCCAGATCAACTTGGTCGAGGTGTCCTGCTTGGTATGTTGGTGCAACGGTTGCAACTTTCCAGCGGCCATTCAGAACGAAGTATTGCCACGTCAAATCACCCAGCAAGTACTCGTCGATCTTCGGCTCAGCTTCTTTAAGCCATTGTATAAAATCTGGCTCAAGGATCTGACCACTGAGGAGGAAGCGCAATATAACACCATATTGCCGTGTGAAAGCATCATTGGCGAACTCTACTTGAACGCCCCTAGCACGCTTCTCATCTTGAGTATCGATGATGAGAGTAGGTCGAGGATCTGTGAGGAAGATATCCAGCATGTCGCAATTGGCCTCCTTGATGGCCATGGACGACTTGGAAACCATGGCCACCACGATCCTCTCACAGGAACGAGTGTTACTGGCGCTGGTGCAACAGACAAACGTCGCGTCTCTCGACGAACTGAATCATCTCCAAAACCTCTTGTTGTCTCACCAGTACGAAAACAGAGGCTGTAAGTGGCGGCGTTGAGGCTGAGGCATCAACGCATTCAATGTCGAAAGAATTTTAGCTAGCCAAGTGCCGCAGATCTACAGTAGGGTCAAGGAACCAGGATGAGAGATCGACACCCCCGAATTTTGACGTAGGAGCGAGCCGGAAAGGGAAGGTCTGACCGTTCGGTACGAGGGCTGCATGCTAGCTCCGACCAATGAACGAGGTCGATGCAGCTGGGGACGCTTAGTCGGCCACTGACTCAAGTCCCGAACTCTGGCAGCCACAACAAGCAACCTCGCCAAAATCTAGTGAGGAACGAGGGCCAGTCAGAAGAATGCTAGCTCATAACCATATATGTCAGTGCTTGAAGTGTCTTTGCAGATAAAGGCGGCAGCTTTCCAAAACCGCTACCGGCTCCAAGTGCTTCTGATGACGCGATGGAAATATAATCCGCTGTAATAGTCTCGTATAATTCGACGATGAGCCTGGCAAAGCCGGCTGAGATCCGATCTTAACAGAGCACTGCGAATAGGCTATGGATAGAAGGATAAGAGCAACGATTGAACGTACTACTAGGCAAGTATGTTGTCGGTCGTGAGTTCTCTAGCAGAGGGAGAAGAGGGTCTGAGAATCAGTACATTGCCATGCTGCTGTTGGAACCGGTTCGCACGTGAAAGGGTCGCTGATAGATTGTGGCACTGTGCATATTTATTATTTATACAAGAATCTACACAATCAGCAGCACTTCTACAGTATATGGGATGTATTGCTCCGCAACTTGCACACCTGTTTGAGCTCATGTTCTTGTATTGTACATGGAAATGCAGACACTCTCAAATACACCCCTTTGAGCACTTCAACATAGAATGACCCATTGAGCAAGTACAAACAGCAGAAACCAGATCTGTCCAACCAACACCAACGCTGCATATGATCTGTACGTAAATCGACATGGACTCGTAATAGCTGAACATAACAAAATCTTCACTAAACTCATAACCTCAAGCTTAATCCCGCTTTCACTTCTAGTCAAAGCCAGGAGCAACTCTGCCTAATACTCTCCTCCAAAGTGGTCGTCCTTCGTCAACCCGTCTAGCGTTCTCAGCGTCGTGATTGTATTGCTCATCTTGCTGACGAGCTAGACGTTCTCTGCGCCAAGCTCGACGGGCTGCAGCTCCCTGCGAAGCAATTTCTGGAGGCATGACCATAGTGTTCCGATTCGCAACATTAGTTGGAGTCTGTCGAGATGTGGGGTCGGAAGTGCTAGGCATGGGACCGAGCTCGACATCGTTGGCGGAGGGCACGGATACCTGCTGTGGTGGTGCATGTTCAGGCGTGGTAGATTGAGCTGGTGCCGTTGTGGGATGTCGTAGCCTGTTCTGTAACCAGGACCCAGCCTGTTGAGCACGAGAGGGCTGCTGAAGTGGTTCTTCTGCACCAGCACCAGCACCAGCAGCTGCAGCCGCAGCCAATCCCTGTCTACGTCGATCCCTCATGCGACGAATGAGTCGCTCTCTTCGAACCATGAGGTTGGTAACTTTGACAGGACAATAGCCTGCTGGTAGTGCGGACTTTTTACACATCGGACAAAGAGAGGAATTGTCTCGTAGGAAAAGATCGATACACTCAGGGTGAAAGATGTGTTTGCAGGGTAATTCTCGAACCGTTGTTTCGCCGACAATGAAATCCTCTAGACAGATAGCACATGTAGGCTGACTGAAAGAATTGGTAGTGGGCCCGGCAGAGGATCGGTTTCCTGCAATCGTAGCTATGGGTATTTCGCTTAGCGTGTTACTCTCGCTGTAAGTGTATTTGGGCATTTCGTCGATTTTGTGCTGAGGCACGTTCATTTTCTTGATGCCCAAAGACTCGAGATCAACTTCACCACGTTCGAGCCGACGTTGCAGAACACGACGCTGGTGGCGCTGGATCAGGTGCATGATTAGCGAGGCAAATATGACAATGCCCAACAGGATAGCTAGCACGATGATTAAGAAGATCCAAAGGGAGGGTACGTTGGCGCTGTTTTGCAGATCGACATGGGCGAAGAGTCGTGGGAAGTCTCTAGGGTCGTTCTGTTGTGCTAGAGTGGCACCGTTCGGAGCATCGGTCAAGCTGCCACTATACAGAGCCATTTGATCGAGGATCTGAGCACCAGTCGCACCAGCGACTGCATAGATGGGGTACTGATTCTCGTTCTTCCAACTCCAAGTATCATTCAGGTTCCAGCTATTGGTAGCTTGCGACAAATCAGGCCCGGCAGGCTGGAAGGTGAAGGCTGCTCTGACAGCATCGGCTCGGGCCTGGGCGAGGTACGCCTGAGTGCAGCTCGCACTCTCGGTCCATGGGAAGATAGCGACTAGGGGATAGTTTTGGTCGGAAGGGAAGCTGGCTAGAGTGGTGACATTAGATGGTACAATAGTTTGTGCTGTCGCACAAGTGCCGTTGGCTGAGTCGGGAAGTGTTGGGACGTACAACAATCCTTCGATGGCACTGAAGCGATTCGGATTGTTATTCGACAGTGTTATGAAAGCATTGGGAATGCGCAAGCCAAAGCTGAGATTCGACTAGAACTCATCAGCGCCAGTCTCACGATGTGTGAGACAATCTAAACACATACATTCAACACCGTCGCAGTCTTGGAACGGTCGTATTGAGGATTCGGGACGATGATGGTAACGATCTGAAGCGAAGAAGCGGCTATGCACGTCCATCAGTGTATAAACACAAGAATGCTGTTGTACAACTTACACATTGCGGTCACCTCTAGTTTGTCGTCACTTTTCGCTGCTTATCCAAGAAATTGTAGTCGCAGTTTTTGTCATAAACACATTACGCCAAAGTTGTGCTGGCAGCAGAAGAAACTACAACAATAAGACAATTATTAGAGAATTCTAGACAATTCCAACTGTGGCAAACATAGACAGAGGCACAATGTCACAGAAGATGGTGGTGATGTATGATGATATCGTGGTCGATCTCTGCATAAGAAGCAGATGAACCTCGAGAATCATGCTCCGACCTAGCCGCTGTGTGGGCAGTGAGTGACCAGATTGGTGACGCTATGCCCTGGCTGTACTGCCTATTAGGCCGCTAAAGCGTCAGTGGCTTAGTCCCGTGAGTTCGGCTCACTTGGCCTCCTTCGAAGTCCGAACCTTCGTGGAGAAGGAGCCACTGAGATTCACTCCAGATCCAGATCTCCACCACTCCGCTCCTGCCGTCGTTTGCCAATAACTTCGGCCACGCGTCAGTCTGACATGACGCTAAGCCATATGTAGACGTCGCGGTCTAGCCACAGCCTTGCAGGACGTCGCTCCTGCCTTGACCGCGGGGACAATGATTGTCGCTTTATTCAATAACACGACAGCACACCTGTAACAAGAAGACCGTGTTCAAATACTTGCTACTCATCGACTAATACGTGTCGCAATATCGACGGTCTATCTGTAATCTCGCACACGGACAGTACCAGCCAATATGCCACCCCTAGGTAGTGCCAGCAAGAAGAGCCAGCAGAAGCACAAAGACGCTCGTCATTCGCGCAGTCGCAACACGACCCCAAGCTCAGTCTTGAGTGGTCCAACACTGCCCACGAACATCACACCTGCGACGACACCCTTTCTGCAGCTAGATACGTCCAAGTTGCTGATTGCGACTCAACCGAACTATGCTGACATTCTGGACCGCCTGGAAACAAAACCCTCAAACCTCGAACCTAAGGCCTTGCAAGACATCATCGAACAGCTGAAGCAATTGAGCGATGCCGCCGAGACCAGAGTCGAGTCCTGCGAAAAGGCTATCAGAATGATTCACGAGAGTCTAAAGGATCTTGACTCGGAGCACAAAGAAAGGGAAAGACAAGAAGAGCTGTCGAGGAGGAACAAAGCCAAAAAGATAGAATCACATTCTAGTAAAACACAGAAGGCGAAGAAGCGCAAGGACAGAGACATAGCAGACGTCGAGATCAAGCGTGAAGGTGAGTCCCTACTCCTCTGCTCTTCGTTATCGAGCCAGACTGATATCGGTGCCAGATGACTCAAAATCGAAACTAGGCCGCCATTCCTCTACTCCAGGTCCCATCGATTCTCCCTCACCCCCCAAAAAGGTCAAACACAGTCCTGGTACTTCGTCTCTTTCCGACGCTGCAGACTCGCCCAAACCTGTTCCGCAAGACCACACCTCTCCCGCGAAAACGGACGAGTCGGCAGAGGAAAACCGAATAGTGCACAAAATACCACAGATCCCTGCTCAAGGCTTCTTTCCCGATCCTCTAGCTCCAGATCAAATAGTATACCACATTCGCGATGTCACTCCTGACATGTCAGACGAAGAGAGAAAGCAGATATACAGTGTTACCTCATATCCAACCGTCGATCTCAGCAACGAGATCGCAGGTGTTCCACCAGATAAAGATTTCAGCAATGCCAGACCACAAAACCAAATCGCGGCGACCACTTTCCAATCCTTCGTCGAGGCGTACACTCGTCCTCTGGCCGAAGAAGACATGGCTTTTCTGCGAGAAAGAGGTGATCGTTTTGCTCCCTTTGTGCCGTCCCAACGTTCGAAAAAACACTGGCGGGAGATGTGGGCTGAAAGTGACGACAATATGATCACTGATGGTATGGATGGATATTCAACCACTCAGCCAAGGGGGAGCGTGGAACAGCTCGATGACGACAACCTCGAGACTGATCAAGTTTCCAGCGGTCCCCTAGCTAGTCGTCTGCTTTCTCTACTCAAATTCGAGCATCGTTCTCCCTTGAACGACTTGAACGGGAATGATTTGAATGCATTCACAGATGTCAACGACACAATGGACCTGGACGGCCTCGCTAATGGCAACGAAAATGACAAACCCGTAGCACCGGCTACTGCTGTCGCCGAGCTTTCGGCAAGCAAGTCCTTCCAGAAGCTTGATTACGTTCAGAGTGACGAACGAATCAAAGCAGAACTGCGCTACCTGGGCTTGTTGAGTCAAGATGAGATTCCCGACTACGATGCTCACAATGACGACGACATAAGTGAACGATTACGTATCTTGCAAGCCGAACTACGTCGAGTCATGGTCATCAACGGGGCTCGCAAAGCTCGTTTGCTCGACCTGGCACGTGAACGTTTGGCTTATCAAGAATACAGAACCATTCACGATGACTTGGACAGTCAAGTTCAACAAGCATATTTGAAGCGAACCAGAACTTTGGGTAAAACAAAAAAAGGTGGCCCTGGCGGCAATAAACCCAAGGCTGGTCTCGCCATGAACTTCAGTATCAATCGTGCTAGAGATATCGGTGACAACGCACGCATGCTTATGGACAGGAGGAAGAGGTGGCAGAATTGTATAGGTCCTGTTTTCAAGGATATGAAGCATGGCATTCCAGGGGCCGATGAGACCATTTGGGACCCAAAGACGATGGAACAGCTTGAGAAGGCCGAACTAGAGGCCATGGAGGACGAAGGCGAATAACGCAGCCAGGATAGGCCCGCGAATCTAAAACCGCCGCTCGGTTCAACCGTCAGAATATATGCCAGGCTGTTTCATTGCAGAAATGGATTGTCATATAGGTTGCTTTTCGTGGTCTGTGCTTTCTAGCTAGTTGAAGTTCCTCTTCACTAACTCAGCTACAATATCGCTCGGAACTCCTTTCGTCTACAATCGTGCGAGCCATATCAACCAGGCTTTGTCTTCGATCGCTGCACCCGGTGCTGGCTCCTTTGTCCATTCACCAGTTTAGTGGATCCAGAAATAGCATGTCAAGTCCGAACAAAGCGAACGAGATGGCGGGCTACCATCGACAGAGTAGACCGTGCTACTACTTGGATGCAAGTCTCCCCCGGACTCTACTCGCGACGCTACATGTTCAAGATGGACTACACACATGGTCGTGACCCAGATGCCAACAAGAAAAGAGTTGTCAAGACCGAACTCTTCAGAAGAGGCAACTTCTATGGCGTTCACGCACGCAATGCTGACCTTCGTCCGATGCCGTTGGCACTGTCCCAGCTAGCGGAGAGGAAGGACTCAAGTAGGAATCAGGGTCAGTATCTTACAGTTGGTCAACGTATTCGAGAACTATACTACTCGGTCCTTCAATACAGGGACGAGGACGAGACACAATGGCATTTTCGACGACTGTTGGGTTATGGATCTTTTGGAGTCGCGGCACTGTACGAGAGGAGAGAACCAGAGTGGGCGGCTAGCGTAGGCGCAAACCCAGTAACTGATGTATGTCAAAGATCTGCTTGTTATTTCACGCTAACGTGATGCAGCAACTCGTCGTTAAGTCCGAGGCAGTAGACGGTAGAAATGCTGTCAATCCTATCCGAATCGATATAGCGGTCGAAGCCTGGAATCTGGCTCAATTGATGGAGCGTAAGCAGGAGTCCAATGTGAGACTCCGCGACTACAAGTTTCACCAGGGAGATTATTCCGTCCTCGGTGGAAGATTCCCACCGAGTGAGGTCGAACGGTTCTCTCCACCTTTCTTCAAGGAGTGGAGGTATTATCTCGAGTATTGCTCGCTCGATACGATATACCATCTGATGCTGAAGTACAAGGCTTGGGGTTACTACTTGCCCGAAGCGTTCATCTGGTGGACGTTCTTCTGGCTTACCTATTCATGTCAATCGATGGATGTCAACAACGAGCATCCATTCAGAGACGATCAAGATCAGGAAATGGCGGACTCTTTCATGCTGCATAACGACATGAGCTGGCGGAACGTGTTCATGCAGAAGTCTGAAGAGGACGTGGTCCATCATGGACCGCCAGTAGATCAGTACCCAATGCCGAAAATGGCGGATTTTGGCCTGAGTCAAATAACAAGGATTGACCACGAAAGAAATCGGATGCGCGATCTCAATCCAGGGACAGCAGTATTTATGCCTCCAGAGAAACGGAGGGTACGTCCAGCATTGGAATTCTATCCATTCACGGGACCGGGTGCATACCCCATCAGGAACAACCTGTTGACAAGAATGCCGTACCTTGACAAGAGATATCATCCGGTGGGTCCCGAAGCCAATTTGTGGGGCGCGGCCACTATCGTTTACCTGCTCATGACTCTGAATAATATCGATGAAGTGGACAGGATACTCGAAGATGAATTCCAAGACCATGACCGGCTCAAGCGTAGTCGTATGCCGGGTCGAGATCGTCGGCGAAGCTCCGCAGGCCTATTCATGATGAACGAGATCGATACGGATCTCCCCAGTATTGCACGCTATTCGGCGGATTATAGCGATGAACTCCAAGAACTCGTGCTACAATGCATGCGTCTCCGGCCACATGATCGGCCCCGACTCTCCGACGTTCTTCAAGCTACCTCAGATGGGATGAACAAGGAAATCAGTCGTCTGTATCATGAGTTTGACGACAACGCCGCGACGGTTCAGGAAGTGACTCGGGTACAGTACTTGGACGAAGAATGGAATCAAACTCCACGTGGACCTTTCAACTTCGGCATCGATCTTGTCCCTAATCCTGTGTCTGGTGTGAGCAGTCAGGATGCACAATATTTCTGGCACGATTTCCACCAATACTGCGACAATGCGGCGATGAGGGATCCAGATGCAGTTGTGCTAGTGCCGCCGGAGCCGAATACTCGGTTTAGTGATGCGGTCCATGAGGGACAACATTGGGTTGGCAATGACTGGGTATTTTATGCCCCAACAAGCTGGAGGGGCCAAGTGCATCAGGGTGAACCATTGCCAGCGGGTGGAAGAATCTTTGTTCCGAACAAGAATTCGGCTCTGCTGCGAGAGGTGCTAGAACAGGAGGGCATGGATCCGGAAACCGCAGCACCATTGTTTCTGTAAGGGTAGCATCTAAATTCCTGAATAGTGAGACCGTGATCTTAAAGTTCGAGGGGAACCTACCCGCATGTGAGGTATACAGCCTGTTGTCATTGTTCGTTTGCTCTAACTCACTACCTCTACCAATGACGAGGATGGCTGTAACGTACCTGCGTTAGTCAGGGATCAACAAGCTTCGAGAATTTCGGGAAGGCCTTCTACAGGTCTTGGCGCTGGTGATAACCTATAGAAAAGTAGCTGAGCTGATCGCGATCATAAGTGATTCCAGGGGCAATTACCCCGATCACCAGGGTTTCATCGCTCTTTCCCAATGTAGACAAAACGATACAAACACGGAAAGCGGCCGAGCAACACGATCCACAGCCATCTCATTTCCTGCCTACCCACTGCCCGCCTTTCCCACTCGTGTGTTTGTGTAGATCAGCTTTTTGTATACGCAGGCACAACCGGCAAAGCACCTTGGACATAGGTGATATTGTAGATAGACATCTCCTTGTTTCTGGTTTGCTGGACGAACTGGAGTTGAGCCAACGCACAGATGCTCGCTTAGTCTTCTCATTCGTCGATATTGACTGAAGAAGCGCCAGCACAGACAGATATTGGCCAATCTACGACCATCTACACGCAGAGACAGGTACCCTCCAATCACAATGCTATGGGCGTTCTGCGATGGAAGACCCACATGCACCTGTACATCCGGCATCATCACCACCGTTGCTACCTTCAGCACAGACCTTCGATTCACCGACCGATGTCTTCGATTCAGAGCCAAGTCCTTCGCGACAACAGCGGCTCTTGCAGACTCGAAATGCTCGTTTCCCCGCGAAGAAGCTATCCATATCCAGCCTGAGCAGTAAACTCACCCAACTGATCGGTAATAACGAGCAGTCTGAGGGGCCAGCGAGTCCTGCTCGAAACAAGGAGAACAGACTGCACAAGAGCAAGAGTACCGGTACAATTGGCAAAAGAGGTGGATTGGGAATACTGGACGAGATCTCGAACGCCACTAGAGGGAGGTCAATCAGACGACACCGCGATATTTCCATCTATCAGGATCACCCAGAGCGACCACTATTGGAAACCTCTCCTCTGGCCGCCTCCTCTCCTTATGTCGATCCTAAAGCCGACTTCACATCTCCGCTTGCCTTTGATCACATCCAGGACAGCATCAGCAATATGAGGCTTAGAGAGCTTTCGTACAATGAGGCCTGGTCGCCTGCTGTCAAGTCTCCACCCTCGATTCGGCTCAAACAGAGAAAGCCATCAGCTCAGATCCAGTTCGACGCCGAAGAGTACATTGAACACATCGAAAAGGAGTTGCAACGGGTCAGAGATGAGGCATTCTCTCCGTTAACCCGTCGTCCCTTGAAGGAGAAACTCCGGGTTGCAACCAAAGAAAATGACCGTCTTCAGAAAGAGTTGGCTACACTCAAGGAAAAGTTTGAGACTGAGGTTAAGAGAACGGTCGAGCACAAAACAATCGTCGAGGTCGAGCTCAAGCGCAAGGTTAGGGATTTGGAAGACTCACTGGAAGAGAAGGATAATGCCCTGAGAGAGCTACAGTATCAACACGAAGAGAAAAGACTCGACACCAACGTCATTGAGACTTTGAAGGCTCAAATCGACAAGTTGGAGCAAGACAAAACCGACTTGGAAGAGATCAATCTTGGTATGACTAAGAGAAATGAGGTCCTGACTCAACTCCTGGCCATGTCGCCCACCAAGTCTGCGACTGTCCTCACCTCTCCAGTTCGAGAGAAACGGAATCCTCGACCTCTGTCTCTGATCATCCCTCGTCTACCCTCCTCACCCAAGCAATTCAATCATGGCACCTCCCTTACCTGTTCTCCACGCTTACCGAGCAGTACAGATATTAGTCCGTTGAAGCTGTCTCCAGAGCAGAGGGATGGCTATATCTCTTCTCAAGAACTCCAGCAAAACGTCCCCGATCTCGATCGTGCTAATAAAGCTCTCCGAAGTCCTCTCCTCCAAGCTGGCCTTTCCAGAAGATGGACAATCCTGTCGGACGCATCTGCCTCGAGCAACAATGTGACCGAAGAGAATAGACCCGCCACACGAAGAAAAGCTCGGAAATTCGTCGCTGGTTCAACTCAGCTGAAGCCTTTGCTTCTATCGACCATGACAGGCGATGCCTCACAACCAGCCTCGGCCTTGTCTTCCCCCAGAAGTTGGGCTACTAGTCAGGATCACGATTTCGGTCATGACGAGACGATCATGCCAACCGAGCAGGAAATAGAACTAGAAAATAGACAGTCTGGAGATACGGCGGACGAGGAGCTAATTGCTCAGGTTGGTGAAGAAGGACCAGGTCCTGATTATGTACACAATGAATCAGAACGACAACCTAGTTCCGATGAGTACGACATTTTGCAGATTGACGGCGAAAACACAGTTGCGGAGCAGTCCATGTCCAACACTATCAGACAGCGACAATCACAGATGGTCTGTGCTTCGCCACAAACCATGCCCATGCCGTCAACACCAGATTCTTTAGCAGCACTACCGAGACCACTATTCTCTCCAGCTCGGAGAGACATAACCGTCTCGACGCACGTCTTGATGGACCAGCTATCGTCTCTGTCACCGGCTATATCTTCCTGTCAAGGGATCAATCTTCGTAAACGGCGCAAAACCTCTCCAGCAAGTATCGATTTAGGTTCACCTGTCTCCAAGATTGCTCGACATCGAGCTCGACATTTCTCGGTACGTCGCATCTCACTACCATCGATATCACCGGAGACTCGAGTACAGAAATCTCCTGCGCCACATCAACCCACCTTATCCCATCAGTTGCGGAATATTCGATCAACCGATAATGTCGCTCAGATTTTACGCCGAAAAGACTTCGCAGTGAAGCCATTAGCAGCACTTACGATACAGACAGTCTATAAGATTCTGTCTACGTGCACTAGCGTCATTCGGGATTTGCGCAGAGATCCTTTTGCTGTGGTTCGCAGAGTCCTTGCTAATGCTTGGTACATGAACTGGGATCTGCTCGGCAAACTTAGCTGGTGGGTTTTGGGCTTGTTTGTCTACCCAAGAGCTGCGCCGAGAACAAGACCAGCGATAGACTGGGATCAATATGACGGGGAAAGTATTGCAAGTAGGTATTGCAGCGAAGTAGGTGACGAAGAGGAACAATTTGTGTATCAACAAGCTGGGTATAACGACGATAAATGGCCACTGCATAACGTTCAGTCACATCAAGGAGAAACGAAGCTGCACCTTAGGAACGGACTGGCTTTAGTCAAGCAAGAGAGACCTGGCTGGGCAAAATCGCTGTTTTTGTGGGGCAAATTCAGTGCTGTCATGATGCTTGCTGTTAGTGGTGCAGTCATCAAAGGCCCAGGCGAGATGCTCAAGGACGTCCAAAGGAGGTCCGTACCGGGTCATCCAAGACACAGGGCTTGTAAGAGTTGCGGTGGTGCATTGCACGAGAACAAATCCAGGCAATCGGAACGTGAGGGCGTTCGGGGAACCACGATATTGCAAGATCAGCACGAAGGCCAGCAGTTTACACAATCAACACCTCACCAAGAAGAGCTACAATTCAACTCAACGCCCCAGGCGCGAAACGCTCAATATCTCATGTCCGATCGTAATTTCACGCGCAGAGACAGAACGGTTCCGGACACAGAATTCGATTTCAGAAGCGACACACAACTTGACAGTTCATCTATTCTGGAGCAACTCCAGCAACTCAGTGCGAGTGGTTGTGATTCAACTCTGAGACCACGGGAGTCTCCTCGGAGACGTGTTACAAGCCTATTTCCCGTGGAAAGCGTGAGTCCTTGTGTCAGCGTTGAGGGCCGATTTGAGCAATCCCATGACTCAGGTATATGAAGCACCACAAGATGTACCGTTTAACGAACTTTATGATGTATTATTAGCGATCACGAATGATATGGCCAACTAAATCAATTGTTGGAGCCACAAAGTAGGTGGTTAATGGAAGAGCAAGAGAGCGTGCGGCAGTCAGGGCTAAATGCAGATATCAGGTTAGCTGACTTGATGCACAGGCAGAAGGCGCAAGCTGGAAACCAAGCAAACTCTATTCTTCCTCGAGTAAGTACCATAGCTGATTAACGATAGCCTGCATGATATGTATACCTTCGTTACGATTTGCTTCACACTGTGTAGCAAAGCAAGCAATATCATAGAGTATGCACGATTCACCTGTGAGAGATTTCTAACATTGGAGACCCGCAGAGTTTGCGCTCGTCTATTGACACTTCAAATTTAGTCTACCTCTTGCATTACATAGTCAGGGGTACGATATCGATCTTGCAGGCCATGCACCAGAGCAATACATGATTGTGGATAGATACAACTCTGCGTAGTACGATTGTACGGTTGTTCACCCATGACAAATACGCAAGTTTGTACCGTCTAAATTTTGACATGGTTTCTTGTCTGATATGTATTTATTTTCACCACGATCTTTAATCATTACCACGTTCGCCATACAGCCAGGTTCTCTCACCGGCGCAACAACCCATCTAAGGGTCAGCATGTCATGTTGGACTTGTACAGTGGTGGATCGATAAGTTGAGCGACGTGCAATGGTGCATAGACCACTACCACCTCCAACCCCCGCAACGCGTCTTTCAGAGTGTTGTGAGAACTCTGTCACGCGAATATTGATCAAGCCAGTACGAGTCCCAAGGTTATGCAAGATAATACGAACAGAGAGACGGATTCACATGCCTTGTACAAAGCTGCGGCACGTGGTCTGGTGTGCACGTCCAACCATGTCGGAGTCGCGATGTGAATATTGAAGATGCTACGTGTTGTTCCCTCTGTTCGAAGCGACTGGCAGAGCACGTCCGTGTTTGAGATATGAATCTTGGCAACGCACCTAGTGCTGTGTTCACCGTGTTCGAAGATCGAAAGCCACAGCTTGACAGCTTTTCCACAGCTTCTAAGTGAAGCTGCGGACACGACGCAGCTGACCCAGCTCAAACCTAGTCTAGGACTATGCCATTGTCCCTATCCATTGTCGCGAAAAGCCAGACAAAATGATTAACTAGGCTATGTTCAATCGATTGCAGAACCAGTGTCCGATTGAGACCCAAGAGGACAATTGCTTGAGCAAAGTGACAGTGAGCAACAAGCAGGACCATAGGCGGCAACTAATTGGTCTGAGGACACTACTAATCGGTCGATCACGGGACAAAGGCTTGCTGTGTTCACAGACCCCCATCACTCTACACGGCTGGACTTGCCATTGACAACAGGAGTTGTTTACACAACGTCTGGTGTTCATACAAGAAATGCCAACTTGTCACATGGTCATAGACTGCCAAGACACTCCTGAAATGTTCTTCTGAGTTGATTCTCACACTCTTCTTCTTTCTTCAACCACCAATTTTGGTCCACGATCAACTTCAACCTTCCCACTTATTCTTTTCATTGCACATCATTCAGTCAGAATGACCAATCCATTTCAAGATCAGCCTCGCAGGATGCAGAATAGTAATATGGTATATTCAGGTATATTCGGTTCCAGCTGCAGAAGTCTCTGCTGACCAGGAACCCTTTCAGTGATCTCGGAATCTCTGGGCACTGCACTAAGTTCGTATGTGATCACTCCTGACTTTGTGCTTGGAGTCGCAACAAACTCCCTGTCTAACAGATTGTTGGCGCCATCAACCCCGAATCTACAATCTACACCTAATTCGACAGTGCCGTACTATGGCCCAGCCATGACCAACGACAGTCAGGCTGCTCGGACCTCCTTCGTTCCAACTTTTGATCAGTCGCGGACTTACCCGACACTATCAACTCGACGTGATTGGGGATCTGATCAGACAACTTACCCAGTCCCATTACCTCGAGCTCAGAACATCAACGAGAGCAGACCGGCTCCAGCGCATAGTGCTGGCGTCATAGCAAACCTCTACTTCGGCACGATGAGCTCTAACTATATACCCAAATATCATACGACAGATCTTGATGGGTTTCCAGCTCCTTTACGTAACCTTAACTGCCGGGAAAATATGAACAACTTCCTAACCACCTACTTTGGCTCGACTCAGAACTTCTGCGGTCTTCAATCTGGTGCCACAGACGTGTTTGGATACAGCTTGTGGATTTGGCACATAGGACAAAACGCATATCTCCCGTTCAGTCTCACCAGCGACGGTGCAGAGTAGCGCTCTGCAGTTACGAACGCTGAGACTATTCATCAGACTTGTCCTTGTGCTCGTTCTATGCGATGTCCCATGTGCAACAATCCTCCAGCCGTATATGTCTTCTACGACAGATATAGATATAGCGCAGCACTCAGCACGAGAGGTCTGAATCCGGAAACTTTTACAATGAAATATCTGAACTACTATGACCCCAGATATGCTGAAATGCTTTCGACATTGGACCGAAAGAGTAGTATCAAATACCGAGAGATTTGTGGCATGCCTACAGACCTTCCCGCACGCGAAAGTGTCGGAACCCTCTATCGACCGTTAGCAAGTGGCCACACCTCTAGTCGTACTGCAGCAGGTTCAGCAGATAACAGACGTGGCTCGCAACGTGGGCAACTTGTAACTCGAGGCGTCAACTTGTCTGTCCCACATCGCAACCCGACCGCTCTGGGTGCTCACGAAGATCGTAGTCAAGGGACTCAACTAGACGACAATGTATATGCCAAAAATGAACCCGCAACTCGACTGTTTACAAACCGTTCCACGACTGCGCACGACCCAGCTCACACCAGCGTCACCAATCAGTCGCCCTTTCTCTCAATCGATGATTACAACGCGGAAGTCATCAGCATCTCGAGCGACTCACCAGAGGAACAAGCTAACCCTCGTCCCACGCACGGTAGGCCTCGAAACGCTCAAAATAGACACGCCGGGCCTCGTCGACCAGCTGCAGATGACCCAGTCGCATACTCTCTATGTGCAAAAGAACCAACCACCATGACAAAGGCCGAAGAGGATCGATGTCTCACATGCAGAAGGAATGGACTGACGTGCTCTGGGACACAACTTGTGTTGGGAAGCGATGGAAAACCGCGTTGTCAAGTATGTTCGACAAAGCGGTCGAATACTGAAGACGGGACTGGCACCAGACGGTGTTACTGGAGGAATGCGGCAGCTGGCATACTCACATTTGGGGATGCGAAACGAGCTGCTGGTCTGTCGTGAGTGGAAGGTACGTATAGTCAGCGTGGCCAGGAGGTGTGATGGGAAGATGGCACAGGTCTTGGAGTGGTAAGAGTTTGTAATGCGTCGAAAATGGCAAGACGTTGGACTATTCCAATTGTGCTGGATAGTAAGTATCTTTCAGATAAGTCGCATTCGCGGCGAGAAGAGTGAATGGTTGCGTAGAAGTACCTAGTTGAACGGGATCAGTGTAATGTCACAGTAATGTTACACTGCGATCAGACTTTTCTCACGGTACTGTTACCTGGTAATCAGCCTCAGAACCAAATTGTATCAGCTTGCAGTCATGTACTGAGCCACGTTGTCTGTAAGAATGATCAAGAACTTCTCAAAGGTTCGAACAGATTGCACAATTCGACTCGATGCCCGGTATGCTGATTAGGCGGCCCTATATCTCATGGTCAAGGATGGTATGAGACCGCACTATACACTTCTGTTTAACAGCTTCGCTGCGAAGACTATCATTGGTATGTAACCAAGGATGCCAAATGGATGCCATGATATGCGCTCTTATGATCGACCACAAGATTGCTATGCTCGTTGTTGCAGCACGAATGAACGTCATGCTCGCACAAGAATGAGCATTAATCCTTGTTTCCTCTAGCTTTCTCCAAGCAGGTTCTCTCGGGGAACTGTTCATATTCAAGATTGTGACCACATGTATGCGATGGCACTGAGTATGTATAGAGATAGAATTGGATCCGAAGTGAGTGTGGTTTTGAAGACAACCAGTATGAGTGCGGTGTAAGCGATCAGGAACTTGCACAGGTCGATGTACGTTGAACATCGGTAAGTATGACATATTGCTACAAAAGTGACCCGCAAATGAGAGACAGATACGTGGCTTTGGGGCCAGAGACTGTGAACAGCCATGTAGAGATCTCATCGGGCAAAGACAACGTTGTGAGCAAGAAATGCGGAAATCTTTAGTACGGAAAAAAATTGTACGATTTGTCAGAACAAGACCTTGCAGTGCGCTTGGAACGAGTCTAGCTGCTACTCTCTTCCTGAACGATATAAGTATATGTATTGCCTGTGAGAGCAGGGATTAACTCACTAGTCGTCCTCCATGTTCTTCATATCTGAAAATGTAAGGTTTCCTCTTTCTCTATTTGTCATCTTCGTCAGATTGACACATGCACGCTGCTCTCACTAACGACAAAGGGCAAAGTTGATCTTGTACAGGACATGGCAATCGATCAGGTATGCCCGGGCGCGCTGTATATAAAGTACGTCAGTCTCACAGGGGTACTGGTCTGCTGTTTTGATAGCCCACTTCCCATTCTTGTAAACCCATCGCTCATGGCTAAGATTTGCTTGTGCTTGCTTGGCCATAGCATCTCGTATCCTTATCAGTCGGTCGACCTTCATCTCAATAACAACTTGCAGGCGCTGTAAGCGTCGGATCTCGTAGGTCACGATACTCGGTATAAGGTCTTCGACAAGGTCTTTTTGCAGGATCTTGGCGTAAGCGTCAAGCCCGGAGATAACATTGTGAGCTAGGCGAATGGTGTCAGAGAGTGTCGCCTCTGGATCATCGGTAGTGACGAGTGGTTTTTGCTGAATTTGGCTTTCGTAGCCATGTAATGGATCCTCGGCTGAGCTCTGCTCGACCTGGGGCATGATTGGACGAGGTTCGGAGACAACCATATCTTGAGCGGTATGCATGTATGCAGTATCGTGGCTAGTAATCAGATGCTAGAATACCTTGTGTCTTTTGAGATTGTGGTTGTATTGGAACGACAATAACCCTCTTGCGACAGTATATGGGAGTTCTAGGTAAATGACGATCTTTTGTGTGAACGATGCCATTGTCTCACTGAACAATATCCTTGGATCTTAGGATTGACATGACAGACGTTCGACAAACAAAGACAGCGTTTTGCAATAAGCAACGGTGCTGTCAGACATTATGTTCATGTCTTGTCTGACAAAGACTATGGTCAAGTCGTGGTCTGGGAGGTTCTTGGACTGATACCGTGCCGGCCGAGAGGTACGCTCTCCGTCCACTCAGTCTTGATTGCTAGGGCCATGACTTGGTTGTACATGTCAACTTCCAGCTTTGTCATCTTCTTGCTCGGCCATTCATACGTGAAGCGCAAGGCTGACACGTCTCTGGTAATTGGGAACTGCGGTCCGTCTTCTGATTCCAGGGAATGCATAGCACGGCCACGTATTCTTATGGACACATCGACTGAAATTGGATAGAAACGTTTGAGCTTGGAGTGATTGAGGAGGGTGCCGAGCTTCATGTTGTCTGAGCAACAACTGGGCTGCACATGGGTCATTGACATGACTCGAGAATACCGATCATTGGAAACCTCGCCGAGGCTTTGATTCAGCAGAAGTTGCCTCGAGCCAAACGTATTGAGCTGCTCGCGGTAGTTGGGCTGGCATTCTCGTGGCCACAATGTTTGAGCAATTCGAACGTTTTGTAACTTCGGAAATTGTTCTAGTAAGTCAGTCTCCAGTAAACGGCTGAGAGCGTACTTCGCGTCAATAGTTATCGTTTTCAAATGTGGCCGTATGGTCTCAAAGGATAGGTCGATGGACTGGGGTGACGACCTCGAGAAAGCGGCCGCCAACCGCTTTGGTTCGGTTTGCGTAGAGTGATGGCACTCTGGTGGTGCTTTCAGTTCGACTTTGATAGATTCAATCTGAACCAATTTCGTGCCTTCTTGCTCGAACAGTCTACACACTCGAAGAAACGATAAGTTTTTGTGATATTCAGGCCACGTGGCCCAGCATGAGGACGAAATGAAAGATTCACAAAACCTGAAGGTCAGGCCGACATCGTCGAGAAGGTACTTGAAGATCTCTGCTCGAATCTCTGAGGGCAGTGTCAGAATCGGACATGACTCTTTTGGTGCAGGTGCTTCTATTCTCTTCAGGCAACCGCGCTCTGGTTCTTTTCTGGGACAAAGCTTTGTACTACAAGTAGGAATATTCGAGATGCGAAAGAGTCTCATTTTGAGGTTGTGATGTCAATGGGGAATACTAGGTCAGTCTTACTGAATTAGTGGGGCAGATTTTGTCGATCAGCGCGAATGCTCGTCCGAATATATGGACAAGTGCGATGTTGAGATGATGACAAACACAGGTTGGTGAAGCGCCACAGCGTGCGAATCCTGGTCACTTGAAATGCCGTGATATTGCGACACAATCCGGAAGATGGCAAGTCTGGGATCCTTTGACGTTGAGTTCAGCCCCAGGATAATCGCGCTCGAGTGGCTGCCGGCGAAAGTACCGAACCCCAAACAACTTGTTGGCGGGGCCGGGTGAATTTCAACTTCAACTTCAAGTTGTTTCGAGATTGAAACCACGAATCAATGAGCACAATCTCGAAACGTCGGTTTCTAGGCTGCACCCACCACGTTGCACGAATATTTGAGACTATGATCACGCTCTCTCTGAGAAACGACCATTGTACTGCTGGTTGAGACCTGGAGTGAGGCCAACAACGAACATTTTTTCATACTTACGCTTCCCACAATACTTGCTCCCAATGTCTGAGGACTCAACAGCTTGTTTATAGCGAGACGTATTGTCAGGTTTCTTTTACAGGGTATATCTACGAGGTATGTCAACACTGCAAGATATGCGTCACTTAAATCGGTGGCAGAGCAAAACGTCTGTGCATGGTGTATTTGATAGAGGAGAGCAGAATTGGACATACGATAGGTCCAGCATGCATACAGAAGTAATCTAGCTCTTGACGTACACAATCCTCAAGCCGTTCATCTTGCCAGGAGCCTTTTCAGCCACGCTTGTCGCTCTAGTGTTGGGTTTAGTTATGCTCAGATCCTGTCTACAGTTGCTACTGTATGCATTTCGACGCAGCCTTTGGCTGGAAACGAAGAATTTTCACTTGCATTCCTGCTCCTTGGTAGCTGTAGCGCCTGCGCGCAGTAATAGTGTTCCATCCACATCCCTACAGCAGCGAGATATACATGCCCAATGAAACGAAAGCGGAAGGAAGACGGAGAAAACAGGGCGACATCGCACTTTCCTCATATGTGAACGGACATCGTTCCTCCCTTACCGTCTCTTGTGGCCAGGGCATCGTGCATTATTGCTGGTCGAAGTATGGGCTAGTCACCCTCGTACTTTCTTTTCGCAGCAGCCTCCGCCCGCGTCGACCAGTGCTGCCACCTATGACCGTTGTTGACGCGGGTGCTTCTGACTGCTTAGTGAACATTTCAATGCCCGAATCAGTGTAGCCGCTGTCATGCGATGCATGTGACTCTCTACTACCCGTCTGGGTGTCATCGTTCTCGGAGTCAGCGGAACCATCGACGTTCATCGATGTGATTTTGGATTTTGCGCCACGAGCAGGCGTGCTTCGTGTCTTCTTCACTGACGATGTGGGTGCTTCTTGCTGTGTTGCAGTCTTGCGTGGTCTACCACGAGGTCGAGGCTTCAATTCAGGTGCAGTAGTACCATTCTCTCCTCCATTGTCGTTAGAAGCGACTGTAATGGACTTGCGCTTCGCCGTTTTCTTTGGTTTCGAGGCGGGCACGGCAGCACTGGATTCTTCGTCGTCCTGAAGAAAACCACCAGCTGTATCTCTGGGTGTTCGCGTGCTTCCCAGATCATCTTCATCGCTATCGTATAGAATTGGTTCAGGCCCAGGTGCAGAGGCAGACTTCTCCGACAGGCGTGGAGGTGACACAGGGGTTGGGTATCCTTGGCTGTAATCGGGACTGTAATAGTCTTGCGATGCGGAGATATTTGGTAAACCCCTTCGGTCCGTGTCCGATTCAGCGAAGAAGTCCAAGGTCAGTTCTTCGCGTTGATTGGCATCGTCCTCATGATCAACGAGAAAGCCGCCACCGAATTCATGATCATTCTGATCTGGCTCAACGCCCGTGGTATGATCCTCCTCGTTAAGCTGAATAGGGTCGTCCTTGACACGACCTGATTGAAGATCTCCTCGGTCGGAAGGTAATCCATATTCCTCTTGCACTCGATCGCGTATTCTGAGCCCGATCACCATCTTGCGCCAAGTCTCAAGGACCAACTTCTCCATCTTAGTCTCCTCTTCTTCGTTCCATGTCCGCCATGCATCTCGCACGACCTTCTCATTCTCCTTGGCGATCACTACACCCTGAATAACCGGAACAGCCATTTTGTTACCAAACTCGAATCCGACGACCGCCTCTGCAAAGTCAATCTCGAGCTTCTTGCACAGGCGTACACATCCCTTTAATGGTAGATGGACTGCACCTTTCGGCACCATGCTGGGCACAAAGCAATCGATGTTACCATATGAGTTCTTTGGTATGTGACCATCTTTGATTGGAGGTGGTATGATATATTCTGTTTGTTCCTCGCTGTATAGACCTTGCATCTGCTTCTCGCCGGTACGAATGAGATGCTCTTCGGCTTCTCTTTTTCGCGTCAGAGTCACTGCACGTACAGGCGCGTACTTCATAGGAGCTTCCCCTGCTCTCGGCACTCGACCTTCCTTGTGCCAAGATTCAGCTGTCATGACTCTTCGAACGTCCGAGCGCTTGTAGACTGCTATCTCCTCCTGCTTCTCACCCTTGCCAAGATTGAAATATCGGTCAGGCTCTGCGCCAACGATCAGTGCCTCTTCACGTCGTAGATGTTTTTCAATCACAAATTCTGTCGATGCCTTGAGGCTTTGCAATGTGTCGCCTTCAAGCTGTTTCTTCTCAGGCTCAGCGGGTACTAGATCAGTAGCATCTTCCGTGTCATCAACGGCAGTACGTTTGCGGTCGGACCGCCGGTAGGCGCTGAGAACATGCTTGAACCAGTCATACTGCTCACTTCGTTTGACCTTTCCACGTTTGTCGTGAATCTGCACCTTTTCAATTGGTACACGAAAACCTTTCGTCTTTCCAGGCCAAAGTCTCTTGCGTAGATATCTCACCGTAACGTCCTTGGCAGAATAGTCTGAAGAGTAAGCCACGACATACGCCATGACTTGCCGTGTCTTGTCCGCTTTAGCCCCTTTGGGTTCAAAAGCAGCTAAGGTCTCAGCAGAGGTGGCCACTGCATTCTCGAGCACAAGGGGTGACACGGGGTAGACCTTGGATGTGATCGGTGAAATAGCCTCTGCCCAGTATACTGGAAAGAGCAGGTCTCTGTCGTACTTTGCTGGTCTGGCTTTGGGCATAGCTGGTGTTACGTCGACTACTGATTCATCATCCGTCTCCATCTTTGTGTCATCCTCGACATCAGTATCCAGATCGATGGGAGCAGACTTGACTCCTGCTTTGCGTGATTGTGCTTTGCCTTTCTTCTTAGACGCCTCTGGTTCGCTTCCAACATCGCTGTCCTCAGATGACTCGGGATCTATGATCTTTCGTGGTACCATCTCTTCAGCTTTGGTGAAACCGAAACCTGTCGGCTGCAGTGAAGCAACTAGTCGTGCCTCAATACCAATAGCTCTCAACAAAGCCGTAAAGAGCTGCGCGCCTATGTCTCTAGAGCCTCCACATTTTTCTGCCAGATTGCGAAAATGCTGCAGGCTTTGGATTCTTTCTCCATGTTTCGCAGGATGGTGCTTGTCACTGCGGTATGATTCAATGTCCTTGCGCAGGATAGCCCTTGTGCTGTAACCACGCTTTCTTAGACCGGGAGCTGTGATTGCGAATCTCTTCTTCCAATAAGCAGCAAGTACTTTCAATAGACTGATGATTGGATCGCCAGAGCTCATATCTGGTTTGCCCTCCTCGAGTCTCTGGCTTGGACGACCCCAGTCCCGCTCGTTTCGTTCTCCGTTGGCCTTCCACTTCTTGATCTTCTTCTTCTTGTCCTTTGACAACCGCTCCTGTGACTCAACAGTCAGCCCACTGGCTCTCCTCCACTTCTCAATCTCTTTTGTAATCTGTGATGGTAGCTGTTTCAGCAGAATATCGTGCACTTTCTTATCGTTGACCCACTCATTTCGCTTTGCATTGTGCCATAAAAGGAACTGAACATGCATTTGATGAGCCCACATCCGAGCCTGCTTTTCACGTTTCGAAGGACCTTTCTTGGTCGTGTTTCGAGCGCTGAAGTAGGGTTCCTCGTCCTTGTCCACGGTGATCTTTACATCTTTGAACTCGCGCTTTGAAAAGTCAGGGGCGACAGGATGAGCTGGAGTATCCTCCCATTCTATGTCCTCGTCCTCGTCATCGTCTTGCTTGCCAGCATGAGCCAACCTGTGGTAACTCGAGGGCTTGCTGGGACCAGCAACATCCTCAAACTCGTCACTATCAACCTCGCTCAAGGTCGAATCAGAGTCATCACTACCGACAGTGAATCTGCTGATCTTCTTCTGCAGTGCTGGAGGGGGTCTGGATGCGCTTGGTGCTCCAGTCTTTACTCTTTTCGCGGGTGGAGGAGCAGGCACGGGTGAAGCGGAACGTCGTTTTCGTCCAACGAAGGGTGGCATCTTACAGCACTCGAGTTCACATACTCCGTGACACAGGATATTCTCTACTTTCACTCGAGCTCCTTCAATTTGCCGAATCTCGCTATGAGTGAAAATGAGGATCAATAAGGATCAGTGACGTATGCGGAGCCCAAAGCAGACGCGGCAGGAGCCACTCGTGTCGCGAATCTAACAGGTAAGAACGCGTCGCGAGATGGGTCGCATTCTGGGTCCACATGAATCTTGGAAAGCTCAAGCATAGACAGCTGACTGCAAGCTCTTACGTATTTTAATCCGATGTAGGATGGAACGAAACACCATTCACCGATCTCAATCACGAACGTGTGCTCGGACATCGACGACGCAAATGATGAGGAATGTTATCAGCTTTCTCCTCCTGTTCGGGATATGCTGGACTGAAACAAATCCAAGCTGGAAACGCTTGAGAAGTGTACTGTGCCGCAGACAAGCACGATCTTCAGGAATGCTCACAAAAGACTCACAAGGACGAGTGGGGACCGATGAAGACTAGACGCAGCAAGGGTACTGAAATGTCAATGTCAATACCTAAAGTTCGGAACCACCTTGCTATACGAGCTCGTCTTCGCCGTTTCGCTGTTCCCAAACACCAACTCGCACTCCTGTCCCTCATTCACACGTATGCTGACAGGTTCCTTGAACGTCCGCATGGTCTCCACTCCTACACTCGTTCTTCCAAGATGTGTAGGAGGTCGAGAATTCAGAGCTAGCATGAACAGCTCGGCGATTGAGTCCCAACTGCTTCCTGCCTTACCAGTAACGAAGAGGAAGATAAGGTAAGCCAAAACCACAACACAGTAGACAATCAATACTGCTAAGGCCAAGCACACTGTGGTTCCGGTGCTGTTGTAGCCTACTCCATGCCATATAAGTTCCATCTTCGAGACGTGAAGATCATTGTACTGCTGTAGCCAGTTAAAACATACTATGTCAAAAGTGGGATCGACCTCAGGCGTCCTGAGGTAAGTGGAGAGCTTTCCAAAACGTTGATTACTGGCGAGGTCGTCTAGCTCGTTTTTGGGCCAGCATTCTGCGACAGAGCCGGACTTGGTATGCCAATCTGCCAGAAACGCCGCCACAGAAACGCTCAAAATCTCGTTGGCATTCCAGTCGTTTGACTCACTGTTCAAGAGGTTGTGTATGGTCGGAGCGAACTTGGTTAAACGACGTGCCCAACCTGGATCAATCTCAATTCTTGTCTCTTTTGGAAAGTCATGTATAAATTCACTTGCCCCGTCTGGCGTAGGTATGTATCCATTAACAAGTTCTCCTAGGAGTTCCTCGTCAAAAACGTTCGCGGAAGCCACGTTGACCTTCTCAGAACCTTCGCCGCGCCATTCATAGGTAGCATCCGACCAGATCGCGTCTACAGAGCAGCCTTGTATCGACCCCAACCCGCCCAGATGGCTGACACCACTCCATGTGGTGAATGAACCGACCATCACTAGAACCGAGGGACGAGGTTGGCTGATAGTAGGAGCGCTTGTCCAGACGATGTCAACGTTCGCATTCTTGTCGGCGATAGCGAGAAAGTCAGAGATGCTCATGAAATCCTGCAGACCAGTGTCGGGAGGGAAGGGAACGTAGCTGCCGTTGGTAAACTCAGAAATGTTGTGGCCTGACCTATTCCCCCACATATCTGCCTCACGACAGGTAACTTGTACTCGAGGGACTTTGCCTTGGAATTTCATCGTTCTCGTGCCTGTGATGCTGTCCACCAGAACGCCGCATGACGACAAAACGTTCACAATTTGCGCACTGGGAAAAGATGTCACAGGTCTGTAACTCAACCTCGATCCAGTATACCAAGCGTCCTCGTCGTAAATCCATCTGCGAGGGCTGCGTCGAATATTGCCGGAACTGACTGCGACCCAATCTTTTGACGAGGAAGAAGCCTCGCTATTGGTAAGGAGTTGAAAGATTTGGTTGTCTATCGTAGCCGAGTCACTAGACCGCTGTAAGTGACCATGACAAATAAATAAAGAGCTATGGACAAAGTGTAACATACTTGAGTGGCTGGTGATCATGACCAATGGACATGGGATAAGTGAGTGGCAGATCTGAGAAGTAGTGGACGTTGAACATGGTCTGGTTAATGGTCCGTGGAATCATCGCTATGGCACTGGAAGGTCCGACCAGACCCGCCAAGATCATGGAAGCGAACAAAGAACATAGTAAGAAAACAATTCGAATGCTGCCGAGTCCAACGCTTGTGATGGCTGCCCAATACTCCAACGACCAAAGGTACGATATGAAGGTTGTTTGTGCAGGAGCAAATATTGTGCCGAGGGGAAGTCCATTCCCAAGTAGCTCTCGTCTTACTAGGCCGAGAGTTATTGCTGCTAACGATGTTTGCATGAGGACTTCGTGCAACTTAGCACAAAACTGCAATCCGGTAGATAGTGTGGGGTCCAGTATTTGCCCAATCCTCCTGCCAACCAAATTAATGGTTATGATGGCGACTGCGATGCACAACGGTGGGATGTGTAACCAGGAGAACAGACTTGCGGTGACACGGTCATTGTAAACAGCTATTTTGGCGCCTTCGTGATGTCGTTTCCATGCTGTTGCCCCATTGAATAACTGAAGTCCGACAGACCTGAGAAAGACGTGTAATGTTCGGCCTTTCTTGACAATGGAGGAGGGCGACGACTCGGCAACGAGGTTGTATCTGCCAAAACCGTTTGAGCTCGCAACGTTGTTGACCCTGTTATCCGTCAGTCGCTGTCACAGTCAGCAGTGCCTGGCTTTGACCTACCTGTCCATCTCTTCAGGACTAAATCAGGTCGAGGTGGCTCGTGAGAGTGCTTTATCAGATATAGCCAATTAGTCTGACACTTGCGACACCGACACTCGCGATTTCAGCAATACCAAAACATAGAGATGAGAAGTATTCAAGATGTCCTTCGCCAGATCGTAGATATCTCAGAGGTGGGGAGATGCTGCTACAATCCGTTGGCAGCTTTAATGTCTCCTAAGCCTGCTTGCTAATTCTGTGGTGAGGAAAACAGGGAGGAAGGCGGAGCATAAGGATGTATGAACCGTGTCTAAGTCACAGTCGCCAACAGACTAATGTATATTGATAGTGCGGTCAGTCCGGCAAGGTGGACCACTCCAAGATATGCATCGCAACAGGGAGTACCCAGTATTTTCGAGCGTCCCCACTACGTATCAGTGCGACCTTGAGGCTCTGCGTGGAGTCGAGGTGTTGGTTTCGATACCTCGCCAAGAGAGCTAAGCAGGATGAAGACAGGATCATGGGGTGATACAAGTGTAGGGGCTGGAAGGAAACTGGGGGCTATTGACATCGCGCCTACTCAACACTGTCAGCGATGCAAGCAATGACGTGCTAAATTGGTCCATCACTCGGTGTTCATGGTACGTCTGTTGCAAAAAACATGACTTTTAGTGGCTGAGTTCCGCATTCACATAAAACAAGTGATACCAGGTGGGAGTCTGGTAGGTGTTTTGAACACAAATGACAAACTGGAACACTTCCGGAAAACTGCTGCCTCGGGCATGTTTTGGGAAACGAATCTATTGTCCATGCTATTTCGAAAAAGTAGCATCATTGCAGCAGAATCTTAAGTGTATATCGAGTCTACACCTTTCAGATCTTGTTGTCGGATTCAGCCCAAAACATCTCTTTCAACACTATTGCAACCACAAATCCACTGTTGTAGTAGTCAAATCATGACCTCTCCACGTAGCTACCATTGCCTCTGCACAACCCTAATCCTCACCACTTCGCATCCATTATCCTCTTTGCCGATACGTGCACCTCCAGCTCTGGACAAAGCAACCGTCCTCTCTCTTCCATCTGGTCAGGGGCACAGTGTCTTGCGGAACGTCACGTCGGAACGTCAAGTCATAATCATAAGGCGCGAGGATGGTTTCGAAAAGAGGATCTTGCTGCGGTGTCAGAGGTGCGAGTTGATCGTGGGGTACAGGTTGGACCAGGCACATTTCGAGCACGGACACGGAGGAGTAAAGGCGGATGAAGTTGTGTATATTCTGCCGGGAGGATTAATGAGTACGGAGGAGATGAATGCGGGAAAGGCTGGGAAGGAGGATGGACGGGTATTGATCGCGCAGCCATTGTAGATGGCCGCGAGGAGGATGTAGATGTGGTAGTATAAATTCTCGCCTGCCTGAGATAGTACATGAACTGGCCATTGCCTGGTGGCCATGCAGGGATACTCGCACAACGCATGGTGTTTGCCGATCATGCTGAAAGCAACGCTGGTGTTCTCTCGATAAAAAGACTTCAATGTTCATGTACAACATTTCCTGCTCCTATACCAAAACTCCACCTTTGACCATACAATGCAAATCGTTTCCTCGTGCAAGATTGCTTTAGTTCGCCAGAATCGTCCTCACGAGCTCCATATAGTTTATCTCGCCAGAGCTTGTGTCAACGGCCTTGAGGAGCTCGTCCACCTCTTCGTCGCTCATTTTCTCCCCCAGGTTTGTCAGAATGTAGCGTAATTGACCGACACCAATGAAGCCAGTCATGTCTTTGTCAAAAACCTGAAAGCCGCGGCAGTACTCTTCTGGCTCGCCTGGGTCTTTGAAACCTCCTGGACGGTTGAGGACTTTCGAAAAGGAGTCGAAGTCAACTACGGCCGGATGTCAGCTCATTTCTTCGGTATGCTATTTGTATGGCGGACTTACAGTCGCCACCCACGCTCTTCTCCAGTTCTCTTATCTCAGAAAGTGTAGGATTCTGACCGCATGCTCGTAGGAGGTCGCCCAAGTCTTCGAGAGGAACTCTACCATTGCCGCGCTTGTCGAATAGCGAGAACGCTTCTTTGTAATTTGTTGAAGTCTGTGAGGCCATCTTGTCAGACAATTTCGTGATAGTAAAGATAACGACCCAGATCGCAGGAAACGACGAGTTGTTTGAAGAAAGCAAAAGCTGTTTGTTTACGGGACAAGAAAGTTCTCGGCTCGTCGCAACAGGAATTCCAGTCGTTTGTTTTGCTCGTCCGGGATTTAGGGAACGGCGCAGTCCTCACAGCGGATCACATGCAGGATTGGAGAAGTGCGACTTACCATTTTAAAGGGAGTTTACGTGAGGTTCTCGACGGTTGCCAAAGGACTTATGGATCGTGCAAAGGTCAATGTATTTCCTCGTAGCAGAGTTGTTGAATTCTACATACAAAGGGTCAGGAGCAGGCAAAGACCGAGAAGGAGCGATGTGCATGTGGATCATTCTGCTGGCAGGGACTGACTTCCGAGCAGCACTTTTGTTTGTGAGTCGTGACTGCCAAGCGCTGCCCGGGCAACCGTCAGCTCCTGCCAAGAGTAGAGAACCATGTTTTATGTGGCTCAACTTGAGCATGTCGAGCAGTGTTGGGCTCAAACAATGATCCTACACTTGCTAGTAGACATATCGGCTATCTACGGGCACAGCTAAAGTTGATTATCGCAAGTTTAGCTCATCTTCTGCTAGAAATGGTCGCATGCATCCGATGCCTATAATGGTCTAGCAGATCAGTCCCAGTGCAACCAGTTCACCTACCAACCACTCAACTTGAAGCACTCGTCTTCCTCGCCACCCAGTGGCTGCACCTGTAGACATGCTGCAACATGCTTGAAGGATCTTGGATATAGGCTCCAGCATTTGGGGGCAAAGTCTCCTGGAAGATGACTTCGAATCCCATACGCTGCACCAGAGTCATCACCTCCTCTTCAGTCAGCTCGAATGAGCCAGGTTCGGCGATACCAGTAGAATCCTTTGCTACGTTTTGTGTGTCGTTCTCTTCGTCCACATGCACATCATGCTTATCAGTCAGTCGATCTTCAAAGTGCCAGAGAAGAGGTCCGATATTGATCCATAATCCATTCTCCCCCAAACAATGGTGTATTGTCTCGATGTATCGGATCACATTTGGCGCTGTATCAATAAAGTACACCGTAGCCACCACATCGAACGAACCAGCACTTTCGGCTGATGTATACGATGTGATAAAATCTCCTGCTGTCATGCTCATGTTACCAATGGGAAGACCTGCCTTCAAATTTTCACTCATTGCCGTGCTTGGATGCACATCCGGAATGGTAACAGATCGTAACTGATTAGCGCGACTTGTGTGATTATTGAAGCTATTTATAAACGGGTAGAGCTTGTATTGGTTAGCGTACTTGGTGGTATTCAATACAAAGTTTGATGACAACAGCTGATGGTATGATATCTCGTTGCCTTCAGCTGTATAGCCGGCTAGACATAGTTCGAACAACAGCCGTCCAAGTCCAGCACCTGGTAGGAGGATTCTGGTGTTGGTCACAGGACTGTCCAGGTAACTCTTCACATCGTGCAAGATAGTGTCGAGAACTGATTTGAGCTCTGCCTCAAATCCTTCGCGCGACCAGTCTCGCCAAAATTGCTTGAGAGTGGAATGTGCTTTGTCAAGATCTAAAGGCCTAGCTGTGTCGTGCCAATTGTTCCAGCTATCAATGTGCGGCTGTGCCGGCAGATCGAATGTTTCCAGCCCTAATTGAAGAATTTCATTCTCAATATCTGCATTCTCATCTATCGCATCATCGATCGCGCTTAGATTGTCCAGGAAAAGTGTTCCGGGCGAGTTCAGGAGATCTTGATGATTCTTAGGTAATGCGTAAAAGTTCTGCCGTCGTCGGTGAGTGGTGCCGAAATGGGTCTGCTTGCGGTACTGGCTGTATGTGTGGTGAATTAGTCGTTGATATGGCACTAGGGAAGTCTCGACATATCTCACTGTTAAACAGTACAAGGAGGAGTCAAAAGGTGAAGCGAGGGTGAGGACCACGATTTGGGACGACTGACAATGGGCGTGATCGAGACCAGCCGCAAGCCTGGAAACCCCCTTCACGACACAAACTTATCACAAAGCAGATGAGAAGTCGCTTACTCAGATGCGCGTTCCAATTTTGTGTTTACCTACCGAAACGAATCTAAGACGTTGAATATCGCTCGTCTTTCGCCAGCGTCAGCAAGTGGCCCCGAGTCAAAGGGTTGCTTTGCCGTAGCTGATTCTTCCATTTTTATCACAGGTATGTAATTCAAGAATTGGAACGTGCTCAGTTGATATTTATGGTGTCTGAAGTGAGTCGAACAAGGTATAGCAACGCCTTGACAAGCACTTGATCTGCCAAGTCGGAAATAGTTCAATATTCGAGAGAACGATAACTTCAATCCCCCAATTGTGGGTCAAATTACTGCTGCGAGTCGTGCTTATGGCGCTTGCACCGGCAACTCCCGCCCTACTGAACGGCATTCGTCCGCTCCTGCAGGTTTAAAATTGTGTAAGAGTGAGGAGTGTTACTTCGAGCACACCAGACATCAGGAACAGAACCATTATTTTTGAACGCAACAACGCACTTTTTAATGCCCATTATGGTCGCTACCATTAACGCTGTCGAGATCTCTTTTCCAGTACCAAGAGCGCCCTACGCTATACTTCATGGACACCTCACGTTCGAGGCAGGCTACACGATGATACACTTGACCACTTCAGAACTCGGTGAAAGCGGTGGATCTTTGGCATCCTTCGGTAGTTTTGTATATGCAATGCCGGATGTAGGACTAGGTATGGTGTATGTTAAGTTCCAAGCTGACAGTGTCCCAGCGCACGAACGAGAAGCAAGTCTTGAGTACGACGTTAGTCGCCACTGGCGCGAACGTTGACTATGCCACAAGACTTGCAAAGATCTTGGCGCGGAGAATGCAACTCCCTGTCTACGTTGGATGTAGCATGAATTTCGTTGGAACCATGCCGGAGGAAGAGATCGAAGGTCTGACTTCTCTCGTGCAGAAAATTATGATTAGATTCAGCAGGAGCAAGCTAGTCCAGCAAGGTACGAGTTAAAAGACCTTAACTACGATGAACGAGACTGCACTTGACGTCTTTGCAATGACAATGGCTAAACATCCTGCGCTACTTACGTATCTGCATGCACGACTTCCGCATCACATGCGAACCGAAAGCCGAATGAAGTGCAACAACATCCCTGCCGCAAAAGTCGGGCAGATATAATTTTGCTCCGGACTGTGTGGCTGTCTGAGGTGTTATGCATCTGACTGCAGATCTGCGATATCCTCAGAAGCACAAGACTGATCAACACTGTGGTTCAAAACGAGGTCAGGAACGATTGTCACCAACATGCAGATAGCGTGGGTCCATTGTAATACATCATCAGCTCGAATAGCAGCTTGGGCTCACTACGCTCATTCGCTGGTCGATTGGTTTACATGTTCTGTTCGTACAAGTAGTTACTACTGCAATGCAATGCGAGCTGCAAATCGCCGATCCGGCCCGACTCGAAAACAAATGGTATTTGAGGAGTCACAACTTTGACTGTCCCGCCTGCAGCTGTAACGAACTACGAGTAGCGCAAATCGGCGCGAAAGACTTCTGCGAGGAGACGAAAGCCGAAATGGGGGAAGAGAAAATGAGATATCCGTAGAGTCGAGGAAGAATGTCATTAAGAGGGCCTTGCCGACAACGACGCATGTCGAGCGGTGAAAGTGAAACCATAAGCTATGCTGGTTTCCCGCTGTGGATTCAAGTGGGGACGAGTGGAACTAAACCGTTGAGAAAGCAGTCGATCAATCCAACTCCGGACGTTCGGCAATGGTCAGGTGAACCAGGCGAAGCGGGTGAAGCACAGGTGAGGCAGGTGCCAGACGATCGTGTAGATCAATGAGCTTAGCATTTACCAGTAGTAATCTTGTTGCCCAAGCTCTCGCAATTTGCTCGAATCTGGCGATAGTGCTCGCTGTATCTGATACTGCAGTTGGACGGAATGTCTGATCCTCTGAGTCTTCGTCAGCTATCGTCGGATCTAGATTCCTAGGTTCCACAACGGTCGGGGAGGGCTCGACGACCCTGCATCCACTTAGTGCGTTTCAAGTTCACACTCGCAATTTATGCTGGTTATGCGCTTTTGCGGTCTAGATTGTCGTGGTGGAAAAGCGAGACAGATCTGCATACAGCACCTCAAGCCAGAGTGAGTTCGAGAGCTCATCCTGGAGGGCCGGATCTTGTTTGATCGTACAAGCACAAGCATTGTCCTGGTAAACCCCAATCTTTACCACGACGCCAGTCCGTTGTTGAATAGTACATAATACGCCAGCAGAAGCGGCACAAGCAGGACGGAGGTGTTTCGCTCCATTCCCGTCATGTGCTCCTACCAAGTCTCATTCAAATTGTCCGGCGCACGGCAAGCGCCATTGTGCATGTCGAGCTAGACCAATTGCCGAAACGCAGCACAGACATACGGTAGTGGTAGATCATCTTTAGCCCCGAAAGGTGTGCATATTTTAAGGCTTTGACAAGTCTTGGTCAATGATCATCGCTGTAATCAGCGATCCACCAGAAACGTCCCGTATCGTGTAAGGATTGAAAATATCTGGACAGCCAAAAGCAGAACCCTGGTTCCCAAAACTTACCCTCACAGAGTCTCACCCACCCGTCTCCTCCTCCACTTCAACTCGAGCAGTCAGGTTCGATGAACATGCCATGTCATCGCAGATTGACAACATTGCGAGGCCTTCTATACAGGAAGCTTCCCGCAGTCGCCGCGTAAGCTTCGGGCTCATGATCGGCATGGCAACGGTCGCCTCTCAGTCGGCTCACTCCTAGGGGCGACGACACAAAGTTTCAGGACAAATTTAAAATGTCCAGAACTTATAGCTTGCTAGCGTCGTTGAAGGACCATTGGCTGGTGGATTGCGGTTCCACCCCTCCGGATCTTCAGCAGACCACTTCCAGTCGGCACATTGCCGTTGAATTTGGGATGCTGGAGAGGCATCTCTCTTGCATCGCGCATTGGACAATTTGTTCGTCATGAAAGAAACCTTTACTGCTCGCAACTGTGGCGTTCACAGGTTCGTGAACTCTTTTACCGAGACGCCACGCACGTTTCGAGAGTGGCCACCACTGCTGAATGTCGGCCTTTCTCGTCGACTTTGTGGGAGCTAGACTCTGGGAAATCATCAAGAGACTGACGGCAAACGTTGAACGAGTGACAAGTCCTGTAAATGATTCAGGCGAAGCTCACTCCACAGTAGCCAAGGCTGCGATTGTGTACGCTTTCTGCAGAATTGGGCTCCGCTTGCAATCGATTGGGATGGGTTCAAGGATGTGTGTAATCACACCTGAGTGTTTGTATCCAGAGCAAACGGTCTTCCTTATGATCTTTTGAACATTTTTGAAACTTGGCAGTGCTTCGTGGAACTGAGCATTCGCTCAAATCTCGTCGCCGGCTTTGGCTGCTCTATTAACCCCGCTCTGTCTCGCTGCTGATAGAGCGCGACAGGAACGCAATCCTCGAAGAACTACACCATATTGGTTTTTGACCAGATGCAACATCACGAGTACCCCATCCGAACACAACCAGACGAAAGCGAATACATTGAAAGACATCGAACACGTCTTCCAACAATCGTCGCCAGTTCTAGTCCAGAAAGTCATGGCAGTGATGGAGTCTTTGCTCAAAGGGCGGGACCAAGCCTACGGCCTTTTCGTTCGACACCTGATACTGGACAGGTGTCGCCTGCGGAAACAAACTTGCTAGCACACGACTACTACAATGCTGGCTCGGGAGCGACTGGCGTTTCTCACGTGGACGCTCTAGGTCAGGTCATCGTGCCCAATCCGAAGCGCGCCTATCGTCAACGCAGGAAGGACCCTAGCTGCGACGCCTGCCGAGAACGAAAGGTCAAAGTAGGTCTCTGACCTTCGACTGTAACGAAATCCCTAATTCCTATAGTGTGATGCTACGGAGACAACAAGCTGCACCGAGTGTTCGAGCCGTAATGTCCGATGTCAGTTCACCAAGGACTCCAATCGGCGCATGTCTTCTATCAAGTAAGCAGGGCTATCCAGCGATGGTTCAAAGACTTATCTGACACAGTACAGACAGGTGCAAGATCTGGAAAGGCAGTTAGTTGAGGCCAGAACTCAATTAGATCTCATCCGAGCATCAGAAAATGTTGCAGAACAGCGGGCGCAACGCGCACCACCCTTTCTGGACCCCGAAATACAGGACATAAGTCGATCACCTCGACGTATGCTCAAAGCGCGCACACCACAAGACCTGTCTGTGATCCGACTTCAGTTAGCTGATGTTGGTAGAGGTGTTTTGAGGCCTCCCATATCGCCTCTTGTCCCAGACGAGCCGGACCACTGCAAACTTCCTCTGTCTATCCTTCCACCTCGCAATATTGCTCAGCATTGTTTGGATATCTACTTGCAAAGTGTTCACAAACGTTGTCCCATTGTAAATTGGCCACAGTTCTGCGAACGATTCTGGAGTCTCTATGCTGGCGAAGCGACTTCCGATGTCTCTCGGGAGGTCATTACGATGTCGTTCGCCATCCTCGGGCTCGGCGCATACTCTTCGCCAGATATTCGGGTACGGGGCGAAAGCGAAGGCTTTGTTCAGGTGGCATTTCAAAACATGAACCTCTGGGATAACAGATTCGGTGCGAATCAAGGGCCTGTGTCACTTCTCCTTAGCATATATATGCTGGAAGCCAACATGAGGTCGAATTCTCTGATCTGGCTAGGATGCGCTACACGAATCGCACAAGACAGAGGCCTGCACATACAAGGAGGGTATTGGTCAGCCATTGATGGGGAGATGCGCAAGAGGATATGGTATTCTCTTTACGTTTGTGACAGGTGAGTTACTTATCATACGCAAGAAACGTGCTTACACAGGGACAGACTCGTGGCAATGGAACTCGGTAGACCGATGCTCATCGCGGACGAAGACTGTGACACAGAATACCCACAACTGCTCGAAGAGGAGGAATACATTGCCGACGTTTTCCATCCACAGAGACCCACACTGCTCCTAGCATCTGTACATGTGTGTCGACTGATCGCACCATTGGCCCAGCTGTGTCGGTCGTTGTGCATCACGATTGACGCGAAGAGGAGATTTGAGGTGCATATGAACAAGTGTATGAAACTTTTCCCAGTTTCGCTACAGCTTGGAGCCACAGACCCTCTCGATCCCATGAACATGGCACCAATATTACATTTTCAGAACGTCCGACTCTTGTTACACCGACATAATATCTCGCCAGCAAATTCGCTGGAGCAAAGGTCCGCTTCGATCGATGCGTGTGTGCGAACTGCCCAAGACACGGCCACTGTGGTCTCGCGCTGCTTCTTGTTTCTCGATCGAGAAGGGAGCGCAGAGGCGCGACTGAGGATATCGGCCACTGCGCTGATATGCACTCATCTTTGGCGATGTATGCTGTTCCTTGCTTTTCGACAACATTGGGTACCATTCGATGTTCTACTGCGTTATGTTGCAGCCGTTGGAGATAGCAGACCCGTCAATGTTAGTTGTGGCCGACATTTAAGTCTTCTCTTGAATGCGCTGGTCGAGAAACGTCAAGCAAGTGATACTAAGAACCTTGAAGAGGACGAAGACCTTATTGTGCTACTTTCGGCAGATTTGCAGGCTGGCACAAACAGCTGGGTCTGGGGCAACACTGAAACAGGTACATTATTGAGCCGTCGGCAGAGACACAGTCGGCTCGTGCCAGACTCAACGTCTTCAGCTTCACCATCTCCACAGATATCGCTAGATTCGAACGTCTCAAAGCAGGAGATAGAACAGTGGGGAGGATGGCAGAGTGTTCACGAGGCAGCGAGGCGACTATCAGACGATTCAAACCATAAAGCCTTACCCCCACAGCTTCCGAACTATGGTCGAATAGTCCCAGACTATCAGCAGGGCGCAAGCCAGCCAGAACCGGGGCGATGTACGAGTACTGCAAGAGCTCGTATGACAATTGCTAGTATAACAGACCTGTGATGCTCGACTGTACCTCGCATGAAGCCCAGTATCCTGTCACTTCAGGTGGTCCGGCTAGGTTCCGTTTCTACGTGGGGCCTGAGAGAGTGCACTTCTATGTTAGATTTCGACCGATTCCAGGATCACAAAAACTGTACTAACACTTCAAGTGTTCCTCCTTCCCAATACGGAAACCTCCGATTATGTGAGGACTTTTTACTTTCTCTTCTCAATTTGGTCCATGAGTCGGCTGTCGGAGGAGCACCCTCACTCCTGCGCCTCACGTTGTCCGCTTCGCCATTCATGCAACTGTAAACAAGCTGCGTTTCAACTATTGACTCTTGCTTGGACGATATGTAGAGTCTGTATGTTTTGCATCGTTAAGCACTCAAGAGGAAGGTGCCGCCATCGTGCATGACAGACACTGGCATGGCTAGTAGGTCTGGTGAAGCGCGCTTTGGGATGACCATCGGAACTGGAGATCAATGTTGATTACAGCTGATGCACCTGTGCTTAGCACTGCCGATCCATTGGACTAGAGACCCGGAAACCTTTATGGTTCGAGTGGACTCTGTGTCGGGCTGTGTCTACCCGGTAAGACTCAATTGGGCTCAACGTGCAAGAGAAGAGTGACTTTGATCAACACTCACAGGCAGTGGTGCTTCTCGCAACCACTGAAGAAAATGGCCACGCAACTAAACTATCTGGAAACCGTCAGCAATATTTAGCGTAATGGCGAATCTTGTTTGTACGAATCCTTATGAGATACCCAATAGCACTTCATCAGCGAAGCGTCTTTTCAATAGTATTACGATAGTTTACTGATGGTTAGGGAAGCTATTAAACTTTGCTGAGTAGTCGACCCCTGAGCCGAGATGAACTACATAGGATAGCCTTCTGGACGAGGATTCATTACGCATATTCCGTTTGTTCGAGTCTCTGAGCCAAAGCTTGAAAGCAAGAAGCCACAGTCATATACATACGTACCTGCAATTGAGCCTACAGACCGTTTCAACTGACAGGAGTGTACAACTAGCACATAGACAATATAGGTCACGGTCGTGTTGCCTGTTAGACCTTATTGACGGCATGTACAGGTGTTTTCCGGTGTTGACCGGCAACATATCTACTTCAGCGGCACACCCAGCATGGCTCCGTTATGGCTGCCACTTAGTGCCGATCGTGACTCGATGCCGGCACTATTGAGCTATGCTCAGCGCAACTGCTTGAACACACTGCAACCGCGTTGGCAGAGTGTCTTTGCGCGTATAGGCGGCAATTCCACGTGGAGCGACCGCAGAAGTGCACGTGCTCTTGCCACGTATCAGAAGTACTTCCCTGTCCAATGTTGGAGGCAAGATTACTCTTCCCTATCCACAAGCGTCCTACAAGCAGCAATGATATAGCGTTTCGATGTTGCTAAGGGTAGTTACACGCCTCCGGACATGCTCATGAAATGGCATGATGCATTGTCGACGAACAAACTGCAAAAGTTGTTCTTCTGGCTACTGGTTCTGCAGTTCTCCTTGATTGCGACGTGTTGCGCTCGTCGTGACGGTGTGCCCGGTGCACCACATATCGCTGCGCTCAGGCAAGAGACGGAAGAGCTCTTTTACCATGGTTTTCAAAGCTATATGAAGCATGGCTTTCCTGAAGACGAGGTTCGTCCCTTGAGCTGCAAACCATTGCATCGAGATCGAGAGAATCCCAACCACCTCGAACTTAACGACGTGCTTGGAAACTACTCATTGACGCTCTTAGATACGCTCTCGACTCTTGCTATTCTCGCTTCTTCTCCAACAGGAAGCCATGGAAATAAACCCCTCGAGCTGTTTCAGAATGCTGTCAAGGACATTGTAAACCTGTATGGCGACGGAAGTGCTGGAGCACGAGGCCAGGGCAGAAGAGCAAGAGGGTTTGACCTGGATAGTAAAGTACAGGTCTTTGAAACTACCATCCGTGGTTTGGGTGGCTTGCTGAGTGCGCATCTCTTTGCTGTTGGAGAACTACCTATCACTGGGTATGGGCCGCCAGCTGATCAGGCTCGTGCAGCGCAAGCTTGGACAAGAGATGGAAAAGATACTGTTGGAGGTATAAGATGGAGTAATGGCCTGGTATATGACGGACAACTTCTGAGGCTCGCGTACGACCTAGGCAACAGGCTCGTGCCCGCATTCTGGACCTCTACCGGCATTCCTTATCCTCGAGTCAACCTCCGCCACGGTATACCTTTCCATGCTCGATCTGCTGGCAATTTTGCTCCTGAAGGAGAATGCGAAACTGAGAAGAAGAAAGAGACAGGTGAAATAACAGAGAACTGTAGTGCTGGCGCTGGGAGTCTAGTGCTTGAGTTCACTGTACTGAGTCGACTGACGAACGATGCAAAATTCGAAGAATTGGCAAAGCGCGCATTTTGGTCCATCTGGAATCGCAGAAGCCCAATTGATCTCATTGGAGCTGGTATTGACGCTGAGACTGGCGTTTGGCAGCACTCGTGGACAGGTATCGGTGCTGGAATAGACAGCTTCTTCGAATATGCTTTCAAATCGCATGTCTTACTTTCTGGACTTCCACGTCCACCAGCGCCGAACAACATCACTGCCCACGATCCCAGGTCTCTCTTCGTACCACTCTCAGACGTGGACCATGATGGCGAATCGTTTTTGCGCGCCTGGGATGCTGCTCACGCTGCGATCCAGAAGCACATCAACCGTGACATAAACTTTCAACATCCTCACCACATTCAGGTAGATCTTAACAGCGGGGCTTCCAGGGCTTTCTGGGTCGATGCATTGTCGGCCTACTATCCAGGACTACTTGCCATGTCTGGCCATGTAGAAGAAGGTGTTGAAGCACATCTTGTCTATACCGCCCTGTGGGCTCGCTTCTCCGCCCTTCCGGAACGCTACAATATGGCTACTGGTGGTATTGAAGGAGGCCTTGGATGGTGGGTAGGCAGACCAGAAATGATAGAGTCTGCCTGGTATCTCTACCGAGCTACTGAGGACCCATGGTACATATATGTCGGAGAAATGGCCATGCGAGACATCAAAAGACGTTGTTGGGGCCGCTGCGGCTGGACCAGTATCCAGAATGTACTAACTGGTGAAAAGGTCGATCGAATGGAAACTTTCTTTCTGAGCGAGACAGCCAAATACCTTTTCTTGCTCTTCGATCCTGATCATCCTCTAAACAAGCTCGATGCACCTTACGTTTTCTCTACCGAAGGACATCCCCTGATCATTCCCCGCGATCGCAGCATAAGATACAAGCCAATGGTACCTATACCAGACGAGGTCAACGATCGTACGTGTCCCCTCAAGCCTGCACCACTGCCGCTCAGCATTTCCAATGTTGCAGCTCGTGGCGACGTGTATCATGCCGGCTCTCTCGCGAGATTGCATCTTATGCCACAACGTGGGCAGGTCGACTCGGTCCTAAAAGAATACACCATCGATCATCCTAGTATAGTCCTTGCAGACGTACAGTCGCCTTCAAATTGGACCTACTATCCCTGGACGCTACCACCAGGACTCGTTCCACATAATGCTACAAGTTCAAAGATGCCTACAGCTCCAACCTTCGAGCTTGCATTCCCATCGACAGAGAACAAAGCCAACAACGCCAATCCACCTCTACAGCGTGTCAAAGATGGAATCCTTGTCAACGCGTTAGTAGGTTTGCGGCTGTCTATGATTCAGGACGTACCTATGTTTGTCAACGACGACTTAATTACTGGTTATCGTGTGCACGCCATTAACAACGTTGCACTCGGCAAGGACGAGAAGGTGTATCTGGCGCAAAGCACTAGCTACAAGGCTTTGAATCCTCAAGACCCCTTGTTCACTAGACTTCGTGACACTACAGTGCTGGACATTGCGATCGACATCGGTCAGACTAAGAGGCAGAAGGAGACCGGAGGTATCAATGCATCGATTGGTCAAAACATTGAGATCGAGGTTCCTGATCTCGACGATATCACGGATGGAGCCATGAAAGCGGCATGGAATTCGATCTTGACACAAATCTCAGACTTGGTGCGGGATGCACAAGGGCTTATGTTGCCTCTGGGTTCAGTTATGGATGATAATTCTCACGATCAAAACAGTGGCAGGGTGTTTGTGCCTGCTATTACACCGAGCGGGATTGGTGCCGCCCCTCTGCCTGATTGGCAGGAAGTGTCAGCAACTACCAGCAGTCAGGGAAAGGAGGAAGAGCTACCATGGACGAAGATTTACGCTGTTGGGGAGCTATGCGACGAAAAGTTGCCTGCCAGCATCTTGAGATCACACCAAATCATCCTCATCAAGCGAGGAACCTGCTCCTTCAACCAGAAGCTGTCGAATATACCCATGGTGCGCCCCAACAGAGCAGCATTCCAGCTAGCCATCGTTGTTGATTACGAAGAGGGCGAGGGGATTCACGCTGCTGACAGCATATTCGGTATTGGGTCTAGCATCGTTGACTTCTCCACTCGACCTCTGTTGGATGAGCCTCAGTTGACTAGTAGTGGACTGCCACGACAAAACCTGGTACCTATGGTTATGGTCGGTGGAGGTGAGCAGATGTATGAGGCACTCAAAAATGCCAAGGGAATAGGTGTGAAGCGGCGGTATAGCGTAAGCACTCAAGGTATTCCTATAGCCAATGTGATGATTGTTTGACAAGTGATATGTAATGCTTGTGGTATTGCGGACAAGGTTGTGCTGATTGCTCCATGGCAAGTGGTTTCCGTGAAACGTGAATATGGAGCCTTCTCCGGGCAACCAAGAAACCCGATTTCACCTCGAGTTTTGTGTCACGCCGTGCTTCATATCCACTGCCATCCACATCTATAGCACTCCGCAGCTGACTCCGTACATTGATGCAATAGATCACTGTGTCGCACCCGCCCACTTTGCCCGTTTGAATCCTGTACCTGGTATACGTCTACCCAAACTGGCGCGTTCGACGAGAATAGTCCTCCTCTCCCTTTTCCTCTTCGTCACCATCTCCTTCTTCATCGTGGCTCCCTTCCGTACCTTTCCACGATTGCACGCCCTCACAGCTCAACTTAATCCTCTACGACAACTGGGATCGCAGCGACCACTGGTCACATCCACCATGGCGCCTCAAAAGTTCAGACAGCCACCACAGGCCCCACCGTTGTTCACGGGAACGCCAGAATCCGTGGTCAAAGATACGAAGGAGCTGCTGGCCAAATCGAAGAAGATTATAGACGACGTTGTTGCACAAACTTCGGAGAAGGATGCATCATTTAAGAACGTCTTACTACCTATGGCGTACGATGAGAACGACCAGACTCTGTCAGCGCATGTCCTAGGTTTCTACCAATCTGTTTCGACAGATCAGGCACTACGAGATGCCTCGACTGAAGCTGAGAAGCTCATGGACGAATACAGTATCGAAGCAAGTATGAGAGAGGACGTGTACAAGTTAGTTGATTCGGCACTAAAGCGTAAGGAAGAGCTGGACCCCGAGTCGCAACGGCTATTGGAGAAGGAACACAAGTCTTACATCAGAAACGGTCTCAATCTACCAGCCGGACCGAAGAGGGACAGATTCAAGGAGATCAAGTTGCGTTTGAGTCAGTTGAGCATTGAGTTCAGCAAGAATTTGAATGAAGAGAATGGTGGCATCTGGTTCACGAAAGAGGAGCTGGCTGGCGTGCCCGAGGATGTACTTGAGACTCTGAAGCAAGAGGACGGGAGGTACTGGTTAACCTTCAAATATCCCGATCTGTTCCCTACACTGAAATATGCTACAAACACTGAGACGAGGAGGAAGGTATTCGTTGCAAACGAGAACAAAGTCAATCAAAATGTGCCGTTGTTCAGAGAGGCCATGCTGCTCAGAGATGAGATGGCCAGGTTATTGGGCTATCCTACATATGCCGAGTTTGTCATCGAGGACAAGATGATGAAGAGTGCCAAGAAGGTCGATGATTTCCTGGCTGGCCTGAGAGGACGCTTGGCTGACGGCGGTCTGGACGAGATCAAAACTTTGAAGGCCCTCAAGAAGAAAGACGTCGAGTCAAGATCTGAGAAGTTTGATGATCGATACTTCCTATGGGACCACCGCTATTATGACCGACTGATGCAAGAGCAGGATTATCAGCTTGATCAGAACTTAATCTCAGAGTGGTTTCCTCTTCAGTCCACCATCCTGGGCATGCTCAAGATCTTCGAAGAGCTCTTTGGCCTTGTTTTTGTGGAAGTAACTGGAAAGGACAGAGACACCATCTCGCCTACTGGCAAAGGTGATGATATTGTCTGGCATGAGGAAACTCAAATCTTCAGTGTGTGGGACGATGAAGGTGAAGGTGGCGGCTTCGTTGGATATCTCTATCTCGATCTCTTCCCTCGACAGGGCAAATATGGCCATGCTGCAAACTTCAATCTGCAACCCGGTTTCATCACCCAGAATGGTACGAGGAGATACCCAGCGACGGCGCTTGTGTGCAATTTCTCCAAACCAACACCCAAGAAGCCCTCCCTCTTGAAACACGATGAAGTCACTACATTATTCCACGAACTTGGTCACGGTATCCACGATCTGGTTTCAAGGACGACGTATTCGCGTTTCCATGGCACTAGCACAGTTAGAGACTTTGTTGAAGCGCCTTCTCAAATGCTGGAGAACTGGTGCTGGACACCATCACAGCTTAAAGCTCTTAGCAGACACTACTCAACGCTTTCCGAGGATTACAACAAGGCCTGGCAGAGCTCGAATTCGACAAACTCAGATAAGCCATCAGAAACACTGCCAGACGACCTGATCGAGAAGCTCTTGAAGACAAAGAACCTGAATGGCGCACTGTTCAACTTACGGCAATTACACTTTGGCATCTTCGACATGACAGTGCACGAACCCGAGTCTCACAAGGAGGTTGAAGAGCTGAAGATTTCCGAGCTTTACAATCATCTGAGGAATGACATCAGCAAGCTCGATGGTCCTGAGGCATTAGGAGAAGGAGATAACTGGGGCAACGGTCAAGCAACCTTCGGCCACCTGATGGGTGGATACCAAGTAAGTCATTCTTTTTCCGTTGCAGCCAGTGACTAACTCAATATGCAGGCTGGATACTATGGCTACCTCTCCTCCCAAGTCTACAGCACAGACATGTTCTACACAGTCTTCAAGAAAGATCCAATGAATCAGAAAGAAGGCCGCAGGTACAGACATACTGTACTAGAGAAAGGTGGAAGCCAGGATGAGATGCAGACCTTGATAGATTTCCTGGGTAGGGAGCCTAACAGCAAGGCATTCTACAAGGAGTTGGGACTAGACTAGAGTGAACGGGCCACTGTACAAGCAAGACATCCCATTCCATCTGTATCACTGCAGTAGGAATAGCTCTTCAGCCGATTCCCGCACGCCACCAGCTCTCAGATTGACGTGCACTTCTTCCTCCATCATCACTCCTTGACTCTTCAAGCCTCAGTCATCTATTCAGTAGTCCATGCATCCTACTTCGCATCGTCTATCTCGTCTTCTCTCCCTCATCACTATTCCTGCTACTATGGTTCTTCCGACTCAAATACTCCGTCTGTCCACTGCCCGTCTTGTTCTCTCCGTCGTTGGTGGACTGTGCCTTGCGGGTCTCCTTGTCTTCTTGCTTGGCAGAGGCCTTCAGGTTCTTGGGGTCTTCGGGCATGTCTGTTGCTGGTCGTGCTCCTGTTGTTGCTTAGGGTCAGTTTGAGTGATCATATGAGAGAAAGGCTGGGGAAGAAGGCAGAAAACACGGGTGGAGAGTAGTGCTTAGGGATAACGAGAACGTACCTGGCATTTTGGCTGTGGTGGTGGTCGTGTATTGGTAACGATGTTTTTAGTATTGAGAGGTTCCTAAGTAGTTTTGCTTGTGCTTGGTCAATGCTCGTGTAGTATAGGACGCAATGTGTTCTGAAGTTCAGACGAGACGCTCATGAGCAGCTATGTCGAAGTTGATATGGGTACGACATTCGATGTACAGTACGTCATTGACGATCTCCAAAAATAGGAGGGGATGTGCATTTGGACATCATGTCGTCAGGAATTGGCCCGTCGAAAAGATCACGTCAGGTGATTATACAGTGTGGACGTGCACGAAGATAATTCTTGTGCAGGCTATGCTGTTGTGTAAGAAGCTGTCTTTTTCTTCATTAGTGGAAGGCGCGACAGTATTGTAGGCAAGGCTATATTTTGAGTTTCAGGCATCAAGGTTAGGGATCGCGAGCCGAGACATATCACAAAAGAGTGATGATGGATATCATGATTGCAATCTTGCTTTTCTTCTTTCTTCTTTTTGGTCGAACATGAAGTCTGACTTGTGTGAAAGAGTAGTCACATGCCTTTATGAAAGCCTTGGTAGGGCTTTGTTCGATATCAGGATTGTATGGAGGATGACGCATCAGAATAAGGCAATCAGAGCTTGAGGGGTGAGCGTAGACCGCTGCCCTGCCAGTACGTCGTGGATGAGAGAAAAAGGAAGCACGGCTGTACCGTGGTCGGGTATGCTGAAGCTTGATCAGAATTCAGCGGTACCAGTTGAAGTTGGGACCTTGTTGTCCAGGTACTAGTAGTACTCCATATTTTACAGCTGAGGAAGTACCTGAGAATGCAACTGATCTGCGGGATAACTGAATCTCTAGTACCTGAAATCGAATCGAGGGCGAAAACGTGAATGCTGGCTGTTTTGAACCACTATAATGGTCATCTGTTACCAGTACAGTTTGACTGAACGGATCATAAGGGCTTTCCTGCTTGTCATAATCGTTGGGAACATCGGAGTGTCGTTTATGTGATAAATAGTGAGATCTGCTGCGCAGGCACAAATAGCATTGGTGTAGAAAGACTATCGGAGAACTGCTAATTGCAGCTCAACACGTTGCCTACACCTGAAGAAGTATGGGTTGGAAAGTCGCGTTCATTGAGGAAGCCTTCAGTAAGGACGGGTCAAGCTGGGCTCTGTATGATTTCATCACAAGAGGCAGCTGATGTCCATGAATGTTGCTTGTGCTTGAGTATGCTCCTACTGAGCATGCTGCGGCATCATAATCGTTAGACTGATATGCAGCAACGCATCGCTGGGGCATACGTTGCATCCGCATCTCTGCGTTGTGCTGGCTGAGCCAAACACTAGATTTCATCGTTCAAGTCGTCGAATCTTAAGCCACGATGTGATTAACTGCACTGGCCGGGGCCGGCTTGACCTATTTCAATAACTTTCTGGAGGTCCAGATTGTATGGCGGTATGACTACCAGCAGATAGCGGGGAATTTCATGAGAGGGATGAATTGAGAAGATGTCGATCATTGCGTTCGCGGATGCCTTTGCGTCTCAGCTCAAGGAAAACGTTCTGATTGCCCTGAAGTGCAGCAAGAGATCATAAATACATACCTCTCGAGTCAATAAAAGCTCGGTTAACAGGGTAGTGATCTTCAAGTAGAAGTAGTGAGCTCCTAGGTCCTGTCAAATGTCGCCTTCAACAATAAGATAGGCCAAGTTTCGCCCGACAATGTCAGTCAGTTTTTTTAACCACATCTTCATGTCTCATGGTCCCTGTTCAGATTGCGCACATGGCGTTCAGAAGGGTTTGCACTACTGCATGCATTATATCTTTTATCAGAGCCCGTAGGGACAGCCTTCAGCCCGATTGTGCATCAATTATCATGCTTCGCTCAGTGGTGGACGAAGTCATCACCTCGGGCATGTTTGACACAATTGATGATCTCTGACAGTCCTGCTCGGATCGATAGAGATGGATTGCATTCCATGCCTTGAGGTCGACTTGTGGGAGCTTTAGGGAGAAAAACTCAACTAACAGAGTTGTGTTTGCTTAGGCTTCAAGCCTTCCTGTTCACCTCTCAGCAGTGGACCACACAATGCTCGCGAGGCACGCGACAAGTGCGTCCTTTGCTGCATATCATACCGACCCATGTTGTGACGAGCGGAGTGATTCAAGTAGTCGTATAATAGATCGCGAAGCAGTGAGGTTGGCGGATATTCGTTTGCTACGGCAAAGCATACAGATTGTGTAGGTCGGAGCATACCCACTCAAGCTGCTCAATAGAGTGTAAGGGCTGATTGGCAAAGCCTTTCCTGCTTGCTTCCTCTGGTATCGATATCCAATGCCACTCCGAGTGGTCGACGGCGGAAAATTGTATGTGCTTTTAGCTACCGCACTGAGGCATCGTGCTCGACGATGCGATATCGCTAGAAATTGACCACGAATCTTGACGTTGTAACTCAGCTCGCTGTCACTGATATGTGGGGGCCAAGAACAGGACGCACGATACCATAGCCTGCTGTGTCTTTCGCGTCTTCGTGACCACGAAGTGCTACGAAAGACATCCTCTGATACGGCTCGCTCCATCGGATATTGATGCTATGCGTTGCTCCTTCGGACAGGTCAACGTCTCCGGATCTGCCAATGCTCACCTCGGAGACGTTGATAAGGGTGATCGATGTTTGCGCGTGGACATCATTGATAAGATGCGATGAGAGAGCTGCTGTATACATGCGCAGATAAATTCGTTGTATATAGGGATCAGCACGACTGTGGTAGTCCTCCGTATACTTAGTTCCTGTTAGGTAAGCTTGCTTGCCTAGCGTTTTGAGCTGATACCCTAAACAGCTTGTTGGTAACCGCCGAAGCGTACAAAGTGATTGCAAATGGTGGTGCGAACAATCAGTCCGTGTCAGAATTGAAGTGGTCGATGCACAGTCGAGGGACGCGACAAGTGAAGGAGACGGGGGTGGAAATTGAGACGTGGAAATGACTTTACCAGCCATCTTGAGGGGTGTATCTGGCTGAGATGAAGCTATGTATATAGGCGTGCTCGTTCAGTTCGCTTTTCGCTCGCCTTTTCACTGTCGAGCAAGCATTAGTGATTTTGTCCAGCTTTGATAAATAATCTTGCCGTCGTCCTCGAGCGAGTGTGCAGACTTGAGACCCCCTCACTGAACGACACATACTGATGATCCCCACAGAACAGTCCAGCCTCAATCCAAACACAGACAGGCGAAACCATGCCTGTTAATCCCCACGCAAGACCGATGGACATTCCTCCATCACCTCTCTTACGAGACCGAGACCGCGACCTCATCGTCTTCGGCTCAATTACTATCTCGGAATCTTGCTCCGGCTCCCTTCGACAAACCATCCACGAACCCATTAACGACAAATTCATGCTCGAGGACAGAGGCCCAGAACACGTCGAGCGCTGGTATATTCCTTGGGATGATGAATGTCGGCTCGATATCACTATGACGGCTGGGATGGACAGTTACAGATATATCAGGTCCATGGTGTGCTGGCGAATGAGCATACTAGAGGAGGCATTCCGATGGAGAGTGAGAAGACGCAGACGGTGCTGGTTTGAAGGGTAATCCGCCGGTCAAGTTTGCTATGTGGGTCAGTAGGGCGGGAGGGCATGGGGGTGTTGACACGGCGACTGTTGATTTGATTCTGATGAATGCGATGATTGAGGATTGAGATGGAATCTTGGTGAAGATCTGCAGTACTGAGGACTCGTGTGTCTATGACGAAGATGGCTCAATTGTCCCGCTCGCTGGTACGCTTATCAAATGGACTGGTCTGATGTAAGCAACTGATCATCTAAAAAAACAGGTAATTCATAGCTGATCTGATCGCAAATCGCTGGCCAGTTCTGCTAGGCAGTCAACATGCGCAAACAGGTCTGCTTACTGCATAAAACATGATTCTTCCTCAGTCAATGTCTCGCCTTTTCTGGAATACGATTGTCAACATGGACAAACTGGTGAAAGTGCAGTGGCAACCAACAATGGACATGGATGATGGTTATAATGCCATGCAGAAGGCAAAGTGTGTAATGCGTGAAAGAAATCTGCAGATGTGCGAGTCTTGTAGTCTTCTGTTTAGCCCACTCGCTGTCGGAAGAAATAGAGGTCTATCATTGCAGCACAGTTCTGCTGATTTGTAGGTTGACTAGTCGGCCGTGAGTACGAGTTGCTCGAGCACCGGCCAAAGACACAAAGACTGACAGTCTTGCCAATCTCGCAAGGAACATCCCAGTTCATAGAATTAGCAGACACGCCAAACCCTCCTCAATCACGGCTTCGTTCTCTACCTCCTCCTACGCCTGTGCCTCCTCAAGGTCTTTACGTGTCCGGAAAGACCAGTGGCTTGATCGCTCTAATGGCAACACGCGTGAGATCATGCACCAACCCATCAAGAGCAAGTTCATAGTGAACAGAGAAAGTTCTCAGTATTTTTCACCGTGGCTGTTGAACCGTGGTGATGAGTGTCAGCTTAGAGTCTCAATAACAGCCTCTCTGCAAGCGAATGGTCATCTTTGGGTAGGTCTCCATGCCAGATACTCGCAGCAAAATGTTGAGGAGTCGCCCCAGGCCAGTTCAGTCACTCAGCCCTGTAGGACCTGGAGCAGATGAGCGAGGAATCAATCTTCTTGCAGCTTCGACCAGTACTTGTGCTGAAGGACGGTCCACCGTTAGAGGTCACGTCGCACATCCATACAGTCGACGACGATGTTGTCGACGTAGGCAGTCCCAACATTATCCTGGTGAATGTGGTGTGGTGGTTAAGGGCTAGAAGATAATTCATAGAGCGAGGAGATTTTACGTTGTGTTAGAATTGATCCAGATAGTTGCAAGCTTAGGCACGTCTTAGATGTTGGTGCTACATGCTCTGCCACATGAAGCAATAGAAGGTACTCCGCGCAGACGACAGACTCGACGTTGTGGTTGAACAGCTAGTGATTTCAATCTCATCGTGCTCGCTAGGTAGCATTGCAGACACCATGATGAGAATAGCCTCGGATAGGTGTAATTGTTGATATGGCGCTCGTGACGCCATCTGTAATCGCAACGGATGACCGAAACCAATGACATTCGAGTACTGCTTTTTCCTGCAGCACAAGGCAGGTTCTGTTGATTGCGTTGTTGATGTCTTTGTTTCAACGAAGACTGTAATCAATCACAACATCGGACTCAGCAAGTCATACTTGACACAAGCCTCAACCGACTCAGCACTAGCCTGGAAGAAGCGTCTCGCTTCCAAACCCACCCATATCCTCAACATGCTGAAATCGCCTTCCTTGAAAGATTTGAGGACGGCAGACGGGTCGCTACTGCCAATGCTGCGCAAGATAGGTAATGCAGATTTAAAGAGGTCAAGTTGTGGGTCGAGACTGCGCCCAATACCTTCAAGGAGGAGGATGGAGATGACGACATTGACAAAGTCGCCTTCCATGCGAACATGGTGATTACTGTGGAAGAAGTAAGCGATAGATCTGGCACACAAGTCAGAGGAAATACATACCGAACCATACTCAACACCTGTGATAAGATGTCGCCAATTTTGATGTTGCCGAGAGCGAATGTTTGCCCCTTGACAGCCAGAACCAGATGCTGCATCTTGAGGGCGAATACTTCCTGATCAATGACTGCCTCAGGATTTCTGCATCGCTCGACCATAAGTCGTCCTGCTTTGTAGCCATCGAACTCGGCAATACTTTTGAACAGGTCTAGGAAATTTCGTCTATTCTTGCCGTTCAGCTCCGTCACGAGACCAGTATCGATGAAAATGAGCTGTGGTCGATATCCTTCTTGGTCAATCTTGGCTAAAGTCTGGTCCCACTCCGGTTGTTTACCAATATGTGGTCGCAGTCGTGCTAAGACTTTTTCGACCTCGTCAGCCTCTTCGGGTGAAGTTGGTTTCGACGGGTCTTGCTTCTGCGTGAGTAGTGGTACGTGTACATTTGTTCTCGAAGATTTGTAGAAGCGGACCATGATATTGCCTGGATGTAGATCGGAATGAGTGAAGTTGTCGATCAGAAGCATGTGAAGGAAGGCATCAAGTCCCTCGTCAGCAATATCCTTCTGGAAGACGCCACCGCCTGTATTTAGGAATGCCGACAGAGGTATACCCTGAGCGAACTCTTCGATCAATACCTGACGTGTAGTGTACTGCGTGTATGGGAAAGGAAACCAGGCAGTGGTCCGATTTGCAAAGTGCTTCCTGAAAACTGACAAGTTAGCAGCTTCGATACGTAGATCGAGTTGTAGTCGCATCATCTCGCCAAAGTTTGAGACCTCGTTAGGCAGATCTAGCCACTCCAATGTAGGGACTGCATTAATGATAGCAGCAAACACGCCCATGATCTTCAGGTCTCTCCGAACATTGCGTTCGACTTTGGGATGCAAGACCTTGATTGCGACATATTGTGAAGGTACTCGTTGCGGCGTGGACTTTACCAGCGAATCAACGTTCCTCTTGAACCTTTTTCGTAATGTCTTCTCAGCTTCGACATCCATATCCGACTCTTCGGTAGCAAGGTCTGGTTTCAATTTCGCTTTGTAAACTTGAGCGATCGCACCGACACCAAGAGGCTTCTCATCGAATTCCAGAAAAATGTCCTCAAATGGTCTTCCGCCAAATGCCTTCTCGATTGTTTTCCGAGTATGATGTAAGCTATGTGCCTTTGCGTTGGAGTGCAACTCAGACATGATACTACACATCTGTGCCGGAAAGATATCCGTTCTCGAGGCTGCCCATTGGCCAAGTTTAATGAATGCAGGGCCAGCTCTTTCCATTGATTTGACCAAAAAGCCGTACCACCATACCACGCCTGCTCTTTCGTTGTCCCTCTCCTTGCTTCGTGGACCAATGAACGCGACAGGGATAGTAATGATAACAGGGACGAATATGATCATGAGGTGGAAGAATCGAAAAGTTGTCGCAAGTGGCTCGTAGACGTATTGATCGAGGAAATAGACAATGTTTTTCCACAATCTGTCAAACCCTTTCGAATCTTCGGGCACTTTCTTGCTAATCTCCTCCCTCGAGATCTGAAGCATTTTCTGCTCGTGAGTAAGTCCTTCGTCCAAATCTTCCTCGCTGAGCTTCACGAACGCGCCTGGGGTCAATGTAGCAGCTACCGCCCAGAGCAGTCTGCGTCGCGGCCATTGTGTCCGCTGTCGAGGGTCTTTCAACCTGTGTTTTAGCTGCCATGGAGAATGAGTTGGCTGCCTCTTTGATATGAAGACTTCAAGTCGAGGAAGGCCACGCCTGCCACAGGCTCGACCGATAGCGAATATTGTACTCATTGGCAGTCGCGGATCATGGTAGCGGCAGATGCATGCCTGAAGGGAATTTCTTGCTAGCTGAGAGGTCAGTATGGCTGTTCAGCGGCAAGAACGATGCAGATTCGCGACAGCATGGAAAGAACATGCTCCAAATGCATATGACGTTGTGCTCACAGGTACTTTTGGCGTGATTTCTGCCCGCCAGTCAGGATTTCTCAGGTGGAACCGACAGTTAAAGAGGGCAAACTGTTCAAGTTAAATGTTGTTACTCCAGAGTACATATAGCAAGGGATCGTACATAGAATGGATGTACGTAAGCAGGTCAACATCTGGTACACGATGCAATACTAGCAACTGCACACAGCCGACGAAAAGAGATCGTCCTTGAAAGCACGAGGAGTTCCGAAGCAGCACAACGCCAATCACGACCTCAGCGGCCTAGGTTGGCTGCAGGATATCTGACGGATATTGATACATTAGCTATCGAAAATGACCTCGCGTTGAGTTGCTTAGACAGTAGTCCACAACGGCCTGGGCAATTCAAATTGTCGGCCAGTTTCCCAGCCTTGGCCCATCCAAGCTCTCACTCTTGAGTCAACGCCCACATAAGCCTGTCTGACTCTTTCCCCCATCAGGGTATCAACGTTCGACTGTGGACCTAGGTCTTCAAAGCTTTCAGCAACGTTGGTCGAAGTGGTCACACTCCAAGTCCGTAACCCATAATAGCGTCCTATGCAATGTGCCAACCAGCGACCAAAGGCAGCCCCCTTATCACTTTCTAAACCCTCACAAACCAGCTTTTCAGACAGCAGGTTTTCTTCTTCCTCTCTTCTCTTTCGCGTGGGTGAATCAGACGTGATAGCGCCCGCACGTCCAACGAAAACAATCTCTTCATCCTCGACTTCCTCCTCGTTATCTGTGACCAGAGCAGAGCTGTCGTTGCCGACTGGCTTTGGTTTGGTGCGGACAGGTAGAGTATGGGACAATGGAGCATCATGTAAACCTTCTTCTCTGAGTCTGATTTCTCGCTCGTTCCACTTGACCAGAAAAGAACGCACGTCCTCTTCCAGATCCATTAGCAAACCTTTGGCGGATCTTGCATGCTTCAGGCGCTGTCGCACATCCCGTGAGATGAGGATTGCATCCTCCTCGAAGGGAGACATGCCAGGTATTCCAGCATTTTGCTTCCGCTTTGACGATCTTGTATTGCGTCTACCCTTCTGATGCGACTCAATAGCCCGCTGAAACTCAGCAGCATCCCACAGGGGCGCTAGGAAGTATGGCACTCGGCGGACCGGGTAGGTGGGACGGATCTCCCAATCTTGAGGAAGTGGAGGCTCCGCATGAGGGTTGTTGAGCAGCCGATCTAAACGATGTGCCATCAGTACAAACATTCTGCTGTGGCGAAAACGATGGTATAGGTACGAGGAGTAATTGATAGCTCACTCACCATTTTCCCATCGTCGCCGTTGACGAGAGCCTTCCTTGCCCTTGAGCAAAGCCTCACGCCGATCCAGACTATCACGGCGAAGGATCTTGCGGGTTGTGGTAGTGGTAGGCTTCGTATCAAGCGGCACGGACAGCTTGACGCTCGTGCCACGGGTAGGCATTGGCGACGTAGAGGATATTGCGGGCGTATTTAGAGCACCGAGCACTGGCTGTTCAGAAAGTGTCTCATTAGCAGTTTGAGGCGACTGCATGGTTAGGACAATGTGTGAAGCCATGACTCAGATAGGCGATGTGGCAAGTCCGAAGCTGGCTGATGGAATGGGAGACGGCGTCGGTGTTTATATGGAGAACTGCAGGTTCTGACGGACGAGCAGACAAAGACGTGTTGGCAACGACGACAGCAATCAGGAGGAGGAAGAGAGACAAATTAGAAAGGAGGATCTGTTGGAAGCACAATCGAAGTTGAGGCGGGTGCAGGTGAGTTGGAGTAACGGACAACGATAACACCTTCCACCGAGCCATGCCAATCGGGGCCAACAGGAGAGCCACGCCTCATCTCTGATTGGTTACAAGGCCATTGGCTATGACTCTTTGTCCCCGTGTTTGCAGTCATCGGGAAAGAGCTCTGCATGAATGCAAGAACAGCTGACACAGACAGCATGGACAGGAAGGTGCGGTTCTGTCTGCTTGACCTGTCACTATTGTACCAGGCACAGTGATCGAATGGTCATTTCTTCCTCTACAAAACAATCTGCGCGTGCCAGGTCGATGAGCCCACCATGTCGCGTTTTGGCTGCTGCCTCGGCCGCCTGCCACCTATTGCCTGGCTCCGCTACTCGTAGTAATGCTGATGCTTCGACTTTGGCTTATTGATATTCCCATCCTTCCGTCCCCTCGTTCATCGTAGAGTGCATTGATACAAAGAGACTGGCCATGAAGTACTTCACTGCTGCATTGACTGCAGCCACAGCTGTTTCTGCGCTATCAGTTGTCTCCCGCCCCAATATAGCACACCAAAATGTACTGGCACCGGCGGACGCAGAGCAATATTTGATTGAACTTGGAGAGGGTGATACCAGGTGGATTACTGAGGAACAAAAATGGGAACTGAAAAGAGTACCTACTACGACTTCAACAGCCAAGGGTCTATAGCTAACACATAGTGCAGGAAGGCATCAATTTCATGGACATTACAGAGTATGGAGTGCAAGAACACATACCGAGACTCTTCGCAGTGACAAAGTATCCCTCCAAGATCCGATACAATGAGACTGTCAAGGACATGGCCAAAGACTTGCAGAAGAAGAACATGCGGAAACACCTCGAGACCTTCACTTCCTTCCATACCAGATACTACAAGTCCGACTACGGCAAACAATCAGCTGCTTGGCTCTATGGTCAAGTAAACAGCACTGTTCAGGCGGCTGGGGCATATAAGCACGGCGCAACAGTTGAGATGTTTCCCCATCCCTGGGGGCAGCCCAGCATAATCGCCAGAATCCCAGGCAAGAGCAATAAGACAGTTGTCATTGGCGCCCACCAAGACAGCATCAATCTCTTCCTTCCCTCGTTCTTGGCTGCTCCTGGCGCAGACGACGATGGCAGTGGTACAGTCACTATCCTCGAAGCCTTACGAGTCCTGCTCACTTCGGAACACATCGTCAATGGCAGCGCTCCAAACACTATCGAGTTTCAGTGGTACTCAGCTGAAGAAGGAGGTTTACTCGGCTCACAAGCTATCTTCTCATCCTACCACAAGGAAGGTAAAGACGTCAAAGCCATGCTCCAGCAGGACATGACCGGCTATATTCATCAGACCCTCGAGGCGGGGGAACCAGAAAGCGTTGGCGTCATTACCGACTACGTTGATCCTGGTCTCACAGAGTTCATCAAGAAAGCTGTGACTGAGTACTGCGACATTCCATACATCGAGACCAAATGTGGTTATGCTTGCTCCGATCATGCCTCTGCCAGCAAGTACGGCTATCCTTCCGCTTTCGTCATCGAATCCGACTTTAAATACAGCGACAAAAAGATTCATACAACTGAGGATAAGATTGAGTACCTGTCCTTTGATCACATGCTGCAGCATGCAAAGATGACTCTAGGTTTTGCCTACGAGTTGGCCATGGCTGAGTTTTAGTCTGAGCCGCACAGGTACATGGCTCGGATGGGGACGATTCTTTGCAGTAGCCATATAGAAATCAATCTTTCTTTGCCGCAAATTTCGAGCATTGCGGTCTTTCATCTAGCTGCAAGTCCCGCGAAGTGTTGCTCCCGATTTTGCGCTACCATACCTGCTGGATCGATCATGTATTCAACTTATCATTTCTTGCGATAGCTTGTGCAGTTCATTGCGATCATGTGAGCTTCGGCGGAATACATTGACAGTGCAAGCACAGAGCTCTCGACTGATCAGTCTCCTGAACAAGTTCAAGTACTTTGGTTCGGTCGCATCGTCACGATATTTGTCTGTGCTCTGATCCAAGATATTGGCTCATTGAGCATGTTTTCGGTAGGTCCTCATATAATCTAGGCTGCTCCCAATCTCTGATTTGAGGAACTTCTGCCATTTCGATATCCGGCTTCTGATCTACGCAATTCGAGTTGATCTTCTGCAATCTTGTGTGCCTCTTTTGTCTACAAGTATGTCATACCCTCAGCCTGAAGTTGTGCTGCTGTCCCATCGACTCACAATTCCAACTTGAATATAATCACGGAGCCTCGACAACACAATCTTACAGTAGGTTCTATTCAACTGCAGATACAAACCTCAGCTAATTACCTCGTCCTCAATATAGAATCATAGATACATCACCAGATCATCATGTCTACCTCATCCACGTCCTCCAACAACACTCAAAGCGACAGCACATCGCTCCGTCGTGCGCAAATCCTCGAGCACTATCACAAACAGCCCAAAGAGCTCAGGCTCCTCGACTGAGAGCTGCACGAACTCGAGCAACGGGCTCGAAACGCCATAGCCCCGCCTCGGCACCAACACTTATCCATTACAAAGAGTTTCGACCAACGCAAGCAGCATATTCTCCATAAGTGCATGGGTCCGGAACTCTGTAGCGACCTCGAGGTACCAGGCATCGATTCACACTTCTGGTGGGAAAGAAGCACCATTCTGGACTTGCGGGCAAAGGGCCTGATTAGGCTGAGTTGGGAGGAGAGGGAATTGGATGATTGGAAGAGGGTGGAGACAAATGAGATGATTAGGTTGAGAGATCAGGGTGGATTAGATGTGCAAGAGTGCATCATGAGGACGAGGAAGTATGTCCGGAAGAGGCAGTGGAATGAGTTTGGAAGGAGAAGGTGGCAGGAACAGGAAAGGCGCAAGGCATACTTGGCGTGTAAGCAGAGTTGGGCTGAGCATGCAGACAGGCAGACGGCGAGCCAGCAAGCTGCGTGGAACAGAGGTTGTGAAATTGAGAACGTGGCGTGGTAGAGAGATACAGGAGGACAGGACGGCTGGGTCGCAATCTGAAAGTTGAAAGTTAGCATGTTCGGAGAATATCTTGCCGCTTGACGCTCCCGAGAACCGGAGTCATACGGTCAGTAGTTGAGTTTGGAGCACTTTGAAGTTTAAAAAAACACGTTGATTTACGTAGTTGCTGCATGAGTCAAACGACTTGCCGTCGAGACCAAAGCGCTTCTTGGATTCCTCGAACAAAGTATCAGCTTTCGATGGAAAGTAAGAGAATGTCCATGCCCGCTAGTTGAAAAGGCCGACCGGAAAACCTGCGAGGACAAGGCACTACGACATCAGGTCCTGCGAATGACATCTCGGGACCTGTCTATAATCGTAGACACTCAGAGCCGGTGCTGTGGTTGCACGAGACCATGCACAGCATGGAGTTTAGACCCTGTACACACAATTGCCATACATCGAGACCACGTCATCGAGACTAGACTATGTCTTCAATGTTGGCATGCGATGTTTGCTCAAATCTCCAGCCAGAAGTCTTGAAGCATCTGCACACTGGTCAGTATGCTACACTTTTTCTCAATGCTGGTGAGCTAGCATCTTCTGCCCAACAAGAAGCGTGCTGCCACTGCAAACTGCTCTCGGATGCTATCAGCACTAGGCAACGAGACTGGAGCGCATCTGCGCATCTTTGGCGGCCAATTCGGGTCCAGCTAGCTGACGGCAAACCTATGCAACTGAGATATCGTCCTCATGACTCTGATTCACTCGTCGACCTTCAGGTTTATCGGGACTCAATCGAACATGGGTTCGAGATTCCTAATGTCATCGGTGTGGGGCCAGACATACCTGAATCTTCAGGGTCACCGGAGAGCATATCATTGATTCAAAAGTGGTACAATGACTGCACGACACAGCATGAGCTTTGTGATTTGGCTCCAACAACCATGCCTACCAGAATTTTGGATATCAGCGAACAGGATCCACTTCTGGTTGAGTCTGCCAAAATTCCTCTTTGTGAATACGTGGCTTTGAGCTATTGCTGGGGAAACCCCAACAAGCATCGCACACTCCGTACGATGACCTGGAATTATACTCAATATCAGGCTGGAATTGCGTTCACTGCTTTTCCAGCAACATTGCGAGACGCCATTAGTCTTGCAAGAACGCTTGGCTTCAAGTACATCTGGATCGATGCGCTGTGTATAATCCAAGACGACCATGACGACTGGACTAAAGAAGCTGCCAATATGTGCAGAATATATTCGGAAGCATCACTGACCATCGTAGCAAGCAGGTCGAACGGCTCAGATACCAGTATCTTTGGAACACAGAAATTTTCTCAATTTGATATGGTGTTGTACAGAGGCTTGCAGCTCAAGGTAAGAACCAACCTCCTCAAAGTTCATGAGATTAATCCAGTCATACCTTACGGACCTGATGGCGATCCAGTCACCCATAGAGCTTGGACTTACCAGGAAGCTGTCCTTTCCAACCGTTCTGTCCATTTCACAAGTGATGAGCTTCGTTGGGAGTGTAATACCTGGCGTCATTGTCAATGCGGTCAAATGTCTAAGAAGTTTCCGCTGAGTTATGATCCAGAATACGTCGAATACGAGAGTTATCGACTTTGGCGTGTAGCTGAGATATTCCCTGCCACTTCCATCTTGGAAGCCTATGTCATCTGGCGAGGTCATATGGTTTACTACACAAGTAGAATGTTGACAAAAGATTCAGATCGACTGGTGGCATTGTCTGGACTGGCACAGAGATTCTCTATGGTGATGCAAGAAAAGTTCCTAATAAAGGACGCCTATCTAGCTGGTTTGTGGAGAGGTGGTTTGCCAGAACAGCTTTTGTGGTTTGTTGAGCTAAGAAAGTTCTCGGTTCTACGTGGTCGTCGACATGATCGTCCTTCGGAGTGGAGGGCGCCAAGCTGGTCATGGGCTTCAATGGAAGCGCCGAGCAACTATCTAAGCAGCCTCATTGAGGAACAGCGATTGGAAATAATCGAGGCAACCACAGAACCACTCAATGCTGACCCATTTGGCCAAGTCAAGTCAGGCAGACTGAAAGCTCGGGCACGTATCCTTCACAACATTAGATTCATACCAAGTTCTCAGTCGAACTCCGGCAGTCGTTTCCCACTAGTCAAGTGGTGTGGCCTTGATCTGCGAGTGAATACTTCGTACTTCGACGATGATCGAGGAGACGAGACCGACGAGTATCTCGGTGATCCGAACCTCGAGATTAGTCTTCTTGTGGTTGGCTACAGCAAAAAGAACGATTTACACGAATGTCTTGCGCTTATCCCTGTAGTTGGGAGAATAGCGACGTACGAGAGAATCGGCTTGATTAGACTTGGTCAACATTTTAGAGAGCCGGCAGAGAACGCCGCAGCTATTGCGGATGCTCCAATAGAAACGGTTACACTTTTCTGAGTGTGGATTGAGCAGCTCACTTCCCTTGATGTCAATACTCTACCATTGGTTCATGACATGACCTACTGGGCGAGGCTGAACAATACCGTTGGGTTCAAGGTCACAGTTGTCACAAACACGGAAAGCAAGCACAAGTGCTAAGATCTTGAGGGACCCGTCATCCTGCAGGCAAGACCTGTTGCGAATCTGATTTTGGAGATAAAAAGAAAAAATACGGCAACGAGTCTTTGTTGGAATCGTTGTCTAGTTCGTGTTGTTGCAAAGGAGCGAACAGACAGACAGAGTATGTATCTATGATGGTCGCTTTAACAGTAAGACATAGATTGCACGCATACATATTCAGATGCTTCGCAGCTTGCAGGAGCAAGTGACAGCGATAGTGACAGTCGTGAAGCCAAGGCACTATCTACCTTGCCTGGACTTTCATAACAATTACAGAACCTCGACAAAGGAGCATACGAACGAGACAGTCCCGCATACTAGATAACTGTTGGAAGATGGTTAGGACATTTCTTATTGCTAAACATTCAAAAAATTTACACAATATCGAATCTGCTCGAGAGATTCTAATTGACCTGTAACTATGAACAGCCAATTTCGAGGCTTCGCGGGCACTGAGGTGTACACACTTATCGTTGGTCGGGAGGAGAAGCATCTTTCCGTCCCTCATGACATTCTCACACTTGTTCCTTTCTTTGCGACAGCTCTGAGCAGCGGCGCTTTCGAAGAATCTAGAAACAAAGTCTTCAGGCTACCGGAGGACGATCCACAAGCTGTCGCAGATCTGCTCTACTTTTCATACACCAATGAAGTGAAGGATCGATCCTCTCTTCGACGATGATGCCGCAGAAATGGCCATATCCTACATTCGGGCGTACATTGTCGCTGATAAGTTCAAAGCAGAAGTCATCGCCAATAGGCTCGTTGATCGAATCATCCGCGTCTATGCAAGTTTCTTCCCGACTAGCAGCCAGATTACCTTGTTGTGTCACGACTTGTCATGCGACCAGGTCTACGGCCGGGCATACGACTGGACGTATAACAGGGCGCACGCCCCAACACACGACCGGGCCCACGTCACAAGTGGCCCAAACCAGAATCAGCCAGGGACTGAATCAGAACAGGACTGGCCTGAAACGGATCAGGCATAAGGGAAGGTTAAGCGAGAGCCTTACTTATATCTAGCCTGATCTTCTGCTCTCTTGATCTTGCCCTTGGCAGCAAGAGCGCAAGAGCATAAGAGCAATACAATCATGGAACATATATACCACGTAGGTCAGACGCATCTGACATTTCATAGATTCTCCGTAATCAATCTCCCTCACCAATTCCACTGGTACCTTCTAAGTACCTTCTTGTTGTGTTCACACTTCTTGTTACTAACCAGCCAACATACCACCCCACTGCCTGTGATCAGACCTACTTACCCTAGGCCTGGGAACTTGCGTGATATGTTGAGCCAAGCAAACCTTGAAGATAAGCTCTTGTATCAGCTTCTTGTCGACGCCACAGCATACGAAATCGTCGAAAACTTTTACGACGGCTCAGTATACGAGGACGTGAGCGAACTGTGTGAAAACCTGTCGAAAGCAGACTTATCAAATATCATGAAAGCCATACCTCGTCTAAAGATCTCAGACAAGGATCCGGCAAATGAGGTCTGGGCAAATCGCTGCAATTATCACAACCACGAGCTCACTGAGCCATGCCATATATTCGAACCTACTGACCCCACTCGGGGTCTTCCAACTCCCAAGTACTCCTGAAAATGCGTCCGCCACTGCCTGCTAGCTGGAGCCCAATACTGTGAACGATAGTGTCTAGAGATCACATGGCTCAGCTGGATTTGCACGGAACGTCCGTCACGACTACTGAGACAAAGAGTAAGTCTTAACGAAACGACAGGGGAGAAATATAGGAGATCTGAAATGTGTCATTGCCTTGACCTAGGAGAAGCAGAAAGATAACGGACTACGGGCCTGAGTCGAGAGCAGCGTGAAACCTAGGATTTTAGGATACCACAGTTTAACAGAGACATCACCAGGTTTCGACAACCTTTTGGAATACAATTAGACGACTTCTTCGAATTTTCAGCACTCAAAGAGAGTGATTCTTAGCACAGCAGTCTCTTCCAGATTTCTTCGCCTCTGTTACGTTACCAGCCAGGCGTGACGCTTCTTCGATCATTCAACATTGCATGACTATATCCTGCAATGCCAACTTTTCTACGTCCTTGAACGTCTATTCGTAAAGCGTGCCAACAGCAAAGCCTTGAATCGTCAGACATTGTACACAGGCTTTCTCACAGATACGATGGACACAATATTTGGTATTAGAGGCTGGAGTCAAAGCCGATTATATGTCGTCGTCCAAATTTTTGGGCTGAGTACCGTCCAAACCTTCCGCATATCTTAACGAGAACCTCAATGGCGTCTGACTTGCGAGTAGCTAGCAGGAAGTTCTGCCCACGTGGCTGCCGTATTCAGCCACGAGGAACGATGTCCCAATTTTGGATGCAAGACAACAACAACTACCGCAGGCGAAACCTCTCTGCTGATAATATGCAGTCTGATTGGAGACTATACAGAACGTTTGGAAGCGATCTCGCGGCAGGGACGTCGCCTAACGCTCGTGATGACTTCTTCAAGTGGATTCGGGTAGCGTGGCCGTCATGTTGCTGCTACAGCTAATGGGTTGTCTATCATCAAATTCTGCGGAACACTCGGACCACAGGTACTGACAGAAAGCCGACATGACATGACTAGCTGTTGACGCTGTGTGACTCTGCAAAGCCTGGCTGGAATCTCGTAAGCGAGGATGATATTTGAACCTGCTCTGCTATTTGTTTCGTGATCACTAATGCTGGTACTCCTGGGCCACATAATTGCAACGTCAAATCACATCATGTAGCCTCTTGAGTATTGTCATGCAAGGAAGTCGAGGCCATATCACATTCGATGCATTCTCGTGTGCTGTGATGAAGTTGTCTTCTTCAGTCAGTGAGGTAGTCACAATCAGAAGGTAGGGTCAAGAAGGCATCACAGGGAACCAATTAGAGGATTTTTGAAAGTGAAGCGTTCCCCGAGACAACTAAGAGAGATGCATACACAAGTCTGGCGAAGCCACACGTGTCAAGAGCAAGCTTTCGTGGAAGTTGTGGGTCACCTAAATCTGCCATGAGTCGGGCAGCAATGCAGGGTGATGGGCAGAATTTGCGTTGCAGCTTCAAGCCTTGTCCTTTGTCAGGAGTGCTACTGGAGTACTGCCGCAGATGCACGTAGGATAGTACAAAAGTTGTGTTCCAGCAACCAGCCTTTGACGTAGAAGGATCTCCTCAAAAATTTTTCGTTCGATGACTTGCTTCTTTCGAGTGTGCACGGCATAATGGGGATATGACTCATCGGAGGTTTTCACGACGATCTCGCTGCTGGTATTGTTTAGCGACTCAGCATATTGCCGAGCAATGCAGAATGTTCCTTTTGTTAAAGGGTGATCGTCTATGTATTGCGAACATATTGGATACGAGCTTTCGAGTCAGCCTTGTAGTAGCAGGACATAGCAGAGCGCCAGCGCATGCCCTAACCGCAGTAACAGGAGAGACTCACGCTTTGACGGGCATGACTTTCGGTCAGGCGTGAGCGGTTTCGACGCATTGCCTGTGAGTACGAACACCAGTTCCTCGATTAATCTGTAGCCCTCCTCATTCATGGGTATGCATTATTTTGGGCAGGGACACCGGGAGGGCGAGGACCACGGATACTGCTGAGGACAGGCGGCACATGTCGACTCGAGAGCTGCAATATGTACAGCCAATAATAAAAAACAGCGACGTGGTGTGATGTGGTTGGGTTACGATTGAGAAAGTGGACAAAGTCAGAAACAAAGCTCGAAAATAATCCGTAGCTAAACCATCTTGAGCCTAGTTTCCGAGTCTTGATCGAGGCTGGCGCCAGTGCCCGTTTCCTTCCTTCCTTCGCATGCTTCCACTACTGCCGGTCGTCATCCTCACGCACTGGTAAAGCATCAACTGCAGCTCTACCACCCAGTGATGCTCCCTCTCTCCTTGCAGGTTGGCGATCTTGCGGCGTACCATAATCCACTTTTGGTCGGTTGCATCGGTACTGTCCATGATGGCATCTATCCTCGATGGTCGACTCACTGACACACGCCATTGATACATCCCAAACACGAGACCCACAACTCGCCCCGACCCGCGGAGAGGTTCTGGGTGTTCATGTAATCCGTTCGTGTCTCGAATCGTAATGGACCGTGCTGACTATCTGCGGATGGGATTACATGCTTCGCTAGCAATGAGGTCGATCATCTTGTTCAGACAGACTTATTTCATTGCCTCGAGCAGACTAGCTGTGCAAAGATAGACGGCTTTGAAGCCCCGAACTTCCTGTTGCTACCTAATCTGTTGACGTCTCGAAGGAAGCCTCCGTTCAAGGCCATCTCCGTGGCTCAGCCGCGCTTCTCTAAGCCTCATATAAGATTCCTTTTCGATCCTGTGAATCCGGCTCCTGGTCTTTTGTCACAAAGCATCGAAGTTATTAGTAGCAATGAGCAGATCGACAACATCATCTTCGGGAAGAATCAGCAATCAATCAAGCTGCGAGTCGACTTTCAGTCGTGCTTCCCAGAAGACATATCGAACAGATCTTACATCATGTACCAATACTCGACCTTCTATCAAGCACTATCCTACTGCACCAACCTTGAAGCAATTACTGGCTCATGAAGAGCAGGTCCTGGATAACCAAGGTTTTGCGAGATCTTCCACGTCGTCTATCGACACCTACGCTTCAACACAAGCTTCGGAGGAAGACCTCCCTCGTCTTTCTCTTGATGACTTTCCTCGAGAGAGAAGACAGTGCTTCGAGCCCGACGCCATTCCATCGACTCCAGCCGATTTCGCCGAGCTCTTCCCATCAACGCAGCGGCTTATGATACAGCACGATGACTCGACACCCGATGGCAACATGAACCTACGTCTAGACATCGACTTCACCTCGAAGAGTGGTCGCAGGAGAAAGATGACTCTCTTTCACCTAAGAATGCACGATCTAGAAGAGCGAAAGTTTTCTTTGAGAAGATACTGGCGCAATTCTGGTCGAGAAGTGTCGAGCTGCAAACGCAAGTACATTCACGACATCCCAGCTGGTCTAAAGCCAAATATGAGAAGATCATCGACAGCACCTGAACTCCATCGACGAGATGTCAGTCGACACGATTCTGGCTACGAGTCTGACAATGACGACGAGGACGACTTCATGGAAAAGCTTCGAGCTTTCACGATCGCCAAGAATCTCAAAGCCACTACCCCAACGAATGGCATTCAAATCGAGTTCTCCAACTATGCTCAAGTCGTCATGGAGCCTGCGTGTCATGATGACCGAAAGCAGTATAGCTTTGAATACTGGGGAGAACAGTACACGTGGAAAAAACGACCACTTCGTGATGGCGACGAAACAATCACTTCGTACGAGCTTGTCAACGTTGAGACCCACCAGAAGATGGCTTCTATGGTACCAGATGCCCTCTCAGCAGAAGAGACCAGCTTCGAGCTGTCGCAGGGAGCCTGGATCCCGGCGAGCAGCATGAGAATTCTGCAGCAGAACATTTCCGATGACCTTGGTGATGTTATCGTCGCGACTGGTCTCATCGCACTAGCTGACGACTGTATTCCATGATGAGTTGCGCTGATTTAGAGGCTGCCGGGCCTAATTTTCGAATGGAGTCAGGTATTTGGATCAGGCAAAGACTGCTGGGAGTGCATTATGGCGTTACACGGCCTGTCAGTCAAAGCGATGGCTCTTCCTCACCGCTCCGAAGAGTCATGTTACTGGGCTTCTTTACCAGTGTGGGAAACTTTCGCGATCATGAGATGTCGGATGTATTTGGCATATTACGGACACTGGCATTCAATTGCCTCAAAATTGGACTTACAGGGTAATGTAAGGTTATTTACGAGTGTGGAGCAGATAGCATGGAGACAATGTTACGCAACGCCTGTACCAGACAGGTGGGCGCAAGGATTAGATGGTCGATGCTAGCATAGCACAATGAAGATCTTGTGCAACCATGGGCGACTTGTCCATTGTACCTATCACACGCGGTTCGGGTTGGTTTCATTAGCTCTTGTCAATGCGAGCCGTCAAGGTAGTATGGGCTCGTAGCAAGAGCGACCGCCTCTTTTTGTATGTATCTGTCAGGTGCGTTTATAACACCGCTGAAGATTAAGAAAGAAACTCGAATACTGGACGGCACGTGCAAAGTTCTTCCTTTCTCGGCAGAAACTTGCAAATCTCCCGTTGCAGAAAGAAACACCTGCCGCAACCCAACCTTTTTTTTTTTATTTAGATACCGCCGAACCCACCTGCCAAGCTCTCACTAGCTACGTTGTCAGCGACAGCACCAAACTGGATTTTGCCTACGTGCCCTTGCATCTCCTGCTCTCGTCTTCTCACGCTTTGGGACGGCTGCCCAAGCTAGAGCAACCAATTGTGAAGAGAGAAAGAAGCGCTATCTGGAGAAAGGGTTGCCGCCACTTTGTCTGCGTCACAAACATGCATTGGCTTTCTTTCTCTTGACATCTGGTTCCTTTTCATACCTTGTCATGATTTGAAAAGTGATCAATTTAACTCCTACGACGCACGTCGCTTGTCGGACTTATCTCCATAGATCGCATGCACATTGACAAGCCACCCTCACGATGGTACTGATCGATCCATCCATCTCTGCGAATTCAGCTCATCTCTATTTGAGCGTACGCAATCGTGCATATTCTACAGAAAACGCTTCTCGGGAGCACTATGGGAGTATCCGTTGATGTGCTGGCAGTTTGAGGGTACAAAGTGCAAGCTCAACGGTAAATATCTTATTGCATAACAGAAATGGTGGAGAATATCTTTCACTTGTATCTGCGACTCCGTGATTGCTTCTGTCTGTGCCCGCTCAATTCGCTCAAAGTCCTATTTCTTACCAACGACAAAGAAATTCGCTGATATACACGTGATGCACTCAGAGTAACTTCGTTTCTGACCAGGTACAGAACAGCATGTCACAATCATGACGCTGGCTGCCGGGTCGGATCAGCAGTTGATTTTATGACAGACAGCGGGTAAGCGAAGCTGGACTTGAAGACATCAGTCAGTCGTCAAATCAAGTGACAACCACAGCGATATCGACTTGAAGTGTTTACAGGTAGTGGTACCTCCCACCGCATGTGAAGAAGGCCTCGAAGGTATATAACGGTGATTGCATTTGTTTCACCAGCCTTATCCAGTCGATCAAAGTTTGAGACTCTCAATCAAGAAGTGCTAGTCGACCTTCCACCGCAGACCGAACCAAGCAGTTACTCTATATCTGAAAGTCGAGAGGACATCATGGCTACCAAGACACACAAGACTTGGCAAGAGGAGTTGGCTTGTACGTGCTTCTGATTCGTGCAGGTTTGATACTAACCAGGCTCAGCTGAGTGTCGACAAAAACGACTGCCAACTCCAGTCTACAACATTGTGTCTGATCGCAGAGGTAAAGGATCATTCCCATACATGGATGATAGTCACTCACGACTTGTTAGGAGGCAGGACCGCATGGTCAGCCACTGTCACAATACAGAACAAGAATCTTGCAGCACGGTACTGGTACGATGGACAATTTCTCAATAATGCCAAGGAAGATGCCGCTGAAGTTGCCTGCACGCAATTGCGGAACCCGTCGATTACACAACAAACGGCACCTCAATATACCCAAACAACAGGATACGGCAGGGGTCAGTTCCGCTGAATCAGCTGGATGAACGTGGGTCTTTCGGTGACTGGTAGGGAGGGAGGTTGTATCATAGTATTCCATCACGTTTTGGAACATCAAGGACAATCACGTTCGCTGTATGGTCGAAGCACGAAGCTGCGGTACAGCGTCAGGTGCATAGCGAAGGCGTTAGTGAGGCGAACGAGGCTGGCGGGGCAGCAAAAAGCCATCTCTTTAGGGTCATTGTTGGGAGCGATTAGCATCGTGTTTGTGTACCTTTGGCAAGAACCACTGTCATGCCTGAATAGCAATCTTTTGTTAGAATTCCAACCATCTACTCATCTAGTTTCAACTTGATGATTTTGGCCAAAAGGCTTTTGAGCCCGCAGCGTTCACGCTCATCACTCGTATTATTCAGTCTGTAGATCATGCAAATTTCTGTTGCTAAGTGGCATCGTTCAGAATGACAACACCTTGGATTGCCGTCAGCTTATCTCAACCATCATGTATCACGAAAGTCGAGCAGCTCTAAAATGCGAGCTTGGACGAGGTAATTCCAAGCTTGACGAATGGGAAAATTAGGGATTCGCCGCGGCGGTTGTTGCCATGCGCCAGGCACTCAGCACCATCTCATGCGGTCTGAGGCATATCCGAAAAATGCAGGTTCAGTCCGATTTGAAAGTACCTTCGTATACATTTCACAGCACGAGAACACACTTCCACCTTTGCCCACTGCGGGGACTTGCATTAGGGCTCGTTGAATGACTTGCAGAAACACAAATTACACGCATTGTGTACCAATCTGGCATGACTTGCTTGGTACCTGCACAAGTACCTGCCCCATCTGCAAGTGTCGATGAAAGTTCACTGCTTGCTCACCGCTACTCCCAAAAGTCCACTTGTACGGGTATACTACTCGCACGTCGGACGTCGCTCAGACACCTCTGCGTCTGTGAGGACTGTCATGACAGCATCGTCAAATCAGGGTTCTCTGGGCACTGGCAGATCCGCTGCTTTAACTTTCGACCTCAAAGCTCGATGTTCGGTGTGTGGACTGCCTGATCCGTCGACAGTTTCTGTCTGCTGCAAATCGTTCATTTACTGATGCTTACTACGACAGACCAGTAAAGCCCGTGCCTCGACTCTACACCTCCCTCATGGATCGGTTGACCTTCCAATATTCATGCCCGTGGCTACACAGGCCTCCTTGAAGGGTCTGACACCTGAGCAGCTAGAAGACACCAGTTGTCGACTATGCTTGAACAACACGTGAGCACAGCCTTCGCATTCGGGTGCAAGAGACGGGAAGGTTGACAAATGTGCGTAGCTATCACTTGGGCTTGAAGCCAGGTCAAGAGGTGCTGGATGCTATTGGAGGAGCTCACAAGCTGCAGGGCTGGAATCGCAATATCTTGACCGATAGTGGTGGGTTGGTGCTCCTGACCAATATCTGCAACTCTTCTGACACATCTCCTATGCGCAGCTTTCAAATGGTATCGCTTTTGAAGCTGGCCAAGATTACCGAAGAAGGTGTCCGCTTTCTCTCTCCTCACGATGGCTCACCCATGTTGCTCACGCCTGAGCATTCCATCTCTTTACAGAACAGTATCGGTAGCGATATCATGATGCAGCTTGACGATGTCATTCAGACCACCTCTCCCGATGCTGCTCGAATGAAGGAGGCAATGTACAGGTCAATACGCTGGCTAGACCGATGCATGGCTGCTCACAAGAAGCCGGACACTCAGAATCTTTTCTGCATCATTCAAGGCGGTCTCGACCTTGAAATGCGAAGAGAATGCTGTAGAGAAATGGTCAAAAGAGATACACCAGGCGTTGCAGTTGGTGGCTTGTCTGGCGGAGAAGCGAAGGCCGATTTCTGCAAGGTTGTCGATGCTTGTACTGATTTACTCCCCGAGCTCAAGCCACGATATGTGATGGGGATCGGCTATCCTGAAGACATCGTGGTTGCGGTTGCGCTCGGTGCAGACATGTTCGATTGCGTCTGGCCAACGAGAACTGCCCGATTTGGTAATGCGATCACGAAACACGGTGTGCTCAATTTGAAGCATGCAAGATACGCTGAGGACTTCGGACCAGTCGACGAAAGATGCAGATGCGTTATTTGCCGCCCACGAGGTGAGGACAACGGTCTCGGTATCAGTCGAGCTTACATCCACCATTTGGCTGCAAAAGAGACCGTCGGAGCACACCTCTTGACTATGCACAATGTTCATTGGATGCTTGATCTAATGAAACGAGCACGAGCTGCCATTGTTGAAGATCAGTATCCAGCCTTTGCAAGAGATTTCTTCCGGGACTACTTCCTAGGCAAAGAAGCTCCTGGGTGGGCGATTGACGCTTTGAGGGTTGTTGGTATTGATCTGAAAGAGGATCAATGATATCTAACCATCACAATTAGATTTTCAACCCCTTTCATGATTCTCGAGTCCACTGCTCGCCTCCGACTACGCCCCGAGTATTATGCAACAGCCAAGAAACCAAGCATAATTGTCTTCAGCTATACAATTAGTGCGCATATGCAGAAAGATCGTCGAGGATGTTAGGGACAACCGAGTCATGCAATTGAGCTTCTGTTTCCCAATATATACATAGTGCAGTTCACTGCCACTGTTTGGCGATCCTTCAGAATGGAAGAGATTTCACCTTTTTGAAGGTAGGCATGCGCAGTAAGCAAGAGCAACGCGACAGCTAGCCATCTACATAACACGAGAATCATTTGACTTTCGAGAGTCCTTTCCTCCTCCACGGAACCACACTCACTCCATGAAAGAGCACCACGATAACTCAGTCAAATTCCACGACTACGCTCTCTGACTTGTACATATTACACTTCATTATTTATTAGCGCACGAGAAGGAAGAATTACTGCAAATTTATTCAAGTCCCGGACTCTGCAACAGATGTTGGATCAATCTTGTTCTCTTTGTTGGAGATCCAGCAATATTGAATTGCTTAGATTCCCTCTGAGACCACCGCCCTTCCTTGCAATCCTCCGGGAAGGAGTCAGTCATCGGTTTGTACTAGAAGGAGGAAACGTACCTTTCTTTCCATTTTGTCATCCCTCGACTTTATGGGTTCCGCTTCACGGGTAACGATGGTCCCAAGCATCGTCCATGTCGATGGCTTCTAGAACCTCTTCGTGTGTCAGTTCTCCGCCGCGGTCGTTGTAATAGTCCAGGTAGGCGACTATGAGGATGGACATCACTATGAAGATCGGTAGGATGATCCAGCCTACTTGAGTCAGTGTTAGAGACATTTTGGTGCGGGTTCCGGTCTTAGGATTTTGCCGAGAGCTTCTTCGAGTCGTTGATCTTAGGTTTCTCAGTTCTCGCGCGTTTGGCATGTGCTGTGGTATGCTCTACAGTTCCCATTCAAGCAAGAGATGTGTGCTAATCTTGGTCATGCGGAACAGCCATGCTTGGAAGGTTTCAAGGACAATTGACAAACGCTGCCTACCACGGATAGTGTGTCATCACAATGACTACCTATTTCACAAAGCACTATTGAGTGAAGTCACATTGTCTCGTTCTTGCCTTTCTATACAGACAATCAGACGTTGTTACACTTCACAATGCTGCGTCATAATGATAGCGAATGTGGTCTTTGACTAGAGTCGGGTCGCGACAGGATCGCATGAGATGGCGGACCATTTATATACTCTGTTATCGAGGCACTTTGCCCACAACACATCACAAGAATAACAAATTAGAGCACAGGAAAGCACACATCATGAGTGGATATTACCGGACTGGTTCCGAGAACCATTCAACCCAAAACATGCATCAAACCCAAGACCAGGGTAACGTTTACCCTGATCCGCAAACATACAATCCTCAGCCCTATGTCAGTCAAGCATCTCCTGAACCTCCTCGGAATGCGTTCGACGACGCATTCGACGATTATTATGGCACGAACTTGCGACCAGCTGTACGGCAGCAAATTTCACTAGTTTTGAATGCCCCAGCCCAGACTTCTCTCCGTGAGACGCTGTTCGTCGGTGTTCCTGACAGGACAACATTGACACAAGCACATCCCAACCCCCAACTATACTGCACTCCGGCTGAACTATTTGTCCTTTCGCGCGTCCTGGAACGTGTCAACAACCGACAGAGCAACCAGGTATTCACGCCCCAGAGTCTGCAGCCGGAAGAGATCTACAACGCCATAATCGGCGAATCGACCGATGATGAATGTGAGTATATCCTAAGGACTGACGGTGAACCGTGGTCGTCCCCGCTTAACCGCTCACATGACATTCAGGGCTTCCAGAACCAGCAACTCCCTCAAGTTCAGAGCGAGACCTTACCTCAGCAACAGCCTCCAACTGCTCAATCAAGCTTGAGCAAATGCCAGCGAGATATTATGGTGAAGATTGTGCGCCGCTACAACAAAGCTCATCGCGACTGTCCTCTCGAGCTCGAACATATGACACTACAGCTTTGCGATCAGCTATACCAACAACAGGCTACCGCAAGGGAGAGGCAATTGATGGAGCAGGAGATACAACGACTCGCCGGTCAACCGGAAGTCAGCGAGCTTGGACTCCAGGCCGAACCCGAACCCGCACCCGCACCCGCACCCGCACCCGGACCTGAACCTGAACCTGAACCTGAACCTCCCAAGCCAGTTGTCCCTTTCGTAACGGCCACTAATGCCAACATGAAGGATCTGCTAGACGATCCGAAACACGCCCGACCAGACCGACGCAGGGCTTGTGCACCATGCCGGATTGAAAAACGATCCCCTTGTGATTACCTTGAGCAGCGAAAAAAAGGCCTGCCATGTTCACTGTGTTTAGAACGAGATGGCAAAGGTCTCTGTCCTCCATACAATTCTGGACTGTTTTGCCACAGAGATACACCCCAGGCATACATCGACTGGAAGACAGCACGTTTCGAGAGCAAAACCCCAGGACGATCAAAACCAGTCGAGGATGGCCACTTGGCTAGGCTGGTCAAACGCCAGAACCAGAAGGATCGAGAGGTGCGAAGCAAGATCGAACGTACCTACCACAAAGACGCACTTGACAACGAGAAAGGACCTCCTTCGGACGATGAAGGAGGCAACTCCCTGTGGATCGGACCCTAGAACAAAGCCAACCTTTTGAGAGCTGTAAGACCAGATGGCAGGCCGAGGTATGGTAAGCCAAGTATACAAGATGAGTTGTCCCTATCTATGGGTGTGCTAACACACCATCTAACTAGACATGCTAATCACAGAATAGAAAATATAGCTCCGCAACACAAAACGCTAGTGTGCACAAACGTTGTTGCCAACAATCGCCCTCCTGATTTGTTAGAGGCTGGTCAATGTCCTTTTCTGGTAAGTACTAATCCATGCGAAAGTGCTAAGCAATACATTTAGTAGTGCAGAAACCACGTCTCTTCTTTTCTTATTCTCCTTGTAAATAATATGAGGCAGAAACAAGCATGCATGTCTGAACGCCTAGTCGAAACACCCTATGGTGACTGCCCATGAATATAGTATTTGGTCTACCCAGTCAGCTTTCACTTACGAAGCATAATCTAAAGTCCCCATCATGAATCCTGTCGGGTCAATACTCATGACCTGCGTCCAGTCCCATTCATCCAAGCCCAATAGCATATCGTCCATGAATCCATCGTCTTGAGTGCCATTATTCATTGGTACAGTCGTTGTTGCAGTGGTTTCAGTATAGCTCAAGTTCCCGACGGCGTCGTTTATGTGGCTCGAAGCTGGCACTAGCAAACCCTCACCATTACTGTGAATGTTCTGATTTGGATCCTGTGTATAGACACCTGCACCCGTGGTTGCGCTTGTCGCTGGTTGGTGCATTTGCGCTCTCGTAACCCCGTCGATACGCTGCTTCCTACGCTGAGAACCTTCATTTATGGCGACAGATTCCGGACTTACACTCCGCTGATCACCATTGGTCATCGCCAGTCGGTCAGGCATAGGCAAAATCAATCTCTTTGCTCGTGGTAATTGTCCTCCCATCACATAACTATGCAATTTGAAAACTCTGTCTGCCGCCGCACGCGCAAAATGGCTACGAGGTACATCAGGATTCTGCTTACTATGCACAAATGAAAGTGCGGAGGAAATTATCCAGTACCCATGGAAGCCTTGTCCGAGATTGCGGACTCGATCGTCAAGCATGTTCACCACAGCTTCGACCATGTCTATTAGGTGTCGGTCTTCAGTGACGTGTAACATACCGGTGTTGTGGCTTGGGCTTGTAGCGACAACGAAGGAGTGTGCAAGGGAAAGCGCAGATCGGCCAAAGTCTTCGCGAATAAAGGCAAAAAAGCGACGCTGTATTGAGGAGAGTTGAAGTTCGGCAGGGACGGTGCATCTTCCCGTAGCGTCAGCTATACTGAGTTGGGGGTTATAGAGGAGGATGTTGGTGATGCAGGCATAGCGACGGCTGATGCGAGAGTGAAAGTGTGCTTGTTTGAATTCTCGATTCGTGGGAAAGGGTTGATGAAGGACGACGAGGTACTCTCTCAAAATGCACTGTGATAGGGTCAATGGCACAAGACTTCCAGGGGCAGAGATCAGAAGCGACGAAGGAGGAGCCAGCGTAGAGGCTGGGAGGTCGGATAAGGTGCTTTGATGTCGATGTTGTGGGCTGTTCTGGATCGCAGCCTCCCTCCATCCAGCTATCGGAATATCATCGAGCAATAGTCTGATCTTGTGGTCATACATGGTTATGGTGTCGTGATCTAGAGCGTTACGAATACTGTTGACCTTATAGAGAACCTCTACACGAAGCGGTAGAGACTCTGCAGCCCAAGCTAGATAGGATGATCGTGTAAAAGTACTACGTGGTTTGGGGTCCGGCAATGCGCTAGTGTTGGTGTTAAGGTCTTCATCGTCGATATTTGACGGCGGATTCGTGTCCCAATCCATAGAACCTATCGTTGGCGTCATGCCTCTATCGAGAGTTACTTGCAAGTCGATCTCAAGTGCTGTATACCACAATCTTCTTCGCATTTCACAATCGAATGTATTGACCCTATTGCATAGCAGAGTCGGCTCTCGATGCAGACCAGCAGCCATGAAACGTCGAACAAGAGCTCCACTGTCGGTCCAGAAACGTTTGACTTTGATACAATTAAGTGCTTTTGATAAGAACAGTTGAATGTGAAGTTGGTAGATCAATAAAGAAACATGTTTTTGACTCTGACACTCTAGCCAGTAATTGCAGACATTGATCCAATGGCTGGCGAGTTCACGCTTTGCTGAACTACGCCCAACAAAACCTTCTTCACCTCCTGGAACTATGCAACCCATCATAGACATGGCGACGAGTAGCTGCACTACAAATCCGGGGTTGGTGTCCTTGGGCGACCGCCAATATGCTTCGTAGTCCTTCAGAAGTGTGGGAACATGTACTATTCGGTATGTGGTTTCGACCGTGTCAAGGTAGTGGTGAAGGAGGCGATCAGCATATGATTTCTCAGGTACCATTGCTATAAGCGACTCAATGGATATGTCATATGGTTGCTTAGCAGCATGCTTCTCTCTCTGGCGTATCTTCGAAATGGAGTACTTCGCGTCTTGCAAACATGGTAGAGCAAGGAGTATCTCTTTGACGAATTTTGATAAATCTTCGAATTGCAGCAGAATCGAGAGCGTGTTGCTTGGTCCAAAGTATTTTGTCTTGAAGGACTTGCCTTGCAGGAGGACTTTCTCTTGATCGCCGATCGCATATTCGTCAGAGTATGGATTCCGCTCACCAGCAGCACCAGGGCCGACTGGGTTTAGTAGACCCAAGTTCATCTCTTTCGACGTCGGCTTACCACCAGCAGCGTAAACCCATGTCTCAAGCTCGATGAGTCGGTTGCGAAGCTGGGCATATCTGTAATCAGTAGGCGCTGTGCTTGAGTCAGTTGCGATTGGTCCGGAACGAGGTAAAACCTGAACTGGGGTAGGGCGGGCCACTGCCTCGACGCTCAGGATCGCGTTTGCATTGTTGTGAGCAGTACTCTCGTATTGCTCTGCTTCATCCCGCCAAGTATTATGACTGCTGGCTCTCGATCTTCTCGATCTCTCGGGATCAGATGAGGTGTGACCCTCAGATGGCGCATCGTGAGAGCCTGTATATGTAACGTAGGAACATTTGTTGCCATTACCACCTTTTTGGCAGCGAATGCAAGAAGGTAGGGTGCGATCGCACTTGACCTTTCTTCGACGACAATCAACACAGGAAAGAGCGATGCGACGCCGCTTCTGACCCATGGAGAGCGTCTTAGCTGGCTACACCAAGCTTCGGATCCGCGGACAGCTTCCACAGCAATTACGGATCAGCCTGGCAGATCGAGCCACTGGTCACTTCCTCACTTGGCACAACATCGGCACTAGGTCTGATCAGTCTCAATGCACCGAGCTTGAATTGAGACTGATGCAGATGGGGGGTTATGGGAGATGCAAAGATTGTTTTCTCAAGATACAGAAAAACTCACTTCTGTCTGTCTCATCTATTGACTCTCGAGCCTCAGATCTCTTCTGCTAGGTTGCTGCACAAAACGAAGAAGAATAACTCAAATTAGGCATCCCTCGTTTACCATGCGTGGTGGAGTTCTTAAGCGTTTCGTCGCGCAAATAAAGTTAGTTCCAGCCATCCCGCGTGTTCTGGTCCACAATCCTCGACAACGACGGTGTTATGAGAATAGGACTTTATCGAGCATCGCCACAAACAGTATCATGTTTACGTGCGCATCTAGCAAACATCACCCTTGAGGTGTGGGTGATACCTAGACATATGCTGTGAGCAAGGATGCGTGCAGCGTAGCAAAGGTGAAGCTTCTTAATTCGCCACTGTTGATACACACTGTCGAAGCTGCAACTCCCCAGCGTAATCAAGAGCAGAGATGTATTCCTTTATTAAGCTCGTTATACCTACGTGTTAAGAACTAAGAGATGAAACTGGCACTTCCCCACATGTCCAAGGTCACAGCCCACTAGCACTCTCGCCAGTTAGGGAGCTCAGACTACTCTGTAGTAAGCTTCAGAACATATCATCGGAACACTCTTCAGGCATTGCAAGAGGCAGTCAATCGAGGAACTATGAGAGCCTTGCGATTCCACGGCAAGGAGGACATCCGTCTGAACGACATTGCTATACCTAATATCACTCCTAGCCATGTCAGAATTCGTCCAGCATTCGTTGGCATCTATGGGACTGCTCCTCTTCTCTTATTGCCTCGAAGGTAAAATCTCGACTAACAATGCACTGAGATGTCCATGAGTATACACACGGAGCGACTTTGATTCCGAAATCAGCGCATATATTCACGAACTGCTCGGCTCCCTTGACGGTAGGCCATGAAATCAGCGGCGTAGTGGAAGAAGTTGGATCTGATGTTAGTGAGCTATAGGCTGGCGACCATGTGGCTATACAGCCTATCATCTCAGACAACACATGCTACGCGTGTAGACAAAATCGTCCCAACTACTGCACCAAGCACGGATTCTACGGTCTCAGTGGGCCTCCCTGTTTGCAGCCTTCTTCAAAACCTTGTGCTGAACAATGTGGTTGTTTAGGTGCTGATGGCGGTCTTGCGGACTACCTTGTCGTTACGGCTGGAAATGCTCGGAAACTGCCGCCACATATCCCTCTTGACGTCGCAGGTATGTTCACATTGCGAGTGTGCGTCGTAGTCGTTTGATCATAAGTCTTTGCAAAGCCCTTATCGAACCGCTTTCTATTGGATGGCATACTATTCGATGCAGTATCGCACAAGAGACCACTTCAGCATTGGTCATGGGTGCGGGACCAATCGGTCTCTGCGTAATACAGGCGTTGAAGGCCCACAACATCTCAAATATCATTGTCGCCGATACAAATCTAGTTCGCGAGGACGCTGCCACTCTAGCAGGAGCACACCACTTCATTAACCCCTCCACGGACGACCTAGCGGAGACTTGCGGTTGGCTCTGTATCGACAGTAATGGTGTGCATGTCGCTTATGATACTGCAGGCAAGCAAGTAACACTCGACCAATGTGTTGCGGCTTTATCTGCAGGTGGACTGCTAGTCAACGTTGCCATATAGGGTGGGTCAGCAACTATCATGCCCAATGCATTCACTCTTGCTGGGAAGCGATATATGGGTAGCGCAGTATACGCCCGAGAAGACTTTGATTCGGTCATTGAAGGTGTTGCACTAGGTCAGCCATTCTTTGGTTACGTCTTTCGTGGGAAAATAACTAATACTTGGTTCACCAGGTTTTCTAAATCCCGCATTCATGATAACGTCCAAGATAGCACTCTCGGAAGTGGTATCACGCGGCATCTTGAAGCTCATACAAAACCCGACTTCGGACCTGAAGATCTTGGTTGACTTATCAAGAGATGATTAAGTGCGAGACAAGCGATATATGTTCTTGCGGTTCACACCTGCTATGACCCAATCGTTGGGGAAGGATCAGCTGCTGAGCTTGCACGCCGCGACTCGAGAACATTCATGGCAGCCTCGGCTTCTAGCCCAGATGCGCGTTGACCAGCACGTCAATTACTTCACTTTTAATGTGGTAGAACAGCTGTACGTAAGCAGGCCGCTCAGGGTTCTGGCGTAGGTCGAGTACATCAGCGCCTGTGCATTCAATGAAAGAGGAACGGGGTCTACTGCCTGTCATTTAGTCGTCGATCTCGACTTGTACCTGACCATTTCATCTGACCCTTGAGGCGCTTGAGGCCAAAAACGAGCGTCATTGACTGCTTTCGCGCTGGCACCCTCCGTACAGTTCTGTCGCGGCTCACGGGCCAGATTCAGTGTTGCAAGAAGCAATGATGTCCAGCTTACAACCGTGCACTCATTCTGTCTGCTTCAAAGCGAGTTTTATGAGCTTCAGCAAGATCGTTGGATGCCTCGGCGTCCCAGCCTGCGATCAAGTCCTCAACGACATTGGTTTCGTCCTGCCCCCAAACGATATTGCCGTCATGAACCCAATCACCACTGTCACTCTGCCTGAGGACTCGATATGTCGGTACACCACAGATACCAAGTGCTTTGGCCTCTATCGTCGCTGCACGCAGTTTGGCTTTGAACTCGGCGGAATTTGCTCTTACGATCAACTCAGTACCATTATAGCCACATTGGTCCAAGACTTGACTGAGCACAGTTTCGTCGCTCACGTTTGCATTGTCTTCCCAGCAAGCGCGATACAGGAGTGGCACAATTGACGGCTCAACCATCGCCACTCGCAGCACGGTTGGTGTACGAATCGGGAATATGTCGGCCCAATAGAAGTCGATGTTCTTGTCCGGGCGGCCTTCTTGCATGTTAACAGCGTTCCAATAATGTGTCCAATCCGCGTGATCTTGTCGAGACCAAGCAGCTTTTGTGGGGGACACAGCACTTCCGGGCAGATTTGGTGCACCTATTTCACGAAAAAGTATTCCAAGAAGGAAAGGCTTCATGACAATTTCGAGCTCCGGTCCAAAAGTCCTCTGCAGACGTGCTAGTTGCGTCCACCCCAGAAAAGCCCAAGGACTGCTAAAATCGTACCAGAATTCAAGCTTAACTCTTCCCGCGATCTTGTTATTGGCTACACATCGTGGCATGAGGCTTCTCAAACCTGTAACATGACACCAGTCTTGAGCCTTCTGTAAAGCTATCAAGGTGGCCTCCACGAAATGCATGCGGTCTTGGCCCCAGAAGAATCTGCCTTTTGACTTTGTCCCGTTTGTGTCAGTCCATTCTGCATCTGGAATCCAGAATCCGGGAACACCGAAAGCACCTCTGCCAATACTTTCAGCCGTCGCGTCCTCTAGCTCCTTGCGTGCCTGAGGACCAGCAAAAGTGGTCTGGGAAATTCGATGCGAAGCCTCAATGCCGCTGGATTGCACGATCTTGAGTAATTCCTTGTCGTCACTGACATCGCGACCATCCACCCAATACGCCTTGAACAAAAGCTTAGTCAGAACTCTCCTATCTTCGTCATCAACCGCATAGAGCAATCTTAAGGCATTAACTGTCTTTCGTGGATGGTGTGGAGGTGGGTTGTAGGCGATCTGATAACGTCGAAGCGTTCGTTGCATAGATTTACCTGTCACCGCACGCTTAGTCGGATTAAACACGTCGCTTGCACTGCCTCCAGCACCTTGTGGTGCTGCAGTGGCGCGATAAATGGCCCCAAGAAGTACAGGGCGCCATATCAATGATGCGCCGCATCGTTCAGCAAGAGCCTCGACGCGTGTTGAGGCGATGTAGGCGAACGGGCAGGATATCTAGTCAGCATGTCAGTATGAGGCTGAGAGTAAGATGACCAATACCGACATCATAATTGAATTCAAGTACAGGAGCAACCATTACGCTGGAGTTGCAAGCTCCTGAGAGAGCGAGCTTGCAAACGGCAGGCTTTCTGTTTTCGTCGGAGCTTGTGTGATGTGAACGAGGTACGTATACAGGCTTTTAACCCACGGCTTTGCATCCAAGATTGAGGTGGCAGTTCGACATACCACTACATGTTGCCGTCAATTATGTTTTGTGGAGGTTCTACACGAGAAGCTGGAGCCGAGGTTGATCGTCTGGATCTCCCAAGACTCTCTGGGTAGCGGTAAGTCGTTGTAGAGAATCTTTGTCTACGTTGATGGGACTTCGTGTCTCATGCACGAACCACATGTTCGAGATGAGCTATGTGCAGTGTTGTGTCCAACATGTTTGAACAGTAGTGATGGTTATACTCCGTCTCATGGCAGTGAAGTATACAAGGTGGATACGACAGCTTGCCGGAACCGCAAAGAGCTTCGACAATGTGATTCGCACCAGCCACGTCCCGGCCAGAAAAGGTTTCGAGGCCACACCCACAATCTTGCTGTGGTAACCCGACACTTTTGCTGACTGGGACGTAATCAGGATAGTCTCTCCGAACGAGCTGCCAATCTTATAGCAGAGTAGACGTGAAAGTGTAAAAAACCAATGTCCTCAGATGAATATACGCTGGAAATTGCAAGCATGGTAAACATGGGTAGATCACGTGAAACAATAGTGATTTAGCTCATTTATCAGATGAAAGAGTTGCGTTCTATGAGAAGATCTAGAACGGTCAAAGTCGGTGACTTCGCCAAAAAAGTAACGCATGAGTAGAGACGTGATGGCTCCTAGATGCATCGTCATTTCGCTGTAATGGAAGGAGAAAGTCTGAAGATCTGATGCGCAAAATATGCCTAGTCCATTGGTGTCCGTGATAAATGATGTTCCAGTCTCATTGCCACAGCTAAGCACACTCGTTGTCCTGACCGGTTCGTGTTAGAGCCACACCTCATCTACATTGCACTATTGTCGCAATTCTCGCGGCGGTACGCGAAGGTATAGATCGCTCTCCGTAGCGGTGTCCAGAAATTGAGGTAGATGAGGCCATTGTGGTGCCGATGCCTTTACCTCTTTGTCAGGTTGTGCGCGATTTGCCACAGTATTCTCGTCTTCTTTCGCAAGGACAGCAGCAACCGCAAGGGCTGTAAGTGATGCCTCCTCACGAAGCCTTCCCATAACAATGGCTTTCCTTCCAGGCTGGTCTGCATATCGCTCCTCGATGTATCGCCATGCCCATTCCAGATCCTCTTCATCGACGGGACGTATGCAACCTCTGAGCAGGTTCTGTGCTAATCTTTCCTGTTCCATATGGTACCTCCACTGTCTCCTCTCCCATTCCTGTCTGTTAGTCTCCTCCGCTTGGGCAATTGATGGAAGGTCTGTCGCAACTACAGGAGCAGTACCCCTTCCCATTCGATACCAGTGGAGCTCGGCGTATATCTGCACGTGCTCTCTTAGAGTCATTTCGGGGTCAGTGTCAAATTTGCCTGCTTCGAATGTGGGTCTGTCTAGATCATATGGACCATTGATAATTCCGTGATTCACCGGGAGGTCAACGAGCGAGAGCGTCCAAGTGTCGATCCGTTCTCTCTTCACCCTGATCAGACTTTGGGGATGTTGACTGTATACCTCCTGGGCTTGAGTATGGGTCGTCAGGTTCTTGATTGTGAGCATTTGCTGCTGGGGCTGTGCATGGAGAATTTGGCTTTGAGAGAACATGTTATGTATGTAGACAAAGCAAACTAAGTTTCAACTGCTCGCAATATATTTCGGCAATCATTTCAGGTCATGCGGGCTTGAGGTCGATGGTCGAGTAGTGACCTCGACTGTGACTATGCGGCGCAGTAGTGCAGTCATGACCGTGTCAGAACGCGTCACTGTGAGCGAGGCCATGGCGTTGTCGGGTCGGCACACTAAGCAGTCACTGTGTTTGACAACCAACGCAACGGAACAAGGGCTTCATTGCTCCTTGGTAGACAGGGGTCACCTTCCATTGTGCGTGTAGCTCAGTGCCACGTGGCGGTCAGCAAAGACGTTCCCCCTATAGCTGTAGATTGCATCAAAATGAGCGGCCGCTTTTGCTGTCCAGGACGTGAGTGCATTGTACTTTGTGTCAATTCGATTGTGTGGCGTTGTGAAAGGATGACGAGGATGAAACGAATTGATACAGGAAGAGAAGGATCTGAAAACATATCGGAGTAGCACATAAGCCTGGCCATCCCCTGAGTTGTATCGTGATGGAGTCCCAATTGTAACCCATCACTATCTGAAGACATGTCCCCTTAGTGGTGGTTGATGACGATTGAGCTTCTCCTCCTTTCGACCTCTTCCTGCGCTGCAGGTGGACCTACATAGTTCTTGATGCCCCAAACGAAATACCAGATAGCCGAAACAGCTACACCACCAACAAAGACAGCGGAAGCGTAATTCATGCCAGTAGCTGGTACAGGCAGGTACGATGGCATCGAAAAGAGAGGTGTCACGAGAAGAGTCCAGGCTGCACGGACAGTTAGTGAATGTGGTTACAAGATCATAACTGCTAAACTTACCGACTGCAACAAAATTGCAAAAGTAGCCGAATGCTCCAAAATCGTAAACACCATTCTTCAAAGCCTTACGGCGTCCGATGAGAGACACAATGATCGGCATCACATATGCAATTGTCAAAAAGATGACACCAGCACCACTGAAACCATTGAAGGCAGCCGTCGAACCGAAGTAGATCAGACCGAGTAAGATCTCGCATACCATGCACAACATCATGGCATTGAGTGGAACATCCAGTTTGTGATTGACCTGCTTCCAGAGTTGGTATCCTGGAATAGCACCGTCACGTGAGAACGCCCATACACATCGTGATGAGGCAGTTGTGCATCCCACACCACAAAGGATGCCTAATACCATGATAGGAACACATAGAGCGAAGGCGCCACCCTGGCTTCCAACAGCTTGAGCGATAATGTACGGGAAGGGCTGAGCCAGGAGGATGAGGTCCTCAATTGCTGGCAAGACGAAGCAGAGTGGAACTAGGAAAATAAAGCCACAAATCATGTTGAGGACGACAGTGCCGACCATGGCTTTAGGCACCTGAGTCGCTGGTTGTCGGACTTCTTCGCACATACTAGATTCGAACATTAGCACATTGCCATCGACCACGAAACCATTCGTGATGAAAGATGTCAATTGGCTATCACGACATACCTCAAGATCATGCCAGTTGCGGATGTGGCGTAAGCCGCATGAAGCAGGCCGATGAAGAAAGACCAGCCGGGAACCCAACCTGACGAGGCAGTAAAATTGCCGAGAGCATAAGACGCGTTGTGGCGACCATTTCGTGCGACAACCAGGATGGTGATAATAATAGCGAAGACCCCGGCAAAGGTCCAGAAGATAGCGAAAGTCTGCTGAAAGTTAGTGCCTGGGTACTGAAAGAACAAGAACATGAGAGAGATGAAGCTTTTGTGAAGGTAGCACAAAAGTGTGAAACAATGAATTTTGGAGCGTAGAAAGTTCTTGACATACATCCAAGAGAGGAAGCCACTTGTTGCCGAGGGCAGATATTGCGTTACACAAGAGCGTGATTGCAACAAACAGGAGCCACGTTTGCCATGTGGTAGCGGTCCAGATACCAACTCCGTCAGCATCCGTGAAGATATTGACGCAGCCGATGAAGAAAAGCGTCGTGCCAAAGTTGACAGAGAGTGTAATCGTCATATTGCCGAGGGAATAAGCCCAACCGCAAATCCATGCGGTAATGTTGCGGTATTTTGGCGAGCTGAGCATGTATGTTTGATAGTAGACACCGCCAGCTGTAGGGTACACACTTGTGATCTCACCAAGCGAGATGGCAACACAGAGGATAATCAGGCAGACAGCAACCCAGCCCCAGATTACAGCAACGGGGCCGCCACCAATGAGTGGATAATAAAGGGTGGTCGCAAGGCCGTATGGGACTGAGGCAAGGACGAAGGACATGAAAGCGACCTGTAGTGTTGACCTGGATCGAACCAGCTCGGCTTGGTAGCCAAGTACAGCCAGCATGTCGTCAGCCGAACCTCTTCGGCCATTGATGAGGACATCATCGCCGCTGATACCGCCATGTTTTTCACCCAAGCTATTGGGTGACTCTTTTGATATTCTGCGCGACATCTTGCTTCAAAATACTACAACACCAAGGTGAGCAGAAGTGGACGAATGTTGGGCTGGGAGCGCAGAGGTTGGAATGCTGCAAGAATCGCGGCACGACTGGGAATGTTGCTGTGGCTGTTGTTGGTCGCTGTGGACGATTGTTCGGCTATAGTTGGTGCTTTGGATGATGCGATTGAGCTGAACAAATATGGTGGATGGTATCGCGCGGGGTTCAAACTCTGAATGAGCTATCGATGCTTGGTGGTGTTCTGGACATACACAACGCTGCATATGAAAACGAAGACTGATGGTCAGAAAGTCGACTGAATTCTCGCAGCTAAATGTACAAGTACAGGGTCGAGTCGCAGGAAAGCAAGCTGAAAAGCACTTTGCGGCGGACCGGCATATGTAGGAGAATAAGCAACGAGCACCAATTTTGCAGCGATGGTCGTATCTTTCTACCTCTCACAATCAAGCATCACGACTGGAGCTGTGCGGATCACGATTGCTGGAATTAAATCCACACCTGTCCACTGAATCCACAGAACGTACCTCTCAACTCAAACTATGATGAGCCGAGAACATCGTTTTGAGATCACACCTGTCGAATCATGTTCTCATCGCAAGCTTGTCCGGAAGAGGTCGTTAGAGCCGTATTAGGGCACCGAAGAGCCCCTTGGCATCGATAAATGCTGATTTCTTCTCTGCACAGTGTGTCCACTACGTCAGGCCTGGCAGATTATAGGTCAATGATAGCTTGCAGCTACGATAAGCTGGGCTTAGCCAGTGATTCGATGCGACACAGAACACGAATGTTCGCAAACTATGTTGGTTTGCATCATGCATCAAAGCTCTCAATTTTCCTGCTTGGATTGACACAGATTAGGACACTGTGAACTTGCCTCGTGATACACGTAGTTCTATCGCAGAGACGAGGTAGCGCGCTTGGTAGGATCAAGCACAAAGATGAATGGTGCACGGGTGGATCGAAGCTCGGTGCGACGTGCTGACACCCTGGACACCCTGATAATGGCGCTTTATCGGCACAAATCCATCACTAATGCATCAAGCCAGACTTGCTGCAGTACAACGTAATTAATGGACTGGGTTCGGCTGCTTGATTTGCCGCGCACGAGACGTCAGGGTTGCAATCTGACTTTACCATGCAAGCCACATGTGTGCCATGTGCTAGAATCTCCGCAGTAACGTTACGAGAGCAAAGCTCACACGACATTATAGAATGTTAGTCGAAGGTCGGAGGTCAAATGTCTTTGGTCAGTGCGACCATTGGAATGGGATCCTCCTCGTGGTTCCACCGTCCTATTCAGAACAGTCTTTGACCAGTTGGCGGCTGTATACTGTATTCGGGGAGGTGAAGTCGAGTGGTCATGCGTTGGACTCGTGCTCGATCGCAAACGATCTGTGGTGGTTAAGCACTTCAATTCATACATTGTTGTATGACTTGAGTCAAATATCGATTCAGGATAACCTAGGCTTACACAATTCTGATACTGGAAACTCTACAGGACTCGTCTCAGTAAAGACTTCCCTTGTTGTGATCAATCCGTGTCCGCTGCTCTTGAAAGTATGTTGCGGTCTTCAGTCGGTTGCTCGTTGCCATGAGTGGCCTTTGATACTCTCTGCGCATTAGCCTGCCTTTGAAAACCACCTTCCTCCCTATCCTCGCCAACCTCAGGCCACAAAATCTGCTTCTGGTGCACAGCTCGTATCATCATGGTGACGACAAAAATCCACATCGCAACCAGCAAACCAGCCATAACACATCCGATTATCTCCAGTGGACGGATTCCAAATGCGTCGGCTATTCTGAAAGTAGCGGTGGTTAAGGCGGTTTGGGGAAAGATGTAGCTGTACCATGTCATTGCAAATGGTATCTTCTTCTTCTGAATGTCTATCTTGTGGAGAGCACGCGCATCCTTCTCCAGGTCGCCCTGCCGGTGATTGTGGCGAGTGTATAGAGGTGCAATGTTGCTGATAGCACTAACAAAGAAGAACCAGAGAGCCAGGCCCCACAGCCAGAGACACATCCAATTTCCAACGAGTCTCAGGACCTGCGCGGCGAGTATTGCAGGCATTTCCATAAACACGTCTTGGTTCTAGCACTTCATGTCAGCTCAATGTGAGGAGATTTCACGGCCAGCCTTGACACTTACTGTAGCAATGGCCTTGGCAAGATTTGCGGCCATACCTATTGTTCCACTACACGTGAAGGCTGCTGGTCCAACGGAAACAAACATTCCAGGTCGCGATGGATCAGCAGGCAACTTCTGCGTCATCAACCTATACACAAATGCTGCGTAGATGGTGAGGCTGACCAAAAATCCAATACCTTGCACAGTGAACCCACCTACAATGACTTCGAGAGTGCGTGAGGGCGACTGCAGTTTAGTCGCAAGATTAGCAGCATGTGGCCCGATTATCAGCAAAGGATATGCTGGAAAGATCCAGATGGGTGTCATCTGTGCTATCGTGAACGTGAGACTTGACCAAAGGATCATATAGATTGCGATTGACAGTGTAATCGCGAGTGCCACGTTGAACCAGAAAAGGACCCACACAACTTCACTCAACCACGGCCCAGTCCTGTCGGCCCCATATTCGATAATCGTGATGCAAATGGTGCCAAACGAGACGGCAAATGCAGGCACGAAGAGACTCTCAGTTGGATGCACCAAAGATGCATGAAAGGTTGCTGGATAGCTGATGAAACGTGTCAGCATCATGGCCCAGATACCAATGTACAGAACAAGATTGAGAAAGAAGAAAAACAGGCCGATGTAGTAAAGCCATGGCGCATCACATGGTACAGTGTGTAGTACGTTAGCAAGCCCACCAGTAGCCATCGTGATAGTGAAGTAGGCCCATGTTATGTGTTTGATTCTTTCCTTCCATGGTAGATCTTTTGGTAGGATCGTGTCAGATGTGTCTTGGTGTCTGCCAATCGAGGTGTGATGATGGTCACGTCTGTGGGATCGTCCGACGTGCTGTTCGTAGCATTCATGCTGCGAGGTAAAACTAGTGCCTGTATCACAATTGAAGGACGGCTGTCGTGGACCAGGTTGATAGCGATCTTTCTCAATAGCGAAGGTCTTGAGACTATCCTCACGGCATCCTCGTGCACGAAGCGACGAGAACGAATCGCTGCTCATTTTGCTGATTTAGCTAAGTGTTGTTTGTCATGTTTGTCAGCTGGGCAGAAATCAACAACGCGCGCGACACCATCACTTGTGTCTCACTCATACCATCAGTATTATGGAAGGAGCGAATGCAAGTTCAAATCCATCGCTGTTGCACAAAGAACAAGAAAATCTCCCCATGTTTACCAACCAGAAAGAAAGACAAAAGGCAATTCAGATACAGGTAAGGGCATGATAAGCCCTAATTAGGATGCTCGGCACGTAACCTTTCCGCCAAGCAAGCTATCCTCATAGGTCCGAAAGCTTTTGTTGGTGTCGCAATACTTCAGCGGTCTGAGTGAGTTTGCAGACGAACAACTGATTCCTATTGCCCGATTAAACAATCGCTTGCTGTCAACGGATCGGATTGCGAACCACCATTGATCCACTGAATATCGGCATGTATGATCCGAGACCTCAGAAATTGCAATACCGATAAAGAGGACAGAAATAACAGAGTACATATACATGCGTGTACGAATATGTCAAGCTAAATCGCACACAAATAATTCCCTCGAATCGGGCACGTGGTCTAGGGGTAGTACGTTAATTCTTCTTGCCATGGTGATCCATATTCTGACTTGCCTTGCAGTGATTTTCGCTTCGCATCCTGCTCTTGGTGAGCTTCAGTGCCTTGTGAAAGGTCGCGGGTTCAATTCCCGTCGTGTCGTGAGTGTCTTCGCACAGCGTGTGGGCCGAATTGTGACTGACTGTAATATAGCAATTGAAGATAAACGTTAATTTTCTTTTTGGGCTTATTTCCCCACAGCGTTCTGCCTCTTCTCTAAACAACCCATAATACAATACCCGCTGTGTGCAACAGCTATACATAGCTTGGGCTCTTGTGCAATTATACGTCCACTTCAAAAGGCGCCTGCTAGAAACAGAGAACATCCAGGCGCGTATTCGTATCAACCTTCGAAGCGAGCAGCCAAGGACGCATTAATGTCGTTTAACAACTTTCCAACTTGCGTAAGCTTACGGTGCTTGTCAACATGCTTTACACGACACAAACGCCATTGTGTTCTATACACATGCGCATCGAAAGTGTTCAGTTGGAATAGGTTGCAATCTAAGAGCTTTGGAGAACAGGAAGAGAAAGTGATCAAACTATGGATCCTCGCTATTTTCCGCCACCAAACCGACCCCGAGTACCAGGCGAACCTGGCCTAATCATTCTATCTGCCTATGGCATCTGCACCGGTACCCTTCTTGTACCTCGCGCTTTCCCTTTTCGCCGCTACCTGCCCGTTCCACCTATCCTCTATCTACTGTACTATACACGCTCCCATAGAGTTGCGAACATTGGCGAGGACTACATCTATGCGATACAGCTCGCTTGGCTCCTGATGCGCTGGACAGACCTAGTCATCTGCCATGACGTTGATAAGGATACAAGACGTGTCAAGGACGACGGCAAGCTCGAGACAGTGGAATACGTAAGTGGATTAACGTTTTGGGAAAGGCTAACCAGGAGTCTGAACTTGCTATCGTCATTGAGAGGCGTTGGGTGGAATTGGGAGGTGAAGCTTCCCACACACGTCCCGAAAAGTATGGCGAGGAGGTGAGTGAAATCGTTGCCCATTAGATATGGAGGCTCATTTGAAAGGCGCTTCGTGCTCGGTCGTTGTCTCGACGCTCTGCGTGCATACCTCGGATCTGACCTGACGACACATCTCTGTTCGCGCATACATGCCTTGCATCCCCTGGGGACCCTATATGCAGCTATGCCCACTCAACACCAAATTGCGCTAGCCTGGTGTACTGCTTTCCGGTCAGGGTACGATCTTGCTATCTCTTACCACATGGCGGCCGCTTTAGCTGTCGCTTTGCACTTAGACCGTCCACAAAGCTACCCTCCTCTCAATGGCGATTTCACAGGTTGCTATACTATTAGGAAAGTGTGGGGATATGGATGGCATCAATACCTTCGGCGTCCGTTCGAGGCATCAGCCAATTATCTAGCACCGATATTGAGATTGAGGAAAGGCTCCTTGATGAACAGATATTTCAAATTGTACTGGGCTTTCTTTTTCTCGGCGGCTATTCATCATGTTGGAAGCCTGAACATACCGTACACAGATGGCGCACGTAAGTCGGTAATCTTCTTCTGCTTGCAGCCTGTAGCAATCACGATCGAGGACGCATTGATTGCAGCAGGTAGAAGAGTGGGTTGTAATGACTCTGGTACGTCGTTCCGAATCGATGACCACCTCCATTGGGTGTGCTGACTTCGTGATCAGGTCTTACGAGGTTTGTCGGTTTTGCTTGGGTGATTACTTGGTTTAGCTGGGCTCTCAGATTCGGTGTTGACATCGTACTCACGATGACTGATACAAGCATCAGAAATCCTGTGATCGTATTCAGCGTAGCAGACTGGTTGTTCGGATTGCCATGAGTAAAGTGCATAACAACAGGACGGCTCAATATGCGATAAGGTAGTATTATCTTGCTTCACTATAGCAGTCATTGTATGCTGGGCACCAATCACCTCACCCAGAATATTGCATAATTTCATCAATACGGGTATGGCCCAATATGGAAAGTCGGTTGCAGCGGTAGCGATACAATCGCCTGTAATATTCCTGCATTAAGAAGTTCCCAAGGCAGATATGTTCTTCTTTCAACATTCTCTGTATTACTTAACGACCAGGTCCGCGTCTTGGCCTCGTTTTTCGTCCCGTACCACAAGAGCCTGTCTTCGGCTGAATGCAGAACTCGTGCTTCCAGTTGCAGTGTATAGCCGGGAGTCCAATCTGTGACACCTCGGGCAGAACAGGCCAGCTTGCTCGACTTCATACATCGTTGCATTCGCTTACGAGGTCAAAGAAACGTCTGGCTCGGTCCTCTGCGCTATGTAGTGCTTGTTTCCCCGCACAAGCACACTTCCTCGCTGCAGCCAAGACTTGATACTCTGGGGTATATCTCATGACCACTTTATGACAGCCAGATCTAGGGTCCCACGACCACTGCTGTGTAGATGTCGAGACCTGGACGATGGCGCAGTTGCATAAGCGTACAGGCGATTCGGGATCTGCTTGTCAGATTAGTTGCATCACTATCCAGTCGCATCGAATGAAGCTCATCAGCGTTCGCAGCTGTCAAGGATGCTTGTCTCGCGAATATGGTTTGTCGCTGATGTACATAGGTGGGGAACTGACTGGGAATCCTGAACACGCATGTTGTGTGAGCGGTATATATGTAGAGCATCTTGCGTCTCAGAAAGTGTCGGACTGAGCTGGAGGGTGGTCGTAACATTGGCGAATATTGACAAAACAAGAACAATCTTTAGAAAGCACCAGACCTTCTGAACCAAGTACCGAAATGAAGGTGATCAACGCTTTCCTCATTCTGTCGACCCTCGCAGGCATTGCCATGAGCTCGCCGGCCCCAGTGAGCGAGAACCTCGAGTATAGAGTACGTGGCTAACCACAATGTCAAGAATGCTGTCTGATAGGATATCTAGGCCGAACACGAGCTTGAGAAACGTGGCTGTGTCAGTAAGTGATCAGTACCAAATATTTGTATGAAGACGTGAGTGCTCACGACACGGAGATTGTGTCACATACTGTTGCCAGCAGGCAGGTGGCTGTAATTATATGTCCTGTGCTGGTTCGAGAGTAAGTTCTCTGGCTGCCGTGTCGCCAATGACGGCTGCCGAACGGAAACGAGCTTACTAACGTCTCCTCAGTGTGTTTGCAATTCGAGCGACAAGTGCTATTGTAGTTGCAAATGCTCGTATGCCAAAGAGTGATAGTTTCGAAGGTACCTATCAACACGAAAGTCATTCAAGCTTGACTTGGATCAACGTGCAGCTGGGTCAATGGTCATAGGTATCAGAGAGACATCTCAGGAGTTGTGGCATTGAGATAAGTCGTCATTGTTCAGGTAGCGGGAAGACATCCTGCATTTGATGCATACTATCATACATACGTTAGCAACACACCTGCAGGTACTGTTGAGTCATCCAGATTTCTGGGCCATAGAGTATTGCCAGAAAATTCGCACGATGCGCTGTATCATCTTTGAGTTTGCTAGTATGGACTCGACCTTCCTTACAAGCTCTTTCGAGTTGGTTATTTAATTTGCATATAACGACATACGACAAATGTGCGCGCAAGGAATCGTTCATACCGCTCCCACGTAAACGCGATGCACTGTCCTTCGAGCGAAAGATCAGGTAACTTGAGAAAACGAAGAGTACACTTTCGTTGGTGAGAAGGTAGAGCGAGCGTAATGATCGTCTGCTTGTCGCTGCTCGTAGGGACGTGGTGCCTGCACGATAAGCTTATCGCACGAGCCAATGCACCCTGTAGTGACGTCGCCTCAATCCGTCTCTTCGAAATAGTGTATCTTTACTACGAGTGAAGCCTATTGCTTCATTCTCTCCAACCTCAACTTTGCGACCCGCACATTGACCTTGCCCTCTGTCCCTGCGCCTACAACCCCGCCAGTTCTCTCAGAACGAACTACACCCGCTTGGTGCATAACACGAAGAAACCAACTCTACACTCAGTCGAAACGCTCGTTCTGGCAACCCCAACACCGCGGTCGAAGGGGGTTTTGATAGATCTATACAACAATAGAGAATCGTGAATAGAAATTCTACATAAAGGTTATAGATGGCGAATGCATCACATGCGTATTATTGCTTCGAAGTCCTTGCAGCGAGTTATCAGCAACAGCCGCACCCTGAACTTGAATTGGTAACAGCGCTGTACGATCAGTGGCAGAAGGAGCTGCAGGAAACATCGAAAGGTGAGCAGGATGGTGTAATAGAAGGAGAAACTACAGATCTGGTTGAAGAAAGACACAATGCTGTCAACGGACAGCTGCAACTCCCGTCGATATCACGATTACATGACTCTACGCCTTCTGATTCCTCAGGCTCCACGCCGTCTACTGTGTCTGTAAACTCCTCCAACACACAACTTGCAAGCACGACGTCTGTGGATGAAATAGTGCCCACGCGTTCCTCACGTCTGTCTGCGATGGAGTCTTACCCTATGTTCGTGACGTGGAACACACTTTCCAGGTCAGGCCACAAATCCTTACGTGGCTGCATAGGCACATTTGAGGCTTTACCACTTGAAAGGGGTCTCGAAACATATGCTTTGACATCTGCATTTGAGGACACCAGGTTCTCGCCAATTCCTCAGCACCAGATACCGAAGCTGGCGTGTTCATTAACATTGCTAGCAGACTTCGAACAATGTGATGGACCGCTCGAGTGGGAACTCGGTAAGCACGGTATCAGGATAAGCTTCTCATCTCGCTCTCGCAAATACGGTGCTACCTATCTACCATACGTGGCCACTGATCAGGGATGGACCAAGGAGGAGACTCTAGAGAGCCTAATGCATAAAGCAGGATGGGAGTCACAATATAGAAGTTTCAATAGAAATTCGGCCAGACCTTGGGAGGAAGTGCGCGATTTCCGAGTCGTCCGCTACACAGGGCTCAATGCAGGCGCGACGTATTCGGAATGGCAAGACTGGCAGCGATGGGCGAAACAAAAGAAGCCTGATCTATGGTTACGATAGGCGGCATAATAAGCGTGTGAAATCACGAGGACTTTCAAGATCGCATGTCTGTCTCGTTCGCCTAGGAGAGAGCTATGGATCGGAAATAGAACAGCATAGACAATGTTACTCGTGTGCTAGAATGACGGCTTTAACGTAAAGAACTGCCTGTGCTTACCAGTACCTGACATGCTCTTGCCTGGTTCGTGAGCATGTACTCCGACTGGTCGACTGTACTAGCGTGGCCGGGACATGACGGAGTAGACTTGAGATCCTTGTCGATCTTCTCAGCCTTCCCAAAAGAGCTTCGCGCTGGTTGATAGTGAGAGTACTCTCGTAGTGCTGGCTGAAACAGCTTCAGGCTTGTGATTTGCAATCAGATTGTATTTCTCGGAGCTTCGTCGACAGTTTCCATGCACCGTAGTATGCGACTTTGAAACAACACATGGTACAAATGGGTGCCCGCGCTCTGCTTGGAACAGCGACGCGATCGAAGAACTTATTGCGCCAGCCTTCAAATCTATTCATTTGTCCATTCTGCTCGGCCAAACCTCGAAATGTACCACAAAAACGATCCATAACATCATCGCGAAGGCAGGACTCAGCATGGGCAGCAGCTGTATCGAAACTACAAAGCACTGTTTCTGAGATCCTGCCTACCTCCTCAACAAATCCTCAGATCACTATCGATCCTTTGCGGATCGTGGGAAATGAGCTGAAATTTCTCAGCAAGAATATACGGCAATTGCTGGGATCTGGTCATCCAGTACTGGACACTGTGGCAAAATACTACACGCAGAGTGAGGGCAAGCATGTACGGCCACTCCTTGTACTGCTCATGTCAAGAGCTACTGCGAATACACCTAAACATCCTCGAGCCTCTCAATACGAGTTATCCCAGTCCGCGATTAACACTCCTATATCATCTCCGTCTGTCCTCTATGACAACAACCCAGATCAGATCGCCTCACCTCTGACGGACGAATCGAAATATGCCTTTGCTAATGATGCTTCAATATTGCCTTCGCAGAGGAGGTTGGCTGAGATTACAGAACTGATACATACTGCATCTTTACTACACGATGATGTGATAGACCTATCTGAGACAAGAAGAGGAGAGCCGTCTGCGAATACAACTTTTGGAAACAAAATGGCTGTTCTGGCTGGAGACTTTCTTCTGGGTCGAGCCTCGGTAGCTCTAGCACGACTGCGTGATCCTGAGGTCATTGAGCTGTTAGCCACGGTCATTGCAAACCTGATAGAGGGAGAATTCATGCAGTTGAAGAACACAGCCATGGACGAGAAGAACCCGAGATGGAGCGAGGATGCGATCTCCTACTATCTACAGAAGACATATCTCAAATCAGCAAGTCTGATAAGTAAGAGCTGTCGCGCTGCTGCGCTGTTGGGAGAGTGTGCGCCTAGCGTGGTGGAGGCTGCGTACGCATATGGACGAAACCTGGGTCTCGCCTTTCAACTCGTCGACGATATGCTCGACTATACCATCAGTGGCACCGAACTAGGTAAACCTGCTGGTGCTGACCTCGAGCTTGGACTCGCTACTGCTCCGCTGTTGTTTGCCTGGAGGAGTCGTCCTGAGCTCGGTCAGCTGGTGGGTAGACGTTTCGCCCAGCAAGGTGATGTGCAAAAGGTATGGCCTGCTCCAAGAAACTATGATGCACACTTTGCTAACAGGTGAATAGGCACGAGACATCGTTCTTCAAAGCGACGGTCTCGAGCAGACACGAGCTCTAGCACAAGAATACTGCGATAAAGCCATCTCAGCGATCCAGATATTGCCTCCTGGCGAAGCCAGAGATGGCTTGGAAGACATGTGTACAAAAGTTATGAAGAGACGGAAATAATAGATTCTGTACATAATGTATGCCTACCACCTGTAAAATCCTGTCCAAAAGTTTACAGTCTTCCACAGGCAGATTGGTTGAACTATGCCTACTGAGCGACATGAGTGTAGTGCTTTGTCTGACTTTGGCTTCGACTTCGTGAACGAGAAGCGCGTGGACGATTTGATATTCTGCAGGACGAACATGCAACGCACGCTTTGGTTAACTTTATTCAATGGAATGACAACAAAATCGATACTGTACGAAAATAGCAGTGTATTGAGCCGTCCGTCGAGGCCAGACCGGCAACATTTCAACTGACAACTGCTGACCCCGAGGTCGAAACTTTTACACCTCACCACGGGCCTGTCTTCTTATTCACTTACCATCAATACAGTTGCTTGACAAACAGGGCGGAGTGCTTGCTTGCGTGTAAAGTCTTAATGAGATGGTACAACGAGCTCTTCTAACAAAGTCGTAGACTCATATATCTTGAACGCAAGGAGGTCAATGCCCACACAATTTGTGGCGTTCTACAGTTCAAAAACATGCGAGGTTGTTCGCACTTCATCTGCCGTTGGTCGCATAGAACAGGACTAATACAGCGGCTATAATATGAATGAGGATGTTTATCAATATCCGTAACCGTAGCTGGCATATCAGCAATGCATGAGTAGCCAGTCGTCTCTTTGTGCTTCCGCCCTCACTTGTGAACCAGAGATCCCACTTGATGTCTATCGTTGCTTCGATCGTCACTTCGTGCTAGCAATTTTACGCATCAACAATTGCTCTCGATCAATTAAGAGTTTAGGGCTAAGCGTGTCGACCACAGTATTCCAAGTCTCAGCATAACATCTGGCAGCGTCGATCAGACGACCCCACCTCCTGCATGGCCACAGCCACAGACACATAAATGCACACAACAAACCGCAATATGATAGGTAAACGCAAACGCGCCAGCGATGGCAGGCCACCGACTCGTATCCAGACTACTGGGCTGGATACACCAAAGGGACGAAGAGTCTACGACAACTTTCTGGAGGACAATATGAGTCCACGAACAGCAGTATCGGCGCGTTTTCAAGGGTTGAATCTGCAGCATACAAATTTGGTGGATAGAGTCGTTCGGACTGAACCTGAGCTCATCAAAAATGACTCAATTCAACGTAGTAGCACGACTTTCGAATCACATGCTGAAGACGATATGCTTGTTCAGAATACTGAGCCTGATGGACCAGTCTCAATACCAACAAGGTATGTGCCACAGGATTGCTATGACTTGAGGCAAACACCAACCATCGAGGCGCCACCTGGCTTTCAAGGTTGGGATGGCCTGTCACTTGAAATGTCCCCGTCTAGCGGAGCGAGAGCTCAGCAAGCACCACCTACCTTCGGATCTGACGCCAGGATGGACGAAACATCCCCTGCAAAGCGTGCTCGTTCAGACGCCAACCAAGTCAATATGAGATCTGAGGTTGTCTTGAGGTCTTCATCATCTCCTTCGCCAGTGAAGCACCCTGTTGGATCCTCAATACCCACAACACCATCACCAAGGCCATCACCGCCTGTTCCGCGTTCTCTCTCGCCATCCGCTCGCAAGCTCGCCACCCCACAAAACCGAAAACCTACTCCCGAGTCTCACTCTGAACACAACACTTCTACCCCCGAGTCAGACCCGGAATTTTCAGCTCTTTGGTGGCAGGACTCAGAAATTAGTGGCCACGATCCCGAAGATCCGGAAGAAGACAACCGTGGCGTTAATGGCATAGGCTACCAGAAGACCAGGGCCGAACAATCACGAATCAGCGCGAAGAAACAGAAGCAGCTGGCCGAGTGGCGGAGCAGGGAAGCGAAAGAGGCGAGAGCGCTGAGGAGTGGGAGGCGAACAGCCTTGCAAGTGGTGATAGGAGGCCGGGTGACGAAGAGCACGTCGAGGAGTGGAAGTCCGGTGGAGAGGCGGGCGAGTCCAGGAGTTCGAGGGAGGAAAGTGGTAGGAGTAGATGAGGTGCTGGAGATGGGATTGGCGATGACGCAAGTTGAGACACCATCGAGGAAAGGTGTCAGGTTTGAGGAGTCAGCAGAGGATGTTTGACCTGCAAATGCAGACTCGGGTATCTCGTCTTGCTATGTTCACTGGACTTGATTCTGTTGTCGTTCAGTTTAATACAACAGTAATGATACAATTTCGGCTCGTTACCACCACTTGTACCACCTTTTGTTCCGCCGCTGTTCTTCCTCCTCTTGCAACTTGCGTAACCTTTCCTCTTCCAACAATCTCTTCTTTTCGGCCTCCTCTTTCGCCTTCTTCTCGTGCAACATCCTCATGCCTGCCACCGCCATGGCAATGCCCTTGGCTTCCTCTCTCTGCCGACTCGTACACCACGCGTACATTCCACCAGCGGTCAATGTGAACACACCGACCGCATAATGCCCTGTTGTCATCATTCCCCTCAACCCTCTTAGAATGAAGTTTATACCGCCCACTGCGCCACCAGTTCCTATACCGACCAGTAAACTATCTCTCGCACACCCGGTCTTGTAAAACGCCGGCCTATCACTCCGGAAGAACTGATCGAATCTGAAAGCATCACGCCACGACGCTTCGCGTGGTTTACCGCCTGCACTGTTGAACTTCCCACCTGGTAGCTCGTTCACAGGGCCACCTTCTGGATTCTCGAATGCTCTCCACATCTTAGAAGCTTGAGATTCAGGGAAGTCTTCGCGCCGACGGGGACGGCGAGGTCTGCGTTCATCTTGCTGGTCTGAGGGTTGTGGTGGAGCTGTGTCACTGTCGCGTGGTATTGGTACAGAGGGATCTGGTGGCGGCGAAGAGGTGGATGACATGGTGGTACAATGTGAAAGTCGCAGGGGCTGCGCTCACCTTACAGCTGGACAAAGGTGTTTGCGACCTGGGTGAGGCAGGAGCGACTAAGAGCTAGACCTAGATCGCACCTTCTGCTACTCAATATGCGCCAAATGTCAGCAAATAGCGCTGCTGTACAAGCTGTCTGCTGCAATCTTTTCGTTCGAAATCTGCTGCACTGTCGATATACGCCTCAAAAAGCTCGAATTCTTGGTCGATAAATGTTTAAATCTATGATGGCAACATGGTTCGTCGATCTCCAAATTGAAGCACATGCAACTCAATCTTGCAGCCAAAACTTTCTGGCTCCGGCGCTCGAGATCCAGGCCGGTGATCTACCGAGAAGTCGCGCTAAGACACGCGAACGATGCGCATTACCAAGTGGGCAGGCGCGACTCGACGCGTTTGGAGGATGGATACTGCAATTTCGAGAGCTGATATCACAACTTACCACAGACTAAAAGCAACGTGTACACCATAGTCAAATCTTCTGGAAGGATTGACGCAGTCTGTGGATCAGTCAGATTCTGCTCCATGATATCGTGACAATATCATTGAGCTGCGGCGGTGCGGCCACCAACATCACCAACACCTTCCTCCTCAGAACTGACCTCTTAACTTGAGGTCGCAGAATCAGTCCAACATGCCAGTCCGAAAGCCTTCGAAGTATGGCAATTCCCGCTTAAATGGCTCACGTCGACCTCAGAACAAATCCTCAGCACAGACCATATCAGCATCTGGTCTGCGATCTACAGAACGAAGTTCTCAGGATGAGAAGTTGCAGGCAGTGGCATTGGCCAACAGCATCGATGAGTCCTTCGGGTTTCCAAGATTTGATTCGGGGAAGAGAAGAGTGGGATACCTGTACAACATGCACAGCACCATAATACCAGACTCACGCTCGCCTGGTGGACATCGAGCTGGTGTAGATTTCTACTTCATCGCGGAGAAGGAAGGGGAGAACTTCAAGGCTACTGTGGAGTACGACCCATATTTCCTCGTGGCCTGCAAGAAAGGTCGAGAACCTGAAGTTGAAGAATGGACAAAGCGCATGTTCGATGGTTCCGTCAAGACTGTCAGCAGAGTTGAGAAGGAGGATCTTAAAATGCCTAATCACCTGTTGGGTTACAGACGCACTTTCCTGAAATTGACTTTTCACAACGTTTCGTGTTTACTGGACGTGCGGAAGGTGCTCATGCCATTGGCTGAGTCCAACAAAGAGAAGGTTGAGGCCTTGGACACGTATGCTGAAACTGTCGCTCCAGTTGGCATGGGTTTCGACATGTACGAGGATGACGCCATTCTGCGAAGCAACTCTAGAGGAGGAAACCCTGTCCTGGATGCAAGCGAGTTCATTATCGACATCAGAGAATACGATGTACCCTACCACGTCCGTGTGACCATTGATTTGGATATCCGGATTGGGAAGTGGTATAATGTCGACGCAAAGCATGGCTCAATCTCGTTGACCTGCATCGAAGAAAGAGTCCTACCTGCTGATCCTGTTGTGCTGGCGTTCGATATCGAAACTACAAAGCTACCGCTCAAGTTTCCAGACGCTGTCATTGACCAGATCATGATGATATCCTACATGATTGATGGTCAAGGATTCCTGATCACCAACAGAGAGATTGTGTCGGAGGACATTTCAGACTTTGACTACACGCCAAGACCGGAATACGAAGGTCCTTTCATGGTCTTCAATGAGCTCAATGAACGAGCCGTCATCGAGCGGTTTTTCGAGCACATCAAGGATGCACGACCTACCGTCATATCCACTTATAACGGAGACTTCTTCGACTGGCCTTTCGTCGAGGCTAGAGCCAGTGTGTTAGGCATTGATATGTACCGCGAAATTGGCTTTCGAAAGAACAGCGAGGACATCTACGAGTGCGATCATTGTGTCCACCTGGATTGCTTCGCCTGGGTGAATCGAGACTCCTATTTACCTCAAGGCAGTCGAGGCTTGAAGGCTGTCACTGTCGCTAAACTCGGCTATGATCCAGATGAGCTTGATCCTGAGCTGATGCTGCCGTATGCCAGTGAGCATCCTCAGATTCTGGCTGAATACTCTGTCTCCGACGCAGTGGCCACCTACTACCTCTACATGAAATATGTCCATCCTTTCGTCTTCTCCCTTTGCAATATTGTACCTCTCAACCCCAATGACACTGAAAGAAAAGGAACAGGTACCCTGTGCGAGATGCTGCTGATGGTGCAAGCTTATGAGAAGAACATTGTTCTACCTAACAAGCATAAAGAACCGAGAGAAGCATTTTGGGAAGGCCATCTGTTGGATTCAGAGACTTACGTTGGTGGTCATGTTGAGTCCATTGAAGCAGGAGTTTTTCGAGCTGATATACCAGTCAACTTTGCCATAGATACGACTGCCATTGACGAACTTATACGAGACCTTGACGATGCCCTACGATTCTGTATTACTGTTGAAGAGAAGAAGAATTTCGATGATGTTATGAATTATGAAGAGATACGGGACAGTATTGTACAACAACTGGAAGACTTAAAAGCTACACCTAATCGGAAAGAACGACCATTGATATATCACCTGGACGTTGCTTCCATGTATCCAAACATTATGACCACGAATAGACTGCAACCTGACAGCATGATCAGTGAAAGCGATTGTGCTGCTTGCGACTTCAATAGGCCAGGCAAGACTTGCGATAGAAGATTGCCTTGGGCCTGGAGAGGTGAGTTTATGCCTACGAAAAGAGACGAATACAATATGATCAAACGAGCCATGATAAATGAGAGGTTTCCAGGCAAGAAGAAAGGACTTGAAAGGACTTTTGAGCAACTAAGCCTGGACGAGCAAGCTGCTGCTGTAAAGAAACGATTGCAGGATTATTCGAAGAAGATATACCACAAAATACACGACTCGAAGACTATCGAGCGCGAAGCAATCATCTGCCAGAGGGAGAATCCGTTCTACGTCAATACTGTTCGCAACTTTCGTGATCGACGTTACGACTATAAAGGCAAGCAAAAGGTCTGGAAAGGCAAAGTTGACCAATTGAAGAGTGCTGGTGCGTCCGCAAGTGAGGTTGAAGACGCAAAGAAGATGGTCATTACGTTCGACTCGATGCAGCTTGCCCACAAGGTCATTCTCAACTCTTTCTACGGCTATGTTATGCGAAAAGGTTCAAGATGGTATTCTCTAGAAATGGCTGGTGTCACTTGCCTGACTGGTGCTCGAATCATTCAGATGGCCCGAGAACTGGTAGAGAGGATAGGTCGGCCGCTTGAGCTGGATACTGATGGTATCTGGTGCATGTTACCAGCAGCATTTCCAGAGAACGTCATCTTCACACTCAAGAACGGCAAGAAAATGGCTGTATCTTACCCTTGCATTATGCTCAACCATCTTGTGCATGCAAAATTCACCAATCACCAATACCAAACACTAGCGGACGAGAAGACTTTCAGGTACGACACTCATAGTGACAATTCGATCTTCTTCGAAGTCGATGGCCCTTACAAAGCGATGATCCTGCCTACTTCGCAGGAAGAAGACAAAAATCTGAAGAAGCGCTATGCTGTTTTCAATCATGATGGTAGTCTTGCTGAGCTAAAAGGTTTCGAGGTCAAGAGGCGTGGTGAGCTGAGATTAATCAAGATTTTCCAGACACAACTTTTCAAGGTCTTCTTGGATGGCACGACTCTCGAAGAATGCTACCAAGCTGTGGCTCGTATTGCAGATCGGTGGCTCGACGTGCTCGATCAACGTGGCTCAACGATGGCAGACGAAGAACTCATTGACCTCATTTGTGAGAACAAGAGTATGACCAAGACTCTAGAGGAGTATGGTGCGCAAAAGTCGACTTCAATTACAACTGCAAAACGTCTAGCGATGTTTTTAGGCGAGCAGATGGTAAAGGACAAAGGACTCAATTGCAAGTACATCATCTCAGCCAAACCGAAGAATACTCCTGTTACTGACAGAGCTGTTCCGGTTGCTATTTTTTCAGCAGAGGAGAGTACCAAAAGATTCTTCTTGAGCAAGTGGTTGGGCGAGAGTTCAATCAATGTGGACATTCGGGATGTGATTGACTGGACTTATTATCGGGATCGACTTGGTTCAGTCATACAGAAACTCATCACTATTCCAGCAGCACTACAGAAAGTCGATGGCGGTAATCCTGTACCACGTATCGCACATCCCGAGTGGCTAGCTAAACGGATACGAATGAAAGAGGACAAGTTTCAGCAGAAGAAGCTTAATGGGTATTTTGAGAAACAGCCTCTTGGTCAAACAAACCTCAACTTGCTCGACCGCAAGATGCCTGGTCCGGTCGACATCGAAGACATGCTTGATGAACAAGCGAAGACACAGTCACGTCCGGCGGACAAGAAGCGGAAAATTCAGGAGAAAGCTCCGCCAGCAGATCTATACGCAGCATTACCGAAGGAGGTGCCGCCAATCGACGGGTCATATACCAATTGGCTGAGATATCAGAAACAAAAATGGAAGATTCAGAAACAGGCTCGAGCTCGAAGGAAGCAGCTCTTCGGAGAGAAGCCAAATGCCGGTACTGATGCCCTCACATCTATGTTCCGCAATCAAGCTGAGATGACGTTCATGGATACCTGGCAGATCCTGCAGCTCCGTGAGGGCGATGCACCTGGCGAAGTGAAGGCTTTCATCCTGCTTGGGGCAAAGATCCACATGCTGAAGATCAAAGTTCCAAGAGTGATGTTTCTCAACTTGAAAGCCGATGACCTTCCAAATGTGGATATTTCTGGATGTGAAGTCGAAAAAGTCACCCACACCTTGCCCAACGGTCATCCTTCTGTTCATCTGTTCCAGATAACCATGCCTGAGGAGACCTATCAATACGAAAGCGATAACGTTACTGCTTTATGTGAACATCCAAGCGTTGAAGGTGTGTATGAGAGGCAACTACCATTACACGTACGAGCTTTACTCAAGATCGGCAACATGTGCGGCTTCAACAAGTCACTTCCAGGTATTCTGGGTAAAGGTCTGGAGCAGGGGTTCGACCTTGATGTGCTGCAGAGAAATCCAGACGAGTCCGTCTATATCCCTGACAAATCGGCGATGAGCTATCTTTACCTATATCATGTGGCAGCTGGTGACCGCCAAGTCTTTGCCCTGTTCTCTACCATACGAAATGAAGCTCAAATTATTCTTCAGTCACAATCTAAGGATTTCCAAGGATTGCCGAACGTGTCCAAGATCTATGCCGAGAACAACCAACAAAGACGACAACAGGATAATTCCTCACATGGTATCTTCGAGTATCGAGACCACATCAATTTCAACATTTCACAGACACTAACAAGGAGGAAAACCATCCTACAGCTTGCAGACCTTGTCAAGAAGTGGAAGAAGGAGGAGACCAGACCTACTATGCTCCTAGTACAATCTTCTCAGCACGCCCAGATTGCGCACGATATCAAAGCTTTTGCGGATTATCCCATGTTGTGCTTGCCTAGTCAAACGGATGATTCCGACATGCCATCTCTCAATTGGCAAAGTTTCATTCTTCGTAAGATTGTCGGACATTATCTAAGTCTCGAGTCATGGTTGTCCCATTTGCTCGAACTTGCTCGTTACGGCGATGTCCCGTTGTGCAACTTACAACAAGACGATCCACGATTCCTGATCGATCTAGCATATGCTCGTCGCCTACAGCGAAGCAACGTCATTCTGTGGTGGTCGTCGAATCCACGACCAGATCAGGCTGGCCATGAAAAAGACGATGTAACTAGCAGTCTGACAGATGTTGTTGAGATGCCCTCGATGAACAATCCGGGTGCATATACCTCAGTATGTGTGGACGTGCAGTTACAGAACCTGACCATTAACACTATACTGACGAGCTCGCTCATCAATGATCTGGAGAATACCGGAGACGCGATAACCTTCAATCCAGATGGTGAACACCTAGATGCATCTGAGATCAATCCCAATGTCAAGCAGAGAGGGGCAGCTGGATTTGCGCAGCCTGCTTTACAAGTGTTGAGAGACATGGTCAAATCGTGGTGGACAGAAGCGTGTCGTGGCAATCGACTGGCAGATATTATGGTTCAGCACTTGGTCAGATGGGTCGACTCCCCCTATTCAAACCTCTACGATCGAAACCTTCAGTACTACGTGCAGATGATGTCCAAGAAGGCATTTCAGCAACTGATCACGGACTTCCGGAGAGTAGGTTCCCAAGTGATCTTTGCCTCTCCTACACGTCTTCTGCTGCAAACATCAAAACAAGACGTCGCCAACGCTTATGCATACAGCCATTACATACTAAAGGCCATGCAGGAGAAGCCATTGTTCCACTTTCTTGGCCTGGAAATCAGAGACTATTGGGATGCACTAGTATGGTATGATCCCTACAATTATGGTGGACGTGGTTGCCAGAGCTCCGAGTTCAATGAAAGCACTAGTGATGCAACACTGAACATGATTATGCACTGGCAGATGCAACAATTCCTCCCTGAGCCACTGCAACCGATATTCCGAGACTGGGTGATAGAATTTGTCGATGTCCTGAGTAAGCTCAAACGACCAGAGCTGACTGATACGCAAGCTGCACGCCCCACACAACTTCCAGCTAACGGCCACACCTTCTTCAGCCTGACGGAGACAGATCCCAATAGCACAGAAATCACAAATGTGCTAGCAGATTACGACTTCGCGAAACCGCTGAAGAAACAGATCACCTCTCTAATTCGTCGACAACGGGAAGAGCTACTACACCCCGAACTAGCGACCGATTGGACCTTTCCTGAATTCGCAGGAGGCTCGTTCTCCACAAATCGTGATCCAGTGCTCGAACTCGTCAAGAGCCTAACTCAAGTTTTTAGCCTTTTCAGACCACTTCAGCTAGAGACTCGTCTGCTTCGCAAGGAGCTCCTTTCTCTCTTCGACATCCGAGAATTCTCAGAAACAGCAAAGTTCACCAACCCAAGCGACTCACTGCGCTTCGAGAACCTAATCTGCGATACCTGCACCATGGCCCGCTCACTTGATCTATGTAGAGATGAAGACATTCTTCCTGCTGTTACATACGATGAGAATGGGATTAAGGAAGTCATTCAAAAATCTTTTCTTTGTGCCAACGAGCACTGTGAGGCTGAGTTTCCACGAGTGCACATTGAAACTGAACTCATTGCGCGTATGGAAACAGTCACCATGCGCTGGACATGTCAGGATCTGGAGTGCGCAAAGTGCAAAATGCTCATGGGTGACGACATGGTGTTCAGTGAAAATTGTCCCAGATGTGGAGGCGCATGGAGAGGAGCTGTAGATGAAGTGGAGAGGAAGAGGATGAAGAGCGATCTGAAAGTCATGGAGAGGGTCGCGGAGTGGTATGGTATGAAGATGCTGGAGAGTGTGTTGAAGGGTGTTGAGGAATTGGGACTGTGATTGGGTATGTCCATATCTCATGAATTAGCTTTCGATCATTGTGTGCGTGTCGTAGTCAGAGCGATGGTGTTCACGGGGAATACTGAGGGTTTATGGAGTGCTCTGCCCAGCTGAAACGCTTTCGGGAATGTTCACGTCCATCATATGAGAGTGTCCATTCCCCTGATATAGTCATCACGACTCCAGCACCGGTGGTAGACGGCTCCTTGTACATACTGTGTAATCCTGCACAAACGTCATCAAGCTCCTCACAAATCCCTCCAGATTTTTGATTCGTGTCATTCGGCACTGCATTGAGCAATCTCAGCCAACTCTTCCAGTATGAGCCTAAATGCTCCGTAATCAGGAGTATCAGAAACCCTCCACCTTCACCAAAACATTGATACCTGCGATACTGATGGTGATAGAATTATTATTGATCGGATTTGCTATCAAAATTGCTTGCACGTGTTCGTAGCTCTGTTGAGGACGATTGGTGCGAAACTGGGAAGAATTACACCAAGGCACGGGCGAGACATGCACTTCTTTGAGAGGCCGATCTCAGTGGAGATTATTGTCAAAAGGGTTCGAGGTTCTACCTGCGCTGCAGCAAATTCTACCAGCATCACGAAGTAGTGTAACTAAATTCACTTTCCGCACACTAGTTGATGTAACCACTCCAATCACTTACAGCCAAAACGATGCTTGCGCGATACTCATCGAGCCCATCTTGAGCATAGTCACTGCGACCGACTTATCTTGAATGACATTCCTCAGCAAATAGTCTGGAGCATCGCGAAAGCCACCGTTAGCCACTGCGAACATAGCCAAAAAAAGGCAGTTTCAAGCTCACGGAACTGGTAGGTAACCCGGCCCTGACTCACGGTGGAGCTGTAGCGAACGACTTGGATTTCCTCGAGGCCGACCCTACAAGTCATATTACAAAGGAGGGATGGCGACCAACAAAGCTTGCCATATTTATGGGAAAATATGCCATCGCAGGACTCTCGATGACATATCCCAATGGTAGAGTGTCGAGTCACGGCAATATCAACTTCTCCTCTGCTACGAAGAAGGAGCTCAACCTAACTAAGAAGGACTCAGCAGGCTGTTACCCAACACTGACCACAGCTTGGTTAAGTTGTGGTCAAACAGATCCTGAGTGCTCGTATCCCATTACTTGCATGCTCAAGTTCAATGGTTCGACAGCCACAAACATAACCGCTTTCCCCCCTGACGAGAACAGCGCGAAGCCACCAGGCACCTACTCGGACATAAAGACCCTCACGCCACCAGCTCCTGGATGGTCAATCAAAGGCTTCTTCTCAGTCAGTGGCTCACTGCTCGATCGTCTCGGCATCATTTGGGGCAAAGACATGTAGATACATCTTTTTGCGAGTCTGACAAGTTGACACATAACTATCGTAGCTGAGAGCCTTCATGGAATGCAAAGACAGTAAATACTGTCATATAGTTTAGGAGTCAGGAGTAATAGCTTGTACTGCCTGTATATGAGACTTTTTACTTCAAATATTGCTTCTGGCTCCTTGTCAAGCATGAAGAATCACTGCCTGAAAGTACGTATGGCGGATTAAAGAGATGGCTAGTTGCTGCTATAGCTATGAAGATGAACACTAGCCTGTTCGCCTGACAACGTGGTCAGGCACCAGAGAGCCACGAGTCGGAGGTTCAAAGTCGAGTCTCCATAATTCTGTGTTCCAACGCGACTCATGGTCAAAGTGATCCTTCCCTTCGCTGCCGTGAGCTCGTTGACCACAAAAGACGAATCAACACGAGAGTATTTGAGGTTGATGTCGATGGACGTACGTTTAGTACAGGCGTCAAACATTCCGCTCATCTGTATGATAGAAGTCATCATGGCGTTTGTCCCTCGAAGATCTTGCTGTATCTCGGCAGGCTCGGAGTGACAAACGACCTGCAGGCCCATCAAATCCGCTTTTAGAGCTGTTCCACCTTTTGGTTCTGCCGCAATCTTGGTTGAACGACTGCTATATAGATGCTGTACGCATATAACTAAATGACTCAGTTCTGGCTATGCGTCAAAACTGGACATATTCGATAAGTCTTTCTGCCGAAGCACCTGCAAACACCCTCAAGCACCTGGACGACAGGTACGATTGAGAGTTGTCTGATGCCGAACAAATATCTCGCATATCCTGTCGTGAAAAAGACCAACGTCAAAGAAGTCTACCGATTCTGTTCCTAGGCTCATCCCCTGTTCGGGTTTGATCTTCACCTGATCTGTAATCTGCGCCGAGGGACCGATATACAATGATGTCCATCAGGCCATATATACAGCAGATCTCTTTAAAGATTTTCCTGAACGCCTCGCTATGCTGATGTTGAGAATTGTACAAAATCGCTAGAAAGTAAGTGGTGTGGAAAGAAGTGGTTGCGAAGGTCGAGAGGGTAGGCCACATCGAAGAACTCGTGTCATTTTGCGCCTGACACCATTTAGTATATTCCAAATTATTCTTTGTACATTTTTGGTTTCCAACCTTCACTCAACTCTTTCTCCATCTGAGCCTTCCTTGCAGCGTCTCGTACTTCGGCTTCTATCCTTTCACGAGCGCGTAATATCTTGGACTGCAAGTAAAAACTGCCTCCTTTTTGAGGATCGTTGATGTCGTAGAGCTTCTTGAATCGTTCCATGACGCTCTCCATATTGGTTTGGCCTCCTTGCGGTGGTTTGACATTTAGGATTTTACAGGCCTCGTCGAGCGTCAGGCCAGATGCGCCAGCAGTCCGTACCGCGCCAGGGTCATTCTTTGCTGCTGCTCGGGCGTACGCTGATGATGCTTGTGCTTGTTTATATGCCTCTGTGAAGGCTCTGCCAAAGACTCGTCCGCCAGTAATCACTATCTGCGCTAGTAATCGATGCGCCTAGACAGGTCAGTACGTTATGTTGTTGACTAAATTCAAGGTACTTACCATTTGCACCTAATTGAAAATAAAGCACAAGAACGGAAGGAAGACGAACAGAGCAGGCGCAATGGGATGGGTGATGAGCAAGGTGCCAATCTGAAGGCAAGTACGACCGGGGGACTTTTCGAGAATAGTTGGAAACCTCAGGCCACAACTACCGAAGTCGGACCGGCCAGCCAGGCAGCTGACGTCGACGCTCTTAGAAGACAAGCGAGAGAAAGTGCACATGCTCATTGCTCACCACGGCACATGGTTCTGAGAAGAATGCAGAGCACTTATCTAGGTCGAATATGTGCGACGCCTGTGAAAGACAATGATTCTCTACAAACCAATTTCGCGACTGTGGTATCCTTCTCTTCCGCTGTTGCCCTTGACTTGATATTGCGTGGCTCGTGACTGCCATGACGATATCCTGCATCGTAGTGTATGGCAGCATTTGGTGGGCTTCCTCTTCTCTTCTCTATACATATCGACCATACTAACAAGCATCTATTAGACACCCCGTGGATGTCCCAGATGTCAAAGTCAATTAGTCACGTCCCTGACCATGGCGAAGCATCTGCCGAGAATTCCTACGATCCTAATTCTGTGACGGTGGCAGCCTTTGCGCCCTCCACCACATCAGGGTATTCCGCTTCTGCAAAGCAGCGGTCGACAGTGATAGTGCATAAGAAGTCTCCTCTGCTCGTCGCAACCCCTCCACAAATCACGAGAGCTCTAGCACATTCCCACCCGTTCATCCTCCCGTTAAACAGGCTGCTTGGTTTGCTGTCGTGGACGACAGATGATCCATGGGAGTCTTTTCTCCTGGTGTGCGCTTTTTGGGGAGTCACTCTCTATGGAGATGTCATCCTACGCTATGGAGGACCGATAATATTGGTCACCTTCATCATCTTGGGCATGTACTCTCGCCGCTACTCTCCTCTTTCATCCACGACCAGAACAGGTGAAAAGCTCGGACACAAGAGACAGACTTCGGATACATCTCCCCAGCACAAATCTCTCGATGAGATAGTTGAAACTCTGCAAGAACTCACGGGCCGATGCAACATTTTGCTCGAGCCATTTTTCAATATGACTGACTTTTTATCTACCCAACGAACTGCAACCACTGCAACTACCAGGCCAGCTCTAACAACGTTGTTTATTCGCATAGTTCTGATAACTCCAGGCTGGGTCTTGTTGACTTTGCCGCCTCTGCATATTCTTACTGCTCAGAGAGTTATACTGGCCATAGGCACTATTGTGTTATCTTGGCACAGCAGACCTGCCAAGATCACTCGAGTCATCCTATGGAGAAGCGTATTCTTGCGACGAAGTGCCGCCTTCGTCACTGGTCTTGACTTTCCACTCTCTGGTAACAACCCGCCTCTTCCGCCGCGACGAAAATCACAAGCGAACATTGCCTCCGAAGTTGCGACAAAGAATCGTTCTCCTGGTGTCAGATTTACTTTTATTCTATACGAGAACCAGCGAAGATGGATAGGTTTAGGTTGGACTACGAGCCTCTTCTCGGGAGAGAGAGGACCATGGACCGATGAACATCTGAACTCTGCACCCGCCAAGGACGAGTTTGAATTGCCAGATGTTCAAGGAGGTATAGCAAAATGGAGATGGGTAGATGCCTCGGAGTGGCAGATCGAGAATGGCGACGCGAAACAACATAAAAGATCAGGGTCTAAGACTGGTCCGGCTGGTACCGTTTCTCCATCCTCCAGACCGAACGAAGAGATCGATGGCGGAGGCTGGATCTACTACGACAACAAATGGAATGATGGTAGACGTGAGGATGGTTGGGGTCGATATACTCGACGCAGAAAATGGTACCGAGATGCTGAACTCGTTGAAATCACCCCGAGCACGGAGCAGAGCCCTGCACCGACGACTGTGAATTCGGACGACGAAGCCGAGAAGATCCGCCGAGCTAAAGCCTTTGCCAGCAGTTTACAGACAGACAAGACCGATCTGGCTGATAGTGTTGCTACTATCAAGGCTCCCCAAACACCTATCCGGCTTAGTCATTCACGATCAACATCAAATAACATCATACCTGCCGTAACAAGCGACGACAACTCCAGCATTAAAGAGAAGAAGAAAAAGGGCTGGTTCGGCAGAAATCGAGATAGAAGCGATTCCAAATCATCAAGCAGTAAGAATACTGCAAACACGGCCGTCAGCGAGAAAAGTAATGCTAGCCGAGACGGTCCGCATGATGATGTCTACGACAGATGGAGGGACACTGGTCATGGGAGTCAGGCTAGGATGTCTATCAACGAGGATGTTGCATTGGGCTTGGGCTAATGGTCGTTCGTATGATAGACCTGCTTTTACTTCCTCAAGTCACCCCCTTTCATCTTCTGCTACATTCTAAGATAGCATACTCCTCGTCCTTCCTGGACCAAGTCTGATGGTGATCGTGCGAGTATTCTTGTCCAATTCAGCCGCAGCACGCAGCGGTCCTTAGCTGCTCGTGTCTCCACATCACAAGCAGAATCACCCGAGACTAGCGCGATGATAGCTTGCTCCCTCATGCGAGACGACGCGACCCGACGCGAATTCGGCGATCGAGTTGACAGTAATTCCTTAATTGAGTAAGTGTCGTGTCGAAATTGGGATCTTGGCCGCATTTCATCACACCATTCGTGCATGCAGAGGTGGTGTCGGAATGTGGAGATATAGAAATAAGCCGAATGGGTCGGTATTGAATTTACATATGAACACTTCGTACCTTCGATGTTTCTACTTCACCACAGATAAGTTACATCAGCATGTCCATGTTTTCATGAGTGTATCACGGCGAGAGAGACAATTTGCGGCCTGCGCGATTATGTCTTCGGCTGATGGCATCCCTGCAATTTATTGGTCACACCGGAACATGCTAGCCGAAGGGTTTCGCCAAGATGTTAGGCAACCTCACGCGGCAATTCAGTACTCATTGTGGTAGACAGGGAAAGACATATGTATGGAAACGAAGCTTTGTGTCTCGCGTCAATTGCATCCTCATACCTTGTGCGCATGAACACGTCTTGTTATGTCTTTCGATGATGACGTTCGACACACATTGTTATCTAACAAGCAATCCAGGAGAACTGCAATCTCTTGCCGCCGAGCTTGCAGAACGCGATCATGCCGACAAGGACTACTACCATGTAAGAATCTTTCTACTCCAACCTCTTATATCGACAGAGGTTAGGGAGACATGCCGCGATCCCGAGTCTGGGTGGGTCATTGATGGAAACCAGGAGCGCCTGCATCGAGGCGACTACGAGCGTTTGAACATTGCTCCGCTAGGTCAGGCGTGGCGGAAAGTATGGAAGTCTCTTCCACCATCTCTTCTCATGCGATGCAAGATCGAGTTCAGATTAGACCTACCTCAGGATCTTGATGGACAAAACAGACAGGATCCCTGGTCCGTCTTCTTTGAGGAAGGGAATATCAAGGTCGGTGTGGATCCTCAGCAGGTTTTTAGGCTTTTCATGGGGATGGCGACTGTGGCGAGTGTCAGGACGAGGAAAATAAGAGCGAGCACAGGCTTCGAGATTACTTGCGGCACAATGGGTATACTTGACGGCAAAATGTTGAAAAAGTGGCAGACGGCTTTGAATGCGCTCTTTACAGAGAGGCCAGCGACGATGCAGCCAACTGAGCTCCACGATGAGAAGCTCATGGTTGATGGCTGAAACGCACTGACACACATAGATTGAGTGATGTGAGGTCGTCCTGAGAGGGGATAGACCTGTGCTGCCGGATGATGTTCCCAATTGAATTGTCTTCCTTCAAAATAATCACTTTCTTATTCCTCTTGGTCGGATAACGTTGTGTTTCAGCCAGTGGTGAAACTTCTCGAAAATGGTATAGTCGTGCCCCTCTAGCCATCGAAGCGTTAGGTGTGTTGACATAGACCTCGTAGCGTCAGTCGTCGTCGCTACTTTCGAAGACTCGCCACTTATTCCCACAACGAGTCTAGGTTCCCCTTCATCGTCCTTGCAAGGACTTTAGCCACAATCACGCCCTCGAGACGTCTCTTCACCATTTTGTGTCCCTAGATTTTGCGAGCTTGTGATCTCCTTCAGACAACAACATCCATTCCTCGGAATGTGCTTGGACATAACACGCGAGCCCAATATCTCTTCTTGCTTGCTTCTGGCTATACCACTCGGCTTGTCTGAGCTCTGTCGTCAAACCATGTCAAATATCGTGGCCATATTTTCATTGACCTTCTGCATAACTTCGACTGCTTCGCCGTCGCAGAATATTGTCATCTCTGTAGGGAATTGCAACTACTCCGTCTCAATCACACCACTTCCTCCTGCTACCACTTCCTGAGATGGTCTAAATCTGGACCAACTCCAAGCTATACACCAGCGCTTGTTTTGTCGACTATGACTTATTTCAGTCACGACGTAGTTTGCGCATCCAACTTTCTGTAATCTGGTGACGAGCGGTCTGACAGAAACGAGCTTACCAAGCAAACTACTGTACCATTGAATTTTGTGCTTGTTTCTGGAATCGCAGGATTCATCGATTAGTTGTGAGACGAATGAGACCTGCCCAAGAGGACAGATCATTTCGTGTGACGACCCAATACACGATGATTTGACAGTGGTGGCTTTCTCTTGTGCAATTCCCTCAATCTCAGTACCCGAAGAGAAGAACGGCGGGGTTGACAATGTTCGATAGAAGCAGCCAGTCTTGGTGTTGTCGAACATCATTATTCTGATACTACTATTACTATTAAACTTAATCAATCATCTATTCTTACCACATAGACATTAGGAAAACACATCCTTTACCTACAGTAACCCTCTGAAGGGAACCTTTCCCAATGCAGGCTAATTTCATCGCGACTGAAATCAGCAAATCCAGGATCTTCCAAGCACATAGGCTTCACGTTGATCGATATAGAGTGCACTATGCATTTCCTGTGACGAAAAAATTGCGGCACGTGGCAGAACTCATGTATCAAAGTGACAGCGATTTGGATGACAAGCACTATCTTTCCAGTCTTCGGTTTCATGTCCCATTCCTCGCCTATGATTGAGGACCATCAGTCCTCTTGTAACGCCATGCGGTACACAAGTTTGTCAGAGGAATTTCGTACGAATGATAGGTAGCATGCCGCCGCCTCACCATACCGTAGGTTGGTACAACACATATCCTTGTCTTGGCCTTCGAACCAAGAGATTCTCAGCCTCTCGGAGATTGTTGCAATGGCATGTAGGAACTGAGTATCGTGTTCGGGTATACTGCAATCCAGGTAAGCCATGTCTAACACGAGTCTTTTGACATTTCGGCTTTCGCATGAGCAACTAGCGTACAGTATCAATTTGAAGAACTGCCGAGAACGATGCAACATTTTTGTTGCCAATCAAAGTGCTGGTTTGGATTCATTCATAGGATTTATCACTTATCGGATGAGCCATATAACACGAAAGAGAATCAAGCGCGTTGATGACATTCGAGAAGGCCGCTCCTCGAAATAGGTAGTCTATGGGAGCGCGACTTCTCTTCGATAGAAGGTCACGATTCCTCTTTGGCAGAAAGTAATGCTCGCCGTCGTCCGGGCTTAGTCCATAGTATCGTTCAGGAAGTCGACTTACTCGGGAACAGAGTGTTGCGGACAAATTGGCCACGACGCAGGGACAACTCGCCTCTCTGGTGGCATTTTGTAGCTTCTTGAGGCCCTCTATAATCGAAACTCAAGCCTTCAAGACGAAGCGCAGATCCAAATGTCACGACCATGCGGTGCAGATTTGTTCGTGTTCGAAGGTGAAGATGGCTATATAGCTGCAAACATCCACCTTCAAAAGCCTGATCAGTGACATTAAAGTGCCTCACTGTTGGGTTTCCATCAAGGTTCTGTGTTTGTAGTGCATACTTGGTTGAGCTCGTGTTTCTTCTTTTTAACCTTGTGTATTTGCTTCACTTTGTTAAGTAACGTGGCGGAGCTGCAGCGCTCTCCCCGCTCTTTTGATCTGCCTTTCCATCTACCAGACAGTATCGCAAGTCCAGTGACGAAGAAATATTGCTGCAATGGCAGTGATAGATCCGATCAGACTCAGAGAGTTCCTCGTGAGAGATGATCTATCGTCGACCATGCTGCAACGCGATATTTTGCGTGCATCGTGGCCACGGGAAAGCACAAGAGCTGATATATATGTAGGCAAGGGCCTTGGTGACCTGCCTGGAATAGCCCGTTACGTGTATGTTCTCCTAAAATGGAGACGAGCTTGGCACACCCGTTCATACACGCCCGTTGTCAGATTCGCGCATCAATTATCTCATGGTGATAGGGTCTGAATGGGCCCATATCAAGAGCTTGATCGTGGTAATGGAGACATGGTCGTCAGTCAAATTGAGAGGGCAAAATCTAGGACTCTCTTCGATGACATAGATCAAGACGAAAGTCTTCGCCTCCTCGTGTCGATCGAGCTGCGACCATACAGAGTGCTTGATGATATGGATATCATGCCAGAAAGATGGTAAGGTGTTCAAACACGTATGGTTTCTCATCCTCTGCCCGACTCGAGGGAGTCATTATGGGGGCATGACAACCTTCCAAGTCTTCAGGGCCCGCAGAGTGTTGAAGAACATCCTGGCAGTACTGGAATGTCGGTTGTGATTTGAAAACAAGAACGCATGCTGCGACGCGACGAAGCACGAAGTGCACTTCGTAGTTGTTTGTTACTTGCAACCAAGCTATGTGCGAGAATGGTCAATGATGCTGTTTCGATCTCGCTTTCACTGAAGTTTTGTTCAGGCAACACACAGATGACACGCAGAGCTTTCAGCATGTTTACATGTCAGGCCGGCGATGTTACGAGTCCTACTTGATGTGCAATATTCAAATCTGGAGCAAAATTTACATTGCAGCGTTTGAAGTTTGCCTATTCATTACGAAGTTGCTTCTTAAACACTTTAGTCGTCTCTTCAAATGCGACTGCTTGACATAAGCTCATCGTCGAGAATTTCCAATCGCTTTTCCCATCATTAACTAGTAGCTGCTCTTCGGCCGGTACACTGGAGATTCTGTCCTTTCAGTAAATCCGGTCTTTGGAATCCTGGCCGCGGGATCGTGGATGGTGGATTCTGACTGGTAAAAATGACAGACACATATACGAGGTATGATGCCCTAATTGTGGGAACGGGCCTCTCGACGGGCATGTCTCGACCAGCCGGTTCATGTAGTCAGCACGAATCCTTTCTCACACCTCCATTTCCGCTGAAACAGGTACCCTCGAGTGTGCGGGGCATGTATGTGCCCGGGGCGTGAACCAGGATGTCTATGCTTGCGAAGGTATGAGTAGCTGTATGGCGAAGACACAGCGCACTCTCGTGATGTGAAAGCGGTGCCAAAGATATACGCAGTAGCGAGTCCAGGCCATCGCTCGCTGTTGCACTCGATCAACGAGACTGCCTTACATCAAGCAGACATTCATCACTTGAAACGAGCAGCTTGTGGATGTCATGGTCGCTACACGTTGTCCTGATAGTTCCGCTGCTACGACTTCGTGCCTGCAGATGACGGATAATTGTACGGTCTCTATTCTGTGAATACGATCATCGTCCTCCAACCAACGTCAGCTTCGCTTTGCTTATCATTGTAGTCCTGATTGTGGAACGAGACAATCTTCTTTCACTATGCCCTTTGATCCCGAACATTGGAAAACTTTCGATTGGAAGCGCAACTGCACTCTACCGTCCAGCACCAGTCTGCCGCTGCTGTATTCCAGCTAGCGTGTTCCTTTGATTGTAGATAGCGTGCCTACTATGGTAACCCGGGGATGCTTTCGCGTCTTCGTACGTCAAGATTCCGTTAGATGCATCCTTCCAGTAACAGCGGCGGGAATGCGGTTTATGCTTTCTGCAGCATTCACATCGAGCACGACCAAGGTGGATATCAATACTTGTGCCTCCGCACGCGTATTTGTTCTTAATACATGTTAGACACTTAGCATCAGGATGTTTGTATGCGCCGCTTGGTTCCTCGGCTGCTTCAGCGTAGTTAGCTGATGCGCCTCTTCCCCGTCTATTATTCGTACCTAATTGTATCGTAAGCGAGGATTTCTGAGCTGGTAGTGCGCCGCTCGCTTCGTGCATGGTCGTCAAGTTTGACACTACCGAGCTTGGGATGGGCAACTCACTAAGAGAAGAAGTCAGGGTGGGGTCGTAGGAAATGTTCTCAAGCTCATATAGTTGCCGATTGGTTACTGAGATTCGTGTGCTGCTTGTAATGAAGTAGGGAACTTCGTGGCTAGCAATCGCAGCAGGTACAATGGGTACAAAAGTGCTGATACTTGGAGAATAGGTCGCATGAACTGGCCTGGGCTGGACAACAGGGGGCAAGCCGAAGGCCCGACACGGGCTTGTGGTAGTGACTTGACTCGGTTGTTGAGAAATATTGGTATGGACTTCCGACCGCTAATCGTAAGTCCGACCGTTGTCTCGAGCACATTCAAAAATGCCCATGTACTTGTTATATCCGTGTACATCTGCTGCGGACAAGTTGCTGGCATAATCTTGTTTGTATGAGTCTAGAAAGAACAACTTGCCTCCAGGACCTGTTGTGCAACTCGGAACTGCTCTTCTGAACTGTTCGTGATCAAACAGAAAGTATATCTTGGGTCGATAGTTCGGTACGGATATACCTTGGCTATCCCTGAAGCTCGTGTGTGCCTGGTATATTTCTGTGGTCTTAACCACAATCAAGTCCCAGGTAGCTTCCTGCGTTGCGATTCCTACGTTCACGAACGACTCAGCCGAGACATCCCAGGCTAGAACACAAAAGCCGATGAGTGCAACGCTCGACAGACCATAGTGTTCGTAAGTCTTTTGAAAGTGTTCCGTTTGAAAGTGATGAAGTTGCTGCATACTGCGCAGGTCGCTGAAAGCTGTGGGGAATGCGTCGAAACACGTTGGAACTCTTCTGATCATGATCTGATTCTCAAGTCTTCTTTCCAATGACCCGAAGTGAACAGAGACTGGTAGATCGAATGTCGGTATCGCTGTTCTGGGATTACTTCCTGCTAAACCGAGCACAGCGGGTGGGTCAGAGATACTGAGGGATGTCGATGGCTGTGCTGGTTCTATATTTCGTGCTGTCGAAAGCTCATCATCGAGAGGTCCAGAACCAGACCACGGGAAGAGAGCAGCGAGATCATGAATGTTCGCTGACTCGTCCAGTATCAGGGGACCGATAAGCCCTAGTGGTATAGACTTGGTTGGTCAGTCGGAGTCTCCTGAATTATAGTCGAGGTCCAAACCATACCGGATATCTATCATAAATTGCGTATTCCGCATCATAATTCTGTAAGTCGGCAGGCACATGATCATCTGTAAGACAAAGTGTTAATGTTCACATCAGCGACAGTCTCTTCTCAGAGTGTTCATAAGAGTGACAAACCTTTAAAAGCGCCTACTGTGTCCATCAAGTTGCCGAACATGTCCCAATGGGGTTGTGCCATGTTGGAGAGTTGAAACAAGTCGACTTTAGAAGCGTGGTGAGGTTATGAGGTATTGTCAAGAACAGTAAAGTGTCGAAGACTTTCCCAACCAGAGGATGCCTAATAAGTCCTTTTCGTGCACGGTGTGTTGCCTCAATGCTACCAAGCGTCCTGCTGTAGATTTCAGACCACACACAAGTAGCCTATCCATTTTGCTACCAATAGGTCTGGTCCAGTCATCCTGTATCTTGTTTCTTTTGCCTTATATATCACGTGTGACGCGGTCTGGTCCATAGGCTGAACTTGTGGAACAACCGCTTAGAGCGTATCAATGATCTTTCCTTTTGCGGACGTGTTTGAAAGTCAAAAAGCCAGGTTTTGACATGACACTTTGTGACCGGACATATTAGGCCCAGGTGGAATCGTCACAAATACAAGATAGACAGTCTATGATTGTCTTTTTCAATGGCTATTGTTAATGTCTTCTCCAATGTTAGCATGTACAATCATCACACCCTTTGTCAGATGGTATAATTGAGCCTTGCCCTGTCCAGTAGTGATCGCTTCGTTTATTGAAAGATTATCTTCACTTTGATTGGCATTGTCGAAATAGAAAGTCAAGCCAGACTGCTTTGTTGCCACATAATCCACCTTCATGCACCTCACAGTATAGAGCTGTTGGTCTACCTGTGCTAGGTCAGACACACCTCCCGTGCTTCATACCAAGTATGTAAGAGAGATTTGCCTGTCGGGGGCCAGGTTCAAAATATTGAAGGCGGCCTCACACACCTATCTGCACAATTGTTGTCCTGCTTCGCAGATACTCTACCCATCAACGAGCATCGTTGTCTCAAGTAATGTCGAATTCTTACGATGGAGAGGCTGCAAGGAGAACTTTGTCCCTTATCGTTGCAGCTTATATCATGCTGTACAGGTACAGAAGCGGTTTCCAGTTCTTGAGACAAATCGGAGGTATAATGTCTTCATGCAATCCTAATGTAACGGTGTGGTTATATACAAAGTTATAGACAGTTGTGGTCACGTCTATATGATGTTGTCCGTCTAGGGGTATTCTTCGCGCGGGGATGATAAACGTTAATGTGCTAAAAACTACATGGAGGGTCCTCCTGTCAGACCGGAGAAATCTCGTGCGAGCTTTTTATCTGCTGCAACTAGCGGAGGACTTCCAAATGAAGACTAAACCAAGAGTCGATAAATGGTTAAGCCTATGGACGGCGAGTGAAAGTGGTGGAAGTAAGTTCAACTCATCCTATTCTAACCATGACTGCGACCAAGTTCACAATTTGTCATAATCGAGCTTCATACCTCATCCAATCATTGAAATCATCAAATCCTCAGAAACTATATACGTACAGTGTACAAAGAATATACTGCTGGTGTTCAAATTGGTCACCTTCGTTTTTGTACATGATGCTGCCTTTCTAAGGGGGTTCAGTTGTGACTCGGCAGCATCGACACCGGCACTCCCGGAAATGGCGGTCGAGCCTCGGTATTAGTGAAATTAACATCGTCTTCGCCTTGACGTCTTGTACGTATCCTGAACCTTTCCCTCAACCGCGTAGCCAAACCTCTGCGCTCTTCTTCCTGCTCGGCAGTCTCGCTCTGACCACGTCTTTGTTGCCTGAGCCGCCGCAGAGCAGCTATACGATCCTCTCGGCTGCCAGTTGCGACAGATCGCAGTCCAGCAAAGGTTGCCGTATCTCTTCTGCTGCGTTGATCTCTGTCTGACCGTAGTGGTAAGCCCTGGAGTGGAGGTGCTATGAAGTCAAGAGCGATGTGGCTAGGCCTCCTGGCCCGGTGTGAAGCCAAGCCTTGCCTTGACGTCTCTGCTGAGTCTTCATCCTCCGTTGCTGCTTGAGTCTGTTCCTCTTTTGGTCGAAGATCGATTCTGCAAAGTGGACATGTACCACTGACGTTGAGTAACCAGGGGTCTACACATTCAGGATGGAACTTGTGGTTACATGGTAGCACCCTAACTTCTTCACCTTTGTTGAAGTCTTCCGTGCATATTGAACAACCCAAAGTGCCTGCTTCATCAGCGCCATCGGCGTTCACGCTCTTTGTCACTGGCACTGCTCCACTGACGGTATCCGTGTCAGCCTCTGACAAATCTGTTGCTGATTTGGATTTGTCTTGACTTGCTGTGTCTGTTACTGCATTCATCTCAACATCGTTGTCCTTCTTCGCCGTCTCCTCTTTCTCGCCAAACTTCACAATCGGGATAGTCTCAAGCATGGCTCTGGCAAGTCCTTTGGCACGACTCCTTCTGGGTCGACCTCCTATATTGCTTGGACCATATCTTTCTGGATGTCGATGTGCTCTTATTGCTCCAGTGACGATGATTATGACGAATAGCGCCGTAATGAGACCGGTGATTGTGTAGAGTATGACCATAGCCACTGCTGTGGTGGGACCCGGTCGAGGACCATTGGACGAAGAAGAGGGGTTGTTGTTATTGTTGTTGTAACCGTTCGGCAATGTGTAGGAGTTTGCGTCAGGAGTAATAGCTGCGGGCTGACCATTCGTGACATTCTGAATCTGTCCAAGTACAGTGGCTGCCAACATAGGGTCCGTGGTTGTGAAGATACCATTCACTGATGGGAGGCTGGAACTAGCTAAGCAATGGTTCGAGGTTCTGCTGTACAAGATGATACTGTTCCCAGTTTGGCTCGAAGCGATGATCCGAACGATATCGGCGGCGCCCAGTACGCCAGGATAGTCAGAAGCGTCGCATGAGATGTAGTCAATCCCGTCGGACAGTAACGATTGTGTATTTCCGGAGTTCACGTGGAGCAAGCGCCCATTGACTCGAATATTTTGAAATGCTTGCTGCGATATTGACGAGTACCATCCCACCGGCACGACTCGAAAACTCGTGACATCCGAAGCATTGACCCAGAATCGTGGGTACCGATCATACGAGGGGATGTCGCTCGTATTGTTTGAGGGGAGGAACGATTGTGTCGCAACTGTTGATGCCAGCGCGAGTACGGCAACAAGCAGCGTTATACAGTTTCGGAATGCCATTGTTGTTTATGTGAGTAGCCGACGCGATGGCGTGAGCGCCACGGGACTTGAACCACGCTATATTGTGCCTCCGTCTCAATATCCTTATAAGAACGAACCACCAGCTAAGGCGTCGCGGGAATTGGCGATAATCACTGCAAAGCGTATGTGCAATCGCGCGCAAATTAAGATTCGTAGCTCAATTTTGTTTCAACGACTGCCGCGTGACACTGCAAACGCGCACAGCATGGTCGGTCGACAATCGAAAGGATGAAAGCTCCCACTCGTACACAGTGTCACCAGATCTATTACGAGGCTGGCAACATGACAGGAGGCGACCTGCGATACTGACGAACTGCGCCCGCAGGATCACTGGTATCCTGATGGGCCCTGCAGCTAACAATACTACTGACGAATCGGCAGGCTTTCTGAACCGAAGACCACACAGTACCTCAAAGAGGCGAGTTTTTGCAATTACAGGCGGCTGCACTGTTGACAATGTCTAACTGCAGGGATGACAACAGGACTGATAGGGACTGATAGGGACGAATCGATGACGAGGGGCGGGGGTGATCCAAAGCTAAGTGTGTTCCCAAAAGAGTTACTCCGTGTTTGGCGCCAGTCAAGCATGCCGATGCAAGGATTGTAACCTTTCAGTCCCACCACAAGGAGGTTCACACCAGTGGCTAGCTGCATAGTCATGCCGATACGTTTGCTTATCGTTGCAGGTGGGCAGTCTGCTGAACATCATGTTTCCCTCTCATCTGCGAAGAATGTCCTTGAAGGTCTTTCAGAAAGTGATATTTTTGTCACAACGATAATCGTTACGAAAGACGGCCGCTGGCTCAGCCCCGAAGCGAGCCTACAAGTGCTTCGACGCGGTGTAGGCGCAGCAGAGTGCGATGGAGATTACTTGAGTACCTTGATTTCCTGTCGGAATGAGTACGACGTAGTGTTTCCTCTAATCCACGGGCCCACCGGTGAGGATGGAATACTTCAAGGGTTTCTGCAAATGCTCAACTTGCCCTACATAGGCTGCGGAGTCCTTGCGTCCGCCATTTGTATGGACAAGGTCATATTTCGAGATATAGCAAAGGCACGCGATTTACCACAGGTCAAGTACCTGTCCTTTCGGAGGAGCGATTTCAACAAAGACAAGCAACACTTCTGTGACAAGGTCAAATTGGAGCTCGCGTCTCCTTGGATTGTCAAACCCTCCGCTCTTGGTTCATCCATAGGTGTAGCGAAGGTGGAGGAAGCTGATGGTGATGCTCGTCTCAAAGAAACTTTCCATCAGGCCTTCCAGTACGGCGCAGAGCTTTTAGTAGAAGAGTGCGTGCCAAACCTGTGTGAGCTTGAGGTTGCAGTTGTTGGAAATGAGACGTCGCGAGCTAGTGTTCTTGGCAGGATCGTGTACGAGGCGTACACACAGGATCACGAAACAAAGTATGGGGATACCACTTTGCAAATTCCTGCTGACGTGCCTGTCCACATAGCTGAGAGGTGTCGTTCCGTGGCTCTGAAGGCGTATCGATGTTATGGGTGCACTGGTCTCGCGAGGGTCGATTTCTTCTATGACTCTGTTCAACAACACATCGTGTTGAACGAGATCAACACCTTGCCTGGTTTCACGGATGTATCGATGTTCCCACGACTTTGGGAATATGAAGGTATGACTTGTGATAAACTGATCCTCGAACTGATACAACTTGCCTTTGCACAACACTCGGCTTAATAACAGCTACAGATCATGTTTCGAGGTGCCTGTCTTCGGTAGATTCCACTAATAGTAAGAGACAAGTCATCGGAAGGACGTACGGTAGTCAGGTCTCTAGCTAATGGCCCAGGCCAGATATTTCACTACTCTGTTCGGAACCAAGCGAGGAATTCTTCGATGCCACTACCACATCTATCTTTAAGTGACAGGAACATGCTTGAATGGATTTCCAGTAACAAATTGTGTGTAGACCTCACTTCTTTTTGTTTTCTTTCAAGTCCCAAGTTCTTCTTCACCCACAGTTTTGACAGGTCGCCTACGAGTACCTCGACCGGAGGAACAGAAAGAACGCAAAGTCAACTCGGCTTCGCCACAGACCCCTTCGCAGACTCATCAGCCACTATGTCCGCTCTCCCAACCTTACTCGGCCTGCCAGTCGAACTTTGACTTCGCATCTACGACTTTATCTCTGTCGATAGTTATGTGCATGTAGCAGGATGCCCCATCAGACTAGGAATCGAGCCACTGAAGCACAAGCCCTGCTGGTATCGAAGCAAGTCCCCAACGAAGCCCTTCGGAAAGTCCATGTATCTCTTAGTCTCGATCACGATCACTACCTGGTAACGCGCCAAAAAGACTATGGCATACCAAACTTTGTGCGCTGTTAAATCGACACCATCATGTTCTGTATCAGTACCACACAACCCGCTCTTACAACCGTCCAACACTGAGATTACAGGCAACCCGTCATCGAGCCTGTTGCTGGCGAACACATCATTTGGCGCGTCATCACTACAAATTCGGCACACCTAGCTCTTGTATCCTTTCTGATAGATGTATCAAACAGACGATCTGCTGGTTATGAGAACTCCATGCGCGCTCCAAGATGTCGTGAATGGCAGAGGTGAGCATTGTTGTTTTGACGAAACCTTGGTAAAGTCCGCGTCTCTGGCCGACCCTGTAGAATGTGGACTCATCGAAATTGCAGGGGTATCATACCATGTGGGAACGGAGGTGGAGATTTATTGTTTGACTCACGCACGCTCCCTTTCTTACATACGACCCATGTCCAAACGCGGAGCATTGACAGTGTGCCTTCAGCCAGCGTTTGATCTATACTCATCATCCTGCCATTTTGACGCCCATCGTACTCCTGACCTCGTGGTGCTGCTGTCTAGCCCGCTTCATCAATTTCTCGAATGCAGACTCTAAATCTCATGCCACGCCACATAGCACATACGTAGTTTGTACAGCTTACACTAGCTCAACCCGTTATATCTATCCGATCAGTCGACTGGTGAATCGTTCAGTCATCATCAGTATCTTCATCTTCCTCCTTTTCGTGATCACTCTTCTTCTCCTTCCTATCTTTACTACTTCTTCTCTTCTTCTCCTCTTTCAGCTGCTGCTTCCACATCGTGCTGATCTCCTTCGCATTCAGGTTCGGGAAGACGAGGTCAAAGACGTCGCTGTACCAATCCACGGCATGGCCCTCGATGTTGGCTTTGATGTTCTAGACAAAGGTCAGTGATTGCATAGATACGGGAAGAAAAGTTGCGTGCTTACCTCAGGAAGTTCTTCCCAGTCACCAAGATTGTCCCTCGGGAAGAGAATTCGTGTACAACCGGCACGTTTTGCGGCTACAGTCTTCTCACGAAGCCCGCCAATACGCAGGACTTTGCCAGTGACAGTCAACTCGCCCGTCATCGCGAGCAACGGGTCGACTCTTTGATTGAGTGCAAGCGAGAGCATCGATGTGGCCATCGTGATACCAGCCGATGGACCGTCTTTCTGTACCGCACCTTCAGGACAGTGTAGATGGATCTTGGCATGGTCAAAGAAGCGGTTTTCCGGGAAACGCGATGCGATGACGGATTTGGCGAAGGAGTATGCGATGGTGGTAGATTCTTTCATGACTGGCTTAAGATTTCCAGTGATATTGAGTGAGGCGCGGGAGGATGCGGATAGTGCGGACTCGAGGATCGATTCGACGTAGAGAGCTGCACCTCCCATGCTAGTCCAGGCGAGTCCCATCGCAACACCAGGTGGGGTGGCTTCGTAGAGACGATCAGAGGTGAAGACTGGCGGGCCAACGTAGTCCTTCAGGTTCTCTCTTGTAATGTTCACGTGCACGCTGTCAGGGACTTTGAGAGCGATACGTGGTTGCTCGGTAGTTTCCTTATCAATGGTCTCGGGTGTGTCTTTCACATCAGTGTTGTCTTTCTTTGACTCCTCGAGGGCGGCTTTACCTTCCTCCGTCAGAGCTTGTGATTCAGGCAAGGCTTCCTCGCCGAGATCTTGGATGATCTTCAGTGCAGACTTGCGGAAGACTTTCTCGATCTGTTTCTTGAGGTTTCGAACACCAGATTCACGGCAGTATTTGTTGATCAGCTCTTCGATGGCGGAATCATTAAGCTGTACGTCGACATCCTTGAGGCCGGAGAGCTCCTTAGCTTGTGGCGCAAGATAGCGATCGGCAATCGCCTTCTTCTCATCAGCGACGTAGCCAGAGAGTTCGATCATCTCCATACGGTCGAGAAGAGGTCGAGGGATGGTATCGGTCATGTTAGCTGTGCAGACAAAGAGGACTTTGGAAAGGTCGACAGGTACATCCATGTAGTGGTCGAGGAAACTGGAGTTTTGCTCGGGGTCGAGAAGTTCGAGGAGAGCAGAAGAGGGATCACCTTGATGGCCTCGACCAATCTTGTCGACTTCATCGATCAAGATGAGAGGATTTTCTGTTTGGCATTTCTTGAGAGCTTGAATAATTCGACCTGGAAGAGCACCGACATATGTCCTTCGGTGGCCTTTAATTTCAGCGACATCGGTAAGACCTCCGACACTGAAGCGATAGTATTGACGGTTGAGTGCTCGAGCAATTGACTTACCAATAGAGGTTTTTCCGACACCAGGAGGACCGACGAAACACAGAATTTTACCTTCAACAGTCCCTCTCAGCTTGCCGACAGCGATGAATTCCAGTATGCGGTCCTTGACGTCTTTCAAACCATGATGATCCTCATCGAGCACAGTCATAGCATTCTTGATACCGAAGTTCTCAGCACTCCTTTGGCCCCATGGTATCTGAGTAATCCAGTCAAGATAATTTCGTGTGACATTAAACTCCGAGGCAGCAGGTTCGAGGTGAGCGAGCTTGTTAAGCTCTTCATCAAAGACCTTCTTGACAGCGTCCGGCATGGCAAGCTTCTGAGCCTTCTCTCGGAACTTCTCAACCAGCTTGTCTTTGCCATCTGATTCAATGCCGAGCTCTCGTCGAATACCCTTCATCTGCTCCATCAGCCAGTATTCTCTCTGTCTCTTCTGTATCTTGCTCTCAACATCTTTGGAGATCTTTGACTGTAGTTTGGCATTCATCAGCTCTTTCTTGAGGACCTCGAGAGCCTTGTATAGACGCTTTTCAACGTCCATGGTTTGTAAGACATCTTGAAGTTCTTCAATTTCGCCGGCCGAGACAGCAGCTGCGAAGTCTGCTAGTTTTGCGGGCTCTTGTATGACGTTGCCGGCGGATTGAGAAACGGAAAAGTCTGAGATCTGATCACGGAAGAGAGGATTCAAACTGGCGACCTCCTTGAAGACATTCACGATCTCATTGGTAAGAGCGGTCATAGTGGGTGTGGGGGACTTTTCAGGGAGGATCTCAGCCAAGTTCTCGACGTTGACTAACGAGACGGGGAATTTGCGCAGAAACGAGGTTGGCTCGTAGATCGCGAGCTGCTTTTGAATCTCCTTGCTTTCTTTGGCTTCTTCAAAACTGGCCACCACATCTCCTTGTGAAGCATCTCCTTCGGGCTTCTTGGTGTCTTGCTCTTTGACTGGTTGGATCTCGACAATAGGAGGAGCTCCTTCTTTCTCGTCACCTTTTCTTGGGGGCATAAGGGCAGTCATCTTGATTCTTCGATGTGGATAGAGAACAGCAGTCAAGCTGTGTTCGTCGCCGTGAACAGGAAATGCGCTAGTGATCTGAGCGAAGACACCGACTTCGTGAACATCGTCGAGTTTTTCAATCACATCTTTGTCTGCACTTTCGTCCTTGAAGAGAAAGGCACCAACGTACGGCTGGCCTCGTTTTATCATCTCTTGTATTGCTTCAACGACGTTGCGGTCTCGGATAGTAATAGCTTTGTAAAAGCCGGGAAAGAGTGGACGCTTAGCTATTGGAATAGCCATGACCTGAGGATAGTTCTCCGGTACCGTTGGTTTGGAAAGTTGCCTCTCTATCGTGCTTTTCTTGCCACGACCTCGTCCTCCATCGCTACCTGAGCCTGCTCCTGCGCCCTGCCCAGCATCACCTGAGCCATCGCCTCCAGCAGCAGCTTTGCCATCTGGTTGAGGACTCGGCTCTGGTATAGAGTCCTTTTTTGCCTCCGCGCTGTCTATTGTCCTCGGCGCTTGGTCGAGTTCGTTTTCTAGCTTCTCGGCTTTTTCTTCGTTTTCCTGAGCTAACGGACTATCGTCTTTGGACTTCTCTTTCCTCCTTGATGGTTGCGAAGAAAACAATCTGCTTTGTGATCGCGCAGTGGCAGGTGCGGCCGATCTTGAGGAAAAAGCGTCTGAAGAAAGAGCGACAGCCTGCCGCTGCAGTTGCCGCCTGCAGTCTCTACATATCGATTGTTGAGCGTATCTGGTGGCCAACCGCAAAGCGGCTGTTTGGCCACGAATCATGCTGTAGCACAATCTCGAGATGGCGGTATTTTAAGTGAGCACTGGGGAGACACGACAGGAAACGCTACCTGCAATGAAGAGGTCGCGCAAATTGTAAGTACTAAATTCGATGGGAAGGAACAGGAAATAAAGCCAGCTCGTTTGATGAGTTTCGCGTGAGCAATGCAGTACACTCAATCACGACACGACTCTGGATCTTTTCGCCGCAAATGCAACGAGGCTCTTCTCCGATGACGAAGTGTCCAGGAACCTTCCCGTCGACCTGCAGAAGTGGAGTGGATTCTTCTCGGCCAGAAAGTTTCTAGCCCGATCAGATTGGCTTTCTGTCATTTTCCAAAGTTCCATCTATCAAGACTTGGACAGTTTAATGTTCTCATCGCATTGACCACAAAAGTCCTTTGCAATCGTCTCGATGATACTGATAAAATGAGCATCGCAGCTCCCTCCCTGCCGGCGACGGCATTGTCCATATCCACCAAATTCCTTAGACCATCAGTATCTACATCCCGAACCTGTGAATTCTTCAAGCGCAATAATCACACTCGTACACATCATAACACACCTTATCAAAGGCCTCGTATACGTCGACCAAGTTTATCGTCATCATGCCTGTATCGACAACGTTCAGGTCGGTCCTTTTCTTCCACATCTGCCACCTTTGCGACAAAAGATCCCTATGCAACTCTAGGTGTAGGCAAAACTGCCACCGCTCCCGAGATCAAAAAAGCGTACTATGCCCTTGCGAAGAAGTACCACCCCGACACGAATAAAGACCCCAGCGCAAAGGAGAAGTTTACAGACGCACAAGCCGCATATGAGTTGTTGAACGATCCGCAGAAGAAAGCCGCATTCGATCAATTTGGTGCTGCGGCTTTTGACCAGACTGGTGGCTTTAATCCTGGCGCCGCTGGTGGAGGAAACCCATTTGCAGGCGCAGGTGGTGGTAATCCATTTGCGGGTTTCGGGGGTGGTGGCTTCGGTGCGGACTTCAACTTCGAAGACTTGTTCGGTGCTTTCACAGGACAGACGCGGCGTGGTGGACGTGGAAGAGGTGGTTTTCAGGAAGAGATATTAGTGGGCGAGAACATTGAGGTCCAGACGAATATTAGCTTCATGGATGCCGCTAAGGGAGTAAGCAAGAACATTAATATCACACCACTCGTGCAGTGTGGAACGTGTAAGGGTGACGGACTAAAGAGCGGGACAACGAGGCAGACTTGTAAGAGATGTAATGGCACAGGAACGAGAGTACACGTCATGCAGCAGGGCTTTCAGATGGCCAGTACTTGTGAGACTTGTGGTGGACAAGGCGTGACCATTCCGCGTGGTAGTGAGTGTGGTTCTTGCCACGGCAATGGTGTTGTGAGGCAGAGAAAGACTGTACAGGTAGACATACCAGGGGGTGTTGAAGACGGTATGCGTTTGCGGGTCAGTGGAGAGGGTGATGCGCCGCCAACCGGTATGGCTGCAAACCCAAAATCGAGGAGCCAGCGAGGCGATCTATTCGTCTTCATCCGAGTCGCACCAGATGCAAGATTCAGTCGAAGTGGTGCGGATGTCCTGTACAACGCAAGTATACCTTTGACAACAGCAATGCTTGGTGGTGAGGTCACCGTGCCAACACTGGACGGCGAAGTCAAAGTCAAAGTCTCGACTGGAACCGGCACAGGAGATAAGATCACGCTGCCTGGAATGGGCATGAAGAGACTAGGAGGACGAGGTCCAAGTTCAGGTGACTTGAGAGTCGAGTTCAGAGTCAACATGCCGAAATACCTAAGCGCCAATCAAAGGACTATTCTCGAGATGCTAGCCGACGAGATGGGCGACAAGACTGCGAAAAGGATAATGGGTCTGGACAAGATGCGGCAAGGAGAGAAGTGAGTCTCCTACCATTCTCTTCACAACCCAATCACCCTGCTAACTTCGTCCTAGAAACAATAATACTTCATCCTCACCGTCGTCATCGAAACCGTCCAGCAAATCAACAACCTCAAACAAGGCGTCCGACCACAAGAACGAGGGATTCCTCAAATCCATGTGGCACGAATTGACTCACCAGCATGACAATCTCGAGCCAGATGAGAAGCCTCAGGCAGAAAAGGACAAAGAAAAGAAAGATGCGGGTGAAGACGAGCCACCGAAGAAGAAGGCTAGTGGGTAAAAGATCGAGCGAGGTATCTGTTCAGTTCTCAAAAGCCGCCACTCATCCACTAAGCAATCTATGTTTGCATTCAAGTGTGGCGAGGACGTGAAAGAGATGAAAAGATTATCGGCGAGGTGGTAGCGATTGTGCGGTTTTAATGCCTCAGACAGCTGTTCTCGCATGTCGAATGACCAAGTGAGTGAGCCAGCAAAGCGAATACCCAGCACTCTATAGGATTGGTGTTGATATAGATCTATTCTACCACTGTATAGATAGCAATTCGAACATTTTCTACTCTCCAGGTAGTGAGACACAATGAGGATGTGTATGCAAATGAATACGAAGATGTCAAGTTGCAGTGATCGCCCACGGGGATACAATTTTATTCACACGTCAATGTTAGTCCTTTGGGACATGCCGATGTTTCTGAAAGTGCAACTTCTTTACGTCCTTCGCAAGTTCTTCGACTGGACCATCTACCTCAATATAAGGCGCCACGTCCTTGATCGCCAGTGCTTTAACAGGGCTCACACCTCCCATTCCCATCTCCTTCATCCACCCCGCCAGTTGAGCCGCACTACTTGCATACACAATCCTGCCAAGACCACACCACGCATGGGCCGCTGCACACATCGGGCAGTGTTCACCACTCGTGTACAACACACTTTTCGCACGCTCGTCTTCGGTCAGGTTTGCCTGTGCCCAGAGAGCGAGTTTGATTTCTGGGTGATAAGTGGCATCGTTGCGCGAAATTATGCGATTGCGGTCTTCTTGCACAGCGGACCTAGATGTTGCAATACCTGGAGAACGATACGTTTTCACGTAATATAAGACGGAACCGAAGGGATCATCGTGGGTTGAGAGAGCCTCCGCAGCGAGTTGAACGCAGCGACGGAGGTGTTCGAGGTCGACTTCGGTGATGGACATGCCGCGGACCGTGCTATATACGATGTCTGTTTTACCTGGCCAACGACATGGGAAAGCTTCCTCTCCTTTCAATAGACACGCTTCAGCCTGGATTGTCTTCCGAGTATCCTACCACTATCTAGTGTTCAGATGCAGAGAACTGGTGTCAGCGTTGGCGTCTGAAGCTACCCAACCAGGTCTTCGAGTCTGCCAAGGTGGAAAGTGCTCACCGCCAATCATTTGTCGCAAGCTCATGCACTTTCTTCAGTGCTGGGCTGCAACTCTGAACACTGGAGACACTCAATATACAAGGTTGTGATTCTAGAACGTTGCCTAACGTGGTTAAGCTTCGGGTAGTAATTGCTAGGTGCCACTTTAGGTAGAGGGCCATACCTGGAGCCCATTGGATAGTGCGTAAACTCCACCTGGGAGGCAGCGTCATTTCCATCACATCTGCGAAGTGGTTCTGGCCTGCCAGGCACAATCACAGGTGACTGTCGTCTTGTCCTTTATTGAGCGGCTTCGTCAGGAAGGATTGTCGGCGGCTCCTGCAGACAACAAAAGACACCGAGTCATAGTCCTTCAGCTCCGAGGAATATTGTATATCTTACTATTGAGCGCTACTCACCATCCAGCCACACAAGGTTGCGATCACGAATCCCCTGCCGAGGGGTACATAGCCAGCAAAGATGGTCCAAGCACCCATGCTGAGCAGCCCGCTCAAGCAGACCACTGAAATAGATTGGATCGAGCCACTGAAGATATACATCCGTCACAACTATGGCGATGATCCGGAGAAATATGCAGAAGAATGTCAGACTCTCAATCGATTGCGACAAGATATGCGTGGTGCTGGCGCTGACAGTGCTTCTGGTCGCGATCTGCTCTACAGATATTACGGCCAACTTGAGCTGCTGGATCTGAGGTTTCCAGTCGATGAGAACCATATCAAGATCTCATTTACATGGTGTGTAAGAGTCTGAGAACTAAGGTACCCCGAGCTGACACGGCGCAGGTACGATGCCTTTACCCACAAACCGACGTCACAATATTCCCTGGCCTTCGAAAAGGCTTCGGTCATCTTCAACATCTCAGCTGTACTGTCCTGCCATGCTGCTACTCAGAATCGCGCCGAAGACAATGGACTTAAGACGGCATATCACTCTTTCCAGGCCTCTGCAGGCATGTTCACGTACATTAACGAGAACTTTTTGCATGCACCCTCGACCGACCTCAATCGAGACACAGTGAAGACCTTGATCCACCTGACTCTGGCACAAGCTCAAGAGATCTTCCTTGAGAAGCAGACAAGAGATGGAAAGAAACCTGGTCTTTTGGCTAAGTTGGCTGCGCAGGCGCATTTCCTCTATGGACAAGCAAAAGAAGGACTAGAAACAGAGTCGTTGAAAGGTGTATTCGATCCCAGTTGGCTCAAATACGTCCAGGTCAAGGGACCATACCTTACAGCAGTGGCTGAATACAACCAGGCATTGGCAGATGATGAGGCTGGGCAGTATGGCATAGCAATTGCACGGCTAGAATTGGCAGACAAGGCGGCGAAGACGGCTTACAATGGTGCCAAGACCTTTCCATCAAAACCGCAGCCAACCTCGAACCTGGGCAACGATACTGCCTCTGCTCTCCAAACTATCACAAAGCGACAGACTGAGGTCGTGGCAGAGAAGTTGACTTCTTTGACCAGAGACAATGACCTGATCTATCATCAAACCGTTCCTGGTGAGGCATCCGTTCAACCTGTGTCCAAGTTACCTGCTGCGAAGGCCATCCCTGTATCCGAACTCTACCAGGGTCAGGACATCCAGCGCATCATTGGTCCAGATATCTTCCAGAAGATTGTACCCATGTCAGTCACCGAATCTGCCAGCATGTACGACGAAGAGAAAGCCAAGTTGATCAGGTCGGAAGCAGAAAAGGTTGAGCAAGCGAATGGCGAAATGGCCGCGAGTTTGGACTACCTCAAATTACCTCAGAGCTTGAACGTGCTGAAAGGTGGCGCCGAAGCCGAAATTGTGTCTGATCCAGAATTTGAGCGCTGGTGTTCGGAGATGACCAATCACGAATCATTTGGTCGAGCTTTCGAACAACTGACACGAGACAAGGCGTCTGTACTGGAAAGTCTGGCAAAGAGCACCAAGTCACTCGATATGGAAGAGAGTGTTTGTGAAAAGATGCGCTCGAAGTATGGTGGAGATTGGACACAACAGCCGAGCTCAAGACTGACCTCAACCTTGAGAACCGACATCAAGAGTTACAAAGACACTGTGGATCAGGCTTCAAACAGCGATGCGCAATTGTTGACGACGGCTCGACAATTCGAAGCTGACTTTGACGAGATGAGGAGGGCAGGTGAAAATGAAGAGGCGGATGTGCTTTATCAACAAGCCATGATCAAAGCTGGAGCTGGAACTGGTAGGCGAAACACAGGCGAAAACTTGCTGGATGAAGATTATGGCGAAGGTGGACCATCAATTGCTGACCAGGTCGAACATGTTGAGGAATTACTGCGAAAGCTCAATCTAGTCAAACGAGAGCGATCGCAGGTTCTGAAGGACTTGAAGGACAAAGTGCATAACGACGACATCTCAAACGTGCTTATACTCAACAAGAAGCAGATTGCGAACCACGAGAATCAGCTCTTCCAGGCCGAGCTCGAAAAGTTCAGGTCACATCAAAACCGACTCATATCGACGGTCCACAAACAACAATCACTTTTGAAGGAGTTGACTCGATCATTTGGGGATCTATTGCAGGACAAACGAGTTCGTACCGATCAGCAGAAATTCGAAAACATGCAGAAAAGCAAGGCGCAGGTCAAGAACAAATACAAAAAGGTATTCACAGCACACGAAGACATGGTTCAGGGCTTGATGAGAGCCCAAGCTTTCTACAGTGAGATGAAAGATAGTGTCGACAGCCTGGCAAAGAATGTGGAAGCGTTTGTCAATAATCGAAGAGCAGAAGGTGCACAGCTATTACAACAAATTGAGCAGAACAAGTCTAATGCTGCAAGTGGTCAAGCTGTTGCCGAACAAGAGCGGCTGCAGAAATTGATGGAGAGAATGTCGATGGAGCCATCAAAAACACCGACGAGCCCGCAAGGGCATCGGCCTGCGCCACTTGCGCCACAGTTCAGTTACAACCAAGATCAACCGCCTTTGCGCTCGCCAGGACATTCGGGAGCGAATGCAGATCCAAGGTTTACAATACCGCCACGTGAGAATCCTGTGCCGGTCATTCCAAATGGCTATCAGAGTCATCCCTCGAGTCACACTCCCCAACCACCAGCCCCACATTCAGTCATGTCTCCAATGAATCCACAGTCACATCCTGCATTCACCCAATCAGCAACACCAGTACCGACGAGTCAAAGTTATAATCCAATGGCTTACCCCGAGAGGAATAGCTCCATGGCTCAACAACCACAATCGCAGCACTATGCCTACGCTCAGCAACCACAACAAGGACAGTCCCAATATCAATACCATCAACCGCAAGCACAATCATTGCCTCAAAGACCGCCTCAGCCCCAGTTGTCGACTGGACAGCCTTATTTCCAACAAAGTCATACTCCGCATCCACAATCTGTACAATCACCACCTCCACTAAACTTCACATCTCCATCTCAGCAATATCCAAGTTTTGCCTTCCCGCAGATGACATCTCCACAAAACCAATACCCACCTGGTCAGCAACAGCAGTGGCTAGGCTATGGTGGTGTACCGCAAAACTATGTTCCGCCACCACCTCCACCAGGCCCTCCTGGCGGTGGCTCATCAACACAGTATTCTCAAAATACGTGGTCCAATGCTAGTGGGCCCGGTGGTTATGCAAACTACCAGCATCGGTCGCAGGGACAAGGGCAAGTTCAGCAGCCACAGATACAACCTCAGCCTGGTGGAAACAATGCATCAGGATCAGGTGACCCTTGGGCTGGGTTGAACCAGTGGAAATGAGTAAACTCAAGGGGTGGGAGTGCTGTTGTGGTCTTCGTAGCGTAACGTGAGAACGATGACAAAACGAAACGACCATTTGACGTTCCAAACAAGTCTTGCCATACTATGACTATGCTGACTGCAATGGCGGCGGCATGGATGTCTGAATATGCGTATGCTTGTTGAGGTCCTGCCATTCCTCTGCTCCTTATCCCATCCTTCCTTACTCAGCAATGGCTTGAGTTTCCGCCAGACTCAGTCAATGCCCAATCTCCACATCACTGGAGCCAACTTGTTAATTTCGGATACTGCTGTTTCTCTCATAATATACCTCGCACGACTTCTGTATGCTTACTGAATGACATGATTGGCATTTGCAAGGTCACGAGCCAGTTCGATGCCGATAGCGCACTGCGGCAAGGACAGTATTACGTGCTGTCTTGTCTATGTCCCTCCGCCCACTGACGATGATGAGCAAAGATGAACACTCGTCTACCATCTTCGAGCCCGACCCGAGTTGAAGATTAGAGGTACACCTCGAGTATCAGACGGGCGACTGATGATAGCAGGATGGTGCAAGAGGTCCGACGAAGATGGTCAAGCAAAGTACACAATTGTGAGGTAGAACTTTGAGGTTATACGATGTAGGACCCACTGATCGAAAGACGTGAAGAGGACGGTGCAGCACTTATTGTGTTTGATCGGATATGAGACGACCCGACAAACGCTAGTCGGGACGCTACTAGGTCATATTGTTCACTCAGCCAGCGCTATGCAGGAGAGGTTCGCCATGGTAGCAGGCATCTGGCTGGGCTTCTAGACTGACATGCCATTTGGATCTGTTCATACCTGGACCTTGCCTGTATCGGTCCTGTCAATGCCTCTTACCTGTCTTACCTCCAATTGATTCTTACCTCACTAAAAGACCTTTGACAGCAATCTTGAGGGCTCCACCTTGATAAATCTTCAGAGGTATTTGTACTCCCTCGCTCTTAGCGATATCTGCTGATGCTGCTATTCCACAAACCTTTGCACTTAGAGCGGACCGGCTACACCTGATTCACGCTCCCAAGTCTTCCTTCTTCTACAACATCAGTTACCAGACTCAACCATCGCACAAGCTCTATCACGATGACTGGCAAAGCAAGAGGCAAGCCTGCAGCGAAGAAGACCAAGATCGAGTCAGACAGAAATCAATCCAAAGATGACAAAAAGAAGGAAATGCATCCTACTAGGGATACGGCCTTCGCTAACGATGCCATCAGAAGCCTGGAGTCCGACAGTAGGATGTTGACCAGTGCGAATAGCCAGCAGCAGGAATATTTCCACTCTGTATTGGACAAAATTCAGAGTGAAACCCTTGGACGTATCCTTTACGATGAACTCCGGGAGGTTTCCTCCACTTCTATACATGCACAAGCACAAATTGCATTGATTGGCGAGACTGGTGCGGGAAAATCAACCATGGCATCGACTTTGCTCAGATACCGCAAACTCATTCCCGCCATGGGCGCTACTGGTGATGCATGCACAGCCGCTCCGACAAAAATAATGTATAACGAAGAGCCCGACTCTTTCAAACTTGAGTTTGTCTACATCAATCAAGAGGAGCTCAAAGAACTCTTCGACGCAGCCAAGACTGTGATTGATTCTTTGGAACCTACACTGCGTTCATCTGATAGTCGTCTAGGCAGGATCAAGAAGATCTCAGGCTGGTCTGACGACGATATTATGTCGAAGCCCTTCGAAGATATTCTCGCGATCGATAACGTCAAGAATATAATCACATCAGCCTAGCCTGTTACTGTTCATCACACTACCGAGGAACAATGTTGTTCGGAATTGAAACAACGCATGACTGCATTCAGTAAACAAAGTGGTTTGCATTCTGCTCTTATGAAGGAGGCACAAGTCTATGTTAAGGCCGAGTTACTCAAGTATGCTACATTAATCGACCTTCCTGGCAGTGGTGACGATGATCCAGCTCGACGTGAGCGTTACATTGAATACATGAAGTCGAGCACAGCTCTTTGTATTTTCACACCCGCTGTGCGAGCCAACTCAAATGCCTGCTATCAAGATTTGATCAAACGAGCAATTGGTGAATTTCAGTATGACGGGCGTTTGAATCGCATCGTGCTTGTATGCACAAAGGCGGATAACTGTGATGAGAACGAGATCCATGATGACATGGATCTGCCTGAAGTCAGAGCAGCCCGGAAGGCAAAAGTCATAGCCGATGGTGAGTATCGTGCTAAGATCGACGCAATTGAGGAAGATCGGAAACAGCTCGAAGATTACATAAAAAAAGCTCATGACTGTCGTCTCGCTGCCATTGAGTGGCAGAAGAGGAAGGTCAGCCTTCCAAAACTCAAGAGGCCACCAAAGACTCCATGTTCACCTATCGACGACATCATTCGGCCGCTGCTCACCGCACCACTCGATGCAGCCTCATGTGTGATAGCCAAAACAAAGTGCACCGAAGAGGCAGCGCGACTGGCTGAGATTTGTATCAGTCTTCGCAGCTCCATCAACGTGCAAAGGTATGAGGCGAAGGAATCGGAATCGAGACGCGACTCGCTGCTTCTCGAGTACAATCGAATTGCTATTGCAGCACGTTCCAGGTATCTGAAGGCGAAACAAATCGAGAAGTTCATGGACCTGGTCGTGGAGAGACTGTTGGCAGCAGCAGAGGCTGACAGAGCAACACGAGGAAAATATGAAACCGTTGTGCCGATTGAGGAAATCCAAGCCGAAGACGTTCCTGTCTTCTGCACTTCCGCAGCGGAATACAAGGCTTTGGCAATGCCTAATCCTGGAGATTCGAAGGAGAGAACCATCAAGAATAAGGAAGACACGGATGTGCCTTCTCTACAACGACATCTTGCCATTACTGCTCTTCGATCAAGACAGAATCTACTTAAAGAGCTAAAGCTCAGATTGGAGTTGGCACACACTTCCCTCGCAGAAGCAATATCTAGCCGGCTAGATGCGCTCCCTTGCGACATCAAGGTCGCCGATCTTAATATCAGTGACTTCCGGTGCCGACTCCGCAATTTTGTCTACTCTGTCCAGGCTGCTGTGAAAGCTGTTCGTAGTGGAGTGGATGCCAGTTATAGACGACAATTCAATATTCCATTCGGTCAAATTGAGATCCAAGTACGAAAGCAGACTTACGAGGAGATGCACCTATATGCTGAAACGCCGAAACCAGATGAGCCCAATAAACAGCGATTATACTGGCAAGAGTACAAGGCTGTTTGTCGAAATCAGGGTTTCTGGAAAGGGAAACGAAAGAGAGAAATTGCTTCTAATCGTCTTATAACTGATATCATACAATTATGCTTAGAGAATAAGCTTAAATTCCTCTTCTCGCAAGAAACGTAGAAAGTGGGCATCAAGAGCATAAAGCTGATTCTTGAACGATGCTTCAACGAAGTACTTGGCATGGTCAAAGAACTGCACAGCGATTTCCAGAAACTCACGGCCTTGGTTGGCATCAATCTGGCGAGCACGATCCGCATGACCGACCAGCTACCACGGCGTGAACAGCGGCTGAGGCAGATCATCCAAAATCTCACGGCGAAAATTGAGAACGTCCATGTTAAAGCCAGTGAATCAGTTGCATCCGATGTGCAAAAGGCGTATCAACGTGCCTACGAAGAAGCCTACGCAATTTCTGGCCCAGGAACTCGTCAAAATATGATCGACATACTATTCGCGGCACTGGAGCGAGATCAAGTCATCAAGAAGTCTATTGAAAAACTGGTAAGCAGATTGGAGCAAGATCTCAACCGCTGTAGGGATCAGCTGGATACAGAGCTGAACAAGCTGGCAGAGCTCATTATGGCGGACTATAACTATGCTGTGCAGCAGAGTAACGGTGAACCCGATGCGAAGACCCAGGCAATCAAGGAAGACTTGCGAGTCGGTATTGCTGCTCGAGGACATGGTGTTACCTTGGCATGTGGTGCAAAGAGAGAAAGAACAGACGATCTCGAGGACGAAGATGCGGCAAGAATGGAAGATATTGTAAGACAGGCAGCTGACAGTTCAGATGAGAATGAAACAGATTCGAAGGCAGAAGCATTCTGGATCTGAAGGAGGACAAGGCACGTCAACCAACAGTCGATCGTCAAGTGATTCAGTCTTGGACGTTGAGGTTACTAACGATGCAGAAACGGGTGAAGAAGAGACCAAGGAAGATTCGAGTGCCGAGGAATGTGGATGAGATGATTCGGTCATGGTTCAATGATGCTGTGGGCGCAACAGAGGAGAAATATTGGTAAGAAATCGTGCACAACGATTCTATCTATAGCTGTGGACATTAGGACGGAAAGACAAGGATTCGAACCATTCACAGCAGAAGGGTGATTTTATTCCTGGTTATAAGCATGAAATGAATGGAGAGAGGAAGTCACGAAAAATAGGTGACAAGCAACCTGATGCATCGAAATATCAGAATGTGCAGACGAGCGTGTGAGTACAATCAAGACTATCTTATCGATCCTTTTGTGTTGCCTTTGCTGAGTAGACCGATACTGCTACCGTAACTTCGTGTCGACGATAACGATAGTGGTGGCGTACATCCGCCGCCAGAACCCCAGCAAATTCTTGGGCATCGACATTTTCACATGACCAGCGTGAGGTATAAGGGGGAGATCGCGTCCCTGTCACATCCCGAAATTCTGGAGGTCGCTCAACAGAACTTAGTGGACTGCTGGATCGGGTGGACATGCCGCAGCAATTACCAAAATGGAAAACTGTCTTGTCCAAGCTGCTTGACCTTGTTGCAGCGTTGTGCCTAAATACCTTTTACTCTTGACCCTATCAATGTTAGTTGATGTCGAAACTACTGTGCGTTGAGAGTCTTGCAGTCCCACAGCTACACACCCTGTGTAGTGCTTATTCGGGTTGTTGCCCTGCATCTTGAGTATCCTTACTGCGCATCCCGCTTGCTCATCAGATATTCTCGTGCTATTGGGTTGGGATCTCCCTAGGCAATGGGAAGGTACGAGACTGGAGACATTTGAACAGAAAAATCAGGAAAACCCCAACTCAGATGTAGAGATTAGCTATGCATAACCCCGCGGCTCGAAATCGTGAATTCTGGAAGTCACCGAGAGAAATGCGCTTGCTGGCAAGGAGTATCCGAGAGAAAGGATACATTCATCGTCAGAATCGAGCGGCTTATCGGATCTCACGACCTCGAATTGCGGTCGCGCAAGGATAAGGGTACTTTTGGAATAAAGTGGACAACAGTCTTTTAGTACTGCATTACTATCTTGATAGTGTACACACGTGGTGCATTCCAAGAGCTGGCTAAACAGCCAGAGAGTACTCTGGGTGCTCCGCATGAAGGTGATACGAGACTCATTTGGGCAGGTCGAAAAGCACCCCATACAAGAATCGTGATGAAGTAAGGTTTGTTCTTGTTATTCAGCACGCATTTGGTAGGGAAGCCACGAAAGCTACTCCGGGTTGTGACTCGATCAGACGCGGAGCACCCAGCGTGAATGTGCCGAATGACGTTTGAAAGAGTCAGGATAAGATGAGCATCCTACCTCATTAATCAGCCTGTTGACATCTCATGCTGTGGACGTGCTGCTAAATAATTATGCGCCATCGGAAGTAGCATCATTGATGGCCTGTCTTGTAGGCATCTACAGCATGGCAGCCGAGCTTTTGAAAGTTGACTTTCTCTTGGAATCTGTCTCGTTGCTGATCTCGAGTGGGTTCATCTCCGCCGTGGTTATTACTATCATCTTGAACCAGATGAGTTCCCTGCTTGGTGAAGGAGATGTAGGAGATGGCACCGCACATTTAAACTACGACATACTTGCTGAACTACTGGATGCTAGTGGTTATGCTTGTGCCATCGGGTTTTTGCAATCTTCTTCTTGACCTGCCTTGAGTATGCTGGCAGGAGATGGTCAAACGAGTACAAGGTGAACTGGCTGGTGACCCTTACGAGGGCTTTTCTCTGCCTCGCTCTCTTTACTGACGTCAGCCATGCTGTGAACAAATTCCGCAGCCTCGATCTGGACGACTTCTCCTTTGAGGTTGCGTCCATGACGTCCAATGAACTTGAGCATCCCAGATTCCCTAATACCACCTTCATCGGCAAAGACGCAAGTCGCAGTATTGCACTTATCGACGTTGCTGCTGTAGAACATACTGGTATCACGCGCGCCTTTGACGGAGAGATTCTGGCGCACTACGGTCTCCTGCATGCAAGCTCATTTATCTCGATACTGTGCTGAGGTCGTGTGTCGCCAATCTCCTGAACTCCACAAAGGGGTTTGAGACAGACCCGTTTGTGGATAGCGCAAAGCTTAGCCTGGTAAGGGGCAGCCCGAAAAGCTTGTCGAAGCTTGCGGCAGTGTCGGGTTGGTGGCATGAGCACGAACATCAGCACGGTCGAAACCTGAATACGAACGACGCGATAAATAACATCGGCCCCAAATTACACGAGAAATTTGGAAGCACCAAAAACCTGCGTGTATGCCCGGCACTATCCCAGAGATTTTACAGAAGATCTGGTAATGCTGATATTGTGAACTCCACGAGATCCCCGTCCGCTAGTTCTTGACAGCAACCATGATATAATTGCCCTGAGAGAGAGACTTGAGCGCCCGACGTCGCCAGCAGCTTTTGATGTATGGAGTCCGGCTATAGCGGAGGTTTAGGGTCTCGCACGACTCAAAGAGAGTAGCTAATCTCCTTGCCCACTAACTAGTACTATTGTTTACGACTTCGATATTCCTTGTCATCAGCTTTGGCTATCACAACTTTCCGTTGATTAAAAAGTCTTTCTAACATGTCCACCACTACGCAGATACCGCCTGGCCAGTCCAGGCTTGAGGTTTCGAAGAGGCGGTATCGTTCACGTGTTTGATGTGGATGCGACTTCGTTCCAAAACGAGACATCCACATGATATTAGCCATCCGCATTTTAGACTGCGCCAGGTAATCTCAAGCTTCGCTAAGCATTCTACAAGCTAATGCCGCCCCAGCGTTCGGCTTCGACCATTCCACACGAGCGACTCCTACCGAAATTCGTCTCGGTGTCAGATACCAGCTCGTTCGCGGAACGTGAGTTGCCACTCATCACAAGTACGCGATGATACTGGTAGGAGTATGCTTTAGCAGACTCCACTGCTTTAGCAAGTGCGTCAGCATCAAATCACCATGTTTGCTATATTTCAAAGTCAGGTCCGTCACCTTCTGGATTCTCTCTTCTCTCCATCTACACAAGTCACAATTTTGTGACGTCCACTCTTTTTGGTCTTAACTTCTTCGGCCGCGCTCGTTTTGGCCCGTTTGTCGCCAACATGAAGCAATCAGTTGTTGTTGCCGCTTTGGCCAACATAGCTTCTGTCTTCGGAAGCTCGCTATTTCCTACAGAGTTCAATTCGACTTGCAAATGCAAACCATTCACGATCGATCTTACATGGGGTTCAGTGGATGCCTCGAACCTCCTGCCACGAAGTGCCATATTGACCAATGGCTCTATGCCAGGCCCTGCCCTCAAACTTAGAGTCGGCGACTGTGTTGATTTCACTGTCAACAACAATATGGGCTTCGACACTGGTGTTCACTTCCATGGCATCAGACAATTGGAGACTCCTTGGAATGATGGAACTCCAGGTTTGACACAATATGCTATCCGTAGCGGATCAAGCTATACTTATACGTGGTACGCTGATGAGCCTGGTTCCTACTTCTATCACTCTCACTACAAGAGTCAGATGATGGATGGTCTTTACGGTGCCATCATCATCGCTCCTAGCGAAGATAACACGACACCGTTTTCGCAGATCAGTTCTTCTGCGACCGATCTTGCAGCCATCGAAAAAGCTACTGCCAATATCGAAACAATCTTCACATCTGACTGGAACCAGTATACGTCCGCCGAATTCTTTTCCATCGAATCCGCAGCAAACATTGATTGGGCTTGTGCAGACTCTGTCATTCTGAACGGTAAAGGTTCAGTCTACTGCCTATCCGCTGCTGATCTTGCTGCAAATGCACGAGTTCAAGTTCCCTTCATCCTCGGAAACAGCTCTCTCACGGCCAAGGGCTGCATTCCACCATCAAATCCGTTAATCCAGGGTGCCTTCAATAGAGACTTGTCGCAGCTTCCTGCTCCTGCATACGATCAGTGTACACCCTACTCTGGCAACACTTACACTTACCAGGTTGATCCCGCAGATGGTTGGGCGGCTATGTCGTTCATCTCACCCTCAGCCTATGCAATATTTGTTGCTACTATCGACAATCACAAGATGTATGTGTATGAACGTAACGGCCAATATATGACTCCCCAAACCGTTGACCAGGTTGAGATCTCTCCCGGTGATCGTGTCTCCTTCCTGGTGAAGCTTGACCAGACTCCTGGTGATTATACTATCCGCATCGCCAACTCCGGTATCAATCAGGTCATCTCTGGATTCGGTAGATTGAGCTACAAAGGTAGCGCTGGCACGCTCGGCGTGGCCATCATGAACATTGGTGGCGTCTCACCTCCGAATTCCACTGTCACCCTCCTCGATGTTGCCAGCGCGGCACCGATAAGTGCTCCAGCTGTCGCTAGTACTGCAGACAAGACCTTTGTCCTGAATCTCATGAAAAACCCAACCGCGGGTGAATCCTGGGCTTGGACTCTCGATGGGAGCAAATCGTATCAGCAAGGCAATGACGATCAAACTCCGTTCCTATACTCGGATCCCAACACAATTCCAGCCGATGATCTCGTTCTCAGAACTAATTATAATGACTGGGTTGATCTCATTGTGACAATTGCTGGACCACTTGCGCAGCCACATCCTATCCACAAGCATGGTAACAAGTTCTATGTCATTGGTTCAGGTACTGGCAATTTCAATTACACATCGGTTGCTCAGGCACAAGCTGCTGGTATTGCGTTCAACCTTGCCAATCCACCGTATGTGGATGGTTACACCAGTACCCCTGCTCAAGGTACAGGTGCATGGATGGTATTTCGTTACCAGGCTAACACTCCTGGTGCTTGGTTCATGCACTGCCATATTCAAACGCACTTCACCGGGGGCATGGCTGTTGCGATCCTCGACGCTGTTGACAAATGGCCTATAGTCCCCGCTACTGCTGGCAAGATCTGCTCTGCTAGTCAACATGCTAATAATACTAGCGAACGTGGCAACGGTACCATAAGCGATGGAAAAGGCGGCAACAACACTATTGGTGCTGGACAAGGTGGAAATGGTACTTTTGGCGGTGGTTCAGAAAATGGTTTCAACAGAACAATTACCAGCATGACTACGACTACAAGCGCGACCACATCCATCGTCTCATCAACTAGTGGTGGAACAAGCACAAGCGGGTCAATTAGCAGTAATGCTACCAGCATCACCTCTGGAACCCCCACTTCTACTTCAAGCTCAAGCAGCACTACCACAAGCAGTAAGTCGACCAGCAGTACTATGGTCACTCAGTCTAGCACCACAAATGTCAGCGAAACTTCTGCTGGTACTTCTGCTAGCCTTGGCTCGAGCACTACGACCACCAGTGACGGCTTCAGCAGTACTGCCACAGGAATCGGTTCAAGTCGTACAGCCTCTAGCGAAAGCTCTATTTTAGTCTCAACTACAACAAGCAAAGAATTCAATTCTAGCCCAACAGGTACAGCTGGTGGCCTAGGGCAGTGGGGCGATTGGACGGCTACACCATCAAATGGTAAGGCCAGTGCAACGCCCTACAAGGGTTCTGCTACCGCAAAGCCGCAAGTCACCGATACAACCTATGGTAGTTCCGCCTGGGCTGCATGGTCTTCAATCTCAGCGGCTGCTGCATCCGTAACCAAGAAGGACGGTGCCGCCCATACTGTTCTTGCTGGCTCGGGCAAGGATGGTTGCGATCGTGGTAAAATTGGCGGCTGGGGCTCTGACTTTGGTTCCTCCAAATCTGGCTCGTCTAGCCCATACCCATCTAGCGGCAGTGACTCTAGCTCTGGATACGCCGCAGGCGCAGACTCTTCCTTTTCGAGGAAAGGGCCGTATGCTAGCACTCTCTCATTCTCGACAAGCTCGATGGTCTCGACTACTCTGTCTACTGTGACCAGTAGTTGGGGTACTGGAACTCCTAGCACAATAAGCCCCAGCTCGGGAAAACCTACAGACAATGCCTCTGGTTCATGGACAGCATGGACCGATGTCTCGTCCAGTTCGACGGTCACATCCAACGTACCACTCGATGCTACATCTCACGCACCGTCTGCGTCGTGGTCAGTTTGGCCTGCAGGCTCTTCTGCCTCCCTCAGTCAGCCAGTGGATGCCCGTTCGTCTGCTTCGGCCTCATCATGGTCCACCTGGACTGATAGCGCCCCTGTCTCAGCTTCTGCGACCACTTCAGTCAGTACATCAGCTGCATCGTCAAGCTGGGCAGCATGGGATTCCAGCGCAGTCGCCGCACCAGCGGCTGCCACGGGTATTGCCAGTTACAACAGTACTGGAAGCAATGGCATCGCTACGTACTATGGTGCTGCCTCTTCCATCAAGGCTGGCGGTACCATCGTTGTCAGTGTTTGTGCAGGTATTTTGTCGTTCTTAATGTGAAGAGGTTTTCACACCAATTGACGTGTAGTCACTAAGTACACCATAAATAGTAATGAAAGGTGTGTATTTGTTTCTTCATTCCCCATCCTTCGCGCTGCGTAGAGTCATTCTTTCGATTGCATCCTTACCATTGCCTCAACTTCGATATTGAAGTTTGAGCCCGTAGCCCATAACGACGTCCGCGTTTAGTACGTTGGAAAGCATTGGACGCACAGCAAACAGTACGGAGGTACCACGGTGATTTTCGACCTTCGAATGGCCAAGATGGCGGAGGACAATTCCGTAATACCCCTGCCGATGACACTAACGTCATGCAATGGGAGTTGAGCTGCGAGCCATGAATTGCCAGCCCCAAAGTGACATCAAATGCAAGTCGTCGGCAACCTTTGCTTACGAGTCAGCCACGATATGTAGCCTGCTAATAAGAATGTGAGAGTCAGGTTCCTTAGAGAAGGTATTCTCAAAATATTGAAAGACAACTTGTCATCAAGAAAGACACCCTGATCAAGCAATCCATTCCGCAAGATGCCGCCTCCAGCAGTCAACCCAGCGAGACCGAAGATCCAGTTCTCGCTCATAGAATGCATTGCTATCGGTTTTGGTGCCGGCGCTGTCGGTGTCGCCGTGTAAGCCTGAAAGCAAAATCACATACTACAACGCCTTACTGATCTCCCTCTCTAGCATGACACTTGGCGAAAAAGTTGAACAAGTATTCACGAAACGACCAAACTCTTACGTTCCTGGTAAAACGCTAGCTGCCCTCCTAGGCGCTGCTGGTCTCACTTCGTCTTCGGAACGCCTGTTCGCCAGCAACCCAGACAGGATCAATCACATAATGCACTGGGGGCAAGGAATGGCTGCAGCAGGACTTCGTGGACTCATGGCATACAATGGACTGGTTGGGCCTTTCGGCAGCTTTATGTTCATGTGCGTAAGATTGATGATTGATCAGACGTTAGAGAATTGGACTGGTGTTGGAGCTTTACCGTGGACTTGGCCTGTGAATGAGCAGATCATAGATTTGCTGCATAAGGGTGTCTTTGCGGCTGTCACAGGTTATGTGGCTGATCGCCTCATTCTGGGAACTGCCTTGAATGCTTGAGATATCTCGCAAAGCAAGGGCTGGCTGTGTGTACCTCAGGTGATGAGCCTCGATCGAATTGTGAATGAGTATCACTCTGTGACTCTGACCGCTTATTGGCTTCTGTTTACGAAGTTAGCAATTGTGCTAAAGGTGTCTACTTGGCTAATAGCAAGTACAACGGACCAAAGCAGAGATCACACTGCTGTTCACGGCCACAGAAGCTCGTCAAGTCTGAGCAAACATTGTTACTTTTCCACAGACACTACATTGATGTGTTTAGTCGTTTGGACTATTGCTTTAAACAGATTATGGCGTGGCCGGGATAGATAGTTCGACTTTTTGGTCGGTCATCGCGTATGTCAACTTCAATGTAGACAGGTGGTACGCCCGAGCTATGTGAAGAATTATTAGACACGAGTATTTGACGAAATTATGCTGATAGATAGAGACAGCAGATATCTACTGTTCAGCAATGAAAATTGAGAGCTCTGTACGTGACGCGACGTAACTACTGGAGTAGTTCTTTTAATATCCTTCGCAAAACGTCATAGCACGGAAATAAGAGAAGACTTCAGATATGTGCCATGGTCAAACACCACAATCCTTATGTTAGTCTGAGCATTATGTGCAGACATCAGTCCGAACCATTGGGGTACACGATCCGTTGATCTGTAATGCAGTTCGTTCCGAGATTGACCAGACCTCAGGCACTTTAACTCTATCACATCTCGAATCTCCTTCTCCTGCCCATACCAAACCCGTCCGTCTTCCAGTTGCTCGCGAGTGCCTCTTGATCGCCCAGCTTGAAAGGCGGATTGTCGTGATAGGATTCTCGTTTACGATTTATCAACTTCTCGTACTCGGAGCAAGATTCTAGCCATCCGGCAAACTGCTGCATCAAAAGCTGTAGTGGATGCACATGAGCTCTGAAGTGCTGGATATCCTGATCCTGTGCTCTTCAAACCACATATGGAATGGCGCCTGGTTTGGTATCATCATTTAGTCCATCACATCTTCGAGGGAAGCCGATTTCGGGGTAACCTGATTGATCATCATCGCAGTCGCTAGTGTTGGCATCTTCGGGATCGACTATCTGCTTGAGTATCTCTTCATGAATCTGAACAGCTTTCTCGAAAGAGACACGTGCCGTTTCTTCGAGGTGTTTCCTGTTTTTATTGCCGTCTTGACGACTTTCCTTGGATTAGTCCATGGCTATGCATGTACATATGCTTGCCAGCATTCGCGGTATCTCACAGTACAGTGATCATGTGGGCTCGTACGCGACCAACATTATGAACGATGTTCTCGCAAATTCGAATTACATCCTTGGCGCTATGCTGGGTGGATTCGGCTTCGACAAGACGTTTGCCCAGTTGAAGCATTGTGTCAGTAGACCAGATTGACTGGGCGTCGCGAGGTCACAATTAAATATGGCCATACGAATGAAGAAAGATCACCTCAAGAAGAAGAAGAAGATGCTCGTAGAACACTTTCAACGACGAGAGAATGTACGGCAACCAGAGCATGCTCAATACCACCAAACAGGCCACAGCAAGTCGAGCAATTCGGCCGCGAGCAACCTTCAAGCAACCTTACGTTCCAATGTCCCCTGACTGAAGGTCTGCAGAGGCTGTATGATAGAGAGCCAGAACTGTCCGGGTCTATGCTTTTCATGACTGCGCAAGTAGCGACGCGGAGGACATGGAACTCGCGGAGCCCACCCGACTTGGACTGAAGAAACAGAAACAAATTGAAAGCGTCAGGGAGGAGCAACGGCACAGTGTCTTCGCAAGCAATGAACAGGCATTGGAGAAAGTCGAGGTGGATATTAGGTACAAGCCGAGCTTGCAGTCATCGTGAGTGTCTACTAAGATGCTCTCACATCCTGAAGCGCGCTGACCACGACTATTCGATGAACTGGTATGTTACCAAGACTTGGGTCAAGGACGTACGAATAGTTTTGACAGGATGACGAGAAATGTCGGAATTGGTGTCGAAGTTGTCTCGTCGTGCAAAGAACATTTACAACGACTCAGCGCATTCGAAAACGAGACAGGAGGCTTTGCGATAGGAATACACACGAAATATTGCAGAAGGAGGTATCGAAGAGTTTTTGTCGCATTAGTGAGAAGAGACTTGAGAGATGTACATAAGTCGTGTCAACAACTGGTTACTACTCTCGATCGTGTTTAGCTGGGACTTTGGACCGGTCGCTGTGGTCAATCGGCTGGACAAACGGTGATCGACGTGACTACTGCCGTATCACAAACAGTATCACATACACTTTGTCTGCAGGTGGCGATGCGCTGATCTGTGCAATTTTGAAGTGCATGCAAGATTTGCAGCCAAAAAGGTCCTCGAGAGAAAGTCGAAGATGGTGAGGCTAACGTCTTAGGTGAAACTCTCATATGCTAGCACTTCGTCGGCATCATTCATGTTCAGACATGCAATTGAGTACGCGAATACTTCGAGACCCTGTCCTCTGCCCAAGACGAGAGTCATCCCCCCAAAAGCCCCGAAGAATCGTCTGGTGAGTTAATACCATCTCTAGCCCATACCTACGTGTCCTTCCCAATCAACACATAGGTGGGGAACTATCTCGTTCTCAATCGTGGCAGTGCCAGGCTTGGCCGCGATACAAGACGTGCCATCGGCAACGCATTGCTCGTACTGAGCCAGTGCGCTCGCGCAAACAACAAAGGATGAGCTCATGATGTGAAGTGAGACTCATCAATTTCGAAGAGTCACTACAGTGGGTATAGTACGCACGCAATGAAGAGGGCCTGGACGCTGGTATCCGATGCAAATCTTGTTGGCAAGATGGTTGCCGTTGTCCGAGCGAACGTTGCGGGCGCGTGCTATCGCTGTAGACAGGAGAGCTGCTAGCAAAGTGAGGATAGAGCAATGCATCACGGAATTCGTGTTAGTTGGAAATGCATTGCCGGTATTGCTTGATCTGATGTTAATGCTGCTGCTGACATATGGTGGCCACAACGTTTGCAAGGACAACGAGGAATCGTGTTCGCCCACGTTGAGGACGCTTAAAGGTGTGGATGGATGGCAGCTTGGTGATTCTTCGTCAATCTGAATGCATAGCTCGATTGGGAACGGACGAGGCCAGTCGAAGAAGGACTGTCGTGTGAACGCTCCTGATACAATGATTCGGTCTCAACGAAGTCTTTGAGTCACAGATAGGTCATGCTCTTGGGCACTTCCTCCAAAATAGTTATCTGCACTGATCAAAGCATGCCGATGTCAATTAAGTCGAGCGATTGTCGATACATTGTCGACAACGCGAAGAGCGGCAGGCTCTGGAAGAATCGAAATGTAGTGCAAATAGTTCAACGGATCCATGCACACCAGTTATAGCTCTCACTTTGTAACAGCGCAGTATGGTGCTGTAGACGTGCTCCATACTGATACCTGTTCTGTCATTGGCAGACTGTTTGGGGTGTGACGCAGGATAACCTCGAACTGTAACGTAGGTACCTTTATATGCATTCAAGGCTCTTCAATTAAATTATCCTCTACATTACCTTCCAAGCCACGTCCTGGAACCTAAAACCACACCAACGACTCTCCTTGTTTTTCCAGCATGTTCTCCGTCAGACCAGATGAGAAATGTGTGAAGCGGAGAATGGTCGGTCGCGCCAGGAACATGACTAGGCGCGAACAGCTTGTGCTTATTAAATCATTGCTAGTATCCCATATGATTGGAGCACATTACGAGGCAATCTGCCACTGTAGAAAGACCGTCTGTGCCAATCTTCCTCTACCTTCGTTTGGTATTGACGCAGCTGGTTTGTACACCGCCTGCCTCGTGTCCCATGAGGCTACAACAGCTCCCTGCAAAAGACTGCAAGCATTCGGCTTCAGTCAACATGCAGAGATGTACGAGGAAACACAACTTGACAATTGCTAGCCGCTTGGACGATGTCCGGGCCTTGAGACGACTTGCAGTAGTGGCTGCCAAATGGCGTATAATTTCTAGTGTCTTCCAAAGGGCTGTGCGCCACGTGTATGGAGACAAGCTAGAGGAAGTAGCTGGAAGCTACACGCATGTCCTCGCTGCATATCTTGGTGCGTTCTTCCTTTTGCGCAATTCTTTGTCAACTACCTAACGATTCATGTCGAGCAAAGTGCAGGCGACGAATCAAAAAACATTGTCCCTTCTGTTATCTCCGGGGTCGGACTCAGGAAGGCGTACCGTAAGCACTGTACCAGTTGTCTGTGCATACGGTACATGGACCCTCACCGATATTGGCTCATTCTCTTCTCAGCGCCTGCGGTTCGAATGGGTAGTCCCTCGAGGATGTCACCAACCACAATACTGTGGGTCGGTTGTGGTGGTTTTGGGGGTCTCGTCCTCTCTTTCTCGAAGATGGCAATGTCATCCGTGTTGATCGCTTGCTTTTCCCCTCTTTCCAATGCTAATTCCTGCTGGTTAGCTGTCTTTCCCTTTGCCTCAGCCTCATTTTTGTCAGCCGCCAGGTCAACATGGGGCAGGCCGTCGGTCAAAAGCTGGACCTGACCAGCCCGCTCGTGTCGTAGCCAAGCAGGCTCTGTACTGAGCTGCATTCGAGCATACGCATTTCTCTTCTTGCACTCCGTCGAGCACCACTTTCCATCGATCTGCTTATCTATGATCTTCCCAGCTGCGCTATCCCAGACCTTTTTCAATTTTGCTGCTTGGTTCTGGTTCCTGCATAAAGCATAACCACATCGGTTGTCGATGTTTCGTTCGGACACAACTTCGTCTAGGTCTTGAGGTCGAAATAGTAACAAGGCTTCTCGGAAGGTGTTTGCATCTGCGACTGTAGGGTGAGCGGCGTCAGTAGATGTGTCAGTAGGGAGATCAAATGCGACAATGATAGTATCGAGAACCCTGGCCTGGAGATCTTTCTTCTCTTGTATGCTCAGAGCCTGTTGTACAGCGGCTGCACGAACTCGGGCAACCTTGGCTTGAGCTTCAGCAGCTTTTGCATCACTGTCGCCTGTCTTTTTTGACTGAGTGCGTGTACTGGCATTGACAGACATGTTTGTCAAGATGGCATGGCATGGCATGAAATCTTACAAAGACTATTGCAGAAGTACAGATAATTCAGCAGTGGCAGTTGCGACGCAGAAATGTAAAGAGCTAGTAGCACGCTAAACGCCACTTAACACATCTGATGAAAGCTTAGTCTGACACCGCTGTGGGAGCCACAACTTTAGTGGGCGGCGGGGTGCAATCTCTCATCCACATGTAGCTGTCAGGTCTTTCGTAAAACACCACCATGCTCTCAAATGATACAGCATAGACTTGTTACGGTGCGGACATAGGTTTTTCTACCGTGATAGATTATTTCGTTCGAGCTCCAGGTCTTGCCTCTGTTTTGTTCACGTGCGACCCTCTGCAGCTTAGGCGGCCAGAAGCATAAGCTGCGTCATCCTCGAAGCACAATCAAGACAAGTGCAACCACGACCACGACCACGACCGCTTCCTGCATCATTCCTGCCTCTTGTGAATCCACAAACCAGCGACTGTCAACACCAAACTTTTCCAATTGCTGGCGCAATGACGGTCCCCTTTAAAGTAAAAGCGGTGTACGAATACAAATCGGAAGAGCCGGACGACCTCAATTTCGAGAATGGTCAGATTATCACAGTAACGGAGGACGATGATCCAGATTGGTATACTGGAGACTACACATCCTCAGCGGGTCAAAAGTTGGAAGGTATATTTCCCAGAAATTTCGTAGAGAAATACGAACCCGCGATACCTACAAGACCTGCTCGAGTCTCCAGGAGAGCTCCTCAACCTGAACCAGCCACGGAGCCTGAACCTTCACGGATAGAGACGAAGTCATATTCGCCTATTGCAGCCCTTCCTGCAGCATATGAGCCATCGAGAGAGGCTGAGATCGAGCCTCCTAAGCAGTTCTCCGAGCCTACACCGGCGTCCAAAGTCGAGCCACAACCTCCAGCTGTAGAGGAGCCAAAACCAATGACGTCAAAGAAGGCTCCTCCTCCAGTCGTCGAGAAGCCGTCCTCTTTCAAGGATCGTATAGCTGCGTTCAACAAGCCAGCTGCTGCGCCTGTGGCCCCCTTCAAACCCCCAGCAACTGGTCAATCCTTTATCAAGAAGCCGTTTGTTGCTCCACCACCAAGTCGAAATGCGTTCGTTCCTCCACCACGAGATCTTCCACCACCAACAGTTTACAGGAGGGAGGAGGAGCCCGAAATGGAAGAGCAAGAACAAGAACATGTGCCTCCTCCAGTCGTGGTATCTGAGAGGACCACGACAGAAGAGGAAGATCAACCCAAGACCGAAACCTTAAAAGAGCGGATCGCAAGATTGCAGGCGCAGCAGCTTGAAAATGCACAGCGACAAGCTGAATCCACCAAGAAAAAGGAGAAACCTAAGAGACCTGTCAAGTCTCGAACTGAGTCATCTGATGCCGTTCCTGAGGTAGAAGAGGAAGGTGCTGCGCTTGAACAAACTTCTACGGAAAGACCACGACATGAAGAGGAACGTCGACAATCCTTGGAAGAGCAGACTGTGAACACTCCTCCACTGCCCTCCCGAGAACTAGTTAGCGATACTAATGATGCCGACGATTCGGGTGCTGCAGATACCGAGGACCCTCAAGATTTATCGACTGAGGAAGAGAGGCCAAGGCCAAAGTCAATCAAATCTCCGCCCACAGCTGTGAACGACACTCCGCCCGAGCAGGAAGTGGGCGAGGAAGATGCAGAAGAGGACGAGGATCCTGAGATCCGAAGAAGACGCGAGCTAAGAGAACGAATGGCCAAGATGAGCGGTGGAATGGGCATGATGGGAATGTTTGGGGGTGGGGCTGGCGCAGCTTCTGTCCCAAAGAGAGCAAAATCCACAAGGGAGGATCGACATCCAGAATCAGAACAAGTGGAAAATATACACAGAGCGCCTCCTATACCCATCATGGCTCTTCCCGGAATGGCGCAGAACAAATCAATACCGAAACCTGCTCCACCAATAGACTCTGATGAGGAAGTCGACCCTGCTATACCTACCCCGCAGGCTCATCAAGAAGCAGCTCAACCAGAGGACTATGTCTCACACAGACCTTCCAGACGATCAACCGAGCGGTCTCAGCCATTGTCGCCGCGTGACAGAGCGCCTCCACCCCTACCTGAAGCTCGTCCGGAGCCCTTGCAATCCCCTGGAGAGCGTCCTGTACCACCTCCGCCTCCACCTACTGCGAGAGCCGAAGTCCCTCCACTACTTGAGCCCGAAGATGATGATGGATCAATTTATGCAAAGCCCTTACCAACTGCCATTTCTCGTGCTGTACCTCCACCACCTCTCATCCAATCACAAGCTCCATCAGCCCAAGAACGTGCAGTACCACCTATCCCAACGTCTCCTATTTCGCCACAATCGAGGGCTCCTCCTCCACCTCCGCCAGGTCAGCAACCTCCCAGAAGATCCACCAACCAGTCCAGCATCGTATCGCCTCTCAGAGATGATAGTGAGGATGAAGTAACCGAGTACGACGGTGACTATGACACAGATATCGCTTCTAGCGCAAAACACAAAGATGCTCGTAAGTCGCATCACAGAGAGGCTAGTCTTGAAGAAAGCACATTGAGCGATGACACAGAAGACAGGACAAGCACTATACGTGCGGCTCCTCCACCAATTCCAAACATAGCGTCTCGAGATGCGGCTCCGCAGAGGTCAAGAGATTCGTTCGACGCACCTCGAGCCGCTCCACCGCCGTTACCGCCAACGACGGTTAGACCCAGGGAGTCTCTAGATGTGCCGAGAGCCGCACCTCCTCCAGTTCCACCGCCACAAGTCGCACCAAGAGAGTCGGTTGAGTTGCCACGAGCTGCTCCTCCACCAGTCCCGCAATCGCCAGTGGTCAACGACGATTACGATCCATATCGGTATTCACAGCAGTCCCTTGGCCCAGTGGTAGCCGATCTGAGAAAGGCCACAGATGAGTACAACGACGATCAAGAAGAAGCCCCCGAAGTGCCTCATCATGCACCTCCTCTGATGGAGCGAGCAGCTCCGCCTCTGCCACCACACCAAGCTCACATGCATCAGGAGCCTGAATCAACATCTATGTCTGGTGCACTTGCCGCTCCCCCGAGCAGATCAATCGAGCTTGGCCGCAGTAACAGCCGCAGATCAGCCGATGTGTCGAGACCAAGCATGGATCAAGGTTTCATCGCTGCAGATATAGATCTTGCGCAATCCTCAATGTGGTGGATAAGAGATAATACACCGCCACCGTCTTTGCTGAATCGATCGGACGTTCTTTGGGAGGTCGAGTCATCCACAACTCAAAAACGTGGGGGTCGTTCTTCTGTGTCCCGTGATATCTACATTCTCTACCAAGACTACTCTCAGTCCACTGTCAACGCAACTTACGACTCTCATGAGCCGACACATGTCTCGTTTGAGCAAAGTCACTCTCGTCCACCCATGCCACCGCGCAAAGACCAACTTGAATCCGCCTCCGAAAGCTTTGGCGTGCAAATAGCCAAGTCAGCTGAGAAAGCTCTAGGTAGTACCATTGGCGAAGGTACAGCACAAGAGTTTGTTCTCAGCCTCATTCGTCCTCTTCAAACAGCACTACTACCCATTGGTCTTCGTTCTTATGGTGCGCTCGTTTATGCAAATCTGGCCAACGCTAGCACTCAACAGCATGATGAAATCCGACCTGGTGATATTATCACCTTTCGTGGCGCAAAATTCGCTGGCCACAAAGGCGGCTTACACCAGAAGTATGCGCAGGATATCGGTGCTCACGTCGCTGTTGTGATTGACTGGGATGGTACTAAGAAGAAGATCAGGGCATGGGAGCAAGGCGTGCAAGAAAAAGGCAAGAAGAGTAAAGTTCGCGAAGAGAGCTATCGTGTCGGAGATCTGAAGAGTGGTGAGGTACGTGTGTGGAGGGTCATGCCGCGAAGTTGGGTGAATTGGGGCAGCGGGTGAAGCGAAATGGCTTGACCAGGTTTGTGTGAGAGTATTGCATAGGTAAAACGCCATCATGCTTGCATTTGGATGTGCATGAGTGGAATTTACCAATATAGCACCAGAAGCTCAAATATCACGCCGTGAAAACACCTGCTTGACTTCAATCACATTGATGTTTGAACGTTGTCTATACAGATTCGAGATCACAGATCCACTCGTAGCCGTCCCGAGCATGACCACAGGTCCTGAACCACGACTGCGAAAGAGAGGAAAAACTACGGCGAAACGAACTATAGTACCTGGCATTCGACACATCAAATCAAATCAAATTGCTAAATTCATGGGGAGTTCAGTCTATCAGTCGAGGAGCCTATTTACCTTTCCCTCATCATGTTAACAAGCCCGCATGCTGCATAATATATCTCTGCGCTTTTCGATACGCTCTATCCAAGCGACTAACACACTTTTATTGTTTGGCAGGTTGTCGTACGGAACTCAAACACTTGAAGAGATTCTGACTCATACTCCGGTGCTAGGAAGAGGCTTTTACAGCAATCTGCGCAGCACGATTTTGCAATGTAGTTCGCAGCTGCTTGTGGCTGGTTGTTGCATGTCGGTGTTGTTATCGTTCATGGTGTTGTCATGCCTACAAAGTCGGACATTTGTCAGGATCGACCTGTGTCAAGGAGGCATTGGCTACGTAACCTCACATAACAGCGACTTTACTTTCATCAATAGCAAAGAGAAAAAAACAACACAACCCATAACAACAAACCTGATTGTTCGTTTTCTGGTGTTGACTAGCTAGATATAAAGTCCATTTACGCAATTCGTGCTGAGATCTGATCGTGAAGATCTCTCTAGACCTCCTCACCTTGTGTCTCTGTGCCCTGCCTTGGCGAAGGAAGACTCTCAGCCCCGCCTGCGAAGGCGTGAGCGAACATTTCTAAGACGATCCCGTAGGCCTGATGTTATGCGGCCGGAGATAGTCGCCCTACCTGTGTTAGTGAATTGTATCGATGTGAAGCTGCCACTGCGCCTGGGGTCCACGACAGAGGGAACATTGCTGTTGCTAACAGGTATCGATGGACTTCCTGGTCTGCCTTCACCGTACATACTATTAAGCGACGTTGCAATCTCGTGTCTGCTGCTGAAGTTGCTTGATCGTGAACTATTCGCGCCCATGCGCATATTGCGCAGTGATAGTGATGACCAGCTTCCTCGTGGACTAGACGATCCCTGTTCCGAATATGGAATTGAGCCTGAGCTACGGGTCCCAGAATGACTGCTGTCACGAACAATACTGGTGGACGAGCATCCCGAGCGTCTGAACCAAATGGAACCGCCAGGCAATCCGTAAGGTGAGTTAACGAGAGTGCTTGCAGTAGAAAACGTTGCACTAATTCGTACTGCAGGAGCATTGTTGTGAGTTCGTGCACTCTGGCTGGGAGCCATCCCAGACGTCATGCTCAAAGGACGTGAAGAATTGGAGGAATTAATGGTGTCAATGGTCTCGAGTTCTGTGGAGTCAGGGTTGTATGCTCCCATCTCCATGGCGGACCTCATGAGGCGAGCCCAAATTCGATCGTCACTGTTTGAATCTGCTACTACGTGTCGAGGACACTGCCGACGAACTGCCCTGCTACCGAGCGCATCTCTTGGTGGAACGTGACGGCTTGCGTCAAAAGACGATGTTGGGATCTCGCCATCCGACTGATAGTCGCAACTGTCGGTAATCATGCTACGTTCAGGCATCTGGCTTTGTATGTAGACACGACGTTCGAGTGTCTTGATGTGGTCTTGATATTGGTATAGTAAGCTGGATTCTTATAATGTCCTCGGTGCTTGATAATTTGTTCCTTCTGCTGCTTCCGATCTGTTTTATCGATTGTCACCTGAAGGCTAGCCGAGGGCGTATGTTTAAATATCTAGTTTTCTGTATTACTGCGGCTTTGTTGGAGAATAATGGGCACCGAAGCACAAGGATATGTAGATAGTGTCCATTGTGAAAAGATGACTCGACAGCACCTACTGGCCCGGCATTAAAGGACAAAGCGCCATTGTGAAACAATATTCATTGGCAGTATGTATTGCGAAACAGCAACGGGTAGCGTCGATGGTAATAGCCAGGACCCGTTCTTGGTTCTCGTAATTTGTTCAAGTCAGGAGGTGGACTGTGAAGACACTGACGTATATTGCCGTAGCAAATATAGAAGTCTTCGTTCATACTCCCACAACAGGTTTGACTGTAGACTCTGAGAACGCTCCTTGACTCTTCGCGTGAAGATCCTCCACAGGTGCATCCACATGGTAGTTCATAGTCTTTTTCAAATCACCTAGGAAAAGGCAAAGCACGCAGGCGACTATCCCGAATGGGGCAGCAATGATGTAAATAACCCTCAGTGAATCTGCAAAGGCCTGCTTCGTTGCCTCGAGAGCTGCTATAGCAACGGACGGCGAGAACCCTGGGACTTGTGTCAAAGCTCGTTGATCGTTGGCCATGAAAGCACTAAGAAAAGCATCAAGTGATGCGGCTGGAAGGCCAGCACTTTGCGCCGCAGCAGCGATATAAGCTGGTAGCTTGTCCTGAATACGCTGTGAGAAAGCTGCAGCGTATATTGCAGTAAATATTGTGGCCGCAACAGCTCGAGATGAGGTCGTTACTGCTGTAGCTGTTGCAATTAAATGGTGAGGAGTCGACAGTTGTACTCCTGTGATAATCAAGATTAGAGGTGCACCAAATCCAGCCCCAGCAAGAGCTGCGAAAGCGAGTGAACTGAAATTGTCACTTGGCTCAATGGTGGCTATTCCGACCATTCCGGCAGTAAAAAGTAAAAATCCGGCAAAGAGAGGCGATCTGATGGTTCGAAAGCGTGTGCTCCAGTAGCCCCATAGGACTGTAGTAACTAAGCAACCTACCCAAAAAGGTTGTGAACGAGCTGTTAGCAGGAACGGATCAGTCTCAAAGAGATTTGAACTCCTGTTCATAATTAGTTGTGCCTTGCTGGCTGTAGAGTAGGCTACTCACATGACAGGATAGAAAACAATGTAAGAGAACAGTAACACGCCTTCGATGAAGATGAGAAAAATGCAAAGAGCGAAAGTGCGACCAGCAGATTTGCCACCACGGAAGAGTTCGTGGTTCAGAATGCCAGACTTGGTCACCTTCCACTCATAGGTCCCGAAGCCGACAAGGATGACTAGACCAGCGACGAGCGTGCCCAGAACACGACTGTTCGTCCAGGTATAAAGGCCACCTCCGAGATTGAGGCCAGTCAAAAAGAGGGCAAGCCCAGTAGTCAAGAGACCGAAGCCAGGAAGATCGAGCTGTCCCAACTTCTGATAGAAGGTCAAGTGATCAAGTCGTGTATGTCTTTTAGGTGGCTTGTATCCGGTGAAAATGCCGATAGCGGTCAGTCCCCAAGCAGCCATCTGAATCCACTGAGAACGGATTAATGTTGCGGCATGTGCATCAAGCAACCCAACTCACGTAAAACTTGCGCCATCCGTTCTCAATGTCCCCTCTTGTCAAGGCTCCGATCATTAAAGGGCCCGAGATAGCTCCTAAAGCCGCGGCAATGTTGATGCCAGCTTGAGCCACTAAGCATCATGTTTTCAGTACTTGAGATCAGCGCCATGATTTGTCACTTACTTGGCCTCCATTTCCTAGGCAAGATCTCGCTCGGAACACAGTATGCGAGTGGTACTGACGCGAAACCAAATCCAATCAAAACCTGAGAAGCAATGAGCCTGTATATGTCTTTCGATCCAGGTGCGATAGCTGCCCCAACGAATGAGACAAGTGAGCTCCCAACCAAGATGGTCTTCCTGGCTTGGAAAGTATCGGAGGCCGACGCGATCAAAGGAGACACAACTGCTTGCACGAGTGATAAGGAGTTAGGCACCCAAGTCTCCGCTTGGGTACCATTGAGGCTCTTGCCGATGTACGAGAGCTGCAAACAATTAGTGAGTGGACAGTATCGAGTTCAGTTCTACCCACCACTGCTGGAGGGCCTTGAAGGGCGATGACTTGAACATAATTCAACAGAAACATCGCGGCCAACGCTATCCACGTCCGCATGTGAATTTCAGGCTCCTCATCGCCGTCGTAGACAAGGTTGCCATCCTGAGCCGCTGCATCCTCTAAGTGCTTGACTTCTACTGGGCTATTCTCTGATGAGTTGATCTCGTTCTTGTGTACAGACACGTCACTCTGTGCGCCCATACTTTCGATTTGGTCGAGAGAGCACTGGTAAAATACAGGCAAGCACAAATATTTGCTCGTATATTCGTTGAGAAACGATCTTGGAATGATGATAAGGGAACCGAAGGACTTAACCCTGGGTTTATTTGACTCTACTCGTGAATTGCGGGGAAGAAGCTAGATCGAAACTAACGAACCTCAGTCGTGGTGGGCCTCGAATTGCACCAACCGATATTGCAGAAACTGGAGCCTGACACATGGCTGACTGTGGAAGAGTTTACGCACATAGCCTACAAATTGCAACGAGATTGGCTGGAAGTTTTTGCTGTCCACCCCGTGGCTGAATCTTAGGACGCCAGTCCCACAGATCTAATCAGGCACCCTGCGGAGAAAGCATGTTCCTAAATTGGTATGGTCTCGCCTCCTCCTGCTCGTAGACTATCTGGGAAAGAGTTTGATCGAAGTGATTCTCTACAAAGAAATTCACAAGATGGCTTCAGACGAGATCTATACTGGTGCGAGGAATATCATGCGATAAGCTCAACTCAGCATGAAGGGAGGTCGATAGGCCTGCAAGTTTGTTTCCCTTCATACAGTGTATGCGCAACGCAGAATCATATGAAAATGACCCAGATGACGCCTCTGCGCGCTTCAAACTTGATGGCAGTAGCCTGAGATCTCGATGAAGAAGAAAAGAAGGAAAGAACCACCTCAAGACCTCGGTTATCTGTTGCATCGACTCATGTGAAACAGCTGTCGAGAAATAGGGTAATGTCCCACATGGTGCTGCATGTGTGCTGAAAGATGCCCCGCAACATCTCGTGGGACTATGAATTTGTGGAGAGACACGGCAAGCTTCGAGGGATATTGTATTTCCAGCATTTATCAACAGAAAGCGTGTTTTTCCAACGTACTACACTCCCACACATATGTGCACTTCGGACGACTGCAATGACCCCTGAGGTTGCGCATCTACCTACGATCTTATCTGAACCGAATATAGTTCTGACAGATAACACTATTGAGCATTGGATGGCACGACACAACGAGTCTCATCTTTGAAAGTTGAGAACTAGCGTTGTCCATTTCCTTCATTCACTCCCTGTAATATGACAGAGCAGACAGACGTCGTCATTGTTGGCGGAGGTCCAACCGGAGCACTACTCTCTGCTTTACTGGGGAAAGCAGGTGTTCCCAATATAGTTTTGGAAAAAGAAGCTGATATCACTACTGATCCACGTGGTATCGCGCTTGACGAAGATGGCATTCGCGCTTTGCAAGCGATTGGTGCATATGGAAAAGTCTTCACTGAAATCGGATCCAGTATGTCGTTCCCAGATGGTGGACACAGCTAATATTTTCAGCCATGACGAGATTCAACTTCTTGAGCGGAGTGCATAAAGACTTGTCTAAACGACCTCTGCTTTCTATGGATTACAGTACGAGTGAAGGCGGCACAGGGCACGTTGGTTTCATATGTCATAAACAACCAGCACTCGAAAGAGCCATTCGCGACTCGATGTCTGATAACTCATACTCCGAGATGAGATCCAGGTGCCTAGTAACCGGAATCAGCGAGGACAGTGAGTGTGTCACCGTGCATTACATCAATGCTCAAGGCCAAGCAACATCGATTCAAAGCAGATTCCTTGTTGGTGCAGATGGCAAGACTGGCTATGTGCGAAAGAAATATCTCGAACCGCAGGGTATCACCATGAACAAGTGTGAATGGTGCGTGTAAGCTGACATCGATCGTCTCCTACTTACGACCATTAGCACGAATTATGAGGAAACGTGGGTTGCATTGAATTGGAAGGTCACGACTCCTACCCCTAAAACCCACCCAGACTTCCCGCTTTGGCAACTAGGCTATACACCTACAGACGTCTATGACCTCTTCTTCCCCAAGGAGTTTAATTTTCTCTGCAATCCTGAACGACCAGCCGTATGTGGAAGATTTGGTTTGCAGACTGATCAATTGTGGAGGTTTGAATTTGTTGTACACAAGGGCGAAGATGAGGTCAAGATGGCGACGTTGGAGGAAACTCAGAAAATCATTTTTCCGTACCTGACGCATTCAGGTACCCGTTATGGAATGCGTCACGACGTGCATTACCCAGAAGACTGTATCGAAGTCTTGAGATCAAGAGCATTTTCCTTTCAAGCACGCAGTTGTAATAGATGGGCCCAGGGCAGAGTAATTCTCGTTGGAGACGCTGCACATGTGTTCCCACCTTTCGGCGGACAGGGTATCTCATCGGGTTTCCGAGATGCTTTGGGCCTTGCCTGGAGGTTGGCTATGCTTCGACAAGTGCCTCAAGGTAATCATACTGACGTGATCAAAGCGTGGTACACGGAGAGAAAGCAACAGCTGGACCGATCACTAGCTGCCACAATTCAAAATGGTGAATATGTCACGCAAAGCAATCCATTCACGATTTTCGTTCGAGACTGGTATTTGTGGCTCTATCAGCTTGTTCCGAGATGGCGGAGGGAAATAGAGAAGGGTGCTCGCGCGCAAGGTATGGTTCGGTACAATCATGAGGCAGGCATGCCTTTCTTGCCCGGCAGTTGCGGCGGAACTTTGTTGCCACAGGTCTATGCCTGGGATTTCCAAGCCGGTCTTGTCAGATTCAGCGACGACCTCATCTTCGCGCCGGGAAAAGACGGTCTTCTACAAGTACTTATACTACCAGCATCAGAGAAGGAGGCAGAAGAGCTTACACTGGCAATAAAAGACATGCCACAGAATGAGTTTGTGAAGTCAGACGAGGCGGTAGCTCTAATTCAAGACTGCACAATGGGTTCTGCCTGTTCACGAAAGTTGATGCATTGCGGTATACACATCGCTAGGATTGCCACTGCCGAGGAATTCGCGGCTGAAATAGATCTGTGCCAAGGAAGGCCAGCACCGAAGTACTATGATCCGTATAGAATATCGAAAGAGGTCAGAAACATGAAGTTTGTGCTGGTAAGACCTGATAGATACATCTATACGGCATGTGCGACTTCACAGGAGCTAAGAAATGCTCTCAATAGCTTGGTGGATGTATTAGTGCAACGCTGAACGGGCGGTACTAGCATTACGCACAGTTCGTTATTCATTTCGGCACAGAGCCACTAAATTCAACAATCCAGGCTGAGTTACACTTGTCTGGAACAACTGGAGATGGGTGACCATACCACCATAGTGGCACTTAGCGCATATTGCCACCTCTCTCCTCTCTCAAGGTGATTCCTTCGGCAATCAAGGTACCGCAATTCGAAGGACGTTGGAAGATATGATTAAGCCAGACACAACTATATAATCCTTATCCGTATCTTTGCGTACTAGATAGCGTCGACTATAACTTATTCTGTCTTAGGTGGTTGCATAGCGGGACGTGACACTGTCTTTACCGGTTCTTGACGCTGGAACCTTATGTACGACAATCTAATCATCGTGATATGGGTCAAGTAATTAATCCTTCACTGTCGCCGTCTTACTTTTGGCCTGCAATTCGAACCCGTTCTCTGGAACCTCAGCGAGAAAGAGCCTCAGTCTGGCCTGCGGCTCTACTCGGATCTAGACCCCGAGCTCGTTGATTAAGTCCCCAAGGGCCGACATCTTATGCCTGCGGTGTTAAGCATTGAACACTGCTCGACCGTGGTCAGATTGGCGTGTTTGTCGTGTGGAGGTAATTCAGCATATGTTGGGGAAGGGGGTCAAGCATTCGCAGACAGGACCTAAAGGTTTATTGGCCCAGATGTGCCACACCGAGGACGACGGCTTGCCCCACAAGATCTGCTCCATGCGGGACTTTGTCTTGCCCCCCAAACAAAAACTTCGCCTGGTCCAAAAGCCTATCAATCTCCTTCCTAGGACATAGACATCGGCAGAAGATGTTTGAGCAATACCCCGTAGATCTGATGATTGGCAGATTGAACAAGCATGATCGTGACTGTAAGAGCATGCTTCACAAGCCGGAATTTGACCTTAAACCTGCGGAGAACTGGGTCACCCACATTGTCTTCACTGATGGTTATTACCATGGATCCTCCTGGCGGTGAACCAAGCTTGTGCAACCAAGGTTCCACCGTTTTACAACTCAAGATACAGTACTCGTGTATTCCCCTTTTGAATTCTATCGAGCTAATGTGCCAGAAAACGGAACTATCAAGTCTTCTCGGGGAAATGCGGGGCTCGCTAAAATTCCTCGACGAAACCTGGCTTCCCCGTCTTTCGTTTGAGATCAATCCTGGAGTTCTTCTGTGAGAAAGTCCCGCACGGCAGCAAAATGGCCAATGTCATCGTCGCACGGAACAAGCGACAATGTCCCACGTGCGCGCGAGCATTCTCGAAGGCCGAGCATCTTCAAAGGCATATTCGCTCGCATACTAAGGAGAAACCATTCGAATGCCATCATTGTGGCAAAAAGTATGGGAGAAAGTATGGTTCACGTCCCTACAGTTGTGATTATCCGGCTGATTTTGTAGTGATTCGCTCCTGAGGCATATCAAAGACCAACATACTATTCACATCAGTGATTGTGGAGGAGATTCTAATACTTCAGCTGTGCAGACCAGTCCGTTGTTGACAACATTGGCAAATCAGCATGGGGAAGAGCATATGGACATGATACAGGATAACTCTGGCAAGACACTCATGAGCAACTATAGCATTCCGATCGGGTCTTTTGTTGAACAAGGTGCTCACAATAACTCTGATCCAGTTCACGAACATCTGACGGCTACCTTTCCTCCCAGTTTTCTGCCGCAAGGCAGTACAGGTTTAGAGTCTGAAGATTGGCTCACTTACGAAAACTTCAGCGACTTGTTGCACAGCTGGCCGTTTGACTTAGGCGACACCAACACACGACCTCTCAACATTGCTGCTACTTACAAGAGTGCCAGGCATTTTGCGGACCTACAGGAGTCATGGTACACTCACCTTGATGATGAGTATGAGGCCCAGTCAGGCTATATGACCCCAATGCCACGTCATGGTGAGATCGATGACCACTATCGGCAGTCACTCCATCGTAGGCTTCAAATCTCTTCACTCGATCAAAATCTACCTTCAGTGGAGTTCATGAACCTATGCGTCAAGTCTTATTTTGGACGGTTTCACCATCTCTTTCCCATTGTTCATGCCCCCACCTTCCGCCCTTTAAAAACAAATGCCGTTCTTCTGCTCTCAATCTGCTCCGTAGGAAGCCTTCTTACAGGTTATCCTAGTGCTTACCAACGTGGAACCCAGCTCTTCGAGCGTCTACATAAGGCTATACTGGCTGATTGGGACAGATTGATTAGACGTGGACCTGAGGAGGCATTGGCAATGGTTCAAGCTAGCATCATTGGCCAGACTTTCGCACTCCTCTCTGGTCAAGCCAAACATCTATCAATTGTAGATGCTTTCCATGGCACGATCATTTCGTGGGCACGGCGAATGAAGATCTTTCAAACCCAACATGCACTGTTGTCCGATGACCTAGATCTAGACAAGAACTGGAAAATCTGGGTGCACAATGAGGAGAAGATACGTGTCGCCCTTGGATTGCGCATTCATGATGCCGAAATAGCAAGCATTCTCCGTCATGAGACACTATTGCCATCTGCCTCAAGAATGACCCAAGTCGCGAACGATACTCTGTTCGCTGCGCAGAGCGCTCAAGAATGGGTTGTGCTGTACAAAGAGAAGAGTAACCAATCCACATACACTCCGCAGAGACAATCAGGGCTTGTATTTCCACAGAATTTGCACCGTCGCCTTATGTCACACCAAAAGCCTTCACAATTCACTATTTACACTGTGCTAGAAGACGTTTGTTGTGAGATAGTTGAGGCACGCATCAACGAGTCGCTCACTGTGGCTAGCGTGACCGGTGTTCAGGAGTGTTTGCTTCTGTTCTTTGAGCAATACCTACGTCCGTCACAATCCGGACCATGGCGTAACGGAATCAGAATACTCTGGCATTACCTTTTCATCCTGTTGCACTCAAATATGGACCTCCTCGAAAGGAGCATAGGCAGGGATGGACCGGACCTTGACGCTACTGATCTTTCAGCTGTTCAAGACTGGGCTAAGTCTGCCTCGGCAAAACGATGTGTAGCTCATGCAATTATGATCAAGAGAAATCTGGAGGACTTCCCTCTCAGTTCTGAGCCTGCGATCCATATTCCCAGATGTGCATTCTCCAGCATCATTTGTCTCTTCTGTTACGCCAAGTATAGTGATGGTGGCGACGATAGCCCTCTAGACTTTCCCGAATTTCGATTTTTTAGTACTGCTGTTGCTTCGCTGTTGAAGGAGGCAAAGGGCAGCTCTTCATTGGAGATTGGATTAAGCCCATTGTACGGATTTGTCGATCTTTTACAGCGAATTGGGCACTGGGAAATCTCTCGCACGCTTGCATCGCTCGTCGAAGTCATGCTTCAGGCCGAAGGGATGTGATTTTCTTTGGATCTTGGCCCTGGCAGAAGTCCGACGTTATTCGAACGGAAAAAGCTTCTCTTCAGTCACAGTCTACTACATATCCTTGGCGTCGATGGCGAAACTGTAGGAATAGCCAATTTGTAACCTCCTTGACAACCATGGAAATTCCGACACACGTTCTCTCGATGCTCTTTGACTTAGATGGCACTGAATTTAGCTCCTCCTAGTAGTATGGCTCACTACATCAAGTACGACATGTAGGGCAAGTGTAACATAGTCAGTGTTCAGGACCAGCTCATGACGTCCGTGTTTCACACAACAGTGGGGAGGAAGCCTGAATCAGATTGTAGGCAGTCGTGGGCTCTGGTCCAGCATCTTTAAAATGTCACGGTTTCCCTTTTTCTACAGCAGTATTCAGCATTTGGCACCACGACAATATTTGAAAAGTCAGGTTGCTCAATATTGGAGGAACAACAACCCTAACGTGTCTGTTTTAGCCGCTGTAGAGAATGATCAGTGATGACCCGTCAAAACGCACGACAGTTCCGCAGCTGTGTGGTGATTTGGTCATCGATGCTTGTGGTACCTACATAGGCAGTGCTTGCATATGAAGTGATGGGAACTCTTGTCGGAGGACACAAAGTTTGAGCATCAGCTGGTTTGCAGAGGTTATCAGTCCTGACGAGATCTGTTGAAACTATTTCACGTCCCTACTTTGAGCACAGGACAGGTATTGTCCTTAAAACAGTGTATATGGTTGGTCGAAAAGACGATGCATCTCGCATACACTGGCAGGTGGTGCTACTCGTGACAGCTACTCTTGCATAGGCGTTTCGTGTGACTCAGAGTGCGTGGCGTCACTAAATTGAGGTTGAACGTGACCTGAAATGGCAAAATCGTGGATGAGTCGGCTTCGAGTAAAGCGATGCTGTCTAAACGTTAGCTGTATCGATTGAGACGTGTGCTGTTATGCCTGAAAGAGATGGTAGGAAGCCGCGATAGTAGATGTTGTATGAAAGTTGGGGACCACGACGGGAGGCAACATGGTTGATAGAGGAAGCAGGTGCAGTAGTGGGCTTGAAGGTAGGATATCGAGCACTAAACGCTTCCACTCGCTTGCCTGTTGACATCGAGATCGCAAATGGCTTCAGCAGTCTTTTTGGATGGCCTCGCGATCACGAAAGACATGAATGTGCCTTGAAGCGCCAAGTAGTCGTACCTGCACTCAATTCAAAAACAACTACCGCAGAATCGTGAGCAATGCATCTGAAGCCTGGCTTGGTCGTGTAAAGCACTACGATAATATGGGACCACGATCGAGCTGCAGGCGACGATGTCATTCTCGCCAATCTCGAAAGATTGTACTGATCGGACGGACGGACACATCACTGGCGCGATAGTCAATAATGCGCCTGCCAATAAATTCAACTCACTTCGCCCATACTCAGCACAATCTCTTGCAGGTATTGGCTGCGTTGAAATGTATGCGGCATGCCTCTATACATCTTAGCGGAATTGTGAGGATAGGCAGACTGAATTTGAATCGGTTCTCGTACCAACTAGCAGCGTCACACTTCGAAGTCACCGTGCGCATGTTCCGTACTCTTTCCGATCGCGGCTATGACCTTCATCGACCGTTATGTATCTCCCTGTTCCCTCCTCTTTGCTACTTGCTTCTGCGTTCCTCAGCTATGGAGGAAATTTGGTGGTGAAGCACCGAAGAAGCCAAGGCAGACAATCACAAAAGTCTGATCGTGTTTCGTTGTGCATGAGAAGGAACGGTAGGCTGCCATTCGTGTGAACTATATGTAATGAAGTTCGATATTGGAGGAAAGGTTTGGTGTCTTAGCGGAGAAATGCTTGCTTGACTGCGATTCAAGTGAAGCACCTGCGGTATTGACCAACAAGGTCAGACTTTATAGACGATCACTCGCAGACCATGGTACCTTCAGCAGGGCATGATAGCTGGTTATGCGCAAGTTTTGATTGATACTTCCGATGACCACTGCAAGTTGGGCAGGCTTGCAGTCTATATTCTGAGGACTCGACTTGCCTGTGCAATCTCGTTCATTCGAAAGGATCTCTTTCAAGTAAGGAAGCACATGCTTTAAGAGTGGTTACTCGCAGCAATTGCAGCAGGGCCTGCTATCTTTCATTGAACTGTGTTTCAGAGATATAGGTACCCAATCAGCGGATCCTCGAACACCGATGCACGTGCGGTAGTAGAGACCTTAGCATTGCAAGGACGGCTTTTAGCCGTATCTCTCGATCAGACATGTATGTAAGCGGGCAACGTTCGTATTGATCCTTGGGCTTGAATAAATTTGCTGGAGTGATTGCCCTACTTCCTGCGTGTACCACCATCGAAGACGTTGGATCCACGAGCCTTGAAAATGCTCTTGGCCTCCGAGTGGTTCGGATGACTCTGAAAATTACTTCGAAAGCGGATTGAGCCAGTAGGTCTCTCGCATATAGTACATTCATCCCGTCTCGATGTCCAGAATCCTGCAGTGAATAAGAAACTTGAATCTGATGATGCTACGGTGGAATCTTAGCCAATATACACTTTATGCCTAACCGTAACTGCGGACAACACTGGCTGCGATATTTGTGAAGCACTTTCCTTTCAAATTCTACGATTTTGGCAACCACGACATTAAGGTGTATCTAGAGATCGTTTTCCTCCCTTCACCCCAGGTTCCACGGAATTAAATGGCGCTTCAGAAGCTGTTGCGACTATATTCGTCGTATCGCCAACGCTATAAGTCATATTTCCGCTCATACTTATCGTACAGATCAATCTATGCCTGCAACTCGCCTTGGAACGTTGTTGCATGAGCACTGGAGGGAAAAACATAGTTTGATCGAGAACAGAAGTAAGACACTCTTGCCAAGTTGGGCACTTATGGTCTGAGGTTATGGCAATTCGTCTGGTTTGCGCCGAAGCCAAAAACTCCAAGTGTGGCCAGAAACATCCGACTATTGATGAGTCGCGTTGTTGTCACCTACTCTGTTGCCAGTCGACATTCATAGCTGAACTCGTGCTTTCAGATCCCTTGTCAGGTTGTACGAAGTTGTTTCTTCCATTCAGCAGATCCAGATGCGAGGTAGCCCGATATCAGATGTGTCATGACCACGCCAGATCGAACCCAATGGTCGTCTGCTAACCTGACTGCTAGTGTTCTCCTGCCTGTCGCCTCCCCTCCTGCAACTCGTTATCTATCCGACCCTCGTTAACACAAAACTGATGGACGATTAGGTCAACAACATCACAGCAATTACGGCTTAGGCAACCCTAACCTCGAATGGGAAGTGGCCACAACCATCCTTGCAATATTGAGCTTGGACACACGAACAGATCGAGCCTGCAACACAGCACATAGGGAGAACAGTTAGATGTGGTGAAAATTGCATCAACTGATCCTCTGGCGTATGACACTTGAAAATATTGTAAGTGTGAAATGCGTTTACTGCGGATACAGGTCTACCCGCGATATGGCGTGGGTGGTGTCATTTTAGCATGGATTTTCCCGAAAGCAAGACCCTGCACATGCGATGTGTAAGAAGGACTCTCGCTCTTGACACGTGTGAATTGTTTTGCGCTTCGCCTGCTGGAGATACCATTGTGGAATTTTTTCTCCCTCAATCGCGCGATGTCGCTTGGACAGATTCACTATCTTTGCGCCAAGTAAATACAAGCTTTTTGAGCTCCCAAATGCTCTTGGAATGGTCCCCAATATTGTCTAGAACGTTGAGGTTCAAGATACATGATTGGACGACCTTACATCGAAGTCGTAGGACCTGCTTTCCCGAGCTTGGCGATTGGGCTAAGATGATAGTGCCTCATCCCTTTGTTCGAAGTGACCATAGCTCTTCTCTCTGTCTCAACGTATATAGTATGCTTCGGAACGTAACGATCAAGTATCAGCATGCAAATACTTCCTGTGTCGCTGTATCGTAGATAGATCATCCACAACTTATCAGCATGATAATGGAAGAAGGTATGCTGTTCTCATCTGGTCATTACAACGTGTTCTGATTCTACATCTGTGTCAGATCAAAATATTCAGAAATCAGAGCACGTCAGTCTCAAGCAAATCAAAGACACTATCCCGCCCAAGTGTTTTGAATCGTCAGTACGGACATCCATCTCGTACTTAGCACGAGACATCATTTATCTCACAACTCTGGTTTATCTTGCCTCCAACATATACTTGCTCCCTAGCTCGTCATTACGCTTCGTGGCATGGACGCTCTACAGCTTTTTGCAAGGCTGTGTTGGTACCGGAATCTGGATTCTTGGGCATGAGTGTGGGCATGGCAGTTTTTCAAAGCATGGCAAATTCAATGATTTTGTTGGCTGGTTACTACATTCCTTCCTGCTGGTTCCATACTTCGCGTGGAAAACTACACATGCTCGTCACCACCGATATACTGGACATATGACGAAGGATGTTGTCTTTGTGCCAAAAATACTCGAAGACATCCGCACTGACGACAAGACACGACTGGAACTTTTGTTGGATCTTGCGGAGGACAGTCCTTTGGTTACACTTGCACGTTTGACACGACATCAGCTGATTGGATGGCAACTATACTTGTTCTTCAACGTGACTGCCGGCAAAGACAGCTTGCCAAATGGCAGAAAACTGGCAACAAAAGCAGATATGACTCACTTTACCATATCTAGTCGGCTCTTCCTACCATCACAGCAGTTTTACATCCTCTTGTCAGATGCTGGTATCCTCTTCACTTTGCTTGCTCTTTACTTCGTAGCAAAGCACAATGGCCTTACGACAATGATGCTCCTCTATTTTGCTCCCTACTTGTGGGTTCACCATTGGATAGGTAAGTTGACCTTTCCACATGAAACCCGTGACCATTGGCACTGACTCACTTTGTCCGACAGTTGCGATTACATATCTACATCATACTCATCCAGATGTACCACACTATACAGCTGCTACTTGGACATTCACTCAAGGAGCGCTTGGCACCATCGACCGAAGCTTCGGTTTCATCGGGCGCCATTTCTTCCACGAAATCATCGACTATCATTTGATTCATCACTTGTTCCCCAAGATACCATTCTATCATGCCGAAGAAGCCACCAAAGCTGTCATGCCCCTACTTGGCTCAACTTACGTGGATGCGAAGCAGGACTCGTTTCTGTGGTCGCTTTATACTACGTTTCGTTCTTGCCGGTTTGTAACAGCAGAGCCACAAAGCAAGGACTCGGCTGCTAGTGGGAAATTGGTCTGGGCCACATTGGTCAAGTGAGGCAATTGGGTTCCGTTGAGGTTCGTTTGACAAATGCCTCTGCTTTGCGCTGCTTGATGGTATTGCAAGGCATACAGAGAAACGAATGTTGACATCAGTCTGACTGATATCAGGTTACCGGAACATCCTGTAAGAACACTGAGGTCAAAAAGCTATAGAAGTGCATAGAATAGAGATAGACAATAGATTCAAGAAGTTGACCATACCCGAGGTCAACGTCTTCATTATATGATTTCCACATTCTATATATTGGTCGTCAATATGTATGCCATTACGACTGCCTTCAATAGCAAACAATAGCATCGATCATCCCTCATAAGGCATTGGAGAATCACAATGATTGCTACAGTGAGCCATTGGTCTACGCTTATCACTATCTACCATCGCATTCAGATAGTGCGTAATATTCTGGTCGTCTACTAGTGCAGTAGCATCGATGACTATCACTGTACATCATAAACACATTCTTTAGTGCCATGTATCGTAAGACGTGAATATCAGGATTCTGAACCACAGACATCATGTGAAGCAACCAAGATACCACATGAAGAAAGCATCAGTCAGGATGTGTCCATTGTCACCAAGCGTAAAATTTCAGTATACAACTTTTCAAAATAGCCATCCAGTAATGGCCATCAGATCTCAAAAGCTGAAGAGAACGTCCATTTCAAAAGCCATATACCTTCCCTTTTGAGGCATGTTCCTTAAAATGTACCAAATCGATTTTTGTCGTTTTGCTCGACAGTGCTTTTGCGTTGTGATCATGCATGTCCATTCATGTATGGCTCTCTGTCGTATATCAATGTCAATGTAGTCGGAATTGGGCTCTCCCTCGCACTCGCATCAAGGTAAACTCTCATGTTGACACCAGCCACATGATGCTCGAGTGTGGTAAATTCACCCTGCCTGCCAGGTGCCCTTCGTAGATTCTTCAGCTTGAAGACCTCTTTCAGGGTTGGCACAAGAGAAGGAGCAACCAAACGTGCTCCGAAGCAGTAGTGCAATCCATGTCCAAGAAGTATGTAGCTGGAGATAGGTCGATGTGGGTCAATGAGCTCTGGGTTAGGATATGCCACAGGGTCCATGGCTGCTCTTGAGGTTGCAATCAGAACAGTCTGATTGGCCTTGATGCGAATTGGACCACGCTGACCATCCGTGATAGTGATGTCTTGTGCTGCAACACGTGGCAAGCCGGGCACGACACCAGCATGTCGCATGCCTTCATACACGAAGCCGAGCATTTCCTTGTCAGATGCAGGATCATCTCGATGTGCGAGCTCGATGATGCGCTCCTTGTATTTCTCGTATCCTGGACTGAGATACAAATCGATGAGAAGCGAAGCCTGTTGAGTAAGATTGCCAGCGACTGGCGCAGCCATGCCGATACAATCACCTACAAGGTCACCACTGGGCAGACCAGATTTGGCCAGGGCTTTGTAGAGGCGGTCAGCATCAGGCTTGACTTCATAAGCTGATCCCTTTTCCAGGTAATCAGCAAATACTTCCTTGTAACCACCTTGTTGAGTTGCAAGATGACCTCCAAGGATCTTTCGTAGCATCGGTGCTACTTTCATGCTGCCTTCCCTCAATTTCCATTCATTCTGAGGCAAAATATTGAAGCTTTGGTACATGAAAAGGACCAGGTAAAGATCAAACAACTCAGCTCTTGTGATCAACCCCATTGGATGTTCTGCTGTCTTCAAAGGAATGGCAAACCTCTCTGCAAGCCACAAGATTGGTGTGACATTAGTAACGTCTCTGACAATATCGATTGAGTTCCTTTTGTCTGCGTATTGTAGGGAATTCTTCTCGATCAATTGTCGAACATGAGTGCGGAAGAACTGGGACACGTTTGCCTCGAAGTTTGGCTCGAAAAAAATATGGTGCAGAAGGTTCGAACGTTCGTCGTGTCGTCGTTGCTGATCCCATCCAATCATGAAGTCGTGTCCATCTGTACAATTCCTGATGGCAGCCTGATACATGACACGGAAGTTGTCACGATCCTCGAAGACTCTCTTGCATCCTTCTTGTGTGTGGATGCCGACGATCTTTGTCACGTTCGTGGGAGGTCGCTGAAGGTCGTACTTTTGTACCACACCGTTGCCCTCGAGGATCTCGCGAACCGCTTTAGGAGTGTAAAATGGCAGGAGAGCGTAGGAGGAGGTACCAGTGAACTCACCTGGAAGAGCACCAAACAGCAACGTTGGCAACATGCCTGCATAAGAGCCTCCTGCAACGCTACCGGCTATCTTGGATACTCCCCAATTCGTCAACGTGCTACTGTTCATGTCGTATGTCAGGAAACGGTCGCCTCGTACCAAGGAAACTGCATCGTCCAGAATACCTCGTCCTGTCGTCTGACCGGGACACACACCACTGCCTGGCATTGGTGGTTTTGTGCACTCTGCTTGCAATCCTGGATAGAGTTCCATGTTGTCAATGTGTCCATACAAGAGCTCAGCGTCTCGAGCAGTTTCCTCGTCTTCACACCACTGCATGAAGTTCTCGTATGGCTTCAAATGTAAGTACTTTCTGAACCTTAGGGAGCTGTTAGTGATATACGTAATTTGGTGGCTCTTGACTTACTCGTTCAACGTGCAAACATTGAAGACACCTCGAGCTTGTAGCTGACCCATTAGATCCACAATTTTCAGACTCGCCGGTGTGCCGTGAGCACCAAAGGCATGAGCAGGTTCTTCGATACAGTCCTTAATGATTCTACCCAAATCTGCGTCACTAAATCTTCCATCGAGACCTCTCTTCAAGTTGTCGAATGTCCATTGTTTGGGATGCATTGCCTTCAGTTTTTCTGCTTCAGCACCGACAACTTTGTGAAAGTCGTGAGGCTTCATGTCGTCCATGGACTTTAATTCTGGAAGATGTTTTCTGACTAGGTCTTCCATCCAATCGGCATCTGCTGCACTCAAGGCTGCATGCCAATGATAGAGCACAGCAAACTCTACCGACACGACGTTACCAGTGCCTCTTTCGACACGTTCACTTCGTTGCTTGATCTCAGCGCCCAAATCCAGAAACCATTCCGAGTCGGCACGGGGAGTGTTTAAGATGGCGGCGACGTAGTCTCTCAGGACAACGGAAGCAAAGAAACCGACGTTGATGTTTCGTGCGAGTTGGAAGATGTCTTCGTCTTGCCTACAAAGTAAACTCAGTTCAAATCACGTCTTTCTTAGGTCAGCTGCTTACCATTTCTTTTGCTCTTCAGTAAGATCATCCCAGTCACCGTACTTGCCATCCTCATTGACAGACCACAGTGAATAGGCTATTGTATTATGGTGTCGCGAGAACATCATGAGAACGGCAACGACGCCAGGTGGCATGAGCATGATTCGTTCTGAGGCGATAGAGTCTGGATGTATCGTTCCGTTCTCGTACGTTCTGACTCGCTTCTGCTCTGTGCCTGTGTTCCCATACAATGTGCTGAGGTCAACATAACTGCTGGTCTCATTGATCCACTTATCCGTTCGAGAAGTCTGGAAGCACTCGTGAATGACCACGGTCGCGAACGAAAAGAACAATCTGTTCAAGCCAGATGGATGTGGTCTGAAAGGGCCTTTGCGCTTGAGTAGCTTCTCAAACACGAGCTCGACATCAGGCAAGTTTGGGCCCTTGGGTTTCGCTGGGGTAACACTTCGGCAGTATGGAGAGCCAGCTTTGCCCATTTCAGGATCCCAGTGATTGTTACCTCCTCCATCGTGCCTTCTGTATCGGTTTTCTGGACCAGCCAAAACCGCAGGCGGGTGAGGGAGATCGTGCCATAGCATCTTGATGAAACCACCCGAAACTTTGTCACTTAGCCCACTGCCTGGTGGCAGCGATTGTAACATGGCCACGGCATTCTCAAGCAGCCATTTCTTGTCGTCCATTGGCTCACCAGATGCAATTGTGTTGAATGCCTGGACCATTGTCTTGGTGTTCCTACCGCCCAGATGTACAAGGTCATGAAATACGGACGTTTTCTCATCTGACACGCCTCCGGCAGCGTGTAAGTCGGTCTTGCCATCAGGTGCTGTTGGGGCAGGTCGCCATATCATCCGCATCAGGGTAGTCAGAGCGCTCGCCATGATGGCTGTTTGAAACGGCAGCTTGAAATTGTGGTAGGAGGAAGGATATCGTATCGAGTGAGGGCGAGAGCGAGAGATTGAGTGTTCTGGTGAAGCTCAGGTGAAGAGGTCCTGCTATCCAAGCTCAATAGGACGAATCAACGATGGCAAGGAAGACAGAGCAAGCAGGCATGTGCACAAGCATCGAACAAGCAAGGATGTTGAGCTCAATTCTTGTGGCCAAATTGTGCCCACATCATGTTGTAGCTCAAGCTTCGAACATTTTCCGCCGTGCAACCTGCAGTGGTTGGAGCATGCAATTGACATGCAGTAGGGTACTTTGTTCGAGTCTGTGCATGGGGTCACTGAAGACGGTCAACACACAATTTGACAACTGGCAAGGTGGGGCTGGTCTTGCAGATTCGAGTAATCGTAAAGCACATTTTGTCACTGGTAAATTGCATAGCTACAGATGCTCTGCACCAATCACGACATTTGTGCGGACGTCTTCTTCAGCTACTGCTGCTGCGACAGCATGGACGGTTGTACGGCTCTCCGGATCTGCAACCTCGCGGACGATCTTCTGAATGGGGTGGACCGATCCAACCAATGTGAAGTTGTCGTCACCCGGATTGAGTTTGTGAGCAAGCGTTCGGAGCGCCAATGTTGTGGATCTGAGCAAGCTGCCAGTGTGGGTAAGCTTGAGATCGAATCACCATGTCGCCGAATACCATTACTCGAGTAGTCTCAGATACGAATGCAGTGTCCCAAAAGGGCGAGATGCAGCGTCGTTTTACGAAGACGATGGGTCGCCAAGTGCTCGTTTGCTTCACCTTCTGTTTCTCTGCAGATCTTGCTGCCGCCCACAATCCCACGAGATTGGTTTTAACCAATCGATAAGCGAGGTTCAGCCCTCGGAGCGAGCCTTCTTGGCTGATCTTGACGTAAAGGCCCGGCAAGCTAGCACAAATTCTTGCTGAGATCTGCAAGCTCCGCACGGATTTTCTGGTGACATATCTGCGCATTTGAAGCTCCAAAATGCAGCTCAGCTTCACCCAATTCAGTTGCATACAACTGGCTGACGACGGCAAGGCAGTTTTAGGCTAGAAAGCTTTGACCACTTGCATGTGCTACATGCTACAAGCCCGAAATGAAGTGGGACAGGCCGTCGCCAGCGTCCAACACTTCCTGTCCACGATGCCTCAACCTTCCATTACACAACCAATGCTCTTCTATTTCGGGCAATCTTGCTGACTGGTTGAAGCTTGCTCCGTGACAACATGGACACAGAGCAGCACTGGTCACGATCGAGGTACCCTCTCCAGGCATCCCTGCGCCCCCCGACGCAGTCGTCCTCGGCGAAACCCTCGACTAAAGGAGCGCGTGGCCCAGCATCTTTGCAAGCAACAGGAAATACGTTGAATACTCCCGAAATGGGGCCATGGCATCGAGCAGTCACAGATAACGACGCTCAAAGAGAGGAGACACCTTCACTACTTAGCACTATAGGCGCAGCATCTTTCCCCACGACCGCCGACCACGTTAGAGCTATAGGCGGTCTATCTAAAGCCTCGGAGATACCTCGTGGCTCAACTATGTGGCAATCGGAAGGTGGCAGCAGTGAATCTCAGCAAGAAACTACTGCGAGTAGCACATCAGCTCCTCACTCACAAGACCCTGACCAAGATGATACTGCTTCTACGTCGACTTTATGGACTCGCAGCATGTATCCTTCTCAACCGAAGGCGACAACCTCGTCATTGCGGTCTCGATCAATAGCCTCCAGGACTGAAGAAGAACAAGAGGAGGAAAACAAACACATGCCGGAAAGGACTTTGAGAAGAATGCCACGGAGCATACGTATTGAACGGGTCGTGTCAAAAGCACCATCGGAAACCACAGTGGCTCGATCCCCATCAACTGCGTCAATTGTGTCTGATGACGCTTTCAGTCCTGTACAGTACCTAACGAAAGAGCACGCCCAAGTTCCTTCGCATCCTTCAAGTGCAACCGAGCATGCATCGCAGCCTACGGTGAATGGCTCTGCTCCGTGCCCAGGATCACAGTATGATGAGAAGACCACGGATGCATCGGCTGCGGGTCGTACTGGTAGTGAGAAGTTGACAGGCAGCTCTTCCAAGGCGCGGAAAAGCTATCCAATGCAACAGTCACTTGATGGGTCTTCTACTCTGCCCGATTCACCGCCACAATCAGAGACTGAGTCAGAACCTGATGACATAGCCTCCGTGCCTCAGTCGGAAGAGATGGCAGTACCCAAGCCAAAGAAGAAGTGGCAACGTCGTATCTACCCTTTACAGTCGCAGATTAGTCATGCCGATTTGCAACGTGCACCAACACCCCCACCTTCACCACCAGCAAGAGTGCAAGGCTCTGGCGAAAAGGCATTCCAAGACTTCACTACCGAGAGCAAACATTCTGATACAAAAGGAAAGCCTCTACGTCGACAAGTATACCCTCTACAATCGCCTGCAAGCGTTGCTAACCTACAGACCGGGACAAACCAGCAGCCGCAGCAAGTCCTCGCCGCAGACCATACAAGCAAGACACCCACCGACCAGAGCGAATTCCATCAAGCTGTCAAGAGAAGGGCAATACGTCGTCAGAGATACCCTCTACAGGCACAGGCGAGTGTCGCAAATCTACAAAAAGCAGAAGTGCCAGAGCATCAGCAACCTCACAACACTGTGTCTGCCACCAAATCATCTGTAGAAGACCTGTCTGAAGACAATCAAGCTGTCCAGCAGAAGACGGTGATGCGACGCCAGAGATACCCTCTGCAAACGCAAGCAAGTGTTGCTAATCTGCCCAAGTCCGCAGTACCACAAGCAAAAGCAGAGGAGCATAAGAGTCAAGTTTCACCGCCAGATGATAGGCAGATCGACAAACACGAGGCAAGCCCACAAAAGAGCCACTCACTTCGACGACAGGTTTATCCTTTGCAATCTCCTGCCAGTGTTGCCACGCTGCGACACTCGTCCGCACTTGAAAAAGCACAAGAGGTAGAGAACCAGGATACACTATCTGTCAGGCCGACCCAAGATCCAACAAAACTGCGTGTACCAACACCAGTCAACGTTGCTAATACAACAAGCACTCAGAACTCATCGCGAGAGAGCGAACTGGCCACGAAAGTGATCAGTCAGTGGCGTCGCCAGATATATCCCGTGCAGTCACCTAATCACAATTCTTACATTCATCGGGCACCATCGCCTCAACCTCCAGGTCTAGAAGCAGAGGAAGACCGTGGCCCCATTCACCTGCCCAAGAATCTCCGAGCTGTTAACGACGCTGATAGCCATGATCCTAAAGGACGTACTATCGTTGTGTGTCTTGACGGAACTGGTGACAAGTTCGACAACGATAACAGCAACATCGTTCATCTGGTCAGTGCTCTGAAAAAGGATGATGCATCCCAGGTATCTTACTATCAAGCTGGTATTGGCACCTACGGATCTGCAGGTGGGCTCAGCAAGGGCTTTTCTGCTGCGATGGACATGGCAGTGGGATCTGGCCTCGGACTCCACGTTAGGGACGCCTATCACTTCTTGATGCACACGTACAAGGAAGGAGACAAGATATGTATCTTTGGTTTCTCACGTGGTGCATACACGGCTCGATGTCTTGCTGGCATGATTCACAAAGTCGGACTTTTGCCTCCCCGAAACGTTCAGCAGATCCCTTTTGCCTATGAGTTTTACACCAATGATACTGCTGAAGGGTGGACACAGAGTGAAGATTTCAAGCGGACATTCTGTATCGATGTTTGTGTCTATTTCCTGGGCTGTTTCGATAGTGTGGCAAGCGTGGGTTTCATACCGAGGCAACTACCGCTTAGCAGTACGCCTTCGAGCCAGGTGCGATACTTCAGACATGCAATGGCATTGGACGAGCGTCGAGCAAAATTCAAGATCTGCCGCCACCAAACAAAGACTTGGGATGATATCGAGAAGTCTTCATCACCAGCCGAGACTAATATCAGGTCTGCAAATTCTAAAGAGCAAGACCAGCCACCAAAGTACTCTCCTTCCGCAAAATACGGTAAGGACAATCATCCCAATATTACAGATGAGGAGTATGAAAGTTTGACACACCAGAATAACACTTTCCAGACTAATGTACTTGAAGTCTGGTTTGCAGGTGCTCATGCCGATGTTGGCGGAGGTGCTGTTGCTAATGATGAGCGGCACAAGTTGGCCCAGATCCCTCTACGCTGGATGATTCGACAAGCTTTCGAGTGCAACACAGGTATCATTTTCAAGACTAAGTCTCTTGCAGAGTTTGGATTGGACGTGCACACGTTGTGGCCTAAGTACAAAAGACTTACTGCTCCTTCGCACGGCCCACCACCTTCGCTTCTTGAGAAGTACAAGTCCGATCTTCCACCACGATCCATTCGTCGCTCAAAGCTCGTTCCCATCGACAAACATGAGAAGGGAGAGGACTTCTACCACCTCAGAGGCCATGCTGACGATGACTGGACTCCAGAACAAGTAGAAGATTTCTACGATGCGATGTCCATCATGAACGATCAGCTCATACAGGCGCCAACATGGTGGATTCTTGAGTTCTGGCCAGTGCAGTACAAGGTGCCTACCGTGCCAGGTGAAGTCGTTGTCAGGACTGGTCCGAACTTGGGTCGATATCGTGGTGTCGATGATGCTGAACCAAACCTGCACTGGACGGTGCTACGTCGTATGGAGCATATGGGCTACAAGATCCAGGCAAGGACGGCTGCGCATGCTACGTGGCAGACTGTTGTGTGAAGTGAAATAGATGTCATCACGCAACTACGGAGGCGCGTCCTGAAAGTAATGATCTAGCTCCCAAGATTAGTGGCGTACCGTCGTACGCTATAATATAAGTCTAGTATAGACTTATCCTCCTCCTATCTAAGAGTTTCTTCTTCTCTTCGTACGACTAGCGGTATAGCTAAATAATAGACTAATAAGTTAAAGGCTTATTTTGACGGGCTAGCTTGATGATTTGAGCAGTTTAGATGGTCCACAATGGCTTGCGGATACTTCATGTGTTCACGAACGCAATCACTTCATGACATCCATCTCGGCCAAGGTAAAGCACCGGCTCTACTACGGCATCTTGGAAGAAACACAAGCCGTAGACCCACCGTGCGATCCGAAGTCTTGGAAAGTCACAATTAACATCGAGATCTTTCGATTCCAGCGCGAGCCATACATGTTTGTCCGTAGGTTCATCGACATTTCTGCCTGGGCCATCAGATGTGTTATGCCACGAAGTAAAGAACCATTCATATGTTTCTTCGTGGACAAAGAACGCGCTTTTATAACCACCTCCCCTCAGACCAGCTATGCTTAGGCCGCGTCCATATGTCCAGGCCATGACAACTCTCGTGCCATGGCTACCATGGGACCGCAACTTGACACGCCATACTACCTCACTTTGTGGCACGTACTCATCTAGGCTCCGACGGTGCTTGCGACCACCATATTCTTCTAGACATGACAAGCCGCTTGATCAAATTGGCAGCACCGACGTTCTCTTTCGGTCGACGAGTGCTTAGTGTTTACGATGTCAAATCGATCGGGTTGTCTATGTGAGCGTGCCACTTATCGCTGGCATACACCGACTCTCCAAATTTAATGATGTTTTTAAAATCTGGTACGAGCTGGCTATCACCTCCCAGTAAGACCTGTTAGAAGTATAGCAGAGGTTCGCAGCTACGTTGGTCGCGTAGAGCTAAACGCTACCACTGGAAATAGAGCTCAGCGAGTCTTCTGGCTTAAGCTATCTTCTTTCTTTCTCCGATTTTAAGCATTGGGCCTTCTAGACCCTGATAGATAGATGCCAGGATATCGGTCACGATATCGAATAGAGTTCGAAGCTGTATTATATAAACAGTTCTCTGATGTCCGACATTAACAGAAACTTGGATCTATGTATAGCACAGACTTAACAGGGAACTCGATGACAATATACAATTGATAAGGACGTTGTCCGAGAGGTTGAGGCTCTGTTGTATCGTGCCTGTAGGCTTGCTAACTTTAATCGAAGGTATAAACTTCTGTTATAGCAGAGCACGTCATAACCCATCTAGAACCACTCGTGAATAATACGAATATATGTTATAGGACTGGTACTTAAACGCTGTGATCGACACTTTTATTACTAACTATGTTCTTTCTCCGACGATGATTGCAGTGCGGTGCCGTAGTAGCCTCCTTGAGCGTTGACGTTAGCACCTCTATCTAGGAGTATCTGTACTACCTTCTTATGTCCTCTAAACGATGCTGCTTGTAGTGCATTGCCGTACGCGCCTTCTTAAGCGTTAATATTAACATCTCTGTTTAGTAGTATTTGTACTATATTGTCACGACCAGTATGGGGCTTAGGGCTTAGGGCTTAGGGCTTAGGGCTTAGGGCTTAGGGCTTAGGGCTTAGGGCT